AAGGAAAACACCTACTTCACCACGCAACTCGCGAATATCATCCATACCTCTTCCATCCACTCGTATATCGTCTTCGAGTACCATTTCCCTCATAACGACGGAAGCGTTGTAAAAAAAAGCGCCATCGACATCTCTCTCTGACCATTTCATTTCCTCCTCTCCGTACTCTGCAAGCATCTCGTGGTAAATCAAAGTCTTCAATTCCGCCATTTTTCTCCCACGTTCGTGTTTGTCCTGAATTTTCTCATCGTATAATCCTCGCAACCTTTCCTTACATCGCGCTAATACGTCTTTTCGTAACTCAGGTGATCTTCCTCCCACAGGTTCAGCGATTTCCTGTTTTGCTTTCGGCATTTTGTTATTTTCAATCGCTTTGAGATCTAATTTCTTTTTCAATTCTAACTGTGGTTCAATCAACGCCCTAGCGGCGTCATGCGCAGCGAGTAAAGCCCTCGCGACGTCTTTTTCGCTCACACCGGATTCATCGTTAGCGTGTGCTTCAATCATCAAAGCTCTGTCGTAGTTTCCTGCGTAGAAAAATACCAGCGAAGCTTCGTCGCACTCCTGAAACGTTGGGTTCACGCAAATTGACCCGCTTTTCATGACCGCGACTCTGCACGCACCGATTGGTCCATCCCACGGAATGGACGAAATCGTGAGCGCCGCAGAGCACGCGTTTACACATAGAACCGCGGGATCTTGATCTAAATCACTCGCTAAAACAATCGATTGTATCATAGTTTCTTGCGACCAGCCTTTCGGGAAGAGTGGACGCAACGTCCGATCGATGACTCGCATAGCGAGAATCTCCCGGTCTTTTGGCGCTCCTTCTCGTCTCGTAAACGTCGGTGGGATAGAACCTTTGGCGTACGCACGTTCGCGATAGTCTACGAGTAAAGGTACGAAGTCTTTACTCGGGTCACCCTTCTCTCTCGATGCGACTGCGGTACACAGAACAACCGTATCACCCAAGTCGGCGACGACGGCGCCATCTGTGAGACGAGCGAGCGCGCCAGATTCAAATCCTACTTTGACGCTCACGTTTTGTTCGCCAACTTCGATGATTGTTTCTGCTCTCGTGGCGCCGTCAAATCGAGTTCGTTCTTCTTCCTTTTCACTTTGAAAAAATGATGATGTAGAAAATGCACGTCGTCTGATTCTTCCTCTCCTATCATTACTGCTAGCACTATCGTTATTGGCGGAGATTCCTCTGGCTTGGTGCATCATCGTCGTCATCATCGTTCTGTTCTTTTGTTCTTGCACCAATGTCTCACGAGTACCTGTAGTTGTTGTTCTTCGAAAAAAAAAGTCTCTCAACATCAAAGGAGAAGAAGAAGAAGAGGAAGAAGACCATTCGGTAATACTATTGGTATCGTGCGTATTGCTGCTGCATCTGTTACTGCTGCTGCATCTGTTGTACGAGCTCGATCGACGCGTCGCGGCTCGAAGCATGTTTATGAAAAGAACACGACGGAAAATCGGCTCAAATCCGCTGCCGCCGTCTTATTTGTGGTGAAAAGATATTTGAGCTGTGAAACGCCACTTTTTTCGAGTGTCATGAGTTAACGGTACAAAGTCGTGTGCGTATTTCTAGAATGATGGTATCAATATTGATTTAATACGCATTAGGTATGTATCGGAAACGACGAAATCATACCACCAATAAGGAGAAGAACGCCGAAGAAGAAGAAGCAATGGACGCACTCGTCGCGTACAATAGATATCGCAACAGCGAGAATATCGTATTGATTGCGTTTTTATCTAGAGTTATGTTCATAGCTTTGATGTTTATCTGCGACGCGTTCGTATCCGATTACGATACTTCTTCTTCTCATTCTTCCAACAAAATGAGTGGTTCAACACTAACACGTGACGGGTTTTGTTCTCGCATGGAATCCATTGCGGTGTGGGATGGAGTTCACGTTTTGCGAATCGCAGAAGTGGGTGGTTATGAATACGAACATTCTCATGCTTTCTACCCGGCGTTGCCGTTTCTACTACGGTTCATTATTCGCGACAGCGAGATGACTACGTGCGTTTTAGCACGAACCGCGTTGGTTTTGAATGCCATGGTTTCTATCGCAACAGTAGTAATCATGGAGAAGCTCGCGTTCATCCTCTTGGCGAATCCGCAGAAAGGAAAAACTCTAGATGTTCATTTCGCTGGAAAGTGTGCGTCTTTCTCGAGATCTGCAGCGTTACTGTATTGCTTTACTCCGGCTTTCATATTTCATCTCGCTCCGGGATATACGGAAGCGATATTTACTTTTTGCGCAACTTATGGCGCTCTCTTATTTGCAAGAGGTTCGATGTATGAATTCGATGGAGCACGTGCGACGACTGATTGGCGATTCGTTTTGAATAAAGTGACGAGCTATGTGTTCTTTGCTCTCGCGGCGAGTTTTCGTTCAAATGGTATTTTATTGGGTATCTATCCAGCCTGCGAAATTATATCGTTGTTGTTAGCAGTTAAACGTGAAAGAAAGTATTGGTTTAAGAGGCTGGTTTCGTTGCCTATACACGTCATCGGTGGTTTGTGTATCGCACTTCCAACCGTTTTGGTACAATATAACGCCTACTTGAGCTTTTGCGGGATCGATTCGGGATACGAGATTGGAGGAGGAGGAGGAAGTGCCGTTGAAGCAGCGAAATCACGGCCGTGGTGCTCAAAATTTCCCCCGAACGTGTACGCGTTCATCCAGTCGGAGTACTGGGACGTTGGTTTCCTCCAATCCTGGCGCGTTTCCCAAATGGGAAATATTCTGATTGCTTCTCCAGCATTGCTCGCTTCGATGTATTGTTTGAAAATGTATTCATTTATACGAAGAGATAGAGTATTGGTATCGCCTGTTGGAGCTTTAGCGGGAGATATTCTGTGGTTGATTAGTTGTGTATTGTGTGCAACCGTGACGCATATACAAATCGCGATGCGGTTTATGAGTGTGTTAGCCGCGCCATACGTGGCAATCGCTAGATTTGGCGGCGAAGAGAGCGAGAGAGGCAAATACTTACTCGCCTCATTCGTCGCCGGGTACGCACTCGTCGGAATGGTTTTGTTTAGCAACTTCTATCCGTGGACATAATTTGCGCGAATGAGTGCGGAAACAATGTAACAATATGTTAATTACCTAGTAGTATACGTAGAGAATGTGTTTTGGCTAACGGCTATGTGCTTGTTTTATTCATCTACTTTCAAACTCTCTTGCAGTTCCTTCAACGCCTGTTTTTTCTCTTCGATTTGTTGCTTCAGTATAAAGGCGATGGTTTCCCGCGCTTGCAGCGGCCGTATCGTGTTGAGCAAATGATGCAAGTTATTATACAGCAATGCAATTTCCTCTATGCGCTCGTTCGCTCGACTCGGAGCGTTTTGCAAATCGTTCGCGAGTGCCGCAAATCGTTCTAGAATCTCCCTATTAAGTTTTTGTATTTCTCCCTTAGCGTTTATGATTTTCTTCTTGTTGTTGTCGGTGTTTTGAGGGACAATCGTGTATAACTTTTGAAACGGGAAATCCGGATCGTCTATCAACAGTTCAGGCGCGAGCAACTTGGATGGATCCGCGTGCGTCGCGCCGAACGTTTCGTACGTTTCGCCTCGCTCTGGAAGTAATGGAGGTAACGGAGGAGTCTTTGTTTCTGTCTCATCTTTCTTGCCTCCCGATTGCCGGTAGAGTTTGTAAAATTCTGGCGGAGGCGGAAACGGAGATTTGGAAGAGACAGACGGCATTGCTATTATGGTATTGGCAGTATCTTCTTCCTTCTTCTTCTTCTTCTTCTTCTTCTTCTTCTTCTTCTTCTTCTTCTTTCTAAAAAAGAAAGACTGCAAGTGTAGATTTTCCCGCGCAATTAGGGAGGTCGAAATGACGAATTTTTTGTCACTTTACGAAATATTGTTGTTTTAACAAACTTTCTGAAAGACATGAGTCGAAAGCTGAGTGGATGGGTAGACGAGGATGATTATTACGACGATTACGATGAAGATTACGACGATGATGAGTACTGCGACGATGATGAATATTACGAGAAAGGAGGCAAAGTTGGTAAAAGTGAGAAGGAGCAAGAACGAGTAACTGTATCCAAGCATCAAAGTGAAAAGGAGCAAGAACGAGTAACTGTTTTAAAATCGAAAGCACCGAAGCATCATCAGCATGCAGAAAAGAATGTATCGGCATCCTCGCTGGAGAAATTAGTAGCCTCAACTCTCGCGCTTACACCAGATATTAAAGATGGAGTTGAAATTTCTCTCAAATCATACACTCCAACTCTAGAGGAAAGAGAAGCATACGAGAATACGAGCAAACTTGATTTGTCTGTGGTTATTTTAGGACACGTAGACGCTGGGAAAAGCACTTTATGTGGTCGATTATTAGAAGCTTTGCACTCCCTAGACGCACGCACGCATCATAAGAACGCGAGGGAATCGAAAGCGGCTGGCAAAGCTTCGTTCGCGTACGCTTGGGCGTTGGACTCGCTACCCGAGGAACGCGCGAGAGGAGTGACCATAGACGTCGCGCGAACGCGCGTTAGGCTAGATGAAAGCGAAGATAGGTGGATTCAAATCAGCGATGCGCCTGGACATCGCGATTTCGTTCCGTCTGCGATCGCCGGCGCGTCGAGTGCGGATGTTGCACTCCTAGTAATAGATGGAGCCATCGGCGCCTTCGAGAAAGGCTTTAGCGAGAATGGGCAAACGAAAGAACACGCAATGATGGCGAAAGCTTTAGGAATTTCCAAAATGATAGTGGTCGTAAATAAACTCGATTCGTGCGCGTACGACAAGAGTCGATATGAGGAAGTGAAGAGTCGTGTTTTTGATTTCTTAACGAACGGAAATATCGGGTACGACGAGAAAGATGTTGCCGTCGTACCTGTGTCTGCGCTAGAAGGTTCGAACATAGTCTCGTCTAATCAGTTTGTTCAAGAATGCGCGCCTTGGTATGCAGGCAACGAATCTTTACTGGATATTCTTAAGAGTTCGAAGGCGTCTTCAAAAGGACAACCTGCACCTCTGCGTATGCCTGTTTTAGAAATCTTGACTGCTAGTGGGAACGCATCCTCGCACGCTTTAGGAAGTTGCGCGTTTACTGGAAAAATAGAATCTGGGAGTATCAGCGTTAGAGATAAAGTGTTTATATCGCCCGCGAATGTAGTGGCGACGGTCAAAAGGATAGAAAAAGGTTTGAATCAGCCGGTGCAGTTCGCCTCGGTCGGCGCAGTTGTAGATGTTGGGTTGACTGGAGTCGAGTCTTCGAGTTTGCAAAGCGGTTCGGTGATTTGCCATCACTCATATCCGTTACGTGCCGCAAAGGTGATAGAAGTTGATATCAAAACAAGTGACTCGCTGAAACGACCCATACTTCCTGGTGCGAAAGTCGTCGTACACGCGCATTCGGCGGAGACCGAAGCGACGGTTCTAGAACTTTTAAGTATTTTAGATGAAACAACCGGCGAAGAGGTGAAGAGAAAACCTCTCTTTCTCCCGAAAGGCAAGTATGGGAAAATTGTTCTGTCGTTTCAACAAAGTTTGTGTGTAGAGGCATACGCGTTGAGTAAAACGCTCGGTGGCGTGTTGCTCAGAAGCGAAGGCGAAGCAATCGCTCAAGGGACAATAGCAAAGATAAAAAGGTAGAAAAATTGCCGGCTGTCATCGCGTATTTCTTATATACTAGGTAGATGTGTTTCGAAATATGTCTCTTATTTGCGTGTTGTGAATTAAAAAACAGTTTAATCTCGTGTGTTTATTCTCCAGTATGTCTCTCTTTCTCTCTTTTCCTTCTCTTTTTCTTGCTCGAGCGCGTTGCTTAGATGCTCGCTCGTTATTATTTTTACTCTTTTCCGCTTTCTCGTAAATAATGCATATCAAATTATCTTCACAATATATCATACACAGAAGTACTTTATACTTGAGTAGCTTCCCTTGTACGCTCCTCGTAAATTTCGGAGTCTATTGAATCTTTTACAATAAATCTCCAGGTGTTCACCTCGCGCGACTGACCATAACGTCTAATGCGTCCAATCGCTTGCGTCTCACTGGCGACGTATTCGTAATTCGTCGCAGTCAGGAGCGGATGCACAAAGATTGCGTGATTCGCTGTGGTCAAGTTCGCACCCGATGCAGATTCATCGCGTCCCAACAGAAGAAGAACGCGCGCACTTCCTTTCTTCATGTCTTCCTGTTGAAATTCATCGAGCGCGCCAGTTTGTTGGTGCACCGAGCCTTTCAATTTCAGCGTTTTGATTCCAGCCTCATTTAAAACATTCGCGACTTGCGCCATCAAGTCCGTAAATTGGACGAATACCAATATGCGCTCTTCTTTTGGAATGTTGTTGATGTGATTGACAAGATCGATGAGTTTGGAGCCGTGCTTACCAATCACAGATACGCTGCCCTTCCCTTTCTTTCCTTGCATGGAAAGTTCAGTACCGAGAGAATCTGCCGAAACGACCGATGAATCACGCTGCGCGCAATTGCAACCAGCAACACCGCACGCTTGCTTGGAAGCATTCTCTCTGAGACACACGAGGCATCCGAAGTGACCGCACGTCGATAAGACGCTGGTGTTGGATTTCTTAACTTCCTTCAAGCAGACTTGGCATTTGACGGTGGCTGTTGCAACCTTCGCCTGTAAGTCGCGCACTGATTGAAAGAAGCGCAAAGATCGGACACGACCGACGAGTTCCTTCTGTAAAGCAATCAACTGATGCGTGTGCTCGCGCAGTTCCCAGGCTTTGTCGTTCTTGGATTCTTTCTTGACCTTCTTCGGTGTGTTCACTTTCGAAGCGTTGTCGCTCGAGTCAGACTTGGACTTTTCAGGTGCCAACTTGATAACTTTGTAATCAACTCTTTTCAAGTTCTTTTCTGTGCTCTGCATCTTACCTGAAGACGCGCTCTTATACTCCAGTTTAGCGTTTTGTCTGTGCTGACCCTGGTATGCCAAAATCGTTGCAGTAGTGAGCTTGCCTTCGATGACGAGTTCAATCTTACTGTACTGCGGAGGGTTCGTCTTCGTCTCCACTTTTTTCGCCGCCTTGAGATCGTTATCTCTCAACACCTTCGACAAGATGTTGTGCGCCTCGGGATCACCAACGTAATCTACTCCACCAGTCTTATCAAAGACGTTTTGCTCCCACGCGTGGAACTCGTCTTCACCTTCTTCGTAAGCCTGCTCCATCTTTTTACTCAAAGTTTTACATTCGTCTTGTAGAATACGCCCGGTGCAAATCTCCTTGCCAATCTCCTCCAAACACGCATCTCGCTGTTTTATGCGCAAGTTCACAATATCTTGGCATGTTCGAACGGCAGTTCCATCCGCTTCATCGAGTTCGTAATACGCGACGCGCTTTAATAAGGCTTCTTCGGCCGTTGCGGAGGAGCCTAGCACAGTAGCCAGTCGCGAGTCGCGATCAGCTCCAGCGCCTCGCTTTTTCTTCTTTGCTTTCATATCCATGGACTGCAAATAGTGATCGAGCTCGAGCGCAATCGCCCGTTCCGCTGGGCGTAACTGTACGTCGAGTCTCGTGTCTTTGTACTTGATCTCGTCAATCTCTGCGATATTTTGACGCATGAAACGATCCATGAAGGTTTGAGCCACCGACCAGCGTCTGCGATGCCATTGCTGCGAAGGCTTTTCCTTGAAGAACTGAAATGATTCCGCTTTGGTAATTTCGGACTTTGTGTACCTTGGTACTTCATCGCTTCCGAGATTAACGCCAAGTAAAGCCGCCGTACTTTTCACGTCTGCGAAATCGCCAACGGGAGGAGTACCAGACAAACACCAGCGCGACTGCGTCTTGAGACCAAGTACGACTGCTCTGTCCGAATTCTTCAAGTATGTGAACTCATCGATGATTGCCCGTCTCCAGTGAAACATTTCAAATGGGACAGATGTCATTCGACGCCAATTTTCTTGAACAGCTTCGGTTTCGAGTCCCCAGTGATCCTTTTCTTCCCCGGGAGCCAGTTTACGCTTCGCCGCACCACTCTTTTTCTTCTTCTTAGGCTTCGGTCTCTCGTCATCGAAGTCGTCATCGTCGTCGTCAACGTCAAAGGCATCCTCATCTTCGTCATCACTGATGTCCTCGGACGCAAAATCGTCGTCAGAATCACGCAACATGTCTTCTGATAAATCGTCCTCTTCGTAATAATTTTTGCGAGGCGTGTTGCGCGCAGAAGTTCGTTTCGAAGGAGTAGCAGCCACCACTTTACGTGGAGTTCCAGCTCGAGAACTCGGCAACGATCGAATCGCACTCGAGGCTTTCTTCGGAGTTGTTTGCTTTTTCAAGGGCGTGGATCTCGCTGAAACGGCACTTTTCTTGGACGGCGTAGCAACTTTGCTCTTCTTGATCGGCGTCTTCCTCGAAGGACTCATCGGCTTCTCCACCACAGGCTTCTGCACCGGATTTGAAGATACGTTTTCTTTTGCGGCAAACATCTCCTCGATGTGCGTGAACCCCTCGCCACCGGCAGCAACCGTGGCAGCAACCAACTTGGCGCCTTTCAAGCGCTTCGGTTGCAAAGTGAGTTCACCGAGAACGTTCACATTCTTCTTCGTGTGCTCGGCAACGTACTTCGCACCGCGCTTTGGATCAGTAAGTGCCTCGACTTGATCGCCCAAACCTTTCAAAGCAAGGTTATAGTCAGAAGTGAAGTGACGACCTTGAGCGCCGCTCTTCGGATCCGGCATCGTCTTAGTCCCCGCAAGTTTTGCGAGACGATCAAAGTAAAGCTTCGATCGGAACACAGAGGTGGCAACGATAACCACGTCCGCGTTCATGACGCATTTCGCCGTCAACGCAGTCATATCCGCAACAGTTTTTACGACGACAGTCTTCAAGGCACCCTTTTCCGAAAATTTTTCAACTTCTCGCGGCCACTGCCGCATGAGCTGTGAGGGCACAACAACGAGCGTTGCACGAGTTGGAATCGCTCGTACGGGTTTCAAAACTGCACTTTCCTTCTCGGAGGGAAACGGTATTTGATTTGCGAGTATAGCACCGATGGAAATCGCGGTTTTCCCGTAACCGACTTGATCGGCGACGATACCGCCTCGAACTGTTTTCTTCACCTCAACCTTACCGTCCATGCGCAACCCAAGTCTTGGAATCAAGCTCTCGGCGACTTCGGATTCAATGAATGGTTCCTTTGTGGTCTCTTGCTCAATCATCCAGCCGAGAGAGCGCAGTTGTTCGGGACGGAGTGGATATTTTTTACTCCACTTCGGAGGTTGCGATGCGGGAGCGTTGAATCTGTTCGATTTCAATTCAAAAGACTTTGGCAACTGCTCGACAGATTTTTCGTCGTGAGAAACAATCTTCCACGACGTATTAAGCAGCTCGCCGGTCGCACCTGCGGTGTGCATTGTTGGCGACAAGTGAGCCAAAGCACGATGCACTAACGTGGACGGATTGATCGCAATGAGAAACTTACCCATATTGGCTTCGCGTTTCCAACGTACAATGAACGGCGCCGGTCGACACTTGAGCGCTTGCTCGTACTCCGCCGCTTGTTGCGGATCCTCTCGAGCTTCAATTTTGTTCGAACCATAAAATCTACTCCATCGTAAAGTTGGCGGAACGGGAGCGCACCTCGAACAAATGTACTCATCGCATCTGTCTGACGAGTGCTTGTTTGGTACTTTCAAGTCCAAACCGTTCCATCTCTGCAGCGACTTTGGTATTTCGAGTCGCGACGTAAACCAATGCAATCTCTTGAACGTCTCGGCACTTTTATCTAAGCGGATAGTCTCAAACTCTCCCGTAGGCCAAGCGTCCTTGTCCACTTGAGCGAGCGGCACCGAGCATTTGACGACAGCCAACGCGGCGTTGCACGATTCGTTGCCCTGAGACAACGAAGTCTTCGGCGAAGGAACGCTCAGGCACGATTTCGAAGTATCAATTGCAACCATTTTCACAGATTTGTCCAGAGATTCCCATTTCCCACGGATTTTGATGACAATAGTGCCCATTTTTTCTTCGCTCGGACGCCACCCCTTGGCCAAGCCATCCTGGGTGTCAATGTGGCATGTCTCTACGCGGAACTCATCGAACATTAAACGACGATGGTTATCTGCGAAGACAAACGTATCGTGAGCCGCACCTTTATTACGAGTTTGATCGAGAAAGAAATAGAGAGAGCGCTTTCCTTTTTCCTCTCCATTTACCTTTCGATGTAACGAAGCTTGCGCTGCGTCGCAAGTATCGTACAAGGCGTAATCGCCACTGATGTCCCGGTCGAGCTGTTTCTTGTCCTCATCCTTGACGATAACCTGGTACCTGCTGAATCGCTTGAGCGGCCAATCGTTTTCGGTGTTGAGAACTGTTTTTCCATGCTCCATTCCGAGCGTAACTTGCCAGGAATCGACCAAAGCGCCTTTTCCGATAATCTGGGCTGTAAACGCGTCCGGCGCTGGAGTGAATAACTCCCAATTCCCGTCCAAAAGATTCTTCGCTTTTTCTTTGCTCAAAATCATTCTCGCGAGCGGTCGAGAAAATATCTCATCCGGCTTTTGCTCGGACTTTGGCGACGGTTCAAAAATGATGAACCATTCGCACACCTTCCCGTCGATTCGACCTTCGAGTTTAATCAAATCCTCCCCCGGACAAGCGTAGTGGATTCGCCACACGTTTCCGCGCTGCAAACCGCGGAAAAGAAACTCGGCATTCTCAACCGCTTTCAAAGCATCCATCCAAACCTTCCATTTAGGAGCAGATGGAGAGGTGAGGGAAAGATTTGACTTGTACCTATCGAGATTGAATTTTTGTGAAAACTTCACCGTCATCGGCAACGCCTGCTTCAACTCTGCACTAAACACATCCGGTGCGACGCGCGTCGGCTTGTACGCTCCGTACGTGTGCGTGGGTCGTCCCTTACACTTTACGCAGCACGTGTGATCACAGTTTGCGCATCGTTCGATTTCACTCGCCAGTCCGCTTTGCGCTTCGCACACGCACAATCGAGAAGATCGATGCGCTGACTCCATCAACGCCAACACACTCTTTTCAGATTTGACATCAAGGTTCAACAGTTCTTCTTTCAACGCATCTTCTCCAATAACCTTGGTGTTTTTGCTGATTTGTTCAGCCTTACTGATGACGTTTGTAATCTTCAACTTTTCTTCCTTTGACGAAGCGGACAACTTCTTCGCAAACTCATTGTTCTCCTTGTGATTGGCGAGCTTATCCACCATGAGCGTGAGTGCGGAAAGCATGCAAACGCCAACGACAGTAGTTGTCATTGCGTTCCCAGCCAAATCCGACATTTGGTTTTCATTTTCGCGCGTTAACAACAAGTCATCTACGGGAATACCTTGTAACGACAACGCCTCGATACCGACCAGAGGCCCACCTCTGTTCGTAACAAAAGGCACCATGGACGGCGTCAAACACGGACAAATACCCGGTGCGACAGAACCAGTTGTTCGATCTACGTTCTGACTCAAGTTCCACACCAGAGTTTTGTGCATGGCGTCAACGCCGTCTCTCGCGAGACGGAGGTAATCGATATCCATCAAATCCAAGACTCGATCCGTTTGCGCCTTACCCCAATCGTTCCACGCATAATCTGGCAGCTGACAACCACCGTCCCAATGAGTAAATGGACGTTGCTGACCAAGTTTTTCTTCCACTCGGGCGCGAATGTGTCGACTTTGGCATCGACCCCAATCAGTCTCGGCGCGCGTGTTCTTTTCACCCGGGAGCGCCAAGTCTTGTCGACCTTTATTCACCCTGGGATCGTCCGTATCAAAGAGGAACGCTTCCAAAGTTGAGCTCGATGGTCGTTCAAGTTGTTTGACGACTTCTTTCCACTGAGCGAGCACGCCTTCATCGTCGTCACCAAGAACAGCGAGCAGATAAACGCGCGTGCGCGTGTGCGGGATGTAATATCGCTTCGTATCGAGGCGAAGGAAATCAGCCGTATAGCCGAACGATGCAAAATCGTCCACGATTTGTTGCCACGGCGCTCCACACACATTCTCGAGAATCACCACAGGTGGCTTACAACGCATGATCCACGCTTTCATTCCACGAAAAGTCTGACCGGATTCACCTTGTTCGTTCAACCGCTTTTGCTCGTTGTTCAAATTCGAGTAATCGACGCATGACGTACCGGCGACAAGAATGTCGACATTGCCAGGAACGTCAACCAAGGCTCCATAAGCAGTGTACGCTTGCTTCTCTTTCAATTCTCGAATATCTCTGAACAGAATCGGTGGCGAAAAATTCCTTTCGATGTATGCCTGCTTGAACGGCTCAATTTCGCACGAGAACACGTGCTCAACGTTCAATCTCGATCCAAAGAGCTTTTCCGTAGCGTCTGCGATTTTATCGAGCGCAAGCAGCGGTGATTCAGTACCTGAACACATTGTCGCGACACGCAACGGTCGATGACTCATCTTCTTTAAAAAATTTTCCAACTTTGGAACTTTGGACGCCAAATCGTGAAACATCGCCGCCGGCTCGGAAATCACCGGTAACTCTTCGCCAGCCGCTACGAGACGTTCCGACGCGCTCATCCCCGAGGATCCTCCCGATTTGGATGGCGAATGGAGAGACCTGTTTATCACGTGATAAGAAAATACACATTTTAAATGCGGTGAGAATCAAGTAACACACCCCGAGAATAAAAGTGAGTAAAATAAACGCGTTGCGAAGAAAAAACAGACAATCCAAAATCCAAAATGTGCGCGCGAAAAAGGCGCAAAAATCTAAACGTACCTGGACTGCGGCGTCGGCGGATCTGACTTCCCTGGGCGCCGTCTCTTCGTTGGCGTAAGATTCTTACTCGGACTCTTCTTCTTCGTGAACAACTCGTCTTCGAAATCTTCCTCGTCGAAGTCATCGTCGGACGAGTCATCGTTCTTCTTTTTCTTCTTCTTCTTCGTCGGCGTCTGCTTTTTGCCCGTCTTCTTGCCACGAGAGATTTTTGTCGAACCGTCGTCCTCCTCATCATCATCATCATCATCTCCAAGAACGACATCGTCGTCGCTTTCGAACCCGCCGTTTCGCTGCTGCTGCTCAAACTTCTTACTCGCATCTGTCGCGGCAGCGCGTTTAGGCGTCGTTCTCGTGCTCCCAGCCTTCTCCACGGGTGAACTCGCCGGCGGGACAATCATTTTCTTCTTTTGCGTTTTTTTTCCTTTTTCCCCTTTCAGCATCGCGACGTCTTCTTCTTCGACGTCGGAAAGTTTAAGATTTCTCCGCGCTTTAGGAGAGGTTTTCACGGGCGTCGACGTCGTAGAAACAGAGACCGACTTAGTCTCCTTTATCGGTGTCTTTCTCTTCTTCGTCGGCGTGCGCATCTCTCCTTCTCTGCGATTGATTTTGTAAAGAAAATATTTGATTAGAAGAACGAAAATAACTTTCTCTTCTGTGTCGTCGTGGCGTGTCGGAATTTGCGAATTTGGGCGATCGATTTTTTTTGCGTTCGTTCTCCCATATAAAGTATGAAAGAGAAGAGAAAGAAGAAGAAGTCAAGAAGAAGAAGAGATGCTCTGTATTACCTGTATTATTATTCTCCGCGATCGTCGTCCGTCTTCTTAAATAGTATCAAGGAGGGATAATAGATATACACAGGTGCGCCGCGCGCACAATAATTTATGATTCAATACGAGTAGACGTTTTAATTTTTCAGGAAAACTTCTTGTTCTTCTCTGCTTTTTGAGGACGAAAACAAATCACAAGCAGAAAGATCTCGGGGCTCCCCTCCCTGCCCCTTTCTCTTAAAATTAGGGGAATTCCAGCCCCCCCTCTTCTTCTTCTTCTTCCTCATTTACGCACAACTCACAAAGGAACCAAATAGAGTAGTTTGTCGAGAGGAGCACTTGAAACAAACACGTATCGATCGCGTCGCACCAAAAGATACGCATAAATAAACGTAATAATGGCCGGTATTCGAGCTTCGATCGCGAAAGTTGTAAACTACGTCTCCACTAACTCCGAAGTCGTTCATTACGCCCTCATTCCTCTCATCATCATCGTCGGCATGCGCACGACGCCGAGACCGGACTTGATCTCTCTCTTGACACCCGTTTAGAAGTGAAAGAATAGAACGCGTTAGTAGATCAACATTACGATGATGATATTTGTTATTCATGTTTGAAGTAGCTTTAAAATATAAACTCCTGCACCACCTAATTGCCCACCATACAAAAAGCAAAGAAGAAGAAGACGAACGAGCGCGGGGTTATTTACTATACGTTTTTTCCTTCACTTCAATTAAAAATACAACCTTTAGATCAATCTACTTCTTCTCATTGTTTAAGCGACGATCGAAATCTTCCAACTCGAATGTCGAGCCGTCTTTTTGGCCTTTCCCCGACGATGAGAATATGGAATCCTTCTCCGACACGAATTTTCTGCCCGCCTTTGATTTCGCTTCCATCAGTTTCCTGCGCAGCTTTTCGTCCGGGCGCTCCAGACGCAACAGGGATTGCAATCGTAAGGTATTTCGTCGATCTATCTGCTTATTCTTCATTCCGATTCTAAAGTTTCGAAAAAATGGAATGGCGAAGAACAGCGCCGCGTACACTTGCAACGCCGGCAGAAAACCACCAACTGATTGGACCAACTCAGCGTTGCGATAGAGGACTTGGGGATCCGTCATCAAACTACTCAACCAGATCACGCCGACGAAGTTAGCGACGCCGAGTGCTGCAGACATGAATTTTTGGCTCGGATCAGCGAGAGAAAACGACCAACGCTCCTCTTTCGCCAATCCATTTGTACTACTAGCGCTATCACGTTTTAATCGATTTTGTTGTTTCTTTTCCAAAGCGGTGACTTGCGCAGCTGGAAATCTGTAGAAAATATTCCCAGAATCGTCCATTTCCGGTGAACCTTCGAAACGAGTTAACACTGGTAATACGAACGATTCATCCGAGAGTTCTGCGGAACCTTCGCGGTCTAAAAACGGTGCCAACTGTTCCCCCGTGACAACCCCTTCATTTTTCGCGATGGTTTGTCCTATGAGCGCCCAGCGTTCGCGTTCAAAGTCGTTGTTCGGGTCACCGTCCCCGAAGACAAAAGAAAACACCGCTTCGAAAAAGTTCATCTCATCTTTCGCGCGTAACCGGTACGGTCGACGGTAATAGTACGGATCGAGGTACCAGAAAATATCCCCCGGGTAAAATCGAGGACCAAAAAACATCATGCCACCACCTCTGCTCGATCTTCGATCATTTCGGTCGTCTCTTTGCGAGGACAACAGCGCGAATATGGTCGTGTACACAATAACAACAGATGCCACGAGCGTTGTTCCGAACGACACGCGCACGAGATAAGAAAGAAATTCTTTCACCTTATCCACCGTCGGTTCCGTTTTCAACTTGAACGACTTCGCTTGCAACAGTTGTTTATATCCGCTCGGAAAAGCGTACACTAAGTCGCCATCGTTTGTAACCTCTAAAGATGCGTTTGTATCTGCAGCTAAAGCAGTTAACGCTTGCGTGGCATCGAAGAGTTGAATGCCTGAGGAAGACGCGACGTCTCCGGCCGTAACTCTCCGGTTTTGACTTTGGTCTATGGCGTTAATCACCGAATCTCTGACGTTTCTTTGGATGGCATCTGACTCGATACGGCCTCCTGGTCCAGGCACTGGTTCATCAAAATCGTCATCTTCTTCTCCGTAGTTACTGAAATCGCTACTCTTCTTTTTGTTGTTATCATTATTATTATATGCGGCACAGATTGAAAATCTCCGCCTCGCGGTGTGGATATTTGATGACGACGACGACGATGATGATGAGGTCCAAGGCTTAAGTAAGTGCCGACGCGAAGAAGAAGAAAGAGAGACCTTCGCCGTCGGTCTTCTCAGCCGTTTCCCCGTGGAAGGTTGAGAAGAAGAAGAGGAGAAAGCGCCCGTGGCTGAGCGCGAGGATGTTAAGTTTGGGCGTATCGATAACTTCATCTTTCTCAGAGTGGAAATGTTAAATGAGGTGTCGCGAAACTCGAGAAAAGAAATCACTCCTATCACAGCTTTCATAAGTTTGTCAGGACCCTGATGAGAAGATGAAAGAGGAGAGATGAACGCGATTATGTTACTCTTAAAATTTCAAAATTGTATTCATACACAAACCACTGCATAACCCATACGTACCTGGGCACATATCCATATACTTCTGCTACAGTTCTTCCGAAGTTTCGTACGCTTTGAGCACAAGAGGGTCGTACACGGCGCTTTTGTGTATGACGAAAGACGTCTGGGCGAGCGCGTGGATACGAACAGCCAAAGCGTCGAATTCTTCCGCAACGATCCCCGATCGACAGTTGTTCAAACGAGAAATCATAGGTTCACGTGCATTCTTACCGCCGAGAACTCTCGCAACGAGCGCTTCCCGCACGTTTTTTAGCAAAGCCTTCGAAATATCATCAGATGATTTTACCGGGGCGTTCTTTTCTTCCCGGGTGCCTTCGCCAATCAGTTTCAGCAGCATACGCTCGACGAGTGATATTGTGGATGTACTTTGCGAAGAACCAACTGTTCGAGCAACTTCTGTGGCGACGTCCTTGAGTTTGCTCGCGTCATCGCGCAGAATTGCGGAGACGCGTTTGTTTAAATCACGCTTCATCTCTGGCGTGACAGAGACGCCCGCCGGGAGCACCTGTTCGACCAAAGCGAGGCAAGCGCACGACAACAGGAGGCGCTGGAATGAATCCTGCGCTCGATGGATTCGCGCCGCATCAAAGCGCAACGTTTCTGGTAACTCAGAGTGTTCATCTCGGTGACAAATTAGATCGACAAACATCAATCGAACCACACCTTCGCACGAACTGGCTCGAACGCCAGTCCAGTTTACGGGAACGCTTTCATCCTCTCCAGGGCGACTTCCTCTCGGGTCCTTCTTGGAATAGACGGATGTGTCTTTCAATCCCGCGCAAATCCTCTCTGGAATGTTATGAGTGTTCTTTGCGCTCGGCGCGGACGGTTGATTCTTCAAAACTTCTCGACCAAGACCGCTGGATTCGACCAACGGCGCCAGTTCGCAAGCACTCTTGAAAAGCCACTTCCTGGTATTAGGTAAGGCTTCATCACACGGAGTCGCGTCGAGGTTGTATAGTTGACTAAACGTATCTTGAATCCAAGATATGGCAGCATTGCTATCGGGCCCGCGCAAGAGACGACGCAGTTTCTCAACGGCGACGATGGTTTTCCCTCTGGAGATGTCCTCTTTGAGTTCGTTGGCCATATCCCATAAAAATTGGAGCGTAAGAACTATCGTCCCGGAATACGACGCGTTTTCTAACGCGCTCAACAAAGATTCGCGTTTTGTTTTCGAATGCGGTTCGCGTGCATCGCTACCGAGAGCGACTAGTAACGCGAACGAAGCGTCCAGAGTACTCTTTAAAAGTGATTTTAAGAGCGCTGTATCCTTTTGCGCAAAAATTATTCGCGAAAGCTCTCGTTCGTTCAACAATTCGAACGCGCGTTGTGTAGTCACATCGCTGCGCTTCCAGGACTCCGGCACGAGGGAGTGAATGAGAGCGACTAACTCGCGAATGTTCACCGACACGATGTTGTCTCCGCTGGACGCATCGAGCGCCGGAGAATCTAATGTTTCTCGAATCAAGTCCCAGAACGCGTTTTTCGCGTGGATGTGTACCCGATGCTCGAGTCCAGCAACTGATGACACGGTTGTTGTGGTTGTATCCTTCGCGCTGTGGTCCAATACGGTGTCTTCTAACTGAAATGGTAGCCACGTGATGTCTGCGAGTAATTCTGCCATTATTGACATGCGCTGTAAGCGCTCGTTTTTTCCTTGCGCTAGATTTTTCTTCGCCTCTTCTTTCTCTCGCAATAATTGTTGCGAATGCTGAAAGCGCTGTTTGCGCCGTTCTTCAAACTTCTTTTCGGAGGCGTGTCCTTCGGATTCATGGAGCGAAGAATCTTTGGTTTCCTCCAGCGAGTCCAACGCAGCCAGTCTTTCAGCTCTTACGCTCTCACGAGTCGCGCGTATGGCATCGTCAAATCTTAAAACTCCAACGTCACCGCTAAGTTCTCTCACTTTCGTTCTCAAAAGCTCTCTATCAGAGCACGTTTGCTCGCGGATGGCGCGAATATCATCGATTGGCTCTTCTGCATTTGCTTGTGACGAAACTTCTCCGCATTTTCTCAGCATGGATGCCTCCATAGCTACGGCGATGCGGACTAACTCTGCTTCTAACGCAGTCGCGTCGTTCGTTTTCCAGATGCTGAAGGCCCGAACGTATTCGTCCCAGATTTGCGCAAACTGCACAACTAGTTCGTTAAACATGAGCGCGTTTTTCGAGCCATTTTTGATCTGCTCAGAGGAAAATTCAATAGTTGCATCGATGGCTTTCACCAAACGCGCGGACGCGCTTCGAAGCTCCCGTACTTCGTACGGTTCATCATCCTCCGTGGCGTATTCTCCCGTTACCATTTCTGGGTGAGCGCACACCATATAAGCGCACATGAGGATACGAGTTGGAAATCTTGGGATAACAAAATCGCCACAAGAATCGATACGAGGATTGCGGCATTGATGATGACACGCGATCTTCTTGGTCGCAGGAAACAGGAGTCGAAGATGTGATCGCGTCGCAATGCTCTGTTCCGCGCCGAGCGCGTCTAATCGAGAATCTAAGCGTTTCAACCAGAGCCGCATTCCGTCCAACACGTTCGCATCTTGCAGCAACGATACGAACTCGTCGTAGTTCGAACTTTTCTGCGCGATATCAAACGATAACTTCTCGGATATGCTTTTACCCAAAGCTTCTGTAGACGATCGACTCTCTGTATAAACTCTCCAGAGTCTCTGAACGCGTTCGACTCGGTGGAGGTGTTGTAAGCGCTCTAAAGCTTTTTCTGGAGATTGTTGCACTCCGCACTTGGCGCGAATTCCTTTGCGAAAGAGCACGTAGGATCGTTTCATAGCCGCGCTGCGTAGCTTCTCTTCTAACATTTGAGACTTCTGCAATATTTTCTCCTTGTTGAAGTTCTTTTGCGCTTTTACTACGTCTTCGTGACGGCAATTGAACGCGTTTGCTTTTTCGCGCTTACTTTGAACGCTGAGCGAATGTAACGCCTCGGCGCGGGCGAGTTTTTGCTCCAAACACCTATTTCTGTGCGCAGCACTCTCCTCGCTGTCGATGTTAGCGTTTTCTTCTTCTTTCTCGACGTTGGTACGTGCATCCTCCCATTCGTTAGAGTCAAAAAATAGACGTCTTTTCGGTTTTTGCGAATAACGCGAGGACGAAAAATTTTCATCGTTCTCATCCACGAGTTGTCTTGTCATCGATGTTGGACGTCCTCCATCCATTGGAGGCGAAGGAAAATTCTTCGAATTGGAATTCTTCTTCCTTCGCCGAGGAGGCGAGGACATGCTCGACGCTTTTTGCACCGTCCATTCAAGAAAAGCCTGGACGAATGAGAGAGATGAATGCACATCGTTAGTGTTTTATCCAAGAAGAAGAAGAAGAAGAAGAAGAAGAAGAAGAAGAATGAATTCAAGAACTCTTTACCTGTCGCTTCAATTGAGCTTTTGCTAACCGGTGCTCGAACGACTCTGACTTTCTCTGATGCTGCTGATTATGGTCTAATCGAGACTTCAGGCGATCTGGGAGTAGGAATTGAAAATCAGCCATCTTTCTCTTCCTCTTCGTTCTTTTTTAAAGGACTGACAAGACTTCGCGCGCGCGCGACCGAGAGAGAGAGAGAGAGAGAAGCAAAAGTGAGGAATTGAGAGGGAAGTAATGGATTTTTGCATTTTTCGATTTTCGCGGCAAATTCTCTTCTTATTTCTCAACCACCACACCCAATGTATTAACAGAGATGTCGTCCATACCCTCGCTCGCGTCCTTCTCCTCCCTGAACACAGGGAGCGACCGCTCCCGGACTGCGCGTGATTTCGTATCATCTTTTTCTCCTTCTTTAAAATCACAGAACAAAAAGACGACGACGACGACGATGCTGTTGAAGACGATGAAGAAGAAGAAGAAAACAGACGAGGACAAAGTTGAAAACAACAACAGAAGAGGGCAAAGAGAGCGAAGGAAGGTGCTCAAAGCCGAAAATTCGTCGCGAAGAGACTTCGTGTCGTGGATGACGCTGCTATTGGCTCACAGCAACGCCATGTTTCTTCAAACAGGACATAAAATATCAGCTTTTGCAGAGCAACAACAACAACAACAACAACAACAAACTTTCACGCAAAGGTTTCCGACGCTTTTCAAGCCTTTTCTCGGTGAAGGAACGAAGAAAACGATAAAGACGACGTTGGTAGAAGACAGATGCTGGGCCTTGGAACAGACAATTGAGTTAGGACCTCTAGAAACGCCTTTGCGGTGCGTTGTCGTTCGCTTATCTTCCGGCGACTTGTGGGTGCACAATCCGCTCGCGCCGACTGAGGAATTTTTCCAACTCGTCGAATCTTGCGCCGCGGATGGAGGTGAACATGCACCATCGTCATCGTCCGCTTCTTCATCTTCTTCAGCTCGCGTAGCTTCGATAGTGGTACCGACATATGCTTTAGAACACAAAATATTTGCCCGAGATGCTCACGAAAGGTGGCCCGAGGCTGAAATATGGGTCGCTCCTGGCCAGTTTTCGTTCCCAGTCGAGAACATCCCCAACGCGTACGTCTACGGCACAGAATCAAACGTGTTTGTTCTCTCGGAATCCAACGATGAAGCGGGAATGGCAACGAAACAGCCAGCGTGGAAAGACGAAATCAACTACGAGACTCTCGATGTTGGTGCGTTTAACATCGCGAATAAAAATATTCAAATAAAGGAGTGCGCATTTTTTGATGTCAAAACTGGCATGTTGATTGTCACCGACGCGCTCGCGAAGATTCCCTTGACGCCACCGGTCTTATCTTCGAAAGAAAAACTTCTCCTCGTCTCGAAACGATCGACGAAAGATCTTCAACCGGATGATACGCCGGAAAACGTTCTCGCGGGTTGGAAGAAAACAGCGCTGCTCGTATCTTTCTTCTTTCCAGAACACGAAGAATTGGTGTCGCCGAGTGAAGTCGTTTGGACCGACGGATGGGAAACGAATTTTGAGTCCATATCGAATCGTTTACTCGTACCTCCGGTCGTTCGGACGCTTCTGTATGCGCAAAACCCAAGAGCAGTTCGTAATTGGGTCGATCGCGTGAGCGAACGTTGGGGAGAATCTATAAAGAGCATCGTTCCGGCGCATTGGGATGCTCCCATCGATGCAAACGTGGATGAATTTAGAAACGCGTTTCGATTCCTCGAGGATGATCGCACAGATCCGTTTCTCGATGGAGATCTGAAGCGCGGATTAGCACCGATAGCAAAAGCAATTTTGAAATAGTCCAATAGTGATCGTTGTAGTAAATTCCAGGCGTGCCGGCCAGCGCGTGTAATAATTATATTCAGATGTTTTTTTTTTTAAATTGCTGTACGTTTTTATTCCTCTGCTTCTCTTACTCACTCTCCTCGTTCCGCGTTGCCTAAATATGCCGGTTCACTAGGCGCATACTTCACCGTCTCTAAACCACCACTAGAATACTTTGTACTTAAGTCTGCCGTAGAAACCTTCTGGTCGGAGGCAAGTATTTCGTACGCGTCGATATATTTCCCAAACGGTTCCACGAACGTCTTCTTCGTGTGCTCTATTAAGCCATCCGTGCTCATCATTTTCTTCGCAAACTGCGTCGCGCGTTTGGAAATAGACGCGCATTCGTCCGGATTTTCCTTGGCCCAGTTCACCCGTTCTTCTAAGTTTGAAAGATCCTCGTCGAGAGGAATATAATGCACCCACGGCTGAATGTCGTCGTAGAACGAATCTCGCATCGGCGTTTCGTGATGAAACAGAACGCCAGGCATGCCAAGAAACCAAAGGGTAGATTTCCACGAAGTACCGCCTCCACCTCCAAAGTCCGCGAGATACTTGTAATTTGAGTAATCGCAAGCGTCCATCTCGTCAGAGGTGAAAAGATTGAATTTATCGTCGATGCAGGAAGATTGCGGCGCGTGTTCGTTTCTGTCCGTAAACTTTATGTCGAAACTCTCCGGATTCAACGACCCGAGTACGGCGGCGTACAATCGCGGTGGAACTCGCTTTTCCACCGTGCTCGCCGGCGACGAGTGCAACACGGCATCTATGATTGTAGACCGACTCGCGTGGCACAGCCCAAGTTGGTGCAAAAACTCAAATCCACTCCCAGTTCCGACACTTTCGTACTCTGAAAGATATCGCCAATCTGATCCTCTCCAAACCAATTTTGGAATGAGCGAGTTGTACTTATCTATTCTTGCCGCGTTGCTATCGTACGTTTCGATGTACATTTTATCTTCCGAGCATTGCGATGGTGACGAAAACCAGTCGCACTGAGCGTATTTATCTGGGTTATATGCGTGCGCGATGCACGGGGCGAGCGGCAACGTCGGCGCTTGTAATAATCCAGCTATCTTTGTTGGGTCCTTCGGTATCGTTCCAAAGGTGAATATTGGCGCCGGCATAGAGCCACATCCGCTACTCGACCCAGCGCACGGGTTCTGTGGGTAGTCTTGCGTCGCCCAACCCATATGGAACGGTTGGTTCTCAGCATTCGACGCGTCGAATCTATCGGCAAACTCAGTCGAAGCGACGGCGTATAAAAAGTCAACCGCGCCCGATGATCTGTCGTCCACATTCAACTCCTCGTCGACTTGTTTGAGAGTCCACATGGTGAACTCGTAATGCGGCGTCCAGCTTAGTATGTGCATTGGCATTCGCGGTTGTTCTGGAAGAAGCATCGTTCGCGAATCCAAAATATCTTTATACGATAAGGAACTCGGTATGTGATAACTGTTCCCACCAAGTTTTCCTTCTGCCTGTTTGTTTTTGTTTTTGTTATCATCCTTGTTGTTCACGACGTAATTCTTAATCTTATTGCCTTTCTTGTTACCGCCAACATTGGTTCGTCTCAGAGAGAAGAACGTCGTGAGAAGTTTGTTCGTCGTCGACGTCGACGACGATGAAGACGAGTTTTCAGCTGCCCCGGTGTGTTTCGTGTAGAAATGTGTTGGTGGAGGTAAAGACATCGCTCCGATCGTCACGGAAAGGAAAAGCAACGAAGCTAAAACGCTCATGCTAAAAACATTGTGCCACACCGCGTTTAAAAACGCATCCACGCCGAAGTAAGCGCTCCAGCTCGTGTACTTGTTGTTGAGTATCAAAGATTGCGATTCCGGCGAGTGCGTTTGGCTGTACCTCATTTTACTCTCTCTTTTGCCTCCGTCCTCTCTTCTGATTTCAATTTGTCTTCTTTTACTGTGATGATAAAATAATAGACGCGACTCTTTCACTTGGCGATCAGTGCGACGTTCTTCGTCTGTTCTTTCTCGGAAAGTTCTATCAAACGCAAAAGCGTGGCGTCCTGATTTAAAAGTAAAGAAAGAAGATTGCGTTTTTTTTTTGATATCAGAAAGAAAGGGTGTTACATGTTTTCTCTTGCTTTTGCTTGCAAAATAACGGGGGGTGGAGAGTTCAAGAAGAGAAATTTGCCCGCACTCGCGCCACCGCGCGCGTTGTGTTTTATTATTTGAACACACGCAGGAACACGAAGAAAATGGTAAACTTGGACGAGGAGAATCTCGCCACCACGAGCACCGATGATAATGGTACTCCCGCGACGACGACGACGACGACGACGATGATGACGAGAAAAGAAGAAGAAGGCAGTCGGGACCAACGAGAGAAACAGATGCGAGAGCGGTTGAAAGCGCAAGCGTATTTAGGTGAACAATATTTCCTTGCCGAACACAACCGGAGAAAAGACAACAAGAAATATAGCGATAATAACGATTGGTTCTCAACTGAAGACGAAACGTTCGTCGTCGCCACGAAAGCGTCCAATCCAAAATTCCCACCGAGCGCTTTCGCGCAGTTTTCAGAAAACGAAAACGTCGTGCAGAACAACGCGGGAGGACGACGACGAGATGAACACCAGCACCAGCACCAGCACCAACAAAAAATAACAACCACAGCGACGAAACATAAACAGTTGTACTTCTCTCCGCCGCAAAATTTGGAAGATATACAAGGAACCTTGCCCTCGCAGAACGGCATCGCTTCGCACATGGTGTGCCAATGCGACGAGGCGAGTCAATACGTCACCATCAATCCAGATGCGCGCGGAAAGTGGGAAGGCGAAGGCGGGAGGAAACAGTACGCCCAGAGGTGTCCGGTTCACTTCCCTTTCGCATGGACATGGAAAGGGGACGTGAACACTGGACCGATGAAAGGCGAGGCTTGGATGTCTGCCGCGCGGATGCGTGATCAACGCGCGAAGGAGGTTGCGTGGGAAGCGCGGGAGTTAGAGCGACGAAGACTCGCGCTTAGGAGTATTTACGATAGAGAAAACAAACATCACCCGATGAATTACGAACTAAAAACCGAGACCAATGAAGGACACGGCGAAGAAGATTTTGAAAAGTGGAAAGATAAGAAACACATGCAGCGAGAAAAACCTACCATGTTCACGAGAGTTGTGGACGCGTTGGAATCAATCGGTCACAATCTTTTCGGCGACGACGATGACGACGAGTATTACGACGACGACGACGATGAAGGAAGAACACGAAGAAGGAACAACGAAAAGATAGTTCGAGACGTACATAACGCGAGAGAATTTGCGCAGTTTGTCAGAGATGAGGGCGCTTTGAAGTACCTGTCGTCGAATTCGTCGTCACCTAGAAAAATTAGTGAAAAAGTAAACAAGAATCCAAATGGAATCGTCGACCGGTCCATGAAACAGCGGTTGCTCGACACCTCAAAAAGTTCCGTCAAATTCTCGCAGTTAGAAGGTGAACCCGGTTACGTCGTGTACGAAACAAATTTCAATTACTACGTAGTCACGCACGATGCGAGCTTGAGTAATTGGATTTACGCGAAACTCGATCGGACGAGTTCACGAATGCGAGTCGAAGAAGGCGGGCGGAAAAGAACGGAGGCAGAAATGAACGCGTTTTTTCGAGAGGTAAGAAAGAACGAAGGCACGGTAACTAAGCTAAGCGCCGGTGCCGGTTTAGTCGTTTTCATTGAATTCGCCGGGCAAGAAGAAGGGTTGACGGTAGATTCTGTTGAAGTTGAAGACGCGTCAAAGAATCCGGAGGGTATTATTTTGCGCGATGAACTCAAATTTCGAGAAAAAATGCGGCGAATGCAAGAATTCAACTTGAATTACTTACACATTGAGCGTGTATATCCGGACAAGTGGGGTGCAAATGGAGCGCAGTTTGGCGTAAAGAAGGATTACGTCGTCTTCAGTGGTGCGGATAGCGTGCGAGTTCCGAGCAAAGCAAACGCCGAGCGGGCCGCCTTGATGAACATGCACCTAACGGTTGAAGCAGCTGATTTCGCAGAGGAATCTCGTTTACAAGCTAAAGATCGTGAAGAAGTTTTTAAAGCGCGTCTTTTAATAAACGGTGGAGAAGTTCTCGATCGGCATTCGGGGAGTGGATCGAACCAAAAGTGGGTGTATAAAAATGGTCGAAAGTTGAAAAAAATAGCAAACGCAAAGCCAAAGCCACCGCCGTCGTATGGAAACAAAGATTTCAGGGGTAATGGTCCCGTTGTCGACTCAAAATCTTCGTCATCTAAGAACAGCGTAACGAACACGCTGATCGGATCGCTGGAGCAATCGTTGTTTGGTAAACAAATCGCCGACGAACTTTTAGAAGAAGACGACGAGCTCTCCTTCTGGGAAGGCACGCCCGTAGGTGTTCGGATTTTACCAGACTTTGTCGCGCACAGTTACATCAAACCTGGTGACGTTCGAAAAGTCAAGAGATTGAACATGCAAATCTATCGAACGAAACTTTTGTCCGAAACGGAATCGATTGCAAACTTTTTTGTGCCTCTTCTCGAGACGGTGTTGAAAGCGGTTTCGCCTCGGTTTCTGAAGATGAATAATAATAATAAGGATGAATACGTGAAGAAAGATGCCAACGCCGACGAAAACACCGCCGAAGCCGTCGAATACTTAGACGAGGACGACATTGATATCGTGCAAAAGTATCTGTACTCAGATTCAAGAATACCTTTGGGAACGCGATTGGTAAAGTTGCGTTTCCGAAGCTATTCCAGGCACGAAAGCGATCCGATTCGCGTTCAATGATGATGGTACAAATAGTTTTTTTACAAGTGATAGTAAATCCTTTAGTGATTGTGATAATAACCAAGCGCTCTTGAGTGATAGCAGCACTCGCATTTATTGTTTTCACCCTTCTGTTCGCTGACGTTGTCGCTTTTTGACGTATTCAGAATAGAGCGGAAGCGAATCGTAATTGAAAAAATCTTCCTCGTCCTCTTCTCCTTTTTCGTGCTGTTTTTGATTTTTGATGGATGAAAGCCTTTTGTTTACTTTTCGTCGTTGTAACTTGATACTGAGCTCGTCAACTTCCCGTCTTAAACGTCTATTCTCTTCCTCGGACGCGTGCACTTTATCCAACACGCGTTCGAGTTCCTCCGACCCGTGCGCACGCGCATTCTCGTCGTCGCTTTTTTGAAGATTTAATTTTGTGCCTTCACGACGTTGATGGTGATGTATTTGCTCAAACCTGTGCCAGAAAGATTGCATTTCCGAGTCGAAAGAGATCTCATCGTGTCGCGGATGCGAATGATGTTCTGCAGACATGCTGTTATTCCCTTCTTCGTTTTCTTCTTCTTTTATCTCCTATCATTTTTATTATTATTAGTGCACGTTGTGTACTCTTCTTCTTCTTCTTCTATTGAAAGTGTGACTTGTGAGTACGTAAAAGACGCTTTTTCTTCTTCTTCTTCTTCTTTCTCCTTAATTCTTCTTAAAATCAAAAGCTCTATAAAAATTTCGAGAAAGCAGATGATTTCCTCCCTCGTTCAAGGCTATGGAAGCGAGGACGAGGAGAGCGAATCAGACAAAGATAAGAAGGATGATAAAGAGAAGAAGACTCACAGAGAAAAAGAAGAAGAAGAAGAAGAAGACGATATTGGTAGGGAGCAGCGACGACGACAACGTCCACTCAGCGTTCCTTCCACGTTCGTAAGTAGCAGAAGAAGGAATTTTCACGAAAAGAAGAAGAAAAACGAAGAAATAAATACGGAGATACAAGCGCGCGTGGAGAAGTATTTAGAGGCGAAAAGAACGACTCGACTGAATATAAACAGTCAACTGAGAGAACCGAAAGGTTTCCGCAACCCTAACTTTCTTCAATCTGTCGTTGAACACTTTGGTGTGGAGCAAGATGGAAGTGAACTCCCAGGACGACGAGAACAAAAAAAGCAAGAAGAGGAAGAAGACTCGTACGAGAAAATAGCAGCGAGGCAAAGAGCCGAGGCGGAAGATAGAATTAGAAATAGAACAAATATAAGTTTCGTCCAGCAAAATGAGGAAAGTTTTGGAGGTCCAGATGCACAGGAGCTGATAGATAAGGCGAGAGAGCAAGCCCGAATGCTAAACGCGAGGATGGCCGCCAAAGGACAAAGGTGATGGTAAAATTGATGATGACGAAACTCTCTGCTTGCTTTAATCTTATTGATTGTACTTTAGTAGTATTGTTATTGCTGATTGTAGTATGTAGCTATTTACTCTCTAATGCTTCCTAGGTTGCTTTCGTTTCATCATCATCGTCTCTGACTTTTTCTTTTTCTTCTTCATCATCACCCGAGTCAACCAACGCGGTCCCTGGATGTTCGCCTTCTTGAGGAACCCACAAACCACTGTCAACCATTCTTCGCATGTAAAACTTAGCATCCTTCATAGAAAGGCCGTTGACGTATTCACGAAGCGCTTCAACGTCACCGGACTCAAAAGCTGTTTGCATTTCTTCCGGCAAGCTCTCGAAAACTTCAATCGGATTGAGGCCTCCTGGTCCTAACGGCGGATTTTCTATTTCTTCTACTCCTGTTTGGGTGGTCCCTTCCACTTTTTTCGCTTCTGCTTCTTCTTCCATTTTTTTCTTTTCCGCGCGTTCGATGAGCTTTTCGACGTAATCCATCTCGGCGAGCTCGTATTCGTGCAGAACTTTTTCGTCGTTTTCCAGTAAACGCACGAAAAACGGTTTGTATTGGTCCAACATAGTTCTTTTATTCGCCGTCGCAAAATCGGAAATAGATTTCAGCGCGAAACCGGCTTTGGCCGTACTAAGTACCTTGTCTCGACCAACAACGCCGTCCATTTCTTCATACAGAGCTTTGAGCAAGAGATATCCGAGCGCGTGTTCGCACACCAAGTACGTATGTTTCGAGAGATACGCCTCCATGCGGGCATATGGATTCTTATTTTGACTTTTCGTCTCTATGTCTCCGCCTTCCGCGAGCGTATCCAGCTCTTTCTCGTATTTTTCGCAATACGCCTCGTACGTCATTTTCTGCGCCTGAACATTTTCCGAAACTTCCGTTGGCATGCAATCCTTGCCGACGAGTGTTTTTGAAGTAGTGACTTTACACAATTCTTCTGCGCTAAACGTTCGTTTCTTCTTTTCAGCTTCAAGCTTTTCCTGGGTTTCTCGAAGCGTCGTTTCCAGACTTTCCAATTCGTCTCTCACGCTTTTCAACGCGTCCTCGTCGCCCGCGAATCTATCTTCGACGATGTCAATCTCCAGTGTTTTAATCCTCTTCTTCGTTTCTTTGATAGATTTCTCGTATTCTTCGATTTTCGCGTCAATATCAGACGCTTTATTCTGTTGACTTTCTCTCTTGATTCTTCGAAGAGTGTTCGCTTCGATAAATTGCGCGCCCGGGTGTAAGTCTTCGTCGTCGCTCAACTCGAGCTTATCCCACTTGGAATAATCAAAACCAGCCGGTGGCGCCATTTAATGGAATGGAATGGATTGGATTCGATCGAAAGGTCGTGCGCGTGTGTTGTATTTTGTGGTTGTGAGTGTGACGGAAGTATGACGCGAACGAAAAAGAAAAGAAATCTATTGTTTTTCTTGTGAAAATCCTGTGATTTTCCTGTGACCGAAGAAAACTTTTTTGATCTTCGAAATCCTAAACATAATAAATATCAACGAGAAGAGCCGACACATGGCTTTTACTTTTCCCCAACTAACGCCAAATAAAAGTCCGCAACGAGACCATGAACTCCGCCCCCGCTTATCTCGGTGGTGCCATCATGCACGCCCCCACTCCGATGACGATGAGCGACGAAGACGCCGACGAGTTGCGAAGCAAGGCTCGCTCTTTTGTCGGCGAGTGGGTCGCTGACGACGCCCCGCTGTTCCCATGCGTGTCCCTCACGAACAACGCGTACACCCTCACATACGTCGGCCCCGGACGAGTGATGGAGATCGACTTAAGCTTCACGGTCAAGTGCTGTTGCTGCACGATACAGCACGTCACCTCCAAGGGAACGTTCGATGAGGACGGTCTCGGCGGAAGGATGGAGGACGACCAAGGATTAAAAACGACTTACACGCTGGTGTCGCTCGACAAAGATCACAACGGTCTCCTCCGCTCCGTCACGTACGCCATATCCGGTCACGACAAAAAAGGACTTCCAGTCACGGGTTCCGCGGTACAGTACGCAAACAAGAGGGTCATGACCCTGAACATACCCGGCGCACCTCCGCTGAATATGACGTATCATAAGTGATGGATGTTACAGCTTTCCAAAAACTTTCCTCTCAAATTTTAATAAGTCTTCACCGACAAGGCTATTAGTGTATTCAAGATGGCATTTTCCACACAAGTCATAGTCGTCCTTATTCGTACACTTATACCTCGCGCCACGAATTGGCAACACGTCACATTTATCGCAACCAATGCCTACGTGTATGATTACACGTATCATATTATATTTACTGTACACATATGTACGAGAAACTATGAAAAAACTTTCCAAAAACTTTCCAAAACTTTCCAAAAACTTTCCAAAAACTTTCCAAAAACTTTGGTCTTTTTGGTTAGAAATGTAAACGATAATCGAAAAAAACTTTCCAAAAACTTTCGAAAAACTTTTGTCTTTTTGGTTAGAAATGTAAACGATTAATCGAAAAAACTTTCGAAAAACTTTCGAAAAACGAGACCAATACCTTACCAAAAAGTTTAGTGTCAAGTGTAAAAAAGAAAGTTGCTTAAAGAAAAAATACTAAGTATGGTTGTAGAGGAAACCTGACCAAAATGAAACCAGTTTTGTTCAAACCTTTCTTCAAACCCAAATAAAAAAAAGAGTGAAGTTTGCGATCGAGACATAAAGTCGACATTGGTAAGGTTTACGTTTGGTTTTGTATTTGAAAAATAGTGAAGATAAGGACAAATTGTAACTTCACCGTCACTTTGGTCTCCATTTGGTTTAAAGTAGAAAAGTAGTGAAGTTTAAAGTGCTTTTTTCAAATTGGACAAAACTTTTCCAAAAAATAAAAAATAATTTTGGACCCTCAGACTTCAACTAAGTACTAAGGCAGTACTACCCCGTTTTGTAAGTCAAAATATATTCCGGCACAGACAAGTTAAAGACAACTTTAAGACAACTTGAAATAATTACAAAGGATAACGGCATCTTAGCAAGTGAGAACAAGATGAGTCGTCCTTTTCCCAACTCCCCCCAAAACCAGGATCGCTCTTCATCAACCTTAACCGTCGAAGAAGCTCTCTTACTGCCTTCACGACGCGTACCACCACAGTTCCAACAATACCAACCAATAACAATAACAATACAATACAATTCCAACACAAAGTTCATTCAGGCACATCACACCATGGGATAGTGTTGCGCCGCTCCTGTACGTGTACCTGGAGCCCCAACCCGCAATGCTCTGGCTTCTGCTCTCGCCTTCTCCTCCTTCAGCGCTTCGATTTCCCGCTGCAATGCTCTGGCTTCTGCTCTCGCCTTCTCCCCCTTCAGCGCTTCGATTTCCCGCTGCAATGCCTCGACGTCGGGTTGAGGTGCGTTATTATTAGTATTACTCAATAGATTTCTTTTCGCGTGCTACTGTGACTGTGTATTTATGCGTTTTCGCGAATCCGAAGAGACTTTCTTTTTTCTTCGATAATTATATACAAGAGCTACTAGACAACAACAACAACAACAACAACAACAACAAACAAACTATAATAGCGGTACACTTCTACGCGACGATGACAACATCGATTAATCATCTGTCATTTCGACATCTTTCACCTCCTCCTCCGGTTTCCTCTGCAAGGCTTTAATTTTAGGAACGTCGCCGAACGGATTTTGCGAGGATTCGCTATTTTTAAGCGAGTTCCAAGTGGTCAAAGCCGCTAATGTCCTTCCGTACGTCGTCTCTAAACTCTCCTTATCCGCGTTTGAAAACTCCTCAAGTAAATCTTCGTCGGATGATAATCGAATCGTGCGCCTCGCACCCATGGTTTGCTTAGCTAAATCCGCCGTCGTCGGTATGTTGGTTAAAATGTGCTCCTTCACCTCTTCGCCTCCCGCGGTGTTTGAAATTCTATTCATTAAACATTCCACTCTCGCTTGCGCGCGAGCGATCATTTTAGACAGCACGGCGGTGTCATAAAACGGTTGTTTCGAGACGGAGACTAATATCGGCGAACGCAAGGCGACTCGAGAGAGTTTATCGTGCTTTTTCAGAATTTTCACCAAAGCGGTGAAGTTGATATTCGTCCAGTGTTCCATGAGGACCAACTCGCCGTGGAAGTTTGCCAACTGCACGCACAATTCCGCTTCGATCTCTAAGTTATTTGGCTCCACAGTCGTAGCATTTGCCATCATCTGTTGATGTTGTTGTTCTTGTTGATGTTGCTGCTGCTCATATTGTGAAGACGATACTTGCGTCGACGACGCCCTGCTGTTGTCGTTCGTGTGAGAAATATTCTTTTCATTCTCACCCTCGTCGTCGTTGGAAGGGTTGCCGACGATTTTGTTCGCGTTCTCAAAAATAAGCAGTTTATCCTCGCCGACGATTTCGCTAAACATCACGTTCAATCTGCTCTCTTTCATCACCAACTCTTCCTCTTTGTTAATGAAGAACTCGTTGAATTTCATGACTTCCTGTTGTAACAATCGAATAAAATCTTTCTCGACTTCAGGACTGTCGTTTCCACTCGGAATCGATTTGAGCGTCTTCTTCAAAGCTTTGTATTGAAGAAATTTATCTCGAATATCCTCCGCGGTGTTGTTCACCACTGATTCGAGTTGATGACCAAACTTCATCTTCTCGTTCGTTCGTTCGTCAATCACGCGCGCCGCGCGATACTACTCGTCGTTGTATGGTAATAAGAACACTTCGAGAAGAGCGCGTGTTTAAACTCTGAGGCGCGAAATTGTTCTCTGAAATATTCCTTTTTTGTTGTTTTTGGAGGACAGATGACAGAGGACACTCCCAATCTTCCGTTCTTGGACAATTTTTTTTTTTTTGCAAAAATCAAAAAAATCAACTCCCTCTTTCCTCGTTTCACACCTTTCCTCGTTCAAAAAACTATTTCTCTTCACGCAAATACAAACCGCGATATGGTGGTCATCTCTGCCATCCTCGCGTCATCAACGTCGACGTCTTTTATAGGAGGAGAAAGAGGAATAGGAGGAGAAGAAAGAAGATTGCATCGCTCAGCGACGACAGCTTCGAGACGGAGTTCGATTTCAAAGAGAATCGCGTCGTCGTCGTCGTCGTCGTCATCCTCGTCTGCAAACATCAACAACAACAACAACAACGAGAAAGAAGACATATTCGAGGTCATATCGGAGAACTTGCCGTTTTTTATCGGTGGTGTGGTAGCCGGGACGTTTGGTTTATCCATAACCGATGACTCCAGTCCACTGAAAGGCTGGGTAGCCGAGAGGAAGAGGAAGAAGAAGAATAGCAACAAGAATAGAACAACAAAAACAACAACTTTTGAATTGAGACAGGAAGAAGAATCGGTGTTCACCATACCGACGACGCAAACGACGCTCGAAAACAACAACAACAACAACAGCGATAAATAACTTCAGCATTTGCGGAAGAGGTATACAATGTAGTATATTTCTCTTGTATAATATTTAAATTCACAACGCACACAAAAAAAAACTAATAACACTGCTAATTGACTCTTTGTCTCTTTCATTTTTCTAATCCCAACTCGTACGGCTTCCATGTCCGCCCCCGCCGCCTCCACCGTAGCCGCCTCCACCGTAGCCGCCTCCACCGCCGCCTCCACCGCCGCCTCCGCCGCCATGGTTACGATAATCTCTCCCCCCATATTTGCTACCACCACCCGAGCGACCTTTAGATCGACCGCCATAGGAAGATCTGGACGCAAAACCGCCGAGAAAGGATGGAACTTCTTGTCCAGCTTCGGACATGACGTCCATGAGAGCTCTGGCAATGCCTGCATCCTTATCCCCAAACAAAGCAGTCGCTTGACCTTTCTTACCAGCGCGTCCAGTTCTACCAATTCTGTGGACGTAATCGTCGATATCTGTCGGTAAATCAAAGTTCACGACGTGCGTGACGTGAGGAATGTCCAAGCCTCTCGCCGCGACATCCGTGGCAACCAAGATTGGAGTTCTCCCGGCTCTGAACGACTTCAACGCAGCTTCTCTCTCTTGTTGCGTGCGGTCACCGTGAATGGATGTCGCCGGTTTACCTTGCTCGCACAAAAAGTCCTCCAATTGATCGGCGCCTCTCTTCGTTTCAACAAACACAAGCGTCAAACCCGGGACAGCTTCCGTCAAATCCAAAAGCATTTGAGTCTTGTCGTAATACGATGGGACATAGCAGACCGTTTGATTGATGAGTTCGGTAGAAGAACCAACGCGACCAACGGTTAAGAAAACGTAATCGTGTAAGAAATCAGATGCCATTCTTTGAATCTCCTTTGGAAACGTCGCAGAGAAGAGCATCGTTTGACGCTCGCCCGTGCGAGGCATGTCTCTTTGCTCCACCAACTGTCGAATTTGCGGTTCAAAACCCATATCCAACATCCTGTCCGCCTCATCTAATGCCAAGTATTCGCACTTGGCCAATCCGACTTTGGCTCGGTCGATTAAATCAATCAATCTCCCTGGTGTCGCGATGAGAATGTCGCATCCGCGCTCCATTTCTCGAAACTGTTCGGCAGCTGGAGCGCCACCATAGACAACCACCGCTCTGCATCCCGTCTTGTACGCAAACTTTCTCGCTTCTTCGTGAATTTGAATAGCCAACTCGCGCGTTGGTGATAACACGAGCGCTAATGGCAACGTTTTTCTGCCTCTCTGTCCGCCGCCTCCAGTCAAGAGGCCGCGATTGAGAATGCCGCAAATGATTGGAAAGCAAAACGCCGCCGTCTTACCGGAACCAGTCTGCGCGCATGCCATTAAATCCCGACCGGCGAGAGATATCGGAATTGCGTAACGCTGCACCGGAGTCGGCTTTTTGAATTTACATCTTTCGATATTGGCGTTGATTTCTTTCCCAAAGTCCACGTCCTTGAAGAATTCGATCGGTTTCGGCGGGTCGTTACCAGACACTTCCACTGGAATGTCTTCATACGCATCAAAATTTAAACCGTGGTTCTCAGTTTGGAACATCTCTGTTTCTGCATCCGCACCTTCCGCTCTGGCTTTGTCCTCAGCTTCCATTTGAGCGAATGGATCAGATTCGCGAAAGCGAGACGACCTCCCGGTATCCCATCCGCCTCGTCTTCCACCATCATCTCTTCTTCTGTCATCGTCTCGTCTCCCAAACGACGAGTTCGAGTAATCTAAATCCTCTCTATTTCCCCGGGATGAACCACCCCATCCTGCGCCGCGAAATGAACCGCCACCTCTGTCATCTGTTTTTATGAAGGAAGAAATCAATAAATCAATAAAATATTTTGATATCGTTTAGCATTGTATTTGATCGATCGATCGATCGATCGAGCTCGCAGAGAGAAGAGCGAATGCGATAGCGTGGGAACGTTTCTCCCGCGAACGTTGCGGAGCAATAAAATGCCTCTCTTTCTTTCATTCTTTCTTTCACATTCTGCGGTGGTATTAAAAAGTTGAAGCGCCGTCACGAGCACACGTTGTGTCGAGTGATTTAAATTTTTTCAACAACTGCGCGCGCTCAAACGGCGGACTCTCGCGATCGTTATGCATCCATTGCGATGCGCGAATTCCACGCAAAACTATGCGCTTTATTCGTTTCGAACGAAAAAAATCACGTTTTATTTCTCTGAAAAGAACCTACCTCGATAATCTCGTCTGCCGCCACCACCGCCATAATCTCGTCGGTCTCCTCCTCTTTCAGTGTTCCCTCCGCCTTGACGATTTCTCAAGTGCGGTGGAACGTACGAAGACGTTTTTCCTGCACTCGCTGCAGGAGTGCTCGTTGTTTTTGTCGATTCATCTTTACTCAAAGTTCCCAACGGTGGTAACTCTTCGGTATCGTCAGCCCAGTTATTCGCCATATATTCGCGTCGCTTTCTGGCGAACAACTCGTCTTCCGATTTTTTTTCTTTTGCGCGCGAAAGGATTCATGCATTCTTTTTCGCTCAGTTTGGTCTTTCTTGGAAAAGAGAAGAGCTCCTTTCTTTCTGAGTGATTGAACAACCGACCCCACACTTTCTTTTACGAGTAGAAGGAAGGCAGGGACACGCGCAAATACACACACAAACACGTAAAAGTGAGACACAGATTTAGAATAGAAATGGACTTGGAAGGGTCAGGCGGTGGATCGCTCTCACCGCCGCTCTCCATGAACAACAACAACAACAACAACGGAAAAGGAGGAGGAGCCGACACCACCCTTTCAACCGACAACGACGCAAAAGAGATTCATCCAATAATTCCCCCATCGAGACCGATGCACGCGGCGATGTCGAATCCATTCGTCGATGGTACTGGTGGTGGTGGTAATGATAATGAGTACGTCGCCGCCCCGGGAGCATCGATGCAGAACTCCGTATATACCACGCGGAGGTTTGCGCAAAGAGCAACAGATTCCTCGTCAACGATAAATCAACAACAACAACAACAACAACAAAACCAGCAGAACGCGGAGAAAGGAGGAGGCAAAAATACGCAAAACAACAGAGCTAAACCGTCCATATCGGCGGCAGATTCCAACGGTACCCGAGGTAATACGAACGATGAGAACACAGACGACGACGAAGATAACGACAAGGACGGCGATGGAGACAACGAGGACAAAGCAAATGATAATAACAATAAGAAGAACAAAGCGAGAACAACGAGAAGTAGCGGTAGTTTGCACTCCGAAGAAGTAGAAGGAGGCGGCGCTCCTAAAGCGGGAAGCTTGAATGGAACGGAAGATGCAAACACCGACGGTAGACCTGAAGTAGAATCTAAAGAGAAGAAAGCAGTAAGACAACAAAGACGGCAACGTCATGTTGGTAGCACGAATAATAATAATAACGAAGATGGAATGGACACCTCCGAGGAAGCTGCGGCGGTTGTAAACGAAACCGCTCCGCTCCCTCCGACGAGTGAGTACGAATACAAAGAACCATGGGATATTCCCTCGGCAGAGTTGATTCCAGCGGCAAGAAGTCTGAAACTCACCGCTGATGCGTATCAAAACGAAGGGCGATTTGATAACGCCGAGAGAACATACGGTATGGCGTTGCGTTTTATCGAGCACGAGTCTCTCTTCGCCTCGAACCCGGTTGATGAGAACGTAGAGAAACAAATAACAGACGCGAAAGGAAGTAATCCAGATCCGCAACTCGTTTCAAAGAGTGAACTTACCGTTGTGTGTTTGATTGAAGCTTCCGTGTGTGCTTTGAAGCGTGGAGATCCTTCAAGAGCGGGTGACTTAGCCTCGAGGGCGTTAAACAACTCGAAAAATAATACTTCGGCTCTAAAAGCGCGAGCGCAGGCTCGCTTAGCCGAAGGCGATTTCCAAAACGCGCTCGCAGATTGCGACGAGGCTTTAAAAATCGAGGAACAAGCGGATACGAAAGCTGATTTTGAACTTTTACGGAAAGAAATTGAAACGCGTTCCGAGCAATTATTGCCCATGCGCGGAAAACAGCAACAGCATGAGTTTGATTACGGCATCCAAAATGCTGCGGTGGTGCGAAACGCGTTTGCGGCGAATGATGCCGCAGGTAACGAGGCACCCGTTGGAATGAACGCGACGACAGTGCGAACGACAACTTGGCAAGCTGAAGTAGAAGGCGAATCCGAAGGCGGTAGGAATACGATGGATACGGAACCCGGTGCCGCGTTCGGAGGCATCGTGCGAGAAAAAATTACAGAAGGCTACGATAGAGATCACGGTCAAACGTTGTTAAACGCAGACGTCGAGAAGATGAGTAATCCGAACGGAACAGCAGGTGCAACGACAGAAGTCGGGGATACGACCGCACAACTAAATAAAACGCACCTTCCAACGCAACAAACGACAACGCACGAACAACCTTTGCGTTCGCAAGATGGCGGGATACAAGGATCTCTGTTAATAGGTTCGGTCGGTGGAGGCGGAGGTAATCGCAGACCTCGGATGTCGCTAGACAGCGACGAAGTGCAAGCTGTATTAATTTCGAATTCGACCCAGCGAGCGTTAGGCGGCACTTACTCGATTCAGAAAGACCATCGTCCGACGGATGCGCTCGTTGAGAGCTACGAGAGCGACGAAGAAGGCGAAGAAGTTTGCGGGGGTAAATAAAAACACAACACAAGGCTATAAACTATAAGTAGAATTCCATTTTCGAAATAGCACTGAGTAATAATTTAATTGACTTCTAGATCATCACAGCACGGTGCATTCTATGCATACCCATTCATCCTTCTCGTAAACTTCAAACTCTGCGCAGCCTTCCGAAGAATATTTTTCAATTACTTCCTCCGCTTGTTTTCCGGCTAATATACCAGACAATCCTATTTTCCCTCCTTTTCGAGTCATTTTAACAAACTTGGACGACAGTTCTAGATTTGGCGTTATCAGAATATTTGCTACGAGTACGTCCACGTCTTTTGGTTCCTCGGCGTCAGGTTCCATCCCGTCGCCGAGCACAGCTTTGAATCTGTCTTGGACGCCGTTGATGAGCGCGTTGGACTTGGCCGATTCAACCGCTATAGCATCAATGTCTACTCCATACGCTCTCGCGGCACCTAACTTAAGAGCACCAATCGCGAGAATTCCCGTTCCACAACCAAAATCAACGACCTCATCGCTTGCTTTGATGTGTCTTTTCAGAAACTGCAAACACAAAAGCGTCGTCGGGTGATCCCCTGTGCCAAAGGCCACGCCTGGCGTCAGTACTATTTCCGTTTTGTATGTTTTGTTCTTCTGTTTCTGATTTTCATCGCTAGACTTCATGCATCGTATGATAAATTCGTCGTCTACGACGATGTCTTTGTAGGAGTCCAATATCACACTCTGCCAATTGTTCGCGTCAACATTGTCGTAAACAGCGTTCAGCGGTCCTAAATAGGTTTCGAGTTGTTTAACTGCTTTTCTCACGTCTCTCACCAGAACTTCTTTGCTAAAATACAACTGTACGTTATTAAACGACCATTTTTTGTGGATCCAATCGTTCCCTTTCGAATCTCTGGAGTAGAAAATCTCTTCTTCGTCATCGGTACCTTTGAGCGCGTCGTCATTCACTTGCGCAAAGTCTGTGTAGCCAAGTTCTTCCAATATCTCTGCGATTCGTTCGGTCTCTTCTTTTGGAACTCGATTCAAAGTCACTCTAGGAACAGTTGTTTCTTCTTGTGAAGAAGAAGAAGAAGAAGAAGAAAAAGAAAAAGAAGGGAGAGAACGTAAAGAGGAGAGTATTCGTCGGCAATGCGTTCGAGCGAAAACGGAATACGGCGAGGACGGAGCGAGCGCCTTCCTAAAGGCGCTGCACCGCATGCCAAATTTTATGACGAGGAAAAACTTCTTCTTTTTATTACACCTCAAGACCTCATGACCTCAACTCTGATCTCTCTCTCTCTCTCTCTCATTTGCATAGCGCTCCCAAAAAAGTCCGCTAATCGGAGGAAGGAGCTTGTTGCTCAGCTGCTGCCGCTGCTGCTGCTGCTGGAGGAGGCGTTTGTTTCATTTGTTGTTGTTGTTGTTGTTGTTGTTGTTGTTGCTGCGGCGGTTGAAAATTTTGCCTCTGTTGATAGTGTTGTTGATGTTGATGTTGTTGGAAACCTCCTCTTTGGTATCCTCCACCACCCATGTGTGGCATTCCTCCGAATTGCCCGCCTCTGTGCATTTGTGGTGCGTATTGCATCATCGGGTTCTGGTACGGAGCACCAGGGCCCATGCCATACCCCATCATCATGTTCATCTGCGCCATTTGCGCCTGGTAGTTCATAATCGCCGCTCGTTGCGCGGCGCTAATGGCGTCCTGCGCTTGCATTGGCGGTGCAGCAACGGCTGCAGCGGGCTTCTTTGTCGGGACGAACGCAGAAGCTTTTGCCGACAAAGAAAATGCAGGCGCGTTTGCGGATAATTTCGAACCAGTCGCCGCTTTTTTCGCTTCCGCCGCCGGAGCGGCGGGAGCTTGTTGAGCTGCTGCTGCTGCCGTAGATTCCGTCGCCGTCTTCTTCGCGTCCGCCATGGATGCCACACTAGCAGGAACTTTACCAGCTGTTGATCCCCACGCCGGCTTCGACGGTGGTGGGGCTGCTTTGAAGCCTTCACTACCCGGCGCTCTGGACACGGAGGAATACTTCGCCTCTTCGTCGTCGTCAAAGTCCGAGATGAGTTTTTGGTTTCTCTCCTCCGCGACGTGCGGATTCGAAGACACTTTACCTTCAATTTCTCTCGCGATTCGTGCGGCTTCTTGTTCGGAGATGCGGATTTTGGACTTGTCGATTTGTGTCGTGTACACGGACTCGTCGAATTTGGTTTCCACCCCGAACAGTTGTTTGTTCGCGGCGAACTGATCCCATTGTCCGGGCGGTGCCTTCCTTCCCCACGCGCCGCCTTTGGTATCAAATCTTCCACTCGACCGTCCTCCTCCTTGCCCATCTTCCAAACCTCCAACGTTAGCCGAGGTGTCGTCGTCACCGGGCGTCCAAGCGACCAGCGTTCGATTTTGCCCCGTCGCGCCTTTGGAAATCCCCACGTCAGTGAAGTCGTTCATGTCGTTCATTCGAGACGGCCCCAAGGCCAAGTCGGACATGCCGACGTTGAACGCTTGAATCCACGCGATGTCTTCCAACGGAACTTTCTTTAACTTTTCCGGTTTCTTTCTCGGCGCTTTCTTCGGTTCTTCTCCATTCGGTCCTCGAGGTGTAAGAAATCGAGTCCACGCGTACGCTAAAACGATGTGTTTTTCAATCTCTCGGGTGTCGGCTAAGACACCGTTGAGTAAGACTCCGGACGTGAGCTGCACGTCGACCGAGTAGCCTTTCAAGGCGGACAGCGTGAAGATCAATCGGTCTTTCGCCGTGACGGTCATATTTTATATTTGGATAGTCTTCTCTGACTCAGAGTAAATATATAATATTAGATGCAAGCGCGTGGGGACGACGAATTCGATCACACGAGACCAGAGGAGACGCCACCTCTACCAAATTCCTTCTTTCTTTCTCGTTCTGCCTTTAATAGGGGAGAAGAAGTTTAGGTGTTTGATGCGTTGGTGTTTTGACAAGTTCGTAAGGCAGCGTGAATAAGCGCGAAAACTCTCTCTCTCTCTCACACACACGCGCGGCGCTCTTCCAGGAGGAGTCGAGCAGCCGGGGCGAGTTTCGACTTCCCCCGCGAAGTTGTAAAGAATTCGTTTTAGCATCGTCAGAGAAAGAACGACTCTTTTTTTCATTTTTGGTTTTTCGCTAAAATGTCGGACTATTTGAACTCTGTTATAAATCTAACTACTACATCTAGAAAACTAAAGACTATCAATGCTCTAACTACATAATCTAGAAACGCTACGCATCCTTCGTTCCATCATTACTTTTCTTCTTCTTCTTGTTGTTGTTAACGAGGGACATCAAGTTCACCGCTGGCGCTACCTTTTGCGAGGTTGTTCTTCGGTCGTAAGTGCCTTTTTGCATCGCAGATGAGTGACCCATGTACATAGCCAACGCCTCTAACTCGTTATCAGAAGCCACGCCTTGACCTCTGACGTGGGTAATGATCATATCTCGCACCAAGTGCGGGTTAACTTTTTGGCCAGTCACGCGCAAAGCGCATCTGGAGAATGCTCGGGAAAGTTCCGACGCCGTGTACGGTTCACCGTTTGGTCTCGTAAAGACTAAATTGTGTCTTGGATTGAACGCTGCGCGGTACTCGTTCAACCAAAGCTCCAAAGCTGGATATACGCGCGAGTCGAGCACTAAATTCGGACGCGTACCATACACGTTCCCGGTTTTATAATCGGCGGCGTTATGCTTAATAAACCACGTTTTCGTGGCCGAATCGTAAAACAACGTTCGGTTAAATTCCAACTCGCGCAACGTTCGTTGACGATCAGGTATGCACGCCAAAACTGCGAACATGAGGTAAAGCTGTATGCTTCTCGCAATGTCCGCTTTATTCCTAGGCTTACCGCGCTTATCAAAGCCGGCGCACTCGAGCTTCAAACACTCAACGAGAATGAGATATTTTGGCCAATCTAACCATTTCTTAGCTTCATCTGCTGCTCTCGGGGCCACTCGCGCGCGCGCTCTAGCACCGCGTTGCAATCGCATAAGTTCCTTCACGACATCTGTGTTAACTTCTTCACCAGCACTTGATAGTAAAGAAGATGAAGACGCCGCCGAAGAGTTCTTCTTTTTACCAGATCCCGAGGATAGTGATGATGCCGATGCCGACGATAATTTCATCAACGGCGGATAAAGCCATTTTGCAATGGCAATGAGCGAACGAACGTAAGCATCTTCCGTAGAGCTTAGTATCCCGCGCGTTTCAACCATCCATTGCATGTATTCGATAGCGTACTGCGCACCTTCAGAATCTGAAGATGGGAACGCGTCCTTCAAGCTATAGTTTTCAGCGTTCTCATTCAAACCTTTTACATTCACCAAATACCCACAAAAAGCTCGAGCGACATCGCGATGATTCTTCACCGTCTGCGCGCGAACTGGCACGCCTTCTTGCCCGACGCGTCGCGTCGTCAAATCTCGAACGAATTTATCGAGCTCTTTCTCGAGGGTTTTAGGTAGACTTTTCTCGCTGATTGCGTAATCCGGCAAACGTCGACGCGAGGTCACGCGTTGCTCGCTCAAAGGTACGTCGTCCGGTCGTCTGTTCGTTCTGTACTCTGTCGATAATTTCCTGTGAGAATCTTTACTATCGTCACTAACGGTATTGTGCTCTTCAAAGTATAATCTCGACTGTAAAGGCACGCGGGCATCGAGCGGAATATCACCTCCAATCCATCCTTCGATGTGTTTGAATTTCTTGTATGAAACTACATCTATATCTTTTTCTTCTTCTTCTTCTTCCTCATTATAATCATCATGAACTGCTTCCGTTGAGTTCATCGAGCGCGCCAGCACCGCATTGTACAACTTCATCGGTAATCTCATCGCAATCCACTCTTCTGGTTTCACTAAAACGGTCCCGTCCTCGAGCGATATCAAAGCGTCGATATCGTCGAACCAGTTTTCTCTCAATATTTCAACCACTTTCTCCGCTTCTTTCGGCGGTCGGTTGATGTCCACGAAACATTTTTGCAGAGTTGAGAGCAAAATATCATCTCCTTCGTTGTCTTCTTCTTCCTCTACTACTTCCTCTCGTTCCTTTCCCTGCCGACGCGCTCCTGCGATACACTTCGTTCTTCTTCCTCTTCTTCCACTCGCGCTCTTCTCTTTTGCTTCTTCTTTTCCCGAAATTCTTAGCGACGACGATTTACTGTGCAACGTCGTCATCATCATCGCTCGGAGAGAAGTTCGGAGAGAAGTGCACGTCATCTTTCTCCTGCTTCTCTTATTCCATCGCACCTTTCATTCACGCGTGTGTTTCCGTCCGTCTGTCGTGGGTTTTTTATGTGTGTTTTGTAGAACTGTTTTTTGTGTTGTTGTGTGTTGTTTGTCATTCTTTGTGAATTCAAAAATTTTGGAGGCAAGTTTCGTATCACTCAAAAACAATTTCTTCAAACATCATCATCATAATCATCATCATCATTGATCGTTAATTCCGCCGTTGCGCGCCTGAAAAGCACGCATCTCCCTCCCTCCCTCTCCCCCCTCTCTCTTTCTGAGTGTTTCTGTGTTTCTGTGTGCGAACGACAGGGTGGGGCGCATAACCAAAAAGGAGAAGAGGAGGCACTTTTCATCAACAAAAATGGCGAAGAAATCTTCGAAAAAGGAGATGATGAAGACGAAGGCGAAGAAGAAGAAGAACAGCGACAAGAACAAAGAGAGGACGATGAAGCAAAAGCCAACGAATGCGGTATTAAGAAAGCTCGTGAGTGAAGCCCGAGTAAAGGAAACTTCTCTTGATGGTAATGAAGAGACTGCCGGAGCAAATCAGAAGAAAATTCAAAATCATCACCAGGAACACAAGAAACAGAAGAAGAAGAAGAAGAAGAAGAAGAAGAAGAAGAAGAAGGCGGATGAAAATAATAATAATTCTAGCAGTGATGGTGATGATTACGCGTCTCTTTCGAACGACAACGACGACGACGACGACAATAACTACGACAACAATACCAGTATTGGACTAAGAGAAGAGAAACCGTTCGACACGAATCGGAAGAAAAAGATCAAGGATATGGTTGAATACACAGGCGGCGTGGAAAAGTCCACCAAAGAACAGCTGTTGAGGATCTTCAGTCTACACATAGATAGAGACGCGGACGATTTGTTTCGACGCATCGGTACAAAGATGAAAATAGAAGAGCTAGAGAAGATGGATCTTGAGCCATTGAAAACGATGTATAAGGTGGTCTACGATCATTTGGACAGTAAAGAAGAGGGGATTGCATACGCGAAGAAGCATTTGTTTGTGCCAACGTCCCCGAAAGAGAACAGAATGTCGGCGCCAATAGTGTACATCTCGCCCGACAAAAATGAGTACTCTGATTTGTTCCCCAAAAGATACGGAAGAAATCCGAACAAGAAGAAGCGGCAAATCGACGAAGGTGTTGCGTCGATGATAGACACGAAGAAAAAAACGAAGAACGAGAATACCGCCGAGACATTTAAAGCGACGAAAGCGGCATCAACAGTCTGCGCGCGCAACAAAAAGGAACACGTTTTGATAGAGAAGAACGACGCGCGAGTATCCAGAAAGAACAGCTCCAAATCCGATCTTGCTTTAGCTCTACCTTCTACGGATAGAAATAATAAGCAACAGAAACTCCCGGTAGGGGTGTGGAACAAGAAGAAGTTTTATAAAAAAGTGAAAGTTGAAGACGAAGTGTTCAAAGTCGGCGACGATGTTTACGTGTGTACTCCCGAAACGGTTGATTTGACCGAGGACGTCGACCACATCTGCGAGCTTTGCAAAAAAACGGGCGTCGAAGAAGGCGCCGATGGCAAAGAAGTCGAAACAGAAATGCTCGAGTGCGATTATTGCGTGAGATCATGGCATCTTCGGTGTTTGAAATTAGATCACGTGCCGGACGAAACATTTTGGAGTTGCCCAATGTGCGTCGCTGCGCCTTCCGGTATCGCCGCGCCGCAAAATTTCCACGAGAGACGTACGCCTTGCGGTGAATTTCTGGCGGGGAGACTTTGTTTGGCTAGAATCGAGAGCATCTGGGCAAACGTAGATGAACTCAACGACAGAGATCCAAAAGTTCGAGAAGAAGCGTTTAAGTTCATCGCTCGCTTATACGTGCTACCGGAACATACTCACACGGGAAGGCAACGTCATCACATTCGCCGAGAGGTGTTTCTTACGAACATCAAAGAAGAGGAAAATTGCGCCGCGATTCTCATGGGCGCAAAAGTCCTCGAGCCTGCCGCATTTCGCTCGTCCGGCGGTAATGACGACGTCTACATGTGCGAGTATTCGTACGACCAAAATTTTTCTCGCTTTCGACGGAGAACAGAATGGGAGGACTCTGATTTCTCGGAAGATGAATGTGACATCGAGGCTAAAAATATCCTGTGGAGCGAAACTGAAAGTTCAGACGATGACGACGACGATTACGATCACCGCAAAGAGAAGCGAAAAGCGGAAAAGAGAGCGCAAGTGCGACAAACGAAAGCAGATATTGCCGCCTCAAAGAAAGCCGCGGCTTCTAAAAAAGGAGCTAACGCTTCGTCAGAATGGAAAGAAGCCATTGGCTTGGGTAAATCAGGCATTTTGGCCATAGACTCTGCTCAAAATAATGGGTCGCGCACTGCTATTGAGCGCGCGAGAAAAGCGTTACAGCTGAGTTCCATCCCGGCAAAGCTAGAGTGTCGGGAAAAGGAGCGCGAGAAGATCATGCAATTCACAAAAAACGCGATCGGTGCGTACGGTGGTGCGTCTTCATGTCTTGGCAACTCGCTTTACATTTCAGGCGTTCCCGGTACTGGGAAAACGGCAACAGTTCGCGAAGTCATACGAACGTTGCGCCAAGAAGCCGCGAATAAAAAAGTTCCAAAGTTTAATCACATCGAAATGAATGGTTTAAGGCTACAAACGCCGCAACACGCGTACAGTTTAATAGCAGAGGAACTCACGGGTAGAAGATTTTCACCGAGTCGCGCGGCAGAATGGCTCGAGAAACGGTTCAAGGAAGGCAAAGAGTCGGATGGAAGAGTGCTCGTTCTCGTCGTGGACGAGCTCGACGTTCTCGTCACGCAAACGCAATCTGTTTTGTATAACATTTTTGATTGGCCGACGTACAAAGCGAGTAATATTGCAGTCATTGGTATTGCGAATACCATGGATTTACCGGAGCGTTTGTTACCGAAAATTGCTTCTCGCCTGGGCTCGGGTCGGGTGACGTTTAATCCATACAACACATCCGAACTGATAAAAATTATTGAAGCGCGCTTACGCTCGACCGGTGATTACATCAGTGACGGTAAATACGACGCGATCACGCAAAACGCGGTGCAGCTGGCGAGTATGAAAGTCGCGCAAATTTCAGGCGATGCCCGACGAGCTCTAGAGTTGTGCCGGAGAGGTATTGAAATCGCCGAGGCGAGGATCGCGCGCGAACGCGATTCTGGAGAACTGAATTGTGTCTCTCGATGTGGTCCGAACGATATATCTAAGGCGCAGAATGAAATGTTTTCGGCGACTTACATGAAGATGTTGAAAGGACTTTCAAAACACGAGCGCATTTTCCTCGCCGCTTTACTTCTGCGCACGAGACAACTCGGCTATAAAGAAGTGTACGTCTCCGACGTTCTCGAAGTTCACGAGAAGCTGTGCATGAACCATTCCGTGCAAACGCTTCCGACGGGTTTCGAAACAACGATAGTGTGCCGTTTACATTCCATGCGCTTGGTATTGGCCGACCCTGGATACATGCGTCGGTTACAAAAAGTAAGCTTGAACATTCCGCAGGAGCAAGCGATGTACTCTCTCAAAGACGATATGCTGTGTGCGGACATGCGGTGGATTAAAAATGCGCTGTAATATACTACTAGAATTCCAAACTAAATGCTTTACTACTATTTATGCTCCATTCACCCTCGCGAAGCTTGCTCAAGCTCCGCCAATCGCGCTTTCAAAAGTCGAATTTCGTATTCTTCTTGAGATATTGAAGCGACAGCTTTTTGTCTAGACTTTGCCGCCTGTTTCTCACTTCTTTTCGAGCGTAGTTGTTGTTGTTGTTGTTGTTGTCGTTTTTGTTTCCCAATCTCTTCCATCATCATTTGCTGCGAACTCTGCACAAAATCGTAAAATTCCGCATCGTTTATATCCGCTGGATTGACATTTACCTCTTTTTCATCGTGCTGGTGGTGGTTTTGATGACCTCTCGCTCGATGTCTCGATTTCGTCGACGGCGAAAAGAACACTACGACGTCCATCGAGAACGAAAATATAAAAGTGATGTATGTCCACAGAATTTGTATGAAATGCACGATAAAATTCGCTCCCGGTGGTCGCTTACCTCTCGGTCTTTTCAGTTTCTTGTTTGGATCGTCGTTATCATCTTCTTTAGCGTCGTCGTCGTTTTCATTTTCTCCTTTTCTTCCTCGTCGTCGTCGCATACCTCCTTCTCCTTTCTTTTGTTTTTTTTCCTCCTCCTCATCAACAAACTTCTTCTTTTCCCTTGTCCCTTTTTCTTTTTCTTCTGTACTGTCATCCTGGTCTAATAAACTCGTCGTTGTTGTTGTTTTTGTTTCTTTTGTTGTTGTTGTCGTCCTTTTCGCGGCTGTGGTAGCTTGCTCGGGTGCATCCGCGTGAGCGCGCGCTGGTGATGATGATGATGTTGTTACCTTTTTTACTTGACCCACTTCGTCCTCCTCGCTTTCGCTTTTGATTTCTTCTTCTTCAGCCGCCGGCGACGCGTACTTCTCCTCCTCCGGCGCCTCTTCTTCTTTCGATGGAGAAGACATTTTGTGCGCGTCGTCGTCCTCGTCGTCGTTCTCGATCATCTCCTTCGACATCGTCGATTTGCGTCGTAGGTTGTCTCGTTTTCGTTTGTGTGTGTTTGTGTGGTGTGTTTGTGTGGTGTGTTTTTGTTCTGTTTTTGTTGTTCTTTTGTGGAAAGCAAAAAACAGAAAAAGAGAGCTCAAAAGAAAAGATTTTGATGTTTTGACTCGTCTCCAAAAACTTTCTGAGAAAGGCACACCAGAGGAGACCTGTTGTCCTTTCTCTTACCACTCTTCTTCTTCTTCAGGTCTTCAGCTCTTCTCTTCCACGAGAACAAACGCGTCCTCGTTTCCCTCTCTCCCTCTCTCTTCTCTTCTCTTCTCTTCTCTTCTCTTCTCTTCTCTTCTCTTCGCGAGGCTCCCTGACGCGGAGAAAAAACCGTTCAAAAATCACGGGAAAGGAAATGATGAAGAACTTTATGAAACGCATATCGTCCACGGAGACTCTTAATAGTAACGCTAAAAACAACAGCGCTCATCCTCATAACAATGAACTGCTCGGGAAAACTATTCAAGTGGAAGGGAAAAAGTTTCGATTGGTGGAAGTGCTCTCCTCGTCGGGTGCATCTGCGGTGGTGTATAAAGCAAAATTTGTTGAAGCTTCTTCTTCAACGACTTCTTCTTCTTCTGCTCTGCACGGCGCCGCGGATAATAATAATAATAATGCAAACCAAAGAGAGGACTTTTATTGCGCGATGAAAGTGTTAGAATTACCGGATGATTCGACCTTTGTGAAAAAAGCGAAAACGGAAGTTTCCGTGCACAAATCTCTATCGAAGAACGCGCACGTGGTGACTTTATTCGGCGCGGAAATCCGAGTGGCGGACGAACGACGAGTCTCATCGAGAGAACGCGCGTATAGGATGTGCATGTGCATGGAGTTGTGCGATGGCGATCTGTCCATGAGATCGTTTAGTAATGATAGTGATAGTAAGGGTAGTGATAGCACCATTAGTAAAAAAGAGTTAGAGAAGATCTTGGAACCGTTTTTGGCGGTGTGTGACGTGTTAAAAACAATGCACGGGTCAAAGTTGTGTCATTGGGACATAAAACGCGAAAACGTTCTTTTTTCCAAGTCTGAGAATCTCTATAAAGTGTGCGATTTCGGGTCGTGCGAGTTTGCGCCTGCGAGCGAGTACACGTACAAAGACGCGAACGAACGACACAGAATCCAGGACGATATGAAATCGAAAACGACGCCAGCGTACAGAGCTCCCGAGATGTGGGATTGTTGGAAGTTTCAAAAACCGCCTTCTTTGGCGGCAGATCTGTGGGCGCTCGGTTGTTTTTTGCACGAGCTTGCGTACGACGAGTTGGCATTTGGCGATGCTTCAGAGGCTATGCTGCGTTCGCTGAGTGGTAGGGGTGCGGGAAGTCGAAACGCTTCGGCGCTATCCGCTACTCCAAACGGTAAAAAGTTCAGTAAAGAGCACGAGCGTGAGTTTCCTAGGCAAATTCCCGGAATAGACGCGTTAGTTCGCGACTTGTGTAAACTCGATCCGGACGATAGAATCAGCGCGTCAGAGGCACAAAACAGAGCCTTGCGGTTGCTATCAGACCTGAATGATTTTCCCAAGCAACGCGAAGAACAAAACTTGTCTGTAGTAACGACGACGACGACGAGAAGTGAAGAGAAGACACCGCCGGCGGAGTGGGTCGGTTTCGAGCCTTCTTCCACGGGCGGTTATGCGAATGAGGACCCGTTTTTATCGATGCCACCGCCGCCACCACGACTTCCAAAGGATACGAATACGCCCCCGAATACCACCGGAAGTAATGGTTCCTTAATCGACGACACTTCAACCAGCGCAGTGAACAGTATCGGCGCTGGGGAGGCAGATGCGGGAGAAACGAAAAAGATTCCAACAGATGACGACGGTTCGCACACGATTCGCGAGTTGAAATTGCTCGCGAAAGTTGAACGGCTCGAGCGACGTATTCAAGAGTACCAAACCCGCGAGCAAACGTTGAAAACAAAATTGCAATCGAGTCGAACGCAACTTGAACAAGAACGCGAGTGCCGACAAAATTTGGAGAAGAAACTCGGAATCTCCTCCTCGCTTTCAAAGAATTCGAGCGGCTCGAGTTTGAACGAAATGAATCATCTCCAAACGCCCGCGGCGACAACAAACGAACAGGGCGTGCAAACGAACCATCACACCAACAATAACATGCATCGAAGAGGAAGTCATTCGCGATCAGGCAGCGATTTGAGCATTTCGGGATTACAAGCCGTCACGGCGCAGCACGGGAGCCCTCGCAGAAGCGGCAGCGGATTGTCCTCCAAATTATCCGCTCTCGAAGAAATGTCCATCGATAATCTTTCAAATCCGTATGGGAGCAAATCTATGAATACATCGCGCGGCGGTATCGTTGGTGGTGGTGGTGGTGGTGGTGGCAAACCGACTTTGAACCATCGACGTGCGGTTTCTTTAGGCGGCGAGTTTGACTTACTGCAAGAGGCGAAGAATCAAGGTAAAGGAGGTTTGTTCTCGCACGTCTTTAGAATCCCGCCTTCAACGGTTAAAAACAAGTCCATAGGTATGGACAAACCGTACGGTTGATTGATATAAATTATTGTAATATACACACGCGGCTTATTGTATAGTGCTCATCGTTTTAATAAATTAAAGGTCATCTAAATCCTCATTTAACGCGTCTTTTGTTTCTTCGTCCTTCGTCTTTTCGTATTCCGTCCGAAAATCATCGAGGTAAACGTTAACGCCGAAATAATAAATAAACCTGGTAACGGTACCGCTCCGTCTCTCTTCCCGCTATTCGTCAAAGTCCCCAACGCGAGAAGTGCAATCGCATACACTCCGACTCTTCCGCACGTTCCGCTAAAAAACGCAAACGCCGCCGAGTAGGTCAACAAAACGCTCCCGATGTAAACGACGTGAATAGTTCGCGAGTCCTCACCGAACGTTTTCACCAGTCTCTTGTGCGTGCGCATGATTTCTTTCCTCGTCGTGAAGGACTCGAAATCCGGGAAATACGGCAAACAATTATTCCTTTCGCTCCCTCCTTCCATTGATGTCGACGTCACTTTCATGTTCTCTTTCGCGTTGCACTTCAAACTTTGTGAAAGCTGAGGGACAAGTTTCGATGGGTACAAAAGCGCTCTCGCTACAAACGGAGGTTTGAGTAAGGGTGCGCCGTCGTCATCCGTGCCGCTAAAGTAATTCGTTGCAAACGCCGCGGCGCCATCGATCGGGGCGAACGTATTTTTCGTCTTTGCGTTTAAGAACACCGGCACTCTGTCGTTTGTTTTGTGTACGGAGTAATAGTAAGGAGTAAGTAGGGGAAACCCGCGGGTTAACTTAGGGGATTTCTTGTTCTCAAAAATCAGTCGTCCGTCGCCAAAAGTCGATTACTAATGAGAGAGACAGAGAGAGAGAAGAAGACCAAGCAGAAAAAGAAGAATAAAAAGACTTACCGAGCGACGAGCACGGCGAGCACGAGCAACCACGTCGCCAGTTTTCCTCGGTTCATTTTTTATTCTTCTTTGTTGAAGATGAAAGATGAGAGAGAGAGAAGAAGAGAAGAATTTTCGTAGAAGGAAGAAGAGAAAAAGTGCACGATGAAAAAGAAGAGAAGATACTTGTTAGGTGAACTCATCAAAACACACACACGGACACACTTTTGCCTCAACTCACTTTTGTCGTTGTTCGAACAGTGGTCGTCAGTTGCGAACACAGACGCAGCCGCTTTTGCGTTTTTGTGCGGACACACACAAAAATGGTTGGCTTTTCCTCTCCTTCTTCGACGTCGTGTTCTTCGTATTCCTATCGTAATCACGGACATCCTCATCCACCTCATCAACAACAAAGAAGAAGAAGAAGAAGAAGTGGTGCCACGAAGACGACGACGCGCGGCGCTTTGCGAAGCTCGTCGTCATCCTCATCCTCATCAGACTCGAATAATACGAACAACAACAACAACAACAACAACAACGGGGACATGCCATCCTCCTCCTCATCGTCATCGAGAGCGAGCTCGTCCTCGTCCTCGTCATTCAGCGGCGTGAAAAGTAATACAAATAATAGTAATAGTAATTTGGTGTTGTTGCAAAGGATATCCACTAAAGTGGCTGCAATGAGCGCGGCGGTAGCTGTGGCTGTTGCGTCTGCATCCGGAGCGCCTTCTCCGTATTCTTTTTTGAACTCCTGGAATTCTGCGGCAACATCACCAACAATAACTAGTAATACACTTGCAAAAGGTCTGGTCGCGTACGCCGAGGAAGAGGAGGAGGAGCGGGATACCGCGAGCGATGTCGGGAAAAGTAACCCGAAAAAGACCTCTGTTGGTGATAATGATAACGAGCAGCTTTCACCAGACGCTCTAGTCGTCGATGAAGTTTGGCAACTCGTCAGCGATACGTTCCTTCCCGTGAGAAACGATATTTCCGTAGGTTTCGACCGAGAGGCGTGGAACGCCTTGCGCGAAGAGAGCGTTGTAAAAAATCCACCGAAATCGAGACAAGAGGCGTACGAATACGTAAGAGGAATGCTTTCGACGTTGAACGACCCGTTTACGAGGTTTGTTGCGCCGAAAGATTTTCAGGAGCTCTTGAAGTACGATATTTCTGGCGTCGGATTGAACATTGCGGAGATGCCTGACAATACGAGCGAAGTTGGCGTACTCGGATTGGTGGCTGAAAGTGCGGGCGCAAAAGCGGGAATAAAGCAAGGCGACGTTATTTTATCCGTCGATGGCGTCGATGTGAACGGCATGAGTGCATTTCAAGTCACGAGCATGATTCAAGGCGAAGGAAACACGACGGTGGATTTGAAAGTCCGACGAGGTGAGAAAGATGGAGAGGAAAAGTTGTTCGCGTTGAAGCGAGCGGCTGGGCCTAAGAACCCGGTGAAGTCACGATTAGAAGGAAAGTCCACCGGGTACATTCGTTTGACTGAGTTCAACGCGCTCGCAGAGAAGGACGTCGCAGAATCCATAGAAGAGTTGCGTGGTATAGGAGCAAAGGAGTTTATACTAGATTTAAGAGATAATCCTGGAGGATTAGTTCAAGCTGGCGTTGAGATTGCAAAGTTGTTTCTACCGCAAGACGCTACGATTGCGTATACGGAAGGGCGAGTCGTCGCCGGTGGCGTGAAAGAGGATACAGATGTCGACGCGACGGTAAATGCGCGTTTGGGCCTTCAGAACGCAGGAGGCGCCGACGCGGCACCGACTAAATTAAAGAGAGTAGGGGATATTTCGTCGTTCTCATCGAGCGACAAAGAAAATAGTGATGCAGTAAGTAACAAACAAAAAGTTACCGAACCGCTTGTAGTTCTAGTGAACTCGAGGTCGGCGTCGGCGAGTGAGATTTTGACCGGTTCGTTGAAAGATAACTGTCGCGCCACGGTGGTTGGTTCCAAAACGTACGGCAAAGGGTTGATACAATCCGTATACGAGCTGAGCGATGGTAGTGGTGTCGTGTTAACCGTCGGGCGATACGTGACGCCTAAGTTTGTGGACATCGACAGAACCGGCATAACGCCTGATTTTGCAATGTTCCCGGGCTTTGAAGTTTCCAAGAAAAGTTTGGATGCGTGCGAGTTGCCAAAACGTTGATTTATCATATTATTATTATGATACTAATAGTACTACGGTACCATGGTACACATTGATTACACCAACTACGCACAGAGTGGTTTACACTCAGATTTTTGCTACACTCTGCTTCTTCCTAAATGCCCCTACTTCTCGGTTGCGTAAACGCCATCGCTATCCCGTCGCTCACGCGTTGCAATGCCGGGACTCTCGACGTCAGAGGCGCGAACAAATTTTGATTCAAACTTTTCCAAGCCTCTTTGTGATAATACCCGGTGTTGTAATACGTGTATTTGATCCTGAAAACCGTGTTATCTTCGCACTGATACCTGCTTCGCAACCACATCACGTACATGAACGTTTTGCCTACGCTTCTCTTCCTCACGGAGTCGGTCACGATAACCGCCAATATGACTATTTCCATCAACGCGCTCAAGCTCAAGGCCACGTGCATCTTCTCTTGCAAGAATGAAAAGATTCTGCTCATGCCGACTTTCGTATACAAACTCTTCCCGTCTTCGCTGTGAAAAATCTTATGCACGATGGTAAACCACTGATACAAGGCTGGCACGCATATCGGAAACAAGGCGATTATTAGCGGTCTCGAATAAAAAGCAAATATCACGGAAAACATCGTCAACTGAAACCCATTCGAACTCGTGACCGCATTCAACTCTTTCCTCATTTGTTCCTGCGTCGTGACTCCTCCTGTCAGCTTCTTCAACGTGTATCCAATCCTATAGATAAACGCCAAGCACGCGCTGAAAAACGCCACTCGATACGTTCTCTGAATATGAAATCGCAGAAGAGGAAAAAAAGTCGGGGAGAGAAACGGGAGGAACCCGGCGATGGCGCACGTCGTGGAAAGAAGCGTCGCGGTCGTGCAGAGAAAGAAAACCGCGGTGCGGAAATCCATCATCTTCATCATCGTTCTTCTTCTTCTTCTTCTTCTTCTTCTTCTTCTTCTCGGTTGTTCAGTCGTCAAAGTATTTTATTGATGATTTTGAAGAATGAAGAGAAAGCATCACCTGGGGTCCCAACGCAGGCAGGTTTCAAAGTCGTTTTTTGGCAGCAAAAAAATTGAAAAAGATAAAATGCCCAAAGGAAGCAAAGGAAGAAAAAGGAAAGCACGACACAACTTACTCTCCTTATACTTATTTATCCACGAATAAATAAATAAATAATGGGAGTCAAAGACAACGAAAAGTTAGGGAGACGCGTGCGTTCGGCGGCGTTTTTAGTCGCCGTCGGCATGGTGGTTGGCTCTTTAGCCGGGTTTTTATTCACGCCTCCGAATCACGACGACGGATTTGGCGCACCATCATCATCATCATCTTTTCATCGTCACGATCATTCATCGACTTGGCATCCGACGACGAGTTACGGGTCTTCTTCTTCTTCTGATAATGACGACAATAACGACGACGACCACGACGACGATTCGAGTCGTCAGCAGCAGCATCATCATCACTCGAATAGTGGCGGCGATCATCATAACGACGGAGAAGAAGAAAATGATGACCACCACGACGGTGACGACCACTTAGTCTCGAAACCGAAAACGACCGTGAACACGAACGTGCAATCCGGTAAGCAAACGTGGACGAACCCGCAGCACAGAGAGATGTATAAAACGATGTACGACGAGTATCACAAGTTACGCTCTGGCGCGAACGTGTGCCACTCGTGCAGGTTTTTAGATGGGATTAAAAAGAGGTACAAGTTTAAGACGTTGTTAGACGCCGGGTGCGGCACGGCGGTGATGGTGAGAAAATTGAGACAAAGTGGGGTAGACGCGAGAGGGATTGAAGCCGCGAGCTTGCCGTTGAAAGAGTACGCGTCGGATTTGTTGGCGAATGGGACGGTATTTTCCACGCCAATGCAAGAAATTCCGTTCAAGTCGGAATCGTTCGATATGATTACGTCTGTCGAGGTGTTCGAGCACATTCCAGAAGCAGATATCGATCGGTCCATTAACGAGCTGAGTCGAGTGGCTAAACCTGGAGCGAATGCTTTTATTACGGTTGGACAGTCCACGTCTAGGTTTGACACGGCTGATGGTAGGAAGAAGTCTGCCGTGGCGCAGATTTCGACAAAGTTCAAATTTCACGAAACGGTGAAGCCGAGACAGTGGTGGTTGGATACGTTTTGTGCGCATGGGTGGTTCGCGGATGACGATGCGTACATGCACATGGTGAAAACGAGTAACGAAGGTGGTTTGTCTCGACCACCACCGCGAGGATGGTTTTCGTTGACGAAAGGGAAACCGAACGGGAAGCCGTGCAAGTGCAAAGTGCCTCCGGGGAGACAAGCGAGTTGGTTCTGCGGTGTCGGGAGACCGAACGCGAAGAAGGATGTGGCCAAATTGTGGAGCGATTTGAAGAAGGAAGCCAGTGCTTAAGCGTGAGATACATAAAACATAATAGACGAGAGGGAGAGAGGAGTATGTAGGAACATTTTTAATGTCACGCGTTGTTATTTTCATTTCACAAATAAAGAAATTACCAGCATATGATGGTGCTTTACATTACTGCATGTTATTTTTATTATAAAATGTGCTAAAAGATGTAGTTGGGGCAATCTTTAATGGTACATCGGCGCTCTCCCTGCCATGCCTGCCTGTGGCGGCACCATGACGACCCTTTGCGTCGCTTGCGGTCCGCCGCTTTGATGCCACCAAACGTTCCGCTGCGGATTCTCTAAAATTCTCAGCAACTGCAACTCCTCCTCCGAAAACCGCTTCAATAACTGCATGAATTTAAACACCAGACGTAAAATGTAAAGCTCCACCATAAACATGATAAAGGTTAACACTTTCGCCGCGGCGGATTTGTTGGTTATAAACAGTGCCACTCGCCAACACGCCATCCCGAGGACGTACACTAAATACGCCACCACGTTGCCGTACTTGAAAAATCTCGCGCCTTGGTACCCCAACACCGGTCCAAACAATAAAAACACGAATACCCACGCCGTGAAGAAGAAAAACATACAAAATATAATATCCACGCACGCGAACAGTCTCAACGTCCTCGATAATTGTCTCGCCACGACAAACTGTAACAAGTCGTTCGAGTTATCCGACGACGGTGCGTTGATGCCAATTTGGGAAAACGCGTTCCGAATTTCATCTCTCGCTCTTTGTGCCTCTTGCTCATCGTTTTCGTAGTGTTCTACGGATGGACCGCCGGTGTATAACTGACTGCTAAAGAACGGCGATCCGACCGCGAAGTTGTTCGCTCGACTTTCCTGCTGCGAAGGCACCGGGCCAGCGATTGGTGTTCCAGCAGCCGGTGCTGGCGTATACGTTGTCGCCGTAATCGCCGGTCGAGAAATTTCTGCCGCGTTATTCGTATTCATATTCTGGGATGCCGTGGTCGCTCCCGCGGCGGCGTCGTTCCTTTGTTGCGAAGAAGTTTCTTGCTGCTCCGCGTGCGCTAAAAACGGATTCATTGGCGTGTTGTTGTTGGACGTCTTTTTTTTCCCCTTAAACGCTTCTCGCTTTTGTGTTTGTGTGTGTGCGTGTTGTTGCTTCTTTTAAAACTCTGCGCAAAATCTGTAGTCTTATTTCTCTTTCTCCCTCTGTGATGTGATGTGATGTGTGTGTGTGTGTGTGTGTGTGTTGACGACAGAACGTTTCGCGGCGCCGAGCGTGTAAAAAGTGTGTGTTAAGATTTCTAAAAACGAGTTCTAAAAGACCCAGAGTTATTCTGTTATTGTCCTTTTCGAATGAAAAAAAAAGGAAAACAAAAATTTGAGTTCGTCGTTCGCACGACGACAAAAAAAATATCCAACCTCGACTTTTGAAACGTTGTGTTGTTGTTCGCGGACGCGATGACGTCGTCTGACGCCAACGCGAACGCTGCTGCTGTTGGCAACGATGGAGACGACGACGTGGAGATGACGGAGACGACAGCAAGAGAGGAAATACAAGAAGAAGAAGAAGAAGAAGACGAAACAAAGAAGACAAAGAAGAAGACAAAGAAGAAGAAAGAAATAGAACTCGTGCAAAGACCACGCACGCACGAGTTGGAAGAGACGCTCATATGTAACGGCCGATATCAAACGGAGCGAGAAATCAACCGCGGCTCCTCCGCCGTGGTCATTAAAGGATACGACGTGACGAACAAGCTTCCGGTGGCGTTGAAAATCATGGACGTTTCGCAGACAAGCGAACTGTCTTTGCCGTTAAACTCGATAACGAGAGAGGTGAAATACGCTCACAAGTTAAACTCTCCTTCTTCTTCCTCCGAGTCCTCAAATACTACGGATAATTTTGCGCGTTTGTTGAACGTGACGAACCACATCTCGCCAGAGACTAAGCGCGAGTACGTCGTTTTGGTTTGGGAGTTATTGGAAGGTTTAGATTTGCTTGATTACATAAACTCTAAAGGCGGCAGATTGACCAACGAAGAGTCGCGAGCGCTTTTCGCGCAGCTGTTAAACGCCGTGGAAACGATTCACGAGCGAGGATTCGCGCACAGAGATTTGAAACCAGACAACTGTCTCGTCGTTGATACAAAACAGAAAAAGACTTTAAAAGTGATTGACTTTGGTTTATCAAAAGGGTTAGATTCCGCAAAAACGCTCGGCATTGGTACTCCCGACTACATGGCGCCGGAGTTGATTGGCGCTCCTTCGCGGATGAAGAGCGGAGGAGGCTATGATCCGATTAAAATCGACGTTTTTGCAATGGGTGTAACTTTATACCTGATGTTACTCGGACGTTATCCTTTCGAGGATCCAACGAATCATTCAACGTTGTCAACCATGAAAAATATCCGCGCTGGGAATTTTGCGAGACCGCAGAAAGGCGTCATCGACTCGGATGCGTTGAACTTGATTGAAAATATGTTGGCGCCCGACCCGGAGAAAAGATTTAGTTTGAAAGATATCAGAAATCACACCTGGGTTCAACGAGAGCGAGAACAAGAGATTTTGCTTCAAGAATACGACGAGTTTGAGAAACGGTTACAGGATGTGCGAAGACAAAAAGAACGCGAAGAGGAGGCAAAGAGACAACGCGAACAGGAAATTTCACTAAAAAGGTACAAAGAATACGAGAAACGTTTGATACAAGCGCAAAAAATGAAAGAGGCGCGACGAGAACGCGACGAGAACGCTCCAAACACTTTACTTGGTCTACGACTACGTCTCGTTGAATCGAAGATAGACTGCAAGCAGGAAATCCCAAAGGAGAAGAAGAAGAAACCGGCGGCTTTTGGGATTGCCTCGCTCTTTGGTGGCGGGCGGAAGAAGTAAAAAATTTCGTCGTCAATAATAATTATAAACACTTAATGAATACAAAAGAATTACACTTGGATGAATCATACTACGCTATACGGTGAGCTATTATCGTTTCTATCATCGTTGTTCGTGTTTTCGTCGTTTGATGGGCGGAATACCGAAGTCAACTCGACGTTTTGTTGTTGTTGACGATGATTACCACTGTCCTCCGCTCCCCCTCCTCCTTCTTCACCTACCACCGGCGCTCTACATAAAGGACAATTGTCGTGTTGCCCCAACCATTCATCCAAACACGCCGTGTGAAACTGATGACCGCAAAGCGTCAGTTGACGCAATCGATCGCCGTTTACAAATTCGTCCAGGCATACCGCGCAGGAGTAATCGCAATCGTCGAGCTTCGGTCCATCACCCGCATCTCTAAAGGTTACAATAGGAATTCTAGAAATCACATTTTGCGGCGTACCCCTGAACGGTTCTATCCGCCGGTTACCCGCACCACCAAATGTAAACGCCAATTCTGGATTAGCAGCGATTTGAGCCGCGCGAAGCGCACGCATCCTTGCCAATTGTCTGTTTTGAACTATTCTTTTCGCGAGCGCTATGAGCATGCAGACGAACAAACTGAAAATCATCACTAAAGATACAGAGATGAAATTCGGAAGCTTCGTGCTCGAGGACTTACCAGCGTTAATGACGATGTTGTACGAAAAGCCATCGTGTACGTAATAGTTGATGTTCAAAATGCCGATGTAATACACGCCGCTTCTGCTCATGATGTCCGCGGGAATGTGATATTCCGTCGGGCTTCGCATATTCCGCGAGCTAGATAAGATGTCATCTGCGTTTTCGTACGAGGGGTAGTCATTGTACTTCACAATCAGTAACGGGTGTCCATTGCCTTGGTAGGAGAAAATCACTCGCAAACCATCTTTAGTCGCGTCTGGAAAAAACGCGGTATCAATTTGTATGTAGTTCCATTCGCCCGGGGCGATGACGCCATCGATACCGCTCGCGAGATGATCATCTGTATCGAACGGAATGACTTTACCTTGACAATATTCTCCTCCATAAGAATTTACCTCACACGTACACACGCTCTTCCCGTTCGGAATATCCGCGTCACACGTGCCGTGACTGTCGCCGAAACAATCGAAAGGACACATCGGCGTTTCCACTCCGGCGCCGTTGTTATTCCATCTCGCACGAAGATAGTACTTGGAAACCTCTTTCAAATACTGATTGTTGTTAAACACACCGACGTAATATAATCCTGAATCTGCATTTGTCAACTCAATGTGATGGTAATCGAGCCTGGAGCGAAAGGAGTTCATGTCTGCCATGGTTGTAAAATCTTGGGTCGACGGCACGCCATACGCGATACCGCTCCCTCCATTCGCCTTTCCGTCCGCCGCTCTCTTGACAAACAGAATTGGATCACCAAAGAGTCTGTTTAACTCTACAATGATCGTCGATTCCGATCCGACTGGCGTGGGGGGCACTTCAAACGAATAATAATCCCACATCTTCTCGTTCAACAAAAAAGGGTTGCCGTCCACTGGTTGTTGCTCTCCATTTGGCAGCGTCGTGGCGACTTTATCGCACGCCACGTCGCCGTACCCGACGACACACGAGCACACACCAACGCTATCTATGTTTTTACACTCCCCTTTATTGCTACATTCGTTCCCATCCGGTTCCGGACACGGCGGCGTGGAAGAACACCTCGCTCTCAAGTTTCCGTTTAACCGATTCTCCGTGAAAAAATTCACGTTCTTCACTACACCTTTAAATATGTCGCCGTAAGATTTCACCATCTCACAGTTATCCTCGCAAACATTATCTCCATTCAGACATTGCTCCGTGCACGCTCTGTTATCAATCACAATCCTATGGTACGGACGAAAGGTCTCGTAGCCGTCTTCGTCTTTTTGCGCCCAAGTCGGACGCCAAGACCACTTTTGCCAATCCGCGTTATACGACGCCGTTGGATACGCCGTTTGCCCTCTGGCAATCATCAACATCGGATCTGGTCTTTGAGAAGTGTCCATGCCGTACGAGTACCCGTTATCGTATAAATCTACTTGGATGTACTCTTTGCCTTGTTGCGAGCACACGGATATGTCGAACGAAAACTCGAAATCAGAACCTGACGCGACATCGATTTGCTTGTCCGTGTTGATGACAAGCAACGTATCGGCTTTAACTGCTCCTAAACGCGCGACGAATACTACTGTTGTTATCATCGTTATCATCGCCGTCGCAGCGCCTGTTGAAAATGATGATAAGAAGAGAAGAGGTGAGTGAGTGGGCCACGAAGACAAAACAGAAGACGTCAACAACACACCAATAATCAGGGCAAAACTGAGGATGGGAAAAAAGAAAACAACGACGAACGACGAAGAGCAAAGCACGACTCACCACGCTTTGTTCTCGTTGGTAATTTCAGAGAGGACGAGCGCCGAGGCATCTTCTTCACTCTTTTGCTCTCTCTCTCTCTCTCTCTCTGTGTGTGTGTGTGTGTGTGTGTGTATATATATTCTTTTTCTTTAGATTTTAAGTGATGACAAAAAAGCAGCCAGACAGTGACGTCTTAATGTGGATAGGAAAAGGTCAGTCTGAGACAGTTACCAGTAGATATTTCTACGTGCATTTCCGCGGTTTGGCATAATATCATGGTAATACAGAGGTAATATTCTTAATATTCTTAAATATTTTTATTCGCTCTTCTTGGCGGGAGTGTTATTACTACTACTCTTCCTCCCGAAGGATAAAAAAACTTTCTTGAACTTGCCGGGAGTACTCGTCGTCGCCGCGTTTGATTTCTTCTTCTTCTTCCACGCGTGTTGAATCCTGGTCGCGGCGTTCTCGGCGGATAAAAAAAATGAAGGCGGTCTCAAGGCGGGAAACAATCTATTCACCTTCTTTTGGTACTCTTTGTAAGTCGGGTACTTCCCCGCCGTGATTTGCTCGGTAAACGCCGTCGATCCTTGAAACAACAAAGATAACAAAACCGCACCTACATAGCACGCGTGCAAAGCCTCGCAGCCACACTTGAGACCAGGGATGGACACGAAAAAACACGATCCGCAACACCTCAGCGTCTTCGGTAAACGCAACCAATACCAGTTTTCTTTCGCCTCCGAGCACGATTGCGGCAACGCGGACCCACCAGAAGCCAAAACGAAAACGCATAAAGACCACCAAATCATCTGTTCGCTGAAAAAGTTCGGATGTCTGGACCGCGCGAACAGACCTTTACTCAAGAACCCATTTTGGTAATCCGTTTCGTACTTCGCCTCCCGCTTCGCCTTGCCGTATTTGGCCTGTTGAAACCGCCACTGTTGATTATCTGCGACGCGTTCCAAGTTGAAGAAGAATAAGAAAAGAAGCGTGGCGTACAAATCGTACTCGTTCAAAGGTATTTTTTGAGCGTACGGTGTCGCCGCCCACGCGCACGGCGCCGTGATTAAGAACAACAGCGCGTGTTGATAGAAACATATGAAGGAGAAATTGAACAGTAACCAACCGAATTTTGAATTCAAAATTTTCTTTTCTCTCAACACCGCCCATCGATAGTCCTCCTCTCCGCGATTATATCCACCTTTCCTCGCGAAATTACGAGTCAACCTTACTCCCCAAATGAAAATCAGCGCGCTCATCAGCACGTTTCTCGAGTTAAACTTCCCGTAATACGTAAACACGAACGAGTAGAAAATTGGCGTCAAACTCCAAAGTCTGTCCACGTGCGAGTACGTTTTCGTTTTCAAGGACGCGAGGAAGGAGTAGACGATGAATATCAGGCATAATTTGGAAGCCGCGAGAATGGCTTCGTTCTCTGCTAACGAGAAATCAGCGTTCGTTGGAAAGCTGCTCTTTTGTTTCCATCTGATGCCAAACATGAATGATTTTCGTCGTAATAGTACGTGGCTTTCCGTTTTGAAGAAGTGTAGGACATGTTGGACGAAATTCCTCATTTTTCTCTGGGTTAGGGGAGCTGTTGTTGGTGTTGTTGGTGTTGTTTCTGACTCTCTCCGCGTGGTGGTTTAGTTTAGTGGTGCGCGAGGTGTTCTTCTTTGTCCTCTTCCTCATCACTTTCAGAACAACGTCATCATCTCAATAACATCCTCGGTGTGTATTGAAATATGGGTTTAGGAAACGACGAGGTAGGTGATGACGATGCGGTGGCGAGCAAAGCAGACCGGGCGAAGAGTTGGATAAAGAAGAGAAGCATCGATGATGGTAACGTCGATGATGATAAGACCTCAACAACGATAATACCGTCGCAAGTATCGAAAGAGGTGGAAGAAGCTCTGTCGTTCGCGAAGAGAACGAAAGAGAAGAATGAACAACAACAACATCAACAACAGAAGTATAACAGCAACAACAACAACAACAACAACAACAAGACGAGTGGTAGCAGTAATAATAGCAAGAAGCAACAACCGAAAAATTCTATCCAGCAGCAACAGCAGCAACAACAACAGCAACATGCGAAGAAAGTGGTGTTCGCTCCCGCACCGTCTAGACCAGTTTGGAATGCACGGCCCGCGACAGCGTCCTCGCTGACCGCTGCAGCGCAACCGTTCAACGTTTCATCGAATACTACTCATAATGAAGACGATGGCGTGCATTGGCCGACGACTGCCGAAAATGACGGTGGAAAACACGGTGGAAAAGACTATTTACCAAAAATAACCGCAGAATCTTTACGAATAGAGGCTCGTAAGTCCAAGGTGGATAAGTTTGGGAAGATCCCGTGTCGAGTGTGCGGAAGGCGGTTCGCCGAGTTTCAACATTTAGCATCGCACTTGTACAATTCACATTACGGGTTGAACGACCCAGACCGCGTGAAGGTAATCGATACCGAACGCATAGCGAGGGGCGATTTGACCGAACAAGAACGAATCGAGGAGGAAAAACGGAAGAAAAAGAGAACGACGATTGACCTATCGGAAATTGTATCGGGGGAGAATAAATCCATCAACGCCGGCGGCGGTGGCGTGAGTGCAATGTTAGGCGGTTTAGGTTTATACTTTAAAGAAGGGAAAGCGAAGAAAAGCGATAAACGTGCTTTATTGGGAAAGAAAGTGGAAGGTCGTCCCAAACGGGGCGGGGAACTTATGGCGAATCCAAACGCTGCGATGGCTTCGGCCACGTTAATGAGAAGAGGGAAAGAGCGCATGGACGGTAAGAAAAAAAAACGCATGACAAAACTGAGGAAAATCATTCTCGTGTCCAGAGCAAATAAGAAAAAGTCGTCGAAAGGAGATGACGACTCGACGATTGAAGTAACCATCGAGGTTGACAAGGTGTACGTGAACATAAAAGTGGACGAGGAGGATAGCGAAAGAGTAAAGGTGGATTTGTGGTGCGACGAAGACGACGATGATTCGGACGACGATAATAACAACGATAAAGCCGACGTCGTCGTCGACGACGACGAATCTATTAACAGAGCACATGCAGATGAACAAGACGGCACAGATACACCAACAGCAACTAAAGAACATGCAGATGAACCGTACATCGTCTCGTCCACGTCGAGTCGAACGGTCATTCAGTTACCTTCCATTTGGACGAGAAAAAGTTTTATCGATACTTTGAAACAGAAAGAATATGAACTCATGAACACAAAGTCGGAAAACAGCCAGACAGACCAGCACACAACAGCGATAGGAAAGAAGACAAAGCCAAAAAAGAAGGAAAAATCAGCGTTCGTATCAAAATTCTGCGAATTGTGTAAAATGGAGTGTAACAGCGAAACGGCGTGGGCGGACCACGTCGCCGGTAAGAAACACGCGAAGATGCTCGAACGCAAGGAGAAAATCGATCGCGGAGAAACCACTGAAGAGCACATTCAACGCAATTTGGAGCGCGTGAAAGACGCCTCGTTCGTCAACAAGGTTGAAAAAATGCCGAAATATGCCTCGCAAGTTATCACGACGCCTCTGAATCAAGCCGTACAAGCGCTCTTCTCCGAGCTTCGAAGATTACAAGAGAGACTGTATAAAACAGATCCTATAAAAGCAAAATCGAAAAAGCGATTCACGTTCGGTATGCGTGAGGTCGTGAAAAATGTCGAACTCGGTAAATGCAAAGCTGTTGTCGTCGCTCCGAACATTGAATCCACCGGCGATATGGAAGGCGGTTTGGACGACCAAATTTGGCAAATCGTCAAGAAGTGTCGCGAACTAAATACGCCGGTTTTATTCGCACTCACGCGGTCGCGATTAGGTAAGTTGTGCGGTCCACGTTACGTTTCTTGCGTGGCCGTGTTGAATACGGACGGTTTAGAGGACCAATTGAAAGACATGTTGCGTGAAGGCCAGGTCGCGCGAAAAAAATACGAGGATGAAAAAGCGGTTGAAGAAAAGGAAAGCGAAGAAGACCGCATAGATAGTAATAGTTTCGAATACTCATAGATACGTAGAAAGCAGCGAAAGCATACAAAGTATCACGCGTGTGGCCTCGCACGTATTAAATCTTATCGCTGCTACGTTCTAAAATCCCCAAGAACCCGGGAAAAGTCTTTGGTAGTTTAAACGGATTTGCCAGCTTCGCATCTTCAGTTGCTAATCCTTTCTCGTGCGTCTCCCTGATTTGCGTAATCACCACTCTCGCTTTTTCCAAGTTGAACTCTCTCTTCTCATTCGTTCGTAAATAATCGAGCAACCGCACCGCGGACTCTTCGTTCTCTATCCACGGATGTCCGTATTCTTGTAACATGAATCGAACTTTTTCTTCGTCGTCTTTTTTTCCATCGTCGGAAGTTGACGACGACGACGATGAAGTTTCGGAGGACGAGTTTATTCTCGAAACTGAAACTGTCGACGACCGTTTTTTGGCTAGATGATGATTGGATGTCTTTGAAATCGGATTCTTAATCCCTCGATACTGATGATGATGAGGGTGTTGCACTGATACTATTGAATACATAATTTAAATGTACGAGTAACTGCGTGCGAAAAAAGTGTTGTGTTGTTGTCTGTTCTTGAAAAACTCATCAAACAGTCAAATTTGTCTCTCTCTCTCTCTAAAATTACAACGTGTCACTCAAGGCACTTTTCTCTCTCTTCTTTTCTAACTAATAAACTCGATCGATCGTCGTCAAATCAAATCACTACATCTACATCAATCGACCTCGACGTACTCCGACTTATCTACTACTTGTTGTTGCTGTTGCTTGCGGAAGTCCTCGCGAACCCACTCGCCTCGCGTATAGCTCCAGGTTTTGCCATCTGGCGCCCGACCGTCAGGGCGCACATGCGCGGTAAACTCGACCAGACCAAGCGCCCGCGCCTCCTCTCGTGCCATGCGCGAAGCGACTTCGCGTTGACGTTGACGTTCATTTTCCTCGAGCTCAGCCGTCGTCGGCAGAGGACGTGTTTCCGACTCGAAGATGATTTGGTCGATCACGCCAAGGACGATCTCCCCGAACGGCTCGTCGTACGCCTCGCAGGTGTGCTCCTCGGGGTTGGCAGTGCAGGTGACCGTCACCGACATGGCGTCAAAAATAACGGGTGCTTTGCATTGCCCGCCGGAACACATGCATCCCTTGAGATCCAGCGCCGCCTGCACGCGAGCAGCGTTCTCGTTCGGTTGGTCGTTTTCATCCAAGCACCACTCGCGGATCGGGGTTGCCATTGAAGATGTTTATTTTTGTAGCCCACTCCGTTCTCGTATTCTCTGGTCTCTCCTCTCGAGCAATCGGTCAAAGTTATCTAACCCGACGGCTTTAGGTTTCCCCATGGGTAACACGTGCGCGGCGTATTGGATGCCACCAATAGCAGTGATCGCACCGACGATGATCGCGAACGGTGGCAGCGATTCCAAAGGCATGTGTTCTGTTTTTTTTTCGCGTGTGTTGTTCCAAACAAGTTTTTTGAAGAACAGAAAAAGAAAAAGAAAAAGAAAAAGAAAAAAAAAGAAAAAAGACGAACGTTTGTTTGTTTGTGTTTCTTTCTGAGTGATGAATATAATCTCTTCAAACATCATCACGAAGAATAAAAAGAATACAAAGAAGAAGAAGAACGCACCGCAGCATTAAGGACGACAACATTCAATACACATATCTATGGGGTGGGGCGATCCACCACCAGCGTCGTTGTTGAGCAATAGCAGCGGGCAACAACAAAAAATCAACACGAAAACTTTATCCTTCTTTGTCTTTTTGTTCCTCATGGCGTCGCTTCCTTTCTTCCAATCCCATCACGATTTGGCGCACAAACATCGCATCGAACACGAACGAGCGCACTCGGGAAATTCTATGCACTCCCTGAGAACAGAAATCGATCGAACCGTGGACGCAAAGGAGGAGCTATCTCTCCTTCGGAAGTACGGGACGAAAGTCGTCAAAGGGAGTTTAAGAGGTTTCGTGGAAGGACGTTTGGACGAAGTTGCCAGAAGGACAGAGAGAGAGTTGAGTAAAACGTTGGGGACGGGAGCGGAGAACGGCGGGGGCGATTTGGCCTCGAACTTAGTGAGAACGTCTCGATCGCAAGCGGCGATGAGGAATTTTGGACGAGTGCCGTTTCACGAGAGCAGCACGAGTAGTTTAGGCGCTTCCGGAATGAAATCGTCCGGACAAGGTACGGCGAAGAACAAACGCAATAATAAACAAAGCGCAAACGCGAAAAGAGAATCGCTCGCGGAAAAGTTGGAGCAGTTGGAAAAGATTAACCAGAAAGCGAGAGAAAAATTAGAGAGTGGTTCGGACGCGTCAGAGTTGTTCGCGGAAGCTGCCATGACGCAAGAATCGTGGGCAGACGCGATGAAGATGGCGAAACATTCAACCGGATGGAAAGGTGGAGGTAAAGCGTTCATGGAGCGGTTGCAAAGCCAGAGAGACGAGTACAAGGAGAAAGCGAGCGCGGTGTTCATGTCGGACGAAGACGTCGCCAAAGCGGACGCGCTGATTCACCAAAAGCAAAGAGAGGAGAAAGAAAATAGAAAACGACGATTCTTTGGTGGATTTAGACATAACAAAAGGAAAGATATGGACGCGACGTTGGACGAAGACACGAAGACGCACTTTGAAACTATTCTCGGTGGAATTTCTGGCGTGCAAAGCGACGCGGAATCATTGTTAGAAAGAACTGAAGACGAGAAAGGAAGTTTAGTTTCGCACGCGCGCGAGAAACAAGAGGCATATTTGAAGAGACACAACTCCAAGTCTAGAGATATCCCCTCGTGGTTGCAAGCGAGGTTGGAGTCGAACACCTATTCCGCGTCGGAATCCGATCCGTTGGAGATCGAGCCAAATAACTTAGCAAGATGGATACCGGCTATTGCGGCGAGAGAGCACGTTCTGCCAAAGCGTTCAAGGAACGGGTTGGAGTGCTCGTCGTCGCCGGTAACGGCGGATTTAAGAGACAGCGGTCGTTTGATGCAAAGAGATTTAAAGTATTTGCAGAGAGTGTGGTCGTCGCTCGATGCGACGAGATTGGCGCAGGGATTATGGGCAAGAATGCCTTTACTTTCCGAAGGTTCAAACGTTATTTTCAGAGATAGAGTAGCTTCATCGTCCTCGACTTCTTCCAGAGAATCTCGATCGGACGCGTCGGCGACGCCGAGAGCACACAAACCGAGAGTTCACAAAGAACACCGACCGGCTGAAATGTCTACGGATACGAACGAAGCTATTGAACAGTTGCGAGCAGCTATTGCGAAAGGTAAAGCTTTCAAAGATGATGATGACGACGAAGAGGAAGATGACGATGACGAAGAGGAAGAAGAGGAAGAGCAAATGGAGCAAAAACCGCAAACCGCAGAGAACGCGGAGCAGCAATCGGCAGAGGTTTTGAACACAGTAGCTCAGGCTTTAAATCTCGATAGCACCGATATAGAAGAGCTTGGATTAGTTAGCATAAAGAACAGAGACAAGGAAGGCCGCGAGGTTGTTTTAGATGCAGCGATGTTGGAAAAACCTATCGGGGAGGACGGAGAGAACGGTGCAGAAGAAGACGGAATTGAAGAGGGAGGAGATGAAAATGCGAATAACAAAGATGAGGACACCGAGCAAGAACAACAGCCACAACAACAGCAAGGTAAAGATGGGAACGATGACAATTATTCGAACGATGCAAGCGTCGTTGTAAGTGGTGATGATAACACGGACGATGTTGGTGAAGAAGTACCGGAGAGACGACGACGACGTCGACGACTTTTGAGCACGTCGCAAAAGCCGCGGAGTATTCCTTTGACTTTACATCGAGCCATGCTCTTTCCGGATGATTATCACACATCGGACAAGTATTGTCCTGCCGGCATGAAAGGTTGTACCGAGTCAGAGCGTAGGTTGCCGCGCGCGATTGAGTTGAAACAAGAGACATTTGTGGACGGCGTCACGCAACGAGGCGGCGCAGATGGCGACTTGCTTCAAGTTAAACAAGGCGAGCGACAGCGTTTAAAACTCAAACTCGATTTAGTCGGCGTGTTACCGTTAAATGACGAGGACTATGAATTCAAAACGTGTGCCGTGGTTGGTAATTCTGGCGTACTTTTGAAATCCAAACAAGGCAAAGAGATTGATGAACACGAAAAAGTGTTTCGAATCAACTACGCGCCAACGGCAGGATACGAAGAAGACGTCGGCTCGAGAACAGATTTCGATTTCGTGAACTTACAACATGTGAAACCATTCATTGCTGGTCGTACGCGCTTGGGAGGTTCCATTCCGGAAAGTTCTCGCTCTGCGTTACGAAACACGACTTTGGTACTGTTTGAAATTTTCAATCCGTTTGCGCGTTATCATTACTACGCGCCGTTATTGAAGCGGTTAGAAACAGCGCGAGTTTCCGGTGTTGCAAACGAGCACGTAGCTCCAGGAAGCTCCGCGATTGTAGTTTCTCCTGAAATCATCGCACACGCGTTCAAACTTTGGGAAGCTGTCAAAAAAGCCGTGGAACTCGGTGCTGTTTTTGCTGGATTTCACTCGAAAAGGTTCAAGCCGAAACCAATGTCTGGCGTCTTTGCGGCTACGTTTGCGTTACACTCGTGCGAGAAAGTTTCTCTTTACGGTTTCTCGCCGTATTCAAAAACGTCCGCGATTTCGAGCGATTCTAACAAGTATCATTACTTTGATTCCATCACTGGTACGACGACGCATCACTCGTTTGATTTAGCGTATGAGTTTTACAGACAACTGTCGCTTTGGCCTTGCGGCGGCATAGCGTTGGATATAAAAACTTAAAATCGGATTCATTGTTGTCAAGTTATCTATCTATTATAGCACTACAAATCTAGCTTATCTATCCTCTATACACACACACTCTCTCGCTCTCTCGCTCGCTCTTCTTTTCATACCCTCACAAATCAGGGATCGCTGCTGGACTTTCTTCTCATCCTAATCAAACTGAACAGTTTTCGCACGAGCGTTTCTTTCTTCTTTTGCTTCTCTCCGCTTCCTGCTGCAAAGCCGTTGTTCTTGTTGATTCGAAGCACCGCGTTTACTCCTTCTACCGTTTCGTTCTTCACCAATCCGTTTTCATTCTTATCGTCGTCTTCATCGCCGTCGTATTCAGTAACTTTTGGTTTACACCCTCTTGTGGGATACCTCGCTTTCAAAGCCAATTGAAATCTCTCGTGCTTCACCCCGGGAGGTCTCGCGATCGCAAACGCTTCCAACGCCTCCTCCGCGGTCATGTTCTCCTTCTCGATGAGATAACTACACACGATAAACCCCGTTCGATTGAAACCATACGCACAATGAATAGCAATATACTGTTCCGGATGTTTTTTCCAATGCTTCGTCGCTTCTCTCATCACTTTCGAGCAACATTCGATGTTCGGTATCGATTTTGCTATGTTCCTGACGTGTACTCGATGTACCTCTTTCGGTATGTCCTCTTCGTACAAACACTCGTGATTGCTCAAATCAATGATCATGGTAACCTCTCTCTGTTTCGTCTCTCGTTGTTCGTATAACATCTTCTCCACTGTTAAAATATGCGCGTACTTCTCCATCTGCTCCAAGAACTCTAGCGACAACGGGGTCTTCATCGGTACGAACTTTGTCTTTCCGACGTTCTCGCCACAGGACTCGTAATCGCCCCATTTCTGTAGTTTCGTGAGAACGGTCGCTTTTTCGTACGGAATCTGGTCCGTGTTTCCGAATATTTCCGAGTTTCGTGAGTTTCGATCGTTTTGTTGTCGATGATGATGATGTTGATGATGATTCGTAGTATTAATAGTAGTATTCTTGTTTTCGCTGCTTTTCTTGTCTTCCTCGTCTTCTTCTTGTTCCAATAAAGTGGATTTAACATTTTTGACGGCTGGGTGGTTGGTATTACTGCAACTCGTCGTAGTCGTCGTATTCATCGTCGTCTTCATTTGCTCCGCAAACATGACACCCAGGCTATCGCACGAAGACGCTCTCATCGAAGACACGCGACCTTGCGGCGGAGATACCGGGGATTCGCTTTTTCCTTGTCTCGACCCCCAACCGTTTTCTTCTTTCTCTTCTTTCTCTCCTCCTCCTCCTCCGAAAGCTTCCATCGTCGTCGCTCGTCGCGCCTCTCTCGCTCTCGACGAACTCGTCTTTGGCGATAAAGGAATTTCATTTTTCTTCTTCTTTGTCTTCTTCTCGTTCATGATCTTTGTCTTCTTCTTCTTCTTCTTCTTCTTATGCTGCGAGGAATAATAATTCGATGAGAGATGAAAAGAAGTTTTGTGGAAAAAACTTTTTGCTCTGATGACTTTTGCTGCGCGTTTTGTCTCTCTTCATAAAGAAAAAGGAGTGTATGCGAGCGGCGCTCCAAAACGCTCGTCTGGCGTTCAATCATCACAGCAGTAGTTCAATCATTATCAAACGCACCACCGATAGATCTATCGCGACGACGAAAACAACAATGTCTTCTTCATCAAAGGGAAAAAACTGGGACGGTTCTGGCACGCAAGAAGATTTGATGCACCGAGACGAGTGCATTTTAGTGGACGCTAAAGATTCCATCGTCGGTCACGCGAGTAAATACGACGCTCATCATTTCTCCGCGAATGCAGAAAGAAGAAACACTCCGAAAGGTTTATTACACCGAGCGTTTTCGGTGTTTTTATTCGATAAAGAAAATAACAAACTTTTGTTGCAACAAAGAGCGGCGTCGAAAATTACCTTCCCGTCGGTGTGGACGAACACGTGTTGTTCGCACCAGTTGCACGGATACGAACCGACTGAAGTAGACGACGAGGTAGTAGACGTGAGAAAGAATAAGAGAGCGCCGGGCGCTGTTCGCGCGGCGAGGAGGAAATTGTTGCACGAGTTGAACATAGACCCAGAGACGGTGAAAGAAACGCAGTTTAAGTTTCTAACTCGTTTGCACTATTGCGCGAAAGATAGTTTTGGAGAGGCGAGTTTGCGTCCGGAGAACGGGACCGCATTTTGGGGCGAACACGAGATGGATTACGTTTTGTTTTGTCGAGCGGACCAGGCGGAGTTGGTGAAAGGCGGGATGTCGATTAACCCGGAAGAGGTAGACGCGATGATTTGGGTGTCGCCGGAGGAGTTGAGAGAGATGATGAAGGAAGAGAAAGGTTTGCGGTGGTCTCCGTGGTTTCGAATCATCGTCGATAGATTTCTGTGGAAGTGGTGGGAGAACATCGACGAAGTGTTTGCGACCGATAAATTCGTCGACGAGCAAAGTATTCACGAAGTCTTAGAAGAGGAAGATTAAAATTTTACGCATAAAGGTGCGCGTTTCCTTCTCGTTTTTTCTCTCTCTCTTTTACACACGCGCGCATATACTATATATGCGATGCTGATTATTTTCGATGAAGACAATTTATCGACGGGCGGACAGACGAGCTTGATACCTCGAGTGTTGATCAGTCGGAAGGCGCTTTACAAACGCACCTGAGAAAATAATAATAGCGCGCGTGCGCGCACACGCGTTCGTCTCTCTTTTCTCTTCTACCCCAAGGGCTGACTCGTTCAATTTTCTCTCTCTGTCACTCTCTTTCTCTCTGAATGTATCCGCAGAATCTAAAGTACATCGTCCGAATTTATTAGCAGGTAGCCTTTTGTGAGAATACTATTAGTAAGAGTACATCCAAAGTAATATTTGTCGCTCGTAAAAATTTTCGCTCTCTCCTCTCTCCTTGCTCTCGTTCAAAACTTTCTCCACTTGTCCTCTTCACTCTTGTATACGCACAAAAGAAACCTTTACATAGGAAGTATAAAAAGAATATTTCGCTCATAAAACACTCTTGCAGAAGAAATAATAATGGAAAACGACGAGCAGTCGTTGCCTAAAGCGACCATCAACAAGATGATCTCGGACAGCATCCCGGAAGGTTTACGATTGAGCAACGACTTGAGAGATTTACTTCTCGAATCGTGCACGGAATTCGTCCTCTCCATATCCTCCGAAGCGACGGATATCAGCACGAAAGAGAACAAAACGACGATAACACCGGAACACGTGATTGCTGCGCTGAAAAAACTAGGTTTTGATGATTTTATCGACGAGTGCACGAAAGAGATGGAGATTGAGAAAGACGTTGCCAAAGACAAGAGAATTGAAAAGAAGAAGAAGAAAGACATGGGCATGTCGGCGGAGGAGGCGATGGCTCTGCAGGCAAAAATGTTCGCCGAGGCTAAAGCGAGAATGGCTGGTCAACAACAAGGAGGACCTTAATCTCCAGCCGAGCGCGTTTTTATAACATAGTAGCCGTTTAGCTTTTGTGTAGAATAATATATATTTTTAGCCCACCTTTATGGTGGGACAGACAACGTGTTTTCATGCAAAGTACACGCGCGATGTTGTTTCAATGTACTACTAATCGCTCTTTTTACTTTTAAAAGTTGCTAATCCCAAAGCACGACTTCAACACGCTCCTACCACCCGGGATGTAACTCAAACAATACCAAACCAACGCCAAGGATTGCAAAATCAAAAAAACCATCGTCAACGGAAACGATTTCAACACGCACGCCGACACGATGGTCATGATTAAACACCCGAGGTACATCAAAGTTGCCACCAAACGCGTGGCTTTGAACATATTCTTCGCCTGTCGGGCAAACCCGGTTAAAAATCCAGTCGAACCTAACGATAAAATGTTCCCGATGGAATACAACAACGCGAACTTCATCGGTTGCATCCACAACAAGGACGAGAGGAACGAGCAAATGAGACCCATGCCAGCGCAACAGGCAAATCCGTATAATCTTTGCTCGTATGTCAAATCAATGCAAATAGATCCGGTGAGTTCGTCGAGCATTCCCGCGGGCGTTTCCGGCTGTGATGGTTGAATACCAGCCCTGTTGTATTTATATTAGAGAAGAAGTTCATACACAGGATTAGTTTTTGTCGTGTCGTTAGGACGAGAGAGAGAGAGAGAGAAATAAACGTTATTATTGAAAGAAGAAGAAACGAAGCACTCACATCAACTTCACCTTATCCACGCCTTTCGACACGGACGCTTTAATCTGTTCCGCCATCGTCCCTCCTCCTCCTCCTCCTTCCGGGTCCTCCTCCGTGCCGTAAATGGAAATCTTTCAAATTTGCAAATTTGATTTATGTGCGAGAAGAGACCGAAGAGAGAAAGAGTGTGTCGTGCGCTCTCCGCTCTTTCCGCTCTTTCCGATCTCTCTCTCTCTCTCTCTCTCTCTCTCTCTCTCTCTCTCTCTCTCTCTCTCTCTCTGCGAACGCGTGTTATTACGTATCTAAGAGAGACGCGTATGTGCGCTGTATATGTGTGCGTGTGTGTGTGTATTTATTCTCCCAACTGACGAAGAGTTTTCTGAAGTTCGTTTTAAAGAGAGAGAGGAATGTGCCAGAAGAGAGGAAAGAGGAGATTCCTCAGGAGAAAGAGAGACAAAAAAACCGCACAAAAAAAAGAGGGAGAGAGATGAGAGAGGACCCAGGCGAGGAGGAGGAGGAGGAGGAGGGCGAATCCGAATACGGCACGCCCGAAGCTCGGGTGAATAACGACGCCGGTGTCTTGGTGCATTCTCCTCCTTCTTCTTCATCGTTGGAGTCCTATCCTTCTTCTTCGGTGAAGAAGAAGAAATTTGCTTCTTCTTTCGTAACGAACAACAACGACGAGGAGAAGAAGAAGAAAACTTCGAGGACGAGAGAGGACCCTACCCCGAAATCTCCGGAATATTCGACGCCGCAGATGCGAGTGAATGCGAGCAATAATAACAGTGTTCGCGTTCGTGGTGATGGTAGTAATCGAGCCGCCAGCCCATCGATGATTGCTTCTCCTGCTAATAATTCGAAAGTGTCCTCCTCTCCATCTTCGTTCGGCGTGACTCCAACGAAGAGAACAAATAATAACATGAACAAATCATCTTCCACTCGAACGTCAAACATAGACGTGTCTTCGGTTCAATCTTTGATGTTAGCAAACACGCATGCGGTGAATGATTTACACAAACGAGTGTTGCGTGCAACCTCGCACAGGGAAAAATGTATCACTTTACTCTCCAACGCGCACGCTTTACAGTTGGCGTTGGTCGAAGCCAATCAGACACACGAAATGCTAGATGCGCAAAGTTTAACGCAACTGAAGAAAATTATGATTTCGTGCGTGGGGTTGCTGAGATTGTGCGTAGCGCGAGTGGACGAGGTTGGAAATTTATCCATCCTAGAGAAGGCGTTTACGAGATATGGAATACTCTCGTCGAGCTCGAATAAGAAGTTTATCAGTTTACAATCGGATTTGGAGATTATCGAAACGCAATTATGGAATTTAACCGGCGCGAGTGGAGGTGGAATCGCGTCTAAAACTCAAAGCATTGCATCATTGACAAGGCATTCGAGGTTGTTGAGAGGTGGCTTTACCACGGCGATGAATAAGATTATTTTCGGGAGCGGCGTAACGGAGATGATTGCGTGCGGGGTTGATTGTTCCGAATTGTGGGTAGCGAATGAGACGAGGTTTCCTAGACGCTCGGGAATCTTACAAGTCACGGATTTGTTTTTAAACGAGCGGAGAGAGTTGGAAAACGGTGGTAGATTAGATGCGAGTAGCAGTGGTAGTAGCGGTAGTATAAGTAGCAGGAATAAGAGCAGTAGCGATGCTTACAGTAAATCGAGAGGAATAGGAGGGTGTTTTCGAAGTCTCGAAGAAGGTGACGAATACAATGACGATGGTAATACAAACGCTATCAGAAACGGGATGTCTTCTCTTTCCATGCGCGTTTCAGAAAAGCCACGCGGCGCTATTACGGTAATGACAAAAGGCTCTGGTGCATGTGCGGCTTTGCTCTTCGTTGGGACGTCCGCTGGTGACGTTTGCGTGTGGGACGTAGATTTGGGTAAAGGAAACGAAAACGCGGTAATGAAAGTTAGGAAAGGTGTGAGTGCGACAGCTATGAGCATCGTAGACGACGACGAAGAAGAATCAAACGACGACGAAGAAGACGACAACGACAATGATTTGGTTAGGGGCGAGGAGGAAAACGGAACGAACGAAGTGCGCGCTTCGGCATTCCAAAAGAACAAGTTTCAAATTTGTACGCTTTGGACTGGGTTTTCAGACGGTTCGATATTAGAAGTCATGGCAAAGGTAAAAATAAAGTCTCGGCGACAAAGCTCGAGCTTAGGAAACAGTCAAAACACATCTCCGGGAGATTCTTGGCAAGAAAAATTTGATAACGAAGTCGATCGCATCGCTGGAGCAGATTTTGAAGTTTATTTGTGTCTGGGTCGATTAATTCGTGGAGAAGCGGATGGATTTGGTGTCTCCAAACGCGCGGTGAAGTTTATAGTGTACTTAAACGGTCACGTATACGTGCCATACACGAACGCGACGGCGACAAAGTACGCGAACGAGAATTTGGAAGTGTGGTCGACGAAATCGGGAAAGCGCATAGCCTCGAACGAAGTTCACAATGATTTAGGTTTAGTCGAAGAGTGCGTCGCGTACAAAGACGCCGAGTGCGTCGTTACTTTACACCAAGCTGAAGGTACGTTCGGGAGTGCTTTGGGAACGGTGCAACTCTGGGGAGGAAGAGGTATAGCTCCGGAAGCGCGAAGCGCAAAGATCAATGAAATTCCGTTTGGGAGTCTGGCGTGTCGCGTCGATATCGTTGAATTTGCCAGTCTTTTGATTATTGGACATGTTTCTGGTCATATTACCATATGGAAGCTTCCTTCGACTGATGAACTGGACGCGTACGTGACGAAAAGAGTCGACGAGAGAAGTTTAAATCTCGGCGTGCCTGGCAAAATTTTAGCGCACCGGTCTGGTATGGTCTCCATGTGCGGTGTTCACGCCGTGAGCGGTTCGCACAGTGGTGTTGCTACCGCGGGAACGTTTGGCTCGGTGTTACTGTGGCCAATGTCGGAGCTTGAGAGTGCGGCTGATCGTGCAATCAAAGAAAACGGTGGTAAAATGAGAAGAAAGAAGCGCCGGCAGCCTTCGCAAGAGAAACTGAGCGCTGGACTCACGTCGAGTAGAACGGTGTCCCAGGATCTTTCTCCGATGCTTTCTAAAGATCGGAATGGCGGCAGTAGCGGCGACATCGGGAAGAAGTTTACACACACGCCGAGCGAAAAGCGAATCGCTTCTCAATTAAATACGACGTTGATTTCTCAGAGTGAAGTTGCGCTGAAACAGAAAATCGGGGAAGGTTCCTTTGGACGAGTTCACGTCGCAGTTTGGAATCACGTTCAAGTGGCCGTAAAGTTCATCGGAACCGAAGGCATGGAAGAATCGTCCGACCTTCGCATGGCGATGGACGAACTCGAGAAGGAAGTTTCGATTATGACGAATTTGCGACATCCGAACATCGTCGCTCTGTTTGGAATAATGCGATACCCTCCAGCTATTGTCGAAGAATATTGCGCGCGTGGTTCTTTATTTTCAGTTTTACAGCGCCACGCGAAACCTGGCGTGCCATCTTTACAGTGGCGCGTTCGTTTACGTCTCGCGCTCGGCGCAGCGTGTGGCATGTGTTATTTGCACAATTGCACTCCACCGGTAATTCATCGAGACTTGAAATCTGCAAATCTCATGGTTGATGCATCTTTCCGCGTTAAAGTTGGTGATTTCAACTTGAGTCGCGTGACTGCCGCGAATAGAGCTACGGGTAATAGTGTTTCAACCTCCGTGAACTTGCACTCTCCGCGCTGGTCGGCGCCTGAAGTATTAGACACGGGTGATTATTCGAAAGCGTCAGATGTCTACTCTTTTGGTATCGTACTTTGGGAAATCCTCACGTTGCAATTGCCATGGGCGGAATGGTCGCACTGGCAGGTTTTGCACGCCGTGATTGAGCTAGAGGAACGTCCAGAAATTCCAGCGGATGTTTCACCTCGTTTCCACGCGCTCGACAAGTTTATTCAGTTGATGCGTTTGTGCTGGTCGCAAAAAAGTGTCGATCGACCGACGTTTGAGACTATCATTCAAACCGTACAAAAGATGATTGAATCCACGGAAAAGTTCGAGAATGAAGAGCGTTTGAAATTCAAAAATGAAAGTGGAACTGTTGGAGGCGCCATCGCGCCTCGAAAGTCCGGATCATTACCGAAAAGTATTAAGATCTTCTCTGCCAACACCAATGAAGGAGAAAAAGCTCCGGCGCCTTCTTCTTCCCGTTCGAACGTTGTCGACACGAATAAAGATGTAAAAAGCAGTAGAGATGACGACGTAAATAACAACAATAACGAAGATGATGACGATGATGCAGTCGTGATAATAAAAGACAAAAGGAAGACGAGCGGCGTTGCTCCTTCCAATTCCATAACGTCCGCGACGAAAAATACAAACAACGACAGTTTGACGAGTCCGCCGAGTCAAAAATCCTCGTCTATTTTAGCCGGTATTGAATCTAGGAAAAGCTTCAACACGCGGCAAAGTAGAGTCAAGTCGCCGTACAAATCGCCTTCGAAGATATTGAGAGGTTTAAAAAGTTTATCAAAGAGTGCGGACTTATAAAACACAGCTCGTAGAATTTGTTTATGTAGAAGATATTAGCTCGCGCGTGTTTTGTAAATCTGATGACTTTTGAAGCGCGCTATCGCAAAACGAATGCGCACGTACTAGTTCTCTATGCGTTGCAAAATGAAGCAATAAAAGTAAATTTTATTATCAAAGCTATGTTTCCTAGTATAGATTAGAGCTACTTATTTAGGCTGTTCCAGTCGCCGAAGTGAATAACACCATAGCGCGTACTTCCTCTGATCCTAACTCGATCAGTTGTCAGCTTCATGCGTATTCAACCTCCATTTTCATCCATCGACTTTAAACGACGGTAATCTCCCCAAAAAGGACATGGTAGGCTTTAAAACGAACACGCACACACATTAATTTATATGTTTTGCTATTACGCGTCTTATTTGGTTGCTTATCGGCGGTTATTGTGGTGTCTTCCTCTGTGTCCAATAGACACACCCGGTAAGTTACCCATGTTCATGGACTTCAACATATCCATGGTATCTCTGTCGACTTCAATCGAGTCAGTTTGTAACGCAGACTCGTCCGGAATAAAGTCCATTCTACGCTCTCTTTCCTCTTCTTGAAGCTTCAAGGAGATGCCTCTGACCGGACCTCTCTGGATTCTCTTCATCAAGTGGGTGGTGAAACCGGCGATTTTGTTTCTCAATCTCTTGGACGGAATGATGGCGATTTCATCTGCGATTCTCTTGTTCGTGGCAAAGTCGAGAGTTAATCGGGAGTAGTATTTCTCGATGATTTGACGAGAGGCCTGTGGTGTTTTAAGTCAGAATGAAAGAAACATCGTGAGCATAGGGCTACGAGAACAAAAGGCCTTTGAAATTCCACGCCGACTTTCGCGCATACGCACACTCTCGCGAACGATAGAACGCGCAGATATACCGAAAAAAGCGTGGAAGTGATCTGTATGCACACGTTTGTGTTCTAAACGCGCGCATTGAGCACCACGCGCGCACACTCCTCCTCCCCTTTTCCGGACGCGCGAAATTTTTCGCCCCAAAAGAAAAAAAGGGAGAGAAGATGAAAATCGAGTAGTGATTAAAAACAACGCGAAAGAAAACTCTCGCGAACGCGCAAACTCTCTCTTCACGTTTGATTCGTGTTACAAACGTACCTTCTTGACCGTTTTCGTGCGAACGCGACCCATATTTTATGCGTGTGTTGTAAGCGTGTGTTTAAAGTGAACTCTCTTGTGGATGGGGAGGTCTTCGCGGAAGAGGAGGCCTTTTTGGGGGGGGGTCCGAGAGTCCCTAAACCAGGATTCGCCCCGAAACTTCTCTCCTTTTCTCCTCCTCCCACACAATCACACCATAAAAAACATCCAAGAATTACTAAATCATGTTGACAACTTCCCTCGTTGGCACGAAAGTTACCGCGGCTACTAGAGTCCAAACCGTGAAAAGAAACGCGACCGTTCGCGCGGCGACGCAAAAAATGGGCGCGAAAGGTAAAAAGAAAGGAGAAAAGGTGCGTTTGTAGGATAATTTTTTACACGAAAATGGACAAAGAACAGAGAGCGAAAGAGAGAGAAAAAGAGGGGGAGAGGGCGTTTTATCTGCTTTCTTCTCTCTCGATCTCTTTTGTCGTGGTGGTGTTGTTTTGGTGTTCTCTTCTGCAATCTTCTTCTCCTATTGAACGCAAACGACGCGGTATTTGTTACTCAACGCACCACCACGGTCGACGACGAAGTGATTTATTATGGTCGTCGTCGTTTACGTCGTTTACGTCGTTCTTCTTCGTCTTCTTCTTCTTCTTCGCGAGAGCAAAGAAGGGAAAGAGATTAAGAATTTTACTCTCCTTGCGTTACCTTCTTCTTTCTCTCTTCTCCCTTTTTCGGTGGCAAAATCTAATTTTATCATCCTCCCTCCTCTTTCGCCTCCGCCTCCCCTTAAAAAATTCTGACCTGTTTTTCCTCTCTCCCTTTGTTGTTGTTATTCTTTCTCCAAACAAAAAACAAAAACAACGTTAACAGTTATCTTTGGGCGAGTGGTTTATGAAGTACGCGTTGAAAGACTCAAAAGGAACCGGCGCTGGCTACGAGGACGACTTGAAGAACAACCAATACAAACCGAAGGGTAACTTATCCGCCTCGGTTGGCGGGTCGTTCAAAGGGGCGAACGATGTATAAGCGGCGTTCAAAAAATGATGCGCGGTGCGCGAGAGGCCAAGCTCGTCGTAGAACGAGAAGAGACGATATCTCACCGCCATATATTAATAATACCATTTTATACACCATATAAATTAAAAGATACACTGTTGTATATATATATACCCACACTCTTTTCGCTCTCTCTTCTTCTTCTTCTTCTTCTTCTTCTTCTTCTTCTTCTTCTTCTTCTTCTTCTTCTTCTTTTCAGCAGTAGTAGATGACGAAGTACTCGCACACTATTCTCTTTATTTCCGTTTCTGATCAATCAACGCGGAGAGCGCGTCGAATGTATCTGAACCCGGATCCTGGGAACTCCTCGTCGTTCCTCGAGTGGACCGTCCTCCCGATTTCGTCTCTTCGTTGCTGTTCCCAGAAGACCGTCCACTGCTACCACCGGATTTCTTCGTTGGAGACGCGTTTGACTTGCTCTTCGTTCCGCGCAACGACGCCTTGCTATTATTATTCGTGTTGTTCTTAGTGTCGTTACTCCTACCAATTTCGACGTAATTCCCTAAATCTGGTGATCCGAGTTCTAAACTTCCAACCAACGGTAGCGCGTCGTCCAAGTCGCGCATATATCCGATGCTTCCAACTTTGAAAGCATTGCCTCCGTTTTGCATATTCTCGTCGTCCGTTTGGTTGTTTCTGTCGCCGCCTCTGCCTCCAGAACCTCTTCCGAAGCCTCTGCCTCTACCGCCGCCGCTGTTGTTACCGTTGTTATTATATCTATCGCCTTTGTGCGTGGAGTTCCCTCGAGAACTCGGACTGGTCCCTGCGTTCAAATCGTCGTAATAATCCACTTTCGTGGAATTCTTATTCCCGCTTCGATCGGACGGCGAAGTTCCGAGCATGTCGTGCGGGAAAATCGAACCGAAACTTCCGGCGACGCCAAAGGACGTACCAAAAAACGCGCTCGATGGCCCGCGGTCCCGTTTCCCACCCGCGTTTCCATACATCGCCGGCATGTTGCTATTATCTTTGCTATTGTTGTTCTTTCCATCGTTGTCTCCTCCGTTACTCTCTCTATTATTGCCTAAATTCGATTGGTGAGAGGAGTACTTCAGGTGTGACCCAGCTAATAACTCCGACGGGGAAGGTAACGAGCCTAATCTACCACCTGGCAACGAGCTCGACCCCGCAATCGTCGGCGAGTACCCCGAACTCAACCGAATGCCGTTATAATCCGGACTTCCCGTGTGTCTCCCGCTCATCTCCAAGTTTTGCTGCGCCAACGCCAAGTTCGCGTTGACTAGAGCGGACAAGTCATTCTCCGGCGTCAAGCCGTTGAATCCGCGCGTGGGCAATCCTAAAGACGTAAACGAGCTCAAACCAGCCGCGGATGGAAACTTACTCGGTTCCGAGCCGTGGAACCCATTCTTTTCGTCGCCCTTCCCGTCGTCTTTCGATTTGTTCTTCTTGGAGGCGTGCGGCCCTCGTCCGGACCCTCCGCCGCTTCTCCCTGCTCCTCCGCGTCCTCCTCCTCCACTGACGCCCCCTCCCCCGCCTCTCCCTGCCGGTGGATCAGGTAACACAAACGGTGCCGGCTCTTCCCCCGGCGCGAGTTGAAAATTCGTCCTCGCGCCCGGCCCGCGTATGTGCCTCGCCGCGGCGTCGTACGCTCTCGCCGCTTCTTCCGCGGTATCGAACGTCCCGAGCCATAATCGAGCGCCTCGGTTCGGGTCGCGAATTTCCGCCGCCCAACTATTTGTTGTTTGTTTGTTGATGAGTGCGTCGTTATTTAATAAGAAGAAAGAGTATTTTTGTGGTGAGTTTGGTAAGAGAAATTTTGCCCCTTCAAAAAAGAGAAAAATATCTAAGAGAAAAAGAGGGAAAAAAAGGAAGTTCTTTTTTTCGTACCTTCCCCACGGCCTTTGCCGTACGCCCCGGTACACCGAGGAACACTGTTTCTTGGTCTTTGTTTTGGTCGACCCGCCCTGTTGGGCGGTAGTACCGCCGCCGCCGTCCAAGGAGGAAGGGTCTTCCTTGGGGTTCTGTTTTAAGACAAAGACAAAGACAAAGACAAAGACAAAGTGGGGGTCGTTAGAGGAGGAAATTAATAAGAAAAAGTGCGGGTAAAAAGCGACTCTTTCAAAAAGGGAACAACAACAAAAAACTTTTTAAGAAGACATCACGCGTAGCGGTTATAAACGCGAGAACAAAACAGAGATCTGCGTCTAAAACTTTGAGATCTGCGAGAAAACTATGTAAGTACCTCGTCTTCGTTCATCCTTTGATCAACGCGCGTTCAAAAAGTCTCTCTCTTTCTCTCTTTGCGTTCAGAATTTGATAGAGAGAGAGAGAGAATTCTTCTTCTTCTTAGGGATTTGGGTAAAATGGAAAAAAGTTCCTTTCAATTTTTTTGTCCGATTTTGATGAGAGACTTGGCTCATCAACAACGAAATAAAAGAAGAAAACACTCTCGTCAGAAAACAAAAGAGACGAAAGAATAGAATTCTTAAATGCTTCGAGAGGAACGCGAATTGTGCTACAAACACAGAGACGCGTACTACGAAGCCATAAAACGAGGAGAAATCGAGGAAACGAATAATAATAACAAGAAGAAGGAATTGAAACGGCTGAAAGCTTTGTTCGAGAAACACTGTCCGAAGAGTTGGGTTGCGCATTTTGAGAAAATCCGAGAGGATTCGGAAAAGTTTACGAAATTGACGAAATTGACGACGACGACGACGACGAAAGAGTAGAGCTTCTTCTTTCGTGAACCAAATCACGATGAACTCTTCTGAACGAGGAGGACGATTCGGGCGAGGCCGCGACGAGAAAGACGAGTACTACAGAGACAGAGGAAGAAGAGATTCTGTTGGAGGACGACGCCACTTTGAGGAAGAGGAGCAGGAGGAGGAGGAGGAGGAGGAGGAGAGACGATACCGACAACGACGGCGGTCCCGGTCTCCAGAAGAAAACTTTAACAGAAACGAGAACAGAGGTAGAAACGTGGGCATAACCGGCGGAGGTGGATGGAGCAGAGGAGGAGGAGGAAGAGGTGAGAACGATCGCGACGGCGATGAAGACAGAGGAGGAAGAGGAAGAGGAAGAGGACGCGACGATTATTACGACGATGATAGAACAAGAAGAGGGAGAGACCGGTCTCGGTCCCGATCGAGATCTCGCGATAGAGGAGGACATAGACGAGGGGGGCGAGACGAGCCGTACCGCGCTCGAGGAAGAGACGGCGGCGGAGGAGGAAGAGGAGGAAGAGGAGAACGAGTGAGAGATTATAGAGACGACAATAGACACGACGACGATAGAACAGACGAGCGAAGAGGCGGTGGTCAACGCAGAACAGATTTGCCGCCTCCGCCACCGCCTCCTCTGGTAGAAAAAGGAAAAGAAGAACTCGTCGTTGCAGAAGACAACGACGACTTTGAGGACGACGAAGCGGCACAGATGGCAAAGCTCATGGGCTTTTCCGGATTCGATACCACGCAGAACAAACACGTAAATGATCCAAACGCAAACGTTTCCGGCGTATTCAAGAAAACCAAACGGGAAGCGAGGCAATACATGAACCGTCCGGGCGGCTTTAACAAACCGTTGCCGAGCGAAAAGACCAGGTGAAATAAAAAAACTGCAACTCGTACAACGTACAACATCCTCTAAAACTCTAAAAACTCCGAACTATTTTTGGGTCGTCACCAAGTGTAAATACTTCACCGCGGTCCACTTCTCTCCAACCTTCCCTCCTGCATACACGCATTCGCCGACGCCAGTCGCGTTCCCGTCGTCTTTTTGATCTCTGGTCGTGTGTAACCACAGGATTGCGTCTCCTCTTTTCGCTTTCAAAAACAAACTCGCGTCCATATCTTCGCACGTCGTCGCCGTCCTCCTCCCTTGTTCGTATTCCTTCCCGCTATCGCCCCCTCTGTGACCACTGTTACCGTTTGGAAACATAATCACCCCGTTCGAGCTAAACTCTTCTTCGCCTTCTTTCCTGCTCTCGTCTTTCAAAACTAAAACCACCGTGCCTAAGTGCATGTCGTTGATTCGTCCGACGTTTTTCTCGCGCTCGAACGGCGCGTATACTTTTGAATACAACGGTCTCAAACTCGTCTCTCTCGTTCTTAAATCGTGTTTATATACTCGTAACTTTTCCCCGTGCGACGACGGCGTGTGCGTCCATTCCGCTAGTCTTCGTTCGATATCTTTCACGACCGAATCTCCTTCTCGTTCGACGACGAGATTGACGGAAGAAGACGAAGAAGAAGAAGACAAGGAAAACGTTTTTTCGATCAAATAATCGCACTCCGAGTTGCTCAAAAACTTCTCGTACTTGACCGCGTTCGGTTGCCAACTTATTTGCGAAACGCGCGTTGGATCCACACTTATGGTGTTCGACACCGGAATGCCGTCTAACGACGATGAGACTTCAGACGACGACGACAGTTTGAAAGAAGACAAAGAAGTTTTTGTCGTCGTTTTCTCTTCAACCTCATCCTCAAACGCAAACACGACGACGTAAAAAGAAGAAGACAAAGAAGAAGAGAAGGAGAAGAGAACGAGGACGACGAAAAGGGAGCGGCGCAGGAAGAAGAAGCCCTTTTGCGTCGTCGTCGTCATTCGTACCTCTTCTTAAACATATGTACTCTTTTGTGGTGTTTTTCGAGAGTATGATGAAAAACGAAAGCAAAAAGTCTCACGCGTTTGTTTGTTTTTGGCTTCAAAATAAAAAAAAAGATGAGCAGCAGTTTGAGCAGAATTGGAGTACTCAAAGCTTTTACGACGACGAGGAGGAGAACAACAACAACAACGTTAGGATCAGAAGCAAGGAAGAGGTTGAAGAGAATACGAAGCGATTATGTTTTGAGCTCCTCCTCCTCCTCCTCCTATTTTAAATTGGAGAAAGAAGAAGGAGGAGGAGAAGAAAACGAAGAAATTCTGTTATTAACTCCCGAGGAAGTCATCGAAAATCTCCCTTCGATACTCCTCGAGTCCGAGTTAGAAGGTACTACTGGTGACGATACTAACAAAGGAGTGGTGGATTTAGTCGAGTTTTCGACGCTCTGTAAAGAGTACGTGAAGAATAACGGCGACGTGGACGCGCTCGTCCGGAAATTCTCGGAAAGCGAGTATAACTCGTCGCAGTTTTTAGAGGCGGCGTTCGATACCGTCTACGACGCGAAGATGGCGATGAGGAAGAACGAAGTCTCCATGGAAGTGTTCGGGGCGTTTCAGGAGATTTGTTTGATTTGCGCGAAAGCGTTTCGGAAGAGAAATATGAAACCGGAGGTTTTTTTAGCGGACGAGTGCGTGAAAGAAATATCGCAGAGTCGATACAAGGCGAAGTTATTCAAGGACGACGAGGCGATTGAACGAGCGCGATGGAAGGTGAGGAGGATGTTGGTGGAATCCTTCGTCGACAAAGAGTTGTATGGGAGTAAAGAAGTTAAAGAAGAAGGAACGACGAAGCAAACGCTTTTAGACTTTGCAAAGTTCGCTCGACAGCTTTCTATCTGTCGCTCCACCGCGCTCGAGGACATGGAGAAGAATATCTCCTTCGCCACGGAAAGAATGGGAATGAGCGAAATCCTCATCGAAGGCGCCACCGAGAAAGCTCTGAACAAACCAGATGACTTAGAAATCACAAAGAAAGCGATGGAGAGAGTCGTGAACTCCGTGGACGAAGTGTTGGCGTTGTGTTTAGAGTTGGACTTGGAGAAGAAAAACAACCCGGCGACGACTCGCGTGATGAAAGCCGAGCAACTGTTAAGAAAAAATCGTGAGTTTTTGGACGACGGCGACGAAAACGTGTAGTACTAATAGCAGCAGTAATAGCAGCAACATAGCTCGAAAAACGTGTTTAATACGTGGTTTTCTTTCTTCTCGTTTTTAAACGAAGAACGTTTTCGCGTCCTGTTTGTTTCTTGGTGAACAATTCTACAAACTAATACGTACGTACGCAGGGCAAAAAATCATCAATTTTTTATATAAAGTCTTGATAAAAATGTTCAGGACGACGCTCACACAAAGGACGACGAACTTTTCGAGACTCCATCAAAACGTACTCCACAAAGCACTCCTCGTGACACCCACACGCAGCGGCGCGATGATGATGTTGAGTGGCAAGTATACGACGCACATTCGAGCGCTTTCGGGAATGTCCGCCTCGTCGTCGTCGTCGTCGTCTGAATCGTCTGAATCGTCTCTCGGGAAAAGTGTCCCGTCCTCTGTCTCCTTCTCGTCGTCGTCACGACAAATTGTACGTGGCGTTATCTCCTCCTCCACCACCTCCAAAAATCATCATCATCATCATCATCATCATCATCATCCGTTACGATCGACGACGAGCGCGCGAGCCTCTGTCTCCTCCTCATCAATCGTCCGATTTAATAACACGACGACGAATTCGACGAGGAGGAGTCGCGCGATTCAATCCATCTCTCTGAAAGATGATTGTAACAACACGAGTAGAAAAGGTACGACGACGAGGAGATCAAACAACTCGATTCGATTACTCGCCACAGAGAGTGAAAATGGGTCCTCCTCTCAAACTGCTGACGTCGAAAAAAAAAATACCGCAGAGAAAAAAAAATCAAATTACCCGAAACTTCACGTGCAAACGAACGGGAGGGTGGTCGCGATTGGCGACTTACACGGCGACATTCAACAAGCGCGAAGAGCGTTACGGATTGCCGGAGTGCTCGGTAAAGACGACGACGATAACGTGAATCCTCAGTGGGTGGGCGGCGATACGGTGCTCGTGCAAGTCGGAGACGTGTTGGATCGAGGCGACGACGAGATTGGGATTTTGATTTTACTGCAAAAGTTAGGGAAAGCGGCGAGGAAAGCGGGAGGAGATGTGTTTGTTTTGAACGGGAATCACGAAGTTTTGAACATTTCCGGAGATTTCCGGTACGTCTCTCGAGGCGCGTTCCACGAATCGATGCGCTTTTCGGACCACTTGGTGAAGTTGTTTGGTAAAGACGCCGTTCCCGGGAGAAGAAGAAGACGATCGTCCAAACAAGAAGATGGCGAAGAAGAAGAAGAAGAAGAAGAAGAAGAAGACGAAATGGACGAGTGGAGAAAACAGACGAACGCTAGGGTTGGTTTGTTCTCACCGGGCGGACCGTTGGCGCAACAACTGTCCATGCACAATACGGTGTTGATCGTCAACGATACCGTATTCGCGCACGGAGGATTGGTGCCTAGACACGTTGATTTTGGATTAGATAAGTTGAACAAGAGCGTTTCGGAATGGATGCGCGGTAAACGGATCGAAGACGAGGATACGAAAGTGGCTTTAGGGATGGCAATTGGCGGCGTGAAGGATTCTGTAGTTTGGCACCGAGCGTACGGGACAGAACATTACGCCACGAATACGGAACGAACGAACGCGTGCACGTTATTATCGAGAACTTTAGAGAAGATCAACGAAATCGAAGGCATTCCTGTGAAACGTTTGGTAGTAGGGCACACCCCGCAAATGCAAGGAGCGAATTGCGAGTGCGACGGGAAAATTTGGAGAGTTGACGTCGGCATGTCTTTCGGCGTTTTAGGCGCAAACCCGCAAGTGTTGGAGATTATCGGTGACGAGGTAAAGATCTTAACGAGAGAAGTACCGGTGACCATGTCTAAGTTATAATAATAATACTAATATTATATTAATCTTTCTCGTCTCTCTCTTTCTCTCTCTCTTTTTCTTTTATTCCGAATCGCTCGCCATGCCCTTGATCTCTCTGCGCTGTCGAGTCGGTTTTTCGGCTTCTTCTTCTTCGTCTGAAGATGATTGGTTGAACAATTTTGGCCGAAATGGCGAATTCACAGCGTCTGGTATTGCCCCCGCATCCTCCTCTGACGCACCTCCATCTTCTCCTCCCACATCTTTCTTCTTTTTCAAAATTCTCTTCTTCTTCTTCGTCGATTTCTTCCGCGGCGGCATATCTTCTTTCTTCTCGACGGCGGCAGCAATCTTCTTCTTTTTCGTTGATTTCTTCCCTTTTTTACCTCTGGATTCACTCGAAGAGGAAAGAGAAGAAGAAGAGGAAGAATCAGATGAATGCTTCGAAAGTGAGGACGAATCGGAGTCTGAATCATCCGATGAGCTCGAAGTAGCCGCGTTTCCTCGTTGACTTTGATGGGTTCTCTCCAACGCCGCATCCTTCTTCGCCTTAATAGCTGCCAACGTTTCTTGAACGCGTCGTCTTTTCTCCTCTTTCAATTGATCTGCCCGAGCTTTCTTCGCCGCAGCGGCTTCCTCTTTGGCTTTCTTAGCTTGCTCGGCGCGTTCTTTATCTAACGGTTCGTCCTTATCCTCATCGTCGTCTGAAGGAGGGAGCATAAACGCTTCTTTCTCGGGCGCGACGGCATCGTCGAACATATTTTCCGCTTTCTTGTTACTATTCTTCTTTTTCTTCTTCATTGGTTTAGTGAGTCCTTCTGCTTCGCGCATGGCGTCCATGGCGTCTTCATCCTCCTCCTCGTCGTCGTCCGGAAACTCGACATCGTCGTATTCCTCTTCATCTTCTCCTCCGTCAGAGTCGTCTGGAAATTCCACATCATCACCGACAATATCATCCTCGTCGTCGTCGTCGTCGTCAACGTCTTCACCATCGCCGCTCTTTCTTTTATTCTCTTTCGTCTTCTTCTTCGCGCTCGCTTTACCTTTCTTCGTATCTCCATCTTCGTCCTCGCCTAAGCCCATATCCATAAAACTATGCATCGCGTTCCTTACTTGCGCGTTGTTCTTCAACTTCCTCACGCGCTCCAACACCACATCTGGATCCTCGTACGGGTACATCTCGTGCGCCCAATTTCTATACATGCCTAATATCAAAGCAATATCGTGCGTCTCGTTCCCTTTCCCTTTCCTTTCTCGATCGTACACATCCGCGAAGGTTTCGTAGACTTTTTGAATTCCGTTCGGGCCTAAAACGTGTTCCTCCACGGAAAACTTTGGTTTCCGTTTCGACTCTTTCTCTTCTGCTTTTGGTGTCGTCGTCGTTCCCCCCGCACCACCATCGCCGATGTCCATCGCTCGCTCGTCGTCTTCGTAGTTGTTGTTGTTGTCGTTCACATCATCGTTCTTATTATTATTGTTCGTAGTCGTCGTCGCTTTGGCAGTGAGAGAGGAAAAATGTGCCTCTCTCTGATCTTTCGGCAACCACGACTCTTTCGGCGTCGCGCAATCTCGAGAGTAGTGTCCGGTTTGTCCGCACTTGTAACACGTTCCTGGTTTTGGTGGCATGATTCTCTTTGCTTTTGCTCTCTTTGTGTTCTTCTTCTTATTATATATATATATATATATATATATATATATATATATATATTACTTTTAAGAAGAGTGTGTTTGTGCGTGCTATACTAGTAATAGTAGTGTGTGTGATGTGAAATTTAAACTTTTGACAACTCTTTTTTTTTTTGAAGGAAAAAATTCAGAAGAGAAAAATCAGCTCTGTTTTTTTTTGTTCTTTCTTCTTCTTCTTCTTGCAAGAAAAGTCTTCCTTCAATTCACACTTCTCTCTCTCTCTCTCTCTCTCTCTTTACTATATATATACAAACATTAAACGACAAAAAGAAAGAGTAATAAAATAATGGACGCGATAGTAAAACTGGTGGAGATGAACTCCCGAAATCCTTGGTCGCAAATTACTTCGGAGAAGATGTTTTTGAGCTTTTTACAAGGCGCGAACGTGCACAATTGCGCGGGCTTTTTTGTGAAATCATCATCGGAGGACGACGATTCTGTTACGAAGAAAATAATAACCGTATTGCCGAACAGCGTGCCGATATCGTGCTTACCCACCGGGGCGATGAAACTGAGCGTAGATTTAGATGTAGAAGATAGCGTTTTAGACGTTTTAAGGTCTGACGAAGGAGAAACAAACGAAGGGGAATCGTACATCGATACGCTTCGTTTGTTGATTTTAGTTTGTTTACGAACCGAGGCGTCGGTGGAGGAGAAACTCTCGATGACGTTCAGAAAGATGGAACAAAAGAGAGGGTTTGGAGTGACTTTAGAACACGTCAAAGAATGGATCGAAGACTGCGAAGTCGTGATTGGATCTGAGATGAAGAGTTACATGAGGAAAGAGAGAGAAAATGGGTTGATGGAGGAGCGCGATGCGAATAGTAATAATAATAATAATAATAATAATAATAACAAAATCGAACGAAGCGCGTCGGCGACGCGGAGGAAGAGAATGAGTTTAAGTTTAGGTGAATTGAAGAAGAAAGAAGAGAGCACGACGCACTCGTTGCGGTGGATGCGCGGGAAAATGGAAGCGCACTTTCAGAAATATTTTAAAACGCACGGCGTGGCGATGGATTTTGTGGCGTTTACGGAAACGGTGTCGGAGATTTTAGAGATGTGGTCGACGGAGGCGTTGGATTCCGTCGAGCGGGCCTTCAAGGAGACGAAAAGTTACGATTCATTCAACGAGAAGATTGAGCGAGCAGAGGCATTGGGTGGAAGCGGATCCTCAACGACGACGAGTGGTGGTCCGGGTGAACATCGGAGACAGAATAGCGGGAATAAGCACTTGCTCCTATCTGGGAGATCTGTGGGTAGTAGTAGTGGAAGTAGCAATAAGAAACTCAATCGTGCTCCAAGCATAATTGAGACGGTTGCGAAAACGTTGAAGAAAGGGGTTGAATCCACCGTGATAAGTCGCGAAGGAAGTCTGCGCGAACCCAGTAACTCTATGTCTTTGACACATCACGAACGAGCGCTAAGCGACGACCGGTTGAGTAATTTGAGCAACCGATCTTTGCCGCGTAGTCCTACGCTTTCGAGACAAGACTCGGGGAGTGAATTGATCTACGCAAAACAGCCGATTAGTCCGACATATTCGAAGGATAATCTCCTTTCAACAGCCGGCGTTGGGGGAGGAGGAGGAGGAGGAGGCGCCTTTGGGATGAATCCAAACACCATCGTTTCGTATTTACCGCAACAATATAGACACGTCATCGATGGCGCGTTTGACGCTTTAGGCATGAGCACCAAAGCACACGGCGGATTTGCGACTCAAGAAGGAGAACACGTAAACGACAATTACTATTACGAAGAAGATTTTGAGGACGACGACGCGGACAGCGCGCACATGACCGAAGCGCAAAAACGCAGGCGTGACTTGAAATCCGAACTCTTTGAATCCGAACAAGAATTCATCGACGTCGAAAAGCAACAAGAAGGCATTTTTGAGGATTCGACCTGGCATCGTCTCGTCGCATTCTTCCGTGAAGTTACCATCCGCCTCTTCCTTTACAACGTCGTCAAACTCTTGCTCATCATCGCCCTCCTTGCCGGCGACGCCGCGCTGTGCATGTTTGTCGTCAACCGTTTCGGCGTCGTCTCCGGTCTCGGCGTCGTCGTCATCATCAACCTCGGGTTCGCCGGCATTTTCACCTACTCCATGTTAAAGTTCCAAAAGCGCGAGAAAGGTTTACGAAACATGGAATTCGGGCACAACTGGGTCCGACAAACCGACCACATTTTGCAAGGCAACAATACGGTCGTCAACAGCGCTTTAAAAGCCGCGGAAACCGCGCAGAAAGTCGAAAGCATGAAGGACAAGTTCGTCTCGTCGCCGAACGCTAATACTAATACTAATAATAAATCGTCTTCTCAAGAACAAAAACAGCAACAACATTCGCCGATGAAGAAGAAAAATGACCCCGTAAATAAGTCGAGGGAGCGTTTCGAATCCGCGCACGAATACTTGTAATACTATTTTATAACGAAGAATCGTGCACAACTTCATTTTCGCGTGCTCAAAAAAAAATTTTCACTCGATCGATGAAAAAGGAAAAAAGACAAAAACACAGACAGACCCAAAAAGGCACACGCCCTTTCTCTTTTCATTTTTATCCACACTTTTAAGAAAGACTTTCTTCATCCTCGCCGCTTTCGTTGTTGTTTAAGAAGAAGGGTGACAATGCTTTTCTCCACCGCCGCATCGTCGTCATCGTCGACGCCGTTTGTCTTCTTTGTCTTCTTCTTCTTCTGTGTTCCAGTCCTCTTCTTTGCGAGGAACGCACACGCGCTCGACTACGATTGTTTGTGCGAGTGTTGTCTTCCCGGCCAGTGCGAGTTAGGGACGAGAAAACATACGTTCAACGTCGGGGACCCGCAGTTGTGCACGACGAACATGTGCGCCTCAAACGTGGCGAGCTGTCCAGACAGTGGGTCACACAACGCGGGAGGGACGAATATTGCGACGTATTTGGACTGTTCGTGCGCGTGTTGCAAAGACTCCAACTGTCCGACGTTGATTACGAACGCGTTTCATTCGGGCGGCATACAGCAGTGCACGCCGTCCGCGTGCTCGTCGAAGTTTTACTCGTGCCCAGACCCGGGGGCGCATAACTCGGCCTTAAACGAAAACTTCGCGACGTTTTACGATTGCACGTGCGGATGCGCGGACACGCCGTCACAAACCAAAGATATCAATCGTTTTTACGCGGGAAAGAGTACCATGTGCACGCAGAACGAGTGCGAGAGTCGGTTTACGACGTGTAAAGACGAAGGCGCGTCAGTTATTGAAGCGTGGTACACTGGAGAGGAAAGCGACAGCGAGAAGTTTGATTCGAGTCCTTGGGAGACATACAAGGACGGGAATGTTAGAATTTCAATTGGCGGGAAAACGGTGACTTTGTCAAAAGGCGCGGCGGCTGGGATTGCGGCTGTTGTTTTGTTTGTCGTATTTTCTGTGATTGGATATTTTGGGTATAGATTGTACCAACGAAGAAGAGGGTACCGATGGATGGTGTTTGACCACGACGAGGAAGGAAGAATAATGGCGAGAGAGGTGAAAGGGAGTAGCGACGTGGAAATGTCTTCGTCTAACAACAACAACATCAGCGCTAATAGTGGTGGTAACGCGGAGAATGTGGTACAGATTTCGTCGTTGCGGGCGCAACACGCTGCTGCTGCTGCTGCGGCGGCGGCGGCACCAACTGCTACTCCCCCGGCGTCGGCTCCTGAGGCTCCTTCAGGAACTTCGCCGAATTATACTAGCACCGCAAAAAACGATGATCAGATGTCGCCGTATAGAGTGGACTGATATTAATAACAATGGATCATTGTAAGGAAAACAACCATAAAAACTCAAGTAACGGATATCCTTCGACTCTCCAATTCCTTTTTCAAAGCTTCTGTCAAGTACGATTCGCACCCGAACGATGATACCATTGCGTCGTGTTCATCCCACAATTCCTTCGTCGCTTTTGCACCGGTATATCGCGCGCGGATGAGCGTATTTCGAGCGGTGTGTTCACCGCCAATGAACTCAACGACGTCGACTTTATACCCGAGTATACGCAGCACCAAAGCGCGCCATGCATCTGTCACGTTATCTATAGTTCTTTCGTACAATATGCCATGTCTTGCAATAGACGTCATTGGAGCTAACAAGACAGACGACGACGACGACGACGACGACGACGACGACGACGACGACGACGACGACGACGACGACGACGACGACGACGTTACGCTCTTTTTTATGCGAACGTGTAAATCATGATGACAGCACGGAGACGCTAATATCAACTTCGTCTTCCATCGCACCGCTCGAACCAAAGATTGATCCGTCGCCGTATCGCACGCGTGTAAAGCGATACACACGTCTACGTTTTCAGAACCAGGTATCTCCGCCTGTTCAATCGTCCCTTGGACGAAAGAAACGTCCCGCTCCCAACCTAACTCTTTCGCCACCGCTTCGTTGTGCTCTTTGCTTTGCCTCTTCACGTCTACACCGACGACGTTCGTGTCCATACTCTTTGTATTCTTCAGAAACGAATACGTCGCAAACGTCAAGTACGCGTTCCCGCATCCCAAATCGACGATGTTAAGTGGTTTCTTTGCAGATGTATATTCTTCGTCCGATGCAACAGGAAGGGAAGCTTCCAAGTGATGTAAAAACTCCTCCACTTGCTTATACTTATCCCTCTTTGCCGCTTTAATCTTCCCATCTTTCGTAGAGACGCCCACTTGCACTAAAAACGGGTCATCGGCTCGCATCAACCGTTTCTTCTCCCGGTCGTTCGCTAAAAACGACGCGTTCTTCCTCGACGTGTTGATTAATCTCTTCGTCGAGTCCGCGCCGTTCGTCTTCTTCGATTCATCCTCGTCGTCGTGGTTACTCCTACTACTCTCTTCTTCTACACTACTCCTACTCTTTTTACTCCTAGACACGAACGCGTCTCCGCTCTTCGTCACTCGAATATCGTACGCCGTCTCGTCTCGCATATCCACCCGCCAATTCCCGTACCCGCCGTTCGCGACCACGTCCTCGAGTATCCCCTCCACTTCTTCATCGTGCACCGCGAAATTCTTGGTAAAACTCTGCGTCTCCGTAAACCGGATCAGTTGCACTTTCAACTCGTTCTTGATCAAAACCGGTCTAAACTCGCTCTTCTTAAATTCCGGTTTCTTCTGTTTCGGCGCCTTCCCGGTTCCCGAGAGTTTGACGACGACATCATCGCGAGACGTCATCGTTCTTTCCTCCTCGTTATTTTCTTTCACTCCTCCTCTTCTTAACGAGTGGAGAAACAGTCGTTGCATTTCTTTCGCCGTTTTCGTCTCGAACGCGTGTCTGCCTTCGTGTATTCTCAATCGATGATGAGGAGGAGGAGGAGGACCGTTACTAATAATGTTGTTGTCGTTCGCTTCTTCTTCTTCTTCTTCTTCTTCGCCTTTTGTGAATGCTTTTTCTGCTTTTTCTTTTTCTGCTCTCGTCGTCGTCGTCCTCCTCCTCACCACAAACTTCGTATTCTTTTGTGGTAACGACGACGACGACGAGTTTGGAGAATAACAGAAACAACGACGGCTCGAAATCATCCTCATCGTCATCCTCATCATCATCATCGTCTCATAAAAGTGTCGTCTCCTCGTCCCCACTCTTCCACTTTTTCTCCAACATCCAAGAAAACAAAAAACAAACAAAAAAAATCAAAAAACAAACAAACAAAACTTTTCAACACAAGAAAGAAAGACACCCCAAGAGAGAGAAGAAGAGTTTGTGTTCGTGCGTCATCATCGGGTATTCGTCGTCGTCGTTTTTTTTTTTAGAAGAAGAAGAACGAAAGAAGAAGAAGAAGAACGAAAGAAGTCTCTTATTATATACTCGTTTTTCTGAAACTCTGCTTTTTCTTTGCGATTCAGACGATACAGACGACGACGAGTTGTGAGAAGAATAGACTACTACAGTCGTCAAAAACATTTTCATCGTCATCATCATCATCAACGGATGCAAATGACAACGATGATGATGAAAATAAAAAACGTCGTCCAATCGTACAAAGATTTATCAAAGTTTAAACTGAGCGTGTTCGTCGTCAGCACGGCGGCGGCTGGGGCGGTTTTAGGCACCACCCAACAACCTGTAACAACGAAAACGACGACGACAGAGAAGAAGAAGAACTCCTTAATCTCGTCCTCCTCGTCGTGGCTGCAGCAGCATTATCAGCAGAAGCAGCAAAAGCAGCAGCAATTTGTTCTTCTGGATGAAGAGAAAATAAAAACGATACTCAACGCTTCTTTCGGGACGGCGTTGTGCGCGTTTTCCGCGAACAGTTTGAACCAAATTTTGGAGAAGAAGCAAGACGGGATGATGGCGAGGACAATGCGAAGACCTTTGCCGAGCGGGAGGTTGTCGTTAGGGAACGCGATTGCGTTCGCGGCGGCGAGCGGGATTTCCGGGACGTGGTATTTGAACGAATATACGAACGAGACGACGGCGATGTTAGGTGGCGGAAACATTTTGTTGTACGCGTTCGTGTACACGCCTTTGAAGCAAGTGCACTGGTTGAACACGTGGGTAGGGGCGGTCGTGGGAGCGATTCCGCCGATGATGGGATACGCGGCGGCGGCAGATTTGAAGTTGATATCGAACAACGATGATACGAGCGGTTGGAGCAGTAGCAGTAGTAGTAATAGTAGTAGTAGCAGTAGTAGCAGTAGTAGTAGTGGTGGTAGTACTAGTATTTCAAGTCTCTTAGGAGGAGAGAATTTCGCCAAAGGCATGGTTCTTCCTTTAGCGGTGTATTTGTGGCAAATGCCGCACTTTATGGCCCTAGCGACTATGGGTAGAGATGATTACATTAAAGGCGGGTATCGAATGTTGACGCACCCTTCGTTTGATCCAACTTTGCGAAGAGCCGCGAACGTGGCGGTTCGGAATTCGTTGATGCTTTTACCTCTTGGATTTATCGCCGAGAATGTTGGTCTGGTGTCTAAAGATTCTTCGTTTCGGTACGAAGCGGTCGCTTTGGGTGCGCCGCTCGTTGCGACGGCGCTCATGTTTCGTCAAAAAGCGAACATCACGAGCGCCCGAAGGATGTTTTACGGGTCGTTGGCGTATTTGCCTCTGTTTCAAATGGCGCTTTGCGTCAGAAATCGACAGCATTATTACGACGAGTGTGACAATGAAATAAACGAACACGACGACGACACAAACATCGCGAGACTTTTGATGACGCCAATCATCGCTTTGCACGATTTGTTCGCCGTGGACGATTCGTGTCCGCAAGTCGCGCTGGCGGAGGAGAAACAAGAGGACGCAAAAAACGATAAGAAAGAGTAGAAGAAGAAGAAGTTCTTATTAGAATTTCGGCAAAAGTTGGCGCGGGCATGTAATTGATGTAGAAGATATTTATTCAACGAGAGCCTCTAGGCGCTTGCCAATCTAACTTTATCGGCCTACCGCCCATACACGGCGTGTTGTGTAACGTCGCCGCTTGGTCGATTTCGTCTTTTTTAAAGTCGGCGTATCCTTGTCCTCGAAACTCCCCGGTGTCTCGGTTTTCCAACCACCTCACTTTAATCATTTCCACTCCGGCGTTTTGCTTGAAGAAATCCCATATGAAGTCGTCCGTCATGTTAAAGTCTAAATTTCCCATGAACAACGTGTAACATCCGTGAGGTTTTTCCCCCATCTCTGGAAACTTCTTCTTGTTCTTTTCTTTTTGATTGCTATTCGGCAACGACTCGCCTCTCTCCGCCGCCGCTTTCCTTTCCTCCGCGGTGTTCCCTCTTTGCTCCCAACGCCGTATCTTACACTCTCTTTTCAAAACCATCCTCCCGGAATTCTCCACCGCTTTCGTCGCCTCTTCTTCCGAGTGAAACTCGACGACTCCGGCGCCTAAGAACTTCTTCGTCAACTTTTCCTCCATCCAGACGATGCTCTTAATCTCGCCGATATCCACGAACGCGCGTTTGAGACTCTCGTCGTCGATTTGCCAGGACAAGTTCCCCACGTACACTTTCGTGTTCGACAGTGGGAACTCTCCAGGTTTCGGCGGCTTCTTCTTCTCCTCTTTTTGTTTCTCTTCTTCTTCTTTTCTAGTCGTAGTAGTATTCCCGTCGTCTTCAAATCCTCCTTCGTATTCGTCGTCGTCCGCATCGGGAACCTCAACAAAATTATCATACCCGATGTTCTTCTCGTCGTCGTTCTCCTCCTGCGCTTTCATCTTCCTCATTTTCTTCGCTCGTTTCTTTGCCAGCTTTTTCGCCTCCACATCGTCATCATCATCGTCTCGTTTCGTTTTCTTTCCTCCCATAGAATGCTCTCGTTCTCTCTCGACAAAGAGTAGTTGACGCAGTAGAAAAGAGTTGTTGTTGTTGTTGTTGTTGTTGTTGTTGTTGTTGTTGTTGTTGTGTGTTTTTGGATTCGCCGCCGCTCTGTAAGACGCTTTTTTGCTCCAAAACGACAAAATTTGTTTTGCACTTTTTTTCTTCTTCTTCTCAATAATAATAAATTCCACTCGCTCTCACTTCTTCATCATACTATATATGTGATACGTGTGGATGACGAGGATGGTGAAAACAACAACGGAGACGTGCTGCGACGATGATGACGAGACGATTGAGTTCTTCTCTGAATTCTACTCTTACTGCGCGGAGCGATTGAAAATGAAAACGACGACGACGACGGAAGAAGAAGAAGAAGAAGAAGAAACGATTTCATCATCAGTTTTGGAGGACGTGACCAGATTGGTGATTTTCTTTGACGACGACGAAGAAGAAGACAAAGAGAAGCGAAAAGAGTACTTGAGTTTAGAGAAGAAACGCGTGGAGAGATACAGAGATTTACGAAGAAGAAGTGAAAGAAGAAGGAAAGATGGAGAGAAAAGAACGACGAATGTATTCGCGGGCGTGGAAGAGCTGCTGGCGGTTATCGCAGAAAAAACGACGACGCACGAGAAGAAGAAGAAGTTAAAGAAGAAGAAAGAAGTCTCTGATGAAGATATTTCTAATAAGAAGGATACCAAAAATGATACGCTGCGCAAAGCGTGGGAACAGATCGTGCCGAAGGAGCACTTCGTGAACGCGATGCTAAACGCAGATGTGAGCGATTCGCGAATAAAAAACGCGAATAAAGCGATGGCGGAAATGTTCAAGGAGTGCGTAGAGATGGAATGTAGCTCGACGACGTCCGACGCGCCGGCGACGTCGTTCTTCGAGACGGGTGAATTTTTACGGGATAGTGAAGAAGTTACGAACGAAACGAACGCCCAGAAGTACTATTGCGATCTAGAGCGCGCTTCGGAGGAAATGCGGACGCTTTTAAACGCGTGCGAACGCGCCGATTTAATCTTGAAGAAACGCTTGTACGAGCGTCTAGTTTTAGAAGAGCATCAAAAAGAAAAAGAACGAGAGATTGGAGCGGTGGAAATGTTTGCCAGGGGATGTTGTCTGTTACCGCATCGGAAGGGAGTGCGCGATAGAGAAATGCATAACAGTGATAAGAACGCAAGTAGAAGCATTGTTCTCGCGTCGACGTGTTTACAAATTTTGTCTAGAAGAGGATACGCGGATAAGTGCGCGAATGCGATTGCTTTTGTTCATTTTAGAGAAGAAGAACGGGAAGAACAAGATGGAAAAAAGTTCGTTGATCAAAAGGATGAGAGTCTAGCGCGCGTATTAGACTCGATATCAGATACGCGGGCGTGTTGCAAAGTAATCGAAAGCGTTGTTGTTGACGTTTTCGGGAGGAAAAAATACACAAGCGCCAGTCGCGACTGCGAACGCGTGCTTCGTCAAATGTTAAAGCTGAGATTTTGGAAGTGCGAAACGACCAGATACTTCATGGGGGAGGAGTTGCTACTTCGAAAAGGGTGTCCAAGGAATGTACTCCCGTCGCTGCTTCGTCTGTTGATTGTTAATCCTTTACCCACAGATTATCTCGCTGATGAAAAAAACGGAGACGAAGCCGGAGCAATCGCATCGGAAAATGTGAGCGTTGAAGACTTCAAACACGCGATTATAGTGAGCGCGTGCGAGATATGGGCGTCGAAAGAGTTTGTCGTCGGGAGTTCAGCGAAAGCGAAGGGCCACGTGGCGGCTATTATAAACGCGACATTAATCCTATCGCAATCTTCCGGCGCTTCGTGGGAAAAGTTCGTCAACGGCATCGAAAGTGGAAAATTCAACGATGGCACGACGATGACGTCTTACATTGTCGACGGCATATCGTCTCGATTAGAATCGTCCTCAGCACAAAATCGCGCGCACGCGTCGCGAATCGCCAAACAATTTTCGTTGGCCATGAACACAGAAAATCCAACGATGTTGGATTTAAACGCACCGGTAGATGGCGATACCGACCTTCTCGATCCAGATGAAGGCGAGGACGACGACGACGACGACGATGGATATCGAAGCGCGAACGAAGCCGAGTGGGAATCAAACGTGAAAGTGACACTTGGTGAATACGACGCGTCGAAAGTGTTACCATCTTCTTTTTACGAGGCGGAAACTGTCGAAGGGGAAAGCAAAAGAGAGAAAGGACCAAGCATCGATATCGAAGAAGTAGACGAGCAAGATGAAGAGGACGACTCTGAAGAGGACGATGAAGAGTTTCGAGCGTACGATATCGACTCAGATGATGACGACGAGCTCACGCAGAAGAATTCGAACGCGAAGAATTTGAAGCGGCATTTAAAACAGCTTCCAAAACCGCGAACTTTGCGCGAAGCTTTGAACGCTTTGCGGCGCGTCAAACCTTCCCAACACATTGCCGATGCAGATTTAGCAGACGCACAGGAAGGTGCCGTGTATGCATTAGCAGAAATGTTTGAAACCGTCCCAGATGAACTCTTTTCCGTAGCTGGTCAGTTTTCAATTGCGCTATTACACGCGAATCCACCGACGCCTTCGGTGAAAGCGCTCGAAATATCGCGCATGAACGGTTTAACGAGATTGTTTGAAAACGCTCCGGAAGAGTCTATTCCAACAGCCATTGGTCATGCGTTCGATGGAACGAGTTGCGATTCGAGTCATAAACTGGAGGTTTTGAGTTGCATCGCGCAAGCCGCGAAGACGTTATCGGCATTGCCTCCTCCATCATCGAGCGCTTCTCTCGAGCCAGGAGAAAGCGAAAAATCAGCGATTGCTGCAACGAGCGGTAAAACGCGCGTGTTCGCTCCGAAAGCTTTGGAAAACCAAAACAGAGGTATCGGGCGAATCGGTCATAGAACTCGTTCGGCGCTCATAGGTCCGACAATCGTCGCCCCGTTATTGGTTTCGTTATCATCCCAGCTAGAAAAAATGGCCGATTTATCTTCCTCCATAGGTAGCGAAGCTATAGTTTTATCCGCAATGTTGGATTGCATCGGCGAATGTTGCTGCCGGACACAAAACGCCGTCAACTCCTTTAATACTTCGTTGGCAACGCTCGCGACGCTCACCAAACACGACTCGTTTTTGTTGAAGCACTGCAATCCGAGCGTCCGGTCGAGCGCGTTGGTAGCGTGCGCGAGAGCGTTAATGGTTGTGCCAGATATCATGGCTAAGGAAGAATTGATGCTCTTGTTACAAGAATGTCACAATCAGGAGGACGACGATAGTGACAGAGCAGAACGTCACGAAACGAAAACGTCCAAACTCTTTGCCGCGATTGAGAAAATCACCTCCATCGCTAGAATCGAAAACGCTCGCGGCGTCGACGAGCAGTGTCGCTCCGCCGGCGTTTTCGCTCTAGCCGCCACACGAGACGTCGTCAAACGCGCCACGGAGAATACTTTACTCGATAATCAAAACGACGACCCGGAAAAGCAGCAGCACAACCTCTCTGTTCAAGACTTTGTTTTACCGAAAACCGAGAGCAAGCGCTTTCAACAAAGCGCGAGTCAAGTGGTCGCAAAAGCCATGGAAAAGTTACGAGTGAACGCTCCCGTTGGCGAAATGAAAAAGAAAGAGAGCGTTCGTTTCGCGTAGAATCAGGAAATAGATAGATGTGTAGAACTTTAGACATGTAGAAGCGCGTAATTTACGTAGAACGCCTATTAATGTGTGTACGTTGCGCTTGCGCGTTTCATTTTTTTCCTTTTGTTTTCGTGTGTACTTTTTCGCTGCTGCCTCGGGCTCTTCTTCCTCGCCATTAAAAACGACTCCCGATCGTCATTCAATTTTGCACGACGCGTAAGAACACACACACACGCTTACACTACTCGCGGTATAAAAGCGATCGTCATCGAGCAGCTGTCGAATACGAAAGAAAAGAGGGCAAATTTCTTTTCCAAAGAGAGTTTGAGATAGAAATAGTATTCAGAGCGAGAAGAACAGAGTCGTGAGATTGTAAAATTGACGGCTAGCGGCGAATACACACAATAAGAACAACAACAACAACAACAACAAATAAACAAATAAACAAATAAGCAAATAAGCAAAAATGATACAACAAGATAGCAAAACGAAACTGTTTAGAATACGGAAAACCGTCTCTAAAATGCTCGCCTCTCGCGGGTATTTAGTTTCCCAAAAAGAGTTGGAACGAGACAAGGATTCGTTTTTGGAGGAATTCGGGGAAGTGTCGAGAGAGCATTTAACTATTATGGTTCCGAAAAGAGACGATCCGTCGGAAAACATATTCGTGTTTTTCCCGGAGGAAGAGAAAGTCGGGGTGAAGATGATTAAAGATTACGCGAAGAGAATGCGAGAGGAGAACGTTATGCGAGCGATTATCGTGATTAGAAGCTCCTTGACGCCGTTCGCGAAGCAGTCGCTGTTGGAGGTGCAGCAACAAAAGTTCATCATCGAAACTTTTCAAGAGACGGAGTTATTGGTGAATATTACCGACCATATTTTAGTTCCCAAACATGTTTTGCTAACCGATGAGGAGAAGAAGACGTTGTTGGAAAGATATAAAGTGAGAGAGACACAGTTGCCGAGGATTCAATTGCACGACCCCGTGGCGAGATATTATGGGATGCGTAGAGGGCAAGTCGTGAGAATTATTAGACCGAGTGAAACCGCGGGGAGGTATGTGACGTACAGACTTTGCGTTTAGACAGAGAAAACTGCGATATTACTATGTATGTATGTACTATTCTAATTCATTATATTTCCTCACGTGGTTCTATTCTTCTATGTGCACTTATCGTTGTTTGTTTTATCAGCGTCATCACGTACGCATACACTTGCTTCACAGTGCCTTGACAAGGATTAGCAATCGAATGTTGAGTCGCGATCAGCAGTAGAACTTTTCTGACTGTTTCTTTCGTAAAGTCTACCGGTAAGTGTGCTTTGTTCTTGACCAACTGAAACGCAGCGATGACTGCAATCGAGAGATCTTTCGCATCGTCGCAACACACGAAAACGCCTGTATTTTTACCTTCTGTGGTTGCATGTTTCATCAAAAACTCCACGCATATCGGTAATTTTTCTTCTATATCACCTCTTTTCTGCTTAGCAAACTTTAAAGGCACGTGTAAATAGTCCTTCGTGTCTTCGCGCTTGACTGAAAAATTGGGCGAGTGTTTTGAACCAACGTATAAAACCGCGTGAACATCCTCCTCTCTCGCGTTCCCATTGAGAAGCGCTTGAAACGTTCCAACGTATACATTTGAGTCTAAAGCATCTTTTAAGGATATAAACACATCCTCATTTTCATTCCCGTCCATGTCATCCTCGCTGCCCGTTTGTATCACTTCTCTGATTAAACGTTCGCACGCTTTTGAGCTTTCGCACGAAACAAACTTCTCCATGTGTCGTTGGAACTGCTTCGGTGTTAAATCGAAAGCCCACGTTTCCTCGTCGTCTGCGGCACCCGGAAAGTAGTTGTACGATATCGTCTTATTACCTAGTTCGAATTTACATCTCTCTCCGGATTTCGTCAGCGGCATCGAGGCGCTCAGAAGATACAAAACCGTCGCCTTCTTTTTTTCCCGACTTCTCACGACGATATTCTCCAAATTGTTCCTACAAACGTACTCACAGTGAAGCGGTCCAGACTTTTCCAAACCTTCTTTAATCTCCGCGAAGTGTGTCTCGGGAACCACGCTCAAAAATGTCTCCACGAACGACGCCATTTTCGTCTCAATCGCGTGTAATTCGTTTTCGCTCAAGAAATCCGGAAATTCATCTTTTTCAATCCGAGCGTTTTTTACAATCACTTCGCACGCTCGATTAATAGTCGCACACCATATCGGAACAGTCTTGGCCAAAGCGTCTGGAAACCGTTTCGTTTTACTCTTCGTCGCGTCCACTATGATGACTTTAGATGCTGATCCATCTCGACTCGCTTCTAACAAAACGTGCGTATTCAACCGACTTTGCGAAAATTGGTGATTTAAGTTATGTCCGTCGATGGATTTGAATGTGCACGTTTTTGCTTTCCGTAAATCCGTATACCACGCGCCGCACCGCAAATTCGCAAAGACAACAGGCAAAGTCTGCTCTCCTCCGAGTTTCTCTATGGTCTCCTGTACGAACGCATGATCCACGTAAACGCTTCTCATTCGATTCAAAACGTCCTGGTTACTTTTGCGAATCTCTCGACACCGCTGATAAAAATTGGGCTTAATCGACCGCTCGATGTCCTCGTCTGCGAGTAAAGCGAACTTCTCGTTATCAGTAGTATACCCTTCCTCGTTGTCGCCGATGTCATAATCTTCCTGAACATCCATGCTGTTAATTCGTTTTACTCCTCTTTCGATCTCGTTCTAGTTCAAACGCCAGTTGTTCTCGTTCAAATTCCAGCTGTTCTCTTTTCAATTTTAACATTTCTCGTTCCAACTCCATCTTTTGTTCTTTTTCCGATCGGTCTTTCTTCATATTTTGCTCGTGCCAATCCAAATCTTCTTTCAACTTTCGCGCGTGCTCAATATCTCGTGCTTTCATTCTTTCTTGGTGACGCAACCTGTCCATTTCTATGTCCCGCATTACGCTGTTCGTTCGCATTACGCTGTTCCGCATTTCAGCTTGGAATTGTAAGTGATATTTACTCAGCTCAACTTTTCGCACAGCTCGCTCGTTCACATCATCATTCGCGGGAGGATGGACCGACGAAGGCGTTCTCGGTGCCATTATTATTAGTATTATTAGTATTATTAGTATTATTACGACGACGACGATGTGTGTGTGTGTGTGTGTGTGTGTGTGCGTGCGTCAGTTGAAAGAATTTTTTGAAAAACTTCTTTTCTCGCGAAGAAAATTTTCTCAAACATCTCATCACAAAACGAAGAGACGGCAACAGAGAATTCTCTCTCGCGCACTAAAAACGACGATGACCGCAGAAGAAGAAGAAGAAGAAAAAGAAGAAGAGTGGACGACTCTGAAACACCGACACGAAACGAACGTTCCTCCATCTCTCTCCTCCTATGAAGAAGAAGAAGAAGATGGAACAACGTGCGTTTCGTCCGTGTCCGAAGCCATCGATATCGCTTTGCGTGCTTTCGAATCTCGAGCGGAGATGTACTCTCGAGTGAAACGTGCTCACGGGGACGTTTTAGAACGTGTACGCCGAGGAGAGCGAGGAGAGTCGTCGTCGTCCGTCGCTTTTGTGGAATACGAGAAATCGTTAGCCGCGTTTGCTTCGGACATGAACGAGCTGAACGGGAAGTTGAAGCACGTTTTGCAATATCTCGCTCGAGAAGAAGAAGAAGAAGAAAAAGAAGAAGAGGACGAAAAGCGAGTGTGTTTTCAGCTCTTAAAATCGGTTCAAGAACAAGAGAAGGAGAAGTTACGACTGACGACGGTGGAGATGGCGTTGAAGACTCACTACGAGATGAAGAATTGGTCGTGGCAACAGGACGGGTACGTGGAAGAGGAAGAAGAGCGGGAGGAACGAGAAGAGGAGAAAGAAAACGCCTCGTCGGCTTCGGCGTTGAAGCCGTCGTGGGCGACGTACGTCGACGGCGAGAAGAACGACGCGTACGAAGGGCAAAGGAAGTGCTGCGAAGAAGCTCCGGAGCCAACAAAGATTGAGTTTGAAAACGCGATGAAAGAAACGACTGTAGGATTGGAAAATTGTATACAAACGATCAACGACGCGAGAGAGGAGTTGTTGGAAATTAAAGCGTCTTTCTTGTCTCTTTGAGCGGCGAGAACGAGAGAAGAGAGATAGTATCATAGATTAAAGAGATTCGTTGTAGAAGTAGAGGTAGTATATAGTAAAAGGTTATATTTATAGTTATATATAGAGACTAAGGTAGGACTAAGAATCAAAGCAAATTACACGTCTCTCTCTCTCTCTCTTCAAACGTTTGTCGAGTTTTAGAGATTTAACGAGCGAAGCGAGAAAGCGCCGGAAAGCCACTCTCCCATCCACGCTCTTCTCCTTTCTCTTCAAACTCTCGAAAGCGAGTGCGCGACGAAATAATAAACATGGTCTAAATTAAATTGAATGTAATTCTCTCGTTACGGAGTAAAGAATTACTTCAATTCGGATTTAGCGCCAGCCTCTTCCAAAGTCTTTTGCGCCGCCTCGCAATCTTCCTTCTTCTTACCTTCCAACAAAGTGAACGGCAAGTTGGTCACGGCGTCCTTCGCTTCCTTCAAGCCGAGTTCGGACAAGCCTCTGACAACCTTAATGCACGCGATTCTCTTGTCCGCGGCGACTTCAGTGATAACCAAGTCAAACTCCGTCTTCGCTTCGGCCGCTTCACCACCACCAGCGGCCGCGCCAGCCGCCATGACCATACCGCCGCCCGCCGGCGCGGAGGCGTCGACGCCGAACGTTTCTTCGATTTGGGCGACGAGTTCCGAGGCTTCCATGAGGGTGAGCGTTTTCATCGATTCAATGATTTCGTCCGTCTTGGCAGATTTCAAGGCGATTCTGGCACCTCTCGTCGGCTTAGCCTGTTTTAAACGACGCGGTATATCGGAGTGAAAGAGAATGAAATATAAAGGTCAGCACATGCAGGGGTCCATTGAAAATGCTACTACATAAAGTTGAAGAAAGACGAGAGAAAAATGTGTGCACGTGCGCGCGCGGAAAACAAAAAAACACCCCAAGAAAAACCACCCCAGCTTTTGGCTAAGTTTTTTTCTCTCTCCTCCTCCCAAAAACCTCTCTCTCTCAATTTGAGGGTTAGAATTTCGTAAAACGGGATGAAGAGACGCGTTGGAACGGCACACTCTCGCACAGGTCGCGCGACTTGGACGTAAAAACATCCACGGCGAGTGATTTTCGCGGTCTGCGCGCCGATTCACGTCCGCAACCACCTAAAATCATCGACAGATTACGCGAATCCAGCCGGCTCGTGACCACCTCGACGACGACGCGCAAATGCGAAAAAAAAGAGGAATTTCTAAAGCGCGCGAGCAACACCGCGCGCGACATTTATCAGACGCACCTTCAAGCTAGATTTCGCCATGGTGGCGTTCACGCGAACGGTAGTGGAGCAACTGAGAGTGAAAGACATGTTTATTTTATTTTACGTAGTAAAGTAGTACTGTGTGTGATTGTAATGGCGACGGCTTGGCAACTTTATCTGCTTTTTTGGAGAGGGAAGCCAAAAAAGCTCAAAATTCCTCTTGCATGAAACTGGTCTTTTTTCATGCCATGGTTTTGGTTTGCGCAAAAAAAGAAGAAGTATATGGATAATATTTCATCAAACTATTTCTCGAGTGATTGATTTCGGTAACTTTTCAAACCCACCGAACATGATCTCACCGTTCGATCCTTGCTTCTTCCCGTCGCGTGCCGTTGGAATCTTTGAAGGATCTATGATCACGTGCTTGATATTTGCACGCCTCCACGTATACGTTACGTGTACCATCCCGTCGCTCGCTTGTATAATCGCCGGGTAACTAAACTCTAACAATCGCCCTCCGCTATCTTCTAAACGCATGACGCGTTCCCACGTGTCCCCGTCGTCGTGTGACACCGCTAACGCTAACACGCCTCGTCCCGCGATGGCGTGTTTGAACGAGTGATTATACACAATCAACAATCGTCCGTCTCGCAATTTTACGACATCGAAACCGGTATTCGGACACGGTATTTGCGAAAATACCGCGTCGGTCCAAATTCGTCCGGTGCTATCTCCGACCGCGGCTACCGCATAACTACTCCTACTCCTGGCCATCATCCGTATGCCGTTCGCCGCGTCTCCTGCGAGCATGCTTTGCTTCCAAAACACCGGCTGAATCACTCTCTGTTGCACGCTCGCCCCTCCGCCTTTTTCGCTCACCGCGAACTTCGCGTACGTCTTGAACTCGTCCTCCATCGTCATCGCCTCAACTACAATCTCCCAATCTTTCCCTCTCGCGCCAAACTCTCGACTACTCGGCAATAAAATGGTACCATCGTCCAACTCTAACGGTTTATTCTTCGCCGGACCGACAATCCCGTTCGGCATCGCCACGGACGAAGACCACGTGTTCCCTCCGTCTCTCGATTTCACGTAATACCCTTTCCAATTTGCCGGCGTTCGTCCGTGCTTATAAAACAAAAATAAATCCCCATTCGACCTTTTAAACAACACCGGGTTCCACGTAGGAACGCCTTTCGGGTGCACGACCAACTCTGGTGCGCTCCATTTCCCGTTTTGATATCGCGCGGTGTAAATACCAACGTCCGGTTTGCTCTCGAACTGCCCCGCAAACCAACTCACGAGAAACTGCCCTGAAGAAATCTCACAAATAGACGACGCGTGATGCGACGGTTTCGGTTTGTGGTCTTTCATGACTAAAGTTTCAAACGTAATGGACGGGTGCTTCACTCGTGTGGATTGATGGTCGTTCTCGTCGTCATCTCGCTGAGTATTCAAAGCGCCAAAACCCGTTCGCGCCGGGCGACTGATTTCGCCGTGCCAACCGATGAAGGCGCCGGCGCGATCGCCGCCGTTCAACGCTTCTCCGGTACGCGCGAATTCGACGAAGACGAGGAGGAGGAATGCGAGGAGGAAAGAAGGGCGCATCGTGTGATCGCTTCTTCTTTGTCTTCTTCTTCTTCTTCTTCTTCTTCTTCTTTCTGTCAGAGTTTAAATTTGAAGCAAAAACTGATTACTCGCTCATAAAAAGTAAACAAAAATACTTCTAAATTCTCTCTACGTGTACTAGTACCTACTACAACTCTATGCTCTATATATGCTCTCTCTCTCTCTCTCTGTGTGTGTGTGTGTATGTATATAATCTAATTTGACTTATCCACGGAAACGACTCGATTGAATCCGGCTAACGTCGCGTGGAAGATGAAGAATGAAAAGAGCATCAATACCGCGATGAACGCGAGATCGGTGGCGTACGCGTCGTTCGATTCCGAAACGTTTACGAAATCGACTAAAGCGCGGTTTTCCGTCGATTCGGCGTCGTCGACGGCAACGCCTAAAAACCATTCTATTAGGTTCGATTCGCTTGTATCGATCAAGTCACGAGTATAACCGATGAGGATGTCGATGCCGTTTCTTCGAAGGAGCGAGCCGCCATTCTTCCCATAATATTGACTTCGCGACGTTTTGGTTGTTTCCGCGCCGGACCATGCAGAAATGCCGTGCGGATATTGCGTGTACTCTGCGCCGCCTTCGATATCGAAACTCGCAATGTCGAAAATAGCGTTACCGTCGACGATATCTTCTCGAGGGTTACCAAGGTCCATGGGCCACGCAGATAAAATTTTCACCGTCGATTGCTCGTTGATTTTTCGATTCCAAGTCATGATGTAATAACCAGCCAGTTGCTTATCGTTCGCTTTGACAGCGCTCAGTCCGTACGGTAATCCATATTCGCGAACATCGATTTTTGCTCTTTCCTTGAGAGAAACTTCACCTCCACCTTCAGCGTCGACGACTATGTCGAAAAGCATGACGCGATAATTCTCTCGATCCGCGACGGCGAGTTCGGTACCATCCATCGATATCGCTAACGCGTGTGGTACGTTTAATTGCATTTCGTCTCGCACGATAGTATCGCCCACGTACACGTGTTTGTCGTTGTATATGGCAACGCGGTGATTGCAATATCCGTCCGCGACAAAAAACGACCCATCAGCTAAAATTTCCACCGCAGTTGGTTTGCAAAAGCCTTGCGCGCCGTGATGTTGTCCTTCCGAATTGGGCATTTTCCGAAACGGTTGCATAGCCGTTCCAAACTCATTCAACATTTTACCGGTGACCGCATCGTACGTGATGACCTGGTGCAAGCCACAATCTGTCACCCAAACTTCTTTTGCGTCCGGCGATAAGGAAATGCCGTGCGGCATGAAGTGTTTATCTTTGCCAAATTTTCGATCAATCGCGCCGGTGACTAAATGAATTCTGAGAATTGTTTCGACATCGATTGGCGTTTTCGAGCCTACGTACTCGTTCGTTTCAACGTCGAAGCTGTATTCGTCCCAAACAACTTTCGGACCTCTGTGAAAGACCCACGCGAACTCTCCACCCGGTTCGACGACCACGCCGCCGACTTGACCAATCCTAAACGTCTCTTTATCGCGAACGTTCATCTTTACCGTCAACGGCGGATTAGATTTAGATATCTTTAAATCCGTCGCGAAAGGTCTCGTTCCTATGAACGACTGTGTTCCCGACGATCCGGTACCGATGGAAATATCGAACGGCGCGCCTCCTTTGCTCATGCACGACAAACTCGCCGGCTCGTCCGAGTGTACCATGAGATATAAATTGCACATCTCGTTCGTGTGCCCCCACCCGGCTTTTGTTACCGCTGTCCTCGACATGGTGTTAAAGTAACACGTCGTTCTCAAAACATCGCCTGGAGCGATGATTAATTTCTTCTCCGCGATTTGCTCGAATTCTTGCGGCAACTGCGGGTCCCGTTCTAAAAGCAAAACGCCTTTACCCCGTCTCTCGAGATTTCCTGTTCTGCCAGCGCCACCGACCATTCGCTCAAGAGTCACCCTCCTCCCTAACTCGTGCGTGTGCACTCGAAACCCAAAAGCTTTCAATGCTCTCGGCTGGTCGTACACGCATGTCGCCTCTACCTTAACTTCCTCTTTCCCGGGCGGCAAATGAAATCCAGTCGCCCACACCAACGTCGCCGCCGAGGAGATCGGAAATCCTTTCCTCGCGTGCACGATAACCCCACTCTTCCCGTTTCTGTTGTTACTACTATCTACAGCACCATTCGGATCTAAATAATGCACCTCCAGTACTAAGCTATTAAACGTATTCTTCGCCTCGCCGCCGCCGATGCGGAACCCGACGTTTTGCGGCATGTGCAAAGGCGCCGCGTTCTTCCCCCACGCGAACAAAACTGCCTCCTGCTCGTCCTCGTTCGCGCACACCGCGCCTCTCGGTTCTCCTTCGCCGCCGTTCGTAGAAGAAGAAGAAGAAGAAAACATCCCGCCGACTCGGACTTTTTTTAACGTTTTGGACGCTTCTCGTTCTCGGCATCCGAACAAGAGCATGTGGTGCACGACGGCCATATCTGCGACCGGTTCGAACGAAGTCACCGAGTGCGCAGTTTCCGGCATCGCCAACGTGGTATACACGTAACTGTTTTCAGAAAGAAAGAAAAAGTGAATACGTTTTGTTCTTGGTCAGCTCAAAGAGGTCGAATACGACGTGGAAAGAAGAAGAGGAAGTCTAGAAGAAGAAACTCGTGCGAGCGCTTTTGTCGTACCTGTCCGTCTCCGTCACGTCGCGGTCGTTCACGAGCAGCGAAAGCGCTGTATCTCGGACGTTGCGATGATGCTGACGAAGAAGATCATCATCATCATCATCATCGGACGACGACGACGAGAATACCGATTTCGATCCTCCCGCGAAAAAAAAGAGGAGAGAGAGGAGAAGGAGAAGGCGCGTTTTTGGAGTCCTGGGAGGAAACGGAAGAGGAGGAGGAAAGCGCGTCGTCATCTTCGAACCACCCGCAGATTAAGAGACGACACAGTCAACGAGAGCATCCATCGTATCAAAAGAATTATTTATAACGGAGAGACCAAAACAACCATGTTGCAACCGTTTTTTTTGCTTTTTTTTTGTCTCTCTGTCGTTTTTATTTGTGCTGCAAGACAGATGATTTCTCGCTTTCTCGCTTGTTTTTCTCTTCAATTAAAGATGACGCATTTAAGTTGGTGTTGTGGTCGTAATCGTGTCGCTTCTTCTTCTTCGTCTCGCGCGCTTCTTCTTCAAAAGTCGACGTCGTTTCGGCGAGGACAACGACCAACGTCTCGTCGATTTCGGCGAGAATCCTTCGTCTTTTATTCCTCCTCCTCCGAACACAGCGCTAAAGAAGAAGAAGAAGAAAAAGAGAAGAAGAATTACAACAACAACGGTAGTATTAGTTTCAAAAACAAACGAAACGAAATCGACGACGTTTTATTCTCCTTCCCTGCTGCTAATGCTGCTGATAACGCCTCCTCTTCCTCGCAAACAAAAGCCTCGAAGGGAAAAGCGTCGAAGTCGTTCCCCGTGGAAGCGGAGATTTTGGTTGAAGATGATGTGAACGACGATTACGAAGAGTGGGAAAAAAACGTCTCGAAAGAAGCGAGAAAAAAATGGAACGACGTGAGCAAAGAAATCGGGGAAGAGACGACGTTTACGGTCGGCAAGAAAGATTTAGACGAGAAGTTTCTCTCGGAAGTGCTTTTGTATCTGTTTAAATCGAACGATCAAAACGTGCCGGCGCATTTGTTCTTGAACAAAGTCAAACGCTCGATGACGTTGGACGGGTATAAAGCGATTTTAGTCGGGTGCGGGAGAGCGAACAAGTGGGAATTGTGCGAACAAATCATCGATTTCGTGAAGAAGGAGACTAAAGAGTCGGAGAAGGAGACGAGCTTGGATGGAATCGTGACCGCGAACTGGTTCGTGGCGATTATAGACGCGAGAATTAAGGAGAAGTCATTCGCAGACGTGGCGTCGTGTTTTGAGAAAATGTTCGAGTTTAAATGTCAACCGTCAGGGGCAGCCATAGAGTCGTTCGCGAGGTTCACCGATTTCGAATACGAGTTTGATGACGATTTGAAAGAACGAGCGAAAGATATTTACGAATGGCTCGTGGATACCGACGCGGGTAAGGCGTTGTGGCCGACGTATTTCGGAGAAGCCGGGGTGGATAACTTACCGGGGAAGAACTCGAAGAGCGGGAAGACGAAAACCATACGGGTGGCGATGGAAGCCATGGACGTCGATTTAGGTGGTGACATTGAAAAGTTACAGGAGAAGTTATCCGACTTCTATTAGTGAATTGTTCATATTCCAGTCGAGTAGTAATAATAATAGTAGTAGTAGTAATGTAGTCGTTTAGTAGTACCAAGTATTATAAAAAGTTTAAGCAAATCCAAATGATCAAATCAAATCGTAAACCTTTTAACGAGCCGGAGCAAGCTTTTGGCTCGGCATGCCTCCTTCCAAGTGCGCGCCTCGGTACAACTCTTCCACGACTTCCGACAACGTCGGGTGCGCCTTGGTGGTAAACTTCAAGTCGTACAACGTTTGCTCGTTGTTAATCGCGTTGGAGATTTCGTGCACTAAATCCGCGGCGTGTAAACCAAAGATCCACGCGCCGTACATCTTCCCAGTTTTCGGATCGTAAATCAATTTGGCCATACCTTCAGCCTCTTTCTCTGCCAACGCCTTCGAGTTCGCCTTGAACGACGTCTTGCACGTGGCAATTGTGAAACCTTCTTTCTCTGCTCTTTCTTTCGCTTGCTCTTCGGTCAAACCGACGAAGGAGACTTCCGGATGAGTAAAGCACGCGGCTGGAATCGCCTCGTGGTTGACGACGTTTTCTCTACCAACCATGTTTTCGACGCACGAAATACCTTGAGTACTCGCGGCGTGCGCCAACATCAGCTTACCGTTCGCGTCACCGATGCACCAAACACCTTCGATGACGTTCCCGTCCGTGTCCAACACTTGGCACTTTTCATTGGTCGGGACGAATCCTCTTTGCGTCTCGACTTTCAAATTATCCAAGTTCAACCCCGCGGTGTATGGGGAGCGACCGGTGGCGACCATGCACGCGTCCACTTCCATAACATCGACGACTTCCTTCGTCGTCGCGTCGGTTAATTCAATCGTGACGGGTTTTTCACCCGGAATACCCGGCGTGACTTTCGTCGCGAATTTGTTCGTCACGTAGTCGATGTTTCTCGGGCTAATCAAAACTCTCTCCGCCAGCTTGGCAATCTCTCTGTCAAAACCAGGCATGATCATCGGCATGGCCTCAATAAAGGTGACGTCCGATCCTAACGCGGTGTACACGTCCGAAAACTCTAATCCGATGTAACCACTCCCGATAATCGCCACCCACGGCGGCAACCAATCCAATTTCAAACCGGCGTCCGAAGTAAACACGGTTTTGTTATCAATCTCAATGCCAGGCGGAACGAACGGCTTCGACCCGGTCGCGATGATAATGTGCTTCGCGGTTTTCTTACCGCCAGTAATCGTTCCTGGCGCTCCGCCGTAAGAAATCGTGTGATTATCCACAAAACCGGCGTTACCGGTTAAGATGTCCACTCCGACGCCTTCCATCGAGCGCGTCAAGTTCCCTCGAATTGTTTGCACCAAATCTTCCGCGTGGTCCGCGATGCCTTGGCGATCAAAGGAAACGTTATCGACGGTAATGCCGAGATGTTTCAAGTGGTCCGCGTTTTTCATATCTCTCACTCTCCCCGCCGCCGCTAACAACGCTTTCGACGGCACGCACCCTCGGTTGACGCAGGTCCCACCCATCACGTCGCCTTCGACGATCGCGGTTTTGAGACCACACTCGGCGGCGTGAATCGCCGCGCCGTGACCACCAACGCCCGCACCAATAATAATGAGATCGTAATCGTAGTTTGCCGCCGCCATGGCGGAAACTTTCATCAATCCTCTCGCTCTTACGGATTTGGTCGGTACCCTCGTCTTTCGTTGTGTTTGTCCATCATTACCACCATCGCAAAAACGACGACGAGTAAGGAACGTCGCGCGCGCACTCATCGATTGTTGAGCAGCAAACATAATAACTTTTTAAATCGTTCTTCTTCGTATTAAATGTGCTGCGATTATTAATTATTATATAGTAATTACTATGCGTGTAAACCAATGGCAAAAGCGTTACAGCGTTATCCAACCAAAGAGTTACTAATAAAGTTGCGTTTGTTTGGTTTGAAGGAATTCTGATGTTAATATCTAGGGTTTCAAAAATTAAATTAATGCCAGGTCATCCCCTCCTCTCTTGTGTTGTTTCGCCGTCAAAAGAACGAGACACAAAAACAAAACATGTCTCGAAACACGTCCGACAGCTGGGTGAAAAAAGCAACCGGAGGATTATCTCCCGGCTCGATGGCACCGCTGTCTTCGGCCGTGAACATGGCCGCGAGCGCGTATGGGGTAGGTTTTGGTTCTTTCTTTCTTTCTCTTTCTTTGGCTCTCTTTTGTGCTTTTAATGTTCGGGATGAAGAACAACGGACACATTTTTTGTCCGTTTAGAATTTTTTGAATTTTATGCGCAAGAAAGAGAGCAGAGAGAGCAACAGCGCGTGAGGAACTACGACTCAAACTGTCTCGTCGTCATCATCATCGTTCGCGAAAGAGCGATAAAACCTTTGTTGGTGTCTCTCTTCGTCTTCCTTTCTTTTTCCGGGACGCATCGATCATTCAGAGTTGTTCCTTGGCTGTTTCTTTCTTTTTTGTATCTCGTCGTTCTCTCCCAAAGAGAAAAAAAGAGCTGCTTTTTTGCTCAAAAATTTTGAAATTTTTATGAGAAATCCAAAGGGGGCTGACCAGAAAAATTATTCCTAAAAACAAACAGGCTGACGAAACGGACAACTTCATAAACGCTCCATCTGCGCCTCAAATGCGCGCCGCCTCCGCGAAAGGTAGCGGTGGTAATCGCAACAATTCTTCAAACGCGGAAGACTTGCGCAAAAGCACGTACTGGAACCCGCAAAAGAACTCGAGCGGCGCGCCGGCGTTTTTCGATCCGTCCAACGAAAAGTTGTACGAGGCGTACTCGCAGTTGCACACGTTGGCGCAAGAATTCGATAAGCCGTTCGATTCCCCGGCGGTGTTAGTCGTTGGTCACCAAACGGACGGTAAGAGTGCGTTGGTGGAAGCGTTGATGGGTTTCCAGTTTAACCACGTCGGAGGCGGGACGAAAACCAGACGACCGATTGCCATCAACATGAAGTACAACCACAACTGCGTGGAGCCTCGATGCTATTTGGTCAAAGACGACACGTTGGGTAAAGAGGAGGAATTATCCTTGCCGGAGTTACAAGCGTTCATTGAGAGCGAAAACGCGAGATTGGAACAAGAGAATTCGTTTTGGGCGAAAGATATCGTCGTGAAGATTGAATATAAATATTGTCCAAACTTGACGATCATCGATACGCCGGGGTTGATCTCGGCCGCGCCGGGGAGAAAGTTCAACGGCATGCAACAACAATCGAGAATGGTCGAGAACTTGGTTCGTGCGAAAATGCAAAACCCAGATTACATCATCTTGTGCTTGGAAGACAACTCGGATTGGTCGAACGCGACGACGAGAAAGGCAGTTATGGAGTGCGACCCAGATTTGCGCCGAACCGTTGTCGTTTCGACCAAGTTTGATACGAGAATCCCACAGTTTGCGAGAGCCGCGGATGTGGAGATGTTCATGCATCCACCGAGGCACTTGTTGGATTCACCTGCTATGTTAGGGGGTGGTCCGTTCTTTACGTCCGTGCCAAGCGGGAGAGTTGGTTTGTCCCGAGACTCCATGTTTCGCTCGAACGACCACTTCAGAGAGGCGGTTGTCCAACGCGAGCAAGCTGATATCGTCGAGTTGGAAAGACGATTGGACAGAAGATTAGAACCGAGCGAACGAGCTCGTTCGGGTTTGTCCCAGTTGAGACACTTCCTCGAACGTTTGTTGCAACAAAGATACTTGGACAACGTCCCGACGATTGTGCCTGTGCTCGAGAGAGAACATCGTCACGCCTCGAACAAGTTGGAAGAAACCGTCGGCGAACTCGCGGACATGAACCAAGACAAGTTGAAAGAGAAAGGGAGACAGTTTTACCAACACTTTTTGGAAAAGATTCCAGAGTTGTTGAGAGGTACGCTCGCGGCGCCTCCGAGAGTGTTTGGCGAGACGTTGTCGCATGAGCACATCCGAGGCGGCGCGTTTGTCTCCAACGACGGTCGCCCGGTGAACAGCGAAAACCCGATTCCGAACGCAGAAATGCGATTATTCGGTGGTGCGCAATACCACAGAGCTTTGGAAGAGTTCCGCCAAATCGTCGGCGAAGTGCAGTGCCCGCAAGTTTCCAGAGAAGATATCATCAACGCGTGCGGCGTGGATGAAGTTCACGATGGGGTCAACTATACCCGAACCGCGTGTGTTATTGCCGTCAGTCGAGCCAAAGATACTTTTGAACCTTTCGTGCACCAGTTAGGTTTCCGTTTGGCGCACATCGCTCGACGCATGTTACCTGTTGCCATGTACTTGTTACAAAAAGAAGGACGAATTTTAAGCGGACACGAAGTCTTTTTGAAGAAAATTGGCTCCTCGTTTGCCAAGTTTGTGGACCAACGCGTAAAAGAGTGCCAAGAAAAGTGCCGAGAGGATTTACTCTCCACCACGAACTTTGTCACATGGTCGTTGCACTCCGGGAACAAGTCTGGCTTACGATCGGTGTTGCACCCGGACGCGAGAGTGGACGAGAAGAACTCGTACGGGGGCGCGACCTCGGGCATGTCCTCGTCCTCTTCGAGAGACTTGGCCAAAGTAAATCCAAAAGATCAAAAGTTGATGGATTTGGTCGAGAACACCTTGTGGAACCGTAACATGAAGGAGGTGACGTTAGATGTTGTCGATTTGTTGGTTCGTCAAATCTATTCGGGCATTCGCACGTATGTCGTCCAATCTGTGGAGTTGAAATTCAACTGCTTCTTCTTGATGCCGTTGTTGAACGACTTCTCGCACCATTTAAGAAACGAAATGGAAGACGCGTTCGACGTCAACTTGGATTTGGTATTTAACGTGAAGAACGTCCGCTTGGCTTTGGAAGAGAGACAACAAAAGTTAGAAGCTGAGTTGGAACAAATGGAACACATCCAATCGAAGTTTGCGAGCATTCACTCGCAACTCGAGGTGCACTCTGGAGCCTCGCCGGCAACGGTCGCGGCAGCGCAAGCGGCCAGAAATGGAACGTCATTTAGAACCGCCGCGGATCGTGAGATGCAAATTTCCTCGGATTCAGTGAAGGCCGCGCAAGAGATGGAAGCCGGCATCGCGCACGCTAAGGAACAGTTTGCCCACTATTCGCCAACCAACGCCGGCGTGCGCCAACAGGGCAAGACGATGAATTCGCCGGGCACGGTTCAGTCTGGTAAATCTGGCATCCGAGGCATTTTGTCGCCGCGTAATATCTAATACATTTTTATCCTCTGAGAAGTGGAGAAGTAAAAGAGTTGTATAACCCATTGTTTCCCTCGAGGCGAATGATAATGCGCTGGCATTCGCTTTACGAAAATTTTATTTATGTGTGTGTGAGTGATGTGAAAGAAACCTCGAAGTAGAAAAGAAAGAAGAGCAAAGCTTAGTCAAAAAGGTTCTGATAATATAAGAAGCTCGAGTGCAGTAAGAATATGAATGAATGAATGATGTTTAATATTTATAATCGATTAAAATTTATCACATCAAATCAATGAAGACGCGCCGTACCCGCCACGACCATGATCTTGATTCGGTCTATATCCAGTTTGTCTTGCTTGACCTGTACTACTTCTCGCAACAGTCCTCGAAGGTGCTCCGGGAGAATCCGAGGATATCCCTGTCCCTCCGTACGAAGTCTTGTAATTGTGCAAGTTCGAGTTTTGGTTGACGTCAACCCGAATGCTATTAAACGCTTCGGCGGGAATTAAATTCCCGCGCTTTATATCCCACAATTCTTCCGGTCGTGGAGCATCGAACCCGACTTTCGCGTAGCACATACCCAACGAGTTTACTCGCCAAATTGAACACGGTGCACCGCCACTCCCTTCGTTACTCCATACCATTTTAGGCGCGACTGACGGACGTTCGCACCATATTTCCGGGACGCACCGGACGTTCGTTTTCGCAATCGAAGGCGCTTCCGCGCTGCTTGTGAACACCATGCCTAAAGCGATATGACCGGGCGGGGCTATCGGTAACCAGGCAAACAACCCCGATGATTTCCACTGTTGCGCAAAAATCTGTCTAAAGCGAACCGGTAAAGGAAATAAGCGCTCAATCATTCTTGGCATATTTTGCGAACCCGTGAGCGCGAACGCGCTGCCGTCATTAACTTCGAACGCGAACGCCCCATCCGCGGCTGGTCCGCCTCGACTGGAGGAGGCAAAATACCCAACGTTTATACGCTCCTTCTTAGACAACTTAGACACGTCTGAACTCGACGGAAACGCGGCAACTACGCCCGTTGGAAACCAAGTCGTGCCAAATTTTCGACTCCCAGTACCTTCCGAACTCCAACTGCGAGTGAAATTTTTGTGATGAACCAAAGAAACTGCAAAGTTACGAACGACATCGCGTGTAAGCTTTGCATCTGAAGCGGCATCTTTGCGCATCTTTTCTCGGTCAGATTCTTTATGCAAAGATTTTGCCGAGATGTTTGCACGAGCATCTTCAATGGCTGCCGCTCCGGACGCTTGATTATTGCGCATGGTGTTTGAGCCCCCCATCAAATCGCCAGTCGCAGTGGTCGAGTTGCGCAGGTTTTGCGAAAGCGAGTTGCTCACGTCGCCGGAAAGCCAATCTTCAAAGGCGAGCATTTCCGGTTGTGGAGGCGCAGCAGAATGTGTTGCAGCAGTAACACCAGCTTTCTTACTCCCCAATCCAAACGGGTCGTCTCGAGACGGAACGTGTCCGGATAATTTCGTCGCCACCGGCGCCGGTTTCTTTGGAGCAATGTCTGGCAACGTCGCCGCCATGCCCATGGACGCCCAATCGCCTAAACCGGTACCGTCGTCAATGGATACGTTTGCAGTTGTATTCACAACTTTTTTCTTCTGTTGGTGAGAAACCGGCTGTTGATCGTATCTGGGGAGTGGTGGACCGGCGCCACCGAGTAAATCGTCGATGCTGTTATTTGAAGACGCTGGAATCACGTCTCGGTTGGATGGGAATTGAGACTCCATCATCATGTTGTTCATGCTTGTGTTGCCATTCGCATTTTGATGGTATTTATGACCACCTCCAACAGCATTCACGCGATCTTCTTCTTCCCACTCCTTCTGCCAATCATCGTCCGGTCCAAAAGCGATTTCAAACTCTTCTCTAGAGACGACGCCGGTACCCGAAACGTTGACTCGTTTCGCCAAATCCAACATTTGCGTCGGTGATAACTCCACGCCTAACCAAGACAAACCGCCGTATAAGGATTCGTATGATAATGAACCAGCTCGTTCCACGTCAAACGCTCGGAAACAATCTAATAAACGCATGCGCTTCCTCTTCAATTGCGCGCGTACACGTGCAGTAAGCGCGCGACTCGCGAGTAAATGAAACTCGTCTGCCGTCGTCAAAGCTTTCGCCAATGGCGTTTCTTGCCACGGAATCCTCGGACGGCGTCTGCAGTTTCGAACGGCATCGAAGAAAGCTGCGCGCTTATCGCACGGTGCTTCCTGTAAAGCGCGGAGAAGTAGAGAAACTTCTCTTTCTTCGAAATCGAGTTGCGAATCGAGAAATCGGAAGCATTGTTCCGCCGTTGCCCCTTGGAACACGCCAGCCGGTGCGTATCTCCTCGACCCTTCCAACAAGGTTCCACCAGCAATGCGCAACGCAACTTGCACGTTCTTAAACTTGACGATATCGCCATTCGATCGTTCGTCGCAATCGGAAAAGTGCATGGCGACGCGAATCGATTCCGCTTCCGCTAAGGAAACGCCAACGTAATATCGGCCGTTTTGCAACGCGTAAATATTCTTTTGACGGATGACTCTTTTCAACTCTTCAAACGTAACGCCCGCGCCAGAGGAAGGCAATCCAAGTTTTGCAGCGTCATGGGCTACTTCTTTCGCCAGTTCGGTCAAACGAACTTCGTCGTCATCAACGACGGCATCGATTGCTCTCAAGACATCCTTCAGCTCTCTCTCGTTCAGAGCGCCGGTGCCGCCACCATCAAACATCGAGAAGGCGGCTCGTAAAGCGTCCTCTTGTGCCATCGACAAACGGTTTTGTTGACCGGTACTCGAAGAGCCTTTCGTTAAATCGCTCGCTAATTCGTCTAAATCCGGAATAAGATCCATCACGATGATGGAATTCTTCAATCGTCGATGCGCGTTCAACGCCCATCCAGGTTTGAAGTAATTCTTACTCAACCAACAGTAATCTGGAAACGGTAGCGGATCGGTGTGTTTTAATTTCATTCCTGGTTGGTACACCTTGAACGTTTGCATTTTGTAAAACGGTAACCGCTGCGGCTCGGCGAGATCGTCCAACTTCCAAGCGATTTGCGTCTCGTCATCTCGAGAGTATTTCACAACCGCCGCGGATTCTTCGATGATTTCTTCCATCTTTTCTTCCTCCTTCTCTTGCTCTTGTTCTTGTTCGGTTTCTTGTTCTTGCTCGTTTTCTTGAACTTGTTCGGATTGCAAAACTCTATCGACATTGGCACCGTCGAAGCCGAGATCACCAGCGGCTTCGGAACCGTCGTTGTTCGCGGCTGCCATGGCGACACGTTGTTTTGCTTCCAACGTTGCCGCCTCCATGCGCGTGACATCGGCGACAATATTTCGCAGATGTTCCTTCGCCTTTTCGTTGTGCATGATGATGTGTTCGTATTGTCTGCACAACTGTGCGAGACGTCTTGACGCTGACATTTTTTCAGGAATTGCGTTTTGGACGATGAACGTCACGCGTTCTCGAAACACATCGAGGCACTTTTGCGTTTCATCGGTACATTTATGGGAACCAACTGTCATGTTTCTTTCCAACAAGAGCCGATAGGCGTGTTTCCTCCAGACATTTGCGGCTCTTTGTTCAGCTAATAAACCGGCTTGTACATTTTCTGCGCGCATAGTGTTGATGGTAAGCCACGCTAAGACGTCTCGTAATCGCATTCTCTCTGCTTCGTCGTCCGTCATGGATTGCAATTCTGCGATGCGCGTTTGTGGCAATCGGCCTTCACCAATCGCAACTTCCGTGGCAACGAGTTTGGATACTTCGGGAGTGATGATCAACTCCAGAGTTTGTCCATTTCCTAATCCACGCATACGCCACGCGCCTTGAGCGTAATCTCGCAAAGTCATATCTTTACCTAATGTCAACGCCGCTCGCGACGCTGCAGCTTGTTTGATATCCATCCCAGTCGTGTGCACCTGGTCGTAAAATGAAAAGCGTTTGGAATACGGCATAGCGGCAACCCGCGCTAAAGGAATCACTTCCCATGGTCCGCGACGCATCAAAATCATTTGTGCGTCATTTTCGTCGAGAAACACGCATCCTTCTGCCCATTCTAATCCGTTTTCTAATAAGAATTTCGCCACCGCGCGATTACTTTTACCGGTAATTAAAGCGCCAGCATCGATCAACGCGTGCAAAGGTGGCTCTGCGGTTGCGATGGTTTTCAATATATTATCAACGGTCCAGTCCGATGACATGTCGTTACAGGAAACCACGGTTCGGTCACTTAAAGTGGCCAGTACTTTCGCGTCTGTGCCAAGCTCAAATTTCGGAGCGCCCAACTCGGACGGGAGTAAATCCGCTGGAGTTCCCGAGAAACCTAAACGCACGGGGAACAAAACGTCACCACCGAGCTCTTGTCCAGTGGCGGAAAGTTTCATGCCCTGATGCTTCGCCGTTTCCGGGAACACGAAAGTATCTAAATACGTTTCAATGACTTCCGGCACCAATCTCAAGAGTTGATACAATTCTTCAACCTGTTCATGGTCACGCATATCCACGAGATTTAACGGCCACGTTTCGTTTTCGTCGTTCAACCACGAAGGTGAAGATTGGAAAGAAGCATCTAAAGACTGATTCAATTCCACGTTTGAAATGTCCGCGAGTAACGCGTCAAACCCGGAAACTTTGCCGACGTTCAGATGTGAGTGCGTACCTTGATGCGCAGATTTGCGCCTCGCCTCTAGTTGCGCTTTAGCTCTCGCCTCGCCTCTCACGGATTTGCCGGCTAACCGAACCCAATACGCCCACTTAAGCGAACTCGGTCGCTTTTGCTGCGCGCCAGCTTCGTTCGAAAACTGCTCGAGCATGGCTTTTAAAACAATCTTAAAATCGGATCTGCGCAAACCTTCGATGCGATACGCCGCAATTGTCAAGCCGATGACCACGTCTGGGTGCGAAAACTCATTCGTTCTCGAAGGAATATCTTTACCGACAAATGGGACCGCTAACAGTCTTCGAGATAAAGGTACCGACGCCTGCGTCCATTCTTCCAAATTTTTCACGTCGTGTAACGTGAGCAGACCAAACGTAACTCGGTTGATTTTGGACAAGACGTGAGGGAGTAACGCGTTCAACCAGTCTCGCGCGAGGTTCGCCATCTTCACGCCTTCATCTTCGGCTTCGCGTTGTAACTGCGTCGAAGCGCTTCTGTCGCCTCGTAGTAAAAATGCAATGGAAGTTTCATCGTCCATGTTTCTTAACGCACCGTGCGCTCTTAACCATACCGAAATCCATCTCGCCAGGAGCGGTCGCAGCGACTGATGGTACCATTTTCGATCCAACACGCACACGTGCGGCACCGCTTGTACTGCTTTCTCCTTAATTGCATCCGTTATACGAGTATGAATTAGCTTCAAAATCTCCGTCGCTTCTTGCGAGCCTTGCGCTTCTTTCGTGGAAGGCATAAATCCATTTGTCTCGTTGGACAACGAAAATACCGCGTCCAATAAGAAAAATGGAAGTTTCCAGCGCAATCCATCACCAATCCTTGATTGACAAAAATCTAGCGGGATTCTTTGCCCTAACGGCCAATGCAATTCGGATTTCAACGGGTGCAAAATCAAATCGACTTCGTCTAAAATGAGCAAACCTTGGTGGAAGATTTGAAAAATTTCAGACGCGCAAAATGCCTCTTTTCGCAATGCCTCGAGTTCCTCTTCCGATAAAGCTCCGGCATCGGCGACGCGCTCGGACCTCGATTTGCCTCTTCTTACACCAAACATTTTTGTGACGATATCTTTTGATTGTTTCAAAATACTTGAGTTCATTCTCGATTCTTCAAACGCAACGTGCGATTGATCAAGCAAGTGTAACGCCTCGAGAAACTTCAAGGCGAGTGATTTCAACGCCGTTGGCGAAGTGATCACAATAGCTCGTTCGTCTCTAGCTTTGCGCATAGCATCGAGCAACTTCCCATCGCTCAACGTCGTGTATCGATCAAATTTTAGAGTAACCACTGATCTCCGAATAACGCCTGAATAGGATTTGCGTAAAGTTCCTCGCGAAAACTCAAGTAAAGCGTGCGGCACGACCTGACATACCATTCGTGTATCCGTTGCGAGTAAATATCCAAGTAATGGACACACGACGGTCGTTTTACCTTCACCCATGAGCATTTGCGCGCACTCACCGCCACCTCGCTCAGCGGATTGAACAAATTGTTTCGTCAGTTGAACTTGTCGCTGACGCAAAATAATCGCCAGCGAAAACTCAAACATTAACAATCGGGGATCGTACGTTAAATACGTCGGCGATGGCGTTGCCGGACTTTCCGCGAACGGATCAAGTTCGTCTGCGACAGCTTGCTTCTGCTGTTGCTCGCGGTTCGCCACCACACTCTTTTTAAAGTACGATCTCTTCTCGCACAACATCTTCGCCAAACCTCTCGCGCGTAAACCTAAATCCAAAGCTAACGATGCTTTCCCATCACGTTCGACGGTTTTAGCGCACTTTGATAATGCTAATAACGTATCTGCCGCAGCGGCAGCACATTTTGCACCTTGCGCGGCTCTTGCGGTTAGCAACAACGCTTGTGCGGTTAAATGCAACGCTTGTTTCACCTTGTCTGAAGTTACCCCCGGGGTGATTTTCAACAAATTCTTCTCGCCGTGTTCGCACGCCATCGCTTCCAGTAAATCGTCGTACGTCGCTTCGGCCCACGCGCCCGAGCGCCTTTGCAAACCCAGTCGAAGCATTTCGAAACGGACAGTGGCTGATCTATCCAGGCCGTTTGCGGTTGCCGTAGCGACCATGGCAGCCTCTGAAGCTGCGGCGCGATCGAGCGCAACCTGTTTGGCCAACTTTTCAAGTATCGAGCGCAATACCGCTCGCGCGTTGATCGACGCTTGACCAGCCTTGGACGCTGCTGCTTCGATGGCAATTTGCTCGCAATCGAAAGATGTGAATCCATTTAACGTGAGCTCGTTCGTTGCGACATTCACAGGTTCCTGTTTCTGCTTTGCAATCCTATCCGCACTCGATTTTAAATCTTGCCGTAATCTTGTCAAGGTTTGTTTCGCGATTGGCGTCGCCGACGAAGGGTGTCTCGACATGTCAAATGGTAACCCTCCGGAACCATTTTCCAAGCAACCTTGGATCGCATCTCCCGCGCGATCGTCCTCGACAGGCACTATTATTGACGCTAAATCGATAACCGCTAACGGCTGCGAGCTTAAATAATTCAAATCGACGGTTGCGAGATTGTTCGCGCCGTACTTTTGCAATACTTGCGGATCGTTCTCGAGCGGGTATTTACGTTGTCGCAACGTCGCCGAAGCAAATCTAGGTAACGCCCACTTCGAACCGTTCAGTAACGTTTGATACCACGCGTCGATTACCATTTCACAGGCTGGTGGTGACGCGTAGCGATCGCCAATGTAATTCATTTGCGACGGTAAACGGTCTCGATTTTCTTTCAAATACGGTTTCACACGTTTCAAGAGTTGCCCGACGGCGCCGTCTTGCGTAAACATGGCGGAGAGTTTGACGCCTAACGTCCGCTCTTCTGCGCGCGGACACTCCCTCGCAATGTCTGCATTTGCCGCTAACACGCGTAAAATGGACATTAAAGTGCCAGCTTTCTCGCTCTGTTGTTTCGGAACGAATCGTAACAAAGCCCTACCCCACCGATGCGGGTCGTCGCCCGGTAATACGCGCAATTGCACCGTGCTCGTGAGCAACTCAAAGAGTAAAGGGAACCCGTGTTCTTTTTGTAAGGCCAAAGAACCGCTTTCAATCCATTTATTGACAGCGTTTAGGCCGTTACTGCCGTTGACAGAAACATCGTCCGGTCGTGAATAGCTCGATGTCCACCCGGCGAGTTTTCCAAGCGGACCGTCACCGGTGATGGCATCGTCGAACACGGAGAAATCTTCGATAGAATCGAATTCGCTGTGTTCCGGTATTGGCGGGTAAAAGAGAGGAAATCCTTGCGTTTGTCCTAAACTGTTGTTCAGTTGATCGTTCATTAACAATTTGCGTTCGTGATGAACGAGCAAACGCAAGTAACTGGCTCGATTCAACAACAACGGATCTGAAGCGATGATTTCCTCGAGCGTTTTCTCATCTCTGTTCTTTCTTCGAGTTCGGAGACTCGCTCGTTGCGCTTCCGTGACTCGGGCACTCGCGGTCGTTTGGTCTACAACATCTAGTTCTTCTTCCGCGGTTAATCGGACGTTGGCACTTATCGCACGCCAATTTTGGACGTACTTCAAACACTCGACGGATTCATTGAAACCTAAGCCGGCTAAACGATCCATCGCGGCGGTGCCTTTAGCGGCGCGTAGAATTTTAATTCTAGCCGCGCACGCATCTGGATTCGGATCCTCGATGGCGGCCAGACCTAATGCGTCCCATAATTGCGCTTCTTCGCTCGTAGGATCGTTCTCGCACAAGAGTAAATCGACGAGTTTTTTCACGTCGTCGTATCTTCGAGCCAGGAATCGCATGGTGCACAAATACAACGCCGATGCTAAGGAATCGCATACTAGATGCGCGTGCGAAGCGTGAACCGTGTATACATAATGTTTCGAGTCACCGACAGCGTCGTGCCACGCGATATCCCAACGATCGACGATGACGTCTGCGCCTAAACCCTTACTTGCGCCGAGTTTTGCGACAGCGTCAATCGCCGCACGCCTCGGCGCAGCACCGGCGGGTAACAAAACCGCGAGCTGTCCGTCACGAGCTTCTAACAGCATAGCGTGTGGTAAACCAGATAATAAGCGATCTAACATTGGAGTTCTTGCGGAAGCTAAAAATAAACCCGCGTGTTCTTCGCACTCTAACCGCGTTTGTGAACTCGCCGTCGTATCTTTCACGGCGTGAAAGGAAATACCTAATCGAGGGAGTTCAACTCTTCGCACGGGAATGTATTCACTCGCGTTGTTGTTCTTTGAGCCACCAGCTCCGCTACCGGTATTTCTATCGACCCAAACGAGCGCGTGTGCCAACCCTTCTACGGCAGCAATCGATCTTGCCAACGCTTTCAACGGATTCTGTCGCGTTTCGTTCGACTCCGCGCGCGGGCTCAGTAAATTCGACACGTCATCGTTCTCACCTTCCATCTCTTCCACGGAAGAGGTGTGTCCAGCCGCGGCGTACAACAAATCGACTAAAACAAGCGTTCCTTCTGGCATGCTTTGTGGATCGAAATCAAAATCACTCGCGTCTTTCGTCGGCATTGGGATTCTATGAACGATACCTCGCGCGTCATCAACGAATAAACCGGATTTAGAAGTGCTCGCGGAGCCGCTAAAAACGGAGTCGAGCGCGCTGACCGTCGGGTCTTCCTCCGCTGGTGGCGTCGTGGCACCTTTAGCACCTTCTATTTGGACGTAAATGATTGTTCGAGGGTGTTTAGCTGTCGGTCGAGCAGTGCCGTACAAATCTCCGGTAACTTCTGATCGCCAAAACGAGTAATCTTGCAACAACGCTTGCGGGATTATCCCTCGCAAGTGTCGTTCAGGAACAAATGCTTGGCGTCCGAGCTTACTTGAAATGTGTCTCGTTACGACTAAAGATTGCACCCGAGAACCTAATCGAACTGCAGACAGTAAAAATCTTTCGTTCGGGTCCTTCAAACTCGGCTCACCGTCTGGGTCGACATCCGCGAGACACCACGAGGCGTTGGAGGCAAACACCAACGCTCTTCTCCAGCGTCTACCGAAAGACTCGACGCGAAAGACCTGTACCAACGGTGGATCTCGCACGACGACAACTTCGGTGAGCAGTTTATTCGCATTTTCTTCGTCCGCGACCGATGTTTTCGGAACTTTTGTGGCTTTGCCCCACCACCAGGAGGACTTTTGTACCTCGGGCGCGACCACATCCGGCGCGCCGACACCTCGCAAGGTAGCAATCGGTCCTTTGAACGTTTCGGACGGAAGGAACAACTCAACGCCTTTTAAGAAAGCCGCTGCGGGACCATGGATAATCGGCTCTAATCGGTCCATAATCCACCGTTCTTTCTCCGTCAAACCCGATCCGGAACCAAGACCTACCACGCTCAAAACGTTCATGACTTTCGCGCCCGCGCTGGCATTCGTAGCGTACGGACGGGTAAAGTTGTGCGTCGGCACACGAGGATCCGGATCCCAAATTTCGATATCGTGACGCAAACCAACCAACCTGAGCCACTTACGATGTTCTGTGTTGCGAACTTCCGCGCAGTGAACAACCTCGTCCGAGGCGTCGAATTCAGCGAACGGTGATTTTCCGTCTCCCGTTTTTTTACCAATCTCGTCCGTGTTCTTCAAAACTGTGGCGATGATGGACTTGGAGTTTGAAGCGGCGAGTAAACGTGTGAACGAATCGTCCTCGTCCACGTCGTCGTCGTCTTTCAACAGCCTCTGTCGAAACTCTTCGTTCCGTTCTCTCAACACTGAATCTAATGCGGCCACAAAATCGGGCAATTCTCGAACGGCGTTTTCGAGCGGCCGCAAACGGTTTCGTCGGACCGTGAACTCGCCGAGTTGACAATTCACCTCCATCTCTGCGTTTTGCGTCGTCGTCGCCAATAACCATTCCCCATAGTGTTCGCCATACTCTTCCAACAGAACGTTTTTAGTATTCTCCGTTTTCCTTTGCCACTCCTCGGTAGTTTCGTCTTTCGGGTGCGCCACGAACCGGCCTTCGCCAGACAACCGCCATCCTCTGTCATGTGCAGAAGCGTCCGTAGCCTCCTGCTGCGCAGACGGCACCGACGAACTGCTCTCACGCGTCGTCAACGCTATGACGATGCCGTTCATGACATCGTTGCATTCTTTTTCGTTTCCTTTCGCCCACGCGAGCATATTTTTTCGTTGTCGTTGGAACAAATCGAAAATCTCGTTCGGAGGGAATCCTAAATCCATCAAGTTTTCTCCGGTATCTTTCGCGAGTTTTCTATCCATAGATTCGGAACCGTCCGGAGTGTCCAAGAAAACATGGTTAACAAATATGTATGCCTGCGCAGTAAACAGCGTCGTCGCTGCTTCCAAGTCATAGTCTTCAGGTTTTGTCCAATAATACGTGTACGCTAAATGCGCGTGCAACGCGCACGCAGCGCGCACGGCGCCACATTTTGCCGCCCGGTTCAACCAGCGTCGAATAACTGGACGAACGCGCGCGGAAATTACTTTGCTAACTCTTTCTTTTGCATTTTCTAGTGATTTTTTCGATTTCGGTGGTGGCTGAACGCCTCTCGTTCTCATCTTTGGATCTTCGATGTGTTCTTGCTCCATCAGCGTCGTGATAAACGCGAGCATTCGAGTCAAGGCTCGCGTGGAAAACAAAACGCCCGGGACGGCTGGAGCGTCGTGCCTGCCGGTATCGAGTTCTAAACTTAAAGCCAATAACTCTTCCGCAGCATCGATTAAAGGCGCCGGCGCGTGGGAGAGCTCGTGGAATAAAACCCCACACGGTGTCGCCATATGCTGTCTCGTGCTCGCAGGAATCTCTTGGGGGACAAAGACCAACCCGGGCGGTTGCCACGGACCAGGCTCAAACAAAACCGCATCTAAAACTTGTTGGATTTCGTGCGATGATAACGCACGACACCTGGTTGCGTCCGCAAATAGTCTCAAAGATAACGGAACGCGGACCATTGGCGCAGTCAAGTACGTCAACAAAAGTTCCGTTTCGCTTGGTTTGAGCAAATCGTCAAACGTCGGCAACGTTTGCAGATGCAAAACGTCCTCCTCCGTATCGATTCGCATGCCGACTAAATTAGACGGATTCCCTCCGGACGGTGGACATCGCGGCCGTTTATCGCCGATGGATTTAGCTAAAAAACCACCTCCGAAGACAGAGCGAAACCCATATATCCTCTTCTTTTTCCCTGTTTTCGGGTCGACATCTTTATCGGCGACCATGCGTAACTCTCGCGCCCAAGGCGCAACTCGCATTTGACGATCGAAAGCGGTGACATTGAGGTTATACGCTCCGGATCTTTCGTCGCGCTCAATCTTCCAATTCAGTTGAGAATCTTGAAACGTCCATCGACGCAAGTCCGGGAGCGAATCGCTCGTCGGTGCCATCAACGCTTTGAACATGAAAACAGAGTCTCGCAACGCCACGAGTTCCGGGTAATGATCCGCCATGTCTCTGTTTTCGCAAGAAAAGTAATTCGACAAGGCATCCGGCGACCGTTCGTAGCCGATCGCTAAAGCAACTTGGTCTAATAATCGAGCCTCTCCCGGGCCGAAAGTCATGCCTTGTTGATCGTCTTCCCATCGAAACAAAGTGTGCGAGGATTGAACGGACTCGGTGAGCGAATGGAAGTAATCTAAAACTTTCGTCAATTTTGTCATTCTTTCCGGGCAGTGAAATCGTAAATACTCCGCCTCCACTGCAAATGGACCGGTATCAAACCCAAATAGAGTCGTCGGGCCTTCGTTGACGCCGTCGTAATGCTCGCAAAAAACGCTCGGGAAATCGCACGGTTTCATTCTCAACGTCGCGTCGGTAATCGCCGCCATGCACGACAACGTCAACAATCGGTTGGCGTCAAACGATCGCGTGGCGGAAACTGACATCGACGCCGTGGCGAAATGTCGTAAACATAAATTCAAAGACCGGGCGAGCTCTAATTGCGTCTCGTACTTTGGTCTCGCCGACCGCCAAAAGCAGTGAGTCTCTCTGTCTTTGTGCGTCAACGGCATCGGACAAGGCAAAACGTGCACGAACAAATGCACCAACAACGCAACTCTGTGCGAATACGAATTCGTAGTCAAATCGGCTTGGTTAGCCAATATGGAGCAACAGTGTGCTGCTTTTCGCATGGCTAGTGCGGCTTCTTCTACGCTAGTGACTATATCTGGAACCATGGACAACTCGACCGGACGAATAATCGGCGGCGGCTTGGCGTCGCCGGCGAGTAAATTCGTCCCGCCTTCGAGCATAATTTTACCGAACAACTGCATGTTGCTCGCATCTCTAGGCGCTATCGGTGAGGCTAACGGTGGCGGAAGTAACGTCGGCCTTCGGGCGTTTGCAGCTCTCAGTCTTGTCGCTTCCACGCACTTCAAAATCCTCGCGAGGATTTCCGGAGGCACCGGTCCGACGTTGCTCGCGTCTGCGTTTTGCCCTCCATTTTCTCGTTCCACCTTGGCTAATTTTTCCGCGTACGGCGTCGCAACTCGAGCTAAAGTTTTACACGCAGTTTCTAGAGCTACGCACGCGGAAGTATTCAGAAGCGAAATTTCAGAAACGTTCCGCAAGGCTTCTTCTAACATGACGTGTCTCACGCCAACCTCGACTAACGCGTTTGCTCGTTTTGGCGGGCATCCTAAAGAGCACAACGCGCACCTCGCAGCTTCTAACGCGCACAAGGAAAACGATAAATCGCCACCGGCTGGCTTTGGTGCAAACTGAACCGTCCGAAGCGGCGTGGCACCAACCGATGCGAATAACGGACGACCGTTCAACATTGGCAACACTTTGGCGTAAATTTGGTCTTTTGCAATCTCAGCCGTTTTCTGCGGATGGACAATCGGTCTAAGTAACAGAGCCCAAGTGGAAGAATCTAAACACATATCCATTGGAATTTCCGTCAATTGCGTCGTCAACCCGTATAAAAATCCATCCGAGGACGGATCCGCTTTCACGGGATGATACTCTAATCCATCGCCCGTGTTGGTCACGGAAAACACAAAGGAGCCTTGCAGTCGTTGCAAGGTGTAAATCAGCGCGCGACTCTTCCCGTCGTTTTGCGTGGACCACCCACCCGGGAACATTAATAAAGCACCCGGACGCATCGAACGCACTCTATCGATAAAGACGGACAAAAACGCAGTAAACGCGTTGTTATCTTGCGTTCCTGCGGGGATTTGCCGACATAACAAGGTCAAATCATCCAACGATCTTCTGACTTCCATAATCGCGTTTGTTTCCGGAACCGACATCGGAAATTGCAAACTTCCCAAAGCTCTCGAAATTGTCGAGCACGAATCGCTCATAGTTTCTAGCGTTTCTCTAACTGCCATTTTCTCATCTCGTATGCGCATTAACCGTTCGTCAAACCCGAGCGCGTCGTCCGCCATGACGTCCACGAACGCGATTTGCTCCCACACCGCCTCCAAGTGCGTGGGCACCCCGACGCCCCCCAACGGTCCCGTCAACCCCGCTCTCTCCAGCGCGCCTTTAAAGAAGCTCCTTCTCGCGTGTTTCGTCTGGTGTCTTTGCAACGAATTCTTCTTCTCTCCACCACTTTTCCTTTTCCTCCCGTTCGCGTCGACTTCCGTATCGCTCTCGTCGTCGCTACCGTTTCCGTCCTTCTCCCCGTTCTTCGCTTTCCGACTCCGCTCTCGCGCAATCGCGTCGCTCAGCGCCGTCACCCACGATTGCAACACTTGCTGATTCTCGCACTCGCAAACGACCACGGAATTCGAAACTCCTGAATTGATTTCTTTCGCGGAGACGTCCATCTTGGAGTAAAACGCGAACAACTTCTTCCCTAAATATTTGCTCCCTAAGCCGTGTTCCTCGAGAATCTTCTCGTCCTCTAAAGTCACAACGGTACTCTTACTGGTCACCTCGAACATGCCTTTCGGTTGTTGCCTCGAGTGCGTCGGCTCGGACGCGTAATACTTCAGCGTCGACTTTTCCTTTTTATTAAAAGCTCTTCTCTCTTCCTCCTCGTCCGCGTCTTTTTCCTCCTCGTCATTAAACCGTTGCTGGTGATGAAAGAATTTTTTCTCGCTCGCGAGATGTAATTGAAAATGCCTCAACCGCCAGGTGTTTTTGCCGTACAAGTCTTTCCCGCCTCTCTTGGTTAAAGTGCCGGAAAGGATCGGCGGCGTTTGGTCCGCCATCTTTATCTTTTTTTTAACTGTGTAATAGACTACTACTACTATTAATGATGATGATGATGATACTAAAAGCGTTCGGTGTGTTTCTTTAGTATCCGAGAGAGACTTTTCTTTCGTGCATCTGACGAGATCTCCTCTGAGAAATCACTCGAGAAGTCTGTTTTTTTTTGTTTTCGTCTCTCGCGAAAGCTTTTTTGTCCGTCTGTCTGTCGTTTCAGAAGAAGCAGTCACGCTGCAGAAAATTTTCTGAAACGCCGCAAAGTAATCAATCTTTTTATCCGCGCATATCCCACGCTGCTTCCTCGCGCTGTTGTTATTCTACAGACGCATCGAAGAACCATAAAAAGCAGTTTCGCTTTTTTTGCTGTTTGAGAAGACTTCTTTAGTATTTATTGAATATACCGACGAACGAGAGCATCGTAGAATGGGATTTTTAACCGAACACGAGCACGGGAAATCGAAAGTCCGCTTGGGACGGACGTGGAGAGATGCGAAAGAAAACGCGCATTATTTCGTCGAGTGGGAGGTGTGCGTTCGACTCATATCGCCGGAAATGGAAAAAGCGTACACGAGCGGAGATAACGGTGGGATGACGACCACGGATACGACGAGAAATATGTGTTACGTGGTCGCGCAAAGATGTAAAGAGCGCACGTCTATGGAGGAGTACGCCATCCGTCTCGCGAGAACGTTTATAGAAACGTATCCGCTCATAGACGGGGTGTCGGTGACGGTGGACCAAGCGCCGTGGGAGCGGGCTAAAGTCAGAGGAGGTGTCGAGCACAGTCACGGTTTTACGTTTAGTAGCGGTATACGCACGTGTTTCGTGAACGTAATGAGAGAACGAATGGATCGTCCAACCGTAACGAGTGGGTTGAAAGATTATCGGGTGTTGAAAACGACGCAAAGCGGCTACGAAGGATATATCAAGGACAAGTTTACCAAACTCGGTGAAACGAATGAACGGATTTTAGCGACTGCTATTGATTGCGTGTGGACGTACGACTTGGAAGGAGGAATTGATACCAGTAAACGGAAAGGATGGTTCGGTAATAACAATTCTAGTAACAACAACAACATTGATTACGATTTAGTCTACCAGCGAGTGCTCGAAAACATCAAAGACCAGTTCTTCGGCGACGCGCAGAGAGGCGTGTATTCGCCATCGGTGCAAGCGACGTTATACAATATGGGCGATGCGATCGTAAACAACATCAAAGAAGTGAAAGACGTGAAATTTACGTTACCAAACATCCATTTCATACCGATGACGCCAAACGGAGGAGACCATAAATTCAACGACGACGTATACATTGCCACATCGGAGCCGCACGGTACGATTGCGGCAACGGTATCGAAGAGAAACGAAACAGCCGAAATTCGGTCTCGGCTATAAAGCAGAGCACTACGTGTGCATAGAACAAGCTCACTACTACGACAAAACTACTAAATATATCTACTACAAACTCAAAAGTATCCTCTCGTTAAAAAACTCAGAGCGCCTCTTTGCGCCAACCCGCTAATCTGTTCCCTCTGATCCTTCGAACACTTCATGTACCCGATCGTATTCGTCAACAACATCCCCAATGCCATTAAACACACCAACGCGTAGTTGAAATTCAACTTTGTCAACGACGTGGTTAAAAAGAACGCCCAAATCAACGGCGCGCCGTATATCGTCCACCAGAAAATCCGCTTCTCGGTCGCATCCACCAACCGCATTCCATCCGCGTCTCTCGATTCAAACTGCCACTTGCTCTCCCCGCTTTGTTCTTCGACTTCGTTCCAATACCTCAACCCAACTAACAAGCGACCGGAGACGTTCTTCGTCCACCAAAAGTCCATCGTCAGTAAAAGAGTCAAAAGGACGAATATGATGACGAAATCGTCCGAAAACCAGTTGCAAAAGACATAGACGAGCACGGCGCTACATTTAAAGACGACGTGCACGAGTAACGCGGTCGGATGTTTCGTCGATTCCATCATTCCGGTGTTGTTGTTATCTTCTTCTTCTGCTGCTGCTCCTCCAGCAGTAGTATTCGCCATGCTTCTTCTCACCGCTTCACCGCTTCACTTCTCTTCCGCTTCCTCCTCCTCTTCTTTTTTTAATGTTCTCCCAACGGTCTCTGTGGCTTTTTTTTGTCAAAAGAAGAAAAAAAATTCACAAACCCTAAATTACAATTGACTCTTAGCTCTTTCTTCTTTCGTCTAATCTGTGTACCAAATTATATTACGACGACGACGCGCAGAAAAGAAACAACGCGCCGCTTTGATCACGTCGTCCGCCTTCTCTGCCGTCTGATCTCCTTCATTCAAGCTTCTTCTCTCTTCTGTCTTTGTGATCTGACCATCTTCGATCGTCGGCATCAACGCTTCTTCTTTCTCGTCGTTGAAAGAGATCTCTCTGAGAGAGAATTTTCCCCCCGCTTTGAGATATCTCGAGAATATCTTTTCGGAGGCGGAGGAGGAAACGTCCAAATTTGAGAGCGGGAGGAGAGATGACGACGAACGACGAAGAGACGACGAATAATACTAACACTAACAAGATGGAGAAGGAAGAACAAGAAGAAGTGAACATTAAAGCGAGGAAAGAATACACCATCACAAAATCCAGAGAAAGTTGGACGGACGAAGAACACGGGCTGTTCGTGGAGGCTATCGCGCTGTGCGTTTGTTTTTTTGTTTTTCTGCTCTCTTTTCTCCTTCTTTCGTGCGAGGATGATGATGACGCGTCTCTTCTTTCTCCTTGTGATTATGGCGTCGTGACGAAAACGCGAAAACAACTATTGCTGACATTTTTCTTCTTCTTCTTCTTTTGTATCGTCTTCGAATACACAGATACCAGCGAAACTGGAAGCAAATCAAAGAGCACGTGAAATCGAAATCGATCATTCAAATCCGTTCGCACGCGCAAAAATATTTCTTGAAGATTGAAAAGTTGGGCACCGGGGAAGCGGTGCCGCCGCCGAGGCCGAAGAAGAAGGCGAGTCGACCGTATCCGCACAAAGCGGTGAAACCACCACCACCAGCACCGCCGCCATCAGCTAAAGTAGTAGTACATGAGCAGCAGCAACATGAAGTACCGGTGAAAACAACAGGCGATGGAACTGCTGATGCCACTGCAACTAAGAACGGTTCGTCGTTAGTAGAAGCCGCCTCTGGTCTCCCGTCTTCTCCTTCGAAGAAACTCTCGCCGAAGAAACAGTTGCAGAAGCAAGAAGTATCGCAGAGTAATAATTACAATAATAATACGAACGCGAGCGACGAGGGTAATAAGAAAGCGAAGCAATCGACGCCGAAAAAAGAAAAGAAAGCTGCAAAACCGAAGACTACTGGAACGAAAAAGAACGCCAACACTATGAAGAAGAATACGAAAACACAGAAATCCTCCTTGCTTCATCCCGGAAACGAACCGCCGACGGATGACTTATTTAGAAGCGACGATCAACTTGCGGGTATGGTCGATGACGAAGCAGAAGATGATGAAGACGACGACGACGAGAATAATAGAGAAATCATGAATAGCAACGACGCCTCTGGTGGCGGTTCGGCGGAAGACGACGCGATTAACCGTTTAGTAGATAGCAACAACGGCACGGCGACAACTTCGTACAAAGAAACCGGCGGTCATAATAAAGAGTTGATGATGACTGCGACAGATTTCATAAACAACAATAATATTAGTGACGAGGACGATAATAGCGGCGGCGGTTCTAAGAGTAACCACCAATGCATGACGCACGAATACATCACGCAGCAAATGAATGAAATGCAAGAGCAAGTTCGAAATTCCTTGACGGGCGCAACGTACGAGGTGCAAAAAGGATCAAAAAGGAAAGCACCGAACACCCCAACTTCAAAAGGTACAGACAGAAAAAAAGGCATCGGTTCTGGAGGTCCCTCGCGTTTGGGAGGCTTTCATCAGCAACACCAACAAAATACGAACCAGTCTGCACACGGCTCGAACTTAGGTGGCGCGGGGCAGCAAGTGAACGGCGGCGACCAGTTGCAACATTCGGCTTGGAATCCCACGCAGAACAATTCGCTGACCGATGCGCAAAGAAAGAAAGCGAATCAAAACACGCCAAACTTCCAAGTCGTGTACTCCACGTTTGCGAGAATGTTGGAAAACGATAGCATCTCTGCAGAAGAAGCGGCGGAGAATTTACAAAATATGCGACCGATTGATCGAGAAACGACCGTTTTACTCGTCGATAACTTGAAGAAGAATTTGCTATCGAAGCGAATGTGGGAAGATCAAATGCAACTCGTCGGCAGTGGGTACCAAACCTTCTTAAACGCCTCTTCCGACGCGAGCGCGGAGGAGAAACAAGCCAAGTTGGTGGAGAGTGCGGTGAACTCTATGAAGTTTAACAGCGAAAGTGCTCGCGATGCGACCGCGGCCACGCTTACAAGTGACGCGCTCGTGCCAACGTCCATGGCGACGCAGCAAACGCGGCCATATCCATACATGCAAATGACGAAGAGAGATTCCGATGGCACGTTTGAGGAAGCCAACAACGGAGACGATAATAACAACACGAACACGGATTCCGGGAACAACGATTCCGGGAACGAAAAGAAAGGATCTGATGGCGGATCGGGTGGGACTGGACAATCTCAACAAACCTTTGTGGATGTAGTCACTGATAAGAAGCGTGCAGCGGCAGCGGCTGTTCAATAAAATGAGAACAAGAGGGAAGGAAAAAAGGACGAAATCTGCGCGCGCTTCGATTTGCGTTTTGTAATATCGAATAAAACCAAGTGTACCATACTGTAGAGTACCCATTATTTTCATTTAGTACATTTCTTATTTGTTTCACCACTACATACATAATAAATATTAGGACTACTGCACCGATGACGAACGCGAAGCAATTTTATTGAGTTATCAATACGTGATAAATTTATCCGCTTGCTCTTGCAATAACTTAGCGCTCTTCTTCGGATCAAAAAACAATCTTTGACACTCCTCTAAATCCGCAATCGATATCTCCTCTCTCCCGCTTTGTTGCGCAATCACCGCCGCCGGCGTCATCAACTGCGCCGCGTGTCTTAAAGTCGTCTCGTCGCCAACCTCGCCTAATCTCGCCAAACTCGCTTCGTCCATCTCAATCTCTTCCACGTCCGCTCGCACGGCTAAAATCCGTACGTTTTCTTCGCTCGTGTAAGGAATCGTTCGAACAATCAACAAGCGATCTAACAAATCTACCGGAATACCGTGCGGTGCCACCATCCCGTCTGAGCCTTTCACCGGGCACACCCCTCTGTTGGTGGCAAAAATAACAATCGGTGCCAATTGCGACTCCAACGCTTTGTTCAAAAACGTGAAACATTCTTGATCCAACATGTGCACCTCGTCGATAAACAACACTCCCGGGACTAACTCGGCGATGCCACTATCGATGTATCTGTTAACCACGTTATTGATTTCTCTCCTTAACTTTTCCGTAATCTCTGTTTTCTTCGGTTTCATTATTTGACTCATCATTGAAATGATATCGGATCCGCCTTGCGGTCTCGCGTTGGCGGCGTCCAAATCGTGTAAAGTTACATCCTGCACAATCTCTTTTCTTTTATGCACGTCGCCTTTCGGTAACGGAACGTACTCTTCCGCTTCTAAATCGAACTCCGAAGCGTACGCATCGCACCTCCCAACTCGTTTCACCGACCCCGAGTTTGCCTCCAAGTAAATCACGTCGCCCAACTTCACCTTTTCTTTCTGCATCGCGTCGTAAATCGACGGGTCTAATTTCAACTGTTTCGTCCCTTTCACCGTTTTCAATCCAACGACTACGCTCGTGATAACTTTCCCGTACCCGCCCGAAGTGCTCTCCGTCTCTTCCGGCGTCATTTCCACAATCTCGCCTTCATACACCTCCTTATTCTCTTTAATCCGCAAACCAATCGCTCTTCGAAAGTTCTCCATCAACACTTCCGTCTTCTTCACCTCGTGCGAATACACCTCTGACCCGACCATGGGACAAAACGGCACTTTCGTCCCTAATTCTTGCGCGATCCCTAGCGCCAATGCCGTCTTCCCCGTCCCCGGCGCGCCCGTAAATAACAAGGCTCTTCCAGCCATTTTTTTCTCTTTGATCATGTCCACGACGACGCCGGAGGCTTCCCGAGCGGATTCTTGGCCGACCCATCCGGCGGCTTGCGCGACTGCCGCGCCTTTTTCGTTCAGCCCGAGACCCTGTGATATGATGAGCGTTTAATTTGAGTAAAGGTTTCATCCTCCGATGATGAAATAATCGAACGATGACGATGAAAATGATGGGAAGGATTCAAAACAAAATTGACCGATTGTGAGACGCCACGCGATGATGATGAAAAGAATTATTTAAAACAACAACAATCAATAACAATAACAATCAATCAAAAAGGCGTTAAATTCGTTAAAGAGTATTATTAAATACCTTGATGTGCGTGTGCGTGGCCACTCGCGCTTTCTTCGTCGTCGAGGCGACTTCGTCGATCTTCATTTTAATCTCGCTTCTTCTTTGTTTAAAGTTTGTTTCAATGAGGGAAGAGAGACGAGACGGAGAGAAAAAAAGCTTGAAAAGTGTTTAGGGTCTAGGGTTTAGTACCCCTTGCAAAAGAAAGAGAAGAAGAGAGAGATAAGAAGGACTTTACTTTTCACACCGACGAGCGTATTGCTCCTGTTGAGAGAGAGAGAGAGAGAGAGAGAAGACAAAGACAGACCTAGAAAAAATGATGGCGTCCAACGCATCTTCGACGATGACGACGATGGTTTTTCGACCAACGGTTTCGAATAGTTCTAGCGTAGTCGCCTCTTCTTCGGCATCATCATCGTCCTCTGCGGCGGGGAGACGAAGTCCAATAATGCAGAACAACAAGTTTAGTAACAACAACGACGAGAAGAACAGAATATTAAATAGAAGAAGACGAGAGAAGAGAATAACGAGAGGAAATCTCGCTGTGAACAACGCGATAACGAGGCCGGAGATTGACTGGTCGAAACTTGGTTTTGGTTTAACCGAAACGGAGTCCATGTATATCGCCGAGTGCACCATCGATGGGCAGTGGAAAGTTGGGTCAATTCACCCGTACGGAAACATTTCGGTGTCACCATCCGCGGCGGTGTTGAATTACGGTCAAGGGATCTTTGAAGGCATGAAAGCTTTTCGAACGCCCGAGGATGAGATCGTTACGTTTCGTCCGGATGAAAACGCGAAGAGGTTTGCGGAAGGCGCCGGGAGGATGTCGATGCCGCCGGTACCGAAGGACATCTTCGAAGACGCGGTGAAGAAGGTTATCAGCGCGAACAGAGACTACGTGCCGCCAGTTGGGGTTGGATCCTTGTACATTCGACCGTTGTTGATTGGGACTGGGGCGATTTTGGGGTTAGGTCCGGCGCCATCGTATACATTTTTGATTTACGTCAGTCCGGTTGCTTCGTATTTCAAGGGAGGTCAGTTGTCGCCGATCGATTTGATCGTCGAAGAGGATTACCATCGAGCCGCGCCAGGCGGGACCGGATCCACGAAATGCGTCGGAAACTACTCTCCAGTTTTGAAAGTGCAGTTGCAAGCGAAAAAAGAGGGGTTTTCGGACGTTATTTATTTAGACGCCAAAGAGAACAAATACATCGAAGAGGTGTCTTCGTGCAACTTTTTCGTGGTGAAGGGCAAAACGATCGCCACGCCGGCTTTGGAAGGGACCATTTTACCCGGCATCACGAGAAAGAGCATCATCGAATTGGCCAGAGACAAAGGATACACGGTCGAGGAAAGAAAAGTGGGCTTGGATGAAGTCTTGTCCGCGGACGAGTGCTTTTGCACCGGCACCGCGGTCGTCGTCGTCCCGGTTGGCTCGGTCACGCACCGAGGCAAGAAAACCGTCTTTTGTGACGGCAAAATTGGCGCCACCGGACAAATGTTATACGACGAGCTCACCGGCATCCAACAAGGTCGTTTAAAAGATACCAAAGGGTGGATCGAGCACGTCCCGAAGGATTACCACTTGTAAAGAGAAAGAGACAGAGAGAGAGAATGAATGAATGAAAGAGAGAGAGAGACGAACCCGTCCTCCTCCGCGAGACGAGTTTTACTATTAAGACTTTTAACGCATAACGTATATATTTACTTCGACACACACAAAAAAACACACACACGAATACTACTACTAAAGAGCAATCGCCTCTCTTTGCTTCTAAAACTAAAATTTGAATTCAATGAGTATCGTCGCGTTTTTCGCGAAAGCGCTCGCTGCTTACCAGTTTTCAATAGGGCTTGATGTGTTTGTGTGCATGAGAAAAAATTCTTGCGTTTTAGAGTTGATTTTGGCCACAAACTTGCCTCATTTCTGTTCTTGATGTTGTTGTGTGAGAAAGTGTTCGTAATCTCTCTTTATTATTTATAAACGGACACGCAATCGCACGCATCTTTGAGATATATATACACACATAACGTGCAGTTATTCTTATTGTTGTTCTTATTAAAATTGAAAAAAATGAAGCTGTACGGGCCGACGTCTCGTTCGCATCGGATTGCAGTCACCGCGAAGTATTGTTCGATTCGATTGGACTACGTCCCGGTGACGATGGGGGAAACGAACAAAACGGAAGAGTATCTGAAGATGAACCCGTTCGGTAAGGTGCCGATGCTGGTGTGCGACGACGCGAATGAGACGGCGGTGTTTGAATCGAACGCGATTTGCCGATATTTGTGCTCTGTGAGTGGCGAGATGGTATACCCGAAGGAAAGCGGGGGTGCGGAATTGCGAGCGAAAATCGACGGCTTTATGGATAGTTTTAACCAGTTGGACGCGAGCGGACCGGGGTGGTTGTACCCAATCATCGGGATCGGGAAAGCCAGAGGTGTCGCGTACGACGAAATAAACGAGGAGAGGACGAAGAAAACATGTCGCTCTTTTTTGACGAGTTTAGAACAGCACTTGAAGAAAACGATGGCGGAGAAGAGAGGCGCGTTTTTAGTCCCAGAGAGAGGCTTTACGTTGGCGGATATCGTCGGCGCGTCGAGTTGCGAGAATTTGTTTTTACACCTGATTCCTGAGAACGAGTGGAACGAAGAGTATCCGGCGGTGAAGTTTTGGTTGGAAACGGTGTACGCGTTGCCGGAATGGTTAGAAGCGGTCGGGAAGATGACGTGTTGTCAAGAACCGATGCGATGGGAAGGCGAAGTGAAAGCGCTGAAAAACTTGCCCATCGATCAAACCGAAAATTGCAGTTGGTCCGCGGCGAAAGTTCGAAATACGTTCACTTCTTTTTTTGAAAGCAAGCACGCGCACACGATCGTGCCGTCTTCGCCAGTTGTGCCGCACGACGATCCGACTTTACTCTTTGCCAACGCCGGCATGAACCAGTTCAAACCAATCTTTTTAGGCACGTGCGACCCGAAATCACCGCTGTATACGTTGAAAAGAGTCACGGATTCGCAAAAGTGCATTCGCGCCGGAGGTAAACATAACGATTTAGACGACGTCGGGAAAGACACGTATCATCACACGTTCTTTGAAATGCTCGGGAACTGGTCATTTGGCGATTACTTTAAAGAAGGCGCCATTTCCATGGCGTGGGAGTTGTTAACGGAGGTGTACAAAATCGACCCGGATCGATTATACGCGACGTATTTCGGTGGCGATCCAAAGCAAGGTTTAGAACCGGATTTAGAAGCGAGAGATATTTGGTTGAAGTTTCTCCCAGCCTCGAAAGTGCTACCCTTCGATTGCGCGGATAACTTTTGGGAGATGGGCGATACTGGACCGTGCGGTCCCTGTACCGAAATCCATTTCGATCGAATTGGTAACAGAGACGCGTCGAGTTTAGTCAACATGGACGATCCGAACTGTTTGGAGATTTGGAACTTGGTGTTTATTCAATACAACCGAGAGGAAGGTGGGGTTTTGAAACCGTTACCGAGCAAACACGTAGATACCGGCATGGGTTTCGAACGCTTGGCGAGTTGCTTACAAGACCGACCGTCGAACTACGATACGGATGTATTTCTCCCGATTTTCAGAGAGATTCAAAGAGTGACCGGTTCGTCGCCTTACACCGGTTTGTTAGGTGTCGCTGATGCTGGAGAGAAAGATATGGCGTACAGAGTAGTCGCAGATCACGTGAGAACGTTAACCGTCGCCATAGCGGACGGCGCCAGTCCCGGGTCAGATGGGAGAAACTACGTCTTGAGAAGAGTCTTGAGAAGAGCCGTTCGATTTGGACGCGAGAAATTGAACGCCAAACAAGGCTTTTTCCACAAGTTGGTACCGACGGTTGTAAAAATGCTCGGCGAAACGTTTCCGGAAATCAAGAAAGAGGAAAAAAGAGTCATCGAAATCATCGCCGAAGAAGAGGAATCGTTTGGAAAGACACTTTTGAAAGGTATCGAAAAGTTTAAGAAAATTGCGGAAGGCGCGAGAGGTGAAAACAGAAACGTCATTTCTGGCGTCGAGGCGTTTTTATTGTGGGAATCTTTTGGTTTCCCGAACGATTTAACGGAAATCATGTGCGAGGAGAACGGTTTGACGTTGAACAACGAAGAGTTTGACCAAGTGTTCAAAGCGGCGCAAGAGAAATCGAGAATGAGCTCCAAGAAGAACACCGGCGTGGATTTGTTGTTCCAAGCGGAAGCGACGGCATGGTTGTCGAATAACAACATCGCAACTACAAATGATTCGTTCAAGTACGTCAAAAACGTTCCGAAAGTGGATACGACAGTCAAAGCGATTTTGACGAGCTCGGACGGATTCGTTCAATCTACGGAAGGACAAAGCGGGCCGTTTGGTTTGATTTTAGAATCGACACCATTTTACGCAGAATCTGGAGGTCAGGTTTCTGATACCGGGTCTCTGAACGTCAACGGTAAAGATTTATCTGTTTCCGAGGCGAAAGCGGCTGCTGGGTACATCTTGCACGTCCTATCGGATGATTCCGTTTCGGTTTCGGTTGGCGACGCGTGCACCGCGCAAGTCGACGTTGCTCGACGTTCGGACATCATGCCTAATCACACGATGACACACGTCGTTAACTTTGCCTTGCGCGAAGTCTTAGGAAACGACGTCAACCAGAAAGGTTCCGTCGTGGACGACGAAAAGTTGCGTTTTGACTTTTCCCACAACAAACCAGTCACGGCGAAGCAAATCCAAGAGGCGCAAGACATCGTCAACTCGCAAATTAAAGAAAACTTGTCCGTCCACACGAGAGAGGTGGCGTTAACGGACGCGCAGAAAATCAACGGTTTGCGCGCGGTATTCGGTGAAGTGTATCCTGACCCGGTCAGAGTCGTTTCTGTCGGTCCAGCCATCGACGATTTGTTATCCAATCCGTCCAACGAGGCGTGGGCGAAGCGATCGATTGAGTTTTGCGGCGGCACGCATTTGAAAAGCACCGCGGAAGCGGAAGATTTTGCCATCATCGAAGAAGTCGGCACAGCGAAAGGTATTCGACGCATCACTGCAGCCACGAAAGGCCAAGCGAGGCAAGCCTTCCAGAATGCCAAAGATTTCATGGATACGATTGATGCGACGGCGAAAATTACCGATTTAACCGAGCTCTCCGCGCAACTGTCTTTGTTGAAAGGTTCCATCGACGACGCGGAGAAAACGATGCCGTTCGCTTCTCGAGAAAATTTGAGAGAGTTGATCGTCCGAGAAAATAAGCGATACTTGGATGAAAAGAAAAAAGCCGCCGCTGAAGCAGCCGCTAAAGCCATCGAGCAACTCTCCGTCATGTGCGGCGAAGCCTCCTCCAAGAGCGAAAACTTTCTCGTCGCCAACCTCGGCGAAGGTTTAGACGCGAAAGTGTTGGGCGAGTGCGCGCAATCGGTCGCCGCGAAAGGTTTATCGTGCGCATTGTTCGCCACGAACGACGGGAAAGCCGTCGCGTTGTGTTCGGTCCCTTCCGACGTGAAGAACAAAACCAACGAGGCTAAAAACTGGTTAGATGTGTGCTTGAAGCCGCTCGGAGGGAAAGGCGGCGGTAAAAAAGGCGTCGCGCAAGGCCAAGGACCAAACGCTGAAGCGATGACCGAAGCCATGGATGCCGCCGCGGCGTTCGCCAAGATGTCCATTAAATAACAACGCACTCACAATAACAACAATATAACACATACTAGATAGCAGAAGAGAGAGACTATTTCTATACATTGATACTATGCTACCAAATAGTACAGCATTTTGGATAAAACAACAACAGACTTTTCTTCAGAAGAAAAAGAGCGACTTCTTTTGAGCGACGACGAAGAACAACGAACGCTCTCTTTCTCTCTCTCTCTCTTCCACGTTTTAAGAACGGCATCATTCATTGTTCGCGGCTGTGCGCATGTTGCTTTCCTCCAAAAACAAACCGTTTTCCACGCTCCAAATCGCCGGCGCTGGTCTGCTCCATTTACAAAAGAAACCGAAAGCGACGGCTTTCCAATGCGCGTCGGTGGCGTTTAGCTACATGGCGTGCGCGGTCGCTTTACTCTGTTTCAATAAAACCGCGTTATCTTTGTACGATTTTCCGTTTGCAAACGTCATCACCTTATCGCAACTGATCGTATCGACGATGCTTTTGTATGTGTTTAAAAGACTGAACTTGATTGCGTTCGTGGACCAACAGGACGGCGAGGAAACGATGTCAAACAACGGGAAAGTGCCGAAAGGCGGATTAAACGTGAAAACGGGATTCCCAACCGTGAAGTTATTTCGAACGACGTTACCGTTAGCTCTCGCGTATTTAACGTACATGTTGTTGTCCATGATTTCGTTGAGAGGCGTAAACTTACCGATGTATACGACGTTGCGAAGAACTACCGGCGCGTTTACGATGGCGACCGAGTTCCTGGCGTTTGGGAAAGCGCAAGAGAGAGACGTGATTTTTGCGGTGATGCTTATGGTGTTAGGCGCAATTATAGCCGGAATGAACGATATGGAGTTTAATTTGTATGGATATTTCATGGTCGTTCTGAATAACGTGGCAACGAGCGTGTATTTGATCATGATTGGACGCGTATCCAAGAAGAGCGGATTGAACGCGTTCGGGTTGATGTGGACGAACGGAATTTGGTGCGGCGCGCCGTTGTTCGCGCTATCTTTGTTAAGAGGGGAAGTGTTCAGTACGATTGTTTATATAAACGAAAATAGTGGGTTCGTTAAAGTCTTGTTCGGTTCATGCGTGCTGGCGTTCGCGCTGAACTACTCTATATTCTTAAACACGTCGATGAACTCGGCGTTGACGCAAGCTATTTGCGGCAACGTGAAAGATCTAGCGGTGGTGTGGATTGGGTACATATTCTTTGGTGGGGTGTTCCAATGGGCGAACTTTAGCGGAATGATTGTGGGGGTGTTTGGAAGTGTGTATTACGCGGCTATAAAGTTGAAGAAGACGCGAGTGAAAGACCCGAAAGAGAGCGAATAGTTAGACGGGAGAGTTGTTTTTATTAAAAGTAGATTTGTAGGAAACGCGTTGTTGATTCAAAGTAAAAGTAATGTAATATCGGTATTTCAAATCTTTGTATCGATATGGGTAGTAGTACTCTCTTCTTCTTCTTCTTCTTCTTCTTCTTTTTCCTTGCTTTTTCGTATCCTCTCTCTCTCTCTCTTATGTCTATCTCTTTCTAGCGTGCTCTCTTTTATATATTCTCTCTTCTATAATACTTTAAAACATTTCTGCGTTATCCCTCTCTTTCTCTCTCTCTCTCTCTGTCTCTTTATTCCATCCTTCATCGCGTGTGCTTCTCTCCTCATTTCAAAAGCACTCCTCTTGACTCTTCCTCACGCATCTCGCCACCCGTTTCTTAAATCCCGCGTAATCCTCTCGAAACATCTTCGCCGCGTCGATATTCGCCGGCGACTCGTCGTTCGGCGAGGACAACATCGATATAATCGACAGCATAATCGTCTCCACCGTTTGCACCGGCGACCACCGCTCGCTGGCGCACTCGTACCCCATCGGGTCATCCCCGGCGTCGTGTAAGATAGATATGCACACCCTCCCGTCTGGATACACGTTCGGGTGCCAAATTTCCGATTTAAATTTCACGTCCGGCGGTTTGTTCGGGTAATCTTTCGGGAACGTCATCGTCGCCGTGAAGAAACCGCCCTCATATAACGTATCCGGAGGGCCCATGATGGTTACTTGCCATTGTAAGACGTTGGAATCGTCCACTAAACCCGCGGAGAAGCCCTCGATTGGGTTCCGAGTTAAATCTGTTTTATTTTTCGCATTCGTAGTAGTAGTAGTATTAATCAGAAGAGAAGGAGGAAAAAGTCAGTACAAAATGTTGGAGTCGCCCCTCGTCGCTCTCCTCGCAGAAAAAATCATCGTCCACATCATAATCATCCATCATCCAAGAGAGAGACAGACAGACAAAACAAAAGAAGGACAAGAAAAACGACGCACCTCTCAGCTGGTTTCGTAACAGAAGCACCGCTTGGTCGGTCATTCTCTTTCCCTCTCTCTTTTCGCGCCGCTGCTTGTTTTTTAATGAGTGGTTTAGTATTTATCACACGAAAACAACGGAGAGATCCAACGCAAACTTCTTCGCGGAGATGATGAGAGTCTTCGTCGTCTCGTCTTTAATAATAAATCGTCGGTCGTCTTCTGAATCGTGTCGCTGTTATTCCCTAAGCTACTCGTACTACTACTACTAAGTCTGTCTTTCTGTGTGAGTGTGTGAGTGTGTACGTGTGTGTGTATTCCTCTTCCGCTCTCCTCGCGTTCTAAAAATGACGAGCGAAAGAGAGAAAGAGACAAGAGTCGACGAGAGTAAAAAGAAGAGACGAAAAGATCATTTCTTCTTCATTTCTTTGCAAACAAACACAAGGATTTGGCAATCGTTTGGCATTTCTGTTTCTTCTTTTTTCTTTTTTTTTTTCTTTTTTGCGCAAAACACAAACACAAAAAGGTCGAAAAACTTCGTACGTTTAAAAATATATATGGATGTATGGATTTAGAGAGCGAGGGAGAGGAGGAGGACGAGGCGGGACAGGAACAAGAACGAGAACAGCGATTACAGCAGCAGAGACGACGAGTGTTCGTGGCCGTTTGCTTTGAAATCGAGGAGGAGAGTGGTAATAATAATAATAATAAGGATGATGATGATGAAAATGCGAGCGAACTGGAAGAACGTCTTCTCGATGTTACAATTCAATGGAAGAGAAGACGGTTGGTCGTGCACGAGTGGAGGACGGTGAGAGATAGAAGCGGAGCTCGATTAGAAGAAGAAGAAGATAAACTCGTGGGTGTCGGTGGCGGAAAAGAGGGCAAGCTGTATTTTGATATCCTTTTGTCGTTTTTAGGGACGTCTGGGGACGAGTCTCTTCTGTTGAGAAAGATGTGGACCCGAGTCGTTCGTCACGAGAAAAGGCTCGACGTATTTTTGAAAGACGACTTTGGAGGCGACGACGGGAGGAAAAGGAGGAGCAGGAACGCGATGATGATTACGGCGAAGGACGCGGACGTGTTGATGTCGGCACCGTGCCGGTTTCCGTTTTTGAAAGACGAGAGCGAGAGTTGCGACGGTAAATACAGTTACGATAAAAGACACGAGAGAGAGAAAAAGGACGACTTGAGAGAAAACTTCCGAGCGAACGGGTATTTGATTGCTGACGGTGGTACCGCTGCGAAAGGAACGAGCAGTTGTCGAGTGTCAAAAACGCTCGTTGATTCGTTTCGAATGAAAACGCACGAGAGAATCGAGGTAATTTTAAGCGCCCTGCGAGAGAATCATTCGCACGTTTCTGTTGGAACCGACGCGTTTGCTTATAAAGAAATCGGGAGTCGAGGGAAGTATCGATTCGACGCGTTATTCGATAAAGAAAAGGAGGAGGAAGATGCACTTTTTAAGTTCGCTAAATCAGACGCGCCGTGGGTGGAACCGGTGAAGGATATTTTACGGAACGCAGAAGATATAGACATTAACATATCCATCGTTTGGACGGAACCGAACTGTTCAGACCAAGAGTGGCATTGCGACGGCGCGCACAGAGGCGACCAGGAAACGTACGACGAACAAACGGGCGCTTTAGTCAAAACGCACGGTCCACCGTACGCCGTGTGTGTATTCATGGCCCTCCTCGATTTGGACGATACGGTTGGATACACAGAATTTTGGCCAACTTCGCATAAAAATGCCGGTTTACTCGGGTTCGGAGCAGCCGCGCACGCTTTAGGTGGCGTGCAATCGACCAAAAACGCTAAAGCGGGAGATTGGGTCGTGTACGATTATCGATTGATGCACAGAGGCATCGGAAACGAAAGTAAAGACACGCGGCGACCGATATTGCAGTTTATGTATGCCGTGGACGGGTATAAAGAACGGAAAAATTACGGCCAGAAGAGTGTGTTTCGTCCCGGTTGAAGGTGTCGTCGTTTGCGACGACACGTGTATTTTTATTAGTGCTGCTACTGCATCTGTGCGCTACGTGCTACTACTACCACCACTCCCACTTGTGCGACTCCTACTTTCCTCTAAGCTCTCCGACATCCGTCTCCTCTTCTCCCTCGCTTTTCTCCTCGCCTCCTCCGCTGTGACATTTTTAGGTAAACCTACGCTCTCGTAGCTCCCAACTTCCTCTCGTAACCCCTCGTGTACAATCTTCACGTCCCCACCTCCTGAACTCGTCACGTTCGCCATCCTCTCGTACGCGATGCCGTAGTTTTTGCAATAGAAAATTCTCGTTTTCGCGTAATCGATCGCTTTTTGCACGTGCGCATGGTCTTTCAAGAATCGGTTTTCTCTGAATCGATTCTTGCACTCCGAGGTGATGTATTCCGCCTCTTTAAGGCTATCGCGTTTCATTTTTCTCGCCAAGCGAAACATGTGCCGGAAAAGCGAGAGCACTTCCGCCCTTTGAAGAAGCGAAGAAGAAGGAGAAGACATGAGTATTACGAACGAGTTTTTGTGCGCGCGTAATAATGTGTGACGAATTCGTGGAAGTACTTCTCTTAGGGGATTTTCAAATCTATTACTCTTCGTCTTCGCTCTCGTCCTCTAAGTTCGCCGCGGCGTACATCTGTTTCGTAAACACCGGCCTCGTCGATCGACTGGCTCGTCCACCGGCGATGATGTTTGACTGGTCGACTTCGTCGCCGGATAAATCGTCGATGACGTCTGAGTTTTCCGAATCCGAATCATCTTGTTTCTTCTTCTTCTTCTTCTTCTTCGTGTCTGTCTTTTGCTTCTTTTGCTTCGGTTCACCTTCGTCGTCCGTGCTCTCGGCTTCCTCCTGATAAATTTTATACGCACAGAGAGAGAGAGAGAAAAGGAATTCGTCAGCACTTCTGTGCGAGAGTACCGCAGAGGCGCAGCGCTGTTCTCACGCCGTGCTCTTCTAAACCCGCCGCAAAGCGCACAAAGAAAGCGCGAGAGACACGAATTGAATTCAAAAATCATCATCCCCCAACACACACAAAGCGCTCTTCTAAGAACAACAACAACAACGACGACGACAACGCGACAAAGAAGAAGAAGAAGAACGAGAACAATAAATAAACATAATAAATACCTCGGAATCGGAGGATTCCTCCTTCTCCTTCTTCTGTGGGAGGAGGACTTTCTCCTCGTCCTCGGAATCGCTCTCTAACACCACTCCCATTTGGTTGCTCTTTCGTTGCCTCTGTCGTGTGTTTCAAATTTAAGTGAAGATTTCCCCATTGCAACAAAGAAAGAAACACTCGAAAAGCTTCGCTGAAAAAAGGACGATGACGAGCAACGACACCACCATCCAAACGACCATGACGAAGATTTTCTGTTCCATATTCCTGGTCTGTTTTACCCTCGGTCGATTCTTGACGACGAAAAAGGAGAAGAAGAACGCGACGTCGAGGAGGACGGCAGCGAGAGCATCGTCCTCGTCGTATTCGTCGTTCTCGTCGTTTCAGTGCCAAACAAACCCTTCAAAGAAAGCGGCGGAGAAGTTTACATTCACCGTTTCCTTGTGCTGGATAACCTCCATCGCGATAATAATTTTGCTTAAACTGTACGAAGGGTTCACGCGATGGCATTATTTACTCTATTGCGGTGCGTGTGCGTTGCCGTATGTTGTGTATCCTCTGTGGAAACCGTTCGAAGAGGATAAAGGCGTACCGGTGTGGGAAAGATACGTGGTGAAAGCAAACGCGTGGATTGGCATTTTGTCCTTCGTCGGCAATTACATTTGGACGCACTATTTTTATTCCGTTTTAAACGCCAAGTACACGTTTGACGCGCACAGGTTGAACGACGTGCCGATTTCGATGTATCTCATGACGCACGCGTATTTTATGTTTTACCACGCGATGACGAATTCGATTTTACGGAAGATTAAGACGAGTTACGAGAAAGATGTATTCAGAGACGTGTTTTATGCGACAGTTGTGGCGGCGTTAGCGTACACGACGGCGTTTATGGAAACGTTGACTATATGTGCGTTTCCGTACTGGGAGTTTACCAATAGGAACATGGCGTATACGCTCGGGAGCGCGTTTTACGGGATTTATTTCATAGTCAGTTTTCCAATGTTTTTGATGGTGGATGAAGACGTGACGACCGCGAAAGGGAAGAAGAACACATATTCCATGTGGCGAGTGGTATGGGAGAGTTTAGGGAGTTGCATGCTGGTGACGCTGTTGTTGGATTTCGTGAGAATTGGTTTGACTGATGTCAGTTTTACGATGAAATAGATGAAATAGAGAATTGAAATCAAGCCACGTTTCGCGTCATCATTACAGAGTGTGTATTTTTATCAATATGTGTAAACAAACTGCTATGCTATATGGTGCGCATTATTTACGCCATCTTCTTTTTCTCTTTGAGCTCTAACAAGCGCGGTGAATGGCGCACCGGAGGTGAAGCGATGGAAACTATTTTTTTCTTCGACGTTGGTGATTTCATCACGTGGCCAATACTAATAGGTTTCTTTTGCGGCGAGGCTTTTTGCGGCGACGACGTTTGCGGAAGGGTAGCTTGCTGTTGATGCTGATGCGAGTCCCAGACGCTTCTTCTCTTCTTCTTTGGCGTTTGCGCATACTTCCAAATCGACGGTTGCGCGTCTCTTAAACACTCCAACACTCCGTTCAATCTTTCCGCGTGTTTCTTGCACTGCTCGGCGGACGCTCGCAACTCGTTCAAGATCATCGCGTCTTCGTCGTTGACTTCGTCTTCATCGTTTCCAACAACTACATTCTTCTTCTTAATAGCCGAAGTTAACACGTTCGCGCGATTTTCGTTCGTCAAGGAAAGATACATGGTCGTATCTTTAATTTTACGACATCTGGCGACGTCTCGAGCGTATTGATGCGAGCGCATAATCGACTCGCAAAATTTGGCGTTTTCGTACGAACAAATGGTGTGGAGGATATCGCACGCCAACAAGAACGGATTTTCGAGATCTGACTCGCTCTCGTAATCTCTGCACATTTGTAGAGTTTCTACGAGGATAGTCACCGAATCCGGACACCGTAAATAACAGGCTTCGATGGCAAGGTAACCAAAGAGTTTGGACTGGCACACTTCCGCAATCTTCGCATAGTTCCCGGCTAACGTTTTGACATCTTTACGACCGCAAGAGCGGGAAGATTTGAACAAAGTGTTCATCGTCCGTTCGATGTGCTTTCGTAAGTGATGCTGCCGGTACAAGAAACCGCGGATGTGTCTTTGCATCCTGATGGCCGCGAGGTGGCATTTTCGGTTATTCTCTTTCGACGCCTCTTTGAAAGCTTTGCGCGCTAAAACACCTCGAACGCGCGCCTGGAACTTGACCAGTTTAATCGCCGCGTTTTTATCTCGACGGTATTTGCGGAACTTCAACAACTCTTTCGCGAAATACATTCTGTAATAGCACTGTATCGTGATTGCAGCTTTGACTCGCTCCTCTTCCACTCGATTCTTCTCTTCAATTTCTCGCAACATTCGTCGCTCGCGATTCGCCTTTCGAAGCGCTCTTCTCTCTCGATGAATCCTGTAAATGTGTTGCATGTTCTCGGTGTAAGCACGTTTGAGGACGAATTCCTTTCGTAACTGGAATGCTCGAAACCTACTTTGAATTAAAGTAGCAGATGTATCCAAAACTAGCGCTTCTAGTTGCCTCTCTTCTTCAATCAACCGTTCCCGCTTTTCCTCTTCCTCGCGCTTCTCCATCTCGACGCGTTCTACTTCCTTCCTCTTCGCCTCTTTCATCTCCTCTACGCTTTTGCGGCCTAAATACCCCCGGTAACATTTCTGAATATCAAGTATCGCTTTTTTCTGCACGCGCACCGCGCGTCTCACTTGCCATCCTCTCGCCGAAGCTTGAATTACCATTGCAAAGTTATACTTGACATTTGCTTCCAACGCCGCTCTTTTCGCGCGGTAAAAGGATTGCATTCGAATGACATTCTCGCGCAATCTTTTGTATCCTTTCTTCGCAACGAAGCCTCGCGCGTGTTTTTCTATAACAATCGCCGCATTATGTCTCTTCTGGAGCATTTTTCGATCGGCTCGTCCTCTGCACATTTTTTGAAACGTCACCACGGCGTCCAACGAACGCTCGTACTCTTTCCTCGCGAAATAACCTCTTAAATGTTTACTAATCACCGTTTGCGCGCGAGACCACATGCGAGCGACATCCGCTACTTTCGGTCTATTTGGACGTTTCAATCGCCACCAACGCTGAATCTTCTTCGCTGAATCCACGCGTTCCACGTGCTGAATCACTCGCGAACACAAACACAAGAGGTACGTCGCCACGTCGCCGGTTTGCGGAACTGGGATATCTTTCTCTAAATTGAAACTGCCACTGCTGTTACCGGAGGACGGTAACGCCGAAGCTGACGTGTGGAAGCGAACATCGAATCCAGGAATCGGGACACCACCGATAGCTTTTAAACACTCGGCAACTTGCAAAAAATTCCTAGCGGCGATTTCTCTCGCGCGTTTGCGCTCGTCCATATCGATCGGGTGGTTCAATTCGAGATTTTCTCGCGAAAGACGTCTCGAACCGGTAAGACCCGGCGCGTATTTGCGAAGGATGGCGAGTAATACTCGTCCGTCGGCAAAATCGCTTCCTAAATTGGAACATTTGATCGAGTAGGAAGAAGAGAGAGATAATTCGGAACAACACGCTTTCGCCCACGTCAAGAGAAGCGCCTCGAGGCTGCACCTCGGCATGCCGTTCGGACGAGACGCGAGAGCGCCTTTGTTGTTTCGCATCTCGCGTTCTAAAGCTTGAATCGTACTGGTAGGAATCTTCGCGTTCGGGAACTTGCAAATTTCTTTCGTCAACATGTTCTTCGGGGCCGCGAGCGAGTTGCGGCTCATATTTTTCGTGTGCTCGTGCGTCATCATCGCCCATAGAATGCCACAAGTCGCCTCGCGATGACCATCGACGATATCCGACGGCGTGATTTTCGACCATGCGCCAGGTAACGCGACGCCTAAAACATCCTTTGCAGCATTCAAAGCCACTCGAACGTTGTTCAATTTATCCTCTCTCGTCTTCACTGGAAACGCGCACTCCGAAAGCAACGAGTGATGTTCGACCACTTTTTGTGTCTTCTTATCGATGGAGGCGAAAGTAACGTCCGGCGCTAACATTTCGATGAGTTTACACAGTCGAATACCATCTCTGAGATCGCTGGCTAAGTTTGTGACCGTGAAGTCGTACTCACTCGCGGCTGTTTGTTCGTAAGGCACGATGAAACCAGCTTTCTTCAAGTTGCGCAAAATGTCGCCTTCGCCGTAACACGACGCCGTGAGCAACTTTTGCGCTAATTCTCTCGTCGACTTGATGGAGGCATTCAAGTTGAACAGTTTCGGTGCTTTCGGGTGAGCTTTGTGGTTTTGCGCGCGGTCGAGTAACAAGACGAGCATCAAGATTCTTTCCAACACGACGTCGTTCAACGCGTTTTCGTAGCCTTCCGCAAACGGCGGTTGGCCGGGAAACTCGTCGCCTAATCCGTATTTGATCTCCATCTCGTGCGAACGAAACAACTTTTCGGAGCATTCTTTCGCGCATTCTCTCGGATTCTGCGGTTGCCATCTCATGGTGTCTCCCAAGACGGCATCGACGCCGAGTTTAAGCCAAAATGTATTCACCGAGCTGAGCGTTTTAATGAAATCTTGCTTCATGCGCAAGTCGCGAAGGAAAATACCGCCGTCGCTTTTTAAACGGATAAGTTTACTCTCAATTCTATATTCCACCTCACGCATGATGACGCCAACTTCTGCATCTTGCGTGTATAGATGCGCCATGACTCGTCGCGATGCAGCTCGAGCGTCTCGAAACTCGCGCGCTCGCATCTGTTCGGATTTCATTTTCACAGAGTGAGACGTCGACGCCGCTACTTCGGAGGTATCCCGAGGCGAAATCGTTCGGTTCAGCCAGGACACGAACTCGGCTTCTTGTTGACTCGCAAACTCTCTCGCACTTTCAAACCCATCAGATGTGACGGACGAGGATGTTGCTTTTACTTCTCCTTTTATTTCTTTTGTCGGTTTTGTTGATGATGCATTCTTGGAGTTGAGCAAACGCAAGGACGCCATCGTTAGCGGCTCTTCTTGCTCTTCGCGTTCCAACTCCTTCGCGTGTTGTTCAACAGCTTTCGAAGCGGCCACGTGCTTCGCCAAATTCTCCTGGTTCGACTGTCTTCGCCACGAAGCTGACGCCGCGTACGCGCTCGGCAATCCTTTAAAGCCTTCGTACGCTTCATCAAACGCATCATCCTCGATGACATTCTCCTTGTTCGCGCCAAACGCGTCCTCCTCTTCACTATCTCCTTCATCGATCATCGCTTCCATTTTATCTCGTTCTTGTTTTCGCGGCTTCTCCGTCGTTCCTTCTTCCTTCTTCACCACGGTCACCCCTCTCAATCTCACCGTAAATGTCTTTGCCTCTCCTTCGTCAAACACCTCCGTCGCGCACGTCTTACACACGAGCTTCAACGCCCCCACCGCCGTCGCTTTCTTCGAGACAACTTTCGGCGTCCATTTAATCGACACCGTCATTTCTTCGTCTCTCTTTACAATCTTCGGGAGTACCCCTCCTGCGAATCCGAACAGTTCGTATTCGCTTTTGTCTTCTTCTCCTTCAAACCGATACTCGCAAATCTTCCAATTCCGGTTCGTATCGTTGACTATTTTCACGCGCTCTTCCGCAGACGTCGTAATCTCAACCACACCAAACCTCACCACGGGTACCACTGCCATCGAGCGCAGCGATAAACCGTCTTTCTTCGCCTCTCTCTCCTTCGTTTTCTTCTTTGTCTTCTTCTCGTCGAAACTCTTTTTGTTGTTGTTGTTGTTGTTGTTGTTGTTTGCAAAATTCTTCGGTGGCAGTTGGATGCGTCGTCCCGTCTCGTTCTCGTTTCGCTCGGTCAGCGCGTTCCACAGCGCATTCGTCGTCGTATCATCACTACCACCATCAAAACCACCCTCCGCGTGCGCTTTAATGCGACTCACAGGAGAAGACCGCACCACCATTTAATACTATTAACTTGTGCGTTTACTCAATGTAAAGAAAAAAAGCTGTCGTGTTCTTTTTTTTGTTCCCCTCTTCTTCGATGCATTTTTCATTTAGGGTTTCAAAAATCCCCTAAAAACAACTCCCCTTAAATTTCCCCTCATTTTATTACACTTACCTAAAATCAGATATATCTACCTGTTGTGCGCAAACAAACGAACGAGAAGAAGAAGACGAAGATAAATGCCACCTCCACCATCATCTCGAAGAAGAGGAAACAGACGACAACAGGCGACGACAGGAGGAGGAGGAGGAGTTTCTACGAGGAGGAGGAAAAACTTGAGGGAAAAAGATCCGATGCAATATTACTCGCGAAAAATCGACCGGTATTTGGACGCACACCCGTGGTTCACGATGGTGTTGACGCAGTGTTTACTCTTTCTCACCGTCGCGATCGTTTGGATGATTTTCGGGGAGAAAATACAGAAAGTACACTTTGAACGGGTGAAACCATATCTGAGAGAACACGTGTGGCCGAAAGTTTTGAAGTTTTCGAGGGAGAATTTGCCGGAGAAGTGGCAGTTGAGCGAACGCGTGGTCGAGAAAGTGACGCAGAACTTAGGAAACGGGGCGGAGAGCGCGTCGTCATAAAGGAGTAGTAAATATATATAGTCATCAGTTCTTCCATTATTATTAGCATAACTTCATCCTCCCTCTCTTCATCTCTCTCTTTGCACTTTGTTTTTGTTCAAGTTGATAAAAAACCTCCTCTCTTTTCCCTTCTCTTTGATTCGCTTACGCCGCCGTGCGCGTCGGCGAAAAGAGTATCGCGCGAATCGATACGAGACGCTCGTCACGCCGAGATGCCGTTGAATTGCATCTCTCGCAACGACATGTTCCCGATCGCCATATCCAACTCTCTCTGTTCTTTTTCCGCCACTTGCACTTCCAAACTCTCTCGCCACTTCAAATCGTTCAGTCGTCTCGTTTCTTTCTCTCTCCTCTCTCGCTCCTCGAGCGCTTCGATCTTCTTCCTCGCCTCCAAACGAAACCTTTTCTCTTCCATCTCGAGAAACTCCACTCGTCTCTTTTCGATGCCTTCGCCGTCGCCTTGCGCCATTTTCGCTTCCACCAATAGCAATCGCTTCCTCTTTTCCTCCGCGCGCTTCGTGTCCAACATCTCCTGCGCCTCCTCCGCTTTCCTCACAAACTCCGCGGCGCGTTCCACGTCTTGTTTTTTACGCAACGCTTTCTCCTCTCTCGCTTTGCGCATCTCAAACTCCGCCTCTCTCGCTCTCTCCTGATCCAACTGTCTCTTCTCCGTTTCTTTCCTCTTCCGTTCCTCGTCCAACTTTTCCGCCGTGCGTCTCTGTTGCGTGTCCAACATCCTCTCGACCATTTTTTCCTTCTCCTTCGCGAGTCGTTTTTGCTCCTGTTGCGAATCGAGCGTTTTGCGTATGTTGGCTTGCGTCTCGCGTTTTTTACGCAGCGCTTCGTCCGCGTCCCTTTTCGCTTTTTCGTCCGCCTCTTTCGCGAGCGCGTGGAATAACGACGCGCGTTTGAGCTGCAACGTCATCGCGCGCTTGTTGTTGACACCATCACCGTCACCACCATCGTTATTCTTCAAAGACAAAAACGAAGAGAGGCTGGGGGGGTCAACACCTAAAAAGTTAAAGCTTTCGTCGTCGTCGTCGTCGTCCTCGAGTCGTCGTTCCTCTTCTTCCTCTTCAACCCCGCGTTGTTGTTGTTCGGCAGAGAAGAAAAGCTCGGAGTGTGATGCGGGCGTGGAAGGCGGCGTATTCGTCGTCGTCTGAATCGTCGTCGTCGCCATTATTCGCGTGTTCTGATATGTATCTGCAAACAGCGTTTCTCTCTGTTGTTGTTGTTGTGTGTATTTTTAGAAAAAATGGAAGAAGAAAAAAAATACAGAAAAAACAAGCAGACAGAGAGAGACAAAAACAAACAAAAAGAAAGCAAGCACAAGAACACAAGAACAACGATACTACTACTACTACACGCGACACAACAAAAAAAAAGGACACGCACACATAAAAGACGCCGGTGAGGTTGAATCGAACAACTGGGCCGTCAAGCCCCCACAGGTTTGAAGCCTGCGCTCCGAGCCATCGAAGGTCACTCCGGCTTTAGTATGGAAGAAAGAGAACGCTCCAAGAGCAGCTTTCCTCCTTCACTATAACAACCCTAAACTCTTTTAATTAACATATAAATACACTGTATTATTTAGGGTTCTATAGTAAAAAATCCGCCCTACCGAGAAAAGAGCGACGCTGCCGCCATAAAGTTTGAACCTATCGCACTGCAGAGAAGAAGAAGATATGGGAGCACACGAGCGATGGAGGAGAATGACTCTGACGACGACAACCTCGCGGTGTTGTGAGAGTTTGTCGTCTTCTGTGTCTTCGTTTTCAAACGATATCTTTCGTCGTCGTTTGTCGTCGTCTTCTTCTTCTTCTTCGTGTGCGGAAACGAGACCATCTTCGAGCGAAGGACGATCGATCGATGATTACGCGGAAAAGGAGAGACGGATGTGCAGTCGCAATTCGAGAGCGTCCACGAGCGGGAGGAGGACTTCTTTGAATACGAATAACGTGAAGAACAAAAACTGCGTAAACAGAAGAATGTTCGCGTCGGACGCGTCGCCTCTCGTGTCGTCGACGATTGGTGAGACGAAGAAGAAGAAGAAGAGCAAAAATGCGGCTGCGTCGACGGCATCGTCATCTGCGGCGGAATCATCAAACGAGGACGAGGAGACAGAGGAGGAGAACGAGAACGATTCAGAAGACGCGAATGAAAACAAAGAGGATAATAAAAGTAGTCGTCTTGTCTTCACTACCTCTGAAAATGATGAAAATGATACATTCAGAGGGAACAAAGCCGGTCGTTTGTCAACGCAAGCGATTTCGAAACGAGGAGGAGGTCAAGAGGGGGCGGCGGGAAAACAAACGAGGACGAGTTTTTATAAACCGATGACCTCTCGAGCGCAAATAGACGGCATGAACTGCGAGCAGCTTTTAGAGGAAATCAAGCAGAGATTCCAATCGAAGAAGAAACCGTTTTTAGGCGGCGGGAACGTTCCGGCGGCGGCGGCGGCGACGAAGACGAAAACGGGAGAGAAGGGAGGCCAAAACCACCCGCGGACCGAATTGGAACCGTCGACGATCGAGATCGAAGGTTTTAAACACGAGATTAGCGAACGGTTAGCTTCGTTTTTAGGTTTTGGGGAAGGCGAGAGTGGAGTGAAAGCGACGAGGAGGTTTGTCGATCGACGGTTGAAGAGTTACTGCGAGGAGATGAATTTGTTCGTGGGAGAACGAGACGAAAGGGAAAAGAAAGTAAAGAGGATGAAAGATCCGGAGAATCCGGGGAAATGGGAAGATAGACGCTTCGTCTTGGATACCAAGTTGAGGCAATTGTTTCAAACGCCCGATGATATCGATCAGCTCTCGTTTCGGAAGAGAACGAAAGCGGAGGAGGAAGGAGAATTCTCGGACGGAGTCGCGCCGGTGTCTCTGTTTTTAGATCCGCACTTTGTGGATATTACCGACCAAGACGCTTCGCAACTGGTGCAATCGAAAACGTACGGCTCTAACGTCATCGTCAAGAAGAATAACAGAGTGTACGCCGTGCGCGAATCAGCGCTGAAGATTTTGTTACAAAGAGTTCGTTCGCCGAAAGATGTGCAGTATGCATTGGAAGCGGTCGCTTTGTTCCACATGGAACGCGCGGCGATGGGAAAAACCAGAGGTCTCGGTTTTGAGCGCGCGTACGAATTCATCAAGGCGTGTTGCGACGTTAAATCGTACGAAACAGCGATTTGGGCGTGCGAACAGTCTCGCTCGTTAGGCTTGAACTTGTCCAGAAAGACGTTATCGTTGCTTCTTTGGCACTTGCTCGATGCTAATCGCCCGTTGGAAGAAGTCCTTCGCGTGTACTCGGTGATTCGCAATCTCAAACTCGGCGTCGACGGGAAAACTGCCCAGTTTGTCGTTAAATCCGCCTTACAACACGGTCACGTCAACGCTGCGGCGGGCTATTGCGTTCAATTCATGCAAGCTGGCGTCAAAGTCAACCGAAAAACACCGACTGCGATAATGAACGCCGCCATCGAACACAACCTTCCAAACGCCGCCGTCGCGGTTGAACGCTGTTGGAACAAAGAGCAACCGCAACTCCCGAAAGCGCCTTTCGACCGGTTAGCGCTGGCACAAGCCTACGCGCTTTTAGCCGACGACGACGAGTGCACCAAAACCGCAAAATCTATCGTCGATACTCTCGACGACGCCTTTGACGAGGAGCTCAAAAACACAACCTCCCAAAAGCTCGCCCTTTGGCCGCAAAAACTGCTCGGCGTCGCCAACGAAGCCAAAGGCGGTGCGAGTAAAGAGATTCTAGAGCGGTGCAAACGCGGGATGACGCTGATTAAAAACGCGTGCGAGGGGGAGTTATTCCACGACGTGGACGTCGAGTACGCGTTTTCCACTTTACAAATTTTAGACGACGAAGACGAAGACGTTTTGGAAGAGAAGAAAGGAGAAGAGTAATAGACGCATAGAGAGAAAGAGAGAGAGAGAGAGAAAAGACCATTTCGTGTAATAGTAATACTACTAGTAATAATAATACTAATACTAATAATAAAGACCGAGAATGAGACGAAGAAGAGGGAAGCGTTTTCCTCTTTTATTGAAATCCCCATCATCATTCTTCTCTCAACCTTTTGAGCAAAATCTACACAAAAAAAGCACCAACATCCATGGGCACCATCGCCGGGTCTGCGATCGATTTAGACGTGCTCTACCTCGCGCCGGTTGGGGAGAATAATAACAACAATAACAACACATCTTCCTCCTCGCGTCCGTCTTCTCGTCTCGCGAACGCGCAACCTTCTTCTTCGTCCCCGACGACAAAGACGAATGCTTTTAATAACGCTGCCGGGGAAAACACCAACAAGGAAGGGAACGTAACCGTCGTCGTCGACGCGGGGACGAGTGATGATCATCAGACGACGAGCGACGGTATAGACGACCTCAATAAAAAACGTCCTCCTCCTTTCTTTCGATGTCAAAAGTGTAAAGTGCCTTTAGAGTTTTACGAGGAGAAAGAAGAGGAGAAAGAGGAGGACCGAGATCGAGCGAAGCGTATCGCGGATACGAGTGGGAAGTTGAAGGTGACAGCTGGCGAGAAGCAGTTTCGAGATTTTTTGTTGGAAGAAAAAGAAGAAGAAGAAATTGTAAACGAAGAGGAGCAAGACGAGAGTAACGAGACCGACGACGCCAAAGCGGCGTCTTCGTACGTGCACTTGCCGACGTCGGTGCAAAGAACGAAAACGTCGGACGCGCTGAAAGCGGCGGGGCAAACAGCCGCGACGCTCTCGAGAATATTCGACATCGCGAGCGAGAAAACGAAGCAGGACTTCCCCCTGTGCGAAACGTGTGCGAAAGAAGTAGAGGTGAATATGGACAAGATGTGCGAGGATTTGGAGGAGGAGTGCGAGAAGTACGAGAGGGCGATTGCGAGTTTAGATTTGAGCAAAGGCGGCGGTGGTCAAAACGGGAAGGAAAGAGAGGAAGAGGGAGCGAAGAAGAAGAAACAAGAGCGATTGGAAGAACTCGAACTCGAACTCGAACGAGCGTTTGAGAGAGATAAAGCGATAGAGTTAGAGGTTGAGAAATTAGAATTAGAGCTGGAAAAACAGAAAGTGCGGAAAAGAGCGTTGCAACGCAACGCGGCGCGAGTGAAGAAGGCTGAGTTTGAAATTTGGCACGAGGTGAACCAGTTTGAAATCGACGCTAAATCTTTGAAAGAAGAACGAGACGCGTTGGAAACCAAACTGGAACGCGCTTCGACGCAATTAGACTTACTAAGACGAACGAACGTATACAACGATGCCTTTCACATTTGGCACGACGGACCATTTGGGACCATCAACGGATTTCGATTAGGCCGCACGTCCACGGTGCCGGTGGAATGGGACGAAATCAACGCCGCGTGGGGGATGGCCACGTTACTCTTACAATCGCTCGCTAACGCGATGAAGATAGAATTCCGTTCACACGCATTGCGCCCGATGGGGTCGTTTCCAGCGGTGTGCGAAATCAACGCCAATACGAACACGGTGTCGCAGTGTTACGATTTGTTCGGTCCTGTGAACATCATGACCAGTCACAAGTACGATCGCGCCATTTGTGGTTTCCTGGCGTGTTTGGACGAACTCGGTAGGTATTTCGCGGAAAGAGATTTTGAGATGGGCGTAGAACCAGTGTTTCGGTACCCGTACTCGATCGAGGCGGACAAAGTAGACGGGAAGAAAGTTACGTTTACATTCAATAGAGACGAAAAATGGACGGCGGCTTTAAAGTTGGTTTTAACTGATTTGAAAATGGCCGTCAGTTACGTCGCGTCCCGTAACGGTTAAATGTATTTTTAAATAAGATATGGATAGATGTAGATTTCAATGAGCGCTATCGTAAGCTGTGCACAATTGATACATAGATACGTGACAGGTACTGGGTACTGGGTAGCTGTAATTTTTTTTTAAGTGTGTATTTGTACCGAAGATTTTTTCTACAACGAAACTCCTAATAATTTCTCATATAAGCTTGTCTCGCGACGCGTTCGGCGTCGATATCACTCAACGATTCTAAAAACTCCGGTAAGTCCGTTTTGGCTACTTGCACCACGCTTCCTTCGAAACTCCCGTGTTTCGTGTGCGCTCTCACTTGCTCTGCCGCGCGCGCGTACGATTGCATGAAAAAGTTACCTCCGCTTTCGATCGAATCTGTCTGCGGCTTTTCCGTCACGCCGACAACCAAGAAATAGTTCGGGTCAATCATAGACGGACCGACGACGATTAACGGTCTGAGAACTTTTTTCACCTGTCTCAAAGCATCTTGCAAAAACAACGCCAATCGCAAAAGCGTCAGCGGATGCTTAAATAAATCCACATCCGCAGGAGAACCGTGCTCGGTCAACGAAAAGTATCTCAACGAACCGAGCGTTTTAATCGAGCCTTTGTTCGACAAAGCGAACCCACCTTGACGAATGAGCGCACGTTGCACGCGCATAGCTCGTTGTAATCCATTTGATGTCTCTTCCCAGTTGCTCAAACTTAAAACCTTCGAGGCGGTCCAGAACGCTGCCGCCGAGGATTCCGGCGTGCCGTCTTCCTCATCGCCTCCTCCTCCCACGCTTTTCCGTCTGTTGTTGTTACTGTTACCTCTAATATCCATGTCATTTTCGGTGTTGATGTTTTCTTCGTTTTCCTTTTCGTCCTCATCGTCCTCTACGTCGCACCTGGAATAATTCTCTAAAATAGCCGTCGCGGCGTATACCACGTCCATCGCAGACATTTTTACTTTAAATCCATGGTGGTACGTAAACGACCAATACGTTAAATCGTGCAACCCGCCGTGCGATCCGGCGTGCTCTTTCAACTTTTCCCGCATTTGTTTCTCCATGTTTGGACTCATGTGCGAAAACTTCTGCTTCGCTTCTTGCAAGGACAACCCGCAAGTGGCCAACAACGAATCCAACAAGTGCACACCGCTCTCTTTCCACGTTTGCAATCGAGTGACAACGTACGGCGAATGCAGCATCGCATCGTATAAGTTCCAATGCCGCATCATCTCAAACCTTAATTCTTCTTCAATCGAAATCTTGCGATCCTCAAACACTTTCACCATCGTCCCGTCGTCCAAAGCTCTCTCCTGGTGCATGTTCCCGTTGATTTGATTGGATACTTGCGACATCAGCTGAAAGCAATACTGCTTATACGTCTCCTGACTCACTTTTTGGTGCGCCAACTGGTCGGTTAAACTCACAATCGCTAACCATAACAATAAATTCTTCTCCAGTCCCTCTTTCTTCATGTCAAACGCCATATCGAATGCGCACAACCCAGCCGATCGACCGTAATACGACCCGCGTCGCCAATACTCCACCCTTTCCGCCTGCCTTTTCTTTCTTCGCAACGCGACCGTCCTCGGCGACTCTGGCTGTTGAGCCTCTCTTTGCGACTGCCTCTCTCTTTGTCTATCAAGCTTGATTTGTTTGCGTCTTGCCGTTTCTTCCTCGTCGTCGTCGTCGTCTGAACTAAAATCCGACTCTGCTTCGTCCTCGTTCTTCTCGTCGTCGTCGTCCTCTTCCGAGTCCGTATCCATCTCCGGAAAGTAATCATCCCCTTCCTTTGAGTCATCTCTGATCACGTACACGTCCTTATTCTCCTCGGACACGTTTTGCAACGACAGCGGTCGGTGCGAATCCAACACGTACGCTCTGCAATTCACTTTCAAATCCATCATCTCTCTCACGTCCTCGGTCCCTCCGCAGTTTATCAAAACTATCGCCCGGTTTTGTTCATCGTCCGGGATTTCCTTCCCTCGTTTCCGCAGCTCCTCGCTCCCGCTCACCGGGAACACGGAAAACGGGACGTTATCCGACTGGAACATGGATTTTAAGATTCTGTACGCGCACAACGCGTCCACGTCCGAGGTGGAAACATAGATTAAAATCGGCGTTTGGTAGCCATCTCTGCGGATGATTTCGTAACAATGGCGGTAGTTTCCCCGTTCGACTAACATAGTGAAACTTCTTTATCGTGCCGTCGATCGAGCGCGTGCGTGCGTGCGCGTAGAGGTGTATGCGGGGTATGTGTGCGCGCGTAGGATGCGAGACAGCACACTTCACCGCGCGCAGCAAGCAAAAGGAAAGGGTGGTGGTGTTTGTGATGTGTATCTGGGATGCGCAGCGCAAGCGTTCGAATGGAGGAGGAGCCACTCGGTTTGAATTTTTGAATTTTTACAGTAAGGAGTTTTAGGGTTTTATGCTTTTTCTCTATGCTTTTCTGAAGGGAAGGGACACTTTCTTATAATATTTTGAAGAAGGTACCGAAAGATACCGTTCGTGTTGGTGATGATGGTTTATCCGGACGCGCGAAGAATGCTCCAATATAATATAACGGTGTTGTTCTTGTCGGCGAAGCGTGGATGGAATTGGTTTTCGGCGTCGGTATCGTCGTCGTCGTTTACGTCGTTCCTGCAGTAGAAAAGAAAACACAAAGCAAAAGTGGAAAAAAAACAAAAAAGACGAGAAAAAAAAACGAGAAAAAAAGACTCTGCTGAGAGTCAAACGCGTCCGGTCTCTCTCTCACATGTAACCACGCCGAAGCACGCAAAAAGTGCTTCGCGGTTCTCATCCGGACCAGACGCTTTTCGCTCTCCTGTTTTTCTTTTCTTTTCTCTTCTCTCTTTCTTCTCTCTTCCTTCTCTCTCTCTCTCTCTCTCTCTCTCTCTCCGTTCTCGCTTCTTCTTTTCCCTCGGCAGAAGGAGTCTTCTAAAAAAGCTATTGTTATATAAAATACATCTCTCTCTCTCCCATCCATCCATCTTTCCATCCCTCTTCCTCTTCTTCTACGCATCGCGTGCACTCACACTACTACTTACTACTACTAGATATAACTGACTGATTGTTAGTGTATTGTTGCGTTTATCTAAAGTTGAACCTCTTCAAGACCGATCTCTCCGCGTTCGCCGCGTCCTTCGCCACCCTCTTCGAATCCGCGCTGTTCTCCGCGAAGCACTTCCAAAATCTCAACGTCTCATCCGCAGCCGCGGAAACCACCGTCGTTCCGTCCGGCGACTGCGCCATGTGCAACACTCTCGCCGTGTGGCCAGTAAACTCGGCAATCTTCGTCATCGTCGGGTACTTCCACAAGCACAACTGATTCTGCGAATACCCGTGGCTCGACAACAACTCTCTCTCGTGCGTGTTCCACTGCAACGCGCACACCTGCGAGTGCGTGTCGACCGAGTTCGTCATCGCCCCGGTATTCGCGTTCCAAAACTTTATGCATCTATCCGCGGTCCCGCCCCCAGACGCCAAAACATTCGCTTGCCACGGACACCACGCCAAAGCTTTCACCGCGGCTTGGTGCGCGACCAACTTGTGTCTGTACGTACCATTCGACAACGACTGCGAGTCATAAATATGCAACGAGTTGTCGTTCCCACCCGAAGCTAACTGCGTCCCGCTTGGCGACCATTTCAACCCGCAAACCTCTTGTGAGTGACACGTGAACGTGTTCGTGCAATGCTCTCGAATCCTCACGTCGTGCGTCATCACCGTCGTATCTCTGGAACCAGTCGCCAACTGCGTCCCGTTCCACGCCAAAGCGCCAACTCTCGCCTCGTGGCCTTTCAACGTTCTCACTTTCCTCGCTCTCGATGCGTCCCAGATCTGTACCTCCGCGTTGTTCGTCCCCACCGCAATGTGCTTTCCATCCGGAGCCCAGTTCACGGAGGTCACGTAATCCTCTTCGTCGTTTTCCACGTCCGTCTGCATCAACTGGTCGATCGCGCCCGTCCCGGCGTTCCATAAATACACCGTGCACCCTAAAGCGACGGCGATGGAATTCTGGGACGACCAATCGATCAAGTTCAAATAATAATCATCCACCAACTCTGGCGCGTCCAAAATCCTCTCCGGCGCTTGCGGGATGTGACGGAACTGTTTTTTTCCACCCTTTAAAACTCCGATATGATTCGAGGAGTACATCTCGCGCGAAGCGTTCTCCATGCCGCTCGGCGGCGCCGGCGCTTTCGATTTAAACGCTAAGATTTTCGAGTTCAAGTGATCACCATTTTCACCACCGTTTTGTACCGAGTAGTTCGACGCTAACGATTTCTTATACGCCTCTTTACTCGGACTCGCGATGCCGACGGATCGGTGGTGGTGGTGTTTTCCATCGTCATCCATTCGACCACCGTTCTCATCATCATCATCGTTGCTATTCTCGGTGGATGATTTACCCTCCAAAGCGTACCTGGCGACGTCCAAGTCAATCGCAGATCGGTTGGCGATAAATCTGTCCCGAGATGGCGTCTGTGGATGATGAGGTTGCATCATAAATATATGTGTTGTATGTGTGTGTGTGTGTGATATCAATGAAAAAAAGTGAAGAAGAAGAGTGAAAAAACGAAAAGTCGTTCCCCTTTTCCTTCAAGAATTTTAGGGTTTTTTAGTCTTTTCTCGAGTGTTAGGGAAAACGCCGGCGCTCAATTATTGCACAAAAAAATCAACACACCATGCGCGCCGAAGCTGCTTTCTCGTCATCTTTCAGACCGTCGCGTTATTATTGTTCTCATCGTCATCATCGTCATCATCGTCATCATCGTCGTTTAAATCATCATCGTTCAAATCATCATCGTTCTTCCATCATCACGACGAGGTGTTTAATACGAGTGGAAGATGATGAGGATGAAAACAACGAGAAGGACTTCAGAAGGTCAAAGAGGCGAAACGAACGGCGAGAGCTTTTAACGACAACTTTGCAACAAGGGCGAACGAACGATGAGAAATACGCAACAAAAGGAGTAAAAGTCGAGAGCGATGCAGAAAATGCATCAGAAACCAACGGAGGAAGCGCCGCCGCCGCCGCCGCCGCGAAGGAAAAAATGTTCCAGATTTTACGCGACAGCGCGAGCTGGGATCCAGACGTGGAAAAGTTGTTGGAAGGAATAGACGCGAGCGATCCAGATGCCATCGAACAAGCCATACGGAAGAGATTTGATGAGAAGAAGAGTCGAGTGTACAAACCGTTGAACGAAGATGGCGTTGGAGACGAAGGGTCAAACGACGACAATAAGAACGGTTCGCAGACGCCGACGTTGGTGTTCTTCAGGCAAGTGCAAACGCAAAATTTGTGGGTCTGGATGGAAGCGAGAAATACCATAGAGGATAAAGAGAAAGAATTCTTCGACGAGGCGATTAAATCGTGGTTCGTGGTTGGAAAATTAGGCGGATATAACGTGGAAAATCAACAGTGCTTAGAAAGCGCTTCGGTCCTAAACGACACGGTGAGTCATTTGGATTACGACGTCGCTCGATCGCACGATAGAACGAGCGCGTCGTTGTTTCACGCGATCGGGGAAGTTGAATACAGAGGGAAATGGGCGCGAGTTTGGATGGATTTAGGCACCGCGGATGAGATGGCATTAGATGTGCTCATCAATTCTTTAATCACTTTGAGCAGAGAGTACGTCGGGATTAAACAAATCGTCATCGGCGGCGATAACGAAAACGGGTGGGGGACGAAAGATTCGGGGTACGGGCAAGACCAAGGCAAACCGTTCGAAGATTTCGACCCGGCGTTTGATGAAATGTTTGGCGACATGCGAGGGATGCGAGGGAAACCGAACGCGGAAGATTCGAACTGGATGAGTCGATAATGATGATGAGCGTTTTGTACGCCTCGATTCGCGAAATAATATTCGCGAGTCGTTTGTTCGAATGTGTAAAATCGTAATGTAATGTTTGTATTATTAGATATGTTGTATACTCGGTAAATGATAATGATAATGAGAACAAATCGCTAGGTGCGCGTGCTTTGTTCACTCACTCCCTCTCTTCTCTCTCTCTTTTTCTCTCTCTCCCCCTCTCTCCCTCTAAATATATAGTAATAATAAAAGGATTTACAATCGTGTGCGAGTTTTAAAAGGCGGAGGAAGCCGTTTGCGCCAAAAATTGCAACCTCGTGACTGGATACTCACTCTCTTTCACTTTCAATCCTCTCACGCCAAACTTTATTTCGTTCCAACTCAAATTCTTAATCTCGTCTTTCAACTCGTCTTTCGGTAACGGAATGCCTTTCTTTCGCATCTCTTCCAGCGGTAACGCTCGTTTACACTTTGCGAATTGATAGGAGCCTTCGTTTTCGTCCTTGCCTTTACCTTTCACCCAGGATAACTGATACCGTTCGTCTTTCGTTTCCATATACAACGTATCTCTGCGTAACCTCGCAGACGTCCACTGAGATTTCTTAAACCCTTTATCTGCCACCGCCGCCATGGAATACTTCAACCACGGTTCGTTGCACAAGTTGTACAAGACCGTCACTTCTCGTATCATCCTCTTCTTCCTGGCGACGTTGACGTTGGCGTTAGACGCCGCCCGCGTTCTCTGCGCGCGTTCCTTATCTTCCGGAACGAACGTTGGGACCACCATATACCTCAACGATTCCGACGCTGTTGGCGTCAACTCGATGATTTGTTGATTCACCGTCACCGCCACCGCGGATTCTACAACCATCCCGAAATCATCCGCGTTGATTATTTGCCCGTTGGAGGTTTGCAAAACACCGTTGTTGCTTTGCAAGTGCGCCGCCGCGGCACCTTCCCCGCCGTTCGCACCGCCAGAACCGTTCTCACCGTCTTCGACGTCCTTCTTTTCTTCCTTTTTTACGCCCGCCTCTGAAGCCGGCGCCGCCGCCTTTTCTCCGCCGCTCCTCATCATCTTCTTCTTCTTCGCGAATCCGCTCTTCCCCCACGCTCGGCTTCGAATACCGTTCCTGCTCGAACTCCGAAACTCGTCCGACACGTCGTCCACCCGCCGAACGAGCGCGCGAATCTCCAACAAACTCGGAGGCACTTGTAAACTCGGAACGTAATACCCGCAGTGCATTAAAACCGCGACTAAATCCGAATCCGACGTGTACACGTCCGTCCCCCAAAGCTGATGTCCCCGCACTTGTCGATTGGTGGACACCGCACACTCCGCCGGAATTCGTACCTCGAAGATGTTAGTGTCGTCCTCCTCCGCGTCTTCCCCTCCGTCTCCGCCGTCCTTTTTCATAAGCTTCCTCGCGAAATGCTTGGTTAAAATCTCCCCTATTCGGTAGTGAATGATGGGATGTTGTTTCTCTTCTTTTCCCGTCGTCTGAATCGTCGTCGTTCCCTTCGCGGTGTTATTAATGTTGTTGTTGTTGTTGTTGTTGTTGTTCGCATTTTGCGCCGCCGCATTCGCAGTGGTCGCGTTCGTCGTGGTATTGTTCGTCGTCGCGTGATGCGCAGTCGATCGCGCCGAGCGGCGACTGCTGTTTTTGTCCTGTTCGTCCATCGAAGGAGCGCCTCCTCCTCCTCCTCCTCCTCCTCCTCCTCCGTTGCCAACGCTCGCACCACCACCAACATTAGTCGTCGCGAGAGTCGCAGGGGGAGTCGTTCCGGCGAGTTCAGCCTGGGCGGCGGAACGTTTCGCCCGAGCCGAAGGCATGATGATGTTTTTTTTTGCGTGTTCAAGCGATGAATTTTTTTATGAAGCAAACGCTCTCCTGAAAGAGGGAAAGGTCTTCCTAAACGCTTCTTTTCAATACTACGACTACTCTGCTGCTGCTATTACGACTACGACTACTATCACTACTTCTACTGCTATTAGTACGGCTACGACAGAGGCGTGCGTTCGTTCACGTCGAACAAAACTTCCGTCATGTACCTTTCGCACAAGCGCGAACCCATGGCGCGCTCTAACACGGCGCGCGTTTTCTCGTTGGTTAACTGCTTCTCGCAGAATAGGATTTGTTTTTTTAAGCGGAGGAGGGCGTCTGGGAGAGCGAAAGACGGGTGGTCGTCCTCGTCGTCGTCGTCGTTTACGTCGTCGTCTTTTGGGTGGTTTCCAAGCGCGACTTTTTGGTTCGTTTTATACGCTCGAACGGTGTCTTTGAGAATATTTTTGTCGCTCGCCGTGGAGGCGAGGAAGAGGTATCCGTCCATGACGTCTAGGAAATACTCGCGAAAGAGTTCAAATTGCTTTTGATTTTCGATTTGATCTTTATCGCCACCGATGCAGACGCATTTCGAAGATAGAATAGCCTCGCCCCATTCCGGTAGAGGTCTCTTTTCTAACGTTTCCTCTATTCTCTTTCTACTCTCTAATCCCGAGACGAACGCGTCGAAGATATCGTCGTCTTCGTCGTGTTCCTCCTTCTTTGTCGGGGCTAAATCGACGATGGAGAGCGACATTCGCCCACGAAACCCAACCACATCACCGGCAAATATCGGCGCGTCCACGATCGCGTGCGGATAAATCACGCAATGCAAGACGACAAAATCCATCGGCCCCCACGCCAACTCCAAGTGCATCTTACGAAACGTGCGTTTCGATCGCAAGCACACGTTCTCTATCCGGATCCACGATTTACCGTTCCTGCCGTCGTTCCCGTCCTCTCTGCCTTCGGGAAACGCGCGCACAGATTTCAATTCCGGCGCAGTTGGAAATTCAGAGACGGAATCGTCGTTATCTTCCGCGTCCTCCTCATCGCTTCTCGTCGTCGTCGAGGTCGTCTGCATCGTCCTCGTCGATGTCGCCGCTGCGAACGCGAACGCTTCCTCCTCCCATTTTCGTTCAATCACCTTCGCTAATTCGACGATGGCTGAATCTTCCGGCGCGTCGGAAATGTCCCAACTTGTCCTCGCGCTGCCGCTCCTTTTACTCCTACCACTCGTACCACCAAAACCGCCGCTGTCTCTCTCCAACGTTCTCGGTAAGCTCTGGTAATACCGTCGCTCCGCTTCGTCGTCTGCAAACTCAAAATCATCATCTTTTCGTCCTCGTCGTCGTTCTTCTTTGTCTTTGTCTTTCCCGTACAAGACCTCGGCTATTCTCTTTGCTTCGTCGTCGTCGTCGTCGTTGCTTTTGTCGTTGTTGTTCTTCTCGTCGTCGTCGTTCCAAAACGCCGCCGAACTTCTTCGTCGTAGTCGTCGTCGTCCGTGGTGTTGCCGCTTTTGCTGATGACGACGATGCGCACAAAAAGAAGAATACGCGCAAATAAAACTGCTGCTCTCCGCCATTGCGCGCGTTATAATCGTCGTCGTCGTTTCTCCCTCGCAAACTGCAGAAAAAGTGACGCGCAAACCACGAACGGAAATGGAAAAGTGAGAGAATGCAACGGTGCGTCGTCGTGGGTCGTCGTTACCCTTCCTCCTCCTCCGCGATCATCGAGAAGAACGAGAGAGAGAAGAAGAAGAAATGCAGTCGTCGCTTTCGTCGGTCGTCGACCGTGGTGGGAAACAACAACGACAACGACGACGACGGAAGAAGAAGAAATCAAATCAATCTCAAAGCGAACGAAAGAGCGAACGAACGCAGGAAACAGGCGGTGATTGAACTCTCAAAAAGAGAGGAAGCGTGCAAAGGGTACTGCAATTTATGCGGCAAGACGCACACTTTGGAAAGAACGCGGGAGGCGGAAGAGGTAGCGAAAGCGTTGCTCGAGAAGTTGCGGAAGCAGAAATCGGTCTCGGACGAGGACGAAAGTGGTCAGTTTTTAGTCGAGGACGTGTACGACCAACGAACCGGGGGTAAAATGATTGGCGTGCTCCTGTGCGAAACGACGACGACGACGACGACGACGACGAGTGAGAGGAAAGTGTTGAAAGCGTTTAGCGGACAATGGATGGGCGAGTGGGTGGTTCCCGGGTGGTGTCCTCCGTTGGCGCGGTTGACGCACGACAGTTTAGAATACATCGAGGAGAGGGAAAAGATTGAGAAGTTGTCGGAGGAAATTAAAAGGTTGGAGAAAGAAGCGTCGTGGTCGTCGTCGGGGTCGAGTGGCACGGCCGCGACGGCCGTGACGGAGTTGAAGACGAAACGGAAGAATATGTCGAGGGCGCTGTTGGAAAGGATTTGGGATTCGTACAGTTTGCCGAGTTTTAGAAAAGAGAGGAAGATGAGTGAGGGTGATGACGATGATAACAGCGATAACAGTAATAGTAGTAGTATTCGTAGTAGTAGCGATATTGAAAACAATAGAAGGAAGCTCGTGGAGCTGAACATTAGGAAGTGTTACTACGGCGACGCGTCAAAGTTGCCGTGCGGATGCGGCGATTGCGCGGCGCCGAAATTGTTGGCGGAATGCGCGAGGAAAGGGTGGAAACCGATTGCGATTGCAGAGACGTGGATGGGACCGAACGTGAAGAGAGGAGCAGGTTTGCGCGAAGAAGGCGTGTTTTATGGGGCGTGTTTGGAACGGTGTCGTCCTATACTTGGACACATGCTCTGCGACGCGGCATTAGAGTTAGAATAGTTGTGCTCTTTTGATTGACATTTGTATTTTACTCACCGCGCGGTAAAAAGAAGTATCTCGTTCTTTCACGATCTGAAACCGATATTTGTATCTCTATTTATTCTCTTCCTCCAGATCCTTCTCCTCCTTTTTTTCTCTCCTTTATTCTATACATCGGGTAAAAGCTCGACGAAAAACGCCTCCATGCTACTACTCGTCATGCTCCCGATTGTACCTTCGCTGCTATACTCTATCTCTCTTCTTGGATGGTGTGCTACTAATCGATACGTTTTCGGTAAAACCTTGTGTGGTCCACCTTCCGGTTCCGCGGTGGAGTTCGAATCGATAAACGCGAACATATTTTTCAACGCGTGCGCTTTCAAAAAACGCCTCTGCAATTTTGCGCCGTTTGGGAACGTCAATCGAATAGTCACCACGTCCGGCGTTCCCGCGACCGGCTCCTCTTCTAAAGTCGATTTCGCCTCTTCGATGTGCCTTTCCGCTTCGACGCGTCTCTTCTTTTCTTTCGCTTCTGCTTCTTCTTTCTCCAATATTTTTTTGTGCTCTTCCAAAACTCTCTTCGTTTCCTTTTCTCGATCTAATCTCAAAGACTCTTGAAACGCCGCATCTTGCTCGTATTTTTCGAATCTATTGCGCAACACGTCCTCCGACGCGTTCATATCGACAAACGGTAGCGATTGCGACGGATCAATCGGCCGCCTCGCCTCTGGTGCTTCGTACGCGACGCCAAACATGGCTGCTTCTAACTGTTTCGCCTCTTCCAAATCGATGCCATCCGGTAAAATAAACTCGTCCTGGTCTCCTTCGCCGCGGTTCGCCGCTTCTCCGCGCATCATGTGAGACAAATCCCCATTCGCTCGTCCTCCGTCTCCTACCGCCGTAGCCCGCGCCTGTTCAAGCGCCCGCCTCGCCGAATGTCTGTGATCTCCACTTCCAACTGGTAAATTTGCGGGCCGCGGCGTGCTCCCGGTCAAATCGACAATCTGTCTCTCCGCTCGCTCCCTCTCCCGTTCGTCTCGCGGGTTCATAATCAATCGCTCCATCTCTTCATCGCTATCGATTTCCACAAAATCTGGGTCGTCCTCTCCCGTGTTATATTCACTCGCGCTATCGTCTTCTATGGTCATTCTTTCTTCTTCTTCTTTGTCTTCTTGTTCTTTGTCTTCTTGTTCTTGTTCGCGGGTTGGTCGTTGAATCAACTCCCCAGTTTTCTCATCAATCTCCGCATCGGAAACGCCTTCGATTTCTTTCTCGTACGTGCCGCTGAAAAACGCGTCCACGGATCTGTCGATGTCCCATTTGTATCTCTGTTTTTATTCGAAGAAGAAGAACGACAACAGCGCGAGTATTAGGAAGAGCAAGAGTCAGCAGCGAAAGAAGGTTTTACCGCGTACTACTAAACTCCTTTTAAAAGCGCGCGACGTGTACATAAAAACAACCGTTTTGGACGAGTTAAAAAAGTTGAAACGATGCGACGCGAAGAAGACTTTCCGACGACGACGATTTGCAAACGAAAAAGGGCAAACACGAATAATACTAATAACACACCTTTAAGATCCGTCGGGACGTGCTCTGATCTTCCACTCCGGTCACCGAGGCAAACGTGGCCACTTTTTCCGCCAAGGATGATGATGGTGTCATCTTCGTCTGATTGCGAGAGAGAGCAGCCCCGTAGGAGTAAAAAATTTTGAGGAAAACGAGGGAAATTTCAAAAGATATTTTTCTCACTAAAATTATTAGGTGTTGACGCGCGCGCACACACACACACACACACATTTATAATAAGCGAGAATTTTACCAGTTTTACCGCGACGATTCACGACGCACACGACGACGAGGTGAACGAGATTTACCACTGCCGTCGTAATCACCGTAATTACCGCGAAGAAGACAAAATGAAAACACATCATCGTCGCGACGATGATGAGAAAAAATTGGAAACGCTCGCGGAGATGATGCATCTGATGAAAGAAATCCACGAACAACGCGCGAGAGAAACGGACGAGCACATCAAAGATATCGCGGAGAAGTGGAAACGGGGAAGCGAAGAACGAGACGTAATCGCAGAGAAGAGGTACGAGGAGACGCTGTCGAAACTGGATGCGCTTTGGGAGGGAATGAGCGTGAAGCTGATGCATCGTCTCAACGACTTTGAGGAACGGTTGGAGGCGTTGGAAAGAGCGAGGAGTGCACCTCCTCCTCCTCGCGGCGGCGGCGGCCAAGAGAACGACGACGGCGACGCGACCGCCGAGAAGAGTAACAGAAAGATCAAAAGGATACAACAACAACATCAACAACAACAAAACTCGATAGCCGATCGACGACGACGATTGGACAATATGTACGCTAAACTAGAAGATTTAAAAGGATGATATCTAAAACAACGCTCAGCGCTTTACTGCTATTACTACTATAATTACAACTACTCTTTTTAATCGTACACGCACATCATCTCTTGCTCTTGCGCGACTCTGTAGATGAAGTTCTCTAACCCCATGAGATGGATGCTGCTCATGGTTTTCCCCAGGTTGAAATACTTTCCCGCGCCTTCGCTGGAATAGCCGTACAAATCGACTCTCGTGCACAAACCCGACGCGAGGATATCGCCGGCTAACTTGAAACCGCCGGACGCGGCGCCTCTGGAGATTTTCTTATTTTCTTTCTTGTAAAGATAATACGCGGCTTCAAAGACCGCGTTTCTTCGAGGCGAAGGCCAGAGAATTGGTTTGCCTTTGAACGTGTTCTCGCTCAAGTCTTTCTTGGAGGCCACCATGCGTAGTTTTGTTTCGTCTTTGAACATGTAAAACTTTGCCGCCTTTTGTCCTTCTTGGCCGTATTCTTTCTCGTCGCCTCGGATTTTCCAATATATAACGTCGCTTTTCTTACCCACGCTCTTTTCATACTTCTTCATCGGACTGTTGTATCTAATAACGGTATCGTGCGCATCAATCTCCTTCCCTCGTTCGGATTTCAACACGTTCGAACCTACTGCGACGACGGCGCAACTCCCGAATCCGAGCGGTTTCACGTCCGGAAAAAAATTCGCCCACTTCTCCTCCGCGGGCACTTTGTTCCCCACAAACAACCGTAAAAATGGATGTCTTGGATGCGTGATTTCCCTCGTGATGTTCATGTGTATCTTATCTTCCGGCCAGTAGTTTTTCACGCAGTCTAACGTCCACAAACCGCAGCGTTGTTTCTCCTCGCCGAGTTCTCTCCAATATCGCAAATTCGCTCTCAACACGTCTATGAACTCGTTCGAAGGAGGCGCAAACGGTTGCGTTTGTCCTCGAGATTTGCCGCCACCACCACCGCCCTTTTTACCGGTAAAACTACCGCTCCTCCGTCTTCTCGATTTTAACGACTTTAACGACGACCCACTCGCGAGGAGCACTCTTCGTTTTTCGTTGGGAGGAGGACTCGTCGTCGTCGTCGTCGTCGTCATCATCATCAAGTCTTTCGCCGTCCCGACATACCCACACTCCGAAGGCACGGAAAGGGAAGGACACGCTGGTTTACAATTCGTTTGCGTTCGTGTTGGCGGCTTTTGCACTCGAACGAGCGCCGCGTTCGTTGTCGTCGTTATTCTTAAAAGCGAAAGAAACACCAACGAAAACATGATGCGCAGACGACGCGCGCGCTACACTCCTACATCCTTTTGCATCTCTCCTTTTGAAAAAAAACGACTTTGCTCCCAATCATCATCACTGTCGCTGTTTTATCATCATCACCGCGGGTGGTCTTCTCGCGTTTTGAACGTAGTATTATCGCGCGCGCGTTGTATTCGGCTTAATAAAAAGGTGTGAAGAGAAGTACAGAAGGTTTATGTGACATTGGAATTGGAATTTAATTGGCCAAAATTACTGAAGAAATCAGTTTTTTTTCGTTGACCAAAAAAAAACACGAGAGTGAAAAAAAAAGAAAAACAACAGACACATAAAAAAACACGCGCGAGAAACGCATCATCGTCATCGTCGTCATCGCTAAAAGCGACGACGACAACTCTCATGACTGTTTTTTCAACGCTCTTCGTGGCCACGCGCACGCGACCAAAAGTCGTCGCACCAAAAACGAGCGTCGTTGCTTCGAACGACGACGTAAACGAAGAAGACGAGAAGAAGAAGAAGAAGAAAAAGACGAAGAATAAAAAAAATACGACCGCAACTTCCTCAAAGTCGGGAACACTAACGACGGCATCGTCATCGTCGTCGTCGTCATCATCAACGCGCGATGGGACTCCGAACAACAACAGTAACAACAACAACAACAACAACAACAACGCGTATTTAGACACTCGCGCGGATCGCAAAACCGTGCGAATCTCGAACCCGGTACCGGCAAGTTCCACGAAAAAAGCGAAGGAGTATACCTTTGACGCGGTTTTTGATCGGTATTCGACCAACGAACAGGTGTACAGAGACGTTTTCTTAAGGCGCACTTCTTCGTCTTCTTCGACTTCTTCGACTTCTTCCTCTTCCCCCTCCAAAGAAGAGGATTTAAACGTCGTGGAAACGATTTTACGAGGCGGCGTCGCGACGGTGTTCGCGTACGGCGCGACCGGTTCGGGGAAGACGCACACGATGATTGGCAGAAGAGATGACCCGGGGATGATGATGCGGTCGATTCGAGACGTGTTCGATGGCGTGGAGAGGATGAATGAAGAGAGGAGGAAGAAGAGGAGGAGGGAAAAACGACGCGCGGGAAGCGAAGAAGAAGAAGAAGAAGAGGAAGAGGAAGAAGAAGAAGAACAAAAAGAAGGCACGTTGGAGGTGAGGTGTTCGTACGTGGAGGTGTATAACGAGAACTTGTACGATTTGCTCGCAGAAAAGAGGACAACTGTGCCGCATCATCAACAACAACAGCATCATCAACAACAACAGCAGCAATATTCTCATAATAAAAATGAATTTGATCTGAGCGCTTCGCTTTCGTCGAGCGTCGGAGTATTTGGGGGCGGCGATTTGAGACAATCGAGAAATAGTTTTTCAAACAACGGGATCAACACGTCTTCACAACCAAAGTTGGAGTTACGCGAAGACTCAAGTCGTGGCGGTGCGGTAGTTGTTGGCGCTAGAGAAGTCGTCGTGTGTTCCCCATCGCACGTTTCGGATTTGTTGGAAAAGGGCAACGCGAGGCGTAAGACGGACGCGACGGATATCAACGCGACTTCGTCGAGATCGCACGCTGTTTTAGAGATTATCGTTTGCGAAAGAATTGGCTCTAGTTGCGACAATGATAACGAAAATGAATGCATAATAAAGCGCGGAAAACTATCGTTGGTTGATCTCGCAGGAAGCGAACGCGCGAACGAGGCAAACACGAGAGGCGATAAGTTGCGAGATGGCGCGAGCATAAACAAATCGCTCTTGGCGCTGGCGAATTGCATAAACGCGCTCGGACGGCGGAAAAAAGTGAGCGATACGCAAAACAATGCGAGTAATACGAATCGACGAGGTGGTGCACATCGTAATCATTCACACCTTGCTCCCCCAAAAGCATCTTCGCAAAGGAAACCTACGACTACGGTATACGTTCCGTATCGCGACTCCAAGCTTACTCGCTTGTTAAAGGATGGTTTGAGTGGAAAGGGAAAATGTGTCATGATTGCAACCGTAAGTGAAGATGCCGAACAAGTCATCAACAACGCGAATACGTTATCCTATGCCAACCGCGCGAAATCTATTGAAATGATAAACCCATCGCATTCGTCGATTTCGACAGAGTCGCACCACGTCGCCGAGATGAAGAAGAACGGTGAGTACCGCAAAGTGGTCGAAGCTTTACAATCAGAAGTTTCGAGATTAAAGCTAGCGCTTGGAAATGCTTTAGATAATAACAGTAATGATAAAAGGGTTGCGGCCGAATCTGCGTCATCGACGACTTCATCGAGACTGCACGGCTTCTTCTCGAGGCGAAATACTACAAAAAGCAATTCGATGTCAACCGCGAATGATGACGCCGTCCTGTCATCGGCAATGACAGATAGCATTCCGTTTGGACGTTCAAAGTATCATAGCAACAATAAAGGAAGTACGCGCGATGGTGATAAATATGCAGCGACAACTTACGACGAATGCAAAACGTGCTCTTCTCGCATAGCGCTCGACGAACGCGTTGTACAGCTCTGCGACGAAATCACCGAAAATGTGGAAGAGCGAGTCAATTTTCAAAAAGCGTTGTTCGAGCTGGAAGCGGCAGATATGTCGAACCGCAGAGAACTCACTAGGCGTGAAAAACGCGTCGCAGCTGCTCGAGGAGAGGGCAAAGCTAAGCACGAAAAGAAGATTGCAAAGTTACGCCAGCAACATTTACGACACGCGGAAGACTCGAAAAAATACGCGGACGAAATCTCAAGGAACGATTGCGTGAGAGATTTAATCAGCAAGAAAGTAGATGATTTAATATCAGGTGGTGGTAACTATAGAGGTAATATTGGTTTAGCGCGCTCTCTTTCCGAGTACCGCTTGGCGGTGGCACGAAACGCGGAGTTACAATTTGCGTTAGCTCTGAGAGATCAAACGGTGGCAGAGTTGAGAGATGAAATCGAGAGTTTGCGAGCGAGGAAAACCACCATCGCGTTTGATTCATCGGCGCCGGCTTCAAATAATCCTGGGGACGTGGACGATAACTCATCGGTATCATCGTTTGATGACTACGAAGATGACGATGAAGAAAGCGAGCGCGGCTCGATGACGCACAAACGTAACGGATCGAAAATACCAAACATCGCATCGCTCTTTTCGGACGACGGTTTTGACGAAGATGAAGACGCGTGGAGGGAATACGAGCACCATAGGTCGGTGCGAAAGTCAACGCCAACGGGCGCGTCGGTGAATATTACGGAGAGTAAAATGCGAGAATCGCGCGTTACGTCGTCTCTGGCATCCTCGCGTGCGCCGGCTGCTGCTTCCTCTTCTTCTTCTTCTTCTTCTTCTTCGAAGCAACAGCCGGGAAGTAAGAGCGCTCCAGAGCAAAATGCAAACTCGTTATCAGCGCGCCGTCGCGCGCTCGCGATTGAACGCGCGGCGTTAAAAGCTGGAAACTTATCCGCCCGAGGCGGTCCAGCGCGTTCGGCGTCGGCTATTCCTTCTTCCTCTAAATACGGCGACATGATTCGAGACGCCTCGCTCATATTTAACCGAAACAAAATCGTGGAAACGACGATGAAGTCCTCTACGGTAGCAAACAACATGACGATACCTAAAGGAAGCGCAAAGTTCAACGAGACTCGAGATCGATTTAGACGCAAATTTGGATGATAGTTACTGCCGTACTAGTTATACCGGTATAATCGATGTATTGCTTTCAACACTCTCTTTCTTCTCTTAAAAATATTATATACTACTATTCCGCAGTTCAAGTTCGGACGAGCATCACTCTGAAACACGGCTGGCCTTCGTTCGTGGTTTGTACTTCTCTTTCCGTGGGTATACCCAGCGGATTTTCTTTCAACCATCCTTTTTTATACCAAGTAGGCACGAACCCCTCGTGTTCCTCGCCTTCCCAATCCGATATATCTGGCGCGTCCGCCTCGAAAATCACCTCTTCGTTGCCGTGTAAACTCTCGTCGACGACAAATTTCCCGTTTCCAAACTTCTCAAACTTATCGCGCATATCTTCCGCCACCTCTTTCACGTCCGATTGCAAAAACACTCTCGCCCCTTCTTCCAACCCGCTCGCTAACGCGTCCACCATTTGTTTTTGCACCACCCTTCGTTTCCAATGTTTTCTTTTAAAGTGCGGATCCGGAAACTGCACGCATACGAGTTCAACTTTCCCTCTTCTTTTCTCGTCTCTGTTATTTTCGTTGTAATCGTCCAACCACGGCTTCAAAGACACCGTGCAATTCCCAGCCGCAAAGGCGACGTTCTCCGAAACTTCCGCAAACTCCCCCCACTTCTCCCCTCTTTCCACCAAAGCCTCTCGAACATCCACGCCTAAGAAATTCCTCTCGCGAAACCGCTGCGCCATCGCCAACGGAAATCTTCCTCCCCCGCATCCCACGTCTATGGTCATCGGTTTCACCGGTTCTTTGAAAATCGCCGCCCAATCGGGCGTCCGCGATGGCGCGCTAAATTTCTGCGACAACGGGTTCACGTGCTGTCGACATCTCACGCCTTTCGCCGCGCCGCTTTTCATCGCTTCCTTCAAGTTCAAGGAAGCGAACGGTGAATCTTCCGCCATCAATTTCGCGCCGTGTTCCAGTTGGTACCCAGTCATCGGTGCGCCGTATTTCCGCGTGTGCTTCGGTGCCGGCGTCGGTCCTTTCTTTTTCTCCGCATCTTCCTTTTTGCTCTTCTTCTTCTTCGCGGTTGTATTCGTTGTTGTCGTCGTCGTGTTGTTACGGTTCGCATCAACATCTTCGTCCTGAACGAGAGCCGCCATTCTGCCGGAAAAAGATGCGCGCGAGGAACTCTCTTCTCTCTTCCTCGCGCCTTCTTCAAAAGAAACGAATTTTCGCAAACAGAAGAGAGACGCTCTTTTCGTCGTCGTCGTCGTCGTCGTCGTCCTCGTCGTCCTCGTCGTCCTCGTCGCGTAGGTAAACATTAATTACTCACGCAAAGTCTTCCACAAAAGTGGGGAAACGACGACGACGAAACGAATGAAATTCTCTCCATTCGTAGTACACGCAAAGCGCAAAGTGCGGGCGATTTAAAGCACAGACGACAGACGCGCTAAACACAACGCGCTCTCACTTTGACGACGACGACGACAAAAGACGACGACGATGTTTGCGTCCAGGTCCTTTGCTTTTTCGGAAAATGCGTTTGGTCCGCGTCGGACAGGCAAAGGCGGTCTTCCTCCTTCTTCGATGACGACGACGACGAAGCAGAAGACGTTCGCGAAGAAAACACACCTTTTAAACGAAAGAGAGAGAAAAAGAAGTAATAGAAGAACTCTTCGAGTCGTCAAAGCTTCCGACGAAAAGAGCGACGAAAACAACGAGTCCTCTTCTTCTTCGATGATGATGAACGAAACGTCCATGCAAGAAATGCTCGCGAAATTAGAGCGAGCGGAGAAGGAGAAAGAACTGTTGCAACAAAAGTTGGAGGAGACGAACAACAACAAGCGAGAAGAGAGTAACACTAGTAATGAAAATTTAACCATCGATGAACTGGCGCGAATGAAACCGAGGGGCACCGGGACAAAGTCTCGAATCGATGGAAGCATGCAACGCGAGCAGATTTTCGATTTCGGAAAGAATAAGAAGGACGGGAACTGGTTGCAAGACGGATTAGAATTCGTCTCGAAAGAACAGCCGAGCGAACAGTTGACGGTGGCGGAGATGAGCGAGGAAGATCAGAACACGGTGAACAGACGATTGGCGATTGGGATCGCGTTGACGGTTGGATTTATCGGGTTTGGGTTAATTCCGGATGATTCTATCGGAGGGAAACCGGAGAAGCCGTTGTTTTTTTACCTCGTGCCCATCGCGAGAAGTCGAGAGATTTTACGAAACTGCGAAGAGTTAGCCGAGGACGGAGACTTCGAGGCGTTGTTGAGTAACGTGAAATCTGTGTTGGGTGAACCAAACACGATTAAGAAGAATCTGTTAACCGCGTGCGTGTTTTTATCCGGAAGAGAAGAGGAAAGGGCGAAAGAGTTGGCGTTCAACATCGTCGAGGATATCGAGAAGGTTGATTTTAAGACGTATTTCGACACGCAACAGAAAACGTTCGACGGGGTGACTGCGAAGAAGTACGCGGATTTTAGCGCCAAGGCTGCGCACGCCGCGGTAATAAAGATTAACAGGTTCTTAGAGTTCTTCGACGCGGAGAGCAGACAGGCGGCGAACTCGCAAGTTGCGCCGTTTCAATCCAGGAAAAGAGTCGTCGTAGAAGAGAAAGAAGAAGCGGTATCTGTACCGGCTGAGGAGACTTCAGATTTTTCTTCTTCTTCTTCTGAATAAAGAATAAAGAATATCCCTTTTCCCGTTCTATTTATTCGCGCGCGCGTGTTGTAATGATCATATTATTGTACCTGGTAGTGACAATAAAACCAAGTCTATGTGACATAATTCCCATTTGATCCAGCGCGAACTAAAAGTCATCTTCTTCGGTATCCGAGTCCATCGCGTCGTTGTGTACCATTTTCCATCCTTCCGCCACCAAGTGCTTGCGAACAGCTACGATGATAGGAACGCCGTTCTCACCAGACATGTCTGACTCGTCCTTCTCTGGTACGCCGGATTCACTCAGCGGTTTATCCGCCTGGAGTTCCACGCCTTTGTATTGACTTTTTTATCATGACAAGAAAAAGAGAAAGAGTTTGTCAGTTCGAGGAAAAAACGCACGAAATACCTCAACGAACGAACGAACGACGTAAAAAACCAACGGAAAAGAAAGAGAGAACCAACGACGAGCTGTGCGCACATTAACTCCCACGGCTCTTGAAACCCTTCCAACCGAAACAACTCCGCGACCGGCGGCAAACCAACCCTCTCGGCGATCATTTTTTTCAACTCCCTCGCCGTCGTTTTCGCAATGTCCACGTCCAAATCGAACTCGTCCAAATACATCGTTCGCGTCGCCATCGAACACTTCCAATATAAAGACCACTTTTCTTTTTGTAATCGCGGTTTGATCGAGAGTAATACCATTCTTTTATTAGTAGTAGTAGTAGTGATAGTACTCGTACTCGCTCTTCTTCTTCTTTGTCTTCTTCGTCTTCTTCTTTCAACAACAACAACAACAACGCGTGCGTGTATTTTTTTTTCGTCTGAAAGCAAAAATTGGCGTTTTTCTCTCAAATTTAGAAAACCCTAAATTTAACCATAAAGGGAGGCGTCAAATGTATGCGTACGCATGTATGTACGAGTTTTGAATTCGTACATTCGCGATTCAGGTTGATTTAACGGAGTTTTGTATTTTTTTCAAGTGAAAATTGTAGGTGGGGAGTTCCGGATTAGGGGTTTGTACGTATCAATTCGTTTTACAAATACGTTGACATAACCTCCGACCACGTTCGACTCGAACAACAAACGGTTGCAGTATACCCTTTGGCTTGTCCACGAGATCTTCAGCTTTAACGTTCTTCTCGGTGTTGACGTAGAAATAATCTCGCGGTTCAAATTCTTCAACCGACGCGGGGAAGTATGACTTTCAGTTTTACATCCACCTGCTTCCCCGTTTTAGGATCGAGCGTAGACGCGTCGTATTCGCCTAAACATTCTTCGGTGATTATGGTGTCGCGCATGCGAACCGAATTCGGGTTGCTGTGCTTGAACTTCTTGTTCATGAGCTTCACACTCAGAGCGTCTTCAGCGCGAGCCGTGTGTGGTCCAGAGTTGTCGGTCTCGAGGACGACTTGGTACGAAGGATACAAACACTCAAATACGTCGAGCACGTCTTGAACTTGATCCACAAACTCTTTCGTCGTCCAGTATCCTTCGAAATTAGCTCCATATTCGAACGTACGGAATCCGGGAGACTCCTTCAAATCGTCCTTATTCCCAGAATATTTAAGGCGGCGAAACACGTTGACGTGTTTGAGGACCAAACCGAAACCCAACTCAACTTCCGTCGTAAAGGCTGATATCATGACACCTCTACCGTCACTTTTCGGTCGCATCTTCATCTTCCCATTTATTCCGAAGGCAAACTTCGGTAACGACATCTGATAAACGATGGATTCATCGTTACCAACGTGGATGCAAGGCAAGCGACAGCGGCAAAGCTCGGCGTGCTCGCACGCTTTTCGCCTGCTCCATTTTTCGGGTTTCTCCGGCTCTTCTTCTCCTTTATACATCGGAATATGTGTGGGGGCTCTCTCGCCGACGATCGCCGAGCTACGCGCGCTGATAAAGAGGTCCGGGCGCAAGTCGTACACGGTGGTGGCGGGAAAACCCAACCCGCAGAAGCTGGCCAACTTCCCCGAGATCGAAACCTTCGTGCTGGTGTCGTGCGAGCACGCCGCGCTCGTCGACGGCCGCGACTACCTGCAGCCCGTGATCACGCCGTGGGAGGCGCAGGTGGCGTTCACGCACGGCGCGCACTGGGACGGGGAGGTGCGGCTGGACTTCGACCACCTCCTGGAGCCGCGGCGCGCCGGAGCAGCGGCGGGACCGCTCTCGCGCGAAGAGCGTCCGGCGGAGGAAACGCCCAAGTTTTCCTTCCTGGGCGGGGGCGTGCGCGCGGGCCCTCCCGGGCGCCGTTCCCCGGGGCACGAGGACGGGGACGAGGACGACGCGTCGTCCTCGGAGGGCGAGGAGGAGGGCGACGCGGAGGAGGGGGTTCTGGGCGACGGGTACGTCCGGCGCAGGAGCCGGGCCGCCGCGGCGCTCGCCGTGCGCGCGAACGCGGCGGTGGCGGCGCGCGCGGGCGGCTCGGGCGTCGCCGACGTGCGCTCGGGCGCGGAGTACCTGCTCAGCCGGCGCACGTACACGGGGCTGGAGCCCGGCCCGCGGCGTGACGAGGACGGCGCCGCTGCGGACGCGCCGCTGGAGGCGGCGAAGGGGCTCAGCGGCCGCGCGCGCTCGTACAAAAGCGAAAACGCGAAAACGTAGACGTGCGGTAGTAACTTAAGGGTCAAAAACGAAAACGAACGACGGCGCCGACGCGCAAACGCCTAGCTCTCTGTAGCTCACTCGCTCGCTATACGCTTTCGGTGTGTATCTTCACGTAGCGCACACCGCATATCGTGGCTCACTTCCCGCTTCCCTCGGCGTTCGGTTCGGGCGGCGGGGTCGCGTTCGCGGCGGGTTCCGCCGCGGGCGGCGCGTCGCCCGCGCTCGAGTTCCCGGGCAGCCTCCAACGCTGCGGCTTTGGCGAATATCCGCTCCTTCGCCACGGCCTCGACGTACACGCTCGTGTCCGTTTTCGCGAGGTGGTGCTTGAACGCGTCGCGCGCGCCGAACTTGGCCGTCTCCAGCTTCGCCGCCGTCAACGCCAACTCGCGCGCGTATTCCGACTGGTGCCAGTCCGTCCCCGAGCCGACGTACCTTTTGCTGCCGCGGTATAATACGGTATTGAAGGTAAAATTTTATTTGCGGCGCCGGTCAGCCGGGCAGCGATTCTTTTTTTAATAGTTGCTCAAAAGGGTGCAGAAGAAGCTCACGACGAGAGCGAGCGCGATGGTATTCCCCGGCGACCGCATGAACCCGTGGAGTGAGAACGCGGCGTCGGATGTATCGGTGGTGTTGTTATTGTTTGTCGTGCCGCCAGTGCCCAAATATGGAGGAGGCATGAGACTTTTATCCGGCAGCGGCGGCGGGGGCGGCAGCGGCGGCGGCGGCCGGATAGACGAGACAACCTCCAGTTTCGCGGGGTTGGCGTTGCCTTCCCTGTTGCTGTGACATTCGAGCCTCTCCCAGTCACCCGCGTCGCCCTGCAGCCACAGAGTCACCTTGGATAAGTCGGCGGTTTCTCCTTCTCCCGTCACCAGCGCGCGGATGTGCGCAGTCACGTTGAAATCCACCCACTTTCCGGTGCCGTCGACAGTCACCGTTGTCAGCTTCGTCTTCTTCGTCGGGCCGTTGTTCCACGTTACCGTCGTCTCGTCCCAGTCCGCGAAACCCTCCACGCTCCACACCGCGAACCTCGCTGCGATGTTCCCGGGTTCATTCGTCTTCACGTACAGTCGTAGTTTGGCGGAAGAAACCAGCACGTCTTCACGCGAAGTACCGGACGGCACCAGGGTGGTGGCGTTAAACTTGAAAATACCGACGATGGCGGCGTTCGGTTTGGCTCTCGCCTCCACCTCGCCCCAGTTGCCGAAGGCGTCGGGGTTTGCCTGTTGCAGCGAGGCGTCGTGATCGACCGTGAACGAGGACGTCGTTTTCGATCCCACCACGCCGGATCCTCCCCCCGCGGCGGGCGGCGGAGCGGGCACGGGCGCGGGCGTTGGGTTAGGACCCGCGGGGGTGGTGGAAGACGACGGGCAAGATGTCGAAGGTGCGGGGGCAGTCGTCGTGGGCACCTGCGTGTCGCTTGAAGTCACGCGAAGCGTCGGATGATTCGATCGCTTGTGGCTATCCGTGGAAATTCCGAACGATTGCCCGGTCCACTCGTCACCTTCGAGCCAGAAAGTCATCGACGCGAGCCCGACGCCCGCCTTCACCGCGTCGTCAACGTAATTCGTCACGTCCCACTCGTACCACCTGTTTTCCGCCGTCACGCGCGTCACCGAAAGTTTTTTTTTTTTCGTAGGTCCGTTATTCCACGTCACCGACTCCTCGACCCAGCTCGTCGCTCCCGAGGTACTCCACACGGCGAAATCGGCGGCGGCTTGTTTCGCGTCGGACACGTACAGTCTCAGCTTCGCCTCGCGGATCTCAGCCTTGGACGCGAGGCTCGACGCGTCGAACTTGAACACGCTCACGATGCTCTGTTCGCCCTCCGTCGGGTGCGGCTCCCGCGTGTAGAGCTCGACGGCGCCGTAGTTATTCACCTGATTACGGTCGCTCGTCTTGCCCTTGAGGGCCGCGTCATCCGTGGCTTCGAGATTCGCGACGCTCGAGACGGCACCCGGAACGACGCCGACGTACGCGGACGTGGACGTCTTACCCCCGGAGTCGGTGGCTACGGCGTAAATCGTGTACCCTCCCTTCGCAGACGGCGTCCACGACACCTGAAACACCCCCCCGGAGGCTGCCGAAGTGGCAACGCCCACGGATGTCGCCACGGTGGCGGATGATCCGGCGGGGAAGACAAAAACCTCAACCTTCGCGACGGCGGCACCCGAACCGTCGGGATCGTTGGCGGTGACGCTCACGGTGGTCGGCGATCCAACGGTGAGCACGGCACCGGCGGTCGGGGACGTCAAGGACACGGAGGGTGGTCGGTCGCCAACGTAAACAGTCGCGTCGGACGTGTTCGCCGTGTTCCCGTCTGCATCCGTCGCCTTGGCGAAGATCACGTACGCGCCGTCATCCGCGGGTGTCCACGTGGCGGCGAACGGTGCTGACGTGTCCTCGGCGATTTTGCACGCGCCGGAGCCGGAACCAGACGACGCGCGTACGAACCACTCCACCTTGGCGATCTGCCCCGTCGCACCCAGCTTGGCGCCGCCCGGGTCGGTTGTGTCCGCGGCGAGAGTGACGGCGGCGCCGGATGCCACCGCGGCGCCGTTCTTTGACGGAGAAGTAAGCGTAGCCGACGGGAGGTGAAGGTGTTCCGCCACCCACTCGGCTTCCGTCGCGAACTGCGAGGGAAGACCAGACCCGCTGTACATGCTGACGGCGTCGAAGTAGATGACGCGCTCGTTGCGAATCTCCGTGTACATTCCGAACTTGACGTACCCGCCGCTGCCGTCGCTCCTCCGCCCCATCATGTTTTTTTGATTGGCACGTTCGAAAACTTTGACGCCGTTGAGGTACACGCGAAGTTGTCCGTCGGATCCCGTCGATTTATGGTAGTAGATCTTCACGTCGTTCCACGCGTCGGGGACGGCCGTGCCGATGAACGTTCCCTCGTCCGTCGCGTCGGTCCAAAGACCGGAGGTGCCACGGTAATAGAGCTTGTAGTCTCCCATGTTGCTGATTCGCAGAGCGCCGTGTGGGTCAGACAGGATCTTCCACTGTGTGATGACGGTGGAGTACTTGGTCGCCGCGTCCCAATACTGTGAGGGAAGGTAAAAACTCGAGGTGAAGTACACGTCGTCGCCGGTGTCGTATCGATACGGGATGCTGCCGAGCTCGGAGCGATACGAGGCGTACCTCCCGGAGGGGACGGAACTTCCGAGACCGAGTTCGCGTCCGTCAGCGTAAAACTTCAGCACCCCGTCGCCCTTGCGCGCCCACGACACCGTCTCCAGCGTGTGGGAGTGCAACGAGCTTATGCCGTAGTACGTCGCGCAGTTCCTCGGGGAGTATCCGTTCACCCCGCACTTGCACCTGGTGATCTCGTTGCCCGAGTTGCTGCACCCGTTCACCCTCGAATTCGTGTTGAGGCTGAAACTGGGTTCCATCGCGGGATCCAGACCCGGACTGCCGTCGGGGAACCCACTCTCCCAGTCCATCGAGAATGCGGAATTGATCGCCTCGACGAATCGCAGTTGACGATGAGGGGCGAAGAGAAAAACGAGCGTCGCGAGGACTCGCATGTTCGCCGCCGACTCCATCTTGATGCGGGGTTCGATGAAAAGACCACGAGTGATCGCCAACGGCTCTGTGTGGATGGACGGCGCGGGGGACTGGAGGCTCTCTCCCTGTCACGGTGCAAAGGAATTGTGAGTAGTAGTTGGCAGTAGGTTTTTTTTAGGTTTTTTTTAAGCAAGTTCTCCCAGGAACATTGGTGTAAACATTCACAGTGGCAAATAGTCTGGTACGCCCAAATTCCCTGCACCCTAAATTTTCCGCACCCCCAGAAGATACTTTTTGAGAGAGGAGGCGTTTTCGGGAAGCGTATGACGTTATTACAGAGGAACTCTCATCATCATCATCTCTCAAGTTTGCGCGCCAGAGAGAAAGAGAGAGAGAGAGAGAGAGAAAAAAGAGCACACACACGCGCATAATTTAAAACCGAGAGAGAGAACAACGCATAAAAAAAGCCGTCATCGTCATGTTTTTTGCGCAACAACAACACCACCACCTGTCGTCGAATTCGATTTCGATCTCCTCCGTAACGACCAAAAGAATACGGTGAGAAAGATTAGACATCGCGAGATTTTTTTTTCCCTCTCTCTCTCTCTCTCTCTCTCTCGCTCTGTTTGTCGCGCGCCTCGGGTCGGGTTGTTTCGCGACGAGATCGTCCTCTCGAAGAGGTCTTCTGCTTTACTTTACTTTTTCTTCTTTGTCTTCTTTGTCTTCTTCTTCTTCTTCTCGATGATGATGATGATGAGAAATGCGAGAGAAAAGAGATCCAAAGGATAGGGATCCGAGGGGGATTTTTAAAAGCGCTTTGGTTTTTTTGCCCAAAGTGTGACTCAGCAACACGAAGGATACAGAGAATACGCTGTATTCAGAACGCTCGCTTTCGACGGAGGAAAGTAGTACGAGTCACATTAAATTAACCCCAACGCGATAACACTCTCTTTTCTTTTACGCCAAACAATTGAAACAGACAAAGCCGACGAACGTTCAGTACTGGACGCGCCGCCGTCGTCCGAGCGGCGGGCGCCGCGGACGGAGGCGACGGAAACGTGAAATTCGCCAACAACAAAGCGGAGTGGGATGCAGTCACGGGCGGTAACGACGGTCTCATCGCGGTCCAAATTTCCACGAAAACGTGCGGTCCTTGCAAAGTTATTTACCCGACGTTCGTCGGTTTATCGGAAGAATTCGCGGAGAAGGCGACGTTTGTGAAAATCATGGGCGATACGGACACCGAGTCGAGAGCGCTGATGAAAGAGTGGGGCGTTCGCGTCGTGCCTTTGTTCATGCTGTGGAAGAACGGCGAGAAGATCGCGGAGTGGTCCGGGGCGAAGCCGGACGTGTTGAGAGAGAACGTCACGTCGGCTATGTAGAATGGATATCGTCGTCATCTCGCACGTGAAACCAGTTATAATAGTACCGCGTGGTAAAAGTTAAATACTAATATTCGTCCTACAACAACACATCTTCACACTCGACACACACAAAAACACGCACATCAAAAGTTCAAAATTCCCCGCGTTGAAACGATGTAAACGACGACGACGACGACGACGAAGAACAACATGTCCACATTCGATGATATCAAAAAAGGAAAGGAAGACGACGAGGAGGATTCAGACGACGCGTTGTTGTGGCAAATCGTCTCCAGCAAGCGCTCGGCGCGAGGGAAAAAACATCTCCGAAACGTCCAACTCGCGAAAACGAAATTCCGCCTCGGCGAAGACGAAGACGAAGACAAAGAAGAGGACGAAGACGACGACTTCGAAACGCTCGTGAGGGACACGGAGAGAAAACTGGAACGCGCGAAACGAGACGTGAAAGAGTCGATTTTTTTCGAGCGTTTCCTGCGCAGGCTGCTCGTCGACGACGAAAACGAAAACGAAAACGAAAACGAAACCGACTCGGAGGAACAACCAAGTCGAAGGTGGTTTTTGAGGAGGTTGTTAAAAAGTGTCACAAAAATGGTCGTTTTAGGCACCGGATCGTTCAGACACTCGGCGACGAGTCGGTTTCAGATGATGTTTGCACTTTTATTGGCAGAAGAATCCGAGGAGGAAGAGAGCGAAGAAAAGATGGTGTTTAGCGCTTTGAAGAATGTGTGTATATACGACCCGGCGTTCGGGAAGGTGGATTTGGAAGTTTTAAAACGGATGAAGGTGGGAAGAGAAGGCGTGAGCGTGGAAGCGTGGTCGGCGGAACGGTCGAAGGAGTTCGTTGAGAATAGCGGAGAAGAAAAGGATGAGAGAGTATTCGCGTACATGCCTCACTGCGAGGCGGATTTATACGAGGAAATTTTAGCGCACCGCTGGAATGTGGTGAGTAGCGGCGAAAACGAAGAGGACGATCCCCTGGGAAAGATACTTCTTTGCGGGAATAAGTTCTCTAACTATTACGAGCGATGGTCGTTCGCGAACAACTCGAGGTTGACCACGAAGACGAAACGGAAACCGAGTCGAGTCGTAGTCGTTGGAAACCAGGAAAACGCGTGCATCGAGAAGGAAATATCGTTGGAAGATGAAACGAAGGAGTCGAAGTTTTCGTTACACAACGGCGCATTTAACGATACGGCCGTGCACGTGTTTAAGAGCGGGTTTGTTCGTCCTGGTTTTTAGATTAGTTTCAATCGTGTGAAATATAATTTCAACGCGCGCGCCTGCTGCTGCTGCTGCTGCTGCTATTTTAAAATCTTATACTATACTATTAAAGAAGAAAGTCGTTCACCATATTCTGCGAACGTTCTCTTAATTTCACTCTCGTCTCGTCGTTTCTCCACCCATCGAATAACCTCTCCGGAAATTGCAGTTGCGGCGCTAAGAATTCTTCTCCGCTCACGAGGAACCAGTCGCCGGACTCCACGAGTTGTTTCCTCGTCGCGCCCGGATACACCAATCCCGGGTCCACAAAAAACTCCCCGCTTTTTTCTAAAGCGGCATCTTCCGTTGCCAACCACACGTGCGTCTTACACCCTTCGTCCGCGTCGCGTATGCCAATCCTTCTCGCCCGTTCGCGAATCCATCGTTCGCGTTCCGGGTCGCGTTTGGAGGCGATTAAATCCGGAAATGAATAGCGAACTAGATCAGTCGTCACTATTCCCGGGTGAAACGAATTCGCGACCAATTTCGATATGCTATTTTCTTTTGCTAAATCGTCCGCGAACAAAATGTTGCACGCTTTTGATTGTCCGTATGCGTACCACTTATCGTATTTTCTATTTTTGAAATCCAAGTCGTTCACGTCCAGCGACAACTCGCCAATCATCGCCAATAAAGACGACACCGAAATCACTCTCGCCGGCCCTTTACTCGCGCTTTCATTCGCAAATAACGCGGGTTTTAAATTCTCATACATTAAGAAATGCGCTAGATGGTTGACTTGAAAATGACTCTCGTGGTTTTGCTTGCTCAGTTCGTACGGCGCGGCCATAATCCCGGCGTTCAAAATCAACGAATCCAACTTCTTCACGTTGCTCCCATTTTCCTCGCCGCCGTCGCCGCTCTTCGACGACGTTAAATACTCCAACACTTCCTGGCAATACCCTCTGACCTCTTTCAAATCCATCAAATCGCAGTTACTTTCCATCGTCACAACGTCCGCATCCGGCTGAGTAAACAAAATCTCCTTCTTCGCTTTCTCCGCTTTCGCCGGCGTTCGCGCGTGGAGAATCACCCGATGGCCAAGTTTTGCCAACTGTTCGGACGCCGTTTTCCCGATGCCTGAGTTTCCACCGGTGATTAAAATCGTTTGTTTTCTTCCTTCTTCCGAGGCGAACGACGAATTGTGCGAAGGTGTCGTGGCAACGGCGGTGGTGAGACCGACGATGGCGGCGAGTAGGACGGTTTCTCTCCTCGTTGGTGGTGACATTTTTGCAGTGTCGTCGTCGTCCGATGTTTTCGCCGACGCTCTCGTTGCAAACGGCGATGCGGACGACGACGACGACGACGACGACGACGACGGGAAAGTGTGCTTCTTTCGGAAAGACGCGGTGCGAAAAGAACGACACGAGTTGCGTCCTCCCGATACTGCGAAAGAATTGGCCGTGAACGCAGTCATTGTTCCCGCTCGTGTGGTTATGTATATGCGGGCGTTTTAGTTTATTATGAATTGTGGTGTACTTGTTTCATTACAAAGACAGAAGTTTTATTTTTCCTGAAGTACTACGTGGGGTGAGCGAGAAAACAACGACGCGACGACGCGTCACGTTTTATAGGCATCAAGAAGGATAGTCTTTCGTTACAACAGTACACACGCACGCACCGTGTGTATACACATCCGCTCATCTCACTCACTTACCGATGTGGTCGCCATCCGTCCCGGTTCTCTTGTGTTTCCCCAACGCGGCTTTACCGGCGACTTCCAACTCTTTCACGTACAATTTCTCCATCTCTTGCAACGGCAATTCGTCTTTGCCTCGACACAACTCGAACAAAGGCATTTGTAACGCCGCTGACCAGGAGAAGGATAAATTCCACGGATCTCGAACAGTTTTCTTCTTGTTGATGGCATCCAATCGAGCCGCCGCGTCTTCTAAGCTTTGTCCGCCGGACAAGTAGTTCGCCGAGCGCATCGCCGTCGGGAAGCATCTTCGGAAAACTTCCAAGTTCGCTTCGGCGATTTCATCGACCGTGTACGTTTTCGAACAGTTTTTACCCGGGTTGACCATGTTCGATTTCAACAAAGCGCCTTCCATGTACACGCCGTGATCTAACATCGCTTTAAACAACACGGATTGGATCTTAACGTTGATTCTCACCGCGGTTTCTAAATCGTGATCGCCTTTCAACGAGACATCTGGTTCGACAATTGGAACCAAACCAACGTCTTGGCAAATTAACGCGTATCGAGCTAAATCCAACATGTTCGTCTCGATGGTCAAATCGCTCGGTTGACCGTTAACGATGTCGATATCCATCGGCGATCTCCACTTGGCAAATTTGCATCCGGCGTCTTTATATTCTTGCAATCTCACCGCCAACGAATCCAAACCTTGCATGACGGTCGCTCCAGATTGACCAGGCAACGCGTAAACTTTCAAGTGCGGCTTCACTCCCGGAACGATCCCAATCTCGCTCAACACCTGCGGGAACAGTTTCCCGTCGTGCTTCTTCGAGTTCGATTTCTGATACAACGTCTCCGGGTCGAGAATAGCCGCGGATAAGTACTTATTCGCGTTCGGCGATTCAAACAACATCTGCCTGTACGCTCTTCGGTTCTCTTCCGTGTTCACCATCCCGACGTTTTCTAAGCGCATGCCAATCGTCCCTGGTCCTTCATCGCAGGCGGTGATGCCTTTCCCCGCGGTGCCGATTTGTTCGCAAACAGACACGAGTTCAGCTTTGCGTTCGGCGGAGAGATGGTCGCCGCCGTGGCAAGAGCACGGACCGAACGATTGCGTCGTCGCTGTTGTTGTTGTTATTCCCCGCGTTTTCGCGATCCTCGAGTTCTTCTTTTTCGCGAGAGTGGAGGAGAACGACGGGGAAAACGCAGTTGTTGTTTGACACATCATCATCATCATCATCATCGTTGATATCTTTTATTCCAAAGTGTAATCCTAATATCCGTTTTTTAATAACACCACGAAACGAGCACACAATCGCGCGTTGTTCGTATCGAGAACAAAAGAGAGAGCACACGAAGAGTCAAAGTCCTTCTTTTTCGCGAGAGTGCGAATCAACAAAGAAAACAAAGGAGGAGTATGCGTTGTTGTTGTTGTTGTTGACTAATTTTTTGTGTGAAATGGTCTCTAAAATCCCTTCTTTCGAGGGAGATTTTCCCTCAAAAAGCTGTGCCTCCCTCACGTGTGCGTGGAGAAAGCGCGTGACTTGATGAGCATAGTATTACGCAGCGACTGTTTCATCGAATATACTTCTTCCAATCGTAAGCGGCGGCGGGGTGATGATGATGATGATAATAAAATTGAACCAACTTTCCAAATAACCCCGGAGAAACAATACTGAGCGCACGCTATCATAAATAAACGCGGGGAAGATGATGAGGATGATGATTATGAAAATGTTGATGACGCGTTTTAACCACCACCACCGAGGAGCGGCAAAAAAAGCGACAGTGACGCTGTTGTTCTCGAGGAAGTTTGTTTTCAAAAGCGGCGACAACGACGACGACGATGATGTGTACGAATCCTTTTCTCTGGACGACCCGCGCATGCGTAACGTTTTGGATGATGATGCGAGTTCGGGGAATTTTTTCATCGGGCACCACGAGAAGAACGGGAGGGGTTTGTACGCGAGTCGGGACGTGACGAAAAACGAAAGCATATTTAAGAAGAAGAAGAAGAAGAACGACAACAACAACAATAAGGCGGGAGGAGGGACAGAGGGGCGGCAAAAACCAATCACGAGTCATCCGACGATTTGGAATTACGATTTGGAGTGTTACTTGTGCCTGGGAGAGCTCTCAAAGAAGAAGAAGAAGAACAACAACAATAACAACGAGGAAGTATCATCAGATGGGAGATTTTGCAGCGTTGAGTGCGAACGAGACGCGAGAGCGAGCTTTTACGAGACGGAACAAACGATGGATTTGAGAAGGATGGAGAAGTATTGCGAAGAGAACGAGTTGAAGTTTCCGTTGATGGCGCTGAGAATAGCCACAAGAAGCGTCCAAAGGAGCTTTCGGTTGGACGCGAACGCGAACGCGAACGCGAAAGCATCCGTGCAATTCATGGTAACACAAAGCATGCGCAAAAAATTGATAAAAGAAATGAACATTTCCGAGGAGGAGGTGAACCAGATGACGCCAGAGGAAGCGGCGAGAAGGATTCGAGAAAATGAAGAAGAAGAAGAAGAAGAGCAGGCACGAACGAACAAAAAAGAAGAGGGTGCGATGAGTATAGATAGAAAAACTATGAAGAAATATGCGAATGTGGCAGAGCTGTTGGTGCACGCGCACGTAGACGAGCACCAAATGTTTCCTTCGTGGAAAGAGGAACACGCTTTACTTTTACAAACGTTGGAATCGTGCGAAAAGATTCGCGACAGCGAGGAAGAGAAGGCCAAAATTCGGTCCGTGTTCGATATACGGTGGTACGCGGATTTAACCACGCGGTTTCACTTGAATTCGTTCAAGGTTGAATATCCGGTAAGCGCTTCTTCTTCTTCTTCTCAGGGAGATTTTCGAGCGATGATGGAGCAAACTTTAACGTCGTCCATTCGCACGGGTGCGTCGAACGGATCAGCTATTTACGCGTATGGCTCCATGTTCAACCACTCCTGCGCTCCTAACGTTAACGTCACCTGGCCTGAAAGAAACCACCTCGTCGAGTTTGTCGCCAACGAGAATATAAAACAAGGCGAACAACTCACCATCGCGTATATCGATTTGAACGAAGATTGGTCGTTGAACGTAGCGAAACGAAGAGCGCAGTTGGAAGAAGCATACGGTTTTGTGTGCGAGTGCCCGAGATGCGTTTCGGAAACGCAGAATTAGGTTGACGAGTCATTTAGTGCGCATTACTATGAGTATTGGTATTTTAAAGTACGAGTATGCTGCGTGAGTTTATTAGTATTTTAGTCAAACAAAAAGGGTAAAACAGTTACCAAGGCACCCCCGACGCGATACGTTCGCGCGCGCGCGGTAGTCTGTTTAACAGCCACATCCAGTCTCAATCATATCCCCGAATTCAGTCGCCCACGCTTTAAACCCTCCTTCTAAATCAGCAATGTTGGTGTAGCCGGCTTCACACAACGTCGCAGATGCCTTGGCGCTTCGCCCGCCGGCCGCGCAGCCAATCAACAAAGGACAATCTTTCCTTGGAAATTTCATCTCCACCTCCTTTATAAAATCCGGATTGACTTCTGGTGGAGGCCCCATGCTCACGAAGTAAGGAATGCACGTGGAATTCTTGTGATGTCCGACGGTTTCAAACTCGCGTTTCGTTCGGACGTCCACGTAGGCGTATTTTTGCGACTGAATCAATTCCAAAGCTTTTTGTGGTTTCACCAATAATTTTTGCGCGTTTGGAGATGATGATGATGATGATGATGATGATGATGACGAAGATGATGACGACGCGTGAACCAGACCTCGTCTGTTGCTTTTTGGACCACCACTCGGAGTCGTCGTCCTCGCTGATGATGACGACGTCGGAAGTGGTGATAACAACATTCTTTTGAGAGAGAGAGAAAAAAAGTGTGACGCATCCAACTTTCCCTTCAACTTTCCCTTCTACATCCTCTCCAACATCTCCTCGTTCGCGACGCGTTGAGAGAGAGAGAGAGAGAGAGAGAGAAAAAAGAGCGCGACGACGACGACGAGACGAGAGAGAGTTGCGAACGAGATCCACGCGATGCTACTTTTCACTTCACAACTTTACGCGCTTCATCCTCTCCAACATCTCTTTATTCTTCCTCTTCGTTTCTTTTTCCCTCTCTTCTCTTCGCTTGGACGAGTCGTCGTCGTTTCTGTTGTTGTTTCTGTTGTTGTTTCTGTTGTTGTTTCTGTCGTTGTTTCTGTTGTTGTTGTTGTTGTCGTCGTTGGACGAGGAGGACAAAAAAAAGAGTTTCTCTTCCAACTGTTCGCTCCTTTCCGGCAACGCGTACAAAACCATCGCCGGTCCGAACGTCACGCACGCGCACGCGTAACTCGTTTTGAACCAATTGAGATGTTTTTTTTTATACGCGACGAACGACGACGCGAGCGAGAGCGACCCGAGGAGTAAAAGAGGTCGTTTCAGAGGCGTCCACTCCTCCTCCTCGGCGCGTGGTGCTTTTTTGCTCTCCGCCATTCTTCTTTATTAGTATCGCGATGTTGCGAGAACAAACGTTGTGAAACAACAACAACACGCAACGACGCGAACGAGAACCGATTGCGCTACACTTAATTAAGTTTCTGCACTTTTTTCAAACAAAAATGTTTTAATAATGAGATGACTCTGATCAGAGCATACACGCCTCTCTGTGACGCGAGAGAGTCACGACAACCCCACTCGTCCGCGCGATGCTCAGTGCTGCTACCACTACTACTACTACTACTGCTCCGAAGAACAACCGTCATCGTCGTCGGAGACTCAAGAATATTGAAACGAGTGCGCGTCTTCTCTTAGTCGTGTGTTCCTTCTTAAAATCTTATTGAACAAACACCCTTGCGTGAAAAGGGTGTTTGGTGAGAAAAGTGCGAGTTTTTGAAAAGTCGTTTTGAAAAAAAAAAGCACGCACTTTTTAGGCATTTTGTCTTCCATGACGTGAGAAAGAAACCGAACGAGAACACGCACGACACCAACGCGCGACAAAGAACAACACGCGCGCGAACACAAACTCTACTTTGAAAAGAAGAGAGAGCGAAAGAGAGAGATCATGAGCGAGGACGACGACGAAGAAAGAAACGAGTTAACACTGAGACGTTCACTTTTCGAAGAATCAGATCTGTTGTTCTCAAACCAACAACCCTCGACGACTGTGTGCCGTTTGGCGTCCAATCCGACGAATCCTTCCCCTCCCGAGAGGGTAACGACTTTCACCAACACCGCGTCGAAGAAGACAACAAAGAAGACGAAGAAGAAAAAAACGAACGACGATAAAGAAGAAGTGCAACAACAACAACAACAACAACAACAAAACCCCAACAATAACGAGAAGTCGTCCCGGTCGTCGATGGAAAACGAACTCGTCGTAAAAGTCGCGTGCAAAGTATACGCGTGCGAGGAAGTGTGCGAAAACAAATACCAGATTCGGTCGAAAACGTGTCGCTCGTGCTTAAACGCCAAAGAGGTATTCGTCGAAAAAGGAGACGAGATGGCGTCGCGGTTTTGTCAAAAGTGCACCAAGTTTCACGGCGTGGATATGTTTGAAGGCGGAAGGAAAGCGTGTAAGATGAGTTTGAAGAAAGTACAGGAGAAGAACAAGGTTATTTTCGCGAAGCAAAAGATGTTGTTGAAGGAGTGGGAGGAGGCGATGACGCGGAGGACGACGACGACGACGACGACGACCGCGGTGAAGAGGAGTACGAAGGCGAAGAAGGAAAAGAAGAAGACGAAGAGCCAGGAGAATTTGTCGGAGGAATCCAAAGATAGGAATACCATTACGACTAGCGATACTCAGACCATGAACAACCGGAAAACGATGATTTTGAAACCGTGCACGATGGACAGTTTGTACTCTACAGACGAAGGCCACGAATCGAAAGCCGCGGCGGCGGGTGCGCCAATCGTAACGAAAACAATGGGACGCGACCAACAACAATCATGGCCCGCCATCGTCGCCGTCAATCGCGTCGATCGGTTACTCGAAGCAATAAAAGCCGAGAAAAGAAAAGAAAGTTTACTGGGTTTGAATTTGGTTAAACGACGGAAACGCGGTGAAGAAGAAGACGAAGATTTGGTGATGGCTGCCGCTCGAGAAGAAGAAGGTCGACGAGAAGAAGAAGAAAAAGAAGAAGAAGAAGGAATAGACGATCCGATGGAAGGGGAGGAAGGAGAAGATGACGATGAACGTAAAGAGCATACCGACAACGCGAAGAAGCCGCCGAAGATAAAAAAACTTCCATCTTTGGTCTCAAACATACTCGTTCGATCGATCACGCCGACGCTCTCTGGTGTTGTTCGATCGATCACGCCGACGCTGTATCGCGAAGCGATGGAGTCCAAATTGAATGAGTTTCGCGGACTGTCCTCCAAGCTCTCGCCGCCGCCGCCGCCAAAGGATTGATTGACGCGTGTGCGCGTGTATATAAACTGATACCATTTTTAACGCAGTAATCGAAGTGCGTGTTGTACAAAACGTATTATTATTATTAAAGTGAATAATGAACGCTGTTGTCGTTTTTACTCGGACTATTTCTCTTTCTTTTTCTCCATTTATTCATACGCTCGCGCGCGCGTTTTTGCGCATAAATGCCTCTGACTCTTTCTTTCTCTTTCTCCATTTCTTTACACGCACGCGCGCAAAATATACTTTTCCGCGAGACTTTCGACGATGAAGCGCAGCAACACCGCGGCGAAAAGAAGAATAGTCGCTTCTTTGTTCGGTGATTTTGACCGATCTGCGTCATCTGGGTATTTTCACCTTTTCTCCTCGGGAAAGTTTAACAGCGTAAAGTTCTTTTCCTTTTCTCGAGCAGCAGCGGCAAGTTCGTTTCCGTCGTCGTCAACGGAATGGAGGATGCGACGGATGCGAAGCGTTGTTCAAAGCGCGCCTATTCATCTGAATGAGCATCTGAAACAACAACAAGTACAACAAAAACAGATACAAATACGTTCGTTGAACGTGCACGAATACCAAGGCGCGGACATCATGCGCAAATTTGGCGTCCGAGTACCGGATTCTATCGCGTGCAAGACCGTGGAGGAGGTGCAAAAAGCCTCGGAGCAGATGAAGTGTTTAGGCGACGACGAGGTAGTGATCAAGTCGCAAATATTAGCCGGCGGGAGAGGATTAGGGACGTTTAAGTTTGGCGGGTTTAAAGGAGGCGTGCATATCGTGAAGAATGAGATGGCGAGAGAAACGGCGGAGAAGATGCTGGGTAACGTGCTGGTGACGAAACAGTCCGGGCCGGAAGGAAAACCGGTGAACGCTTTACTCGTGGCGAGGAAGATGAAGTTTGCGAAGGAGATGTACTTTGCGATTTTGTTGGATCGCAAAAGCGCAAAACCGATGATTATCGCGAGCGCGGAAGGTGGGACTTCTATTGAAGACTTAGCGGAATCGAATCCGGAAAAGATTATTAAGAAGTACATCGATATTAACGAGGAAAGTGGCGGGATTAAGAGAGAAGACGCGTTAGATTTGGCGGAGAAGTTGGGGTGCGCGGATAAAGAGGACGCGGCGAAGCAGTTTCAAGCGTTGTACGAAACGTTCAAGAAGACGGATTGCACGATGATTGAGGTGAACCCGATGGCGGAAACCACGGATGGGGTTTTATACGCCGCGGATGCGAAATTAAACTTTGACGACAACGCGGAATACAGGCAAAAAGATATCTTCTCTCAACGAGACGCTTCGCAAGAAGACGCGAGAGAAGTCGAAGCCGCGAAATACGATTTGAATTACATCGGTTTAGATGGCAACATCGGGTGCATGGTCAACGGTGCTGGTTTGGCGATGGCGACTATGGATATCATCCAAGGTAAAGGAGGGTCTCCGGCAAACTTTTTAGACGTCGGCGGCAATGCGAGCGAAGAACAAGTCGTCGAAGCGTTTAAGATTTTAAACAAAGATCCAAAAGTGAAGGCGATTTTGGTGAACATTTTTGGAGGAATCATGAAATGCGACGTGATCGCGTCTGGCATCGTCAACGCGGTCAAAGTGGTTGGATTGAACATCCCGTTAGTCGTTCGCTTAGAAGGCACGAACGTGGAGGAAGGGCGAAGGATTATGAAACAATCCGGATTGAACATCGAGACGGCGAAAGATTTGGACGACGCGGCGGACAAAGCGGTCAAAGCGATTGCGTAAAATGAATGATTTTCACACGACGTGTACGAAACAGACACGTGTACATATATCACACAAGATACTAAAACTGCTTCAAAACAGATGAAGAGACTACTACTACTACTACTACTACTATTATTACTACTCGGTCGCGCTATCGGACACACTAAAGTCTAAAGCTTTATTAGGAGCGCTCGCCGACTCGACCGCTCCAGCGTCGTCCTTCCTTTTCTACTTACTTAATCTGCACCAACTCTACCACGAACTTTAGGTACGAGTTCGCGGGTATCCGACCCCCGCCGACTTCTTTCGCGCCGTACGCCAACGCCGGCGGTATCAAAACTTCTCTCACGCCTCCAATTCTCATCGGACCAACGCCATCTCCGCCGAGCAAACCGGCATCGAATCCTTCGATGACTTCTCCCGTCCCCACGCCAAAGACGAAAAACTTCGCCGAATCGATTTTACTCCCCCGCGTCCCGTCTTCATCGGAAAGATACAAGGTGTAATTCACCGACACCACGTCGTTCTCTTCGAGTTGCCCTTTGCCCCCTTCTTTCACATCGACGCAGGAAACACCTTTTTCCTCCTCCCTTTTCGCAAAATCCTCCAACGCAAAAGCTGCTCTCGTCTGTATCGTCTGTATCGTCTGTATCGTCGTACCAACCCCGGAGCGAATCGTTAAAGTCGTCGTTAAAAGCATCTCTCTCCTCTTTCTCTCTGACTTCCAAATCCCCTTTTCCTCCTCCTTTTGGCTTTTGGTCTTACTCTTCGTCTTCTTCTTCTTCTTCTTCACGTCATCATTTTCATTTTCATTTTCATTTTCATCATCATCGCCTCCGCTCCGAGAAGAAAAAGAAAAAGAACGACGACGACAGAAGAGCGCCTTTGGCGCTGTTCTCGTTCGTCTTCTTCCTCCTCTTTCTCTTTCTCTTCTTCGCGACGTGGTGTCTGCCGCGGATGAAAACGAGAACGAGAGCGAGGAGCGAAGAATACTACTCCTCATCAGAGAGAGAGAAAGAGAGAGAAAAAGTCAAGCACCTCTCCTCTCAAACAAACAGACAAAAGTGAAAAAAAAAAAGTGAAAAAAAGCGAAAAAGACACAAAAAAAGGTCGTTGTTTGGTTAAAAAAAAAAACAAGAGCAAAGACGACGCGAACCAAAAACACAAAAGAGTTGTTTGTTCGGAGTTCCAACGACTTTTTGCAAAAAAAGCAAAAAAAGGAGAAAAAAGAAGAAAAAGAATCTCTCTCCCCCATAATACTTTTCTATAGTACGTGTTGTTGTTGTTGTTGTCGTCGTTGATTCATTCTTTCTCTCCGCCTTTGAAAGAGAGAGAAGAAGAAGAAGAAGAGAGAGAAAGGAACGCGTTTTAAGTCGGCCTTTTTTTTCCCAAAGTTTTCAAGTGCGTTCGTGTAAAGTAATCAAGTAATCTCTCTCTCTCTTCTTCGTTGGCGGCGAATTTCTCTCGAGTTCCAATCGATTTCTCTTTTCTCCAATTTAGAGAGAAAGAGAGAGAGAGAGAAGAGCACATCAAATATCAATCATGGGCGGCGCGAACGGGAAAAGCAAGAAGAAGAAGTCGCCTCGGGATGGGAAATCCGGAGGGAAGAGTGCGAATTATAAGAAGACGGGGATGAAAGGAGGAGGAATGAGTGGTGGTGATAATGCGACGAACAAAAACACAAACGGTAAAAGTTCAACCGCGCGGGCGTTAGAAACACAAATTGAATCCGCATTGACGCACATCTCGTATGATCGCATCGAGCAGGGTTTGTTGGAATTGAAAGATATTTGTAAGAAGAATTCAACGAACGTGGATGCGTTGGAAACGTACGCGTACGCGTTAGCCGAGTACGGGGACCAAGAAGAAGCGCTGGACGCGTTGAGAGACGCGGCGAAGGCGAATCCGGACAGCGGGTACGAGAAGTTTATGTATCTCGGGCAGTTGTTGGACGACGGGAAAGCGGCAACGGCGTGCACAAAGAAAGGGTTAGATTTGTTGGAAGAACAAATGAAAAAAGGGGACGCGCCGGTGGCGGATAGGCACTGTTCGGCGTGTTGCGCGTTGGCGGAACAGATTTTGGGATGTCGAGACGAAGAAGACGGGATGGACGGCGATAACGCGGTGGACGACGAGACGGCAAAAGCCGTGGAGGAATTACTCAAAAGAGCGCAACAATCGGATAAAGAAAGCGCGGAGCCGATGCAAGTGCTGGCGTGTTTGCGAAATGAGCAAGGGAAGAAGGACGAGGCTTTGAAATATTTGAGAGAAAGCATCGCCAAGTGGAGGAAGCCGATGCAGTTGGTCCAAGAGACGAAGAAAGAGAGAGATATTTACGAACGAAAGAGACCGGCGCCGGGAGCGAAAGATTACGCATCCTCGTCGGAGGACGATATGGAGAAAGAAGAAGAAGAAGAAAAAGACGACGACGACGATGAAGAATACACGCCGAGATTCCAAGACTACGAGGTAAGTTTTGAGTTTCGATTCGAAACCGCCAAATTGTTGTTGGAAATCGACACCTCCGCCGCGCTCGCGATTGAAATTCTCGAAGAGCTCTTAGAAGAGCGCGACGGTATCGTCGACGTCTGGTATTTGTTGGCCTACGCGCATTACGGCGCTAATGAATTGGACGATTCGTTGGAGATTATCGAAATTGGCGAAAAACTAGCTGCAAAATCGAAAGATACCGGCGTCCTTCAAGAGGCCGAAGCGGAAGGCGCTTTGATGAACTTCGCCGAGTTGAAACACGTCATCGAAGAAGTAAGGAGGGAGTGCGATGAACAGGTCAAATAAAATCAAGAGTAACGACGACGACGACGATGATGATTCTTAATAAGTGTTGTTGTCAATTGAAAGGAAAACTCGTGTACCATAAAACATTGAAGAACGTGTTTTTACACAGGTCGTACAATTTAAAGATCGCCACCATTCTTACTGTTGATCCCATCCATCGCGTTCGCCAACTGCTCCAACTGTTCGATGTCCATGTTCTCGCCACCCATAAAGCTCAACCCTTTCGATTGCAATTTTTTCAACAGCCTTACTCTGTTCGGATCCATCCCGGTGTAATCTTTTGACTTACCGCCGTTCAACTCGTCCATCATTCTCTTCATTCTCGCCGCCTCTTCCGCGACTTCCTCCTCCGGCGTCATCTCGTCTCCCGAGTACGGACGTCTGTCCTCATTTCCCACATCTTCATCATCTTCAGTATTCGCGACGTCAACTTCTTTCTTCGGCCACTCCCACGTGTCGACGACCCGTCGAATCCAATCGTCCTTCTCCGCGCACGCTTCGCACGTCGTCCCTCTCAAGTCTAAGAATTCCTTCAACATTCTTACTTTATATTGCTTCAAGTGTCGTACTTCTGGCATCGGCGGCGGCCAGATTTTCGAGTCCTCGTCGTCTTCGATCTCGGGGTACGGATCGATCTCGTCCGGGTTATCGTTTGATGGGGGATCTTCGTCGTCCTTGTCGTCGTCGTCCTCGTCGTCGTCGTCGTCGTCGTCTTCCTCGCGTTCATCATCCCCAAACGACGGCGTCGTTTCCTCGCCGTCTTCGGCTTGCGCGAAAGCAACGATTTTGGACGTCGACGTCGTCGAGGACGACGACGAGAGAAAGCCCGCGAAGTGCGCGATGGAAAGCATCATCAGGAGTAAGAGAAGAGGTTTCTTGAACAACATTGTGTGTGTGTGTGTGTGTGTCACTTTGACTAAAAATGAGGTCAAAGAAGGTCAGGGAAAAATAGCATGGTACAAGTAGAATATTTACAACCGGTCGTTTCTTTTATTCGCCCGGGAGGAGGACGGCGCGATAATATCTCTTGTGAAATGCAAACATGATTGATTCGCATTCAGGGGAGTATAACCCTTCTTGTCGATCTTCGTCGCCACCGCTGCCGCTTCGGGATGAAGAAGAAGAAGAAGAAGAAGAAGAGGCGACTTTGGAGCGGAGCCCTTTTTGTACGGAGGCGCACAGATTTTCGTCTTCGTCTTGGACGACGCGAGAGGCGAGGAGGCTTTGCTTTATGAATACCTCTTCGTCGTCGTCCTCGTCGTGGTTGGTGTTATCGATGTACCAGTTGAATTCGACGACGCACTTATTTGGGTCTGCAGGATTTGGGAACGCCACGTTGGTATCCAGCCAACGTCCGTATCTGTTGAGACAGACGTTCGGAAAGGCAAACGCGTAGGTCGCTGAGCCTAAACCGAGGCGAGAGTTGGTGTTCTCTTCTTTTCTAACGTCCACGGATTGAATCGAGTTCATATTATCGAAGAGCGTGATGTTATATTTGCTCATGTCGCAACCTTCTTTGACCAGCGCTTTATGTGCGAAAGGGACGTGGAAACCTCCATCGAGATAGTTATCTATGAAAACTTTCCAATTCGATTCAACTTCAAACGTTTCGCGAGCGACGTGACGAAAAGACTCGCGATCGGAGACGTTGATATCAGCTTCTTCGACTCGGCTGGCAAAATCTGCGCCTAAAAACGTTCGCAAAGACGACGACGACGACGACGACGAACTCTCATCTTTCTTTAGAAACACAAACGGACCGAACGTTTCGCACACGTAACCGCCTTTGAGTTTAATCTTTTCCGTTCGCTCTTCCATGCCTTTCATTCGAGTCGCCGAGATGAGCTTCCCATTTCCTTCATTTGATACATCATACGTGAATCCGTGATACGGACATTGCAACGCCGCCGCGCACGAGTTTGCTTTCGCTGTGCACGTGCCTCGTTTCTTATCAGCAACCTTCGCGAAATGGTGTTGGCACACGTTTTCGTACGCTTTAAACGTATTCTCTTCCGTTCGCACGCATACTATTTCTACAGCGGCGGCGGCGGCGTTTTCGCTTTCATCGGAAAACACAGTGGTTGTGAAATAATCGTTCACGCTTGGCGCATCCGAAACGTGCCCGATGCAAACCCAATCCTTCTCTGGCGAAAAGACCGTGGCGCGTTCACGCTGCGCTAATTTCTCACTCGTGTAGTACGAAGGTGGAATAGGGGAGGCATCCTCGATTGCTTTATCGAATGACGTCCACGGAGTGAAATCGTGTGGTTGTGTCGTCCGCGCGTCTTCTTCTCTTTCTTCTTCTTCTTCTTCCTCTTCTTTAAAAATCTTCGGCGTGGAAAAACCCATGGGACATTTGAGAACGTTTGACGATACTGTCGTCGATGATAAAGAAGAAGATGACGACGACGACGACGATGAAGACGACTGGACTTTTGGCAAATTCGCAACCAAATATTCTAATATCAGATTCTTCAAGTTGGCGTTTTCGAGCGATTTGTACTTCAACTCGCTTTCGCTCGCTTCGGTGATGGCGACGAACAGCGACTCCGCGGCTTCCGGCGCCGAAAAATTTTCTAACGGTTCTAAATACGTCTTCACCGTAAACAATGAAAACCCATTCGTTTTTAGTTTCGATATCGTTTCGTATTCTACGCGCGTAAACATTTTACTCCCAACCTCGCGAACATTTTTCGGCATACCTTGCGTCGGGTCCATATATCCCGTGTGCATCGCGTCGATGTCGCCGAAAGAATTGGTCGAACTTTCCTCCACTAAATGTTTTCTATTCATCACACCACCGATTTTAACATTCGTCGGATGCCAATCTAAATCGGTGCTAATTAAATCGCTGCTATTCTGTATCGCCCAATTTGCGCGAAACAATGGCTGTCCTCCGTCCTCGTCCATCTTCCTTAACAAGTTATCAAACACGCGCCTCGTCGCCATTTCAATTTTCTCCTCGTAGTTCGGCACCGGTTTGTGCAGCTGCGATAAGTTCTTCCCTTCGCGTTTCTTTGGGTCGAAGGAAAAGCACACCACGCCGGCGACGAATTCGTGCTCCGAAGGTTCTCTGGCGAAGAAATCTCCACCGTTTTCCTGTTTCTCACTTTGTGCTTCTTCTCCGCCGTTTCTGCTTCTTCGCATTATACAAAACTCGTTCGTGCTCAATCGCGCGGCGGTGATCAATGCCTCCTTTCCCGACTTCGGTTCTAAAGAAGCCTTGTAGTTATCGAGCTTTGGTATTGAAATCATTCGGCTCCCGTCCTCGTTCTTCTCTGTTATCGCGTACCTTTCTGGATACTGTTCCGTCAACAACTCTGCAACCGCGTTTAATAACTCTCGACAGGCTTCGTCCAAGTCCGTTCGCTCCTCTTCTTTATACACGACGCAACGCTCTCCATACGCGTCCAATATCGAATGCTTCATCTCCATTTCTTTCAACCAAACGTCCTCCGTGCCTTCTTCCAGCATATTTCGTCGAAAATCTGGCAGTTTTTTCAAACCCGTACCGATCGATTTCCCTTCGTTGGACCACAAAAACCGTCCTCCGATTGGGATTCGTTTCCCTCCGACGTTTTTGTTGTTGTTGTTGTCGTTCTCGTCGTCCTCGTCGTCGTCTTCACCGTTCTCGTTATTGCTCGCGCATCCCGACCCAAAATTCGAAAGTGGGAATGGATTCCTTTTTTGTTTCTCTTCGTTCATCCTAACCACCACCTTCGCGTTCCGCCTTCGCCTCCTCATCCTCCCCCCTTTCGCGGAGTTGTTGTCGACGGAAGCCCCCCGGAGGAGAAAAAGGCTTTTTGTCATCTCTCCGCTCTCGCTCGTCGCTCAGATCTGACTTTTGGAGAGCGGAGAGAAAGAGAGAAAGAAAGAGAGAAAGAAAGAGAGAGAGAAAGAGTGAGAGAATTTTTTAACGGTGTCGTGGGGGGCTAACACTGAGAAGACCCTAAATCGAGGTGTGCGATTGTGTTCTTCGCTCATCAGAGCACTTTTTTTTTCGTCTCGAGAGTCATTAAAAAATGGATGAGAGGTTTGATGATGATGCGTCGTTTACGTCGTCGTTTACGTCGTCGTTTACTACGTCGTTTACGTCTGCGCGAGGAGGAGGAGGAGGAGGAGGAGGAGGAGGAGGAGGAGGAGGAGAAAATTTCGACGAATACGCGCTCGGGTGCCGCCCGTTCGCGTCTCGCACTCCGTGCAGGCACTCGAAACTGAACGAACGCTGCGAAGCCGGGAAGATCGATTACTTGGCGTTTTATTTTTGCACGGATGACATCAACGACTACGTGCCGGCGTTTATGAAAGTGCCTTTACTCGCCGTCTGGGCCGGGATTTTGTTCAGCGCGATTGCGATTGTCGCGGACGTGTTCTTTGCGCCCGCTATTCGAACGATTTCGAAAATGTTTAAACTGCCGGACGACGTCGCCGGGGCGACGTTGTTGGCGTTGGGCGGGTCGGCGCCGGACATTTTTACGCAGTTGGCGGCGATGTGTATCAGCGAGGAACCGGATTTTAATTTGGCGATGAGCGAATCTGTCGGGGCAGGGATTTACGTCTGTTCGATTTGTAAGGCGTTGGCGGTGGTGTTTTCGCCAGGTGGTAGTGGGGTTACCGTGGAAGCGGTACCGTATTTGAGAGATTGCGTACACTACTGCGCGTTGTTGTTGATTTCGTACGCCATGTGTTCGTACGGTCAAATTTCGTTCGCGTTTGGATTTATGTATTTAGGTGTGTACGCGTTTTACGTGTGCTTTGTGATTTACGGGAGACATTGGGTGGATGATTTGATTCCAATGAGTTGGAAAGGGGTCGGGAGTGGTCACGGTAGTCAGAGTGGTAAACATAGCAGCGGGATGAAGACGGTGAAGAGCCACGTGTTGGAAGACGCGAGCGACGAGGAGGACAATAATAATAATAGCATGGAGATGGCACACGGAGTAGTTGGTCATCATCACGGTGGCGGGGAAGACGACGATGACCAGGTGGATTTACACAGAATGTATGAAATCACCGACGACGAGGATTCGGACGATGAGTACGTGCACTCGCCGATAAGTTCTCCGAGAGGTGGGGGCGGCGTCGCAACAACGACGAACAAAAATCTGCACAACTTGAACAGCAAGTTCGCGCAAGGGTCGCAACGCGGCAGTATTAGCGATTCGGGCAATAGAGGAGTTGGAGCGGCTATTAAAAGTCGAAGACATTCGGATGGTTTTTCTTCCGGGCAGTATTTTTCTTCCCTCGTTTCCTCTTTTCGAAGATGGTTGTCCATGCAATCCGGAGCGAAGAAATGGTCGGACGATCCAACGACGTGGTTGACTGGATGGATCGTTGTTATAGTGTCGTTGACTATGCCATCTACTAGCCGTGGCCGCGTGCGCCCATTGCACGCCGCTGTTATCGCGTTTGTCGCGCCGTTGTTCCTCTTATACGCCACGGGCATGTTGGACATTGTTTTGTTCGGCTTCGATGGCACGGCGAGAAGTTTACTGGAGAAAAAAATGAACAAAAGCGCCAACGTTCGAGGACAACACGGTGAATTACAATTCTCCGCGTACGCCATATTTGCGATATGCGCGTTCTGGGCGAGACTCGCGCACGCGAGAACGCCCACTCGAGGCGCCGATCCGAAAACCTCACCAATTATGCTCTTCTGCGCGTTTACGGTCGGCATCGCCTGGATGCACATTTTAGCCGACGAAATTGTCTTCATGTTCCAAGCATTCGGTCACATCTTCGGTATTCGAGAATCTCTTTTAGGTGGCACGTTAATGGCATGGGGCGCGAGCGCGGGCGATTTGGCCGGTATGCTCGCCGTCGCCAGAATGGGTCACGCAAAAATGGCGGTCACCGCCTCCTTAGCCTCGCCGGGAACGCAACTCGCGGTCGGTTCCGGTATTTCTATCGTAATCGTCCGATTGAGAGGTATTTCGGTCCCAATCAATTTCACGACACCAATGAAAATGCTCATGCAATACGGCATCGCAGTCACCGCGTATTACGTGTTTTTGGTTCCAGTCGTGCACAAATTTTCATTCAAGAAGGCGCAAGCGACGAGCATTGCAATCACGTACGCGGTATTTGTCATCGCCTTCGTCGCCGTCGCCATGCGCGGCACAGAGTAAAATTTCCGTTTAATGAGAATGCGCGTCGTTGTAAGAAAAGATGAGTGTGCTGCTGATCTACCCCGCGGCGCCCCTCCGCTCCACCACGCTTTTCGCGTTTGCGTTCTTCCTTTTTTCTTCCTTTCCTTTCTTTCGAAACGCTTTATTTTATTTTTTCGCCAAAAAAAGCGCACTTTACACATCAATCGCATCGTCGTCAAAACCATGGTCGCCATCGCCTCTCTTTCCGCGGGAACCCTGAAATTCCGTAAGTTCCCCCCGTCCGTGGAGTTGAAAAACCCAAACCCGTCCGAATTTAACCCGCACATCGCCGTCGCGTTAGGGACGAGCGAAGGCCATCTCGTTCCAATCATGCGAGTCGAATTACCGGACGGAAAAATTCTCGAACCAGATGCCTATCGCAACTTGCACATGCTCGAAGAGTTTGAAATTCGAAACCCGAGCGAGTATTTACACTTTGAAGTTTTAGACGTGGAGCGAACGAAAGAAGAGAAGGAGAACCTCGTCGTCGTCGCCGCGGTTGATGGTGATAACAACAGCGGTGGAAAACGACACGAAAAAGGAACCACAAAAAAAACGCCTTCGACGAGAAAAGGACACGAGGAAAATCCAAAATACGTCGTGATCGCGAGCACGTCGATTGCGGTTTCGCACATGTTGGAAGATAACTGGTCGCATAAATTATACGGACACTGTTATAAATACGTAGAACTGGACTCTCCGGACGGTAAGGAGAAAAATGTGTGCACGATGAAGCTGCAGATGGATTACAAAGTCGTTCCGGAAGAATAAAACAAACCAAAGACAAAGACGTCGTCGTCGACGACGACGACGACGACGACGACGATGATGATGATGTTGTTGCTGTTGTTGTTGTTGTTGTTGTTGTTGTTGTTGTTGTTGTTGTTGTTGTTGTTGTTGTTGTTGTTGTTGTTGTTGTTGTTGTTGTTGTTGTTGTTGTTGTTGTTGTTACATATTTATTCACTAATATCCTGGTACCAACTTGAGGTGCTTCTACTGCTATAACTAGTACTAAAAATCTAAAAGTTTTTCGTCCCGACTCAACGTCTTTTCCGTTTCTTCTTCCCGCCTCCTGGCGTGGACACATCCGGCGCAGACAGACCATCAGGCCCACCTCTTTTTTTCTTCTTCAAATTCGACAGCGGGTTCGGTCCTTTCGTCTTCTTCATCTTATAACGAACGTTCGTTTTCACGTCGTACATGCTCCTCGTTTCCTCTTCTCCTCCTTCTCTTTCCGTCAACAACGCGCGCATCTCTTTCTCCGAAACGCCTTCGTTTTTCTCCGTCTGTCCTGCAAACCCGCTCTTACTGTCCGCGTCCACCGGCGGTTCCATCTGTAACCCGCTCACGTGGCAGAAAATAATCGGTACTTTCGCGCTTTCCTTTCGTAACTGCTTTTTCAGCGCTCCGTCTTGCGTGCAGACGATGAATCGTTCTCGATTGTCCTCTTTACACGCGTCGAGTATGCTCTCTTTGACGTTCTCTATGTACCCGCTGCTCCTGTTGTTTTTCTTCGTATTCTTCTTCATCGTCGCGTCATCTCTTCCTCCTCCTCCTCCTCCTCCTCCTGAGGGGTTTTCGTTTTCATTCACGAGCAACAGCTTGTGCGTTTGATTCGCGGCTTCCGCGAAGTCCTCGCCTTTCATGGTCTCCAACTCTTTCCTCACCGCTCGCGTGGTGAATATTTTGCACGTCGATGGGTTCGCGGATAAGAATTTGGTCACGTGATGCGCGGCGGAATCGTCTAGTTTCCGCGCGACGCACGCGGAGACGAAGTTTCCGTCGAGGAGAATTTTGTACGGTTCGCGGAACCCGTGGACTGTGCGGTAGTATCGAAGGTATTTCCGGACTTTAGTTTTGCGTTTGACTCTCATTCTTTGTCGTGGTTGTTTACTACTCGTTTACGTTTACGTTTACGTCCTCTTTTTTATTCGCGGCGCGTTGACGCGACCGAGTGCGTTGAGAGAAAGAGAGAGAGAGAGAGAGAGAGAGAGAAATGAGTTGTGGCGTGAGTTGTTTCGTTACAAAGACAGAAGTACAAACTATTTTAATTTAATAAAAATCTAAGAATAATATATGATTAAGCGACTGCTCGATGAACGTCTGTACCTCCTTTCTCTTCGGAAGAAGAGACGCTTTCGAGACCGTCGACGACGTCCGCGGTAGCGGCGGTCGATCGTTGTTGTTGTTGCTGTTTGCGTTGGCGCTTCGAAGCGGCGTCCGATGACGAAGCGGTTGGCTTCACTTGGACGCCGGCGGCGGAGTAGCAGTTAAACACGTGTTTTCCGACGACTGGTTTCTTGGCTAAAGTATTTTCCTCCGAGAGCTCTTCGTTGACGGCCGATTCGAGACCGAGGGAGGAGTTTTCTTCGAAATCGTCTTGTTGTTGCGGTTGTTGTTGCTCTTTGGCGCCGCAAACGACTCTTCCTAACCAGTTCTCCAAACTCTCCTTCGGCACGTTCATGTCTGAGCTCAAAATAAAATCGAAAATATTGTTCACGAATTGCGCCGAGACGATGTATGCGTTCGCGTTGGTCGCGTCTTGCGTTCCTTGCCATTTGCGGATCTCGATGACGTTACCGCTCGAGTCTGGGAAGGTTTCAAAGATTGGATCTTTCGTGCCCAGATTTCCCAAGAACATGACGTCGAAATCGTTCGATGCGTGCGCCGAGATGACTCGAATGGCGTCCATGGGAATGGCGAGATTGGACGTGTCTAACAAACCATCGGCGTCCAAAATCAAAGCCTTTTCATTTTTCGCGTCTTTAGCGAGTTGCCATCGGTAGACGTGAGAGAAGAGTTTTCCCAACTCTGGAATCTTTTCAGTTTGCCACCACTTGGAGGATAACTTACCGGTTTCTTTATCGCGGTCGACTAACGCTTCGAACCATCCCATGCCTCTCAAATTGTTCAAGTTCCACTCTTTCGCCAAGGTCATCTCCTCGTCGTCATCCTCAATCAATGCAGATACTTTATTACCACTCTTCTCTGAATTATCCTGCAAACTTTCCTTTTCCTTCTTCTCTTTCTTGTACGCTTTGTACAAAACTTTCACGTCATCGGCGGTGAGCCCAAGCGGTTTCAAACTTTCGATGGTTTCGGAGGTATCTTCGATCACTTTGCCGAGTTTCGGTTGTTGCGCCTCCCCAAGAGTCGAGCCAGCCGCAGCATCTAAATACACGCCAGAACTGTCGTTTTCGGAGTCCATGAATTTTCGCTCGTATTTCGGTTTCGGCGCTTCACTCATTGCGTCTTCGACAAACTTTTTGAAATCGAAATACCCGAGCGAGGGAAGTTTTTGTTTCTTCTTCGTTTCCTTCTCGTCCTCGTTATCGCCAGTGCCTAAATACGAAATGCCTTCTCCATCGTCGCTGTCTATGGTCTTCTTTTCCGGATGATTCGAGAGCATGTCGTCGATGAAACTTTTGAAGTCGAAATAGCCCAAAGAGCTCGTCTCTAAATCGTCGAACGAAGAAAGTGACTTCTCTTTCTCGTCGCCTAACGAAGCCCCCATGGATTGGGTGGAGGAGCTGCCTGAAGTTGCTTTTTCATCGTAATCTTGATCATCTTCTTCCTCTTCATCATCTTCGTTTGATTGTTCGCTCACTTTTCCTTTGATCACGTCGTTCACGAATTTACCCATCTGAAAGTACCCGAGTTTACCTCCTTCGATTTCCTCCTCATCTGCCTTCATCAAATTTCTTCTTCGTCTCATTCTGCGAGTCGCGATTCCATCTTCAATCTCGTCTTCGTTGACGAAATTTCCCAGCTTGGCTTCCATCTGCGCCGCTTCCGCCGCTCTCGCTTTCAATCTAAAAATACTCTTCAACGCGTACATCGCTTTATCGATATTCACCGGCCATTGGCTCGGGTCAATTGGTTCAACCACTTTCACGTACCTCTCCAACTCTCTCTCGTCGCCTCCTACGGAGGCAATCAACGCCACTAAACTCTCCGCCGAATTTTCTGAATTCGCTTGCACGTTAAGATACGTGCTCAAATCCCACGCTCTCGAAGCCTCCTCCGCTTGCGACTGCTCCTCGGCTTCGTCCTCTTGATCGTCTTTATCTTCTGAAGAACCGCCGGGGCCGCCGTCGGCGGCGGTGGCGCTTCCGATGCTAATCCTCTCCCCATTCGCCTCCGCCTCGTCCGCGTCGACGCCTTCGTTCTCTTTGCCGCCGCCGTCGTCGTCGTCGTCCGCCTCTCTCTTCCCCATCATCGGTTCTTCCTTCGCTCGTCTGCTGCTGCTGCTGCTGCTACTCACCTCTTCGTTGTTGTTGTTGTTGTTGTTGTTGTTGTTGTTGTTGTTGTTGTTGTTATCATTCTCTCTCCTCCGTCTCATGTTCCTCTCGTCGCTCGTCTTTTTCTCGTCGCCTTCCAACGCCGCCGCGATCACCGACGCGATTTCCTCCTCCGTGTGAAACGCCAGTTCCGGTTCCACTTGTTTACTCTCCACGAGCGCGTCCGGGGATCTCGCCGTCGCCTGTGTCGTCGATGACGACGACGACGACGACGACGACGACGACGATGATAATGCCTCGCCAAATTGATGCCGCTGCTGATAACGATGCCTTTGTTTCTGCGCGAGTAAACGTCCATCGTCATCATCATCCCTTCTGCGCGGCGACAGATTGACGCCGAGCAATCCTCCAATCGTCGCCGCGGCCAAAAAGAAGATGAAAATCATCTTCCCCCACCTGGACGTACACGACGTAAACGACGTAAACGAGGAATAAAAAGTTTCCCCCATCGTGTTGTTCATCAAAATCGAATTATTATTATTTGTCTTCTTCGCTCGCGTTGTCGTCGTCTGAATCGTCCTCCTCGCTAAGAGAGGTTCTCGGTCCTCCTCGTTCGTCATGACGACACACGAGGACGAGAGACGGGGGTCGTTTTTCTCTCTCTCTCTCTCTCGAAGAGCACTTTTTGAAGAGACGAAAGAAAACTCAAGGATCGAGTTCTGCTGAAACTGACGAATTTTTTTTTTGTGTGCGAGGAGAGAGAAAAAAGTGCACTGTTTTTTTTTCTTTTCAAACCCTAAATACTTTTTTTTTCCGTCTCTTCTTGCTTCTTCTTCTTCTTCTTCTTCCGTTCTTTTCATTTTTCTTTCTCTCGGAGTGGTGTGAGATTGAAGGAATGCGCGGTGGCTTTCTCTCTCTCTCTCTCTCTCGTCTCTCGTCGAGAGGAAGACTGTAAAGAAGAGGAGGGGTTTCATTGTTCAAGTAGTCGTATTGGGCTTTTGCGGTTTTTGTTGTCGCGCGAAAGGCGTTTGAAAGAGAAGCGCTGAAGAAGAAGAAGAAGACTCTTATCAAAAATGTGCTTTTTGTTTTACCCAACTTTGAGACGATGTTGAACGTAAACGTCGAGAGAAGGCGACGAAGACGACGTAAACGACGAAGAGCGAAAGAAGAAGAAGAAGAGGAGGAAGGATTTTTCGTGTACAGGAGAGACCCGTGGACGAAAGAGAGGGTGAAAGTGAACGAGGACGGAGAGGAGATCGAGAGGAGTTGTTCTTCTGAATCCTCGGAGTCAGATTCCGAAGCACATCGTCCCCGTTCTTCTTCTTTTTCTTTTTCTTCTTCTTCGTCGTCGTCGTCCGAGGAGGAGGATGAGGATGACGATGCCGACGTCTCGGGCGGCGAAGAATATTGCGAAGATGAAGAAGAAGACAAAGAACAAAACGAAACGCTTTCAATCGATGAGGACGACATTGCTTTACTCGCGGTGCATCCTTCGACAGGGGCGAATACTAATACTAATACTAATAATAGGAGTGTTATCGAAGACCCGAGAAACTACTGTTTGTTTCGGTTCCGTTGGTGTTGGAAGTTTGATTCGTTGTCTTGGTGGGTGGCCATGTGTTTCTTATTCGCCGCTTTGTTTTGCGTCGTCGGTTCCGCGTGTTCGTGTTTTCGCCGGGTGACGAGAAACCCAGAGATGTACGTGAGAGCTGAACTGGTTCCGTATTTAATCGGCGGCTTTTTCTTCTTTTTTGCGAGCGCGTTAACGCTGTGGGCGTCCTACCGAGCAAAGAGGAAGTACTCGAGAGCGAAAAATAAGCGACGCGTGAAATTCGGGGGTGATGCAAGATTGAGAGAGCAAATACGAGATGAGAACGATTTGAACGTGGTTTTGTTTGAACAACGAACACGCGAGATGGAACCGAGCAGACAGATGTGGTTGAGAGAAAATAACGACGAGTGGATTAAACGAACGAGAAAGTTAGAATTGATTGGAGCGCTGTTGACGTTAATCGGAAGCGGTTTGTTCGTCGCCGAAATCATAGCGACGATGGTGATTGCAGATTCCGCGCACTGGGTTACCGTTCCAATACACGCGAATACGAACAGTACGCATCACGGTCACTGGTGGTATCACACGCACTTTGATTCCTCGGAAGATCGAAAGCAGTTCGTGCAAATGTCCACCGTAGTCGAAGTGCGAACTGGGCACTGCGGTGCGTTAGCTTATCTCTTCGGCTCGTGGTTTTATTGGTGCGCGAGTAAACGCCAGTGGGTGTGGAATCCTTTTCTGTTACCAAACGGCGCGCACGAAAAAATTTCATTTTATTCCTTAATCGGATCGTGGTTGTTTTTAATCGGGGCGATAATGACACCGCCAGCGTCAACGTTTGCAGTGGCGAATAGCATGGCGAGCGGCGCGCCTTCTACTTCTTCGACGACGCATAACGAAACCGTGTCCTCATCGATGGTATCGATGGTATTAGAAAGACTCTACGATGAGATGGCGAACAATAATCATACGACGACGCCGAATAGCAGCGGTAACGCATCGAGCTCGCCGTATGGCAATGACTTTCCAACAAACCACGATATCAAAGCAGATCACGCGCGTTTTGTAAAAGGTGCGTTGTGGTTGTTTGTTGGCTACGTCATGGGCAGCGTTTGTTATTGCGTGCAAGCGCTTTTGATGATTCACACCATCGCGCTCGCGGAGCAAAGGAAACAGGCGCACGCGAACTCGTCGCATTCCCAACATTTGCGATCACATTTGCGACGTTCGCACAGTCACCGCCGAAATACTGCGGTTTAGTAGAGCATAACAATAACAAGTAGAAAGAAAAAAGGAATACATGTACGATACGATATGTGTACAGCTACCTGCTATAGCGCGATAGAAGAAATTTTTGTAATGTACTTTGATGAATGGAAATTCAAAAAGATGTTTTTGTCTCTCTGTGTTATATTACGTATATATTACTCGCGCGACTAAAGTTTCGCGCGCTATGTCTCTCTCTTTCTCTCTCTCTCTCTGTGTGTGTGTATGTGTTCCTTTTCCTCCTGCTGCTGCTGTTCTACCTACCTATCCCCCTTTTCTTTCTTTTCTTCTTACGAAGCCGTGACTGGCGCGTTGAAAGTGTCGTCCAAAATGCTTTGGCACTCGTACTGTAACTCCACTTTCAAAGCGGTCAAACTCCCGGCGTCCGATTTCCCACTCAAACCACTCGCGGCGGTATACGTGTCCCCAGTCATCACGCACAAAGGCACCCCGTTCATTTTCGAAATGTTCGCGGCCAAATCCGGCACTAACTTGAACGTCGAAAAGTACTTTCTCACGAACGTCTGCGTTAAGCTCCCTCCTTCTGGTTTTAAATCCTCGATGCCGGAAAAGAGACTCTTGATGTACTCGCTGTGTTCACACGCCGCCCACATTTGTTGCGCCATGTCGTCCATTTGCGCCTGCGTCGTTTTCGTGGGCGTAAACGGCGAGTGAATGCCTCGCGGCGTCGACGTCGGCTTGTTCGCCGTTTTGTCCACGCGAGTGAACACCATTTTCTTCACTCTCGCCTTCAACTGGTTCTTGATGTCCATATCAATCATCACGTCTTGGAACAAGGCGTTCTTGGTGACGTCTTGAAACAATCGATTAAAATCGACGTCGTCGAACGACAACGGGACGACAACTGATTTCACCGAAGCCAAAGCCAACTTTGTCAAAACGCACGCCGAAAGGTGGTCGGTATCCACAAACACCGTATCAAACTCCTTCGGCAACGATAAAATCGCTTTTTCCATCTCCTTTGCGGCAGGAAACCACTCGTCGCCAGTTCTCGCCCACAGAGGAATGTCTTGCTGCCCTGAACCGTCGTCCATGACGATATCCTGCGTGTGTTCCAAACTCCAACTCTCCTGCCCGCACCCGGCGATTAAATACAAGTTCTTCGGAACGTTCTCGTTATACTTCCCCGGTTGCGCCGCGTATTTCGTCAAATCCACAATTTCTTCCTCTTCCTGTTTCTTCTTCATTTGCTCGATCCTCCCCGGCGATGGCGTGAAATACGCCCCAAAAATCGATCGATGTTGTTGCGCCGGGGCGGCCACGCTACCGTACGAGGACGCCTCCTCGTCTTCTCTCCTCAACTTTTTCCTCAACGCGGCCAACTCTAAATCTCGAACCAACGCGTCCGCTCGTTTGTCCGGATCCACCGCATCCACGGCCACTTGTAGTCCTTTCATCGGTCTCCCGAAGCCGTCTCGCGAGGACCCTCCCATTAACAACGCTGAAATATCCGAATATATTGAGAAATCAACGACCAAAATTTTGGAATCTGGTTTCGCGCGCGCCGCTTCGCACGCCAGTTGGTACGCCATGAACGTTTTTCCCGCGCCGCCTTTATTGTTCGCGAAACATATACCTTTACGACGCGTGAGTAGTATCGACCGCCGGAAAAGAAGACCGAAGAAGAAGAGAAAGTGAGCGTCAATATTATATATAAAAGTGTCAACAATTTTCAAGCTTTTCCTTACGTAGTATTATTCAATCGAACGAAATCAAAATCATCAATCAAAAGCGGAGGACAAAAAAAGAACGACAACAACAAAACTTCTTACTGTGCGTCGGCGACATGTCTTCGTTTTTAATAAGAACGACTTTTATTACGCGCTTCTTCTTCTTAAACGCGTGTACTAAAACAAAGAAGAGAGATGAGAGAAAAGTTTGCGCTCTTCTTCTCTTTAATTAATGAGGCGAACGAAAGTCTTCAAAAAAAAAAAAGAGGGTGCCTTTGAAAAAAATGCCCTCGACCTTTTCTCTCTCCCCCTCTGCTTTCTTTCACACGAACGCGCTCTCTTTGAAGAAGGACAGAGGAGGAGGAGGAGGAAAAGGAGAGACGAGGAGGAAAAGAGAGAATTTGAGCAAAAGTAATGCGACTGTTGTTGTTGTTGCGACGAGAACGAATTTTGATGAGAGGAAAAGCAGAAGACGCGAAGCGTTGTTGGTTTCCTTTCCTTCTTTAACGAGCGCGTTCGTTGTCTTTTTCTCCCTTCTGTTGAATGATGCCGACGCAAAGTCTGTTGAGGAGTGGAGTGAAGAAGATGAAATAACGTCCTGCGCGTACTTTGACATCGGCCTGTGCGAATCTATCGTTCGCGCGGAAAGGGCGTTGGGTGGAGACGCGGTGTGTTCGGTAGGAGACGCCGAGAAAATCGGGAGAGTGAAAATTGGTCTGTATGGGAAAAAGTGTCCAGATACGGAGAAAATGTTTCGCAAGTTAGTCGAGAGCGGCGCGTACGACCGAACTGTTTTCCACGACATACGGAAAGGAGAGTTTATCGCGTTTGGTGCGAACGGGAGCAAACGTTTAGGGCAAGTTTCGGTACCGGAGGGGACGTTTAGCGCGGGCGAGCGAAACGCGGATTTAACAAAGGCGTCGGCGTTTCGCGGGAACCATTTGAAACCGGGCACGGTTTCGTTGGCGTTGAGTTACGACGGAAGTCGGACGGCGAGTCCCTTCGATGGCAACGTTTATAGTGAAGTTATAATAACGACTGGACCGGCGCCGGTTCCGAGTTTAGACGGGAAGAATATCATTTTCGGACGAGTCGATCGAGAGAGTTTGGACGTGATTTCGAAAATAGCGAGCACGCCGGTGTTTTCGCCGTCGAGTCAAGTGAAAGCGTGGAATTTCGTCGCCAGTCGCGTGGGCGACGAGAGAGCGGCGACGAGCAAATTAGTTTGGACGAAGCCGACCAAAGCTGTGGCCATTTTTCAAAGCGGAATACTAGAAGTTTAGAATTTATCGTCGAGTTTAGGTACGCAGTCCTCGACGATGTATTAAAAAAACTATTACGTCGTCGGTACTGTAGTTAGTTCTGTTCGCTCAAAGTCTTCGGAAAAAGTACAAGTAGCCTAATCCGAGGGGCGGGCTTTCACTGACCGCAACTTTTTCGTCGTTGAAGAGAATCCACTGGTTGTTCTTTTTGACGTGGGCGACGTAATGACCGCACGCCGTGTTTGAACCCATGTGACTGACCACGCCGAATAACTCGTACTCGCCTTTACCGTCGATTATTTCGTTCGTAGTAGTATCATTGGTCGATGACGCGTCTCCTCCAGCTTGTTCTTTCTCCTCCAACTCGCGTTCAGCTTTCGCGCACGCGTCGTCGATATTGTCCATGTTTGCGAAGAGCCACTCGCACGCCGCTTCGACGCTGTTGCTATTCCCACTCACGCGTAACGCCGTTCGGCTCGCCGCGCTCGAAAATCCCATCGATTCGAGTTGCGAAATCGCTTCGACCGAAACGCTATTCGTTTTGTCGACGTCTTTACTCAAATCCATAGTGGTCACCGGCGGGTCATTAAAATCTGGGTCCTCGGAATGTGCAAAAACCCACTCCATGGCGACTTCCGCACTCGCGTTGCTTGTCGCGATAGCGGCGCGTTTACTCCCGTTTTCGCTAAAACCCATGGCGACGAGCTGCGCGACAATCGCGTCGTCCGCGGTGATTTCATTCGCCGCCGGGGCTGCATTTGCCGCCGCATTCGCATCCATGTCCACGTCTTCCGGCAACAATTCATATGCATCCACGTCTTTTTTCTCGTCAACTCGCATACTTTCGATGTTGAGTCTTTCCGGAACGTTCACCACGCAATCCATCTTCGTCGGTCTCCAATCGTCGCCGACGTAGTATCGATTCACGCACAGAGCCAACACGTTCGGACAAGTTTTCAAAAACGTCTTCCTCGTCGCAAACGTTTTCCCTTGAATTGCCGGCGAATAATAGTCTTCGATGATAGATTCTTGCGTGAACGTTTCTAAACACGTCGCAAACGGAACTTCTAACGGTGCGGGAGCGTCCTCTTCGCCTTCCTTCTTTTGTCTTTTTGACGCGGCCGTTTCTAGTTCCTCTTTGGTGGTTTCTATTTTCACCGCCTTTTCTCTCGGTACGCACATATCTAAAACTGTGTGCGAACCTACTTCGAACTTCGCTTTGTGCGAGCTTCCGCACACGGTCCTTGCTAAAGTCTCGAATTGAAATTCGGAGCTAATTGAACTAAGAGCAACACCACCGGCGTGTTCGTTGGCGAAAAACCGAGATTCGCGAACTCCGTCTTTTTGCCATTTGTCAAACTTCTCTAAGCAATGCTCGAAAAACTCGCGCGCGTCTTGCTGTCGTGCGGTGGAAAACTCCGCGTGACCTTCTCCAATCAACCGCTTAAACATTCGAGGCGCTAAACCTTCCGCTAATCCTCGCAAGTCTTGTTTCTTTTGCGTTTCGTCCGAGAGTTCTTCGCTCGTCCGCGCGTACTCGCTGGAAGTCAACGAGGAAAAAAGTTTTACGGTTTGCGCCAACGGATCGTTCTCGATTGCTTTGGCTCCACCACTGTTTCCGGTTTCAAAAACGTGCTCTTTCTGCTTTTCGTCCGCGAACACTTTCCTCACGTTCGCGCACTCTTTCATCACTTGCACGACGGAGTTCACGTAGCACGAGTTCCCTAAATTTCTCAATCCAATCAACCCCTCACCGCTGACTTCTCTTAAATCCTTCCCGTGCTCCGTGATCGCGTCGAACTCAAACGTTCGATTTTTATCGATTTGTATCTCGTTCATCGTTTGCTCAGTTTTCACTTGCGACATGATATCGATGCCCCAAAATTTTAAGTGTTCGGCCAATTTGGGATCGGTTACCGCGTCGTCTTCATCCGCGGCGTAGGAATACACGTCCGCCCCGTCCGGCGTAATCGTGCCTAACTTGACCACCAGCGGATACTCGTTTCCTTTCGTCTTTTCGCTCTGGTAATGTCTCAACGCGGACCCGTTTCCACCGCTCCCGTCAAAATGTCTGCGCCCGCTTCCGATGACGCCGTCGCTCAAGTTCAACCATAAATTCGTCGTCTCCCCGGTTTCAAAACATTTCCACGTCTTTGGATCCGGCGAAATCCTCGTCTTCCCTTCGCTCTTCACTTGCACTAAATTCTCGCTATACTTGGAAACATTCGGCACGTCCTCCCAACTCGCCATCACGTCCTTCTTCGCGTCGTAACCTTCCTTTTTCGAGATGGTTTTCGCGCACTCGAAAACAACCGTCGGCAACTTTGACGACGCGTCGTCGTTTCGCGCCTCCTCCGTTTGACGATCCTTTTCAAAATCCACCTTCATTCCCGCCAAGATCACGTCTCGCTCGCAATCGTACACGACGATCCTTTCGTCCTTCGCGACTGTATATTTCGGTTTCGCGAAATCCTCCTCTTCGAATCCGCCGTGTATTCCTACGCCCAGTTTCGTAATAGGAGTACTTTTTCTCTTCTCTTCTTTCTCTTCTTCCTCGATTTTGACATCATCGAAAACCTTCCGAAACCGTCTCTCGAGATACAAACCTTGCCTGTTCGTCTTTCTCGAATCCAATCGTAAATACTTCCTGCTCACCGCGCGACGCGTTTTCATGTTCACGAAAATCCCACGACATTGCTGTTCTTTTTCGCCGCGAGAAAGAACGAACGGCGACGCGAACGTGTACGCGCACTCGTCGTTGACGATTTTCTCGTCGACGACGGATTCATCTTCGCCGCAGGAATAGCACTGGTTTTTGTGCGCACACGCGCGAATCATCTCTAAAACGACGTCATCATCATCGAGACTTTTCGCAGCAGTTTCAACCACGCGGTCGTTCGGTGTCGTCGACATGTTGTTGTTGTTGTCGAAATGTTTTGTGTCGCACATTCGGTTTCCAACGAGATTCGAAGAAACAAACGAAAAGAAGAAGCGAAGGCGAGAGACTACTTTTATCGCAATGTTTTAAGACGCAAGAAAGTCGCACACCAAAAGAAGAACACGTTTCGTGCGAACGCTCATTTGCGACTGTCTACTCGTGATGTGCTAGTATTACGTGCTATGATAGTATGTGCTATGAATAGTAGTATTCGCCGCTCGCGCGTACCGAGCGGAGCGCGTCTCGTATTCCTTTACGCGCCGCCGCCGCCGCCAATGATGTTCTTCTTCTTCTTCTTCTTCTCCTTCTCCTCCTCCTTTGCACGCACTCCCGCGTCTACGAGCGCGTGCAACAGGTCGTCGATCTCTTTGCTCGCGTTCTCAATCTCGTGCGCGGCGCACTTCGTTTCCTCCGCGCTACTTCCAATCTTCTCGAATATCCGTTCCGCCTCGTCTCTTCCTTTGCTCAAGTGGTCGATCAACGCTCGAGACGCTTCGCGGAGTTTGTGCACCACAGACGTCACGAGCGCCGTCGCTGGAACGCCGAATCGATTTTGACGAAGGCGCTCTTTTTTTCGCGCGTAGGCGTCGTTTCGAAGACTCCTCCTTTTCGTCGTCTCATTCGTCGTCGCGTCGTCGTCGTCGCCGTTCGTTTCGTTCTTCTCAACCGTCGTCTCATTCGTCGTCGTCGCGAGCGCATCCGCGGCGGCGGCATCGGCGGAATAAACGGGAGTGTCGTCCTCGTCGTTGTTGTTCTTCACCATCTTTCTCTCGTTATGAGTAGCATTCAACGCTTTTTCGTCTTTCTCTTCGTCGTCGTCTTTCCCGTCAAAGTCGTCGTCCTCTGAATCATCGTCGTCGTTCTCGCTCTCTTCGCCTTTCGAGATGATTCTTTCGTGCTTCTTCTCAACGCGCGCAGTATTCGTCGTCTTCCTCCTCTCCTGCGTCGCCTCCTCCTCGCGCATGACTCTCTCTCTCGTCGTTTCCTCTCTTACAAAGCGTCCCGTAAAAATCGACTCTAAAACTGTTGTTGCGTACACGCCGCGCGAACACAACAAACACCTCTGTGAGGCGCGAACGAGAATCTGCGTTTCCCCCAGAAAGAAGCACATGACGGTTGAGGACGAATGCATCTCCGGGTCGGCGTACCCGGCGTTCATGGGTGTGGGCGACAGTCTCGGACGAACGACTCTGACGAATTCGTCGAGGAGGAAAAGCTTTAACGGCACGGGGGGTCACGAAAACGCGACGAGTCACAACGCGACGACGACGCGTAGTACAAAACGCGCGAATAAAACTTTGCGCGGGGAGGGAGAGAAATTCAAAATTGGAAACGACGCGAACCGAGACGAAGACAACGACACGGAGGATGAAGAAGAAGAAGAAGAAGAAGAAGAAGAAGAAGACGAAGACATCGAACGACTCACCGAAAAACACGGAGGACGCGGCGTGCAAAACGCGTGCTCGATACGGAACATCGCTCGAGCGATATTCAGAGACATTCGCGAGAAAAAGAAAGGCTTGAGCGAAACGGATTTGGTCGCTTTGGAGTGCATCTTTGGCGAGACGAATTTGGGGAGAGCGCTGGACGTCGCCTCGAGTCGAGGAGGGGTGACGAGGTTTATCGGGAAAAAATCGAGACGAACGGTGTACGCGGTGAAGGCGACGACGACGACGACGACGACGAATGGTGGTGGTGGTGGTGGTGGTATGAATGGTGGCGGCGCGACGATGAACGACGACTACCGCGGCGGCGGCGGCGGACAACAACAACAACAACAACAACAACAACAACATCTGACGTACCCGGACCATTTTTGCGCGTGTAAAGGTTTTACGTGGGACGTGGTTTCCAGGGACGAGAAGTTGATGTGTAAACACATGTTGGCGGCGGCGTTGGCGGAGAGCGTTGGTGGGTGCGACGAGGTGGAGATGGACGACGCGGTGTTGGCGAACGTGTTGGCGCGAGAGATGTTAGAATAAGATGTAGAATAAGAAAACGAGGATACACGCATAATAGATAGATAGATAGATAGATACAGAGAAGAGAAACACAGGCAAGCCGCCGCGTAGGAAGGTGATGATGTAGATAGAGATAGAGAACTAGTAACTGGTGTTCCTAGTAATGGAATATAATAATTTTACATTTAATAACAACATATATAATAAAATTTTTAAAAGGTGATGAAGTTGCATCTTGTAACGCGAAAAAAGTTAGTTTTGCAACCAATGCTTGAATCTACCGAAGAAGGATGCCTTCTCTTCGACGTCGGTGTCATCGTCGGCTTCGTCTTCAGCCGCCTTCTTCTTGGCCATTTCCTTTAATTCGGATTCGCTCTTCCCGGCGCTCGCGGCTGCGCCGACGCACGAGGAGATTGGTCCGTGGTCGACGTGGTCGCACACAAACTTCGATTGGAAGTTATACGCTTCAAAGAACATGTCGACTTGTCTCGCGTGCGGTTTGACGCTCCAGCTGGTAATATCTTGACCGAAACCTTTGTCGAAGGTACCCGCGAACATTCTCGTGAAATCATTCACTTGAGAGACGTCCCAGCGAGAAATGTCTTGGTCAAACGCAAACGCGTTTTGGAACATGACGTTCATTTTGCGCACCTTGCCAGTATTCCAGCCAGAAATCATCGCGTTGAATCTATCCGCGTGTTTAAACATACCAGACATGTTTTCGACATTCTTGACGTCCCACTTGTTGATGTTCTTTCCTTCAAACGCCAAGGCGCGGCTAAACATCAACTTCATGTCCGTGACGTGCGAGACGTCCCAGTTGCCGAGATCACCGTTGAAAGAAGAATATCGGTCGTTTTTGTTCTTCAACGGCGGGTGGTCGAAGAGTTGCGACATGTCCGTGACTCTGGAAACGTCCCAGGAGGAAATCTTGCCAAACTTTTGTTTCGGGCAGTCGCCTTTAATCGGGTCGTCGCCTAAACATTTCGCGACTTCCATTTGGATGTTGTCATTCGTCAAGTAATGCAACGAGTCACCAGACAAAGAAGCCGTTTTCGTGATTGGGTTAATCACCGATTTGGCTAAAGTCGCGGAAGAGCCCGGGCATCCCGGCGCCAAGACTTCTGTCGGTAACTTGCACGTTTGTTGGTCTCTGTTGTTAAAGCACGAACCGAAGACGTACGTGTGGCCCGGGTTGGACGCGTCGTGGATTCTCGGGTAGAATTCCGCATCTTCCGTGACGTGCTTCGTCGTGCACGAGGCCATATACTTAATAACTCTGGTCGGATGGGATTGACCGTAGCCCATTTCCGGCAACGAGGTTTGAACGGAGTTCTTGATGTCAAAAATCTTGGACAACAAGCGTCTTCTCGTCGGCAACACTTCCACCGTCGTTCCCAAATCTCTTTGCGCTTTTTGGATCATATCTCTGTTTTGCTCGCGCGTCTTTTCTTGCGGCGTCATGGTCGCTTGGAAAAACTTCTTCTCCTCGGTCGTTCTCACGGCAACATCCGCCGGGTTTTTGAAATCCGCGGAGACTTTGCACCCCGGCTTGCCGGCGTCGCAGTCGTGCTTGGTGTATTCCGTACACGCGGCACCGGCGCACGATTTCAACGTGCACGTTTTCTTCAAACCATCGCAAGCAATCGTGTCGGACTTGATTCTCACGTTGCCGTTAAAGTTAGAATACGTTCTCGTTTCGACCAAGCCGAGGTTGGAAACGACTTCGTCGCCGCTCGCCGCCGCGCTTCTTTGCGTCACCGTCTCCGTCTTGGTGTGAAACGTCTTCTCCGCGATTCTCTTCGCCGCGGCATCCGCATCTTGCGCGTCTTTCTTCGCCGCTTTACGCATGTCCTCGATGTCGATCGTCTTCGCGTTCTTCGTCGCCGCGTTCTTATCGTTCAACCACCCCGCCGCTCGAATAGACGACTCCGTCACCGGACCGCCCTTCACTTGCGCGCCGATGTCTGACATGTGATTGCTCGGGTTCCCTTTCTCGTATAAATAGAAACCAAACTTGCTGTTCTCGCTCATTTGATACGGGAGTTGGTACACCCCGCATTGCGACGTCGAAACCATCTCTTTCGCTTGCGAGAAATCAAACGTTTTCGACATCGCGGAGGAGACGAATTTCACTCCAACCTCAGCCTTTGTCCAGCTTTTCGGTTCAAACGGCAACAAAGATAACAAATCGGTCGGTGAACACCCCAAGGTTAACGTGACCACGTCCGCAGATGCCGCAGAACCGAGACCGTTAAACGCTTGGTGCGCTCTCGACGCGGAAAGCGTCCCGGCGGAGACCAAGGCGAGACCGGCCGCGCCGGCAACCATTTTGCTCGCGCGGGAAAATCCATTCGCGACGAGAGACGTCGACGCGGAGGAAGAAGAGTCCAACGCGCCTCTGGCTTTCGCCAAAAGCGGTTTCTCCTCCGCAGTGTTCGTAACAGTGGTGTTCATTATGTGTGCGATGATAAGAAAAAGAAACAGAAACTGCAACTCTTTAGCGCGCAAGTTTAAGTCGAGGGAGGAAAAGTGCAGACGGATTGCATTTTGGCCGCGGCTTCAATCTCGCTTCAGTTTAGGGATCGCTTCGCACTTGAAAGACGAGACGAAGAGAACGGTCTCGACGACGACGATATGTACGCGTGTAAATAATAATAGTAATAATGTGGTTTAAAACAATCGTCGTTAATGTCTAAGAATGATGATGATGATAATAATGTCGTGATGTGGTTTTAAGTGTACAGTGTGTATAAAAGAGGAGAGACTTTCAGTCCTTCCTCTCTCGTCCCTCGTCTCTCGTCGCCGCGACGAGGCATTAGTGCTTGTGTAGCGCTTTCTTCGTCTTCTTCTTCTCCGAAGAAGAAGAAGATAAAGTTCCGAACAAGTCCACGTGACCGGTTTGGCGGATGATTCTAGGCTTCACAGGGTCGGAGGCGTATTTGTTCAGCGGTTCTCCCCACTCGTCGAGGTTTTCTTCTTCCTCTTCCTCGTTCTCGTCCGAGCCGAGTTGACCTTCCTCTTCTTTCGTTTCTTCTTCTTCGCGCGCGACGACGCCGTCGAGGACGTTTTGATCTCCTCCTCCGGCTTCCTCGGAGGTGGCATCAAAACCCTCGGATTCTTGCGAAGTCGCGCCGTATAAATCTTCGGAGTTGTAATCCGCGTACGTCAACTCGTCGTCTTTTTCTTCAGATTTTTTACCGCCGGTACTTCCGAAGAACGAGCCGAACTTGTTGAACAAAGATTTCCCCCCTCGAGCGACTTCAGTCGCTTCCATCACCATATCCTCCGCCTCGGAATCCGCGGTGGAATGGACTTGCGGAACGAACTCGACGTCGTTACCTTTCTTCGACTTTGATGACGCTTTCTTACTGCTATGACTACTACTGGTGGTGCCGCGTTTAGACGAAGAAGAGTGCTTTTTTGAGAACTTTCTCCCGTCCTCTTCGTCCGTACCCATCGCCGCGGCGATCATTTCTGAGACCGATTTTGCTTTGCACGAACTCGGTGGCCCACTATCGGCGTTCGCGCACGTAAATTTCGCCGCGTACGCATCGTTGTGGAAAAAGATATTGTTCATGTTGGCGTCGTTTCTGGTGTTCCACGTAGAGATGTCTTGCGCGAAACCGCTTTCGAAAACGCCGGAAAACATCCGCGCGAAATCTTTGCAGGAGGAAACGTCCCAATCCTTCAGCGGTTGGTTGAAGCTCAAAGCGTTTTGGAACATGGTGGCCATAGTTTTGACGTTTCCGACGTTCCACCCGGAAATTCTCGCGACAAAACTTTCCGCATGTTCAAACATACCGTGCATGTTCGTCGCCGACGAGACGTCCCAGTTGTACAAGTTCGTGCCTTTAAACGCGTTAGCGTTTTTAAACATCTTCTCGAACGAAGTGACGGAACTCACGTCCCAATCGCCGAGCATACCGTCGAACGATTTCATCTTATCGCCGCCAACGCGTGGCGGGTCGTAGAATAATTGGTCCATGTTCGTCACGCGAGAGACATCCCAATCGGACATGACGCCATATTGACTCTGCGGACATTCACCGGCGAGCGGTTCGTAACCCAGGCATTCAGTCACGGCTTCGTGGATGTTCGCGTTGGTGATTGGCGTGTATTGCGAAGCGATAGAGGTCGTCGTCGCCGCCGCCGCCGACGCATCTCCGGTTTCATCCGTATTCGTTAACGTTTCGTCTTCAATATCGGTAGCGGTTGACACCGTCGATTGCTCAGCCGCGTTGCCTTTTCGCGTGTTTCCAGTCGTCGTCGCCGTGTTCGTGTTCGTTTGCGAACCTGCCGTGGCGTCTTTACACCCCGCCGGATGCGTATCCGACGGCACCGCGCACGTGTTCTGATCGCGCGAGTTGAAGCACGCACCAAAGATGTACACCCTACCCGCGTTTGACACATCGTTTATTCTCGGGTAATACTCCACGTTTGCGTTGCCGTTGTTCGTCACGTGCAAATGCTTCGTATTACAATCAGCCATGTAGTTGATCAAACTCGACGGGTACAGTCGACCTAAACCAAGCTGCGGCGTTGATTGCGTCGTGTGCGCTGGAGTGTACGAAAACATCCCGTTCTTGATCGACGGAAACGATTGCAACGCTCTTCGAACGGATCGACTTCCAGCCGCGGATTTGTCCCAGTGGAAAGCTCTCGCCGCGACGTTAGAAGTTGGCACGATGACGTCTTCTGCGATGTCTTCAACAATCGTTTCGACGATGTCTTCTGACGGTTGCTCGTATTCATCGACGACAACTTTTGTTTTTGAGTGACTGCGTGACTTCTTTGTGGCCTTTGTCGACGAAGAAGGCGCGGATTTTAAAATGACGCGCTCCCCGACTTGCTCGATGCCGTGCTTTTTCAAAGTCTTCAAAGTCGACGAAGAAGCGGAAGGAACAGTCTCTGAAGAACTCTTCTTCTTCTTCTTCAACTCTCTCACCTCTTTTGGCGCCCACTCCCTCTTTTCTCTTCTCGCTGGCATCGATTTCGGGTTCTTGTACCTCTTCACGGTGCCTAACCTTCCCAATTTCGCCTCGCTCATGAAATCTTTCGGGTGCGTGCAACCGGTGATGCCTTCTTGACACGGCTTAGTGTAATCCGTGCACTGCCACTTCGAGCAGTGCTGTAACGTGCACGTGTTTGCGCTCGGATCGCATTCGATTTGGTTTTCAGCGTGTTCGACCCCGTGAACGATGTATTTCAACCACGCGCCCCAATCGTAATATTCGGTTTGCCCGTATCCCGCCGGCATCTGCGGCGCCATCTTGATGTTCTCCGGATCGGCTTCTGTCACCAAGTGTCCGTTTTTGTCAACGTGTCCGCTTTCCACGGCCGCTCTGTACGCGGCCAAATCGGAATACTGCACGTCTTCCTCCGCATCAGTAATCTCGCCTTGCTCTAAAGTCCCGCTCGAATCTAAATGGTTCTCCAAACTCGCCTGATTTTGGTTCGCCCACGCGTGCGCGGCAATCTCCGATTGCTTAATCGGCCCGTTTTCAACTTGCGCGCCAATATCGGACATATATTTCGTCGTCGAATTTCCAACTTGGTACAAGAAAAACCCAAACGTCGCGTTCGGTGCCATGGCGTATTCCGCGCTGTACACGCCGCACGCGACTTCCGTCATATCTAAAGCTTTTTCGTAGAGAAACTCGCTGGACATTCCCGAGGTGATTAATTTCGCCCCGACTTTCCCGGTCCACGTGCTTGGGTCGAAATCTAAGCTGTAGATTAAATCTCTCGGGGAGCATCCGGTGACGAGCGTGATCGTTTCCTTCGCCGATTGCGACTGTGACGAACCGAGCAAAGACACACCAGACGAACCTTTGTTTCCCCGAAGGGAAGAAACGGCGAACGCGCACGCCGATAAAAAGGCGACGAAAGCGAACGCGGTGGTAAAAGTGGTGGTCTTCATCTTCGCGTCGTCATTCTTTGCCTCTTCCTCGTCGCTTTTAATGTTGTTGTTCGCGTCGTGGATTAAGGGCACTCGCTCCCCCGAGTGCGAGAACGTGGACACGAAAGGTGAAACCATTTGTACCGCCCGCGGCTTAAATAATCTCTCCAATCAGGTAAGAGATGACGGGAAAAAAACCACGCGCGAAGGAGGGAAGCGACTTTGAGATGACTTTACCGAGACGAAGGAGTCGATGAATAACAGCGTCGCGAGACGTTCTTTTGTTTTCTTCGAGGTGTATCGATCGGATCGCGGTTTTTGACGAAAGGACAGTCGCACCTTTAATGAGAGGCTTTAAGATGGTACCACTACCCTAAATCAAATGGATGTTCGAAAGGTCAACGAATCCAAGAAGGCGAGTATATGTGATAATATATTCGTAAGTACAGATTCTCTTTAAAATGCTAATGTATGTGTTATGTGTGTGTGTAATAGTAACTCTCTTCTCTCTTTAATAATGGTGATGAAAAAAACTCTCTTTTTCTTTCGCTCGTTTCGCCGCGTGTTTTTTATGATGAGATCTCTTTCGCGAAAAGCAGCTCCGCTCGTCGCGTTGTTAACCAAAGATTTTGGAAAACACGTTGTTGTTCGATTTGTCCTTCGTCTTTTCGCTCTTATCTTTGCACGAGACGATTGGACCATCGTGCTTGGACGCGCATTCGAACTTGTCGTTGAACGCGCTCGCGCCTTTGAAGATGTCCTCTTGCTCGGCGACTTTGGCCACCGACCACTTTCGTAAATCTTGGTCGAAGCTTTCGGCGTTGCGAAACATCGAGCGCATTTTCAAAGCTTTGCCGACTTGCCATTTGCCAATGTCTTGGTTGAACAGTTGCGCGTCTTCAAACATGTGGTGCATGTCTTCGCATCGAGAGGTGTCCCAGGAGCTAATGTCGCCGTCGAAAGAGTTCGCGCCGGAAAACATTTGCGACATGTCTTGCACGTGAGAGGTGTCCCACTTGCTCAAGTCGCCGCCTTGAAACGCCTTGGCGTTGCTAAACATTCTTCGCATGTTGGTGACGTGCGAAGTGTCCCACTTGGATAAGTCGCCGTTGAATGAAGAGGATTCATCACCCTCGACTAACATCGGAGGGTTCTGGAACGTTTCGTACATGTTCGTGACTTTCGACGTGTCCCAAGAAATCATCGGCCCGAACTCGTTGTCCATGCAATCGCCCTTTTTCGGCTCTTCTGCTAAACACAAAGCGACTTGCCGTCTGAAGTTCTCATCGGTTAAATCCTTCTCCGTGAAGGTTTTGGAGGAAAACGACGACGAGGAAGAAGAGGAGGAGGAGGAGGAGGAGGAGGAGGAGCTCGTCGTTCGGTCGTCGTCATCGGAAGATGCTAAGGAACTCGCGTCATCTTTGGCGAGTTCTTCTGGTGCTGTTGGTGTCGGTCGCTCGTTGCTACTTTCGTAATCGCCATCATTGGAAACAGTTGTAGTTGCTGCTGCCGTTGGTAACTCGTGTTCTTCTTTTGGTGCGGCTGAGGAAGAACTACCGCCCCCAAAAAGCTTCTGCAACAAACCACCGGACTCTTCCTTTTCGTTCGCTGCCTCGACTTGCTCGTTGAAAGCTTGCTCTCTTTCCGCGGCGTACTTTTCCGCGTTTTCGTCATCAAAAGCCGTCGCCGAAGAAAGCGGTTCAGAATCTTCTTGCACCGCGTTCTCTTCTTCCGGGTTGTATTCCGGGTTCGAGACGAAGTGCGAGCGTTGCAATCTGTCTTCGACTTCTTTTTGCTTTTTCAACGTTTCGGACGATTGGCACGAGCTGAAATCGATAATCCCAGTCGCTTTGAAGCCACACTCCCACTTGGCGTTGTACTTGTCGGCGCCGTCAAAGATTCCAGTGGCGGAACCTAAGTGTTCAAAGTTCCACTTTCGAATATCACCGTTGAACGCTTTGTTGTTCGCAAACATTTGGTTCATGTTACGAACTTGAGAAGTGTCCCAGCTCCCGAGGTAGCCGTTGAAATCGGTATCCGCGAAGGCTTTTTGCATGTTGTGGACTTGCGTCACGTCCCATCTCGGCAAGATCCCGAACTTGGACTCTTTGCCGTACTGAACGCACTTACCATCGATCGGCGCTTCTTCCAAGCACGCGTTGACTGCTTCTTGAAAGTTTTTGTCGTTCAAATGGACAATCACGCATTGCTTCGGGTTCACATCGACCGGGATGTTACACGTCTCGTGGTCGCGGTCGTTGTAGCATCCACCAAAGATGTAAACGTGGTTGGCGTTCGCCGGACCGTGAACTCTCGGGTAAAACTCCATGTTCTCAGCGACGTGTTGCGTCGTGCAGCTGGACATTCTGGAGGCGATGTGCGCCGGGTGACGCGTGTCGAACTCGTTCGCACCAGTATCCGCAATATCGTCTCCTTTGTGCTTCTTGGAGGAGGAGGAGGAGGAAGATTTCTTGGAAGACTTCTTAGATGAAGACTTCTTGCTCTTCGACGAAACCTTTTCTTCTTCTTCTTCTTCAACTTCTTCTTTCGCCTCCTCGATTTCTTCGTCGAGTTCTTCAACTTCTTCGGTTTCTGCCGCCTTAGCCGCGTCGGAACCGAAACCAGCAAAGTGTTTGTTCTTGTGCACCTTCGCGTGCGTCGGTTCGACTTCCTCGACGTCAGCCACCTTAGCGTGGTGAGAGAGCAAGTGTCTGTGATGAGACTTCGTCGACGACGACGACGAGGTCTTAATCTCAAACTCGGAAACTTCCGAACTTGCTTCGGTGGCTTTGTTCAATGCCTTTGACGCTTGTTTCTTGGTGATGCCAGACTTGCCCATCGACGCCGTTTGCTCCTTCACGAAGTCGCCGAGATCATCGCACACTTCCGTCGTCTCGCATTCCTTCTTATATTCCGTGCACTTCGTCTTCTCGCACACTTGCATTGTGCACGTGGTGTTCTCACACGTGATATCGGTGGTTTGGTATTGCGATCCTTGCGACAACGCAGACATCCACCATCCCCAGTCAAAGTACTCGCCGACGACTTCGATGCCGGAAGACTCGAGTTCCTCCTTAGCGACCGCGACGGGATCAGATTTCTTCGAACCTTTCACCGTCTTATCAGCAGCAGCAGAAGAAGAAGAAGAGTGCTTCTTCGAGCTCTTCTTTTCAACCGCACCGTCCTCGGATACCTCTTCCTCGATTTCTTCTTCGACGTGCTTTTTCACCGATTTCTTCGAGGACGCGTGCTTCTTCTTCCCGACGCTCGCCGACAACAACGCGGAGATTTCCTTCGCTCTTTCGTTCGCGTTTTGCTCCGCCGCCACGGCTTGCGCGGCGTAATCGGTGGTAGTAGAGGACGACGATTCCGTGTTGGTCGTCGCGGACGGTTTTAAAACCGAAGAAGACGGACTCATCTTCTTCATCTTCTTCTTCGAAGAAGACGCGGCGGTTTCGCCAATCGCCGCTTCCTCCTCTTCTTCCTCCTCGAGCAATACCAACTTCCCGCCAATATCGCTCACGTAGTTCTCCGGGTTCGCTTTCTCGTACAGGTAAAAACCAAACTTCGCGCCGTTCCCTAACTTGTACGGCGTTTGAAACTTCCCGCATCCGATTTCTTTCATCTCGATCGCGTCTTCGTACGAAAACGTTTTCGATTTGCTCTCCGTGATGAGTTTCGCCCCGACTTTGGAATCCCAACCTTCCGGGTCGAACGGCAAACGTTTCAAGACGTCTCTGTGCGAACACCCCACGGTTAAGGTGACTTTATCGTTCGAACCTGATGCGATCGCAGATGCAGTCGTCGTGGCATCTTCGCCTAAATTCGCCACCGCTCGTTTAAACAGGTCCACGCCTCCTTCTCTTTGAGAAAGATCGCCCAATCGCGACGACGACGATCCCCGCGTCCCCGAAACGGAGTACGACGCGGTGGCAAAAAGGGACGTCGAAACGGCGACGATCGCCGTCGCCGCTTTTAACGGTGACGTGAAAGAAGAAGACTTACTTGTTCTCTTCTGTTCGTCTCCGTTCAAAAGCGCTTGCGTTTCCGACGACGACATGATGATGATGTCAGATGATATACTAAACGCGCGCGTATAAATTTCTGCCGCGTCTGTCCAAGAGTCGAGAGAAAAAAAAGTCGAAGCAGTAGATTTTAGGGTGTCAAAATACACCCTAAATGGAAAAAATGCACTCGGACGACGAAAGCGGAAAATTCGATTTGGCGGCTTTAGTAGTATCAAAGCGAGAGAGAGAGAGAGAGAGAGAGAAGAAGACAAAGAGAGACGAAGAGGATATATACTAAAGCTCTCTCTCTGTGGTGGTTATAAGTAGTAGTAGTAGTACGAGTGTTAAAATTCTTTTTCTTCGATACTATAATACTACTCATGGGTTCCTCTCGCCGAAGGAAGAAAAAACACAAATCCTCCTCCTCGTCGGTAAAAGTTGGAAAACTGTCGCAGACGAGACAGTTCGTGGCGGTGAAATCCGTGAAACTTCCATCATCCGGAGCAGAGCACGCGAAAGAGAGTGAGGAGAACGAAACGAGTTGGAATAAAGAGACGTCGTGCGTGAATAACTATTCCAGGAACGGCCTGGTCTCGAACGCGAACAGGTTTTATTACGTGGGCGGGAGGAACGCGCTGGCAGATAACGTGAAGAATGTGGACGACGACGAGAATGCGAACGCGAGAAAGAGGAAAGCAGCGGACAAAACGTTGACCGAGAACGCAGATCGGGACGAGTTGAGGAAAGCCGTCGGCGAGAGGAGTTCCTCAGGCATCGCGAAACCGAAACGATTGACGCCGAGACAGAAGAGAATCTGCGAACTGTTGATGTCAAAACACGGCAAAGACGTGGAAAAGATGTTTCGAGATATTAAAGCGAACGCGTTGCAGAAAACCAGAGGGGAATTGAAACGCATGCTCGAGAGTTACGAGCATTACGAGGACGAAAACGGAGGAGACCGAATACGCGTAGATTTTCGCGCACCGAAGAAACGACTGTCGATTAAGCGAGCCTTTTAACTTGTACTATTACTAAACTCATTCACTCACGCTAACGCTAAATAATACGCTTTTCTACCAAAACCTACGACGAATACATACTATCATACGAGAGCGTCTTTTAACAACCGTCGTCGGATGACTTCTTCTTCTTCTTCTTCTTCTCCTCCTCCATCTCTCTCTCCAACCGCTCCATCCTCTCCGCGAGTTTCCCGTATCGCCCCTCGTTTTCTTTCCTCGCCTTTTCAATCACGTTCGTTTCAAATTTCTTCTGTTCCGTCATCGCCTCTTCCGCTTTCAACCGCGTTTCCTTCATTTCGTTTTCCTTTCTTAGGAGTAAATTCGGGTGCGGATGTCGTCGCACGTGCGACACCACCGACGCGCTCAACCCGACGGGCACGGCCAACGCTAAAAACAAATGCCACGCGTGATACTCCCACCGTCTCGTGTAATCTTCTCTCGTCTGTTTCTTCTTTTTGTCTTCTTCTTCTTCCTCTTCGAACAACCGTTCGGCGACGTGGAGAAAATCGAATTTCCCGTCTCGCCGAGCGATGGAATCGATCGATTCTTCTTCTTCTTTGTTGTCTTCTTCTTTTTTCGACGACGACGACGAGGACGAGGAGGAAAAAAAGTTACCGACGCCGCTGAAAAGCGTTCGCTCTCGCTGCTCGCAAAAAAGCCGCGGTTGTTCTCGTCGTCGTTGTTGTCGTGCGTGTTGCGTCAACCATCGAAGAATTGGAAGAGTTTTGCGAGAAGACATTTTTGTGCAGAGGAAACTGTCTGTACGCAATAGAGAAACACCACCAAAAGAGATGAGGTTCCACACCCGTTAAGAGAGAGTTTGAATTCCGAGACCTCCTCTGCTGTTTTTAGGAACTTCTTATGTATTTTTCTTCCGTTTGGCGATCCCATGTATCTCCATCCACTCTTGGTTGGACACCAAAATACTCGATGATATACTATGCGTTGTTCGAAAATAGATCAGCCACATGTCAGATGTGGAATGAAAAAAAAATACGACACATCAAATCAAATCCGTCGCAGACGAATACGAACTCGATACGAGTTATAATTTGCGAAGATGACGACAACAAAAAGGGTGGAAGACGAAGCGATGCTATTCTTTACGACCGACGACGACGGCGACACGAACGACGCGTCCTTGGCGTTGCCGACGGATTTTTTCCACGTCTTTGACGACGAGAGCAAAAACAGAAGAAGAGCAGCAGCAAAAAGAGAAGGCGGATGCAGAAGGGTGGAGGACAACGGGGACGTCGACGCCATCATCTCCGAGAACGCGTCGTGGAACAACGACGACGACGACGTTCAGGAAGATTTTCTTCTCGCACCGCCCCCTCCTCGCGAGGACGACGACGACGACCGAGAAGAAGATGAAGGTATTTTTTTTTCCTCAATAATGTGTTGCTAAAAATACTCACTTCTTTCTTTGCAATAGGATTGAAAACATTCGCCGCGATACAAAACGACGACGAAGACATCATCGACGACGAGTGGAACAAGTTGTTAGAGCGACACGGCCTCGACGTCGAGAAGAGGAGACGCCGCGACGAAGTTTTTATCGGTACTACGAATACTACGAGTAATGCTGAAAAGAAGAAGAAGAAGAAGAAGAAAGAGAAGCGCGATGATCGACTGGCGCCGGCCGAAGCGAAAGCGGCTTCGAGAAAAGCGACGACGACGGAAAAACGAACGCGAGAGGAGTTTATTTTAGCGGTGAGAACGCACGAGAAGTTTCGCGAATACGTGGAGATAATGATGACATGTAGGAAGTTAACCGCGCAAACGAAGAGAGAAAGGGAGAGTTTAGAGAAGAAGGATAAAGAGTTTCTCGCCAAATTAGACGCCGAAAGAGAAAATACTCGTTTGAGCGATGTTTCTCCGTCGCCGACGTCGTCGTCGAACGTGACGACGTTTACCATGGATAGTAGCGAAGAGAGAGAAAACATCGAGTTGTGCAGGATTCCAGATTCGTTCTTCCGGCGAGACTCGTTGGAGCGCATATGCGAAGACGCCAAGTTTAAGCAAGAGCTGAACGCGTTCATGGAGCACTCGTGCGAAAACGCTCGTAAATTTCAAAAAGAGCTGACGGCAATTTACGACGAAACCGATCGAGCATGTGAAAGTTTTGATGCGAAAATGAAAGAGTTGACTCTGCTCGAAAGCAATAACAGTAAAAATTCGCCGAATACTATCGGTGCTACTGCTACAGGCGCTGCCTCGAAGAAACGCAAGCAAGGCGCGGAGGAGGCAGAGAAGGAAACCGTCGACGGCCAAGATAGCGATGAAGACGACCGCTCGTTTCAACTTTCCATGAAATCTGACGAAGCTTTTCGAAACCAGCTTCTCGCAAAATATAAAGATGACATACCCGCACTCGAAGAGGAGTGGTTGAATAAAAAGCCGAAAGGTAAACTCCCTAAGGAAGCCTTGATTGTATTGAAGCAGTTTTGGAACAAAAAAATATGCTGGCCGTACCCAACCGAGGAAGACAAAGCGGCGATAAAAGCCAAAACTACTCTCGATGCGACGCAAATCAACAACTGGTTCATCAATCAACGCAAGCGGCACTGGTTGAAAATGTTCAAATTCGGCAAATCGCCGACGTGTGAGGCGGAGTCAAAGGCTAAATTGCTTGAGAAGTTTGGAAATTTGGACGCCGCGATTGCGTTTTGCGATCGAAACACGAAATCATCCATCGATGTTGAATAATAATGACAATAAGAACAAATATAACAACGATAATAACACATCGCGCTGCGCTGTCTTAATCTATCTATCTAGAATTACAAGTAAAATATACACGCGTGATTTTTTACGACGCCGTCGTTGAATGCAGCACGCCGACAACAAAATCCGCGTTCTGGAAAATGTACGTGCACACTAAACACGTTATGGTCACTCCAAGGACATCCATGCAGACCTGGACGCTGCTCCCCGCATTCGCTGGTTCCTGTCCACAAAATATCAACACGTAAGGCAAAGCTCCACCGACTATCGTCGAACAGACAACAATCGAAAAACACGCCGTAGAAATCGCGAAACTCCCGATTACATCCCTATTCGTCACGTACACTCTCGCGAAACTTCCCACGCCTAAAAAGAACCCGAGCAAAGCGCCAACTCGTAACTGTTTCGATACCGTCTTCCCAAAACTCTCCGCGTTATATTCTATCGCACCGGTCGCTAATCCGGTGATGACTTCAATCGCGCTTTGATTCCCGGCGTTCCCGCCCGCGCCGACTAACATCGTCAGATACAACGTGATGATGACGTTGTCCTGGATTAAAGCTTCGTTGCTCGATAAAACAAAACTCGAGCACGATTGTAAAACGAGCAAAAAGAGTAACCATTTGCCTCTCGAATACGCTTCTTCGAAAACGGTGGCGTTCACTAAGGAGAGGTTGAAGAGCGCGCTCTCGTCCTCGTCGTCAAAATCCTCCTCCTTTTCCTCTTTCCTCGTGTCTCTCGAGGTCGTCGTAACTGTTTTTCCTTTCTTCTTTTCCTTCTCGCTTAAAACGATCCACCCGGCTTGCGCTTCGGCCATTTTTCGAGCCAATCGGCGTTGGACGAGCACGGACTCTTCCCTGTTTGGTTTTTTTCGCGCTTTCGTTTGTTTGGGGTCTTCCTCTTTCGTCGTCGTCGTCTCGATCGTCGACGCGGAAACTAAGTCCGTTTTCCGTCGGTTCCAATTGGACGAGCGTTTGGAGGTTGTCACGTGTAAACAATGAAACGCCTTTTGGTGGCGAGGGTTGATGCAACGACACGACGACGCGCTCGTCGTCGTCGCGCTCATAACAACGCTCGACATGTTTGTTGTTGCTCTTCTTCTTCTTCGTCTTCTTCTTTCGCAAAAAGAGGTGCTTTCGTTGATGACGCTGAATTGTATGACGTGATTTTGCTTAAAAATAGCTGTACAACTTTGCGCGCACGTATGCGTATAATAATAGTGATGAAGCTGTTACAACTTTGCGCGTACGTACGCGCGATAAACTAATAAAGAACTACATTTTCAAGTACCAGGCCAGGTACCAGGTGCAGCTTTTCGAAACGACGGCATCATCGTCAACTTTATTCCAGACGAACCCACGGCGTTTTGAATATGTATTTCGTCGACGTCAGCGCGTACGTGACCGCGAAGAGCGCGTAATACCCCATCATCCCGTAACTTTGCTTCTTTCCGACTCGCCATCGCCACAAGAACGGCGCGGCGAAGAGCAGGAAGAGCAAGCCGCAGATGAGAAACGCGAAGAGGACGAAGAGCTCGTTCGCGGCTTGGATGTTTTTCATGTCGCCCGATGAGAAGGTTCGGAAGGCTAAACCAGCGGCGGTGCCTAATAGGACGTTCATGGTTGGTCCGGCGAAGCAGGCGGCGACGGCCATTTTCGGGCGGCCGTCTCGGGCGACCGTTCGGTTGGCGATGAAGTCGCCGACGGAGTTGCCCCACGCGAGGACGGTGGCGCCGAGCAAGGCTTCGGAGATGCCGCAGATTTTACCTGCGGCGGTGAGTAAGGAAACGACTTCACCGGCGACGACGTCCATCCATACCATGGAGACGAGAAAGGCGACGATGGTGAGCATGCCGGAGAAAAGGCGGGAGGCTGGGTTACTCGTCGTGGTCGGGTAGTTGGTCGTTGGAGCTCTCCTTCGTGCGCTTCTGCTTCTTCGCGTGACGGCGTAGTTGTCTGGCATCAAATGCGGCCAAGCGGTGAAAATGATGGCGGAAAAAGCAGTCGCAACTATACCGCCGTATACGATGCCGCCGTTGTGAATAGTACCGGGATACATCTTCTCCGCCCAGACGAAAAAGAGCGGCGCGCATATCGGCAACGCGCTCGTTTGCCATCGTCTCACGCGACGCCCGTTAAATCCGAGTTCAGGCATAGAGAACTTTAATATCTCGCGAACGATGAAGAGTGGAAGCGATGCTACGGACGTAAACGCGAGCCAACACTGCTTCCAAAGAGACTCGCCGTTTTGCGCGTCGTAGAGCCGACTTTGACGCCATCCGCGCTCCCAAGGGTGATGTAAGATGGACCCGTCGTCGTCGTCGTCGTCGTCATCGTCATCAGCATCGCTAAGTTCGTCGTCGAAAGGTGTTTCTGATGAAATTTCGGAAGCAGAGGAAGAATCGTTGATGTCGTCGTTTTCCTCTTCGTCTTGGTCTTCTTCGTTGTTTTCCTCTTCGTCGACGAGCAAACCTACTTCGGCGTCGTCAACGCCGCGTTCATCGGCGTCTTCATCTTCTTCAGCTATGTCGTCTAAAACGTTGTCTCTTGAACTTCTAACACGATTACGAGCAGTAGCAGCCAATGCAGCGCTCGGCTCTCGTCTTAACGCGGCTAATCTCTCGGCTAACCCGCCGCCAATCTCTCTCGCGTTCCATCCTTCCGGCAGCAACACGTTCGCCACGTACAACGCGTACAACGCAAACAGCTGCAAAGAATTCCTAAACGTCACCTCGCCGACGACTATGCACCTCACCAACGCCATCACACCTAAGCAATAAAACCCGCAATCTCTCGTAAACGCCGTCTTATCGACCTCGACGTACCCTCCGACTCTCCTCCCGCTCCTCAGCCGTCTCGCGTTCAAATTCGATTCCGGCGCCGCGAGCACCACGGACGGAAACACCACGAACGCGATAAACATCCCCGCCCCTAAAACCGCCCCTAAAGCTAACGGTATCCCGTCCGTCTCCTCGTTCGAGCTCAAATCATTCAGCGCGGCAATCTGTGCGAAAATATCCGGCGCGCCGTTCCCAAACGCCAGCAGCGTCGCGCCCGCCACCTCGTCTCTCAGCTTTAAATACACCGAAATCTTCGCCAACGCCGGGCAGAAAAAGCACTCCGCGACCGTCGCTAACACGTGAAAGAACAGCGCAATCAGTAAAAACGCCAAGGAAAAGAGTAACACGTTTCCCGAAAGCTCCGATCCTCCTCTTTTCGTCGCCCAGTTGGAGACGCAATAGTACGTTTTTCGGTAGTTTATGAACGCGTTGTTGGCGCTTTCGAGGCGGCAGGACGGCGTCGTTTTCACGTACTCGCACCGGTCGTCGCGTGCGACCGAGAGTGGTTCGCACGCCTCGTCGATGTTATTCGTATCGTCGTCGTCGATATCGTTTTTGTTGTCGGAGAGTCGACTGATGGCGTCGTTGCTGTCGCGCACACTTCCTGCGCTCGCGAGGCGATTCTTCGACGAATCCACCAAAGTCGACGACGCTTTGACGACGACTAAGAGGGCAGAGGAAACGACGAAAAAGACGAGACGACGACGATGGTAACGATTAGTACGACCACCGAGGTGGCGTCTTCTTCTTCGTCTCATCTTCGGCTCTTCTTTATTCTCCATGTTTTCTGCAAGCTCAAGAAGGTTCGGGAAAAGAAGTGAAGAATTCGTCATTTCGTCCCGGGACTAAACTGCGCATCATAGATGACGACACAAAAGACGACGACATCGGAGGAGGACAACAACAACAACAATACTAACTACAACGAGCGCTATTCGTTAGTGGTGCTGAAAAAAAAACGATTCGTCAAACGATTCCGCGCGTTATCTCCGCTCTCGCAATGCGTCTCTTTGCTCCTTCTCTCGTGTTACGTGCTCGATACGTGCTCGGACAGGTTTAACGCGCAATTCGGGTTACAACTGAGCATAACCGGTATACTCTCGAAACCGTGGACGTTGATCACCTCCCAGTTCATGTGTCCGTCCGTTATTGTGTTGTTGCCGATGATTGGGGCGATCGCGTTCGCGATTGAAATTCTGTTGAAACGAGCGTTCGTTGGTGCGAGAGTGGTGTGCGAGTTGGTATTCGTCGCGTCCGCGGTGTGCGGCGCGCTTTATTTCTCGTTCGATTTCACGCGTCGCGCACTTTTCGCGGAAGAACTCACGGAAGAACCACTCGCGCTCGGGCCGCACGGAGTGCTCGGCGGTTTGTTCGTGCTCTGTCAGAAGTTGAAGAACGAGCTGAGCGACGAGGAGAAACTCAGGCGACTGGCGAGGTACGCGCCGACGTGGTATCTGGTAGTCGCGGTGTTTCTAGGCGGGGAGATGAATCGAGAGGAGAGGGTGTTTGGATGCGCTTTGTTCGGAGTCGTAGGAGGCAACGTCTATTTTCGATGGAGAGGACGGGAGATGTTGGGGATGAATTATCACAAAAACGCGAAGAGCGGGGCGGAGGAGAGCGAGAGCGAAGAAGTCGTCGACGAAGAGTTAAAAAAGAAGAAATTGCGAGAAGAGTTAGGGAAGAAAGCGCTGATGGAGCGGATGAAACAGAAAGAAGCAGAGAAGGAGAAGACGAGTAGTAAGTAGTAGCAACGCGAAATCGACGACGTAGTAGAAAACAGCAGTTCATTTAAAAAACACGAACATATATATAGTCGACTCATTTTAGAACTACTGATATTACAACTCCCCGATCGGCTTTACTACTCGATGCGTTTAAAGTTTCTATAACTGACGACAGCATAAAACGGATCCGAACTCGCTCGTTTCATAAAAGTTTTCATCATTTTTACGAATACGTTTTTCTCGTCCTCCACGCCGTCCGGTAACACCTCCGTGATAACCTCCGGCTCCGTGAACCCGCTCACGTTTTGAAAATAACTCTTCACCAATTGCGTCCTCGAATACCCGGTTCCGTCTCTCCACACGCTCAACGCCTTCTCGTAAAACATGCGGTTCGAATAGGAGATAATCACCACCCCGCCGGGTTTTAAAACGCGAAATATTTCCTTGAACAGTTCCTCGCCTCGTTGCATGTATTGAATCGAAACGCACATCGATACCATGTCGAACGTCTGATCTTCCGCCTCTATCGTCGGGTTCTCGTTAAAATTCCGCACGAAAAAGTTCCCCTGAAACTGCCTGTTTCTTTTCAGCTCCTCTCGATTCAACCCGTGGCCTAACGCGTACTCGTACTCGTACGGGTAGTGAGATACGTGCGACGAACACAAGTCACACACTTTGAAACTCGCCTTCGTTCTTTGTCGATACAGTCGAGTGAGTTGCTCTAAAAAACCGTCGTCCACGTGCGTGCAAAACCGAGGCGCGCTGTACCAGAGCGAATCGTCGCTTTCGTTGAGTTTCGTTCGCTCGGTGCGGTCGATGACTTGCGTTCGCTTGAGCGTACCCGCGCTTTCATTCGACGACGTCGACGAGTAAAATGTCATCGCTTTCTTACTCCTCAAAACGCGTTTTACTCGTCGTCCCAGATGTCCCCGATCTTTTTCCCGGTTGTTTGCCAACGACGACGACAACGACGACACTCCCGACGACTGAGACGACAAAAGCGTCGTCATTCTTTACGAGTTGGTGTGGAATACGCACGCGCTTTCGGGAAATGACGCACAAAAGCAGTTAACTGCTTTTCCTCATTAAAAGACTACTTTTGCGTTTTGAATAAAGATGGCACCATCACCACCATCTAATGTATCTGTCGCGGTCTTTTCTTTTCTCTTAAAGAAGTCGAGAACGACGACAATGCAAGCGAAAGTATTTCCCGCTTTCGCCTCCTTTTCGTCCTCCTCTAAACATAGAAAGAATGAGTTGGGGAAAAATCTGCACAAAGAGAGCCAGCTCTCAGGTGAAGCATCGCAACGCGCGTACTTACGCGACCTGGAACAGATTCACTTGAAAAAACGCAAACTCGAACACGAACGAGAGGAGAAAGAGGCAAACGTTAAAAGAGAAATGATGCGAGAGATGCTGCTGAGGGAAAAAAAGAGAACGAGTGCACGCGAGGAGAAGGATTTGAGGAACGTGTTGATGGCGTTGGTCGGCACGGCCGTGTCCGCGACGTGCTACGCGATGCATTACGGATGATGATAAAGACGACTAAAGCTGCTCTTAGAGCATTCTTTATATTAGTTTTCTACACATAGCAACGCGCTGTTCTACTACTACTACTACTACTACTACTACCACTACCACTACCATGCTGTCTTTTCGTCGTCACCCGAGCACTCTCGAACACCTTCTGACTTTCGCGTCGAAGCTGGCGTTCGTCGCCAACCAATCTATTTCACCCAAGTGGTCGTCTGAATCGCCGTAAAAGAATGGACACATTCGTACTTTCGTCGTCGCTTCGTGTACGCTTTCGAAAAACTGTTTCACGTTTTGTTCCTCTCGTTTCGTCGTTAACAGGACGAAGTGGATGTTGCCTTGCGTTACATACGCGTGGATGAAGCAATCGGAGTCGAAGGTGTCGATGATCTTTAAGTACGTCGCGTGCGTTTCCCATTTCCGTTCGTTGAGTCGGTCTAAAGATGACGCGATGACGAATTGGCGCAAGTGTCTCGCGTCGTCCTGTTGTGTTTATTAAAGGGTATCGTAAACGTCGTCAGTGTTGTTCGTCGTCTCATCCCAGCGGGGAGAAAATGTATACACAAAGAGGAAAAACGAAAAGAAGACAAAGACAAAGAAGAAAAGGAACAAAAAGAAAGCACACGTACCCTTCGCGTGCTCCCGAAATCGGCTTCGTACAACGCTCGGCCCGTGCGGCCGTCGACGACGCAAAACGCCGCCACGCCCGCAACCATTTATGCGTCTCTTTGCGCGTGATTTAATGTGAAAATTTCACCGGAATTTCATCAGTACACCACAAGTCACTTTTTGTCTCTGTTGTTTGTTTGTGTCGCTGAACAACAACAGTAAACGCGCGTCATAAAAACGACGATGGCCTCCTCCTTTGGTTCCTCCTCCTCCTCTTTTCACGAACCGTTCGAAAAAGCGTACGATGCGCTCCTCGAGCTCGCCTCGAAAAACGCGAGGAAGCATTCGAGTTTAATCGAATCTCTGAATGCGAGAACGGAAAGGTTGAAGAATGTTTCTGATGATGATTTGCACGACGACAACGACAAGTTCTACGAAAAACGAACGGAAGATTTAGAATACTTTCTGGAACCGATCGAAATCGCGTTCAAGTCGAAACACGCGAGCATGGAGGAGAGAGCGGTGATTTGTCTCACGTCGTTAATTGGCGGGAGGATGATTACCGGGAGATGCTTCGAAGAAGAAGAAGACAAAGAAGGCAAAGAAGAAAACGAGGAGGATTCGAAAGATAATTTGGAGAAAGAGGACAAAGAGAAGAGAAGAGTGGGAGGAGAGAAGACAGAACAAACCAGGCGCGAACGTTTGTGCGCGAAAGTCGTCGACTTGCTCTGCTTCGCGTGCGGCGAATCGGGCGACGAGTCGGTGGAGCTGCAAGCGCTTTTAGGAGTGTTGGCGTGTTACATGTCGAGATCTTTTCGAGTGAGTGGAAAGATGTTGAGTCGAATGATCGAGTCGGTGTGTAAGTGTCACGCGATCTCGAGATCGGAAACCAATCGAGGGGTGGCGAAAGCGGCGTTGGTGCAGATGATTTTCGCGAACTTTACGAGAGTGGAAAAAGGCGACTCGAGTGCGTTTTCGAAAATGGTTAAAGTTTCGGACGTTTTAGGTGGTGGTGGTGGTGGTGGTGGTGGTGGTGGCAGGAATGATGCTACAAAGGATGACACGAAAGACGACGTGAAAGACTCCACGAATTTACCGTCCACGTCGTACGAAACGCACGTAATGCGGGAAAATTCCTCCGTGCCGACGATTAGTAACTATACTAGCGGACAACATCATCACTGGTCGGACGAAATCGTGACCTTTGCGCAAAAGTTTATTGCAAAAGCCGCGTCGTGTGGGAAAACGCCGCAAGCGTATGCCCCGCACTCATCTGAAGAGAAGAAAGCGAAAGCGGAAAACGATCGATACATTCTCGAAGATTGCGCAGAAATTTTTCGCGCGCTTTCTCGGATCGCCAAAGGTGCGGGTTTGAAGACGGCAAACGCCGACGCGGCGAGTATTTCTCGCGGGAAATTGCTAGCTTTAGATGCGTTGCGCATTGCCTGTCAAAATGTCGGCAACGCTTTCGTCGATGATCCCATCTTTTCTGATACCATACGCGAGTACGTCTTGGACGCGGTCGTTTCAAATGCCATCTCCGAAACGGTCCAAGCGCCCGAGCTTTGTAAAATTTCGCTCGGCATCTTCCAAAGCATTTTATGCACGCAAAGATTTCGAGAAAAGTTAAAATCGGAAATCGGCTTCTTCTTCCCTCGATTGTTTCTAGATCCGTTAGAGTTCATCTCTGGAGGTGCACCGAATTCACCGCATAGCAAACGGTCCGTCTTGTTGACTATTTTGAGCGACACCGTCGCGCAAGACGCGCAAACGTTGGTTGATTTGTTTGTCAATTTTGATTGCGATATTTCACAGCAAAACGCGTTCGAACGGTTGATTAACTTATTGGTTCGAGTCGCACAAGGCGTAGAAGTTTCCAATTTATCCGGCGCGGATGCGGCGAGAGAAACGGTGTTGAAAATGGAAGCACTCGGGTGTTTGACGAAAATTTTGAAAGCGCTTGGCGATTGGGTGGAACAGAACTCGTCGTCGGGGAATAAAGAAGAACAGCGAGTCGCGCACGAAATGAAATCAAATGTAACGAAGCACGTAGAAGATACGGAGTCGATGATGATTACGCCGACGAAAGTGGACGCATCGAACTTGGTGCAAAAGAAACTCGACAAATCCGAGTTTCAAGAATGCGTGAAATTGTTCAACAAAAAACCGAAAAAGGGTATCGCGCACTTAAAAGCGATTGGTAAACTCGGCGAAGGCACGCCCGCAGATATAGCGACATTCCTAAGAACAGCACCAAATTTAGATAAAACTGTCGTCGGCGACTACCTCGGCGAGCGCGAAGACGAGAGTTTAAAAGTTATGAGAGCGTACGTGGACGCGATGGATTTTAGCGGCTTCGGTTTAGACGAGGCCATTCGAAAGTTCTTGGAAGGCTTTCGTTTACCCGGCGAGTCGCAGAAAATCGATCGGTTGATGGAGAAGTTCGCGGAACGGTATCACGCGCAGAACCCATCGCAGTATAGAAGTGCAGATACGGTGTACGTTTTAGCCTTTTCCGTGATCATGTTGAACACGGATGCGCACAATCCAGGAGTAAAGAATAAAATGACAAAAGAAGGCTTCTTGAAGAACAATCGCGGCATCGACGATGGCCAAGACTTGGACCAGGAAGAGCTCGGAGCTTTGTACGATCGCATCGTGAACAACGAAATCAAACTCAAAGACGAAAACGCGAAGAAAGCGAGCAATAGCGAATCGTCCTCGAACTTGAACAACTTCCTTGGCATGGATATTTTGCTTTCGCTCGTCGGGCAAAAACCAGCAATCGCGGAGGAGAAAATTGATGTCCGAGAACTCATCGAGGAAGTTCGCGCCAAAGCAAAACGTGAAGACGTGGATAATTTTCTATCTGCATCGGACGCTAAATGCGCGGCACCGATGCTTGACGTCTCGTGGCAAGCGCTTTTGGCGGTTTTTTCGGTTACGTTTGAAGGCACCGAATCGGCGAAAATCGCGGCGTTGTGTCTCGATGGGTTTTTTAGCTCGATTCACATGGCATGTAATTTAGGCATGCTTGCCGCTCGAGACGCGTTCGTTGCACCCTTGGCGCGCTTGTGCGGCTTACGTAATCCGTCCACTATGCGGACGAAGAACATTTTAGCTTTGAAGACGTTGGTGCGCGTTGGCGAAACCTTTGGCGATAGTTTAGGAGATACGTGTTGGGTGCACGTGTTAAAGTGTTGCTCTCGATACGAACATTTGCACGCTTTGGCGGGTGGATTTGACGACTCTTCCGTGTTTTTGAATACCAAGGACGAAATTATAGTTCCTTCTGGTTTAGGAGGTCATACGCCGAACCGCTTGTTCCGTCGCGATTCCTCCGCAGAGATTATTTTGACCTCACCTTCAACAACAACAGTGCGCGCGACTGGTACTGATGCTTCGAGCGGTGACGACGCACTCGCGGCAGCAGCTGTTGCCGAACAACTCGCGCGAAAAGCCTCCATGCACGACGCAAAAATCTCGCTGGTGCCGTTAGAATCCGTCGCTCCTCCGTCGCAGCACGTGCTCGAACAGTTACATCCAGATAGTTTTAACGGGTTGTTCCACGACTCGAAAAGATTGTCGGGTGAAGCTATCGTTGATTTTATGCGCGCTTTGTGCAGATTAGCGACCGAAGAAATGAGCGCCGAACGACCGCGTTCTTGCGCTTTATCGAAACTAGTCGAGACGTGCGCATTTAACGTCGAGCGCGAGCGATACGTCTGGGCCAAAGCGTGGATCGTCTTGAGCGACTTTTTCGTCAAAGTTGGAAGCGAACATAGAAACGTGAAAGTGTCCATGTTTGTCGTGGACGCTTTACGTCAACTCTCCATGAAGTTCTTGCAGCGCGCGGAACTCGCGAATTATTCGTTCCAGAACGATTTCCTTCGGCCGTTTGTCGTCATCATGCAACAATCGCCGTCGTTTGAAGTGAGAGAACTGATCGTTTCTTGTGTCGCCCAAATGGTTGAATCTGCCGTGGATGGGATAAAATCCGGTTGGAAATCCGTGTTTATGGTATATTCAGTCGCCGCGGCGGATGAGAACCCAAAAGTTGTGTCCACAGCGTTTTCCACTATCGAACGAATCATTCGCCATAACTTTTCCAAGATTATCGAAACCGACCAAGCAGCGTTTACGGATTGCGTGAATTGCTTAGTCGCGTTTACGAACTCGTACGACGCGCCAGAGGTAAGTTTGAACGCATTGGCGTTCCTTCGATATTGCGCGTTGCAGTTAGCAGATGGAGCGCTGGGTGATTTGAGTTTGCCGAAAGTTAAAGCGTCGACATCAGGAGGAGGAAACGAGGACTCTCGAGACGACGACGAAGAAAGTTTCCAGCAACAACATCAAGAACCATCCACGCCTCGCGAGAAAGGTCCGACGCATTTTACAGACACGGAATCACACACTTATTTCTGGTTCCCGCTCTTAGCCGGTCTCTCTGAACTGGCGTTTGATTTCAGAGAAGACATACGAACGAGTTCGTTGGAAGTGTTATTCGATACGCTCAAGTTTCACGGGTCGTCGTTTGAACCTGGATTTTGGGCGCGCGTGTACGACGCCATTCTATTCCCGATGTTTGACGTCGTTCGTGCGACAGAGTTTGACAGCTCCGAGGCTTCGGAAAAGCAAAAGAACGAGTGGTTATACGGTGCCTGCGATAGATGCCTGACGCTCGTCGTCGATTTAGCCACCACGGAAAGTTTCTTTGGCAACATCATCGACGCCGGCGTTTGGCCTAAACTCTGCGATTTGTTGGACAACATTAGTGGAACCTTTGCGCACGAACAGTTAGCTTCGTGCGGCGCGCTCGCGTTCCGGCGCTTGTTAGAAGGATTAGGGAAGAATACCACCAAAACCAGATTGAACACAAACGAGTGGTCTTTAGCGGTTGACAAACTCTGTAACGTCTTCGATTTGAAGCATCCGTCAGTTCTCCTGGTAGGTTGCGTCGGCGAGTGTTTGCACAAATCGAGGAAGTCGATGCCAACCGAATGTAAAAAGATGTTGTTCGAGAGAATGCAAGTTATTCACGAAGAAGAAAAGTTCGAAATGAGTCTTCGCGTAAACGCCGGTTCCGTTTTAGTCGCCTTTTGCGACCAAGACGAGGAAGACATTCGCTTCCTCCAACGCGCGATGGTATTCGCGCTACACGAATACGAGAGGTGTGCTTCTTGCGTGGGCTCAGAAACTGCGCGGAAAGAAACCAGTACGCGCGCGCCGTTAGCGGTGCAGTGTTTAAAACAGCTCGTAAAAATCGACGGCGCGTTTGAAAAGAAGAAGTTCGTCGACATCCTTTCGCGTCTCGTCGGCACGAACGAACAACCGAACGAGGTCTTATCGGCTTTAGGCGAAGTGTTTGGAGTAAAAGTCGCCCCATTGATGATAGGTACGGGAGAAGGCGACGGCGAATCATCATTTTCCGCGTGGTCTTGGTTTTAATAATATATTATTGAATGGTATTTTGATCTTACAAAAATATAGGACGAACGAATCTCTTCTTTCTCCTACAAAAGTTGGACTGGGGATTATTGTGTTATGCTGCCTATTTTACAGTCCTCCATTTCTCTTCTTTCTCTCTATGATACACGCTTTTGCAACAACAAAAAATATTAAACGTAAACAACGTCTCCGCGTTACGTGAACGTCACGCCGTCACTCGTCGGGTCGATGCGCTTGCGTCTCTTTTCCATGTATAAGCGCCTGGAAATAAAAGTTGAAGAGGAGGAAAGAAGAAGAAGAGACAAAGAAGTCAGTTTTGGTGTTTTCGAGAAAAACACAGCTCACAAGAAGCAGTTCAAGAAGAGAGAGCGTTTTCAACGAGAGCTTTCTTCCTAAAAAAGTAAATTTTGATTTGTTTTCGAGACCAAAAAGCGCTCTCTCTTTCTGGGCCACACGAAAATATCGCATGGCCCACATGGGAAAGAAGGTCAACTTTTGGCAGGCAAAACTACTTTTTTTTCCCGCGAAAAGGGAAAACATTTTGTCGAAGAAAAGCAGCGCTTAACCACGCGTTGTGTATCGTACCTCAACTGTAAATCAGCGACTGGAATCGGGATCGGTTCCGACGAGAACGTGTTGTGATGAAACAAAGCGTGCGTAAAGCACGCGTCCGTGGAACTGTTCGATCGCGCGATCGCGTCTTCCGTCTCTTCTTCCGTTTCGTCTTCATAAATTTTCTTTTTCTTTCTCGTTTTGTTGTTGTTCGTGTTGTCTGTTGCTAGGTTACCACCTAAAAGTAATTCCTTCTCGTGCTCTTTGATGAGTTCGTTTAATAACATTTTCTTGATCGGACTTTCCATGTGCTTGGAGGAGCTGTCGGCGGAGGACTCGGAACTCCGTCCTCCCACCCGATGATGCTCTTTTTGCCTTCGCTCGTCGTCATCATGCGCGCAACACTCGAACCCGACGCGACAATCGATCCGAGTTTGCATCATCTCTCTCAAGCCTTTTTCTTCGTTACCCGCAATTTTTATTACAAAAATTAAAGTTATATATATATTAGAGTCAGAGCGCGCGGCGACAACCAAAAGAAAGATTGCCGAGATATTATTAAAGATGAGTGTATTCCTCGCGCGTTTATCCCGTTGGATCTGGTTTTATGCGGTCGCAAACACGGTTCGAACGACGATTCGTTTGCGCGGAATTTCTGTCGATTCGTTTTCCCTTCGTCTTTGTCACTTTTTCTAGAGGCGTTTCCCGGCGATCTTTATGGACTCTTCGTCTCTAGGGTTGTAAACCCTAAGCAGACTTGAGGCAATTTTTGAGCAACTTTCTGACAAACAACAGAAGAAAACTTTTGTGCGCGAAACTCTCCTGGTTAATAACAGATCGGACTTTACGTTGAAGTTCGTAAACGGTATAACGTTCGAATCGTCAGAGAGTTCGCGTTGTATTTTCAGAAATTTTAACCGCTTCAGGAAGCGCATTAAAAACACGTAAGAACACACGCAATAAATGTCCTCCGGGAAGAAAGCCTTGACCTCGAAACTCCTCCACGCGACGATGACGATGATGCGAGGAGGAGGAGGACAACAACAACAGCAAAAAGAACAATTCGTCAAAAAAGTCGTCGTCTGTGGACGCGCCAAGCGAGGCCTCTACCACGGGAAAACGGTCCGTTTTGGAAACAACGTCAGCGAGGACGGAGGGAACAAAACGAGACGGAAATGGTCCCCGAACGCGAAACGGAAACGATTATATTCGGAGGTTTTAAACCGGATGGTTCCGATGCAAGTCACCGCGCACGCTTTGAAGTGCATCGATAAAGCCGGTGGGTTGGATAATTACGTGTTGAACACGCCCGTGGCGAAGATGATGAGTTTGAAAGGGATGGAATTGAAAGAGAAGATGACTCGAGCGCTTTCGGAGGAGCGACGGCGGCGCGGCGAGGAGGAGGGGGCGAAGGAGGATTCAAACGAGGCAGAAGGAGAAGAAGAAGAAGAAGGGGAGACGAAGACGCCGAAGCGACCGCCGCCGCCGCGTCCGAAAACAAAGTCGTAGTGAAATAGAAATATAATAGAACGGTAGTAGTATATATAGTCCTCGTTTTTTAAAGCGTAGTAGTATCGCCGCCGATAAGACGATAAGAGAAGGAAACCGAAGTTCTCTCGGGGTCTCTCTCTCTCTCTCTCTCTCGAAACTTCTTTTGGTTCAACGTCGTCGCCGTCGTTCGTTTTGCACCTTTTCTCGCGTAATCCTTCATCGTTTTTTCTCGTCGCTTTATTTCTCGATATCCTACCTTTCTTTTCGGATCTTCGTCACTTTTCTCGCCTTTCGCAAGTTTTGTATTCATCATTGATAACATCGATATCATGCCCTCCAAATCCACCTCTCGAAAGAGTAAAGGAGGAAAAGAAAACGAACGATTCTCTTTTCCGGCGGTGCCGAAAAACTGCGTCGTCACCGGTGGCACCGGTTTCGTCGGCCGACGATTAGTCGAAATGCTCGTCGAACGAGGCGCTGAGAAAGTCGTCGCGTTTGACATCAGTCCGAAACCATTGGACGTCGTGGACGATGACAATGATGCGAAGAAGGATTCAAAACGCATAGTGTGGATGCAAGGGGATTTGAGAAAGTTATCGGATGTGAAGAAAGCGATCAAAGGCGCGGATTGCGTGTGGCACATCGCCGCGTTGGTGGGACCGTATCACGAGAAGGAGATGTACGAACAGGTGAACCACGTCGGGACGAAGAACGTGATCGAGGCGATGAAGTTTCACGGGGTGACAAAGTGCGTCATGAGTTCAAGTCCGAGCACGCGGTTTGATGGGAACGATATCAACGGGTTGAGAGAGGACGAGTTAGATTTTCCAAAAGTGTTTTTACAAGAATACGCCGAGTCGAAAGCGAGAGGCGAGAAGGCGATGATGAAGGAGAATAACAATAAAGATTTTTTTAGCGTAGCCGTGGCGCCGCACCAGGTGTACGGGCCGAGAGATTACTTGTTCTTGCACAACTTTCTGTTGAACGCGAAACGGTTGCGGATTTTTGGCGACGGGGAAAACTTAATATCCGCGTGTTTCGTGGATAACTATTGCCACGGTTTGATTTTAGGCGAACGCGCGTTGTACCCGGATTCCCCGGCGTTGGGTAAGTTTTACATCTGTACCGACGGCGAACCGATTAAACTGTGGGAAATGATTGATAACGCGTTCGTCCGACTCGGCTTTAGAAGTTTAAAAACCAAGTTTGGGTTACCTGGTTGGGGATTTATGATGCCGCTGGCGAAAGCGTGCGATGTGGTTGGCTACGTTCTCGGTAAAAAATTCAAACTGACGCCATTTTCTGTTCGAATGTTACTCATCAACCGTTACTTCGACATCTCCAACGCGAAAAGAGACTTGAACTACGAACCCATATACTCCTACGACGACGCTTGGGAAATAACCATGGATTGGTTCGAGAAAGAGTGGATGCCGAAACACGCTCCCGAGGTGGAAGTGCCGACGAAGAAAGGTGGGAACGCGAAGAAACGGTAACAACGGCGCGCGAGTGACCACTACCACGTCACGTGTTATTAGAATTTGTAAACGCGCTCGAATACGAATTAAAAAAACGTAATCTCCGCCCGCGTCTGAAAAGTGTTTGCGGTTTCTCTCTCTCTCTCTTTCTTTCTCGCGAAAAATATCTCTTTCATCATACTTTCGATATCTTTCCTTCTCGGCCTCTAGTTTTGGATATCGTCTGACGTCACAAAGCGAAAGAACATGTTCGCCTCCTCCTCTTCCGCGGCGCGAGCAATCATTTGCGCGCCTCAACTCACCAAAAAAATCACTTCTCGACGAAGGAACGGACGTAAAATGTCCACCAAAATCAACGGTTTCATGACGTTGCGGTCGGAGCCAGACGCCCCGGCGCGATCGGTTACGAGTGATGATGTCTCTTCGTGGCCGGAAATCGAAAGGCAATTGGTCAAGGCGTGCGCGATATTCGCCGGCGATTCTTCCGTGAACGGGCGAATGCAAGCGGCTGGCCAACTCGGTCCACACACGACGCACGATGCGGTGAGCGAAATGAGCGTCGTGGAAGTGTTTACGACCGCGTACGAAGGGAGTTTGGAAGATTGCAGCACGATTTTGGACGTGCACTATCGATTGTTGGGTGCGTTCGTTTCCTTTGAATGACTTTCATTTTTATTCTTAAATCAAACGCGCGTACTTACCTCACGTTACCTCATCAATACAGCTGAAACGCTCATTCAAGGGAACACGGAGTTAGTCGAGCACGTGTACGAGAAATTTGCGGCGTTACCACCGAGATTACGCAAATCCAGTTTGCGCGCCACGGCGGCGTGCGCCGAAGCCGGATTGTTGCACACGAGAGAAGAGTACGAGATGATGAACGCGGTGTTGAGCGAAGTCGTGGAGAGCGGGGACGCGGACGAAGGCGCTTTGATGGAGTTCGAAAAGAACAACGCGATGTTAAAAGCGATGGACGATATGTTAGAGGCGATGTTGAAAAACGTCTCGGATTGGTAACAGAATTTGAGCGATACTCTTTCCAGATAGACTTATTAGCGCGCGAGAGAGTCAAATAGCAGAAAATTTTTAATACGATAGTCACACGCGCAAAGAATCCATTGTTGAATTCGTTCGTTCTCTTCTTCTTCTTTTCCATTATAATTAGTAAATATATGATGAACAACGCCTTAAAAGTTAAACTTCAATCGTTCTTACTCAACTCCGTTCCTGGCGCTCCGAATATCAACGCGTGCCAAGCAAACACGATGAACAACATCCCGCCAACCGCCGCGACCAACCTCTGACTAATTTTCAACGCCAAAATCTTCCCCCCAATCACCGCTAAACTCGTACAAAACGCGTGCCCGATTATCGCTCCGATGGTAACTCCGTACGGGTCTTTATGCGCGGCCAACGCGATGGTGGTAATCTGCGACCGATCCCCCCACTCGGCTAAAAACGTCAACACGAACGCCTCCAAGAAGATGGGCGTACACACTCGACTCAAAATCCGCCTTATCTTACCTTTCGGCGCTTTCTCCACGTCGATTTTCTCCGCCACTTCGTCCACTTCATCTTGCATTGAACTCCCCGGCTTTGACCGCCACGCGATGTAAAACAATCGGCACCCGAAAAACGTGTACAACACAAACGCGCATTTGTTCACAACTTTCGGACTGATTAACATCGGTGCCAGAACCCCCATCGCGGTCGATAACACCGTCATGATTGCCAACGCGCTCAACGCCCCAGACAAAACTATCAAACGTGGATGACGCATGGCCATGATTGCGGCGATAATGAACGTCTCGTCCCCTAATTCCGCCACTAATATCATCGCTAAAGAGGAGACGAAGGCGTCTTTGAAGTCGCCGACGCCGTCCCCGTCCGAGTCTTTGAAATCTTCCTTCGAGTCTTTGTCCGTGTTGTGGATGCTAAATTTTCTACTCAATCCTCCCTCTTGTTGTTCTTGCGCGGAAACTGCAGAACATGTCGAAAAAAGAGCGACGATTATGATCATCATCATCAGTATCGTCATACGAAAAGGAGTCTTCTTCTCAAAGCGTCGATTCGACGAGACCATCGTCATCATCGATCGCGGTTTAATAAAAGTCTTATCTCTTGTTTTGTGTGATTGAATTTTTTGACGATTTTGGTCGTTTTTGGGAGGAGGAAAAAAAAGGAGAAAAACGAGAAAGAAACGAGACTTTTTACTCCGAGCGGCTTTGCGAAACGAAGCGCGCGATCGCCGTCGTCGCAGCTTTACTACAGACCAGCGCGAAAGAGAGAGGTCTCGTTTTTGTCTTTCCGCGGTAAAAATAAAAGTCAGAGGAACATTTTTGTATTCTCGTATATTTATCGCACAACGACAGCGCTCCGGGTATTGCGCCCGTACGTTACTCTTAATATTAGTATTACAGCTCTCGAACGCCACATTTTCTTACAATCTCTCGGAACCCTTTTTCGGTGACCTCGAGTAGTACGTCATCTTTGTTTTGTTTTGAATCGAGATGATTATTGATGCGAATAATCTCGCCTTTCGCTTCGCTCAACTCGTACGCCCGAATCATGTTCTCCACGTCCAAGACGGTCCAATTTTGGTACCCGAATTTGACGCACATTTCGAGAAGGTTTTGGATCGAAAAACCTTTCATCACTCCCCCTTTTCCTCTTCTTCCTGCTTTTTTTTCATCGTCGTGATCTTTTTCTGAGTGGTGGTGTTGTTTTCTATCCTCCTCGGTTTTCCCGGCGGCGCAGAGCTGTTCGAACGCGCATTTGATCGTTTCTCTCGAAGGGTGCTTTCCCCGTCTTTTCTTCTTTGTCTTCTGAACATCTTCTTCTTCTTCTTCGTCGTCGTCCGACGTTGTTGTCGTTCCGCCGCTCGTGGTGCTCGAACTCAAAACGACCCCCTCCTCCTCCTCTTCATCATCTGCTTCCGGTACTCGTCTTTTCTTCCGTCTCGATGATGATGCTTTACCGCGCATTTAGTTACACCATCAGTACAAACGCTTCGTAAAAAAGGAGAAAAAAAAAGCGAAACGTGAGAGTTGAAGCAAAAAGCAGATCATCATGTAAAGAAGAACAAACGTATACTACTACGAGAAGACGCGAAAATCGCGAAGAAGAAGTTCGATGCTCACATCGTCTTAAACTTCCTCGTCGTCCAATTCATCGTTTAAAACGCGTGAAACCACGATCATCTCAAATATTTAAGACAACAAGGAACAACCAGAAGACATGATTCCAAATCAAAGAGCACATGTTGCGCATGCGAGAAGAAGAAGAGTTTCGTTTCTTGGAATTGACGACTCTCGTAAAAAAAAAAGCTCGAGATTGTCAAAAAAAAGGCACGAGAGAGAACAAAATTTTATTCTCTTCTCTCTGTAGCGAGAGAGTCTGTCGTGCGCTTTCTCGTCATCGTTCGTGTATAATTAGGAGTAGTGTAGTGGTGCATTAATATTCGGTGGTGGTTTCACGAAAGTGAGGAACTTTGAGGTCGTCGTTTCTTTTAGAGAAGGAAGGAGAGAGAGGAGCGGAAAGAAGAATTGGATTTGAAATTTTATCTAAATAACGAACTCTTTCTTTTAAATCATCATGTTCCGGATGCGGAAGGAAAGAGAGTCGCAGTCTTCACAAAACTCGGCGTCTTCCTCCCCACCGAGAAGCAGTAATAATACGAACGACAAGTGCAATTATAATTCAGTCGGGTGCGCGGCGTTAGTCTTAGACGCGCCGACGAGGAAACCATCGAAAGCGTTGAAAAACTCGGGGTTTCCGAGAACCCATTTTAAGTGTCCAGATGGGAGATACGCGCTTGGGAAACAATATTTAGTCGTTCCGGAGATGACTTCAAACTCTGCGAGAAAAGAACAACAAACACAACTTAGGACGAAAGGGTTGGAGGATTTCACGACGAGGATGCATAATAGTAAAAATGGCGATCCGAACGCGTCGATTTTGTGTACACATTTTTACGACCACGCGCACCGAATGACGATGAAACTTTTGTTCGTGGCGAAGGGCGAGAGCGTGGCTATGTTTGATTATAACGCGCCGAGTAAAGACGGGTGCGTGAAGATTTTGAAAATCGATCGCGCGCCGAACGAACAACGGAGCAGTAGGAGTAGCTCGAGTTATTTTTATAGTCCAACCGGCGGCGGCGGCGGGTCGCAACATTCGAACAGCACGAAAAGCGTCAACGGAGTGGACGAGGACGGGAGAGAAACGATCACGTGCATGACTTGGACCGGGGAGCGCGTGAATGATTGGAAGTTTGCCGACGTGCAACAAGGTGGAAATAACAAACCAACGAATAATACTAATGATAATAATAATAATAATAACAACAACAATAACAGCAGTAAAAATGCATCAACGATAGTAAATGCGAAAGATGAATACGTCCCGGATATGTTCATCGGTTTGAGCTCGGGCGCGATGTTAGCGGTGAAACTTCGAAAGTCGTTCTCGGATAAAAGAGCAAACACTACGAAGCGACTTTTACACAAAATGCGCTACCAGACGCAAACGAAAGATAAAATATCGTCGTCGGGAAGTGTGCACAGAACGACGTGCATGAAAGTATCTCCGGACGGGAAGATTGTTGTTTCTTTACACGCGAGCGGCGACATGTATCTCTACGATAGAAGTTTGATGGGATTCGAGTCCTCGCAACCGAGCACGACGGCAAATTTAGGGCACTCAATAGCAGAAGTGACACAATTTGCGCCGATATTGTACCCCGAAGATTCAAGGTTGGATGTCGCGACGTCTTCAACGACAACGAATCCGCGTTCTCGATGGCACTTTGGCGCCGCGCCGTTGGAATCGTGCGCGTTTTCTGAGTCTGGAAAGAAATTGTGCGTTTGTAGCAGAGATGGCGTCGTACGCGTCATCGATATCGCGAGAGCCTGGAGAGAAACCAATAATAATAGCAGCAACAGCAGCAATAGCAGCAACACCGACAGCAATAAAAATATTTTTACTGTTGCGAGATTTATCGATACCGGGTTCAGGAGTTATTTCGGCGCGATATTCGCCGCAGCGTTTAGCCCTTGCGGTAGGTTCATCGCGGCCGGTGGCGAAGCCGCTATCGTCGAAATGTTTGATTGTAAACACAAGTGTGTGGTTACTTACGGTGGCGCTGGTCATCAAAGCTGGGTCTCCGACATATGCTTCGATGTGCACATGGCTACGAACGATAAGAATAGTATGAACGCTGCGTCGTCCTCCTCCTCCTTGGCCATGCAACACAACGCAGATAATAATCACGCAGAAGACGACGATTCGGATTCAGATACAAATGTAGGCAACGACGTCGAGCCGGGAACGTTGCGCGTTGTTTCTGTCGGAGCGGATTGTCAAATGTGCGTCTGGGATTTTCTCACGGAAGCATTTATCGACGAAGACGACGAAGGATACAACGAAGAAGAAGAAGAAGATGAAGAAGAAGAAAAAGAAGACTCTGGTTCAGACGGCGACACCATGATGCACGACGATGGAGATTATAGCGAGCGACATCCGCATCACAGACGTCAACGTTCGAGGAGTGTCGCGATCGGGGGAGGAAACATCTCGCGCGAACTTAATTTTGTCGGTGAGGACGACGACAGTTTTCCGACGACGACGAAGAAGAAGAAGAAGAAAAGAGACGACCTCTCCGTCGAGGCGGACGTAATCGTCGAATCGATGAAACGCAACGAAACGACGAGACTGTTACCCGTCATGGTGCATAAATTTCACGATCGACCAATCGCAACGGTACAAACGAACGAGCACGGAATTTTAACGTCTTGCGATTCCGGAAAAGTGAAACTATGGTCCAGACCTATAACCAAGGAGCGTTACTTGACGTTTGTCCAAGAAGTAGACGAGGAAGGCGAGGGCTGAAAGTAAAACAATAATGGTAATAATATTATTCGCCTCTACATACATTTTCTCTCTAAATACATATATAAAATAATATTCGTTTCTATACCGGTACTTATTTTATCCGCCGCTCGAAATGTGTAAATCCACCTGCAACACTCTTTTCACCTCTTCGTAAGTCACAAACGCGATGGCGATACTCGGCATGACTTTAATGTAGTTCGCGCTCAAGCCGTGAAAAAACGCCCCAACACCTTCATATCTCGCAATTTTACCAAAACAATCCATCATTCCGCTATACTTCGCTTTCTCCATCGTCTTACTCGCGCTTCCTTGCCACCCGGCGACTTGTAAACGTCGTCTGACCACGTCGAAAGGATACGCCACCGTCTGACCAACCGCGCCGGCGAAACCGCCGCACGTTAACGATTGCGCCACAGACAACTCCTTGCTCGATTTCAACTCTAACTTCGCCGCCAACATATCCTTCAGCGTCTCGTACACGGCGAAATTCAAACCAACGTACGGAATCACCCCAATCACGCTCGGCAATAAACCTTTATACAAGCTCCCGACGCCTTCGTGCTGGATGATCTTTCTCGTCGCGTCCACCATCCCGTTGTATTGATGTACCGTCCCAGCTTGCACCGTCAACCTCCCCCTTACCATATCCAACGGATACACCGACGTCATCGCAATAATCCCCGCCCCAGCACCGCCGGCTAACCGATTAAACACGTTCATCTCGCACTCCGGGTCTAAAGTCCTCCGAAACTGAAATATCGCATCCGTTATGCGTTCGTAACAGAAAAACTTCACCGCAGAGTTCGGAACGATCCGTATGCAGTTCGCCCCGTTCCCGATAAAAAACCCTCTCAGACCATCTTTTCGTAAAATCGTGTTCAATCCTCTGTACACCGTCCCGTACTCCGTCGCCGTCCGACCGTGGACTTGCTGTAAAATCTTCAATCGTTCCAAAGGTGCCACCGCGGTCCTCGAGACCCCACCGGCGATCCCTCCGGCAAACAGCGATTTCGCGATCGATGTCCACGTGTGCACTTTCGGTTCGTGTATCGTCGTCATCTTCTTCTCTTTCGCGGAATGCGCGGCAAATAAATAATCAGAACATTTGTCTTCTTCTTCTTCTTCTTCGTTTCTTTTCATCATCTTCATCATCATCCAAGCCGCATTTGGATGATATCCAAAAATCTCATCACAAAAATCGGACGACGTGGACGTTGCACAACGCGACGAAAAGATTCGCGACGAGTAGTAGAACTCCCTCGCGACTTCCGACGTCCGCGTTGTTGTTGTTGTTGTTGTTCTTTCTCGTTTGTTGCTGCTGTTCTTCATCTCCTCCTTCTTCATCTCGATATTGAATGCTCTCTAATTTGGAGGAGGAGTGTGTTTTGAAACGGAGCAAAAAACAGGGAGAATTTTTTTTTTTTTGTTTTGTGTGTGAATTCTGCTGTGTGCTTTTTGCGGAAAGTCTTTCCTCTCGAAAGCGCAGCAGAAGACCCTCATTCGTTTCAAGACGCAAAATCAAATTAAACATGACGGCCAGAATCACGTATAAAAGACGGTACGTTTTAGATGCTCTCGGTTTTTTTTTGTTTATATTCGCGAGGAGAGGAAAACGTTGGATGCGACGCGAGCGCGTTTCGGAACGTTCCTCGTTCGCGTGCATGAGGGTGGGATATATATGCGGATGAGGAAATTTTAAGCGCGGTTTTCTCTCTCCTTTTTTGCGAGAGAAGAAGGACTTTGCGCGAAATTTTACGCGCGTCGGCAGCGGAGGAAACGCGAAGGTGGAATGGGTTTACGCGCGCTTGATTTGTGCTCGGGTGCATTCTTTGCGCGCGACGACGATTCGAGAAGCGGGATGATCGATGGAGGGCGAAGCGTTTCGGTGTTTCGACTTTCCTTTTTCTGTGTCTTCCTCTCTTTTGTGGCCGATGGGGTCCTCTCTCGCTCTCGCTCTTGTTTTTTGGATTCTTATATGCTTACCGATTCTTTTCTCTCCTTAATCGAACAAACAGACACTGCTACGCGACCAGATCGAACAAGATCCGCAAGCTCAGACTTCCGGGCGGCAAGTTAGGCATCCAGTACGTGAAGAAGAAGACGAAAGGTCCGCAAACGCCGTCTGGCGACCACGGGAAAATCCACGGCGTCCCTCACTTGAGAACCCAAAAGTACTCGAGAAAACACTTAGCGAAGAACAAGAAGACGGTGAACAGAGCTTACGGCGGGGTTTTGTCGGGCGGTGCGGTGAGAGAAAGAATCGTTCGCGCGTTCTTGGTTGAGGAGCAAAAGATTGTGAAGAAGGTGTTGAAGTTGCAAGCGAACAAGTAATTTGATGATTGCGCGGACGAACCAGAGACAATAGTAAGACCTTTGTAATAGCAATATAAACCTTTAGACGATATATCATACATAAAGAAGCAAAGTTCACTCTTGTTTCGTTTCGATTCTCTCACCGAAAGGTATTCCTTTATTTTCACTACAAATTTGCTTTTGTTTTATATATTCTCTCTCTCACTCTCTTTGCTCTACTCTCTCTCGCGTTCGTGCTGCGTTCTTCATGCCGCATTCTCCGTATTCTACATTTTTTGCTATTTGACTTTCACCTCCTCCTCTGTTGGCTGGCGTTTCGGAAACCTCTGCCACCGCCGCCACTCCTCGACCCTGGACTCTTTCTTGGTGTCGTTGATGTTTTCTCCAAAACGTCGCGACACACGGGACAACTGTTCTTCGATTTAAACCACTCGTCCACGCACTCGTAATGAAACACGTGCCCGCACTTCTTCAACTCGCACATCTCCTCACCTTTCTTCATCTCGTCCAAACACACCGCGCACTGCGTTTCATCCTTCTCGTTTTCACCGCCGCCTTTTCTTATTTTCCTCTTCTTCGTTTTCGTTTTCCCGTCCATCTCTCCTTTGTTTTCTTCTATCATCGTAAACCTTCGCAGCGTTTCCTCCCTCGCCTTCTCGCTCAGCGGTTGTTCGAAACGTCTGTCGTCCAAATCGAAAAAGTTCACGTTCCCATCCCCGTTCATCGATCGCTCAATCATATCCTCTATCATTCGCATCCGATCGAATGCAAGTGGTGGTTGCCTCGTGGGTGGCGGCGAAGGTAAGCGGCGTGCCGGGCGGTCGTATTCCGTCCACACCGCGCCTTCCGAAAACAACCCGTGTTCTTCCACCGTCTCTCGAAACGGCACGAGCTCTAAAAATTCGCTCTCGCCGCACGCCGGACAGGTTGGGGGTAAATGCTCCTCGTCCAACGTGGACGCGCACGTGAATCGCGCGCACGACCCGTGACACCACACCCGAAACGTTATTTCTCGATTCGTGTTCGGTTCGAGCTGTATGACATCACCACTCGTCGTCGTCGTCGTTTCCGGGTGTTGGTCTCCTCCTCCTCCGCCTCTCCGCGATGCTAAAGTCGACGATAAAGCGTTATTAAACAAAGCCTCCATGTTCCCTCGCGAGGGCTGCCTTGGAGGCACAGGCATGCGTGATGTGTGCGTATGAACTCAAACGTCTCCTCCTCGTTCCTCTTCGCGCTCTTTCTCTCTGTCAAACACGCAAAAGAGCGGCGTTCGAGAGAAAAATCTGACGCGTTTTTCGTATTTGACTTTTTCCCTTTCGAAAGAATGCAAAGAAGAAGGAATTAAACGCGCAGGCAGAAGAATACGATACGCGCGTAAAAATAAGAGCTAAAATGAGCATTGCTTTTTACATTGAACTTTCTACTCTCTCTCTCTCTCTCTCTCTCTCTCTCTCTCTCTCCCCCTCTTTCTCCATTTCTGTCTCTTTCCCCTCCTCTCTCTTTCTCTAATTTTCGTCCTCGTTCGCTTCCTCTTCTCTCTGACTTCGCTATAAATATACAAAATACTCTTTTTTTCTCTTAATCCGTGCCTTCGACGGTGGATTCAACTCTCAATAACACGAAACCGAGCGCCAAACCGATGAGGGTGCAACCGAACAAAGTGGTGGCGACGTCCCCGATTTCCGCGGCGGCGTCGGCGATTTGGGAGATTTCCATCGGCGACAACGCGGCGGTGGCGACGGATTTGCGGGATTTTTGTTGGACGACGTTTCTTTTGCTGTTTGAGTGAAAAGCGGCGCAATCGAGAGAAGACAAATGCAAAGAAAGAGTTGGTCAGCGACAGATTCTGGTTGCTCTCGTGTTGCGAAAACGCGTTCGATTTGGACAGACTTTCGAAGAAAAAAGGAGAAAGAGCAGAGAGTATAATTTTTATCCTCTTCTTCTTTCGGGAACTTTGTTTGAAAGACTTTGATCCTTCGGTTGTGTTTCCCGAACGACGAACGAACGAACGAACGGGTACAATAAAATAAAGAACACGCATAGGAAACGTACCAGACAATCGGGGCAGAAACGACGGTCTTGGAGAACGACGCGACCTTGGAGGATCTGTTGTTTTGCAGGTGTGAAGGAAGAAAGAAAGAGAGTGAGAGTGAGTTTACGCATAAAAAGAGAGAGATATCATCGGATCATTTTGTGGATTATCCAAAAAATGACAAAGTTTACGAACGCGCGCGGACGACGGAAGCGGTGCACGCGAACGAGCTCTGGGCACGCGTTCCACACAAACGCGTCGTTCTTATTTGAAGCAGCGCAGATAGATAGATAGATAGAGAGAAGACTCCGACCATCCGTTGGTTTCCAAAGCCGCACATAAAGGAATACCATTAAAAAACGCGCGCGTATTGCCCACATCTTCCCACTCTCATCCAAAAAAAAGAGCGCAAATCATCGTCTCGAAATTCGAGCGCAAACTACATCAACGTACCGTCTGTTGGACGAAACCGTCGGCTTAACCGACGCGACGACAGTACTCGCGGTTAAAGTGAGTGCCATTTTTGTTCGTATAATATCGTTCGTTTGTGTGTGAATAAGAAAATGTAGAGCTTAAACTTGTGCGGATGAGTCTTTCAAGTAGCGCAGCAAAAAAGGAGAGATTTTTGCTTCAAAAAAAACGAACAAAAACAGCCACAAAGAAAGGGAAAACTTTCAAGCGAATTAGGAGCAGCAGCACAAACACACAACACACAACACACGCGGTGGGAAAGAAAGAACGCGAAGAGAACGGCAACTTTTTCGTCCGCTTCTGCCGCTCTCCCAAACGCGTCTGACTCTCTCTCTCTCTCCGCCTCTCTTTCTCTCTCTTTTGTGCGCGAAAGTTTGAAAGTTTTAGGTGCGTGTGCGTGCATCGTCTCTCAATTGCGTGTTGCTCTGTATAAGAAAATCGAGTAGTAGTAAACCGAAAAGAAGAGAGAGAGATTTAACGAATATGTTGAACGGACATCACCACTCGTTGAACGGTTCTTCGCATCACGACGCCTCGCATAGGCTTCGACGGGAGGCAAAAAGGGCGCTGAAGAAAACCGGGTTTACCAGTCGACAGATTCTGTGTTTTTTAGGTGTGGTCGTGACCGTAATACAAATGTTTTTCGCCGCGAAATGGCTGACGAGCGGCACGTCAGGAGACGACGACGACTTCGACGACTCGACGATTGATTACTCCGCGGCGGACGTGGATGAGAATTTGGAGAAGACGGGTAAATTAACGCCGACGATGATGATGGGCGATGATGATACCGTGAGTAAATCGGGTCCGTATAAAGGATTGCGCGTGCACGATACGAAGACGGACAAGTATAAGAACAGAGGCGCGAGCGGCGAAGAAACGGCGTTGGATTTTTGGGAGAAGCATTTCAAGTTGAAACAGTCGGTGGATTGGAACGATTTTGCGGTCATTTTATTGATGGAACACGCGAAGGACGTGCAGAATTTAACCGCGTCGTTAGCGCCGGCGATTAGCGGGCACTTTGATGCCAACAACGATGGATTCGTTTCGAGAAAGGAGTACAACGTCTTTTTGAGAAAGTTTGGCGTGCAAGGCATGCAAGAGAGTTTGCAGTTTGCCGTGGACGCGTCGTTGGATAACTTTTGGAGGCGAGATCCGATGGATAGGCGAAAAGCGAACCCGATTGGCTGCGCGATGTATTTAGATGGACAACATACGAACCACGTGGAGTTGGAAGCGAGTTCGGATTTTCATTTCAACGGCGCGAAGCCGTTTGCGATTGAGGCATGGGTAAGGCCGCACGCCAGACCGAAAAACACGGACGCGGAGGCGCTGAAAGCGTACAGATTTGGCGGGGTTGTGTTTTCCAAGTACAATCGGGCGAGAAGAGGACAGTATTTTTTCCAGTTGGAACCGGATGGACACGTGTTTTTTCACCGAGAAGTCGCGCCGTGGGGATTGAGGTCGACTGTTACTATCCCCGCCGGGTATTACACGCACGTCGCGGTGACTTATGGAGCTGGACGATCGAAAATTTACATCAATGGTACGCTGCGTGGGTCACAAAGAGAAGGCGCTCAGGCGCACGACCCGGCGACGAGCGTTTTGATCGGCGCTATCCACGATCAAGACAAACCGGCGAGCGGTTTCAACGGGGAAATCGACGAGTTGCGAGTCTGGAACGTCGATAGAACGCAAACAGAAATCGAGCAAAACATGGGGAAAACTTTGACGGGATTGGAATACGGTTTACTCGGCTATTGGCCGTTCGACGAGTGTTCGGGATGGCGCGCGAGAGATAAAATGGGAAGGCACGACGCTCAGTTAAACGGAGGTCGATGGGTACGTACTTCAATCAACGTCAAACACAACGAGAAAATCGTGCACTGCGCAGTGCCTGGGAAATGTTCCATCGACGAAGAAGAGCCAAGAGTAACGGGCGCGAACTACATCGATAGCGAACAACTGAGAGCGGACTACTGGAAACGCGCCATTCGCGTCATGGAGACGCAGAACCGCGTGAATAAAAAAGTCATCAAAGAACTTTTGATGACCATGGACACGTTGACTAATCGCGTGCGATGGTTGGAAAAGCAAGACCGCGTGCGCAAATCGCAACTCAAGGAGCTGAAGTGGCGACACGGGAACGTCACAGAGGCGATTGGGTTAATGCGTGGCAACTTTACCAAAGCTGGGTTCGGATTCGACGGTAAAGACCCGTTGGATTTATTGAACGATTTAGAATCCGGATTGAAAAGGAAACATTTTCGCATGGGATTAGGAAACGGTGAAGACGAGGACGAGGAAGATGAGGATGCCTTTTTAGACCGAAATAGTAAGGAAGATGAGGACAGTAATAGCAACGAAGACGAAGACGATGAGGAAACGGTGTTACATAGAGTCAAAGCGAGACGCGAAAAGGCGCGATTAGAAAATCTGAAACTTCTCGGCGGCGACAAAGAAGACGAAGGTGAAGCGGATAAAAAGTCCGAACTACACTTTCCCACGAAGGTAAAAGATGATAAAGAAATCGACATCGACGAAGTTGGTGGAGGTGGTGTTTTAGCCTCGGGCGGTTCTGACGATTTACTCAACGCCAAACGTGGTGAAAAAGGGGATATCATCACCACCGATGCCGCCGAAGAAGAAGAAGAAGAAGGGAAAGACGGGAAGAAGACGAAAGAAGACGACGCGGCGACGTTACAGGAACGACTGGCGGCTAATTTCGTCCAGCACGACGAATCGTAATAAAAATAACAATCTACTAAACTACTTCAATTTCCCGCACGTTGCTTGGTAGTTTCCCTTTTGCGCCTTTCAAAATCGTCTGCGACATCCCGCCGATATCCATTTTCGCTTTCTGTCGCTCTCCGTCCACCGCCCACAACTCGTAATCCTTCCCAATTGTCTCTAAAAACCACGGAAGCGTCGCGCCTAAAACAAAACTCGCAATTTCGTTCAACCTCGGTCCTATCTTTGCGAATACTCCATCCGTAAACGTCCCGCTAAATTCCAACTGACTCTCGATGTGTTCTTTCCGTCCTTCGTCCGAAGTCGTCGCCATCACGCTATTCATCACTCGCACGCACCCAATACTCTTATTCATCGCGTCCACAATCTTACCGTTCTTCCCATTCACATCAATCATCTCCGCTTTTTCCAACGTTTGTCTCACTCCCGTTAAGGTTTCTTCGATCTTCACCCGTCCTTTCGCTTCGATCGTGAGAAACAAGAACTTCTGCACTCCCGTGGAAACTACGAACGAATTGTCTTCCAGCATTTCAACTTTATCTTCGTCGATGACGTTGTATTGATTCGCGGGCAACTTGCAATACTTCGCCGGACTTTTATCATCATTATTATCACCAGGTGGTTTCGCGACGTCGACTTGAAACCGTCGAACGACGTTCAGCGTCGTCGACGTCAAGTCTCGAGCGATTTTCGCATCCGGAACGACGGTTTCCGATTCGCTCAAATCGTACTCGGAATCGGACGATTTAGACGACGATTTAGACGCTTTCCCGCCTCGCAATTTCGGCGTCGCGCTCCTCGCGAAAGGTTTTTCTCTTTTTCTTCGCGCTAAAGAAGAAGAGAAGCTGAGAAAAGAAGAGGACGACGCTTTGAACAACGACGAGGACATTTTCGAGAATCCAATTTGTGACGCCGGGGCGATGCTTTTTCTCCACTTCTTCACTCGCGTCGTCTGCGACGCTTTCTTTCCGGCGGAAAAGAGTTTTCAAAGCCATCTCCTCGGACGACCAAAACGAGAGCGACGATGCCCGCGTTACCAACGAGAACAACAGACGACGATAAGACTCCTGACGATGATGATGCTCGTAATGAAAGAACGTCGTACGCTCGAAACAAAACGATCGATTTAAAGCGAGAAAACGTCTACGCGTTGGTACACATTCGAGCGAGAATGTCTTCGTCTTCTTCAACAAGAATAAGAAAAAGAACGAGCGTGTTCGGCCAATCGGAACAAATGTTCACGGAGATTTTACGAAACGCGCTGGAACTCGCGCGAGGTAAAGTCGGGGGAAAAGAGATAACGGATGCCATGCGAGTGGTCCATTTCGAGACGAAGAAGGAGAGCGAAGGAGAATCCGCGATAGGCGCGGTGCGAATGAAGAGGAAGGATTTGGAGTTGTTCGCGTCTGCGATGAAAGAATACGACGCGTTGTACAGAAAAAGAAAGACGAACGATACTAATACTAATAATAATAGCACAGAAGAAGAGGATAGTATTGGTTTGCGGATAGAAGTTTTGCGCGCGGCGAATTCGTTGTTAGATATGGTCGGCGTCGAGAGCGAAAGAGATATGGTCGACGCGTTGCTGTTGAACGAATAATAGTTGTTTCGTGAATACGAATTTAGGATAGGTACTACGCTAGGATAGATACTATAGTATTACACTTCATCATATCATCTCGCGTATGGCCTTCTCCGTCAACACGCCGATGTACGGTAAGCCCCGGTACGCGCCGTTGTAATCTAAGCCAAAGCCGACGACGAACTCGTCCTCGCACTCGATGCCGATGTACAAACCTTCCTCTTTACTCTCCGCATCATTTTCTCTCGCCAGTAACCGTTCAAACGCTTTCGTGTTCTCTTCTCTCCTTCTCGCTTGTTTATTCAGGAGCGTCGCGCAGTGCACGTCTTTCGCGCCTTGAGCGTATAAAGTGTCGCACAAGGTGACCAGAGTGTTGCCGGTATCCACGATATCTTCGATCACGACGACGGTTTTCCCGCGCACGTTTCCTTTCACGTGCACGTTTTTCACTTTCTCGCTCCCGACGCCGGATGCGTTCACGTTTTCGTACGACGTCGCGACGCACGATCCCAGTTCCAAGTCCACTATTACTTCTTCTTCTTCGAGTAACATCTGATGGAGCCGTCGCATGACATCGCTCGCGAAAAACATCGCGCCGGTCATGCACGGGAGGAAAATAACGTTCTCGTACTGCGTCGTTCCGAATCGCGCGTGAATTGCAGACGCGACGTTCTCCACCGCAGAAGCGATATCTTCGTGCGAGTAAAGGACGCGCGAGATTGGATGCTCGCGAAGCTTCATGATGATATTATTATACGATGATGGGACAAAGGCTAATGAGGTTTTAAAGCGGAATTTTGAATTTTTTTGTGCGCGCGGATTCAGACGAGATTTTCACAAAAAGTGCTACGAACTACTCTATCGCGCTTCTTTCTTTCTTTCTTAACGTTTCCTCTCTCACGTTTTCATCCTCCTCGACTTCGCAGTCGCACTCGACGACGCATTCTTTCAGAGTGCTGTTCTTACCGACGCAAGCGCGATCGCCGATGACGCAGTTTACGATTTGACAATTTGCTTCGACGCGAGCGTTCGAGCCGATTACGGAGTTTGTAATCTTCGAATTGGCGCCGACGCGAGCGTCGCGAGAAATGACGGAACGCTTGATGTGCGCTTTTTCGCCGATGGAAACGCCGGGGAGTATCGCACAGTGCGCGCCGATGATGGCTTTACCTCCGAGTTCGACGTCAGAGGCGACGAAGTTTTCGTGTCTCGCGGACGGTTCTCGGCCGACTAAAGATTGCGCCGCGGAAAGAATCTCTTTGCTGATTTCTAGAAAGTGCGGGGTAACGCGCTCGATTTCGCACGCAAAATTATCTCGCTGCTGTTCCGGACGACAAATGATCGCCAAGACGGGCTTTTCGCTGCTCAAAGTACCGCCGTTCTCAACGACGTCGTTTTCTTTACCGTCGTCGCCATTATTCGTAGCCGCCGTATTCCAAAATTGCGCTTTGCACATCTCCGGTACGATGTCATTTTTCAACGACATGAAGCTCTTCACACCATCATTACTCCTCGCTAACGATACTTTCTTCAAGCATTTCACCAACGCCGCCGTTGAAAAACAATACACTCGCACGTCTCTGTACCGCACGCTCGCTCGAACGTTGCCGACAGAATCTAACGCCGATCGATTAATCTTCACCGTCTTCTCGCTCTCGCTCGAGGAAAACACTAACCTCTTGATCATCAACTTCTTACTCTTCCTATTCCTACTCGTACTACTCCTCTCTTCCACATCGTCGCTCAAACCGATATACTTCGCGTTCTTCGGCGCGCGTCCGTATTTGGTGTCGATTTCATCCCACGCTCTCCTCTCGGACATCAAAACCGTCAGCGACGCGTCCAGACGCCGGTGCGCCGTGACGATCTCCTCCAGCGGGACGTCAAACACCGTCTTGTGCGAAACGACCAAAACGTTTTCGTCGTCTGATTCGTTCATCTCCGTCGTCAGCACCTCTCTCAACGCGTTCGCGTCGCCGCCTTTGCCTTCGACTTCGAGGACTTCGAATCTCACTTTCTTCTCCTTCGTCGTCGTCAAAGTCGTGCTCTTGTTCGAAGACGACGAAGGTAAAGAAGACGAAGACGCATGCGTCGTCGTCATTTTCTCGCACAACTCTTTCGCGAACTGCGCGTCTTCTCTCTCCACCAACACCACGCACGACGTCACGAGAGAAGAACACTTTTGCACGGATTCGATCGCGTATTGCAACAACGGCTTAAACACGAGCAACAGGTCGACATCGCTCGCGCTCGAAAAACTTTCGCCATTGCCCCCCTTCTTCTTCTTCTTCTTCTCGTCGTTGTTGTTGTTGTTCTTCTTCTCGTCCTCCTCCTTTCTCTCTCCCTGCGTTTCCTTTCTCTCGCGTTCTCCGACTGCGAGGATGATCGCTCTCATAGTCTTACGCAAGAGCAGTGGAGAACTTTAAGTGCGGGGAAAGAAAACCTTCCCGAGACGGCAAAACGATCAACACACGAATACGTAACGAACGCGTAACGAGAACGCGAGAACAACAAGAACGAGAGCAAGAGTGGACTCTCTCTGGTGTGTTTCTCGTCCTCTCCTCTTCTTCTTTGTCTTCGTGTTGGTGTTATCGAGAGCGTTCGTTCGTCATCATGGGAGGAGGAAACGCGAACACCGACGAAGGGATGAGCGCGAACCTTTCGCAGCTGAAACGGAAAGCGCAAACGAAAGTGAAAGAGTTCATCCACACGGCGCAAGCGAAACGGGAACAAGTGGAACGCGAACTTTCGATTGGAGGTGATGGTTCTGGTCATCAAGACGGGAAGCACTCGCTCGCGTTCAAGTGCGTGCGCTTAAGAGAACTCGTGAGATTGGTTCGTAACGCGAAAACGAAACAAGAGGAACGATCGATAGTGGCGAAAGAATCCGCGGCGATACGAGACGCGTTCGCGGACGCGAAACTGTCCAACATGTTTCGACACAGGAACGTGGCGAAGTTGTTGTTCGTGCACATGCTGGGGTACCCGACGCATTTCGGGCAGATGGAGTGCGTGCAGTTGACGGCGATGGCGGATTACGCGAATAAACGGTTGGGGTATTTAGGATTGATGACGCTGATGGACGAACGCTCGGAAGTGACGATGCTGATTACGAACAGCGTGAAGAGCGATTTGATGAGTAAGAATGTGTACGTGGTTGGGTTAGGGTTGTGCGCGTTGGGGAACATATGCACCAGCGAGATGGCTCGAGACGTGAGCGAGGAGGTGAGGAAGTTGATGCTGTCGAAGAACAGCTACGTGAGGAAGAAGGCGGCGCTGTGCGCGATTCGAGTGGCGAAGAAAGTGCCCGAGTTAGCGGAGAGTTTTCTAGATCCGTGCGAGAGGTTGTTGAACGACAGACATCACGGCGTTTTGTTAGCCGCGGTGACGTTAGCGTATAGGTTGTGCGAAGGACCGTCGGACGTTTTTGAGGATACCGAGGACGTGAGGAAAGCGGACGAGATTGACGGCGAGTTTGACGAAGACGCCGCCGATCGAGCAACCGAACGATTGAGAAAGAAAGTCGGTTCGTTGTGTAAAGTTTTGAAAGCGTTGAATTCACAGCAGACGAAGAAAAAGAGCGTCGGTTCCTCGAGCGCGAATAATAATAATAATAATAATAGTAATAATCAACAAAGCGAACACGACGTCGGAGGTCACTCGGATCCGTTTTTACAGGTGCACATTTTAAAACTTCTGAAAGTATTAGGCCGAGGATGTAGCGAGACGTCGGACGAAATGTCAGACACCTTAGCGCACGTGGCTTCCAACACGGAGTTTTCGAGCAAAAATTTTGCCGGCGCTTCGATCTTGTTGGAATGCGTCGAGTGCATCGTAGAAACGGAATCGGTTGGTGGATTAAGAGTGTTAGCGGTGAATATTCTCGGGAAGTTTTTAGCGAGTAAAGAAAACAACGCAAAGTATGTCGCGTTGACGGCGTTATCGTCCGTGGTTAAAATTGATCAAGGCGCGGTGCAGAGACATCGAAAAACTATAGTCGAGTGCGTGAAGGATTCCGACGTGAGCATTCGGAAATCGGCGTTAAACTTAGTGTATAATTTAGTTAACGCGAGTAACGTTCGAACGTTAGTGCCGGAACTTTTAGAGTACCTCAAAGTTGCGGACAAAGAGTTCAAACGCGATTTAACGAAACGCATCGTAACGCTCATAGGAGAAAATGCGCCGGATGATCGTTGGCGATGCGAAATGACCGTGGAGACGTTTCGTCAGGCGGGAGAATACGTGGACGATGTGGACCAAAGAACTTTTTGCGGCGTCGTGTCGCGAGGAGACGAAAAGTTGCAAGCCTTGATTGGCCGGAGCATGTTCAAAGCGTGCGTAGATTTAGGAGAGAACGCAACGCAGCAGTTGAAATCGACGACGTGTTGGGTGTGTGGCGAGTTTGCGGATTGCATAGCGCACGTGCCGACGTTGGAAAACGAAGAGAAGAATACCGTGACGATTCAAGATATTGCCGCGTTGTTGAAAGTATTCTTGAGAGACGCGAAAGAAAGTGAAATTACGAAACAATACGCGTTGACGGCAATGACAAAAGTAACGGCGAGAGATCAATCGCAAGCTGCGCAAGCGATTGACGCGATGAAGCCATTACAAGCATCCGTTGACTTGGAATTGCAAGCCAGGGCGTGCGAATATTCGCACATCATTGAAGCCGGGTCGGAGGTGTTGACGACGGTGATGGAACGCGTGCCGCCGCCGGAAGCGCCGAAATTCGTCGAGTTGGGGAAAAAGAAACGACGAAAATCGTTAGTTACCAGTAACGCTCGAGCGGTTGGTGAGGAGAACACGAGCGAAAGCGCCGCGTTAGGAGACTTGCTCGATTTTGGCGGTGAAAATGATGTGGTGCAAACGAGTGCTACAGTCGCAAACTCGCCGCCGGCGGCGTCAAAGGTGGTGCTCGCCGCGGCGAATGTGTTGGACGATCTCTTCGCTGACATCGAATCTGTGCCTGCGTCTGCGCCAGTTGCGCCTCCTTCTCCTTCACACGTGACTGCGCAAGTTGTATTGAAGCAACCACCGGAAATTCATCACTCTCCGCAAGTCTCTTTGGATGATTTATTAGGAGGCGACGTTTCCATTTCCTCCGCTCCGGCATCTGCGTCGAAACCGCCGCAATCGAACAGTACTGATCCTCTCGCAGATTTATTCGGCGACGCGTCTTCGACGCCTGTTCAATTGAATTCAAATCTTGGACCGATAGCAGCGTCAGTGGCAACGCCGTCATCTGCGACTGGCTTACTAGACGCGTTTGACGCCTCAACTCCGGCGAGTGCGGCACCGGTGAGCACCGCCGCAAAAGCTTCGGCATCGCCTTTGGACGATATGCTCAGTGGTTTGAGTATGGACGCGCTACCTGCTCCTTCGCCACAACCTCCAAAGCCAAAGTCACCGAAGACTTGTGCGTTCACTGCGCACAACTCGCAACCTTTGACAATCGTCTTTGAATGTACTAAAGACTCCGTCGATTCGAAGAAAACAACCATTCTCGCAAAGGTGACATCTGTGAGTCCGGTTTCGAACGTCGCGTTACAATCAGCCGTGCCCAAGTCCATGACCGTAGTTTTAGAACACGCTTCTGGAAGTGCGCTGAAGGGCAGCGGTGAAAGCGAGATACTCACACAAATTATGCGCGTCGAAAACTCCATGCACGGTGAGAAAGCGTTGGCGATGAAACTGCGCGTTTCGTACGTGGACGACGCATCGGGAGCAGAAAAAGTGGAAATGGTCACGGTAGCCGGTTTCCCGTCGAAATTCTAGTAAGTTTAGTCTCTCCAGCAGAGTGAGTGAAAATACATTTGATACACACAAAATACATGATAATAAAATACATAATCAATGGCTGTTCTACATCTAGTACATCTACTTTTCGTTTGCGAAATCTGCGACGCGATTTGAGCTTTCAAACACGGTAAATTCGCGCAAATCAATGAGTGCTTTTATATCGCCGTCGTCGCTGAATATCACACCAATCTCACACTCGGCTTGTTTAAATCTGTTCATATTCGTCTCCATCGTTTCCTCGGCGGATAGAATACACCCGATTGGTTCCATGACATCTTTTGCTTTCATCTCGACGTCATAGTACCCGTCTTTGTTCCCGTCGACCGCGTTCGCGAGCGCTACGACGGAGATGACACCGATTGGAGTTTTATACGCGGCGCTCTCCTCGATGAATTTATCGTACACTATAGCGTGTGAAGTCGTCGCTAACGATCCACCATGCCTCTCTTCCATCATTTTTTTAGCGACGTCTTTCAGTTTTGCATCTTTGTATACTTTCGCGCACGTTTTCGAAACGTCCACCAACGCGGCGCTTTCGTGTAAAACTTTCGCAGCGGCAGATCTTCGCGTCGTCGAAGTCGTCGTCGTTTCCGTTTCCGTTCCTTCAAAACCAACTCGAGCGAAGTTATCGTAAATCGACGTCGCCGATTTTGATTCTCGATCGTCAATTTTGGCGAATTCATCGAACGATACGTTCGCGAACCCGTCGCCGGAATCCATGGACGCTTCTTCAAAAATTAAACCCGCGGTTTGTTGCGTGTCGAACCAAGCGTCGGCGGATTTCACCGCCCAGCTCGCCACACCAACTGTTCCCATGAGCGGTAAAATAATTTTCGCGTTCCCGGTCAACTCAAACAACAACAAAATTGCCGTCAAAGGCACGCGACACACGGATGCCAACACGCCAGCCATCCCGACCAACGCGTACGCCTGCGGCGGTGCGACTTCAATCAAATTGGACATCGAGTCCATGTGCGCGAGAAATCCACCATAAGATGCACCTAAAGCGGCGCCCATAAACAAAGACGGGGCGTACACACCACCGACTAACCCGCTCGATCGACATAAACTCGTCGCTAGCAGTTTTGCCGCGATCAACTGCACCAACAACTCTGGTTTATAAATTTGTAACACGTCCGTCGTTAACAACGCGTTGACGTTATCGAACCCGTTGTAGGACACTTCGGGGTAAAATATGGAAAAGATGCCCAAGGCGAACCCACCTAACGGTGCTTGCGCGTATCTCGGTATCCCAAATCCACTCTTTGCGTGCGAATCGCTCAAAAAACCGGCTAAATCCGTGGTGCGATTGGAGACGCCTCGGAAAATAATCGCCGTCGCGCCGCACAACAACCCGAGCGGCAAATACAACGGTAACTCTGCTAAAGTCAACAATTCAAACGGTGGCACGTTGAAACTCGGAGACTCGCCCAACAACAAATTCGTCATCGTTCCCGCTAAAACAGCGGCCACGATGACCATCTCCGTCGTCGACGCGTTGTTAAACTGCTGCTGACCAAACGTATACGTCGAATTCCGAGCTAACACGCTTTCGAACCCGAAAAAGAGGCCGGCTATGGGCGCCCCGAACCCCGCGGACAAGCCCGCCGCCGCTCCCGCCGCGAGCAACCCAACGTTTCCGACGCTACTACTAATATTACTATTTCCGTTACTGTTGTTGTTGTTGTTGTTGTTGTTGTTGTTTATGCTTTTCTTTTCGTCGACGCCAAACGCTTTCAATTCGAAATAACTCGCCACTCTCCCGACGCCGCTACTCACCGCCGCGCCAATCTCCACGCTTGGTCCTTCCGGTCCTAAACTCGCCCCCGTGCCTAAAGTTACCACCGCGGCGACTGTTTTCAACACCGTTTTCTTCACGTCTTCTACTACCACACTCGATGTCTTCGTCGCGTTTTTGTTCTCTTCCTCCCTCGTCGAGACCGCCGCCGCCGCCGTCGCCGCTCGAGACGTCGCGGTACCAACCGCCTCCTCCCCGAGAAACGATCCGCCGGCTACGTCCCTCAACGCCGAAACCACGCACCCGCCTAATGTAGGCACGATCACTTGTAACGAGTGGCTCACGAACGACGCGTTTCCGCTGTTTTGACTCAACGTTTGAAACTTATTCAGCAACATCTCGTTCGTCGTTTCCGTCGTTAAAACATCAACATCCGTTTCCGATGGTGCCACGAGAAACGTTTGAAACGTAAAATCAAACACCGACGCGTGCACGTGACTCTCGGCTAAGTTGAACGCGGAAACTGCGAGACCGGTCGTCACGCCAACCGCCACGGCGACGAGGAGAAGTTCCGAATTGTTCGGGTCGTTTTCCCTTTGCGTCGTCGATGATTTTACGACGACGAAGAGTTGTTGTTTACGATGACGACGATGAGGATGATGATTTTTAATTGAAAAGGATGATCGAGAGAAGAGACGACGATGCTTTTGCTTTTGCTGCTGGAAACAGGACACACACGACGACCTCGACGATGTCGTCGTCATCCTTCTCGTTGTTCGTGCTCAAAAAGTGAGCGAAAACGGTCTCCTCTTACTACTCTTGGGAAATCCAACGTATCTGCAATGGTACATGAATACAGCGCGCTATGACTACTCGTATTATTACTACTACTCTAAAACTATTACTGCTAGTATTGCGCGAACAAAAACGCGATTGATTTTTTCAAGGTCTGGGAACGTCTTTCATTTCCATCCGCGCGACTCGAATGCCGAAGCACGTCAGCTGACCTCTCGCGCCGTACATGACGGAATACGCGACGAGTAAGTATTTCCCGTCCTTGGTCCAGTGGATGGTCGGGTAGGCGTATTGCATCGCGCCTGGCTTTAACAAGGATTTGTCCAACTCTGGTTTGATTATTTCTCGCATACCGCCGGGTTCGATTTTCGCGAACGGTTTCCAAGAGTCGACGCCGTCGGTGGATTTGCTGACGGCGAGGACGAGCGGGTCTCGGGTGCGCGGGTGGTGGTTGTACGCTGCGACGAAGAATGATTTTGAAGGGGAAGAGGAAGAAGACAAAGTTTTTTCGTCGACGTTGTCGTAGGCGTCGTAAGTATCGCCATCGTCGATGCGAATGGTGTGCATTTTCGAGTTTGGATTCGGCAACGTCGTCTCGGAAGCTTCGGTCCAGGTTTTGCCGTTGTCTCTCGAAAGACTGACGAACGCGACGCCCGATTTGGTTCGAAAATGTTGCACCAACACGTTGTTCGTCCTTCCTCCTTTGTTGTTGTTGTTCTCTTTCTTCTTCGTCGTCTTCCTTCTTTCACTCTTTCTCTCGACGACGGTATTTTCAATCAACCACGACTCGCCTTTCGTAGCTGTTAAATTCCCAAACACTTCCCACGTCAACCCTTGATCCATAGATCGTATAACTCCCGCGCTACCTTTCCTCAACAGACTCGCATCTTTCACCTCGCTCTTCATCTGTGGACACGTCTTCCCGGGCTCTCTCCAAAAAGGCAACACCCACGACCCGTCTTCCAACTCCACCAACGTATTCGCTATAACTTTCGGCATCCCGTCTTCGCTTCCGTAGGATAAAATAACCTGTCCACTCGACCACGTCTTCCCGTTATCGTCGCTCACTTTATACACGACGTCCCCGCCCGGTGAGTGTCTTAACGCGTTTCTCGACTGGTCGTAATACCGACACTTCCTCGAACTCACCGTGTATAACAAAAACACTCTCTGTCCGCTCACTTTCAGAACCGGCGTCCAAACCGGGAGCTGATCGTCCTTCGCGATCATTTCCGGTCTCGAAAACGTCACGCCATTATCTCTCGATATCGCCCAATAGAGAGCTTGCCGGATGGACCCTTCGTATTCCGTCGGTGACGCTTGAAACGCAACCGCGATGGATCCGTCCGGTAACTCAGTCGGCATCGCCATGTGCATGTATTTGAATTCAGATTCACTTTCAAAACTCCTTTTACTGCTCTTCGAACCCGTGAAAGTCGTCTCGGACGGTAACTCGTGTCCTTTCGCGACCCAGGAGTACGCGATTTTACCGTTCGTCGGTGTGAACGCGTATTTATGATGACTTTGATGAACATCGACTTTAGTATTCGTATTCTCATTCAAAGCGTTGTTCGAAACAACGACCTGATGAACGTCGTTTCTGATAACCAGAACGGCCGCGAAAACGATCAGAGAAGAAACCACGACATCGACACATAAAAACCAACACCGTTTGCTGCGACGAAATCGTTGTTTTTTTACATCATTTTCTTCCTCCTCCTCCTCGTCGTCGAAGCGCTCGAACATCTTCGACGCCTCTTTCTCGTCAGTGGAGAGAGACGCGTGCGTTGCTTTTCCCCAAACGAAGGACATTTCAAATTTAGGGTAGCGTATTAAACCCTAAATAGAATTTTTGCTCTGAAAAAGTGGATAAATTGGATAAATAATATCTCCGCTGACTCTCTCTCTCTCTCTCTCTTTCTTTCCTTTGCGACTGTCTGTCTGGTTTTACTACCGCGTGGATTTTGTTGAAAGAGAGAAGTGATTATGACGACGACCATGCTTTCGACGAGAATCGGGGGGGTTGTTTTTAGGACGACTACGACTACGGTTGTTCGAAGAAGTTTAAGAAAATCATCATCATCTTCGCGACGTCATTCACATTACGTCCAAAAGTTTTCGAGAGCGACGAGCGCTTCTTCGACGAACACGAGTTCAGGCGAGTGCGACCTCGTCGAGTGCGAGGCGAATTTTGGTGAAGAAGGAGGAGAAGTTAAAGGCGCGAAAATCAACGGCAAAGAAATCTCCGCATCTGCGATGCGACGTTTAACACTCACGAACCAATTTAACGAACAAGTCGTTTTACCTCAAACCGAGAATAAGAAAGACGTCGTTGTGTATTTGCGCCACCTCGGGTGACTGTTCTGTTGGTCTTTTGCGAACAGCATGAGTTCAAAAAGACCGGAGATTCAAAAATTAGGCGGCGATATTACGTTCATTTCGGTATCGCCGACGGCGGAGAAGCTGCGAAAGTTTCTCGAACTCAATCCGGAGGTGCCGGCGGATCGCGTCTTCGTCGACACGTCGAAGACGTTCGAGGCTTATAAAGCGGCCGGGTTCGGGAATTTAACAGACGTGGATAAATCGACGAAACCGGAGATGAAACCTCCCGGGTTTAGTTTGCAAGACTGGTGGAAGTACATCACCAACGTCATCGCGTTGTCTCCCATCGACCCGAACGAAAAACTCACGGGTCCTCCCGAAGGCGTTTTGCGTCTCGGCGGGACGTTCGTTTTGAACGGCGACGACATCGCATTCGCTTGGGCGGATGCGGTCCCTGGCGCGCACCCTGAACCCGAAGACGTCGTCAAAGCCGCCAGAGACGCGTGGGGGTCCTCGTCCGCTTAAATCTTAAATCGCTCTCTTTTTAAAAGAAATACATTAAACAACAACAACAACAACAACAACCGCGGCGGCGTGCGACGACATCCGCGCCTCCCAAAAGCCATCGCGACGAAGAAAACCGTGACGCTTAAACTATAAAAAGACTCATACATGTACTATAGTTTTAGCCGATATACTAAACGTCGTACAATACACCGTGTAATATAACTTGCTTACATCCAATTTTACCACCCTAAACCAATGTATTTCGGGAAACTTTTCTTTTACGTACGGTTGAAACCACACACAAATACGACGTACGTAAACGCGGAGAGAGAGAGCACGCGGAGAAGAGAGAGATCATCGAGAGTGCTGGTGGTGCGTTGTTCTGTTCTGTTTACCGTTGACGACGACGACGACGACTAAACTTCTTTGATGATGATGATGTTTAAGACGTACACGACGAATACAAATCCTCACGTTGGGAGCACAAAAAGCGGTTTTGGACAAGGACGGAAAAATCAGATAATGCTCCTAAACTCTTCGTCTTCGTCTCTTCTTTTCGGAAGATCAGCGACAACGAAAGCGTCCTCCTGCGCGTTATCGAAGTCTTTTTCAGACGATGGTAATGGTGGAAGTTTTGATCGCCGTTTTCTTCGTCGTCGTTTACGTCGCCGTCGTAAAAGCGATTCTTCTTGGTTTTCCTCCAACTCGTTGGCGTCTGGGGCATTGGTGCCTCAGAAAAAGACCAACGACGCGTGCGACGAGATGAAGAGTAGAGCGAATAATAATAATAATACCAATAATAAATATACTATTAGTAGAGTACTGCGACGAGGCGAAAACGAGAGGCGAAAACGAGCAGCACTCTTTTTGAGGGCTTCTGCGGGAGGAGACGAAGGCGAGGAGAACGCGAGTCTTTCGGCGGGAGAAGAACAAGAGAGCGCGGAGGTCGTCGTCCCGGCGAGGAACTACGACGACGACGTGGACGACGACGAGGAGCCAAACTTTGGGGTGAAATCACCCGAGTTGGCGACTTTTCACCGAAAGACGGCGTTGTTTGCCATTTCGGTTGGATTCGCAGTTTTTTACGGATTTCCTAAACCGGACGTGTTGACCTCGGAAGCGTGGCAACTGTTGGCGATCTTTTCGGCGACTATTTGCGGGTTGGTTTTGAAGCCGCTCCCGGTTGGCGCGTGGGCGTTCGGGGCGATGACGGTCAGTTTGTTGACGAAAACGTTGACGTTTGATCAAGCGCTATCGTCGGTATCGAACCAGGTTGTTTGGTTGATTTTAGTCACCGCGTTTTTTGCTCGAGCGTTTGTCAAGACTGGCTTTGGCGATCGATTGGCGCTGTTGTTCGTCTCGGTCGCCGGGCAATCGAGTTTGAGGTTAGCGTATGGATTTCAATTAGCGGAGGCGTTGTTGTCACCCGCGATGCCGTCGACGACAGCCAGAGCGGCTGGCGTATTCATTCCAGTCATTAAGTCTTTAGATCCGAGGACGCAGGAGTTTTTAATCGGGCAGCAGTTGCAAGGCACCGGGGCCACGTCGGCATTTTTAATGTCCGGCGCCGCGCAGAATTTCTTATGCATGCAAATTGCCATCGGTATGGGCATTCCATTCGTCAACCCATTCAACGAGTGGGCAGTTGCGGCATTCGTTCCCGCGTTTATATGCATGATGGTCACTCCGTTGATCGTGTTTATCGTCGATCCGCCTTTGTTGAACGCGACGCCGAAAGCGCCCATGGAAGCGGCGAAGAAGTTACAAGCCATGGGTCCGTTAGCCGAGATTGAGAAGCGCATGTGTTTGTCCTTAGGGACGACTGTATTTTTATGGATCTTTGGTGCTCCGCTCGGGATCGCCGCGGTCGTGGCTGCCATGACTGGTTTATGTTTGATGCTCATCAGCGGCGTTTTATCCTGGGACGACGCTTTAGAGCAAAAAGGCGCGTGGGACACGTTGATTTGGTTTGCCATCTTGATTGGCATGTCGCAACAGTTGAACGATTTAGGCGTCATCGAATGGCTCTCTGGATTTGTTCGCGATTTTCTCATCTCGTGGAACTTAGTCGGTACTTCCGCTTTTGTCGCGTTGCACTTGGCGTACTTTTTAAGCCACTACATGTTCGCTTCGCAATCCGCGCACGTCGGCGCTTTGTACGGCGCCTTTTTGACCATGATGATTGCCGGAGGTGTGCCTCCTAAATTAGCAGCCATCTCATTAGCTATGAATACGAACACTTTTGGTGGCTTAACGCACTACGCGAGTGGTCAAGCCGCTGTATATTACGGGTCCGGTAAGATTGGATTGGAGAAATTATGGAAGCAAGGCTTATACGTCAGTTGCGTCCACGCGTTTATTTGGAGCACGGTGGGTATGGCCTGGTGGTCCGTCTGCGGCATATTTTGATTAGAGAATTATTATATTAAGAAGAGGAGGGGAAAACGTATATAAAATTAGAGCGAGAAGGAACATTTATATAATAGAGTCATCGGCGAAAGAAAAATACCAGGTACACACACACATAAACACACTAACAATTACGCCAGTGGATCGTCCGGACACCCCGGCGCTGTCGTATCCAAATCGCAATCCCCGAGCGGCACGAACCTCTTGTTAATCGCCGCGTTCGCTTCCACCGCTTTGAACCCTTTCAACTTAAACTTCCCTTTGTTATACGACTCTTTGAATACCGTCACCACAAATGTCACCTCGCTCGTGCCTTCAGGAATCTCCTCGTCGATTTGCGCCAACACAACCCTCGACGTTCCGGTTTCGTTATTCGTCGCCGCGGAGTTCCCGTCGTAATCGTCGATGAATCCAAACACGTTCGCCGCGGAGACTTTTTTCTTGCTCTTTGCTGTTGCAGTGAATAACACGCACATGGCAGATTTCTTCGAGGGTAAGTATTGATTCGGCGGGCACTCCGCGGGTGTGTACGATAGATTCGTCAGTTCAATTTCCGATTGAATCGCGAGTGCAGGGTTGGTGTCTCCGTAGTGTTTGAGGAACATGGACGTCGATGCAACGCCGAGGAGTGCGGTTCTTCTTCTTCTTCTTTGTTGACTGTTGTTGTTGGCAGTTACATTTTCATCATCATCATCAACCTTCTTCTTCGCGCGGCAGCACGGTCTGCTCGAACCACTTTTCCGTCGCGTGCTCTCGAGACACCGTCGTTTAAACACCGAAGCGACAGATGATGATGACACTGATGGTGATACTAATTGAGCATGCATGATGAGTTATTATGAACGTATCCGCTTAGCTTTAATGAAAAAATCGACGTTTACTCTGCGGTGTTAGTTTTATGTAGTTTTCCCTTACTCAATATTTCGTATTTGTATCTTTGCGTGGAAATTTCAATATTACATCGGAACTAGTTCTAAACATCTCACTTTTCAGTCAGTATATCTTCTTTTAACCTTCTCGACGAACTCTGGAAGTGTAATTTTCCCACTCTTACCACGTTTCGTTCTCGCTAACACTGTCGCAAACTCTTTGTTTTTGTCTCCATACGACTCTTTCTTCTCATTCTCGAGAGCGGTGAGGAATCGTTCGCCATGTTTCGCAAGCTCGCTTAAGAGCGTGCTCGTATTGAACAGGTTCTTAAGCGCTTGCTCGTTTCCAGCGAACGCTGGTGACTCGTGGATTTTTTTCATAGTGCGCGAAAATGAACCACCATTTTTTTCGTCTTTCGCGATGGCAGAGATGAAGGAGTTGTCGCGCATTGCTTTTCCAAGCAACGCTTCACCTTTGCTGCCTTGAAACATCGGCAACGTTCTGACCGTATCGAGAGTCTTCTCCATATGGCTTTCGCCATATTTCGCTATGGCTGAATGGAGTGAACCACTGTGCAACAACTTAGAATCGTTCCCGCCGTCCTTTGCGGAGATCTTGTTCATATTTTTTATGTACTTTTCAAAGTCTTCGTATTCCTTGTTCGCGAGAACGGAGAAGAAAGAATCGCAGAAAACTTTCTCGAACGCGGCTCTATCGCCATTGAAAACTTCATCGAGTACTCGCTCTAAGCGTTTGACAAAGTTCTCAAACTCCTCGTCGTTCGCGAGAGCGGCGAAGAAAGAACCGCAGAAAACTTTCTCGAACGACGCAGGATCGTTGTTGCAGTACTTTTCGAATACGCGAAGAAGTTTCTCGACGAATACTTTTGCCGTTCCAACTTGGCCTAATCGAGAGGCGAAACCACTAGTTCTAAGAAATTTCAGCGCGAGTTCAGTGCCAAACGTCTCAAAAACTGTCTGCACGTTTTCGAAAACCTCGTCGTTTTCGAGGTGCATGTTTCTGCACCTGGCGTACGCGTCTTGGAACCAAAGCGATTTTCCCGCAACGATTACTTTACGCCAATCCTCAGGTGTGGGCAACAAAATGCGCCATTTGCTTTCTCTTGCCTCCATTGTTTTGATATACGTCGCGTTCAACTTATCTTTTATCGTCGTCGTCGTCGTCGTCGTCTCCGGCGCCTTTCTTTTTTTGACATTTTTTTTCTGGCGCTTCGGTTCGATTGGATCCGCCGTGATATCATCAAAGACGTTCTCGCCTTCTCTTAATCGTATTTTTTCGGCGAGCGAGGCAAGCGACGCATGAAAACGCTTCAACTGATTCGCGTGGAAATCTTGCTTTTCCATCATACTCAGACCCATACACGGGTGTCTGGTAACTCCAGAAATAAACGCATGAATAACTTGTGCCGCTCGTAACCGAGGATCCAACTTGGTCTCGTAGAGTACTTTGTCAGAAGATTGGTTGTTACCATCGCCTTCAATAATCAACGCGCTCTGTACTGCATCTCTAAGATGCGCGTTTTTTAGAATGTTCTTTTCAAAGCCACTCTTTGAATACTCGCCGCTCGCGAAGAGTTCAAAATTATCCACGGTTGCATCCAAGGTGTACTTTCCTTCTTCATCAGCCACCATGACTACCGCAGTTTGGAGGATGGTTTCCCAAACTTTACGCGAATGAACGAGAAGCGAGTGAATATTTTTGAGTGTACCTTCCGCGGAAAACGTATTCATGAGCAACTTGAACATCGTGGCGGAATAGGCGGCTTTCACCATAGGCGGCCAATGACCAAACGCCACGTAATATCCACCCACATCTTGGTAGTGTTGTTGGACTGGAACGAAAGGTGGGACGGCTGGTGGATCCACTGGAGGTAACGCTGGTGGTGGAGGTAACGCTGGTGGGGCTTCTTGGTCCGGCTGGACCGGTGGTGGAGCGTTTTGCGGATACCCGCCCCCGGGAGCGTTTGGCGCTCCGTATCCGCCGCGACCGAAACCCTGGTAGTTCGGAATAGCAGCAACAAAGACGATACTGTCTTGGTTTTCGACTCGGTGGATGATGTGATTTCGAACTTGTTCTTCCTCTGCGTCCGTCAGTGGACGATAGTAGTTTTGCTCCATCACGTAATCAAAAGTCGTTAGGACAAAGTGCGTGCACTGCGGTTTCTCCAAAGCAGCCGCTTGAACGTACGGGTGAAGGAGGTGAAGCACGTTATAAAAAGTTGCCGCGTTTTTGATATCTTTCTCACGGCAAAGTTTCATCCGGTTATCACACCCATGAACAGATTCCTTGGTATAGGGGACGTAGCTAAAGTCAAAACAATTGGTTTTTTGTCGCAGCGTTTTCAAAGGATGGAACGGTAAATTCAGCGCATTTAGCACAGACACGTTGTGCAAAAACGCGATGGTCCCTTTTTTCGACTCTGTTTCGAAAAACTCCTTGACCTCCTTCCGCGAATAGTCTACCACGTAACGGAGGAACTTACGATAACCGTTTTCATCCGCTTCCTCGATGACGGCGATGATGTAGACGATGTGCGGGTTCTCGTCTGGAGACATGCCCCTCGGCTCAATGCACCGGGAGAGTTGAATATAAGTAATCATCGCCTTCACCGCTTCATTTACCTCGGGAATATCTTGAGCGCTACTGTCACCTTCGTTCTTCTGCGCGTAAATTTCCGCGGCTTTAGACGTCAGACGTTCGGCTTGCTCTTTGAATTTTACCGCGAATTTTTTTAATATTTTGTTTGCTTCCTCTCTGCTACGAAAGGCCATCCTGTTCAACTCGTCGTGGTAAAACACGGCTTCCTCTGCGCTCTTCTGGTCGCACAACTCTCTCTTCTTCTCTTCCGTTCTAACGTTCTTCTTTGATTTCGGAGCATCGGAAAACTTCGTTTCCGATTCACCCATCGGTAAGGCCAACGTTCGTTTTTTTTGCTTTTGTTCTTCCCCTTCGTATTTCTTCTTCGTCTCTGCCTCGATGGAGACGACGATGTGCTTCGGAGCATCTTTGCGCATACCACGAACACCCGAAGAAGACAGGGGTGGAGGAAGATACGCAGTTTGATGTGTATCATCACCACCATTCGCGTCGCTCACCAACTCGCCGTTCCCGTCTGTTTGAATTTCAAATAGAGCTGAAATCGCAGAGACGCACACGCCGTCGGACTTACTTTCCGGAATACTCGAGACGTCACAACTCTGCGACACTACCGCCTCGAATAACTCAGCACCAATCTTGTCTGAATCGTCACCATCATCTGTGGAAGTATTCTTCAGATGATTCCCCAGAGTGTCCAAGAGTGTCCTCTCCCAATCGATAAAAGGCGCAATAGCATTATTTTGTTGTTCTTCTATTTTTGTTTTGGTTATAACAAACAAACAAACAAACGAAGAGAGAACGAATCGGGTGAGTACTAGAAACAGAAGATACAAAAAAAAGAAGGTTGAAGAAAAGAGTTTCGAAGTGGTCGCGAAGAGGCGCACGCGGGAAGAACGAATCGCATGTCATAGATGTCCATTCAGAGTGAGTAAACATCGTTCACGCGTCCTTTGTGAGCGCGCGCGCCGCGCGTGCACCGTTTTAGAAAATCAACCTTTTAAAAAATATGCGGGGAGCGCGCGCAACGAGGGGAAAAAAAGAAGACACGAGAAGGGAAAAAAAAGCCGTATCGATCTTCCTTACCTTTGTCGATCTCCATCTTCATCGGAGGATTATCGGCGTAACTACACAGCTGATTTTTACCCGACATCGTTTGCTCGTTCGTTCGTTCGTTCGTTCGTGTGACTTCTTCACCCAAAGTAGTGCGAGTTCTTCTTCTTCTTCTTTCTATTTTTGTGCTGCACTTTATGAATTCAGATCGAGCGTTTTATTTTTCGCACCAAAATTTGGTTCTAGAATTATAAACTGATAAACCAGGTTGGAACCAAATTTTGGGAGTTTTTTGCCGAACCGTTTCTTCGATTGACGACGAAGACCATATTTCAAATCGGACGTTTCATTTCTAGAGTGACAAAGCAAAGGATAGCAGACCTTCCGGTGCCTAAAAATTGCGAGGAAACGTTTGAGCGAAACGAGAGAATTTTTACAGAGCATTTGGAGTGGAACAGTGATGATTTTTGGAAGCATCGACAAGCTGTGCACTTCCAAAAACTTCTTCGCGATGACGACGATGCGACGTCAAGCCCGAACAGAATAACAGCGCCCACGTTGTTTACTCCAATCAACGTAAATTCCACCGGAAAAAACGAGTAATGATGTCAATCGCAGCTCCTGTTTGTAATCCGGTTGTTTCTTGTAGTTTATTACTGTATTTACTTGCGCTTATGTCTCTTACATTTTGTCTCTTACGCGTTCTCTTCGAGCAGTTTCCGTTCCCGTTGTACTTTCTCGATTTCCATAAGCGTCGTCTCCAATTTCACTCGATTGAGTTTGAACTCTTTTTTCCTACGAACGACAAGGTAGTTGATGCATTCGAGTAAAAGTTGGAGGAAAAACTGCGGCGCAGAATATCGTCAGAGCGGGTTGGCGCGTACTCCTGCGAAGGAGGAGAAGAGGGTGTCATTGTTTCGATGACGATGCGTTCGATAAAAGTGGAGAAATTCTCAAACTTTCCCTCACTTTCAAACTCGATGACTCCAACGCGATGACACACAACACCTAAAAATTCCTTATACGAGTTCTATACGAAAGACAAAAAAAAATAGATTTCCTATTTTTTTCCTTTGGAAATAGACTTTCTATTTTTTCAATAGAAAAGTTCCTTAGGAAAAACCTCTCGTCCTCTCCTCTCCTCTAAAAAAATACGCTCTTTTCATCGCGTGTCTCTTCAAAAAAAGAAGAAGCGCATGTGATGTACAAAATGCCTAAAAACAACGAGGAGCAGAAAAAGTGTATCCCCGGCAAGACTTGGGTCGGTAAAGACTCAAAAGGTAAGGAACGCATCTTGATCGACGAGAACAACAAATGGAACAAGAAGTGCATGCGCGCCTTCGTTAAACGGTCGAAAGATTTTTGCGAGCCCATGGATGACAATCAAGATCGCTTGTCCAAGAGAATTAAAAACTTTGCTGATAATGAGTTTACTGTGTGTGTGCGTGAAACTGCGCTCACACATATACTGAAAACAACTCGGAACGCGCTCGTCAAAGAGAAAAACGCGCAGTTTCACTGTAAGTTTTCAACAACTTCGGACAGATTCAAGACAGAGTACAAAAAGGCGTTTGAGAAAAAGTACTCGACTACTAAAAAAACTGTTTCTTTGGAGGTGGTTGAAGACGATTATATTTGGACACCTCAGAATGCAGAGTGCAGTTGCTTGCTCGCGTGCACTCCATCGACAAAAAAAGTGAACTCTTTAGCGCCGTTCGAAGGTTTACTTCACGAGGACCACGACGGTTACGGGTGTTGCGTGTACGCAGAAATGTTTACGAATACAGAGGTTGAAAAACTCCTGAAAGGCGGTTTGAACGCTCCCGACGCTAAACCGGAAAAGGTTCGAAACGAGTACAGTACTGACGACGACTTCGAGTCAAATAGATTGCAAGCACCGCTGAAGGATGAAGAAAGCAAACAACTTCTTGCTGACTTGAAGAGTAAAGGAATCGTTCACAAAGATTACGAGTTTCAAATCCCAGACGTAAGGAAGTGTCAAATGCTCGGGAATGCACCAGGTCCTCTCGCAGAACAGCAAATGCACAAAGATAACAAAGGGAACGCAAAGACAGGCGGTGATCTCGTCAACGTCATCGTTGCGCTCAATTTGATGTACTTGACCATGTACAGAGAAGGAGATGGTAAGGTGTATAAGAAGGATGTCTGGCTCACACCCGGTTCTGTGTTGTGCTTATCCGGGTACGCTGCTCACGGCGGGATGGGCGCTTTACGCGAACCTGAGAAAAACGATTGTCATACCCACACACCAAAACGTATCCATCTGTATTTGAAAAGAACGGAAAATCCGGATGTGGGGTTTGCGTTTTTTGGAGATGGGGATGATCCGTTGCTCGAGAAAGAAACCGGATTACTTCAAACGGTGTACTTTACGGGAATAGACGATTTCATCGACGAAACGAACGAATTCTGGAAAAAATTAGGCAATCATTTGAAACTTGTTTGAGTTTCATCATTGTAATATACATACACACACGAAAGCAAGAGAGAGAAATATACTTCATAATAAACGACATGTTGCGCGCGTACTCGAGAAAACTCACAAAACGCATCGCATTTAATCATTTCTTGGAGTGAAAAAAAGGTAGTTTTTTCGTTCGTTCCGGGAAACACTCAACTCACTTTTGTTTTAACACCATGGAAGTATGTCAAACATAAATATTCATCATGATGAGATATTTAGGCGATGAGTTCAAAAAAATTCCCGGTATGAGCTTCATACACGAGTTTACGGATACGATGTTTCATCCGATATTCTTGAAACAAGGCGCTGACGGGAAGGTCGACCACGAAAGACTCCACCCCGATGGAATCACTTACTCCGCGGCCTCTTTGGCCTCTTTCTGGCATCAGAAGACTGTTTACGCGTCTTCGTTTTACCTTTCGCCCCTGGCTGTTACTTAGGACGCCTCATGATGGACAGCTGAGTCGTATTTGCGCGTCAATCTATGCGGTTAGTCTATCAAAACTTTCGCGTTCTTTTTCAACACGAATCGGCGAATTTTGATTGAATTTTGCAACGCGCGAGCACGGGGCCGAGTGCGCGGATACGGTGAATCAGAGAAAACTGACGGCTTGAAACGATGAATTAGATGTTGTTACGACTTGTGCAGGCGAGTTTTGGATGACTTATTGAATATGCGCGCGTTCAGCTTCGCCAAACCTTAATTTTTTTCTAAAAGTGGTGAAAAGAAGCAGATTTGCTTCTTCAAATCGGCGAGGTAGATTTCGAATATTTAACCGATGCCGAGAACGCGTGCGACGATTGCGACGGGATTGAATTTGAAAATAGATTTGGCGTTTCGAAGATCCAGTGCGATTTGAAGAGTTTTAAGAAAGAAGGAGGAGGTGGGAAAAGAAGGTATTCGAACGACGAAGACGATTATAGAAACAACAACAACATTAACAGCAAAAAGGAGAGTAGCGGTAAGAAACGAGGTCGCTCGCGATCGATGACTCCAACGCGATGACACACAACACCTAAAAATTCCTTATACGAGTTACATAGGCCGTGTGTATACGTATGATGAGGTGACCTTATTGTGCTTACTTCTAATCTGATGTAAAAGTATTTTTTACATCAGGGGGTGTTTTTGTTCGGTTTTGGTAGGACTAGAGTTTTGGACGACTGAAATCAAAGAATTAGCGTAGCCTTTTAAATAAAAAGTCCAATTGCCGAAACAGAACGAAACATCTATTAGAGGGCCACAATGCTTACAGTACCGGAGGTATTTAAGTGTTATGAGATTGAGCATATCTATGCCAAGAAGATCTGCCATCTAAACGTGCCGATCACATGTTTAGACGTCGGAAAGTCATGGTGTTAGTATGTATCAGCTCTCGGATTTTTTATTTTTATTTATTACCATCATGGGGAAAAACATTTCGCTAATCATACTTTAGTCGCAGGAAGGCGATCCTGGACGCACGTATGCGGGCCCGCACGTCCGCATAGTGTACCCATTCAGGGGGTGTGTGTGATTTTAGGGTAACATTTTGATGTATAGAGCGAAGAACCTGTTTAGGTCCTACGCCAGACTTTCTAACGTTTTATATCTATTAAAGAATACTACTATTATCTAAAACTTGTTTAGCTTAACCAGCACCGTGACTCTAGGGGGGTTGTCACACATAAAATTTTTTTTCCTCTTTCACATTTAAAAACGCGCATTCACTTCAATTCTTTTTCTTGACGTGCCCGGGAAAGAAACTTTTTTACAATGGCAGCGCCTAGAAGGATGTTGGAATCTTGTTATGAAGTCGATGAAATCATAAGTGACAAAAATGGTTGTTATCACATACTCGATATACACCACGAGGCTTACTTTCCGCCGGAATCTCCGCCCATGGCACATCCCTTATTCCCGAACGCCTTAAAACACGCAAAAGAGATGAAGAACAAAATGATGCTCAACTATCACCCGGATAAAGTCCTATCTCAGGAATCTCAGGAAAAAGAGAAGGCCGCAGAATCTTGCGCGAAGATAAACGACGCTTATGAGAACATCGCGGAGAGTGCTGAGAAGCGAAGAACATACGATACCTTGCAACTGGCGAGAGAGAGAGCAAAGGAACTCCCTTCAGTACCAACGGTTCAGCAACTGAAGGTGCCTTTCTTCTCGCACCTGCGCTGGAAGACAAATGGAGAAATCGCTCCGGGTTCGGAAGGTTCGGGTGTGGGGTATGCTAAAATCATGGGCGTGACTGCGGACCAAGAATTAGAGCTACAATCGCCGTATGCTCCGCAGCAAGATGGCGATGCACAGATTATTAGAGTACGAGTATCGGAGTTATCGCCTGAAAGTACAACAGTATCGAAGGAGGAGTACGCGTGCGTGGGTGTCAAAGTCGGTTACGTTAAAAGTATATACTCGCCGTATCTCGAACAGATGTGTGGTGTTCGATTCGACCTCTGCGCGAATATAACAGTTATCAACAAAGAGTTTTCACATCGTTTCGAACTCCTCGACGAAGAAAAAGAAAACGAAATACTGCCGGGGTTCAGAGACAAAGCGAAAGACACAATCACTTACAGCCAACGAGGTGGATTTTCGCAGCAACTTCCCAGAGTCAATATAGACGTGAAATTTAGAGGCATCAGATTGAGATGCTCTGTGGGATTTATGGATGCTGGTTTCTCACCCATTTCGTCGGGAGAAAATCAACGCAAAGTTTTAATCACGTTTGGCCAAAACGAGCTCGACAGGTTCAAACGCGTCGCACCTGGTTTTAATTTTCAAACGTGAGAGAGAGAAAGAGAGAGAGAGAGAACGAGAGAAAGAAAGAAAGAAAGAGAAACACAAAACCAAGCACTGCATTGGACGCGTCTTCGCCCGTCGGCGGCGGTTGCGGTGGGATTACGGTTTCCAACAGTTTCCATTGAGAAGTTCGTTCGATTGTATTACGAAGAGAGAGAGACACATTTTTCATCAACTTGAAAGAAATTTTTTTAAATTTTAACCGCTCGAATTTCACAAAAAACACACATGTCGTCTCGCATCATCGATTATTCCAAGTGGGATACACTGAAGTACTCTTCTTCTTCTTCTTCGGAAGAGGACGACGAGAAGGCGAGGGCGACAATTGCACACCTCGGGGATCTCCTGCTTTCTTCTTCTCAGAGAACGAGCTCGTCGTCACCTCTTTGGAACGGGTTGGTGTTGCATCATAAGGATGTTTTTGTCTCGCATGTGCTTCCGAAATTGAATACGACAGATCGGTGTTTCTTTTCAATGGTGGGTAGAGAGAGTCGGGGTGTGCTTGAGTATGCCGGGGTAAACGTATCGAAATTATGTTGGAATGTTCACGAATGTTCATCCATCTCGACGCTGGAATTGGTGTGGAATCACATGCTCTGGGGAGAGAAATTTGAAGATGGAACGGTGAGAGATCAAGCCTGGTTTTGCGAGCAAGTTGCTGCAACGAACAAACTCGAGTTTCTCAAGTGGGCGAGAGAAGTGAAACAGTGCGAGTGGGATGAAGATACGATTAAAATGGCAGCATTTACAGGTAATCTCGAGATGTTGAAGTACTGCTTCTCTAACGAGTGCCCGTACGATGAAGAAAGGTCGTGTGAACAAGCTGCTATAGAAGGACACCTCGACTGTCTTCGATTTCTTTTCGACAAAGTGAAACCTTCGCGAGATACGGAAAAAGATGTAGTAACACAAGCAGCATGCGGTGGTCACGTGGAGATCTTGAAATATTTCGTTGAAGAAAGAAAGATATGGGATGATTTGAAGCTCGACTGCGTGGCAACCGCTGCACTGCATGGCAAACTCGATTGTATCAAATACTTATTTGGCGAATCCATTACGCAACACTCTTCGAACACGTTTCTGCTCTCGTCGAAAGAGTGTACACACGATGCCTGTTTGTACCACCGTTTACTCTGCCACCGCGCGAACGAGCGAGTTTTCGTCTTTTTCGTTCTTTAATACTAAGGATGATACGTTTAGGAGGAGTAGTAGTAAAGCGAAGCATCATCATCACATTCAACAGAAGCATAAAGAACGGATGAGCGCAAAGAAGAAGAAGAAACTATCGACGACTGCGATGACTTCGAGAAGGACGGGACACCAATTTTCTCCTCTTGAAGAGGAAAAGGAGAGAGGAAAGAGTAGACGTTCTTTTATTACGACGACGAATTGCCCAAGCGTGTTGGAGGCAAAGTCTGATTCAACGACGAGAAACGACGAAGATTCCTCGGCAGAAGCGAAGAGCTGCTTCGTCTCCGAGAATACGAGAGGACGATGTTTACGGAAACGACGACGGTCGATCGTTCTTCTCCAAATAACTTCCTCGATGGCTGCACTCATGAGCAACATTTCAGAGGAGAAGGTGTTTGCGGCTTCCTCTTCTCCCGAGGATGTGCCGAAGGAGTACGCGGAGAAACTTCGCTCGGCGTGCGAACTTCTCTTAAAATCCATCGAGTATGAACGCGCGCACCCGTCCGCGAGCGTTTCCGAACGCTTCGCCGCCGCCGACCCGGCGAAGCAAGCGGTGAAAGAGTACATCCAAACTTGGCAAGGACGACCGGAGACGAGAGATTTAGAGACGAGCGTGATTACCGGAGAAGTTTTGAGAGAGTTGGCGAGGTATTATAAGAAAAACGGCAGTCAAGTCGCTTTAGACGCTGAGTTGAGAGACGACGTCGTCGTGCCAAAGTTAAACGAGGTTCTGAACATGTTACCGGCGAAAGCGCCGACGCTCGCGGAGAGAGTTTTAGGGATTTCGACGAATTCGTCTAATAAGGCGAATTAGAGTACTACTGCTCCTCGTTAACGACGAATGTAAGTCGGCCGCTCGCTCTTCGCTCCCCTCGTAAAGAGGCAACTGCATCTCTTTGGAAGCCACACAATTTACTACTCGAAAGAGAAATAAATGCCGGCGCCTGGCCCGAAGGACGGCCACGCCTCTCGAGCGTCGAGGGATTTAAAGCTCACCCGTGGCGCGTCTGCAAAATCGAACGGGTTTAAATACGGCGGCGGGGGTCGTGATTTGGACCACGGAGGAGGACAAGGAGCAGGAGGCGTAAGAACGGGAATTTCCAACTCTCTTCGTGACCAACGGAGTCGGAAAGCGTTACAGAGGAAGTTCTTCGAGCGGAAACGGAAGCGAGAGGAAGAAGAAGAAGACAAAGAAGAAGAAGAAGAAAGAAAAGACCGTTTTACTACGCGCGACGACGACGAAAACTTCGACGACGAAACGAAGACGAAGAAGAAACGACGGAGATTGGACGAGGAAAGTGAAGGAGAGAAAAGAGAGAAAGAGGAGGAGGCAAAAGAGGAAGCGGACGCGGTGACGAGTTCGGATCCGATTTCAACGAAAAAAGAGAGTAAAATACTAATAACGTTTCCGTGGTTGTGCGACGTTTGTTTTGAAGGAGAAGGAAGGAAAGTCGTCGCGCAATCGGAGCATCAGAGGAACGATCATTTGAATTCGAAGAAGCATAAGAAGAATTGCGAGAAGCGACGCGGGAGGGAGTTGTTGCGAACGATGTTCTTCGCGGAGAAGAAGGAGACGACTTTAGGGACTTGATGATACGGTTTGTTTGTTAGAGAGATGTGTATTATTATTATATGCGCTGCAATTACTATATACTATTATTACATAGGCTATGAAACGAGTCACTACGGATCACCGTCTCCGTCTCCAAATCCTTCATCTTCTCGTTGGAACGTTTTCGCCTTCGCGATACATTTTTCGGCGTTTCCAACGTCGCACCACTCGACGCTCGCATCTTCTGCGTCTAAAGCCACGTTTCTGAGCAGAGCGTATTCAAAGTCCCTTTTCCCGTTTTCGTACGCGTTGGGTTCGAACGCCGGAGACGAAAAATAGCTGAAACTTTCCTCGGTTTGCGCTCGGTAACTGTAACTCGTGAAATCGAAGCCCCAGACTTGGATGTATTTACACGTTCGTTTGGCCAACGCTAACGTGAGCAACGCGGATGGGGGCGCTTGGTGACGCTGCAAGTGATGTTCATCCGCGGTTGAAGAATGCGAAGAAGATAACAACTCCTTCTTCACGTCGTTATACTTTTCGATAAACGGCGCGATGATATCGGGACTCATGATATCCCAGTCGTCCTCGGGGAACTTGGTCTTCAACAACGGAAAAAGTTCGTAACTTTCCGCGCGCCAAAGTAACAACTTAGTGTCTTTGAACTTCCTCAAGCGCGGATTTTTCGGGTCGACTAAATCCTTTCTTTCGATTAAAGTCTCCGCGGCGTCGCGGTCCAGCACGCGAAAGGTTGTGCGCAAACCCGCGACGTCTTTATACTTCGCGCCAGTCGGCGCCACGTCTATGCGGAATATCTGGTCGATGTGCTCATCGAGCACCTCGCCAGGCTTCGTTCTTTGCATGCTCCCCGAAGATCCAACAATAGCGCACGTGTTAAACATCATCTCCCCGTTTGTGTTGCGATCCATCCCGAGTTCGTCCACCTCCGGCAGCGGTAGTTTCGAGATGAACGAACGTTTAATCAAAGGCTGATCGCCTTTTTCATCCTTCACGTGCGAGGTCCATTTTTGCACGTTTCTCCATCCCTTTTCATCTTCAACGACGTCTTTCGATAACGTCAAAGCCGCCACGGTTCCCCCCGCGTTCATCAAACTATATCTATCTTTGCTCTCAAACGAACTCAAATCATCCCTCTCGCACATTTTCCCGCTAAACCCAAACTTACACTCGCACACGTCCGGTTTCACGCACTCCCCGTGAAACGAACACTCCTGTTCACACCTCGCCCACTCGCACGCCTCTCCCACCCACTTCTCGCTTTCGCACACGCACTTTTGCTCTAAAAATCTAAACTCGCCTCGCTCGCACCGCACGTCGCACGTCTGTCCGTACCACCCCTCGTCGCACAGGCAAAAGTTCGGATTCGTGCACTTCCCGTGTTCTGCGTTGCACTTCACCCCATCCTCTTCCTCGCACACCGGTACGTCGCACGTTTCGCCTTTCCACCCGTTCTCGCACAAGCAGTACCCGTATTGGCACACGCCGTGCGGGGCGCACTGGCGCGCGCACATCGCGTCTCGGCATTTGGCACCTCCGTAGCCTCTTTCGCACGTGCATTTCGTCGGGGAAGACGTCGAAAAAGAAAAGTTCTCGTCCAAATCAAAGTCGTCGCATCGTTCGTGACTGAGGACGATTTTGTGTTTGTTTTGAAAGGTGTTGCTCTCGTCCTCGTGCATCGTCATCTTCGTCATGAACCGATTGGAAATCTGCCAACTCGTCCACACGGAAAGCGCGAGGAACCACACGAAGTAGAGCGCGAATCGCTTTCTAAAAGTCGTCTCACCTCCTCGACGAGGATGACGACGGTGGTGGTACTTTTTCAAATCGTCTTTTTCACCTCCTCCCATTATTAGTATCGCGACGACTTTAATAAGAGCAGCGAGAAAAGCATCGTTGTTGTTGTTGTTGTTGTTCAAGAAACTGCGTACACCTGCGGAGAACTCATTCGTGTTGTTTTTGGGGAGATTTTGAAACCATTTTGAGAGACAAAAATGCGTCATTTGAAAGCGCTTTGAGAAGACGAAGAAGACAACCAAGAGGCACGCTTTGCCGTTCCATCTCTCTCTTTATAATCGTGTGTCGTTCTTTCGCTCTCGTCAAAGTAGTTGTTTTTGATTTCGATCGAAGATATACACGCAACAACAACACGTTTTCCTGGAACAACTAAAAGATGGCGAAATCATCATCCATAAGCGGAATGCGAAAACTGGTCGTCGCGGCCACGCTGACGGTCTTCACCTGTTCCCAAGGCTTACTCATGGAAGCGTCAAAAGTACGGGGCAAATATCCGTACAATTCCGCGGTCGTCCCGTTACTCTCGGAACTGGTGAAACTGATCTTATCGATTTTACTGTTACGCAGAGCGAGAGCACGAGACCCGGCGGGAACGATCATGACCACAGACGTGAAGTCCGTGATGTTGTTCCCGATACCATCGATCATATACGTGATGCATAACAACGTGCAGTTTTACACGATGGCGTACGTGGACGCGGCGACGTACCAGATTTTAGGGAACTTGAAAATCGTGACGACAGGTATATTGTTTCGGTTTGCCTTGGGGAGATTGATGACTCGGACGCAATGGATCGCGTTGTTGTTGTTAACGGTTGGCGCGACGGTGAGTCAAATATCCGGGTGCAAAGGGGAGACCTTGTCGGCGCCGATGGCCGGGTACGCGTTAGGCGTTTTGAGCGCGTGTTTGAGCGCCACCGCGGGGGTGTATACCGAGTTTTTGTTGAAGAAGAACAACGACAATTTGTATTGGCAGAACGTGCAGTTATACGCGTTTGGGGTGGTGTTTAACGGTTTGAGGTTAACCTGGGACGATTTCTTCGGCGAGAATAGCGGAGGGAACTGGTTGTTCGATTGTACGAACGGGTTTACCGCGATCACGTGGTTAATCGTGATTAACTTTTCGTTTAGCGGATTATTCGTCTCGTGGTTGCAAAAGTTTGCGGACACGATCGTTAAAGTCTACGCGACCAGTTCGGCGATGTTGCTCACCGCTTTGTTGAGCGTTTCCTTCTTCGGATTAGAGCCGAGCTTGCAATTATTTTTGGGCATCACCATCGCGTGTTGCTCGCTAGTCTTATATTTCATGCCTCCGGATTTGCCGAAAGAGAAAGGCATGGGTGTTTTGCCAGTCACGAGCGGCGGTGGTGTTAATGGTGACGGCAATACTAGCGGTAGCGCGTACGGCGGCGGCGCCACGCCGAGAGGCGGCGGCTCCGGCGGCGACAAGCTGAACTAAGATTACTCTGTATACGTAGCGTTATTAAAAAAAGAGATTAAAAGAAGAGGTTGCTCGATAAAAGGTTTGCGTGTTGTAATAACGATGATGACATATGATTGTCGCATATGTGTGTGTGTATTCTTCTACTCGTTCTTCAAAACGTTCTTCCATCGAAAAAGAAACCAGAAAGCCGTTCGCTCTCGCTTCGACGAAAGCGTTCGTTCGTTCTGCGCAGCGCACGAAAAGGAAGATTTCCTCCTTCCTTTCGCTTCACTTTTATCCACGAAAATCATCCATCGGATATAATCGCTAAAAAATGTTTTCCATCTCTGCCACTCCTGTCGTCGTTTCTGCGTCCAGCGCGAACAAGGTATGAGATTCTGTTCCCGTCGTTCTCTCTCTGTTTTCCTTTTTTTGCTTTCTTTGCCTCGAAGCGCTTCGCTTTGCGAAGGTTTGTGTTGTTTCTCTCTCTCGCGCGGATTGATTTTTCCCAAGCAGGGGAATCCCAGGTGGCAAAAGTATGGATCGTCATCGCGCGATCTTTCACGCGTCCCCTTTACCTCTCCTTTTTCGCGCGCGTCTCTTCGCGACAGAGACAGCGGAGGATTTCTCCTTTTCTCGTTTATTCTCTTTTCTCGACGAAATGAAGCGGCGTGCGATGATATCCTCCCACCGTCTGCCACTTTTACCGGGAAGAAGACGCGCAAAAGATAGGTTTGGGGTTTCAGGAAAAAAATACTCACGCTCTTCTCTCTCTCTCTCTCTCTCTCTCTCTCTTTATTTTCATCATCATCCATCGCACGACGAACACAAAACAGAACACCGCGAAGAAGGTTGTCTCGAAGAACAACAACAACACGGTCGCGAAGAACGCGGCGTTGTTGGCGGCGACCATCGCCACCATCTCTTCTTCCGGCGCCGCGTTGGCGGACGACATCGAAGACGTGTACGCCGCCACCTACGCCAAGGGCCGAGACGGTTTTGGCGTCAGATCGCCGCAAAGACAAGCGGTTGACGTTAATCTTTCAAGAAAGCAAGCTGCGCCGAAGCCGAAGTTCGTGAAGCCAGTCAGAGAGGAAGCGCCGAAGCCGGCGAAGAAGGAGTCGTCTGGCGGCGGCTTCTCTTTGCCGTCGATCTCTTTGCCGTCGATCTCTTTGCCGTCTTTCGGTGGCGATGCGCCGGCAACTGCTGATGAGTAAGCTATTTGCGATTTATATATAGAACATAAGAAGACACTTGTGCTGTTGTAATTATGCGAGGATTCGTATGTGCTGATGGTACAATTTTACTTTTACTTCAGCGCTACTGTAAGTTCACTTCTTGAGCGCCTTCTTTTTCTTCTTCTTTTTCTCTCTTTCGTCGTGATCATCATCCCCGGCGATGGAACTTTTTCGTTTCTTCTTGCCTTCATCGTTAGTACTACTGTTCGTTTTTTTCGCATCATCGAGCGCTTTCGCGATGCGTTCTAACGCTTGAACAGTCTTTTGACTCGGTTGCGGCGCTCTTTCTTTTTGCGTTTCGATGGCGTTCTCAATCGCCGCTTTGGCTTTTTGTGAAAACACAAAACCTTCGGCGTGGCGTCCAATCGCTTCGAAAACGTTTGCGCACATCTTGGAAGTGTCTGCGCGTCGACTTTGGTTTTCGACGTCTGCTTTGACGGCGTTCGCCAGCGATATCTCACACATCGAGTTCACTTCTTCCGCGGAAGGAATCGACGAGTCTCTTTGCTTACAGGAAAAGATTTGAAAGAGCAGTTGTAACGACTCTTGCCGCAAGAACTGCGCGCGAGCGCTATCGCCTAAATCGCACAACGAAGCGAGTTCTTTGGAAGACGATGCCAACACGTTCGGAGAAAGCTTTATGAGCTCGGCAAAAAACGGCGCGCGCAATCGACTGGTTTTCTTTTCAAACTTTTCCGTGATTGCCGTTTTGTAAATCTCAGCGGCGCTTTCGCCGTCGCCGTTACTCTCCATGACTTTGGCGATATATGCGCACGCTACGGCAGCAGTCTTCGCAAAACCTTTCGCCGCGTCGCTATCGCGTCCAGCCCCAGCGCCATTATCGGCGACATCGATCAACTGTGTCAAGATTTCGTGAATATCTTTTCTCGTACCGGTAACCATCGCTGCGTGTTTGCACGCGTGTTTCGTCAAGACGCTATCGATTCTTTGCGCGAGTTCCAAGAACGATTTTTCCATCGGGTTACTCTTAAACCGTATTCGAGCGTTTCTAGAGGCGCTGAGTAACCGTGGAACGATGATTTCAGGAAGAAACTTTGAGCTCGGCTGCGACTTTGCAAAGAGTTCGAGAAGCGATAAAGCTCGAAACTTGAAATCTGCAGCGGCAACTTTCAAAGCTTTCTTGCGCGAAAGCTCCTGTCTTTTCGCTCTGAATGCGTCGGCGAGAAGTTTATCGGTGGCAAACATTTGTTCGTCCGTAAAATCATCCGAGTCGGAATCGTCGGAGTTGTCGTCATCTTCTTGAATTTTCAGTGCGGCTTTGCGAATGGCTTCAATCGCGCCTTCGTTCGCTTCCGTGTCCATACCAGCGTCTGAATCGTTCTCATCGTCGTCTTCGTCTGAATCATCATCGCTACTCGAGGAATCGTCGTCGTCGTCGTTGTCAGAGTCGTCTTCTTCTTCGAGCATATCTTCATCGTCGGAGTCGTCATCCTCATCGTCATTCTCATCGTCGTTCTCGTCGCCGCGCTTCCCGGCACCCATGTTCTCCACGACGTTGAGAATATCTTCGATACCTCGATCGGTGATTTTCCCAGACACGCCTTTAAAAGTACGTTCGGTGACGTCGCGCAATAACGCGGACGGTTGCGCGAGAAATGCAATCAATAAATCGTTGAGAACGTCCATCGGCTCCAAATCGTGCTCTTCCTCTTCGTCCTCCTCCAGTGTTTTCTTCGTCGATTTTTTCTTGGTTGTCTTTTTCTTCTTCGGCGGCTGGAGAAGCTCTTCGACGCATCGAGGAATATCCTCGACGATCGACGTGAACTGCTTCGGATCAGACGCGTGTAAAACGATTAAAGTTTTAAGCAGCGGAATAATCGACGTCGCGACACCGCTTTCGTCGGCTTTTTGCTTTTTTTCGCAGAGTTTCAAAGCATTCGCAAGATTTTTGCGGGCCTCTTTCGCTCGCGCGCTATTCGGAATAACGTCCGTCACCGAAGCGTCGGCGTCGAATTTTAACACCGCTTCGCACGCTTCCGAGAGCGCATCGAATTTTTCTTCTTCTTCCTCGTCCTCTTCGTTTGCTTCGTTGCCTTTATCTATATGATTTTTACCGTTCTTAGTATTTTGACTTTGTTGCTTTTTCTGCTGTTGCGTGCGTCCGCGCGATCGAATGTTCGTCAATAAGATGCCAAGTAAACGCGTCGAAAGTGCTCTTCTGAGCACATCGGGACAATCTTCTATGTTTTTACCCAAGACTGTCTTTGGCAGTTGTTTCTTGGACGTGGAATAGAACGCGTGGAACAAGCAAAAATGCAAAACGTCCAAACGATCGTTCGGCGATAATGCCGACGTAATCGAACACATTTGTTCTAGCGCCCATAACCGTTTGAAATCGCGACTGCTTTTCTTTTTCTTCTCCTCGTCGTTATCATCGTTTTCGTTCTCGTCGTCACTCTCGTCTTGTGTCGCCAAATCTGATTTCTCCAAGATTGTTTCTCTCAACTCTTCGCAATACGCTTTCGCTTCCTCTCTCGTTAATCCAGCCAATAACGTGGAAATCCCACTCGATTTCGCCAACTGCTTCTCAAATCTGTGAATGCCAACCTTTCTCAACGCCGCCACGATCGCCACGCGTTTCTTTGCGCTCGTTTCTGAATGTTTCGCGCACCTCGCGATGGCTTTCAAGCAATCCGTGCTGCAAGCGTGTAAATAATTCTCCGGTTTGGCGCAGTTTGAAACTAAACATTTAATAAAGTTTGGCGACGTGAACAACTTCGCAGTCTCCGATGCCGTCGCGTTTCGCAACAGCATCGAAAATATGCGAAACCCGAGGTACTTTCTCTGATGCGATGGCGCTGTAAACAACCCGTTCTCGCAACACGTCTCCCACAACGCCTCCAATCGAGTCAAGTTGCTTCCTGCTGATATTTTCGTCGTCGCTCCCGCTTTGTTTCCTCCTTTTTTATCGTCATCGCTATTACTTCTACACGCTTCGCATAAAATCTCCCAAATAGGGTGCACCCTCGGGTGCGCGTGCGGACACTCCGCCAAAGCGTGACTCACTTTCTTCAAATTCTCGTACGCGAAAAACGAATCCTCTTTCGCAGAAGATGAAGAGGAAGAAAATTTAGGCACGACGCTCTGCGCTTCCTTACACCTCGCCGGTAAGCATTCGTACAAACTATACGCCAACCACACGGTTTCAATCGTTGTTTTCCCACTCTGCTCTCCGACGTCTGTCACGTCTCGACTCACCCACGCCTGCGCTTGCGGACACTTCTCCAGCGCCTCCCTCGCCAATCGAAACGGATCTTTCTCGTGCAACCCTTCCTCTTGTTTACTCAAACTCAGCGCGAGTTCAATCATAACTTTCGCCGCGCTTTCGCTCAAATACGCTTTCGTGTTGCTAATCCTACAAATCTCCGCGAACAATTGGGAACTCAAATCGACGATTCGTTCTCGCTCTTCCTCCGGCGTCGTCCATTTTTTTCGCTTGTTGTTGTTGTTACTACTACCACTACCACTCATCATCTCCTTTTTCTTCTTCTTCGCTTCCAAGGACACTTCCTTGGCCACCAGCGCTCTCGCCAGCGCCGCGTTCCCGAATAATTGTCCGATCAAAATATCTCTCGCTTCCGATCCTTTCGTGCTCTTCGTGATTGGTTCCAATCCTTCCTTCAGAAATCGAAATCCATCTTCCACGGAAATCGCATCCAGATGCGTCATCGCGCTCGTAAACGCCACCGCGAACCCTTGCCTCGCCCCGGCGCGTCCAGACCCGAGACCTCGCGTTAAACGTTTCATGGAATATTCAACCACCGCGTCGAGCTCAACGTTGTTTTTATCATCGTCATTCGTAATACTACTCGTGGTATTGTTTTGCACCAAAAACAGTTCTTCCGAAAGAGAGGCGGCGGCGGTGCATCTCGTCTCCGCATCGGTCGACGCCAAGTCCCAGAAGCGCTGGAGGATTGTCGCCGGGACCAACGAGGTCGAGGAAGTGTTGTTCGCATTATTCGACGTCGATTTTGTCTTCTTCTTCTTCGTCGTCGTCCCCGATGCGCCTCCCATTATTATTATTATTATATATACTACTCTCTAACAGAGAGCACGCAGAACAACTCCAACGAAAGCGCGTTTTTTGTGTGCGTGTAGAGTCAGTCGTCTTTTTTCAACGCGAAAATGTATCAACGCTCAAAATCAGTCGCTCGTTTCGGGATCCTTTTTAGCACCACGAAAAAGTCGCTCATCCATTCATCCGTCACTCCGTCCACCTGGGCACCCCAAAAGTCTTCTGCAGAAAAGCAAACAAAAATTTTTTTTTTGCCTCGGAGACGCGCGAGAGAGAGAAACGTCATTCCTACCATACGACTCGTGTGATTTGCTCGTAAACGCATACTACTAAAAAATAAATATGCTTCGCGTGGTCGCGCGAAGGTTCGCCCGAGGAGGGAACGCGTCTTCCCCGAATGGTCATCCGCTGGTGCGTCGTTTACCCTCAAAGTTCAGCGTTTTTTGTGCTCTGTCTCTCTGTCTCTCTCGTCTTTAAGAAGCGAGCGTCGTCGTGTTGTTGTCGTCCGATTGAGATTCCAATTCTTTCGGCTGCGCTTCTTTTTCTTTCGATTGGTCACACGCGCAATCGCGCGCGCTCTGACGACGAGAAGAAGATGAGGCGTGAAAAATATCTTTCGTCCTTTTGACGCCGTGGTGGTGGTGTTGTTGTTGTTCTTTTCGCTTTTGTAGTGGTCGTTCACTGATGATGATACACCTTCTTTCTTCTTCTTCTTCTTCTTCTTCTTCTGTATAAAATTTCAGATCAATCAGGCGGCGACGGCGTCGTCATCGACGTCAATGTTGATTCATAAACAAATGCTTCCGTCGCTCTCGGGCGGTCTCTCATCCGCTGCGAATCAAATCCGCTCGTACTCCAAAGACGTCATCGGGATTGATTTAGGGACGACGAACTCGTGCGTGGCAGTCATGGACGGCAAGAACGCGAAAGTCATCGAAAACGCGGAAGGGTCGAGGACGACGCCTTCGATGGTGGCGTTCACGGAAAAAGGCGAACGGTTAATCGGGCAACCGGCGAAGAGGCAAGCGGTGACGAACCCTTCGAACACGTTGTATGCGTGCAAACGGTTGATTGGGAGACGATTCGACGATCCGCACACGAAGAAGGAGCAAGAGCTCGTGCCGTATGACATCGTGAAGGCGAGCAACGGCGACGCGTGGGTCAAGGCGGGCGGGAAAGAGTACTCGCCTTCGCAAGTCGGCGCGTTCGTTTTGCAAAAGATGAAAGAGACCGCGGAATCGTATTTAGGTAGAGGGGTGACGCAAGCTGTGGTGACGGTGCCGGCGTATTTTAACGACGCGCAGAGACAGGCGACGAAAGACGCGGGGAAAATTGCCGGTTTGGATGTTTTGAGAATTATCAACGAACCGACCGCGGCGGCGTTGAGTTACGGCGTGGATAAGAAAGAGGGCATCGTCGCTGTGTACGATTTAGGTGGCGGGACGTTTGATGTGTCCATTTTGGAAATTTCCGGCGGCGTTTTCGAAGTCAAAGCGACGAACGGGGACACGTTTTTAGGCGGCGAAGATTTCGATACCGTGGTTATGAATGAATTGCAAAACGTGTTTAAGAAAGAGTCTGGGATCGATCTCAAAGGCGACAAGTTAGCCGTGCAACGTTTGAGAGAAGCCGCGGAGAAGGCAAAGATTGAGTTGTCCAGCACGACTTCCACGGAGATCAACTTGCCGTTTATCACCGCGGATGCAACCGGACCGAAACACTTGGCGATGACTTTGACCCGGGCAAAATTGGAAGAGTTGGTCGGTTCGCTCTTGGAAAGAACGAAAGCGCCGTGCACGAACGCGTTGAAAGACGCCGGGATTTCTCCGAGCGAGTTGAGCGAAGTCTTGTTGGTTGGAGGTATGACCAGAATGCCGAAAGTGCACTCCATCGTGAAAGACTTGTTCAAGAGAGACCCGAGTAAAGGCGTGAACCCGGACGAAGTCGTCGCCATGGGCGCGGCTATTCAAGGTGGTGTTTTGAGAGGCGACGTGAAAGATATTCTCTTGTTGGACGTGACTCCGCTTTCCTTAGGTATTGAAACCTTGGGTGGCGTTTTCACGCGATTGATCAACAGAAACACGACGATTCCGACCAAAAAGTCCCAAGTCTTTTCCACCGCCGCGGATTCCCAAACCCAAGTCGGCATCAAGGTTTTGCAAGGTGAAAGAGAAATGGCGGCGGATAACAAAATCTTAGGCAACTTTGATTTGATGGGTATTCCTCCGGCCCCGCGCGGTGTGCCGCAAATTGAAGTCACGTTCGATATCGACGCCAACGGCATCGTCAACGTTTCCGCGAAAGACAAAGCCACGGGTAAAGAAAACTCCGTCGCCATCACCAGCTCCGGTGGTCTCTCCGACGCGCAAGTCGAGCAAATGGTCCGAGACGCCGAATCCCACGCCGAAGACGACAAAAAGCGAAAAGAAATGATCGACGCGAAGAACGAGGCGGATACGTTAATTTATTCCGCGGACAAAAACATCCAAGAACACGGCGCCAACTTGCCGCAAGAAATCAAAGACGAGATCCAAAACGCGCAAATGGCGTTGAGAACGGCCATGGAAGGCGACGATAACGAAGCGTTGAAAGAGAAAATCGGTGACTTGCAAAAAGCCGTCATGAAAATCGGCGAGGCGTTGAGCAAAGGCGCGAGTTCCGGAGGCGCTTCGGAATCCGGCGAAGGCACGACGACCGAAGGCGAAGCCACGGAAGAGAAGAAGTCGGAAGAGGCGAAGTAATATAAGTTGAGAGAATATTCACCACTCAAACATCATCAACGCATACATTCTTTCTTTCAATATAATAAGTCTACTAAATATCTATAAGTACTCTAAAACTAACGCAACTGCACATCGTCTTTCCTCTCTACATTACTTCTTTACCTACCGCTCGAAGAAAACAACTTCACCGCATCCCCGTAACTCTCGCTCTTCAAAAACTGCTCGTACCCTCCATCAAACGTCTCCTCTCCTCTCCTCTCTTCCTCTTCCTCCTCAAAGTGTCTTCTCAAACTCTTCCTCCTCTTCTCTCGCTTCTTCGTCGTCGCAATCTCCGCGCACTTGTATAAAACAAACGCGAGCGAAAGGACGACGAGAAACACCATCAGTCGCGTCAGAGTATGCCCGAACCTCCCGGGTTCCATCATCGCTCGCGATTCCGGTAACACCGTTCGATGGTGAATTTTGCTACCTCTTCCTCCTCCTCCTCCTCCGACTCGTCGCAGTCCAACGTTCATTCACTGGTCACATCAAGCAAAAGAGAATGTGTGAAGAAACGTTGGGGAAACACGTCACGAGGAAATGCCTCACTCTGGCGGCTCGATTAAGAAACGCACCACTTTTATATCTAAAAATGGCATCCAGTTCGGCGCAAGTGGCCGCGCAAGCGTTGGGCGCGTTGGCGAGAATGGGCGCGTTCGTGGGGATTGGCGCGACCGCGGTGTCGAGCGCCATGTACGACGGTACGTTGCGCATCGCATCTCTCTCGCTCGGGGATTTCTTTCCACGGGGAGAGAAGCGGATCGGATCGATCTCTTGGTCTTCTTCTCTCTCTCGTCTCCTTTTATTAAACCTTTCGGTGTTGCTGTCGTTCGTAAACGCGAGAACTGACCCTGAACTCTTTCACTACTTTCACTCTTCTTTTTTAACGACAACTTTAACAGTGGATGGAGGCGAACGCGCGGTGATGTTCGACCGTTTCCGAGGCGTCTTGAAAGACACGAGCGCTGAAGGCACGCACTTCATGGTGCCGATAATCCAATCGCCAACCATCTACGACGTACGAACGCGACCGAAAAGTTTGAGTTCAGTCACCGGGACGAAAGATTTACAACAGGTGAACTTGACGTTAAGAGTTTTATGCCGGCCGAACGTGGAACAGTTATCGACGATACACTTAAACTTAGGTCCCGATTACGACGATCGAGTGTTGCCGTCGATCGGGAACGAGGTGTTGAAAGCGACCGTGGCGCAATACAACGCGGACGAGTTATTGACGAGAAGACAGGAAGTGACGGAACAAATCGCGAAGAGTTTGCGGAAACGCGCGGATGATTTTGGGATTTTGTTGGAGGACGTGGCGTTGACGCATTTGAGTTTTAGCCACGAGTATTCGCGAGCGATTGAGGCGAAACAGGTGGCGCAGCAAGACGCGGAGAGGGCGAAATTTGAAGTCATGAAATCCGAGCAAGAGAGAGAGGCGGCGGTGATTAGAGCGGAGGGGGAATCCGAGTCCGCGAAGTTGATTTCGCAGGCCACGAGAAGCGCCGGGCCGGCGTTGATTGAATTGAGAAGGATCGAAGCCGCGAGAGAGGTGGCGAAGACGTTGAGCGGGAGTAAGAACATCGTGTATTTGCCGGGCGGGAACGGAAGTAACATGTTGATTGGCGTGAACCCGTAGAAAAACTGTATTCGCGATGCGACGACAACAACGAGTTCATTCATTTCATTCGCCACAAAACCGGCGTTTGCGCAAAAACTCGGCGTCGGCATATAAATTAAAATGTAGTCTTTTGTATTAGATACTAATAATAACAACTTCTCTCTTTCATCTCTATCATCATCATCATCATCATCATCATCATCGTGACTACTACTATTTTTCCGTGCCGCAGCGGCGCGGCAAATGTATTTCCGTGAAAACGTATATCAAGTACCGAATCTGTGCCTGTAGAGCGGCTTTTGCATCTTCCGCAACACGTCCACCCACGGTCGCTCGACTAACAGTGCCTTATCTTTTCCGACGTTTCCGAAAAATAAGCACGGGTCGTTTAATATGACCGCGCGGACACCGCCGGGAAGTTCGATCGCGCCGTCGACGCGTTGGGAGGCTTGCTTTTCCTTGAGTTGTTTTTCGCGCTGGCGGCGTTTTTTCTTGGCCGTACCGGTCAAGACTTTCGATTTGCCGAGTTTGGAGAGGACGCAGTCGTCGGTGATTTTAGAGCGGAGATTGATGCGAGCGATGGCGTTCGGGGTGTGCGCGAAGAGGACGAGCTCGGGTAGACCGGCGTCTTTGTTCGCGGCGGCGGTTGACTTTCTTGAGGATGCAGATTTTCCCCGCTTGGAAGAAACTATCCCTTTTTCGCTACCACCGCCAATGGCGAACGATAAACCGCAAATTTGACCGGGCGTGTTGTATAAAGCATCCGGGGCGTGCGCGTTTCTTTTCGCCAAGTTCAAACTCCACGGCAACGGTTCGCCGGTTTCAACGTCAATCGTCCACAAGGAGTTGGACGTGCCGCACGCTATAGCTAATACTCTGGTTTCATTAAACGCCATCGCGTGTATTGCCGACCACGAATCCATATTCAACGGTGGAGGTAAACGCGAGTGGAGTTTCATCGCATCCATTGAGTAGATGAAGACGCCGCCGACGTTGGCGTTGGCAGAAAACGCATTGTCGGCATCGCTGACGACGTTTGGTGCGCGACAGGAAGCGACGGCGAGCCATTGCGAGTCGCCGCTGCAACAAATATTTGTTACCGCGGGGCATCCAACCGTATCGGCGGTAACCATATTGCATTCTCCTCCTTCAAATCCACCGACGTTTGTACGAGACTTGTGTGATCGTCTTCTTCCGGATTCTTTCGCGAACGCTCGCTGCGTCGCGGTTTTCGTCGCGATGTGCGCTCTCAGAGTACCCACAACCTCCCAATTTTCAAGGTCAATAATCTTAATCGGGCCCCTGATGGAAACAATTATCAATCTCTTTGCATCCGCGGTAAACAACAAGTGCGCCGCCGGTCGCGTAATTTCCTCCGGTAACTCGACTTTCTTCGCGCGCCAACCAGACTTGCGTTTGACATCCGTCGCGCCGTCAAAGAACGCCTCCTCTTCCTCGTCGTCTGAGTTCATGTCTTCTTTTTTCTCTTTACTGTTCGGTTCACGAATCGCAAATATTCGTGGTGGCGAAACGGCATCAGAAAGTACGACCCAACACCCGTCTGGCGATATCGCTGAACAGAGAATCGAGTGTCGACCGGAGACGAAAAGACGCAGGACGCATTCCGGCGCCGATCGTAAAAGTTGACGATTCTTCTTATTCTGAGTGTTTTCTGTGCGTTGCTTCTTCCTCGCGTTGGAAGTGTTCAGGTTTTCCTGTTGGTTCTGGCTATTATTATTATTATTATTATTTGTTGTTGTCGTTGTCGTTCCTAAAGCCTCGCCGAGTTTCCAGACGTCCACGTATCTTCCGTGTTCGCACATGGCTAAAGGCGGATCCGGGAACTTGAACCCCGCGGACCGCTCGCTCAACACGTCATTGCCATTTGAAGGCGTCCCAACCGGCGTGGTCGTCGAACTGCTCTCGTTGAAAGTGTGCATGGCGGTAGATGTCACCGCGATCGGCGTTTTCCTCGGCACCGAGACGACCCGAACCGGGTGTTTCTTACCGAACGCATCAGCGCGGTGCGCTAACAATTGCGCGTCTACTCCAGCGGAAAGCAATACACCGCCGGGAACTTTCGAGTTTCTAACCATTTCTAAACATTTTACGTCGTGCGTGTGCGGTCGTTTCATGGATGTTTGCACCCACTCGTTGAATCCTTTATCGTTTCGATTGAGGTCGTCTAAATTCTCATACGCGACTATTTTATGGTCCACGCCAGAGGCGAAGACTATTTTCCCGTCCGGGGCTACCGCCAAAGCGACCACGTCGGCATCGTGCGACGAGAATCGTTTCAAGACGGTATAAAATCGCGAATCGTGAAACGTGACGTTCCCATCTGAATCCGCGGTGACTAAAGTGTCATCCGGAAGATAGAGCATTTTCCAAACGCACGTCGGATCGTGGTTTTTCGCGGAAACGTTCGATCCCCCTCGATTCCGTTTCTTTTTCAAACTATTCGGATTTCTGTGTCTCTCTTTATTCGCGTGTTTCGGAGGTTGATTCCCAATCAAAACGCATTCAATTTCTCTTTTCGATTCGACGTCAAACACGTGAATCCTCCCTTCGCTCGTCCCAGCCGCGATCCTCGTCCCGTCCTTGTTCCAACACACCGACAACACTTTCCCGCTCACCTTCGGCAACGCTTCTTTATGCCTCAAGCCACCTCCAACGGCACTCTTCGCCATGGAAATCACCAACCTCACGCACCCGTCGTCGCACGCGATGGCTAATCGCTGCGGTTGTCCTGGTTTCACCGCCTCCATCGGTTCGCTCGCGCAATCCCAAATCGACCCGCCGTGCGATTCGCACGTCGAGTGTGGCTTCAACTGGTTCAAATCCCACTCGGTGACTGTACCGTCTAACGCCACCGAAACCAAGCGAGCCTTCTCGGAAGACCCGACACCGCTCGATTTTATTAACGATTCCTCTCCTTCTTCTTCTTCGAGCTCTTCGTACTCTTCCTCGGAAACGCCGTCCACTCGAAACGGTTGCACCCACTCTAAGCGAGAGATGGAATCTCCGTCTTTCCCGGGAACTCGTCCAATCAGACGCCAAGAGTGCGCGTCGTACATCTCTAAATCTCCATTTTCTCGCGCTAATGCGACGCACTTGCCTCCGAAAAAATGTGACGTCGCTTTTACGGAAACGACTGGTGTCGGTTGCCACTCCACGAAGGACGCGCGGTGCAGTTCCATCATCTTCTCTATCTCTTTCGATGATGATGATTTTTTATGGCGGCTCTCTTCTGTCTTTTTTTCTCTTCTGTCTTTTTTCTCTCATTTTCGAAGAAACGTCTTTTTTTTTCTTAGATACAAAAAAAACCACAACAACACAAACGCGCGAATTAATTGTTTCACATCTCATCACATGGGACAACTGCTGACGAAACTCCTAGGAGGAGGAGGAGGAAGGCAAACGACTGCGATTACGACTCCTCGCTTTGGCGATGATGAAAACGAGTTTGATTTTGGAGAAGAAGAATTGTGCGCGCCACTTTGGGTGCTGGTCAGACGGTACCCCGACGTCTGGGGGGAAGTTTTAAAGCATCTGAACACCACGGATATAAAGTTTTTGTACGACGTCAACCGGGAGAGCCGATTCGTGATTAGGAGGCAAGGGTACGTCGTGCGCGACACGAAGTTTCGCATCTCTGAGTTTTCGAGCGTTTCAACCTTGGAGTTTGCCTGGGAAAACATTCCAAGGAAATCGGATTCAGTCCACCGAGTGGCTGGATCCGGTCAAGTGACACTTTTAAGGTGGTTGATCGAGGAGAAGAAGGCGACGTTTGACGAGCGCGCGACGTTTCACGCGGCGACGTACAAGCGATACGACGCGTTGAAGTTTTTGGTGGAGAACGGAGCGCCGATGACGAAAGACGTCAGTCGCGTGTGTTCGTCGAACGGAGCCGAAGATTGTTTACGCTTTGCGCTCGATAACGGCGTGGAATCGGATTTCATCTGTAGTTCAAACGCGGCGGAGAACGGACACTTACATATTTTGAAATTTCTTCACGAGGAGAAAGGCGTGCCGATTAACGCGGATACGGCGTACAGCGCCGCTAAAAACGGACACACGCATTGCCTGAAGTATTTGATCGAGGACAAAAACTGTCCCGTGAACGAATGGGCGTGCACCTGGGCCGCGAAACAGGGTCATTTGGAGTGTTTGCGTTATTTGCACGAACACGGTGCGCCATGGGACGAATTCACGTGTCACTCTGCCTCTGGAAATGGCCACGGGGAGTGTCTGAAATACGCGTTCGAGAACGGATGCGTGATGAACGAATTCACGATCAATTACGCTTGCGAGAGAAATCACATAGAGACGCTTCGTTTCGCAAGAGATAACGGCTGCCCGTGGGATTCGTACGCGGCTGCCGACGCTGCGGCGCACGGGAATATCGAGTGCTTGAAGTACTGTCTCGAAAACGGTTGCCCCACGGACGTAAATACAACGCGCAGGGCGGCCGGCTCGGGGCATCTCGATTGCTTGAAACTCCTCCGCGAGTTTGGCGCGCCGATGGACGAACGCGCCGTCGCCCGAGCGGCGAAAGGAGGATACCTCGATTGCGTAAAATTTCTTCACGAAAGTGGTTGTCCGCACAACATGGACGCGTGTAATCGCGCCGCGGAGTACGGACATTTGGACGTCTTGAAATACCTCCGCGAAGTCGCTCGCGCGTCCTGGAACGAGTGGGCGTGCCGCGGCGCGTCTCGGAACGGACATTTGGAGGTTTTGAAATACCTCCACTCTCAAGGCGCTCCTTGGGCGAGCTACGTGCCATATCCCATCGAGTCCGATTGAAAAGAAAAACGAGCACTGATGCTTCCATCGGATCGAAAGAAAACGAAATCAAACGAACGCTTTAAGAGGTGCGCGGAGTATTTTTTTTTTTGCACAAAAATCAGTCCTTTTTTAATTAACGCGAGATTTTTTTGAATTTTCCACACTTGTTTGTTAAAACGATGATGATCTCTTTGCCTTCTTTCCCGGCGGCTTTCGTAAGAGGCGGCGGAGGGTCGCGCGAGATTGTCCTCCGATCGTCTGAAACGGATGTCGGCTTTGTATCCTCCTCCTCGAGAGTACCGTTGTCGTCGCGATGTCGTCTGTCTCTCGTGTGTCTTCGCCGCCGCGGAGAAGGAGAACGAGGATCTGCGCCGTCGTTACGAAGAAGAAGAAGAGGAAGAATCACGTCGTTCGCGGTGAACGCGGGAACGACGCCGAAATCAACCACTTTTGATGCGAACGACCGGTACGCGAGAACGGCGAACCCGTTTTACGAGGCGAACTGCGAGCGGTACGTGGAAAAGATACTGGTGAAAGTAGACGAGAACGTGGTGATGAAGATGAAGAAGAACAGTGAGGATGGTGTTTTGAGCAGAAACGACGGTTCCGCGACGACGGTTGCCGCCAATGGCGCTCTTCCCGGTGGTGGTGATGGTGGTGGTGATAACACTACTCCTATGAAAGAAGAACGATGGGAGAAGATCCACCTGTCCACGGAGGACGAGAGGACGAAAGGATCGATGGACGTATCCGTCGTCAAGTTGAGCGACGCCGCGTTTCGGGTGAAAGTGAAGTTGGATTGTCCGTCAATTTTGAACGAACAAGACGCGCTCATGCATTGGGGGATGATTGGCGAGGAGGACGAGGATTGGAAGTCGCCGAAACATTTCGTGCGAAGCGTGCCGCCAAACGGGAGAGAGCCGGACGCGCAGTCGGAGGAGTCGAAGTTCTTGAACGGGAGAGATTGTTTTGAGCACGTGTTTGAGTTTACGAACGGGTATCGCGGGGAGAGAATGGCGATGTTGATTAGGAGTGAGGATTGCGAGACGTGGTTGAGGGACGAGGGAAGACGGTCGCACGCGATTTTGGATTTTGGGAGGATGGCAGTGGACGCGAGAGGAGGAGGATCTCAACAACGAGTTGCCGCTGCTCCAGCGCCGAATCCCGTGGCGCCGCCGCCACCACCGCAGCGACAAGAAGAGGATCACCATCATCGTCATCGTGAAGAAGACAATAACAGTCATGAGCAGCAGCAGCAACAGCACAATCATAATCATAATCAACAGCAGTCTACCAATAGCAACAACGGTGAACGGGTTTTCGCGGCGGTATCCAACTGGGTCGGCGACGACGTCGAACTTTCAAACAATCGCAAAGACCGATCTAGCAGAGACCGAAACAGATGGGACACGTCCAATTTACCGTCTTTTGCGGCGGCGCTCGTGTCTAACGATCAATCTGCATCTTCGTGGAGGCAAAAATTGCAAAGCGTCGAGAAACTCTTATGCGAAAACGACGGGAACGACATGGAAGACGCGTTAGCGTATAGTACGATTTACTTGTTTTGGATTTCAGTCGGGGCCATTTCGTGCGTGGAAGATGGAACGCATTACAGGCCAAACCATCACGCCGGCTCGGCTGAACGCATGTTTGGCAAAATCGAATCCATCGAAGGTACCGATAATATGTCCACACTCGCCGCAATTCGGCGATTACACCCGCGTTTACCCGCGTTTACAGCAGAGTTCACGCAATCCGTACCGTTAACGCGCATTCGAGATATCGCGCACGGAAAAGGAGACGAACACGGGAAGTGTCGAGAAGTCAGACAAGAAATTAAACACACGATTCAAAACAAATTGCACAGATGCGCTGGTCCAGAAGATTTAGTCGCCTCGGAGAAGATGCTGCAAAAACTCACCGCACCTGGGACGGATTACCCGAAAGCGTTCGTGGATGAGTTTGAAATCTTTTACAGAGAATTGAAAGAGTTCTTTAACGCTTCTGGCGTCGCTGAACGATTAGAAAAACTAGCCAACCAGGACGGCGGCTCGAAAAGCGCAGACGCGGCGAACGCATTTTTAAGAGCAAAAGCGAATGCAGATGATCAAAACGCGTCATTAAAATCACTTCTGGAAACGCTGCGGTTATTACACGAGTCACGAACGGAAATTGTTCGATCGCTCGAAAGCGGGAACATCCAAGACATGTCCGCTCGCCAACAGTGGCGATTGGCGGAAATTTCCTTGGAAGACTACGCGTTTGTCTTACTCTCTCGGTGCTCCAACCTTCTCGGCGCGGAAAGTGAGCCACCGAAGCAAAACTACACGAGCGAGGAGGTTAGTGAATGTCTCAATGCGCTCGCAGTATCTTTCGATACTTTGCATTTAAGCTCAAAAAGTGAAGAAATGCAGCGCGTCGCCGAAGACGCGCGAAAATTAGCCGGCGAATCGGCTTCTTTTCTCGGATCTAACGACGGCGGTTTACGAGTAAATGCCATCGCGGAACGCGCGAAACGTGCCGCAGAAAACTTTTGCGATGTGCTCGAGAACTTGTTTACGAACAGAGCGCATCAGCTCGGCCCGGCTTTAGGTATCGACAACTACGCGGTTGATATCTTCACAGAAGGGCAAATCAGAGCGTCGGTGGTGTTTCAATCCGCCAAGTTAGCCGGGGCATTAAGTAGAGCATCGAGAAATATCACCGGTGCACAAGGCTGGGATTGCGTCGTCCAATCGTCCGAAGGTGATATCGTGTATCCGCTGAGACGAGTTGAACGGTTAGATCCGAACTACTGTCGCGAAAACATCACGGAGCCGTGTATTTTACTTTGCGATTCTGCCGACGGCGACGAAGAGGTCTCGACCATGGGGCCAAACGTCATGGGCATTATTTTATCGCACGCCTTACCTCACTTATCACACTTGGCGCTACGTGCTAGACAATCCGCGGTCCCTTTAGTAGCCGTGGAAGAGGGCGCGTTGACGGAAACGATACGTTCTTTTGAAGGGAAGAACGTGTTGCTTCGATCGAAACCGGGAGACGTGAAGATTGAGTTGACCGATGCGCCTGTTTCTGGCGGCGCTTCATCATCTGCTCCTGCCGTATCGACTGCTTCTGCGACAGCATCTACCGCCGCTACAATCTCTATAGCTGCGGATACGTCGTATGCGAACGATCCGTTATCCTTTGCGAAACTCTCGGAGAGCACGCTCGACTTTGCCGTCTCCGTCGCCGGTTCAAAATCCGCGTTTTGCGCGAAACTCGAAAAACTCTCCAGCGATTCGCATTCTTCGCCGTTTGCGTTTAGTGCGCCTACTGGTGTGGCTATTCCATTTGGCGCCATGGAAGTCGCGGCTGAGGAAGCCGGTAAAACGCAATACTTACAAGAGCGATTACAAATTCTTGATTCAAACGTTCCAGAAGTTGATTTGGAAGCCGCACGTCGGGAACTCTTCGCATTGGTCGAAAACGAACTTCGTCCGTCGCAAGAAGTGTACCAAAAAGTCTTAGCCGGTATGGGCGCGAGTGCAAACTCGAAAGCGTTCGTCCGCTCCTCTGCAAACGTGGAAGATTTAGCTGGCATGTCCGCGGCAGGTTTATACGACTCCATCCCGAACGTCGATTTACAATCGTACGACCAGTTCGCGTTGGCGGTATCGAAAGTCTGGGCGAGTTTGTACACCGCCCGAGCCGTCGCCTCGCGAAAAGCAGCGAGAGTTTCGCAGAAAGACGCCAAAATGTGTGCGTTAGTTCAAGTCGCTTTGAAACCGGAATGTTCTTTTGTTTTACACACGAAACACCCATTAACGGAGAGCGATCAAGACATGTACGCGGAGATGGCTTTAGGATTAGGCGAAACGTTAGCGTCTGGGAACGTGAGAGGCACGCCCTGGAGGTTCGACATCGCGAAAGCGACGAAAGAAGTCACCGTAAAAACATTCTCATCTTTCGGTGAAATGTACATCGCCGACGACTCCAACTCGGATTCGAGCGCGTTGCAAATGAAACGGGTCTTTTGCGATGACGGCAACCACTGGCTCACCACCGACGAAAAACGTCGAAACGACGTCGTCGGCGCAAAACTCGGTGGTCTCGGTATCTACTTAGAATCAACTTTAGGCAACGTTCCGCAAGACGTCGAAGGATGCTTGCTCTCGGATGGCACGCTGTGTGTCGTCCAAGCGCGCCCGCAACCGTAAAAAAGAAAAAATCAAATGCGCTTCTTACTACTTATAATACAAACGTATGATACACACGTATTGCCGCTAAAACTAACTCAAACAAACCGAATATCTCAAACGACTCCGTCCAACATCTCCAAATCTTCCATCGCGCCTCTCTCCAGCCCTTCCCGCAAGTACAACTTCTCCACTTCCGTTAACCTCTCGCCTAAATTTTTCAGCGCGACGAGAATCTCAATCTTTTCCCCTTCCAATTTTTCCCGCGCTCCTGCTCCTCCTCCTTCTCCACCACCTTGTTTACCCTTGTTTCCTCTGTTTTTGTTGTTGTTGTCGTTCATTAGTCTCGATTCGCGTTCGATGGTGTCCAACCGGTCTCGCAACCCATTTCTGTCCTTCTCAAAAAATAACAGGTAAATTTCGTCCGTCTTAAACGCTCGTCGAATTCGGTCTCGAGTAAACTGAAGTTTAACTTCATCGGACGACCACTCCGAAACGTTCAAAACGCGACGACTTCGATTCTCATCATCATCATTCGATGATGCACACGTAATTTTAGCGCGTATTTTCTTGAATTTCTCCATCGAACGCGTCGTCTCTTCGCGCATGGATTTCAGAATCATCTCGTCGTCGATGCGTGCCACAAACGAAGGGTTGGATAAGTCCTCGAGTTGATTTTGTAACCGAATCACGTGTAAATCGCAGTTTTGTAAGAGCACGAGATCGTGAGGATCGTCTCTTTTTATGTCTGTGCGCGGGGTATCCTCGTTCTCGACGTCGACATCCATACCTATTTAATAGGGTTTTGGAGTGAATTTTGTCCGGCATTTTCCTCAAAATGTCTGCTCTTTGTGTCACGCTTTTGTCGAGTCGCGGAAGCATTCTTTACGCGCCATCATCACCAACATCTCTCGAAAGAGGAAGAAGAAGCAGTTTTGGTCGATGTAGCAGTAGCGGCAAAAGTAGCAGCAGTACCAGAAAACTATCAGTAGTAAACCAAGCGGTTCCAGATGGCGTTCGTTACGGTACGTTTCAGAGCGACTTTTGTTTTCCCCTAACCACGAGTGTGTGTGCACACGCACTTGCGCTTAGCCCGCAAACGCGCGGTTTTTGGAGATGACGAAAAGAACTTTACGTATTCTGACAGAAGTCGAGAGCAGCGAGCATTTATGTGCGCGCTGCGATGTTCGCTTCGACTATTCCACAAGAGATTTCCGATCCAAGTTTAATTGTTTATTTCTCTCTCTCTCTCTTCCCCTAGCGCTCATACTGACATGTCGTATCACCTTCACATGTTGTGTTCTCGTTCTCTCTCTGTTTCTCTCAAAAACTCACTCTTCGTGTTAAACTCGCGGCGAACACAAACAACAGAATACACGAGCGAAGACGAACGTTTCATGCTCCGCGCGATCGAACTCGCGAACACGGTGACGTACGAAGAGCACACGAACCCGAACCCAATCGTCGGGTGCGTTTTGGTCGACCCTTCGACGAACGAAATCGTCGGCGAAGGGTACCACCCGAAAGCGGGCGAGCCGCACGCGGAGGTATACGCTTTAAGAGCCGCCGGGAAGAAAGCGAAAGGCGCGACCGCGTACGTGACTTTAGAGCCGTGCAATCACTTTGGGAGAACCGCGGCGTGTTCGAGAGCGTTGGTTGACGCGGGCGTGAAGAGGGTACTGATTGGCGCGTACGATACGGATCCAAGAGTCGCTGGAGGCGGGATGAAAACGTTGTTAGATCGAGGCATAGAAGTCGTCTGCGGGTGCAAAGAAAAAGAAGCGACGGAGATGAACCGGGCGTTTTTCGATAGGATTGAAAAGGAGAGACTCGAGAAAGAAGCGCAAACGCGACAGAATAAGACATAGAAGTAGGAGAAGAAGAAGAGCTAAAATCGACATCAGTCTCCGCGCGTACGCATTCTACTATGACCACAGTTTATACTCGGTTTTGATTTGATCTTTTTACTACAGCATTCTACTCCTCGTCTCCTCCGCGCGCTATTCGCGTGTTTGTTGTGTTTTGGAACTTCTCTCTCTCTCTCAATTCCGCCTGCCGCAATGCAACAAACTCCCAGCGCCTAAAAATAACGAAAACAAACCCGCGCTCCCTAACGTCGTCCGACCGATGTGCCGAACTTTCAGCATTCCTGGTATCTGCAACAAAAGAGGTTCGTCAGTAGTAATAACGGTACAAAGCATCATCTTCGTCATCATCAGCGCTTTAAAGTAGTTGTTTGGGGAAAAGCAAAGAGAGAAAAACACAACACATACCTTGTACGCGAACGCCTCGTAGGTCCCGTAACTCGCCCCGACGGCTCCACCGACGGCCCCGCCTAACGCCGCGCCCGTGAGCACTCTCTGCATGCACCTGTTGTCGCCCATTTATGTGTATATATTCGTGTCCTAAGATGCGTCACAATTATGACGACGACGACGACGGGGAAAATGAGACGAAGTTTTTCGCTCGCATCCTCTTCCTTTTCCTCTCTGATGAGGAACAAGAACACCGCGAACGATCTCGTCTTTAACTTAGTACCATCGACTGCTTTCATTTCTTTGTCGAGAAGAAGTCTGTGCGATGATTATGATGGCATCCTCGCTCCTTTTACGCGACAGTTCACGTCCTCGTCATCATCCAAAAACAGCAGCGGAGGACATGGTTTCCAATTAGGGGAGTTGTTCGCCGCTTCCGGTAGAAGACGAAGAAGTAAACGCGACGCTCTCTTTGTCGATTGGAAGAACAGCTCCACCAGTAAAACTTCTTCTGCTCGCTTCGTCCACGCTTCGTCCTCGTCTGTGCTCTTCTCGAACAAAGCGACGGAATCGGAATCAAAATTCACCGAAAAAGCGAACGAGTACTTGGAACTGCTCGGGGAAAAGCTCGAACAATGGGCGGACGACGAGATCGAGGAAGACGTGGAGTGCGATTATTCAGACGGCGTTTTGACCATTTCTTTAGGCCGAGAGAGAGGGACGTACGTGTTGAATAAACAAGCACCGAATAAACAGATATGGTGGTCCAGTCCAATATCCGGACCGCATCGGTTCGAGGAGGACGGCGCGCGGTGGGCGGACGCCAGGCGAGGCCAGGACGGCGACGATTGTTTGGACGATTTAGAGACAAAGTTAAGGAAAGAGTGGGGGGAGATTTTTAAGGGGAAGAAAGGGTTAGATTTGTAGTCGCGGCGCGCGTCGTGTTCTTGTGTATCAGTAATAGTAGTAATGTTTCAAAACATTTCCGCTCTTTTTTTCTTCAACATACGTACGTACTCGTGTAATTCTCTCTCTTTAAAGTTTGTCTTACTCGTGTCGTAAAAAATATCTGTGTTTTTCAACTCGTACAACTCATCAGCTCTTTGCGCGCGCACTCCATCCCTCTAAGTTCTATTCATTATCTGTGTAATGCTTTTCTATTCTTTCAGATAATGGATGTCACTCAACACCAGCGTCGACGCCGTCTGACGCTCGCGTTTCTGGCGTGATGTGTTGGAGTAACTCGCAAGGAGGTTTCAAAGGTAAAAAGAGTTCCGAATCCAACTGTTCCACCGTGCACGTCGGGCACATTCGGTCGCCCCAGACGTAAAACTTTCTCGCTTTCGTCGCTTCAATGCCGTTAAAATCGCAACTTCCAGCTAACGTGTACGCTCCCGAGTCTGGAAACAACACGTAATCGCCATTGTTGAGTTCCGTCATCATAGTGTCTCTCATGACACAATCGGCGGAATCGCAGGTGGGCCCCCAAATGGTACTTTCGTGTTGTAAACCTAAACGTAACTCGAGCTCAGGCATGGATCCATCCCCGGTGGATTTCAAAATATACGCCGGTGTTTCCAATCCGTCGTAAATGACGCCGTTGAAACATCCGTACAAGCCGTCGGTGATGTAATAATCGTAGTGTAAATCCCCGGACGCTTTCACGGTTTCGCGTTTACCGTACACCATCGACGCGATGGTAATCGGCGATTGCGCGAAATATCTCCCCGGCTCAGCGATAATTTTCAGCTTCGGCCATTGGTCTTTCGGAAAAATATCGTCTAACGCTTTCGCGATGATGGAAAAGTCGCACGGGGACTCGTCGATGTTACCCGTTTGATCGAACAGACCCGTATAGCCGCCACCTAAATCCAACAAGTTCATCTTGAAACCGTAATGATAGCCTTGTTGAAAAACATCCTTGGCTTGTTGGATCGCGTTTCTGTACGCGTTCGGGTTTCGGCTGGAGCTGCCGACGTGAAACGACACGCCGACGATATCCATGCCGAGCAATTGCGCCGTCGATAAAAGTTTAGGAATGTCGTCCATGTGCGCGCCGAATTTCGCGCCGAACGAAATCTTTGCCATCGGGTCGTCCGCTTTAATTCTTAAGACCAACTTGCACTCGTTTAATCGAGCGGCAAACATTTTGTGCAGCTCGGACTCGGAATCAAACGTGGTAAACTTTACTCCGTGCTCGGCGATGCAACGCAAATCCACCGGCCTCTTCACCGCGTGTGCCAAGATGATTTTATCCACGTCAATACCCAACTCTTTAATCAACTCCACCTCGCCCTGACTGGCGCAATCGAATCCAGCACCCAAAGCTGCCAACGTTGAAATGATCCCTCTATCCGGACAGCACTTCACGGCGTAATGTGGCGTCACTCTCGGCATCCTCTTCTTCAAGTGCTCGTACAACTTTACCACGGCGTGTAAATCAATCACCGCGAACGTATCCTCCAAACGCATGTCATTTACGAGTTCCAAACACCTTTCCCTAACGTCATCCATCGACCTCGACGAGATCGGTTGCACGTCGAATGTCTTCCGAATCTCTTCAAAGTTGAATTCATCCGGTACCGCCTCCTCGAAATCAATCGCGTCTTGTTGCGTGTCGTCCATCAGCGTCTCTTCGAAACCAGCCGTTTCCGCCAAACCTTTCACGATGACCGCCAACTCTTCCGGAACAAACTGCTCCACAAAATCCGGATCGGCTTCCCCAGCCTCAACGTACGTCTCCAAAGAGTTGATGACCTCAAATGCATCCGTCAACTGTTCCTCGGTAACTAAAATCGGCGTTGGATACCCGTTGTTTTCTTGTCTGTCCTCGCGGAGCGATTTCATCACCTCGTTCGATAAGTACTCGCTCCTCTTCCTTCGAAACGAGCTCGAACTCCTTCCGCCGCCGCCGAGGTTCTCTTTCATGTCATCCGCCGATGATTCGTTCTCCGCATGACCCATCGTCGCGTTCGTTCGAAAACCGTTCGTTATGTTCATCCCTCCTCCTCCTCCTCCTCCTCTCGGCGACAACATCCCTTCTCTTCGTTCGTCCCACGAAGACGACGCCTTGAAGCTTCCCACTCGTACGATTTCCTCGATATTCTCCGCCAAATCGTCGAATATCCCGCTCTCCTCGATATCCTCCGCCGCCTCTTCCAAAACCGTCTTGATTTCCTTCATGGAGTACTCCGGTTGGTCCTCCTCGTCCATGTCTTCGATTCGTTTTTGTTGCTTCAACTCTTCTTCATCCTCGACTTCATCCTCGTCGTCGTCCGAGACGGCACCTTTGAGCAACGCGTGCGTGAGAAGCGATTGACGCCGAGGGGGTCGTTCCTCATCGTTCATACCCACCGTTCTTCTTCTCGAGCCAGAAAAGGCACAAAAAAGTGAAACCAAGAAGGTAAGTGAAACGTGTGAATGTGATTTTGCGCTTCGTAGTCACTGCTCGTACTCAAGAAGCGCGGTAAAAGAGTGATGCGTTTCATTTTGGGTTTTGGAAGATAAAACGAGAAACAGTTAAGCAAGACAAGCCTGAAATGTAATAACGCCGACGAAAAAGGTGTACTACGAGGAATAGGATGTCCACATCGATCGGAATGTAAAAACAATTCGACATAATTCGAACTCTTTTTACCATCCTTAAGCGTTAAAATCTCTCGAGAAAGACTTTTGTGTTAATACTACTGATGATTATTAGTGTTAAAATTCTCCGTCGAAGGAGGTCTACTACACGCGAGCGCTTCCGTCGCTCTCCGTCGGCGAGGTGCTCGTTCCGCTGTCGCGTAATATTTCGCGCTCTAAGGAATTGCTACGGTCGGATTCGTTGGTGTCGTCGGCGTCGTCGCGGGCTTCTGCGCAGCACGCCGTCGTGCCTGCGGTGATTTTGCCTCCACCGTCGGAGCTGTAGACGGAAAAAATGGCGTGGCCCAACGTGAGACCGAGGACGACGCAGAAGAATAACGGGACGTGGTACGTCATGGAGACGAGCATGAGGAGGTAACCGGCGGTCACTTGAAACGCGTATAAGAGAAGCGTCAACAACGTTGTCGTCCGGTCGATAGGTCGAGTTGATTTTCCTGAACCTGCGCCTCCCCCGCCCCGAACTTTGCGACGCAACTTGGCGCAGAGTTCGATGGACATGCCTAGGAAGATGGTAAATAGACAAGCGGCGAAAACCAAAGCGGGCGTTTTCAACGACCACGACTCGAAGAAGAACGCGACGCACGGTTGATTTGCGTCCGTTCCGGACGAGAACCCATCCATAAACATAGTTGTTGGAGGGATATTCGAGTTGCACTGACCACCAGAGCTTTCATTTGGAACGGCTGGACAGGCTGGAGCACAACTGTCGCAGTGCGCCTCCGCACCGTTGGCGCCGAAATCGTCCGGCCAAATTTTTTCCGTGCCAGACTCTTGACATTTAGCCGTGGAAGCGTCACACCCTGTTGGAATCGGTTGGCAGCTGAGCCAGCAGTAAATGGTACCTTCCGCGCACGAGCCGTCGTCGGCCAATATTCGTCTTTGCGGAACACGCGATCTCGATTCGTCGTCCGTAGTAGTCGTCGGTAATCCATCGCATGCCGCGGAGACGTAATCTATTACGTCAGAAGAGGATCCACTCGTTTCTTTTACATCTTCAATTCCGTTTATTCCATTCACGAGCGCTCTCGCACCATTCAACCATTCGCCAAAGTTCAAATTGACGTTCAAGTCCGGATGCTCGTCGCTCAAGTTTGGCAGAATCATTCGACCAAACCAGGCTCTCGTTTCGCCTCTTTCCAAAGCGACAGCGTGAGTTGGGATTTTGATCTCGTCTAATAGGCTATTCGTAGTGCTAACGCGATCGTGTCGTTTTGGGTGCCACGCGCGAGCGGCTTCTCCTAACAAAACGAGCATGCCGTCGCTTGGGATGTCGAAGGAAACGCCGTCGACGATCAAACCTCTCGATCCCGCCTGGTCGTCTTTCCCGTTCACCCACGCCGGAGTCATCACGATAGCAACACCAACGTCGGTGTGTTCGTGCTTCCCTTGCGCTTTCTCGCTTTTATTTACTCTTACATTCTTTTCGGAGGAACTCGACGATGACGAATCCTCGCTACTCGCGTACACGTGAAAATGATCCAACGAAGCCTCCGAACGCAACGCGTCGTTAAAAAAGTTCCTCTCCATCCTCGACGGTCTCCTAGTCTTATCCTCTTTCTCGTTCGAGTTTAAAATCGCATCGAGTCTCGGCAACGTCGCTCGACTCACGACGTCCGCGAAATCCCTTAACTTTTCCAACTCTCTTCGCAAATCGAACCCGTCCTCGCCCTCGTCCTCGCACTCCCCGTTCACGTCCATCGACAACCGTTTATTCGCAAACTCCGCGAGCGTGCTTCGCTCGATCTCGGGATGTTCTTTCGAATACGTTTTTGAGTTGCGTAAGAACACGTCTTCTTTTTCGTCTTCTTTCTTCGTCTTCTTTGTCGATGTCGCGCATTCGGCCAAGCGTCTTAAACTTTTCTCTCTCACTTCTTGGAACCCTTTCAGCCCTTTGACGAAGAGAACACCCGGGGCGTTTTTGCCGAAAAACGCGCGTTTCACGATGTCGTCGTGCATACCCGAGCGCAAGGATTGGACGTTTGGAATCGTCGGCAAGAGGAGAACTTTTTTCTTCTTCTCGACCATCGTCATCTTCTTCTCTAAACCCAATTCTTCGCCGTGAACGACGAGGAATGTCGCGCCGTAATCGTCGTTCAACGGCATCACCAACAACGCGAAAACGACGAGGACACAGACGCGAAGAAAAGGAGAAAAATAAGTCATCATCGTTTACGTCGTTCACGTCGTTTACGTCGCTTCTTCTTCTTCTTCCTCTTCTTCTTCTTCTTCTTCTTCTTTTAAGAGTGACTAAATGAATAAATACAAGTGTTACTGGAAAATGGAGGATTCCCTTTAGAAGTAAAAAGGGGCGTGCGAGCAAAAAAATCTTCAAACATAGAGCGTAGTTTTACTACGAGAGAGAGAGAGAGAGAGAGAGAGAGAGAGAGAGAGAGAGAGTTATATTTATAACGCGAGTGAACTGATGTTAGTATTAAAATAGAAAGCTTGATTCTTCTTTTCGAGTTCTCTCAAATCAAATCCATTTTTACCTCGCGACGGCTGCGGCGTCCGGGTGGCTATTCATAAACTCGCTCTCGTCGACTCTCCTGTACACCTGCGCGGTTCTCGAGCAACTCAACACTTTCATCGAGCACTCTCTCGGCTCTTGCGGGTACGGTCCGACCCAACTTTCGATTTTTTCCGGCGAAGTGAAGTGTTCGGTGCCTTTATCGACTCTGTTGCGACCTCCGAATTGGCCTTCGTCCGTGTCCAAGACGCAGACGTATTTGCCCGGTTTCGGGACGCCGATTTCCAACCCTTCGAAATCTTGCGTCGGGTTGAAGTTAAAGACGAAGAGTAAGTCGCCTCTTTCAAAGACGATAATTTTGCGGTTATCGTCCGCGGTAGAGACGTGTTGGTGACCGTTGGAGAGAAACTTGAACCCATCTTCGATGTTGAGCATTTCGCGGTCAAAGTTCTTCATATCTTTGTATCGTAAATGCTCGGCGTCGGCGAGGTCCCATCGGCGTCGGCAGTGGTCGTGGGACCAGTTATTACCTTCGCGAGGAAAATCGACCCATTCTGGGTGCCCGAACTCGTTGCCCATGAACGCGAGGTATCCTTCGCCACCTAAACCGATGGTGATGAGACGAAGCATTTTATGCAACGCGATGCCTCTTTCGATGATCGGGGTGATGGGTTGCGTCGCGGACATGTGGCCGTACATTTCGGCGTCCATGAGCCAAAACGCGGTTGTTTTATCGCCAACGATGGATTGATCGTGCGATTCGACGTACGCGATCGCTTTTTCTGAGTATCTGCGGTTGCACAGAGTGGAAATGATTTCGTGCATGCCCCAATCTTCGTCTTTTCGCGTTTTGAAGTATTTCACCCAAAAGTCCGGTATGGACATGGCCAATCGAGCGTCAAAGCCGACGCCGTTTTCGCGAACGTCTCTGCACAACGTGGGCATACCAGAAACGTCTTCGGCAAAGACTTCAACTTCCGGGTAGTTGGAATGTAACATGTCGTTGACGAGCATGAGGTAAACGACCGCATCGATGTTCGTATTCATGCCTAAATATTCCTCGTAGTTTCCAGTGAACTCCATATTCAAACCGTGGTGGTGATACAACATGCTCGTCACGCCATCGAATCTGTACCCATCCACGCCGTATTCTTCGATCCAGTATTTCGCGTTCGATAAAAGCAAGCGTTGCGTTTCCCAGTTGTCGTATTTAAACAAGCGAGAATCCCACAAATAATGGTACCCTTTCTCGCCGACGTCGAAATACGAGTCTTCCGCTTTTTGCCCGACGTCGAAACCGGCCAAACCGTCTTCGGTATTTTTACTCGCGTGCGAGTGAATGACGTCGATGATGACCCGTACACCAAGCTCGTGCGCTTTGTCGACTAAATATTTGAAATCCTCCGGGGTGCCTGACCTCGAAGAGACGCCAAAAAAATTCGTCACGTGGTACCCGAACGAGCCGTAATACGCGTGTTCCATTACCGCCATCAATTGTACGCTGTTGTAGCCACCGCCTTTGATTCGGGGTAAAACCGTATCCGCGAATTCTCTGTACGTGGAAACTTTCGGGTCGTTCGAGGACATACCAACGTGCGCCTCGTAAATCCTCGGCGCCGACGGTTTCTTCGGACCTTTCTTAAACTTCCACTCGTGTCGCTCTTCCTTCGGCGGATCCCAATAAATCCCGTCGTATTTCGCGCCCATCTCGTTCGGCGGCACTCTCGCGTACCTGATGTACGCCGGAATTCTATCCACGTGTCCACCGTCCTTGAAAAAACGAATCTTCACCCTGGAATCGTGCGGAATCGTCCCCGCCGGTAACTCGCACGACCAGTTCCCGAAATCGTCTCGCGCCATCGGCGTCGCTTCGCCGTTCCAACCGTTGAAGTCCCCAACTAAAGCCGCGTGGTTACACGCCGGCATCCATTCCTTATACACGATCGTTCCATCCTCCTTTTTCGAAAACCCGTACTCTTTGTATCCATCCGCGAACGCAGACAAAGAACCGCTCGCTTTTTCGATTGCGCCTTTCACCTCCAGAAACTTCTCCCACCGGTATCGCAAATGCCCTTCGTGTGGCTTTAACATCTCGTCGATTTCAATCAGATCTGTTCCGTCTTTCGAGTACGCTTTTGTCTCCTCTGTCTTCTGTTCATCTTTCGTGTCGTGCACTTCCCGCATCGCTCTCGTCAGCGTCTCGCCTTCTTTCTTCTTCCTCGTCGCGTTCGACCCGAACGACGACGACGTTTCGACGTGATGATGTTTCGAACACCGCGCTCGTCGCTCGTCCCGTCTCGCTCTCGCGCCTGAACCTCCACAAAAAACAACTCTGAGAGCGTTGTTGTTGTTGCACTTCTTCGAAGTACTTCTACCACCAAAGCTACTCTTTCTAAACGATCTTCCGATCGTCGTCGTCGTCGTCGCCGCCGCCCGTTGTTGTTGTTGTTGTTGCGAGATGATGCCTCGCATGCGTGTGTGTTTTGAGATTTTTATGCGTTTGAGTGTGCGTTTTGTGTGGAGGAAAGAAGGAAGAACGAAGTTTTTTGTTTTCGATGCGTGCCTCTCGTTCTCGAATTTGCTTTATAAGAGATCCGAAAAAGAATGCGAACGCACACTTTGTCTCCTTTTTTGACGAAGCGGGAACTCAAAATCGTTCAATCAAAAAAAGAGCCACTGCCAGACTGCGGAGAGAAGAGAATTGCGTTTTTTTTGTCCAACGCACAACTTTCCTCTTTTCTGCGGCCATTTTTTTCCTCTTACTTACTCACTCGCTCTGTCAAAAGTCTGTCTTCTGTGGAATTATATCATCCAAGAAAATACTACTCTCATCATGAGCAGCAGCGTTTCGACGTTTACGAGGACGACACAAACGACGACGTGCTTCTGCTGCATATCCTCTTTTTCGTCGTCGTCTTCTTCTTCTTCTTCTTCGAAACAGTCGAGGCAAATTGGACCGGGAGGAGGGAAAAGAAGGAGCGTTTCGAGATTTTTAACATCACCATCGTCGGTGGCAAAAGTGGATAACGACGACAGACGCGGCGCGGTTTTGTTCGTCGCAACGAGAACAACAGGCACAGAAAACACGCGAAAGAGATGTAGAAAAAGAGGCGTTTATATCTCCCCTTGTCGAGCATCCGGGGCGTACGAGCAGTTCCTTTCCGGCATCACCGAGAAAGACCGAAAAGATGTGAGCGAATCGTGGGAGAAAATCATGCGTTGGAAGTCGTTCGTAGAGAGCGCGAATAAGAACGACGAGGACGTTCTGGCGAACACGAAGAAAGTGACCATCATGGGCGGCGGGTCGTTCGGGACCGCCATGGGGACGTTATTGGCGAGGAACAAGAGCGATTTAGACGTGGTTTTACTGTTAAGAAACGAACAAGAGGCGGAGACGATCAACGCGACCAATCGCAACGCGAAATATTTGCCCAAGTACGAGTTACCGAAGAATATACGAGCGACGACGGACGCGAAAGAGGCGTTGAAGGATTCCGATTTTATCATTCACGCGGTGCCGACGCAACATTCGAGGAAATTTTTGAGTTCAGTGAAGGATATCATCGATCCGAAAACGCCTCTGTTGTGTTTATCGAAAGGTTTGGAAGTCGGGTCGTCTTTGATGATGTCCGAGGTTATTCCGGAGGCGTTGGAGAGGGACCAACCTTTGTGCGTTTTGAGCGGACCGACGTTTGCGGTGGAGTTGATGCAAGGCTTACCGACCGGAATTGTTGCCGCGTCGGAGAATGAAGCGTTGGCGAGACGCGTGCAATCGCTCTACGGGAGTTCGTGTTTGCGAGTGAACACGAGCACGGACGTGGTTGGCGTGGAGATGTCCGGCGCGTTGAAGAACGTGTTGGCGATTGCGGCAGGTATTGTAGAGGGTCTGGAGTTGGGAAACAACGCCATGGCAGCTTTGGTGGCGCAAGGATGCGCGGAAATTCGGTGGTTGGCTGGGAAGTTAGGCGCGAAGAGCGAGACTTTAGCCGGTTTGAGTGGAACCGGCGATATCATGTTGACGTGTTTCGTGAACTTGTCCAGGAATAGAACGGTAGGATCGAGATTAGGGAGCGGGGAAACGTTAGAGGAAATTCTAGGATCGATGAATCAAGTCGCAGAAGGCGTGGCTACGGCTGGGGCGGTTGTTCAGCTTGCCAGGAAACATCGAGTGTCGTTACCGGTGTTGACCGCGGTGGCGAGAATATTGGAAGGAGACGTGGATCCGAAAGACGCGGTGGATCAGATTATGAATTTACCTCAAGTTCCGGAAGTATAAACAACGATAATAACAATACGACGCCTTTAGAAAAAACGTGCTATAACATTCAACGACGTTTCTAATGTACCTATCTATCTACCATGAACTATATACACTAATCGTTTACCTTTTTTTTCTCTTCCTCGAACAAACACATGCGTCGGTTGGGCATGTCGTAAACCACTCGTCTCGAATTTAAAACATTCGCGCACACCATACCGACGCCAAACTCGCTTAAATCAAAGCCACTCCCGTTAGCTAAGAGCGTCTTCAACTCCTGGACGCGCATACCTTTGTTCTCGAACTCGATCCAATCCAACGTCGCTTTTACGCACTTCTCGGCACCGCCACCACCACCGCCGCTTCCGCTCACGCCGCGAACCGTCGACGTTCGGCGAACTTCGTTCTTGGAAAGCAACGCGTTTTCTAAATCTAGCGATTCAACTGCACGGCCGTGGAAGATGACATCTGCTCCACCCGCACCAGAGTCAACCATGAACATCCTTAATTTGGTTTGGTGGTTACCTTTCCCCGAAAATCGAGCTTTCAAATGCGGAACGTTTGAGACGATGGAAACGTTTTGCCACGGCCAGTCGTTCGCATCGAAATAACCTCTCGGGTAAATGTGGACCGTTTTATCGTTGCCGGAAGAAACGTCAACGATAGAAGATTTAAACGCATCGAAACCGATTATACCCGCAACGCGCTCGCTACATCCGGAAACGACACCACTCGCGTCCATTTGCATAAACACTGGCTTTTCAATCTTCAATTTACCAATCTTCAACTCTTTCGCGCGGCGGAAAGCGCATTTGACTTTTGTCGAGACCCCAGAAACGTGCACTTCGCCAAACGTGGCTAAATCTAAATCGTCCGCAACGCGCTGGTCTAACACGAGACCGCTCGCCCCGGTATCTAAAATGAACGGACCGACATCTCGACCGTTGATGTACGGTCGAACTAACACGTGATCGGAGGAACATTTTACAACCTCGACATTGTATTTACTACTACTGCTGCTGCTGCTACTACTACTACCACTGCTCTCACCCACTCTATTATCGTCATCCTTTTCAATCGAAATCAACTCGCTATCAAACCTCTTTTCGGGACTACTAAACGTCTTGGACGAACTCTTTGCCCTATACCCTTGAGCGTCAAACCTCTGCGTACTTCCGCTCGATCCAATAATCTCACACGTCTCCGCAAACATAAACTGACCATGCTGGTACGCCTTCCATCGACTATACTTCCACGTCTCCACGCTCCCGCAACACTTAATCTGCACTTTCTTCGGCAAATACGTCTCTTTACATAAAAACACGTTGGCGACAATCAACCCGTCGTCTTTCAATCTCACCGCCACCACTCGTTCATTCTCGTTCGTATCTTTCACGTACGTCACCTCCAACAATCCTTTCATCTCCAAACAATCTCTAGACACCCAATACCCAGTTCGAATCCACGTCGCCAACAACGCCGCCTCGCGATCGTCTAAATCCAAAGTCTGTGTGTATCCGCTAAAATCCGTCTCCCAAACTTCATTCCTCTCGGCGTCGAAGCCGGAGACGTACGCCAAGTGCGGATTCACGCACTCATCGATGAAATTTTCGTCCGCGTACGCCAACTTCCATCTCACATCCATGCCTAAATGCTCGCCGTTTCCCCAGATTTCGCCTTGATGAAAACCGCTATTACAACTCGTCGATGACGATGCCTCCGCGTCGCCGCTCCCCGTCTTCTTCTCCGCCGTTGTTGGAAACACCGCCGCTCGCGCCGACTCGAGAATCTCGCTCACCTCGCCTTCAAATATTTCAATGTTGCGGTCCTCTTCCTTTCTGTTTTTGGACGACGACGGTTTCAAGAAATCCCGCAAGAACGCGGCGCGTGGAATACTCGTCGTTGTTCGTTTTCGACTATTTCGATGATGATGGTGGTGTCGGCGAGGTAAAGTCGTTCGTGGTGTTCCCTTCCGGAGAGGAAAACACATTCCTCCTCCAAGTCGTCCCTTTTGTCCTTCTCTTTTCGAGAAGAGAAACGACGACGACGTGGACAAGGAAACCACGAGCGTCGTCATGTTTGGATCCTTCTCTTTCTTATTAACGCGGTTTCTGTCGATGTATAGTTTGATAAATAATAATACTAACAGAGATGTAATACTATCACGAGAAGAAGAAGAAAACGGATGTGAGGGAGAGGAGGAACGCTTTTCTTTTGTTTTTGTGTGGAGTTTTTGCTCACGATAAAATGAGTGTTAAAAGTTATTAATACATATCGAATAATAGTAATGATGGTAATAATACAACAAAGATGATAATGATAACAGTAACGGCGTACACATTCGCGCGACAACGAGGACGCTCAGGAGGCTTCTTCTTCTCGTGTTTCATCTGCGGCCGCGGTGGTCTCCGCAGTCGGTACGCCTCGCTTTTCGACGATCCTCTCGACGTGCGCGACGATGTGTTTACCGTAGGCATACTTTTTCATTTCCGGCACGTGTTGGCGAACGCGCGTTAAGAACTCTTCAAACTGGTCGTCGTCGCAGATTTCGAGGAGTTTTTGGACGACGTAGTTCGCGTATTGGTCGGACATGAGTTTCGGGAGGTGGTCTACGCCCTCGAAATCTTTCTCTTCGATCCCGCCTTCTCCTGGATCTTCTGGTTCGAGCACAGAGTCGGAGGATGCGGTTCTTTTTCCGAGCATTTTATCGATCATGATTTTCTTTTCTTCCTTTCCGCAATACGCCATGCATTTTTCAATCACGTTCGATGCAAACTTGTGCGTGGCTAAAGACGTTATTTCCGTCGCCAACTCTCTCAAAATTTGCTTTCTGAACTTCTCGGAACCGTATTGCAACGAGTGCTGAACGACGTAGTTTCCAAACTGATTGATGGCGAGTTCGGTTGTTTTCTCGACGATAGCCGGTAGAAAAGACTCGTTCTTTTGCTCTTCCGTGCAGTGTTCGAGCATGCGTTGGACGACTCGGCACGCGAACGGGTGCGAGGAGAGTTTGCGGACCGTCTCCGCGTCTTTTACAATAATTTTTACAAAGTTCTCCAAATCGCCCGTGGCGGAGAGTTCTACGACGAACTTTTGAGCCACGTGGTTCCCATTCTGATCACAACACAAGTTTTCGAGCTCACGTTTGAGCGGTTCAAAGAATAACGTATCTCGCTGCTCTCGGGAACTCACATCCAAGGCTTTTTGGATGACTCGACACCCGAAAGCGTTCAAGCACAACTCCAAACACGCTTCACCCGAGGCTTTTTCGAGCAACGATTCCAGCTGGTCTTCGTTAGCGCGCTCGAAGCACTTTTGAATGACGTAGTTCCCGAACACATCTACGGCTAATGTCTTGAAATTCGGAGAGATTTCTTCCAGGACTTGGTTGAACTTACTTCCGTCCGGGTCAGCCGCGATATCGATGTGCGACTGAATGAACCGCGAACCGTGCTGATCGCTCGAAAACTCCACGCAATTACCAATTACTTCTTGAAATGTGAATTCGCCGCCATCGTCGTTCAAATTTTCACTCGCGCTGTTCGAGTTGGAGATGTTGCCTCCTCCGCGACTGGCGTTTCCTCCAGAATTGGGGATGCGTAACATTTTGTACCTCAAGAGTGCTTCCGACGGCGGTGGGCCGCTATTATTCGCATTCATTCCATAAACATCCGCGTCACCGCTGTTGTTACTGCTGTTATACACTGAGAAGTTACCAAGATCGTTTTCGCTTCTTCGATTGTTCATGTGACCAAAGTTGTTGTTTTTCCTCTGCCGCCCGTTTCTCGAACTGCCTCGTGAATCCATGCCTCCTCTGTCGGACCCGTTGAGCGACGACGACGAGTAATATCCATTATTATTATTGTTGTTGTAGTTGTTTTGGTGGCTTTTGTTATAGCCTCTCTGTTGCCGTGATCCATACCGGTGATGATGACTATTATTGTTGTTGTTGCTCATCTGAAAACCGTTTCCATTGTTTGAACCATTTGCACCACCATTCATACCCATCATGTTCCCAGGAAACGGCATTCCTTGCGCCGCGTACATTTCAAGCATCTCCTGCGTCGGGACTATCGCGTAATACGCCGCGTTCATCTGTTGCGCCTGTTGCATCCTCGCGAATTCGTTCGGATCAAATCCACCCATCAACGGCGGCGGCGGTCCACCCGGCGGCGATCCTACTAAAAGCGGCATCATCTGTTCCGGTGAACCAGTCGCGTACGACATTTGTTGCCTCAACGCCATCTCGTACTCGTACATTTGCCTCGCGTACATAAAATTCTCGTTACCCCCGTTTTCCCCGATCCCTCCGTGTTGCGTATACTCGTAACTATTCGCAGCATTCGTCGCGTTCGTCGCCGGCGCGTAGTATTGTTGATATTGCTGTTCATAATGCGCAGTATACGCACCATCGTCACTTTGCGAAGACGAAGAAGGCGTCGTCACAGTATTCGGTGTCGGAATACCCCGCGCTTGTGTCGAAGAAGAACTCGTCGTCGTCGTCGTTTTCTCCCCAGGCCCCTCTTTAAACGCGCTCACTTTTTGCTTACTCGGACGCCCGCCTCTTTTCGGACTCGTCAGCGGCGACTTCTCCCCGTCCAACCGAACGCTATTCAGTTGCTCCTCGATGTGCGTGTCTTCCACCACCGCACTCGATGAAATTCTCGTCGTCGCCGCGGTTGCGGTGTAGTTGCTCATATTTTTTTTTTCTGCGCACCTACAATGAAACACCCTCTTCAAAAACCTCTGCTTTATTTACTCACTCACTTCCTCTTGTCAAAAAACTCCGTCGTTTTCGGATGCACGCGAGAGCGACCTTTTCCGAGAGCGGTCCCGTCTTTTCGAGCTCGAATTTTGGAATAAAAAAAACTCACTCACTCGCGCGGACGGTGGTCGTTGGTCGTCTCTTTACGATGATCGATATCACAGCGACGAGTCGTTTTGGAACACTCCGCTGCTGCGTGGTGCGTTACGCCTCTCGAGAATGCGTTTCGTCTCGTTTTTGAAGCGTTTTTTCTCGCGCGTCGCTTCGCGAAAATTGATTACAGTTGGTGTGTTTTTTTTCTTTTCTCTCTCGTTTTTCCCCAATTTCAGAAAAACTTCTCAATTTCGCAGACGACAGACACACTTTGCGCGCGCAAAAGCAAAAGACGGACGAAGAAAAAGACCAACAACACAAGTCCTATATTCTCGCTCTCTGATGATAAAGCACGACGACAACAACGGCGATAAAAATAACGAAAACGCCCGCTCGAGCGCTCTTCCTTATGTGGTAGTTTTATGTACAAAAAAAAGTTGTTTTAAATTTATGTGCACTTTCAGCAGAAAAACACGTCGGTCCGTCCTTTGGCAAGACCAAAACGAACGAATTTTATGATTTAGGGCTTCAAACCCTACTCCTTAATAAAACTGCGTTTTTCTCTTCTTCTCGGAAGAAAGAACAACAGAAGAAAGAAGCGAAAAAATGGACGAAAACAACGGAATTGAAGCCGCACCGGAAGCTTCAGCACCAGCTCCAGCACCGGCTTCACCAACGACCGCGAACGTCGACGATGCGAAGAGAAAGACGACAAACAAGAAGAAGAGAAAGACAAAAAAGGATGACTTTTTGCGTTTGCACGAGTCACCAGAGGACGATTACGGCGCGGTGCAACTGAAGAAAAAAGCAGAAGTAAAAGAAAACAACTTTGACGATGATGATGGTGAGGATGACACGACCGTCATCGCCTCGGATTCCGAGTTGGACGACGCGCTGAACAAAGAAGAAGAAGAGATGAAGAAAGAAGACGACGACGACAACAAAACGGAGGAGGATTCGGAAATACAGTCGACGAAAACGAGAACGATTTCCACGCGAGAGTTGATCGTGAAGAGGAAAGAAAACGTGGAAGCGCTTATGCGCGTGTACGAGCAAACGTATTACGATTTGATCGAAACGATGAGGAAGAGACACAGGAAGTTTCAGTTGAAACACGGGCACGTGGGGTTGAAGTCGGCGGCGACGGCGCTGGCAAACGCGAGAGGCTTAAAAGCAGGTAAAGACGACGGAGAAAATACTATCGTCGACGGAGAACAACAACAACAACAACACGAAGGAGGCGACCACGAGCGGGAACAAAACGGAACGAGGACGACGTGTTCGTCGGAAACGTGCGAGAAAAACGCGATGCCGTTTTCGAGATTTTGTTTCGAACACGTGAGTCTGGACGCCAAGCAAAGATTTTACGAAGTGATTGATGGTAAATTGGAATGGAGAGTAAACGAAAAGTTTATGATGAACGCGCAAAAACCGTCGTCGACTTCTGAGGACGATGATGGCTGCGGCGCGAACGAAACTCCGGGGAAAGGCAACGACGCGAAAGAGGAAAACGACGACGCGGTTCCAGAGCCGGCGACGGATCCAAAACCTCTCAAAGAAATGTCACCGGGTCCGCCGGGCGGAGGTGTCAATCCAAACGCGAGCACATCCCCAGGTGGAGCTGATATGTCCTTAGCCGCATCTTTAGGTTTACTTTAAAACGATTTGAGTTTGAAATATAGTAATAATAATAATGCTTAATATATTAGATATCTACTAATGTTACAAAGCGTCGTCTCGTCGTTCTTATTATAGATTACGCGAAGAGAAAAATCAATCAAAGATTATTGTGGCTACCTTTTTTCAAACTATCGCGATATTCCTCTTGCACGTTTTCAAACTCTCGACTATCTTGCCTGGTGACGATCCACCGTTTTCTATTCAACGTTTCCTGCGGTATGTCTTTCGTCACGTTGAGTATAAAGACGCCGCTCACGATGACCACGAACCCGATCGTCTGACTCAAAACTTCCGCGTATCCTTGCCCTAAATAATCTTTAAACATGATCGAACTCGCGGTTAACGTCAACGTCGTAAAGCACACGTAATATATTGGCGTCACAATCGCCGTGTTAAACGTATCCAACGCTTTATTCAAGTAGTTCATCTGCGTCAACACGCAAAAAATCACAAACCCGATCATCACCCACGTCTCGATTTCCCGCATCTGGTTGTTGCCCTCGAACGTCATCTTCAGCGCCAATCCTAAAGTCTTCACGCTCATCACCGATAAACTCCCAACCAACGAACAAATCCCAATCGGTACCAACAATTGCGTCGTCCCGTGAATCGGATAAATCTGCGTGATCAACACAAACGTAAACATTAAAACAAACGCCGCGTACGACAAAAACGTCGGTTGGAGCATTAAACGCACAATCTCTTTGATCGAATCGATTTCCTTCTCCTCCGGTGCGTGCAACACGATATTCGCGGACCCGACGATACACAACGCACAACCCAACCACCCAAACGTGTTCAACTTCTCGTTCAACACGTAATGACTCAACACCGCGGAAATGATAATCGACAACGCGCCTAAAGGCGTGACCACAATCGCCGGCGCGAACGCGTACGCCGCGAAGTTCGCGATTTCCCCCAGCGTCATCGAGAGCATGCCGACCCACCACAAAGGTTCGTGTAAGTACCCGAACCCGCCGTCGCCGGCTCGTTTTGAGTTCGCGCGAGAGCTCGACAGTTTTAACCCTTTCTTTTTTATGATGAACGAGGCGCCTATGCAGAGCGAAGAGCCGATGGCGAGGAGTAAACCTTTCGTGTTCGACGAGAATCCGTTCGTATCGACTGGTTCGTCCCAACCACCCCCGGAGTGATATCTCCCCGTCGAGGAAGAACTCCCCATCATCGCGCTACTCCTCATCGCGCTGCCACCACTCACGATGTTGTTCTCTTCTGCGACGTTGTTCTCTAATAACGAGTATTTTGACGACGCGGACAAAGAAGACGCCATGAATGATATCGCAATACACGTCCGCAGATGTGACGAGCGAATTCTTTACGAAAACGTCTTCTGTCGTGTACGTCATCTCCATAAAGAGACGATTTCACGCGCAAGAAAGAACACGCGTCATCAATCATCACCGTGGCAGAAGTTTCGATGCTGTTAAGAAGAAGAAGCTTTTTTACGAGTCCTCAAATTCGAAGAAAGGAGGTGGTTTCGAGGAGGAGGAGCAGGAGGCACGCGTCCGCGTTCGATGAGAATGCTTCCCCAAAAGAGTCGTCGTCGATAAAGAAAGTCGTCGTCCTCGGCGGCGGGTTTGGCGGGCTGTACTGCGCGTTAAAGCTCGATTCTTTGTTCGCGACGAATACACGCGGCGACGATTCGGGCGAAAAGAAGAAACCAACGATGATTGTGACTTTAATCGATACCAACGAGAAGTTTCTCTTTAAGCCGTTGATGTACGAGTTGTTGAATTCAGACATGGAGGAAACGGACGTGGCGCCTTTGTACGAGGAACTGTTGGAGAACACGACGGTACGATTTTTGCAAAAAGAAGCGATGAGAGTGGAACCGGAGAAAGTTTTGAAAACGAAAAGCGGGAGTAAAGTGAGCGGGACCGGTGGGGAGGTTATCGTGCGAGATGTGGAGACGAAGGAAGAGGAACGCGTGAAGTACGATTACTTGGTCGTATCGCTCGGCGCCAAGGTGGATTTCGAGTCCGAGAAAAATTTCGTGAAAGGCGCGAGAGAATTCGCGATGCCATTTAACGGGCTGGATGACGTGAAAAGAATGAGGGAGAAGATTGAACGATTGAAAGAAGATGGTGCAGAGAGGGGCGAGAGGACGGTGGCGGTGGTTGGCGCCGGGTACGCGGGAGTAGAGTTGGCGTTGTGTTTAGCGCGATGGTTCGAAAGAGAAGACGGATTGAAAGACGTGAAAATTAAATTGGTCGCAAAGGATGGGAAAGTACTCAGTAGCGCGACGGTAGGTGGAAAGAACGCGGCGAGGAAGGCGTTGGAGAAAGCCTCGAACGTGGAAATTGTAGACGGAGTGGTCGGCGCGATTGAAAGGAGTAGCAGCGAGAGTAGTAAAGTGAACATTTCTTTGACAAAGGGTGATTCATCTTTGCAAACGATCGAAAGCGTCGACATGTGTTGTTGGACGGTTGGTTTGTCCGCGAAACTTCCAACCAGCGAAAACGACTGGCCGTTTGAGCAAGACCCGCGGACGGGGAAAATCGTCACCGACTCCACCTTAAAAGTCGCCGGGTACGACCGAGTTTTCGCCTTGGGTGATAACAGTATACAGCGCGAATACGAAAAAAAGGACGCCGCAAATCGCGAGGAAGAAAAGCCTGCCACGGCGCAAGTCGCCTTCCAAGCCGCGGACTATTGCGCCTGGAACGTCTGGTCCGCCATCAACAAAAAATCCCTCCTCCCGTTTCGCTACCAACACCTAGGGGACATGATGACCTTAGGCGACAAAGAAGCCGCGGTCCAATTCCCAGTCGGCGAAGAAACCACATTAGACGGTTCCGCCGCGTTCGCTTTGCGTAGATTAGCGTACCTCTACCGCATGCCAACCAACGGTCAGCGATTGAAAATTGGACGGAAATGGTTATCGGCGATAAGCTCGAACCCGAGCGCTTTCGTCGGCGAAGTCATCGAAGGATTGAATTCGTACACTTCTTCGAGGTAACAACAGTACAGGTATAGGTACTCGTGCACTTAACGCCTTTAGAATTTTAGCATAAACATAGAGTTTGAAACACCAACGCGCGCAGAGCGGCAAGAGCACAAACATCTTCTTAAACAACATCTTAAACAATAACGACAACAGTTTTCATTTTTTCTTCTTTCATGCGCTTCACAATTAATTATAATTAAGTTTTGCGTAAAAAAAGAGAGACAGAGAGAGAGAGAGAGAAACGCGACGAATGCCAGCGAGTGGCGGCCGCCGAAAGTGCGCGCTGTGCTTGGTCACCTTTGTCTCCTTCCTCGTGATGACTCTCCTTCTCTCCGCCATGTCCTCCTCCAAAGAGGACTTGCGCGAGAGCCTCTCTAAAATTTCCACTCAAGATATCGGGGAGACTGCGATGCAAGCGATGGAGTTTTTTATGGACAGCTTTAACGTTTTCGACGATGAGGAGGAGGAAAAAGAGGAAGAATCAGCGTTAGACGTCGCCGAGGAGCGCGATTACTTGTTGGGAAATAAACACTCGTTCGCGAACGGGTTTGAAGTCGCCGACGCGGATGTAATCATCGCAGCGGCGAGTCCAACCGAGTATCGACCAAAAGTTCCCAAAGCTGCTTCCAGTGGTGGTAAAAACGAAATCTGCGCCAAAGCGTACCTCGATCGATTACCGTGCACAATAACGAAGAAAATGCCAGAGTGTGTCGGGGACAGTTTTAACTTTGGGAACCACTACTGGACCGTGTCGCAAAAAGCCGTGGAGAAGTATAAAACCGATCGGAATTTGAACTCGATTAGCAAAGCGACCGGCGTGAAGAAACGCTTGCCGAAGGACGGACCTTTCGACGAGAGAAACGTAAAGCCGTATAGGAGCTGTGCGATTGTAGCTTCGAGTAAAGCGCTGAGAGGAAAAAAGTTAGGGGCTAAGATAGATAATCACGAAGTGGTGATGCGCATGAACGGCGCGCCGACGAAAGGATACGAGAAAGATGTCGGTTTTAAGACCACGTTTCGAGTGCAGCACGGGGGGTATTTCGGTTGGCGAGAAAAGCCGGAGGAAGTGTGTTTAGGAAAGTGGGCGGCGGGAAGAGACCGTGGAAGTCACTCAGAGTTGGAGAAGATGGCGAGAACGAAAGTGCACGCGATTAATCCGAACTTTGCGAGGAAGTCAAGGACGGATTGGTTCACGAAGAGGGATCACCTTCCCACGCAAGGATTCAGAGCGCTCCTCATTCTGTTGGCGAGCTGTAAAGAGGTGAGCGCCTTTGGATTTAGCGGCGGCGCTGGATGGTACTTCGATAAAGTGAAAAATCGAGGGCCGGCAGATAAAAGGAAACATGGGCAAGGATTAGCAAAGAACCGATGGTTAGATGCGCCGAAACCGGCGGCAGATAGAGGTAGTAATAGCAAGAAGAAACGGCGACTTCTTTCGTTGTTTAGTAATAGCGAGCGCGAGGGAGAAGAAGAAGTAGAAAAGAACGACGAGAAGTTTAACATCACGTTACCGAAGCGATCGTTATTGGCAACGCATCCGAGGAATACGTTGCCGACGACCCACAAGCTTTCTGTCGAGCGCGAGTGCATCCGAAATCTAATCAAATTGAAATTTCTGCAGAAAGGCGGATAAATTTAATCATGGTACCATTCGCGTGTTGCATCAATATCATTTTATTAATATGACATATATTAATCTAGGGTGCTATATAGTAGTAGTATCGCATCGTATCGCATCAGTTCTTTTCAAATACAAATTTCAGAAACGCCTGAAACGCTCGCGCATCCGTTTCTGGACTACGCGCTTTGACAAATTCGTGTTCCACCATTTCGCTCGCCGTATATCGCGCTTCGGCGTCTTTTTGCAGTCCTTTCTTCACAAATTCGCGAAACGTTTCCGTAAACTTACCGTGCGTTTCTTCGCACAGCTCGCTCTCCGGAGAAGGCCCGTGGACGATTAAATCCATGATATCCCAGAACCCACCGTAACTCCCTCCGGACGTTTGCTTTTGCAAACCGCCTTCGTTGTTTTGTTGTTGTTGTTGCTTCTTTTCGTTGGATGCGACCACGGCGTACGGAAACTTACCAAACGCGAATTCAAGCAGTGTCAACGCTAAGCTCCAACAATCAGTTTTGTAATCGTATCCATCGCCTCGAATTCTTTCTGGCGACATGTACGTCGCCGTGCCTACCCAACTCGTACACTCGGCGCCAGATTCGCCCAAGCGTCCGCTCACGCCGAAGTCGGACAATTTCACCATGCCTGTTTGTAAGCAGCACAAAATATTCGACGGTTTCACGTCTCGGTGCACGACTCGCAAGACATCGTGCAGATAGTGTAAACCTGTGCTCGCTTGACTGGCCACCGCGGCTATATTTTCCTCTTTCCACGGTAAGTTCTTATTCTTCTTACACACGGCGTCCAACGATCCGCCATCCATGAGTTCTAAAACCACGCGAATAGTCGCGCCGTCCGCGAAAAACGCTCCGTAACAATTCACAACGTACGGGCATTTCGATTCGTGCAACGTCCGCAACTCGGTAATCATCGCCTTTCGTCTATCGTCGTCTAAATTCACTCGAAATGATTTCACTGCCACCATCTTCTGCGTCGGTTTGTGCAACGCCGTTTGCACGACGCCAGAGGCTCCCGACCCCAATATCTTCGCGTTCGTAAAATCTAAATCGTCTAAAGTGGATAAGAACGTCCCAAACCTGGGCGTTCCACCTTCTTCGTTCACCAAGGAACTGTTCGAACACGACGTGTTTAAACTTTGATCGAGTGGTGAATTTTTCGCATCCGTTCCTCCTCCTCGGCTGCTCCCCCCAACCGTGTCCGTTTCGATCGAATTATTATTCGTGTTATCTCTCGTCGTCGTCATTGATATCGTGGTGGTGTTACTTCGGCTCGCGTTTCTCCCACCGTCCGTCGTGCTCGACGAAAACGACTGGTCTTCTGTTTTACTATTGTTATTATCATTCGTAGTGTTGTTTTTATCGTAGTTGAATTCGTTTTTTATCGTATTAGTAGTAGTAGTAGTAGTAGTAGTAGTACTCGCGCTCGTCGCGTTCGGTCGTTGTCTCGCGCGAATCATCGCCGTCTCTTCCATCTTCCTCGTCAACCCAACCATATCTACCACGGACGCAGTCCGACTCTGGCTCGCGCTTTGCGTCGCGGACACGGACACGGATACCGACCGCGACTCGAATCCTCTGCCGCCGCCCGCGCCCAAAAATCCTTCTTCTAACGAGAGTTGCGAATGCGTCTCTTCGTCCAGTTTGGACAAGTCCGAGGTGGATATTTGCACGCCCAGTTTCCCGATGGAAAAGTCGCCCTCGGTAAACGTCCCCGACCCGGTCCTTTTTTTGTAAAAGTTCGTCAGAAAGAGAGAGAGAGAGAAAGAGATGTCAGCGAAACCGTCGTATTCTTTGAATCAACACGCTGGCGAGTTGTTTTCTATATCTAAAAACAGAAAGAGAGAGGAAAAACGATACTTACCATCGGTACTGTTGCTCCTTCGCCGCGTCGTCTTCTTTCGGCACGGAGAGCAAGGAAAGATTGGCGGGTTTTTTCCGCGCCGCGTGGTTGTTGTTGTTGTTCTTCTCTTTTTTCCTCCTCGTCGTCGTCTTTTCTCCGTTCGACGATGATGATGTCGAGGAGGAGGATGATGACGGTGCCTCGTCGTGAAAAGTCATTTTTTCATCATCATCTTTTGTGTGTTGTTGTGGAGCAAAAGAAAACACGAGAGAAAAACAAAAAAGAGCTCACCGATGAGAAAGCTCCGACTGAAAGATCTCCTCGCTGCTGAGACGCGTGGCAAACAGTAGTGTTATTATTGAGCGCACCGACGCTAAGGATATATGAGAGAAAAAAACATCCGTCGTGTCCTCGACATTTTAGAGAAAAAAACATTTAGGGTAGCATGTAATACCCTAAATGAGATTTTTTGTTTTTGGGCGGACACCAAAAAGGAAACGCGCGCGGCCTCATTCGCTTCGTGCACCACGGACAGACAGAAGACCCGGTTTAGAATTCCTTCTTCGTTTTGAGAGTACCATTTACGAAGAAAGAGAGGCATTCGAGAATACGAACACACCATGCATCATTGCCTGTCTCTGCAAAAGGAGCGCGCGTTGTTTCGTCTTTGTCCGTCGTCGAGAAGACACCGTCATCATCATCGGCGATGATGATGATGCGGGGGGGAGGTGCGCTCCATCACACAAAAGAAGAAGAATAGTCACAGAGAGTACGCGCGCGCACACACGCTTTGAGAACAGCACTCTCTCGTCGCTTTTCTCGTCACAGAGACTCGCGATATGACGACTCTCGTAAACCCTACTACGCTTCCGGACGAGACCACCCGTTTACTCTCTCCTTCGACTTTTGAGACTTTGACGGAGAACACGAGAGGAGGAGGGAAAGGAGGGAAAGGAGGCACAGAAGGAGCGAACGAAAAAAACGAAAAAAAAAGCAACTCGTCGTTCGCCTTAAAATTTTGGCCGCAGAAAAACACAAACACCACCGAGGGAAAACTACGAGAGGGAGAAGAAGATCATCATCCAAATCATCGCGTAAAGAGGAGCGGCTTTGAAGACGCCTCTCAAATAATTCATACTCCGAGAAGAAAAACGATGGGAACAACAACAACGGTAAAAGACGACGGCGAAATCGAGGATGATTTTGCGAATTATTCGCAGATGAAACCACCACGTTTACGAGAAGAGGATGTACCACCGGACAACAAAGATGATGATGTCGTCGGAGGTGATGATGATGATGAAAACGATGATTTTGAGAACAGCGGTAAAGGAACGAGAGGAACGGTGCTTTTGATCGATAAAGATGCAGACCGTGAAAACGACGAAAACGACGAGAACGAGGATACTTTGAACAATAAAAACGTCTCCACGGCGTACGCGCAAAAGATCATCGATCGAGACACCAAATGGCTGTACATGAAATGCGCGGTGTTAGCGACCCTCTGGTTCGTGTTATCCGCGTCGCTGGCGCTGTATAACAAAGCGATTTTTAGCAAGAAAGGGTTTCCGGCGCCACTTTTGTACACGTCGTGTCAGTTTTTCATGCAGTGGCTTTTAGCGACCTGGGCGTTGCAATGGCCGCAATTGTTTAACGATCGGGATAAACGGTTCGTCACGCGAGGGAGGCCGGTGGTGCCGACGGATTCGTGGATGCGAACGATTTTGCCGGTTGGGTTTTTTATGGGGTTAGATATCGGGTTGAGTAATATTAGTTTAGTGTACATTACGGTGTCGTTTTATACGTTGACGAAGACGACGAGTTTGATATTCACGTTGTTTGTGAGTTTTATAACCGGGATGGAGAAGTTTTCGTGGACGTTAACCGGGATCGTGGTGACGGTGATGTTGGGGGAAGCGGCGGCGGTGATCGGGGAGACGCAGTTTAACGCGATTGGTTTTTTTATTTGTTTGAGCGCGGCGGCGGTGAGTGCGGTCCGGTGGGTGGTGGCACAGAAAGTCATGCATTCCTCGAGCTCGAACAAATACGGTTTACATCATCCGGTTATTTTGTTGTACCACGCGATGCCGGTGATGACGGTGGTGACGTTTTCGTTTAGTTGCGTTCACGAGCAGTGGTGGGAAGCCGAGAAGTGGGACGCGAAACAGTGGAGTTTTCACACCAGCAAAGAGTGGGCGGAGGCGTTCGCGACGGTTTTATTCGGCGCGTGCATGGCGTTCGGCATGACGTTATCGGAGTTTGAGTTGTTAAAAACCACCTCGGCGATTACGGTCATGATCATAGGCACGGCGAAAGATTTAATCACCATCGGCGCCTCGGTCGTGATCTACGGCGACGTCTTGGACGCGTACAACGTCTGCGGATTATTCCTTTGTCTCATGGGTATCATCGGCTATAACAACTTCAAGTTGCAAAAGATGAAAAAAGAAGCGCTCACCGGGAAAACCGGCGATATCGACGACGGTTTACCTCTACCCGTGTTCGTTTCCAAATCATCCGCGTACAACAAAGAGGACGACGACGACGACGAGGACGACATATTCCGTCAAACCTTCGTGAGATGATGACGGAGAGCAAAGTTTAGAGAGAGAGAGAGAGAAGAAATAGAATTAGAAATAACACGTAGTAGTAGTAGTAGTAGTAGTAGTAGTAGTAGTAGTATGATTTGCACAATGTACTGGTCACGCGAAGCGCTTCTTTGTATTCTACAGTAGTATTCGTTTTTAAAAGTCAAAGTCAAGTCGAGCGCGCATACATACGAGCGATCGCAAAGTCAACACAGAACGCCTCGGTTTCACTCGTTCCACTTTAAACGCCTCCTTCCCTACGTCAGATCATCGCCGTCGCAAAAATCAAACGCGAAATGTGCGATATGCTCATACAGTCAACACAAACTCGGTTTCACTCGTTCCACCTGTTCTTTCGCGAGTCGAAACTCCTCCTTCCCAGTCACCTCGTCGCGCACATCAAAGTCCTCCTTTCCCTCGACGAGAGTCTCCACGAACTCCTCTAAATCCACGAACGCTTTTTCTAATCGAACGAACGTGTCTCTCACCATCGCTTTCGACTCTTCCAGGCACTGTTTCCGTTGTCTCGCGTTGTTGTTGTCGTTCGTTTCGTCGTCGTCGTTTCGGTCAATCCTCTCGTCTTTTTCTATTCGCGAAGTGAAATCCAAAACTTCTCGTTCGTACATTTCCCTCTCTTTGGAGAGGCGACGGAGGACGCCGGTTTTGATTTTCAGTTCGCGTAAAACTTGCGAGATTCTTTTTTCGCGCTGCATTTCGTGCTCTTCTTCGTTTGTATTCGCGTCTGTTGATGTCGTCGTCGTCCTCATCTTTGTCGTTTCTGTTGTGGAGATTTTTGAACTTTTCGCGGGGAAAATTTAACTGTCGTCGTTTTGCCTCACAAAACACTCTGAAAAGAGTATTAATACACTTTAGAGAATAACACAACGATGACGACGAGCGGTGCGTCGAAGTCGTTCGCGTCGTCGTCGTCGCGATTCTTTTTGAAGTCTCGGACTTTGAGTAGCAGTAAAAGGAGGAGTAGTTTTAGGAGGAGGTATAGGAAAACGAGCGGCCAGATTGAATGCTCGACGAAGAAAACATTCACCAGTTTCCAAGAACTCATCGACGAGTCGGAAATACCAGTCCTCGTGGATTTCTACGCCACGTGGTGCGGGCCGTGCAAACTCGCCTCGGAAATGTGCGGCAAATTCGCGAGTCAAACGGAGTTTAAAGATAAGGTGAAGTTCGTGAAAATCGATACGGAGAAATACGTGGAGCTGAGCTCGAAGTGGAAAGTGGAAGGGTTGCCGACCTTTGTGTTGTTTCACAAAGGGAAAGTGCTGGACAGGATCGAAGGATTGCCGACGGAACAGCAGATGAAAGATCGACTGCTGTACTTTTTACAACAAGTGTAGAAGAGACGGTATCGTGAAGGTATCATTTTAATGTAGAAAAGCGGTCGCCCGCGAAGAGAGTTCTTATTCTAACGTAACAACTTTAACGCAACCTTTCGTTCGCCAGAGAGAATTTTACGACGGACTAGTATTAGCGTTTTCCTTTTTTCGGTTTCTTCCTTGATGCCGGCGGCTCGTCTTCTTCTTCTTCGTCGTCGTCGTCATCGCCAAAGACGATGTCGGGGAGCGCGCCGTCAGAATCGGAGTCATCTTCTGTTTCTTTCGCCGCGGCGGCTCGCTTTTGTGCCGCCGAAGCGGAGGACTTGCCAAACTTTTTCTTCTTCTTCGGTTGTTGTTCGTCTTCTTGTTCTGCGTCTTCCATCCGAGGCGCTTTCGATGGAATCCACGCGTCGTCAGAGGTTCGAAGTTTACTAGAATTCACCGGCACGCCAAACGCGCCAAACTCGTCGTCTTCTTGAACGGCGCCGGCGGCGCCGGAAGGCCGAACCCTTTTTGTTTCAACTTCCTCTTTTTCTCCTTCTCGAGGAGGTAGCATAGGCTTCTGGACGACGGTGTCTTCAACTTCTAGTTCTTGCTCTTCATCGTCGTCATCCATCGCCACTGGCTCTTCTTCTTTGTTTTCTTCTTCTTCTTCTTCTTCTTCTTCTTCTTCTTCCTCCTCTTCTTCCTCACCGTCGTCCCCCCAAGTCGGTTTCGATCCGTCTAATGCGTGCTCGGTGCTATTTTTATCAGTCAACGACCACTTTACTTTTTCTTCTCTCGTCGCATTTTTCAGCGAATTACTCGCGCGCTCCAATAAAGGCGGCGCGCTCGGATGCAACAAACTCTCCAAAGCAACGCGCGCGTGTACGGAGGCTACGTCGCATGTATTTGCGAACGAGGCAAACGTCAACGCGCTGTTCCTCGGTCGATGCGATGTCGGCGCAAGCGTTGAGGCCAACAACGCCTCCGTTTTTGCAGCCTTTAAATCTTCCAACATTCTCTTGCACGTTTCGTCGCGATACAAATTGAAAGGTTCGATAACGCTTGATTCGTACGCAGCGGCAACGACCTCGTCGATGGCACGTCTCGCGCTTCCAGAAATCGAAGCGCCTCCGACGCGCAAAAACGCTGCTAAACATTTTAGCGCCGCGGTTGAAGTCAAAACGCGATTTGATGCGGTCATACCGCCGGCTAAGAGAATGTCGTTATCTACTCTTGCGGCAATTTCGCGAATTATCTCGGGATCTTGTTCGGTTTCAACGCCGTGCGCGCCGTGTTTCTTCCTCTTTCTTTGTTGTTGCGATTGGTGCTGTCTCGCGGACGATGCTCGGATGAACGACACGTTCGTGAACGTCGCCGCCGCATCCTCAATGGCGTGTAACGCTATTGAATCACATATGAAGCTTTTCACCGCACCCGCACCTAAAGTGTTCGCTAGATTTATGGATACGTCGTACGCCGCGCATCGAACGGATGCGTTCGTGACTTCCCCGGTGCGATCGTTTGCCGCGGTGTTTCGCAAGCAATCGTCCAACATCGTACACGCGAAACCACACGTCGGCGCAAACGTTATTTTCGTAGCTGAAATCGTCGCATTTAACAACATCAAAGCCTTTTCGTGCGTGCATGGAAGTTTTGCACTCAAACGTGGCGACGATACACCTGGAGGAAGCCCCGGCGATTGAGAAATTGGCGTTCCGTTGCACTTCAAAACTCGTTTCGCGAGCTCGCAGATTGATTGAATAGGCACGCTCACGAATACTGGAAACTCTTTCAAATTCAACATTTCCTCACACACGAGTAGTACGTTGTCCAAGTTATCGTGCGCGCCTTCCCTCGACGCGTCTTGTATGTTCTCGTTCGCGAGAAATTTGGCGGGAAGATCGTATCCAACCGGCGTGAGCATTTTTAATCCTTTTTCAGCCACTTCCAACTTTTCAAAACCATCGAACGCCATTTTCGCGAAATGGTGCGCTTCGACTAAAGCAGCGCGCATGGTCGATTGCCAAATTCGGGCCAACTCTTTGGTGCCACCCGATGCTCTCAACACGGACGCGAAGCATCTCGCAGCGACCGCGGGAAACGTGTGGCTTCTTTTATAACTCCCGCCTCCCACGTACATTTTAATTGTACTTTGCAAACTCAATACGTGTTGCTTCGCCGATCCAGGATGCGCCGCACAAATCGCATCGATACACTTTAACGCGGCCATTTCCAAAGTTTCGTAAGTTGTTTTCATTTGGTTGACTTTTAATAATCCGAGAAGAGTTCGCAAAATCTTTCCGAAACATTGCGATGCTTCGTGTTTCACCCCGGGCATGTATTCAGATAAAGCCCCGGACCGTTTCGCTATGCTTTCTACGCACTTCACTATGGCTAATGTCAACTGCACTATCCCTGTCAACTGCACTTTCGCCTCGTCTTCGACTATGCATTTCACCAACGCCTTGAGCGAACCGTCTAGATCCTGCAACGCGTTCGTGAAAAACTTCGCGAACCGCTCCGTCGACGCGTTCTCCGCCACAAACTGAATCACCGCCACGCCTCGAACCGCTTCGTAAACTTCTCGAAATCCACACCTCTCCTCAGTCCAGCTCGTGTTACCGAACGCCAAAATGCGCTCCATCTCCGTCAAAAAAATCCCGCCCTCCATCTCGCTCGCCAACGACAACAGATTCGATCGAGCCATCACGTGTAACGCGTTTCTCGTCCTCGCAACTAATTCTTCTTCTTCTCCAAATCCATTCTCACCACCATCGTTCTTCGTCGTCGTCGTCATCATTTCCACGCAGTATTTCAGCATCGAACTTCTCGTCGCTTCAGAATTGTTGTTGTTTTCATCACCGCCGCGCTTCTTACTCCTGCTCGTCCCATTCGTGGTGGTGGCGGCTCCTCCTCGGTTCCTCGTTTTGTTGGTGTTGTTTCCCATTTGAATGATGCGAGAAGAAAACGCTCAAAGCAGAGACAACGACGACGTAAACGACAAGGACTCACACGACGACCGCGTCAAGGTGGTATTCTTTCTTTCGCGCGTTCGCCGCTCTCGCGTGTATTACGAGTAGTATTTGTGGCGAAATTCTTCAAAAACTTTCCCTTTTGAGGAAATTGGAAACCTCTGACCATTTCAAACCTTTAAGAAGAAGAAGAAGACGGACGCGCGCGCAGTTGAGTCGGTGGTACGTCTCGTTTCTCCGTAGTACTCTCCGTACGAGATCACCCTTCCAGACTGGGGAGTGGGAGTTTTTGGGGCGAGTGTTATACGCTTTGCGTAAACGTAATAAAAACATATCTCATTTGAAAAGAGTAGCCGGGGAAAAGCAAAAGCAATCCGATGGGGGAAGGCGGAGTGAAACTCCCACCTCGCTCGACGCGAGGTCGCCGGATGACGCGCATGCTCGAAGACGAAGACTCCGCGGACGAAGAGTTCTGGAACCAAGACGCGTTCAAAGAAGAACACGAAGACAGCGAGTACGAAAGCGAGGAAGAAGTCGCGGACGTTTTTGATAAAGATTTCGACGAGGAGGAAACGAGCGAAGACGAGGAGGAAGTGGAAGTGCGAACGGAACGACGGAGGAAGACGATGAAAGCGCCGGAAAGAAACGAGGCGACGAAGAAGAAGAAACAAGGTGCGAGTGATATTGCTGCTACCGCTGCTGCTGGTGGTGGTAGTGGTGCGTATCAAGAACAAGAACAACAACGACAAGAACAACAGACGGCGACGACGGAGCCGGCGGTGGTCATACCGCAGGAACTTCGAGTCTCGTCGCGCGCGTCCGCGAAGGAGATTCGCGAAAGGTCCGAGGCGTTGCAAAGAGAGAGAAAGTCGAGACCGCAAATCGTGCGACCGAAGGTGGAGTACGTCGTTCCGACCATGGAGGAGATGATCAAAGAGGCGAAGATTACGGAGAAGAAGAATTTAATCGAGTTGGAGCACTTGTTGCACTTGGAGGAAGAGCAGAAGAAGAAGAATCAGATGATGGATAGGAAAAAGCGGTACGACGGACCGGCGATTCGGCAGAGAAGTTTGAAAGGCGATAAACCCGGGAAGATTGTGTACGAGTTAATCCGAGGCGCGGTGAGTGAGAGAGACGCGCCGGAGTTTTATTTGAGAAGCGAAGATCAAGCGCCGTCGACTTCGGCGAAAGAGGAGAAAATTTGCGCGATTACCGGGTTACCGGCAAAGTATCGCGATCCGAAATCAGGGTTGTATTACGCCACGATTGATGCGTTTAAGCAGTTGCGGTTGCAACAGGAGAAGAAAGAGGCGGAAGAGAAGGAGAACGCGACGATAGATGTAGAGGTAAAAGTAGAAGACGGACAAGAACAAGAACGGGAACAACCACCAACGCGCAGGTCGATTTGGGATCCACCCATTCCAGGGGCGTTGACGCATCGCGAAATCGCGCAAATAGCCAAGAAGAAAGCCGAAAAGGAAGAGCAAGCCGCGATGCAAGCGTTTTTGAAGCAGCAAGAGGAGGCTAAAGCCGCCGCGGCGGCGTTGCGCAGAGAAAAACAAGGCAAACCGGCGAAGGTCGCGCCGCAGGCGAAGCGCACAAAGGCGCAAATCAAGAAAGCGAAGGAGGCGATGAAACGAGAAGAGGAAGAGAACAAAGATTTGCGAGGTCCTGGTCGATGGTTGTCTTTGAAGACTATATTGGCGAGGCCAGAGTTGGACGTCCCAGCAACTGGTCCTCGATACCCTCGACCAGTGCTCGAAGGCTTCTCGAAACCGGGCATCCCGCAGTACGTCGTCCCGACGCCGAAATCGATCGACGAACGACCACTCGACGAAAAAGACATTAAAATCGAACAACCAAACTTCGACAACGGCAATCGTGGTGCTACCATTGCAGTTGTTGGTGGTGAAGATACCGTGGAGATTGAAGGTATTCATTCCCGGGATATGGATCACATCGACGCCTGCGATATCATGGCCATCGAAGACAACGAAGAGGAAGACGACGCGATGACAAACTCGGATGATTTCACCGTCGAAGATGCCTCGGACGACGAAGAAGACGACGAAGGTACGATCGAAGAAGACGAACGCGCGGCTTTAGAGGAGGACGACGAGCGTTTGAATATAACTGCCGAGGAGGAAAAGAACGCGCTCGAGGACGAGGCGAACATCCCAATCGAAGAACTCATGCGCCGATACCAATCGAACAATCGACAGTTTGGGCAAAAAGAACCGTCTCCATCGCCGGAAAACTCCTCTGACTTTGATCGAGACGAAGACGAAGATGATTCTGAAGATAACGAATCGACGTTAGAGGAGGACGAAAAAGCGCTTCAAGAAGACGAAGACATGTTAGATGCGGACGAGGAAAAGAAACGTTTGGAAGACGAAGCGAACATGCCCATCGAAGAGTTGATGGCGAGGTACCAGCAACAGCAAAATAAAGGCTAGCGACGACGTCAAAAAGCGAATGTGATAGCACAGATGTATAGCGAATGTAGAATAATAGAAAATTGGTAGTTTTTTGTCATTTGACCGCCTCTCAAAAAGGACGACCAAACGACACTTTTCCTTCATTCTTTACCTCTCATTCATCATCATGCAGCGCGGGAGAAGAAGCCCCGCAACAATATTGCGCCAACTCCTCCTCGTCTCTCGAACGCCCCTCTTCAGTGACAACAAAAACTGCGCGCCGAAAAAACTATACGCGGCAAACCCTCTGCCGTTGTTCGAGGACGAAAACGACGGGAAGACTAAAACCGAATGGAAAAAGCGCAGACAAACGACGGCGGATGAGTTAAAACCACCAACGACGAATACGAATACGAATCAACAGTTTTCCATGCTCACGGACACGTTTAACCGCCACCACGACTATTTGCGGATATCTCTGACGGAAAGGTGCAACTTGCGATGTCTGTATTGCATGCCAGAGGATGGGATCGATTTAGCGCCGAAAGATGATTTATTAACGACCGAGGAGATTGAACGTTTGGTGAAGTTATTTGCGAAAGAAGGCGGGGTGAGGAAAGTTCGTCTGACGGGTGGAGAACCGACGGTGAGGAAAGATTTAACAGACATAGTGGAACGAATATCGAGGATAGATGGGATAGAACACGTGGCGATGACGACGAATGGCGTCGCGTTGAAGAGTAAACTTGACGCGTTGAAACGGAACGGTTTGAAGTCGATCAACGTGAGTTTAGATTCGTTGGTAAAGGCAAAATTTGAGTTCATGACGAGGCGAGACGGGTTAGAGAAAGTGTTGAAATCAATCGACGAGGCTATTCGGATCGGGATAGAGACGGTTAAAGTAAACGTCGTTGTCGTGAGAGGGCAGAACGACGACGAGTTGTTAGATTTTGTGCAATTCGCGAAAGAGAAACCAGTCAACGTGAGGTTTATTGAGTACATGCCGTTCAACGGGAACAAATGGGAGACGCGAAAAATGGTATCCTACGCGGAAATGTTTGATACCATTCAAAAAAAGTACCCATCGATCGCGCGAATCCCGGATGAAACCAAATCTGAGGTTGGGAAGAACTTCCAAATCGATGATTTTCAAGGCACGGTGTCCTTCGTGACGAGCATGACGAACCATTTTTGCGGCGGGTGTAATCGATTGCGTATATTAGCGGATGGAAATTTGAAAGTGTGTTTGTTTGGTAACGCCGAAGTATCTTTGCGAGACGCCATGCGCGTAGATAACGCGTCCGACGATGTTTTGAAGGCCATCGTGGAAGGCGCGGTGAAGAGAAAGAAAGCGAAACATGCGGGCATGGAGAATTTAGCTTTCATGGAAAACCGGTCGATGATACGCATTGGAGGATAATAATACTGATGATAACATTAGAAGAGAGTATTTGTATAGTAGCGCAGTAGCAACCGTTAATGATTTATTTTAGCAGCAGCATCAAAACGGCGAGCTCGCACACATGACAAACTTTGCGTGTTTCTCCTTCCCCGCTCTCGAGTAACATTCAGCCAGTTGAATGACCGTATCTACAATCGCCTTCTCCCCGTTCGCCATCGCGTTCAAGCAATCTTCCGCGTCTTCCTCAGCTTTCACTTTTTCTTTACTCTCGTCCACGAATTGATCTCTACCCGGTCCTTTCCTCGTGTCTAAAATCTTTCTAATCTCAGCCACCGAGCTCGTCTCGCCCCAACCGGCTCTTTCAATCATCCGATCGAGCGATTCTCGGGTTTCAAACGTCGACCAAGGACACTGCACGCCCGATCGCGCGAAATCTCTCGCCTCTTCCATTCGATTCAACGACGCGTACACGTCTGAAATAAACGCGTACACTTCGCCCCAATTTTGAAACTGATTCTTAAACACGTCGCACGCGACCAACGCGGACTCTTCGTCTTTCCTCTCCAAATGCCGCTCGACTAAACCTCTCAAAGAGCTCGGAAACCTCCCAACTTTCATCGTCAAATATTGGTCCAAGGTCAACTTTCCCTTCTTTTCTGAATAGTCGTTTAACTCGTACGCGTTCTTCCCGACTTCTCCGCTGGCGTCAAACAGCGCTCTCTCCGCGCCGTCCGTCGCCGCTTCCTCGACGACAATCTCGCGGTGGATAAACTCCTTTGGATTTCTCGCTAAAAGCGTCAAAAACTTCCCGCACGAGGACACGCGAACGATGCTTAACGAATCCACGTCGTCGTGTGGAATGTAAATCCCAATCGTCGTCGATGTCGCCAACTCTTTCGCGACCGGAACCACCAGCGGGTGCACGTTTCTCCTCTGGTTCGGTTCCACGATTTCCAAACCTTCTTTCGCTTGTAACACTCGCAGCAAAGATTGGATGTTCGTTTCCGTGTTTTTCGTTCGCGCGATGGAGGCGGCGTTCTCGATGTATTCCGAATGCGTCGTGGACGACGACGCGGATGCTCGAATTTGGTTTCTTCTTCTTCTTCTCCTACTTAAACTACTTCTTCTCTCGTCGAGGACGATGTCCTCGTCTCCATATCTTCTTTTCTGCCGACGCATCATCGGCTCGCTTTTAAGACAATAATAATAACGACGACGATGATTTCTTCCTTTTGCAACGACACCAATTTCGAAAGAGGACGTAAACGACGACGCCAGATGATTTGACGTCATCCTTCTCTCTCTGTCTCGCGCGCAAAGTCTCTCTCTCTCTCTCTCTCTCTCTCTCTGTCCCTCTCTCTTATTTGAGGACTTTTGTGGTAAAATTCCTTCTCCGAATGAGAGAAAGATGAACCCTAAACCCTAGAGAGATCTCGCTCTTTTTCTTCGACAGAAAAGAAAAACCTCCAGAGGTTTTCGGGTGTTCTTCCTTTCTCTGGGAGTAGAGTAGTATTCTGCACAGAAGGAACTCTTTCTCTCTCTCTCTCTCTCTCTCTCTCTCTCTCTCTCTCTCTCACACACACACACACGCAATACTCGCGCAACGAGAGTCTTTTGTCGTCGCAGTTTTTTTTCAGTCTCATCATTTGCAACGGCGGCAGAGCGTTAAAAGAAGCGTCCTAAATCTCACTCTCATCGAGAGAGTTTCCAATCGTCGCTTTTTTATTTACACGTCAGCATTCCAAAAAGAACGCTCGATCGAGATGAACGGGTACGCGAGATGCACGGTCCCGCCGATCTTAGTCAACGCGCGACCGAAAAATAACAACAACAACAACAACGTTATTGGTAACAGCAGCACTTCTCCGACGGCAGCGCCGACGCCGAAGCGAACGAGCGAGGACCGAGACGATGCCAAATTTGGGGGCGTGGTGAGTCAGCAACCACACGCCTCTGTGCACCACGAAAGAGGACAAAGAAGGAAAAAATCGGTTCGGTTTACGGAAACGCCGGATGAAGTCGTCGGGACGGCGGAGGATATCGATCGATCGTCGATTTCAGCGCCGAAGAGGTGCGACGTGTGCAACGTACATCTGGTTGGGTTCGTGTGGGAGTGCGGCGCGTGCTGCGAACAAGAGAAGTCGACGAAAAATGATGGAAGCGGCGAAGATGCGATGTCATCACGCGGAGAACAACATCAAGTACAACATTCACCTTCTTGTCAAGCGTGCGAGGAGTTAGTCGGGGTTGGAAGAATGGCCGTTCGCGAGGAAGAGAGAGTGAAGAATACGATGTTGGAGATTGGGCCGCAGTCGCCGCACCAGAGTCAAGGGACGGTGTTTAATAGTGGGAATACGGCTTCGAGTGGTGGCGATCATGGATTTTCGCATAGGTCCAGGAACAACAAGAACAATAACAACATAGAAGAAGGAGAAGATGCTTCAAAAAAAGGGTTCCGACTGTGCGTGAGTTGTTATCAGATGCACGCGAGGTTATCGATGAGTCGAACGAGGTTTTTGGAAGAAAGGAAACGGAAGGAGGAGGAGAATCTCAGAAAGCAGACGATTTCGTCGTCGTCAGATGATACGATTACTATCACACCTACGACGACAACTACAACTCTTCCCGTGCCAGTTTTGAACAACACGACGGCATCCGTGCCGACGGCAGAGGCGACGCCGGAAGAAAAAGAAACCGTCTTCTCCGCCGGTCAAAACAACTCTTTATGGTTACAACTCGCCGAACAATTACAAATTCACGAGCACGATCCTCAAAACTTCATTCGAACTGGATTAGACGACCAATTGGCGCTGGAAGAAATCATACGCGATCGAGCGACGCTCATGGTCAACGGTGAAGACCGACTGGGAAGAATTTTGAAAGAAGCGACGCGAAGGATGGACGCGGCGAAGCAAAACGACGCGGAAAGTCCCGAAAACGAAAACTCCAACGGTATGCATCAGAACGAAGAGGAACTCGCGCCGGCTTTTTGATATCACAAACAACGAGACCGTGATGACAACTGGTAGAAAATAAACATACTGTACTTGTATTAATGAATTTATGTGTATCAAACTCAACGTTAAACAATTTCTTTTGGATAGATACTTTCATCACTTCTTATTCATGTTCTTTTCTTGCTGCATGAACGCTCTTCTGCCTTCGGAAACCGCCTCCTCGAATCCATTCTTCAGATCTGCGTTATTCTCGTCCAAGCGCAAACCTTCAAAAAACGCCACCGCGGCGCCCTCGAAATCGTTCATCGCCCTCGCCGCTTTGCCTTCACGAAACCAGGCTTTCAGGTAGGTTGGGTCGAGTGATCTCGCAGTGACAGCGTCTTTTCTCGCTTCCAAATAATCGTTCAGTTTTTCTTTACACGCGGACCTGTTCGCCCACACTTTCGAGTTCCACTCGTCGGTTTCCAAACTTTTCGTGTACGCGTCCAAGGCGTCTTGGTATTTACCGCCGACGAACGCTTCGTCGCCGAGGCGTTTATGTTGCTCTGCTTCTTTCATTTCCTCCTCGGATAACTTCTTTTGTGGACCAAGTGTGTGCCTAGTTATGCTAGTTTGTGGTAAATCGTGCAAATTTTGCTCGGGATTGCCTTCCGCTTGGCCGCTGTGTTGTCTGCGAATCTCCATGATCAACTCCTCCACGCGTCGCATCACCGCTTGCGCGTTCCATTCGTCTTCTTCTTTCAAATTTTCATCTTTTTCCGTGTGCGAAAGCAAATACTCAACCACATCCTCTCTTCTACACGCGGCAGCTGCGTGTATCGCTTTCATTCCGTCTTTATCTCGCGCGTTCGCATCGGCTCCATTATTGAGTAAAACGTCAAGCGCTTTCTTTCTCGTTTCCGAGTCTTCCGGATCCGTCCCGGCCCATTTCGGGTGACTGGCGAGCACGTGCAAAGCAGACATCCCACCTTCCGCTCTCTGATTTGCATCTATTTTACAATCTTCTAAAACAAACCGTAAGGTTTCCACGCAGCCACTCGCGGTTGCTAACACCACAGCGCCGACTCCCGACTGCAACGTCTCCTCGCGTATCGTCTCCCGCTTCCCTTCGATGTCGAGTTCCCGAGAAAGCAACTTTGCCACTTCGTGAGACCCGCACCCGACCGCGAACAAAAACGGCGACCCGGTATTCCCTCCACTCGCTTTCTTCTCCAACATTCGTTTCACCTCTTGCACTCTCTCCGGCCCACCACCACATTTCGTCATCAACACGTCCGCCGTCTCTCTCGCCTGCTCTCGCCCGCCGTCCCACTCGGCTAAAAAGTGCCACGCGTTCCTCTCGTCCTTCGATGTCACCAGCGCGTCAGCTTTCCCATCCACTAACAAATACTCCAGAACTAAAGCATTCGCTCTCGACATCGCGATGAGTAAAGCTGTCGCGCCGTCGGCGTCTCTCATCTCCACGTCGCACTTTACATTTCCCACCAAGTGTTTGCAAATATCCACCGCCGCCACGTCTCGCCTCTGCGCTATTAAGTGTAAACACCCTCTTCCTTTCACGTCTCGTGCGCTCAATACCTCCGTTTGGTCGCGGAATGCGAGGCAGGATTTTATGACCTCTTCTAAGGTTCCTTTTTGTATAGATTTTATTAAGGTTTCTATGCGCGAGATGGCTTCCACGGCGCGTTGCGAGGATGCGTTTTCCCTCTTGTCTTTCGCCGCAACCGTCATGTTCTTCGTTGCGTGATGTGATGTGATGCGTCTTGTTTCTTTCGTTTACGCAAAAGTAAGAGGTGAAAAAGAAGAGCGTACAAGCAAACGCAGTATAAAGCGCCTCTCTCGATGATCGTGCGCGTGCTCTGATACCGCTCGAGAACAACAACAGCGGGGCTTCGTGTGATGAGCAAAAGGTTCAGTCTTTGGGGGAACTTTTGGAGGATTTTTGAACCAAATTCGTCATTAAAAAACAACCTTTTGGACTACGTTATACGCGCATCAAAAGACGTCGTCTCGAGCGTTTCGTTGGTGTTGTTGGTGTTCTTGCGCGGGGCTCTTTTTTGCGCCCAAGAAGAGACGCGTTTTGTGCGCGTAGCAGAGACGCGAAAGACGAACGCAAACAACAGGGATTTGAATTCGATTTCCTCTCGCTTTCCCGTGGAAACGAATCCTCTTTCTCTCTCTCTTTTCTCGACGTATTGTTATATAATACGAATACTACGAATGGCGTCGTCATCTGAAGTGGACGCGTGGATTGCCACTTTGCGTAAGTGCGAGATAATCGACGAGAACTCGGTGAAAAAGCTCTGTCAAATGGCGGTGGAGATCTTGGTGGAAGAATCAAACGTGCAAAATATTTCGAGTCCGGTGACGATATGCGGGGACATTCACGGCCAGTTTTACGATTTGAAGGAGTTATTCTCCGTCGGCGGGGAGTGTCCAGATACGAATTACTTATTCATGGGAGATTTCGTGGACAGAGGGTTTTATAGCGTGGAGACGTTTTTGCTTTTGTTGGCGCTGAAGGTGAGGTATCCGGACCGAATGTTTTTGATCCGCGGGAATCACGAGTGTCGGCAGATCACGCAAGTGTACGGTTTTTACGACGAGTGCCTGAGAAAATACGGGAGCGTGAACGTGTGGAGATATTGCACGGACGTGTTCGATTACTTGTCTTTATCGGCGATGATTGACGGGAGAGCGCTGTGCGTACACGGAGGATTGTCGCCGAATATAACAACCATCGACGAGATTAGAGCGATTGATAGAAAAAGAGAGGTTCCGCACGAAGGGCCGATGTGCGATTTGTTGTGGTCAGATCCAGAGGACATCAAAGGTTGGGGTTTGTCTCCTCGAGGCGCGGGTTATTTATTCGGCGACGATGCGTGTAAAAGCTTCAACGAGAAGAACGCGTTGAAACTGATTTGTCGAGCGCATCAGTTAGTCATGGAAGGGTACAAGTGGATGTTTGACAAAGAATTAGTGACGGTTTGGTCTGCGCCGAATTACTGCTATCGATGTGGGAACGTGGCGAGCTTACTCGAATTGGACGAACATTTCACGCCGCGGTTCAAAGTGTTTGAAGCGGCGCCCGATTCCAATCGCGCGGCACCGGGTAAACGCACGGTACCGGATTACTTTTTATAGCGGAAAGAGCGAGAGTTGGATATAGATATAGATGCATAGAAGAAATAATAGCGAACACAGTAGCATCACACAGTGATAGATTTTTAGTTACTCTATTATAAAACTAAAGTTAGAAGATGGAGAATCTATATCACGCGCATATACGGCGCGCGCTTCACAAACCAACAACGTCTCTCTCATCGCACGCGACAAATACTAATCCCATCACCAATGGGTACTAAGCTATGACTCACTCGCGAGTCGTTCACGACGAACTCGTTAAACTCTTTAATCGCGATCGTTTTCTTATCTTTGTCGAAATCCGGATTCACCGGTCGTCCGTACCACAACACGTTATCGATGATAATCAAACCGCCTTTCTTCATCATCGGCAACAACTGTTCGTAATACCCCATGTACGCCCTCTTGTCCGCATCCACAAACGCTAAATCGAAATAATTTTCCCCAAACTCCTCTTTGATGTGTTCTACGCTCACTTTCGCATCCCCGACGTGCTCGCGAACCATGTGTTCAACCTTCGCCGCTTTCCAAAACTTTCTCGCCACCGCCATGGCGTCGTCGTCGATATCGCACGCGTGGAAACGAACGTCGCCGTCGTACGACCGCTCGGTCATCGGTAAGAGCATCGCTAACGAGCTGTAGCCGGTAAACACGCCAATTTCGATGATTTTCTCCGCGTTTATCATCTCCACTACGAGTCGTAAAAAATTCCCTTGTTCCGGAGGTATTTGCATCCGAGCGCCGACGGGACTAAACGCTTTCGTTTCCTCTCGCAACTGTTTCAACAGTTTCGGTTCCCGTGTGTTCTTCAACAGATACTCGTACAAGGCGTCGTCGAATCGCAATAAGGGTGAATTTATCGTCCCTCCACTCGCAGAATTGCTGTTTGTGCCGCTGCTTTTATCATCATCGCTCCATGATTCACCCCCGCTACTGCTCGCCCCTCCTCGTTGCAGTCGTCGCACTAACGGTCGTCGTCTCGTGAACTTTTCCCCGGGATTGTGCTGATTATAACGCTGAAAGTCGTCCCCGTGATGATGGTTAGAAAAGAAAGAAAATCTTCCAGTCGTCGGTGTCGTCGTCGTCGTCCTCGAAGTCAGCGCTCTCATCATTATCGCTTTCCGCTTCATCGCCGCGCACATCGTCGTCCTCGTCGCAACCTTCATCTCTTCCCCCCTCTTTTTGCTCCCTCGAATTTGTTTTTTTTTTAATGAGGAAGCGAATTTGGAGCTCGAAACGCTTGTTTTGTAAAACGGACGAAAAACATCATCACAAAAATTATTTAATCTCTCATCTCTTCTCTCGCAAGTCGGCGGTGTGTTTATTGCAACGACGACGATTTGCGACGAAAGAGACGAAAGAGACGAAAGAGTAGACGATCTTGAAAGAGAGAGAGAGAGAGAGAGTTCTGTCTCGTTCGGAGTGCGAGAGTGAGAGGGCATTTTCCTTCTTCTTAGAGAGTTTGGGGGTGCTTTCGTGTGCGTTTTTTTTATTCCCAACGGATTTGAGATCTGGATTTGATTGAGAAGAAGAAGAAGAAGAAGAACGAACGACGCGATGACGATGATGCGCGAGGCGAATGGCAACAACACCCGCGGAAACGCGGCCAAAACGACGAAAGGAGGAAAGAAAACGGGTAAAACGTCGAAGAAGAAACAACCCCACCAACCGTTTAAAGAGAACGAAACGCCCGGGCAAAATGGCAAGTTCACCCGAGGGATGGTGCGAAACATTCAAAATATGAGAGACGATCACGATAAAGCGACCATCGAGTGGTTTGAAACCATGGAGGAATTTGCGAACGAGGAGGTGGAGAAGGAGTGGTCAAAAGAAGTTTTTATCGATCACTCGGACGCGTTTAAAGATTTACCGGATAGAGAAAAGATTCGAATACAAAGGATAAAGAAACGGAGCGATCCGAACGTCGCGCCGGACGAGCCCGTGCCGTTGAGATTGAGACCGTGGGATGCGCATCCGAAGGATGCAGAGAAAGTGACTGTGCAATATACGTATAGGAACGCGCTCGGTACGGTTGGAGAGTGTAAGAATGAAATAGCGAAACAGTTGGACGTTCCAATAGGGTCGGTTGAGTTGATTAACGCCGGTCGTAGGCTCGGAAGGGACGACGCGACGTTCCACGATTTACACATTTTAGCCGGGTACGTGGTGTATTTTCGAGTAAACAGCAGAAAAGAAGAATCAGAGAGGAAGAAGAAAGAGAAGATGGACGATCCAGAGGCACCAACGTCGGAAGGCGTGGCGTGTTGGCAACACTATAAAATTATCGAGAAGGACTAACGTTGTCGTTGCTACCGCGTCGAAACTATCAACTATAAAAATATCTCGCGCTAGTATTATTCCGCTTTCGTCGACGCCTTCCCATTTTTCTTTTTAGATAGCGCAAACGTAAGCGTCTCGTACGTGACATACACTTGCCCAACGGCATACATCAGCGTAACGGCAAAGAAATAATTTGGATTCCCCGTTCTCGTTATCAACCAGGCGCGCAAAGTGACAAAACTTAAACCGAAAATGGCGAGCGCGATCATCGTCCCGTCCGCGACAATTTTAATCGCCTCGGAACGTTCGAGCACGCGAACTGAAGTGCCGTGTGCTAATATCAGCACCGTCGTAAACGCGAACTCACCTAAAGTCGGGTGCGATGCCAACGCCGTCGCGCACAGCAACCCCGCGCACGCGCTGAATAAAGGACTTTGACTGCGCGCAAACCTCGCCGTAATCGTCAAGGCGCACACAATCCCACACCCTTGGAATGCGAAGCAATACCACGGCAAAAACCGTTCCCACATCAACGAATACACGTACCAGTGCAGACCGACGTTTGGCTGTAACTCTTCTGCTCTGTACCGATCAAAAACAGACACGCGCAACCACTCTTTCAACTCATCGTTCGGCACCAGGTATTTATCCGCGACGTTCACAAACGTTCCCAACGCGCACGCGTACTGCGACAGAAAGTGTACCGCGAGTTTCTTCCCACTCGTTCCAAACTCATTTTCACGAACGGACCAAAAATGGAGCAACACTCCAGATAAAAGAGTCACGGCTGATGGTAAATGCACCAACGACAACATCGCCAACGCGCCGCCGGTGACCGTCGGCGAGCGCTTGTTCGTCTTTACATCGACGGCGCCGTACACGACCAGACTCGCGAGTAAAAATTGCACCACTTTCGTCGTTCGCGACAAACAAGAGAGGATAATGATTGGATGTAACATGTACACTCCAACGATAGATGTTGGTTCACCTTTATTTTCATCATCATCTTCGACTGTTTTCTCGTTCTTTCTCTTCGCGCAACCGCGCTCGTATATCTGACTCAAAACAATCGCCGTGAGGACATCAACACACACGAACGGAACCACAGACCAGAGTACACCGTCATCACTCTTCGATCCAGCGCCGCAAAATGGCGCGAATATTGCACCCACGAACGGTGACACTCTCGACGACGACGTGATGCGTTTTTCGTGAGTGTTTTGTAAATGCGCGAATTCTTTCGCGTGATTGAACGCGTCGAACGCGGTCGAGAATTCGAACCGACTGTTGGAAAGATTCGCGAGGAGGATATTTGGGAACGCAAAGGCGAGAAAGAATCGGAGGAAAACGCCGACGGCGAGGAAACGCAGGTCGTTTTTTGTTCTCATCTCATCTCGTCAAGTGGATGGCGCAGACGACGAATGAAGAAAAGTCGTTACAAAGTTTCGCGTCTGATGGAACAACACACATGAACACACAAGGGAAGAAGAACCTTTCCGGCGCGCAGAAGAGGAAGAAGAAAAAGGAGAAAGAAGAGCTCGCCGCGGAAATGGAGAGGTTAAAGCTCGGGCCGACGAAGTTGTGGACCGGGTTGGTGGTGCATCACAAGGATGTGTTTGTCACGCATGTGCTTCCGAAATTGAATAGGGCAGATCGGTTTTTCTTTTCGAGAGTGAATAGAGAGAGTTGGGGTGCGCTTGAGTACGCCGGGTTGAACGTATCGAAATTAGGTTTGTCTATTCACGAATGTTCATCCATTTCGACGTTGGAATGGGCGTGGAATCACTTTCCCTGGGGAGAGAAAAATAAAAGTGGAAGAGTGATGGATCAAGCCTGGTTTTGTGCGGGAGTTGCTTTTACGAACAAACTCGAGTTTCTCAAGTGGGCGAGAGAAGTGAAACAGTGCGAGTGGGATGAATGGACGATTAAAGCGGCAGCAGTTAAAGGTAATCTCGACATGTTGAAGTACTGCTTCTCGAATGGTTGCCCGTGTGATGAAGAAGAGTCGTGCGTTCAAGCTGCTATAGAAGGACACCTCGACTGTGTTCGATTTCTTTTCGACAAACTGGAACCTTCGCGAGAGACGGAAAAAGAAGTGGCACTACTAGCAGCAGGAAAGGGTCACACAGACATCATGAAATATTTCGTTGAAGAACGAAAGATGTCTGATGCAGTAAAGATCGACTGTATGGTAATCGTTGCAAAGTTTGGCCAACTCGATTGTCTCAAATACTTATTAGGCGAAGAGGCGAAAGTGCCTCTTAACCACTGGGTATACGTCGCTTGCGCTCGTTACTACGAGCACCCCGAGTGCGAAAACTACTTGCTAGAAAAAGGGTGCCCAGAACCATCGGACGAACAATACGCTGATTTTGTCGAGGTAAGGGAAGCAGAGGCCGAGGAGGAGCACAGCGACTAACGACCGAGAAAAGACAAGATACAAATAGATAACAAGAGAGACTCGCACAACGCTTTTCCAGTTTTCAAATCAAACTCACTTGCTTTTCCTTTCGCAAAAGTCATCAGATGCCAACAAAGTCATTAAAATTTTCCGCGCCGCCCGTTTTAACCGGTGATACTTCTCTCGTCGTCGTCGTTTTTTCTTTCGCAAAAGCAGCGCACGATGACATTCCTCGTTTCTCTAAATGCGTGACGATATCGAACGACTCGCTGTGCGTCCTCTTCTCCACCATTTCCCGTTTCATTCGCATCCTCTCTTCTTCTTTCAAATCCTCCTTGCGGACGCGCGCTTCGTTGAGCTTCATGTTCACCGGATCCCATCCGCAGCCGGACTTGTTCGGACGGTTGCCAACGTACGTTCGCTTAAATTGTAAACGGTTTTCTTCCGTTTCCTGCGCGAGTCTTTCTTTCTCTTTATTTAATTTCTCTCGTTCTAAGTTTCGTTGACGTCGCGAGTGATCTCGTTGGTCGCGTTTGGCGCGAAGCGTTTCGCGCTCGCGCTTTTGTTCCTCCGCTAAATCGATTTTACGGAACCGTTCGATTTCGCTCATGTACTGCGGAAGTCTATCGAGTCGCTTTATCGTCGAAGAAGAAGAAGAGGAGGACGAAGACACTTTCTCTTCCTCCTCGAAGAACGGTTCGTCTCTCGGCAGTCTCGCCCCTGGAAATATCCCGTGGTTCTTCCTCGGCGGTTCCAACACTTTCCTCCTCTCCACGTTTTGATACCCGCTCTCGGCTAACGAACGACCGGCGATGCCGTCCTGCCAATCGCGCTTTTGACTTCTCGCTTTCTCCTCGTCCGGGACGAATAACCTACTTTGTTGTTGTTGTGTCTTTTCCTCCTCTTTGTCTTCTTCTCGTTCTTTGTCTTCTTCCTCTTTGTCTTCTTCTTCGTTTGGAACGACTTTGCGTCCGTCCTCGTCGTCGTCTATTTTTGGAACACTTTTTTGAGAATCAAAGCGCTCGCTTTTAAAGCGAGACGACGACGACGATCGAACACCACCACCTCCCCAAAGGGCACCATGGTTGCTGTTCCTTTCCTTTCGCTGTTCTCGTTCGTGTTCGTGTTCTCGTTCCATCGTCGTCATCATCATCGCGCACTACTATATATATATGTGTGTGTATTTTTTTATGAAAAAAAAAGAAGGGGGGGGGGTGCTCACAAAAGAAAAAAAAAACACGTCAAACGACAGAAGGTGAAAAAATCCTGAAATTTCATCTGCGCGTTTTTTTAATTTTCGTGGCTGTCGTTTGCAGACGTCACTTTTTTTTTTATTACTACGATACGAGAACAAAAATGCGAGCGCGACGCATCTTCACACAGACCTCCTCGAAAACATCCCCGACGACTAGAAGCGCGCGAGTGGTGGTGAACAACAACGGGACGAAGCGGATTCTTTTTAACGAGCACGATACTAAGTATAACACTACGACTTCTCGGTTTTCGTCCTCCGTCTCCTCCTCGGTGTCTCGAGATTTCGCGCGACGACACCAATCGTCGTCGTCATCATCATCATCATCATCATCATCATCATCATCATCATCGCGAATGAGAGGAGTAAGAGGAAGAGGAGTGAAAGTGCACGCTCGAATCGCTGGAGGAGGTGCGAGCAGTCTTTTGGATGCGGCACAGATGACGACGAAAGCGGCGGAAGCGATTTTAGACGTCTCTAAAACCGTACGAATGAAAGGAATCGAGGCACCGGCGAATGAGAAATCGTACGTCGCGTTGGACTCGGAAAACGCAGGTTTGGTGGACGACGACGGGTTACCGCTCGTGTATTCTCCGGAGGCGATTCAGACGTATTGGAAGAAGCAAGGCGGCGCGTTGCAACAACGTTGGCTGGAGTTTTTGAAAGAATCGGTACCGTTTTTGACTCGAGTCGCGAGTTTGTCCTTGCAAGGCGGGAGCGAGGAATTGACCAAGAACGGCGCGTCGTTGGCGAAAGACGCGAGAGAAATCATCCAACGGTTAGGCCCGACGTATATTAAAGCTGGACAGATGATGAGCGTCAGACCGGACGTGTTGCCGCAAGCGGCATTGAACGAGTTGGCGATTTTACAGGATTCCGTAAAACCGTTCGCGACGACGGATGCGATTTCAATCATCGAGAAAGAGTTAGGGGCACCGTTGGGGGAATTTTTCGAGGAGATTAGCGAACAGCCAGTTGCCGCGGCGAGTTTAGCGCAGGTGTATCGCGCCAAGTTGAAAAGTACCGGCGAGTTCGTCGCGGTGAAGGTGCAACGACCGGGTATTTTAGCCACAGTTTCGAAAGATTTGTACGTCTTAAGACGCGCGGCGGAGGTGTATCAAGGCATCATCGAACGGTTTGCGCCTCAGCAACGCACGGATTACGTCGCGTTGTTGAACGAGTGGGCGATTGGTTTTTACACCGAGTTGGACTTTTTGAACGAAGCCAGGAATCAAGACACGCTGAGAAAACTATTGATGGAACAAGAGAAAGTGGCGGACGTGTACGTCCCGGAGGTGAACTTTGAGTTGACAACGCGAAGAGTTCTCGTCAGCGAATGGATCGATGGCGTGAAATTGAGCGAATGCGAACCGTCGGAAATTCGGGAATTAGTCGGCGTCGGGCAAGAGTGCTTTCTCGTGCAACTCTTACAGGTTGGTTTTTTCCACTCGGATCCGCACCCTGGAAACTTGATGCGCATGAACGACGCGTCCAAAGGGAAACTGTGTATTTTAGATTTCGGTTTAGTTGCCAGAATTAACGAGGAAGATCAAGATGCGATGGTAAACTCCATCGTACACTTGGCGAACAAAGATTACGCGGCGTTGGTGGACGATTTCATCGATTTGAAAATTTTACCGGACGATTGCGACCGAGCAAAAGTGGTGCCGTTGATGGATAAAGCGTTGAGTCCGTACGTGAAAGGCGGCGGTGCGAAAAACTACGAAGCTGAATTGAAGAGAATGTACAACATGGATGGGTCTTTATCGAGCACGGCGGGCGGGTTCCAAGCGATGACGCAAGATTTGCTGACCGTTTTGAACGATATTCCGTTTTCGATTCCTCCGTACTTTGCGTTGTTAGGACGAGCCGTGGTGACTTTAGAAGGCATCGCGTTGCTCGGTAATCCAGATTATAAGTTGGTCATGGAAGCGTACCCGTTTGTGGCGAGAAAGTTGTTGTCCGACGATAGACCGGCGGCGCAGAGAGCGTTGCAAGAAGTTTTGTACGCGTCAACGTCCGCCGGCGGGTCTATTTTGAAAGGCGAACGATTAGCGGTCATGTTAAACTCGGCGATGGGTATCGTCGCGGAAACTTCGGATACGTTTGTGGATTTAGAAACGTTGCCGGAAGATGCGGCGAGCTTGAAGCAGTCTCTGAAATACGTGTTGACTCCACGAGCGGAATCTTTGAGAAAAGTTTTAGTGAAAGAAGCCATCGCGGCGGCGGATGTTTTAGCGCGACAAGCCTTGAGGAAAACCGTGACGAGAGCGTTCGCGCTCATCCCGCGACCGCCGTCGTGGTTACCGTTTCAACCACCGAACCCGGAAGATATTGAAGGTCCGATCCTGTTGCCGTCGAGAGGTAACTCCACTCCGGTTCCGGCGTTTGCCTCGCCGAGACGAGTGTTGGACTTGACGGCGCCGAAATTGACCAGAGAAGAAGAACTATTTGCGATTTCGTTGGGTGATTTAGTTGGTGGCTTAGTCGGAAAAAACGCGGCGACCGTTTTAACCGGCGACGCGTTGTTGGAACCCGACGCCGTGGCGGGATTATTGTTGGGCATCTTAGCGAGCGGGAGAACGCCGCTCGGAAACGACGAACGCATCTTGTCGCTCGCGAAGAGCACGCAAAAGCAGTTGCAAGTAGCTGAAACGACGAGTTACGACGGCGATGGACCGAACGACGACGGTGGTTTCGACGAATTATTGGACGCCGTTAACGATTTAACGCCGGAAGAAAATGCGGTATTGCAAGCGTGCGGACAAGAAGTCGTCGACGCGCTTTGGAATCGCTTAGTCGAGCGCTTGTCCCCGATCGCAGGGACGAGCGGGGTTGGTTCGTCTGAACTCGATTTAGCTGCCGCGAGCACGCGATAAAATTCGTCACACGATAATAATAATGGTAATAATAGCAGCAGCGGCATATAAAGCCGCCCGCAAGAGTGTAATTTTAAGAAGTAGAGCCCTGAAAATTTACAACTGTCGTATATTAATCTTTAAAGCGTGTGCAGCTGTTTGAAGTACTCGGAATACAGATTCGAGCGAATCTTCAGTAACCCTTGCAAATACGTCCTATACGCTTGCATTCTCGCTTGTTCTTTCTTCGTCAACACTTTATTCAGCGTCCACACGACGTTCTTCACGTACGTGACTAAAATATACCCCAACAACGCGCCGCCGAAAACGTATCGTCTTCGCACGCCTCCCCAACGTTGCATGGCGCTAAATTTACTCCTCCCAACCTCGTCGACTTCACTCGGCAACATTCCCATCAAAATAGCCGCAAAAAAGTCGTTACATCTCGGCATGACGTGACGACGAACAAAATTTCCGACGAATCGAAACGCGAACAACTCAACAAACGCCACGAACGTCATGAAAAAAATAAACACCCACGACAACGCCAGCAACGCCGCGCCGCGCATCGACCGTTTCACGTTCTCCGCCCTCTTCAACTTATCCTCCTCTAACACCTCCACTACTTTTCTATCGATTCTCGCGCAATCGTCCTTCATTGCGGTGAGATTTTTTTGCACGGTCAACCGAATCGCTTTGTCGATGTCCTCGCACACCTCGGACAAGGCGTTTGGAATATTCGCGGTTGAGTTTTGCTCGTTGGGTAAATAAATTGTCGGTAACTTGAACGCGTGCGAGTTATTAATTCGCCCGGATAAGTTTTGCGTGATTTGAATCAACACTCTCTGTCGATCGTGTTCTTTCTCCACTTGATCCGCTTTGGACATGTAATACGACAACTTCTCCGCGTGTTTCTCGTTCAACGCCTCGATAACTTTCATCGTCCTCCCGCACAAAGCCTGCCCAATTGGATCAAAAAACACCAGAACCAAATCCACGTGATCCGCCAACCACAAAATCGCCGCGGAAACGTCAAACGGATACTCCATCTCCCCGTCCACTAAACCCGGCGTGTCGATGAAATCAATCGCCGGAAAATTCTTCTCCTTCGAAGTGCTCACCTCGGTGAACACGTTCGCCTGTATCCCTTCGAACCGTTCTAACCCGTCCAAGTGGTCGTAAAACGCAAACGTCGCGTCTCCTTTCAGCGACTCTCTCTTACGTCCGGAAGTGACGTACGTAAACCCTCTCGTCTCGATCGCCACCCCGGTCGTCTGTATGCTCTCGTCGATGTACCAGTTTATAAAACTGCTCTTCCCGGCGGAATGATTTCCAATGATCAAAACGGAGACTTTTTTTCTCGGTTTCCAACACGTCACGTTCAAGAGTGGATCTTTGGCGATTTCGAGGATCCCAACCGACCCTGGTTGGTTCCCGTTCGGACCTCGCTCGTATAAATCGTGGATGGATTTCAAGATTCGTTCGTTCGGGGAGGATTTTTCGTGATGATGATGATGGTGGACGTCGCGGTGACTGTAATGATGATGAGAGCGCGTTTGTTCAACTTTGGCACCACTCGCACCACCACCACTTCCTCCTCCTCCTCTGTTCTCCGCAGTCGTCGCGTTGGTGCTCAAAGTCGCCGAGGAAATCGTTTCCCCTTTTTGGTGATGAATGGTGTCGTTGCCGTTGTTTTTGCTGGAGGAATTCGATAATTTCCCCGCGGAGGAAGACGCGTCTCTCGGTGGTTTCGCCGGTTTTATAGCGTTCACCCCGACACCGGTTCCTCCTCCGTGTTCTTTTCTCGGTGAATGATGCGTCCTCTCCGAACTCATGATTGATGTGTGCGTAACGCTTTGCGCGTAATAATACGTGCGAAAAGTTGTTGTTTTGGGTAAAAGTGCGGTTGTTTTGATAAAAAAAAGAGAGGCGGAGCGAAAAACGTCCTGTGATGGTCAATTAAGTTTTACTTTTTTTTTTGGTCTTTTTTCGTTTTTTCTTTTAAATTTTGAATTTTGCGCTCGCTCGTTTGTCACAACAAACTCCCCCTCTGTTTTAATTGAAACACACATTAAAGACGGAACACTTTGAACGATCAAAAGTCGAGGAAAGGCACACCGAAAACGAGAGGAGGAACACGACGACCTGGGATATACGCGCGACAACGAGAAGAACAAGAACAGCGCGTTATTACTATTTTCTCGTCATCGAAGAAGAAGAAGAAGAAGAAGAATATAATTAAAAAATCATGGCATCGGAGGACGACACGAATTCGAGCGCGAAAACGAACAAAAGAAAATCCGTCTTTGGCTTTGTCTGGCGATGCATCTCCTCGAGTCGAGAGGTGTTTTCAAACGCACGCGCGAACGATTGGATGAGAATGTGCCGAGGCATTTCGTGCCCGATATCCGTGAAAGATGCGACGAGGAGATTACGATTTAACTTGCGAGATTTTGCACCCAATTACCAAGTGTTGATGTTACTCTCGATGTTCGTGTCAGTCGTCTGTCGTCCTTGGTCGTTTTTAACGGTGTTCGCGGTAGTCGTCGCGTGGCATTACGTGATCAACGTGAGGAGCAAAGACGTGACTTTGAAAAGAGGTGCGAACGAAGAACCGATCGTGGTGACGGTGAGAATGCAAGGGATGTTATTACTCGCGGTGTCGGCGATTTTAATATTCGGGTTCACGTCGTTCTCGGCGACGTTCGTGACGTGCGTTTCCATCGGCGCGGGCGTGTGCGTGTCGCATTCGGTGATGAAAGCGCCTTTGACGGAGAACAACAGTTCTCCCGACGGAGGGGACTCGCCGACGAGTCCATCGTTATTGGCTGAGTTTCAAGAGTACACCGGGTCCACGTTATCTACGTTCAACCGAGGCGCCGGGTTCGAGAAAGTCATCCCGAGTCAAGTCTACGAGTACGGCGGCAAGGCGCTCGACGGCGCCACCGCGGGCGTGAGCACCATTAGCTCGTATTTCGGCCAAGCTATTTTGCAACGCACCGGGTCGAACGTCAGCAATAACAGTAGTAATAATGGCGGTGGTAATGGTACCGGTACGAGCGCCGGCTCTTCTTCAGTGTAATCGTATATGTTTTAAACTTTCAACTTTGTATTTACTTTTTGTCTTCACACCTTTAACACCCCTAGAGACAGCATTTAGAGAGCACTTCTTTATCGCAGTTTAACAAATACACACAGTCAGAATACGCGCGCGAGGAGTGCAAGCGCGCAGGAGTAGGAGAGAAAGTGGTCGCATTAATTCGTGCGCTCTTTGAGCTTTCGACGCGTGCATATACTACATGACCCGGGCGGAAGAGATCAAATCCTACAACGAAACCCGCAAAAATCGCATGCAACAAAAGTTTATCGTCCCACTCGTCTACGCGCCGTTACTGCCTTTAATACGGATTGGATTTAAAACAAATCCACTGGTGAGAGATCGTTTGTTTGCCGTGGCACTCGGGTGTGGGTTAGCGCACGCCGGCTGGGTGATGAGTCGAGACTCGAGCGTGTGATTGATTAGGTGTGTTGCAGGTGTTTTCCCCTAACGCCTTACTTGGATATGAGCGACGACGATAAACTCGCCGCGCCGAACCGTCACAAGTTCTACGTCGACGAGAACAAATTGGTGTACGAGTGGGAGCAAACGTTGGAAGAGGTGAACATTTTTATCCCCGTTAGTTCCGAGTTGAAAACGAAGGAAGATTTGTCGGTTGAAATCACCGGGAAAACGATCGAGATTAAGAAGAAGAAGAAGAAGAAGAAGATTGGAGACGAAGATTGCCACGTGTTGCCGAAACTGGAGCTGTACCGACAAACGATCGCGGATGAATCCGTGTGGACGCGAGATCAATCCACCGGGGAGATGCACATTCAACTGGTGAAGCTGAAAAAAGCGGAACCTTGGGAAGCGGCGTTTAAGGAACATTGCCGTAACAACCTCCGAGGAGCGACGCCAAACGCGAGCGACGAAACGTCGACGAAAGCCGAGGCCGATGAAAAAATCGAAATGGACAGAAGACGGATGATGCTCGCTCGATTTCAAAAGGAAAATCCTGGATTTGATTTCAGCGACGCTGAGTTTGAAGTCGGCAAAGAAGTCCCGGACGCCAGCGAGTGGAATTTGAAATAGTATGTAGTTGTAAAAGTAGTCGTGGGAGTACTCGTCTTTGTACTCGTAAGAGATTGAATTTTTGAAATTTCTCATCAACAAAAACAAGACAAAAAACACACACAAAACGCACTCAAAAAAAAAAAGCAACAACACAGTACAACGAACACCGTTCACATGCTCTCCTCCACGGACGACGACGACGACGCCTCTTGGAGCAACTTGGGCACCGACCTTCAAGGCGAAGAGATCGTTCTCGAGGACGTCGTTGGAAAAAAGAAGACGAAGGAGGAGTTCGAGGAGGGAGACGAAAAAGAATTGGAGGAAAAACCGCAAATGACATGCGGGAAAAAGGACGACTCTCCCCCTTCAAAAGAAGAAGAAGAGAAAGAGTTGGAGGGCATCGAGGACGCGTGGGAAGGCAAAGACGAGGAAGTGCGCGCGTGGCTGGAACTCGCGGAGGGGCAATTTGACGCGAGGACGTCGCCCTTAATCGGGGCGCAACAGAAACAGCAAACGAGTCACGCGACGACGACAAAATATGAGACCCCTACTCAAGGAGAGGGGGGTGAAGGTCCAGTCCAAGAAAAACAACCGCGAAGAGAGAACAAACGAAGACGGACGAACGCGATGAAAACATTGAAGAGGTCGCTGGATGTGAAGTTGATGATGAGCTCGGTGGTATCGATTTGCATTGGAATCGTGGCTTTGTATTTAGCCACCATGTCGTCGTCGACGACGAGGGACGTCGTGATTACTGAGAATACGCCTTCCGAGACGAACTCGTTCGAGGAACGATTAAAAGCGATCGAGGAGATTCAACGGTGCGAAGTCAAGTTGGAAAAAGCGAAAGAGAAGGTGGAGGAGTTGGTGACAAAAATTTTGGAGGAGAAGAGGAAGCTTCGCGCACAACAGCAACGGGGCGTTTTCGCCTCGTGGTTGGCGTTTGAAGACGACGAGTATTCGGAGGCGATTTCATCTTGGACTGCGATGGTCGCAGTGATGACGTATTTTACCGCGATATCGATGATTTCGCTTTGGTTCTGGAAGTTGGTAAACCTTGCGTTCTTTGGTAACGGCGAGATGGAAGAATCGTCGTTTTTTACCACCACGACGGGGACGACCAGAAGCGACGAAAGCGGCTCGGCGAAAGACGACGACGACGGAAAAGGAGAAAGACCAATCGACTCGTACGCGAAAGTCGCGAGGCATTTAAACGCCAACAAAACACCAACATCTTCGATCCGGGGCGCCTTGCGTACCCCAAGCGACTCGGGCGTTCCCAAGCCGTTCGCCACGTCTTCGCAAAGACGCAGGAGCGTATCGCCAACCGTCTCCAAAGACGGTGCCACGCCTCTCTCAAGATTACCTCGCTACAAAACGCCGCAGTTACCGCCAACCGCCAACCGTCGCGGTCCGGCGAGAGAAGACTCGGTGAATAACTTAGGTCGTCGAATGCAAGACGTCGCCGACGAAGACTTGGCGATGAATCTCTACGGAGAACAGTGATGAAAAGAAGCATGAACCCCGAGAGAAAGAGAAAGAGAAAGAGAAAGAGAGACAAAAGAAGAAGAACAAACACACAGAACGTCTCATACGCGTACTCGTCGGCGGCTCGCCGCGAGTACGTACCTAAACAAAGCTGCTGTAACACTACAATACTAATATACACTTTTATACACAATCGAGTTCGTCTCAACTCGTCATCGCCTCTACCGCCTTCTCTACTTTCCTCCTCACTTTCCTCCGCTTCTCTTCCTTCTTTTCCTCCTCCTCGTCTCCGTCTTCGCCATTCACCGCAAACCTCCCAATCTTCTCCAAAACGTTCTCCTTCAAGCTCCCCAACTTCCCGTGCACGGCCACCGCTCGCATCGTGCACGTCCTCCCTTCCACTCTTTCGATGTTTTCGAAACAAAGTTTCACTTTTCGTACGTCTTCGCGCGAGCATCGTAAAACGACCACGTTCGACCCGTATTTTTGCTCGTAATACTTCACCTGCACCGACGGACACATCTCTCGAGCGCCGCAGACGCCAAACGCGGATTCGATTTCCAAATTCAGTTGATTCGAGAGCATATGTTCCGACGTCGGTTTTTTATCGTGGAAGAGCACGCGAGCGATGATGTATCTGTTTTTAAATCGAACCATGTTGTTGTTATATCTCTCGTGGTCGCAAAAGACGCGCGCGTTCTCCCGCTTCTGCGCTCTGAATTCCCCTAAAATCAGCCTTTTGGGGAGTTTAGGGTGTATGGTGGAAGCTTTTGGCCGTTGGAGAATTTTGCGCTGAATTACACACACAATACAGACACTCTAGGAGCGGGTCTGTAACGCATATCATCTCCCGAGACCACTAATAAGAGTAAGAATACTACTACTAAAGCGAGAATGATGATGATGCGCTCTCGTTCCGGAGAAGAAGGCGGCGGAGGAGGAAACTATTTCCCAGGCGGAGCTGTATCTCTGAACGAGACCAATTTCATGAATTCCAATTTCGACGACCCGGAAAGTGCGTCGAAGACGAAGAAGTTTAATTCGAGAACGGGGAAAGCTTCGTCGGGAAACGCGAACGGGAAAGATAAGAGCAGTTTGAAGCATTCGATGATGATGAATAAAAGCTTAAAATACGTCGGGGTATTTCTCTTGCTGTGCGTGTTGACGATTGCTTCGAGAACGTCAAAGACGATTACGTTGGTCGTGTTAGCCTCGGTCGGGACGTTGGCGTTTGCGAAGTATTTATCCGCGTGGGTGTTGGAAAAAGACGAAGGGACGATGGAGATGATTGAAGTGGCGGATGCGATACGGGCCGGTGCGAGTGGGTTTTTCTCCACGCAGTACGGGCTGATTAGTAAACTCGCGGTGGTCTGCGCCGCGTTCGTGTTCTTTTTGTACGAGTTTAGACAAGTGACGCCGGAGCAAGAGAAGAGCGGGTTGACCAGTCACAGCGTGGCGATATTAACGACGGTGGCGTTTTTGTTGGGGGCGTTTTGCTCGGGGATGAGTGGGTACGCTGGAATGTGGGTATCGGTGAGAGCGAATTCGAGAGTGGCGGCGGCGAGTCGAAGAGGCTCGAGAGAGCCGCTGGTCATCGCGTTGAGAGCGGGTGGATTTGCCGCTTTATTGGTGGTCGCGACGACGGTGTTAGGCGTGGCGAGCTTGTTCGCGGTGTATTCGTGGTGGTACGGACTGACGAGTGCTGGGATGAAATCAGCCGGAGGAGGTGATTCGGCGAGCGAATCGATTGAAAACGTGATTGAGATACCGCTGATGTTAGTCGGTTACGGATTCGGGGCGTCGTTCGTCGCGTTATTCGCGCAGTTAGGTGGTGGGATTTACACCAAAGCCGCGGATGTAGGCGCAGATTTGTGTGGCAAGGTGGAGATGAATATTCCCGAGGACGATCCGAGGAATCCTGCGGTGATTGCCGATTTGGTTGGAGACAACGTCGGGGATTGCGCCGCCAGAGGCGCGGATTTGTTCGAGTCCATCGCGGCGGAGATCATTTCAGCGATGATTTTAGGCGCAACCGTGGTGAGAAGATCCGATATGAGCGTCGTCGAAGCAAAGGGTTTCGTGTTGTTCCCACTGGTGGTTCACGCGATGGATTGCTTTGCCTCGGCGATTGGCATTCTGTCCGTTTCTGAGATCGAGCCGAGATACAAGCAGGAACCGTATTCAGTGTTGAAGAGAGGGTATAACGTGGCGTTGGCGATTGCGGTGGTGTGTTTTGGTATCGCATGCAGATGTATGTTGTATACGGAGAAAGCCGAGGACGCTTGGAAGTATTTCTACGCGTGTGGTATAGTTGGCATTTTGTGCGGATACTGCTTCGTGTTCATCGCGCAGTTTTACACCGATTACGCGTTTCCGCCAGTCAGAAAGATTGCCGAAGCGAGTACGACTGGCAGTGGCACAAATGTCATCGCTGGTGTTGGTGTTGGTCTCGAAGCGACCGCGGCGCCCGTTATTGTGGTTTCCATTGCCGTCGTCGCGGCGTATCATTTAGGGCAAAATGCCGGATTAGTTGATGAAAACTCGGACGAACCGATTGGCGGTTTGTTTGGTACCGCGGTTGCGACGATGGGAATGCTCTCCACCGCAGCCTACGTCTTGACCATGGACGTGTTCGGCCCGATCGCAGATAACGCCGGCGGTATCGTAGAAATGTCCAACCAACCAGACTCGGTTCGAGACGTGTGCGACGAGCTAGACGCCGTAGGAAACACGACGAAAGCGACAACGAAAGGGTACGCGATTGGTTCCGCCGCCTTGGCGTCGTTTTTACTCTTCTCCGCGTTCATGGACGAAGTTTCCGCGTTTACCGGTCAAGCGTTTTCCACCGTAGATATTTGCATCCCAGAAGTGTTCATCAGTGGTTTGCTTGGCTCTATGTTGGTATATTTATTCTCCTCGTTCGCGATCGCGGCGGTCGGGAAATCGGCGCAAGACGTCGTCAAAGAAGTTCGACGACAGTTTGCGGAGAATCCTGGAATCATGACGTACGATACGAAGCCAGATTACGAACGGTGCGTCTCGATTGTGGCGAAATCGGCGTTACGAGGTATGGTTAAACCAGGTGTCGTCGCCGTTTCTGGACCACTCATCACAGGCATTATATTTCGACGCATCGGCATAGCCTCCGGTCGCGAGTTACTCGGCGCGAAGTGCGTCGCGAGTTTTCTCATGTTTGCCACCGCGAGCGGGATTTTGATGGCATTGTTTTTGAACACCGCCGGAGGAGCGTGGGATAACGCCAAGAAATACGTGGAAACTGGATTCGGAGGAGGGAAAGGGAGCGAAACGCACAAAGCGGCGGTCACGGGAGACACCGTGGGTGATCCATTTAAGGATACGGCTGGACCGAGTATCCATGTGTTAATTAAAATGCTCGCGACGATTACGTTAGTTGCTGCGCCTATGTTTCTCGATTAAAAACGTGTAATATTGAAAGAACAAAAATAAGATTTTATTAATTATTTGACTTTTCTGTTCATTAAAGAATGTAAAAATATTGGTACGTGTATAAGCACGCGTCTGTTTGCTCTCTCGTTAATACTCACTTTCGCATTTAACGCTGCATAGCCGCCACCGCCGCGTTGCCTTGCATCAAGCCGGCGCGAATGGCGGCGCTCGCATCCGCCACCGCCGCCGGTCCGCTCGGTACGAAGATGGTCGAGTTCCCGCCTTGCGTCCCAACCTCCTTCATCGTGTCAAAGTATTGCGTCATCATCATCATTTCCATCACGTCCTTGGAGGAAATGCCATCGACTTCCTTTTGAAAGTTCACCACCGAATCTCTCAAACCGTTGATGATTGCCTGTCTTTGCCTTGCCATACCGGTACCGCTCAAATACTTCGACTCCGCGTCCGCCTCGGCAGCTTTCACCACCATAATCTTCTCCGCTTCCGCGCGATCCTTCGCGGCAACTCTTTGTCTTTGCGCCGCGTTGATTTCATTCATCGCGTTCTTTACCTTAGGATCCGGCGCGATATCCGTCACCAACGTCGAAATAATGTTATACCCAAACTCCTCCATCGATTTCGCCAACATGTTCTTCACCTCCATCGCGATTTCCTCCTTCGACGTGAAAACGTCGTCCAACTTAATTCTCGGTACCGTCGAACGGACGACGTCGAAGATGTACGAACGAATTTGCCCTTTAGAATCGGTCAATTTATAAAACGCGTCAAACATGCGAGACTTGTCTTGCAAGACTTGATACTGCGTCGAGATGATGATGTTGACAAAGACGTTATCTAGAGTCTTCGTTTCCACGGACACGTCCAAAGATTGGATTCTCGTGGAGATGGTCCCAACGTTCGCCGTGCCTGTGTTTGAAAAAGGCGGGTAGAAAAAGAAAGTGGTTGTTAAGAATGATAAGCTTATTAGCGCCAAAGCGCTCTCTTCGTGTTTGTTGCGTGCGCGCAAAAGAGACGAGAGTGTTTTTAGAAGAAAAAAGTTAAAAAAAAGGAAGAGAAAACGTACCGAGGCAAGGAATAATCACGTGGCACCCGGGAGGTGCAAATCGGTCGAATTTACCGCACGTGGCGATGACACCGCTGTTTTATTACGCACGACGTGTATAGAGAGAGACGTATTATAGGTCAGCACAAAACGCTTCGATGTATGAAGTGGTTGTTTGCAAACATAATACTACTAAAGAGGAAGGAGTATTAAGAATGAATCCGTGCAATCCAATTATTTTCCCCGGGGAGGATTCATAAATATCTCGACGAGATGATGCACACGCGCGAGACAAGAAAGAGAGAGAGAGAGAGATGTAAAAGAGAGCGCAAAACAAGGAACGAAAACTTACAATGTGCCCTGATCGACGCATGTCCAGCAAGCCATGATAATGGTAGTTTTTGTCGTGTAAGTGTGTGTGTGTTTAGTGTCGTGTGTCGACTTATTTGTGACGTCTCTGTACAAATGAGGGTGCCTTTCCAAGAGAGTAAATTTGCCAGGCTGGCAAATTTTTGCTGGCAATGTGCCAGGGAGAAAAATTGTGAGCACGTAATATGTAATATTCTTACTACATAGTGTTATTGTTTCCTGGTGAACGCGTTCGGACTGAACTTGAACGCGCCGTCTTCGCTCGGCCAGGAAGTCATCCGTTCCGTTTTCGTTACGGTCACGTTAGGACCGCGAATGCCTTTCCAACTCTTTTCGCTGGCGTGCGCGACGCCGACGACGACGGAATCGGAGAACGTCGGCGAACTGTGACCGTCGAATACTACGGCGTGGGATTGGCCGCCATCGATTACAGATTTGACGCAAGTGACGGAGGAGGAGTCCCAGGCCCAAATGCCGCCGACGTTGTTGGTGACTTGGGAAGAGGAGACGAGGCAACGGGCGTTGTTGGAGCAGTCGACGCCGGGGCCTTTGCATTCGCGAAGGATGGTATTGGAGAGGATGGAGCATTCCGCGTTTTGGGTGACGACGACGGCTTCCTCTTTCGTATTTTCAACGACACAGTTACGAAGAGTGCATGTGGCGTTGTCGGTGACGTAGACGCCAGCGCGTTCGGCGCCGTGAAGTTTGCAATCGATGAAGGCGGCGTCGGCGTCTCGGGAGAGGCGCGCGCAGTTGTTTTTACCGGTGATGTTGCAGTTTCGAAAGGTGGCTTTGGCTTTGTCGGTGACGACGAGGCCGTCGCATCCAGTACAAGTAAACGAGCAACCTTCCATCAAGGTTTCGAATTGGTTCTTATTGAGGATATTTCCGCGTTCCATTTGGGCTATGCGCACGGATTCCGCGAACCCGGAGAAATCGAAATCGACGTTGGAAACGACAGAGGATCGAGTGATGCGGAATGTCGGGCTGTTGGCGCGCATATCGATGGTGGCTTCTTTGAGCGCACCTTCGCCTTTGATCCACACGCGTTTTGTCACGCAGACAGTTTCGCCACACCCGTTGTGTGTGCCTCGCAAGAGAAGTATTTTATCGCCGTCAGAAGCCATTTCGACGGCCTCGCGAATCGAGCGCGCGTGGAGGGCGGTCTTTTTGTTCACTTCAGCTTTTCGTCGCGCTTCGGCCATGTGCCCGTCTTCTTTACTGTACCGTTCGGTGTTTATGGGATTTTTGTGTTCGTCGGTGACGTCGAATTCGGCGTTTGTCGGAGCTTCTTTGCCTAACCACGCCTCTTCGCCGGCGGATCGAACGTAAATGACGCGACCGTCGAAGCCAGCCGGGGAGCCGTACTTTGCGGCTTGAATGGCGATAACATCCAATAAATCCTTAAATGGTTGCACGGAAGACCCTTTTTCGCATTCGACGAGCTTTTCGCCCACTCTTAACGACGCGACAGCTAAAGACCACGCGGAGAGTGCAGCGTACGCCTCGCCGCAGCGAAACCGCGCTTTCGACCAGTCCGGCGCAATCGTCGTCGCGCTTATGGCATCTTCTAAAGCCCCGAGTAAATCTTCCCAGTCTCTTAACTTGGCTTTTGACCGATTACATAAGGTCACCACCGCAATCAACTCTTCTTCCGATAACTCTGCATCATTGTTTTTGTCGTTTCGATTACCGTCGCTCGTCTCTTCTTCTTCTTCTTCTCTCCTCTTCCTCCTCAAATCCGCTTCGCACTGACTCAACGCTTCGTCGTACATCGCCACCGCCATCTTCAAATCGTTCGCACGCATCAGTTCGTTCGCTTTTTCTCTCATCGCGTGTGCTGGATGCTCCGACTTTAACTCTTTCAATCGCGCGTCCGGCGTAACTCTTTTCCTCTTTTGAAACACATCCACCAACTGATTGGAGGCATTCTCAGCCTCGATATCTTCCCGCGACACGATCTCGTCCTCGTCTTTTCTCGCCACCTCTAACGCTTCTTTCGGCAACGCTTTCCTCGTGTCGAGCGACGACGAGTCCGTCTCGTCCAGTTTCGCATCCTTCTTCACCTTCTCGAGATATTTAAGCGCGTTTGTCTGATCCGAATGCGATTTCGAGACATCATCTCTCTCTCTGCTCTTTTCCAATCGCTTCAACCTTTCTCGCGCGTTCAAAGTCTCTTTGATCGCGTCGAGTTTCTTTTGCACGTCCGGGCCAGAACCTGTTTCCGACCATCTTTGTTTCAATTTGTTCGCTAAGAGTTGTTGGTGTTGGTGCTCTTTCGCCACCATGATCAGGTTTTTCTTTTTATTTATTAATAAAAAGCGAGTAACGCCTTTTTTTTTCGAATGGAGAAAATGATGGAGAAATCTTCTTTCCTAGAAAATTACACACACACTGTATCTTTCTTCCCCGAATAAGAACGAACGCGCTTTGCAAAACTAGGTGCGCGCGCGCTCGTATGGGGCATTTCGACGCTGTTGTTCGACGGAAACGCTTCGTACTCTCCTCGGAAAAGGAAAAGAAGACGCCACCGTACTCGAAGGTGGATGAAAAAAAAACGCTCAGCCTTCCCGCTTCTTCTCCGGTGCCTCGTCGTCGTCCCTTGGAAAGAATCGAATTCGAGGGAGACGACGATGAAGAAGAAGAAGAAGAAGAAGAAGAAGGAGAGGGAGAGGAAGAAGAAGAAGATGAAGAGTTTCGGGGAGTCAAAAGCGTTGGAAAGAGGAAAGCGAGAAGAACGAACGCTTCGACGAGAGATTCCTCGGATTCAGATCTCGGTTGGGTGGAAGAGCACGATAGGAAGCACAAGGTGAAGAAGACTGAGAGTTTTGAGCTTGGCACACCTGAGAAAAAGTCGGAGCGAAAGTCGGAGCGACAGCAAGCGCAAACTCAGAAGAGGCGAGAAGAAAGGAGAAGTTTTAAAAAGAAGATGACGACGAAGAAAAAAGACCGACTGGAGGATTCTAGCGAGGACGACACTGCGGAGTCCTACGAAGAGGACAGCTCGGAAAGCGAAGCGGATGATGAGATGGATAAGAACATGCGGCAAGAATTGGACAGAGCAATCGATAATATGCATGGATGGAAACGTCGAGTTTGGAAGAACAGATCAAACGTCAATCCGGCTTCAAAAGACACTTCGGCTTTACCAACCGGCGGGTGGAATGGAACGATTTACTAGGCACTCTATTTTGTACATACAATTAAAAGAACATCATCGCTACTACTAGGAGCATACATTTATCGCGTGCTAAACAATACATAGTGAATAATGTACTTTCGTTCTTTAGCGCGGTCACGTTGTTCGTATCGCCCCCTTATTATTAATTCCGCGACGTCCATTCGCACGATATTTTTTGCGCGTGTTTACTTCCTTACGCCGCGAGAGCTTTTTTCAAATCGGATTCGATTCCTTGGTCCAACGGATCTCTCGGCGAATACCGTTTAAGAACTTTTCCATCGCGCCCGACTAAAAACTTCGTGTAGTTCCAAGGAATATCGTCCCCTCCAGTCTGCTCTTTCAAGTATTTATACAACGGATCAGCCGGTCCCTTCGCGATTGGATCATCAATTAACGGCGCCATTAACGCCGCATCTGGATCATCCTTGAACTCCTCCCACTGCACCGGATCAACCACTTTACACGCCGTCCCTCTATTTTTCACGGCAACTTCATCCATCACTTGAAATCCATCGCTGTCAATCTTAAACTTCTCTCGCGCTCGCTTCCGTTCGCCGTCGCTCCCGAGCGGTCCTTGGCACCCGAACTGATTCACCGGGAATCCTATAATCTCGAATCCATCTTTGTTATATTTCTCGAACAGTTGCCTCAAGGCAGGGTAATTCGAGTTTGCTAAAGGTCACTCGCTCGCCACGTTGACGATGACTGTCACTTTCCCTTTATATTTCGCGAGCGCAAACGGTTTCCCGTATTGCCTCACGGTGAAGTCGTACACCCCGTTCTCTGGTGTTTCGTTGGCAAAACCGGGAAAGGCGGAGAGAAGAGACGTGCCAGCGACTGCTGCTACGAACAATACGCTTTGGCGGCGGTTGAAAAAAGCGCTTTGGTCTTCTTCTTCTTCTCGAACACTACTGTTCTCGTCCGTCGCGTCATCGAAAGACGACGACGACGAGTTCGTTGGAAAACGCATCGTGCGTTTTCCTCCTCCTTTTCGGGAACGACATCGACGCGACAACGTTGGCGGCCTCGAGGAGGAAAACGACAAAAAGACCGTCGTCGTCATCCTCGAAGTCTTTCTCTCTCTCTCTTTTACCGTCGTTTACTGCGCAGAGTTTTGCGGAGTGTCTCGTTGGAACAACAACAACGTTTCAGTCTCGAGGTTATCGTGCACTTACGCTGTTCCGGGCAGACAACGAGAAAAAAAAGCGGTTTTTCGTCAAAATGCATTCAATCTCGATTCCATTCGTCTCTGCATTCGCTGCTCGCGAGGCGAAGGAGGATATCTCTGCTTTTTGTTGCTTTTTTTTTCGACGCTTCGCAGAGGAGCGTTTGGTGCATAAAATTTATTCTGCACATAAGCGCGCGAGAAGCATTGGATACTCCACCACGCGAAGCTGGAATACCATCACTCGCGCGCGAAACGCGTCGTTTGATTATATTCGCGCGCGGATTTTTCGGAGAAGAAGACAAAGAAACAGGAAGTTTTAAGCGGGAACGGCACATTCCAACGCGTATCAAATCAGAAAAGATTATCCGTGTCGGACATTTTCTCGCGCGGAAATATCTGCTTTCTGTGCGCCCGAGAGGACCGAGAACGTCGCGACAACAGGCGCAGTGCGTTAAGAAATACATCTCGATACCAAAAAAGAATTTAGAGAAGGATTTATACGTTCGCGCCTGCGCTCGAGCATCGAAGAAGACAAAGACAAAGAGAACGCACATTTAGTCGGTTAAAACAAGTCGAAGAACTGTTCTTCTCTCGAAATCCAAAATGCCGCTCCGAACGCTTCTTCAAGGCACGAATAGCGGAGGAGATAAAAGCGACGATAACACGTACGCGGACGTGTGCGACGAGTTGTTAGCGTCCGGGGCCTTATCTCCGGTAGACGACGATATTTTGTTGGAGGACCCTTTGGAGAGAGGTCGGTCTCGAGATGAGCTCGCGGAGTTCATCGAGGCGGAGATTTATAACAACAATCAGCAGAACAACAACGACGACACCGCGGGGGGGAACGCGAATAACGCGCATAAAAGAAGCGCAGAGGCACGCACTAGCAACGACAGAGACAGCATTTCCGAAGGAACACACCCATCGACGTCGAAACGGTCGAATCACAGTAGCGACAATAACTCCTCGGGCGGCGAACAACATCATCAAAGACGAGATTCGAACGACTCGCAAAGGTCGAACAGCAACCGAAGCAACGCCGGGTCGACGAAAGAGGAGAATACGAATACTAACACGAGCAGCAAAATAGTAACCGACACTCAACAGCAAAAGAAAGGAATACACAGAAAGACGCATTCTTTCGCGTTGTTAGAGGACTTGAGTCATCAGCAGCCGAATTATTACACGCTCGGGCCGATTTTGGACGACTCGGCCATGCGATACGTGGAGATGAATCCGAGCTATTCAAAATTTGACGACTTGGAATACGCGCCGATGAATCCGGCTTTGATGGTTGGGGAATTTAACAACATGGGTAGAAATGGGTATAATCGTGAACAGCAAATGCAACAGCTGCACCAAGGAGGAGCGGGGAATACCCAGTTGGACATTTTGAAGCAACAGCAACAGTATACTCAACAACAACGCAACAGCGTGAACACGAACACGAGTCCGACGGATAATTTTGGCGGTCCGCAGCAACAACAACAGCAACAACAAAAATTGCCAATGCAATCATCACAAGGTGGAACACTGTATCAACAACAACAGCAACAGCAACAGCAACAACGACAACAACAACCGCCTCCAGATGGAGTGGTGCAGCAAGAGTTTACATCGGTCCATCGCGCCGGCGTGGCTGGGCCGCCGCCCGGTAACATTTCGTGGTCGCACATGCCGCCGCAACCGGGTCACCCGAACTATCAGCACATGCAACCACCGCCACCTCAGCAACAACAACATCAGTATCAAATGCAACAAGGAAGTTTACAGCCGCAGCAACAACCGGGCATGCCACCGACGCAAGCGCAAATGACGCGCCTCGATCGATTAAAGCGATGGAAAGAGAAGCGTAAAAATCGCGTGTTTACGAAATCTATTCGGTACATGTCGAGAAAAGTGTGCGCGGATAATCGTCCAAGAATCAAGGGTAAGTTTGTAAAAGTATCTTCGCTGTCAAGTTTAACGGATATCGCCGAAAACAACGACGACGAAGAGAAGATGAAGAAAAAAGAAGATGAAGGCAAAGATAGCAAGCCAGACGACGGTAAAGGAGAACCGAGAGAGAAAGCGAAATCGGAAGAGGCGAACGATTTGATTCGCGATTTGCGAGAGAAGGCTATCGAAGCCGGCCTCGGCGCAGGCAAACCTTTATCAAGGTTGCGCAGAAACAACGCACACTCGTCGGCGCCAAACTTGGCGTCGCTCGCCGATATGCATTAGTCGTAGGCGGAGAGATATTGGCGTGTATCAAAATTTAAGAAAAAGAGGAGAAAAAGAGAGAGACAAGAAGAGACAGTGTATTATTTTCGAGATGTACCAAGAGGAAAACAACAACAACATATATCAGCGTAGTCAATTAACAGTTTAGAAAGCAGCGACATAAATACTAAGTGTAACATATACAAATTTAAAAGCATACGAGTGGAAAGAAGAAGGAGGGGACTACGCGCGTTGTTTGACTTCTTCACATGATTCCATCTTTTTATACCTTGGACGGATCGTTCAAATCCTCTTTGGTTAGAAAGTCGTCGATACGTTTCAACACCGGCCCGAACTTCTCCACTAACTCTTTCCCGTCCGTTTCTAACACAGTCTCTCCGCCTAAATTCTCCACAAACCCTTTCCTCGCCGGAGGAAACTGCAACACGACGGAGAACGCGGACGACGACACCCACCCGTGAAACGGCTTCAACTTTTCCGCGTACGCTATCGAAGCCGCCTCTTTCGTTTCCGTCTCGCGGTTCTCCGCGAGTTTAGAGACGAGGACGACCACAAACTCTAAGAATCGCTTGAGCCAAAGAAGACCTTTGGAGCAGCTCGTGTTCGCGGCGAACGCGTTCGATTTCTTCTCGTCCAGGAGGATATCGAACAACTGTTTAATAAGAATAAGAGGGGTCGGTCAGTACACGAAGCCGCGAATATGAAAGAGAAAACGAAAACATCCTCGCGCGCAGCACGACAACAACAACGACCACACAATATCACTACTCACGTTCTCAAACTCCTCTTCCTTCTTCGCCAGCCTTTCCACGTTCCCGCTGACGTCCGATTTTGCCGGTTTAAACGCCACCCCTAACGCGTCCAACACGGGAAGAAACAAGCGACAGGAACGTAAAAAAGATTTCGTTCGTATCGTCCGCGATTCGTCCTCGCTCGACAAGTTCACCAACGAGTCCACGATTGGTTTAATCAGGTTTACTTCTTTATCCACCATAAATTCTGTTCCGTGAAAGCCGCCAAACGCGTCGTCGTCGTCAGCCGCTTTGCGTTTCTTTTTGTGATGTTCTTTGAATTCCTTTTTCCAATTTATCCATTTTGTTCGTCATTTTCAAGACCAACTACTACTCTACTACGACTCATGAATCGAGCGCTGCTGCTTACCACGATCCCTCGTTCGTCGTCGTGTTGTTCTCCGTCGTCGTCTGAATCGTCGTCTTCTCATCGTCGTCGTTTTTCTTCCGCAAAAGGCGTCAGACGAGGACACCATCAACTACACGCTTCCAACTCCGATGACGACGACAAACAGGAAAACGACGCCGGACCGGACGCGTTCTCTGGATCTATTTTACAAGACGTCCGCAAAGGCCAGGAAGGGTTTACCACGGAAATGAGAATTAACAAAGGGAAGAAGAAGACAGATGATGATTCGAGCAGCGATGCGTTTCCGAAACTCGGAGATATCGTGGAAATCACGTTCAGTTTACGAACGAGCGAAGGGCAAATTTTACAAGACGAAGACGAGGCGGATCCAGTCACGTTTGAAGTAGGCGCCGCGGACGTGGTCGGGAATCCCTTGTTTAAAGCGTTCGATAAAGCGGTGAGGAATATGACGGTAAACGAGACGAGAGAGATTGAAGCGTCCGGCGGAGAGTACGATCCAAACTTGCTGTTTCGCGTGCCGCAGGAACATCCGGAAATCGAACGGTTGAGAGAAGTGTGGGCGGAGAAAGGCGGGTTGCAAGAAGGTGGGACCGTGACGTTGATGAATGGGAATCCGGCGGTGATTAGGTCGATGACGGATGAGGTGGTGATGTTGGACGCGAACCATCCTTTTGCCGGGAGCGATATTTTGTTTGATTTGACGCTGAGAGATATTCGCGCGAACGAATAAATTTTCGTTATAGAAGTGTTGAAAGATAACATGTGTATTCTCTATCATCTATCCGTCTGTGCGTGCCTTTCTGTTATTGACCGTACACGCAAACTTTACCTCGCAAACCAGTGGCCATCATTAATCGACGGATGTAATGTTCGACGGAGATGATGTGCTCGTCCTTCACCACCGCGGATTTCTTGAAGTACTTACCGCCGCCTCCGGAGAAACCGTAAATATCCACTCGCGTGCACGCGCCGGATTCCATCAACGAAATCATTCGAGCTAAACCACCAGTCGGTGTCCCTTTGGTAATTTTCTTATCCTTTTTATAAATCTTGTAGATTTCCGTGATGGCTTTGCGCCAGGACGGCAAAGCCGTGCTGTACCCGACGACTCTCGCGCCGTCTTTGCGCACAAAGTTTTTGGGGATGATTTTCGGAATCATGTAATACTTGGACGGCTTTTGGTTCCCGCCGATAGCACCGACGTAAGAATCTTTCTGCCATAACCCGTCAGTTTTGTACCCGATATCTTTCTCGAACCCTTTCATTTTCGAGTTGAATCGAACGACGAAATCGTGCGCGTCGATTTGCGTGCCCCATCCTTTCTTCAACATGTTATCGGCGGAGCCAATCAACGCGCACGTGCCGAGTTGTCCTTTCCCAAAATCTGGCAAGTCTTCTAAAATGTCCGTGACCGTGGTTTCTGCGGACATATATTTGCGAATCCACTGTTTCCCGTTCCCAGGCGAAAGCGCATCGACGCACGTCTTGTCCATGAACCAACACTCGCGCTCGTCCGTGAGTTGCTCGGCAATCTTCGCAGCCGCCGCAACGCTCGGAGCACCTTTCGTAATCTTTCCATTCGTCGGGAACGCTTTTTCTCCATTCACCGCTTCGTAACAAAATTTCGGCGGCGTGAGATCGGCGGCGAGTTTTTTGAACTGATCCGTTTTCAAAAACGCTTTGCGCTCATCCATCGACTTGAAACTGGGCGGATTGTCGGCGTTGTCCGTACTGGACTCCTCATCGTCGTCACCACCGCCGCTACTACTACTCCCGCTATCCGTTTCTACTTTTTCATCGTCGTTGCCCTCGCCCTCGCCGTCACCTCTTTCCTCCGACCCAACCTCCTCGCTTTTCTTCTTTCCGAAGTGTCCGAACAAATTGTTCGAAATCCATCCACCTCCAGAGCTACTACTGCTACTACTACTACCGCGACTACTGCTACTGCTCGAACTACTCCCAACGGGGGGACTCGGCGGCGGATGCGCCTTCTTCCACGCGATATCGTGCGCCTCAATCGCCGCCATGACCTCTTCCCCACTCATCATTTTACCTCCGTCACCTCCGTATTTCTCTTCCATCTCTTCCTCTTCTCGCCCGTTTTCCTCTCGCGCGCGTTCCATCCTCCGCTCGCGTTCCTCCTCTTCCTCCTTCTCCTTTTCCTCCCTCGCCTTTTTATTCTTCACGTGATCTTCCCTCTTCCTCTCCAACCACTCGCTCAGACCTGGCAAATGCATCGGTTCTGCCGTCCCTCTCGATTTTTGTAACTCCCGATCGATCACCTCCGTCGCCTCTTGAAACAAGTGCACCAACGTCTCCGCGGACATCCTCTCGAAGTGCGCGATTTGCTCCTTCGTGTACCCCATGGTTTCCAATTTCTCTCTGTATTCTGCTTCAAACGTCCCGACCGGCGAGTGATCGTGCCCGGGGTCTAAATATTCGTGTTTGAATCCGTCCAAAGACTTCAACGTCCCGGACGCTTTCATCGTGTTCACGTGGTGTTTCGCGCTCGATTCCGCGAAAATGCCTTCGCCGAGCGCGTCCGCGTGGTACAGAGACACCGTCGCGAACGTCACGAGGACCGAGACGGCAAGAATCGCTCGGAAAAGCATCTTGTGCTCTTTTTCTCTCTCTCCTGCATGTCCTCCTCCGGAGAAAAAAGAACTCATTTTGCTGAAACGCTTCTTCGTCGTCGTTGTTGTCTTCTTCTTCTTCGTTGTCCGCAAAGGTGTCGTTTGGTGAACGCTTCTCGCTAAAGCAAAGTGTTCGAGTGAGATGCGTTTTTGTGAAGCGTTTCGGATCGGACGTTTCCTCCAAAAGGGCAGCTCTTTTTGGAAAAAAACGAGACAAAAAACAGAGATACGCTTCTCTCGCATTCTCTCTGTGACGACGAAAACGATGCTTTTGTATCGCACGACTCGGACGACGAGGCCATCGAACGCATTCACGAGTAGTCGTTTGTTGCAATTCGGGAGAAATCTCTTTTCGTCGTCGTCGTCGGCGGCGTCGTCGTCATCGTGCGAGAGGACGATGATGAAAATGATGACGACCCCGGGGACGAGGGGAGTGGATAAAAACCACGCGATGCTGATGATGAGGACGATGATGAAAATGATGACGACCCCGGGGACGAGGGGAGTGGATAAAAACCACGCGATGCTGATGATGAGGACGATGATGAATACGACGTCAAAAGAAGCCCCATCGTCGTCAAAATTATATTCGACGGGATCGAATTCGGCGAAGAATGCAATCACGAAGCAGTCGTTTTCCGCGCCACCGCAAAAAGTTGTCGCTCGCCCGGGCGTTCTCGCGAGCGATGGGATGCCCAGGTACCCGAATCTCACCGTGCCGGGGTTGTTAAGAGGGTCGGATTATATCGGGACGTGCTCGTTTGCGCTGACTGGAACTTTGTTAGCGGCGTCGAAAGGACTGGATTGTTTCGGCGCGCCTATTATTGGGCTGATAACAGCCGTTGGTGGAGGGACGATTCGGGATTTTGTCCTCGGCGCCGGCCGGAGAGCGTTTTGGATGGAGGAGCAAGAGTACGTGTATTTAGCGCTGGCGACTGGCGTCGCGACGTTTTTCGGGTGGGAGTACGCGAAGAAACATTTTGAGGTAGTTAGGGACGACGCGTGGTGGATTGAAGCCAGCGATGCGTTAGGGGTTGGAGCGTTTTGTGTGATTGGGTGCATGAATGGAGTGAGGGCTGGAGTGAGCGCGATTAATTGCATCGCGTGCGGCGTGTTTACCGCCACCGGGGGAGGGGTCGTGAGAGACGTCATCGTGGGAAGACCGCCGAGAATTTTCCACTCGTACGCAACAGCGTACGCGACACCGGCGGCGGCGGGTGCGGCGACGTACTTGTTAGCCAGGAAAATGGGCGTCTCGACGAGCGCGAGGATCGTATCCGGTGTGACCGTGGGTATTTTGGGACGCGTCGCGAGCGAGTCCGGGAACGTGCGTCTGCCTTTGTACGAAAGCGAAGAGGCGAAAGCGAACGCGAAAATAAAAGGAGATCACAGACTGTGACTTCAAAGCGATCTGTACATAAAGTAGTATGTAATAAAATTAAAAGCGCGTTGGTTGCATCATTCTTTCACAGGTTTCACGAGTCCTTGCGAACACTCGATAGCTTTCCATTCCGCTCGCGTCTCCGGGTCCATCTCCCCAAATTTACCGTAAGATTCCTTAATCAGACAACTCTCGCTATTCCTCACGTACGCTTCTAACATCGCGCCTTTATTCGACGACAACGGTGGAACCTCCCACGGGGTATTTCCGGCGAACTCGTATTGCTTTCTTACGACTTGGTCTAACGAAAGCAAGCTCGCGAACGAGTTCGTGTGCCCTTTGTGATCCCATTTATACTGTTGCGAGTACAGGTCAAACTTTTGAAGGTATAACTCCACGTCTCCTTTGCCTTCTCTTAAAAGTTCCCGAACGCGCTTGGTGATGTCTCTCGTGTCCGTGTCGTAATCGCCGGTTAATAAAAGTTGTTCTTTTGCCGATGCGTTTCCAATCGAATTGCTTTGGGAAAGAAGAAAAAAGGAGGATGGAAAAATCATTCCGAATCGTCGTCTGGTGAATGAAACGACTGCTTTGTTGTTGCTGCTGCTCTTTGAACCGCATTTCGCGACGACGAAAGGCTTTCCAACCAGTGCTGAAGTAGGTGTTGCCATCGTTTCGTGTGTTTACTTTTGACGAATTTGGAGCAAAACAGTTAGGGGAAGATACGCCATTTTATCCACTTTTAAGAGAATGTCATCGTGTCGTCCAACGCATAACAACAATGCCTTGCCCTCAAAAACACCATCATCAACTTTAACCCGACGACGACGACACGCTTTGATGAAACGAGGAGGACAAAAGCGAACAACATCACATTCGTTGACGATACGGAACGGCTTCTTGGAAAACATTTTGAAAGCAGTCACTCCGAAAGATGCAAAGGAGATTCAGAAAGAAAAAGAGATGAAACGAGTAAAGTTGATCGAGCAAAGTCCGAAAGGGTGTATGAAATCGGCGTACCAGTTACTCGCGAACACGGTCATCGACGGGGAGGAACTCGTTTTGGCGTACGACGCCACGAGAGATGGGTGGACGGCTTCGGCTTTTCACGAGAGAGTTGACGGAAAAGGACCGACTTTGATTTTCGGGAAGACGGCGAAAAACGCGAGGTTCGCGGCGTATAATCCGCTCGGGTACTTCTCGGTGGAGGATTACAGAGATTGCCCCGCTGCGTTTTTGTGCGTGTTTAAGAACGAGCAAAGTTTTCTGAACGGCGACGCGAGTGGGATGGAGATTTTGCCAAACGTCGGCTCGCCGGCGATATTCGATTTCGGAGCCCAGGGTCCGTCGTTTGGGCCCGATGGCTTACGAATCCCGCTAGGGAACGCGCCAGCGAATGGGAGTTCGTATGCGGGTATAGGAGAGGCGACGACGAGCTACGGAAGTTCGAAAAAGTGCATATCTCGTCTCGGTTCTCATTACGCCGGGAGGAGCGATGGCGTGACGAGCGTCTTTGCGAAAGGAGAGAAGAACGAAACCAACTTGAAAGAGTTAATAGCGCTCGTTTCGCCGTCCATGGAAAGAGACGGGTTGTACGTGAGCTAATTAGGTTTAGATGTAGGTTTAACGTTATTAGTAGTACTAACGGTAGTTTTGAGCGGCGTGTTATTATTTTTACATCGGTGGATTCTAAATTTAGGCGTTTATAATGGCATCGCCTTCTTCTATCTTCTGCATCGCGGCTTTAGTTTTTTCGTCCATCGAAGGCGTGTGCTTTCGCGTGGACCCTCCTACTTTGCGGTACATTTGCTTGCAACTCGTTTCCGTGCGACCGATGGCGACGGCGACTTTCTTCCAAGGGATTCCCTTCCCTCGCATGTCGCTCATTAACTTCAACTCGTACGAAGACCAGGTCGTGTTTCGAACGCTGCTTTGCGCAATCTTTTCGACGTCTTCACTTTTAAGCGTAACTTCTACTCGTTCTAGTATAATATCCGAAATTTCCTCTTCAACCGATTTCTTCTTCGCGTTTGTAGCGTGGACGCCACCGGTGATTGGTCGGTCGTCCACGCGCAACGGATTCGATGAAAACGTAAAGTTAGCTTCGGGTAAGATGGCGTGCTTTTCTAATATCCTCGCACGTTGCGGCGCGCGAAGTTTCTCCAACGCGCGTTGTTCAATCGATCGAACGGCGTTAACACTCAAACCCATTTTTCTCGCTAAAATGTTCGCCATTGGATTTCCTCGTCCTGAGCGTTCGTCTTCGAATTCGTCTAAACCAAATTTGTGACGTAAAACAAACCTTTCGCGAGGAAGCAACGTATCAAACACGTGCTCTAAATCGTCTTTAAATAAATCGCGTTCGACAAGTTTCAACGCTCGTTCTTCTGCATCTGTTGTACAAAAATCTGCCATTGCCGTCGCCCCGTTTGCATCGCCTTGATCGGCGACCAAAATCTCCGACGCGTCGCCAATGTCGCCGGAAAAGTTTCCGCTCCCAGTCGCGCGTGGCATGGCGTAACTCACCCCGAAGTTACCAATCGCTTCTATTCTCTTCACGTCTACGCCTGCTATTCGTGCAACTTCCTCGTCCGTGGGCATTCGTCCCAACGATTCGTCCAAATTTTTCTCTAAATTTTTAATCTTCATTTTCTCCACTCGCGCATGCGTCGGCGTTCGAATCGTGTTCGAGTTGGAATCTAAACCTCTTTGAATGCTACTCAAAACCCACGCGTACGCGTACGTGGAAAATCGGAAACCTAAAGACGGATCGTACTTCGATGCAGCTTTGACTAACCCTTCTTGCCCGTCAGAAATCATATCTGAAAGTTGGTACGAAAAGTTCGTATTCGCCTCGGTGTTTATCTGTTTCATCGTTCTGTGCGCGCACAGTCGAGCTAAGCCGATGTTTTTAGAGACTAAAATTTGTCGAGCGCGTTTCCCGGCGTCTAATCGTTTGCGAAGTTCGTTCACGTTCAATTCCGCGGCTCGAGCGAATTTCCGTTCGTACATGATATCCTCCTCGGCTTTCATCCGTTTACTCCTATTTTTACCGCTACCGTCGTTTTTTATCATCTCCATCGCGTTTTTCGGTTTCGCATCAAAAATGCTCAAAATAGCATCCGAGGTTGCCATTGGATTCTCCTCGTCCCTCGCGTCCATCTCCTCGTCTCTCGTTCGCATGGTAAACTCTTCGTCGTCCAGCGCTTTAGCGATGTATTCCAATCTCAACAACTCCTTCACGGCTTCGCCCAACGCCTTTTCGGATTGCGCGTCCAACAAAACACCATCGAGCGAATCCTTCTCGCTGCTTTCGTCGCCGCTTCCTTCTTTCTTCTTTTTACCATCCTTGCTATTATTTATCACTGCTAAACCTTCGTTTCGAACGCCCGAACTTTTCCTACGTCTTCGCTGTCTTCGCTTCGTCTTCGCCTCCTCGTCGTTCTCCTCGTTCCCGACGACGACATCCGACACCGACAACGTTTTCTTCCTCGGTTGCTCGCTCGTCAGCGCTTTCTTCTTCTCTTCCACCGCGCCACCGCTCCCGCCGCTGCTTCTCGTCGTCGTCCTTCTTCTCGCCGGCGGCGGCGGCGGCGACGCTTTCAACAATCTCAACGCCGCTTTCAAATCCATCTCGTCGTAACTCGCATCTCTCTCTCTCCTTCTCCCGCCAGCGGCAAAAGAGGATTGATTATTTTTAGTCAACGCCTTCGCCAACGCGATATCGCGATTCGTATTGGCTTTCGAACTGTACGACTTGCGCGGTCTCTGTTGTTGTTGTTGTTGTTGTTGTCTGTCCTGTGTCGTCCAAGAGGAAGAATTCGAAGAAAACTCGTCGTCGTCGTCTGAATCGTCTCTTCCTTCCACCGCAGCGCTTCGAATAACGATCGCTCCTTCTCTTCCTCCTCTGCTTCTTCTGTCTCGTCTCGCGAGCCTCTTCTTGAACGATTTCGACGACGAAAACGAGGTAGATTTCTTCGTAAAAAAACATCGCGTCGTCGTCGTCGTCATCCTCTTTCTCCGTTCCTTCAAGCTTTAGTATTCCGCAGTTCCAACGACGACAGAAACAACACCGGGGAGACGACGACGACAGGAAACAACAGACATTTTGTGTGAAACACGCTTCTTCCGTTGCGGTCGCGCGGAGGTGGTTTCGTTCGCGTTCAGACAGAGAGGTTCTTTGCGTTTCTTTTCTCTTTATAATGCAAAAGAGCAATAAATATGTGTGGCGTCTTATCCACTTTTTCTGAGTTTTTTCACACGTGTGAGTATTACATCGCAAAAAAAAAGCAAGGTAAGGAACTCTGCGGTACTCGTAAGTTAAGCGAGCGTTACTGACATTGAACGATGCATTTCTATTCGATACGTGTAGCGAGAACACATATATACTACGTGTGCGCATATACTGCGGGGTGGTTTTTGTCGTCGGTTTTCTCGAGTATTCGCGGAGTATTATACGCCGAAGAACGCGTTGCCGCCGGGTTCGATTCGAGCGACGCCGTCTTTCTCGGCGCGTTCGGCGACGGCGACGCCAACCGCTCGCGCGACGTCGCTGAGTTTGTCTATTGTTTTCGGGAAGACGCTTCCTACGAGGAGATCTTCTCTCGTGACTTCTTTGGCTAAGCGTTCGGCGGCGGCTAAGAACATGCCAGATGTTACCGAGGAGGCTTTGCAGGCGATGGTGCCTCGGGCGACGCCGGGGAAGATGAACGCGTTGTTCGCAAAGCCGGGTTGGAATTGAGGCGCGGCTGAATCGAGAGGAAATTTCGTGCCCGAGGCAAAGACGACTTTGCCGCTGGTGAAATCGTAGGCTTCTTTTGCCGTGCACTCAGCTTTGGATGTTGGATTCGAAAGGGCGAACACGATTGGTCGTTTATTGTTTTTTGCCATTTCCTGGAGAACGGGTTTGGAGAAGGCGTTCGGGACCGCGGCTGCGCCAACTAACGCGGTCGGTTGGCAGAGTTGAACGGCAGAGAGGAGATCGGTGGCGTCGTACGCGTTGTTGGATTCAGTTCTCGCGAATCTTTTCTTTTCGCTGGACAGGTTCTCGAAATCTGCTCTTGACGTCGTCACAACGCCTTTGCTGTCAAACAACCACACTCGCTTCACGGCGTCTTCGTCGCTCAGTCCTCTCGATTTCAACGCTCGCACGAACAAGTCCGCGGCGCCGACGTTGGCTTGACCAGCGCCAAAGAACAAAACGTTTTGTTTCTCTAACGGTAAAACGTTCTCGATTCGAGTGGACGCGATCAGACCAGCCACGGTGACTGCCGCGGTGCCTTGAATGTCGTCGTTATACGTCACCACGCCTGGCACGTTTTGAAATTTCTTCAACACGCGAAACGCGTTTCGAGGCGCAAAATCTTCAAAGTGAATGATGACGTCCTCGCCGTACCGTTTTCGAATCGCAAATACGGTTTCCTCTAACAACAAGTCGTACTTTTGGCTCCTCTCTCGATTTTTGCGTAAACCTACGTATAGCGGATCTTTCAAATGGTCCTCGTTGTTCGTTCCAGTATCGATTTGGACCGGCAACAGCCACTCCGGGTTGACGCCGCTGGCGGCGTACACCATACCTTTCCCAACCGAGATCCCCATACCATTCGCACCTTGGTCGCCTAAACCTAATATCCGTTCCCCGTCCGTAATCACCGCAATCCTAACGCCCTCGTTTCGCCACCTCTTCACTAACTTCTCCACTTTACCGGCGTCGTTCAACGACACCCACAACCCGCGAGGTCGATCTAAAATCTCTCCAAACCTCACGCACGCCTCGCCAACCGTCGGGGTATATAAAATCGGAAGCAACTCTTCCACGTTCGTTCGCAACAGATTATAAAACGTCTTCTCGTCTCTGTTTTGTAACCCAACGAGAACTTTATACCGTTCAAAATCCGTCCCGCACGCCTCTAAGCTCTTCTTCGCTCGCAACATCTCCACCTCCTCTGCGGTCGTCTCTCCCGCGGGAAGTAACCCGACTAAACCTCTCGCCTCTTTATCAATCGTCGCCATGTTGTGGTACACTTTGTTATCCGATAACGCGTGAAACCCCATGGAATCTATGCTTGGATTCACGAACGAATATCCGCTCGATGCCATTTTCTCGGACGTTTTCGATATCGTTATCGTTTGGTTCGGCGTTAAAGCTCGCGCAGAGACAGGGAAAGTAAACGTTTTCAGCGCTTCCACGGACGCTGGCAGAGCGCCTAAAACAGTCAAAATCTCTCGTCGTCGTCTGCTCGTCATCATCTTTGTCTTAACATTCGCGTCGTCGTCGTCTGCAAAATCGTCTCCATGTCGACGTTGTTGTTCTTCTTCTTCTTCTTCTTCTGATGAGGCACCCGTCGTTGTCGTTTCCGGTCCGTTTCTACGCGCAGCTGTCCTTGTTTTTTTATCGCTTCGATGCGCATCGCTCGAAGAACAACGAAGACGCCTCAAAAATACGTTCTTCCCAGTATTAGTGTTAGTATTGGTCGTCGCAGTCGTCGTAATCGTCGTCTGCGTCGCGATCGAACGCATGATGATGAAGTGATGAATTTTCGTTCAATTTGGTTCGTTGGTGTGTGATTGATGAAATGGAGAAAATAATAAAGTAAATGAATAACAAAATGTGAGCACCTCTCTACGCTTCTTCTTCCGATCGATCGAAGATCCGAACGGTGTGATGCATTGAAGTTTCTAACGGTTCTGATGCCTTACGGTACTCATGACTGCACCGGCGAAGACCATCCACCAGGCGTAAATGAAGGCGACGATGAGGAGATTTAAGGAGACGGTTCCTTCGGCGTCGTAAAACTCAGTGGCGGATAAGGATTTGACGCCGAATTCGTCGTAGAAGACCCCGGTGGAGGAGGAGGAGGAGGAGGAAGATGAGGAGGAGGATTTTTTGAAAACGCCGTTGAAATGGTTCAACATTTGCGCTTTCCACCCGTATCGGACGAATAAGGTTGGTGGCCACCACTCCCAACCTTTTGGGATTTGTTGTTCTCGCATGAGCAAACCGGAGAAGAGAATTTGGAGGACGTTGTAGACGGGTAAGGCGGCGTTGGCGACGTCGATGTTTTTGGAAGCCGAGGCGACGACGTAGGCTAAAGCAGCGCCACATTGGCCGACAGCAAAGTAAACCATCCAGTCGTAGAAGAAGTTGCCCTGGAGACCACAGCCGTAGTGGACGATGAGTTGCGAAAGCATGGCGACTGGAATGGCGACGAGGACTTCTTCTATGGTTTTGTACAAACCGTAGGACCAGACGGTGTAGCACCCGTCGTCGAGTTCGCGGTAGAAAAGACCGCGTTCCATGAGAATGGAAGGCATGTACGCCGCGGACGCAAAAGCGGGGAGGACGTTGTTCATGAAAAGGAGGTTGGCGACGTTTTGAGCGGCGTTGGTGGAGTAAGCGGATTCATCGCCTTGCTTCCAATACATGGAGGCCATGACGATAGAGAAGACGACGTGACCGACGACGCGAGCTCCCATAAAATTTTTGTCGCGGTAGTTGCACCAGGCGCGGTACTTTAAAAGGGTTTTCGCGGCGTCGAAGGAATTTATCGGTTTGTGATCCGGAACGCCCTCGATGTATTCCCCCTCCTCCTCCTCCTCCTCTTCTGCTTCTTCCTCTTTTTCTTCGTCTTTTCCGCTCGACGGTGCTGTTGACGGTGGTAGTGTTTTCCGTCCTCCTCCTCCTTTTGATGCCTTTGACGAAGAAGTCGGTTTCTTGAACGAAACCGCTTTATTTACTGAGCTTTGAACCAAATCGCGATTATGTTTCGCGTGCATAGATGTCTTAAACTTGGCGACAAAATCTTCCTCGTCCGTCGCGTTGGTCGATACCAAAAAATCCGCAAAGTTTAGCGTCGGTTCGCAATAAAATCCCATGTCGTAAAAATACGCCTCGGCACCGTTTGCGCCAAATAGAGCGCCGGCATAGGTCACCGAGCCTCTTTTCATCATTACCAAGTTATCGAAGAGCTGAAACGCAGCCGCGGATGGCGAATGAATGGTGGCAATGACGTTGACGCCACCATCCGCGAGATCGCGACACGCTTTCACGATGCCGCAGGACGTTTCAGAGTCTAACCCAGATGTCGGTTCGTCGAGGAAAAGAATTCGCGGTTTTGTCACGAGCGAAATCCCAATGTTCACTCGTTTTGCTTGACCACCTGATATACCTCGCTCGAGATTCGATCCCACGACCGTGTGTTCGCACGAACGCAACTGCAAAGTATCGAGTAACTTGTCCACGTCTTTGACTCTCTGCTCCGCGGCGAGCGCGGCTTGCGACTTATCCTTCACGTTCGGTCGTTTCAATTCGGCCGCGTATAATAACGTTTCTCTCACAGTTAGCGTCGGTAATAAGTTATCGAACTGCTCGACGTACGCCGCGCAACTCTTCAAAACTTTCGAGCTCGATTTCTTCTCGCCGACGAAAATCTTTCCTTCTAACGTTCCTTGCGTCTTCCTTCCGGCGATGACATCCAACAAAGTCGTCTTCCCAGCACCACTTGGGCCCATGAGCGCAGTCACTCGACACGGTTGGAACACCACGGATACTTCGTTTAATAATTTAATCATCTCGTTCTTCTTCGTTCTATGCTTTACTTTGTACGACACGTTTTGTACGACCACGGGTAAACGAATGCCGGTGATCGAGTCTTCGTCCACCGGTCTGTTGAACCAATCTTCATCTTCTTCGTACACAACTTCTTCCGGCGATAATTTCGTCTCTTCGTCGTCTCCTTCGATGTTCACGATAAACTCGCCCGCGTTCTCGTCTCGCATCGTCGTCGAGTCCCACCACTCCTCGTTCGTAAACTTCTCCTCCATGGACGCGAACTTTTCTTCTTCTTGGTCTTCTTCCTCCAGATCCTCTTTTTTTCCCAAAAGTTCCCCTTCTTCTTTTCCAACGCCATACGTCGGTCTGTACGGCATAATTTTTCTTCTCTCCTCCTCGTCTCCGTATTCTTCCTCGTCCTCCCCCTTCCTCTTCGCGGTGGTCAGCGCGCCGTTCCCTTTCGACGATAAAGACGACACCCCCTCGCCAAAACGAGATTCAACATTAATCGCATCATTCACGTCTCCTTTTTGTTTCGATGACGATGACCCAACAACCCGCCGCCGCCTTTCTTTCTCCTCCTCCTCCTCGTCGCCGCAAAAGGCACCACCAGAAGAGTCATCCTTCGTCCGTAAACGCGTAACGGAAGCTTCATCCTCTGCCGCGTCTTCTTTCGCGTCCATTATTTCTAGATATATATTTCTCTTTTTTTTTTTGTCGCTCGAGGAAAAAAAAAGCGTTTCACTGATTTTAATTAAAAACAGAGAGAGATTTTAAAAAACAAATGTTTAGGGTGTTCACCAGTACGACCAAAAAAATTTTCAAAAGTCAACAGAAAACGACACAACGAACACCTTCGACGAACGATGACGTCGGAAGAACGACAACGCGTGAGGGAGGAAGAGGAGGACGAGGAGACGCCGCGGACGACGGAGAGTCTTTCGAAACGACTCGTCCGCACCGTCTGCCGCTCGTCTTCTGTATCTCTGGAGGAGAGAGAGTATTTGGAACGATTCGCGAATCGGATTTTACGGAGCACTTTGACGACGACGACGACAAAAACGAACGCGTTTTTAGTCGATGACGACACGGAGGATGAATATTCGATCCTGGATAAAATCAAAGACCGAGTTCGCGACAGGAAAGGGTTCGACGTCGCGGTGGACGTGGCGAGGTTACACGAAAGGTTACACGCGGACGAGGCGTGGCACAGAAGCGTGGGGAAAAAGAGGGAGATTTTTCAACTGCTTTGGAAGCTTCGAAGAGAGGAAGAAGACGAGGAGGAGGACGGCTCGGAGGGAGAGGAAGACAAGGGACAGAAGTATTTCGATTCGCCGGCGAGGACGGTCAAGGAGGAGGAGGACGACGACGACGGGTATTACGGTTTGCAAACACCGGGACGAGACCACCATCGGACGACGCGGCGTGGACGCTCGGCGACGGTGGAGCGGTTGTTGGCGAACGACACTTTCGGACCGACGACGACGGCGTTAACTTCTTCTGGCGGCGAGAGAAGAGCACGGAGTAGGAAAAGTAAGAAACACAAGGAGACGCTGGCGACTATGGCGAGAGCTTTGACGCCGAGCCACCGACACAAGATGATCTCACCGTCTACCGCGGCGGTATCGTCTCCGGTCGGCGGTCCGAGAGACGACGCTTTCAATAGATTAGCGTTGGAACGAAGACGAAACGGCGAAGTCGCGGAGTCAAAGTTAGTGAGAGATTGCATATTTGCGTGCAATGGCATCGATGGTAACTACATCAAGTTTGATCTCGTGAACGACGCGTACGTCATTTTTCCGAAAGACGCGCCGATTGCTCCAGGGAGAAGACACGCGTGTAGGAAAATTTGCGAGCTCGGATGGTTGTATAGAAAGGTGAAATCGACGTCAGATGCGCCGACGTCGGCGTTTGCAAAGGAAACTGAAGGCGCGACGAGGAGCGCGTTTCGAAGCGCGCTGTCGAACGAGTTGTCGAAACACTACAAAATGTTAGCCGTGTTGGAGGCAAAAGTGCAGAACAATAACGACGACATCAGTGAAGCGGAAGAAGAGGACGACGAGGCGAATAATATAGTTTTGCTGAACGATAGATCGTTCGATAGTTTAGCGACGACGTCGCATAGAAGTGGTAGACATGATAGAAATGGAAGTAACGGTGTCATCTCTGATCCCATCGCACCGACTGGTTCAGACGTCGTCACACTCAGACGACTTCTCGTCTGGTTAGACGAGCCGAAACGAATTATGCGCGCTTTGGCCATCGTATGCGACGCAGTAGAACATTTAAGAGGCGGCTCGTTACTCGCGGAGTTATATAGGCATTCGGATACCGGTGATGTCGTCCACGATGGCATCATTCGACGCGTCTTGGCGAAAACTGCTAAACCGTATTTTGAAGCGATGAAAGAATGGTGCGCGAGAGGCGACTCGAGTTTTAAATCCGAGGGTACCAGTAACAAAGCGGGAACCATGATTGGCGAGTTTTTCGTACAAAGAAACGATCGTTATTATCGTCACAGAAATAAAAATGTCGATAGTGTCCACGCGACGGACAAAGATCGCGACGATGACGACGACGATGATGATGTAGAGGCGATAAACCGATGGTACCGCTTCGATTCCGACGACGAGATTGTCGACGACGGTCGATTACCTTCTTCATCGGTGTCTTGGAAGAGCGGCTTCGTCATCGACGAGAGTTCGAAACCGTTTTTCATATCCTCAAAAACGGCAAACGAAACCTTGAAGTGTGGCGCGGCGATTGCGTTTTTGAAGAACGCGTGCAAAGACGAGAAATGGGGTGACGCATCGCGTACGATTTTGAAACATTTTGACGAATTCTTTGCGTCGTTGTCGACATCGACGGCGTCGACGGCGTTTACTTCTGACGACGAGAATAGTTTTGAAAAGCTCGTCAAAATGCTGCCTGATATCATTTCAAACGCTAAACGCGTAGCCGACTCAGCCGTCCGAGAATCCTTATTCGAACACTATCGTCTCAAGGCACACTTTGTCGCGTTGAAGCAGTACTTGTTGTTAGGCCAAGGCGATTTTATTCACGCGCTCATGGAATCCATCCACGACGAGCTCGATAAAGAAATCGACCCGATGAGTCGCGAAGGTATATCGCAATATTCATTGCGAGGTAATTTAGACGCCGCCGTTCGCGTTTCCAACGCCTGTTTAGCAGATCAGCACGTTATCGATGCTTTGAGCGTGCGCCTGATGAAACCGCTGGAGGATGAAACAGGATGGGACGTGTTTTCTCTCGAGTACAAACTCCGCGCACCGTTGACGACTATCTTCAGCGACCGCGAAATGGGAAGATATTCTCGAGCGTTCACGTTCCTTTGGAAGTTGAAACGAGCCGAGTATACGCTGTGCGAGTTATGGAAAGCCATGAAACCGACGGTTTCGTCCAGATTCCAACGCGAAGGTTTAGGCGGTAACATCGGTAAAGCGTTAGAGGTTGAACAGGCGCGATGTCATCGCGTGCGACAATCCATGCACGCATTGATAAGCGATGTCCAGTATTACGTTATGTTTGAAGTCTTGGAACCGTCTTGGAACGAGTTTGAATGTAAATTATCCCATAACGCGGCAAATGACGATTTAGATTCCATCATCGCCGGTCACGAAAACTATTTGAATTCAGTCATCGAAAAGGCGTTGTTAGGCACGAAATCGCAAGTTTTGCAACGAAGTTTACAGCTGATTTTCGATTCCGTACAAAAGTTCAAATCACACACGTTCAAGCTGTACGAAGCGATCGAGGATGCCTCGCGGGTGCGAAAATCCGATCAAAGACGTATCGTCGAGCGCGAGATGAATCAGCAATGGGGCGTCGATTTTGGCGAATCCAAGGAAGGCGAAGACTATTTGAGCGAAGATTTCGTCACGGGCGCGAAGGAAAGTTTAGATTCCATCGAAAACGAGTTTCAGAAGCACGTCGATGGGTTCTTGAAGTTGCTTCCGTTGCAAACGCACGTGGATACTTCGTTTCTTTCGTTTCGATTAGAGGCGACGTTTCGGCAAGGCGCTTAGAGGAAAGAACCTAGGTAGAGCATCAATAGCATTAGTAATAAGCTTCTTTTTAAATTCTTATTAAAAACGAGTCTTTAATAATATTTGTACATGTCTAGTGGTTTCCCCTCTCTCTCTTTCTCTTTTAGTTTTTGTCGTCGTCGTCGTCGTCGTCGTTCTCTAGAATTTTTTTGTATTTTAGTTGATTTGCACTTCACGGTCGAAGATCCAAGAGAACGATTCCGTCATCGGCCCTTTCTTTGCCGCTTTCTTTTTACCGAATGCCGCTAATTTACGAATACGATCCGGTTGTTTCATCAAATATTCTTGCGCTTCCATCGCTTCCACCGACAAACCAGTCATGGAGTTGATCTCCCATCTCTTGATCAAATGGTCCATGATATCCGCGTAGTCATCCGCGGTGTACACGCCCGATCGTTCTGCCACGGCGGCGAAATCGCTAAACAAATCTCTCCCCGTTCTCGCTCTGTGCTGACCATCGTCCATCAAGTGCGCCGGCATGGTAATTTGTTTCCTCATCATATCCGCAAACGCCAACACCGCTCCGTCTGGATCTCTCTTCTTTACTTCGTCGATGATTCTTTGGTACGCAATCTCGTGTCTGCCTTCATCGGCGGCGATGATGCCGCAAATCTTGGCCAACTTATCGTCGCCAGCCTCCAACGCCATTCTCGCGGTGTTCCCGTGCGAAACCTTCGTCGCTCTCTCTTGAAACGACGTGTATACGAAACCCAAATACGGATTGTTGTCCGTCTTCGGGTTCATCCCGCTTCCAATCAAATTCTGAATAGTCGTCTCGATCGGTTTCATGTTGCACTTACCAGTCATCCACATGTACTTGTTCATCAAATCACCGTGTCTGTTCTCTTCCGCGGTCCACTTTCTCGTCCATTGCGCCCACGGCGTCCCGTCCGCGCCCGTGGTATCCTTCGTCTCTTCCAACGTGTTCAACATGTTCATGTACGTCGGTAAAGCTTCTTCCGTGATTAAATCGCCGACTAAAACCACCATCAAATCGTCCGAAATGCCTTTCGATCTCTCTTGGATTTCCTTGATTTCTTCCAAGAACTGTTCGGATTCCGGATCCGGGAGAAAGTCTTGCGGTTGCCAGTTTTTGTTGGTGTCTTTCAGAAGGCCCATGAGCTGTTGTTTTAAAATAGAATTTTTTCCCGGAGAGAGAGAGAGAGAAGGAGGTGAGTACAGAACACACATCTGGCGCGCGAGTTGTGTCCGCGAACAACAACAAAGAGCGAGCGCGAGGGAAGAACATAAAACGCCACCATGCGTCGCGTTTGAAAGCGCGTTTACCAAAATTCAATTTCTTATCTCTCCCTTCTCTTTGGGGGAGACGTCACGGGAACTTCCGCGATACGAATTTCTCTCGCTCTCTCTCGCTCGCTGCTCTTCAATCGCACAAAACGCGACGATCACAAACGGACGACGAGTTTTGGAAGCGTTTGGTAGATGAAAACGACGGCGGCGTAAAAAGTACACGCGTATATATAATCCTTACCTCCCCGCCGGCAAAGCCAGACATGTCTCGAATAACCTCCCGTTGGTGATCTCTCAACCGAAATTTCTTCGTCTCGGCGTCGTTTTCGACGATTATTCTCGGCGAGTCGTTCACGACCGCTTTCGTCGTCGCGCATCGTTTGTTGGACGACGTCTTTTGCCTCGGGTGCTTGGCCGTGAACAACGCGTGCGGTAAAGATGTTTTGCTGGAAAGCGTAAACATTTTTTGGGTGAGCAAGCGGTGTGTTGTTGTTGTGGGGGGTGGAGTATTAATATTCTGAGGCACCTGAGCCACAAACAAACAAACGAAAGAGAAGAATTTCGGAATGTGCAGTCGTCCGCACTAAGCAAATTTGGCGTCGAGATTCCGCAGGAAAAGAAGCTGATTTTACTCGCTACTCTACAGGTTCTACAAAAAGCTATCGCTATCGCTTTCTACTGTGTATGTATACATTTGCTCTGATATTTTAATCAAGCTCGGATGCTTTCAAAGAACTCATTCTTACAAGCTGGGGTGATTGTTTTAGAGACTTCCGCGACGGTTTCACTCATCGAACGCGAGAGGGAAAGTTGCGCGCGGAGCCACGCGGCGGTTTCCTCGTGTTTCGTTTTGTTCTTCTTCTTCCTCCTTCTGCCAACTAGAGAATACCAAGAAAAGTACTTTTGAAAGGCGAGTAAACCTAACGCGCGAGAAACTTTTTCGGATGGCACTAAGTTTGGATCTAGATATCTATCTAGTAACCGCTTTCGAGCACCGGTTCGCGCATAACTTATGGCGCTTTCGATGGCGCGTTTCAAAAGCGCGTGGCCGCACGGCGTCACGCCGGGAACTGCCTCTACCGCACGCACGTAAGAGGTTGTTTTTGCCGCACACAAGAGTAACGCTTGGTACATGTTTGTCGCAATAGTCTCACGACTGTTTACTCTTGGGTCGTATAAAAGTGCGCAGAGTTTGTGGTTCAAATAAGACCGCGTTTTGTTCGAGAGGTATTTCCACGCCAAATGTGAACTCGGAAGATTTATTGTTTCGCGAAGCCAGACGTTGAGATACTTGGAGTAATCCGCGCGCACTTCCAGCGTTTGCGTGTCGAAAAGCAAACCGCACCATGGAATAAACTCACAACCGTCTTTGCATTCCACATTCTTTTCTAATTTGCGTTCCAGATGATCAAAGTTTATCTTTGTCTTTGTCGGATTGATTTCCACGCCATATTCGGCAATACCGTCGAGCAAAGAGTTCAAGAAGTGTTTCGCTCTAGAGAAATTGTCCGTGACAAAAAGTAAATCGTCCGTCCAGCGCATAAAAACACCGTCGCCGTACCCTTCGTTCAAAACTTTCTTCTTTGGCGTGCCTTTATAAATCTCAGTTTCGAACGCGGCCATCGATTGCGTTTGCTCCATGTGCGCGTAAAACAAAGCGCATAGTTTCGTGGAAAGAATCGAACCTTGTGGAATGCCAATCTTTTGACGGAATAAGGAACCGTGTGATTTAACGAGCGTGTTTCCGAGATGTTCACGAAGCGTGTTCAGCGCCTGATGACGATATGCAGTGCGCGTTTTACCTAAATCGATAGACACGGACCCGGGTGGGAGCGTTTTGACGAGCGCGCGCCGACCGACGTCGCTCTCGTTTGGTGAAAAGATTGGACCGGGTAGTTTCTTCTTCGAGTTTTTTATATTCTCGTCCGCCGTCGCGGTATTTGCATCGTTTTGCGATGAAGTTATCGCGGATCCTGATGAATTCTTGTGTACGATATCCATACCTGTGTCTTCAACATTTTCCGTGGCAAACGCAACTTTTCGTGTGGCGTATCTGTTTCCGAGCACGCTCTGCGTCCGGTATTTAAGCATGGCGTATTCCTGTTTCTTGAACAAACTCGATATGACAGTTTCGAGCTTTTCCGTTGGAATGGAATCAAAAGCAGCTTTGATATCGGCACACACGAAGTATAACTTCGGCAATTTTTTCTTGTCTTTCACAGTCGCTTTCGTTTTGTTGATATCCTCCGGAGAGTCCTCCGAGTCTACCACCTCATCCACCTCGTCGGTATTCAAGAGCCCCTGCTTCCTTCTCCATCGTTCGGCAAAAGGCGCGTATATTTTCATCGTCTCGTCGTAATCACTCACAAAGTTCCCCATTAACGTCTCATCTGCTCGAATTTCGTGGTCAAGTATGTCTGAAATCGTATATAGACGATCGTTCACAGGCTCGAATTCAAATTTCATCTTCTTCCTAAAGCCGCTCCCGTCTCGCTTTTTACTCGTTAAACGCATACTCGCCGGTTGTCCGAGCATGGCAATCGGGCGAACACCTGTTTTCTTTGGTTTCCAACGAATTCGAGAAAAGCCCAAAGAATGGTGCGAAAGCGTGTTTTCTGTGTCGTTCTTAGAAAGCTTTTCGTATCTTCCGCTGGTGACGAATTCTCTATTCTTTGCGCGAACAATTCGCGACCAGACGCCTTTGCGATAATAGTACATTTTCTGTCGCTCGTGATCGGTATCGGTGACAAAAAAGTGCGAACGGATGACGGGGAACACGATGGATTTGATAATCCAAAGTATAATCTTCTCCACCCGTCGCTTTCGTGCTTCAAACTCGGCAACTGTCTTCTTCTTTTGTATTTTCTTCTTCTCGCGGCGGCGATAATCCACATTATCCAAGAATGCGTAGTCCGATGTTTTCACACCAATCATAGCTTCGTGTAAAGTGCACCTCTCGATTCTTCTCAAAGATACGATTCTCGAGACAAACTCGCGTAAACGCCTCTTTGTGGTCGTTTTTGACCCGAGAAACTGTTTTGGAAGCACCCCGCGGAGAATAGCCCAGATGAAGCTCGAAACGTCCTTGTGAGACGAGTTCAATTTGACCAATTGCTCGGTATCAGCCGTTCTCCAATCGGAACGTTTCACCGGACAGTGTAGATCTAATAGTTTAGCAAAGTTGCACTTTTTTGCACGTCGTAACGTGCGTCGAAGGAGGGGTAAAACATTTTTCCGGTGCGATTTGGAGATGCGTATGGTCATTCGCGGGCTTTTCTGCGAGAGCTGCGTCGGGATGATTTCTTGATGCTCGGAGGACATGTAGCTCGACGGCGCTTGACTCATAACCATTCGCGGATCGTTGATTCGTTGTTGATGCATCAGTGGTGTTTTTACTTTCCGCTTCTTCGCTCCAAAGATATCTGCATACAGTTTACGCGAAGCGTTTATGCTCGACCCGTTGCATCGAAGAATATGTTTCGCAGGAAAACCAGGTCGTTTGGAAAATGTCGAGCAATATAACGCCGGAGATCGATCTAACACTATATTTCTTGGGTGGTTCGCGTCAACTGTCTTCTTAGCGTTCTTTCTCTTCGTCTGTTTGCCAATTACGCGCGAGGCTTTTGCTTTCAACTCGGCTTGTTGGATTTGTTCTTGTTTCTCCTTCGCGAGACGTTCGAGTTTACGTTGTTTCGATTGTTCCGCGTATCGAGCGAGCATGGCCCATTTCTCGTCTTCTCCCATACTTTCGGTGGCAATAAAACTCGTGGTGTTCGTTTCTTCTCTTTTCGCCTCGTCAGCCGTTTCCTTCGCTTTCGCCTCAGCCTCGGCGCGCTCTTTCGCCAGTTTGCGTCGAACCCAGCTCGGCGGACGAGGCTTCCTCGTTTCTCTCCCTCGCTTCTTATTTTTGACTGGAGAATCATTCATATCATCTTCTGCTGTCCCTTGAACACCTGCGTCGTCGTCGTCGTCGTCGTCGTCGTCGTCTGCGTCACCGTTAGATTGCGAAGGCGTTTCTGGTATGCACCAATCATCGTCCTCGAGCTCTTGCGTGCTCAGAATAGGCGTATCTTCCTTCGTCGTTTGAGTGTCCTCCTCCGGCGTCGCTTCAGGCACAGAGTTTTCCTCGTTACCTACGACAACAAAGTTCGCGTTCACCGTCGTTTGTTTCATCGTCACGTCTTCTTTCGACGACAATTGTTGTGGTTGTCCATTTTCTACCTTTCCATTGCCTTCTTTTGCCTTCTTCTTCATATCGGCGTACTCTTTGCGCTTTGCTTTCCTCCGTTTTACTTTCTTAATCTGTTTTGGAGTGAGTTTCTTCTTCATCTTCTTCGCGCCTTGCGAGAAAACGCTGCTATAGTTCGCCATTGACTCGTGGTGACTCACCCCAGAGGCCAGCGCGCTCGCCGTGCTTTTCTTATACGTACAGTTCGCGCGATCCATAGACGCCTTAAAAACCACATGCTCAGATGTGATTGGTTTTCCCAGAATTTGAACCAATCTCTCCTCTTTCTCGCTACTCAATCGGCGACCACGCGAACGCTTCTTACTTTTCTTCTTCGCTTTTGCAATCACCGTCGGCGCACCACTCGTTTCAAATAACTGTCGAACGATCTTCTCCGCGTTCGCCGTCGTTGTGACTGTCGACGTCGACGTCAAACTCGCGAACCCGCTCGCGTACAACATCAACCACTCCGCTATCTCGTCCCCTACGCGATCCCACAACGTCCCCCAATGCGTGCTCGTCGCAAACGCCTCGGCGCTATTCACGCAATTCCTCTCGTCTCTTCCTTTGGCAAACCTGGTCAATCCAAAACATAACGCGTTATTCGGCTTCTGCCGAGCGCTGAAAAACTTCATCTGCACCGTCGCCACGCGTTCCTTCGCCGTCGGTCTCCCGATAGCCGGAGGCGAACTCATCGTCGGATATCCGCGCGCGCCCAAATCCTCCTCCTCCTCCTCCTCGGCCTCTTCCTCCGCGGAACTCTTCATCACCAGCGGTGGTAACCTCTCCGGTAGCGCTATAAACGACTCGTCCAAAACGCCTCTCGCGTACGCTCTCGAATCTCTCTCTTTATCCTCCAAATTTTTCATCACGCTTTTCGGCGCTCCGCGAAACTGTTCGCACACTTTTCGAATCGCCTCTCGCACCGTGTACACGTGACGACCGTACACCGCTCTCAAAAGAATCGGAATTTCGTTCTGTTTTTTTTTGTTCTTCTCTCCTCCTCCCTGTCGTCGCTTCTTTTCTGTTTTCCGACGACGACGACCGCGCCGACGCGAGCGTTCATCCTTTTCCTCCGATGGTGGTGGTGGTGGTGGTCTCGTTTCCATTTTAATACTCCCGCGAGAAAGAAGCGACGACTCCTACAGCAGATTCGCGTCGTAAAAAATCAAATCATCCCTCTTCCTCTTCTCCTCTCTTCTCGTCATATACTAAGTCCTCTCTCTTCTTCGAGAAAAAAAAAGCCGTCGTCCACGTCGACACGCGCACGCACGCACGCACGGCAGCACAACGACGACAACAAAAGAGCCGCCGTTTTTTGCGCGTCGACGAGAAGAGAGTCTAGTGTTATTATTATTTTCTCCTGTATGTGGGAGATGATGATTCTGCGGGTGATTTTTGATTTTTTTTCCTCCTCTGTCTCCTCAAAAACTGTGCACCCAACTGTCTAATAAAAGGGAAAATTTTCTTGTTGGTCCGTTTTCGTCAAAACAACAAGATATGAAGAATGAGTTTTATTCGCTTGTTTCTGACGACTGGATTGGCGACGGCGACGGCATCGGTAGGCCTGTGCGTCGGGTACGGCGTCGCGCTCGGACCACCTTCGGGAAATTGTTGTTGTTCTCGTCGTGATGAGAGCACAAAAAAGAAGACACCGTCGAAAGCATCATCGGTCGAAACGTACGACAAATTGGCGAAAACGTTTGACGACGAATTGAACTTTCACGAGTTTTTCACCGGCATTGATTTCTTGCGCACGCGTTTAGTTCGGAGAGCAAAGAAAGGAGACGTGTTGGAAGCGGCGTGTGGAACTGGGCGGAATTTGAACAAGTATCCGTTTGGGGAGAAGATGTTGAAGCGCGTGGTGTTGACGGACGCGTCGGGGGCGATGGTGAAGGAAACGAGAGAGAAAATTTTTCTTCATTCGCGGGTAGGTAACGATGGAACAACTGAAATCAAAGCAGAAGTGGACGACGCGACGCGGATGAAACAGAAATCGAACAGTTTTGATTACGTCGTGATGACGTTTGGACTTTGCTCCACGGCGAATCCAGGGAAGGTTGTGAAGGAGCTCGCGAGGGTGACGAAACCAAACGGCGAGATATTGATGTTGGAACACGGACGTCCCCCAGAAGGAAGCGTGCACGACTATTGGCTCTCGAACATCTTAGACGCGCACGTTGATATGCACGAAAAGAAGTGGGGATGCGCTTGGAATAAGGACATAGAAAAGATAGTCAGGGAGAGCGTAGGAGATACTTGCGACGTGGTTACGTTCGATCGATGGCATTTTGGAACAACCTCGTACATAGTGTTAAGGAAGCGAGAATTGTAGGCAAAGAATAGTTTAATTAGCTTATACATATGTATCGTAGGCGCGCGTAAGCACACATAAATAGAGCATAGATTAAATAGCAAAATATAGTTCTTGTGAATATGTATGATATGACTTTTCTTTCGCAAAGAGTAATAATTAAAAACACAATCTGTTTACGCGCCGAAATACTTCGGGCGAATATTCAATCCAACTATTAAAGCGAGCGTCAAGTAATACGTCACCGAGCCAGTAAACATGTACGAATCAAATCTGTCCAAAAATCCGCCGTGACCGGGGATAAACTTTCCGGAATCTTTTACGCCGGCGTTGCGCTTCATCACCGATTGCAACAAGTCTCCGAAAACTGAACTCGCGTAAATAAAGCCTCCGATAATTAACGTTCTCCACAACTCTTCGGGAATCCCCAACAAATACCAGCATATTCCGGAACACGCGATGCTAAAAATCCCACCACCAATGGCGCCTTCGATGGTTTTATTCGGCGAAATCGTCGTCAACTTCTTCCCGAAGAATTTTTTGCCAAAATTTTTACCGCTGAAATACGCCCCGACGTCCGCAGAGACGACGCACAACACCGTCATCAACGTGATGGAGACGCCTAAAGTCCAACTTGTCGGTCCCCCTATCTGCAATGGCCAACTGGAAACGATAGACCCGGCTCGATCGATTGCCAACGGAATCCCAGACATCGCTCTCAGTTTAATCCAAAACGAAGGCAAAAACCCGCAATAAAATAATCCAAACAACGTCGTCGTGAATTCAATGAAGTGCGACTCTTCGTTCGAAATTAACGCCGCAACCGCGCAGGAAAACGCGGCAACCATAGCCATCGTCACTGGTAGCGATCTCCCCCCGGAGACGTGCAAGATTACGCACAAAAACACCGAACACGCGGTTATCCACTTTGCCGCCCACCTCGGCGGCGGGTGCGGCAGCTCCTCGTTCACTTTCGACATCAACTCGAAATACTCCGTCCCGGACGCGTACGCGCACAAACCGATCAAAGCGACCCAGAACCACCCTCCGAACCCGAGGAAAAACGCCGCCAAAACGCCTAAAACCAACGCGGAAACCGTTCTCTTTACAATTTTTGGTACTTTTTTCTTCTTTTTCAGTTCGTTGGCGACGAGGAACGCCTTGTGTCGAGCATCTTGGGCGGCGTAAAACTCAGACTCGGCGTTCGCCGACGACCCGGCGTTCGCGACCCACAGCGGCGAGGAGGAGAACTCCTCTATTTTCTTCTCTCTTCTTTTCGCGTGGGCGCTTCGACGCCTGCGTTCTTCTCGCAACCCCCGCGAACTCCCACCACACGACGACACGACTTCCCTCCTCAAATTCTTCTTCTGCGCCGTCGTCGTTGCTCTTCTTCTGCCGTGGTTGTTGTTGTTCTCTGCTGCTGTCCTTCTCATCCACGATACGAACGATACAGACGACGATACAGACGATGATACTCCGTAAAACATCATCTTCTTCTTTCTATTCTTATATGTTGTGTGTTATGATAAAAACTTTAACGTGTTTCCCACGCATTGGATAGAAGAGGGGAAAAGAGTTTCTTCTTCTTCTGGGGAGATAAAAAACTCGTCGTTCGTCCAAAGTAAAAAGCAGAGCACAGGCCAAAGAGCCAAAAGAAAGTAACAACCAAAAAAGAAAATACGCGAGGAAGAGAGCAAAACGACCAAAACACACACGCGCCCACTCTGCGAAAGAAAAGGCGTACGCGGTGTCGTCTTTAGTAATAAAACTTCCCCAACAAAGTAGGGAAAGGACGAGCTTTAGAAGAAGAAGAAGAAGAAGAAGAAGAAGAATCTCGCGCGATGATTCTTCTTCTCGTCATCGGAGAGAAGAGCGCTTATAAGAAAGAAAGCAGAGAGAGAGAGAGAGAGAGAGAAAGAGAAGCGCACAGAAAAGCAACACAGTCGCTTTGGTTTCATCCTCTTTTGAAAAAAAATTCACCTCTTTTCCCTGCAAAAACTTTGTGTGCTGCTTGGAGAGGCACGCACTCACAAATCAAAATCTCCCAATCTCCACCGCGCACCAGAGTTCCATTCATCGTCCTCTTTGAGCACGTTACGTCGTAAAAAACCGATCAAATCCACCGGTATTTGATCGGCTCGATTACGTTTGCCTCGTTAGGAGCGAAAAAGATCGGAAAGAAACTTCGGATCGCGCGCGCGTTGAAGAAGAGTATACGCGGTGGTCGAGCGAGATTGCGCGAAAGGCAGGGTAGAAATTTTCGAAGGCGAAAGAAGGGCCACGAAAGAACAGAAGAGGAAGAGACGAACAAAAAATTTGAAAGAAGAGAAAAGAGAAAAACAGAGAAAAGAAAGAGAGAAAGGCGTAAAGCGAAGAGTAATCGGAAATGGCATCCAACGGGACCGAGGCGACAAGAAAAGGCGGGCAATGGCGGACGTGGCAAAGCGACGAGGACATTCCACAACGGAAAATCTTGATTCAACACATGTACGTTTTGTTATTCGTTTTATTTGGTCGTAGTCGCGCGGCGAAAAGAACCGAGATTGTTTTTTTTTTCTTGGTTTTCTCTCTCTTGGTCCAAACTCGTTTTCAAATACACGCGTGAAAGTCTTCTTTGAGAAGCTGTTTTCGCCGCGCGAACGTCGCATCGATTGGATGTTAAAAAACGCGTTTGAAGATCTTTGATACTAGAACATGAACTGACGAGGTGAACTTGATTTACTCTTTCATTTGATAATACGTATAATAATACAGATTACGTTTGTTTCAACAGCGCAAACCGTCCGTGACGAAAGAGTGGCAACAAAAGCTTCCGGACTTTGTGTTGCGTCTCGAAGAAGCGGTGTATCGAGGCGCGCGAACGAAGGAGGAGTATTGCGATAAAGATACGTTAGAGGCGAGGTTACAGGCCGTGGCGAGGATTATGGTGACGAGGCCCGGTGCAAAAGCCGCGCAGATGCAACAACAGCAGCAACAAGCGCAAGCGCAGCAGCAACAGCAACAGATTATGAACGGCGGCCAACCGAACCCGGCGTTGATTGGAAGCGCGAACGGTATGGGAATGAACGGAGCGGTGCCACCTGGTGCGTTGATTGGGAGTGGTGGTATGCCGCCACCAGGGCAAATGGTTCCCATGAACGGGGTTGGGAACGTCTTAGCAAATGGACAGCGATTAATTAGAGGTCAAGAAGCGGGGTCGCCGGGCGGCGGGAACAACGCGCCGATGCAGATGCTCGGACCAAACGGCGTTCCATTAACCGCAGCGCAAATGACGCAATTTAACCAAGGAACTACAACTAGCAATAAACCGTTAACTGCGGCTGAGAAGAAAGCGCAAGTGGCGAGAGCGAAAGCGATCGCTGCGACGAGCAAACAGCAACAAGCCGCAGCGGGCGGGAAGAAGAAGAAGAAAGAAACGAAAGCGCAAGCTGCGGCTCGATTAGCGGCGGAACAGGAGCAAGCGACACAGCAAGCGGCACAGCAAGCACAGCAAACGCAACAAACGCAACAACAAATCCGTCCGGGGGCATCCGCGCCGCCCGGATCAACCGACGAGCAAATCAAGAAAGCGTACATTGTCAAGCAACAGCGATGGTTGCTCTTCCTTCGTCACGCGTCGAAATGTCAAGCGGCGGAAGGAAAGTGTCCGTATACGCCGCACTGCCACGTGGCAAAGCACTTATGGGAGCACGTCTTGAAGTGCACGTTACCGACGTGCCAATACCCGAGATGTTTAGCGTCCAGAGAGTTGTTGAAACACCACCAAAACTGCAAAGATCCGCGTTGTCCGGTGTGCGGCCCAGTTCGGTCGGCGATGTTAAAACAGCGACAACAACAACAAGCGATGCTCGCGCAGCAACAGGCTGCGGCGGCGCAAGGTGGTGGGAAGAAACAGAAGATGACGAAAGCTGAACAAGCGGCCGCCAAGGCGGCGCAAGCGCAGTTTGATTTGATGCCTCCGCCGTTGATGGTGAAAGGGACCGGAAACGCGGATAGAAAACCAGGAGGCGAAGGCACGTCGTTAATGGAATGTTTCACGCCGGAGGAGATCCGAACGCATTTGGCGTCTTTACGACTGACGGAAGGGAAAGAGAAAATACCTGGTATTGTGGCGCCAATGTCCGCGAGACGACGCGATGCAGAAGCCGACAAGATTATTGCCAACGCTACGGAGTCTTCCTGCCGCGCTTGCGGCGTCGAACGGTTAACGTTTGAGCCGCCGCCGATGTATTGTTACTCGTGCGTCGGAAGAATCAAGAGAGGTCAAGTGTACTACCACGTCCCAAACATTCCGGGAGGCGAGATGCGTAAGGACACGTGGTGTAATCCGTGTTATAATACCATCCAAGGCCACATCGATATCGAAGGCCAACGCTTCCCGAAGAACTCTTTGATTAAGAAGAAGAACGACGACGATTTAGAAGAGCCGTGGGTCCAATGCGATTTCTGCAACAATTGGTATCACCAAATATGTGTCTTGTTTAACGGGAGGAAGAACACCCACGGCGAAGCACATTTCACGTGCCCTACGTGCATTTTATCGCAAATCGAGAAGCAAGAGCGAACGGTGACGTCTGAACGTCCCAACTCCATGCAACCGGCCAAGACGTTGACGAAGACAGTTTTGGGCGACTATTTGGAGAAGCGCGTCTTGGATGCTTTGGCAGAGGAACGTGTCGCAAGAGCGAAACATCTGGGCATACCGGTCGAAACGGTGCCAACCGCGGAGGATTTAACCATTCGTGTCGTATCGCAAACCGACAAGAAGTGCGACACGAAACAGCGGTTCATGGATGCGTTCAAGAAGGACGGTTTCCCGGAAGAATTTTTGTACAAGAATAGAGTCATTTTGCTCTTTCAAAAAATCGAGGGCGTGGACGTGTGTTTGATGGCAATTTACGTCCAAGAGTACGGCGAGGATTGTCCGAACCCGAACAAACGACGCATTTACTTGTCTTATTTGGACTCGGTGAAATACTTCCGCCCGGAAGGTATCGTCGCCAGCATCGGCGAACCGATGGCACTGAGAACGTTCGTGTACCATCAAATTTTGATTGGCTACCTGGATTACGCCAAACAAAGAGGGTTCACCTCGTGTTTTATTTGGGCGTGCCCACCGTTCCAAGGTGACGATTACATTTTGTATTGTCACCCGAAGGTGCAAAAAGTCCCTAAAAGCGACAAGTTGCGCGAGTGGTACATGAAGATGCTCCGCGGCGCCGCCAAGGAAGGCATCGTGCACTCGGTGACGAACATTTACGACGAGTACAATTTAGGTGGCTCTTTGCAAGAGGTTCGATCGGCGAGAGATTATCCGTACTTTGATGGCGATTATTTTCCCGGCGTTGCTGAAGAATGGATCCCAGGCATCATCGCAGAACAAGAGGAGCAAAAGAAGCAAATGAAGACGCTCACGACGGGCACGAAAGTCAACGCGCGCAAAGCGGCAAAATCTGCAAACAAAAAAGTCTACTCGGCGTCTGTCGACGGTGATTTAGACTCCGAGTTGATGAAAAAACTCGGCGTGACGATTTCCGCCATGCGCAACGATTTCATCTTGGCGCACTTGGCGCCAAAGTGTACGAACTGCCGCAAAACCGTCGCGGAGGAAAACTTGTACGTTCCGAAGGAGGAAAATCCGAAAGATCCTTTGCGTCTGTGCGAGGAGTGTAACTCGATCGAGTCCGCCATGCCCAGAGAGGAGAAGAAGTTCTTAAGCAGAGGCGAGTTGGTGTGCCAGAAGTGCCCGCCGTTGCCGGCCGTGAAAGAAGAGAAAGTCAAAGAGGAAGAGGACAAAGCCATGCAATCCGAGTTTTTCGATACGCGACAAGCGTTTCTTTCGTTGTGTCAAGGAAACCACTTCCAATTCGATTCGTTGCGTCGCGCGAAGCACACGACGATGATGGTGTTGTACCACTTGAATAACCCATCCGAACCAGCGTTTGTGGCTACTTGTAACGTCTGCTCTCGCGAACTCGAAGCCGGTGCCGGTTACAGATGCACAAAGTGCGCTGACTTTGATATTTGCGAAGAGTGCCGCGTGCGTGTTGGTCATCAACACCCGTTGCAACGCCAAGGCCGAGGCCGAGGCGAAAAGCAACAAATGACCGACGCGGAACGTCAAGCCAGACAGCAACAAATCGAAAGAACCATGGCTTTACTCGTCCACGCTTCCTCGTGTGCCAACGCCAAGTGCGACAACCCGAACTGCGCCAAGGTGAAACAACTCTTCCAACACGCGATGAAGTGTCAAACCAAAGCGGCTGGCGGATGCCACTTGTGCCGAAAAATCTGGACGTTATTACAAGTTCACTCTAAAGGCTGCGTCGCGCACGAGTGCCCGGTGCCTCGATGCGCGGACTTGAAAGCGTACAGACGACGCGCTCAAGAGCAAGTGGAAGAGCGACGACGAAAACAGTACAGAAAGTACCTCGCCGGAAACTAAAAAAAGAGAGAAGAGCTTTTGCGCGCGTGGTCGGTCGAAGAAGAATTGAAAACAGAGAAACAGAAATGCACTGTTTTGAAACACAACATAAAGAAAAGAAAAGAACCAATTATATATTATTAAAACATTCATCGTATGGAGAGATAGCAGAGAAGGAGAGAGACTTATAGAACTAAAACATGTAGCCCGATGTAAACAAAGACATCTTCAATTTTTCTTCACAATTCACTCGAAACCAATTCAAAAAATAACATCATGTTTCGTTTCACGACCGGCTGGACGCCGGACGACGAGTACAACGAGGAGGAAGACGAAGACGAAGACGAAGACGAAGAATATTTGGAAGAGGAGGAGGAAGAAGAGGACGCGAACGACGAGGACAACGACAACACGAACAAACCGTTATCGTACGAAGAAATCGCGGAAAAAAAACGGCAGCTCTTCACGCAGAGGAACTTGGAAATTCAACGCAAAACGGCGTTACAAAACGCGCACATGACGTACACCACGCGAGACGTTTTAAAAGCTATGGACGACGGGGACGCGGCGACTGGGATGTCAGCCGAGGCGAAAGCGTTTTTGAGCATGAAACCGATGACGGCGATGAGCAGACAGAAGAATAAAGTGTTCCTTCCCGGGGTGAAGAGAACGAGAGTGTCGAGGAAGATGCGAGTGAGCGCAGAGGCGGAGAAAATTTTAGGATTAGCAAACATGCTGTACGTGCAGAACTTCGTGGAAGAGGCGATCGAGAAGTGCCACGAGTGCATCACGGTCGCTCCGCATGAGGCGAGTCCGTATCACACGCTCGGTTTGATTTACGAAGAGAAGGGCGACATGGCGAAGGCGATGGATTTTTATTCCATCGCGGCGCACGTGAGTAAGAAAGACGTGGAGTTGTGGTTGAGAATTGCGGATATGGCGCTGACGTTGGAGAACAGACGACACGCGATATATTGTTTGAGCAGAGCAGTGAAAGCGTCGGAGGGGATTTTAGACGACGCGGAGAGGAATTTGTTGAGGTTGAACAGCGCAGATTTGTACGAGGAGTTTGGCGAGAAGAGACAGGCGATTGCGCAGTACGAACAAATTATAGAATCATTAGGACCGAAAGATGTTTTGATAGATCCGTACGATGTGCACATAAAGTGCATGAGTTTGTGCATGGAGTGTAGCCTGAAGCCGAACGCGGCGAAAGTTTTAGGTGGGTACGCGAGAAAGAACGCCGCGAGAGTGGACATGAAAACGATGTTGTTCTTGATTGATTTAGTGAGCGAGTTAGATTGGTGGGAAAAAGTCGTCGAATACGTGGAGTTATGTCGTCGAGTGTGGGAAGAAAAAGGCCATTTTTCGTACAAGGAGATGAAAACGTTCCCGCTGAATTGCGAGGCGATGAAGGCTAGAGCATTGATTATGCTTTCCGGGATTTACAAGCAACACAAAACAGACGAAGACGCGATTAAATACGAAAAGAATTGCGAAGCAAAGTTAAGAGTAGGGAGAATGTGTACGGATGTCATCATGGACGCGATAGAGAAGGCTGCACCTCGAGCAGAGAAAGGAGAGAAGAACGTGTTTCCATTTCCGGATTTGAGCTCTGAAAATTTGTTTCGATTGGCGCACGCGCATCGAGAACACGGCAACGATCAACACAAAGCCATGGAAGTGTACAAAGCGCTTCTCATATACGACAAAACGCGTGATAGCGCAGACGTTTGGGAGAAAATGGCCGATTGTGCGCGAATAGCGAGGGGTGTGGAAGGTGCGAAACAAGTTTACGAAGAGATTTGTAGCACGAGAAAACACAGCTCGGCGGCGAGAGTACAATTGACGGAGATTTTCTTGTACGAGTTGAAGGATGAAGAGAAGGCAAAAGAGATGTTGCCATCTTTAGAAGAACTGGTAAACGATAGCGTGGATGATAATGTTTTATTACGAGCTTCGGAATTACGACGATCGTTACAAAATATGGATGACTTTATAAGAGAGTCGTTACCAACGGTCCAACAAATCTTGGACGAAGCGTTGGACGTTAAGGCGCAAATTCAAAAGTTACGAGCGGATGCGAAGCACTTGCAAAACATAGAGGACGCGAGAAATAGCGCGTACTTAAAGAAAACCGGAGGTAAAGATGGGCTGAAGAAGAAGAAGCAAAAGACCGGATGGGGCGGTCGGAACGGAGGCGGTAGTAGGAAGGAAGAACTCGTCCCGTTGTCGAAAGGCGCGTTTAGAGGCTTCGAGAACAAACGTTTGGAAAGAAATCGGGAGCTCGATAAGAAATTCTTGACGAAAGAAGAGGTTGCGGAGATTGAAAGAGAAATACGGGGTGAAGAGACGAAGACTTCGGAAGAAATCGCCGCCGAAAAACGCGAAGTACAACCACAGGAGGAACAAAACGAAGAGACGAATAATAATAGCGTTGTCGATGACGAGGGAGGAGAGACCGAAAAGGACAAAGCGGAGCGATTGCAACGCGAGAAAGAAGCGAAAGAGTTCAAGGAAGAAATGAAGAAAATAACGGACCAAATTGATATCTTGAACAAACACAGAGACTCTACGGCGAGTTTCAGCCACCCGACGCAGTTCGTGATGATCGTGCAAGTCTTACACGCGCTTCTCTTGGACGGCGGTTTGAAAGAAGCGCGTTCGATATTGGACAAAATCGTTGGTTTGTCTTTTCCTCGAGGTTTGTCCAAAGAACAAACCGTGGCGATTCGTTACATGCGAACAAAACTTTCACAATTAGAAGGCAACGCGTTCGGCATGGCCGAGCAAGCGAACAAAGTTGTAACCGCGTACCCGGACATTCTCGAAATGTGGAACATCGTCTTGTGCGACGGGTGTCGTAACACCACCAACGCCAAGAAAGTTTTAGCTACAGCGAAAAAAGCGGTAAAAGCATTCACGTTCCCAGGAAACGAATTCGACACAACTAACTCTGAAACGACCGTAAACGAGAAAGTTCCAGCGTTGTTAGCGTCCGGATACATCCACGGCTGGAACGATCAATGGGCGGTGGCGAACATGCATTCGAGAGAAGCGTTGCGTTTAGCGCCGAACGAACCGAACGTACGTTTGGGCATCGCGTGCTCACAAATTCACGGTGCGGTACAAACGCACTTGAGCGTTAGTGATTCTGAGAAGAACGCAAGAGTTTTGCGTGCGATTTGTCAGTTAAATACGATGGCGAAACAAAGAAATGATGTATCACCTATGGAGGCGACGTACAACGCCGCGAGAGCTTTACACCAAATCAATTTGATGTACTTGGCGCAGCCTTTGTACGAGAAGTGTTTAGAGATTAAAGACGAGTTTGTGAAAACGAACGAAGATCTTGCGAAAAACGCAGATTTAAGCGTCGAAGCGGCGTATAACTTGAGCTTGATATACAGAGCGTCCGGATGCGACGACTTGGCGCGAGCCGTGTTGAAGAAATACGGTTCATTTAGATAGTAATAAATTAACAACAAAGCTATCACTAGGTACCAGTAGAGGTACAAGTAGTAGATTGAGTACTGTACTTTTCGTTTTTAGAACTTGAATAAGCCTTTCATGCGTTCCATCAGACGCTGACTGGCGTTGGAATCCGCCATCATCTTCTCGTCCTCAAAGTCTCTCAGTTTCATCTTTAACCGGATGATTTCGTTTTGCAACTCGCCAATTCTCTTCGCCTGCGACTCGATCAAAGTGTTCTGCGCGTCGTATAAGTTCGATTCCGCGTTAGACTTGGTATTCTTCCCTCCTTGACCACCGATGTTGCCAACTTTCCTCTTCGCCGCAACTGCGACTGGTTTTTCGTTGAAAATATCCCCAATTAACTCTTGCAAATCCTCTCCGTCGTCCATCTCCTCCTCGTCTTCCTTCATCGCTTGCGGCATCATGCTCCCGAACATGTTCAAGTTACTCTTCGGCGGCACGCCCGGACTGGCCAGCCGTTCCGCTCTCGGCGACGTCAAACTCTTAATCGGTCTTTCCGGCTTCGATTTCCGTCTTCTTTCCGCCATGATGTACTGCGTCGAGTTCTGCGGCGCCTTCGGAACGGCCGTCTTCTTCGCCGCCGGCGCCGCTCTCCCTCCTCTCTTCGCCGGCGTCTTCTTCTTCTTTGCAGGCGGCGCTCCCCCTCGCGGGGCCAACACTTTCGTCGCCACCGTCTTTTTCACTTGCAACGGTTTGTTCTTCTTCTCGTTGTTGTTCTTCTTCGTAGTAGTAGTACTACTACTACTCTTCTTCTTCTTGAGGGAAAAAGTTGCTCCTCCTGCACCACCGCCTCCTGGACTTAACAATTCCGCCGTGACGCTCGTTTTCGGGTCAAAAAAAGCCGCCACGGCTGGGTCGAGCGGTTGTCCTCTCCGAGAGGTTCTCGCCGCCGGCTTTTGAGGAGGAGGATTCTTCTTCGTCGTCGGCATCTTCTTCTTAAACTTCGCGTTTGCTTTCTGTTGTTGAATTGGACTTTTATTGCTCAAAATTCGATTTGGCGAATTCTTCTGTGTAGTAGTAGACGGTTTATAAGACGGCAACAAATGGTCCAACGAATGTCTCTTTTTATCACTGCGATTCTGTTTGTTCCCTGCTCTTCTCGAGGCGGGCATAAAGATATTTATGTATGTATTTATGTGTGTGTGTCGTGTGTTTTATGTGTGGTCGTTGGGGCAATTCGACAAATTCAAACAGAGACAAATAGGAGTAATAATTGAGGAGTGATTTTACTCGTGATTTTTGGTCGGTCGAGAACTCTTTAGATTTTCAACGCTTTTGCGCGTCGCGTGGCATTCATTCTATTTCTTCTTAGATTTCTACTACTAGTATTTCTAGACGTTTATTTCTAAACTACTTTTACGTCCACACGCACAACTTCCCGTCTTCTAAACCGGCAAAGAGCAAGTTACCGACGTCACACACCGAGGTGATTTTAAAGCTCGAAAACGCTCTCAGCGAGTGCAAGACCTGGAGTCCTGTTTGTTTGGCGTCGACGACTCTGACGAAACCGTTGGCGGTGGCGAGAAAGATACATTTTTCGTCCGAGGATAAGGAGAAGGAGGTTATGGCATCTTTTCGGGAGACGTCGAGGGAGGAGATGAGGGCGCCGTTGGTGGAGTAGGAACGTAGGACGCCGCCGTTGGGAGGATGAGCGACGCCGGTGGTTGCGTTCGCGTGATGCTCGATCGACCAAAAGACAAATATCTTCGCCGTGGAGAACGCGATCGAACACCAAACTGGGACGCATACTTTTTCTTTATACTTCCCGTCGATATCATCCGACGGCGATGGTAACGGTACCGCGTCACTCAAAAGTTCCTCCTCGAAGAAATCGTTCAACTTTCGATCGCCTTTGTTCGTGTTTGAGTTCGAGGAGCCGCCAGACCCGATGCCGTTCAAGTCGTGCAAAAGACAAGTTCCGTCGAGTGATCCACTGACGACGATATCGAGCGACGCGTTGACAGATACGGAGACGATGGCGTCTGAGTGCCCGAACTTTTGCAGTTTGGGCAGCACAGGTAATCCGAAACCGTTTGGCGTGCTTACGATTTCCCAGACTCCGACGGAGGCGTCTGCGCCGCCGGAAACTAAATACCCATATTTCATGTTCGATTTGTTCACGTTTGGTGCAAACACGCGGTGTTGTACCGCAGATATGCTCCCTCCAGAAAACGTGTGTCCCCCATCCGTGGCAAAATCTAATCTCCACGGTTTCGATGGGTGCGGCAGTAAGTCCATCGCCAAACACTCGACAATGTCTCTGTGGCCTTTCGAGCAGGCGATTTCCCCGCATAATTCATCGCCAGCGTATGCACGTATCGTTCCGTCCCAAAAACCAGACACAACGGCGACTCGGCCGCCATCGAGAGTTGTAACCCCGTTCGCACTGAGCGGAATTTCACCCTCAAACGATCGATCGCCTTTCGTACGCATTCGAGCGCCACCGATAATTTGTTCACGAACTTTTGCTTCTCTCGCGATAGATCTGCACGGTTGGTCTTTCGTGCTGCTGTTCGCCGAGTTAATTGGTTCCAAAGAGACTCTCGCGTTTTGGTCTTGGAAGTCGAAATCGAGTTTATGGCCTTCGCGAACGACTCTCGCGGTCCAAATTTTACGATTCGAGGAAACCGCCACGAGTTTATCGCGGTCGTAAGATAGTTGGACAATGGCGGCGCCGTCAAATTGCGCGTCTTGGAATATACCTTGTAATTTCAACGGTTCGGAGAACCTATCGTCGTTTTCGTCGTCGGTATCTTCTTCGCCGTTGAAGACTCTCAAGCAGGCTCCGTATACGGAAGCGTACGCCTCGCGTTTCCTTCGCAATCTTGGAATTCTTCTTGGATGTGGTCGTTTAAACACCTGCGCGGGCGTTTGGCCAAAGTTAACGATTTGCGTTTCAATCGCCAAGCGTTCCTGTGGATCTTCAATTGCGTCTAAATCAACCGCACCTTCGTACGTTAAATAATAAAACACATTCTTCTTCGATTTTGCGCGAGCGCCTAGTTGCGACGCGCCAAAGACCAAATCAATCCAGTCGTGAATGGTATGCGAAACATGGTCGGATTCTAACGCATCTCGCATAGTTTGAATAAATGTCCGCGTGCTACCATTGGCCCATTTCGGGAGCACGACAGTATCGACTAAGGAGCCGTCTTGTCGCTTCCCAAACACGTTCGAGTTGCTATTTTCGAGAAACTCCGGAAGGTAGAAAAACTCCGGGATCAACTCTTTCACGTCTGCGGTAGATTCAAGGACCGCGTTCCAGGTTTGCGAAATATCGGAGAATAATCTATCCGAGTGGTCAAACTTACCGCCTTGTAATTGCCTCGATAAATTCGTAAATGGTTCCAATCGAATCAAAAAGTACAAGACAACCGCTGCAGATGAGTAGTGCGAGCCGTAATGAAAGGCAGGCATAGACGCATCAGGGTCACTCTCAAGCTGTTTAAAGCGCTCGATGAACTGTTTCAAACGCACTGGGTTTAAAGCACCTATGGGTAACGATAAATCTCGATAAACTTTCGGATCCTCGAGATTAATCGTCGCCGACTCGTAATCGCTCAAGATCCACGGGAACACTGGATATTGCGATAAATCGTGATATGTTCGTCCAGCGAGTTTATTCAAAGCGATCAAGTAATCAAAGGTGGATATTTCGCGCTCTTTCCATCTCTTTTGCATCAGTTGCGCCGTGCGATTTTTTTGTCGTCGGTCAAGAATGACGATGGAGGCATCGAGTGAAGCGATTTTCACCGACGCTTCAACTCTCAGTTTCTTGTTCGCAAAGGCGAAAAAGACCGAGCGACCATCTTTTGTGTACATTTCAATGGCTACATTACGCAAACGCCATCGCATGTGGACTAGTTCTACAATGGTATTCACGGGCCACTTCCAAAAACGACTTACTATGTTCTCTTTATCGTCGTCGATAGAATCCAACGCCGCATCGCGGTTAGCGGTAAAGAAGACCACGTCTTTCGCAACATCTAGAGTACCTTCGATAACTAAATCTGAAGACGACACCATGCACACGTTCGAAACGGTAAAAAAGATGTGTTTGTCGCGTTTCGCTTCGTCAGCTTTGGAATGCAGCCACTCGGCTGTTTTCTGTTTGTCGAGAAGCTTGGACTTTTCGTTCGCGTCTACTTCACGAAGCATTTCGAGCTCTTTTTGCATCGTTTCTTCATCTTCATCGGATTCGGTGAGATCGCCGTCGAGGTCCGCGTCTTCGTTGATTGTATTGTTTCCCGAGGGCGATGGTTTTACTGTCGAGGCGCTTGCATCGATTTTGTCTTTCCATTGCTTCGCGGCGGATTGCAAAATCGGCAAATTTTCCTCTTGCGCTTCAACGCCGCTGCCTTTCGAGGCTACGGCGGCATTCACTAAAGTGTTGTTCTTCGAAAGTTGCCGCGTCAACGCATCCATTCTATCCCTTCTTACTCGTAAACGGCGTCCAACAGAATCTTCTTTTTCGCAATCGAGTACATAAAATCCATCGTCGCCGAGATGATCACCCACCGTCGACGCATCACTTGCAAATACCTGGTCTTGTGCTTTTTGCCATCTCGATTTTAAACCAAATAAAAGACGACGTAACGAACCTTCACTCTCTTCCACGGCAAACTGTTCGTCCGCTATTCGCTTGTCACACTTAGCAATGTTCGCTTCGACTTGTGTAATTTGAATCGCAAACGCGGGAGGCGCAGATACGTCTTCCCAATCGTCATCTTCCATCTGGTCGGCATCTTCTTTCATCGGCAGTTCCTTTTTCTCTTTAGATGCGGCATCCGGAATGAGATTTAATATGCGAGCGTCTTCCGGATCATTCGCGGCATTTAAACACTTTGAAATATTGACTTTACATTGCGAGAGCGCCTTCGCGTTGTTCCCGTGACTCTCTAGTAAACTCGATAAGAGCAGCTTAGCGTGTGCATACTTTTCGATGTTGCAGCTTTTCGTCACGCGAAGAAAATACGCGAACGCTTTCGGATGTTTGATTTTTACGTTGACATCGTCGCCGTCGATGGCTAACTCGACGAGAGCTTCCCGGATCTGACTCGAATCGTCATTGACGATGGTTTCATTACTCTTTCCGAACAAGGCTTCTCCGAGCGCATCGATTGCGCCATTCGCTGCGGCAACATCCATTCTACGTTCAGATTTGCTCGTGCCGAAATCCTTCTCCGCTGCCGAGGAGGAATTCTTACTCGACGGCGTTGCTTTCAACGCGAGGCTTTTCAATGCGTTCCTAATATTTTCCATCGCCTTCGTGTGACCGCGCGGAGAAGGATTCTTTCCTTCGCCGTCATTGTCCGCATCACCGGCGTTCTCATCGAGTGCTAACTCGATTGGGGATGCCGTTTCAGGAAGCGAAAACGCCAAATGGAGTATCCGTGCTGCCATGGCCGAATTCGAGTTTTGTTTACTCGAAAACGACGGTGTCGTACTCGGTAACAACATCGGTGCAAGCGCTATAGCAAATCCTCCGCAATTTGAAACAAGCTCGAAACAAAAGCGGTGCGTCTTGGACGCGCGTCGAAGAAAAGCGAGACAATCGACTAAGAAACCGTCGTGCGCATCTGATCGTGAAGCCGCCGCACATAAAGATTCGATTGCGTCTATGCAATAAACACCGTCGATATCAATGGTTTCGTCCATCAGGATGTTCTCGAGGATTTCAAACAACCCTTTGCGAAAGGCGTCGTCCTCAGCCGGGCAAAACTTTTCCAGCGATCGAACGATTCGTCGAACAGGTAAAACTCGTAAAAGCTCCGCGTTTGAGCAATTACTTCTCAAAAAGTCAACATACTCTGCGCGCGCGTCCTTGCACGTCGATCTGGCCCATTTTATGGGATTGAATATTTCAGATCGAGCATCCCCTAACGCCGCCAACCACTCGGGTGTCTGCACCGCGCCGTTTTTTACACGAGGTTGTTGACCTGCGCAACTTTTCGCTAACCAATCAAACGCTGGAATAAGCTCTTTAGAGAGTCGATTTGGAGTTATTGAATGTGCGGTTAGAGCGATGATTTTCTCTCGCGCGCGAAGTGGGTATCCCCCATCCGAAAGCAAAGCCGCGATGAGCGAAACAGCCGCCGGAAGCACTTTCAAATCGTCGGTATCGTCTTTTTGCTGCTCTAAAAGCTCGGGGATGAGTTGTTCAGCTCCGCCGAGCGACCGGCAGACATCTGCAGCTGACGTTGTGCTGCAAACTCTCGCGCAAAGTTCGTCATCGTCATTGTTTTCTGACTCGCCTTTAGACACATTCAGGTTTATGCGAGTGCGCATGTTCCCAGTCGCCGCAGTCGCATCAATAGTCATTTTCAAGCTCGTTCGCAAACTCTTCTCGAAAACATCTCTCGCAGCTGTCATTGATATACCCCTACGAAGGAGTAATATGGAAGGTTCGGCTTCGGTTGGCATGAACGCTCCGACGTACTCCGCTCCTAAAGCGTAGAGAAGGAGCGCCGCGCTGAAATCCACCGCCTCGGAGAAAACTCGAAATGTTGCAAACTGCCCCGTGAAAGGTTTTGCGAAGTTCGCTATACCAGCAGCGGCCCCGATGTGCAAAGAAACTGTGCCTTTATTGCCATCGTAGGAAGAGTTTGGCAAAATCGGATCCCCTATAGCTGTATTTGCGATACTCTGCGCGACGCTCGTTGCCACATTTGCTCGGTTCCAAGGATACTTCAACTTTTGCGGGTAAGATTCGTTACCATCTACGCAGATTCGCGCGTTTGCGCTCGACGCGCTCGCATTTCTACCACCAAGAATAAGACCACCACCTTTGACGGATACGCACACATGCGTCCACTTCCCTGGTATAATTGGGCACGACGTGTCGTAAAACGAACAATCGTGCCTTTCACCGTTGGGTAAAAGCGACGAGAGTTTCAGAGATCCATCTGGACGCAACGAGCAACATAAACCAACACCAGCTTCTGTGAGGAGACTAAAGATTCCTTGATCCGCCGACGCATTGCCTTCATTGGTTTCGTCTTCAATTTCTGCGCGTATCCACATCGAAATTGTGACACCGTTTGAACACTCCGCAATTTTTTTCTTCACGCGAACCCCTCCAGAAGCGCCACCAGCGAAATCGAAGAAAGTTCGAGGCGCATCGTTAATTGCCGCGCGTTTCAACGCATCAATAAGTAACCTTTTATATTCGGACGAGCGAAGCTTTTTCAATGTTTTCATCGCGTGTCGGAGTTGTAGCGCGGTGAGACAGTGAGAAGCGCAAGATTCGATGCACTTGGCAATGTTTTCGACGCATTTGGCATCGTGAATGATGGTATCGTGTACATCGCCAGCTTTGTCATCCAAATTATAATTACACCACCATTCGAAAAGGTGCGTGAGCGCATCCGCTTTCGTCGCGCACTCTCGAGAGGCGACGGATCTCTCGAGTAAATCGACAAGGAACCGCAACAGAAACAGCTGAGAGGATTTTGAACACCGCTCGCTGTTCCGAGCGATTGAGAACGCGATTCGCAGCGCACCCGGGTTTCTCAAGGTTATCTTACACGCACGCGAAGAGCTTTTTTCATCGATATTATCGTCGTCACACGCGAATCGAATTGAGGTCATAAGCGTCACTTCACTCGCGAACGAACTTTTGCCTCTTTCGTTAATTCTCATGGCTTCAATCAAGGCGTCGTACCCTACGCATTGTTCAAACGTCTGCGCGGCATCGGTACTAGTTTTAATTGCGTAATGAATCGTTTCGAGCGCGGTAGAGGCAACCACCTCACCGGATTCGCCGTCGCAGAGTGATGCCAACGTGAGAAATAAAGCGCCGTTCTCAATAGTTGCCCAATTTTGGCATTTGCGCACGCTGGCCCGAGGCGTTCTCTTGGCAATATTCCGAATAGATTTCAAAAGAGGGATCAAAACACCACCGCTTTCACCATTATCACTTTCTCTATCAAAAATGCGTGCTTTTGGTAACGCTTGAAAAAACGCTTTGATCCAAAGGAAAAAGGCATCGATGTCAAAGAATAGCTCCGAATCCGCCGTTCGCGTTTGTTCCACGGCAATATACGTCGCCAAACTTGAAGCAAACTCCAAAGACTCACCGTTTACCCACAAAAAATCGTCGAATAATACGCTCAAGAGTGACGGAGACCGCGCTGAGGCGAGACGAAGCGCAGGGTCTTCGGTCTCTTTTGCTAAAGCTTGCAATAACTCCGCACACGCTCGCGCACACTTTGTCTTTGCGTCGTTTTTCTCTGTTTCCTCGGTATCCCCAAAGACAAACATATTTGGTGGACACATCCACACTCTCACTTGACTATGTACTGCCGCTGCTATTCTATTCGGAGCTTCGAGTTCAACCAAAGCTCTGCAATCTCTAGGATTGTTTCTATACACTATGCGCAGTAAAGCTCCGGCTAAGGCTTCGCACGCGGAAGGATGAAAGACGCGTTGACAAAAGGCGGATAGAATATGCTGCAATGCGTTTTCATCTCCTGGCCTCTTGTTATCGAGTGCTAAGCCAACTAATAATATCGCTTCCTCGCGCGCGAGATGCGTTTCTTCGTCTTCCTCTTTGTTGCTCTCCCCGCCGCCATCGATTTTAGGAACTTCACCGAATGTTTCGGAGTTTAACAAAGTCTCCCACACTTTAGCATCGATGATGGCATCGATGATAATTTCGCGATTTTCATTTGATATGATAGCATCATTTTTTTCCTCATTTTCTTCTTCTTCTCCTGTGCTATGACGATTGAAGGCGTCTATCACGAATCTCGCCAAACCCGCGCGCAATTTCAAAGCGCTCTTCTTTGAAATAGATAAAGACTGTGCTGACGAACCTATGTTTACAATCTGCGATGCTACTTCATCCGATTCAGACTTCGTTATGAAAGCAGCGGCTGCAGTGAAAGCGGAATCCATGATGACGTTGGCATCATTGTCATCTTCGATTGCGCTACACGTGACGGCTACCGCGAGGGCCCCGGCAACTGCTCGATCTTTCGCTTCTGAGGCGCGAGCGGACTTTCTCGAGATTGCCCTAGACACAGTTGAGGAAGCAAGCGAAAGAGAGCCAAAACTGTTCAAAAGCGATGTTTGCAACGATAACGAGCTTCCAACAGTTGCTTCTAATAAGTTTGTGGGCATGCGCCCGGTCCCTTCGAGAACGACATCCAACGCGCCGTTCGTATTCGCGGACGAGACCATGTTCTCATCACCCATCACCGCACATCCAATCGCACGCAGAGCTACGAATTCGCACGCTAAACTCGTCGCAATTATTTTCATTTGATCGTCGGGGATCGATAGCGATGATGCCGTAGCTGAATGTTCACTACTACTAAGACCTCCAGAAAACCTAGCGCGCGCTATACGAGCAGCCTTCATGACTTCCACCAATGCACTCATCGCGTTCGATTCAAACAAAAGTTTGGCGTAACGCGTTGGTACCGTAGTAAATGCATCGTTTGGTGCATGTTTTCTTTCTTCCCATCTGGTTCCATCGGGATCTGAATACCATAGAATCGCCTCGCAACCCGCCACACATACCTCAAACAACGCATTCACGACTCCACTCGCGTGCTCGGCGTCCACCTCGTTCACGGATATTCCTCGCAACTTACCCGCCGCAAACTTTCCAATCGCGCTCATTTCTTCAAGTATGCTTCTACTATAACTACTCTCTGAACCTATCTCTAAAAATATTCTCCGGTTCCGTTCGCTCGCACACATCCTCGCCGCCGCTCGAATCGCCGCGCGTCCAGAATTTACATCCTCCTCTGGCTCTCCATCTAATTCTTCATTGCTGCTACTAAACACCTCCAGCTGTCTAGAAAACTTCTCTTTCGCGCGCATTAATTCTTCAAAAACAAACTCCAAAACCTTCCTCGGGTGCCCACACCGACCAACACCGACGGCGATTATCCCGCTCGGCGTTTCCACTTTGTCCACGATCTTCTTCGCGTCCCAACGCTTCCGCGCGTCGGCGACGAGCAAACGCAGAAAAGCGTCCCTGGTCGTCGCAGCATCACCATCGTTTGCTTTTACCTCGACCTCTTTCCACAGTTTCGACAGCATGAGTTCATTCGCTAACGTCTCGTCAAACATCACGTCTTTCACGTCTTCGTCCTCTTTGGCGACGTTTGATGGTTTTTTCTCGTTAAATATTAAAGCGCTCTTCTTCCTCTCGAATTTATTGCGCATCATAAAGGACGACGAGGACGATGAAGCAGAAGCAACGCCACCATCACCTCCACCGCGACCGGCACCAGACGACAACGCTTCGTCTAACGGACCGTTGTTTTTATCCTCGTCGTCTTCTTCTTCGTTCGAAGGAGAGACGACTTTGTTGTACAATTTCGTCGTCGCCGTTCGGAGAAGATTCATATCTCTCCTTTATGTTCTCTCTCTCTCTCTCTCTCTCTCTCTCTCTTTTAAGTCACGCGACGAAGACAGAGGAACGTGAGTGAACGACAAACGCACCGCCTCTCTCGACCACGAATCGCTCTCGCGTTCTCTCTCTCTCTCTTTACGTTTCGCGGCGATGTTTCGCGTCAACTTTTTGACGTTTTTTTCTTCGTAAAAATTTCCCCTAGAACTGCTTTTGGGGAAAGAAAACGCAATCGCAACAACTGAGATACAACTGAGGTAGGGGATGATCAAACACCGAGCTTTGAGAGCGAGATGTTGAACGCGAACAACGCGATTAACGAGGAGGATATTGAGGACCCGTCGGACCACATATTTGAAAGATTCTTCGAGAAATCGTCGTCCGATGCCGAGAAAAAGAGCGCTTTGCAGGAGCTCAAATCTTTATCGTTTCAGGCGGATAAAGTGCGTTGGATAACACGACACGCGAGGTTTTCTTCGCTGATTAAAGCGTGCTGCGTGGACGAAAAATACAACGAAGACGTGTCGATTGTCGTGGCGAACTGTTCTGGGGATCAGGCGAAGAAAGGGAGACGAGAGGTGTATCAATTTGGAGGGAAGTTCGAAGTTGCGCTCGATACCGTTGATTTTCAAGACGGCGGGTTGGGATGTTACGTGTACGAGTCAGAAAAGCGTATGTGCGAATGGTTTTTAGAGACGCGCGGAGAAGAGACGAAAAGAGATTCATTTAGAGGGAAGAGGGTGCTAGAGCTCGGGGCAGGGTGTGGTTTGCTCGGTTTGTTCTTAGCTAAGCAAGAAGAGGAAGTTTTAGATGGCATCGTGGTGACTGAATACGTTCCGTCTTTATTGAACGTCCTCGAAGCGAACGGCAAGTTGAACGGGTTATCCAATCGAGAAAGGTTTATAGTGAAGAGATTGTTGTGGGAAGAGGCATGCGGAATGGATGAACGAGAGGACGGGAGCATCGCTGACGGTTCACTTTCAAAGAGCCTGAAGAGTAACGATGAAGAAGACGAAATGAAATGGATGCGCGAGACGCTGCGTAAGCCGACGACCGATTTGGAGCGATTTGATATCGTCATAGGAAGCGAGTTAGCGTACGATGAAAGAATCATCCCTCCCTTAATTTCTGTTATTGATATGTTTACGAAAGATGATGGCGGCGTGGTTTTCATATCCGTTGTAGATAGATACGAGAAGAAAGGGGTCATGATTGAGTGCTTCGAGAATGAAGTGAGAAAATACGCAAATCTCGTTTTCGAGAAACGCGTTGAGGATGGAAATTTTCACTTGTATCGAATCGAAAAGAGAAATACTCAATGATTAGATAGTCGCGTAGAAATATTTAGATGCTAATGTAAAGTAAAACGTATGAACTTGTATATTTATTCAATTTGGGTGTATGTGTGAATTTGGGTGCGTCTGTCTGTCTCTCTCTCTCTTTCTCTCTCTCTTTTACCGTTCAACCTCTTTTCTACTTGGCTTTAGCGCGGCGACGCCTTACTTTCCTCTTTCTTTGTTTTTTCCGGTTCACTCAACCACTCGCAAAAGTTGTCCAAATCAATCTTGCCGTCACCATCGGTATCCAAGAGATTGAAAGCCACGTTGAAATCTGCATTCAACGACGTCCACTCCACGTGCTCGTTTTTCGCCATCTCTGTGAGCAGCTTTCGCAACTCTTCCTCGTTGATCTCGCCGTCGGCGTCTTCGTCCACGTCGGCAAACAACGACGCCAACACCATCGCGCGTTCTTCGGTTAAGCCATACTGAGCGTAGCTAAAACCATGTTCGTCGATGGCGTTTTTGAGTTCAAAGTACGCCGATAAGCGTTTCAGCTCGGGCATGTCCTTTAAACTCTCGTCTGCGAGCTTCTTGTCTTCGATTATGGCCTTCTTAACTTCGTTGAGTTTCTGCAAAACTCTCGTCGCAGAAACGGCTCTTCGAATCGAACGAATCGACGACAAATCTGGCTGACCAGCAGCGTCTTCGGCCAGCGTGTGCATGGCTTTCGTGAACTTGTCCAAGTTTGCAAACGAAAAAAAGAACAAACTGTACACGAACGAGAAGAACACGACCGTGTGCGCGACCGTTTCCACGCTGAAGATTCCGGCGCAGATGAACAACGTAAAGGCGATGACTTGACTGACCAGCTCCGACGTTCCTGGTTCCCACGCCAAAGGCGCGCCGTTCAGGAGAAAAATCGAATAAATTGCGACCGTCACGCCCAAGTTGAAGAGAATCGACATCGCTTCGAACAAAATCAGTTTGATATTTTGCTTCACGACAATTTTTCTCAGCTCTCTGGGTGTTTGAATGCCCATGGATTCAAAGTTCTTCGCGATCAACTCTGCGGTTTCCACCGTCATCTTCGAGTGCAACGTGGATTGAAAGATTTCCTTCGCGTCTTTCACGGACATTTCTTTTTCATCGACGGTCGTCTTTGATGAAGAGGACGACTTCTTCTTTTTCTCGGCGGTTCCCGTTGGTGTATCTTGCGTTTGCGAAAAAATACGAGTTTCTTTTCTTCTCGGAGAACCCCCCGGGACGACGCGCTTGATAATCTTCGCTGGACTGAACATTATTTTCTTATTATCGCGCTTAATCGTTTTAGGTGTTGGTTTCAAGAGCGCGCGCGTGAGTGTTGGCGATGCGAGCGCGAGCATGTCCTTGGAAAATCGCGCAAAAAATGAAGAGTTCCCAAGGTATTAGATACGAAAATTTTCATCGCAATACGAGTTTATACAAATATTCGTTCGAATGATAATATATAGAAAAGTTTGCGTAGTATGTGTGCTATTTGAAGTGTTAATTTCGTGTTATGATATTTCGCGCGCGTTCGTTTTTCTCACCCCGTTTTCTTCCGTGTTTTACTTGGCTTCGGCCGGCGTGGACCTATCGCTCATCCCGCCGTCCTGCAAAAGCCGAATGCACACGTCGCTATCTTGAGGCGCGAAAATTAACCCGTCGTGATCGTCCAACTGAATCTGGTACGGCGCGTAATCTTTCGGTCCCCACGTCGGGTGTCGATACCACAACGCGACGATTGTTCCCGGCGCCCATCCGTCTTCGCCTACCCCGATGCAACATTCCACTCTCGCGTCTACGCCGAATCGCAACTCTACGCCTTCCGGAGGGCCTTCGCCTTCCGCGAGCTCTGGTCCGGGCGGCCACTCCAAGTCTTCTCGGCCTTCTATCCAGCCTTCGATGTACTCTTCCGGAGGCATTTGTTCGTCTAGGATTTCTTTCGTCACTTGTACCGCTTCAAACGGGAGGCCGAAGACGCATCTGTAACGTGCGAGGAGAGAAAGAAGAGAAAGGACAGGTCAGCGCGAGAGCTCTCGGGAAAGAAAGAACGAGTAAGAGAGACAAGACAGACAAACAATTCAAGTCGTCTCGTTCCAAAGCAAAACGTACCCAACGTTCCCTTTAAACAATAACCTAACGACCGTATCAATCGGCGCGCAGTTCGGGTCTCCGCACTGGATTTCCGACACGTCCACGATGCAGTCGTGCTTCTCCAAGATGTCGTTCGGGATGTACGATTCCGCCCATTTTTTCACCTCGCGGATCGCCGCTCGTTTTCGCTTCTCGTTTACATCGTTCTCCGCGGACGGGAGCGTGAACGGTCCCGGTGCCATGACGATGATTTATTATCACGAACAAACGACCGGGAGTTTTGCAGGCTAGTTTATTGCGCGTGTGTGTGCTCCCTTTCTCTCTCTCGCCGCTTTAAGAATACTTGAGTATTCGCGTGAATTTAAGTGACGAATACTTTCCCGAAACTTCTCTTTTCCTCCATTAGAAAGCGCGAGAAGAAGACAAAGACCAAACGAGAGAGAGAAAGAGAGAGAAAAAGAGACGAACGAACGAAACGAGCACAACTTCACGCATGTCGTTCGTAGGCCGCCTGGCGAATTACGTCCTCAACGAGTTCCTCGTGAACGCGCTCGCAAACTCGAAATCGTTCCAGAGATTTGCGGTGAGAACCGACGACGCGATGAGGAAAGGAAACGTCTATAAAACAGTCTCCGAAGGCGCTTCGAAAGCGAAGGAAAGCGTGGAACGGTACGCGGAAGAGGCGAAGGAAGTGGCGGAGAAGTTTGCGAAAGAGGCGGTGGCGAAGAAACCGCCTCCAAACTCGTGAATGATTGGGTGTTTTGAGATGGATGTATTACTATTATTACTATTATTCAACGTAAAGCGCCGGGTACCCGAGGTATCGGCGCAAGAGCAAATGAACCGTTCGCATCGCTCGTCGCCTTCGCGTCGTTTCTGTCGTCGTCGCTTTCGTCAAATTTTGCTTTTTTTCTCGCTCTGTTGTCGACGTCGTGTTCGTCGACGCATCCCTTCGAGCGCGAAAGCTCGCTTTTCCCGTCTAAACGCTTTCGAAGGGCCTCCACCCCTTTTGCATGCCTCTGGCGAATATCCTCCGCATCCCCCGCGTATTTTTTAGCAAACGTCGTCAAATCGTCCTTTGGGTACGCCGCTATCGTCGACCGGAGTTCCTGTTCGGTTTCTTTATTCAATCGTTTGATCGCGCGGTCGTGTCTGTACGCGTTTTCGAGAAGCGCTTCGAGTTTCTCGTCGTCGTTCTTTGAGGTCGTCTCGTCTTCTTCCTCTGAATCTTCTTCCTCTTCGCGCTTGCGTTTCTTTTTACGACGAAAACGAAGTCTTCTCCCCATCCGCGGCGCGGAGGAGGAGGAAGAATCTCCTCTCGTCGTCGCGCCCTTCTTCATTGGTTAGTATTTGCGCTTCTGTGTTGTCTTCTTCTTCTTCTTCTTCTTCTTCTTCTTTGATGTCCTCGTTCTTTCACACATCGCATGTGATTTGACTTTTTTTCTCAGTCGTATTTTTTTCTCTTGGCTTGCCAAAAAAACGCTTGCCATAACGCTCAAAAGATCGTCAAATTCTCTCGTATCTCTGATCAACTCTTTCTTTTTTCCCGCCGGTAGTAGCGGAGACCATTTATCATCGAGAGGAAGAAGAATAGAAACACAAATGAGTGAAAACGAGGAAACGATCACGCTGGTCACGCCCGGCGCGGCCGCGTTGGCTTCTTTCAACGCGAAAAATTTCGAGGACGAGAACAACCGAGACGCGTTGATTGAAAAGGCGTTGAATGGGAGATGTGATGGGGAAGATGATGTAAAAAAGATCGGGGAGGAGGAGGAGAAGAGATACGACGCGGTGAAGCAGGCGCAATTGAAAGCTAGAGCGAGGGTCATGGAGGAGAAGAGGAAAGCTGAAATGCGACTGGCGAAGGAAGAGAATACGAAGAACGAAGAGACTTTCGCTGCACCAACGAGGAACGTTTTGAAAGAGAAGATTCGTTTAAACGTCCACCAGAAAAACAAGGACAAGACCGAGGAGAAAAAAAACAAAATCAAGAACGGGTTAGAGATGGTTTCGCACGTGTTGATTCCGTACGAGACGACGAAAGAGAATAAGGACACGATTCAAAAGAGCGGGATGGATATTGGTGCGACGTGCATTTGTGCGCTTCCGAGTTCGTTGTCCGTGGCGTGCGGTCGCGAAAACGGGTGCGTGGATATCGGGTTCGCGAAAGGCGAGTTGAACGTGCAAAGGAGGATGAATCCGACGGTGCCGCAGCAAAGGTTAGAACTGAATAAAGTTTGTGAAAACGTCGCAAAGAAGAGTAGAGTGAGGAGCATGCGGTTAAACGAGGACGTGTTAGCTATTGGTTTCGATAACGGCGCGTTTGTGAAAATTGTCGAACCGGGATGTTTCGAGGAAAGAGGGTTGACGCAAGAGACGTGCGTTTTGAGAGCATACGAAGCACCGAAAGAAGTACAGGATATATTCAAACGCGTCGCGGGAGGCAAATTGCTAGGACCGCACGTATCAAGGAAAGCTAATTGTCGCTCTCAGGTGATTTCGAAGGATTTGGAGGTTCTCTTTTTCGGCTCGCCGGTGTTTCGCGACGGCAGCTTTTTCGCCACGAGAGAGGTGTATAAGAACAGAAAGAGGAGGAAGAAGAAGCAAGAGGTGGAAGAAAAGGTATCGACGAAGAAAACGCTCATTTCGAAAGGATTCTTCAACAAATCAAGGAGCAGCGGTGAACAAATGTCATCGCCATCCGCCACCATCGAGGAAGTCCGCGAGTGCGACGACGACGACGACGACGACGATTTTACTCTCACGAGATCCTTCGATAAGTTTGAAACGGCATCGGAGATGAACGAAATGTACGATATCATGATTTCAGACATGTCAGAGAAGGAACAGACGGAAGCGTTGAATATGTCTTACAGAAAGAAGAAGCCGGAAGAGAGCGCGAGCGATGACGCGAAAAAAAGCACCGCAGAAGAAGTGAGAGTATCAGACGAAAAAGAAGAAAGAGGAGGAGAACCAGAACAACACGCAGACGAAAAAGAAGGCGAAGAAGACGAAGAGGAAACGCCGACGGTCGTCACGTATCGTTTCAGTGCACACGCTCACCCGGTACAATCGCTCGCGTATTACGACGAAGATACCGAAACGACGCTCATTTCCGGTTCTAACGACCGAACGATTGCTTTTTGGGATCTCGAGAAGACGTTTGAGGAGGAAAATTCAGCGGATGATTTGCCGTCGCCAATGTTCAAGTTCAACGCGGGGACGGAAGTTCGAGCGATGGTTGTCTCGAAATCAAAAAGAGTTCTTTATATCGCAGGTGCCGATAAGTGCGTGCACATGTTCGAACTGCTCTCGGAAGCTAAAAACGAAGGTATTCCATCCGGCGCTTTGAAAAAGAGAACGTTTCCGTGTCATCACGAAGGTTTCATCACCACGCTTTCCTTGTCGCAAGATAACACGCGATTATTCACCGGATCCGAGTACAGCGACACACCGGACGACGGGTTCAACAAAAACTATAATTCCGGCGACGGAACTATCTGCGTCTGGGACGTCTCCACCGGCGAAGCGACGGATGTCGTCCGCGCGCACAACGGCAGCGTGAGTCAGATTTTAGTAAGCAACGACGACGACGAAACGATACACACATCCGCTTTGGACGGTTGCGTGCACAGAATGAAACGAACCGAGCACGGAAAACTGCGTCTGAACTTTGAAGATGGACGGAGAAAGACGCGCAATCCTACGTTTGGGTTTCGAAAAGGATTCCTCTAGAGAATTTTTGATGATTTATTCGCGACACGCGATATATACCGGTACTATTTTACATACTGCTTTTATTACTTCTTCTTCGAGACTTTCCCACTTTTCACTTTCGTTGGCGTCGACTTTTCTTTCTTCTTCCCGCCACCACCATATTTCTCCTCCAGCCTCGCGAACAAATCATCCGCCGCGCCCGCTCGACTCTTATTCTTCGCCAATATCAACGCCTGCAAATCGCCCATACCTCCCCCAATCTCGCCATTCTCCTTTCCATTACCGCTGCTCTTCAACTTTTTCTTGCTCACTCTGTTCGTCAACGGGTCCACCGGCGCTTTTTTCCCTCTCACGTGCTTCTTCAAATACTCCTCATACTTTGGATACCTTTCCAAATTCTCGCTGAAAATATAACCGTCGATAAGCTCCGCGAACCGGTGCGAATCGAACTCGATATCTGAACACATCTGCCATTCAAACACTTTCGTCATGTCGCCCTCAAATTTCACGTAACACGCTTTCAAATCTCGCGCTTCCTCTTCGCTCCCTAAATACTCCTTCGTCACTTGCAGTATATCTTCCTCCGTGACTTTCTTATACATCGTCCGATAATACTCGTACAAGTCGTTAAACTCCTCCGAATCCATCTCATCCACCCTTCCGGTTTCATCGTACGCTTTCCTCTTCTTCTCGTCGCTCAAAACCGCGTACACTTTCTGCAACGTCTGAAACTGTTTCGACGCATCTTTCGAGGGGTTTTTATCCGGGTGTAACTTCAACGCGAATCGATGGTAGGCTTTTTTAATCTCCACGGACGTCGGGGAATCCTCTTTTCTCAAGCCTAAAGTCGCGTATAAATCTTTCGGGTAAGAGTCGTCGTTTTCCTCCTCCTCCTCCTCCTCGTCGTCGTCCGAATAGAGTTTTGAAGACATCGCGCGTTTATATATATATATATATATAAGCTCTGCACCGAGCGATCGTTCCGTCGTTTAAGGAGACAAAGGCAGAGCGCAGAGAAGCCCGCTTTTTATGATGATGATGGTAATGGAGTTGTTGTTGTTGCTGCTTTGAAGTTTTTTGAATTTTTTGTTTTTTTTTTCTCTTTTCTGCCATTTTTCACTCCGCAACGCGTTTTCGTCTGTTTTTCATTACTTCTTGTTCTTCAGTATTTGGCGGCTCTTTTCGGTCGCATTATTCACCGACAACACTAACACGAAGAAGAAGAAGAAGAAGAAGAAGAAGCTCTCGTGGAATAATACTACTACTAATACTAATAATACTAATTCACAACCACATCATGTCCTCCAAACTGGTCAAACAATCGCTCAAACGCGCGAAGGAAGGAAGAGGCACGTTCTCGTCATCATCATCGGAACAAAACAAAATTCGCAAGCATAAATTGAAGAAACGGAAGAAAAGTCTCAAGGAAAAGAGGGAGAAAGTGAAAGCGGAGGAACAGAGGAAGTTGGAACTGATGGGAGACACGGTCGACGAGAAAGCGCTGATGGCGAGGAAGAGGAGACATTTGGCGTATTTTGCAATCGGGTTGAACGATAGTGGGAGGGTTGGAGAGTTGGAGAAGTTTTTAGGTAAAAATGGAGGGAAGAAGAAAGGGAAAAGAGAAGACGACGACGAGGACGACGACGACGCGGGTGACGATTGGGACGTGAAAGATTTATTCGCGAACGCTAAAAAGTCGTGAGGCGTTGTAGTTATAGAGTATTACTAGTATCTAGCGCTTGCACTTTCTACATTCTACATTTCTAATTCTACGCGCGGTATATTTTACTTCTTTCCCTTGAGGTGTTTCGTGCTGCCGGAACCGCCAAGGACGGTGGCAATGTCCGCCCATTTGCTCGGACGTTCACCTGGAATGCGTTCGCTCGATGCGCATAAAGCCCTGCGCTCAGCTGCGTCTAATGATGTTTCACCATTTCCATCTTTCAAAGACTTGTCTGCTCCAAACTCGAGAAGCGCACAAAGCGTGTTTTTGTTTCCGTTTACAGACGCCCAGTGCAAAGGTGTCCTTTCAAATCCGTCGCGCGCGTTGATCAAATCCTTTCCTGATTTCTTGGAAATCAAAAGAAAGTCGTTTATGAGCGAGCGACTCGCACCAAATCTTGCGAGGGCGTGTAATGGAATTTGACCGTCGTCGTCTTTGCTTTGCATGAGTTTTGCCAACACGGATTCAGAGCAATTTTTTGCGAGTATCGCGTGCACTTTTCCCGCTTTTGCCGGGTTTCGAGCTGCGCAGTGGAGCAAATTTGCATTTCGTGCACCTCGGCAGTGTTCCAACTCTGATTCAAAGACACTCATTTTTATCAGAATGTCGAGGGACTCGGTGTGACCGTGTTGACACGCGAGACATACCGCCGCGTCGTCGCGAGGAGGAGAGCGCTCCTCGCTCTCGTAAACTTTCAAAATCGCCTCGATTGCTTTGAACTGATTTGATTTTACGAGCAAACGTATGAGCGATAATTCGTATTCAGAACGTGCTTCGACGACTGTCGAGTCTCGTTTCTCTGATATTCCTCCTTTTCGTTCCGTCCACGATTTTGGCAAATTTAGCGTCGAGGCGAGATGCGAAGCGAACGTCAGCAAAACCGGTCTTTGCAAAAGTTCGTGCGGGCTCAGCGCGCCGAAATCTTCGCCAAAGATTCCAATACCTTCCATTCCACTTGATGATATAGTTGGGATTTGGCTGAGAGTTTCTCTCAGCTTCCGAACGGCGCTCAATGCACCCAACGAATCACCACCCATAAAGAGAAAATTAGAGTTCAAACGCAAGACAGATTTGCCGTCGCTTGCATCAAGATTCAAAGCCAATCGCCACGCGTCTGCAATGGCAAAATCGAGCGGAGTCTCGAGACAAAGATCGTTTTCATCTTCTTCACCAACGCGTAGATTTGTCATTTTCTCCGCTATGAGCATCCCCATATATTCCTCAGAAAGAAGCAAACGCCGATCAATTTTGCCGTTCGCAGAGAGCGGCAAATTGGGTTCGTCCAGGATGAAAATCTGTTTCGGCCACATAAATTTCGGTAAGGTCTTCGAGATGCACCACCGTATGGCATCGACGAGGTCTGGTTTAATCGACACTAAGCCTTCAAAAGAGGTTTCTGGAACGCAGCAAAATAAGACCAGCTCAGATTTTGAAAAAGCGCACGCCGCGATGGCACTCACGAATCGCTCGCATGCCTCCATCGCTAGGCTTTCAACCTCCTCGAGTTCAATGCGAACGCCATTTATTTTTACTTGTGAGTCTTTCCGTCCTAGGAAAACTAATTCGCACTCCTCAGACTCTTCGTCGTATTTTGCAAAATCACCCGTTCGAAAGTATCGCGCATCGTTCAGCGTAATAAATCTCTCGCGAGTGAGCTCTTCGGCTTTAAAATAGCCTTCGCCGACTTGATCGCCGCTTACATAAATCTCTCCGATCTTTCCACGATCGAGATTTGGATCCAATATTTTGTTCAAGTCGTCGCGAGCGAGAACGATAGAAACACCGTCAAGTGGTTTGCCAATTTTCTTTGAATCTGAAGCGTCACGCATCAACCCAAAGGTTTGATACACCGTACATTCTGTCACCCCGTATGTGTTTGCAACTTTAATATTCTTTACATCGAGAAGTTTTTCGAGAAGTTTTGTGCTCGCGCGTTCGCCACCTAACGTAATGAGCAACGGGTTCTCAATCGCTTGCAAATCTGCATCCGAAATCGTCGAGGCTAGCGACGGCGTCAACGCGCAAAAATTCGCCTGAGATCTTCCGAGTAATACACCTAAATGTTCAAACGTCGCCGTTTTCGTATTCCCAACGTGCAAAGTGCCACCGGCGATGAAACAGCTTAAAGCATCGCCATAACTCGGATCAAAGGTAGAAGAAGACGCCATGAAAACGCGACTCGTCTCTGTAATCTTCAGTTTATCGTTTCTCGCCGTGCAGTATGAAAACAGCGCCTTCTCCGAGACGACACAGCCTTTAGGGGCGCCGGTCGAACCACTCGTAAAAAACACGTGCGAAACGAATGTTTCCTTTCTTTCTACCAATGATGATATGAGTGGAGCCCTTCTTCGTTCGTCCGAGCTAACGACCGCTTCATCCGCAACGACGACCCTGTCTTCCATCCACCTCCTTTTCGACGCATCTAACATTTCAAGCAAAGCTTCCTTATGCGTCCAATCCCTAACCACGACAGACGCAAACTCGCACAACTCGCACACCGCATTCAACCTTCGCCGACCTCCTTCTTCTATCGATATTGGCACGAAGGTCTTCCCCGCTCTAAGCACAGCCACCTGGCACACGTGCAACATGTATCCCTCATTAACCGCGACGCCTACCATCTCGACGCCGCGCATTTCCGATGAGCGCATAAGCGTCTTCGCAATCCTCCCGCTCTTCGTCCACAAGTCGTCATAACTCGTCGAGACTGTCTTTCCATCGCGTGATGACGAGAAAGGATCGTGTTCGACGATCGCTTTCGCGTCGGGGTCGTCGGATACTTTTTGCTCTATCCTTTCGATAACTTTCGATGCCATGATGTCTTCTTCTTCTTCTTCTTTAACTTCTTCTTCTTCTTCAGGTCTTCATCTTCTTCTCTTCTAAAACCAAAGTTTCCTCGTACGCTTCCAAAACCGCCTCTTGCATCCTCTCGATTTCCTCTGCCGTAAATAACCGCGCCTCGAATTTCATCTTCAACTTCATCGCAACCTTCTGCTTCGATTTACTCAATCGCATTTTGCCGCTTCCGTTGCTGCGACACATGCGAACGAAACTCTCCGCGACGGTTTGATTTATCCCTGAAATACTTTCAGACTTCGCAAACGACGGCGCATTTGCTGCCCCTTCGTCTCTTCCTTCTTCTTCCTCGACCGCTTTTATTGCTGCGTTTAGGTGTTTTGTAGTTGTTGATGGTGTTGCTAATCGTTTCAAATTCTCAATCGCCTTTTCGAAGGCCGGGTCCGGTTGGCCCACGCAGCACAAGCAGTTTGGTCTGTGTTGTTGCAGAGCACTCAACGAAAACGGGCCGCCGGACGAGGCGTTGAAGCGCATGTAAAGCGCGCGCGTGCGTCGAGTGCAAGGAGGGAAAAAGAGTGAGGAGACAGACCCCTAAACTCCCCTTCTTGGGAAAAAAGAGCAGATACGGAAAGCGTTGACTCTTTCGTTTACGACACAAAAGAGAACAAACATGACGCCTCCGCAACCAAAATGGAAAAGCGAAACGGCCGAAGAAGAGACGGGGGAGGGACAGCAACCTCGTTTTACCATGGGGTACTGGCAAATGCGAGGTCTTGGAGCCGCCATACGCATGCTTTTACACTGGGGAAAGTATACCCATCGTGGCGGCGCTGAGATGAACTTCAAAGACGTGCAATACGCGCAAGATGCAAACGGAGTGAACGAATGGTTCAAGCGAGATAAAGTGGAGATGATCAAAGACGCGAATCCTTTGGCGAATATCCCGTATTTGATCGACCACGAGGAGAAGAAAACCATCGTACAGTTTTTGTGCATCTGTGACTACCTCGGCAGAAAGATTGGCGTGGACGAGACAGACGAGAACTCTGACCAGAGGTTACGAAACGCGCAGATTGCGATGGAGATATTCGATTTGCGGAATAGCGTCATTCGCCTCGTGTATAAGTTTCCGAACAGCGTGCGAACGCAGAGTGAGTTTTACGAGCGACTTCCTGAACATCTTGGCGCGTGCAAAAAGACGTACAAGAAGCTGGAGAGTTGGTTACAGTTTCACGATTTTACGTATTTCGCGAAGAAAGACGCGGTGTCGTCCTGCGATTTTCACGCGTTTGAGATGATCGACCAACACGAACACTATCAGACGTTAGTGCGCGAAAAAGATGGGGAAGCTGTGGAAAAGCAAGGCATGTTGAGTGAGTTTCCGAGATTGAAGAAGTTTCACGCGGAGATGAAGAGCAGGCCCGAGTTGAAGGCGTATTTTGAGAGTAAAGAGTACAAGGAGTTCCAGTTGAACAACCATACGCTCGCGAATTCCTGGGACGGACCGGGGCCTTCTTCAAAGAGATAGATGATAGAATAAAGCATAGAGGGTACCCGTTATCAATTCGCATCATACATTTTACGCTAGAAAAAACTTTTTACTCCACAGAAACTTGACGAGCATCATCACTAAGCTCACCGATCCTGCGAAAATAGACGCGAGAATCGAAACCTGTAACGTTCGATCGAACCGTTTTCGTCGACTGGTTCGCACAAAACTCCAGTCGTCTTTTTGTAACATTTGAATCGTATTCGGCATAAATAACCACGGCGCGATGCGGTGAAAAATAGAATCCAATATTAATGGTAACACGAACGTTAAGAATCCACCATCGAAACCGTGCGAGATTTCCACGAGCGCTTTGGCGTCTGCGGCTCGTTTTTTCGAGTAAAGCGGTAAAAAAATCTTCGAATCGCCTTTAGCGTTCTCGATGCACTCTTCCAAAACAGTCACGTCTTCAAACGCCGAATTTACGCCCATCCCAAAGTACGGTTTGACCGTGTGAATAGCATCGCCGATTAATCCCGCGCAACTGCCAAGATGTAAAGCGCCCCCGGCGTATTGAAAATTCGGCAAACCGGAAAATTTAGATTTCGCAACCTTCTCGACGTTTTCGTCGCTGACCATTTTCGAAAACATCGGGAAATCGCTGTCCAAATACTCTCTTAATTTCTTCGGGTCGGAGAGTTTCAGGCACGTTTCCTCGTCCGTAGGTTTAACCAACAAAACACCGACCAAGAGACCTTCTTTCGTCGGCAAACACTCCATCGCGACGCCTTTCCCGGTTCTCGAGGAATAGTTCAAATCGGTCCGAAACCCATCCGGTAGTTCAATAGGAATAATCTTATACACTCTCGTAGATTCAATCCTTTCTTTCAACTTTACCATCTTAGTCTTGCACATTTTACTCTCATCCATCGCTCGAATCACCGCGCTCCCTCGTTTCCCTGCGTTTCCTTCCGCGCCAATAACCAACGACGTTTCGATCGTCTCCTTCGCCTTCGTGTCGCAATAATCGCCGTCTTCTTTACACTCGAAAATTTCCAACGTCGCTTTATCGCCACTCTCCGAAAACGTGCACGAATTCACCGCGACACCGTGCTCGACCGTTACGCTGTCCGCATAATTACTCTCGACCTCTTCCAAAAGCGCCGCCACCAATCGATCTCTCTGAATGACTTGCGTGTCAAACTTCTTTTGTACCAACTTCTCCACCGGGTTTCCGTCTTTATCGAAGTCGCACCTTCCCTTGACTCGCTTCGCATACTCCGTCGCCACGTCTAATAAATCGTATTTCTGCAACGCCAGTTGTCCTCGAGCGGATAAGCCGATGTTATAACTCCTCTGAGGATCCCCCCAAACGTCCGCGTTGTTCGCCTTTTCCGGTTTGTTTCTTTTTTCGAGGACTCTCACGTTCCAACCTCTGCGAGCGAGCATGATGGCGGTGACGAGACCAGTTGGGCCAGCGCCGACAATCACCGAGCTCTCCGCTTTTGCCTCATCCTTATCCTCCTCCGCTGCTGCAATCATCATCGAAAGAACCATCGCAGTATTACTCCTCGCGACGACCGACGAAGCGCGTTGGATTAGGTAAATGTTGAGTCCAGTGCCATCAACATCAACAGAAGAAAAAGAACCCAAACGAGCAGTTTTGATGATGCTCTTCTTCTTCAAAACTACCAATCGCTCCTCACTCCTCGAAGCTGTTGTCGTCGCAGAACGCTTCGTCTGAATCGGCTGAATCGGCAAACGCGGCGCGTAACGCATCGAAAGAGTTGTATTCGGTACCATATTTTTTGTGATGCAATTTTCCAATCGTGAAGCGAATTCTCCATTAAACACTACGCGCAAAGGACTCGCGATCTCAATCAAAATGGCAGGCGACAGCGCGAAAAAAATCATCCAGCGCAACCGCGCGAGAATTTCTTTCCTCCACAAACTCGTGTCTGTCTCTTTTCTGCAACACGTGCTCGTTCGATTCGTGTGGCAATTTAGATCATCATCATCATCATCATCCGAACATCCGATTTGGAAATTCCACACCGTCTTCTGGTCGTGCGCGTGTTTGTTTTGCTACCGGAGTTTACTGAAACACGCAAAACCGACGTACGATGCGCACACGAAAGAACTGGTCGACCCTGGCATGGATTTATCGCAACCTGGTTTGACGCAGTATTATTACGACTGCGTGTACGTGACGTGCGCGAGCATGTGGTTGAGCTCGTTCGTGAGCGATAGGTTTTGGTACTTGACGTATTTTGTCCCTGCGTACGGCGCGTACGCGTTGTGGGGGTACGTCGGGCCATACGTGAAGAATTTTAGGATGAATAACAAGAACGATTCGACGGAGGAACGGGAGAGCAAACACGAGAAGAGGATGCGGGAGAGACGAGAGAGGCGGCAACAGAAGAGCGGTGGTAACAGGCGTTAGATTTTTTGTAGGAGAGCGTTACGAAGCGCGGTGTTAGTATGTTTGAATTCGCAGAGCGTTTTTGCTTTGACTACCATAAATATATTTATTAAATGATTCAAGAATTTGTGAGTATGCGTTTGAAATCGCGAGCAAAGTGTGCTATGTGGCGCAGTTGTGACGCGACGTCCTCGAGGTGTTTTTTTGAGTCGGTTTTGTCGTTGTCTAGTCTCTCGTTCGCGGTAGTTTCGATTGAGCGATTGACCGAGCTCTTCTCGCAGACGTTTTCGTAGAGGTTGGCGATGGTGGATTTAATTTTCGATACGTGCATTTGTTCGTCGCGTTTCTTCTTTGATTTTTCTCTCTCGAGAGAAGACAGAATGCGCGCGTTTTCAAGCTCAGAGTGCAATTGAAGCAAGCTATTTTGTTCTGGTTCGAGACGCCGCGCGCGAAACATCGCAAGCGCGGATTCGTGTTCGGAAGCCTCTAATCGCACATTTTCTCGAGCTTGAGATCGTCTCGCCGTTAAGGTGTCGTTGATTGCTTTCAGTGAATTGCATCTCACGATGATATCGTATATATCTTCGAAATTCATTCTGTTATGACGATAATGATGATGATGATTGATCGAAACAAGAGAAGAAGAGGAAGGTGAAGGCGATTCGTCGCAAGGGGTGGCATTCGTCTCTCGTCCTCCATCTTCTTCATCTTCTTTTTCTTCATGGTGCTTGTTCTCTCCGTGTTCAGCCAAAAACGTCTCTAGATAGTCCTTAGCGATCGCGTATCTATTCGCTCTGTGCTCGCAAAATCGCATTTGATCTTTCGTCTTTCGCAATATCTGTAAACACATCTCCGCAGTCTTACTCAGCGAAACCGCGCTCTCTTTTTCAATCTGCTCGGCTTTCTCTGCGCGCCCGTACTGATTTTGGCGTTCGCGAACGAGCACGTCGTGCCGTAAAACAGTCTCTCGCATGCGCTTTGCATTTTCTGCGAGCGCTTTCTTACGTTCGTGCGTCACTTTCGCGCGTTGCTTGCATCGTAAAAATCTGGTCTCCAACTCCTTCAAAGCGCGCTTCTTCGCCTCTTGTAAACTCTCCCCGGTTGTGTTGCTATACTCGCTCAAAGAGCTGATAGTGGAGGAACATCGGCTGCTACTCGTCGTTCCGGATGAGACGCGAGGATTATCCGCTCGATCGGTTTCGTCATCATTTTGATGCATTATCCATGTGATGAATCAGAAACTCTTCCTTTTTTTCTTCCAAGTCAACCCCCTCCCTCTTTTGCTATTTTTGGAATTATTTTCCTTCTATTCTATACGTTCGGCAAATTGAAAAACTCTTTAAACCGAGGTAACGCGTGCGGTAACGCGCTTTCCACGCGATGACCCACGCCAGACACTTCTAACAACCGTCTCTCCCCTGCCTCTCTCCCTTTATTTGCCTTCGCCGACGACGTGTTCATCTTTTTCGTGTCCTCGTCGCCTTCGTTCGTCGCTCTCAAAAGCGTACTCGCTTGCCTCGTCCAGTGCACCGCGTCTTCCAAACTCGAAATTGTATCGTCCGCTCCACTCACGATATACGTCGGGCACGTAACGAACGGAAATTTGTCAATCTTCTTCGCGTCTTCGATAAACGAATCGGTAAAAGTAACATTAAACGTCGCCCGATAATTAAACAAGCATTTTTCGACGTTAAAGCATGGTCCCAGGAGGAAAAGCTTATCCACCTCACTCCCATTCGCGTTACTATTGGTACCCTCAAACGTTTCCTTATCGCACTTTGAAGCGTAAAGAACGCAGCACAAAGCTCCTACACTCGTCCCGATCAATCTCAGCGGCCTCTTCTCCCTCCCGCCGTTGCGCTCCGTTTGTCTCTCTTCAATCGCTTTCGCCAACACCTCCACGCCTTCAGAAATCGACTCTACGCCGCTCAAATCGGGAGCGAAAACATCGATTTGTAACTTTCCCAACTCGTCCTTCAAAAACATGTGCGCGAATGCATCGTTTGGTTTCGACCCACTTATGAAATCGTGCACGAACACGTACTCGAAACTTCGCGCTGTTTCTAAAATTTTATCTCTTCTCTCCTGTCGTTCGATGTCTTGTTTTGCCAAAAACTCCGGGTCGTTTTGATTCGTTTTCCAGGTGGAAATCCAATCCACGGCGGAGTCTCGGTTCGATTGTTTCCGTCGCTCTTCGAACTCTTTCTCTAAAGAAGGATCGTCGCGTTCTTCTCCTTCTTCTCCTTCTTCTTGTTCTTCTTCTTCTTCCGAAGACGACGACGACGCTTTGACGCGAACACGATGGTTCTTACGACGTCGCGTGATGGTGTCGTTTTGATGATGATGGCGACGAAGACGACTTGCTCCGCCGCAGAATGAGAAGGAAGAGGAGGAGGAGGAGGAGGAGCGCGAGGACGACGGGAGGACGGCGCGAAAAGAAGGTACGGTCTCGAACGACAACATCGTTCGTTTTCCGAAAGTTAGGTAATGTGCAGGGAATTTAGTGTGGATATGGTTGGAAATTTAATTGTAAATGCTGGAATAAAAATGCTCTCTCTCTCTCTCTCCATCTCTCTCTCTCTCCTCACGCCGGCACTTTCGCGGTCAACTTCCCAGCAGTGACGTTATCCAACACGTTTTGCCTCGCCCACAAATCGCACGCCACGATATCGTCCAAAGATGGATCTAAAATCAAATCGTTCTTGTGCGCTTCCATGGCCATGTCGATGGTTTTGTAAATGTCAAAGTAGCCGATTTTCTTTTCGAGAAACATGGCGACGGCTTGTTCGTTGGCGGCGGAGAAGACGCCAGTCATGGTTCCACCGAATCGACCGGCGGCGTAGCCCATGGTTAAGCTCGGGTACTTTTTCGTGTCTGGTTCTTTGAAGGTTAAGTCGCCCATTTTGACGAAATCTAATCGCGGCCAGGTTTGTTCGGAGCAGTTGACGCGTTGCGGCCAGGACATGGTGTAAAGGATAGGGAGACGCATGTCCGGCCAGCCTAATTGGGCCAAGACAGAGGAGTCCGCGGTTTCGACCATGGAGTGGATGATGGATTGCGGGTGGATGACGACGTCGATGTTATCGTAGGAGGTACCGTAGAGGTAGTGCGCTTCGATGACTTCCAAGGCTTTGTTCATCAACGTCGCGGAGTCGCAGGTGATTTTGGCGCCCATGTCCCAGTTCGGGTGCGTGGTCGCTTTCGCGTGTAACTTTTCCGGCTCTTGTTCGGCCATGCGTTGCATTTCCGCGAGGTCGACGTCTCTGAAAGCCCCACCAGAGGCGGTTAAGATTATTCTGCGTAACGCTCCCGGCGGTAATCCTTGCATGCATTGAAACAACGCGGAGTGTTCGGAATCCGCGGGTAAAATTTTTACGCCATTCTTCACCGCCAGCGGCACAATCGCCGGACCACCGGCAATTAAAGTCTCCTTATTCGCCAAGCAAATGTTTTTCTTTGCGTTTATCGCGGCCACAGTCGGCGGCAACCCAGCGCACCCGACAATCCCAGTCACGACCGCTTCGCAATTCTCGTGCGCCGCCACCGCGCACATCCCGTCGTTCCCGTACACCAACTCCGGCATCGGTCCGTTATACCCGCTCGCTTTCAAAGTCTCTTTCAATTTCTCGATATCTTTCCCATCTTGCACCGAAACCATTTGCGGTTGAAACTTCTCGATCTGCTTCGCCGCTAACTCGATGTTCCTCCCGCACGCGAACGCCACGCACTCGAATTTATCCGGGTGTTCCTCCACAATGTCCAGCGTTTGCGTCCCAATCGACCCGGTCGACCCGAGCAAAGAAATCTTCTTCACGTTCCCGTTCCCTAACTCAAACGCTAACTCTTCCGGCGTCGGCGTCGCGGTTCCTGGCCAGCACGCGCCGTATCGCGACTCGTTGTTGTTGTTATTGTTGTTCGCCATCACTTTCACACAACTTCGATTGACTTTCTTCTTGAATGAGGATGAGAAAGAAGCGGAGGAAGATTTCCTCCTCCCACTGCTTTTCGCGCTCGTCAAAGAAGACTTTTGAGGAGAAGGCGCGCGTGTCGTCGCTGATGATGATGAGGCGTACATAGCAGAGCGGTGCGTTCTGTGAATAAATAAACGATGGGGGGAGACAAAAGTATTTTGTGATGTGTGTACATGTCCTATCCAAAACTTCTTTTCTTTCTCTGTTCTCGACCAACCAATCACACTACTAAAAAACAGCCGAAAAAGAAACCAAAAAAGCAACCCAAAAAAACAACGAACTGCTCCTCAAAAAAAAAAAGAAAGATTTTTAGAAGCACGAAAGAATAACAGACAGAGAGAGAGAGAGAGAGAGAGAGAGAAAGAGAGAGAGAGAGGAGCACAGACGAGCAGACGCGACAGAGAAAGAGAGCGTAAGAGAGATGATAAAACTCGTCGCCGCAAAGGTACCGAGAAGACTCTTTTCTTCCCTCGTTTTAATAGTATTCGTTTTCTCGACTTTTTTTTCTTCGTCGCGCGATGAAAAACATCATCTCATCGTCTTTTCATCGCTCTTTACGTGTTGTTTCAAGATGAAGTCTCTCGGTGTGGTTGCGCTGACCTGTCTCTCGTTTTCTTCCATATGCGCACACAAAAACACGCAGAAAAAGCAAGCGGAGGATGCGGAGAAGCGCGCCGCCGCGGCGGTGAAAGCGAGCGGGCAGGAAGGGCCGCAGAAAAGTGCCGGGGAGATTCGGTTAGCCAAAGGTATGAAATCATCACTCGTGTTGTCTCGCTTCGATGACGCTCTTCTCTTTTTCTCGGCGCGCATATCGCGTGTAATAACAATACACTGACACGTTTCTCTTTTCATTATATAAAATAGATTTAGCCGAGTTGAAGTTGGAAAAAGGGATGTCGATTAAGTTCCCGAACGGCAAGAACGACTTGATGTACTTCCAGATTGAAATCAAACCGAGCGAAAACTATTGGCAAGGCGGCAGGTTTACGTTTACGTTTAAAATACCAGACTCGTACCCGCACGAACCGCCGAAAGTGTTGTGCGACCAAATAGTGTACCATCCGAACTTGGACACGAAAGGGAACATTTGCTTGAACGTTTTGCGCGAAGATTGGAGTCCGGTACAAACGGTCACGAGCGTTATTTTTGGTTTGCTGTTTCTGTTCATCGATCCAAACGCCAGCGACCCGTTAAATAGCGAAGCGGCGAAAGATTTGATGCAATCGACGTCGAATTTCAAGTCCAACGTGAGGAAGGCGATGATGGGTGGTATTATCAACGGCGTTCGGTTTACCAAGGTCATTTGAAAGGGCACACGATAAAGGGATTAAGGAGAGAAAGAAACGGAGAAAAGGAAAACGAGACTTGAAACGACGCGCCAAAAACCGAGACGACTTTTGCGAACGAGCGTATAAATTTGTACGCGGGCGGCGTCTTCAAGTCACGCGGAGAGAGATGCACCACGCGACATACTACTACTATCACCACAATAACAACAACAACTATCGCTTAGACATGTAAAACTGATAAAATGAGAAGAAATACAAACAGGAGGAGCACACGCGCATTCATATTAAAAGAAACCAAATACTCAAAATTATCCACACAAGTAAGTCATCGGGAAACGAACTTGATGGTGTTCGCGCAACCTTTTTTGGTCACTCTCACCACCCCTTCGGGGAGGACAACTACCACCGCGGCGAGGATGACGATTCAGACTTCTTCTTCTTCTTCTTCTTCTTCTTCTTCTTCCGTTAAATTCGTTCGACATTTAGGAGGAGGGTGTAGCCGACGAAAAACAACGGGGGTGTTAGTAGTAAGAAGAGCGACGATCGAGGAAGACGACGCCAAAGCGTTGGGGTACGGGGACAAGGAGAACATGTCGGAATCTATGAAAGAGTTCGCGGAGGAAGGGTATCCGTCCGACGAGGACGACATCAAAGACCCGCGAGAGCGAGATAAAGCGATGAAAGAAGCGGTCGGGGACGTGTTGTCGATGGCACAGAGCGAAGCGGACGTTATTAACCAGGCGTACGATTTGATCGAGAAGTTAAGTCCTGGGTTGAAGTTGAAGAACAGGCCTCCTCGAAGCGAAGGAGAGGAGGGAAAAAAGGAGGAGAGTTAAGTAAAGGAATGAATGCGCGTAGTGAAAGAGGATGTGTGATGTTGTTATACATGCGCGAAAGAGTAAAAAATTAGCGCGAAACTATTTGTGTTTTGTTTTATCACTTTAATCGCTCCCTCCGACGAGCCTTAAAACGTCTTGTTCTCGATCAACTGTGAAATTCAAGCTCTCGGCAAACGTGTTGACCAACTCGCCGCACGTTTCGAAACGACTGCCGTCAAAGAGGACCAAATCTTCCACCAATCGCGAAGAGAATGTCTGGAAACGGTTCTGCGAGAGTTCAGCTTTACGTTTCGATTTGTCGATGTATTCCATGTCTTTTTTCTTCGCGTTTTGAGCCGTTTCCAAACGGCGTTCGTAGGCATCCATGTCGCGCATGTACGCCGTGCGCTTATCCACGCACGGTTGATACGCAGGAAACTGTTCCAATCGTTTATCGCGAATGGTACCAAACGAGTTTTGCATTGCATCCGCGCACATTGGGATGATTCGGTCGTCTATCGATCGCGTCACGTCTAATAACTTGGTCGCTTTCTCCGTGACTAAATCTTTCTGTTTTCGAAACTCGACGTCTTCATATCCTCCTTGGGTGCGAGCGGCGTTCGCGTGATTCCGTGGGTCCTCGCTCTCGTCACCTTCGGCGAACTGTAAGAGTAACGTCGAGATTTCTTTCGAGTGGAGGGAAACTTCTTTCAAAGCGGCTAAAAATTTCGCGGACTCTTTGCCGAGTTGCTGCAAAACTTTATCAGATTTCTGAACTCGTCTCCACAGGTTGTTGAAATCGTCGTCTTTCGGCTTATCGACGACGCGAACGGTTTCGAGGACCATTTGCCCCGTACGTCGCTGTAAACTTTTCATCTTGTGTTTCAAAGATTTCTTCGATTTTATATCTCCTTCCGTTTGAGGAGGTTGTTGTTGCTGCGGTTGTTGATCGACGGATTCCGAACTCGCGCCGCGTCTGCGCGCAAAGAATCCGAGCTTTTTCTGCGCGCTACCCGGTGGAACTCCACCAGCTCCACCTCGCTCATCTCTCGAGTCTCTCGAAACGTCCAACGACCTCGACTGATGTTGATCTAACGTCCCGTACGAGGACGCCATCGTCACCTCTTGCCTTTGATTCTCCACCAACAACTGCTGACCGCCCTTATACCTTCGATTCATCGCCAGTTCTTCCGCTCTCGCGTCGTTCCTCGCCTTCACGCGACTTCCTTGCTCTTGTGACTGCTTGATTACGTTCCTCAACCTATTCCCGAACGATTTATAACTCTCCGCGGAGACCGACGTTCTCAACGAGCTCGTCGACGTTCGTCCCGGATTGTTAGGATTCGGACTCGTCGCCTGCGGTGGAGTCATACTCCCACCACTCTGCAGAGACGACCGCACCATGTGACCACCACCACTGCCACCTGCCGTCGTCGACTGCGTCTGCATCGCCGAATTATACGAACTCCTCTGCGTATTCATCCCTTGCGTCCCGTCCTCTTCATCCTCCAACTCTTCTTCCTCTTCCTCGTAATCGCCTCTCCCAAAATATCCGCCAGACTGTGCCATCATCATCCCACCACCAGTCTGGCCACCGCCAGAGGACCTCACCTCCGTATCAATCGACCGATGGTAATCCGCGCTTTGCGTGTACCTCGTATTCGTCCCCCACGGGGAGGAATCTTCCTCCTCCTCGTCCGCGTACATTCGCGCGGCAACATTGGTATTATTCTCAGCAGAACCATCCCCGCGTAACGCCGAAGACGAGGATGGAAACATCCCCTCGTAATCGTCTCGAGACGGGTTCGGCGTTCGTTTTTTCGGCGGCGTCGGAATATCGAACGGGTTCGACATCTTTTCAATTCAAAAAGTCAATTTTTCTTCCCAAGACTCTCGGGATTACAAATTTGGACTTTAGATTTGATACGAACAAAAGAGAGAAAACCTCCTGGATCCTTTGCGACGAGAAAGACCGACACACGAATCTCTTATTTCTTCGTCCGTTGATACGCAGAAAACAGCAGCACAAGAGAGAGAACAGAGAGATACACAACTTGGGAAATGAAGATTTTATAAATATGGTATTCAAAAACGACTTTTCGGACAATTAAATTTTTAGAAAGTTTGGGCTTCTCTTTCTTTTCTGGTCTTTGACCACCTTTCGCGCTCTCACCTCTGCCTCTTCGAAAGGTAAAAGCGTTCTCGACGACGACGACGACGATGTCTTAAGCCCCGGGCCCTAAACGACTTTCACGATTTTTCCTCGTTTGTTCCACGTCGGTTTCCAAAAACGTCGTCCACTTTTCGGTTTTTTTCAACTTTCGTATGTGCTTATCGATATCTTTGACGCCTTTTTGTTCGGCGACGGCGCGGTGGATGGCTTCGTAGCGGTCGACGGGCGCACGGTCGAGGACGGTGGCGACGATTTCCCAATCCGGGAATTTAAGGAGCCACGGGATGACGTTGTAATCGTTCAAAGTGAGCTTGTGTTCGTCTGGGATGTATTCGTTGAGCTGGTCGGTTGATTTGCCTCGAGGGAGGTCGTCGTAGTCGTATTTTCGACCGAGGACTTTGGCGAACCAGAGGAGTTGCATGTTCGTCGCGTCTGGGAAACCGTCTAATTCCGAGAGTTGTTCTTTGAACTTTCGGATGGTGATGTTCCCGTTTTTCGGAACGTGCACCACGTGGCCTTTCGATTGTAACTTCTCTCGAGACGGTAAGTTGTGCCACGCGGTGGATACTTTCACCCGAATAGGCATCGTCTCTCCGTCCGGGAACATAGATTTGTGCGCGTGGAAAAACGGATCGTTTTTGAACGCATTTTCGTTGACAGGGTAGGATGCCAAATCTGGATTTTTCTCGTTCTCGCTCGTGAGCGGTTGGAGTGGGACGTGTGGGACGTACGTCGGGGCGACCAAATCTGGGTCGTCTTGCGGAGGGAGAGCTTGCGGCATTTAGTAAACACTCGTTCGTCGTCGCAACACTACTTTTATATAATAATAAAGATATTATTCTTTTTCTCGAGATTGAAAAAAATGCGTTTTCGAGAAAAGAAGAGAAAAATACACAATTTTAACCACGCAAAACAGAGTGCACACAATTCAAAATAGTATTCCGCTAAAAAAAGTAAAACGAGAAGATTTAAGCGATACCGGCTATGGCGTCGATCAGAACCTTGTACCCTTCGCTCACGTCCCCACCGTCGATGTAATCGTTCGTGCTCTCCGCGATGGCCAGCACGTCGTTCTTATCCATTTGTTTGGATAAGAACAAGAGCAAATGAAAATCTCTCAACTTTTCGGCGTAGGACGAACACGTGGCGGAACGAGATTGAATCGCGGAGCGGATATCGTCCGCGGTTTGAGGAGGATGGAGTCTATTTTCGATTGGGAATCCAGATTGCGCAGTTCCGGTGTGGTCTTTGATCGGTACCGCGACGATCCAGAAATCGTTGTCCACCTCGGTCACGTCTTTGCGCTCGACCATGACCGGTTTGACGAGCTTCGTGTGACTGCCCCAATTGCTAAACGACGACCCTTCTTCTTCTTCTTCTATTTCTTCTTTTGTGATACCAGCAGACGACGAGGCTGGAAGTTTTGCCACGCCCGTCTTTTCGTCCAACTCGAAAAAGCCGTCCTCGTACAACTTCACGCACTGGTCGGACACTTGAAACGCCTCGAACGTCACTTGCATCTCCTCGTCTTCGTCTTCGAATTGCACGACGATAACCGTCACGAATTCTTTCCCGTATTTCGCTTGTAATTTTGCGCACAAGGTCACCTCGTGCGCGCTCATCGCGGATACCGACTCGTCGCCTCGATCCACGTCGCTTTGACTAAACACGCACCCGATTCTTTCGTATCCCATGGCGTTGGCGATCGCTTCCGCCGTTTGGCTCTCCTCGTCCTCCTCGTCCACGTGCGCCACGTACGCGTTCCCGTTTTGATTCGGCTCGTAAATCACGTCCGCAAATAACTCCGTGATCATCTCGTCTTCTTTTCCTTCTTCTTCATCTTTTTCCTTCTTCTTGCTGCTCGCATCTTTACTCTTCTCTTTCTCTTTCTCCTCCTCCGTCTTCTCCTTCTTCCTCTTCGTCTTCGTCCCGTACAACCACCCGAACCGACTTTGTTTAAATCCGAGCGTATTATTCACGTAACTCTGAAACATGTTCGCCGCGTGTCCGCAAAAAGACACCGACGCCACGTTCCCTCTCTCTTGCCTCCCAATTCGAACTTCTTTCGAAATCATCTCCTCGATCGTCCGTTTCGCCCCGAACGGTTTCGTCTCCACGTTGACTCGCATTTTCGTCACCTCTCTTTCGATCGAATCTGGATACGTCATGTAGACGATATCCCCGTGCTTCAGTTGTAACGATTTCAACGTTTTTCGAGGACTTAATACCACCACTTCTTTCTTCGTCTTCGCTTTCGTCTCGTCTGCGTTTTCTGAGGAAGTGCGGAGCAATAAACTTGGGTCTAAACTCAACGATTGATTCTCCACGGGAACGCCCCACGGTTGCTTCGAGATTAAATCTTGGACGTCCGAGATTGTTTTAACGACGTCGTTTTCTCCTCCTCCTGCGCCGTCCGCGCACTCGAGACGTTCGGTACCGTCCCGAGTGCGGATTCTCAAGAGCACCATCGATTGTTTTATTGTCTCGTTGTTGTGTTGTTTCCTCTATTCCGCGCGCGTCAAAATGGTGCAAAAAGTGAAGATTTTCTCTCGAAAAGCCGCCACAAATTCACCCGCGCGAAACAGATCCAACAGTCGATCCCCATGGCGAGAAACCAAGAGAAAGCGAACGTGCGTCGTTTTACCATCATCAAATGTTGTTTACTCTCTTTGTTCTCCTTGTTTTTGGAGCGTTCGCTCCTCTCGTAGTCTGCGTTTGAATCGTCGTTTACATCTCTCTGACGCGTTCGTCTAATTCTCTCTTTCTCTCTCTTTCAACGACATAAACGTGATATAAACACGAACACAACAACAGGGCATGTTCAACAAATGGGTCTCCGGAAAGCAAGAACTCCTCTCCGGCATGGACAGATCCGGCAAAAGACCGAACCACACGGCAAAATGCGACGACGTCTCCCAGGCGGATAAATTCCGGTCGCAGATTTTAAGGGAAGTTGGACGCAAAGTGATGGAAATCCAAAACGAAGGCTTAGGGGAACACCGTTTGCGGGATTTAAACGACGAGATTAACAAACTTCTCAAAGAAAAATGGCAGTGGGAAATGCGGATTAAAGAGTTAGGCGGGCCGAATTATATCGTTCGAGGCGGCGGGATCGAGGAAGGGGGGGTGACGGTGAAGCCGAAAGGGTACGAGAAGTTGGAAGGCGCGGCGAGGCACTATAAGTATTTCGGCGCGGCGAAGAATTTACCCGGGGTGAAGGAGTTGTTTGAGAAGAAAGAAGAGGACGACGAGGAAGGGAAAGCGAGGAGGAAGAAACGGACGAAGACGGAGATGTTGAGGAGAGCGGACGCGAAGTATTTTGGGTTTAACGACGACGAGGAGGACGGGGATTTTTTGAAGAAGGAAAGAGAGGCGGAGATTGCGTTGAAGAGAGAAGCGGCGGAGAATTGGAAGGCGATGCAGCTGTTGAAAGCGGCGGATATGGGAGTAGAGGTGGATAAAGAGACTGGAGCGGCGTTGGTTGATGGTAGTGGTAGAAGAGAAGTTCGAGCGACGACGACGACAACAACGAGTAATAATGGTAAAAACGTAGACGTAGAAGAGCCGCCGAAGGCGTACGTGCCGCTTCCGGAGGATTCGGACATAGAAGCGCTGGTGATCGCCAAGAAAAAGCGAGAGTTGTTGGCGAAGTATCAATCGACCGATTTGACCGACGCGGAAGCAAACGCCAAGTCGCTTTTGAACAAGAGAGAATAATTGTTGTGCGTGTAAAATCAATCAAGAAAGTTTTTGTCTGTTAGAATATTATATATTAGAGATTTATGACAAAAGACCCAAGTATTTCCCAGCGCCAAGTAACGCAAACATAGCTAGTTTTTTAATATCCTCCACCGCGGAAGCCGCCGCCGCTTTGGACAAAGCCTCGTAGGCGAAAACACCCAAGACGAGCTCTTCGTCTTTACCCTCGCCGCCGCTCTTACTCTCTCTCGCCTTTTCGAGCATGCCGTTCAACACTTCATTTTGCGAATGAGCGACGTCTTTAGACACGGCTAACGTCGAGCACATTTCCAAAGCGTCGCGAGTGGTATCGTACGTCCACGTATCCAAAGGCGCGTTGGCGTGTTCGTCGAGGAAGTTTTTCGTGCACGCGACAAGTCTCGGAAAGGCAAAGTTTGCCACTCGAGCGCGATGCGTAAACGCAGCTTCGCTCCTCTTTTTCTCATCTTTGTATGAAGCGAAACGCGTCACATCGCACAATTGCGCATAACTTTCTAAAGCGACGTCGATGCGAGGCGCCGCGCATCCGCGCGCCAACGAACGCAAGAAGCGAAGAACGCATTCGTCTTCAGCAATGACAGAGTATCTGAGAACAACTTCACCGAGCGACATGACAGACGCAATCGTGAGGTCCGAGAACGTTTTCGCTTTTTTAGCCCTGCGAGAGACACTCTCGTCGTCCTCGTTCTGTTGTCCTTCTTCTCCATCGTCTTCTTCATCCAACATCGCTTCTTTGTCGTCGTCGTTATCGTCGTTAGAGCTCATAATTTCAACATTTTGTCCCAAAACAGTCTCAAACGCATCCGCGGTTGCCGACCAATCTGATTTTGCCGCCGCTTTCGCGGATATGCCGTTGTTCGAGGAAACCGCCGGTGAATTCAACGACGCGACGCCTCTTCTCGAAACCACCACGAGCGCTTGCAACGCAGTTTTTTGCATCAACACCGCGTTCCAGTTTTTCAATTGCTCGATATATTCCGCATCATCGTATTCTTCGTCTTCTACGTTGGCCCTTTGCGTTAGCGTCGCGTTCCATCGTCGCGCGAGCTTTGCGATTGCTGTCATCGCGAAGCCGTACGTCTCCGCTCTCGTTTCGTCGTTCGCAACCGTATCGTACATTTCATAGAAAGCTTCCATTCCAGCTTTGGCAAATGCCAAATCCGCGGGTTTTTGCGTCGACTGGCGCTCACCATAGCCCATGGAAGTTTTCAATAAAGCGTTGAACGTTTCCACGCACACTAACGTTCGAGTTTTACCTTCTTTCGATTTGGCGCACATGTACCGCATGGATTTGAGCGCGCGTTTCTGCGCGTCCCATTGAGCACCGTCGACTGGCTGCGCGTCCTCGGCAACGCACGGAGAATTAATCAACTGTTGTAACGCAAGAATAGCGCTTCGACAATCGGCGTCGTCGAACGAATCCGACTTACCATCGTACAAAGAACCGAAGAAAGTGGCGATTCCGACGCGCGTGTTTTGCGGAGATACCGATGGCGGCAACGTGGCTTTCTCCGTCGCCACGTGCAGCGCTTTCATCGCTTTCTTCCACAGCGGTCTCGGCATACCTTTCGTAGTCGATTCGTCTTGCTCTAACAAAACTGACAAAAAATTATCCAAAGCCGCACTTCCGAGTTCTTCGCAATCGGACAGGACCGAATCGACAAAGAACGAACACATCTCGTCAAAGTTTTTGTCAAAGTTTTCCACGGTAACGAGCAACGGTAACGTGTTTCGCAACACGTTTCCGAACAAAGAGGCGTGCATGTTCACTAAAGAGAAATCCCATTCGATTTTCAGTCCGTCCGGGTCCTCTATAGACGCCGCTTTTGCAATCTTCCGGCATTTGTCGAGGGTCGGGTACACAACCTTTTGCGCGCACTCTTTCAATTCGTTCTTACTCAACAACGAAGCTCTTGAAACGAACAACGTCGCGAAAGTTTGCACGGCTAAATCTCTCACTTCTACTCGACTATCGTCGAATCGTTCGCATAAATGGGAAATGACGGGTGAGATTGAAAAGTCCGCGAGACCATTTTTTGTGACTAAGTTCAATTTGACGCCATTTCTCGTGGGGGTCATTTTTTTAGACGCCCACGACTGCACATCTGTCGCACCTTCTGGGCGGTGGCAGACATCACTGAAATAATCAGCGACGGTCGACAAAGACTGCACCGCAGACAGTGCGACGTTGATTTCGTTCCTTTGGTGCGCGTAGCTCGAGAAGCATTCCGACACCTCTCCGTAATATGCTCTGTCGATGTGCGGCAAGCACTCTTTTTCGATCACTTTCACCGTGACGAAGGATTCAATCGTTAAATCGGCGTCACCTTCGTTCTCGGCTAATTTCGCGAGCGTGCTTAAAATAATAGGCCAGGAAGTTTTCAGTCTGTTCGCGCGCTTACTCGCGAGCGCGTTTGCGAGCGACAATGACAATTGCTTCCCTCGATAATCCACGGCTTCGTCGTACATCGTCCTAACGAACGTCGCCACACAACACTCGACGGTTTCAAATCCGACCGATTTGGCATATGCCACATTCTTCTCGTCGAGATCTAAATCGGTTTCGAGAACGTTGATGGCAATTTTTTCGTAAATTTCGTGCGCTTGCTCGCGAGGATTCCCTGTTTCCTCCAATATGGTTTTAAGAAAATGTTTCGCGCACACGTCCCAAAACAAGGCAAACCTTCTCGACGCGTTGACTTCCATCACCGCGCGTAAACGCTCCAAGCTGCGCAAGCGAATGGATGTCATTGGTTTCTTTACTCCGTTACTTCTCGCGTTATTCTGTTCTGCTAAAGCTTTCTTCTTCGCAGAAGATAAAGCTTGTTTCTCCGCCAAGGCCCGAGCCTCTCGCAATTCCCGAATGTTTGCCTTGATCAAGGCATCCACCACGTGCATCAAATCGTCGTCGTCGTACGCATTCATGGCGTTGAACATATCTTGCGCGGCTTCCGAAAAGACGTAGAATTCTTCTTTGTATTCGTATTCAGTGTTTGTCCAGTTAGATGGTTTCAATCCATCTGGGACGTACTCTCGCACTCTCGATTTCATAGTCTTCTCCGCAACCCCTAACGTGCGTTCGAGAGACGCGATGGTTTCTAATACCATAAACCAAGAGTCTTCCAAGTGCCCGTTAGACGCGTCTACGATGTTGAATATAGCTCTTAAACTCAACGCATTCTTTACGGACAGCTTTGGAACGATATTTCCGTTATCGTCGAATTGCTTTTTGGGCATTTGCAAAGCAAAGTGACACAACGTGCCTAAAAACGCCTCTCTCGCGAGTTTGTGTTTGCATTTCACCGACGCTCGGCCGGCGTTTTGATATGCTTCCAATATGTATAAGCACGTGTCGTCGTTTTCGGCTAAGTCGAGAGTTAACGAAAACGTAGAGGCTAAGGTTTCCCAAACCGCGTCTAGCATTTTCTTGGCGGTTTGAAACTGTTTCGGCGATTCGTTCGAGTACATGACGCGTTCGATCGTTTGCGCTGCGTTTAACAAACCTTCGATGGCGATCGTTACTGCTCTGGTAATGTAAGCTTCCGTGTTTTCGAGGTCTGCGATTTCGTCGTGATCTTCTCCTCCGTCATCAAGATTATCTTCTGCGTCCTTTTTCGTCTTCTTTTTGGTCGAGATGGATAACTTTTGCATCTTCTTCTCGAATTCTTTCTGAACGGCGTCGTACACCGCGCCATGGGGTTTCGACGAAGAACTCATCGTCGGCTCCGAATTACTCGCGGATAAACCAGATTGTACTGTTCTCGCTTGAATCAAGCAAATGCTCGCTAACGGAGTCTCGGCGTTTGCGTCGTCCATTTTTGTCGGGTCGCAGTACGCGTCGTGTAAGAACGAGCAGATATCGTCATCGGAGCAGAAAAATCTCAAGACTTCCAACGAGGACGCTCGCAACCAAGCCGGCATTTCGCTTTCTAAAGAAGACATTAATCGAGCTAAAGATGTCTTTATGAACGCCTCGAATCCGTCGCCTCGACCTATTTTCACAATAATCTCTAAAGTTCGCAAAACGACGCGTCTTTGAGCGAAATCTGTCGTCTCCGCCGCGCAGAAAAATTTCTTCTCCAACGTCGCCTCGACGATTGGGCAGAAGCGTTCTTTCAACGTTTTCATCAACGTTTGGTTCTTTTGGAAGAGATCGAAATGAGACTCTACCAACGCGTTGCACAACTCTAAGCTCGCAATAGTCGCCACCGTGGACTCTTGCACGCGTTTATACTCGCAATCGATGGCACCCGATAAACAACCGTCCTCTTCGCTTCGACTCATGGTCACTAAATCCTCAAACGCTTTCTCGGCGACCCGCACGGCTTCTTTATTCTCCTTCTCTTTCGCCTCAACGAAAACAACCTCTAATATTCTCCTCGCGCTCGAAATCGCCTGACTGACCACCATTCCGCTCTCTTTCGCCGTCGCGCTCTTCTTCGCCAAATACATCCCCCTCGCGCACGCGCCCAGCGCGATCGAAACGCTCGCCTCGCTCACTCTCGGCACGTTCTTCCCGCTCTCCATCACCGCCGCCAAGCACTCCAACTGTTCCACCCACGTAAACGCGGTGGTATTGGTATGTTCCACCAAAAACGTCTCCGGCACTTGCGACGCTTTTTGCAAGCACTCCGCCAATCGATTCTTATGCACGCACTCCGCTCTTGCCAGTTTCGTTACGCCGGATAAACCGCGCGCGCACATCTCCGAGGACTCCTCGTTCGTAATCGCCATGAGGAATAAATGTAACGCGTCCTGTATATAAAGGTGGTGTTACAAGAGATCAATAAGATATATTATATAAGGTCAGTTTTGTTTTTCGAGAGCGTCCTCCCGAGAGCGTCTCTCGTTCGCCCAAGCAGCAGCAAGCACAAAGCGCTTCTCCTTCTCTCTCGAATCCATTAATCCAATCACATCGGAGCGCGTTTCGCAGCGTTCGTACTGATAAAAAGAAGAGATCCAGCGCGACGGAAACGAAAATAGAAAAGCTTCAACATCTCGTCATCAAAGTTGTGGTCGTGTCAGTACCTCATTCTTTTCGAACCATTCCCGTTCGCTCGTGTGTCTCGCCACCGCGCGGATTTGAGAAAACACGGTTTCCCCGCACTCGCGTATTTCCGGTTGCGCGTTTACACTCGCTGCTCCAAAAAAAACGCCGAGAGGAGAAGAGGATCCTTTCGCGAGAAGCGAGATTTCTTTCACTTCGGGTTCGATCGACTGGTACAACGTCTCGTTGTTCGCCATTCTTTATAAAGTGCTCGTGTGAAGTGTTTTCTCGAGGAGAAAAGTGAGGCATTCGTCACACTTCTGCGCGGGTGTATTCACGACACGTCTCTCTTTCTCTCTCTCTCTACGCGTGTGTACCACCAAAACCTTTCACAAAACGACTTTAACATGACGGCGTCGTCCTTCTCTGAAGGAGGAAAAGGAGGAGAGGAAGGTAAAGAAGAAGAAGAACGAGACGTGATGAGTCGAGCGGAGTTCGTGTCGAATCTCATAAAGGCGATGGAGATGTCCAAGAAAAGAAACGAGGAGGAGGAGGAGGAGAACGACAACGATTCAAAGACGAGAGCAAAGAAGTGCGCGAGAAAAATGCGATTCGATTACCCGCAAGTGACGAGGAAAGAACTGGAACGGTTGAGCGAAACGCTCGATAAAGATGGAACAGATTTGAGATTTGACTCGAAAGTGCTCGAGAATATCGCGCTCGGGGCGACGAAAGCAGATGATGCGAACAGCAATACGAACAGCACCGTTGATGGGGTTGGGAGTAAAGACGCGCACAGAAAGCTAGCGATTCAAGTTTTTGCGGAGTTTCCTTTGCGAATGATGGGAGACGACGAGACGGCGGCGAGGGAAGCGGAGGCGATTTTAGGGGAGGTGGATTTCAGCGAGGAGGAAGAAGCGGAGATGGATGAACCCGGGTTGGAGGATGTCGTGGCGTTTGCAGAGGAGAGTGGCGTCGAGAAAGCGACGACGGCTATAGAAAAGAACTCGAGTGAGTCTAAAAATGGGGGCGTCGCGGCGAAGGATGACGACTCGACGGACGACGACGACGACGCGGCGAATTGGCTCCCTCTGGAAATGAACGGGTTGAATACCACGAGCAACGGAGAGATGGAGACGCAACGAAGGCATGTCAGGACGTTCACGAGGATTGAAAAAGTGCAGTTTCTTTTACGGAAGTTGACGCCGGCGTTGATTGGCGCGGACGACTACTCGAGAGTTTCCGACGGCTCCGCGCCGTACGTTTCTAGAAAAACAACCGAAACGCTCACAAAACTGTTCGAGAACATCTCCGAGAAAATACAAAGTAGTGATAGAAAGAATAGCGGAGGAGATGAGTATTTGTTTTATCGTGAGATGCGTTCAGCTGCGATGAACTGTCTGCGCTCGAGATTTCTCGTGAGTCCGAACGATATCGTCGCGAACGAGTGTTTGAAACGAATTTTGAAATCGTTGCGATTCGGCGAATACGCGAAACGATCCGCTTTGGAGAAGAAAATGAACGGCGACGACGGCGCGAAAGAGGATGAGTTAGACTCGATGGCACTTTTAGCGCACTTGGCGGTTCGATTTGCGGAGAAAAACGCGCTCGGGGTGAACTTTTCAGTTTTCGGACAACTTGAGAAGAGCGCATCTTCTTCTTCGAGTAATTTATCGAACGCGAGAAGAGCGTTCGCGCCGCTCGTCGCGGATTCGCTTTTGGTTATTGCCACTCGATTCTGGAGTTTTGCCGGTACGGAGAAGGATAAAAAAGGCAACGACAGCATGACAAATGTCGACGAAGAAGACACCGCGTTGAACGCGTGTGCGCTGTTGTTATCGTACGTGTTCACAACGAGCGACGCGAACGCCGCCGACGGCATGATTTTGAATTCTGGGTGCATCGCTTCCCTGGCGGCGTATTTTTCTGCAAAAGGCGTCCTCAAAATAGAAGAAGAAGACAACGCGTCCTCTTACTTCGCACCTGGATCAGCCGCAGCGCGACGATGCATCAGTTTAGGCATCGCGTCTTCGAAAGCTACCAGAGAATACTTTTCGAAAGCGCCGATGTGCGTCGCGGCGTCCAAGTTGGATACCTTTGTAAACAGTTCGCACGGCGTCGTTTGGTCGCTCGCCGTCGACGCCGACGAAGAAGAAGCGGTGAAACGAATGAAGCATATCTCATCAACGCACGCAAACTCAATTGAAATGTTGAATACGATTTTGCTCGTTTCGGCGTGCTTCGCTTCGGCGAATACTAAAAACAACGCGTTGTGGCAGAGAAAGGGCGCGTTTCACCAAACGTTGGCGGAGATTTTAGCGTCCACGAAAGAGGTTGAAAAATGCCTCGTCGAAGACGCGAAACGAAGAATCGCCGAACGCAGAGGTCAAAACGAAAGGAAGCAAAACGATAGCGACGACGACGAAGATGATAAGAACACAGAATCGGTGAACGCTTCCTCTCTATCGGACGCTAAAATTGACCCAGAATTGGAAAAAGCGAGAGACATCGCGACTTTGTCGAGCAGAGTGTTAAAGGATCTCGTCGCGGCGAGCACTTTGGGGGACGTCGCTGCCATTCGAAAGAGCGATTAGTTGTGGTAGAAGTAGTTGTAGTAGTAGTAGTAGGGTAGTAGTAGTAGTACGTAGAGTAGCAATGATTCAATATTTATGACAAAATGTTTTATTTGATCTTTAGCCGGTGATGAGCGGAACTTGTTCCTCCTTATCTTTCTTCTTCCTCGAGCCGATAGATCCGTCGTCGCCACCTTGTCCCTGTTGTTGTTGTTCCGGACCTTCTTCAACTTTTCTCTTCGGTTCAAATTGGTACACGGAGTAAATCACGTTTCTTCGGATTTGCGCCATCATCTCGACGAACAAGTTGTAACCTTCCAACTTATATTCGATGAGCGGATCTTTCTGTGCGTAGCCTCTTAAGCCGACCGCTTGTTGCACAAACTTGATGGCTTGCAAGTGTTCTTTCCACAAGTTATCGGTTTGGCTCAAAACGAAGTATCTTTCCGCCTCGGTCATCAACCCAGGTTGTAACGCTTCAATTTCGCCTCTCTTTTGCAAGTAGGCGTCCTTGCCTCTCTTGACCAAATAGTTCCGCAAGCCTTCGACGCCGCCTTTGCTCGCCTCTGCACGCAAAACGTCCTCGGTCAAATCGTTCATGAGTTTGCAATATTGCGCGCATTTGCTGGCCAAACCGTCCAACGGCCACTCGGCGACTGGAACGGACGTGTCGATGTTCGCTTTGACGATATCGTCGATAGTTTTTTCGCTGTATTCGAGCATGACTTCTTTCAACTTGTCGTCGCTCGATTTCAATGCTTTTCTTCTCTCAAAATATACTTTTTCTCTTTGCGAGTTCAACACTTGATCGTAATCGAAGAGTTGTTTACGGATGTCGTAAAAGTACGTCTCGACTTTGGTTTGCGCGGAATCGAGGGAGGCGGTGAGCATGCCAGACTCAATCGGCATGTCTTCCACGCGGAACATGGACATCATGTTTTGAATCTTATCGCCGCCAAAGATGCGGAACAAATTATCCTCGAGCGATAGAAAGTACCTCGTGGAGCCTGGATCGCCTTGACGACCGGAACGACCGCGCAACTGGTTATCAACGCGTCGGGATTCGTGACGTTCGGTACCGACGACGTGTAAACCGCCGAGCTGCAACACTTCCTCTTTCTCCTTTTTCGTAAACGTTTCAAATTCACCTTCGATTTTCGTAAACGCGTCGCGAATGGCCAAGAAAGCCTCGTCGTCCGTCGGACCTTTTTCGCACGCGAAGGATAATCGGTCTTCGGCTTCCAAGATTTCCAAGGAGCGTTCGCCCCAATTCGCGATGGCTTTCTCAACCGCGTTCGCCAGAGCCGCCGAAGCTTCGCTGGAAATATCGCACGGATATAACCCGTCTTTCACTTTCCATTTGTTCTCCTTGGCTTTACCTAAATTGCCCTTCTTTTCAAACGCGAGGTCGCCGTCTTCCGGTTTTACGATTTTTGGCAACAAAGCTTCGCGGACGCGTAATCTCGCCATGAACTCGGCGTTACCGCCGAGCAAAATATCCGTACCGCGACCCGCCATGTTCGTCGCGATGGTTACCGCGCCTTTACGACCGGATTGAGCGACAATTTCAGATTCACGTTCGACATTTTCTGGTTTCGCGTTCAGCAGTTCGTACGCGATGCCGTCTTCATCCAACAAACGAGCAATCGCTTCGGAACGTTCCACGGACGTCGTGCCGACAAGCACCGGTCGTCCTTTCTTGTGCATTCTCGCGATCTCTCTCCTCACGGCGTTCCATTTCCCACTTTCCGATCGAAATACGACATCCGTCGCGTCTTCTCTCGAGACCGATCTGTTCGTTGGCACGACTTGAACGGACAAATCGTAAATTTTATCGAATTCTGTCAATTCTGTTTCCGCGGTACCGGTCATGCCGCCGAGTTTCGGAAAGGTTCGGAAAAACGCCTGGTACGTCACCGAGGCAATCGTGACGGTTTCATTTTGAATCGTCACGCCTTCCTTGGCTTCAACGGCTTGATGCAAACCGTCCGACCATCGTCTGCCTTGCATCGTTCTCCCGGTGAATTCATCGACGATAATAATTTCTTGCCCTCGTACGATGTAGTTCACGTCCTTCAATTGCAACTCTTTCGCTTTAATCGCGTTGATGATGTACAACGCCCACTGTGTTCTCGGATCGTACAAATCGTCCACGTCCAACAAATCCTCCGCGGCTTCGTAACCTTCCTCGGTCAATTGTACGCTTTTTTGCTTCTCGTCCACGGTGTAATGCACGCTCTTTTGAAACGCGTCCGCGATTTTCGCCGCTTGGACGTACCTCTCCGACGGCTTATCCGCCACCCCGGAAATAATCAGCGGCGTTCTCGCCTCGTCGATCAAAATGGAATCCACTTCGTCGATGATGCAAAAGTTAAATTCTCTCAGCACCAAATCTTCTGGAACTTGCGCCAAGTTATCTCTCAAGTAATCAAACCCGAGCTCCGAGTTCGTCACGTACGTCACGTCCTTCGAATACCCGCTCCTCCTCTCTTGCTCGCTCATGTTCGCTTGAATCAACCCGACGGAAAGACCTAAAAACTTGTGAATCTGGCCAATCCACTCCATATCTCTCTTCGCCAAATAGTCGTTCACGGTGACCACGTGCACGCCTTTCCCGCTCAGCGCGTTCAAGTACGCCGGCAACGCCGACACGAGCGTCTTCCCTTCCCCCGTTCGCATCTCCGCGATTTGCCCTTCGTGCAAAATCACCCCGCCAATCACTTGCACGTCGAACGGTCTCAACCCTAAAACTCTCTTCGACGCTTCCCTGACCGTCGCGAATGCTTCCGGTAAGAGCTGGTCCAAACTCTCCTTCCCGTTCGCGAGTCTCTGGCGAAACTTCTCCGTTCGCCCTCTTAATTCCTCATCCGTCATCGATGAAATCGATTGTTCCAATTGGTTCACTTTTTGAACGATCGGTTGGTATCGCTCTTTCGTCTTCATCGCTGGGTCCGTTTGGAACGGGTTTTTCAAGGTGAACTTCTCGAACATCGCTTCCGTTTTAAGAAAAGAAACTCGTCGTCGTCCTCGTCGTCCTTCGGGGAAGAATGACGTCTTCCTTCCGCTCAAATCATTCGTCATCTTTCTACCACTTAAAAGACTTCCTCCGTGATTTCTTCCTCCTCCTCTCAAAACAGAAGAAGAAGAAGAGGCGCGCGGAAAGCTCGAAGCAGTGCTCGCGCTGACGCTCATTTTGATGACGTGCGCGTTGTCGCTCTTCTCTTTGTGCAACAAAAGAGGAACGAGGAAAAGCGAGAGAGATTTTATCCAAAAATGGCGCTCTTTGTATCTGAGACCCTAAACATGACCCTAAACAATTTTTCAAGCGCGATTTTTTCTCCTTCGTTTCTTGAGTTTCCGTCACAACTCTGAGTGTGCGAACGCGACGAGAACCATGACGACCACGGCAGCGACGCTAATTCCTTCGTTTCAACGTTGGTGTCGTCCTTGTTTTTGTTCTTCTTCTTCGCTTTTTATCGAGAAGAAGAAGCGTTTGAATGCTACTCGTACCGCTTCTTTTTCTTTGTCTGCTTCCCGTCGTCGCGTGCTTTCCTCGAGAGGAGGAGCGAAGCATCATCGTCGCGCTGTCGGTGCGTTCGTTGGAGCGTCTTTAACGAACGACGAGGAGACAGAGGACAACAACAACAACAGCAACGACGACGACAACAACAACACGTTTTCGTTGATAAACGAGGGAGAACTGTCGGACGCGTTAGAACTCGAGTTCGAAAATCCAGGCTTTGAGGTGTTCAAAGACTACGACGTCGCCTCGGACGAAGAGGAGATGCGGTTTCAACGAACGTTGATGATTTTGGAAAAGTATCACCTCGAATTCGCGTTGTTTTTACCGAAGAGTACGAACATCGGGATGTACGTGTACACGCAGATACGAGAGATGTCGGAATATAATCGAGGAAGGTTACTGTGGTCGATGACGTCGAGAGGGATTGAAAACGCGTGGTTGATTAGCGGGGAAGGGTACAAGTTGAGCGCGATTGAACGAGACGCGGTGGCGGGGAGGAGGATGACGGCGAGAGGCGACATCGAGGAGGCGTTGGAGGAGTACGGGTTTGTGGATGAAGACGAGGACGATGGAAGAGACGAGGAGGAGGAGGAGAGCTTGGATGAGGACGAGTATAGTTTAGAGGATGATGAAAAGGATAAAAAATACAACGCCGTCGTGTACGAAGGCAGAGCGGCGAACGTTCCAAGCAAATGGTTGAATCGATTTCAAAAAGTTTTTTATAAAGCGCCTCGCGACGCGCGGTTCGCGAAGGACGACCCGTATCAACCGGTCACTTTTCGAGGACGCGTTCCGTTGAGAGGATTAGGCAAGCACGTCTTACGAGACAAGTTGCCGCTGTATTTTTCAACCTCCGACGCGAACATTTCCTCCGATCGAATGAAAATTGAAAACACGATGGAGTACGTCGACCCGTTGGCGTTGCATTACTCCGCGGAGTATTTAAAGTTTCGAGCGCCTGGAGAGGTGTCTGATTTGACCGGTAAGATGGATACGAGGGAGCGAAAAACGTCTCTACCGATAAAGTGGCCGCCGGTGGTGGCAAATTTCTTCCCGTTCGACATTTTGACCGATTACGTGCGGCCGCTCGGACCGGGCGTTCTCGTCGGGAACGGATTTCGCGGCGATTCGCAAACGACGTTTTTAAAGTTTCTTCTCGTTCGCGGGGACTATCTGGACGCGGAAAGGAAGGGTCCAAAGCTGATCAAACTGGAAAAGTAGCGCTACGCTTCAATGGAATACATTTGTAAAATACAATAACCGGTTATATTTAGCCACTAAAGAATCCGCTCTTACTATCTTTTCTATTCTTCGCTAATCGTTTATTCGCCAGCGTCGGCAACGTCGCCGCTTTACACGTTTGCTTCACCGACATCGCTTTCGCCTTGGGACTCTTATTCGCGCCTTCCGGAGCGTGGTTCACGTAAAAGCCTTTGTGCACGTGGTGAATCAACTTCGTGTTTCGAGACTCGATGTTATCTCTTCTCGTTTTCATGTTCGTTGAGCTTCTCGTTCCGCTCGTCCTACTCGCGCCGACGTGGTATCGAAACTGCATGATTTGCAGAGCGACTTCTCTGTTGTTTCTCCACAAGCGAATACCGTATTCGTAATCGAAACCGATGCCAGGGTCGCCTCGGCAGGAGTAACTGTCGTGAAACATCCCGGAGGATAAGAATGCGTCTCGTTTTAAAACAAACGGACCGATGTTTGCCCACGAGACAAACATAAACGGTCTGCCTTTGGAATCGTAATACGGGATTTGTTTCACGTGTCGCCCTCTTTGCTTTCCCCACCGTCCAGTATCTGGCCCGCCTTGAATCTGGCCGACTAAACCGGCAATCAACGCCAACTTTTTGTGCTCGTAAAAGTTATCCTCGGCTTGGATTAACCAGTTCGGCTCCGTCGGAGGTAAATCGTCGTCTTGAATCACGGCGACGATTTGCGCTCGAGACATGAGTGCCAATCGATTGTACCCGCGAATCTCGTGGACGTTCCCAGCGCAAACTATCGCGTGTGGAATTTGCTTGAAAGCTTCGTGCCACTCCTGGATTTCCGTGGCCGAATCGTCGTTGATTAAAACTTCAACCGCGAAATTATATTTAATCGCATACCCGGCCAATTGCGTGGCTATTTTCTGTACCAAATTTGGCCTCTTGAAGTACTGCACCGCGAACGAGACGCGCGGGTGGACGTCAGCTTTGCTCGTCGGCGTGCTACTACTACTGCTACCGCTGCTGCTACTACTACTACTATCTACCGCTCTTAATCGTTTCAAAACGGTCGTTTTCAACTCCATCGGTGTTTCTTCGCGTACGTTCCCGGCGTTCTCCACAAATCGCACTTTCGCCGCCAACGCTCCAGAAACTAACCGCTCCAACATGACGCCATCGTCATTCTTGTTATTCCCACTTTCGCTCTTCACGATGACTATCCTCTCTAACGGTTCGTTCCTATAACTGGCTAAGTTGTTCGTAAACCCGCCTTGTTTCCGAATCATCGCAATCAACGCGTTGATTCCATCCTCTCCGTTATCTTTCGAAGAAGAAGAAGACTTTAATCCGTCGCCGTTCACCAGCACCTCGCAATCTTTCCCTTCATCTCCATCCATCGCATCGATGCTATTCAAAACGTTCAGCAACTCCCCGACGTCCTCAATCTCTCTCGAAATCACAAAACTCACCCTGGGTTGATCGAAACTCTCGCACTTCCAACTCCCGCATTTACACTGCAACTTGTCGCCTTTCAGCAAAACTCTCGGCAACGACGCGTAATCCAATCCAGACGTATCTGCGGATTCCGAGACGTCGTCGTCCTCCCGCGTTTTCTCCGAGCCAAATCTCGATAACGATAAAGACGACTCGTGCGAGCTCTTCTCTTCCAACCGCGCTTCATCTTCGCTCTCTTCGCGCCTCGCGTACGTGATCATCCCCACCTCCTCCTTTTGATGATTCGTATTCAAACCATCGCGATAATAATCCAGCCTATTCGTCCCGGTTTGAAAGATGTATTTTTGCTGTTGCTCTTTGATGACCCGCGGGAACGTTCGGGCGAAGAAATGCGCCAAAAGTAACAGGACACACAGGAGGAAGGACACTTTTGAAATCGTCGTTCGCTGTGTTGTCGTAAAAGGTCCTCGCTGATGATGACGACACCACCAACGCGACGTCGAAATCGTCGGGGCCATACTTCGCTCTCTTTTGAGCGTTCTCGTTCGCGATGAAACCTTTCTCTCTCTCTCTCTCTTTATCCCCTCGTCGTTTCCGGCTCCCCTCGCCGGTAGGGAAACCCGAGCGGCGAGAGAGAAATCTCGCACCAAAGAGAAAGAGAGAGAAAGAGTTCGCGCGCGTAAACAGTCGCTCCTCCGTCTCCCTCTCTCTCTCTCTCTCTCTGCGGTCTCTCTCCACCTCTCAACGCGAGACAAATACCGGAAGAAAGTAAGAGAGAGAGAGAGAATAAATGCGCGCGTTCTTTATGAGAAAACGAAGTCCAAAACCGCAGACTTTCCCCACGCGCAAAAGGGAAAAACAACAACAACAACAACAACGAGAAAGAGAGAAGAGTATGTCTTTACTAAAAGTATTCACGCGACGAACTTGGAGAGGAGGACGAAGACCTTTCGCGGTGTCTCCTCGCGCGCCTTTGTCTCCGTCTTCTTCTTCTCAAAGTTCTTCGCGCGGAGGAAACGGCGTCGGGAAATCATCATCATCGCATCGCCGATGGGATGACGACGACGACGGGAAGGAGATAAGAAGAGGAAAACGCTTTGGAACTTTCGCGAGCAAAGGAGCGGGCTTTGAACGAACGACGACGAGAAAACCAACACAAACGACGACGGGAAGAGGCGAGGACAAAATCGACGACTCCGAGACGATGACGAAAGGGAGGTTCTTTTCCGCGTACGCGGACGTGTTGGAAAAAAACCCATCGTCGTCGGCGTCAGCCAACACCAATGGTAGAAATGGTGGATTGCGACAAAAATCAAAGTACGAAAACATTCTCGTCCCGGATCCATTCTCGTTGGTACAAAAAGAGTTACAATTTATCTCGGACAGAATGAGAGTGGCGGTGCAAACGGATTTACCGGCTCTGGCGAACGCGGCGGAGTATTTTTTCAAGTACGGCGCGGAAGGGAAGCGGATGCGACCGACGGTGTTGTTGCTGATGGCGAGCGCGTTGAGTCCGGTTTCTAACTCCGGTGATGTTGTCAGGGGGGGAGGAGAAGATGTCGGAAGGCGGATGTCTTCTGGAGATGCGTTCTCCTCGTCATCATTTCGTAGTAGCAGAAATAGCGCAGAAGAAGAAACGGTAGATTTGTCGCCGGCGCACGAGGTGCCGAGCGATAACAGACAGAGACAGAGAAGATTAGCGGAGATTACGGAGTTAATTCACGTGGCGAGTTTATTGCACGACGATGTTTTGGACGGGTCGGCAACGAGGAGAGGTTTACGAGCTTTGAATTTAGAGGTTGGGAATAAGTTGGCGATTTTAGCGGGAGATTTCTTACTCGCGAGAGCGTCGGTAACTTTGGCGAGTTTGCGCAACGTAGAAGTGATTGAGTTATTGAGTCGCGTTTTGGAACATTTAGTGAAAGGAGAAGTGATGCAAATGACGCAAGCAAAGGACGAAGATGAAAGGAGTGGGAGTGGTTCTTCCTCTTCCTCCTCCTCCTCCTCTTCTTCTTCGTCGTCGTCTATCGAGCGGTACATTGAGAAATCGTATTATAAAACCGCCTCTTTGATAGGTAACAGCGCTAAAGCGGTGGCGTTGTTAGGCGGTCACAGCTCAGAAACTTCAGAAATTGCAGAGAGATTCGGAAGACACCTAGGTTTAGCGTTTCAGTTCCGCGACGATGTGCTCGATTACATCGGAGATTCGAGTTTGCTCGGGAAACCAACTCTAGGGGATTTGAGGGAAGGTATCGCCACCGCGCCAGTTTTGTTCGCCGCTGAGAAGTTCCCGGAGTTGCACTCGTTGATCAAACGTCGCTTCAAAGAGATTGGCGACGTCGAACGCGCGGCGAAGCTTGTCTTCGAAAGCGATGGTATTGAAATGGCTTCGGATTTGGCCAACGAACACCGAAATTTAGCCTTGGATGCGTTGGAAGAATTGCCTGATATCGATTGCGAGTTTGCGAATACCTGCAGAGCGGCGCTTAGAGAGATTACGAACAGAGCGGTGGACAGGAAGAAATAATATTATGCATTGTTTTCGCGTGCGGCTGCTGCTATTATTATCATATTGTCTAAAAATTAGTCTATTGTATCTGCAGTTGTTTTTTGTATTTTATATCGAGCATCCCATGTTTCCTTCAATCACGTGCGCTTTCAAAGACTCCGCGTATAAAATTTCCGGATCGTTTGGTCTCGCTTTGTTCATTTTCGTTTGCAACGCCATGAACAAAGTGCAACTTTCCTCGTAAACTTCATGTTCCGAACGCAAGTTGTTATTTCTTTTAAACGAACATAACGCCTCCTTCACTTCCTCGAGATCTTCCAGCAAAATCCCTGGGGCGAGAGTCACCACGTGCGCGACCGAACCACTCCTAAACACGTCTCTACATTTCGCTACTCGCATAATTAACTCGTTCGTATCCACTTCAAACAGCCTTGGCTCCTTATGCATAAACAGTGGCACGTCTAAAAAAGGAAACACTCGATCGAGCGCTAACAATTTCGCCTCCAATCTTCCCGGCGTTCTATATATTGAATCTCTCGCGCTTTTCGTTAAAATCTGACGGCATCGGTTGCTCCCTCCCCAGAGATTCCAGAACCGAGCGATAATATCCCCTTCTCTCGTGGATGTGCCTTTTAAAGTCCCTTGCACCGCATATTTTGCATTCCCGCCTTCCGTTCTCCCGTCCCTGGACATCCTCGCGGTGTCGTTATTCTCGCTTTTACCGCTCGCCACATTTTGCATCATCGTCTGCGATAACTTCGCCACAGCCTCTCTCGCTTTCAAAACGGCTCGTTTCTTCTGTTCTGTGTACATTTTATTTCGTTCTCTTTTCATCCTCGCGATGTCTTCCTCGCTCAACACCAACCTCTCCGGCGTCGTCTTCGCGATATCCACGAGCGAGTCTCCTTCGTCACCAGCACTGAGCAACACCAAAGTCCAACCCAATTGTCTCGCATCCATCCCGAGCACTTCCGGGCACGTCAAAATCAACTCCGCGAACCCCTCTTCCTCGCCGACCAGTGGCACCAACAAGGGTTCCAGCAAACGAAACTGATTTTCGCGAAACTGCACGTCTCGAAACCGTTCGTCCTTTCGCTCGAACGCGAGCGTTTTCTCGTTCGAGTTCCAACTCGTTTCGAAATTGCGAAACCGAATGACTTCACCGATGGCGCCAACTTTCACGCGCTGGTTGGAAATATTCCTCCTTTTATTCCTGTTGTTGTTGTTGTTGTTAGTATTCTCGTCGTCCCTCCTCCTCCTCCTCGCGAGATCGATCGAGCCGGCGGTGGATCGAGACGAGGCCGCAGCGCTCATCGTGTTTCCTCTTCTTTTCTTTTGTGGATAAAATGGAAAAACAAACCATCGCATCATCACTAAAACAAACGCGCGGTTCGGCGGTTTGATGTCACCACCGTCATCGTTACGATCTCACTCGCTTTCCCTGTACCGCAAAATCTACCGAGCCGCGGCGTTATTCCCGACCGAATCTCGAACTTTATTCGTTCGCGACCGGTTACAGCGAGCGTACCGGGAAAAGACAACTCCGGGAAAAGAAGAAGACCACCAAGAACGGGTTCGTTTGGCGGAAATTCAACTGGAAACGATACTCGTGCAAAGCGAACACCTGAGAAAAGTGTTCGAGGACGAACGCGTGCACGCGAGGTTTTGATTTTTTATAGTGGCGTGTGAAGAGGAGGAGGATACTCGAGAAACGAACGCGCGGGGATGATGCGTTTTGATGATGATGATGATGATGCTGGGAGGAAGACCAACACCAACACCAACACCAAGAGCGGTTGTTCTACTTCATCTTGCGCGGAACTGTTGGTGTACGACTTCGACGGAACCTTGGTAAATACGCCGACACCTCGCGAAGGCAAAATCATGTACGAGAACAAAATCGGACAAGCGTGGCCGCACGTTGGGTGGTGGGGGAGACAAGAGAGCTTGGAGCCGCCTTTAGAGGTCGGTCCCGGACCGGCGTGGGCGAGTTACGTAGAGAACCGAACGCGGACGGATTGCGTGCGAATTATGATGACGGGGAGAGTTGAGAAGCTGAGCAGGAGAGTGACGGAGTGCTTGCGCATGTTGGAAGGCGCGACCGAGACTTTGTGTTTTCACGAGTTAGTTTTTAAGAAAGGGAACGGGGATACGTTGGAGTATAAGTGCGAGGAGTTGCGGAGGATGGTGCGAGCGTACGGGCCGAAGAAGGTGAGGATTTGGGAAGACAGGGTGAAACACGCGGAAGGATTTAGAGAGTTCGGGAAGAGGGAGTTCGCAGAGATTGTTTTCGAGGTGACGCTCGTCGAACCGTCGAACGATTACTAGACAATAATAACAAGTGTAATACCGGTAGTATCTATGTACTAAGCATCTAAAAACGACTAAAACTAACTACTGCGTTGTTTTTCTAGCACGCGCATCGCCGCATCACTTGTCCACTCTTTCGACCACGCCTCTCGCCGTCTCGGAACGCCTTGGAACATTTCCGAGTATTCCATCAAGCAGTTGTCGATGAACGCTTGCGGGTCTTGCGAGAAGCTCAGCAAATACGCTCTTCGTTTTCTCGCGAAATCGATAAAGTTGGAGTCTTGGAATATTCTCTGCTCCAACTCTTCCGGTTCGTTCGTGGCAGCGGAATACTTCGTCACCGCGCTGTTCTGGCCAACCGCCGCGGGCGGTAAAGTTTCGACGTTCACGTCGTAACAATCGCAATGTGCTGGAGACGGGCCGTACGGACGGACTTTATATTCGAACACTAACGGCTCCGAGATTTTCGGCATGTGCGTTCGCGACGTGCACGCAATGCACACGGATCTAAACGGCACGACGTCGCCCACTTTTTTCTCCTTGAACAAAGGGTTCTTTTCGCACAACTCAAGGAACGTCTCGTCCAATTCAACCATCGATTGGTCTTTTTCCGAGACTAACTCCAACGCTTTACATCGACTCCACAACGCGTACACCACTCGCCCAGCGCTCTCTTCCTCTTTCCCCACGACGTCGGCTAACATTCCGCTCAATTGAAACTTTGGCGGATCGTTCCTTAAGTGTATTTCACATCTCACTCTCATAGAATCTTTCGCCCCGGGAACGGTAATCGTGAACCCATCTTTCGGAACCCCGCATTCCTTACGTTCCCACGCGACGCTCTTCACCAACTTTCCATTTTGTTGTTCGTCGTACACGTCAATCTTCATCCGTTCGATAAAGTGCGAAAACTTCAGCCCTCCTCCTCCTCCTCCCGACGACAACACCTCCCTCGCGTCCACTTCCGCGTCTCGCTCGTTCACCACGCGTCCTTGCACGTGAAACGTCCACTTCTTTTCCGTCCCGTCGCAGTTAAACGAACGAGGAGGAGGAGGAGGAGGAGGCGCTTCGTTTGACTTCTTTTCCGCGACAGCCGCCGTCGTCGCCGCGATCCCACCCGGGACGACTCCGACGCCGTCGTCTTTCTTTTTCCCGAACGTAAACTTCAACACTTTCTTCGTCTTCCCTGTCGCCTGCAACGAGTTTTCCTCGCCTTCGTTCGTGTTATTCACTTGGTCGTTGTTGTGCGTGTTGAACAGATACACTCTCAGAACTCTCCTCTGTTTTTCGTGCATGCCGGAGGATTCGATCATCTCCGCGCGTTTCCTCGAGAGCACGCACTCCACGTTCCGTTCGATATCCACCGATACATTCGCGACGGAGGATTTTCGAACGGTTGGTGGGAAGTGCGCGTGTGCTTTCCCTCCTCCTGATGGGGCGAAACCAGTATTCGTCGTCGCGTTTCCTCCTCCCGAAGACGAGGAAACTGCGACGCCGTTCCTCCGGTAGCTGTTGAACACGTTTTGCTCGTACGCGTGTTGTTGCTGCTGCAAAAGTCGAGCGGCGCGTTGTTTCGCTTTCGTTAACGGTGCGCTCGGCATCGTTCTGAGTGCTATTCGTAGTAGTCTGCGTGTCGAATACACCCGCGCAGAAGTGGCGAGAATTCCTCACTTTTAGGGAAAACACGAACACCAAAATGAACAATCTGTTCGCGAACCCAGACGACCCGAACATGCTCGAGCACATCGAGGAACGGTTGTCGAGCGGGAGGACGACGTGTTGCCAGTGGTATGCGATATATTCCTTTCGTCCGTTCTCTTTCTTTCTTCGTTAAACTTCTTCTTAAACGAATCGCTTTTTGTTCTCTGCGCTGCTGACACGATGGATGTTTGAATTTCCAATAATAAACATACGATACGAAACAGGAACCGACGAGGGAACGTCCTCGCCGCGGGGACGACCAAAGGGACGATCGTTTTGTGGTGCTTCGACACGCGGGCGGTCGTGAGAGAGTTTCGAAACAACAACCACTCGGAGGAAAGAAGGAGGAGAAGGAAAGAGAATTCTCCTCAGTCTGCTGCTGTGGGAGAAGAGGAAGAGGAAGAGGAGGAAGAGGTTTCTTTCCCCATCCGGTGTTTGTGCTGGAGACGAGATAACCGGAAAATCGCGGCCGGGGATGCCAACGGACACGTATTAATCTGGGACGTTCTCACCGGAGATCTGGAGACTCGCATGACGGACATCGGCACTTTGAATAACATCGAGTTTACGAAAGATTTCAAGGCGTTGTTGTTCTCGCCGGCGGGGTTTAAAGCGCCGATGTTTCGCGCGATTTCGAAGAGAAGTGGAACGATGTGGCCGGATACCGTGGTGCCGTTACCGGGAGGGTCCTTGGATGAAGCGGACGTGCACGGGTGTCCGGCGATATTGACGAGGAGCGGGAATTTTTGCGTCTACGCGACGACGGGAGGCGGGTTGTGCGTGGCGAGATTGAAAGAGGACGGGGAAGGCGCGCAGATGAGGAGAGGGTGGAAGTTGGTGCAAACGATAGAGTTGGTGGCGAAAGATGCGAAAATGGTAAAACGTTTGGAGCTGTCCAGGGATGGGAAGACTTTGTTGGTGGTGTCGTTTTCGAAATGTATCGTCGCCTTTGACGTGGTAGGGGACGTGGAGGACAAAAAACGGAATAAAGAGAAAGAAGATTTGAAGAATGATGATAACAACAACGATGATACTGGTTTAGAGACGACCGTTTTGAAGAACAGGCGTCAGTTTGAGAACGAACACAGTCAATCTTCTTGGGAATCCGCCTGCGTGGCTTTTGATAATAAATTCGTTTACGCCGCCTCCTCTACGGCGTCGCACGAGGTGCACTGTTGGAATTTGAAGACGTTGGAGTTGACGAGAGTTTTAGAAGGGCCAAACGAGGCAAAAGGATTGATCCGATCGTGTTATCATCCGAAACGACCTTTAATGATCGGCGTTGGTGCGAATGGGATCATGTACGTGTGGGCGAAAGTGTACGAGGAGTCGTGGACGGCGTTTCAACCGGATTTCCAAGAGTTGAAGGAAAATCGAGAATACATCGAACGCGAGGATGAGTTTGATATCAAAGACGAGGAAGAAAATAACGATGGAACCAGAAAGGAAAAGAAGCCGAACGTGACGTATCTTGATGACGCGTCGAGTTTGACCTTTGCGGATTTAAAGTTGTGGGACACGGATTTGTCAGCCTATTGGACGGACGCGGACGAGGACGTCATGCACGATTTGCCCGTGGAGGTTATCGTCGATTACGAGCTCCAAGCGCAGATGGAAGAGAAGAAGAAGAAGTGGGAGAGGAAGCAAGCGCTGAAAGCGGAGAAGAAGAAAAAGGAGGCAGAGGAAAAGGAAACGGAGAAAAACGGAGGAAAAGGAAAAGAGCGAGAAGACGATGGAGACGAGAACGCGAAGAAGCAAAAAATGGACGACGCTAAAAACGAGGGAAGGGACGGCGCCGCTAAGATGGAAGAAGACGACATTATTAACGATGATGATAAAGAGAAAGATTGATGACGTGTAGAATTATACATAGGCTGATACTAGTAGTAGTGATAGTAGTAATAGTAAAAGTAATAGTGAATAATGAATAAAATTTACCCTGTAGTCTATTTACAGTATGCGAACTTGTGAAAACTAAGTACAAAAATGTTACGACGCCTTCCTCAACCAAACACCCTCCTCAAAATGGAACTCCCTCCTCTTTCTCTCTCTCTTTCTCTCTTCTTTTTTATCACGCCTTTCGCGACGATTTTTTCTTCCCGTCGCCGCTATCGTCGTTGTTATCGTCTTTCGAACGCTTCTTGCTCTTCTTCTCTTTCTTCTCCTCGTCCGAGAAGGATTTATCGGCATCCTTTTCTTGCGCCGGCTTCGCATTCATGCCGCTCGTCACGTTTCTCTTCGCGCCGCCTTTACCCAACTCTACGGCGTTGACTTGCGCGGCAAACTTCAACGAGCACGACGTCTCTTCGCTCGAGTCGTCGTCTGGACTGACGTTGACGAACATCAACGTCTTCCCGTCACCGCCTAAACAGGGCGCTAACAAATACGTTAATTTCGAGTTGCGGTACGGAACGTGTTTCGCTTTGCTGCCGAGCGCGGCAAACACGTCACCTAACGACGATAAGCTCTTGTTAATCGCGCACGCTTCCTTCAAGCGGTCACCACTGGCACCAGATCTAGCCACGCGTTCACTACCGGCCAAATCGACGAGGTTCAAAGCGCCAGATAACGTCGAGCCGCTCGCGGCGTGTACGCCCGAGACGTGTAAAATGAAAATCGTGTGCGAACGAGACGAGTGCGCGTTCATTTGCGTCGCCTCGACTTTACGCGCGGCCGCAGCTTTACGCACCAACACGTGCGCTTGCTCCACGGACTCGACAATTTCGGTGTTGACCCCAGAAATAGTCGTGGACCCGTTCTCGTGGATAATTTTGTGAGCCTCGGAGTGGCCGGCGCCGGGCGCGAGCAAATCGCGAATGGTTTCGTTGTAAATCTCGACGTACGACGCCTTCATTTTATACGACCAACCTTTCACTTCGTTCACTTTAGACGCCTCGACTACTTTTTCAACCGCTCTCGGGATGATACCTCTCGAACTGTCGTCGGATCCACCAAGCATGGTGTGCGTTTTACCGCTTCCGGTTTGACCGTAAGAAAACAAGCACACTTTGTAGCCATCTAAAGCGGATTGAACTAAACCAGAAACTTCTCCAAAGACTTCTTCTTGCGTGGACTCTGGCCCAAACGCGCGATCGAAAGAAAACGCGGAGGATTTCTTCGGACCCACCTGTAAGTTGACGCTCGTCGTGTCCGGCAAAGTCTCTACGCACGGCGTCGCGGCGTCGTTGCCGGATGGTCGAACGCGGCAAAAGACGCGCACGTTACCGCGTAACTCTTGAATTTGGTTGAACATCTGTCGCCTCAAAGCTTCGGCGTCTAACAATTCACCCTCGAGCTCGGCAATTCTTTGCGTTTTTTCTTCGGCGAGCTTTCGAAGTTCATCCGCAGCCATGGCGTCCATTTTCGCGTTCTCCATCGCTTTCGCTTGCTCGACGAGCTTTCTCGTCAACGCTGCACCGGCCGAGTTGCCACCTTTTCCGTCTTTCTCTTCCTCCTCTAAGAGAGCTTGCGCTTCTTTCATGGCGTCTAACTCGTTCGTGAGCGATTTCAACTCCTTTTTCGACTCCTTGAGCTCAAATTTCAAGTTTTCAATCTCCGCCGCTTTCTCCGCGTCCAAGGATTTCAACGATTTTTCGAGCTTCCCGACTTCTTTCTGCTCGTTCTCGAGTTGCGCGACGACCGACGCAATTCTTTGCTCGTGACCGAACGTTTCTGATTTTGCCGCTTCGAGCTTTTCTAACGCCGCTTGGATTTCTTCGGCTTTTTCCGCGCCGCCGAGTTCCGCCTCGGCTTTTTGCTTGCGCAAAACTTCGATTTTTTCGCCGAGCTCCTTCTCCTTCGCTTCGGCCGCAGTGACTCGCGCTTCCAAGTCGCGACGCTTTTGCTCCGAACGTTCGAGCTTTTGCACCAACTTTTCGCTCATTTTTTGAGTCTCGAGTTTGATGGCTTTCTCCGAGCTCTTCTTCTCTCGCTCCAACTGTTCCGTCAACTGTTGTTTTTGTTCTGCGATGAGCTCCGCCATGTTCTCCTTCGCCTTCTCCGCTTCGGTCTTGGCGATGCGAAGCTCGTTCGTTAAACGTTCGACGTCCGCGTCTAAATCCGTTCGTAATTCTTCCGCGAGCTCTAAAGCCGTCTTCATGTTCTCCAACTCTTGGTTCAATTCTAAAGCGTTTTTCCCGCTCTCTTGCGTCGCGTTCATCAAATCCGTCTCCAACGCCTTCTTCGCCTCCTCGAGCTTGGACAACTTCTTCTCCAACTTTTCGATTTGTGCAGATAACTTCTCGGTGTTTTTGATCTCGACGTTGATGCGCTTTTCGTTTTCGACTCTCGAGGCTTCGATGGACTCCGAGGCTTTGACTCGTTCGGCTTCCATCTTTTCGTCGTATTGCTTGCGCTCTTGCTTGAGCTCTTTTTGAAACTCCTTCTCTTGCGCCTTCAAGTCCGCTCTGCACTTTTCTTGCGCCTCTTGCAACGTTTGCGACCCGTTCTTTTCGAAGTCTCTGCGCTCGGTTTCCAATCTCGCGAGTTCCGCTCGAGCGCACTTCAATTCACCCATCATTTCCCCTTGCTGTTCGATGAGAGATTTCGCCTGCGCCTTGGCGTCCGCCAAGTCGTCCTCGTACCTCTTGACTTCTTTATGCGCGTTTGCGAGCTCGAGTTCTGTGGACTTGGACTCGAGGTTGAGCTTCGATTGTAACGCGACGAGTTGTTCGGAGAGCTCCTTGCGTGCGCTTTCCGCCGTTTTGAACTCCGATTTCGTATCTTTCAACTCGCCCGTCACGCGCTCGATGGACTCTTCTAACTTTTCAATCTTGGACAGTTTCTTATCGCCATCCTTTTCTAACGACGTGATTTTCTTTTCCAACACCGCTTTCTCCTTCTCCAACTCTGCGCAGTTCGTCTTCAAAGATGCCTCCAACTCCACCGCTTGCTCTCTCAAAGTTTGCAACTCAGCAATCTCCGCGTTCAACCCCTCCAACTTCTTATCAGCGTGCTTGGAAGACTGATCGAGTTCTTTTTCTTTCTTTTTGAGTTCCTTTTCGGCTTTTTCTAAACTCTCCTCCAACTTGGCGTTCTGCTCCGTCAACGCCGCGTTGGTCGCGCCGCTCGATTCGCTCAATTTCGCAATCTCTTTCTCCGCGACTTCCAACTTTACCATCGACGCTTCTTTTTCTGCGGTCATTTCTCTCGCCAACTGATCCGAGGTCACTTTTGCCGCCTCCGTACTCGCTAACTTTGCCTCAAAGTCTGCCTCTTGCTTCTTCAACTGCCCTTCCAACGTCTTCGATTGACTCGCGAACGCTTTTTCCTTCTCTTTATTTTCCGCCTTCAACGCCGCCAACTGCTTCTCCAACTCGATGTTTTCGTCCCTCAACTTCAACACTTGCTCGCTGTCCTTCTCCGAGTTCTTCTCGAAACTTTTCAACTTCTTCTCCGCTTGGTCCAACAGTTTTTGTTTTTGTTGCAGCTGAACGCTTTGTTCGACTAACTCGTTCCTCAACGTCTCGTTCTCTTGTTGCTTGTGTTCTTCGTTTTGGGAAAAGTTGGAAAGCATTTTTGCCTCTCGCGCGACAAACTCCGCCTTGGCGCTTTTCAACTTTTGTTCCGCCAACTTAGCCTCGTTTCTGGCGCTTTGCACTTGTGCCGCTGCTCTCGCGGTGTGTTCTTGCAGCGTCGAGACGGTTTCTTGAAATCCTCTCGTCGCTCTCACCGTATCTTCCACCAATCGGTCCTTCTTCCGCATCACTTCGGGTAAAATCTTCTTAAAGTCCGAAATCGCGTTGTTTCTTTCCTTGACCAAGTTTTTGAAATCGTGCGACGGCGCTATGGATTTCCAGTTCAACGAGTGACTGATTTCTTCCTCCAACGCGCTATCGAAATGCTTCGCCGCGAGCGCTTCGATATTGATTTCCGGCACTTCAATTTTCGGCACGTCGAGCGCCACGGTCGTCGCCGGTGAATTGTTATCAACGAGCATCTCACCGGTGTTGGTGGTCGTCGTTGTCGTCGTCGCGTTATTCGTATTATCCATGTTAATGTTCACGGTATCCATCGCGTTCGTCGCGTTGCCAAAGTTCATGGTCGTATCGTTGCCCCCGAGAAGCGCCCCCGGAGTGGGAGGAACGCCGCTCGTTTCCTTTTCGCCGATAAACCCGAGAGTCTCACTTTCTCTCTCCTTATTACTCTTGGACGATACTTTACTCTTCGTCGCTTCTAATCGCGCTTTCAACGCGTCCAAAGATTTTGGAGGATTTTTCGGCGGTTTATTCTTCGACTTTTCCCCGTTGTTGTTGTTGTTGTTGTTCCCCTTTTTCTCGACATCATCTTCGCCCATGAAAACGTCCTCCTTCTCGACCACCATTATTTCCTCTTCTTCTTCCTCTTCGAAAACTTCCTCTTCTTCAACCGCTGCGTCAGTCGATGGTGTTTTTCCTCCTCGCTTCGACGATCGTCCTCCTCTCTTCGTCGTCTTCGTTACGTTCCTCATCTCGTCGTCATTTTCCTTCCCCCTCCCGTCGACATCGTTCTCCAAAATCATTCCGGAACCCCCCGATTGTTGAGATTGTTGTTTGCGCGTTCCCGGCATTTTAACGCGACCAATCTCTCTCTCGTGAAAAGTTCTTCTTCTTGTTCTCTCTCTCTCTCTCAAGAACACCTCTCAGCGTTACTGTGATGTATATCTTTTGTTATTATTCCTAGTTAAATTTTATATCTCTGAGGAATCTCTCTTTTCGTGAAACTCTCGAGAGCTTCACTTTGTGCACCCAAATTTGGGCGAAAAAAAGCGAAAAAGTCAACCACAACAACACCCTTAAAGAAGAAAAAAGGTAAGAGAAATCCGACGTGTACTTTCTCTCTCTCTCTCTCTTTCCTTTTCCGCGAGTTGAACGCGCGCGCGCGCGATTGCTCTCTGGTCTCTCTTTTCTGCTCTTCTCTACTTTTTGCTCTTCTCATATCAGAACAACGCAAAGAAAGAATTAAGAGCGCTTTAAAGTGAAAGATAAAAAAATATATTGTGGTGCACGTGATGTTGTGCATTCCCAGAGATGCCCTTTCGTGCACCAAAAGTCTCTGAAACACAGAAAAGCGACGTTGTGTTCAGAAAAAATCTTTCCTGAGATTTTAAGGGGCCAGTGTTCGCCTCATTCTATTCGTCTTCGCGTTCAAAAAAATCCTTTTGACTCTCATCCTCACAAAAGAGCGCTTCAATAGAGATACACAGACAGACAGACAGATCTCTTCTCGAAACTTCAGATCGGGGACCCTTTTCTTTCTCTGCGCGCGAGTGAACTGTAACAGATCGACCTCTTAACAACGACGTAAACATCATAAACGGAAGAGAGAGATTCCAAATCCGTTTGAGAGATACAAAAAATTTCTCCCCCCCGGCCCCGGAGTGTGTCTAAAAGCGCCGCAAAAGGAAAAGATATTATTGGAAAGAGTAACTATGGGTGCAGGCGGCCAACTGAACGCTCTGGGGTTATCGTCGAACCACCAAAAAGGCGAACGAAATAATTCCTTCGAACGAATCAACGAATCGCACGCGGACGATACCGTGTTCATCGTCGGTGGGTACACGCGGTGCGAGTTATTAGCGCACACGCCGAAAGACGAGAGCAAAATTGGAGATGATGATGACGAGGAAAATGCGAGTTTTAGTGTTGAGGAACGAAAGGCTTCGAAGAAGGAGGAAAACGAGGAGATGAAGTCAAAAGCGGGCGTGCACGTGCTCTCCTTGGACGGCAGGACGGGACAATTGGAAATGGTGACCACGAATGATATCGGTCCGAACGTGGCGTTCGTGACGAGACACCCGACGAAACCGGACGTGATTTACGCGAGCACGGAACGCATCGACGTGGAAGGCGAAGTCGTGACGATGCGATTGACGAGAGATTTGAGGTTGAAAGAAATCGCGAGGTGCTCCGCGGGGGGGAAGTCGACGTGTTATTTGAACTTTAATAAGAGCAACAGGTACATGATGTCGGTGAATTATTGGGACGCGAAGTTGGCGTTGATCCATTTGGATGATTTAGGGAGACCGGAGACGCCGAATACGGTGTTTATGCAACCGGGCGCGAAATACGTAGACGACAAGAAACCGACGAGAGAGGAACATTGGGAGTTTAGACAACGATGGCCGCATTCGCACTGCATCGTGACTGAACCGTACCATAATATGTTGCATTTTGTCGTTGATTTAGGTTTGGACAGGATTTTCGTGTACAGAGTCGGAGAGCCGAGCACGATGGTCACGGCGCCGGAGTTTGTGTGCAAAGCGAGCGTGAAATTGCAACCGGGGAAAGGACCGAGACACTTGGTGTTTCATCAAACGTTAAAGACGGCGTACTTAGTGAACGAATTGGACTCGACGGTTTCTGTATTCAACGTGAACGTTAACGACGAGTGGATGGAACAACTGCCGTTGGCGAACGAACAACCGACGATGAAAACATTCGACGACGAGAAAGATACGAAAGAAGAAAGCGACGAAACAGCCGCGCTGAACGTCTTCCAGTGCATTTCGACGTTACCGGAAGGTTCGAGAGAACAAAAAGTATTCACGGATAGAGGCGTGTGGAAAGCGGCGAGTCACGCGAGTGAGATCAGAGTCCATCCGTCTGGGAAGTTTTTGTACGTCGGTAATCGAGGTCACGATTCTATCGCGTGCTTTAAAATCGACGCCGAGGACGGGTCGTTGGAGTTTATCGCCGCGGTCCCGTCCGGCGGGAAATGTCCGAGAAACTTCCACTTTAGTGCGAACGGAGGATTTGTTTGCGTCGGGAACCAGAACTCGAGTAACGTGGCGTCTTTTGCCGTCTGTCCGGAGAGTGGTATGTTGGAGTTGGTGCACGTGAGACATTCGGTGTGTTTGCCGAATTACGTTTACCCGATTCCCAAAAGTACTTTAGATCTGGTCACGAGCTCGGACGACGACGAAGATGTCGTTCTTTAAATATATGATGAAATAGTACATATTATTATTATTATTATTATTATTAACGACGATCATAGTATGACAGTGAAACGGCGACTGGAAAGGGAAAGAGAGTGGTAAAGAGTGAGAGAGAGAGAGAGTGTGTGAGTGAATATTCTTCGTGGTCTGTACAAGTGTAAATATTTTTAATGCCACAAAGTATAACGCCTAATAAATCCAACGCACATCTATTGTATTACTTCTTTATTTATTTCCTCGTCCTCCTTTCTTCCCGCTATTGTTAAACTTATTATTGCCCCCGCCTCTTCCGCCGCCTCGGCCTTGTCCGCCTTGTCCCCCGCGACCGCCTTTCTTTTGCGAGCCCGGAGTGCGCTGTTGATGCTGCTGTTGCTGCTTCTTCTTCTCCGAGGCTGGAGCTGGTAATTCGAGCTCTCCTTCCTCCGCTTCGCCTTCTTCTTTCTCTTCTGTATTCTTCTTCGGTGGAACGTCGACTAAGAAGGAAGCCGCGACTTCGCCCGATCCTTTCTTCTCCAACTTTACATCGCCAGTATTTTTCTCGGTCGGTTTAGGCACAGTAGACGTGGGAGTAAACGGAGGTGCGTCTGGTTTCAACTTCTTCGATGCTGTCTCCGGAGTAGCAGCGACACCAGTGGCAGAAGAAGGTGTCGACACTGCGGATGGTTCTTCCATCGTCTTGCGTTTCGCCATCGCCACGCGTTGCTTGGCCTCGTTAGCCGCTTTCTGCTTTTCGAGCAACTCTGCTTTCGTCTTCGCCATGATAGCTTCCAACTCTTTCTTACGTTTTTGCGCGTCCGTTACGTTTTGCGGTGTGGCGGTATTTGCAGCAGCATTTGGCTTAGTAGTAGGAGTAGTAGTAGTAGTAGTAGTAGTGGTATTTTTTGCCGCAGGAGTCGACGCGAGCGGCGTCTTTGCGGTTGCCGGTGTGCCAGTAGGAGCAGCAGCGGCGGCGGCGGCAGCGGAGCCAAAGGGAGTCGATGGCGTGCCAAACGGTGCGGACGGCTTTCCAAACGGCGCCGCGGCGGATTTACTGCCACTTCCAAACGCGGGCGTTGAAGTTGCTCCTGCGCCGAATCCAGTGGATGCTTTTGCACCAAATATACCGCCCGTGGTTGGCGTTGAAGCCGCAGTCGGTGACGTTCCCGACGGTTTAGTCGCAAACGAACTCAAGACAGAACCAAAAGCTGGTTTCGCCGCAAAAGGCGCTGCAGAAGAACCGAACGGTGACAGTTTCGAAGCCGTCGACGCGCTTCCAAATGGAGACGCTATGGTGGTGGTAGGCGCAGCAGAAGCAGCAGCAAGAGCAGCAGCAGGTTTCTTCTCTTCCTCTTTCTTCGCCGTTTGCTCTTTGATTGGAGAAGGCGCGATGGTCACCGTCTTTGGTTTTTCCATCGTCTCCTTCGGTTTCTCAGCGGTCGTCTTCACCGTTTGATCACTTATAGTGGGCTGCTTTAACGCAGATTTAATCGGTTGAGCAGTAGTTGCTGATGTTTTCACGGCAGGAGCACTCACCGCAGCTGCCTTAACCGGAGTTGCCACCGGAGCCGCCGATTTCTTCTCTTCGACAATCGATTTCGCACTAGCGGCAGTAGCTTTGGTCGGGCTTTTCTTTTCAATAACCGCTGGCGCAGTGGCTGCAGGCTTGGACGGTGCTGGTGTCGTCGTCGTCGTCGTCGTTGCCATATCAGAAACTTTGCGCTTCTTGGATTGATCCGCTACTTCTTTCTTGTCTTCGTCCATGGCAGTAGCAGCAGAGGGAGTACTTGTCGGAGCGGCGACCGGGGTAAAAACAGTTGTGGGGGGTGTGGCCGCAGCCGCAATCGCTGGTTTCTTCGTCGCTTCTTCTTCTAACGCTTTCACTTTTGCCGCCAACTCCACTTTTGATTTTTCCAAACTCTCCTTTGCAGACTCGAGCTCGACCAATTTGTCCTCTGCCTCTTCCGCCGCCTGCTCTGCTTCAACCTTTTCTTTTTCCAACTTTTTCACGCGATCCAATTCTTCGCCACGTTTCTTCTTCCACTCTTCTAATTGCAATTTGTCCGGATTCATAGCTTTCAAATTTTTCAACGCCAAATCAAGTTGCTTCTTCAATTTGATCAAGCGATCGCCTTGTTCGTCGCTTTCCTTCTTGAGCTTCTCAAATTCGCTCTTTTCGACGAGATTCGAGGAGTCCGTCAACTTTGACGCGCGTTCTTCCCACCGTTTCGCCTCTACTTTGGCGGCCGTTAACTCGGCCATTTTCGATTGCTGAGAAGCAGAGGAGGAGTTTGCTTTCTCTCGCGCTTCTTTCAACTCTTTCGTCAACTTTTCCACCTTGGCGTTGGCCTCCTTCTTCACTTGCTCCACGGAAACTTTGAGACTAGCGTTTTCGGCATCGACTTGACTCATCTTCTCGAGCTTGGCGAGTAATACCTTGTGTTCGGATTCGGAAGATGCGGTTGATTTCACTTTTGAAAGCGCATCGTTCGCTTCTTTGAGATCTTTCCACGCCTTCTCGCACTCTCGCGTCCATTTATCTTTTTCCGACGCGAGCGTCTCGCATTTGGCTTCTGCGGATTCTTTCTCGCGACGCAAATAGGCCATAGCTTCGTTCCCATTATCGGTGTCCATGTCATCACCCGGGGCTTTGTTCACCTGATCTAACAAACTGGCGTTTTGCTTCTCAAATTCCGCCGCTTTCGCTTCCGCCACACGTTTTGCGACTTCGAGCACACCTTTCTCGTTTTCGATAACTTTCCTCGTCGCCTCGAAATCTTCAGTTTTCTTCTTGAGTTCAGCTTTGACGGATTCGAGCTGAGCGGTTGAAATAGCGGGAGCCGTCGAAGCCGAAGTGGCGAGTTCTTTCTTCAATTTATCGCATTCGACTTGCGCGTCTGAAAATTTTTTCTGTGCTTCTTTCAATTCCCCCAAAATTTTCGTCTTTTCCGCAGTCGCCTTGGCACTGTCTTCGTTCAGTTTCGACAAACTTTGCTTTGCTTGCTTCAACTCGTTCTCTTTCATCGCAGCGACACTGTTCATGCTATCGATTTGTTTTTGCATTTCCGCGACGGCGGATTTGGACGCGTCGTCTGTACCCTCCTGTTTCTGTGTCTCCGAAACCTTCTTCGTCATCTCAGCCAACGCTTTGGAGACTTCCTTGTGAGTCGCCTCCAGCGCCTCGTACATTTGTTTGAACTCGTTCATTCTCGCTTCGGCTTTGTCGAACATTTGCTTGTGACTGGCAGCTTCTCTGACGGCTTCAATCTTTTCTCTTTTCGCTCTTTCCGCGAGCTCGGTTGCTTTTTCGGCGGCATCCTTGAGCATTTTTTCGCGTTTCTTCACCGCTTCGTCGTCCGTCGGTGTCATCCCATCCACGGACTGAGATAACATTTTCTGCGTCGTTGTCAGGCTGGAACCGCCAGCTGTAGCTATCGCTCCTACTCCGCCACGATTGATCGCCTGCGCGTTCAGCAGCCGTAACCGGTCCTCCGTTTTCTTCAACGTTTTCTCAAGCATCTCCGCTTTGGATTCTGCAACCTTCGCTCTTGTCTCCGCCTCGGAAACCTTCGCGACTGCCTCGTTACGCTTTTGCGCATCCTCCGCCGCTTCTCGAGCCGCATCGGACGCTTTCATCAAGTGCACGTTCAATTGTTCTCGACAACGCTCTCGCTCTTCGTGCAATTCTACTTCCATTCGCCCGTGCGCCTCCCGAATACGTTTCGCGTCTTCAGCTAAACGATCGCGTTCGCGTTCTAAAGCAGACAATTTCGCCGAAGAAACCGATACGGACGCATCCATGGACGCCTCTATTCTCGCCGCGCGCGACTCGACAATGGCAAGTTGTTCGGAAAGTCTCGCTTCACTGGTTTCGATGGATACTTTTTCGGCTTCGAGCTTCGCCACGCGCATGGCGCCGCTTTCTTTTACCGCTTCCGCCGCTTCAAGCGCGATTTCCGCGTTTCTCAACGCCTGTTCTTTGTCGATTATTGTTTTCTCCACCGCTTGTTTCTCTCGCGAAATATCATCCAAAGCTTTTCGAGATTCTTCGCATTCGCGCATCCAGCGATCGGCGTTGTGCTTTTCGCGTTCCACCGTCTCCTTGGCTTCGATTGCCGTCGCGCGATCGTTCGCGGCGCGTTCGCGAAACTCTTCGAGTTTCGCCAGCATAGTGTCGATTTCTTTTCGCGCGTTGCGCTTGATTCGTTCAACTTCATCGGCGACAACATCCAATTGATTTTGTAGATTTTGGTTTTCGTTCGAGAGAGCGACGATTTGCATGTTATTCTCCTCTTGATTGCAGCCTCCGTGTAGGACGAGAGCTCCACTCTTCACATTCGGAGAAGCACCTGCAGACGCGAGGACCATTTGGCCTCCTCCTGACGGACTTATTCCAACATCCATCGCATCGTTGACGTTTTCTCCAGTCGCTCTCGCGTACAAACTCTTGTACAAATCTCTCTGCCTGGCGATGGATTTCACCACGCTCTCTTGTTCGTCCCGTCTGGTCTTCAATTCCAACAACTGTTTTTCCGTCTCCTCGCGCAACTCCGCTAATTTCACTTCGTACTCCTTTTTCGCATCGACTTGCTCGTGTTCGTTCTTTTCGCTCAACTCGCGAATGACAAATAACATCTCTTGATTTTTTTGTTGTAACTCGGCGATGTCTCGGAAATCAACCAGTCTCGAGGTGATTATATCCGAAACAGATTGTTGAGAACTCGCTGGACTTGGTTCTGGCACGGCAATAGCAGGCGAGCCTTTCAACTCGTGCACTTCGTTGAGCGTCAACGCGAGTTGTCGAGATAGATCTGCCGCTTGGGAACGCAACGCGTGACTCTCGCGTTCTCTCGAGCGGTGTTCTTCTCGCATCTCGTTCACCTCGCGACGTAAACTTTCCGTCGCCATCAAGGATTCGGCCAGTTTAATCTCCAATCGTTCGTTTTCTTCCAACGCCAAATCGTGCATATTTTCCATCTCTCTTAACTCGGGCGCTTTGGCAGTCAACTCAGCGACGATGTCGTTCAATTTCGACTCTGCGTCGAGGCGTTTCGCTCGTTCCACTTGCGTCGCGTTTTCTTGTTCGCGAAACAACTCGTACGTTTTGACGAGCGTCAACCCATCTTTGGTTAACTTTTGCTCGATGGCCGTTTTGGATAACCCGCTCAACATTTCGTCGTCAGTGAATCTCCACTCGTTCGTCTTTCTGTACTCCGCGACTTCCTTCTTCAACTGTTTTTCTCTCTCCATGCACTCGTCCAGATCCACCTTTAATTGCTCAATCTTCTTTTGCGAAACCGCTTTCTCGCTCATCCGCGCTCTCGACGCCTCCTCTCCCGCCTCGGTCGTTTCTTTTAAAACTTTCTCCAACTTTTCAATCTTCTCCAACCTTTCGGTCTCTTTCGATTCCAATAACTCTGCTACCCTTTTCGCCGCTCTCGACTCGGCTTCGTACGAATCTCTCTCCCTCGCCGAGGCCGTCTTCAAGCTCACGACGTCGTTCGACATCTTCTCAAATTTCGCCGAGACTGTTTCTAACGCCTCGGATTTCGTCGCCAGCGTCTTCACCAATCTCACCTTCTCGGAAACTAAATCTTCAATCTTCTTCCTCGATCCGGCGACGTTTTCCGCGTCCTCTCGTCGCGCCCGAAACAATTCCTCGCTCTTCTTCTCCAGCTCCGATTGTAACCAACTGTTGTGCTCTTCGGTCAAGCTCTTCTCTTTCTCCGCTCGAAGTCTCGCACTTTCCGCCGTTTTCACTTTTTGCCCTAAATCTCGCTCCGATTGTTCCGTCTCTGACTTCTCTCTCGCGTACGCCTCGATCTTTCGCAAATACGTTTCCACGAGTTCACTCTTCTCTCGAATTTCCGAGTTTTTCTGTTCCAACCGGTCGAGAAGTTCGCGCTGCGTCACGTGCGTCTGCGCTAACTCCGCTTTCATCTTCCGTTCCTCTCTTTTCCACGTTTCGTTTTCTTCCACTTCCCGTTTCCTTTCCGTTCGTAAACGTTTCATTTCGCGTTCCATCTGCGTTTCGTTTTCCGTCAGGAGTGCGATTTCTTCCTCTCGTTCTTTCAAGAGTTTGGATTTTGATGCAATCTCTCGTTTGAGATTTTGTTGTTGTTCTTCCATTTCGTGCTCTCTTTTTGCTCTGAAAGTCTCTCTTTCTCTCTCAGTCTTCTTCTTCCCGTGTTTCTGCTTACTTCGTCTCCGTTAAAACGCTGTCGTTGTTTACGAAACGCGCTCGCAAAGAAGGAGGAGAGCAGTCACAAACAAGTCCGTTTTGTTTAAAATCCAATCCTTCGTGAAAGAGAAATGTTTGTTTTTAGGGTTGTTTTCACGTTTTCTTCGCGTTTATATAAATACGCGAGAAAACGACAGAAGAAATCTCATCTCTGGACTCGAAAGCAGCGATGGAGAAAAAACGCCACGAAGGCGGTAGCGAAGCGGGACGTGATAGTTGTTTGCAAGTCAGAAACAGCACCAACGAGAACCAGAGCGCGGGGCAAAGACCACACGCGGCGTCTCCTCAGCAACCGACGGAGACGACGAGTTCAAAAAAGGCGACGAGAACGTTTCCTTCGTCGCCGAACAAAGTCTCGTCGTCTGTTGCGTCTGCTGGTCACGAGCAAAGGTCACTCGACGATCGAATGAGCGACATTGGTGGTACTCTGCAAACGTTGTTTACCCCTGATGAACGCGAGGAAAACGACAGAAGAGAAGAGAACGACGACTTTCGCACACCAACGACGACGACGACGGCAACGCAGCGAGGGCGAGGAGTAGACAAAGAAAATTTTGAAATTTTCAAATCCTTTACGGAAGGACCTCCAACTGTAGGGTTTAAGAGGAAAAAAACAAATCTCTCATCTTCCCGCAAAACACCACAACTCACAAAACCATCGTCGCCTCTCTCTCTCGGTGGTAGTGGCGGTGGTGGTTTTACCTCTGCTCTCGCTGCCGCGAGGGGCGACGGTGGTGGCGTCGTCGACGGGTTTGGCGACGAGGGAGGGAATCGTGGTCCTTTGCAGCGATTCATCGTATCGCAATATGATAAAAATCAGAAGTTTTTGCGTTGCTTGCACATCGATCGAGTTGGGGAACAGTGCACCTTCCGCGCTACAACGTACGCTCCCGGGTCAGACCAAAAGAAAGATGTGGACAGTTGCCCGAAGCACGCCGGGCTGAAAATTGAATTTGTTTCTTGTCTTTGCACGTTCTTCGACGAAAGCACGGGCAAGCAGTGCCCGATACGAGCGAATTTTGGCTTGCCTTCGAGGAAGGAAAAGGTGTACTGTTCAACGCACGCCAAAGTAAAGAACGGTACGTTGCGCGATGACGAGGAGAAGTACGTCGACGTCGTTAATAAAAAGTGCACGTTCTTCGACGAAAGCACGGGCGAGCAGTGCCAGATACAAGCGGTTTTTGGCTTGCCTTCGAGGAAGGAAAAGGTGTACTGTTCAACGCACGCCAAAGTAAAGAACGGTACGTTGCGCGATGACGAGGAGAAGTACGTCGACGTCGTTAGTAAAACGTGCACGTTCTTCGACGAAAGCACGGGCGAGCAGTGCCAGATACAAGCGGTTTTTGGCTTGCCTTCGAGGAAGGAAAAGGTGTACTGTTCAACGCACGCCAAAGTAAAGAACGGTACGTTGCGCGATGACGAGGAGAAGTACGTGGCCCTTTACATTAAAACTTGCGAGATTTGCGGGGTGATGCCGGGGTACTACAAAATCGCAGGCAGCGTTTTGGTGAGAGACGACGGCGTTACTTGCTATGAATGGAAGTCGGCTTGTTGGTATTGCGCGACGTGGCAGAATCCTGCAGACGTCATGTTTAACAAAGACGCGTACACGGAGAAGGAGGGCGAAAGAAAACCCGAGGCCTCGAAAACGTACATGCGCAGAGAGCACATCGCCATTCAAAGCCTACTCGAACGCATTGGAAAAGACGGCTTGAATCTCTATTTGGTACACAATAGAGTTATCAAAACGGGCGCATGTTGTCGTGACGATGGCGAGAGGCATCGTCGACGACTTGATGCTTCGATAATCGTCCACACCCGTTCAGAAGAAGGTGTCGACGGCGAGGGGGCTCCGATATTAATTGGTTTAGAGTGCGACGAGAACGGTCACAAGTCGTACGATAAAAATGATGAAGCAAAACGAGTCAACGAAATTCAAATGGCGTGGGGCGTCAACGCCAGCGTTTATTTGCGCTTCAATCCGGACGGATACATTCCGTGTGGCCAAACTACGAAACGAACTGGATTTTTCGTTCGTAAAAATGAGGACAAGAAGGAAATAGATTACCGTCTCGACGTCGTGTGGGAGAAGTTGAAAGAACTCGTTACTCACATCCAAACGCATGGACCGCAAGACTCGTACGAAAGCGTCTTTCTCTTTTTCGACGGCCATAATGACGAGGATTTCCGGAAGAGAGATTAAACGTACACGACGACAAAGAAGAAGACGAAGAAGAAAGCGCCATACAAACGCAAATAGAGGACGATTTTGCTGTTGCGCTTTGCGTCCCCCATGTATTAATATCTTATCCGGTTGGCGATACGAACGCGGCGAATTACACAGTTCATAAACACATACAAACAAACAAAACTTTTAACAAAGAAACACATACAAACAAAACTTTTAACAAAGAAACACATAGACCAGGATGGAATAAGAGTTTTCTTTAGAGTACGAACAGATCAGAGTTTATACTTTTTCGGTGGTTACAACTGACTGGCGAACATCGGTTTCGAGCGCTCCTCCCCTTCGGAAGGTTCCTTCGGCTTTTCGTCGGACTTCTTTTTCTTCTTCTTTTTCTTTCCTCCCGTTCCGCTCCCGTAGGCGTCGGGCGCGCTTCGAGAAGGAAAGGCGGTTTCTCGCGCCTCGAGACCTTCTTCTCCGACGCGTTCTTCAGCTCCCTTCGTATCGTCGTCGTCGTCCGAGAATAGCGAGGACATTTTTCGAGGCGTTTTTTGTTGTTCTTCTTCTTCCTCTTCTTTTCCCGATGGTGCTTCTTCGCTCAACTTGCTCATCCCTTTGTTCTTCGTATTCTTCAATTTTATTTGTTGCTCTTTAGAGTAGCGTATATAAATATATATATATATAATGATGTGAACAACCTCTTTCTCTCCTTCTCTAATGCTCTCTCCTTTGCATTCTTCTTTTCCTTTGTCTTCTTCTTTATTATCCGTGATGGTGACTTTTTTTCGAAGACGAAGACGAAGCGCCGCCGTGCTTATTAGATTTTTCCTCTTCTTCTTGCGTGGTCGCGACGTTAGGACCGACGAGGAGCATTCGCGACGAGTTCAAGAGAATGGCGAAAGTACTCGCGGGCGTTGATGGCGTCGAGAATCGCGCCGAAGCGTTGAAGACGGCGTGGAACGTTACGGTCGATCCAAAATAGATAAATACACAGACACTGTACAACACGACGCTAGTACTACTACTAGTAGTCTCATAGATAGAGAGAGAGAGAGAGAGAGAGACTTGACTTGTAATAACAGGCAGCAGCATTCGCAAGCATTGAGTACACCGTAATTCGCCTCCCAAAAAGGGGACAATCCGAGCAAAACGACAGAACGCTTACTGCGCGACGCGTTGCGTCCAAGATTTCGTACGGACAGTCACATGCCCTCGGACTAGGAGTCTGAAGAGCGAAAGCGGAATAAGATGGACGACGAGTGCGTCATTTTATCAAGTGAAGTGGTGATTTATAGCGGTTATAATTTTCCTTTTTTTCCTGCGTGCAAAAAGGCAGGTGTCAGCAGTCCCAAAGGCACCCTCGAGCCGTTTTAGGGCAGGACACCCCAAACGCGTCAGCAGGCCTGTTTTTCTCGTCAGCAGGGGGAAAAAAAGAGGGACTTGGAACTAAAGAAAGGTTTGCGTAGCCTTTGAAACGTCCAGCGTTAATCATCCATTTGAAAAAAGTACTCAAAGATATCGAAGCGGGGGAGAATTGTACGACGAAATGTGTCTTTAGATGTTTGAATATTTGCGGTTTAATTGGCTTTATTTACGCGTTTCGGTACATAAGAGTGATATTTTGAAAATTCTTAGTCAAACCCGAGAATGTGTCTCTTTTTTTTTCTTTTCTTCCAATTTTCCCTGTTTTTTTTTTCTTTCTCCTCTTTTCGTTGTTTTTGGTGTCTGACACCGCCACACGTCTGCTTTTGTGTGTGCTGCGCGCGGGGCTTCGTTGGTGGTGTTGCGTTTGCGTTCGTTGTTGGTGTTGTTATTCTCTCACATACAACACTAAAAAGAAAGGAGAGAGAAAAGACTTATTAGATACACAAAATGGTGCTCTTGGACAACGACCAATTCTTGACGGAGATGACGAAACTCTACCAACGCAATCGACTCAAAGGCTCGGTCTGGACGACCATGAAATCCTCGCTCTGCTTAAACAGACCGAAGAGGAACGCACCTCTTTTATCCAAGGAAGAGGAGAAGGAAAAAAGGTGCTGCTTGGTGAGATGTTCGGACGGGAAGAGGAAAATCAGCACCCGAGTGTTCTCGCAGAAAGCGGAGAAGTTCGCGAGAGAGTTCACGTTGGTGCAAAAAGCGAGCATGGACGGTTTGAAGGAAACGGAGAAGAAGAAAAAGAAGAAAACTAATGAAGACGAGAAGAAGAAGAAGAAGAAACATACGGACGCAAAAGGAAATGATGGTGATGACGCGGAGAAGAAGAAGAAGACTAAAAAGAAGAGAAAGAAGAAGAGCGGCGGCGGCGGCGGAACGACGGCGTGACAGTCTCCGGATTCGCATCGGAGTTTAGTATTCTTAGCGCAAAGTTGTCGTTCGCGTACGAGCCAATAATACACCTCATTCCAAACGAACTGTAGCACTCATAAACGTGAACACGTCAAACTCAAACGGAGAAGAACATCATTCCTCCGTGTATTCGGAAAAATCAAACCGTCTCTTCGCTCGATATTCGCTTTGGCCGCAAATATTCCTCTTGCTTGTTCTGATCTCGAAAGTAGAACTCTAGAGGAAAAAACGCTCGCGAATTCGCCACTAAAATTCAGAACAAAAATCACATCACACTCTAATGTTTGGCATGAAAAAATCTCTCACTTTCGTCGGCTTACTCGCCATTACCGGCGCGAACGCCGGCGCGGTGGATCTCACCGAGGGTGATTTCGACGCGCAAGTTTTTGAAAGCGGGAAGGTACGATGATGCGCGAATATCGACGATTTGATGATGAGAAGACGCGCGTTTTTTTTAATCGAGAACATTTTTCGAGTCAAATTTCCCCCCGATGATGATCGAAATTACGTGCATAAAAACTGACCTTTTATTCTCTCTGCTACTCGTGCGACGCGCTTTGCTCGTCGGTATTGTTGAACACAGGGCGCGTTCGTGAAATTCTACGCCCCGTGGTGCGCGGTTTCTTCTCTCTCGCTTCTCGCTCGTGTGCGATTGATTTTGGATTTGGATTAGAGATCCTTTTTTCTTTTTTTGCTTGCCAGGGGCGGCACAAACCAAAGGAGTAGGGGTGTCACACTTCAAGCGTCGCGTCGTCGCGAAAATTGGAGCATTCGATCGAGTCTTTCCAAGAAGAAGAAGAGTCGTCGAGGCGAACAAAGACGCGCGTGTTTTTGCCACTTTCTCGTCCGTCGATCTTTTCGTATCCTTTCTTACCGTTATTATTTGTTTATTATTATTATTATTATTATCGTTACGAACAGGTGCGGCCACTGCAAAGCGCTGAAACCAGCCTGGGATAAACTCGGCGACGAGTACGACGGTTCGTCCACGGTTTTGATCGGCGACGTGGACTGCACGGTGCACCAAAACTTGTGCCAAAAATACGGCGTGCAAGGCTACCCGACGTTGAAATATTTCACGGCGAACCCGATGGGCGACGCGTACAACGGCGGCAGAGATTACGAGGAGTTGTCTAAGTTTGCGAAGGAGTCTTTGGGTCCGTCCTGTGGGGTGGAACACATGGACTTGTGCGACGCCGAGCAAAAGAAGTCTTTGGAGACGAAGATGGCGTTGTCGGACAGTGAGTTGGACAAGTTGATCGAAGACTCGGACGCGAAGTTGAAGCAAGCCGACGAGGATTTGGAGGCGTTGTTGAAAGGGTTGCAACAGCAATACGAAGACGGGAAGAAGGCGAAGGAGGACGCGCAAGCGGCGCTTTCTCCGGAGTTGGCGCAGTTGAGATCGGTGAAGAGGTCGAGAGAAAATGGGGCGAAGCAAGAGTTGTAAATTGATACAAACGGCGACGACGACGACGACGATGGTGATGATTCTCTCGCGCTGGATGCATTGATGTTACCCACAGAGTGAGTGAGAGAGAAAGAGGAGGTTAAGAAGAAAAAGAAGAAGAGAGACCATATTAGAATCAAAAACGACTTACACACTATAAAATACATATCTAAGAGGCTACAGCTATATAAAGCAACTTTCACATCAAGTTTATAATTACTATTGTATCTATCTACGCGCGACTACTCTGTGTGTTCAACTCGTTGTCCTTCTCGTTTACATCGTCCGCGACCGGCTTCAAGAAATGTTCCCACGACACCCACTCTTCGCGTTGGCGATAAAATCGCATCGGGTCTCTCGGCATGTTCCAAGGCATGCGTTTCCCTGTCTCTTCCTTCACAAAATGCACGAATTCGACGCGTTTCCCGTCACGAAAATACTTCCTCTGTAAACTTTCTTCGTGCAAAAACGCTCTCGCTTCGGCGAGGGACATTTTTTCCGTTCGATTCTGCAACTTTGCGTATTTTGCCACCGTTGCGCTTCCGATTTCTTTCACGCGGTACCGAAGATCGTGACGACCGGCGTTGATGAGCTCTTCGTCCGTTGGCATGTACAAAAAATCTTTCTGACTTTTTCTTTGCTCTTTGGCAAACGTTCGAACGTCTTCTGCGAGCGTTTTCAAGTATATTTTGAACGAATTGACGTCGTTTTCGCGTCGAGCGCGAATCCAGGCGCCTTTGCCCGGTTTCATGCGCATGCGTTTGGCCACCGTGACTGGACCGCCGTGTTCGACCATGTGTCTGGCGAGATCGTCGCGTCCAACGTTACGTAATTCCAAAGCGCTAGGAAGTCGCGTGCTTGCGCCAATCTTTTTGTTTTTCATTCTCTCATCGCTGACTTCATCGTCCTCGTCCTGGTCGAATATCTCGTTCTCCATGCAATCCAACAATTCTTTAGAAAAGATGTCAAAGTTCAACAAGTGACGATCTTCCGCCCACCTCGCTCTTGGCCACTTCAACGTCTTCGCCACTGCACCGTATCCACCGTGTAACACCACCGCGTGATGCAAATCCCACCTTCTCGCGTCGATTAAGTCTCTTCTCGTTGGCATGACCATGTGCCGATCGTGGTCGTCTTCGTCTGGTTTCGCGAACGAAATCGCTCCGGAGATGTCGTTGTACCAAAACGTGCGTTGATCGTCGTCGTCTTCGCCGCTACCAGAAGCTGACATGTCGTCTTGTTCAAACCACATCGCGTGCACTAACGCTCTCAACTCGTCCGCTAAATTCTCAATGTTATCCCAGTAATAAAAAGGTTTCCGGAATGGCTCGAAATCTAACAAAACCGCCATCGTCAACCAATCGTACCCGAACAACTTTTCCACTCGTTTGATTAAATCTTTCCTATTTTCTTTCTCCAGCGATCTTTTCGAGGGCATGCCGTAGTGATTATCGCCTAACGTTCTCGCGTACGGCATCAAATCAAACTTCAACTGATCCAACGCCTCTTTCAACTCGGAGTCGTCTAAACTATCCCCTTCGGCGTCGAACGCGTCTCTCCCTCCTCGTCCTCTCAACAGTCCAACCGGCGGATCGATGAACAAAATTTTCTTCATCGGTATCATTTTCGGGAACAACGCAGGTGCAAACGGAATGTATTGCCAGTTGCTATCGTCGTCTGCGTCGTCGTCGTCGTCGTCGTCGTCCACGTCGCTTTCTTTATGCACGAGCAACGTATACGCCGCGATATCCTCAGCGACGGAACCGCTCTCGTCTGCGTCTTCTCCCGCATCCTCCTTTTCATTTGCCTCCACCACACTCGAATTACTCATCATTCCGAAGGACAACGCCTCTAAAAACTCTAACGCGTCCTCTGAACTCGTCTCGCCTTCCACTTCCACCTCGATCTCGCCTCCGCTCGTGGCTAATATTTGAACCACTTTCCCAACCACCATTCTCGTGTTCCAATCGAGAACGGTCCACCCGAGCCACCGCGCGGCATCTGCGAGCTTTATTCTTTTCGAGTTTTCGTTTAAAGAGAAGATAACTGGCTCGATGGCATTTTCGGGATGCTCTTTGTCTTCTTTGTCTTCATCTTCATCTTCTTTCAAAGCGCGCACAACGTGACTTCCCCTAATTGGACGACGACGACGACGTCGAGGATGATTGCGAAGAAAAAATGACGAGGAACACTTTTTTTGGGTGGTGCTTCGTTCAAAAGATACCGCGAGGTTGCGCATTCTCTCTCTCTCTTTCTCTCTCTTTTATTCGTATTCTCGACGCGTCGTTTACGTTGACGTCGTGGTCGTCCTTGTCTTCGATATCATCTTAAAGGGGAAAATTTTAGGGGAATTCCTTCATTTCCCGAACATAAAACACATATATACGAAAAGATGTCAACGCGCGCGCAAAGAGGCGATCGAGGCAAAACGCGAGGCGCAGGAGGCATAGGAGTAGGAGCATCGGGAGTCTTCTCTGCCAAGAAAGCGGGAGGAGGAGGAATAGGAGGATTACAGCAGCAACAGAAGAAGAATACATCGCGGTGGGAGTTACAAAACATCCATTGGGGCGGGGAAAGTCTCCCGAATTCGACGGCGTCGGGAGTGGCGGCAGGGGGCGGGAAACCGGTCGTTCCTCAGGAAAAAACCGCTTTAGTCACGAAATGGGTGAAAAGAATCGAGAATATAAACAACGGTGAGAACATGGAGACGAAGGAGAAAGAGGACGTGTTCGTATTGGGAGGAGGAGGAAAAGGAAAGAAACGGAGGAAGTTGGAGGTGGTGAAGCGCGTCGGGTACGAGGTCAAAGTAAAAAGGAACCAACAACGAGCAGCAGAAGAGCAGTAGAGCGTTTGTGAGGAGGAGGTGAAGGAAAGAAACGGAAGAAGTTGGAGGTGGTGAAGCACGTCGCGTACGACGTCAAAGTAAAAGGAACCAACGACGAGCGGCGGAAGAGCGGTAGAGAGAGTTTTGTAAATTTGAAGTGTACGATAATTAGACTTAATCAAAGTGTCTTCCCAGGTGTCTCTCTCTCTCTCTCTCTCCGCAAAGCGCTTTTGCACGCCGCGTTTCGCGATTTTAAACGTTTTTATCTCAACTCCCTCTTCTCTTCTTACCGCCGGCGGCGGCGGGCGTCGCCACGTCTTGTTTCTTCACTTCCAAGTTCTCCTCTTTTTTCATCAGCAACTTCGTGCCGGTGCTTAATATCGCGATCGAAGCCGCGGTTCCGCAAAGGATCTGAAACCACGATTTTTCGACGAGAGGAGTTTGGCTGCTACTGTCCGACGCCTTCGTGGTTGAATCCGCGGAGACGTTCAGCGCGTCCTTCTTCTTCGATTGGACCACTCCAGGGGACTCAGGAATAGGCGAAACCACCGCTTTTGCTTCTATCGTCTGCGCGGAATCGTGCGTCCCAGCATCAGCCGAAGAGACGACCGAGGACACAGTATCCGCCCCTCCCGTCGTCGCGGTTGTTCCTTTCTTTTCTTTTTTCTTTAACTTCTTCTCCTGTTTGCGCTCTTTCCGAGCAGAACTTCCGAGCATGATGTGAAACGAATGTGATTTGTTCCCTAACTTCTTAATTCTTCTTTTTCTCCAAACTCTTTCTCTCGCAAAGATTTAAAGAGGACGAGTTGTTGTTCAAGTTTTTCGTGGATGTTTCTTCTTCCTCCTCTTCTTCAGTTCTTCTTCTTCTCGCGATGAAACGAAGACGACTTAAACACAAGGACGACGGTTTATATCTCTTTCTTAATAACGAGTTTGACCGGTTATTTTTGGTCAATGCAAAAAATACGAGTAGATTTAATGTATAGATCAGGAATATTTTTGTTATATCTCTACGAACTTTTTGTTTATGTAGTACACCTGCTGTGCGCTGCGAGAGATGATGACGACGCGCGCGCACGTTGAATTGAATTACTCTACTCCTTCCGCCCCTTCCCTTCTTCCGTAGCGCGGCTGCTCTTCCTCTTTGCTTTTTCCACGACTCGTTTTTTCTCCTTTCTCGTTTTCTTGACATCCAGTTCCAAAGGTGGGGGCAAACTCCTCGCGATGAGCGCGCCCAGGCCGGTCAGGAACAGGATTTCGACGCACGTCGCGATGGCGCGCTCCGCCATGGTCGTCGCTAAATTTCCTTCCTCTTTCCTTTCGAGTGCGGTGAAGGCGTTTTTACTTCGCTCTTCTTGGTGAGTTTTTTCTTCTTTTTCTTCCCGGAAAGTATCTCTTTTGTTTTTTGCTTCTTCGTTGGGATGCTTTTGTCGCGCGCGGAGAGGAGCTTCTTGGCGGACTTCTTCCCTTCGCTGTTTAAGTTCGCGCTCGAGTGTTGGTGCTTCGGGTAGTTGCTGTCGTTCGCGCTGGTTTGTTTCTTCGGCGGCGCGTATTTCATCTTCTTTCTCAACGCGTTTTAGAAAAAGTGAAGAAGAAAGGAGAGTGACTTGAAGAAGAAGTTTGTGTTTCACATGATGTTTCTCATTAGAAAGCTCGTATCGAATTTACAACAAACAAACAATATTTCTCTCATATAACGGTAGTTGTAATCGTGGTAGTACTCGTATCGGTGAATAAATGTATCGGAGAGTAAGTAGAACGTATATCAGTCAGGCGTAAAAGAGAACGCTCGGGAACCCTTTGTACGCGAACGATAAGCGCCTTTGAATTGGACCGAAAGGCGCGTTGACGCCGACGGTGCGAACGCGCTTGACCGTGGCGAAGAAGACTCGTGAGCTGCTCGTGACAGATTGAACGAACGCTTTGTCGTTGTCGATATACACAGCGCCGAGATAATAGGAGAAGTTGTCGATTTTCTCGGAAAATTCCATGACGGCGGTGATGACGTGTTCGGTCGATCGACTGGAGACCGCGACGAGTTCGGGCGGTTTCCTCGGCGGCGGAGGAGGAGGAAGAGGAGAAGAATAGAGAGGAGGAGCGATGTTCGGATTGGCAATGAACCGATAGTGCGATGAAAATCCAGACGTCCATCCAGGGTTGTTGTTGACGCCGGGCGTTTGACCTACGGTCTTCTTCGGGTTCGATGGATCTTTGACCTCTCCGACGTAACAACTCGTTCTCGCCGAGTCGTGCGCAAACGCTTCGCAAGTTTTTTTAGCAGGGTAATCTTGGCCGTCGGGTGCGCTGTTGTGGCACAACCGGCAACACTCTTCGGGATTGTCTACGTCGTTGTATCTCATGAACGGCGCGATATCATACCGCGCGTTCGTTTCAATCTCATCGCACTCTTCCTTTTTCTTTACAAACGGAGGAACGAAGGAAGGCGGCATTTCTGGTATGAACGGCGGAATGAACGGCGGAGGAACGAAAACATTCGACATCGTTGCAGATTTCAGTATCGCTTCGATTTTATCGTGATAAACCTTCACGATGTTCAATATTGGTTCGTGTTCTTTGTCTTCCACGAACACGCAATACCCGTCTTCGTCGTATTGTTTCTTCAAAAGAGAGCCGAGATGCCAAAACAAGATTCCGCCGGCGCTTGGAGAGAGAGAAGTTCGTTGCTCAAACACTCCTCCTTCTCTCTGTATCATTGCGACTGTCGCCTCCGTCGCCAACTCGTACACTCTCTCATAGTAGGATGCCCGAACGCTGATCGGTTTCTTCTTGCCAAACTCTTCGAAAAGAATAGGCAGGCCTAACGCTTCCGCGTCTCGAATGTGCTGCCGTACCCACTGATCAGTAAAGCGTAACTTCTCCTCTTCGCTCGCGTCGCTCAACCAATCGTCCACCCATAAGTGCACGGTCAAAAAATCAAATCCGACAGAGTGTTTGATAAAATCGACGCCCCAGTTTCCGGCATCCGAAAACGGATTGACGTTCGCCGAGTTGGTGAAAGAAGAAGAAGAAGAATAAAACCCCTCCGAACCGAGCGATAACATGTGATTCATGTTCACCTCTCTGAACGCCTGAATCATCTCTTGACACCACTCGCTCATGATTGCATCTCTCACCATTCCATTCTCTCCTCCCCCTGATTCCATTCTCGGCTCGTTGATCAGCTGAAACGCAAACACGCTCTCGTCGTCCTTGTACCTCTCCGCGACGTATCGCACGTACCTCTTATACGCCTCCTTAATCCTCACATCACGGAAGAACTCGCTCTTCTCTTTCACCCCAAACCAGTCGCAGTATTGCTTTACCCCTCCGTAATCCTCCCAAAAGTTTGTCAGCGTTAGCAACAACCGAATCCCTCTCTTTTCGCATTTCCGTAACAACCGATCCAACCCTTGAAAATTCTCCTCCTCGAACACTCCAACGTCTTTTTGCAACGCTCTGCCATCGAAATCTTTCCGATCGCCGTCTAAAAACGCCCAAACTCTCAACACGTTCGCCCCGGACGTTTTCGCGCCGTCCAACACCCTATCGACCATTTGCTGCCCTTCTTCGCGTCCGTTCTCTTCGTAGAGCAACGCGAACGCGTTCGCACCGAGCGCGAGAAAGCGCTCTTCTCTCTCCAAACCACCACCAGAAGAAGAGAAAAAAGAAAACGACGCGCCGTCGCGGCGGATGAACCTTTTGTTAAAGCTTTGCTGCGCCGAGGACGCGCGAAAACAAACGAACAAAACGAGAACGAACAGAACGCGCGCGAAAGCGCCGTGAGATTGCCCTCGCGAGGATGAGTTTACAGTCATAATATAATACGCGTAAAAATACTGCCGTTTTTGAGCAAAAACACACACAAAAGCGGCTTCAGAATTTAACAAACTTTCGACTCGCAAGAACAACACACAACACGTAAACGCGCGAAGAACAGAATGGCGAAAGACCAACACGTACCCCGCCGTTCATTTTCGCTGAAAAACACGCTCGAAACGTTCTACAGAGGCGGACCCATCTGCATCGACAACGAGCTTCTGGCGTGCGCGAATGGCGACGAGGTGACGGTCGTGGACGCGAAGACTGGCGGCGTGAAATCCCGAACGGAGGGAGATACGGAACCGATCACCGCGATGTGTTTCAGCGCGAACGGGAAGAAAGTGTTCGTGGCGTCGAGGTCGTTAGCGATGCGAGAGCTGGACGTGGAGAGCGGGAGATTTATTGGGAGGAAATGGAAACCGCACAAGATGCCGGTGTTGGCGGTGTCGGTGGACCCGAGTGGGCAGTTTTTGGCGACGGCGAGCGCCGATCGAACGATTCGGGTTTGGGACATCGAGAGAGGGTACGCGACGCACTCGTTCAAAGGTCATACGGCTATGGTGACTGCGGTGCAATTTCACGAGACGAGAGGGGTTTTGAAGCTGTATTCTGGTTCGGATTGCGGAGAGGTTGGATTTTGGGATTTGCGAGGGAACAAAGCGGACGCGCCGATGGCGAAAGATGCGCACGTGAGTGCGGTGACCGCGATTGGGATTTCGACGTGCGGGAAGAAGATTTTGAGCGCGGGAAGAGACGGTGTCGTTCGCGTTTTTGGTTTGAACGGGAAGGTGATATCGACGACGAACGTTGGAGAGGCGGTGGAAGCCGCGAGAGTGTTACCGAGGAAGAGTGCGTTGTACGGCAAGTCCGGAGAAGATCGCGAGGAAGACGGGAAGGTGAGGTTTGCGACGGTAGGGAGCGGAGGCAAGGTAAAGCTATGGAAGGAAGGCGCCGGGAAGGCGTTTTTGGAATCGAAAACGTTAACCGGTGGGGTGGAGAATAACGCGAAATCGAACACGGATTTCCAAGCGGCGAGCGGAACGTTCGTGGAGTGCCGATTAGCCGAGGATGGGGAGATGTTGTTGGCGGTAACTGGAGATGCTCGAGCACTCTTTTTTGAAACAACTGGTGGTAGTAGTAGTAGTAGTAGTAGTAGTAAAGGAAAGGATAAGAACAATAGTAAAAAGGGTAGTAAAAGTGGATTGACGATTGCGCGAGAATTGATTGGCGACTGCGACGAAATCGTAGGTTTGGCATTTGCGAGAAGTTCGTTGGAGAAAACCGTGTACGAAAATGAAATCGCACTTATCAGAGATTACAACGATCCCGAAGATGAGAAAGCAAACAGCGACGACGATGTAGACGGCGACGATGACGCGAGAAAACGGAAATCGTTGAACGATGCCAACGCAGATAGGGAAACGTTGCCTCCACCTGAATTGTTGTGTGCGGCGACGTCGTCGTCGCCTTTACTTCGTATTTTCCAAGCGCATAAGGATAGGAACGCTGGTTTCACGTGCATTGCTGCTTTAGCTGGACACTCAGAGGCCATTTTATCCGTAGATTGCGCGCCGAGTAAAATAGTGAATGATAGAGAAGAAGTAGCGGTGAGTTTAGCGGCGACTGGATCCAAAGACCATATGGTTCGCTTATGGAACGTCGAAAAAAGGGAATGCATAGCGTTCGGTAAAGGTCACGTGAGTGCAGTAACTTCTGTTGCTTTCGCACCGAGAAAGAATGCACCGTTTGTAGTTTCTGGAGGGCAAGACCGCGCCTTGCGAATATGGGACGTGAACGCAGCTTTAGAATTGCACGCCAAAGCTAACGACATCAACAACAAGGAGGACGATGAAAACGATGAAGAAAATGTAGTCATACGTATGCCAGCGATTGCAGCGACTGTGGCGCACGATAAAGCCATAAACGGCGTGGCAGTGTCGCCAAACCATTTGCTAGTCGCGTCAGCTTCCGCAGATCGCACGGCAAAGCTTTGGAAGATGCCGGATTTGCTCTGCGCGGGCGTCTGTCGCGGGCATAAAAGAGGCGTGTGGGCGATTGCATTTTCTGATGCGGATAAATCCGTTGTAACTGCCGGTGGCGATAAAATTATTCGCTTGTGGGATTGTTCCAACACGACTGGTGGCGATTTGCCGTGTTTGAAATCGTTCGAATCGCATTCAGGCGCCGTGTTAGCGGTGAAATTTTTATCGTCCGGACAACAGCTCGCCTCCGTCGGCGGCGATGGGAAGCTCCTCGTTTGGAACAATAAAAACGGGTTAGCCGTGAAAGAGTTCGAAGCGCACGAAGACAAAGCGTGGGCGATGGCCCGAGGTGGCGACGGCGCGTACATCGCCACCGGTGGTGCCGATGGATCTTTGAAACTTTGGGAAGACGACACGTTGCTTGCTTCGAAACATCGCGAAGATAAAATGCAACTCGGCATTGAGAAAGATCAACAGTTGCAAGACGCGGAGGCGATTGGAAACGGGAGCGAAGCTTTAAAATTGGCGTTGAAACTCGATCGGCCGCGCGCGTTTTTACGCGTAGCTTCGCGTATGACCATGGAACGTGGCGAAAAAGGGATGCAAATTGCCAAAGGAGTTTTCAAAGAACTCGATACGGAAGAAACCGTGCGATTGCTCAAATACATTCGCGATTGGAACACAAACTCGAAGACGAGCGGCGTTGCAAATAAAATTTTAAAGTGTGTGTTGACGGCAAAGCCTTTGGATGCGATGTCAAGTCTGCCGGGAATCATTGATTTGTGCGCCGGATTGAAAGCGTACGCGATTCGACACCAAAACCGCGCGCAGAGGATGTATCAGAGTACATTCTTGATCGATACGGCTCTGACGAGAATGGGCGGCCTGAGAGAAGAAAGCGAGTTAATGCTTGATATGGATGAAGAAGAAGATGAAGAGGAGGAGGAAGAGGAGGAGGAGGAGGAGGAGGAGGAGCGCATCGCAACGCCTCCCAAACCAAAGAAATCATCGACTGCGGCTACAAAGACGAGGAAGAAATCGCGAGTATGGGAGACGGAAACGGTAATAGCGCCTTTGGAGAAGGAGAAGAAAGGAGGCGACGCGATAGAAGCTTCCGAAAAAGAGAAAGAGAAGCCAACCACGAAACCACCTCCTCGAAAGAAGAGCAAAAGCCCGTCGCCGGCGCCTCCGATTGAGAAGCGACCGACTCGCCGAAGCACGCGATCACAAACGCCAGAAGTAGAAGAAAAAGTAACCGCCGCGAAAGAAAATGAGAAAGAGAAAGAGAAAGAGAAAGCGGAAGAACAACAACAACCGTCGAAGAAAAAACGCGGTCGTCCTCCGTCCAAATCAAAATCTCCGCCCTCGCGCGAAGAAGAGGAACGCGCTGCGGAGGAGCCGCCCCCTGCGAAAAAGAAGCGAGGTCGGCCGCCCAAAGTACCACCCGCGTCAGCGACGAAAAAGAACGCGACGACGAAGAGTAAACCACCACCACCACCGAAAGTAGCGCTTCGTCGATCGCTGCGTTCTCGTTCTCGCTCGCCCACGCCAATTTAGGGTAGTAATAGGACCAAGTAGCATTTGAAAGTTGAATTCGAAACGCCTTTACACACGCTGCTCACCTCTCGAGAGTACACACCCCATGCGACATCATCAAATTCCTTTCGGCCGGCGCTGGTGCTCCTCCCCTTCTTCTTCGTTGTCCACCTCCTCCTCCTCGTCGTCTTTACCGTCGAGCAACAAAAGAAGACTCAATGCATTGGGGAGGAGTATCTTCCCCAATGGAAGAAAAACGATCAAAGTCCAGGACGAGGTTGAGAACAACAACAGCGACGCGGCGATGATGACAACGACGATGAACACGAAGAAGAGAACGAAGATCACTTCGACGACGTCGACAAAAGTGGCGTTTTTTGCACTCGGCGACAAAAATAGACGGAAGAAGTGTTTCGTCGTCTCCAGAGGATCCTCGAGGAGAGGCATGATTGTTACCAAAGCCTCCTCTTCGTTTTCGGGGCGAACGACGAGCGGATCTGGCGGCGAAAAGAACGAGAACAAAACGGGGTTGTTTCAGAACGTTCCAGAGCCGTACAAGTCTATAGTTGCCATCGCGTTGGCGACCGTATTCGCGTCGTTAATTGCGAACAGCGACTTGTCGATCGCGTTTCCGTACTTGGCGCCGGTGCAGAGAGGGTGCGAAATTGTGAGCGTAAACGCGATTAAAACTTTACTGTTGGTTACGGACGGCGCGTTGGATACGGCGGAGTGCGCGTGGATTTTATTGAATAAGATGCGTGCGCCGTCGCAAGAAGTGGTGTCTGGGATGATTGGGATGCTTTCTGGAGTTGCGGCTTTAATTGTCGGCGCGGTTGGTACCGGGGCGTCTGCGGTTGGCGCGGCGTTTGCGTTTGTGACGTCCCGAATTGCCATGTATCTCGCGACGCTTGTCGTGTGGGCAGGTACAGGGAGTCCGGCGTTTGTTTCTGCGGTCGTTGCGAGTATGCAAGGGTTGTCGACGCCGGTGGTGGTTGCCATCACGGTTGGCGCGACTATCTTGATACAGAACGCGTGGAAGATGTGGAGAGGCGACGGAATTGAAAGTAGCAGTAGTAATACAGTTGCGGAGGCGGTACCTCCGCCTCCGCTCAAGGCGGAACGGGTCATTCGATCTGCCGCGGCGATTGAAACGCCGCCGCCGAGACCCTCGCCGCCGCCGCCACCACCACCACCACCACCCGTTGTGTCTGAACCAGTGGTGGCACAATCGGTTGTATCTGAAGTCGTCTCGACGCCGGCTGTTGCATCCAGCCCGCCACCGTCGACGCCGCGAGTGGTTGACAACGAAACCGAGGAAGTCAGAAGAGTCTTCGAACGTCTCAAAGCAGAGGCGGAAGCGAACGCGAACATCGCCAATTTGAATAACAAAGAGAAAAGGGATGGGACGAATAGAGTTGGCTCCAAGCAGCGATTCCAAGCATTTACTTATCTGGTGAAGGAAACTTTGGACTCGATCAAAGGTGTTACGAACAAAGACGCAGACGAAGTTCTCTTCGACGCGAAATTTCAAGCGAAAGAAGTTGCCAGCATCACCTCAAAGAAGTTAAACGAAACGTTCTCCGATAAAGAGCAGTTTGAAGAAAGGTTGAAGAGAACGTTCAAGAAAACCACCAGCATCGCCAACGAAGCCGTCCTCGCCGCGACGCCGGTGTTCAAAGAACTCTCTCCAGTGCTCTCGAAATCAGCGAAGAGAGCTGCTCGACAGTTACGAAAGGTTGACGTGAGTCAAATGTCGACTTCTTCCGTCGAAACTACTAAGTTTGACCTTCCGAAAGTAGAGATGCCTGAGATGCCCAAGATGCCCAAGATGGAAAAGCCGAAAGTTGACACACCAACGAAAGAAAAAAAAGAAACAAAGAAAGTAGAAGAAAAGAAAGAGGAATCGCCAAAACCGTCAGCATCATCATCTGTGATTGAAGAGAAGGACACTAAAGCCATCGAAGCCGCGAAGAAAGAAGCGGCCGAGAAGGTTTTGAAGGAGATGGCGGCGTTGGAAGAGCAAATGTCTCGAGACGTTGAATCCGCGCGCGACAAGGTCACGGAAGCGGAAAGGGAAGCCGGCGAAGCCTCTACATCTGCATCTTCCAGCGACGACGTAGAAATCTTAAAAACTGCAGACGGTATGTTGCGCTTTTCCGTCGACGATGACGAAGAAGGCACGGTCGCGCCGAAAGTATCAGGAGCCGCCTCCTCCAAAAAGCTCAACGTCCCTGACGTCGAGCTTCCAGCAGGCACGAAAGTCATTCGAGATTCCGAAGACGACGGCGATACGAAGTAGTCTCTCTGAATGGTGTTGCGTATACAGTAGTCTTTTCTAGCAAGCGTGTCTTCGTTTACAAATTGTAAATATTCTTTTGTAGTTAACGAATTCCTAATAATAATACTAAAAAGAGCACATCCTCTTTCAAAAACCCAACACTCGAAGCACTTCATAAAAATCAAACGCAGGAAAAACGCGAACAAATATACACCATGACGACGACGACGAAACGCGCGGCAGGGGTTGTCGCGCGTGTTGTGCAACGAGCGATGGTGACGTGCACCACCTCGCCTCGTCCTTCTTCTTCTTCTTCTTCTTCTTCGTTGTGGTATTCGACGACGACTTTCGTCCCCACTCGGGAGAATTTAAACGTCAGGACGGAATTCCAATCGTCGTCACCATCGAGAAGCGCAACGACGCCAAAAGGAAATAGGAAGATAAAAGGAGAGCATTTGGATTGCGCGGTGGTCGACGCGATGAGCGCGCGAGAGATGGTGTTTTTTCGTCCTCGGTGCTCGGAGCAAGATGCAACGACAAGTTATTCGAACAGCAACACTAGAGAGCAACAAAAGGGAAGGATAGCGATGCCCTTCGTCGTCGCCGGGGCGGCGATTCCATCTGTGCACGACGAGAATATTAGCCGTGAGATAGTGAACAACGTTAATGTTGATGTAGTCGAAGACGCGCTGAGGAGGCTGGAAATAGCGTTTCCTCCGGCTTCGACGAGTACAGAGGAGAACTTTGGGGACGAAGAGAACAACAACGGGATGTGGTGCAAAACGCACCTGACGTATCAGCCGTCGAATCTAGTGAGGAAACGAAGGCACGGGTTTTTAGCGAGGAAGAGGACGGTTGGTGGCAGACGAGTGCTCGTGCGTAGAAAAGCAAAGAAGAGACGAAAGATGTCGGCGTAAGATTAAAGAATAATAATTTGTAATGTATTAAAATACCGGGTCGTTCACAATAAAAAATGTTCCGTATTATGCGCATAATAAATAAAAGCCTCACGTATGAATATATTTAAGCCGAATAGATGACGTCGTTATCTAAGAAGACACGTTTACTCGCTCTATTTCCATCGTGTGCGTGCGTGGACCACGCTAAAGGATCGATCAATTCTTCTCCCACTGCTGCGGCACCGTAAAATCCCAACACCAATACCGCGCTCGGTACCGGCGAGAGCCATCCAAAAGTACTGGCAAACGAGAATGGTGCCGAGAATGCGTAGAAGAATAGCGCGGTGAGCGCGATGTGTCGGTATAACGTAGGAACTGGCGTGTCCACGACTCGGAGTATAGTCGTCTGAGACTGAAGAAAGTTCTCGCAGTGATTGTAACAATCGAAAGCGGCTTCGTCACTTACCAGAGCATTTTTACGCGTGAATTCCACCGTACGTTGCAGCTCGGCGACGCACGCTGAAGCTCGACTTTGGTGCGACGTTGCTAGAATGGCATCTTTAAGTTTTGCGTCATGTCCCATGTGAGTGAAAACATCTGCAATAGATGGTACTCCGACGCTCGAGTCGGCAATATCATACGGATCGAGAGGCTTCAGAGTGAACGTCGAATCAAAATTGGCTGCAGGATCACCCGCTTTCCTCGTATTTTCGATATCACTGCCGGCAGTTTGCGAATACATTGGAACACCGAGCCGGTGGTCGCGCATAGTTCTTCGAGCAAAGACGAGTGCAAGGTCGAGTAGACGCCGAACGCGTTCTCGCAAGACGTTAGGATTGACTCCCCCTTTATTCACGCTGTCCACGCTGAAGAAGAAACTCAACGCTTCTTGCTTGGACAGTTCTTCCTCGGTTGCAGATTTACGAGCAGTAAAGAGCCCACGCTGTTTTGCTGAACTCTTTTTTGCGGATGTGTTGCCGTTGTTATGTCCGAAGCAGGTTGCTGCCATGACGTTTATTGACCGGGCGGAATCGTACATATCATCCAAAGCGACGAGCACTTCGTACCATTTACGATAAGCAACGTGGGCAATGTGCGATAAAGCAAAACCAACCACTACTCCAGTGAGTCGATGCGCTGTTGAATCGAATGATACAAAACAATCTCCTGTGTTCATGGCATCCGAAAGCTTCCCGCAGGATACTTCTTTTAGAATCGTGGCAAAATAAGCGACAAACACCGCGGCAAGAAGTTGGGGAACGCAGTTTGCGTATATCGTGCCTCGCATTACGAAGAGCTGAGAGATGAAGTAAAATCTGCCCCTTTCCACTCTTACCGCCGCGCTGTCCGATTTCGAAGTCGTGACAGACTCGCAAAGCTCCGCGAGAACGGGAGATTTCTTCTCTGTAGCTTTTTTGGACAAGCCAGCCTCCTCCGTCTTTGAACGCGTCAACTTTGGCGATACAGATTGTTTCACTCGCATAATCGCCTGATAATCCGGGCATTGATCGCCAGAATTGTCGATGACGTCGTGCAACGCTTCGCAGTCGTGCCAGAGATTCTGTCCGAACACGGATAAATCGTGGTTTGGTTTTATCCAGCCGAACGGTTTTTCCAACCTTTCCCCAACTTCCAGAACTCCATAGAAACAAAGCGAGACCAAAGTAGCCGGCCAAAACGCGGCGTACTTAAAGCTCGCGGTAAAAAGGAGAGGACTCGAGAAAACGAAGAAGAAGACAATCACATTTATCGCGTGAACCAAAACTCGCGGCGTTTGCGTGTGCGCTGCACGATGACAGCTGACGACTGCAGATAACGCTTGCCGGGTCTCTCTGTGGAGGTCCGCGGCGCCACGGTCGCACACAAATCTCTTAACTCGAAGATTTTCAACGAACGCGTGCAACCTCGTCGCAACGAAATTCAATCGTCCGACTGGATCGTCAATTTTAAGCAAAGCATCGTGGAGTTTATCATCCTCTTTCTCGGACTCAAATATATTTTTATCCAATAATCGACCGAGGTTGGGGCCTGAACCGGAATAACGGTCGGCGAGGAGGACGTTCGTATCGTCATAATGAATGAGCTCGCCATTCGGGCCAACACCTAAAGTAGATTCGCGAAGATATATACGCGCCATGGCGAAAAATAATGTTGTTAACCTCAGAACATGTGCCCTTGGAGATACGCGAATTGTTGTACTTTGTGCGGTTGCGTCTGACAGCGATGTCATCTTCCCACCGTCACTGATGAACAACAGTTGCGGATTCACGAAAGCACTCGTTCCCATATTCAAGTTTCTCAAAGAACGTCTGAGTTTTTCAAGCGATACTTTAGCTTCATAGTATCTCTCATAAGCGTATCGAAATCTGTACACAATGACGAATGCCAATATGGAAGCTACGGCTGTATGCGCATCTTTCGAAAACGTTACCTGACACTCGCTCGGATTTCTGACGTCTGCGCCGCATTTCCATACCTTTGCTGCTTGGGCGAGACATGCCAGTAACCCAGCGATGAGACACTGCGGAATGAGTTTCGACAATACGGTGTTACGAAACTTAAAGACGTCTCGGAATACGCGAGCGTGGGAACGACTCTCCGCATCAGTTTTTCCACCCGTGATCGGCACATTCGAGAGATCAGAACTGGTCTCGGGCATTTTGGGGGGAACATGACCTGATTCAATATCACCACTATTTGCATCCGTCGTGGTGGGAGAAGTAGGACATAGGTTCGAAGGTTTACCAACCCCAACGTCAACCAGCGCATCGGTTGCCGAATGGGGAGGGATTTTCTGCGAATGTTTACCTGAACTCAAAATATCTGATACCGCAGAAGGTAAAGCCAAATCGAACGTAACTTCACGAAATGTTCTCGACTCTTTGAAATGTGCAAAACCAGCGGCCTCAATGTCGTGACCATCGGTATCGTAATCGAATGGATTCTCCATATTGCGCGCTACTTCCGCAGTGCCGTAAAAAGCAATCGCAATCAGCATAGCCGGCGCCGGTGACAACCATCCAAAACCAGCAGTGAAAATAAACGGCGCAGAATAAACGAACGCAAATAGAGCAAAATTCAACAGATGTAAGTATATCCACGGCATTTTGGTCTCGCTGATTCGTTCGAGATTATTGCACGCAACCAAGCAATCGTTGAGATCGTCATACAAATCAAAAGCGCCGCGTTCGGAGATATCGTTTCTTTTGCGCGCCTCTTCGACGAGTTTCTGGCACTTGGCCACGACAAGCGCTGGCCGAGACGATGGAAGCTTTCCACACATGAAATCTTTTTCGCTTTCCGTGAGAATCACGGCAAGCGAAGGATTTCCTCGCGGATCTTCTCGAATTAATTGACTGAAATCAATATTCGTACTCTGAACTTCACCGACTTTTCGGACGCCGCATCGCGTTTCGCGCGCGATATGTCGAATGAAACCAAACATACAGTTCGATAATCTTCTGAGTTCATCGCGAAGTTCCACAGAGCTGATGAACGCTGTCGAAGCCTTATAGGCGTCTCCGTCATACTGGAGTTCACCGGGCAAATCCGGTCTGAGGAAGGCTAAGGAGCCACATGCGAAGTTTCGCGCACCTTCGCACAAAGCACCCATAAATTTCTTCGCCTCGTAGTATCGATAGTACGATATGCTGGCGCGAAAACACAGAGTGAAGCCGATAACGCCACCGCAGACGGAGTGCGCCGTGTCGCTGAAGGCGAATGCGCAGTCTTGATGCGACGTCACATTCTTACCGCACTGTTTCACTTTCGTATAGTTTGCGAGCCCAGCGAGGAGACCTGCAAATATCGTTGGCCACAGAATACCCGGCAAGACAGTGTTATTCCACGCGAAGAGATCAGTGAAGAATGACATGGACGTCAAACGACGTCGTTGTACCGAGGTTGAGATATCGTGTATCTCCGTGGACGCTATACCGGCGAATGATTCTTTCTGTGCAATGTCGTTGAAGAGCTTCTCGGACACGCGACGCAAACCTTCCTTACGGTCGACGGACTGCTTCGAAGCGATTCCGCCACCGCTACTGATAGTTTGCGCGACTTTGGCTTTATCGAGCACCGGCGCTTCCTCTGATGCCGAGACTTTGGAAGCCTTATCACGGCCCCCGGCGTTTCCCAGAGATGCTTCTCGAATATTTCCAAGGAAAATACGCTTGAAGTCGTGGATCTGCGCAGATTCTCGCGCCAACCGTCTACCAAGATCGCCCAAGTCGTGGGAGGGACTCGTCCAGTTGAATGGATCAGCCATGGCCGTGCCCATCTCGTTGATGCCGTAGCAAGAGATGACGACGATACCTGATGGGATAAACGCAATCCATTTGAACGTGACGACGAACACAAACGGCGCCGTAAAGACGAAAGAAAAGAGAATCAGTTGCAACAAATGCGTAAATGCACGTGGAACGGGTGTTGTTGCCACTCTGTTTGCAGCTCGCGTAGCTGCAAGCGTCTCCTCCAGCGTTTGATACACTTCAAACGCCGCGCGTTCACAGACGTTCCCGAGTCTGCGCTGATGTTCAACAATCGTTTGGATTTGAAGACATGCGTACGCACACCTTGAAGGTATGGGAATATCTTTATACGAATTATTAAACACGCTTGCATCCACAATGGACGGGTCATTCGTTGTACTCACATCCTTATCAATAACGAGCAACTCTTGTATTTTCGGACATCCGTAGGGGTCTTCCGTCAACATAGATTCAGCAGTCATCTTCCTTCCAAACTCGTCGCCGACTCGAGACTCGCGAACCTGAATACGTACAGACGCATACGCGATGTTCGTTAAACGAAGTATCTCCATCCTAGCTTCTTCGCAAGCTTTCAAATCCTTCTCGAATTTGTCCTTACTTCGCCTCGTCGATTTGCCTTGAACGACGTACTCGTAATCCCCTTCCGATGGCTTTTCCCCACATTCATAATCAATCGGGCGTATAAAAGACGACGTTAATACATTTACATTCCGCAAAGCAACGTGCAAGCGACCCAGGCACTCTTTTGCTTCGTAGTATCGATCGTACGCCCAATCCGCTCGAAAGACGAGCAAAAAACCAAGAGCGATGGCGGCAATACCGTGCGCGGTGGGATCCATAGCGATCAAACATTCGGAAGCATCCTTGACTTGGGAACCGCAGGAGAGGTACTTTGCACCTTGTGCAAAGAATGCGAGTCCTATTGCGAGTACAGCTTGTGGAATAACATCAGGTAAGATTGTATCGCGCCACTGGAAAATATCAAGGATAAAGTCAATCTTGAAAGATGACGACGACTTCAACCCGACGAAGCCGTCGCCTCGACGAACGCGATCGACTGGAGGTAAATCTCGATCACGAACTTCTCGATTTACCACCAACTTTGCAGCTTTCATAGATACACACGCATCTCCAGGCGGGAACAGCGGTTGCGTTCGATTGGTATCTTCGGAAGATTCGCTCATACTCGAATTACTGCTCACGTACGCGTAGTGTTTGCCTAGCGCGGAAAAGTATCTCTGCAAACCGGCTCTTTGAGAGGAGTGCGCATCTTCAGCTTTCTCTTTGCTCTCCACTTCATCGTCACGTTTTTGCACGAGTATCTTTCTACTCTCGTGAATTCGAGCGACGTCTTCGAACAGTTCCGCGCCTAACTGCGACAGATCGTGAGATGGCGCTTCCCACCCGAAGGGGTTTTCCATCTTTTTGGCAACTTCAGCGACACCATAAAACGCCATCGCAAGCAAAGCCGAGGGCATTGGTGTGAGCCAATCGAACGTTGCCGTGAAGCAAAACGGTGCCGAGTAAACAAAAAAGAACAGCAAAGTCGTCAACATGTGTGCGTACTTATTCGGTGTCGGCGTCGTTGTGATGCGCTCGCACGTCTTCACGCCGGCGAGAATACCCGAGCAATCGCGATAGATGTCCAAAGCACCTCGCTCACACACTTGACCAAGTCGTCTGCGTTTTTCAACAATATCGAGAATCTTTTGCACTACGGCATTTGCGCGATTAAACGGCTCGAGATGTACGAACGCTTCAATCTCTACCGGATCTTGAAGCAGATCGAGCAGCGACGGTTTCCCGGCGCGATCGTATCGCACAACTTCATCCGCCGATATCGTTCCGCTTCCAATCGAATTGTCCGCGTTCTGAACGTCATCCGAGTATCCAATACGCGATTCGCGTAGCGCGATTCGAAAAAACGCAAAGAGAAGTTGACTCAATCGCGCGAGCTCTTTGCGATCGTCCTCGTTTACGTCTTTTTGCGGCGTTCCTTCTTCTTTTTGTTGTTCCCTCGTCGTCCCCGAAACGAAAAAACCTTCCTCCTCTTCTTTTTTGGTATCAGTACTCGCTCCAACGGTATCGCCATCTTTATCGCCAATTGAAGCAAAAGAAGCAGAAGACGCGGTGCAAACGAACGAGCAAAACGCGACGTTCAAATTCCTCACTCCGTCTCTCACTCTTTCGATCGCCTCTCTCGCCTCGTCCCATTTCTCGTACGCCAAATTCACTCGAAACACCAACAAAAACGACAACACGACTGCCACCGACGTGTGTCCTTCCACGCTAAACGCCACGTCGCACTCCTTATCCTCCATCACGTTCTCCCCGCATCTCTGTATCTTCAGCGCGTTCGCGAAGATCCCAATCAAAAATGCCAACACCATCTGCGGTAAAACCGATGGAATCACCGTCCCTCGAAAACGGAAACACTCTCTGATCCATCGAAACGCCGTGATTTGCGGTTGGTTCATGTCCAAATTTCGTTTCTTATTCGTAAACGTCACCACTCGATCTGAGGGTTGCTGTGTCCTCGTCGTCCTCGTCTTCATCGTCTCTCTTCTTCTTCTTCTTCTTCTTCAACAACAAAAGCAATAAAAGGTACGCGTCGTCTCTCGTCTCTCGAGCTCTTTATATTATGCGCGCATGCGAGATGCTTTTAAATGAAGCTTTTTTTTAACAACCAAAAATTAAGCGTTTTTATGAAAAAAGAAAAGATCTCCTCTTTTTCTCAAAATCTCAAAATCACGGGCATCAGCAATACTCGGTAAAATAAAAGTGGAAAGCTTCGTTACAAAGACAAAGAGTACATATACAAAGTCGTGTATTGAAAATTCCCACTCTCTGTCTGGTGTTCCTATTCGAAAAGTCTTCTTCTGTGCTCGCGTCATGGACCAGTTCTTCTTCTCTCGCATTTTGTGTCGTCCATAAGATATTGTTTCGTTTGCGACGATTTCATCAACAAAACGGATTGCGCAAAAATGAACGTTGGACAACCACCCGGAGATGATGATGATGTAAAATCATCATCGCGTCAAAATCATCGGACGTCTCTCAAGAAAGCGTATTCGTCTCGCGTGTCGAAAGAAAAACAGAGGCGCGATGCGCTCTCGAGACAAGACAATGCGAGGCGAGATTTCGCGGACCACGCGAGACGTATCGTCGTCCAAGCGTCGAAGGAGGAAGAGTCGGAATCAAAAACAAAGAGAGGAAGAGGAGAGGAATATGTGGACGACGACGAAGGAGAAGAACGCAAGGAGGAGAAGAAACGGATGAAAAGAACAACAACAAAAACTGGTGATGGTGGTAATGACGATGATGTCGATGTAAAAAAAACCGAAAGAGGTGAATTGCAACTGCCGGAATACATGACGGATGTGCCCACGGATTTAGGGGAAAATTGGCTCTGCCAACCGAAACCGAGAGGAAAACGGTGCGCGGTGATCGCCGCGAGAGGGAGGACGAGTGCATTCGATGCGCGCGGGAAGAGAATAACGCTGGAAAATAAGAAGAAGTACTTTCAAAGTGCAATACCAGGAGGGAGTTTTCAGACGAGAGGTAATTCGGAGACGTTTTGTATATTGGATTGCGTGTACGGCGGCGGCGAAAGGAGAAGAGTAGGGGACGCGGCGGTTGCCGGAGATGACGACGCGATGGAGGAAGATGGGGGAAACGCAAACGACGACAACGGAGGAGGATATTTTGTGGTGCTAGATGTGATGGCGTGGAATGGCGCGGAGACGTACGGATGTGACGTGGAGTTTCGGAGCTTTTGGTTGCAAAGTAAGTTTGCGAGCGAAATCGACTCGTGCGCGGTTAGCCGCGACGGGCACGAGTATCCCATGTTTCCAGCGCCGATTTTTTCGTGCGCGACGGTGAATGAATTAAGGATGTGTTACGAAGGCGCGAGAATGAAGAGTTTTGGAGGGTACGTGTTTGCGTGCGACGGACTCATCTTTCGCGATAAGAGGGCGTCGTATACTCCTGGCGAGAGCACGCCTTTGGCGTTGCTCTATAAAGACGAAGCGCTTTGCGAGAGCTGCGGAGAAGGAACGTTTCGCCGAGAAGTTTTAGAGAGAGGATGCTTTTTGAAAGTAAAAAGAGATGGAAGTGGTGGAGACTTGTGCGCGATAGATGATAATACAGTTTTAGTATCAGCGGGAGGAGGGAATCAATTGAATCCTAACGTTGCCGTGCGCTGCGAATGGGAAGGCGACAAATTAGTTCCGCGGGGAAACTGCGAAAGGAAAGGAACGCGTCCGGATGCGTTCTCGAAGATACAATTTTACATCGCGTGCAAAACCAACAACCCACTGACGATGGACGAAATAGCGTCGTCCGTGTGTAAATAGCGCGTAGAACGAGAGGAGCTTAAATTATAGAGAGTTAGTTAGTCATCGCGTTTCTCAAACCTTTCATTCGCTATTTTCGTTAGCTATTTGTCCTTCTTTGTTTCTTTCTCATCTTCGTTTTCTTCTTTTTCCTTACCTTCGTCGTCGTCCTTGTTATCGTCATCATACGCGCGACCGAATTCGTTCACGCGACTTTTATCGACGCCATAAATCCATCTCTGCCATAGGTACCCGAAGAAAATGACGTCGTCTCGGAGACAGGCGATGCGATGTTGCCACGGCATCGCCACCGCAAACGAAAACACGTCGTCGATAAACGTGTTGAAGGTTTTATACATGAACGCGCGCCACGGCAAGTGTGCGACGGATTTCAACTTGTAGTTTATATACAACTGAGGTGTCATGGCGACAAACCCGAATATGTACACCCCGTTCGCGGCGTTTCGAAGGAACCACGCTTTCCACGAGCGGTGTTCATGATATAAAAGAGACCGAATCGACAACCCGACGACGCACGGGAACACCGCAAACACGAGCCACTTCATAGCTTTCGCGTCGGCTTCGTCGGTATCTTTTTGCATTTCTGAAGCTTCTTCGTTATTTTTCTTCCTCGCTCTCTTTGCTGCGACAAACTTCCAACACTTCCATAATTCGAGCAACGCGGCGATGCCGGTTTCGACAACGATAATACTCGACGCCGTCCCTCGCGACTCCCAAATGTTCAAAAAGATGATCGTCGAGCAAATAAAATTGGACCATTGCGATCGGACCGACAACCCTTCCACGTTTGTTCTCCCTTTCCAAAACCCGACGTCGTTTTTAAACGCTAAGAATGAAAACCACGAGTGCATGATGCTCACGATAAACGTGGCGACTAACCATCGCCAATCTTGACCGACAACCATTTCTCGCACTTCATCTAAATCGTCGTCGGTGAAACCCATGGTCGATTGGAGTTGGTCTAGCGTTGTTTCTACGTTACGTAACATACGATACACACCGAGTGGGAGCGGTTGTATGAGCAAGGAGATGACTGGGTCGTCCGGATACGCATCTTCATCTTCGTCTTCCTCCGAGGAATCCGTTCTCGCATCAATCATCTTCAACTGTCGCCACTCTCTTTTGGAAATGGAAATATCGTCCATCATCGCCAACGGCCTGTACGATCTTGTTTCGTAATTCAGCATTCTTAAGCCAATATCCATCGGCGCTCCGTGCGCGAAAAACGGAAACGGCGATTTTACTTTCAACACTCGCAAGTGAGGTCGCAAATGCGGCAAAATCGTCGTACTCGCGCTATTATTCTTAGCCACGCTGTTGTTACCATTGCCAGACGCACCCGTCGACGTCGTCGTGCTATTCTCACCACCACTGCTATTATTACCGCTACTCTTAATACTATCCTCTCCTCCTATCAACTTTTGAGTCTTCCTCCTCTCGCCGACCCGAGCGTATTTGAGCACGTTCACGCTCTCCCACCAAATCACGTCCCGCTCATTTCTCAACGGCGCTTCATCCTCGTAACCATCACTCTCATCTTCATCTCCAATCTTCGTCATAAACACGTGCGCGAACAGCATCGTCCCGTTTCGTTCTCGGACGTTAAACTCTCGCAAAGGAATCGTAATATTCTCGACCACATGTTTCGCGCCCCATCGCGCGTTCGCGCTCGCGACTCTTCGCGCCTCCCTTTTCTTTTCTCCACCGTTAAATTCAGCCATAAACGCTCTTCTGTCTTCTTCCGCTTCGTCTGAATCCTCGTTCTCCCGCTCTTCTTCTTCTCTCCTCCTCCTATTCCTCCTCGATATGATTTCCTCCAACACTTTCCTCTCGTTTTTCGTCTCCGACACGTACGCGTGGACGCGGAAATCCGCGTCCAAGGTTAAACTCGGAAACACGCACGCACGTTTCTTCCTTTCCCCAACGTTCCCGTCCTCGCATTGTCCCGGAAAGAACAGTTGGAACAGATTTAAACTCACGACAGTCACGTAGAAAAAGAAGAGAAACTGCGGGATTTTTGACACCGAGAAAGGCATCTCTTCTCTTAAAGACGCCGCTTTTGGGGACGCACGCGACAAATGTTCTTTCGTCAAAGTCTCGCTGTTGTTGTTCAATCTCTCTTTCACGCCCCGCAGAGGCCACAGGGGGCCGCGCGAGACGGCGTTCAAAGGGGCGTCTTTTAATGAAGAAAATCGGTTTTTTTCCTCCACACTTTTCCCTTCGGGAAACCTCTTCAACGAAGGAAAAGAGAGAGAGAGAGAGAAAGAGGTGGCATCATGCGGGGGTCGTTTTTCACAACCAACGGGAGCGCACACAACGCGCGCTTTGCGAGTGGGACCACCGGCGTGCACAAACGCAAAAAAATGATGCTTTTGGTCCTCTTCGTCTTCGTCGTCTGTCTCGTCTGCGGAACGTGGACGTTTCGAGGGAGCAGCGCTGCAGGGAAAAACGACGCCCCTTTTACTTCTTCTTCGTATTCCAAGAGAAGCGGAGGCAAAGGGAAACAAACGCTCTTGGATTCGTTCGAGAAAGAAGTGCACGAACACGTCTTTGAACCGATCGCGCACGGATTATTCGGCGGTGGTTCCGATGATGATACTGTTTCGGATGAAGATGATGATGACGATGATTCCGAGAGAGGAGGAGAAAAAGAGGAGGAGGAGGACGAAACAATCGCCGCGGACGCGAACGCGGATTTGAAGTACCGAGAAGAGAACGAAAAAGCGGAAATGCACGACGAGGAGGAAAATCAAGAAGCGGACGGGTACGAAGTCGCGACGATGGAGAAGAACGCTGCGATTGAACGAGAGGTGAGGCTGGAGGAAACGGCGAGGAAGGCGAGCAACATGCCCAAGGCGTTTGCGATACATCGAGGGAACGCGAAGTGCGCGAACGCGCCGAAAGAGATGTTGCCGAGGTTCTCGAAACAGATTGGGTTGAGGAAGAAAGAGGGTAAGGTTTTGCCGGCAAAAGCGGGGTACGTTGGGGTGTCAAGGATTGACGGGGCGACGAAAGGGACGGTAAGAGTGCGAACGGAAAACGGGCCGAGGACGAAGAAAGTTGAATCGAGCGCGAATCCAACCGTGAAGAATAGAGACGAAGAAGCGTTGATTGCGTGCTTGGAAGATTTGTCCAAGTGTCAGTTAGACTCGGAAAATGACTCGATTCGAAAAGCGGCGTGGAAATTAGGCGGGACCATGGACGCGAAATTAGGGAAAAGTTTAGCCGGCATCGAGAGAAAGAAAACGTGCGCCATCGTAGGCAACGGCGGCGCTTTAATGGCCAAAGAGTACGGTCAATACATCGACAAACACGACGTCGTCGTTCGAATTAATGTTTTAGACAACAACAACGCCAAGTTCAACGCCAGTTTAGGTCAAAAAGCAACCCATCGGGTGTTGAGTTACAAAATGAGCAAAGACGTGTGTTGTTTACAACCCGCCTCGAAACACCCTCCCGATAACGACGAGCTCATTTATTTAGCCTGGTTTCCGGCCATGCGCAAACAACTCATCTCGCGCCTCGCCAAACGACAAAAACGGAAAGTCATTGAAATGCACGACGCGCATTTAAAATCAATCATCCAGTCGTTCAAAAAAATGCGCGAAGAACTCGTCCGACTCGGATTCGGCCCTTTCGAAGACTGGGAATACATGACTTCCGGCATGCACGCCGTGTTAACCTTCGCGCGATCGTGCGAAACCGTCGACGTGTACGGGTTCACCACCGATTCCGGTGGGAAAGAACCGTACTGGTTCACCGGGAGGAAAGTCGCCCCGAGATCCGGTCGAACGCAACACGCCTGGGACCACGAGCGAATGATTTTGAGGCTCCTCGCCGCGAGCGGCGTCGTCAACGTTTGCACTTAGTTTACGTAGTAGAAAATAATAACGAGAGAAGAAAAAGAGAAAGAGCGTTGTTGTTGTTGTTGTTATTATTATTAGGCGCACTCTAATGCGCATCCATCTCAGATGATGATCATCGCACCGCCGCCCGTCGTATCGTTTTTTGCTCTTCTTTTTCCCTCCTTTGCACATGCTCTGATTCGTCATAAAAAAATGGGCGACACGACGAAGCGCAAGTCCGGTCGTTCGGACGACCCCTTCGACGGCGAGGGTGGTAAGAGCGCGAAGAAATCGAAGAAAGAAAAGAAGGAGAAGAAGACTCGGGAGAAGAGAAGCGACGATGAAAGCGAGGACAAAAGTAATCACAAGTCTTTTCCGGCGGCGTCGTCGGGGAAAACTGAAACGCCGCCGCCGACGACGACGAAGAAACGAGCTTTCCGTTTACGCTTAAAAGGGATCGCTCCGAACACGGACAAAGCGCAAGTCGCGCAATTTTTATTGGTGAGCGAATCGTGCGTGCGAAACGTCTTTCACGGCGAAGCGATCGTGATGGTTGATACCGAGGAAGCGTTTCAACGATGCGTGGAGAAGGACGACGAGAAATTAAATGGCCGGTTTGTGAAGGTGACGGACGAAACGAACGGGGCGCGGAGCAATCTAGGCAGGAACTTCCTCACGCCAGGGAACAACGGCGAGAACAATGCAGAGGTGAAGAGGAAAACGACGACGAACGAACGAGAAGGACGGGATTGGACGTGCGAGAAGTGCGGCGGGGAAAATTTCGCGAGACGGGAGACGTGTTATAAGTGCGCGGCGGGGAAGTACGGGGAACAGCGAGAGACGCCGCCGGTGATGAAAACGAGCGCGAGCATCAATACTGCCGTCGTTAAAAAACAAAACAACGCCGGAGATAGAATGGTCGCGCAAGGGTCCGAACAAGAAGGCTACGAGGTGTTCGTGAAGTATTTACCGAAAAACGTGGACGAGAGCGACATCGCGGATTTCTTCAAGCGCTGCGGCGAGTTGAAGGAAGAGGTGAACTTGTTGAGAGACCAAACGACTGGAAGTAGTAAAGGAGCTGGGTTTTTGACGTTTAGAAACGCGGAATCTCGAGAAAAGGCGTTAGCGATGGATGGGGAACGGTTTTTAGATCGGACCGTCTCGGTGACAGTTGCGAAAAAGTCACCGTTTGGGACGAGAGGAACGACGCAGGCGTTGGGGACGCATACGCCGGCGATGTTGAGGGAAACGATCGATAGTTTAGGCATAGCAAATGATCCAAACGGGATATATATAGATGGTACGTTCGGGAGAGGAGGCCACACGCGCGGGATACTAAACGCGCTTGGGAAGAATGGGCAACTCCACGCGTTTGATTTAGATCCGGAAGCGATTACAGTCGGGAGAGCGTTGGAGAAGGAAGATTCGAGGTTTCACATGCACCACTCGCCGTTCGGAAGCATGTTCAAAGTTATGCGAGAGAAAGATTCAAAAGTAAAGGTTTCGGGCGTCTTTCTCGATTTAGGCATTTCTTCGCCGCAGTTTGACGATAAGTCTCGCGGGTTTCGACCGGAACAGGACGGGCCTCTGGATTTACGATTCGACGTGACGAGCGGCGTGAGCGCGTACGATTTTCTCCTGAAAGTTTCCCGAAACGATTTACGAGATATTATATTCAAATATGGGGAAACAAACGACAAACTGTCCGCGCAACGCATCGCGGATGCCATCGTCTTAGCTCGAGATACCAACGCGCTTCCGAAGACGACCAAAGCGTTCGCGACGCTCGTGGCGAACGCGAAAGGCGCGGAGTACCAAGCTATGCATCCTGCGAAAATGACCTTTCAGGCGCTGCGCATTCATTTGAACGAAGAATTCGACGAGTTTCGCAGAGGTATGGAAGGTGCGATGAAGTTATTGAAAGAGAATGGCAAATTGGGCGTTTTGACGTGGAAACATTCCGAGTGCGCGATATTGATTGAATATTTCCGAAAAGTCGAGAAAGTGCGCACCAACGCGCCTATTTTCGAGTGGTTGAAAACAAATCACGAGAAGTCGGTGACCAAGCTATTAGAGAAGGACGACGACGACGACGACGCTTGGGCGGCGGAAATGGACGATTGTAAACGCCCTGCGGATATAGAAATGCGCACAAACTCTCGATCGCGATCGGCTATTTTGCACGTCTTGAGGAAAAAAAGCAGCGCGGCGCGAATGGTGGAAGCCGAGAAAGCGGCGTATAAGAAATTGAAATGGGAGAATAAAAAATAGCATTAGCGTAGAATTTTTCACGTAAACACCGTGTCTCTCTCCATCTCCAATACTATCTTTGCCATATCATCCGGCGATACGGACACGTACTCGTTCATTTGGCAAATGGCGGAGAGACCCAAAGGCCCGCCTTTGGACCAACTGCTACTACTACTTCCGCTCAAATTCTCCGCCAAAACGTCCGCGTCCACGTCTGGAATCTCTCTTCTTTTTTGCAACTTCTTCACCCAACCGTAGCTCGGTTTCTCGTAAAAGTACCTATATTTTCCGCTCGATTCGTCTTTCGTCGCCCTCAACACTCGCAACACCGGATTCTCCCCGACGCCGTCCGCGCCAATCTCTTTCAACTTCTTGTGCACCGCTTGCGACGAAAGATACCCGTCCTCCGTCCTCGATTCAACAATCGCCAATCTCGCATCCTTCTCGCTCCGTCGCACTCTCGCGTTCCCTCTCTCAAACACCTTCTCCGCCTCCAACACTTGGTCGTACCCTTCCTTCCACAATTCCTCGCCGACGTCCTCGTTCAGCCGCTCCACCACGCCTTTCACTTTCTCGAACGCCAACGAATACGCCAACTCGTCGTCGTCCGTCACGCACAGCGAACTCAACGGATCGCAAATCGAAGACAACGCGATGTCCAACTTCACTCCGTTTTCCGAACTAAACTCCCCGAAATCCCCGCTCTCGGCCGCTTCGATGAATATCTGTTTATGTTTCAAAGCAAACTCTGGTTCCAGTAACGCGAAGCAGCTCAAAACGCCGTCGGTATCGTAGTGGTTGTTCAAAACGATCGCGTCTGCGTACTCGCCCGAATCGTCCTCGTTATTGTGCTCGATAAAATTCATCGCAATTTCCGTGCTCGTGTCCGCGTAATACTTCTCCTCGGTCTCGTTTCCTGTCCAGTGCGTGAGTTGCACGGTTGCCCCGGAAACGTTTCCATCGCACGCGATGGTTTTCATCATCGAATAATTCGCGGGCAAGGTGTCGCCGTATTGGACGAATTGGAAACGTCGTCGGTTGTTAGATGATGGTGGTGATGATGACGCCGATTTTGCGCGGACAGAACGACGCGATGAGAGCGCCGAGAACGCATCGCATGTACCCGCGCTGTGTTTAGGTAAAATGTTTTCCATTTTGTGCCGCCAAATTGCTCCACAAAAACCGTTAAGCAAGCGCCGAGAGTATGACGATTAGGATGATGGTGAATCATCATCCCAATCGTCCTAATTATCGTCATCGATACCACCACCAACACAATCGTCCTCCTCGCTGTTTTTTTCTCAATACTACGATCGGAAGCAGTCGTGCAACACCATTAACACCAACACCAACGCAAAGACAACGAAAGGTGTTGAAACACATTTTTTCCCCTAATGCGAGGACTGCTTTTGCGTGCGCTGCGTCGGCGAGTGCTGCGAGTGGTGGTGGTGAAAAGAAGGTGTGTCCGGTGTGTCAAAACACCGGGTTAAAGCCGTGCGGGCAATGCGAAGGGACCGGGGTAAACCAAGAGGATAAATACGGAGGGAAAGATGGGTATAAAAAAGGACAACCGTGTTGGCTTTGCCAAGGGAAGCGGAAGACGATGTGCGGGAACTGCATAGATTTAACGGATTCGTTTTGATGATTATACTCACTCACTAGTGTTGCTACGCGTTGCTCTGTATCTATTTCTATTATTTCCACCAGCTCGCGTTGTCGGTTCCGCTCGCCGCTCCGTTCCTCTCTCGTCTGTTTTCCGCCGCTCTCAACTCTCTCTCGATGAGCCTATTTTCAGCCGTGAACGCACTAATCATGTATTCGAGCCGAAGCGCCGTGTCGTCTATCAACTCGATCCCGTCTATAGCTTTTTGTAATTCTTCCTCACACGCTTGCGTTTGCTTCTCGTCCAACCAGTGCACGCATCGTCTCGGACACTGTTCCACCGCGAGATGCACCGCGTAGATTTCCGCTTCCGTCGCCGCATTTAGAGGATTGCTCTTTTCACTTCTCTCGAACCTCGCCGCTTTTGTTTTTGGATTGACGCGAAAATACTCTCTCGCCGTGACTGTGCAATTCGAATACGACGGACAATTCGACGCTCCGACGCATAAAATCTCGTTCACGAATACGCTTCCGTATACGTTGTTGGTGTTCTTATTGGTGTCCTCTCTCTCAAACTCCTCTTCCCTATTCAGCAACCACGCGTACGCTCTGACGCACTTCTCGGTCGCTTCTGCGCTCCTCTCGTCCTCGCACACGTCCGGGTGGATCAGTTTCACTCTGTTTGAGAATGCCTTTCTCGCGCGTACTCTTCTTTTCGCTTCATCTTCTTCCTCTTCTTCCTCTTCTTCTTGTATTCCCAAAGTTCTCTCCGGGGTGGATGCGTTCAAGATTTCTTCGATTATGATGATTCGATTCGTTCTCTCGTCGTCGCTCTTTTCACGAGCGGATGCAGCATTAGCAACAACTCGTCGTGTTCTCCTCCTCTGTCTCCTCCATCTCTTCGAAATCGTCGTCGCTGAAGAGAAAGTGGAACAATAAGAACAGTGAACGAGCTGCGGCATTTTTATCCCGAAACCGTTGACAACTTCGCGGGAAAATTCTTCATTTTAAAACAATAATGATCATCAACGTCTCCTTCAAAAACCAACTCCACGCGATTCGCCTTCCAAAACGCGAAAAAGAGAATGAATCTACTGTAACTGTTCTCGATTTGAGCGAAGCCGTGCTCGAGCAGTTGTTCAAACAAGAACTGCTCTTGGATAGAAAGACGATGAAATTCGTCGGCCTTCACCCGAAAGGGATGCCTTTGCAACCGTTCGTGAACCCGGAAACGGACGGGAACATCATTCTGGATGATACGTTTCCGTCGATAAAAAAGGGGAAAAAAGTTTTACTCCTGGCATCAGAAGTCGCAGATGTGGAGAAGATGAAACGAGACGAAAAAGTGGACGTGCGCGTGCGAGGATTCGAGGACGAGATGAAACGAGAGAAAAGGAGAGACGTGAGATATTTGAGCAGGACGAACAAAGACGCCTACGCGCGAGCGCACGATACGTCTTCGAATACGTATACGTTTCAAAGCTTGAGAGTTTTAGCGGTACCCGAGGGTATGGTTGAACCGTCGCGGGAGAAAACGATGCACCTTTTGGAGCGACTGAAACGAGATCCCGGGGTTGTTCGCGTGATGGAGACGAAACGATTCCAAGTCGGTCTGCTTTGCGAGATGCCCCCCGAAGGTTTGGTTGGCATTTCGGAGACGTGCGTGTTAGGGTTCAATAGGAATAATGGGATGGAAATTCATTTGAGGTTACGAACGGATGATTGGAGTGGGCTGAGACGATACGAATCGATCAGGAGAGTGTTGATGCACGAGTTGGCGCATAACGTCATTTCCGAGCACAACGCGGAATTCAAGGCACTGAACAGCGAGTTGGTGCAATTATGCGAGAGAGATTGGAATCGAGGACGGCGAGTCGGAGGGAGTGGAAAGACGCACGGAAACGAAGACGACGGGTACGACTCTTTGAGTGAAGACGAGTGCATGAAAGAAACGAGAAAATTGAGCGGGATGAAGTTAGGAGGTGTTGGAGCGAATGTTGGAAACGATCCTCGAGAAATGGCCGCGAGGAAAGCGTTAGAACGATTCGAGCAGCAACAACAGCGGCATCTAAATATTAATAGCGACGATAGAGAAATGTCTAAGATGTGTTCATGCGGCGCGTGTGACGACGACGGCGAAGTCAAGTGTCAACCGTGTTAGATAGAAGTAGCAAATATAGAAATAGTACTCGTATCGAAATAGTCACACACAAACAAAAATGGTAAGCATATATATAACGTCTGCTATTTTCACGTCATCAATCTTCGTTCGTTTACAAACCAGCGTTGACCAAACCGTGCAAAGTCAATAACCCGACTAACTTTTTCTCCTCGTCGATGACTGGTAAGAAACTTACCGGTCTCCCGCCAGCTTCCATCTCTCTCATGGCATCCACCGCCTTCCCCTCAGCTAAAGTCGTTCTCGGCGTCGAGCTCATCAGATCCTTGATCGGCGCTTGCAAAACCTCTCCACCTTTCTCGTGTAACGACCGTCTTAAATCGCCATCCGTGAAAACGCCCAACAACGTGTTCGCGTCGTCCACGACTAACAAACACCCTTGCCCTTTACTCGACAACTCCACCAACGCGTCCACCAACTTCTCGTCCGGTTTCGCCAACGGCAACCCACTCAACGGTTTCATCACATCTTTCACGCTCAAAATCAATCTCTTACCAATTCTCCCAGCCGGGTGGTTCATCGCGTATTGGTCCATCGTCAACGATTTCGCTTGCATAATCGCCACCGCGCACGTGTCGCCAAACAACATCTGAATCGCCGTACTCGTCACCGGCGCCAAATCAAACGGGCACAACTCTCTCTCCAACGGCAACATCACGTGCATGTCCGTCTCCGTCGCCAACTTACTCTTCGCGTTCGAGGAAACCCCAACCAAAGTCGCACCTTTCGCTCGCGCGTACGGAATCAGCGTCAACAACTCCGTCGTCGATCCAGATTTCGAAAACATAACCATGATGTCCTCTTTCGACACGATGCCGATATCTCCGTGTAACGCGTCCGTCGGGTTCAAAAATACCGATTTCGTCCCGGTCGATACTAAAGTCATCGATATTTTTTGCGCGATAAACCCGGACTTGCCGACGCCGGTGAAAAAGACCGTCCCTTTGCAATCCAACACGAGCTGGCAGAATTTTTGTAAAGGTTCGTAATCGAGTTCGTCGAAGAAGTACTTCATGTACCTGTTGTTTAGAGATGAGAACGATAATACGTGTAATACGTTCATGATAACAATGGCAAAAGTGGTCAGCGACTGTTACTCATACTCCTCGCAACATTGAAGACGTTAAAGAAGAAGAAGAGAAAAGCGTATCTTCTCTCTAATCTTTCTCTCTCTCGAGCGCTTTTGAAGATGATGAAAATGATGATGATGATGGTTCAGAAGAGCGCTACCGCGCGAAACGAAAAGAAAAAGAAGAAAAAAAAGCGCGGCTCCTAACACTACCGCTGAAGAACGTACCCTTGTTGCGTGTCGAACAGCGCTTTCAAGTCTTCCGGGGACGCTTTCGCCATGATGTGTGTATTCTTTTGATGCTCTTTTTTGTCCTGTTTTTTTGTTACTTTTGTGTGGTGGTGGTCCTTTTTTTTGCGTTTGAGGGAGTAAGGAGTTACGCACTTATAAGTGCTTATTTCTTACTCAAATTTGGCTTCGTAAGTGCTTCTTTCTTACTCGTCGGTCTGTATTGCTTACTCTGATATACGTCTGAATGGTTGCTGTTGAGCTAAATTTTGTTGCACGAATTTACGAACGTAACACACACACAAAAAGAACACGAAGAGAGCGAGAATGACGACGAATACTTTGCGAAGTCTCTTGTTCTTCTGCGCGTACAGAGGACAAAACAGAAGAGCGAGGAGAAGAAACTTTGCGAGCACGACGTGCTTCTTTTGTCCTCCTTCTTCTTCTTCTTCTTCTTCTTCTTCTTCTTCTTCTTCTTCTTCTTCTTCTTCTTTTGTTTCCAATTCGAGAAGGAGGAGATGTTTTTCGACGGCGACGACTACTACGAACGACGACGACACCATCGCGATGCTCTCGAGCGCGGAAAACGCAACCGCGAAACGCATCGCGAAACTGAGAACGTCCAAAACGTTTCGAGAGAAGGAAAAATCCGTCGTCATCGTCGGGTCGACGGTGTTGAGGGAGATTTTACAGGCGGGAGCTCTTGGAGCGTCGGAAGAGAAGAAGAAGAAGACGATACGAGTGAAGTCCTTGTTGTTTGCGATGGAGAAGAAGAAGACTTCCCGGGACGGAGAGAGTTACGATGATGATTCGCAAACGACGACGACGACGAGAGACGCGCTGCGGCGAGATATCGCCGATATCGCGGGAGGCGAGGAGGCGAAGAATAGGACGGAATATTACGCGACGGCGAAAGTGATGAAGAAGCTCGCCGGCGTGGAGAACGCCGACGGGATTGATCTGGTCGCAGAGTTGGAGATGCCAGAGATTCGCGAGGTAACGGAGTTTATGATGCAAGAAAAAAGAATAGAAAAAGTGTTGTGTCTGGACGGCGTTCAGGATCCTGGAAACGTCGGAACGCTTTTAAGAACCGCCGAGGCGTTTGGATTCGACGCGGTTGGATTAGGCCCGAAAACGTGCGACCCATTCAACGATAAGTGTGTGCGGTCGAGCAAAGGAACCGCGTTTCGGATGCAAATGTTTACTTGGAAAACGAACGAGGAGTTTTTCGAAGGCTTGGTGAATGGCGGCACGTTTGAATTGAAACGGAACGTCTTGGCGGCAATGCTCGCGGGCGAAAACTGCGCAGAAGTTGCCAGAGAGCTGGACGATGGTAATAATAGTAATAATAAAGTGTGTTTAGTTTTAGGTAGCGAAGGGCAAGGCGTGAGCGAGGAAATCGCGAGTTCGATTCGTGCGATTACGATTCCAACGCCAGGAGTCACGGAGAGTCTAAACGTCGCCGTTGCCGGCGGAATATTAATGTCAAGCCTCACCGTCAGGTGAGGCGCTTTGTAAAACACCCATCACGCTATAAAAACAAACTAATTTATCATATCAATCCTCCGCGGCGCCTATCCACCCGCTCTTCGTCCTAATCCTCAACGGGAACACTTTGGCAAACTTCTGGTACGCAAACACAGCGAAATCGAACGAGTGCACGCTCACCACGCCTTGCACTTGATCGAAGTAATGATACGGCGCCGTCGCTTTCGCTTTACTCGTGTACGGCTCAAAACCATACAAATCTAAACTCTCGCACCGTTGCATCATAAAGTTCACCGCGTACCACCCGCTCATCGGTTTATCGTGAAACTGTTTGTTCTTTTCCTTCTCGATGATTTCTTTCAGAGCGTTCCACAAATCGTGCGCTCGATTGACAAACCCGGGGTGCAAAAATTGCACCTTCAAACTCTTCCCGTACTTCTTCACCAGCGGTTCAAATATCCGTTTCCTGTTCGTCGGCGAGCTCCCTTCAAAAAATAACGCCACCGAGTCCGGTCTCGAATTCTCCCACCCTTTCTCGACCAACCGTCGAGCGTTCTCTCGATTGCTAAAATCGTACGTCGTCTTCACTCCCACGTCCCTCTTAAAATTCTTCACCGGCGCGAAATTCACCCGCATGACTGCTTCGTGCCCATCGATTTCCTCCCCGAACGAAGACTTCAACAACGTCCCGCTATTCCCGACCAGCGCGCACGACCCGTGCGTCCTCGTCGCCCGGCGCTCTTCCTCCGGCAATATCTCCCCTAACACATCTCCCATCTGAAAATGCGTCTTCTTCCCGTTCACGTCCGTAAACTTCACGTCGTACTTCTCCCCGTACGCGTTGTCTTTCGCTACGATTACCGAGGAATAATCCTTATCCGATTCGTTCGCGTACGCGTATTCGCTTCCTCGGCCGAATTTGTCTAAATCTCGCTCTCGGAGCATGCTCGAAACCAATCCATCTCCTTTTCCTCTCATCGTCTTTATCGTCGTCATCGCGTCGTCGTCTGAATCGTCCTCGTTTCTGTCCTCGTCTTTATCGTCGTCCTCCTCTTCCATCGGCACCATCAAAACATCGCTTTTGCCGCTGTCCTCGCGTCGTTTCCGTCTTTGAATCATCGTCTCCGCCTCCTCTTCCTCGCGCACGTTGAAGCGCTGGAAAAGGCTCACGAACAGGCACAACAAGAGGAACCACTTGAAAAGGATACATTTCTTTCGAAACGACGATCGTCGTCCCCCGAGTATTCCTAAACCCGGTCCTCCTTGGCCCCGGGGTGGTGGTCGTTGGAGGAGCGCCATGAGTATTTCGTTTAAGTTCTTTACTCAAATGTTTATTGTTGAGGGGAGGAAAAGTGAAGATTAGTAAACGCGACCGACGGTCGACGAGGATGAAGCGTTGGTGGTGTTTTAAAGTATACAATCTTTAAAAAGAAGCAGCTAACGATTTCTTGCTCTCTCGTTTCTTTTACGCGCCGAGAATCATCGGGACGACTCTTCCTAACAAGGCGTACCATCCGCCGGCGACGAGCAAAAATCCGCTCGCCGGCGTGACCCAGGCCGTTTTCTCGCGCACTCCCATGACACTTTTAATGTTTCCAGCCGCGCTCGCGGCGAGTAATAACGGCGCTGAATATCCTAAGGTATACGAAAAGAGCAGAAATCCACCGGAGAGGACGTTGTTGGAACTCGCGGCGACGTAGGCGAGGAGCGTGGAGAGTACCGGCGTGGCGCACGGGCTCGCCGCTAACGCGAACGTCGCGCCGGCGACGAAGGAGGTTAAAAACGGCGGCAAATTCAACGATCTCGGGTCAAAGTTGCTTCCAAACGAAGGAAATCTCAGTTGGACTTCGCCGAGTAAGTTCAATCCCATGACGATGGCTAAGACGGCGACGGAAATCGGCGCGACGACGCCAATTTGCCCAAACGCTTTCCCCGCCGTCGCCGCAAAGACGCCAAATAAAGCGAACGCGGAGGCTAATCCAACCGCAAACGCTATCGCATTCACGCGCATCGCCGATTTCTTCGCGTCTTCGTTTTCTTCCTCGTTTTCTTTCAGCGATGATGACGCGTACCCTCCGATGTACCCCAACGTCAACGGCAACACGGACAGCGTACACGGCGACAAACTCGTCACTAATCCAGCGACAAATACCAACACAAACGTCGTCGGAGAAGCGTGCGCTGATGCTGATGATGTCACATTGCTAAACACACTACCACTATTATTCGCTATTATTTCCCCCCCTCCTCCTCCTAACGCCCCGCTCACGAATGCATCCAATCCAGACGTCACGTCGAACAGCGATTTCGACAACACCGCATCTGCCACGTTCGCGATTTCATTAGTATTATCAACCATAAACGCTTTCGTCGGGGTACTGAGACGACCAAAGGCGCGACGACGACGACGTAAACGATGAAAACTCCCAACACAATCAAATCCCCATTTTGTGCGCAAACGTGACGATGATGACGACGACGATGCTTTTGCTGCTCTTAATGATGACGATGGACTCCTTGTTCCCAAAAACAGCATCGTTTTTCCACCAAATGGAGGAGGATAACAGCGACGACAACAGTTTCGCGACGACGACGACTTCAAAAGCGGCGGAGAAAGAGGTGCAGAGAGAGGTTTCGTTGAGAGCAAATGAGAGGTCATATTTGTGAGGGAAGAGAGAGAGAGAAAATGGCAGATATCGCGCGATGTGCGACGATATCAACATTTAGAAGGCGCTTTTGTTGATTGAGATGTTTTAAGCGGAGCATTCGATGTATAAACGCATTATTTCGTAAGTTTTATTGAATGGTTAATTAATAATGCATTACGTTCTGACGACTATCCGACCGTTCCTGGTGTGATATCTCACGCCTTGCGTCGGTTTGTACTTTTCGTTTCGGACTTGTACGGACTCGACTTTCACGCCGCTGACACCGACGCCAGCGACGGAGAACTGCGCGGTCACGTTGCAGGTTTCTTGCAACTTGATTTTTCGTCGCTCGGATTGGAGTTTAGATGATGATTTGTCCGTTCGTCCTCCCATCATTGCCAACGCGTTTTCGTTTTCGTTTTCGTTGCTGTTGTTTGTATTATCGCTATTGTTGTTGTTACTTTCTTGCTCGGAACCCATGGCTAAGACGACCGTTAAGCACGGAGTTTTATCCGCCGGGAATTTGTCGATGGTCCAGTTTACCGTTTTACTGGCGTCGTCGAAGGTGGCGCCGCCGTGCGTCGCGGACGGGTCGGCGCTTAAAACGCGCGAAGGTAACGCGACTTGTAAGCTCACCGCTTCGACTGGTTTCTCAAACGCCGGTTTGGTCCCGCACACGATGGAAATTCTACCTTGCGTCGGTCCAAACGACGATTGCGGGCGAATGTATAATGGCAAAGGCGCGGAAATAGACCCTTCCGGTCCGCCTCCTGGACCGCCGCCGCCCATCGTTTGCGATTGCATCCACGGATTTTGTTTGATATACTTCGGTTGCCACTGATTTTTATCCTCTTTTGATTCCGGTCGAATCTTGTAATTCATCAACGTAAACTTCCCATCGGCTGGGACGAACGAGACCACCCGATCGCTCGCGAACCTCGCCAATCTCACCGAAGGATGAAACGAATAATCTTCGATCAAATGCGAGTTCGACAACGACAACGATATGTCCGGCATACCGCTCAATCGACAATTCACTTCAATCTTCCCGTAAATAGCGCTGGTTAACAACTTCCCTTCCGGATCTAACGTCGCGTCCACGTGCTCGATGACGTCCAAATACACCTCGTTGGACGTGTACTTAATATTCGACGCTCTCCACGGTAACGGCAACAATTTCGTCGGATCTTGGTCGCTGACCAAAACCCCCGACGCGGTGCCTAAAACCGCGTTGTGTAATCTGTTCGCCAAATTCGGCGGCGGCACCAACACGTGTAACCCGCCCGGATGCGTATTCACCGGTATCCCCGAATCCAACATCTCGTCCAGTAGCTGATACAGCGTCAGATGGTGTTCTTGTAATATCGCCTCCGTAATCACGTTCCCGAAATAGGATTTCAAAACCTCGTGCAGTTGCGTTAAGAACTCAACCACCATGAGTGGTTGCGTCTCCGAGTTGCACGTGGCGATGTACGTGATTTCGCCTCTCGATTGGAAAAACGCGTAGTCTTTCCCGTCGATCGCGAGAACGTCCCCTTGGCTGTTCGCTTTGATCGCTTCGTTATGCTTCTCGAAGACTTTTTCGCACACCGAAGAGTCCGTTTCCGGTCCCCAGTGTTTCACCGCGGTTAACGTTTCCGTCTTGTTGTTGGTGATGAATAACGAATCGATGCCCATTATTACGTCTTTCTTTTTTACTACTCTCTCTCTCTCTCTCTCTCTCTCTCTCTCTCTCTCTCTCTCTTTCAGGCGTGTCTTTATCGCGTGTCTCTCAAACGAACGCAACGACGACGTAAACGACTCAGAGACGATTCCAATTGGAATTCTCCGATTCAATTCTCTTTCGATCTCTTCCGAGAGAGCAAAAGAAAGCGCGCGTGTGTGTATATATATATATATATATATATATATATATGCGTGCGTTTATATCACAGAACAACAAAGCGAGAACGTCACTATTATACGTGTGCTGCTGCTGCTGTTCGTATGTGTGCGATACTACTCTTCTTTAATAAGAGACGATGTTTTTTGTGTTGAATTTTGGTCCGCGGACGAACGAGTCTTTTTCTCTCTCTCTCTCTCTTTTTCTCCCTCTTAGCGGTGCGTTTGGTATTCACCGCTTCTCTCTCTGTTTTTTTCTCTCCCTCTCTCTCTTTTACTCTCTCTCTCTCTCTCTCTCTTTCCCTTTCCCTCTTCTCAGTCGCTGCTGGTGTTGCTCTGTCGCTCTTCTTCTCTCTCGTAGAACGCGACGCGTTCTCGCTCGTCCTCGACGAACTCGGCGTATTCTTCCTCCGTCGGTTCCGGGCATCCTTTTTCTCGCAAGTAGTTCACGCACTCGGTTCGCTCGTAGTACCGAGCGAAAGAGAGGTGTTCTCGGCCGTCGTCGTCGTCGTTTAGAGGCGCTTTTGCGTCTTCGATTAAGTATTTGAGGCAATCGAGGCGGCCGTTCATCGCGGCGGTTGACACGCAGCGGATCTTTACCGCGTCGCCCGCTATCTTTCGTTCTTCGACGAGATATTTCATGATGTCCATGTGACCACTGATTGCTGCATTTATTACCATTTCTTCTTCCGTCTTTCGCGAAGGTTCCACTTTGTCGAAAAGAAATCGAAGACAGTCGAGGCGTCCTCTGATAGTAGCACAAAAGCACGAAGTTTCTTCATCGTACGGGCACTCCTTGGAGAAGCAGTACTTGAGCGTCTCGAGATTACCTTCACATGCTACCGCATTAATCGTCTCTTCATCCCATTCGCAATGTTTCACTTCTCTCGCCCACTTGAGCAACTCGAGTTTGTTCGTTAGAGCAACTTCCCTGCAAAACCAGGCTTGATCCATCACATCTTCATCTCTATCTTTCTCTCCCCAGGGAGAGTGATTCCACATCCATTCCAGCGTCGAAATAGATGTACATTCGTAAAGAACCCAACGTAGTTCCGATACGTCTACCCCGGCGTATTCAAGCACACCCCAACTCTCACCATTCGCCCTCGAAAAGAAAAACCGATCCGTCCCATTCAATTTCGACAAGACGTGCGATACAAAAATATCTTTATGATGCAACACCAACCCGGTCCAAATCGGCGAGGAAGAAGAAGAAGAACAACAAAGCGAGAGATTCTCCAGTAACGCGCTCCTCGTAATTCCCGCCTCTTTTTCACCCTCGTCGTCGTCGTCGTCCTCTTCCGAAGAAGACGAAGACGAAGACGAAGAAGAAGAGTGCTTCAGTTTATCCCACTTGGAATCAGTGATGCGAGACATGCGAGATTTGTGTTTTTTTTTTTTGTGGGGTGGAAATTCGAGCGTTTCGACTGTACAAAAAAATTTGTTCCATTGGCGCACAAAAATCTCCATAAAAACATACATCACGTTTCAAACGCACGTAGCTCTATATACATAATACACATACACAATGGGATCATCACCGGACGACGACGTGAACGACGACTTTAGCGCGCGTCGCTTTGTCGAGCACGTTTCCGAGCGAGTCCTCGTGGGCGCTTTACTCGCGCTTTTTATCCACCAGAAGGAAAGCTTAATCATTTTAGCGCTGATGACCCTTTTGGAACCTGTGTTCCAGAAAGCTGTGGAAGCAGTCGGCGATATCCTGGGATGGCTGAGACGATTACATCATCTGAGAAAACTGAACTGCGCGCCCGGGTATAACGCGTTCATCGGGCACACCGTTCCTCTGTTCAAAGCGGTCGGAAAGTACCCGTGCACGTGGGATTTGTTCGCGTTTTGGTCGTCGGCGAAAGCGCCGAAACCGGTGAGAGTGCAAATATTTACGAGGCACTGCGTGGTCATCGCGGACCCGGAACCGATTAAAAGAGTGTTTAATTCAAACATTAAGAATTACGGGAAAGACACGGAGTTCGCGTATAACCCGTTCTTGGATATTTTAGGCACCGGTTTGGTGACGAGCGAAGGAGAGAGTTGGAAACGGCAACGAGGACGGATATCGCAAGCGCTGAGGATGGAAATTTTGGACGACGTGGTGGATATCGCCACCAGAGCGGTGGACAGGTTGTGCGTGAAGTTGGAGAAAATCAGAGGGACGGGGGAAGAGATTGAGTTAGCGGAGGAGTTTAGGTTGCTGACGTTACAGGTGATTGGTGAGGCGATTTTGAGTTTATCGCCGGAGGAGTCGGACGAGGTGATGCCGAATTTGTATTTGCCGATTATGGAGGAGTGTAATCGACGAAGTTTGGAACCGTGGAGAGCGTATTTACCGAATAAAGAGTATTTCGACCACAAGGATAGGGTAAAGAAGTTGAACGCGTACGTGATCAAGTTGATCAGGCAAAGATGGAAGTTGAAACATTCCGTGACGGCGACGCCAAACGCGGACGATTCCATCGATAATCCGCACGCGGATATTTTGGATCGCGTGTTGGCAGACGTGCCGAAAAGCGAATACGGGCCGGAAGTGGAGAGGCAAATGTGCGATGAGATCAAGACGTTCTTATTGGCTGGCCACGAAACTTCCGCGGCGATGTTGATTTGGACGACGTGGGAGTTGGCGAAGGCGCCGGAGAAGATGAAAATAGCAACCGAAGAGGCGAAAAAAGTGTACAAGAATAGCGAGAAAAAGAATAAGAAAACGCCTTCGAGAGATGATTTGAACGGGTTAGAATACATCGTCGGCGCGTTGAAAGAGTCTTTGCGTTTGTACTCCGTAGTGCCGGTGGTTACTCGTAAATGTTTAGGTGACGATTATTTAGGCGGCGAGTTCATTCCGAAAGGCACGACGGTTATTATTTCCGTCCAAGGCGTCCACCACAGAGAAGACTTGTGGGAAAGCGCGCAAGCGTTTGAACCGAGAAGGTTCGTCGGAAACGAAACCGACGAGACCGGGAATTATTCATACCTACCGTTTATCCAAGGTCCTCGAAACTGCTTGGGTCAATATTTAGCGCTTTTGGAAGCTCGAGTGGTCATGGCGAACTTGTTGAGAAAGTTCAAGTTCACCTCGAGCCGAGAGACGAACGGGGCTAAACACACGAAGATGATTCCAATCGCCCCCGCCGATGGCATTTGGTTCACCGTAGATTAATAACGAAGAACAAGTCAAGAAGAAGTCAAGACATTAAAGAGAACTATTTATGAAGCGATGATAAAATACAACTCGCCAACACTATCGGACTATTATTCCTCGACTATTCCTACACAAAACTACCTACTACGCGCGCGAAACTACTCCTACCACCACTTTTCTTCTTCTTCTTCTAAAGGCGCTTCCTAAACTTCAACCTCGTCTCCGTCGCCGCTCTCACGTTCGCGCCGCCGCCGCCGCCGTCCTCCTCTTCCTCTTCCTCCTCACCGTTCGCGTTCAAAATCACCCTCTTCTTCCCCGAACGACCAGCACTGCTCGTCGCATTCGCATCCAACGCCGGTTGTTGCAGTTCCACGATTAAGGCTTCTCCAACCGTCCGTTCGTAATACCCCTCGTACGTTTCCCCCGTGGACGTTTTCAGTAAAGGCGTTTCGGTGTCTAAACGTTCAAACGTGAGCGTTTCCCCGGGGAGCATTCGGACGAGTTTCGGGACGTCCACGAGGATGAATTCTTCCTCTTCTTCCTTTAAAGTTTGTTCTTCTTCGTTCTTCTTCCGCAAATGATGATGATTCTTTCTCTGCTCGTAATCATCTCCAGGTGTTGTTGTTCCAGCGTTCTCGTCGCTCATTTTTCGCGCGCGGTCCTCCTCCTCCTCCCAAGTTCTTCCTCGCGATGTGTCGCGCTTTGCTCGCTCGCCTTTTTGCCTTAAGTTTTGGGGACTGAAACCCTAAACACATGTGTTTTGACTTGAAGGAACCAACGCGCGCTGTTTCCTCACACAGTCGCGCGCGCACGACACACGCACGCACACACACACACACACACACACAATTGGTACATCGAGCAATATTATCGCTCAAGTTTGATTTTGTGCGCGTGTTTTTGTGTCGTTTTTGAGAAGTGAAAAGAAATAAAGGTTTTCTCGTGTGTTTGGGAGAAACACACATCGGAGAGACACATCACGCGGCCAATTGCGCGTCCCAAGAAGAAGGCATCGGTGTACTCTAAAGAGAGAGAAACACACGCACTCGTACTAAAACGACAACAGAAGAGAACGAGAGAGCATCAGTACTATGGGGATTCCTGAATCCATCGCGAAAGTGATGTGCTGCAAACCGTTCAACGACCCGTCGTCGATCCGTGTCATCGGATGCGTGATTGGCGTCGTCGGCTCTTTGCTCGTCTATGGGGTGTTGCAAGAGCGCATCATGTCGCAACCGTACTCGGACGCCGGGAAGGATGAATTTTTCTCCTACTCGGTCTTTTTGGTGTTATCGAACAGAGTTTTGGGGTGTCTCATGGCGGCGGTTATTTTAGCGCTAACGAAAGGGAACGTCACTCCAGTGGCTGGGATCCATCGATACGCGGTGGTGTCCTTGTCCAACGTCGTCGCGACGACGTGCCAATACGAAGCGTTGAAGTATTTATCGTTTCCAGTGCAAACGTTAGGGAAGTGCGCGAAGATGATTCCGGTCATGATTTGGGGGTTTCTGATCAACCAGAAGAGGTACGGGATGTCGGACGTGGGGATTGCGATCGCGGTGACCGCTGGCTGTACTATTTTTGGCTTGTACGGCGACGAGAGCACGTTGACGAGTAACGCGAGTAAAGGCGCGAACGTGCAGGAAACTTCAGAGTACGGAATCTTGTTGATGCTCGGGTATTTGTTCTTCGACGGGTTCACGTCCACGTTTCAAGATAAGTTGTTCGTCGGGTACAACATGGAGACGTACAACCAAATGTTGTGGGTGAACTTTTGCTCTGCGATTATTTCGGTGGTGTATTTGTATTCGGATGGGTCTTTCCAAGACGCGATTGCGTTCATCGAGAGACATCCGTTAATTACGGGCGATATCATGATCTTGTCTATCGCGGCGATGCTTGGACAGTTGTGCATTTTGTACACGATTAAGGAGTTTGGCGCGTTGTTGTTCGCGACCATCATGACGACGAGACAGTTCTTGAGCATCTTGTTGAGTTGCATAGTGTTCATGCACATGTTGTCTCCGATGCAGTGGTTAGGTACGGTGCTAGTGTTCGGTGCTTTGTATTACAAGTCCTTCGCGAAAGCTGCGGGGTCGAAGAAAGCGGTAGACGGGGAGAAGGAACCGCTCATTAGCGGCGGCGAGAACTCTGGCAAGGTGTGAAAAGAGGACTGATGATGATGATGATGATACGTGAGGCGCGTATTTTCATCGACGGATTCGGGAAGGAGGAGAATTTGAACGTTTTGTTATTTATATATTTATTAATTCATTCGCACTTTAACACTCGATGGTAAATTATAAAACTCGCCTCGTTTAGTATATATTACGTTAATCTTCTTTGCCGCTGTACCCGTACGGGTTCTTGCTCGCCCAATTCCACTGGTCCACGCAACACTCCTCGATCGTCTTCTCCGCTCTCCATCCTAAAATCTCGTACGCCAAATCGGTTTTCGCGTACACCTCCGCCGCGTCTCCCGGTCTTCTCGCTACCATCTTCATAGGAATCTTCTTCCCGGCCGCTTTCTCAAACGCACCAACCAACTCTAACACGCTCGTGCTCTTACCAGTGCCTAAATTCACTACAATTCTCCCACACTTCCCGTTCTCTTTGGCAATCTTCTTCAACGCCGCGACGTGCCCGTCCGCCAAATCCACCACGTGAATGTAATCTCTCCTCCCCGTCCCATCTTTCGTATCGTAATCCGTTCCAAACACCGACAACTCCGGTCGTCTCCCGACCGCGACTTGCTGCACGAAAGGCATCAAATTATTCGGTATCCCTTTCGGATCTTCTCCAATTTCTCCGCTCGGATGCGCCCCGACTGGATTGAAATACCTCAAAATCAAGCAGTTCCACTCGTTATCGCTCGCGTGTTGGTCCGTTAAAATGTGCTCAATAAACAGCTTCGTCTTCCCGTACGGGTTCAACGCGCTCGTCTCGAATTCCTCCGTGCACGGTACCGTTTTCGGTTCCCCGTACACCGTCGCCGAGCTGCTAAATATGATCGATTTACACTTCGCTTTGACCATCGATTTCAACAAAACCACCGTCCCGTTGATGTTATTTTCGTAATATCTCAGCGGTTTCGAGACGGATTCACCGACGGCTTTTAAACCGGCGAAGTGTATCACCGCAAAAATCTCATTCGCCTCGAAAACCTCGTCTAACTTCTCTCCGTCTAAAATATCTCCCTCGATGGACGTCATCAGGTTTCCGTTTCCTCCGCTCAAGCGTTTCACGCGTTCTAAAGATTCGAACGAACTGTTGTCCAAATTGTCGTACGCGATAACTTTGCATTCTTCTTTTAACAGTTGCAAACACGTGTGAGAACCGATGTACCCGGCCGCACCGGTGACTAAAACAGTCTTGCCAGAAAGAGACATGTGTGAGTGTACCGCTGAGTTTCTCCGTTCAATGTGTATATGCAGAGAGAGAAAGCCGGAAAACGTTTGCGCGTTGTGAAGAATTTTCCCATTTTATCCAAAACCGTTTTGTTTTCCCCAAACACATTTCCACATAACAAACTCAAGCGACTGCGCGCGAGAGAGAGGGAGAAAAGAAGAAGAAAAGCAGCCGCGAGGAGGACACATCATCGGTGGTGGTAGTAGTGATTATGGACGTCCCGGACGATTGGGGCATCGTCGCAAACGATGACGATGATGACGATGGTAAGAAGAAGAGGTGGTTAACGCCCAATACGACTGCGGCGAGAAATCATCTCGTCGAGGCAAAAACGACCAACGAGAAGAAGGAAAAGGGAGAAGAGCGAGAACGAGAACAAAGCGAGGGGAAGGTAATCAGCGGACGATTGCTCGGACGACGCCGAAGGGCGAAGGAGAAACGGAAACGGATGGCGACGAATAGGAAGAATGATGGTGGCGGCGCCTCTGCTGACGAGGAGGAGGAAAAGGAGGAGAAAGAGGAGGAAAAGAGAGAGAGGAGGACGAACGCGAATATGACGGAAAAGCAGAAGAAAAAAGCGGAGAAGAATCGAGCGAGGAAGTTACGAAGAGAGTGGAAGAGGAAGAAGGAGATGGAGGAGGAGGAGGAGGAAGAGGAGGAGAAGAAGGCGCGCGTTGAACACAATCCGGACGAGGAGGAGAGGAACGAGATGAAACGGTTGGCGAAGGAGTACGTGGCGGAGAAGGCGAAGAAGAAACGAGCGAAAATCACGACGACGAAAGGAGAAGAGAAACATGGTAATAGGAGTAATAGTAATAGCGAAAGTTCGGAGAAGAACGAGGACGAGGGCGAGGAATTCGAGAGCAAAGACGATGTCGCGCAGCAACGACGAGAACGAGAACGAGAACGAGAACGAGAACAAGAACAACAACCGGCGGTCAAAAAACAAAAGAAACTCTCGTTGATTGATAAAATGCGCGTGAAGCTGTCCGGCGGTCACTTTCGCATGCTCAACGAACAACTCTACACGACCAAAGGCGACGAAGCTTTACATTTAGTCCAACAAAACCCGGGCGTTTTTGACGCCTACCACGAAGGCTTTCGAGAACAAGTGAAGAAATGGCCGAAAAATCCAGTTCATAAATGTTTCGAGTGGTTGCAACACAAACCATACGACACGATCATCGCCGATTTCGGATGCGGAGACGCCGAGTTAGCGAAACTTATCGGTAAATCGAAGAAGAAAGTGTACAGTTTAGATCTAGAAACGCCTTCCCACGCGCCGTTTGTGATTGCGTGCAACATGGCCAAAACGCCGCTCGAATCCAACTCCGTCGACGTCGCCGTCTTCTCTCTGTCCTTAATGGGCACCGACTATTACAAGTTCATCGAGGAAGCCTCTCGAGTGCTCAAAGTCAAAGGTAAACTCTGGATAGCCGAAGTCAAATCTCGATTCGACGGTAGAAACGGCGCCGCGTCCATCCCGAGTTTCGTCGCGAGTTTGAAAACCGCCGGATTCGACGTCGACCCGAAGAAAGTCGACGAAAAGGATAAGATGTTTTTCGTCCTGGAAGCGGTCAAGGCTAAAAATCACGCATCATCATCGAGTGGTGGTGGTGAAAAGAAGAACAACAAGAGTGGTAAGGTGGAGTGGCCGAAATTGAAAGCGTGCGAGTACAAGAAGAGATGATAGCAAAGAGAGAGAGAGAGAGAGAGAGATTTCCAAGAAAGAGTAGTTTGTATTTCCAAGAAGGGAAAAAAATACTCGGATGGACAAAAAATCCGAGGCTGAATTCATTCATTTCCACGCGCCTAAACGCGCGCAACAGCGCACATACACATCGCAAAGTGTTGTCATTTCGCATCACAGATGATCGTCGCCGCGCCAAACGACGACACCGTCGCGCCGTTGGAGCCTGCGGAGCCGCCGCTCCAAAATGTAGAGCTGGAAGAAGTCCGAGAAAAAACAAGTTCGAGCGATAAAACAACTTCTGTTTTCCAGCGCGTATTCGCCTCAATCTCTTGGATCTATAGAGCGTTCGTGACCCTTCTCATCATGTTCCTGTTCAAACTCTTCGCTTTTTTCAATTCGTGTTTCATGACGTTGCCGGTTTTATTGCCCATCAACGCGCATCCGAGCAAAGATAACACCCACCGAGAAGGAGGATCAGGCCCGATTGTTCCCTATTGGATCGAGACGAAAATTAAATTTTGGTGCTTTTTGCACATCGTGTTTAACATTCAAGTCCCGGCGAGTTGGGTAAAGGCTTCGTACGCGAAACTGATCGAGTTAAACAAAGACGTCCGAGACGCGGAGACGCAAGGTATGTTGTTAAGGTTTTTTTACGTGTGCTTATTTTTCTTTTCCCGCGGCTTCGCGCGACGGCGTAAAATATCTAACTTTCATCTCGACGTTCTCTCCTTTTGGCGGACATTTTTGATAGAGATTCCGACGATTGTCGTTGGGCCGGATTTTGATTATAAAAAATTCTTCCGCGAGTACGTGAAACGACCGCACCCGGTGGTGTTGAAAGGCTTCGCGAAACAGTCGCCGGCGGTAAAGAAATGGTCCGTGGATTGGATAGTCGCGAATTTCGGGAACGAAAAAGCGTTGACGAAGACGTTGTTGGGTGATAACATACCCGGGAGAGTAAAGGATATCAACACCCCGGGGACGTATTTGCACAATTGCGAAGCGATTTTCGTGAATCATCCAGAGCTCGTGGAGGATTTGGAGTTATCGAAATTATTGCCGTTCGTTTCCGCCGACGGTAATCCGAAGAACCCGCATTTGGCGAACTTACATCCACGCGCTGGACCTTTGCCGATTCAGTTCTTTCTGGGACGAGGCGGAACTGGTACCGGTTTTCACTGCGCGAACGGCTTCAACTGGTTTTACATGATCGAAGGTTCTAAAAAATGGACCTTCGTCGATCCCCGTTGGACCGTTTTGACGTTTCCGGCGTTAAACCGCGGCGCTCTGTACCAATCCTGCGCGGTGACCGATCCGAACACCGTCCTCGAGAAATATAAACCGCTCTGGCGCGTCTGCCCGCGTTACGCCGCTATCGTTGAACCCGGCGACGTCCTTTTGAACCCGCCATGGTGGTGGCATTGCATCGAGAACCTCACCAAAGATTCCACCGCCGTCGCCACTCGATGGATGGACACGAAAACATTACGTCCGTTAACCGGCATCGGTACCGACGCCAACCGTCTTTTCACCGCGTTTCAAATCTTCTCCCCGGTGTTTCTAAAACTCCAATTCTCGCTCATCATGCGAGGCATCCACGCCACGCCGGACGAACACACGCAAGTCGACACCGACGAAGACCTCGAAAAACAACACGCTCAGCGCACCGCCAAAGGCGCTCAACACGAAGACGCCACCAGAGTCACGGCCGCCTTAAACTCCAACGAAGAACAAGACGCCTACAAAGCGTACTACGCCAACAAGTGGGGATACGCCGACCATTTGCCAAAATCAAACGTCCAAAACGGTGAAACTCGCGACGACATCGAATCGAACAAGTTCGATCAAGGGCAAGGGAAATGGACCATGGACACGATGAACTTTCGAGGCCGTTAAAGATCTTAAAGAAAAAAGAAAGAAAAGAGTCAGTCCTCCTCGCGCAGTTCTCAAAGCCGCGAGAAGAAGAGAGAGACGTTTTAATTCCAAGAACAAAAATCCAATCACACATCCAATCACATAAACAACGTAAACAACATAAACACCGAGCAGCAGCAGCACCAGCACTCGCACTCGCAGCCTTCATCAATACCTTCAATCTCTCGCTTTTACGTCGAGTCGTATTTTTTGCATTTTTTTCTCAGAGTAAAGAGATCTCTCACATGCATTTTCAGCCGTCCATTTTTTCCTCATTTTAAAGCGTTTTTTAAAACACTACGAGAGAGATGAATACGATGCGAAGAGGCGGCTGGCTTGGAAGCGTTTTCTTGAAGAAGACCACCTTTGTCGACGGCTTGGTATCCTCGTTCTTCGTTGGTGGGCGCACGACTCTCAGATCGTTCACGTCGTCCGGGACGTCGTCCTCGTCTGCGGCTTCCAATCCGCCGAAGGATTGGACGAATGCAACGAAAACGGGACACCTCCTCCGGAGGGAAAACCTGACGCGCTTGACGAAAGATCTACACCTCATGCTCGCAAACAGGAACAAAATCGAAGGCCCGAACGTTCCAGACGCCAGATCTGTGCTCGTCCCACTCGCACTCGTGGACGAGCATCCGTGCGTCTTGTTGACCGTACAATCCACGCAATTCGGAACCCCTTTGTTGGCGTTTCCGAGAGGCCACCGAAGTCGACACAATTCGGCTGCGTTGGATAAAGACGCGGTGGCGCAAGCGTGCGATCAAATCGGAGGGAGAGAACCGTGGGCGAACCCGGATAGGATTGAATATTTAGGCACGCACCACGACGCGGTGAATAGTAAAAGGACGTTGGCGATTACGCCGGGGGTGGCGTATTTCGGTTCGTTGACGAAACGGCAAGTGCAGGAGAGAAATAGGAGCGCGAATTGCGTGCTAGGAGTGGCGGCGATTAAGATCGAGGACTGTTTGGAACCAGACAACGTGAGCGTGGTCAAGTTAGAGGAAGAGGAGGGTAGCACTAGAAATACTGTAGAAGAAGATGGTGATAAGGAAGAGGAGGAAGAGAGGAGCATGGGACCGATGCCGGCGTTTACGGTGCCTCGCGCGAACGTCGTCGGGTGGGGCGAGACGAGCGAACCGTTTGGACTGAAGAACTGTTTGATTTGGGGGAGCGATGCGGCGATTTTGCACGGGGTGTTGAGAGTGATCGTTGGGTCGGACGAAAGGTATAAGCAACAGTTGTATGGACAGTTTGAGAAGATTCAGCGGGAAATGAACGAGCAGGCGACCAAAGTAGTAGCTTGACGGACGAATTCATAGCGTGTAATTTTTATTTATCAACGTTGTTTAAATACAACGTAAACGTCCGATTGGGACGTAGCAAAAAGAACACCAGCAGTAGCAATAGCAGCACACGAATACTGATAGTACTAATATTCGCGCGTTTTTTTAACTTCTCTTGCATTTTTGTTAATGCGAGTGCTCCCCGTCGAGCGACAGATTAGACAAAAGAATAACGCCAGCGCCGCCGGCGTAGGCGGTGAACAATGCCAATCGTTGCGATAACGACCTTCCCGCGTGTACTTTCTTTACGTGATCGCCTCCGTGTTCGTCGCAATCTCTATCACTCATCTCGAACTCATCGGCGACGATTTCAGAGGTGCCGCCGTATAAGAACGTCCCGGAAGCCAACGCCTCGAGAACAAACACGGTTTCAATACTGACCGAGCCTAAACCCATACCGATGAATATTCCACACGTCGTTGTCAACGAGAACACAATCATGGACGTAATGCTGACCATTTTACTCGCCTTACCGTTTACGAACGACGAGCCGATCGATAACGCCGCCGGCGCTTTGTGCGCGGCGATGGCGGTGAAAATCGTCAAAACGTTTTGTCTCGATTTTTGCACGCCGAGCGTCAAACCAGCCAAGACAGAGTGCACGGAAATTGCCGCCAATAAAATGTACGGTCTTTTACTCTTACGCAAATCTTCGCAAGTTTGAGGTCCTTCGCTATGCTCGTGATGGTGATGATGATGATCGCTATGCTCGTGGTGGTGATGTTGTCCTTTCTTCTTCCCTTCCTCTGCAGAAGTTTCGCAACAGTGGTCGTCGTGTCCGTTCGGGTGTATCGCGTGCCCGTGAATGTGAAACAACACGCGCTCGATAAAAAATACCAACAAATACCCCGTCAACGCGAGCGCGAATCCAGCCGGATACCCAGCCGGCGTAATCTTCACCTGCTCCTGGTACTCCACCAAGTGCGGAAACAAGTGCGTCAACCCGGCGGATAAGAACACTCCGCCGCTAAACGCGTTCAACAAACTCATCACCCACCTCGCCTTCCTCCCGGCAACGGCTTCAGAAACCATCGGAATCATCCACCCGAACATGCTCTCGCCGAACACCGCCGCCGCCAATCCCGCTTTCAGCGTCGTGTACGACTTGGACGGGTTCTTCGTCGCCTCGTCGTGCTCCTCTTCCGCGTGCTCGAAAGCGCACTCCGCGTCCACCGCGCACTTCAACAGTTCCGGGCACGCCGAGGTAAACTCCGCCTCGGTCAAACTCGTCGACGAATCCCCTAAAGCGCCGTATTCTCGCAACAACTCTTTCGCCGAAACCGAGGCGGCGTGTGCCTCCTCCTCGTGGTCGTCGTGGTCGTCGTGGGCGTCTTGGGCGTGTGCCTCCTCCTCGTGATCATCGTGACCGGCGTGTGCATCCTCTTCCTCGGATTTCCCTCCAGTTTGCAACGCGTGTAAAAATCGATCCAATTCGTGTTCCTGTAAGATCGAATCTGTTCCCGAGAACGTTTCCATGATGTGTTCCATCGGCGTTTCTTCTTCTTCTTCAGAGGCAGAGACGAAGAAGAATAAACGACGATTCGATTCTTGAGTTTCCCGGCACACGCCGTCAAAATCGGACGAGGAGGAATACGAAGAGACGAGGCACACCAACGCGCCGATCATGATCGTAATCGTTGAAACGTGATGATTTTGATGACATCTTCGTCGTGGAGTACGGTTCGATGAGACTTGCATTTTAAAGTAAGGAGTATAAGTAGTATTTTCGCGCGTCAGATGGACGATTAGAATGGAGAGATCTGACAGAAGGGCACACGCTTGGCACACGCGACGCCGGGCGACATTTTTTCGAGAGAATGGAAGAGAAGCGCAGCATTGGTCGAAACGTTTGCGTTTCACTACTCTACGACGACTTATATAAAGCGTTATTCGTATTCGTAGTATTGCTAGTATAATTACAATAAGAAGATTTGAGATTGAGATCTCAACGCGTCAGTCACGAAGCCGTCGTCTCTCTCAAAGCGAGTTCTCGCTCCAACTCGCGCACGCGTTCGCGATACCGCGTGGTCTTCATTTTTTCTATTTTTAACTGTTCCTCTAACAGATCTAACTCTTCGTCTCGTTCTTTGAACAGGGCAAAGTTATAGTCGTAATCTTCGGAGAGTTTCCGAAAGGCTCGTTTCAACGCTCGGTATTTCGAGAGGACTCTTTCGAGAGTATTCGCCTCGTCATCTCGTTGATTCCTGTTACTCTTTCTGCGCATCATCTCGTCGCGAGTTGTACTCGTGAGCCTCTTTTCGTTTTTGCTCCTCGAACCATTCTCGTTGGTGTTGTTACTATTGGTATTCTTTTTGCTCGGAAAACCACCACTCCCGCCCGAGTTTAAAGCGTTTCCGCGCGGAATATGATGACCATTTTTCCCAACGAACGCTTTAAGCGATTCTCTCAGCGGGGATGAATATTCACGCGATGAAGTCATCGTCGGCGCCGCTAAACCGTCGATTTCTCTCGTCAGCCGTTCCAGCATTTGGAATTCATCCTCGTCTTCCTCCTCCTCGTCTTCCTCTGAGATCACATCGTTGCGTTCTGGTAACATACTTCGTGCGCGCTTCTCTCTGCGTATCTCTCCGGTGGTATAACGTGTTTCCCGAGCGCTTTTTAAGCAAAAAGGGCTCCAAAGCGATTAGGGTTTAAGACCCTAAACATGTTTTTTTTTGTCTCCCTTTTTTTCTCCGGAGTGGATAGAAAAGAATTGGACGGTCGCACTTCGGCACACACAGAATCGCGCGCTCGGAACGACGAGAATACCACGGACAACAAGAATCATGGCGTCGTCGTTCTCGTCGTCGTCATCATGTGGGCTTTCTTGCGCGCATAATCTTCGAAACTCTTTGAAAGCTTCCGGGTCTTCCGTGCCCTCGAGTTCTTCTTCTTCTTCTTTGCATGCCTTCAAGATGAACACAAAAAGCAGCCGCTTTCTGCGTCAAAGGATGACGACGACGACGACGACGGCGACGACGAATACTCCTCGCGCGTTCAACGCCTCCTCTTTCAACGCCTCCTCCTCTCGAGACAGACAAAGACGAGAACGACAACGACGCGGTGAAACGACGAAAAGTCGCACAGTAAAAGCCGTACCGGCCTGGCATCCAGAAAACAAGAACGACGTCCCGTTCGACGAACCCACACCTGGGTTCAGTTCTATCCCGAGCGCTTTAGAGGAGATTAAAAAAGGCAAGTTTGTCGTCGTCCTCGACGACGAAGATCGAGAGAACGAGGGCGATTTAATCGGGGCGGCAGATTTGATGACGCAAGAAAGCATGGCGTTTATGATTCGACACACGAGTGGGTTAGTGTGCGTTTCGATGGAAGATGAACGAGCGGACGCGTTGCACTTACCGCTTATGGTGGACTCAAAGGCGAATAAGGATTACATGAAGACGGCGTTTACGGTGAGTTGCGACATGGCGACAAGCACGACGGGGATTTCCGCGGGGGAAAGAGCGGAGACGATTAACGCGTTGGCGAACGATCTGACGAAACCGACGGATCTTGTGAGGCCAGGGCACGTGTTTCCGTTGCGATATCGCGAGGGCGGGGTTTTGAAAAGAGCGGGACATACGGAGGCGGCGGTGGATTTGTCCAGGATGGCTGGACGAGCGCCCGTCGGGGTTTTGTGCGAAATTGTCAACGACGACGGAACTGGGAGCATGAGCAGATTACCAGAACTGCGAGAGTTTTCTAAGAAACACGACTTGAAAATGGTGTTGATTTCGGATATGATTCGGTATCGCCGAGCGACGGAGAAGAATTCGTTGATTGAACGCACGGCCATCGCCAGGGTGCCCACCGAACACGGATCGTTCACCGCGGTGTCGTACGTTTCGAAAGTCGATGGGATTGAGCACGTGGCGTTTGTGTACGGCGACCACGCCACGGAGGAAGAAATTGCGGATAGTTTAAAGGAAAACGCGTTGGTTCGCGTGCACTCGGAGTGCTTAACCGGGGATATCTTCAAGAGCGCTCGATGCGACTGCGGTAACCAGTTGGAGATGGCGATGAAAAAAATAGCAGACGAGGGAAGAGGGGCGATTGTGTATTTACGAGGCCAAGAAGGTCGAGGGATTGGGTTAGGTCATAAACTGAGAGCGTATAATTTACAGGATAAAGGACGAGATACGGTACAAGCGAACGAGGATTTGGGTTTACCGGTGGATAACAGAGAATACGGCGTCGGCGCGCAAATCTTGAACGATTTAGGCGTGAGAAGCGTTCGGTTGATGACGAACAACCCGGCCAAGTATCACGGTTTGCGAGGGTACGGGATTACCGTGACCGGGAGAATGCCTCTGTTTGCGCCGATTACGTTGGAGAACAAGACGTATTTGGAAGCGAAGAGGAAAAAGATGGGGCACTTGTTCGGAGAAAGCGGCGATTTCGAAAACGTCGCCACCGCGGCGACCCCGATGTCCTAATAATAATGAATCAATCATCATCAAAGAAAATGTGTTTGTAATCTTTATATATGCCAAGAATAATCATCATCATTGGTGTTGTCACTGTGTGCATGTTGTAGTGTGTCCATATATTATTACATTACTCGCTGAGGTACAAAACATTTACGTGTCGTTTGTTCGTACGTTTGTGTTTCTCTTCTTCTTCTTCTTCTTCTTCTTCTTCTTCTGTTATACATTTTTCTCTAGAAGCTTCTCTTATTTATTCTGTTTCAACATGCCGAAATAACTTCCAACCTCGGGCGAATACGAGCTGCTCTCGCCTCGTTTCGTTTGCTTGAGTAAATCGAGCCCAATTTTTCCCGAAACCGTGTTCTGCTTCTGCGCGCTCATCGTGATCCCACCACCTTCTCCGGCGGGAGCAATGCTCGTATTTTTCTTGGCTGCTGGCGAGTAAAATTCGCCGAGATTACCCATCATCGCCGCGTCGTTTGTCATCATCTGCGATGGTCTTTGCTGCGAATCGTTCGATATTATGACTCCATCGCCCCCGTAGTGAATGGGAGGACTCGGTGTATCTGTCTTTCTATTCAAATCACGTCCTTCTTCATCGAGAGATACTAAACCGTATTGCGGGACGCGGTGATGTCGCTCTCGTTGTGGTCGAGGAATACAATCCGCGCTGTCGATGGAGATGCGATTGATTTTGTTAGGACTGTTGATGTTTCTCTCGTTGCTTCTCGTTTTATGTAGCTTTGATTTCGGCGTCGGTGATCGATTATTCGCGTCTTCCACCGCGTCATCTCGGGAATATAACGATTCCGATTCCGAATCGGAGTATTGTAGACCTTGTTTCTCGAGCGCGTGCGCGATGCCAGAGATGGAATCGCGTTCGTTGACTACGTACACTTTAGACGGCGAAACCGGTTCAGACGAAGCGGAACTTTGTTGAAGCAACTCCGAGGAGAGCGCAGATTTCAACGCAGGCAAAGGTTCCTCACCGCCAACGACACTGTCGGCAACACCGTGAGGATGAACGCGTTCCGGCGAATTCGATTGCGACGCCGCGCTTCCCTCTCCGTTCAACGCGATGCGTTCCAAATTCTCAAGACATTTAAATTCGCAATACAGCACGGGACTCGCCGCGCCTAATTTTGGCGACATTCTTTCTGCCGTCCCGCCGTTCCCGTCCGCCGCCGCCGCCATGTGCGCCGTGTTCTGCGCGTCCAAAAACTCCTTTCTGGAGCACCTCCCTTTCGTCGGCACCATCGGATGCGTCACCACGAGACTATTCGGCGGCATCAACTGCCACCGCTCCAACCCATTCATGGACAACGGCTCCGACGAGACCAGCATGCTCTGCGTCGCGAACATTCGCTTCTTGAAAATATGCATAAACTCTGGCGACCGTCGACTTCGATATTTCGGCACGCCTCGGTTTTCTGAGCCTTCTTCGCCGTGGAGCATCATCTTATCGAAACCGCCTAAACCTCTCGCTTGTTTCTTCGGCGTCGTCGTCTTACCACCGCCCCCGATCTTTTTCTCGCCGCTTTCACCTCCCAAATCCCACGCTTTCTCCCCTGGCAACGGCCCTAAGTGAAAATACAACGACGGCGGATCTTCGTGACTGGAATTCCTATACCGCGCGGCGACGACCGTCTCCCCATCCGTAAACGCCAAATTCATCGAGCTCGACTTCCCTCCGCTCGCTCGGATAATCAGACACATCGCTTCCCTCACCGCGCGCTCCATCATCTCGTGCGATTGACTCGAATTCGTATCCGGTAACTGATTCAAAACCAGCGCGAACAACACCTCGCTATCCGTCGTCCCGCTGATGTGTTCAAACAAATCATCCCGCAACGTCGCCAACAAACTTCTCCGTATCTTCTTAAACCCGTGCACTTCCCCGTTGTGCATAAACATGTACCTCCCGTTATAAAACGGGTGACAGTTATACTCGTGCACGCTCGCCCCTGGTCCGGCTGCTCTCACGTGTCCGAACAATAAACTCGTGCTGATTGCTTTGCTCAAACTTCGTAAGTTCCTGTCGTGCGACGGCGCCGCAATCGTCGTGTAACAGCACGGTCTCGAATACGAGCACAACCCTTTCAAGTCTCTCAAGCCTTGCAACGGGTTCGACCCGTACCATCCGATGCCGCACCCGTGCACGTTCACCTCGTGGTTGCGACGGATGTCTCGTTCCACGCCTGGGGTGAACCCAGCGCCGTCTGCCATGTTCGCCAGACCGTGGTAGGCGCCGTAGATGATCTTGGAGATGCAGACTTCGTCGCCGTAGTAGAATACCCATCGACACATGATACACAACAACCCGCGAGAAGTCGTTATCCGATTCCTTTAAATGTCTCTTTCTCTTATATGCGTGTGTTCTCTTTGAGAACGCGCGCTCCCTTCGTCGAGAAAAAGAAGAACGCCAGTCGAAGAACGGACTGCTCCCCTCGCGCGCTCTGCTGTTTCTGCTCCGATGGAATATATTTACGAGTCGAACGAATGATGATAAAAGAAATTGGTTCCGAATTTTGAAGACATTTCCCCAGAGAAACAAGGGAAACTTCTCGCACAAATGCGAGAGAGAGAGAGAGAGAGAAAAGCACGTGAGAAAGCGCGATACGCCCCTCCCTCCGGCCGCTGCGGCACACAAATCTGTCGCACATTCTGACATGCGCGCAGAGGAGGGCACCAATCCTGGTGCTGCTGCTGCTGCTGCTGTTGCGAATACGAATGCGAAGAACACGAATGACGCTTTGCATTTGGACGAGATCGTGAAGCGGGACGGCTACTTGGAACGCATCGTTCTCGAGGATGAGAAGACGAAGACGAAAGCGAGACGAGTTTTGAAGTGCTCGATAACCGGGCACGCGTTCACGCTTCCGTCAGAGGAGGAGGAAAAGGAGGAGGACAAAGTAGCCTCCGTTATAAACGTCCTGGAAAGTTTCTTGAACGGGAAAAAGCGGAAACGCTTACGAGAGAAGAAAGAAGAGGAAGCGAAACTGACCGAAGAGTACGCGCCGGCGCTCGTCCAATCGAAACATCTTCCGGAGAAGTTTTTCTGCCGAGTGACGGGGAAATACGTCCCTAAGATTGAGAAGCTCGTGGTGGAGCATTGCTCGGGGAAGCGGTTTACGGTCGGTGAGGCGAAAGTGGTCGGGAAGAAACAGACGCTGTTGGAGGAAGGAGATCCGCGGGAGGAGGAAGAGGCGAAAGAGAAGAGGAAAGAGGAGAATCGACGGGTGGCGGAGAAGCTGAGAGAAATGCGATTGAAAGAGTGGGAGGAGAGACAAGCGAGGAGGAAAATAGCCATGCAAGAGGAAGGCGAGGAGAGCATGGAGGAAGAAGAGGAAGAGGAGGAAGAAGAGGAGGAAGAAGAGGAAGAGGAGGAATCCGAAGAAGAAGAAATAGAAGAAGCGCCGAGAGAGAAGAAGCGAGCAAAGAGATGATAACTAAACAAAAATAGACCACAAACATCAACAGTGAAAGAATTCTGTGTAAACGCGCGCGCTATCTAAATCTTTTATACACGCTAACTGAACTCAAATGCTGCTACGCTACAAATCTGTCTTTCCATGTAGGCGACGTCCATGAGTCGATCCATTCGGAATTTTTCGTAAAATTCGTATAATCAACGCTGTCGAGCTTTGCCATGAGTTCTAAAAAACTCGCGCAGCACAAAGCTCCAACTGGTACAAAACTATCCATCAGTTTTACTAATTCCTCCTCATCGTCGTGCAATCGCAGCGGCAACCACACGCCGGATCCTTCTTGCACTTCGCCGTCGAGGAAGGCCATTTCATTCTCCGCCGCCGCGTCAAATTCCAACTTGTAACACTGACCAAATATGTTCATGTACTTATCGCTATACGTAAATTTTCGTATCGGTTGTAACTGCTTACTTTTTTCCGCGGGAGAGCGCGCGTAGATGGACAACTTTACGCCTGAAATTCCGAGTTCTTCTTCGATTTCGCGAATCGCGCATTGCGCGTAGGGATCAAAATACGTCCGTCCGTGATCTTCCCACTTCACGAAATCTATCGCGGTCTGCACACCCGACGTGCACACGTCGTACATCCCGGGCCACACGTCTTTCTTCACGCTCCGCTTCGTCGAAAACACGGACAGGTTTCCCAACCTCGCGTTCCTCGTTTCCTCCAACGTCTGCGACGCTCGTTCCTCGAACATTTTCCGCAACCGAAACACAACCTTCCCCGTCTCGTACATGTCGTACCTTTCCTTGTCGATCTTTTCCGGCACGAACTTTCTCTCAAAGTTGTTCAGATAACTCGCCATAATTTCTTTAAACGCGTCGTCGTTTACGTCGCCCTCCTCTTCCGCTCTTCCTCTCGTAGTATTATTCTTGGTGGTTTTGGTTATCAACACGTAACTGCCTCTTCCTCTCAAGCGCTCTTTCACGGTCGTTTTCCTCGAGACAAAGTCAACCACGAAATCGTTCTCGTCCACTATCGCGCACAACTCTTCCTCTCTCCCGTTTTCAAACGCAAAGACCACCGACTCGGGTGGTTTCCCGAGCGTTCGTTCGCACCAAAAACCGTTGCGTTTTACCGCTTCCAAGAATGCGATTCGTTCATCTTCTTTGAACGCAGATGAGAACGAGGACGACGCGAGCGCGCTTCTCCTCCCGTTTTTCCTCCCACTACCGATGCTCCTTCTTCTCTGCCTTCGCTTCCTCGAAGCGAAGGAGGAAGAGGAAGACGCGGGAGACGAAACACCGCCCGCGAGAGGACACATCCTTGTCTCCAATTTGTGCCGAATTTCCCCCATAAATAAAGTAAACATGGACGAGGATGTCCTCCCGCACCCGCCGCGCGGGGTCCTCCTCTCCGCGGTGTGTGACAGTAACAACGTCGCTTCCTATCGGGACTACTTCGAGGACGTCTCGAAATGCGTGCCGTACTCCTCGTCGTCGTCTTATTCCGTGTCAAAGTCGGGAGATTCGTGGGAAAGCGACGAGGAGGAGGAAAAGGACGACGACGGAGTGTTCTTGCGGATAACCAAAGCACACGAGCAGCAAAACAACAACAGAAACGAGAAACCTGCCGTCCAAGTTTCGTTTATAAACATTCACGACGTGATCGACGCAAACTCGCCGAACGAGTACGCGCAAACCGCGCAAAGAATCGAACGGGTAAAAGCGAGATGTAAAGAGAAAAGGATTGGGTTGGTGTTTTGCACGGTGAGTCCAACGAGAGAAGAGGAGGAGAAAAATGATCGCGAGAATAAAGAAGACGTGACGTACGCATTGGAGGAGAGAGTTTTACAGGTTTTGAAAAGGTTGTGTGGCGTGGAAACGAGGATTGTTGCGTTGACGCGCGTCGGGAGCGACTCGCGGGAGAAGTGCTTGAAAGCGTTGGCGCGAGCGACGGAGGAGGTGAAGCAGGAGGTGCTCGTGAACGAAGGGAAACGGGCGATTGGGAAATGCGACGACGTTTTGAACGCGTTTGAGAGGGAGGTTTTGGAAAGTGGTGTCGCGGTTTTGGAGGAACGCGAAGTACGTTTGGCGAGATTGGAGGCGCGGTGTAAAGCGAGTAGGTATTTGTTTAAAGCGGCGAGTTACGCGGAGTTTAGAGGCGACAGTGAAGCCGCGATGAACGCGTTGGGTGAGTGTTACGCGAGCTTGATGGCGTACGTTGATGAAGCGATGCCGGAAGTACTTCGCGGTAGTTTCGAAGAAAATAATAATACTCAATCGAGACGATTGTGGAGAGTGTGCGAGACGCTGAGAGTGTTGACGTATTGCAGATCGAGAATGTCCTCGACGCAATTGAGCCAAATTTTGAAGACTATGGATACGAGCGCGAATAGCGAGGTGAATAAAGCGATCCAAGAATTGGCGAGAGTGGAGAAGGAACACGCTTGTTTCGTTAAGAGGTGCTTGTCGATGAGAAGAAAGAATTCTTTTTTACTGAAAGCGTACGACGACGACGCCCCTCTCGGCTTGAAATGTTTCGCGGCGTATTTCTTATCTTTGCGCGCGAAAGCGGATAAATCGTTTGCAGACGTGCTCGCACACACGATGCACGCGAATCCGAACGTGTACGACGCAATCTTCAACGACAATACGCAGTTTCAACGCACCGCCGCGACGAAATCGACGAGCTTTGATTTGAGATTAGATCCAGGATTTTATTACCAAAGCGCGTTCGAAGCGCTCTCTTCGCGAAGAGAGTTTATGCAATCGTCAGGGTTAGGAAAGGATCCGTCCGTATCCGCAACAACAAACGCCTCCATACTCACGCGAGGACGCTATTTGGGAACTTTCGATCTCAAAAACGAAACGGTCACGGGTGCAAATCAAAGCAACATAGAAAATCACGGCAGAAACGCGCAAATCCCTTCTTCGATTGAGCTACGGCGCGCGTACGCGCGCTTTGAAAACACTTTCTCGCCTCTCGAAATGCTGGAAAAAGCGAAAGCATATTACGAAGGAAATCCAAGGTATAAGGCGTTCCATCGTTCATTAAACGCTATTTCGAGCGATTACGCGTTAGAACTTTTCTACGCGAACAACACGGCGACGAACAAGGAAAAGGTTTTGCACATATTGACTGCGTGCGCGGAAACCTATCGGAAAGAAGGATGGGAGGATTTACTCGAGGAAACTCTGGAGCGCACTTTGCTGTGTCTCGGAGGAGGAGGAAATGAAGCTGGAGAGAGCGCGTTAAAACATCGCATGGATGTTTTATTAGAGCTACACGGTATTCAATATCGCGAATCCGAAGGAAAGACGCGCGCTTCTCGTTTACTCGCAGACGGTGCGACGAAAACAAAATCTTTGCCCGTTGTGTTTGAGGTATCGCGCAAATCCTTAGCTTCTCGCGCACTCAAAGTGTCTTGTAGTTTTGGCCACGATGTGGCACGTAACGATTCCGTTCGCGCGGGCGATTGCGTCACGTTAGCCGTTCGATATGCTCTTCAAGGCTTAGTTGACCACGACATGTTTTCGGTGGTAAAACTTGAAGCGCACTTTTCCGATGGAACGAAGGCTTCGACAACAACTGCGAGTAAAGACGAAAAGGACGTCGTAAATATTCCGTTAACTGTGCAATCGAAAACGCAAAGCGACTTTGTCTTGGAAGTTGACGCATTGGATGTACTTACGAAATCTGGCTTCACTTTTCGATTCCCGAAAGCTTCTTTCGAAACGCTCAAACTCCTCGGGCACACAAAATCTGTTTCCGTGAAAAAACTCGCCCCTCGCGCAGAATTAAAGATCATGGATGGAGAAAATGATAGCAACGAAACGACCATTTTGTTTGGCGAAAAGAAGACACTGGCTGTTGTCGTCACCGCGGTGGATGGACTCGCAGACGCCATCGTAAATCTTTCCATCGACGAAAGTTTGCGAGAGATTTCCCTTGGAAGTGAAGACGACGGCGGCGAGAAGAAAGGCGAAGTCATCGCGAGCTTTGAAAACCCACGAATAGTTGTCGGCTCGCTCTCCAAAGGCGAATCAAAACGCGTGAACGTGACCGCGACGTTCTTCTCGAATCGCACGAACACCGCTAACGACAAAAAACAGAACAGGAAGAAATCTCGAGCGACAGTTTCAGCACACTTAACCTGTAACTTTGGTTCCCCGGGAGACGGAGAGGTAGAAGTATCTCCATCTAGACATCGCGTCGTGGCAGCGGAAACTTCAAAAACATTCGCGTTCACAGATGCGCTCGAAGTTTTAGATTCTGCAATCTATGCGCCGTGTGGCACGTCGCCGGTTTCCATACTCATCGCAAAAGACGATGTAGAAGACGACTTCGCTACGAAGAAGATTGACTTGAAAGCACAAAATAGATCACTCCTGGACGAAGGTGACGTGCGCTTGACGAACATTCGCGCCAAGACGACAGGTTTGGTCGTCGTGGACGATGCAATCACCACGCGATTAAAGCCAGGAGACGTGTATACGCACGTCGCGACGAAAGAATACGTAACGAGCGTTTCGTGGTATCGCAAGGAGGGGACGCAAACAACGACACAAAAGACACAGTCGTCTTTGTCTATCGATGATGACGAGCTCATCGACGGTCGTCGAATAGAAATCATGAATATTTCTGCTCGAGTGCCTGAATACATCCAAGTCGGCGTCGCGTTCGAGTTCGTCGTCGAGATGAAAAATCTCGACCTCGACGTACCTCGCGATTTCGTCGTTTCGGTCAAAGACGCGCCTGGTTTTGTCATGGCTGGTGAATCAAAAACTACGAAAACGGCAAACCCGGGCGAGAGTTGTTTCTTGCGTTTGAAAATAGTCGCTGTCGCGAGCGGGGAGAGATTCTTACCTTCAGTGTCAGTCGCGTGTCCAAAATTAGCCGCGACTTGGACGAACACTCAACAACAAAGCGTGCTTGTTTTACCAGTAGCGCTGTAATACACAGAACACACGCGAGACGTACTGGATACACGACGCGTGTGTGCGCGTGGGTATAGTTTTTTTAGGGAATTAGTTTTAGAAGTTTGTAATATAATATAGTATATAAATAAACAACAGTTTCATCATTACATCATGTCGACGACGTCCTCGCCGTCGTCAAAAACGTCTATCCACGCAGAAATACCTTCCATCGTCGGCTCTACAATTAACGCTTGACCTTCCACTCCAAACTCTTTGGCGGCATCGCTCATTGCCTCCGCCACTCTCTCCGCCGTAATCGCCGCTATCGTGCTATCGCCAATCTTCCCGTTCTCGTCCCCGCCAGTCATCGCCAACACCGTCGGTCCGGCGCCGCTCAAGAAGCAACAATGCGCACCGGCCCCAATCGCGGCCGCGATAATCTTGTCTAACCCAAACTGCTTATCCCCTCTTTGATGTTGGTGCATGATATCTTGCGTGCCAATTTTCATCAACCGAAAATCGCTTTGATTAAACGCGTTGATCAACGTCGCCGTTCTCCCGATGTTGAACACCGCCTCCGCTTGCGTCAACTTATCGCTCAGCGCCGCTCTCGTTTCGCTCGTTAAACTGTGAAAATCCGGAATAAAAAGAGAGCACAACATCCCCTCCGGAATGTTCACCGAGCTCGTGATCCATTCGTTCTCGTCGCTCAGCGCGATTTGAAACCCGCCAAAAATCGCCGGAGCGACGTTATCCGGATGCCCTTCCACCTCGCACGCTAAATTCAACAAATCCCTTCTCGCTCGCGCCGTGCTCACGTCTGACCCGGCCAACGTCATCCCCGCGGCCAATCCGCACACCAACGCCGCGCTGGACGACCCCAACCCTCTCGCCGGAGGAATTCTATTCGTGCTCGTAAATTTCAACGCGCTCACGTCCAACTCTCTCTCATCGTTCGATTGAAACCGGTACCCTTTCTTCACCGCTTCAATCACCGCGTTCGTCTCATCCCGAGGTAGAAAATCGCACCCTTCGCCTTTCAGTTCTAAAATAAACGTTCCCGTTGGAGAAAACTCCACGGTTACATCGTTCCTCAAATCCACGGCGAACCCGAGCGAATCGAACCCGGGCCCGATGTTCGCCGTCGTCGCGGGCACGGACACGGTCAAACATTCGTTCCTGTTTAACGCGATGCAATCGCTCGATTGGGATGTAAAATCTGGTTTTTCCCACTGGTCGACGTCGGAGGACCATCGAAGTTTCCTGTCTTTCGCGGGCATCCCTCCAGAACCCATCGCGGTCACGGCAACCCCCCTTCGATGGAATGCATTTTTACTTTTAACAACCCCGCTTTTCTGCTTTTTGTGAGGACGAGGACACAGAGGATGCGCTCTCGCGCCGCGGTGAGAATAACTCGACGATAACAGCATCTCTCTCTCTCTCTGTCTCTCTCTCTCTCTCTCTCTCTTTTCAGACGTGTGTGTGCGTGTGTGTTCTCCCCTCTGTTTGCTTTGAGGAATTTCTCCATTTTATCCACTTTTCAACGTTGGAAAAAAACGAACAGAAAGCGTGGTCTTCGTCTTCCCGGGGCGATGTTCTGAACGCAACACCGCATTTCTCTGCCTTTGCGAGACCAGAAAGAGAGAGAGAGAGGGACGGAGGACATGCGTAAATTTCTGGCCTCGCTTGCGAAACCTCTCGTCGATGCGCTTTTGCAACCGAACGTTTCTCGATTGCATTCCATCAACGAGATACAAAAAGCAGCTTCTGTCCGGTGTCACAAATACGTGTACGATTACATCGCCGGAGGCAGCGACGACGAATCGGCGCTGAGGAACAACGCCGAGAGTTTTAGAAATAAGTTTGACGCGTATCCGTTCGTATTGAACGGCGTCGGGCCGGAGAATGTGTGCACGAAAACTCGGATTTTAGGGACGGTTGAAGTGGACGTGCCGTTCATACCGGCGCCCATCGCCGGGAACGCGATGTTTCACACGGACGGAGAACGAGCCGTCGCGAGAGTTGCGAAGAGATTTGGAACGACGTACGCGTTAAGTACGCTCGCAACGACGAGTTGCGAAGAGATTAAGGCCTGTCTGGATGAAAATGACGGTGATGGTGATAAGACGCATAAAATGTTCCAGATGTACGTCTGGAACGAAGGCGAGTTAGTGGACGAAGCGTTAAGAAAAGCAAAAGAGAGCGGGTTTGAAACGCTCGTGTTGACCGTAGATTTGACGTGGTTCGGGAACAGAGAACGGGATAAACGCAACGGGTTTTCGATTCCACCGAAATTGAGCGACCCAAAATTTATCTACGAGTGCTTGAAGAAACCGTGTTGGACGGTGGACGCGGTGAGAGGATGGAAGAGCAGAACGTTCGAATACGCGGCTTTGAGGGACGACACGAAATTGATGGAGAAACAAAGAGACGATATGGCCGGGTTTGTCAGAGATGTGTTCAACCCGACTTTCGATTGGGAAGACGCGAAGGCGTTGCGAGAGAAGTGGGGGAAGAAATTCATTTTGAAAGGCGTGCACAGAGCCGACGACGCGGTGAAAGCGTTTGAGTATTTGAAGGCAGATGCGGTGTGGATTTCAAATCATGGGGGGAGGCAATTAGACGGTGCCGTGGCGCCTTTTGATGCGTTGCCGGGTATTAGGAAAGCAGTTGGCGAGGATAAAGAACTAATCATAGACGGCGGTATTCGACGAGGCTCGGATATCGCATTAGCTTTAGCGCTCGGCGCGAACGCAGTCGCGATTGGGAAACCAGTCGCGTTTGGCTTAGCGGCAGGTGGTGAGAAAGGCGTGGAGAGAACGTTCACGATTTTGAAAGAAGAATTGGAACGGACGATGGGTTTAGTCGGCGCGAGAACGATTGCGGAGTTGAGAAGCAAAGGCAACGAAATCTTCGTAAAAAGAGAACGGTTACGGAATTCATCATGATGAGTACAATAAAATGTATTTTAACGCGCGCTATCAAAAACTACCTGTACTCCTGTGTACTGCTTTAAAAAACATACACCGTTTGTGCGAGCTAATAAATCTATACTACGTAACACCATGGTACTGGTACCTACTACATCTATTCACTGCTATTTGCTTCTTCCATTTTGACCATCACCTCCAATCGCCGGCGCAAATCTGGATCGTTTTTGTAATTCAAATCGTACCACTCTCGACTCATCCCGGCTTTTTCTCTCTCTTCGTGCGCGAACGGTCCTTTCAAAACGTCCGGCGCGCACCTCTCCACGGCCGATAAAAACCGCTTCCCTAGTTCCTCCTCGTTTCCTCTCTCGATGTTCTCCTCTCTCGCGCAAATCTCTCGAAACCAATGCACGCCGACTGCGACGTGGTTCAACTCCTCCTTCGTAATTCTCTCCACAATCGCCGCCGATCGGTTATCGCCTCTCCCGACTAACTTCTCTCTCAACCTTGGCCCTGCGTCTAAACCTCTCGCCTCTTGCGCCATCGGCACCACGGCCATCCTGTCCAACGTATCCTCGCGACTTTCGAAGCATCCCAGCCACAGCATGTCGTGCGCGTCCATCTCTCCGTACTCGTGCCCTAACTCTTCCAACCTTTGCAAACACCAACTCAAATGCCTCGACTCGTCGTCCGCGACGCGCGCGAAATCCAAGTAAAACTCTCTCGGTAACCCTCGAAATCGAGCCACGGTATCCCACGCTAAATCGATCGCGTTCAACTCGATGTGCGCGACGGTGTGCAACACGTGCGCGGAAAACGAAGACAAAGGCGTATTCTTCGGCGACGGCACGGAAAACGGCATCACTAACGTCGGTTTCGCAGGTCTCGCCGGTCTCGACGGGAAAAGAACCTCGAGATCTTTCTCTTTCTCGGCGACGATAACTTCAATCTCGCCTCGTAAAAATCGACCGAACGCTCGGTGCGTCAGCGCTATTTTGCTCTCTATGCACTCCGTGTCGTACACGATCGTTTTCGCGTACTCTTGCAAACATCGACACGTGTTCTCGCTCTCTAGGAGCGCGTTTTGGACGTTTCGTTTCGCTTTTGAGGACACGTATTGGCCTTCCGTCGGTTCGTGTATCAGTACAGACGCAGACTTCTTCTTCGTCGTCGTCTTCGCGTTCGTTCCCCAGAGGCGGACGTTATCCAGCGGCAACGCTCGGTATTTCTCGATGATGTTCTCGTCGTCGTCAAAAGAAGAAGAAGAAGACGCAAAAAATGCACGTCGTCTCTTTCGCCCTCCTCTTCTCGCGGACGGTTGAGTAAAGGAGGAGGATCTAAAGGCGCAGCAGCGGTACCATCGAAGGGAACCCCTGCTGCTCCGCAGAAGCGTCATGTTCCCCCAAAAGTGTGCAGTCAATTCGCGTCACTTTGAAAGAAGCTTTGAAAGAAAAGAAAATGTCCTCTTCGTTAAGAAGAGAGAAAAGAGAGGAGGAAGACGCGTTGCTCCGTCGAGCGGCAAACGCAGCGACAGATGCGACGAATCTTGCGACGAATGCGAACCGGTTTAAGAGTGGGAACGACTACTTCGAAGAGGAAGAGGAAGAGATGGATGTGGCGGCGATGATGGGATTTAGCGGAGGTTTCGGGAGCAAAAAGAAGAAGCATAATCGAGAACAACAACAAGAAGAACAACGAGGTAAAGGAGGAGAAGGACGACGGGAAGAAGAGATGGAGAGAAAGCAACAGAACGACGACGAGGATGATGCGAGTGTTATTGGAAGAAGAATGCAAAATTCGAAGAAAGAAGACAAAGAAGGAGCTTTGAATACGAACGAAGCGGATGAAGACGACGACTTGGAAGAAGACCAAGAGTACGAAAAACTTCCCATCTCCGACGAAATTGAACTCGGATCTGCGCACAAGAAAACCGTGACGACGATTGCGGTCGAACGGACCGGGTCTCGGTTCGTCACCGGCGCGCGAGACGGGTTCGTGAAACTGTACGATTTTAACGGCATGAGGAAAGATTTGCACCCGTTTCGAGAGATTGAACCGAACGAAGGGTACCCCGTGCACTCGTTGGACTGGTCGCCGAGTGGGGACGCGTTTGTCGTCGCGACTGGGTCGAATAAAGCGAAAGTGTTCGATCGAGATGGACGAGAGCTCGGGGAATTCGAGAGCGGCGACATGTACATTTTAGATAGCAAAAACACGAGAGGACACACGCATAACGTGACCAAAGCGTGTTGGAATCCAATCGAGAAGAATTTAGTAATCACGAGCGCGGATGATGGAACCGTGAGGATTTGGAACGTGGATTATCTGGGCGATCCGAGAGGCTCGCAACGGTCCGTCGTGAAGCCGCAATCGGTCAAACCCGGGAGATTTCGGGCGACGACGTGCGCGTTTAACATGGACGGGAGCTTGATTGCGATGGCGTTGACCGATGGAAGCATACAGTTATTCCCGGCAAATTCAAAGAGAGGAAATATTATGAACAGTAATGGTAGCAGCGCGAATAGAAATGGAGGAGGAGGAGGCTCGAACGCGTACAAATCCACCTCGGTAGGTTTAGTCTTACCGCCGAGTCAGCAAAGTCACTTGGATAACAACTGGACGTCGATAAACAGACCGAAACAGTTGTTCAAAAAATGTCACCAACCGGACGAAGAAATATCCAGCTTATGTTTCAACGAGGAAGATGGACGACACCAAATGCTCTCGAGAGCGACCGATGGGACGTTAAAAGTCTGGGATTTACGCAACGCGCAAAAACCGGTGAAAGTGTTTGACGATTTGCCGGCGTCGTACGGAGAAACGACGGTCGCGTATTCACCGAACGGGTCCAAGTTTTTCACCGGTTGCGATGGCGAGGACGTTGGTAAAATCTCTTCCTCGACTGGGAGTTTACACGTGTTTGACTCGCAAACGTTAGAGCGCGTGGCTAAAATCTCCTCCTCGGAACAAAACGTCGTCTGCGCCACTTGGCACCAACGGTTGAACCAACTCTTCGTCGGGAGTGGAACGAACGACCGAAAGCTCGGATCTCGCGGGAAAGTGTCGCTCTTATACGACACTAATCTCTCCGCGGTCGACCGAGGCGCCATGTTAGCGATTGGCAAGAACCCTCGCTCGAAAAACGCGGACGATTTCTACCGCCGCGTGGACGTGCAAAACATTTTACACGTTCCAAACGCGTTGCCGTTATTCCAAGAACCCGTCGACAAATCCGGTCGTAAACGCCGGTTAAACAAAATCGAACGGAACGATCCAAACATTTCGAAAAAGCCACAGACCGACGGCTCCGGCGCCGGCGACCGCCCGGCGCAAAGAGGTTCGACGTTGCTCACGCAACACTTGTTACGAAACGACGGCATGCTCAGCGACCAAGACTGGAGATTGGGCGACGCGAGAGAGTCCATCTTGCGCCACGCGAAAGACGCGGCAGAGCACAACGTCCACACCAACGCGGAACCGAACGAAATTTGGTACGACTCGGACCAGGATAAAGACGATTCCGAGGACGAAGAAAAAGACGACGACGGAGACGAGGAAGCGGACGAATAGAATAGAGTAACGATTTTAAAATAGTAGTGTAATAAAGTAGGCCACACAGAGGCATCGTAATAATAACAACGCACGAAGTATCCCGCAATCGCGAGTGTTTGTTTTCACATGTATTTCTCGTCGACGCGTTCACGTTTCGTCCGCTTAGTATCATCCCTCTCCTTAACAGACAGACACATTCTTCATCCAGTTACAAAGCTTTCCTCACCAAAGCGGCGACGTCGCTCATATTTTTCGCTTTCAGTTTCGGGAACGGTCGTTTCTCCGTGATTGTCCACACGATTTTCTCGTTCACGAGGACCTCAAACGTCCCCGCGGAGGCATCTCGCGTGATCTCTAACTCGCCGTTGAGCTCCGCTTTCAACTGATTCGCGACGCGGACGAACGCTTGTCACATTTTGGAGACGGACGCTCGTGCTTTGACAGTTTTTGAGGAGGAAGGAGTGATGCTCCGCTTAGAGACTTTCTTGACCACTGTCCCTTTGCTTTTCGACGCGGACGTCTTTGAAATCGTTTTCTTCTTCTTTGCCGTTGCGCTGGCCATGTTTCTTTCGCGGCAAAATGAATGGAAAAATCTGAAGAATTTGAGGTTTACAGTTGAGTCAAAAAATGGTATATTCTCGCTACGTCATACGCGCTCTAATGATCTCTCTTTCTCTCTATCGAAAACTACTTCTTGAACCACTTAGGGACGAAGGATTTCTTAGCCTGGTCGCTCATCATCGGTTCGGCTTTTGCTTCTCGATCTTTGTCTTCTTCTTTCGAAGGAGGCTTCGGAGGAGGAGGAGGACGTATCGGCGCCGAAGCGGAAGACTTTTGGTCGTGCAATCGAAGCATTTCCAAACACTTGGTGCTGAGCAGCGCGGATTCCTCTACTTCTTCGAAGGAGGAAGTGGTAGTGGTGGTGGTTTTTAAGGAGAAGAAGATTTTCGCGGCGGGGGCTAAGCCGGCGTCGTATAAGGATTGGTTCGCGTCTCGGCCGTTTCGTTTCAAGACGCGTTTCGGAGGCGCGACGAAGAGTTCAAAGCTCGGCGCGCTTTGAGTACTTTTATCATCCTTGGATAAAATCTCCTCAACGAACGCGTACACGTCCTCGACGGTTTCTTTGTGCGCGTCGAACACCGCTTCCACGCACACGTCCGAAATTGGTTTCTGTTGAAACATAATCCGTATCGTCGCGTGTCGCACTTTCTCTCTTCGCCGTTGCGCTTCTCGCTCTCGATGCTTCTTCGTCAACAAGGCATTCCCGTTCTCTAATTTACGTCTGTTTGACGCCACAATCTGCGCCGCTTCCGCACTGGACAGCTCAAAAAATGCCTCCGGTAATTCCTCATTCGCGGAGACTAAACCGGTGGTTGGATCCATTTTGCGTTCCTCCGCTTCGGCGTCTAAAGTTTTCTGTCGAACCACCCGAGCCGCGCGTTTGCCGAGAACAGAAGAAGAAGAAGAAGACGTCGCTTTTGCGTCGTCGTCACTCAGAATTGCATATCGTTCCATCGTTTCGTCTTCTTTTTTGTCTTTCTTCTCCGCCGCGTCGTTCGCCGCGCTCGCCGACGAGGCACCTTTAACGTGTAACGGTGGTGCTTCTCCTCCTCCTCTTCTCAAACTGCTCTCCTCATTCGCGACGACATCTGAACCAACCGTTAAAGTTCGTTTTTTAATAAACACTACTTTCAACTTCGCGTTCGTCGGTAAGTTCAAGTGCCGCAAAGGGCAGTCCATGTCGACTTTCACACCTCCCGAGGAGGAAGAGGAGCCTTTTCCCCGCGATTGGTCTTCTGAACGGAATTCCAACGCATCAACGTTTATACTACTCTCTGATATCATCCCGAGCTTACTCGCGCACTCGAGCAAACAGTCCCTCAACGGTTTCATCGGCGGTAAAGATTTGAGGGTTATTTTCGATTTGCCGTCCTCGGAGAGGACGGTGATGGTGGTGGCCATGACGTGATGAATGTGTGGGTATTAATTGTGTGGTAAAATGAAACTTAAACTACGTGTCTACAACATTCGGCTACTATCTTTAATGACTAAATTAACGGCACTCTGGCGACGTAAATACCTTGCCTGGCTAAACTCTCTTCGACGTCTGCGCTTCCTTGTGGGGGTTCAATCTTGTAAAATTTACTGTACGCGACCAACACCTCGCACCCGCGCTGGAGCAGCGTCGGGTAGTGACTGCGTAAGGAACCGTCGACGTCCATTTCGAGTTCACGAATTCGAGTCCAGGTATTACCGTCGTTTGAGGATACGGCGACTTTAAGAAAGGTGCGGCATCGGGAACACCCTTTGGCGGGATGTTTTGCGTGGTCGTTGAACGCGAGCGCGAGTAAACCGCTCGGTTGGAGACGAATCATGTCGATTTTCGAGTTTGGATTCGGGACGTCTTTCATCGCCGACGCGTCCGTCCACGTTTGACCGCCGTCGAGAGATTCCGAGCGGAACACGTACCCAGCTTTGGTTCGAAAGACCATCAGTAAGTGGTCGTCCGTTTCCAATTCGACGACGGCGTTTTCAATCAACCACGTATTTCGACCTCGAATGGTTTCGGAGGGATACCAAGATTCGCCGTGGTCGTCGGAAAGTAAAACGCCCGCGCCTTCTTTTCCGTTCAGTTTTGAACATTTCTCTGGATTGACCGATGGCGATTCTAACATCGCGCGTTCGTTCCAATACGGCAGAACCCATCTACCGGACCGTCTTAACACGATCGGTTTATTCGCGGTGACTTTCGGTATCCCGTCGTCAAAATCCTGACTCAACACGATCTTCTCCGTGTGCGTCCACGCGCCGCTAACTACGTTAAACTTCTTCGCCAAAATATCCCCTCCCGGCGCGTAATCCATCCCCGGCACTCGAGACCCGCACCCATTCGTTCTCGATTGCGAATAAAACAACCAAATCTCGTGGTTTTTCTTCGGATTGGCGAACAAAACCGGACCCCACACCGCGCCGTTTTCACCCGCGTCCGTCGGCACGCTATAACTCCCCACGTCCGCGAAAATCTTCCTCTGCTCGTTCGCCGTCAGCGCTTTAAACCGCAAATGCTCCCCCTTTCCGTCCGCTTCCGCCATCACTATCCTTTGTTTCGTCCCTTCAATCTTCTCGCTCGTTTGCCACGCGAGCAACACGTTCCCTCGCGCCGGTCCTTTCCACGGCAAAGTTTCCACCATCGCCATGTGCTTATAGTTCCCTTTCAAAACATTGTCCACGTCGTACAAAGACACCGGTTCGCCTGGGCACCATCGATCCTCCTCTTCCTCGTTCGTGTTGAAAATGTTCGCCGCGCTCGCGGTGCGCTCGGTCACCTCCAAAGGGCAAAAGGCTGCACTTTCACCAAAATCACTTCCGAACGAGACGGTAAAACTGTTGTTATTCACTCGTTCTGAGCACCTGGTTTTCCTCAGCTCTTGTTTCCTCTGCGCGATCGTGTCTTCCACGGAGTGGATTTCTCCGTGCCATCCTGGTAATCGATCGTGGTCGTGTGCTTTACTCCTCTTCGCGAACGCCGATTCGCCGCTGCACGACGACAGAATCACCAGTGAAAGAAGAGCGCGTTTGAAGACGAGAGTAAAACGCATCAAATAGTCGCACGACTCGTCAAAGTCTCGCTCTCGTTGTTCTCTCTCTCTCTCTCTGGCGTGAAAGAGCGCCGGAACCGGCAAAGAAAGGCGCCTCCTTCTTCCTCTTTCGCGGGTGTTTCGTGTCTAACTTTTGTGTGGAAAAGGTCGTCATTTCCCGAGCGCGGAAGTGCAATTTGTACTCTCTGAAGGACCTTTCAAATATCGAAAGCTTTTGTCGTTTGTTTCCGGCGTCACGGGAAGTGCTCTGCGTTGTTCGTTTTTGTCGCCTCATCCTCGTTCAATAATGGCGGCGAAGAAAGTGAGCAAGCGCACGAAAAACTTCCAGAAGAATCATCTCCAATCTTCGGTCGCGAACCGGCGGCGGCACCAGAAGATTTCGAGGACGGACGAGAAGAAGAAAAGAAACGAGGAAAGCCGCCTGAGACGAGAAATCGAAGAAGAAAACGAAGAAGAGGACGGTGACAACGACGAAGATGCATATAAAGAGGAGGAAGGAGGGTTCGCGGACGCCAAGAGCGCGAAGAAGACGAGGAAGAAAGAATTGGAAGAGATGGACATCGACGAGTTCTTAGACGCGAGCGATGACGAGGACGAGGACGAGGACGAAGACGATTCAGACGACGAGGACGACGAGACAAGCGAAAACGAAAAGGACGATTCAGACGAGGAAGAAGACGAGGATAACGACGCAAAAACGAGAGAGGAGATGAAACGACACAGGGAACATTTAGAGTCTCTGAAAGAGACGGATCCTGAATTTTACGAGTACTTGCAACAGGAGGATAAAGAGTTGTTGGAATTCGACGACGACGACGACGAAGAGGACGATTCAGAGGAGAAACAAAAGAAGGACGAGAGCGATGAAAGCGATTCCGACGAGGAAGGAGGAACAAACGAGGACGAAGCCTCGAAACGCGCGAAAACGAAGCGAAAGAAATCGGAGAACAGACAATCCGGGAAGACGTTGACGTCGGCGCTCGTGAAAAAATTGTGCGAAAACGCCAAAGGCGGGAAGGCGTTGGGCGCCGCGAAGCATTTGTTCACCGCGTATAGAGCGGCGTGTCACTACGGCGACGAGGAGAATGAGAACGATCAGACGATGTTGAAGTTGGCGAGCTCGAGCGCGTTTAACGATTTGGTGCAGTTTGTGTTGGCGGAGGCGGATGATATTTTTAGAGGCGTGTTGGGAGATAAGCCGGCGAAATCGACGCAAGAGCAATACGATTACGAGCCGATGAAATCAAACAGATGGAAGAAAGTTGAGCCGGTCGTGAAATCTTACATCGGGAACACGTTGCATTTACTCGGACAGTTGACGGATGCGTCGATGACGTCTTTGGTTTTGAGACGGCTGGCTGCGTCCGTGGCGTTTTTGAAACCGTTCGAGCGGTTGACAAAACGCGTGACCAGAACGACGTTGATGTGTTTTTCGAGCGGAGAGCCAAGATTGAGGGTAAGTGCTATAGTTTTACTGAGAGCGATTGCGGCGACGTGTCCAGGACCGGCTTTAGAGAGAGCGGTGAAAGGGGTGTACCGAGCGTACGCGAGCAACGCAAAGTTTATGAATGCGAATTCGGCGGAGAATATCGCGTTTATGAGCGCGTGCGTGGTGGAAATGTTTGGCATCGATCAAAATCAATCCTACGGGTTAGCGTTTGCGTACATTAGACAACTCGCGACGTTGTTGAGAAATGCTTTGGCTCAAAAAACAAAAGATGCGTTCAAATCGGTGTATTGTTGGCAATACATAAACTGTTTGGAATGTTTTGAGCGGATATTAACCGCGCACGCTTCGAATAGAGAGTATAGCAGCAAAGGTTCCGGCGAGCAAACAACAAAAGACGGATCTACTTCGGTTTTACGACCGTTGGCGTATCCGGTGCAACAAATTGCGCTCGGTGCGGCGAGAGTATTGCCTTCGGCGCGATACGCACCGCTTCGCATTCGTCTTTTGAAAATTCTCAATAGGCTTTCGAGGTCGATGGAGACGTTTGCACCAGTTGCACCACTCGCCCTGGAACTTTTGAACTTTTCCGAGTTGTACAAAGCGCCAATGTCAACGAAAGCGCCCAGTCCAGATTTTACGCTCGCTTTGAGAGTTTCTAAAACCGAGTTGCGCTCTCCGGCTGTTCAAGACGTCGTCGTCGAATCCGCGTTTGAGGAGCTCGGCGAACACCTCGAGCAACATGCGTATTCAGTCGCGTTTCCAGAGATTTCTCACGCAGTGACGAGAGAGTTGAAACGATTCAATAAGAAAACAACCGTTGGTAGATTTAAAAAACAGGCGAAGCAAATGTTGGATGCGATTGAACGCAACGCGGATTACATCGAGAGGAAAAGAGATGACGAGGCGGATTTTGCGCCGAAAGACATCGAGAAAGCGAAGATTTTCTTACACGGAGAGAAAATGGAAGGAAAAGCACCGTTGACGAGGTACGTGAAACAGTTGAGAGATAGGGGGAAGGAAAGGCGCGCGGCAATGCAAGCCATGGATGTGTCTATTCGCTCGAACAAGTCTCACGGCGATGAGTCATCCTCTTCTGATGATGACGACGACGACGGGGATGACGAGGATGATGATCACAGAAGAGGCGACGACGAGGAGGACGAAGATGATGACTTCTTGAACGGAGATAACGACGGTGGCGACGACGACGACGACGACGAGATCATAGACGGAGACGAAGCGTTTGAAGAAATGAAGAAACGCAAGCGTAAGTCAGGTGTCGACGAAGAAGACTTGTACCTCGGTAAGGAAGATTTAGTCAAGGAATTGGAGCTCTCGTCAGACGAAGAGAACGACGACGAAGACGTCAAACCAGTGCCGACGAAAAAAGCGCGGAAGAAGGGCGGTAAGAAGTAATTAGTACTGGTTGAAAGTGTTTGTTTTTTATGAATACATTATTACAAAATGGTTCTCTAAAGTTATCAAAATAAATGTTCCTCAGTACTACGGGAAAAGTTATATAAATAGCTAGTTGTACAAAGAAGTATGTTCTCCTTCACAAACACGCAGTAAAATGGTAAATGTTATGCGCAAGATTAACTGCTGTTGTTTGTGCTTTTCTTGACTTCGTTCGTTTTCCTTTTCGGCGTCGCTTTCGCGTCCACCGCCTCTCCTCCGGTCAAATTCATCAAAAGGCTCGCGTACTGCGCAGCTTGGGCCGACTTACCGCCTTGTTGTTGTTGTTGTTGTTGTTGAAGTAGTAACAATTGTTGTTGTTGCTGCTGCTGCTGTTGAAGTTGTTGAAGTTGTTGCTGTTGTTGCTGCATGAAAGGCGCTCCGCCCAAGTCATTCATCCATCGCGCAACCGCCGCTTGCTGTGCTTGCTGCATGGCAAGAATAGTAGCTTCGGGCGCAGATGTAGCTTGCGCGTTGACGTTGTTTCCCATGGAATCAACACCGGTTCCCCCCGAACCGCCTGAATTTCCACTTCCGGTGGCTTTCTTCCCGCCGCTGATGTTATCGTTGTTCTCGGTCTCGCTCTGCGGTTTCTCACTCGTTGTCGAGGAAGACATGGTTTGCAATATCGCGTTCGCTTCCATGGTAGCCTGAGATGTTACAATAGGCAGTTGCGCTTGCACGAGCGTATTGACGTCCGCTTGCACCATACCATGCTCAACTGACGACATTGCAATAGTTGAAATTGCCGTACCAATTCTCCATCCGGTGATTTTGGCCAACGTGACGACGCGTTCGGAAATATCCGCACCCGGGGAATCGCCGTGAATCATCTTTGCATTTCTCGCGATTTCTTCGCCAACTCTGGCAGCAGCGAATCCAACAAGAGATGCGGCCAAATTGACGTCGTATCCAGCGACGGAAGATAGCAACTGCGCAACCTGGGCGTCTGCGTTGGAAGCGCTGTGCATACCCGCGAGTACCGCCGCGTCCGCGTTGGCTCCCGGCTGACTCCCCACCGAGCCAAATCCACCACCTGCGGCGTTTCGAGCAGCGGTGGCGATTTGCGCGGCCGAAACGCCCGGAAAGTTGAAAGGAAGCTGATTGCTGCCGTTACTCGCCGTCGACGGAACACCAACCATCGAGTTGGGAAGCAAAACTTGCTGTCGAGCGACTGCAGCTGCCGCTGCAATATTCGGCGGTTGTCGCAGGAATGCTGGTCCAGCGCCTCCAAGCGCGTTGCCTGCTGCGCTCGCAAGTCCGGCTAAACCAGCGGCAGCATTCATGGCGGGTGTCTCGGTGTTGTTTCTGCCATCCGCTCCATCCCCATCACCACCGCCATAACCACTCGCATGGTGTACATTCGGAGCACCACGATCTTTGCGTCGACCAGAGCCCTTTGGAAGGTTGCGTTGCGTGCCGCCTTCTGTCCAATATCTCTGACACGCGCGACAATAATGTCGAGGTTGTGATAACAGACCGTTGTTGTAGTAGCAGAAACGAGTTTCGTTTGAGTTACATCTCGCGCAGGGGCGATGGTTGTTCACATCTTCGCGACCAGCAATGTTCTGTTCTCTTTCGAGCTCTTTTTGCGTCTTTTGTGGTTGCATTTGTTGCTGTTGCTGTTGCGCGTCTCGCTGCTCAATAATATCCGTCGCCGGCGTCATCGGCATGTCCCCGTTTTCATCCGGCGAGTTGCGATCTGCCTCGTCCTCGACATCTTCATCCTTCGCAATTTTTACCTTGACTTGCCCACCGCGATCTTTGTCACCTTCTTTCGGCATTTGAATGTTCAAAGTCGTCTCGGCCCCAGATCCGCCGCTACCATCGTTTCCAGACCCTCCGGAACCTTCACGACTACCCCCAGAATTTGCTTGCGGCGACATCCCTCTAGGGTTCGGTTCTTCCGAATTCTTCCCAGAACCACCGGCAGAACCTTGATGCTCGCCAGAATCTGTGTCTTTCTCGTTGCCAGTGTCGTTTCCTTCGTCATCGTCATCCGTGTTGTTCATATCTCTCGCTCCGCGACGCGACGGCGAGTGCCTCGTTTGGCTTTGGTTCCTCTTTGAGCGCTCAGATCTTCGTTCGGATCGATTCTTATCGTAAACATTCTCCAGCACGGTCGTTTCTTTCTTATTCGTCGCGTCTTCATTCGATATGCCGTCGGTATTTTCGTTGCCGGCGGCGGCGTTATCGCCTTCGTTGAAGTGTGCCCTTTTCGACTGATTGCCTCCTCCCACGTTGCGTTCGTTACTGCCGTACTTTTCCAAATCGTGTTCAGGCGCCGCCGACGTGGTTTCTCCCGAATGCGTCGGTCGAACTTTGTTACCGCCCAAACCCGGACTCGCTGCGCGTTTGTGCTTGTTGTTCTCGTCGTCGTTCTCTTCTTCCTCTTTCTTCAACTTGTCGATTTGATCCTGTTTCTTTTCTTTTCCAGCCTTCGCGGACATCTTGCCGCCCAATCCTTTCGATTGCGTCTGTCCTTTCTCATCGCTCGACGTTCCGTTATCAACTTCGTTGCTCCCTTTATTTCGAGTGTCGGTACCTTCGTTTGAACCACCTCGGCCTCCGCTACCTCCACCATCTGTGATTGGATCCGATCCTCCGGAACCTCCGTCGCTATTCCCTCTCTGTACCTTCGCCGGTGCCGCCAGCGTTGCTAAATTCTTCGTGCTATTATTATTATTATTATTATTGTTATTATTATTGATCTTTCTCGTTTTTTGGTCCAATCCTGAAGGCAAACTTGAGGCAAACATAATCGCAGCCGTCTCCATCGCGTCTCGAATCTTTGTCAAAGTCGCCGGTTTCTCGATGTACCCGTCAAACATGACCGAGTGCCCGGCTTCGCCGGTCGACTCGCACAAACTCAAAAGCTCCCCATGTTTCAACGCCGTCACCGCAATAACTTTAATCGGCTCTTCCTCCTCGTGCCCAGGCTCTAAGTGTTCTCTTCGGAACTTCTCGTGCTTTCGGATCTCGGCTAACGTTTCGACCCCGTTTTCTTGCGGCATCATGATGTCCAACAAAATGCACTGCACCTCGCCTTGTTTCTCGTCAATGTATTGAATCGCTTCTTTCCCGCTCGTCGCCACCGGCGAGTCTTTAAACCCGAGCTGCTCTAACTGGTTCGTCGTTATCTGTGTTTTACAAAAGAAATCGAGGAGAAAAATGTCAGAAAAAATTTCGTTTGTTATCCCCTATCCTCGAGCGCGCGAGCAAAGAGAGAGAAAAGTACACGTGGCAGGGAAAGGCACTTTTATCCAAAACAAAAGTTTCCGCGCGCGTTCACACGGGCGAAACGAAAACGTACCCTTCTGCACAAACCAATATCGTCCACCACTAAGATCTTCTTCGACGCGTTGTTCATTTGGTTTTGATTCATCTGTTCCTCGTCGTTTAATCGTTTTTGTTGCTGCTTGTTTTTCGCCACCGTGGAGGCTCTCTTCCCTGACGCGGAGCGTCCGGAAAGCTCGTCCAAGGAGGGGAAACGGCCTTGCTCTCGAAGTTTTTGTAACGCCGCGGTGACCTGATTTTGTGAGAGGAAAGAAGAATAAAGTCAGTTTCGCATAATACTATAAACACATAACACGATTTCGTCGAGTGCGTGCACATGCGTGGTTCGCATCGTCGCTCTGATGCGCGCGCGCGTTAAGAAAAACTGAATTCCAAACGAACGATTTTCGACCACGAAAGAGCCTTTTAGACGCACTTTTTCTCGGGTAAAGAATCCGCTGTGATTTATGTCCACGATGCTTTCGAGCGGTTTCATTTCCGCGATTTCCCCGGCACCAATCGCTAACAACAGTTTTCCTAAATCCGAAGTTCTCACTTTACTCGGCGACCCTTCCACGGAGAGCAAGCTGAACGCGCCGGACAACTCGGATTCAAATTCTTGCTCCGTCGAATTTTCCTCCCGTTGTTGTCCTTTTTCCGCCTGTTCGCCTCTTTTCGAAGGCATCGTCGTCGTTTTTTTCTGAGCCGTCGCGCTCCGTCGTCGACTCGGCGCCATGTCTTCCGAACGAGAAAAAAGTCGTTTAGCGCTATCTAAACGTTCGTTGTGTGTTTCCTCGCGTGTTTCTGTGAGTGTTTTATTTCTTTACGCGTGCGCGAGTGGTGGTTTGTAGTGCGCGCGCGCCGTTCTTCTTATCTCAAATTCTGACGAGTATAGAGACGCTTTTTGCCTTTTTCTGCGCTCTGCGCTTTTTTAACCTATCGATCTCTTGTGTTTTTGACCTACCCCTCTGTTTTGCGGTGGAAAACGAGAGCGTCCTGCGGTCGAAAAGCGCTCAAAAAACTCGAAGCTCTCGAAAACGCTCGAAAAGGAGTTCCTTTTTTTTCTTTTTTTGTCCCTCGATTGTTCGCTTCGTGATGTGACGGCGGCTGTGTTTGTCGTCCTCGCGTTTTCCTTTCTCCGAAAGCGCTCTCTCTCGGCTCTCGTTAAATTTTTCCTCTCTCTCGAAGGAGTCGAGGAGGACTTGCCCCACACAGAACCACCGCCATTACAGAAGAGGTGTTTGTTCTCTCTGTGACAACAACACAACACATTTATTACACACACATCGCGCAAAGAGAGAGAGAGAGAGAAAGAAGGAAAAAAAGAAGGTTTTGTCATGGGAGCAGCTTCAAACGCAGGGGCGGAGACGCCTTCAAACAACCCTTCGTTGCGAGCGAACGAAGACGCGATGCGACAGATCATGCATCTCGTGTTCTCTGAAATCAAACCGTTCGTAACGCAGCACGAACCGGACGTCCCGGAGGATGATTTACCGGAACTCTCCAGAACGAGAGATTTATCGAAAGCTGATTTTACCGTGCAGTGGAGTCGATTTTGCGCGAAAAGGAAGTTGAATCCCGCGGAGTACGTGAAGAATCTCTCGGAAACTATTCAAAAACAAATCGAAGACGGCGCGCACCAGGACGGGTTCATCAAGTCCGTCCAAGGCGTCGGGCCGTACATGAACATTTTCGTGAAGAGGCAAAAAGTTTTTAAACTGGCGATTAACGCCATCATCGAGCAAGGCACGAAGTACGGGTGCACGAACGCCGGGCAAGGGAAGAAAGTTATCATCGAACACACGTCGAGCAACCCGAACGCGCCGTTGCACATCGGGAACTTGAGAAACGTGATGATAGGCGCGCACTTGGCGAGAGTGATGCAAGCGTGCGGGTGTGAAGTCACGCAAGCGTTTTACGTGAACGATTTAGGAGCGCAGATTGGGTTAACGGCGTTGGCGTATTCGAGAATTTATACCAAGATAAAGCCGACGATGAAAATCGACCAGTGGATTGGCGCTATGTACGCGGTGATGAACACGTGCCAAGAGTTGCAACAGGTTGGCGTGCAACCGGGAGATTTAGAGGTACGCTTATTATTTTCTCTCCTCGTTTCTTTCGTTTCTTTCTCGTCGGTTTTACCGTCCCGTGACCAATCAAACAAAGAATAAAGCAGATGATTATTGATTAAAAATTACTTTTTAACTCTCTTTCTGATTACGATGAGGAAACAATCAAAATCACCTCTGACAATATGATGCTTTGTTCTTGCGTTGGACGTGTCAACGAACCCTTTATTCTCTCTCTCTCTCTCTTTGGGCTCTCGCCAACAATATTTCGCGCGTGCGTTGTGCATTCATCACAATCGAGACTGACACATATCCTCTTCCCTCTCTCCTTTTTCCGAAATCCATCGTAAAGGACGCGTGCAAAGCCGGCGAAGACGCCGTGAAAGCGTTGTTAGAGAAAGCCCTAGCCGAAGCCGGAAACGACGAAAAGAAAATAAAAAGTATCAACGAATACTTCGACATCTACCAAGATTTGCGAGGAAGATTTCAAGACATGATGGATATCATGATTCAAGACGTTCGCGAAATTTCAGATATTAAAACCGAAGCTGGTAAACTCAACTTGGCGTACGAACGCCAAGAACCGTGGGCGATCAAAATCTTTCGCAAGATGGTCATCGATTGCTTAACCGGCGTTCAAGAAACTTTGTCCAACTACGGCGTGAAGCACGACCGTTTCGATTTCGAATCCGAGCTCGGATGGGAAGGCTCGAACGATAAAGTTTTGGAGATTATGAAAAACTCTGATTACTTTGTCCCGCAAACGGAGTGCAACGACAAAGGCGTCCCGCAGGGCGCGTATTTAGATATGGACGCGTTTATTCGCGACCAAAAGTTCAAAATCGGCAAAGGCGGCTATCAAAAAGACTACCCGCCGTTATACGTCTTGCGCCCGGATGGTTCTACTTTATACACCTACCGCGACATCGTCTACTCGTTCAAGAAAGCCTCCATGTCGGATTTAATCTTGAACATCATCTGCTCCGAGCAAGATTTGGCGCAACAAAAAGTAGCGCTCGGGATGTGCATGATGAATCCAGCCATGAAAGGCCGGCAGTACCACCTCTCTTACGATTTGGTCAAACTCACCACCGGCAAAATGTCCGGTCGTCGCGGTCGATACTTGTTAGCCGACGACCTCTATCAAGACTTGAAAGACATCATCAAAGAGAAAATGGCCAAGAAATCCGAAGATAAGGGCGAAAAAGTCGACGAAAAAGCGTTCGAGAGCGTCACTCACGAAGTCTCCGCCGCGGCTATGAAATACGCACTCCTTTCGTGCGCCTGTCAAACGCAAATCAACTTTGACATTGCGAAAATCACCGATTTCGAGGATGCCTCGGCGCCGTTCATCCTCTACAACTCCACTCGTTTACGATCAGTCATAGCCAAATACGAATCGAGAGTCGCCACTGGCGAGCTTCCGCCACTCGCGGATATCAAAGAAATGGAATTTGACGAGTTAGTCGACGATAAAGAGTGGGCCTTGCTAATGGAATACGTCTTACCGTTCTCCCAAATGCTGTGCGACGCCGCGTTGCCGAAACTCCCGGAACCTCCCGCTTTACCTTCCTACGGTACCCACAAAGTCTGCGAATTCCTCAACGCCATGGTCCGTGCGGTGTCTGGATATTACGGCCCAGCCGGCGTTCGCATCCTCCCGATGACGAACCACGTCAAAGAAGGCGAACACATGTGGAACAAAAACGCCATGTGGCAACGCGTCCACTATTTGACGGCGTTGCGACAAGTCCTCGACAACGGTTTGCGTTTGTTAATGATCGAGCCGTTGGAGAAGATGTAATAACGATTATTTTATGAAGGACGACGAGGGAGAGAGAGCGAAAGAGAGAAGAGCGCGCGTTGATAAAGTATTGACTCTCTGATTTAAGTATATAAAAGTAAACCTTCTTAAAATCCTATCGCGAGACTATTGAAGAGCTCTTCCTTTCTTTCGAGATCCAACACTATAACACTCGTAACAAAACCACGACACACTTCATAATAATCTTCCGACACCGCAGATTGCACTGTCGTCTAAATTATTTACTCGCGCGCAGTTACTCCTTTACAACGACGAACGAATAAATCATCCACATCATGCCTCCCGTTGTTTCCCCGCGATTAAAATCCTCCCTCGTTCCCGTGCCGACGTCCACGGAGACGAACTTTGAGCCGAACGATTACAAGAAAGGATCGATCGACTACGACGACCTCGCGAATGACCCGAAGCGTAAAGTCGCGTTCATCACCGGCGTGACCGGCCAAGACGGATCGTACCTGGTCGAGTTGTTGTTGGAGAAAGGGTACATCGTCCACGGCATTAAGAGACGATCGAGCGCGTACAATCATCCGCGTTTAGAACACATCTTACAACCCGATTATCCGAACGGAGACAAATTTTTCCTGCACTACGGGGACATGTCGGATTTACACGCGTTGGTCGGGATCGTGAGAGATATTAAACCGACGGAGGTGTATAACTTGGCCGCGCAATCGCACGTGCAAGTTTCGTTTCAAATGCCGATGTTCACCGCGGAGGTTGATGGGGTTGGTGTGTTGAACGTCATGGAGGCTATTCGATTGACCGGGCAAACGACGACGTGCAAGTTTTACCAAGCGTCGACGTCCGAGTTGTACGGTAAAGTGCAAGAGATTCCGCAGTCCGAAACGACGCCGTTTTACCCGCGATCGCCGTACGCGGTCGCGAAATTGATGGGGTATTGGGCCGTTGTAAACTACAGAGAGTCGTACGATATGTTCGCGTGCAACGGGATTTTGTTCAACCACGAATCGCCGAGAAGAGGGGAAACTTTCGTCACCAGAAAAATTACTTTGGCCGTGGCGAACATCAAGGCGGGAAACCAAAAATGCTTGTATTTGGGTAACTTGGACGCGCAAAGAGATTGGGGACACGCGAGAGATTACGTCGAGTGCATGTGGAAAATATTACAACAAGACGTACCGGAAGATTACGTGGTCGCGACTGGCGAGATGACCACCGTTCGCGAGTTTGCCTCCAGAGCGTTCAAGCACGCCGGCATGGAGCTCGAATTCAAAGGCGAAGGCGTGGAAGAACACGGCGTGGAAAAGGCGACCGGTAAAACGTTATTGAGAGTGCACCCGAGATATTTCCGTCCCGCGGAAGTCGAGCAACTTTTGGGCAACCCGGCGAAGGCGTTGGAACAGTTAAAGTGGAACCCGAGGCAGACGAGTTTACAAATGTTGGTCGAGGAGATGGTGGACGCCGATATCGCCAGAGTCGAAAACCCGAACATTCATTACTAATGATACGTTTATTATTGCTATTACTAGCACGAGTACTTTAAGAGAGAGAGAGAGATTAAGAGATGTTGTTACTATTACTATTTTTTACTTACAAACATACAAAGAGCTATTCAACTAGAGACACCGAAAAGCGCTCTCGTTTCTTCCTTCTCACAACAAATTGCATCTCAAATCAGAAATGAGAATTCACTTCGTCATCTCCCCACAAATAAATTCGCTTTACAACCAAACATGCAAATCTTTGTCAAAACGGTAAGTATTACGTGTCGTCCTTATAGCCGATGTTGTATCGTGTTTTCGCATCGTTTGATACCGTCTGCGTGCGTGTATGCGCTCCGATCGCGTCTTCAACGGTCGCGACGACGCGCGGGGGTTTTTGAGTGCGCGAAAAATCGCTCCGTGTCGTTCGCTTAATTTCTTGCCGAAGGGGCGCAAACCCTCCGGGGGTGCAAATCTCTTCGAAAAAGACGATCCAGGAGATTGATGCGAGCGTGCGAGGGTGGATAAAGCGCGTTTCTTTTTTGATGTGCGCGTGGATGAGACGGATGGAACGGTCGTTCGGCGCGTTTACGTCGTTTTGGTCTCGCCACATCGGCGCGCGCGCATTCCTCGATTTCGGCCGTTTTTCCTCCTCTCCCTTATTTTGGACCTTTTACTCACCCCACGCGTTCCTTTTCTCCTTTTATGTATAACAGCTCACGGGCAAGACGATCACCCTCGAAGTCGAGTCTTCGGACACTATCGACAACGTCAAGGCGAAAATCCAAGACAAAGAGGGCATCCCGCCGGATCAGCAGCGATTGATCTTCGCCGGAAAACAATTAGAAGATGGCCGAACTTTAGCCGACTATAACATTCAAAAAGAATCCACCTTGCACTTGGTCTTGCGTTTGCGCGGCGGCATCATCGAGCCGTCCTTGATCGTCTTGGCGAGAAAATCCAACCAAGACAAGAAAATTTGCCGCAAATGTTACGCTCGATTACACCCGAGAGCGGTCAACTGCAGAAAGAAAAAGTGCGGGCACACGAACCAGTTGCGCATCAAGAAGAAGTTGAAGTAAACTCTCTCGAGAGAGAAAAAACGCGCTTTTTGTATTAGATTATGGAGAGGGGAGAGTTTGTGTAATTAGTTTTTAAACCTTAATAGCAAAGTTAAACGGAGAGAGAGAGAGAGAGACGAGCGTGTGGTCAGAGTCAGAGGAATGAGAGAGTGAAAAGAGAGCGAATAGAGTATTCCACGCATTTTAATGTCCAATAAGGCACTTTCCCTTCATATTCAAAATCAACAGTTTTTCTCCGCACACAACACACAAAAGAAGAAGTCGAAGGAAAAGAACTTCCATCGCGGCTTTTGCGCGCACAAAAAGAGAGAGAAAGGGCCTCGAGGGTTCGGGAGCTTTGGGAGCGTCGTCTCTCTCTCTCGTTGTTTTTTGCGTCGTCCTTTCGCGCGAGAACAAACACCAAATCATCACCAGAGAGAAACGAGAAGATCATGGTTGAGGTTATCGAAATTCTCGATTCGGACGAGGAAGGCGACGAACGCGTTCGAATCGTGCAGCAAAATTTTGAAACGCGTTTACGGCCGATACGAGAGGAGGAAGGGAACGACAACACTAACAGTAACAACAACAACAGAGACGAGGACGTGGTGATCACGGGTGCGCGATGATTCCTCTCGGTTTTTCCTCCTCTTCTTCCGTTTTTTTTGGGTGAACTGTCCGAGAGTCTCGTCAAAAGGGTGCCTATATTTGAACGCAAAAAAGACGCGTCGAAAGATATAGAGTATTCCTTCGTCGTCAGACTCTTTCTTTCTCGTTGTCGTCGTTTTTGTCTTTGAATAATGATAACGCTTGCAATACTCATCGAGACTAGTGCGCGCGCTGACCGAGAATGTTTCTTTCTCTCTCTCTCTTTTCCTCCTGCGCTGCGCGCGGAAAATAAAAACAGGCGTCGGCGGTCAAGAAATACTCCGAGATATCGCACACCCGCGCCACGAGTGCGCGACGCACAAGTTCGATAAAAATGTGGTGCATTTGCAGATGAAGTACTGCGCGAACTGTTGGTGTTACGTGTGCGATTTGAAAGCGCCGTGTACGCATTGGGCGCAGCATTGCGGCGCTTATCCGTGCTATAAATGGGACGAAGCGAGACGAAGAAAGTTGGCCGGATTGCCGCAGGCACCTGGGAATGTCCCGCCGCCGGAGCCGCGGGGGTTTGGTTTTGGGGGGGCAGGCTTTGATGATGGCGCGAGGAGGTTAGTAGTCCATGGGGTTCATGTGAATCATCTTGCTCAGATCAACGCGTTTGCGTCAAATAGAGATATGGACGAACTGAGAGTTTTGTGCCCCGAGGGACATCACGACTTGTATAGAATCAGGAATAAATGCGAGCAACTGTTCCTTCTACTCCAATACGATGGACTCGGAAAGAATCGATATGCTGTCATTACTCGGAAATCGTATGAATTATCGCACGATGGACGTTTTCTCAGTGGATCACAAAATGGACAAACTCGTAATGCAACATCGGAACAAGTTCTGCGGAGACTGAAGGAGAAGGACAATGGCAATTGGGTTTACTTCCCGACGAGTCCTCAATTCCAAGCGGCGTGGAAAGGCGCCTTGGGAGGGGGGAATCTCGGCGTCAGTTGGTGGGGAATTGGATATTACAAGCTGAACGCACCGGAGCAGATTTACAGTGGACACTTTCAAAAGTACGACGATATCCCGGAAGATCGCTTCCCGAGAAGCGCAGACGACTTCGATGACTATCAAAAAGTCTTTGCACAAGTTCAGGCTTTGGTGGGAGGTGCGCCGCAGCAAGTTGCGAATAGGGACAAACCTACGACGTTAATTCAGCACATCGCGCGAGTAAAAATCACTGAAGCATCTGATTACAACGACAAGACCAAAGTATACGAAGTACTCGCCGCCCGCGCGTGTATGCGACTTGTTCACAAAAACGAATCTGCGTACAAGAATCGCATCGGCGAAGAGCCAGACGGCTTAATATCGTACGTGTATCCTCCGGTGAAAGTACAATTACCTGATCCAGCCGGAATCGCAGAAGCCTTTAAAATTGGCACCGTCTCGATCCCAGTTCGCGCATCCAAAGCGCGCGGAGAGGAGTTTACGGAGGAACGCATCGCGGAGGAATTGGCTAAAGCACCGCACGGTCATCGATTCATTGATAAAGAACGGTGTGAAAATCACCAAAGGTTCGGAACAGATGTAGACTTGACCAATTTGTTTAATTACAAACCAGACGCCGTCTATTTGACATCGCGAAGCGCTAGTGCGAACAGGCATCACTTCAAGCCGTTTTTGGAGGCGATGCCTATTTTCTTGGAGGGAGACCCAAAGCCGCGATCGAAAGTTCCTATGCGCATCTTATTTGTCGATGCCAGAAACGCGAAGGCGGAGTGGACGATATGTGACGTGAAAAATAGCGATAAAGTGACGAACGTTATCGAGGATTTAGAAGAACGATACGAGCTGAACGAGAACGAACAGATCGTTTTAGCAACCGTGAAGTATAGGCCGGAGATTGTCACCCAAGTGCCGTTCGATAGATATTATATGAATAACCCTCACCATCAAGCCGGAGCCATTTCGGATGTTACGGGAATTCACAACACGGAGGTAGAAAGAGAAAGACGCGCGTCTACGCTGCCAAACTATTATCGTCCATTTTCGAGAACAGGAAACGATCGCAAGGACAATGTGGAAAAAATTCTGGTGGCTTACAAGACGAAGAGGGCTGAAAGTTTCTGCATCGTGCACCCGATGTTGAAGAAAACGTTCAAGCAGCGAATATTGCCGTGGCAGGAACACATGAACAGTAAAAGCGAAATCATCGACGAGGACGATTTGAAGAAGGTTAAAGAATTGGAAAACGGCGATTATTTACAACCGTGTTCGATTCCGATCATCATCGACGCGGAAGGCGCTGCGACGCAAAACAACAACAAAAAACAGTTTTTACGAAAAGTTCGCGCGGGCGAAAAGTATGGTGACCCGAAAAATATAAACGAATACATTCGCACTTGTGCCAGGCACATACATGATTGGGACGAAATTGAGTTTCCATCGAGTTTTACGAGTGAACAACGAAAAAACGTTCACGTGAGCGTTCAGCGTCTGAGCGTTCAGCGCAATTCAGTTCTCATCTCCACGATGTCGCGCACGATTGGGAACGAAAGAATGGTTTACTTAGTGAAAGGAAAGGACGCGAATGTGTCCAAATTCGGCGGTATTGACGTAAGTACTTTGCTCAGACAAAACACAGAACCTTTGTTGAAAGCTTGCGTGAAGAAATACGTTTCGGAAGAATCATCGCGCAAACGGGACAGAGATGGCGTCAAAGTAAAGAAAGAAGAAGTCGTTACGATTTCTCACTTTTTGCACGATAAAGTTCCTCACCTCGGCGACAAGAATAATTATAAATCGTTGAAAGATGGTTTAGATAAAGCGCTAACAAATAAAAAGCAACCTCTTCATCCCTTAAGCACGCCACGAGATGTTCAACGGAGAGTGGAATTTCCAGAAATTTTCGTCACGAACGTCACGGCGATTATCGAGATCGATGACGAAAGTGTTGGAATATTAGCTGGCGTGAAGCGTGGTTTGCTCCCGGGCTGTGCGGATTCAACCGCAGAGGCTATCGAGGATTTGAAGCATACGGAAGATATCATTGACATGCAAATTTGCGAGTGTCAAGCTGTTGAGCGCTCTCAGCGAATGTGCGCTGAGATCTTCACCGCCTCGACGACATATTTTGGCAGAAAGGGTGGATACAATGCAGTCGGAGTAGAAAAGAGATTGGAAGGTTTCCGAACGTGTAAAAAGGAACCGGTTTTTTGCAACCAACCGGAAATCCGAGTCGCGGCGAAAATGCGAAAGCAAATGCACAACAAGGGGCGCGAAATTTGGTATCTCGACGTCGATATCTACGCACGAAGGCCTGGAACTCTTGCTGACCCCAAACCGTACGCACACAATTTTTTCCAAGATTTAGCGTACACTCCACCCCCGGGATGGAGAATGCGCCTCAATGTTCCAGTTCAAGCGTTAGGTTTGGTTGCGAAAGTGAACGAAGTGCGAGACATGCTTGCGCCGCCTTCACTTTACAACAATTTCAGAAAATCGGGTGACCACGAAAGTTATGTCGTGAGAAGATTGAGAGTTACACTACCGCAATTATCGAAAAACGCTTCGTTAAAAAGAGAAGCGAGCGAAGTAGAAAATTGCTTCAAAGTCGGACACGGCGCAGCAGGAGCGGTTGGGCTAATGAAAGCGTTGGAGATGCAAGAATATCCATCGGTCGAACAACCTACGGGGTTGACGGTGACGATGCACGACTACCAGAGGCAAACGTTAAATCGAATGCTTGAGTTAGAGAGAATACCGGGTGGATTTCGCGATTTGGTGTGGTACGACGTGAGTGATGTGATGAAAAATGCGTCGTTGGACGCTACGGAGGAGAGATGGATGTATTCTCCCGGTTTTGATCAAATCGCGAAGATTGGGTGTATTCCCAAGACACCGAGAGGTGGCTTTCTATGCGAAGAGATGGGATTAGGAAAAACTATCGAAGTTCTCGCGTTGATTTTGGCACAAAAACCTCCACAAGGATGGATTGAACACGGTGAAACGCTCGGTAAAGCTGGCGCGGTTGCAGACTGCTCGAACATGTCGAATGGAACGAACGTGAAGAAGCCTTATCGTTCGGGCGCGACGCTCGTTATTTGCGCCGTTTCGCTCGTCGGTCAATGGATCGACGAGGCAAAATCAAAGCTCGACGAAGATTCAGGTTTGCGTATTCTCATGTATCATGGACAACAACGCACGAAGAACCCGAAAAAAATAGCGGAAGATTACGACTTGGTTGTTACGACGTACCAAACGCTCGCAGCCGACCGCTCCAGAACGAATCCTCTCGGTCAGATTGAGTTTTATCGCTTGGTCTGCGACGAGTCGCACATGACGAAATCTTACAACACCGGGCAGTCCAAAGCGGCTTCGGAAATATGCGCAGTTAGACGTTGGGCGTGTACTGGTACCCCAATAGCTACGAATAGCGTGGATCTTTTTGGGCAATTGGCGATGCTTGGCGTTTCGCCATGGGGAACCGATCTCAAACGATTTCGGGACGACTTTAACAACATCATCTGTACGAACGCGGGTCCGCGTCGCTATGGGCGCAATGACATGACAGAGAAGTCTTCAAGAGAAATCAAGAACGTGTTGACGGTGATGAAACCAATGACGATTCGTCACACGAAGACGCAAAAACTCGGAAGAAACGCGACCAAGGACTTGCTCTCGTTGCCGCCAAAGACGGTTATCCACGTGCCCGTAACTCTTTTACCAGAGGAGCAGCATCTGTACGACGAATTGCACGCGGACACGAAAGCAACGTGGGAGACGAAGTACAAGGCGAAAGGACACGCTCACGTTGCAAAGCGTACGTTTGGTATCATGTCCTTGTTGCTTCCCACGAGAAGATTGTGCTCCGGCGGCCGCTTGACAACGGCGGATTTGACCATCAAAGAAGACGAAGGCGCTGCCGCTGCTGAAGCGAACGGCGACGCCGAAGGCGAAGGCGATAACTTCGAGCAGCGAGGAGTTAAACGCGTCAAGAAAGAAGAAGAAGAAGAAGAAGCGGCTCCGATGGTCCCTAATAACGGTAACGAGGTGGAATCCATCGAAGCAGAATCGAAACTTCGCGTGCTCGTGGCCGAGCTCAAAAAAATGCGCAAAGACGACCCGACGAACAAAGCTTTGATCTTCACGCAATTCGCGCAAACCATCGAATGGTTACAAAAGCGATTACCGGATGAAGGATTTGGTTTCCGAACCATCAGTGGTTCGATGTCCGCGAAGAATCGCGATAAATCCATCCAGGCGTTTCAAAAAGACCCGCCGACGACTGTCTTCATTTTGTCCGTTCGTTCCGGAGCCGTTGGGATCAACTTGACGGCCGCTTCGCACGTGTTTATGATCGAACCGTGCATGAACCCGGCGCTTGAAAATCAAGCGATTGGCCGAGCGTGGAGAATGGGTCAAACGAGACCGGTGACGGTAAAAATCTTAACCGTCCAAGATTCCATCGAGACAAACATCGTCAAGTTGGTCCAACAACGCACGACTGGTACAGTTGCCGAGAAAAACGACGGCGAGAACGATGGACGACCGGAGATAATCGATATAGAGGAAGAAGAGGAGAACATGCGTCGCGCACAAATGAACAAAGGTGAACTCGCCGGCGCGATTCGCGCGGATAAGCAAAAGTTGAAGTTGGAGGAATTTGATCTTCTCTTTTCGCGAGGCAATTTGCTTCCAGAGCTTCCACCCGAGGATGAAGTTCCACACGCGAAACCCGCTCCAGCGGTGGTGGTTAAAGATGAACCGATGGAAGACGCGGGGCCTCGAATTGTTGGAGGAATGGGGTTCACGCGCAACGATGGTAATAATAACGACAACGACGACAACAATCTCGAAAACATCGGGAAAGATTCTCAAGAGAAGAAGGACATCGGGTCGGAGGAGAATAGGCAACCTCTGGCGAAAGTGCAAAAGAGAGCGTCGCTTTCCGAAACCGTGCAAAACGCGGTGGGAAGCATGTTGGAGAAGTTTATGTAAAAAGATAAAGAGAACAAAGAGGAGGAAGAAGACGTAGAAACAAGGGGAGTCCGAGTGAGTGGATGAGGCGTTGAGAAACGCACATTTCTCACCATGAGTTTTGGACTTGGAACTAGTACACGCATACATCGATCGAGAAATTCACATACACATACACAAAAGAAATACGGAAAGAGCCGAGAGATTGTAACAGGAGCAGAAAATTCGAGCACATAGGCGACGATATACATTTGTAATAATAATTCATTCGAAAGTACTAACGGCTTGGCGCGGCGGAAAATAAACACAACCATTTGCGAAAACAAAACACGCGACGACTAAAAATAAAATTGTCTTCTCTCGCTATTTAAAACACCGTGACGTCCGCCGCCAACAACACGTGATCGCTCGGTTCATTCTCGCTCGGGTACGGCCCGTCCGTCACCTCGTCTCTATGTTTCAGTGGCGCCACCGCGTCCACGCGAATGTTTTCCGTCACGAAAATATAATCTAAAGTATCGATGAACGGCTCGTCGTCTTTAATCTTGGCGTAGTTTGTGAAATCCGGCTCTTCGCCGTTGACTTCTTTGTAACAACTCACCATTCTCGCCGGTGGCTCCACGATGTACTCCGTTCCTTCGTACGGTATCGGGTAAAACACGTCGTTTTCATCCAAGTTATTCGTGGTTAACAACTCGTACGACCCGTCGATTGGTTTGACGTTAAAATCGCCCATCAAAATTGAATTTTTCGTTCCGTCTTTCTCGCTCTCTCGCATCGTATACGTCGCCGCCAACGCGCTGTGTAAAGTCATAACTTTCGGGTTCCTAAACATGCACGGCATGTGATACGTGGACACGCCCAACGATACCCCGGTCTGCTTGTGCGTCACGTTCGCATACACGATAGAATTAAACCTCCCTTTCGCCAACTCCCAATCGTCTTGCGGAGGATACTGCGGCCTCGCGTTCCTCGCCGCCCTCCACATCCTAACAATCGGATCCACCACGTACCTCTTCACCACGCCTTTCTCCTCCAAATCCTTCGGTTTCCTCGGCCACTTCGCGCAATCCGACAACCTCTGTACATCCACTCTCGATAACTCGTACGTATCCAACGGTATCGCCAACAAAACTCCCATGTAATTATTAAACGGCTTCCCGTACAAGTGCGAGACGACGTGGTACCCCCTATTGGCGAAAAACGCGTGCAACGGTCCCGACCACGTCATGCTCACCTCTTGCAACCCAATGATAGATCTCTTCTCCATCTCAACAGATAACTTCTTTTGCACTCGCTCTAACCGAACGAGCGCGTCTAAGTTTTTCGGATCGCACGACGTGAAATACGTCGGTTCCGCCAGGTGCGACGAGAGCACGTTATACGTCGTCACGCGAATATTTGCACCTTTTTTAACTCCTTCTGACATCATCATCGTCGACGCTTTTTTACTGCTCGCACCAACACTGCCGCGAGTTTGCACTGGCATCCTTTTCGCGAAGAATGCGAAAGTACTTTTCCGCTGGCACGCGATCGATGCCGCTCGCATATATATCTCAGTCGTCGTCGTACGTCACGTTTGAATGTGTTTCCAATGTAACAACACCACCCGCGTATACTTCTCGCACACTACTACGACGACGAGACGACGACTTGAATTTCGTCACTCAGTCTCTCTTCCGTTTCGTCGTAACTCTCTTACTCTCTCTCTTTCTTTCTCTCTCTCTTCGAAAACGAAGCCTTTATTCGTCTTCTGTGTCTTCGTCCGATGATGTAATCCAAAGCGTTGGATTTGTGTCGGAAAACCTCACTTTTCAGCCTCCAAATCACCGCTGCGGTACCGCTCTGAAACTGCCTTCACGCTTCTCTTTCTCGCCGAAAAGAAGAGACGCGTTTGGTGTCGTTCGAGTATACGCGTTCTCTTTGAAGTCGTCGTTTTTGTGTCCCGAGAGAGAGCGAGAGAAAGGTAATACCATCGATTACTAAGCAGCGCACTCCATTTTCATCATCATCGTCATTTGTGTTCTGGAGTATTAAACATGCAGTTGCGACGAGCGTTACGACGCGTGCCGGATAAACACTTACCACTCCTCGTGACAATTTCAGCGTTATCGTTCGTGTTTTCTTTACTGATGATATCGATCGGGTATTTGTTTTTAACGGGGAGATTGGATATGTTGGAGGCGATGGACGAGACGACGAAGAGGAAGTTCCTCGATGGGTCTTCGTCTTCTTCGTCTTTAAGTTCTTCTTCGTTCCAGAGAAGTAGCATCGGTAACGCGGAAGAGGAGGAGGATTTGGAGGAGAATCATCACGATCATCACTTAGAATTAGCGGAAAATCCGGTGCACAAAGAAGACGGGACGTACATGCGCCACGCCGTGGACGAGGACGACGACAGCCATCCGCACTTGACGATGAACACAAACGGCATGTTCTTTCATCCGATCGTCCACACGCAGTCGAGTTATTCGACCGCGTTAGAAAATAGAAACTGTAAAAAAACAACGTCGAGTAGTAGCACGAGTGGGAACGGAGCGTGGGATCACGTCCCGACGTCGTCGTTGAAACAGAAACAGAAAGAAGTGTTCGATAGGTACGCTTTGACGGGATTTCGGAACAAAGCGACGACGGACGCGAGAATTTTGATGGAGTTTCTGCTCTCGATTTCACCGAAACCGCAAAACGGGTGCTGCGCGATTTTCGACGTCGGTGCGAACGTGGGGAAGTACGTGGAAGAGTTGAAGTCGATGCCCATCGCGAAAGATTGCGAAGTGCACGCGTTTGAACCGAACCCGGAGGTGTTTAAAATTATGTCCAGAAGAGTCGCGAATTTGAAATCGGTCCATTTGCACAACGCCGGAGTCGCCGAACAACCCGGGAACTTAACCTTCTACTACCAGCCTGGGAAAGCAGACACCGGAGGTAGCTTCATGCCGGAACACTCCTACGACAAATACGCCGACCAAGCGGGTAAAATGAAAACCGAAAACGTCAACGTCATCGCTTTAGACGACATCTTCGACGCGTTCATCCCAGACTCCGTGTCCATCCCGCTCGTCAAAATCGACGTCGAAGGACTCGAACACAGAGTCAAAACCGGCATGTCTCGCGCCTTAGCTTCCGGCAGAGTTCAAGCCGTCTACTGGGAACGCAAAGGCTCGTTAGATTTAGAACCGTTTGAAACGGAAGTCAAATTTATGGCCAACCACGGCTACAACGTCTACGTCATGGGATGTTCCGGCGCGAGAAAGCACTCGTGCGCGTTAACGCTCGTCCGAGTCGACGGGTCATTCTTCGACCCAATCTTCGACCCGAAACGACACCGCGCCCCGAACCAAGGCAAATACATGACCATGAACTTGTTAGGCGTAAAGCGAGGGCACAAGTTCAACGACGTCGTCGTCAAAAAGATGTTGGCTCAATAAGAAATTAGTCATTTTACTCACTAATATACCACGCGTAAAGAATAATAACAACACGAATAACACTACTAACTCTTGCAAACGCTCTTCTTCTTTATCAGTAGTGTGCATTATGACAACGCGCGTAGTATGCCTCTCGCAAAAACAAGTACGCCGTTGGTAAAAAAATGCTCAAATCAATTCTTTTCGTTTTCACATTTTTTCTGACCATTGTAAGCCTCAGAAAAAGAACTTATCGAGAAAAGAAGATGATTTTGACGATGATCCTCGCGCTGCTCTTGCTCTTCGCGACGCCCTTCTCGAACGAGTTTGGGGGTTTGGTCGGTGTGCACGGGTTTTACTTACCCGGCGTCGCGCCGCAAGGTGCGAACTTTTTACACGTTTGTTTGTTTTGTTTTTCGTTCTTCTTCGCGCGCTGAATGGTGTCTGAAAAGGCAACGCGTATGAAGTCTCGAACGCGTTCGCTTGGATCGCGGAACGACGCTGACCTTTTTCTCTCTTTCTCCCTTTCTCTTTTGAAACGACTGCGACCAATGAAACAATTTTACGATGCAAACTGTTATTGTAAAACAGATTACGCGCAAGACGACATCGTGTTCATGAAGGTGAACAAACTGACGTCGACGAAAACGCAACTCCCGTACGATTACTACACCATGCCGTATTGCAAACCGAATCCGATCGTGTACTCGGCGGAGAATTTGGGGGAAGTTTTACGAGGAGATCGGATCGAGAATTCCTTGTATTCGCTGGAAATGCGAAACGATATGCAGTGTTCGGTGGTGTGCAAGATAGATTCTTTATCCGAGCAACAAACGAAAGACTTTGAGACGAAAATAGAGGAGGAGTATCGCGTGAATATGATCTTGGATAATTTACCGGTGGCGATGGTGAAAATACGAGCGACGGAGGACGGGGAAGGCGAGACCGTGGAGAGGAAGACGTACGAGAGAGGGTATCCGGTTGGGTTTAAAGCGAGCGTGGAAGAGGGCGGCGAGGAGAAGAGTTTTTTGCACAACCACTTGAGGTTTACGATTTTGTATCACAAGGACCAAGAGACGGATTTGTCGAGAATCGTCGGGTTCGAGGTGGAACCGTTTTCGGTGAAACACGAATTCGAGGAGCCATGGGACGATGTTTCGCCAACGTTGACGACGTGTAATCCGGGGAGGATGCAATACGTGACGCACGGGTTGGCGCCGCAGATTGTAGAGGAAGGCTCGGAGGTTATTTTTTCGTACGACGTTTTGTATAAACAAAGCGACATTAGATGGGCCTCGCGATGGGACACGTATTTGTTGATGGTGGACGACCAAATTCACTGGTTTTCCATCATCAATTCCATGATGATTGTTTTGTTTTTGAGCGGAATGGTCGCGTTGATCATGCTCAGAACGTTACACAGAGATATCTCGAGGTACAATCAGTTGGAAACGAGCGAAGAGGCTCAAGAAGAGAGCGGGTGGAAGTTGGTGCACGGAGACGTGTTTCGAACGCCCGAGGCGAGTGGGTTGTTAGCGGTGCACGTCGGGACCGGGGTTCAAATTTTAGCCTGCACGTTTGTCACGTTGGCGTTTGCGATTCTCGGGTTTTTGTCCCCGGCGAATAGAGGCGGGTTAGGGACGGCGATGGTGTTGCTGTTCACGTTTATGGGTTTTTTGAACGGGTACGTGTCTGGGGTGTTTTATAAGATTTTTAAAGGTCCGGATTGGAAAGGAAACGCCGGATTGGCGGCGATGATGTTCCCGGGGGTGTTGTTCGGCGTCTTCACGTTTCTGAACTTTTTCATTTGGACGCAAAAGTCCAGCGGCGCCATTCCGTTTGGCACGTTTTTCATTCTCGTGTTTTTATGGTTTGGCATTTCGATTCCGTTGGTATACGCCGGGGCGTGGTTTGCGACGAAGAAAGAAATCGCGGAGGATCCAGTCCGAACGAATAAGATTCCGAGACAGATCCCCGAGCAACCGTGGTACATGAGCGGCGCGGTGAGCATTTTAACCGGCGGTATCTTGCCGTTCGGCGCGGTGTTCATCGAGCTCTTTTTCATCTTGACGTCCATTTGGTTGCAACAATTTTACTACGTCTTCGGGTTCTTGGCGTTGGTGGTGATTATTTTGTTAATAACGTGCGCTGAAATAACCATCGTGTTGACGTACTTCCAGTTGTGCAACGAAGATTACCGATGGTGGTGGCGTTCGTTTCACTCGAGCGGCTCGAGCGCGTTTTACTTGTTCGCATACGGGACGGTATATTTTTTTACAAAGTTGGAGATTACGAAAAAAGTACCGACGATGATGTACTTTGGATACATGGGAGTAGTGTCGTACGGGTTTTACATTTTGACCGGTTCGATTGGCTTTTTAGCCTCGTACGCGTTTGTGCGAACGATTTATAGCTCGGTGAAGATCGATTAAGACGAGAGAAGACCGCTCTTTTTAATAATACACATAAAGATATAAATGTTTTTATATATTTTCCTACTCGTTCTATGTAAAACGTTTCGTTCTTTTCTAAACCTACTTAAGTGTTTCGCGTGGAACATGTTATGAGCGCTCATCTCGCGTAAAACTATCGATGCACTTTATTCATCTCTCGCATGGAAAGGACGTGGATTAACGCTTCCATTTCTAACCCGCGCAAATTCGCCTCCTCGTCTATATGGCTTTCATCGTCCTCGTCCTCTATTTCGTTTATTCGGTCGTCTTCGTCTAGGACCATGGACAAGATCCTGTAGTTTTTCTCGGTGTTCGTCGAAGTGTCGCTATCGAGATGCTCTAAGGTAATACCTTCTTTCCCTGATTCCCTGCTCGAAGGGTGGTCAAAGTTGAGCCGTTGCCTCGCGCTCGCGTTTTTATCTTCCTCTTCCTCGTCTTTTCGCACCTTCATCTTTTTCATGGCCGAGGTCAATCGTTTCGGGCTCTTCATCGGCGTCAATTTCAAGTGTTGCGCGATGCCTTCCTTCGTTGAGTCGTTGGTACTTACGCTGTTGACGCTCGCGCCGTCAAATCCACCCTCCCTTCTGCTCGCTGCATACGCGCCCGATCCGATGCCAATTTTCGCCTCCAAAATGTTTCTTCTTTGCCGGGAAGGCCCTTCCACGGATGCTTTCCCCGGAGAGACCATGCCATCGTTCATCGGTATCTCCGGTAATGGCGGTAATTTCGGTCGCAACTTGCTTTTCGCGCGACAGAAATAACTAAAGAAACTCACGATGTCCACGCTCTCTCTTCGGCGACCGCCCATTTCCGTCGCCGTTCTCGCCATGTCCTGCTCGAAAGAGGAATGCGACGACTTATCGTTCCTCGCATTCCTTAACTCCTGTCTAAATGCGTCGTTGCGTTCGTACACGTGTAAAAAACCATCCACGATGACCAAACCGGTCCCGCTATAGTTCAAATCTTTAAACACGTCCAACAGTACGTGCGCGTTGATGTACAACTCGTCGTTCAACGCTCTGATTTCCGGCGACATTTTCTGTTTCAACAACTTCCTCATCTTTTTCTCTCGAGTCATTCCATTCTTTTCCTTTCCCGGCGCCATGCTCAGAGTCGCTTTCGAATAGCTTTTTTGATGCGGATTCGATTCGCTATCCTCGCTCTCCGAATCGCTCTCGCTCTCGCTCGCCGAGTTGTTGTTGTTGTTGTTCCTATCCCTACTCGTAAAATTCTTCAAATTCTTCACGCGCGGTATGAACCTCTTGAACCCTTCCTTCCGTCCCTCCATTCGTTCTTTCTTCTTCAAATTCTTCCGGACTAAACTTTTACACGCCTCGGCGACGAGCGCGGTCATACGTTTCACTCGCTTCAGCTCCTCCACGTGCTCTCTTTTTTCGAGGATTGCCGCTCGCACCGGGTCGACTTTACTCGACGACTCCTCCCCTCCCGCCGGACTTCTCGGACTGGACGCGAAAGAGTCCTCGTCCATTTCCGATTCGCCCCCGCTATTACTCGTCGCCCCGTTGTTACGACGACGACGACGACGATATTGAGCGTCGCCACTTTCCTCCTCATCATCATCACCATCATCATTTTCATCCTTATCCTCCTCGTTCGCGGCGACCACTCGAAACGCTTCCACGAATTCACTCAAACCAATCCCTTCTTCACCGACGCCGCTAATCTTGGCGATAATCTTCGACCCTAACTCAAACTTCCTCTCGTTCTCGTCCCCGGTCGTTCCAAACTTTGTTTTCTTCTCCTTCTTCTTTTTCCCTTCGTCTTCATCTCGTAAAGCGGAATCTAAAATCTCTGACACGCCTCCGGTGTTGTTCCTCAGCGCGGTTAAAAATTCCACGCCCGAAATCGTCTTTGAATCATCTTCATCGATTATCGCGAAGACTTTCGCGAGCGTTTCGTGCGGGAGGAATAACGCGAAACCTTCTTTTCCTCTCTCCTCGTTCTCATCGCGACGCTCCATTTCCTCCATTTTTCGTTGTTCTTCTTTAAGTTGGTTTATTTGGGGAGAGGAAACGCGCAAAGAAAGAGCAGGAGTCGTGCGTCGTAAGCTCTTTCCCGTTTAAATTCTTCGTCAATTTTGAACCGTTTCGTGTGTGTGTGAAATGGTGTAAATTTGTCGACCGCGAAAGAGGCGCAAAAGTGTGCGTTTTGGTGCGCAGCAGATACCGTAGGCTTCGCTTTTTTGGCAGTTGGCAGTTTGGTCTGTGTGTCTTTTTGGCGAAAAAAGTATGGTAAATCCAAGCGTCTTTTTGTGGCTGTGAGGGGCTTGCGTCACGTCATCATTCCAGTCATATCTACTCTTTTTCCATTACGAGACGCACACTTTCCGTGACACAGACATAATCTAGTATTACCAAAAATGATGACGACGACGCAGACGACGACGCGCGCGACGACGATGATGCGGTCTTTGTGTTCGTATTCTGGAAAAAGCAGCAGAAGGAGCCTTTTGACGACGACGACCACTACGGAGAGGAACAAAGATGACTTCAGGAGGACCCGGAGAAAAAACAACATCGGTGGCGTGAGAACAGAAGCGATGGCGAGAGGGAAACGCAAAGGCATCGCGGATATAATCGGCGAAGAAATCGACGGGCAAGAGAAGAAGAAAAAAGAACCCCAACAAAAGGTGAAAATACGCTCGGAAGGGAAGAAAATGGCGGACGAGTTTAACAACAAAGGGAAGATTCCAAATGGGTTTTTGAAGATATTAAACTTACAAGACTTTGACGAGAAGAAGAATATTAAAGCGGTGACGTTAGCGAATGGGAACTTTTGCGTGGTGCGAGTGGGAGAGTTGATTTATGTCTGCGATTGTAACTCAACCGCGTATAAGTATCCGCTCATCGACGGGGAGTTATTCAACGGTCCCGGAGGCGCGTCGATTCGGTCTCCGTTTGACGGGACCAGTTACGATTTGACGACTGGGAAAGTCATCGAGTGGTGTCCTCAGGACACGTTGCCGAGGAAGATGTTGGGGAAGCTGAAGGAAAACGCGACGCCGGTGGATTTAGGCGTATATCCAGTCATCGTCGACGAACAAGGCGACATTTACGCCAGTTTCGTGCAATAATATTTATGGTTTGAAGAACTTCATGAAAAACAGATATATGCAGCGTGCAGCCTAGTAGTTAATATAAATATAAAACAACATCTTTCGCCTATATACATTGTATATGGTGTATGTTTAGTTTTTAATCCTTTTTGTCCTATCGTAGTTCTTGTTCTTATTGTTGTTGTTGTTGTTGTTGTTGTTGTTGTTGTTTGCCGACTAATCCTAACTTCATGGCGACTTCACTCGCGCCGCCGTGGAATCGAAACGATTGGTAGATGTCCTCTCTCCCGTTTTCCATGAACACTCCTCGCGAGGGTAACTCGTCCAGAGGTAACTCTAAAGACTCTATGAACGATTCGAGCTCTACGCGCACGTTTTCCAAATCTCGCCAATAGCCTCTCGGTTTTGGCATGTTTTTATCCCATCCGAACTTTTCCGAGACTATTTTGTAGCCACCGAGCTCTCGAATGCGCTTTTCCAAATCCTCTCGACCGTATTCTCGCAAGAGAAGCTTTTGCGGTATTCTTTGTTGTTGTTGTTGTTGTTGTTGTTGCGTTTTGCCGTCCTCTTTCGATTTGAGTAGTAGCGTCGCGTTGAACGCTTCGATGTCCACTCTCAGCGCTTCAAATAGTTCTCTCTCTTCGTCTTCGTCGAACGATTTCATATCGTAAGTATTCTTCTTCTTCTTTCCGTTCTTCTCGGATAAGGAAGCGGACGCATTCGTGCTTTGTTTCATCGCCGCTTCGGTTAATCCGTACAGTTTTGCCCTTTCCGCGATGGTCAACTCGTCGTCGTCTCTGGAAATGGTCGCGTCGATGGAATCTTCTTGTTCCTCGTCTAATTTTGGGTTTAAACGCATAAACTCGGCGATCGTTTGGTTCGTCTGGTCCAATTCTGGAACGATGTTAAGTTTACGCACGGAGTTATCAAAAGTAACCAACGGGATGACTTTCTCCAGCGATATCGCTTCGATGTGCGCCCGTAAAGTTGTCAAAAACTCGATCGTTTCGTCGACGACTTGTCGTTCATCTAGAGGCGGTTTGCGTGCTCTTCCGTTTTCGTAATTTGCCTTGGCGTTGATGCCTTCGATGGCAAATTTCAATATCGTCGCTTCCGCTTCTTCTGGCGCGTCGTTAAAGTCGTTAAAGTCGGCGCGGTCAAGTTTAGATACGCTGAATGTGCCATCGTACTTTTCGTCAAAGCTTCGCAGTGTTGCACTACCATCGATGTCGTCGTCGTCGTCGATTGAATCGTTGGCTGGGACGACTAAAAATTTGCCTTGCAAAACGCCATCTCTTCTTTGATTTCTCGAAACGCGAAACTGTATTTCTCCTTCTTCGTCTTTTTGCGACAGGTCCACGCCGACGGATTCGTATATCGCGTGGCACAAGCAGTGTTTGAGAAACACAAATCGAAGGCGTTTCAAATTTTTACCTGTGCCTCCCGCGACTCCTCCGCCGGGAACGGCGACGCCCAGAGTTGCGTTTGGCAAGACTTCGCAGTGTACTAAATTCGGGGCAAATTTTGCCAACGACTCGTACGCCGTGAGCACTTTCCAGACTAAACTCGGTGGTGCTTCGATTCGCACCGCACTTAATGTTCGCCGGTGATAAACTGCCGGCGTGTCGTACCTTCTGTTGTGCACCTCAATCGATCCAGGCGCCGACGTCGACAAATCCTCGGCGGCGTCAGCGTCGACAATTTCATCGAACCATCGTCCGCCTTGCGCGCCAGATGTCGTGTTACCTTGCGCGGCTTGCCAGGAGAGGTTTTCAGCCGGCGGCATGACGTTTCGTCGCACGGTGGGAGGTCGGAAACGACCAGAAATGGACATCATTTTTTTCTTGGTGGTGGAGTTGTTGGTATTATTGGTGTTGGTACCTTCTCTATCGTTTTCGTCTCCTCCTTGCTGCACCAAAGGTACGCTCACTTCGCTCAAACCTAAATAATTTTCCGGCTTCAACCCTGCGTTCGCCAATCTTCCATCTCTTCGTTTCTTTCTTCGACCGATGAAATACCCGTCGTCGTCAAACTCGTCCACATAATAAAACTCCTCGCTCGCTTCGTTCCAGTTCAAAGTTTCTAAATCTAAAAACGGCGAGTTCAATTTCGCTCTTTGAATCGAGCTCGCGCGTTGATTAATCGCCGTCGCAATCTCCTCAAACGATTGCCTCATAACCCTCTCTAACGCTCTTCTTAAAACTGGATACTTTGTCGGTCGAATTTCGCACTCGTAAGACAACTCGCACGCGAACGAGGCTGATTTTAATCTCGCGACTTTAATCTTTCCGAAACACTCAAACTCTCCGTTTCGTCTGTCCACGTCTCGACTGGAAAACGAGAGCGTTCGGGAAATTGTCGGCGCCTCCGGTTGCTTCTTTCTCCTGTTCGCAAGGGTATCTTTCGAGGAAATCAACTGAGAAGAAGAAGAAGAAGAAGAAGAAGAAGACATCGTCGCCTTCTCTGGTGGCAACAAAACAACCTCCAAGAAAATCTCGCCTCTCAACTCGTTGGCGCATAAAATCACCTCGTCTCTGCAGTCGCTCGCGAGACGATACGTGGACACGCCGCCGCTGCTCGAAAAACTCCGCAGAGACGTTCGCACGTTTGGTGCGAACGTGCTAAACAAACTCGCGTCGGAAACTGCTTCCCACGTGGCGTCCGGCGACGCGTCTATTCGCGCGCGGTATTTCGCTCTCGGCGTTATTAAAGTTTCAAAATCGTCTCCCCCCGCCCCCGCGTTAATGTCTGCTTTTGTTCTTCTTCTTCTTCTGGTTGTTCTTCCTAATGTCTCGTCCTCTTCCTCGTCGTCTTCTTCTTCTTCTTCTTCTTCCTCGGTGTTGTCTTCCATCATCAAATCTCTCAAAAGTTCCAAATCCTCGTCTTTTCTCAACTCGTCGTCGTCCTTTTCTCTCTCGTATTCGTATCGCGTCTTCCTCGCTCGAAGAGGAGGGAAAGAACGAACAACGCCATCGTCACTATCATCATCATCACTTCTTCTTCTTCTTCTTCTTCTTCTTCTTCTTTTGTCTCTCCTCGTTCTCCCGGTCGTCCAAGAATTCGACGGCGACCAACGACTGCTGCTCGCGCCGCTGGTCGACGCGAGCGCGCTGCTGAATATCCTCCTCCTCCTCTGCAAAAAATGCTGCTCCCCCCCGTTACAATTCGCAGCAGCAGCGGCCGACGACGACGACGACGATGCAATCATCGTCGTTTTTCTCGGCGTGAAATCTCTGCTATCGTTTCGTGTTCATCATCTTCTTTCGCGATATAAAAGGCGTGTGCATTTTCTCTCGATTTTCCTCTGAAACCGTCCCCAAAACTCTGCTCTTTTTTTGCCTTCAAAAATAGCACGTTTTGCCTCAAAAAGCGCATCATCGGATATACACACACGCACACGCGCGAAGAAGAAGAAGAAGAAGAAGAAGTGTGTTCTCTCTTTCTCCGTCATCGGGTGTGGTTTAACAACGCAGATTTATCCGAGCGAGAAGGTTTTTTTACATCGAGAGAGGTACGTGGCGTGGGTTTTTTTCGTTCGCGTTGAGCGCTTTTCACTCTTCTCGTGGTCTTCTCCGCGCGTTTTTGTCGCTCTTTTTCTGGGAATGCGCATTGGTAATAACTGTGTGACTCCGCTTTATTATTCAATCAAGAATCTGTTGTCCTCGTTCGACGCGCGTTTTCGGTAGGTGTGCGCAGCGAAACGAACGAGAATTGAACGCAGTTGGACGACGAAACATCTGTCTCGCAATTTCCCGCTATTTTTGGCAGGTTTTTCAATTCGCGAGACCGTTTTCAAGACGCGTACGTTTTCCTCGCGTACGCGCGATGGGACGATGGCAAAGATTCTAACAACCACTCTCAAATCTCTCTTTTTATTTCTACGACAGGTGTAAAAATGAGCGCGCATTCATCGCTCGTCCGAGCGTCGCTTGGTGGAGTTACCGGTCAAACAAAGAGGAGTTCGTGTGCGTAAAATATATTCGTCTCGTACTCTCGATTTTAAACGCGCGCGAGACGTTCGCGTGTGCGCGCAAGGCGACCGCGAAGAGAGTTTACCTCGGGAGTTGCCGATGAAAGCAAGGCTGAGTCGGTTTTATCCATTTTATCCATTTTTCTTGTGGGATATCGTTTTTCCTTCTCTCTTTCTTTCGCGCGCGCGCGCGCGAGCGACGTGTAAATTTTTGTGCTGACTTTCCACTTTACTCATTCCTAAACAAACGAATACAGTTCTCGGCGATGGTAAAGGCTCCATGAGCGCGAGAGCGGCGGTGCGAAGACCGTCGACGGTGCAGAGCGCGTTTCCGGTGGTCGTCCCGTCGCCAAGAGATTCGGCGTTGGCGGCGAGAAGAAAGGGTACGACTCCGAAAGCGGTGAGAGAGCCGGAGCAATCGTCCATGGCGTCTGCGTCGGATAAGTTGGCGGAGTACGTCGCGAACAAAGGCGGTAAGAGAGTGATTCGAAAAGTGCTCGTGGCGAACAACGGGATGGCGGCGACCAAGGCTATTTTGTCCATGCGAAGATGGGCGTACAACGAGTTGGGCGATGAGAATGCGATTAAGTTTGTCGTCATGGCCACGCCGGAAGATATCGGGGCGAACGCTGAGTTTATTCGTTACGCGGATGACTTTATTGAAGTTCCGGGCGGCAAGAACGTGAACAACTACGCGAATGTGGATTTGATCACGGAGATTGCCGTGAGAGAAGGCGTGGACGGCGTCTGGCCCGGTTGGGGTCACGCCTCCGAGAACCCGAAGTTGCCGACAGCTTTGAAGAAGAACGGCATCCAGTTCATCGGTCCGACTGCACCGGTCATGTCCGTGCTTGGCGATAAGATTGCGGCGAATATTCTCGCGCAAACAGCGAAAGTTCCGTCGATCCCGTGGTCCGGCGACGGCTTGGTCGCAAACTTGACGCCGGAAGGTACAATTCCACAAGAAACGTTCGATAAAGCCATGGTAACGACAGTCGAAGAGTGCGTCGCCGCGGCGGACAGGATTGGTTTTCCGGTTATGTTGAAAGCTTCTGAAGGTGGCGGTGGTAAAGGTATCCGCATGTCCGCCAACAAGGAAGAGTTGATTGTTAACTTTGACCAAGTCAAGGCGGAAGTTCCGGGCTCACCGATGTTTATGATGCAGTTGTGCACGGAAGCGAGACACTTGGAAGTTCAAATCGTTGGCGATGAACACGGTAACGCCGTGGCCTTTAACGGTCGCGATTGCTCTACGCAAAGACGTTTCCAGAAGATTTTCGAAGAAGGTCCGCCAATCATTGCCAAGCCGCATATTTTCCGCGAGATGGAAAAAGCTGCGCAGAGATTGACGCAAAACATCGGCTACATCGGTGCCGGTACGGTTGAATACCTTTACAACGCCGCGACGGATAAATACTTCTTTTTGGAGTTGAATCCGCGTTTGCAAGTTGAACACCCGGTAACGGAAGGTATCACCGGTGTCAACATGCCGGCGACGCAGTTGCAGGTCGCCATGGGTATCCCGCTTCATAGAATGCCAGACGTGAGACGATTCTACGGAAGAGACGTGGACGGCACGGACACCATCGACTTTTTGGAAGAAGAGTACAAGCCGATTGAAAATCACGTGATCGCGGCGAGAATTACGGCTGAAAACCCGGACGAAGGCTTTAAGCCGACTTCCGGCGGCATTGAAAGAGTGCACTTCCAATCGACCCCGACGGTTTGGGGTTACTTTTCTGTCGGCGCCAACGGTGGCGTCCACGAATTCGCGGATTCTCAGTTTGGTCACATTTTTGCATCGGGTAAGACGAGAGAAGAAGCGAGAAAAGCGTTGGTTTTGGCGTTGAAAGGTATGGTCGTTCGCGGGGAGATTCGCACGGCAGTTGAATACCTCGTCAAGCTTTTAGAAACGCAAGCGTTCAAAGAGAACACCATCGATACCTCGTGGTTGGATGGCTTGATCAAAGAACGCTCGATCGCGTTGGTGAACGATCCGCACGCAATTTGTCTCGGTGCTGCACTCTTCAGAGCATTCAACCACTCGGAGCAAGAAGAGAAGACGTTTCTCTCCTCGTGGGAAAAAGGTCAAGTGTCGACGCAAGGCATCTCGAAGTTGACGTCGTTTCCGGTTGAAATCGCCTACGAAGATACCAAGTACGAGTTCACGTGCACCAGAGTCGGTGCGGACGAATACGAGATGTCCATTGGCGGTAAGAGTATTTTGGCGAAGATGTTTCGACGCAACGACGGCACGCTAGTTGCCATTTACGGCGGCGTCACGCACGAGATTGACGGTTTGGAAGAACCGTTGGGTTTGCGCATGACTTTGGACAGCCAAACGTGGTTGTTGCCGACGTTATTTGACCCGTCTGAGTTGAGAACGGATGTCACCGGTAAACTTATCCGCTTTTTGCAAGAGGACGGCGCGGAAGTCCAAGCCGGGAAGCCGTACGCCGAAGCCGAGGCGATGAAGATGGTCATGCCGCTCATCGCGCAAGAATCCGGGAAGATCTCGCACGCGAAAACCGCCGGCGCGGTGATCAGTGCGGGTGATTTACTCGCGAACCTCACTTTGAAGGATCCGTCTAAAGTTAAGAAGATTATCAACTTTAACGGTGACTTCAGAATGTCTACGGTGGAGGAACCGGCGGCCGCTGCGGATGAGAAACTCACCTCGGCGGTTGACCGCGTGAACAATCTTCTCGATGGTTTTGGCGGTAATGTTGACGAAGCTCTCACCAACTTGTACGCAGCTTTCACGGAACAAAACGAAAGTGATGGACAATCTCGATGGGAAAAAGCCACTTCGATCATGGAAGGCATCGTGCAGCGATACTTGGACGTCGAGAGCGTCTTTGAATCCAAGTCCATGGATGCCGTCATGGCGACGTTGATCAAGGGTAAAACCGGAGATGCGTTGAATCCAGTGTTGGCGCAAGTTCGCGCCCACTCCAAGTTAAAGGAACGATCGAAACTCGTTTTGAACTTGCTCTTGCAAGCGCCAACTTTGCCACAAAGAGTCATCGCGAGAGGACCGATTTCGTGGGCGGACGATCACGCTCCGATCTCGGATTCGTTCCAAGCCACCATCAAGCGATTATCGAAGCTTCGAGGCGGTGATTACGGGGAAGTTGCGCTTTCTGCGAACGCCATCTTACAAGAGCGACGATTGCCGTCACTTGATAAGAGAGTCGCCGAGCTTCGCAAGCTTCTCGCCGGAAAGAAGAAGTTGTTGCGACCGTGGGGCGAGGCGGAATCTGGCGATTTGCAAGCGCTTGCGGAGTCGCCGACTTTAGCCGTCGATTTGTTGCCGTCCTTGTTTGAAGACGACGACGATAAGGTTCGCGAGAACGCGATGAGTACTTACGCGCGCCGTGTTTATCGCGCGCACAACATTCTCGAAGTTTCCAAAGGCGAAACGGGGAACTCTATGACGTGGAAGTTCAAGTTCCGCACGTATCCGGATGATTCTCCTGTTCGAACCGGTTTGCTCGTCACCGCGAAGAATATCTCCGAAGTCGAACAAAACTTTGGCTCGTATTTGGCGCAGTTGAAGGCTGCGCACGGTGACGCCAAGGGCCCGCCGGTGTTACATATTGCGCAAACCGAGCAGCCAGACGACGGCGATTGGTCGTTGAAGATGGACCAAGTCTGCGCAAAGCACAAGGAAGAATTGAAAGCCTTGAACGTGAAATTTGTCAACTGCTTGGTGTTTGAGAAGTTTGCGTTACCGGTCTACCGCACGTGGCACGTGAACAAGGACTACGCCGAAGATCCGCTCTACAGAGGCGAGCGTCCGACGGTGTTGCACTTGCTCGAGCTCGTTCGATTGGAGAACTACAAATTGACGAGAATACCGACGGTGAACAGAGACTTGCATATTTACGTGGGTGATTTGGCCGCCGGTACGAGAGCGAAAGACATGTTGTTGAGAAGACTCGCGCACAGCAAAGACACCATGTCTGGCGGTTTGGAAAGAACTTTGAATAAGGCTTTGGACGCGATCGATATCGCGAGAATGGATTCAAAAGCGAAAGGATGCAACTCCACTAGAATTTACATCAACTATTTATCTGAGGTTGAGGGCGACTTCACGAAGCAGGCGAACTTGTTGAAGGAGAAGGTTTCCGAATACATCGCCGCCAACTCCACTAGATTGTTAAACTTGTCTGTCGATGAGATTGAACTTCGATTCCGAGTGAGCAACGAATTGACGCCGATTCGCATCATGGGCACGTCCATGTCCGGCAACTGGTTGAAGGTTGACATGTACAGAGAGTACCTCGAACCGGTTTCTGGACGCGCCGAGCAATTCTGCTTGATTGGCGCGGATGGTAACGATGACGCGTGCTTCTTTGAGCCGTACCCGTCGGCGGGTCCGTTGCAAAACAAGAGAGCAATTGCGAGAGCTATCGGGACGACGTACATTTATGACTTCCTCGGCTTGATTGAAAAAGCGATGTTGTCCGCGTGGAGAAAGCAAATCGCCTCTTTCGGCGCCGGTTCTGTTCCGCAAAACTTCTTCCAAGCTGAAGAGGCGGTCTTTGACGAAAGCACGAAGGAGTTGACGTGGACGAAGGAAGGCGTCCCGGGTCAAAATAAAATCGGTATGGTTGCGTGGAGATGCACGATGAAGACGTGCGAATACCCGGAAGGAAGAGAAGTAGTGTTTGTCGGGAACGATTGCACCGTCATGTCTGGTTCGTTTGGCGTCAAGGAGGACGACTTCTACTTTGCCGTCTCTCAATACGCCAGAGAAAATAACATTCCGAGAGTCTTCTTGGCATGTAACTCTGGCGCCCGAATCGGTTTAGTCGAAGAGTTGAAGCCGTATTTCAAAGTAGCGTGGATTGACGATGCCAACCCGGGTATGGGCTTCAAGTACCTCTACCTCACCGAGGCGGACTATAAGAACTTCCCGGAAGGCACGGTCAACGCGGAGAAAGTGAACGAAGGCGGCGAAACGCGAATGAAGTTGACGGATATCATCGGTCAAATTCACGGCATCGGCGTCGAAAACTTGAGAGGTTCTGGTATGATTGCCGGCGAGCAGTCCGCGGCGTACGATCAAGCGTTTACCTTGTCATACATCTCCGGTCGATCTGTTGGTATCGGCGCTTACTTGAACAGATTAGGTCAAAGAAACATCCAAATGAAGAACGGTCCGATGATTTTAACTGGCTACTTGGCCTTGAACAAGTTGCTCGGGAAAGAAGTGTACACTTCTCAAGACCAACTTGGCGGTCCACAAGTCATGATGCCGAACGGCGTCTCGCACTTGCAAGTCGAAGACGATCAAGCCGGCGTCGATGCCATCATCCGATGGTTGTCGTACACGCCAAAGACGACCATCGGAATGGCGCCGGCGTTGCCGACGTCCGATCCGGTGAATCGCGCGATTGAGTTTATGCCGACGAAGACGCCGTACGATCCGCGTCACATGCTCGCCGGTACGACCAACCCGGAAACTGGTGACTACGTTTCTGGCTTTTTCGATAAGGATTCGTGGACCGAAACCTTACCGGACTGGGGTAAATCCGTCGTCGTCGGCCGCGCTCGATTAGGCGGCATCCCGATGGGTGTCATCTCGGTCGAGACGCGCTTGATGGAGCAACGCATCCCGGCGGATCCGGCGAACCCGGAATCCCGTGAGGCTGTTTTAGCGCAAGCCGGTCAAGTTTGGTTTCCGGACTCTGCGCACAAAACGGCCACGGCGATTCGAGATTTCAATAAAGGGGAAAACTTGCCGTTGATCATTTTTGCCAACTGGAGAGGCTTCTCCGGCGGTACGAGAGATATGTACGGCGAGATTTTGAAATTCGGGGCTATGATTGTAGACGAGTTGAGAGAGTACAAGCAACCGGTATTCGTATACATCCCGCCGAACGGTGAATTGAGAGGTGGCGCGTGGGTCGTCGTCGATCCAACCATCAACTTGAAGAAGATGGAGATGTTTGCCGACACGGAGTCTCGAGGTGGTATCTTAGAACCGCCGGGAATCTGCGAGGTCAAGTTCCGCCAAAAAGATCAACTTCTGACCATGCATAGAATGGATTCGGAGTTGATGGAGTTAGACAAGAACCCAGAAGCGAATCACGATGCGATCAAGAAGCGAGAGAATGCGTTGTTGCCGATGTACACGCAAGTCGCGCACGAGTTTGCGGATTTACACGATCGATCGGGGAGAATGTTCGCCAAGGGCGTCATCAACGGCGTCGTCCAGTGGCCAAAAGCCAGAGAATACTTCTACAACCGATTACAGCGACGATTATCCATCGATGCGCTCATCGATTCGTGCGAGGACAAATTAGGCAGCAGCGTCAAAATGGCTCGATCGGTTTCTGAAATCGTCAAAGACGCCATCGTCGTCGCCGGCGGGTGCGCGTGGGACGACGACGTGAAAGTCAAATCTTACGTGGACTCCAACGGAGATAAAATCGTTTCTGCCGTCATGCAAGAAGCGAGAACGGCCAAGGTTGCGGCCATGTTATCTGAAATCAAAGCTTTGGACGCTGAAACCGTCGCCGCGGTAAAGAACGGTTTGTAGGAATATACTTTTTTATGATGACACATGAAACAAAAACACAAAAAGCAAAAAGAGAGAGAAGAAGAGAGAGAGCGTTTTAATACTAACAGAGAACAAAGAACCGAAAAACGAAGAGATTTTAATTTCGCCCTTTCCCACAAAAAAAATTTGAAAAATATTTTGAGCACCACCAAATCCTCTCTTTTCGAGGAGTAAATCAGCAAATTATAGGTGAATTTCAACCAGAATCGTGCAATCAATTCATAATCGCTTTTTGTGGTATTCGATCAATATTGCGAGAGAAGATATTCTGGGCAACTGAATTGGCACGCGAGAGAAGAGAGTCTATCTCTCGTCCTCATAACCGCACCTCTTTACATCTACCCACTTTTATATATATACTTCATATATATACTTCATTTATTAACCGAGCACTACGACTGAGATTTTAAGAATACGAAAGATGACGACGACTCAGACTTTGACGCAATCATCATCCACGCTGACGGGATCCTCGTGGAGATCATCTTCCCTTCGTGCAAAGCACCACCAACAACGCTCCGTGATGAGAACGAAAGTCTCCGCGCAAATCGGATTCGGAACGGATAAAAAATGGTTAAAAACCACCATATACCCAGAGTGGGGGTCGTTCCCAAACAGCAAAGAAGGCGTTCCATCGGAGTGGTCGAACTTAACCCCGGAAGAGTACCGCAAAAACGCGGATATCGAAGTCATCCACGGGAGATGGGCCATGTTGGCGGTTTCGGGCGTCTGGGCGCAAGAGAACGCCGGGGCCGGTCCGTGGTGGGAAGCCGGGAAGGAATGCACGATTGACTCGTGCAAATTGACATACGCCGGGTTTGGGGATTTCAAATCCTCACCAACCGGCGCTTTGTTCGGGTTGATTTTCATCGAGACGTTGTTATTAGGCGGCGCGGAGGCGTACCGAACCGGTTTGTTAGAAAACCCGTTCCAAGACGGATTGAAGCAAAACGACGCGTACCCGGGAGGTAGATTCGACCCGTTCAACTACGCGGAAAAAGAAGATTTGGATTTGATGAAAATTCGAGAATTGAAGCACGGACGATTGGCGATGTTGGCGTGGTTGGGTATTCTCGGTCAGGCGGTGTCCACCAGAGCCGGTGCGGTGAGCAACGCCACCGCGCACATCGGCGACGTGTACCACTGCAACGTGTTCGATCGAAGCGGATGTGGCTTTTAAAAAAGTCACGATTTTTCTTGGCGACATTCAAACGATAACAACAAAGACAACAACAACAGTATACAACATTAAAGAGAGATTCTTTCACATCAAGCAAATTACGTAATAACCATCCGCGAATAAACGTATCGAAACTCTTCACACTTAAAAACGCTCACAAAATGCCAGCTCCAACCACCATTCGTGCGCTTTTCCACCCGCTCGAAAACGAAGCGAAGGACGCAGAAAAAGAGAAAAAAGAACAAGCACAACACCAACAACGCTTCGTCGAGAGTAAAAGCACGTTTTTCTCTTCAAAGTTTATCTTATTCTTCTTTGATTCCGGACGGAAAACGAAGGAAATCTCAATCCCGGTTGCCTTTGATAAACAAAAGAGCAACTTTTTAATCGGACCATCCGCGCTGTGGTGGCGCGAGGCGTTCGCGATTTCCTCCTCTTTATTGCGAGAGGAAGAGAGTAGTAACGGTGTTACTGTAAATGGAGGGTATAAAACGAACGATGAAGCGGCGATGGCGGATTTAGGCCACGCGGCGGAAGCGACGTTGGAAATCGCTCGAGTGGTCAGTGGTCAGTTGTTGGAGGATTTACGAAGGACGACCAGGTCGCTGGAATTTTGGGAGGAGAAGCGAGACGAGTATTCGAGAGGTGGGGATGTCTCACATAGGATGTTTTTAACCTTACGGTGTGGTCCGAGAGCGTTTATTGAGGAGACGAAAGGGTTCGTGAAACGGAAAGCGGTGGCGGCGAGACGGAGGGCGATGTACGTCTCCACGGGGAACGCGAGAAGGAAGAACGGGGAGTCGGCGAGGAGTAATATAAGCGGGGAAGAGAAGGAAAGGGAAGAGGAACACTTGTTGGAGACGTTGTTGACGGTTCCACCGGCGAGGGCGGTGATTGATGGGAAGGTAGCGGCGTTAGGGAAGATGCAGAGGAGTTTGGCGAGCGCGGTGGCGAGGGTGCACGCGAGAGCGGATGATTTAGTCAACGGCGATTACAATCGGAGGAAACGAGGGAAGGGAGAGGACGATGACGAAGACGAAGACGAAGACGAGGAGGTATCAGAGGAGGAGTTTCGGAAGAGAGAGGTGGAAAAAACGAGAGATGCGGTGGAACGGTGCGTGAATGGGATAAACGAAGCGATTGAGCTCGTGAAATCTACCGCGTCGTCGTTAAACGCCGAGCACGAGGACGAGGACGACGAGGACAACAACAACAACGAAAGTAAAAAGAGAAACGCGGAAGAGGCGGCAGAAGCAGAGCGAAATGATGACGACGACCACGATAACGACGACCACGACGATGCGATCTCTCCGAGACGACCGTCGAGCTCTCTCGAGCGCACCATCTCGAATTCGCCGTTATTCGCCGGGATGATGCACAATCGAACGAATTCGCTCGTCTCGAGCATCTCGCGAAGTGGCACACCAAAGATTCCAGATTCGCCAAAATCAGCCGCTACTCAAGTTCACGCGTCGTCGCGTCTGTCGTCGTCGCCGCAAAACAACAACAGCCCGACTTTACGACGCCAAAACGCCTCCTTACAGCGATCGAATTCGTACTTTCAGAATCTCATCAAAAACACGTTTCTCGGTGACATCTTCTCATCAGACGGCGGAACCGGCGCACGCGTCGGATTTGTCTCGCACAAGCTCCGCACGCGTTTGATGGCTAAATCGGGAGAACCAATCCCGTTCCCGTTAGAAAACGACGTAATGTGGGAAGCCATCGTAAGGACGGAATCTCGATTTGAAAAAGCTCGCAAAGCGGTTGGTCGCACGGTTGAAAGACACCGCAAGCCGACAAAATACGAACGCCGATGGATTCCCATCAGTGTCTTAATGTTAATCGGCGTGAGTAGCGCGATTGTGCTCGTTCGAAAATCTTCCTTGTGCGGTTCCACCGAGTTGGACGAAACGTTGAAAGCGGCGTACGAAACTACGCGCACGTTTTTCAACTCGTACATGAAAACGCCGTCGAAAGAGCTGAAGCAAGAACTCACGAAAGCGTTCGACACTGGAGATAGAGAAGACGCGGCGGCGAGATTAGACGAATCGCAGGAGTCTTTAGATAGAATGTTAAAAGAGTACGTGAAGAATGCAACGAAACCGGGGTTTTCGGAGTCGTTGACGAGAGCGTATCAATCGGTGGGCGCTATGACTGGCGGCGGCGGAGACGAACACGCCGAAGGATCAGGAGCAGGAGCAGGACCAGGCGAAGAGACGACAACGGCGAACAAAATTGATCCAATGTCACTCGTGACTGCGCGCGTAGAAGAAGAATTAAAAGCGCCGCTACAAAACATGCTCGGCGGCGATCTCATGCAACTCTTGCTCATCCAAACGCAAGTCATGAAAGTTGAGATGGAAGACGCTTTGCTTCAAATGGATGCCGTCATGCGTGCGAACCGTTTGAATTTCGCCCTCATGGCGTGTTTTCCCGCGACTTTGTTCGTGTACGGGAGCGTCTCGTTTTCAAAAACCGTCGGTGCCGCGCGCGCGTTTCAAAAGAGACGCAAAGCACGGGAAGAGATGCGTTTGTTAGTCGCCGACGCGGAACGATCTTTGATGCGATTGAAAATGACGCGAGACGAGTTTACCAAGCGCCGCCGCGCTCTGGAGGACAACAACGAAGACAATTCGGACTCAGACGACGCGTCTGATTCCAACCTCATTCACCGATTAGAAATCGCGGAAGAACACCGCCGCCGCCGCTTAGAACTGGACGCGTCCTTCGACGCCACCGCCGCCCCGTCCTCGCCCGCCGCGCGCCTCCACGCCACCAAAAACAAATTCGACGACGAAAACCTCGAAAACGAAACCTTCCACCAAGGCATGCTCCTCTACGCCGTCAACGCGCTCTACGCGTCCGTCCAAAAGCACAAGCGCATGTTCACGCCGAAAGAATTCAGGGGCGTTAAATTGGACGCCATGGCGTTGGCCGACGTTGGCGTCTCCATCGAAGGGAAACTGTTGACCACGCAAAGACTGGCGAGGATATATAAAGGGTTCCAGAGCGAACCGCACAGAGTGCCCAGCATCGTGACTGGGAGATATCCAATCTGAAATGAATTTGTGAAGCATAGAGCTCTTTCTCGCGCCTTGTTTTAGTAGTTCCTTCTTTATAAAATGAAGGCGAAAGGTCCACAAAATACTTCACACGCTCCTTAACAACAACACGGCAAAGATGAATCGGATGTTGATGTTACTCTCTCGCGATGTTGGGGGCAAAAGAATCACTCTCAGAATCAGAGACACGCATTTTCATCATCATCGAGCCCTGCATCCTTCTCTGCTTCTCGCTCCAACGTTCTCGTCTTCGCTTTCTTCAACTTCGGGAAACAAAACCAATTCCAATCCGTTTAACGGAGGAAAAGAAGAACACATTCTTCGCGGCCTAGCAGCGGGGACCATCGGCGTGGCGTTGTTCATGACGTCCGCGGAGTGCGAAAGAAGCAGCGATGAAAAAGCTTTTGATGATGATGCCGATGATAATGAATGGTTTCTTTTAAAAAGAGCGAAAGAATTTGTATCTCAACTGACCGGAGGAGCAAACACTTTGGGAGGAGTTTCGCTCGTTTCGGACGAATACAGGAGGGAGGTATTTTTCGCGTACGAGAATCGCTTGCGAGAACACTCGAACTTGGACAAAGTGTTCGCGTATTTCGCGTCCGGGAAAAACGCGAGAGGGGAAACGATGATGACGAAAGAAGATTTGATTCGATCGGCGATACCGGTGTACCAAAAGACGAACATCCGGTCGGGGAGTTTAGAAGGCGAAGTGGTCTCGGAAGAAGAGGTTGAAGGGAAAGACGTGACGGAAACGAACGTGTTGAAGTCGAAGAAAAATAGGAGTTTCGTCGGTGGAGAACGGATCGCGGCGTATTTCGATACCAACAACGACGGGATGATCAACTTTCCAGAGTTTGTGTTCTTCACGACGCTGATGAAACTTTCGGACGAACAGATTTTGAAGGAGTTTTTGAAAGCGGACGTGGATGGGAACGGGGCGTTGGACGCGCACGAGTTTGCGATGATGATGCGACGGATGCGAAGTAGTAGTAAGAACGTGAAGGCGGATTTTTTGATGAGCAGAACCGGGGTTAACATCGATCAAGGGAATTTAGACGTCATCGGGAACGGGATTTACAATCATTTTTTTAAAAAGAAGAAGAACAAATCCAAAATCGAAAGGTGGTTCGGTAGAGGCGGCAATACTAGCAATAGCGATGATAGCAACACTAGCAACGAGAGCAAATACGATTTGGGGAGGAAAATAACTCTTGGGGAGTTTCGCGCGTTTCTCAACGAAATCGGCGACACGCTCGTGGACATGGAATTTTCCCACTACGACGAAGAGAACAACGGGTGGATCTCCTCGAGAGATTTAGCCTACGCGCTCATCACTCGATCGAACGCCGCAAAAATTCACGATTACTTGGGAATTGCCCGAGCACTCTCCGACGAGGATAACTGCTGCTCTCGTGAACAGTTTCGAGACTTTATTCGCGTGTTGAGACGTTCGGATTCGTTCGAACGCAAAATAAAAGAGGAGAAGAACGGCGAAGTCACGCGAGAGCACTTCATCGAACTCTTCCGCGAGTGCAACAAAGAAAACAAAGGGAAACGATTCGAGTATAAGAAACTTTTGGAAATGACGGACATTCTGTTTCGGATTTTCGACGCCGACGGCAACGGATCCATCTCCATCGACGAGCTGAACGAAGTCAGACGATTGGTCTCCCGATGACGAGGACGTAAACGAGGACGTTAAACTACTAGGACGAGATGATATCTCTACTCATTAAAAAGCGCTAAATTCTATTCACCCAACACCGCCCCAACAACTGGCGGCGCCTTTCTCTTCTCCTCCAACGAAACTTTCCTCCGATTCTTCCACACGCCGCCGTACTTATAGTGCGGATACTCCGCGGTGCCATCCGTAACTCCGCCGGAAACGCTTCGCCAACATCCTTCCACGCATATCATATTCCAACGCTTCCCGCTGTCGATTTGACATCGGATTAACATCGCTCTCGATTTGCCGCATTTATCGCACAACTTATTCCCTCCTTCGCTCTGAATCGTCGTCGTCATCGTTTGCTGCTGCTCTCCCTCCGTTTTCTCTCCTCCTCGCTGCTGTTGCTTCTCTCGCTTCCTCTTCACGTTGCAACTCTTCGAACAGGTTGTGACTTCGTCCCAACATCGCTCCCATTTCTTCCTCCAAGTGAACGGGCGGTTGCACACCACGCAGACTTTTTCCGGCAGATTTTCTTTCTTTACATTCGCGGGCATTCTATTTGTCACTTCTTCTCGTATCGTTTGTTGTCTTCTATGACTTGTCGCGGTCGCGCTGATATCGTTCAACGACGACAGAAGAGGGTGACGACGACTCCTCCTTTTCTGATTCCCGAGACTGCGAAAGAGAAAAGACTTCAAAGACGAAGACGTCGTTACTTTCACCGCGTGCATGTGTTTTGGGTGGTAGGGTAGGGTCTCTCAAAGCAGCAGTCTGTCTCTCTCTCGCTCTCTTTCGAGCGGTCGTCCTCCCGGCGCTCAGAGAAGGCTTAAACCGTTGTTGTTGAAAAGCTTTTTTGTTCTGATGGATTTCCCCAAAAGAAAACGTTTTCTTTCTGATGACTTCATCATCGTCTTCGGATTCCGACGACGAGTTTGAGAACGAAAAGAATGATTACGATGTCACCGAAACCAAGAAAGGAGGGAACAAAAACGATGTCGATTTCCTGGTCCGCGAAGCCATGCGAGAAGAGAAATTGAAATTGAAATCGAAACTGAAAGAAAAGAAGCGAACGACGGTACTTCCCAACGGCGAGGATGATGACGACGACGGAGGCGCTTTGAATGGCGCGAACGCAAAGGAACCGGAAGAAGAGGCGATGATTGAGACGATTAAATCGAAAGAAACGATCGAGGACGCGACTCGAGCGAGGAAACGAGCGCGAACGCTTCTTGGGAAAGCCGATGACTTTAACGAGGAGGAGGAGGAAAAGGAGGAGAACTCTCGAGAAGAAGACGAGGAGGAGGAGGAGGAAGAGGAGGAGGTAAAAATGGACCGGTTTGACATGTCCAAAGAAGAGCAGGAAGGATATTTCGACCAAGAGACGGGAAATTACGTGGAATACAAGAAGGAGAAGAAACGGGCGGAGGACAGTTGGATCGACGAGACGACGAAAGAGGAGTACGAAAAGTTCAAGACGGTGAAACCGTCCTCGCAAAGGTTGATGGAGGCGGAGAAGGCGGCGGAGGAAGACGAGGAGATGAAATACGACCAGACCGAGGAGGGAGTGGCGAAATTGAAGAGACGGTTGGCGGAGTTGCTGGAAGGATCGACGGAGACGGCGCTGAGGGCGATTAAACGCGTCGGCGGCGGGAGCGGAGGACCGGGGAATACAAACAGTAAGAATAAGTACGTGTCGAAACAAAAATCAATGAAGAACGGGAAGACGAAGCAACAAGAAAAAGAAAGAGGAAAGAGTGTGAAATTAGAAGGCGAGAGTAAGAAGATATTTGACGAAATCACGGCGATTGCGTCGAGATTAGTCGCGGCTGGAGAGTACGGCGCGTACACCATCGAGAAGCAAATGTTGGAAAAATCGGCGAATCTGGTCTTGAAGTTGGAGGCAAAAACGACATACGAAGACGCCGAAGACGACATGTTCGCAGATTCCGACGACGACGACGAAGGTGTGAGAAAGAGTACGAAGAAAGGGTCCGCGGAAACAGAATCAGCAGGGGTAGCAGCAAGTGTTGTTGATCCGAAAACGTTTTCAATCAAAGAGCTTAAACGTTGTCTGGAATCCCACGGAAGAAGCATCGGCTCCGGCGGCGAAAGAATTGACATTGAAAAGATGTGTTTGGAAGCGTTAAAGTCGACAATTGCTCCCGATGGATTCGTGTACGATAAATCGACTGGATTATACTACGGCGAAGCTTCAAAAATGCACTGGCACTGCAAAGCGAATGTGTACAAAACGGAAGATGGGAACTGGTGGAAATACAATGGCCAAATGTTCGAAGCGGCGTCCGAACCGTGATTTTTAGTGCGCGTAGTATCGATAGATGATAGCATTCAAAACAGTAAACAACATCAGTAGAACTCATTTTAGCTCTCTTTCTACTTCAAAACATCGAACGATCGACCAACCTCTCGATACAACGCTCTCGTCTTCTCATCCGCTTCACTCTCGCCTCCCTCTTCGATCTCGTACGCTTGCGCGTTCACGATAAATAACGTTCTATCTCTCACCCCGACGTAATTATACACCCTCTTATTCCCATGCGTCGTAATCAACCTATACTCGTACTCGTAAAACGTCGTCTTCGTATCCACCGACTCGCGTTCGCTTTGGCGTTCCATAAACGTTCCGCCCGGCACGGTCGTTTGCTTCTTTGATTCCGCCTCCACGAGCTTTGCTCCGATGTCCTCTAAACTGCCAAACTCTTTGAGAGAGTCGATCCGTACCGGGGTCACCGTGACCCCTATCGATGCGTATTTCACGGACGGGTTTTTGAACAACGCCGTCGCGCCCGCTTTCTTCTCTAACACCCACTCGGTAGGGTAGGAGAGGTGGAAGTTGTTCGTTTCGTCCACGTATTCGGTTAAAGTCATCTCGTCCGCGAACGCTGCTATTCTTCTTCCGTTCCAAATCATTCCAAAGAACAAAAACTCTGATAAAAGCAAATGTTCCCGTCGAGAAGTCGTCGTTTTACTCGCACTCATCGCAGTCGCAGTCGTACGCGTCTTTTGTCCTCCTCGTCTGGTTTTCGTCGTCGTTTTCCTCTCGTCGTCGTCTGCATCGTTACCACGTGCACTCGAAGATGTTCTCGTCGACAAAGAGGCACACAAAGAGGACGACGACGACGCGTGTCGTCCGCTCTTCGCTCTCGTTTTCACAGTCGCCTTCGAGTGAGAGGAGAAGACGAGGACAGATAAAGAAGAACAGCGCGAAGACATCTCTCTGTTGCGAGAGATTTGGGGAACAAAAAGTGAGGGAAACTATCGTCAGACTTTGGACGCTTTGCGCGACAAATGAACGCCGGCGGTGGTGGTTTTGGTGGTGCGAGTGTCGTCCAACATGAACAACACGAACACCAGTACGACAACGCCAACCCGTTTTCGCTCGTGAATAACACGAATAATAAGAATAACAACACCAAGAGCAGCGTCAGCGTCTCCCGATCCCTGAGAGAATGGAAACGAGAGAAGGAAAGAGATGTCATGAAAAGCAACGAGATACTGAGAGATCCAATCGATGCCCGGGAGATTTTCTCGCACATAAAAGACATCAACGACCCGGAACACCCGTACTCGTTGGAACAACTCGCGGTCGTCTCGGAAGAGAACGTCAAAGTGGAGGACGAGTTATCGCGAGTGACGGTGTTTTTCACCCCAACGGTGGAACACTGCTCCATGGCGACCTTGATCGGATTGAGCATTCGCGTGAAACTGATGAGAGTGTTACCAAAAAGGTTTAAAGTCGATGTGAAAGTCTCCAAAGGCTCGCACGCATCCGAGGCGCAAGTGAACAAACAGCTCCAGGATAAAGAGCGAGTCGCGGCGGCGTTGGAAAACGGGAACTTATTGGAGAAGGTCGAGTTGACGTTGAGCGGGAAAACCGCGATGTAATAAAGCGAAAGTGCATCATCTAGAGCAGCGATACTATGTAGAGTAGAGAGAAAGAGAGCGTCGTCGTCTAAATCGTCGTCGCCGCCCAATGCGCGTATTCGCGCGTATACGCGTTGAGAGCATTTAATTGTGTATTTTAAAGAGCAGCAGCATCATCCAAATTTACCCGCACAAAATCACGCGCGAAAAGAATAACACTTAAAGAGAGAGAGAGAAAGAGAATCTCTACTACATCCTTTGCTCTCTGCTCGTTTACGTCTGAATCGTCCTCGCGCGTCTCGTCCCGCGTGGTGTTCCAGCAAAAGCGGATTAAGAAGACTTTTGCTCTAGGGAAATCGTACTAAAGAAGGGCCGCGTCTCTCTCTCGCACGATGAGACACGAGAACAACGTTCACCTTTTCGAAGCGTCCTCCTCTTCTTCTTCTTCTTCGAGGAAAGACAGGAAAGGATCCTCCTCTTCTTTGTCGTCTTCTGGGAGTTCACGTCGTTTACGTCGTTCACGTCGTCGGGCACTCGAAGTCCTCCTCGTGCTCTCCTCTTTGTCCGGGAAAGGCGCTCTCTGCGCGGAGAATGGGAACGCAAACAAGAACGACAAGAGCAAGAACAACAACAACAGCGCGAAAGAACAAACACAGTTTTTAACGGACGAGACGTTCAAAGACGCCATCGAGAAGTGCATGAGAACGAACCCGGTGGATGGGATGTGCGCGGAGCTTCCGAAATTCGGCGCCATGCCGAGGTGGGATACGAGCAAAGTGACCAACATGGACCTGGCGTTTGCGTCGTCGACGAGGGAGAGGAAAAGTCGAAAGAGCGAAACTTCTCACCCGGTGAAGTTTACCGAGTTCAACGCGGATTTATCGAAATGGGACGTGAGTTCAGTCACGTCTATGCGAGATATGTTTTCCGATTGCAGAGACTTTGAGGGCGTCGGTTTAGAGAGATGGAACACGGCGCGGGTGGAGACGATGGCGGGAATCTTTCGAAACTGCGAGACGTTCGCGACGGACGTTTCCTGTTGGAAAGGGAAAGCAACGGAAACGCCGATGAAGGACGCGGTGAAAGGCGCGGTTGCGTTTCAAAGAGCGTTTGTGTGCGAACGAGACCCGGCGGAGGGCGTTATGTTGAACACGTGCGCGCCGAACGAATCGATCGATTCGAGTTTAGGCGAAGACGAAGAAGACGAAGAAAAGAAGGAGAAGCTACCGTTGACGGACGAGACGTTCCACAACGCCATAGAGGAATGTTTACAATCCAACCCAATCGGTGGTATGTGTAAAGGAAGCGAGTACGGAATCATGCCCGATTGGGACGTTTCCAGAGTAACGGATATGTCGAAAGCGTTTTACGACATGTGGGACTTTAACGGCGATTTGAGTAAGTGGGACGTGAAGAATTTGAAAAACGCGCAGGAAATGTTTTACGGCGCGGATATGTTTAACGCGGACATATCGAAATGGAACACGCAAAACTTACAAAACTGTCAAGATATGTTCCACGACGCGAAAAGTTTTAATCGATCCATCGACCATTGGAAGACGCATGCGGTAACCAACATGAACGGAATGTTTATGGGCGCGAAGAAATTTAACAGCGATATTTCAAACTGGGACGTGCAGAATGTGCAATCTATGCGCGACATGTTCGCGGAAACGTTCAACTTTAACCAACCGATCGGCAAGTGGAACGTGAAATCTTGCCGAGACATGCGCTTCATGTTTAGCAAAGCGAAAACGTTCAAGCAAAAAATCAACAACTGGAAAGGTCCAGCCGCGAAAGAGGCGCAGTTTAAAATGTTCAGCGACGCGTACAGCTTCTTGGGCAAGTTTCGATGCGAAGAACAAGAGCACGGGCCGGCGCAATCGTGCAAACAACGCCAAGTGTACAACTCTAACGCGGCGGCGGCGTTGGGAGAAGCTAGAGGCACAACATTCGCCCCGGGGGCGTTGGGAGAAGCCGACGTGCACTTGGCCAGCGGCGCTATGTTTAGGCATAATCCAGTCAAGGAAGCCGTGGCAATGCTTAGCCTCATTACAATCGCTTTGGCAGGGTTCGTGTATACCACCAAAGTGGAAAATAATAACTATACCAAAAAACAAGTCATCACCAGCAGCCGCTATAAAACGACCGAGGACGACGAAGAGTCTCCCGGTATCTTGTAATAATACGAATGATCATAATAACAATCACATCAGCATACTAACCTATTACATACAGTATACAAGCGACGTAAATTTTCATAACAACGATGTGATGAATTCCTTCTTCTTCTTCTTCTTCTTCTAAAAGTACTTATTATCTAATCCTTTATTCTTTCTCTTCTTCTTAACCGACGTTCAGGCGAAAGACGTCGTTGAATATAAAATAACTCCCCGCGGGTAACCCGACCGAATCCGTCGGCATCAGCTGGAACGTCTGCGCAAACTTCTGCGGTTGCGTTTCGCTGTCAATCAGTAAGTTCCCGCACACGAACACCAACACGCCGCCGTTCGGCGTCGGTTGCGTATCGATGGTCACCACTTGGTGTTGGACTCTTTGGAACGGTAAAGAGACTAATTTTTCGACTATGGATTGGGCGCCTTTAAACTGCCCCGGGCGGGAGGCGGAGTGTTCAAAGTTCAGCATGGAGTGCGTTTCGTTGTATAAAGGGCCGAGTTGCGATCGGTCGCCGTCGAATTGTTGGTAGTAGTGCTGCGCGAAAGCCTGTTATTATACGCGCCGTCGTCGTGGGACAAAGGGGAGAGAAAGAGAAGATTTTTGCGTCAATCAAAAGCCATTAAAGCGGAGGAAAAGAGAGAGAGAAAGAGAAAGAGAAAGAAAGAAAAAGAAAGAAACGCGCACCTGCCCGACTTCTTCAAAGTTGGCGCATATGTTGCTCATCGCCGGTGTCGCCATTGTTGCGTGACTTTTGCGAAAGGCGCGTGTGAACAACAAACTTGTGGGGGAGAAAGAGGAACAAAAGAAATTGAAGCAAAAACGAGAAAGGCACGTATTCGTACGAACGCGATTATTAGTTACTAGTTTGTATGCACGATGCTCTGTATACAATGTCTCTCTCTCACTCACTCTCTCACTCACTCTCTAAATATAAATGATCTCTAAACCGCTCTTCCTTCAGTGCGAATGGTATCCTAGTTTTGCGCGAAACGCACTGTCCGACTAAAAACCGAATTGTTGATACCTTTGCGAAGAAGAGTTGTCTCTCTCTCTCTCCCTCTCTCTCTCTATTACGCCTCTCTCTTGCCCCTTGATAAAAAATACAAACGCGCATGGGTGACGTCATGACCTATCTTACCAACCACGCACACTTCGACACCTTATTATATATTCTCTTTCTACGTCTTTAAACTATTTCGACACGAGCATTTAGTTCGCAGCCTCCTTCCATCCAGAGAGTTGGTCGATGCCCATCGCAGACATAATCGTCACCACAACTTCCGCGCCTTCGTCAAACTTCTTTTGCACTTCTTGCGCTAAAGCAAACGCAGAGTCCCCGGATCTGTCATCCGGTAACTTCAAATCTTCTCTCGTGTCTCCCTTTTCATCCATCAAAGACATGTGGTCGTCGTCGTCGATGTCCAACAACGTGTATTCCGCCTTGGAGACGACCGGAACTTCCAAGTTGTGGCCAGCTGGGACGAGTTCGTCGCATCTTTTGCCGGTGAAGATGTCTTCGGCGACAAAGTGGCACTTGGCGTGACCGTGCTTGCCGGTTTTGGACGTGGAAACGTCGATGACCTGTTCGCGAAAAGTGAATTGTGAGTATTGAAGAGAGGAAGAGGCAAGAGGTGAGTACAACAAAAAGAGAAAAGTGAGAGGGTTTTTTTGAACGCAATCGGGCGTAAAACGCATAATGAAACGTTTCAGACGCCACCACAAAAACTCGAAAAGAGTGAAACGCGTGGGAGCGCATTCAAAACGCGCGTAAAATGCCCAACAATCCGTTCGCGACTGGACGGGCGCGCACGAATTCGTTTCATTTTTCGACACAAATGCGAAAAAATGATGGAGGAAGCGCGTACCTTGCACGCTTTGCCTTTGATGACGATGTAGCCACCCTTACGGACGGAACCGGCTTGCATCGGTACCGTTTTAGAGGCACCGGCATCGGTAGATTCAAAAGTTTCGACTTCGTGGTCGCTCATTGTTCGCAAGTGTGTGTGGTGTTTTGAGTTTCGTTGGTGATAAATGAATGAGGAATTCAACGAGGGGAGTGTGCAAAAAAATAAAGGGGGGAAAGGAAAAAAAAAAGCAGAAAGGAAAAAAAATGTCGTTTGCTTTTACTTTCTCTCGTATTCTCTCTCTCTCTCTCTCTCTCTCTCTCTCTCTCTCTCTCTCTTATTACAAAAACACAGTAGTAATTCGCTGTTTATCTCGTTCACTTGCAGTCGTTCTTTACTTTGTCGTGTCTAAAATGTACGTTCGAAACGAATCCAACATCCGTTCGTATGTGTTTCTTTCTTTCTTGTACACGTTATCCGGCGCGGAAATGATCAAAGCAAAGAGCCTCCCGGTGCTATCTACGGTCGCTTTGACCCCGTAATAAATAGCCGCCTCGATATCGTACTGGATGTATTCTTGTCCCTCAACGTTTGAGCGATTGGTTTTCACTAAACCGTTCAAAAGTGCGTCTTGTAAGTTTGGATCCGAACCGGCTAAGGCGTTGATGGTCGTGTCTTGCAACGAAAACTCTTGCCCGTCTTCGCCGGCGCGATTTAAAGTTACCAACACAGCTTTGACGCCTTTGACGCCTCGCGGGACCCATCGAGAGTCTTGCCCACCCGAGCCCTTTTCAACTTTCGACGTCGGCTCTTCTTTCCACGTGGACGGAACTTCGTAGGAATATTTCGCTCTGTTTGGCGTCGTTCCGCCGACTTTGCCGTACGTGGCGGGAGGTTCCGCCGCCCCGTAAAAAGTGGAATACGTGACCGGTTGCGACGCTTCGTCGCCACCCCCTGACGCGGTACCGTACGCGGCAAATGCAGCCGGAATAGTTTGTTCGTTAAAAAGGAGAGTCGTCCCGGCCGCCGCGGCGAGAGCGAACGCTTGTCGTCTTTTCACGGTTGCAGGAGAGGAGAAGAGACCAATTTTTTCATCATCACGAGAGGAAGAACGGGACGAAGACGAGGCTTCTTCATCGGGTTCTTCGCGCGCTTTCGCGATGACGACGATGCTCTTTTTCTTCTGCGTTTTTCGAACAGATTGCGGGGCAACCGCTCGCGTCATCATCGTCGTCGTCATCTTCATCATCATCGTTCTTCGTCAGAGATACGGTTTGGTTTTATAACTGAATTGACCCGTCGTGTGTATCACAAACGGGAGAGATAGTCTCGAAGAATAACAACAAGAATACCAACACGAACACCCTCTTCTCGAGTGCAAGAGGAAACGATCCTAAAAGTCTCTCTCTGAAACTCTCTGCTCGCAAAGGAAGAGACGGACTTTTGTGAAGAATAATTTGATCGCAATTTCTTCCCATCATGTGACACGTGGACAAAAGCAGCACAAAACGATAACGAGACGTAAACGACGAAACTGAAACGAGCATCAGAAGGACGCACGACACTTAAGAAGAAAGAAGAAGATCATTATTTCGTCGCTCTTCGTGATGTAGGTGTGAATAGGAATTTCTATGATGTTACAACTGTGTGGTCTTACGTATACGCGCTCTTTCTCGAGTACAAACGCGAAGCGAAGAATATTATCGCGTTAGTGCGCTCCTCCGCCCCCGACGCGTTTATGCACGAACCATTCGTCTCCGATTAACATCGGTCCTTTCCCTTCCTCTAATCGTCCCCAGATGACGATCGAATCGTCGTCTGGATCGGTCACGCCAACCACTCGATATTCCATCTCGCTCGTCACCACGCACGGCGATTCTTTGGTTCCTTTCGGCGCTCGGGTGAAATCGTAGTGGTCGAAAATGTCTTTCCCCGAGGCGAGACCTTCCAACTCGGCGCGGTATAAACCCGTTGAGTGTTCGAAATCGGTCACCACTGCATCCGTCGAGTACTGTTTTTGATGTTGTATTCGTAGTAATAATATTAATAAGAGAGAGAAAGAAAGAAGAGAGGAGAGAGGGTCAGCGCACGACGAAAGGGGATCTCCCTTCTTTCACGGGGACGAAAGAGATCACATCGAATCGCATCAAACATCGTTCTAAAAATGAAAAACGAACGCGTCGCGTACCAAGAGAGCCCCGCGAGTATTGCCTCCTCCTCGTCCGGAAGAGGACGCCGCGCCTCTGTGTGAAAAGGACGCCAAAGCGCCTCTGCTTTGCAAAGTTCGCTTCGCTAAGTATCTGAGCATGAGTGTATACTTTTACGTATGAAATGGCGACGTTTTTTACTTCGAGAAGGAAGAAAAAAAGAGAAAACCAACCCCCCTTTTTCCTTCCTCGTGAAACTTCTTCTTCTCGCTTCATAAAAAAATTAAGAAAAGGTACGCTCAAAATAGACACACGTGTGTATTCTCTCTCTCTCTTTCAAATCCGTTCGTTTTCGCGCGAACGAGAATAGGTTGAATTGAACGCGCGATGGAGCGGTTGCAAGCGCCGTTCGCGTTTGGTTCTTCGGCGCTGCTCTCGTTGAGATTTTTCATTTCATTTTTTTTTGCTTGTTTGCGCAGAGAAAACTCGCCTCTTTTTGCCTTGAGAGAAATGTGCTGCGCGATGAGGATGAGTGTGTTTTATTTGATGAGATGCGAAGATACGAACGGGCGGATGCGACTGTTTTTGTATCGTTGTGAACGTATTCTTTGCGGATATTATGGTCGTTTCCTGGTGTGGTGGTGTTTTGCGCACACCGACGACGAGACGACGGACGCGCGATTTTGGTCCTAAGAGAAAAGACCTTTTTGGGACTGTGTGTTGTGCAAATGTCTTCTGCAACGAAAAACGTAACAAAAAGCAGAATACTGACCTCTTCTTTTCTCTTCTTTTCCAAAAAACAACAGAACACTAACTTGCAAACATGGGTCGCATGCACAGCAAAGGAAAAGGGATGTCCAAATCGTCCATCCCTTTCAAACGATCGGCGCCGCTCTGGTGCAAAACCTCCCCGGATGAAATCAAAGACATGATCGCGAAGATGGCGAAGAAAGGCATGACGCCGTCGCAAATCGGCATCATCTTGAGAGATAACCACGGCATCCCGCAAGTGTCCACGGTGACCAACTCCAAAATCATGCGCATCTTGAAGGGTCAAGGTTTGGCGCCGACTTTGCCGGAAGATTTGTACTGTTTGATCAAGAAAGCCGTGTCCGTGCGCAAGCACTTGGAGAGAAACCGCAAGGACATGGACTCCAAGTTTCGATTGATTTTGATCGAATCCCGAATCCACAGATTGGCGAGATACTACAGACTCGCGAAGAAGTTGGAGCCGAACTGGAGGTACGAGTCTTCGACAGCCTCCACGCTCTTGACGAAGTAAATGTGTATCATTACACGCGTATATATACTAGAAAAAGAGAAGAGAGAGTGGACCGAGAGATAGCAAGAGAGAGGAGAGGGTGTTTGGAGAGAAAGAGAGAACAGGAGAGATTGATGAGACGCGCATCATCATCATCATCATCATCAGTATCGGATGGTAAATACAACGTAGCTAGATTTTTGAAATTATATTGAATAAGTAGCATCTTTATATAAAACAATACATAGCGCTCGCGAAGCACACACCACCCAGTTCGTTCTCAAATCCAATTCAATTCCTCAGAACATCTCTCACTATATATAATCACACACACGTATCTACGCTTTCCTAGTAGCGAGCACTCATCAAACATGCCTCCGAGGAGAAAAACGTTCTCCTCCCCCTCCCCTTCTCCTGCGCTCACCGCCGAAAAAGATCGTCGTTTACGTCGTCGTTCTTCGTCTTCCCCTCGCCTCCCGAAGGAAACTCATGACAAGAACGACGACGACGACGACGACGAGTCAGAAGAGGAAGACATTCAACCGACGATGGAAAAGAAAGGCGTTCGACGATTCCCGTCGTCCTCTTCCCCGAATAATACTAATACTAAGCGGCAGAAGATGTCGACGATGACCAACGCGTACGAGGAAACGAATCTGGTCAAGACTGAATTCGTCCAACAGTTCAAAGCGCAAAGCAAACGCGCGATGAAAGCGGAAGAGGAGAACGTCGATTTACGCATGAGATTGGCGGAGAGCGAACTGAAAAGAGTTTCCACGGAGGCGAAGGTTTTGGCGATGATGCCTGAGTCTTCTGCGAGAGGAGGAGCAAAGACGAAAGAAGAAGAAGAAGAACAACAACAACGACGAGGGAAGAAGAGGAGAAGCGCGTCGCCGATGGTTTCGCCGAGGAGGAGGTCGACCAGAGCGACGAGTGTGGATAAAGAGAAGGAGACGAGTGCTATTAATAGTAACGACGATGCTGCGATTGTTTTGGCGACAACAACCGCGAATAATAATAATAATAAGCAGCAGCAGCAGCAGCAAAACTATTCGCCTTCGATGATAAAACGAGAAGTCGAGGCTCGAGAACTGGCAGAAACCGAACGCGATAAACTTCGCGAGCAGTTGCTCGCTTTGAAAACGAGACACGCAGCTCTGGAGAAGAAAGTGATGGACGACGAAGGCGACGAGTTGGAGGATAAGGTGAGAGAAGAAAACGAGGTTATTGAAAAATTGCGCAAGAGATTGGAAAAAGCGGAAACGGTCAACGCCGAGTTGGAGATGGAAGTCGCGGATTTGCGAGGGAAAAGAAACGAGAGGAAAACGGTCGAGGCAAAGTTAGAGGAGGCTTTAGAGATGAACGAGGGGCTGAAGAGCGCGCTCGAGGAGGAAAAGAAAGCGTTGTTGGAGAATACGAATTTGAACTCGTTGCCGAAATCGCCCGGCGGCGTCGGCAAGAAAGGAAAAGGGAAGAAAAACGACGATGAAAAAGAACACACGATTAGGATTTTGAGGCAAGAGATGAAAAGTTTAGAAGCGTCGGCGTCGAGAGGTGACATGTTGCACTCGAAGATGGTTTCCGTGGAAGCCGTGGAGGAACGTTTGCGCTCGACGGAGGCGAAATTATCGCGCGCGAAGGAAAGCGTACGCGCGAAAGAGATTGAGAACGAAAAGTTACAGCGTGCGTTGATGAATGCCGGGAAATGGACGTCGGCGTCGTTGTTAGATGAAGGACCGGAGGAGTTGAAGAACAGAGTTGGCGTGTTACAAACGGAAACCATAGCTCTTTCCGAAAAGTTAGCCGAGGCGACGAAAGCGTTGAAAGTCGAACAGACGAAGAGAGAGTTATTCGAATCTAAAGCCAAGGAGGAAGAAAAACTGAAAGACGCGTTGGAAAAAGAGTTGGAAACGGCTAAAATGGACGCGTTAAACGCGAAATCGATCGTCGAAGCGAAAGACTCCGAGATTGCCAGTTTACAAAAGATGGCTGAAAACGAGAGAAAAGGCGAGAAGATTTTACAAACGAAATCGAGCCCGTTTACGAACGAAATCATCCGAGGCTTGGAAAAAGAAATCACCAGGTTGAAAAACAACAACGGCAATAATAATAACATCAATAACAACACTTCTTCCTCGTCGGATGACATCATATCAAAGTTACAAAAGAAAGAGCAGCGTTTACTGATGGCGTTCAAATCCACGGTGCTCAAATTTCGCGAGGCGGTGAAACTTTTGTTTGGATTTAACATCGAACTGGTTGGCGAAAAAGCGTCAAAGACGCAATTTTTAATCACGAGCAACGCGAACGAACACGCGTGTTTGTTGTTCAATTACGACGAGGCGAAGCATTCAGTCTCGCTGGAAAAAAATGACCCGTCCTGGGAGAAACAAAGCGAAAGTTTAAAGAAAAATTTTACGCTGTACGTCGAGAAAGAAGACGACGACGACAAGAAGAAGAGCATTGCCGGAGTGCCGGCTTTTTTGAGCAACTGGAACATGGAGTTTTATAATAACAATAGTGTTAACAAATAGTAATTTAGATCACAAGAACATGTGATGGATGATGATTGTAAAAAGTAGTACTCGTCGTAGTTTTAAAAAGTGTTTGTGTGTGTAGTACGTAGCCCGCGCGAACGACCGAACTTGAAACCCTAACTTGTTATTGTTTATGAACATTAATTTCAGCCTATCTTGGGATACTTAGACTTTCATCACAAAAGATGTGGCCTTTGGGGTGTTAGCTCAGTTGGTAGAGCGTGCGCTTAGCATGTGCAAGGTCAGGAGTTCGACTCTTCTACGCTCCATTCTCTTTTTTTTTGTCGCGTACCGCGTGTGCGCGTAGGAGCGCTTCGCTGCGTGTGTCTTTCGTTCTCTGTTTCATTTCTATTTTCCTCGCATTTGATTTCATTTTAAAGGGGGGATGGAGATGGAAAAGATTCTCTCCATTAAATTAAAACGTATTGACGCGACAAAAACACAAAGCAACGAGGCAGAAAAGAACGCGATGAAGAAGAGGTAGAAGAAGCGACGATGGAGCACAACAACAACAAGAAGAAGAACAAGAAGCGGAAAAAAGAAAGAAACGTCGCGTTGTCCTCCTCTTCGATGGATACATTTCAACACAAAATCTCCTGTCCAATTTGCAAAGAACTGTTCCACTTACCCGTCGCCCTCGTCCGGTGCTCCCATACGTTTTGCAGCAAATGTTTGAACGAATACATGAAGACGTTTCAAGACGATAAGAAACGAAACTGTCCGAGATGTAAAGGCCCGGTGACAGACGAGAAGGATTGGGACGGGACCGGGGAAGTGGCGTTGAGACCGAACCGAGAGATGGAGGAGATCGTGGAGAGTTGGAAAGGAAACGTGTTGGAGCCTCTCTTGTTGGTGGATGCGGGGAGAGATAACGAAGACGACGAACAAGAAGAAGAAGAAGATGAAGAAGAAGAAGATAAAGAAGAAGAAGAAAAAGAAGGCGATAAAACAACAACAACAGTCATAAAAAAACTACCGAACCCGATTCCACCGCCGACGAAATACCACCTGCTCCCGAAAGCGAAGCAAGCGGAGAAAACGAGAAAGACGAATGAGTTACGCGACGACTTGGAGAAAAAATACGGATTCGACGGGAGGACGTTAAAGGGACAAACGTACGACCAGTTGAAATCGAAATACGTTGAGTTTAGAGACACGTATAACGCGGAGTTGAAGTTGTTTCAACGGAAACCGGACATGAAGAGCGTCGTGAAAAACATGGAATCGATCGAAACCGCCATTCGCGAAGAAGCCGAGAAAAAGAACGCTAAGAGAGTGAGCAAGGCGACGGCGTTCTTCAACCCAAAAGGAAATAATAACAATAGCAATAACGATAGAAATATAATAGATCAAGAGTTGATGAGGAAGTTGGTCGAGCAAGCTGGTAGAGGCTTGTCAAAAAAGATAGGACTACAACTAGAAGAGCGCGATAGAAAAAAGATGAAGAAAGAAGAAGAAACGATCATAGAAATATTAAGCGACGACAACGAGGAAGAAGACGAAGAACCTCTGCCGCTCTCGCAACCCAATCTGAACTACGTCGACTCCGAGCAGGAAGAGGAGGAAGACATTGTAAAAACACAAGAAGAAATTTTACTTTAAAAAAAAAGATTCAAGTCAACTCTCTCGCCGGCAAATTATCCAACCATAACTGATGCGTAAACTGGTACAAATCGCCAGACACGCTCACTTTATACGGCGTCGGATTCGTGTATCTCAAATGATCCGCTCGCATCAGTTTCACTTGCTCTTTTACCCTCAATCTACTTTTTTCTAAACCTACGCTTTCCTCGTAAAATTTTCGAGGACACCCGCCTTTCTCGCCGTCCCAACACACCAACAATAACTTCTCCACTTTCGCGGGAGTGACGAACGCCCGTTTACCTTCTAAAAACGGGTGTCTGCACAACACGCGTTCGCCAACCTTCGGTTCTTTTTCGTCCTCGCGAAGCATGACGTCCACGATCGGTTCGCCAATCTTTCCGTAAAGTCTGTAACACTTCTTCTTTCCCGGAATGGTGACTTTCTCTACGTCTTCGGATAATTTAATCCGAGGTGTTTTATCGATTTCTACGAGTTTATACACGCATCCCAACGCCGGTTGCGCCATGCACGTCACCAAGTGCGTCCCGATGCCAAACGCATCGATCGAGTGACCGCTTTGTTTCAATTCTCTCAACACGGTTTCGTTGATATCGTTCGAGGCGGTAATTTTCGTCTCCGCGGCTAATCCTTTCGCGAGTAACGAAAAATGTTTTCCCCGACGCTCTAAACACTTCTCCGCTTCAATCATAAACTCTCTAATCATTAAACTCAAATAACTCAAATCTCCGGAATCTATTCTCACCCCAACGGGTTGAAACCCACACTTCTTCAACGTCAACGCCACGGCGACGTAATTAGGCGTCCCCGATTTCAACGTGTCGTACGTATCGATTAAAGCTAAAAACGAATTCGGAAACGCAATCGCGTACGCGCAAAACGAGATCAGCTCGCTCTCATTCGTTTCCCCGAATTGATACGCCGCGCTATTGTTACTATCACTACTCACCATCGCCTCTCTCAACTCTTTCAACATTTCCCTCGCCTCTTTGCAAAAATCCTCGCACTCGCCAACTTTCCTCCCGTGGATATCGTCCCACTTCGAGTGCGCTTGCACGAAACTGTGCGCGTGCGTCCCTCTCACGGGAATCCCAAACTGTCTCCCAGCCTCGCAATTCGACGTCGCGTCGAAACCTCCAACGTACGCGTACCTGCTCGCGCTCACTCCCCCGTCCACGCCTTGCGCTCTCCGTAAACCAAACTCCAACAACTGCGCCTCGTCGCCGCACGTTAACCGATGTCGAGCCGCGTTCGTGGCGACTAAAGACGCGTAATTAATCAGAGTGAGTAAAGTCGTCTCCAGAAGTTGCGTCACGCCCAAAGGTCCGCTCACGTGGATCAGAGGTACTCTCGGGAACACCACGGTGCCTTCTTTGATGCCTTCGATTGTGATTTTCGAACAGTCCACTGAACTTAAATACTCGTCGAAGAACCTCGGGTCCATCTCTTTCGCGAAATCGCACTCGCGCAAATACTTCACGTCTTGTCTCGTGAATTTAAAGTTCGAGACGAACTTTAAACTCTCCTCTAAGCCGCAAAAGATGGTAAACTCTCCACCGAATGGGTTTTTCCGGAAGAGTAAATCGAAACTCGCCGTGCGTTCGTGCGTGTTGTTTTTCCAATACGCGTACGCCATGGTGATTTGGTACGCGTCCGTGAGCAACGCGGTGGCGAGGTTGTTCGAGCACGGAGGGAGTTTGATATGTTGTTGGTCTTGGGAGTGCACGTCATCGTCTCTGTCTCTCTCGTCTGAAACCATCATCCGTGTCTCTCTTCACACCGCCAGGCTGCTTCTGCCTTCTTTCCAAAAGTCTGATCTTTGGGGAAAATTCGAAGCATTTCGATACAAAATTCCGCAGAAATTTCACGCGCAAAAGCACACATGGAGAGCATCAACCGCGCGCAAGAAGCGCCAAAAACCGGCACGACCATCGTGGCGTGCGAATACGCGGGTGGTATCGTCATCGGCGCGGACACGAGAGTCTCCACGGGTACGTTTTACGCGTTTTTATTCTCTTCTTGGACAGATCTCTCATCTCACCTTTTTCTCTCGTCTCTCTTAACGTACTTCGATATAAACAGGAACGTACATTTCCAACCGAGCGTCGGATAAGATGTGCAACTTGACCGAAAACGTCGTCATGGCTCGATCAGGCTCCGCCGCGGATACCGAAGCCGTCGCCGGGTTCGTCCGGCACCACTGCGCGCAACGCGAGATTGAATTAGCACACGGGGAAACCATGGAGGTGAAACAAGTCGCCAGGATATTGACCAAGATCAACTACGAGAATAAAAACGCGAACAACGGGACCGGGTTAGGGTGCTACGCGATTGCCGCCGGGTGGGACGAGAAATTTGGCGCGCAGGTGTATTCGTGCACGGCTGGAGGGAACATGATCAAGACTTCGTGGACGACGGACGGAAGCGGCTCGACGTACATCTGGGGGTTTTTAGACTCCGAGTTCAAGGAACGGATGACGAGAGAGGAGTGCGAGAAGTACGTGTTGAAAGCGTTAACGCTCGCAATGGCGGTGGATTCCAGCTCAGGTGGGTGCGCTCGCTTGTGCACGGTGAACAAAGACGGGTGTTTTCGACGGTTCATTAAAGGCGACGAGTTGGAAAGGCAGCTCGGAGAGATTCACTTCAAAAGCGGCGGCGGCTTAGGCAAAGGCGTCGTCTACGGCGAGAAGAGCGGCGGGGTAGCCATTTAAGTTTTTTCATCAGCATTGCTCTCCCTCTCGCAGTAGTATAGCAGACAAATAGTAGTATACGAACGTTTTCGTCGCGTGTAATAATTAGTAGTAAATATATATGTGGACGTGCGTTTAACCGCGTTCGCGTCGAGATACCTTACAAAACCAACACATCCCATATAGGGAATAAACCACTTCAAATCGCACATAATCAAATGTCTTCGACGACGCCGAAGAAAAAGCAGCGAGTACAAGTTTCCCTCGATGGTGACGATGCGAACAACAAAGAAGAAATGATGATGATAAATCCGTACACTCATCAGCCGTATTCTCAAACCTATCTGAACATCCTCGAGACGAGGCGAAAGCTTCCCGTGTGGAAACAAAAATCGGATTTTCTTCACCAGTTGGCGGCTTCGCAGACTTTAGTGCTCGTCGGGGAAACCGGTTCGGGGAAGACGACGCAGATCCCGCAATTTCTCGTCGACGCCGGGTACACGAATGAAGAATCTAAGATGGTGGTGTGCACGCAACCGAGACGCGTGGCGGCGATGTCGGTGGCGAAACGAGTCGCCGAGGAGATGGACGTGCAAATAGGGGAAGAGGTTGGATATTCGATTCGGTTCGAGGAGTGCACGTCGCGAAAGACGATCATGAAGTACGCCACGGACGGGATGTTACTCAGAGAAGCGATGACAGATCCATTATTGAGTCGATATTCAGTGATTGTGATCGACGAAGCGCACGAGAGGACGTTAGCGACGGACGTTTTGTTTGGATTGTTGAAGGAGGTGTTGAAGAAGCGACCGGAGGATTTGAAGTGCGTGGTGATGTCGGCGACGTTGGAGGCGAAGAAGTTTCAGGGGTATTTTGAAGGCGCACCGTTGGTTATGGTTCCGGGGAGAACGCATCCGGTGGAGATATTTTACACGCAAGAACCTGAGAGAGATTATTTGGAAGCGGCGATTCGGACGGTGGTGCAAATACACCGGTGCGAACCACCCGGGGACGTGCTTTTGTTTTTAACCGGCGAGGAGGAAATCGAAGACGCGTGCGGGAAGATTAGGAACGAGATTAAGAATATCGGGGACAGCGTCGGGCCTGTGAACGTGGTGCCGCTATATTCGACGTTACCGCCGAATCAACAGCAGAGGATTTTTGATAAAGCGCCGGACGCGTTAACCGTCGGAGGCGTCGCCGGGAGAAAAGTGGTCGTGTCCACGAACATCGCCGAGACGTCTTTGACGATTGATGGGATCGTCTACGTCGTCGACCCGGGGTTTTCGAAACAGAAAGTGTACAATCCTCGAAGTCGAGTGGAAAGTTTATTAGTCTCGCCAATTTCTCGAGCGTCGGCGCAACAAAGAGCCGGGAGAGCCGGGAGAACCCAACCCGGGAAGTGTTTTCGATTATACACGGAACTTTCCTTCAAGAAAGATTTAATCGAACAGACGTACCCGGAGATTTTGCGATCGAATTTAGGCTCGGTCGTCATCCAGTTGAAAAAATTAGGCATCGACGACTTGGTCCATTTCGATTTCATGGACCCTCCAGCGCCGGAAACGTTAATGCGCGCGTTAGAATTGCTCAACTATTTAGGCGCTTTAGACGACGAAGGCGAGCTGACGAAAGCCGGGAAAATCATGTCCGATTTCCCGTTAGATCCTCAGTTGGCAAAGATGTTAGTCGGGAGCACAAAGTTTAAGTGTTCGAACGAAATCGTGACCATAGTCGCCATGCTTTCCGTTCCGCAGTGTTTCATTCGCCCGCGAGACGATCAACAAAGAGCAGACGCCGCGAAGGCGCACTTTGCGCATTTGGACGGCGACCATTTGACCATGTTGAACGCCTACCACGCGTTCAAACAAAACGGCGAGAGCCAAAACTGGTGCTGGGAAAACTACTTAAATCACCGATCGTTGAAATCCGCGGATAACGTCCGCAACCAGTTAGTCCGCTTATGTCAACGCCACGGCGTCCTCCTCGAATCCACCGACTTCCACTCTAAAGACTATTACGTCAACATCCGCAAAGCCATCTTAAACGGCTTCTTCATGCAAGTCGCGCACAAAGAACGAAACGGCTCGTACTTAACCGTCAAAGACAACGAATCGGTTTTGTTGCACCCGTCTACGAATTTAAGCGGTAAACCCGAGTGGGTCGTGTACAACGAGTTTGTCTTGACGTCCAAGAAGTACGTCCGGACGGTCACGGAAATCAAAGGCGAGTGGTTAATCGACTTGGCCGAACATTATTACGATTTGAGCAACTTCCCGAGTTGCGCCGCCAAAAACGCGTTGCAGCAGCTGTACACGCAACGAGAGAGAACGCATAAGGGTGGTAAGAAGTAGATACTTTATCACATACATAGCACGTACTCGACAACATTTTTTACGCGATGTGTGATGTTTTTTGCACACATCTCGTATATGTATTTTGTCTTCATTCTCTTCCCCGAGCGCTTACACGCGAGACACAAAACACCACTAAAAACATCCTCCCTCTCTTCATCATGCTCTGAATAAGAAAGACGACGGACGAATTACAACTATGTATTCCTCCGTCGCCGAGAAGAACAACACTTTCGACGACGAGACTACGAATAACAGCACGACTAAAAACGCGTTCTCGCTTGCGGAAAAGAAGTATCGGTTGAAAGTGATTGAAACGATTCGCGTGGACGCGAAAACCGGACGCAGACGGAAGAGCGGGAAACTGGTGGAAGAGATTGACGTCTCCGAAACGATTGATTTTGACGAATGTGTTGGTCACGAATCGTCCTCCGCGATGCGTGTTTCAAAGCTTAAGGAGGAAGAGAAGAAGCAGACGTTTAAGGCAAAAGGAGGAGTCGAAGAGGTGGCGGCTTTCTCTCGTTTTGCGAACGCGCCGTCGAGAGAAAGACCTCGGGTGTGGAAGTTATTGGACCACCCGGGCGCGTATTACGTCCAAAACGCGTTAGATTTACGAGAGCAGAGAGAGTTAATCATGCATTGCGTGAAAATACTCCCGGAACGACCAAATAAAACGAATCATTGGCAAAGATTGGGGAAACCGTTGCCGGCGGATTTGTATCGAGCGGCGAAAGCGGGTTTGTATTTAAACGAAGAGGAAAACGGGTGGATGGAGTTAGAGAAACCTCCGAAACGAGGCGACGGGATGGAATCGAGAGCGGCGAGACATTTGTTGAGGAAGTTACGTTGGGCTACGGTAGGGGCACCGTTCGATTGGACGAAGAGAGTTTACGAGGAAGAGCGAGCGCCGGAGGTGGACGAGAGGATTAAACGAGCGTGCGTGAAGACGCTGGAGATTGTGTTCGGGAAAGAAGCTGCTTTCGTTGAAAAAGGAGAGGATAAATTCTTCGATGGGCAAGTCGGGTTGGCGAATTTCTACGCTCCCGGAGACACTTTAAACGGTCACGTGGACGACGCGGAGATGAACTTGAGTAAACCGATCGCCTCGCTTTCGCTCGGTTTGCCGGCTATTTTTCTCCTCGGGCAAAAATCGAAAGCCTTAAAGCCGGTGACTGCTTTAATCGTTCGCAGCGGAGATGCGATCGTGCTCAGCGGTGAATCTCGAACGATGTTTCACGGCGTCCCGAGAGTCTTTAGCGACGGCGAAACGTTGATGAGTTCCTCAAAAACCTTTCGGTTTCCGGAAGCGCTCGAAAGCGCGTTCGACGACGACGACGACGAATTCCTTCTCAACTTTGCCAAACGAACACGAATCAACCTCTCGTTGCGCGACGTCAGATGAAATAATAATAATAATAAGTAGTAGTAGTAATAGTAGTAGTAGCAGAAGTAGTAGTATCAGTAGGAAAGTATCAGTAGTATAGCGTGTTGTAAAATTAATTAGTATGGATAGAATGTGTAAAGTCTCTCTCTCTGTCTCTCCCTCTCTTCTTACTCCTCGTTCTCTCTTTCCTTCTCTCTCCTCTTTCTCTCTTTCTTCGTGATTTTCTCCCCGTTCTCGTCTTCCTCCTCGTCCTCTCCGGGTTCTCCCGGGTTTTCTTTCCTTTCCTGTTCCTCTTCCTCCTCGTCCGGCATTTCCGGATCTCCCGGTAAAGGGTTCGGCATCGGCTGTTTGATTTCCTGCAAATCCGGGAAGATATCCGGGCGTCTCGAAGGCACCGCGCGGACGTATTCTTCCGGTAAATCGAGGACCGAACCTTCGTCTTCGTCCGCGTCTGGCATTGGCGACATAGATCTGATGATCTTCGTCTTTGTTATCTTTGTCTTTGTTTTGCTGCTTCTTCTTAATTGCGCCGTCGTTGAAATTTTCTTCTCGCCGGGGATGATGTTGGTGTTCTTATTCTTCGTCGTCGTATTAGTACGACGAGTGCTCCCGGAGGCGAACGCGCTCGACGTCGCTCGCGTCGCGGTGGTGGTGAATGCCGCTACGCTTTGCATTTTTGCTCTTCTCGCTTTATGTGTGTAACTTTATTACGTGTGAAGTTTACATGAAGAGAAAAAGAAGATAAAATGGAAGACTAAAGAAACTGGGAAAGAAGTCAAAGAGATCAGAGAAAAAAAGCGCAGAAAGAGATATAAAGAAGAGAGAAGTTTGGAGACGACGACGACGACGACGACGAGGAGAAGATGTACACGGAGAACATCGAGGCGTGCACGTAAAAGCGCGCAGAGTGCGCGACACCCGTGAGAGTCGCGGCGCTGATTTTGCCTTGAGTAAGATACGGAGAGAATACAGAGAGAGAATATCAGAGAGTAGTGTTTTTTGCATTTTTACGAGTATGAAAAAAAAGAAGCGTTTGGAAGCGAAACGAAGGACATTTCTCTTCACTGATAAAAAATGGCGAAGCTCGGGGAAGGCGATCAAAGATGGATCGTGGAAGAACGGAAAGACGGCGCGAACGTCCACGGATGGCACTGGGTGGAGAAGGATTGCAAAGAATGGACGAGAGTCTTTTTCGAGTCTGAGTTCGTTTGTGGTTGTGGGGACGATTTGGGGGACGACGACGGGGAGAAACAAAGTTCGTTTTTGGACGATGATGATGATGCAAATGGTGTGAGATTTGTGAAACCGTTGCGAATCACCGGCGAAGCGTATTTGAACCAAAGAAAAGGAAAAATCATACCCGGGTACGAGTTGGAACTCTCCATCGATTACGAGCTCGAAGGCGAGCGCGTAGGGACGATGGTGTTACCGTACGTGAGCGATGAAAACAGAGGGGAGGATACCGAAGTAAAATTCAGTCCAAAGGACGAGAGCGAGAAAGCGAAGAAGGCGAAGCGATGGATCGAAGAGAAGAGCGGGAAGGAGAAAGTGCGAGAGGTGGTGAAAAAATGGGAGGAGGAAATGGCGAGAGGGACGCCGGCTTTGGCCGCGAAGACGTCGGGAGAGAATGGTAGTGATAGTGCGAACAGCGACAGAGCGACGGAGGAAGCGGCGGCGAAACAAAAACCAAAACAGACGACGGCGAAAGGAAAGACGGAACACGAATATAAAAGCGCGCCGCTGTCGACGAAATATCATACCATAAAAATCAAAGAAAAGTTTTTGTGTCGGGCGACGGACGTGTGCGAGGCGTTGCTAGACCCAAGGCGTGTGATGCATTTCACGAGAACGAAATGTACGGGCCAGAAAGGCGTAGGAAAATTTGAAATGTTCGATGGAAGCGTTCGCGGCGAAACGATTACATTCATAGACGGCGAGCGAATAGTACAAAAGTGGCGGTTCAACTCGTGGGTTCCGGATCATTACTCGACAGTGACCATGGTGTTGAAAGAACCAGAGCCTGGGAACTGCATTTTAGAGCTGACTCAGACGGACGTGCCGGAAGCTGACGCGCACGGGAACGAAAACGTCGTGGAAGTCACCGAGAACGGATGGAAGAATTTAATTTTCGCTCGCATAAGAAATGCGTTCGGGTACGGCGCCAACCTATAGCTTTTGTTTTTAAACAGATTTAATAATTGTGTTTTACACTCAAGTCTATTGTTTTCACTCAATGAATAATCTCTTCCTCGTAGGTAAATCATACATCACAGTATCGTCATGATTTTAATCTTTCTCGCTTTCTCTTCTCTCTTTCTCGCGCGCGCGCTATATTTTTTTCAACTCTCTCTTCTAATTCAAACTGCACTTCTCTCTCGGCTACCTTTCTATCGACGTTGTCCGTTGGCGGGGACGTACGCGGGCTTGTCATAATCCGTGCCTTTTTCAGTCTCTGAATCCTTTTGATTACCTGGACCGGCAATGCCTAACCAATCCCAGTTCTCAAAGTGAATCTCGTCCAAACCGACTGACGTCTGTTTCACGCACTTCACGTCGCACGGATTAGCCTCCGTGATAAGCTCTCCGTGATAAGATGAAGCATAAGCACACCCACACACAGGATCTTTACTTGGAAACCCGGACACTTTAATCTTCCAACACACACCAGACCTCTCCGGCAACCACGTCACTTTGTTACCGCGAATAAACTGCGGGTTGTTCGCAGTGTTGTTCGCAATCTCGAAGAACACCTCGTCTCCAACCTGCTCCCACGCGGCGTCCTCGCACGGATTGGATGCAGACACGTCACCATCGGCGGCGCCTACATACAAGATCGCGCTCTTCGACTTTGCGACTGTTTCGTTCGAGCCGTAGGCGTCGATTTTGTTCACCCACAAAGCCGAGGCGAACTCGTACACGACTTCTGCCGTATCGGCTGGTAAAGTGCCCGCTTCCCACGCCCCGATTTCAGCTGCCGTCAACGTCTTCGTTTTCCAACCGTTACCAGTCTCACCTCCTTGCTTCACGCAATCGACCAAATTTTCCGGCTCCCATCCTTGCTGGTCTTCAGAAGGGGCTGGTTCATAATCATCTCCGACGACATATAATCTATTGATGTTGTAGTTGGCAATGCATTTAGTAGCATCGATCGGATCCTGAGTAGCACCGACAAGCTGCGTGATGGGCGGCGGCGGCGGCGATGGCGGCGGCGATGGCGGCGGGGGCGGAGACGGAGGGGACGGAGGAGGAGGAGCCGGTGGAGACGGGGGTGGAGACGGGGGGGATGGTGGTGGAGGTGATGGAGCAGGAGGAGGAGGTTTCGCAGGCGGCGGCGCCGGTGCTGAGTACGGCGGCGGCGGCATCAACTGATACGCCTCTCTCGTCAATATGACGGTGTACGCTTCCGTAAATCCCGCATCTTGGAGAGAGGTGATGAACGTGCTCTTTGCGGTTGTTCCTTCTAACGTATCGAGGCCGAGCAAATTGATTTTGTCGATGAGACCCTGAATATACTCCGCGTCCGACAAGACATAAAAATCGACGTCGACGGAGCCGTAACTCGCGACGAGTAAGCTTCTCGTGCTCACCGACAAAAAGTCGTTGTCTTCCGCTTGACTCAAAAGCGTTCTGCGTCGGCCAACTTCGTCGAGGGGAGTGTTTTCAACGTCATCGATACCGACCGCTTTCGGATTGACATCCAAATAAAGCGCCAAACCGTCCAAAAAGTCGTTGTCTACAAACGTATCCTTCGTGTACCCATCCACGCGAACCGAGGCTACAATCTTCGAGGATAACTCACCAACCGTCGACGGCGTAGAATTCGCGTATCCTGTCGCGTAGTACACCGCCGCGTACACACCCGCCATGATTGAAACGAGTAGAACGGTCATGTAGACGCTCCATCTCATCGCTTTTCTCGTCTCCTTGCGAACGGCTTTCTTGGTCATAGTCGGCGTTCTCTTGAGCGACGTCGTGCGACTCGCCATGCGCGACAATGTATTCGTTCTCTGAAGTTGCTGCACCTCTGTTTCTTCGCTCTGCGCTTGTTTCTTCGCGAGACCCAACATGTTGATGGTGTTATTTTTGAAACTCTGGAGTTGACCGAGGACACCTTTCTTCGGCTCGACGAATTCGTCGCCAAGCTCCTCGTTGAATTCCTTGACGTCCTTGTACCACGAGTACAGAAAACAGCCAGAGTATCCTACAGCTCCTAACGCAGCAAACGCAATCATACCGGAACCAAGATTTTCAGCGTAATCGCTCTCGACGTCCCCAGTCAACCCGAGCGCGCAGCCGTGAACAATCATGAGACAGAACTCGATAATAATCCAGGCGATGTTTTGTAAGAACAAGGAATACGGTCGAATAATCGCGACGTACGCCAAGTGCATGAAGTCGAGGCAGAACAGCACCTTGGCTTGATACGTCGCCTCGGCCTTTTCTGTGTACATGCCGTAAATAGCAGCAGAAAAGAACAACTTCGAGTACGCCAGGAAGATGGCATACGCGTACCAATACGGCGAAAGCGTCTTGTTCCTAAACGAAGCGCCTTCAAGGTCCGTCTCCCACGATTTGAATCGACCCGTGTTTGACTTCAAGCCTTGCATGACTGCGCTAAATCCCCACCAATCTCCACGTTCGCGAATTGATTTCGGGTGCGGCGGCGTTGCTCGGAAGATGATGTACGCGAGAGGACACACAATCGCGAAGAACGCAAACAGCATGCCACACAACCCAACCGCGTACCCGGCGCCGGTCTGACCAACCATGACAACCATTAAAGCTCTCGTGACGCCAGGACCGACGATTAAGAGGGCGAGTAATTCAATCGCCGGAATCGTCATGAACGCCGGAATGACCCAGAACTTTCGCAAACACACGATGACGCCCGTGACGTGCGCAAAGATTGCCAAAGTACAAAAGACAGAGGCCCAAAACGCCACCTCGACAAAGTAATCCCAACCTTCTTCGTCATAAACACCAACTGCGGCGTCGATAATCGCAAGCTCATCTTGAACCGGGATCGTGTTCCACTCCTCCGTCGTGTCTTGAAGCAACTTGCGGCGACCTCCAGCCTTAGCAGCCGCGGTGTACGTCGTTTCCGTGAGTTCCGCAAACATCTCGTCCTCGTCAAGTTCCATACCTCTCTTCACGCCGAACAATTCCGTTTGGTACGTTGAATCGTGATACACCGGCTTCGAAACTTCCGGCGCTGGAATGGCCATGTTCAAGAACATCAATCTACCCATAGAGACGGCGTATTGCGCCGGAATTCTCGGCACGGCGAGCATGGACGTGAAGGCCAACTGTTGGAAGAAGGCAATCATAGGCAGAATCGAAAGCGTGTCGACGACGATGGGACCTCCTCCAGGCAAAGGCGTCAACGAAGCAATCGATAAGAGCGACCCAACGGCCAAACCGAAGGTTGACAAGTGGGCGGCGTTGGAGACCGTGCCGGACGCCGTGTATTGCAAAATGTCGAGGGATACGCCGTCGCCGTTCCAGTTCCCGGAGATGTCTCTCGTAGAATACGGGTACGTACCAACCGCGCACACTTTGTTCGTGTTCGCCCAGCATCTCACGTACACTTTACCGACTGAAGCATCGTATAAAACGTCCTTCGCCCAGCAGTTTGTGACGTTCAAGGCTTGCAAAAGATTCCCCGGAGTCAATCGAACTTTCTCGCCAAAATCGACGAGAAAACCGACGTACGTTTGCGTGGAGAAACCTCGATTCGGACTCGTAATCTTTGGCGTCGGCGGGAGGATATCGTACGTGATCTTGAGACCGTCACCTTGCGTTGTTGAAGGACGTCCGCGTTTATCGACCAACTTTTCCCAGTCTAAGTTTACAATTCTCGAGCCGTCTTCACACGTCAACTCTACGTCGAACTTGTGTAAGCCAGTCGAGTACGTAATCGCTGGATCTTCAACAACACGCACTGGAGTACCAACCTCGCATCCTTCCGCAATAATCAACGAAGAACTTTCGGAGTTTTCCGGTCCAAAAGACGCGTCCAACTTGTTCAAGGTCACGCGAACAACAGCCACGCCGGGCTTTCCGTTGCCTTCAAAGATGCTCCAAGCGCGTTCCGTCTCTCGGACGATTTGAATACCTCCATACTCCCACGTGGTCGAATTGAACTCGTGCTTTTCGTTCACTAACGGCGCTGCATCGATTCGGGCGGTTAAACGCACGAGATCTTCGTTGAATGGCGGCGGTTTCGGGAACGGCGGCGGCGGAGGCGGAGGAGGAGGAGGCGCATTCGGCGGCGGTCTCGGCGGAGGAGGCGACGGTGGCGGCGGAGGCGGCGACGGCGGCGGAGGCGGCGCGGCGACTACGATATCTCCAAAATCATTAATCACGTTAGATATGCTCACTCCATCTCTCTCAAGTTGACCTCTCCACTCCGTTGGTTGGATGTCCTTCAGCGTAGTTTGTAAGCTCGTGGCGTCCGCTTCGTCCAACGCGGCGACGCTGTACGATATCGTGATCGAGTTTGTTACGCCCGCGAGCTTTCTTCGCTTTGCACTGCTGTCATTTTCGCTGTTCGGTACAATGTCTTCGCACTTATCGTACGTGATTGCACCCGAGGCAATGTTCAACATCCTCGCCAACGCCGCCCTGAAAGACGCTTGCTTCTCCGAAAACTCGTCGCAATCGTATCCGGTAAAAGTCGACTTTGTGCGGAACGAGTACGTCGCCGGCGGTGGAGACGGAGGTGGCGGATACGGAGGAGGCGAAGGAGGAGGCGAAGGAGGTGGACTCGGTGGTGGAGGTGGAGATGGCGGCGGCGACGGCGGAGGAGGAGGCGAAGGGGGCGGACTCGGCGGCGGCGACGGCGGAGGACTTGGCGGCGGAGGACTCGGCGGTGGCGGCGACGGCGGACTCGGCGGAGGACTCGGCGGAGGCGGACTCGGCGGAGGCGACGGCGGAGGACTCGGCGGCGGCAACGGCGGAGGACTCGGAGGACTCGGCGGCGGCGGCGGCGACGGCGGACTCGGCGGAGGACTCGGCGGCGGAGGACTCGGCGGCGGCAACGGCGGAGGACTCGGTGGCGGTGGACTCGGCGGAGGCAACGGCGGAGGACTCGGCGGCGGAGGACTCGGCGGTGGACTCGGCGGTGGACTCGGCGGTGGACTCGGCGGTGGACTCGGTTCTTGCGCGCTCGCGAACAAGAAGAATCCTTCCCACTCGTTTGAACCACTCTTACAGCTCCCATTCTCCCCCTTAAACGAAGAAGAGGAGAAAGAAGACTTTGAGTGTGGTCCGCTTCGCAAAAACGTCGTCGTCAAATCACCGAAACAAAGCATCGCAACCGTTGCGATCAGCAAAGAGACCGTCGTCGTTTTGTTCTTCTTTTCCACGGAGAGAAAGCGAGAAGAAGATCTTCTCATTTTTCTCTTCTTTTCTTCCGGACGATTCAAACCACTCGATCGCGCTTCCGAACAACGCGGTGACATAATCACTCTCAGAATTCTTTCTTTCTTTCTCTCTCCCTTCTTCTCCGTTTTAAGGCGCAAAAGGGCAAAGGCGCGCGAGGAAAGTGTCTCTCTTTTTTACTTCTTCCCGCGATCTCTTCTTCGAGATGATCTCGGGGTATAAAGAGAGAGAGATTCGCGCGCGCGTCTAATCTAATCGTTTATCTCGGACCAAAACGATGCGCGACTCGGAGACGAAGCGGCGCGATCTGCCCAAAATTTCTCTCTCTTTCTTTCTCTCTCTTTATGTATATTATAAACGTATACGTCTTTAAACGCTCTCTCTCTCTCTCTCTGAACGCCTTCTTAAAGAGATCCCTCTCTCTCTCTGCCGGAGGAAAGAGAAGGTTTTGAAGAAAAGTGTTCCCAACACCGGCTCTGTGAAAGAATATAAAGCGCGCGTTTAAATTTGTCCGGAGTTTGCGAGGAAAAACGAGAGAGGATTAGTATTTCGTATTCGTGTCCTCAGAAACTCTCTCTCACAAAAGTTTCGCTCAAAATCGGTCGTCTGTCGCTCGAAAAATGAAAAAATCTCTCTCTCTTCTGTCTGTGCTGCTTTTTTCTTGCTGGCGGATTTTTTGTGTCACTTTCGCTCTTTAAAAAAAAGGGTCTTTTTGGGTGTTGTTTAGGGTTATTCAGTGAAAAAATTTAATTTTCGCCTCTCGAACAGTTCGTTGTGTGCATCCTTTCCTCCAAAAGGAAGGATACATATGATGGTTTCGAACTCCGTCGCGTCCTTGTCCACCGCTCTTTTCTCGTCGTCCCAAGATCAGTCGTCTTTAAAAAGAAGGACAACACCACCAACAAAGCGTCGTCGTCGCGCAGTAGGAGGAGGGTGTTCTTTGTCTTTGTCTTCTTCTTCTTCTTTAAAAGCGTTCAAAATCGCGAATGCGACGACGTTGACGATTTTGTATCTCACCGTGACGGGTGGTTTTGTACCAACGACGACGAGTGGCTTTGCGATGGCGATGGGTGGTGACGACGGGACGATTCAGACGACGACGACGGTGCGAACAGAAAACGCTTCTTCCGTGTTTAACGGGAAATATTCCGACCCGAACCACCCGGGGTGTTTGCGAGGGATCGAGAGAGTGCGTTCGACGACGAAAGCGAAAGTGTTCGGAGAAGATGGCACCCCTGGGTGTCAAGCGGATGGACAAAAAGAGACGAAAAAATGGGAACTCGAAGGCGAGTTACGAGGGGAAAACGAGATACTCATCGATTTTTCCAAGAAAGGAGGACCGAAGAATTTACTCGGGAAGTGGACCGGCAGTGGCGTTTTGTTCCCAGACGGGAACACGTGGTCAAAGTTATAATAATAATATAGCGTAAGCGAGTAAAATAAGCGTTGTCGTTTTGTAATAAGTATTTTATAGCGAGATTTTATACATATCATCAGCGTTCATCGTTTTTGAACGAAAACTATCGTCGATAACGCTGGAATCGTGAGCGATAAGTCGTCGACGTCGGACGTTCCTCCGGATATTTTCACGCGACGTAACGTTTCCGCGTCCTCACATATCGCGCCTTGCGCCGGGTGCTGCTCTAAAATTTTGGCGGTCGAAGCGTTTCTCACGTGACGTTGGAACGCTTTCTCGGCGTAGTTCTCGATGTCCGTCGACGTCGCGTTGACACACACGACGATGCGTTCAAAGTTGTCGCATATTTTTAGCTTCTCGAAACCATCGTCGATGACGTAGACGAGTAAACCTGGTATTTGATTTTCGCCGCGATTGAAAAACGAGACGCGATTTTGAACGTCTTTAAACGTCTCCAAAGAGAAGAGCTTCGAGCTCGAACGAATGGACATCAACTCGCAAAAGTAGTCCGTTTGTGCGAGTATGTCTTCTTGTGAAGGTTTATTCTCCTCAACGTTCGCTAAGAATGGACGAATCAAATCATATCGTCCTTCGTTTTTCGATCGCGGGGGCATCCCGACGCCAAAATTGTGCGTCTCGCCGGAGAAATCTAATCGATTGAACCAATCGCCGCTATCGTAACTGTCGCGATCTAAACTCTTCGAACGCAACAATTCATCGCCGGCGTGGAAAAAAGGCACGCCCTGGGACAACGCGACGATTGAAGTGCACACACGATTCATGCGAATTCTATCGCGTAACGTCGTGTGTTCGCTGCTCGCGCGAAGCGCTATGCAATCGAACAACGTTTCGTTATCGTGCGCGGAAACGTAATTAACGGTTTCTTTCGGTTCTCCCGCGTACGCTACATTTGAGTTCTCATACGCCGCATTTCTCAGTTGTGTCTCGACGCCATGTCTGTTCGTGAAAACGTATTCGCGTAAATTACCGGCGAACGCGGCGATAATTTTCTCGCCGTCTTCCATCGTTCGATATCTGCGAGACAGGTCATCGTTACCTTGCGCGGCGTTCGCGCGGTCGAGCAAACCCGTCGCGAAACCTTGTTCACGAGGATCGCCAAAAGGAGTTCCACCAACCGCGCCTTCGCGAACGCGATCGTTGAAGGAACCGATGCCAGTATTCGCGAGGTTCATTTGCGAAGCGTTCGCGCCGACGCGGTTTTGTACAACCTCGGCGTAATCCCATCCCTCGCCGTATAAATACAATTTCGATCCATCGACGCCGTCTTTTTCTAAAGTCAACGCCTCTAACTTTGCTTTCGCTTTGAGCATGGTTTTTAACATGATGTGTCCCATTAAATCGAAACGAAACCCGTCGACTTTGTAATCTTTCGCCCAGTGGATTAAATCATCGACGATGAGTCTGTCGAACATGTAATGTTCGCTCGCGGTGTTGTTACAGCACGTGGACGCCTCGTAGTCGCCGCGAAAATTTCTTCGATGGTAGTATCCCGGAACGATTTTATCTAAAACAGAGTTCACATCGGTCGGGCCGCTGCTCAAAGTGTGATTATACACCACGTCGACGATGAGTCTCAAGTTCATTTTTTCGCTCAAGGACTTGACCATTTCGCGGTACTCTAAAATTCTCGTCGGACCGTCTGGATTGGTCGAATACGAGCCTTCCGGGACACCGTAGTGCACTGGGTCGTATCCCCAGTTGAAGGCATCTTCCGAGGCATTTTTTGACGTCAACGTTTGTTGAAACTCCGAGTCGCTTTCCAACGCCTCCATGCCGGAAATATCCGCCGAAGAGAGCGACTTTTGATTTTCCGCTCGTTCCGGAACGCTCCCGAAATCGTACGTGGGGAGTAAGTGGACGTGCGATAATCCGTGCTGCGATAATTTCTTCAAATGTCTCACGCCTCTTCCTTCTTCGCACGAGAATGCTTTATACTTCCCTCTCGCGTCTTCCGGCACGGAATCATCCAAGGCGGAAAAGTCGCGCACGTGCAACTCATAAATACCGCCTTCGCAAATGTGATTCAAACTCGGTTTCGCGAACGTTTCCCATCCTTCCGGTTTCGCCGACGCGTCGTTCTCGACGTCAAATATGTGCGCTCTTCGTCCATCCGCGGCTAACGATCTCGCGTAAGGATCCGACGCGATTGAAGTCATCACTTTATTTTCTTTCGGATGAAACACCGTCACTCTGAAATTGTAATACATCTGGTACAACTCTTTACGCCTGCCGTGAATAATCCACGTTCCGTTCGAGCTATCAAACATCATCTCCAATTCCTCCTTCGGGTGCGAGAAATCTGGAGAATCGAAGAGTAAGAAATCAACTTGAATGGCGCTTGGCGCCCATAACGTGACGACGATAATTTCGTCCATAAAAGTACACCCGAGCGGCCCATCGTAGCTATAAAACGCATCCAACGCGCCGTGGATTTGCAAGCCGCACGCATCGAGTGGTTCATTCTCGTTCTTATCTTTCCTTTGCTTTTTCGTTCCAACGGCGAGTTGCGTTTTCAACAACAATTTCATTTTCGCATCCGAGACCGTCGACTCGCCGATTTCGTAAAACGCGAAACATTTTTCGTTGAACACGGCTGGAAACTTCTCCTTCACGGCCGCATCGATGCTATCTTCCTCCACTCGCGATAAAGTAGCCTCCAAAACGTCCCCATCCTCCGGATCCTCGCTCTCTACTCCGTCCATGGTTGCTTTCAAACTGCCGCTTTTACTCGAATACAATTCCACCGCGACCTCTTCTTCTTCTTCTTCTTTTCCTCCTCCTCCTCCTCCCTCCTCCTTCACGCCGTTAAAATCTCTCGGCAACGCCACCAACCGCTTATCCAGCAAGATAGCCCGGTGACAATTCACGTCTCCTTTCGGCAACTTCTCCAAATCCGGCTTCTCCTGCCAAATCTCTTGGTATCCGCTCACTAAGAAAATCTCCACGTCCTCTTCGCCGCTCGGCACTTTCATCGACTCCGCGCGCACGTCCTGCTCTTCGCCTTTGTGCAACAAAACCGACACGATTTTCGAACTCGTCCCTTCTAATTCCACTTTATACGTCTCAAACTGTGGCAACGATGCGTTCACTGGAAATAACGGTTCGTTCCAATCCGTCGGTTTCGGCACGTCCCCCCAGACGTGGAGACCAAAACCATCGTAATCCGATTCCTGACGGTGGTAGTTGACGACTAAGAAACGCTTCGTGGTGTTCTTGTTGTTGTTCTCGTTGTTCTCGTTGTTGTTGTTCGTCCCAGGAGTTTTTTTCTCGTCGGACAAAAAACACCTTTGGATGTTTCGTCCTCGTCCTCGCGATGATCGTCCTCGTCCTCGTCCTCGCGATCGTCGTAAAGAAGACGAAGGTAAAGAAGAACCGAAAGCGCGATTGGATTTCTTCGCATCTCTTCCAAACGTGCCGGAGATGGATATTTGCACGGACGACGCGAACGAGGACGAGAGGTTTTTACACTTTGGCGAAAGGAGAAGAACGGAAGGCATTCTTTGAATCGTCGTCTGAATCGTCTGAATCGTCTTGGATGGATCTGTCTCTTTCTCTTTCTGCTTCTGGCGAAAGAGCGCGAGTGATGCCGTACGTGTGATGACAAATGGTTTCAAAAATCTCCCGAAAAAAGAGAGAAAGAACGCGCTTCTAAATACTGGATGCGGCGCAAAAATACGTAAAACTCTCTCTCTGTGTTTCAAATTACATTCTATTAAAATCTATTAAAACGGGCTTTTTTAAGGCCAACAACTTAATAGACGTAGTTTTTCTGGAAGGTACTGTCCGTGTTCGCCAAGGACTCTTCGGCGTTGAACTTGCCGAGTTGCGCGAGACCGTTTTCTTCCGCGCGTCTGGACAAGATGGCTTGCGCCTTGCCAACCATGGCGTCGTCGCCGGCCCACGTCTTGATGACGGAGTTTTGCAACGCTCTCGCGTACGAGAAGGACACGTGCCACGGGTTCGGCTGTTGGTTCATGGCGTTCAAGTACAAGGTGGAGTCCAATTCGGACAAACCGCCAGACAAGAACATGATACCGGCGGTGGCCGGCGGGACGCGAGAGTTCAACATCTTCAAGGTCGCCGCGGCGACTTCTTCCGGAGTGTTTCTCTTCGGGCAGTCGGCACCCGGGCCAACCATGGACGGCTTCAACAACATGCGGTCGAACATGACGTCGTTGTCCGCGAGGTACTTGAAGGTTTCCGCCCAGACCGCGGAGGCAACTTCGAAGGTTTCTTCCAAGGTGTGCTCGCCGTCGAGGAGGATTTCCGGCTCGACGATCGGGACCAAACCAGCGTTTTGGCAGATGGCGGCGTATCTCGCCAAGCCGTACGCGCAGTCAGTGACGGCGATCTTGGACGGGCCAGCCGGGATGGAGACGACGGATCTCCACTTGCAAAAGCGCGCGCCTTGCTTGTAGTATTCCGCGGCTCTGTCGGCGAGGCCGTCCAAACCTTGGCACCAGGATTCACCGTTGCTGTTCGCGAGCGGCTTCAATCCCTTGTCGACCTTGATACCCGGGTAGATACCTTGTTCGTTCAAGCAGTCGACGAAAGACTTGCCAGCCTTCGTGGATTGGTAGAGGGTCTCCTCGAAGAGGATGGCGCCGCCAATGTGCTTACCGAGGTTCGGGGTCGTGATGAGGAGTTCTCTGTATCGACGACGGTTTTCTTCGGTGTTTTCTACCCCGACGCCTTCGAGACGGGAGCCGCACGTGGCGTTGGATTCATCCATCGCCAAGATACCTTTGCCCGCCTTGGTCATGTTTTGCTGTTGTTCGTAAAAGAGAGAGAATAATACGAATATGAGTAATCATCGTGCGGAAGAAAAAGGAGGAGATAGTTTTTCTGTGGTCCACACGCAATCGGATATAATCATCGAAAAGCGCGCGCTCGAACAAACACACAACAACAACGCGAACAGATTCCGCGCAGAAACCTTCCGCGTTCGAATCCAACAAAATCCAACGCGTTCAATTTAACCGCCACACGAACCGAACCAAACGGCTCTCGGACGCCTTTCCCCTCTCGTCGAATCACCGCGCGCGTCGACACCGTAAAAAAAAAATTTACCCAAGTGGCAAAAAGGGAAGAAACATTTAAGCGCAACAACGTACCGCAGTTTGCAACAACTCGTCGTCGTACTGGCCGGCGCGAGTGACGACGTTGGTTCTTTTGGCGACGGACGCCTTGGAGACGACAACCTTCGCCCCGAGAAGAGTGGTTTGGGTGAGTGCAGACATTATGAGTATCTCTTTGTGTGCGTATAAAAGTAAAGCATATTTATCTCATTCGTGAGAAGAAACCGATTACATCTAAGAAGCTCCATCGCACCAAAAAGCGAAAAACCTCGAGAGCAAAAAAACCCTCGAGAGGTGAAAAAGGCAGAAACAATCATCTCAACTAGTATTACAACTCAACTATAACTCCCCATCCTAAATATTTCCTGTGATGTTTAAACAGAAACACACCGTCGCACAAGCTTTACGTCCTCTCCATCTCCTCCGTTCCCAAATCTCATCGCACGAGACTTCTCTGGATAGAAGACCACCACGGGCTCCCAGATTCATTTCTGCCGAAAATATTTCAATAGTCGTTACATGAGCATGCTTCGGACAACTCGCCTTTTTTCAAAGGTCGGTCACCGCGATCGCTACAAGTCAGCGCCGCGCAAAAATACGCATATGGAACTTAAACACTTTATGGTATTTTCAATGATTTATTTCAATCAAAAATCAACGTACTTCACCTATCAAAGTTTCTTCGATCGATCTCATGAGAGCCGAGTGTCATGATAGGCTGAGCATCGCAAATGGATGCTCGAGAGACGTTGTATTGTCTCACATGTTTCTGCAATCCAAAAAAAAAAGGAGAGAACTCTCGATTTTAATCGATACAAAACTCCCCCAACGGTACTCAAATCCCAAGGTTCAAAAATGAAAGGCTGGAATTCTTTCCCAAAAAATGCTCTTTCCTCCATGTAAAGTCGTCGTTGACTTCTTCTTCGATGAAGAAGAGAGAAGATATGCAATAACACGACGACAAAGAAAAGAACACAAAAAAGGAGAGAAACTCGCCCGCGCGAGTCAAAACTCCCCGGTGTACTCGAACCCCCTTTGTCCGTTCTTTCCCAGCTCTTTTCATTCATTCATCTGCCATGCGGGAGGAGAGATACAAAAACGCTCGATTTGTATCTCTAAAACAGAAAGAAAGCAAACGATGAAGAAAAGAGCTCCCACCCTTCCACCCACTATCATCGATAGAGGTCTATCGATGATAGCAATGCGTGTGACTTTCTCGCGCGCGTGCGCGCGCGCACGCAAAAAAAAAGTGATATTATATGCGCGCGCAAATGCGCGCAAATGCGCGCGCGAGAAAGTGAAGAGGAAATGAAAAAAAAATGCGTTTTAGATACAAAATTCGTCTTGGAGCAGGGCTCTCAAAAAAACAAAAAAAAAGAGATGAAGATCTCGAGCAAAAATTAAACAAAAACTGACCTCTGACTCCTAGTAAAAGAGGAGACGTGGCTCGCTCCTCAGACGAAGATTTTTTCGTTTTTGCCGCACACCGCACGAAAAAGTACTCTTTTTTGCTCCTTTTTTGGTACACTTTTAGGCCAAGTTTAAGGCGGATTGAGGGAGACGTCACTTTAATACCATTCCCACGACGCGTGTATACACCACGCACGCACGCACATCTGAGAGAGAACGAAAGAGAGAAAAGATAAGATATGATTCGCCGAGCGACGTCGTCGAAGCGCGTTCTCGCGTTAAAAGAAGGACTGTTAGGGCGAGCGAGTTCTTCTTCTTCGGTCGCATCGTCCTCGTTCGCGTCAACGTCATCCCAACACATCATCAATCGTTCAACCGAGAGAGGGATATCCTCGTTTTCGAAAAACAACTCGCACAACAACGCGGTGAAAGAGGTGAAGAAAGCGACGGGAAAAAACAGTCGATCGCAAAGAGGGATCGCGGGCGCGCGTAAGGATGCGTCTCACTCTTCTTTGGATGCGACGAGTGCGAAGAAAAAAGTCGTCGCGAAGATCAACGGAGGGAATAAGCATCTGGATATCGCGAGACGTGGCAAAGCAGCCATGCCGCAAGCGGCGACGAGCGCGAAACCGAATGCAATCGATTACTCCGTCGGGGGCACCGTGTACCCCGTACCGCAAGAAGTGAAAGGCTCGAAAGTGGTCTACCAAAACGCAGACGGCATGCGCGTGGACGATGGGAGGTACCAGAACTTTAAGAGCGATTTGAAAAACGAGTTGATGATACCGGAGGAGCGCATCATCACCGACGCGGTGAAGACGTACGCGTACGGGACGGACGCGAGTTTTTACAGATTGTTACCGCAAATGGTGGTGAAGATCCACTCCGAGGAAGAAGTGAAGAAGATTTTACCGTACGCGAAGAAACACCAGACGCCGGTGACGTTTCGAGCGGCTGGGACGTCTTTGAGCGGGCAAGCGGTTTCGGATTCGGTTCTGTTGAAGTTGTCGCACGTCGGGAAGAACTTTCGAGATTACACGGTGCACGAAGACGGGAGGAAGATTACGTTAGAACCTGGATTGATTTTGGGCGAAGTGAATAGAATTTTGCAAGCGCACAAGAAGAAGGGCGGGCACGCGGTGCAATACAAGATGGGTCCGGATCCGTCTTCGATCGATTCGTGTATGGTTGGCGGCGTCGTCGCGAACAACTCTTCGGGCATGTGCTGCGGGGTGAAACAAAACACGTATCACACTTTGGAAGATATGAGAATCGTGTTCGTGGACGGAACGGTTTTGGATACCGCGGATCCGGCGTCTCGAGAGAACTTCTTGAAAACGCACCAAGACTTGTGCGCGAAAGTGAGCAACTTGGCGACGAAAGTCCAAGCGGACGCCGAGTTGACCGCGCTGATCAAGAAGAAGTTTGCGATTAAATGTACGACTGGTTATTCCATCAACGCTTTAGTAGATAACGATGCGAAGGACCCGATTGAAATTATCAAGAGATTGATGATTGGGAGTGAAGGTACTCTCGGTTTCGTCTCGAGAGCGACGTATAACACCGTCGTCGACCACCCGCACAAGGCGAGTTGTTTCATCATGTTCAAAGACGTCGACGACGCGTGCAACGCGGCGGCGGTGTTGAGACGCGAAACGACCGTCGATGCGGTGGAGATCTTCGATAAGGCGAGTTTACGTCAGTGCGAAAAGCACGAGAAGATCATGTCGTTGGTGCCGACGATCCCGGAAGCTGGGAAGTACGGCGCGGCGCTTTTGATCGAGTGCAGAGGCCCAACCGACGCGGAGTTGGACCAAAACATTAAAGCGGTGACGACCTCTTTGGACGGCGCGAACTTGAACTTTTTGCACCCGAGAGAGGAAACGTATCCATTCTCGAAGGATCCAGCCGTGTACGGTACCTATTGGGACGTGAGAAAAGGTTTGATTCCTATGGTTGGCGGCGGTCGCGAAGCCGGTACTTCGGTGTTGATTGAAGACGTCGCGTGCGAAGTCGATTCGTTGGCGCCAATGACGAAGGATTTGATGGCTATGTTTGAAAAGCACGGTTACGACGACGCCTCGTGCATGGGCCACGCGTTGGAAGGTAACTTGCACTTGGTCTTTTCCCAAGGTTTCCGTACGGAGAAGGAAGTCGAGACGTACGGGATGATGATGCAAGAAATGTGCGAGATTGTTGCGGTCAAATACAAAGGGTCGTTGAAAGCCGAGCACGGTACCGGGCGTAATGTCGCGCCGTTCGTTGAAATGGAATGGGGCACCAAAGCGTACGATATCATGTGGGAATTGAAGGAAATGTTTGATCCGGATTACGTGTTGAACCCGGGCGTTATTTTGAACAGAGATCCGGACGTCCATCAAAAGTTTTTGAAGCCGAAACCGGTGGCGGACCCGATCGTCGATATGTGCATGGAATGTGGTTTCTGCGAATCCAACTGCCCGTCCAGAGACGTGTCGTTGACGCCGAGACAAAGAATCACGGTCTACCGCGAAATTAGTCGTTTACAAGCGATGGAGAACAGAGGCACGGAAGATCAAGCGCGATTGGACGAGTTTTTGGACATCTTCTCCTACGCCGGTGACTCCACTTGCGCTGCCGATGGTATGTGCGAAGTGAAGTGCCCGGTTGGTATCAACACCGGCACTCTCGTGAAATCCATTCGCGCGAGAGAGCTCGAGCAAGCCAAGAATGTCTCGTCGGTTGCCGCGTCGCTCGGGAGAAACTTTGCGAGCTTCTCCGGCGTCGTCCCGCCGTTCTTGAACTTGGTTTCTGGCTTCCACTCTATTTTGGGCGAAGGTGTTTTGAAAACCGTCTCTGGTGGGTTGAACAAAATCTCCGGGAACATGATTCCGGAGTGGAACCCGCACATGCCGCGAGGCGCGCCGAAGTTGCCGGAACCGAACCACGCGAAGGAGAAACACGCCGGCGTTGAAAGAAAAGTCGTCTATCTTCCGTCCTGCGTGACGAGAATGATGGGTCCGAGTAAAGCGGACGCCAATTTGGAAGGCGTCGCGGACGCCATGATGTCCATCTTGGCCAAAGCGGATTACGAAGTTGTCTACCCGAAGGGCTTGAGCGACCAGTGCTGCGGCATGTTGTTCAACTCCAGAGGCTTCAAAGACACGGCGATTACGAAAGCGGCGCAAATGGAAGAAGCTTTGTTAGAAGCGTCTGAAAATGGCAAGTACCCGATCGTTGTCGACACCTCTCCTTGCTTGGCGGAAATCAAAGGCTCGTTGCAAAACCCGGCGTTGAGATTTTCCTTGTACGAACCGGCAGAGTTCATCGCGAATCACTTGCTCGATAAGCTCGAGTTCAACAAGGTGAAGAAACACGTCGCCATCCACGTCCCGTGCTCGTCCAAGAAGCTCGGTGTGGAACAAACGTTCACGAAACTCGCCGAAAAGTGCGCGGAAGAAGTGACTGGTTCAGGTATCCCGTGCTGCGGTATGGCTGGCGACCGCGGTATGCGATATCCGGAATTGACGGGCGGTTCCTTGAAATACTTGGACTTGCCGAAAGGATGCACGGACGGTTACTCCACCTCGCGCACGTGCGAGATGAGTTTAACCAACCACTCTGACGTTTCCTTCAAGGGTTTGGTGTACTTGGTCGACGAAGCCACGACGGCGAAGAAGGCGTCGGCGTAAATGAATGCGTGAGAAAGAAGAAATATATAAGAAATGTGTTTGTGTTAACCTACCTGTTGCGCGGCGAGAGAAACGATTGATTGAGTAAAATAGACGAACGAAAAATAATCATCTAATCTGTATCTATATAGTCGATTATAATAAACCTCAGAATCCTACTACTACTATAACTATAAATACTCTATTGCACATCATCATCATCATCATAACTTCGAGGAAGCTTTTTGCCCTCCTCCTCCTCCTCCTCTCAATCCGTCTAAAACGCGTTTCAATTGCTTCACGATGGTCGGTTCGCACAACATTCGAAACCCGTCCTTCGCCTCTTCCTCGCACCCGTACCGATACCATTCCTCGGCAAACGCTCCTCTCAAGTTAATTTTCGTCTTCGCGTACCCGTCTCGCGGTAACCGTTTCATCTTCTCCGCGATTTCCATCACTCTTTTCTCCAACATCCCTTCCTCGCATACCTCGTCGATCAACCCGTATCTCAACGCCTCGCTCGGTTTCGCCAAAGCGCCTTGCAACAACAACTTCTCCCCCAACGCTTTGCTCAAAGTCACCTCGCAGAACCGCAACGCCCAAAATTTCGGCACCGGTATCCCCAACATCACCTCGTTCAGACCAAACGAGCTCGTTTTGTGCGTCGTTTGTACGCGATAATCGCAGCACAAGGACAACATGGCGCCGCCCGCCGGACACGCGCCTCGAATACCCGCTATCGTCACCAACGGAGACACCAACAATCTCGTGAGAAAAGTCGTTTGTACTCTCCAAAACTTCTCGTATCTTTTTGCAGTCGTCTCTGGAGCGTATAACTCCTTTATATCGTTCCCGGCGGTGAAAATATCTCGTTTTAATTTGGAGAGAAAGATAAGAACGCGCGTTTTCGGGTTGGATTCGATATGCACTAACGCGGAATGTAATTCCGTCCAAAACTGTAAATCCATCGCGTTCGCCGGTTCCGAGAGAAGAGAGACGATCGCTATCGTTTCTTCTTCTTTCGCGAAAGAGACGGTCACTTTTGGTGGTACTAATGGTCCCGACATCGTCGCGCGAGACTTCTCTTCTTTTCGAAAACAACAAAGTAAAAAGTCGTTTACTCTCTAAAGCCTCTCTCGATGGTTCGTTAGTTGGTTGCTTCAGAAGTTCGTTGTTGTGAGGAAAAAGCAGCCGAAATTTTTCTCTTCCTTCTGCTTCTTAAATTTTTCGCCTTCCTTCGGCGTCAATTTTTCGCCTTCCTTCGGCTTTGAAGCCACACGGACAGACCACCAGAAGAGGAGCGTCTTTTCCTCCCCCGCTCGCGCACACACAAACAACAACAACAAACCCGATCGAGAGATGAAAAAATAAAAATAAATGGAACAACGAGGACGACGGGAGTGAGGAAGACCTTTATTCTCAATATATTATATATTCAACGCGACGCTTGCGAACGAGAGTTTACGAGACGGAAGAGACGCGCGCTTTATTAAGAGTTAAGCTTTTGAGTGCGCGCTTTCGTTTGCGCGTGCACACAATCGACACTCTAAAACGTTTTCCCCACGAAACGTTTTGAAAGAAGAAGAAGAAGAAGAAGAAGAAGAAGAAGAAGAAGAAGAAATTATGAGCGGCAACAACCAACTGGTGATACCGAAAACGCACGATGCAAAAGGCGAGAAATTAAACTGCGAGGAACGATTCGTCGGCGAACGAGCGATGCGGACCGCGGAAGGCGCCGCGAGTTTGCTCGGGATGACCAAAGATATCCTGATGGAAAGGAAAAGACGACAAAAAGAGGAAGTTTTGGTGGTGGCTTCGCCGGAGGGAAAAACGACGAACGCGGATGATGCTACCACCACCGGAGAAGAAATTAAGGAAGAAGAAGGAGGAGAAGGAGAAGAAGGAGGAGAAGAGAAGAAAGATGATGAATCCCGGTTGGATTGGAAACCGCCGCATGGAAGGAAGCGGATTAAACTCGGCGACGACCAAACGCTCGAGATGCCGTATAAGTACGATTTTTTAAAGTACGATTTGAATTTACCGGGTTTGAGAGAGCTCGCGTTGCCGGAGATTATGCGGAATAACGCTGGGCACATAGATTATAGGACGATTTCGCACCAGAGAGTTTTGACGTTGTTTCAGTTGTTGCACAATTCAGAGTTGGCGGAGATTCCGTGCGGAGAAGAGTTAGCGAAGAAGAGAGAGGTGGATAGGGAGTTTGCGCTGGCGAATAACGTGAAACGGAGAAAGCGGAAGATTGAACCGGAAGAACCGGATACTAAAAAACGACTGGCTGCTGGAAGAGGAGGAGGTGGCGGAGGAAGAGGAGGAGGAGGAAGAGGAAGAGGCCCGACGTTCGAGAGAGATCCGCAGGATGAGTTACGAAAAGGTATTCCGCGGAACATTTTGAAAATGACCGCGGCTGGAGTTGTTCGGGGTGGCGATGGTGAGGAGAATACCGAAACTGCAGAAGATCGTCTTTTAACAAAGTTTACCCCGGTAACGGTCCAAGAAGCAGCCGCGCGATCCAACGCGCCTTTAGTGCCAGTAGAAGCGTATTGGATCGAAAAATTCGCGAAAGTTGAACAGGAAGAAATTCGACGATTGCCCTCCAAAGAAGAGCGCGAGTTACAACGCTCGCAATCAACGCTACGTAGACACGGCATACGCGACGAGTTACACCGACGACGCGAAGAGCAAACGTTTGAGTTTGCTCAGTACGCGACGAAGTTTCAACCGACGGAGGAGAAACGGAAGGAAACGAACATTGAGCAGTTGTGGCGACGGATCGCCATCATTGAAGTTCCAGGAACGAAAAATATTGCAATGTTACGGAACGACGTGGAACTGCGACGCGCGCGTTTATTAGCGCACATGTGTGCGGTAGAAGTTAGGAAAAGAAACGCACTTCGCAAACGATTGATGAAAATCACCCCGAACGCAAACTTACGAAAACTCTCGTTTGTGGTTTCCTCGTTTTGGAGAGCGGCAGAACGGCACGCGGAAGACCACATAAAGAATACGAAAATACGAGAACGACAGGAGAAACAACGATTAGAGCAAGAGCAGGAGGCGAAAATGCAAGAGCACCGGTTGCAATTTTTGTTAAACCAGTCCGAATTATACGCACACTTTGTCACGAAGAAAACCACCGAGGACGAAGAAGAGGTGATTCGAGAGAAGAGCGAACAAGCCATCGCAAAAGCCGTGGCTGAGAATCCAAATTCAGTGTTATCCGAAGAAGAGAGGAAGAAAGTCGCCGAGGAAGCGAAACAATCCGCTCTGGAGGAAATGCGAAAAACGAAATCGAAAATGGACGAGTTTGACCAATCCACGAAAGAAGCGCGAGATAAGAACAAAGTCGGAGAAGAAGCAGACTTTAAAGCGATGGATGTGGATAAAATCGAACAACCGAAAATGCTCAACGCGACGTTGAAACAGTACCAATTGGAAGGCTTAAGATGGATCGCGAATTTATACAACAACGGCATCAACGGTATCTTAGCTGATGAGATGGGTTTGGGTAAAACCGTTCAAAGCATCGCGTTGTTGGCGCACTTGGCGGAGAACAAAAATTTGTGGGGGCCATTTCTCGTTGCCGCGCCGACGTCGACGTTACCGAACTGGTGTGCCGAACTGAAAAAGTTCATTCCAGATTTCAACGTCATTCCGTATTGGGGTTCGCAAGATGAACGGAAAACCTTACGGCAAGCGATTGGCGGGAACGAGCAAAGCACGAGAGACGCCGCCTGTCACGTCTTTGTCACGAGTTACGATTTATTGTTGAAAGACGAAAAATATTTGAATAGGATTAAGTGGCAATATATGGTTTTAGACGAAGCCCAGGCGATTAAGAACAGTTCGAGTTTACGCTGGAAATCGTTGTTGGGTTTCAAATGTAGAAATCGTTTGTTGCTTACCGGTACGCCGGTGCAAAACACGATGCAAGAACTTTGGGCGCTGTTGCACTTCATCATGCCGACGTTGTTTGATTCGCACGAACAGTTTGCAGAATGGTTCTCGAAAGGAGTCGAAGGCTCCGTGACGGATGGTAAAGAGTTGAACGAACAACAGTTGGCTAGATTACACGCCGTGTTAAAACCGTTCATGTTGAGACGTTTAAAAACGGATGTTTTAGGCGAAATGGCCGCGAAGGAGGAACACGTAATCAGATGCGGAATGAGTCGTCGACAAAAAGAGATGTATAGGAGTATTAAAAAATCCGTCGCGTTCGATCAAATCAACGAGGGCGATTACAATCCTCTCGGTACGATCATTCAGCTCAGAAAAGTGTGCTCGCACCCGGATTTGTTCGAGGAGCGATCCAACTCGGAACCGTTTGCGTTTTCGCGATTAGGCGGCGCGCCGGGATGTTACGTAGGAAGTACATCATCAATTTCTGGAGATGCAAATGGCGCAGATGGCAGTGACCCTAAAACGACGGAGAAGATCGGTATGGGCGGTGTGCGTATGAACATCAATGCGTTCCTGAAAACTGCCGAACCGCTCGTGGACGTGCGCGCGTGGAGAAGTGAAATCGAAGTCGCGCTGCCGAAACTGGCGTTTAGAGATTTTGGCATTTTGTTTTCCAGTAAGGAGAAACTGTTGAGAAATGATTTTAACGTCGTGACGAATGCGTCCATGAGACTCTTGCGAATGCACAACACGTGTTCCGAGTGGGCCCAAGCCGTGTTTGAAAGAGACGAGGACGCGTTGACAGCGAAATTCGTCACCGCCAACGGCGGCGGCGAACACCGATCGTCTTTTTACGAAACAGAAGGTCTGAAAGCGCTGCACTTTGACGAACACTCTTCTTCAAGAAGGAAAACAAACAGAAGGATGTTGAACGTGTGCGGCGTAGGAAGTGCGAAGGACTTCAACGATAAGCGCGCACAACACCATCAAGAACACGGCGCTGCAAAATGTTACGTTCTCGAGGACCTCGTCAAAGATACGGTGCCTTTTATTCGCGCGGTCAATCGCGCGTACCAACCGAGAGTCTTGTCAAAACCACCAAACGAGTACTGTTCTGATTCTTCGCACTACTCGATGAAAAGCAATCAAACCCGAATGTCTGATTACATTCGGTGGGCGCTATGGGAGTCCACGTCGCCGATGGAACTCACCGGAAGACACCAAAAATGGAAATCTTCCCTGAGTAGCAGTTACGCTTCTGTCTTTCCTTCGTCTTCGGTCGCGGCGAGCGAATACGAGAGAAGGAATCTCGTGATCAACTCTTCCGCGAACAACGTGATGTTGAACAAGGTTCAAAAACTCACGCACCGCACCGACCGAGTCTCGTTGTTAGACGAAACGATGCACATCCACGGGGACTCTTTATCAGAATTACCGAACCCGGGGTACGATTTAGCGTTGGCCATGGCGGATTCCGGGAAACTGGCCGCCTTGGACAAACTTTTATTCGAAAAGAAAGCGCAAGGGTCTCGAGTATTAATTTTCGCGCAAATGACAACCATGCTTGATTTACTAGAAACCTATTTGCGAGCCAGGCAACACAAGTTCGTTCGTTTAGACGGTTCAACGAAAGTTTCCGATCGCGCCGCGGTGGTGTCTGGATTTCAATCCGACGAGTCCATCTTCGTCTTTATGCTTTCAACTCGCGCCGGTGGATTAGGTATCAACTTAACCGCCGCGGATACGGTTGTATTCTTCGAATCTGATTGGAATCCAACGGTCGATCAACAGGCCATGGACCGTGCGCACAGATTGGGACAAACGAGAACCGTTCACGTTTACCGTTTGATTTGTCGCAACACGGTTGAAGAATACATCGCGAAAACCGCCAAGGAAAAAGAGCAAGTGACCGATTTAGTCTTGAAAGGGTCCAACAAGAAGAAGGAAGAAGAAAGCCTCGAACGCGTAAAATCTTTCGACGAAATCAACGACGCGCAAACGACAGAAATCTCCAAAGCGGAGGCTTTAAAAATGTTATTGGACGACGCGGGCGAGGAGGAAGAACACACGAAAGAGCGAAGAGTGAGAATGGAAGTCAAGATCCAAAAAGCCGTGGAAATCATTCGAGCGAAGAAAGGAGGACGAGGAGGGGAAGTAAAAGCGGCAGGAGCGGAAGCTGCAACATAACTTAAACTAATAACTAAACTAACTACATCTAGCACTAGAATTTATTCAGGCCATCGTCCGACCGTCCTCAACTTCTGCCTCTCCCGCATCATCACCTTCTCCAACCTCGGCGCCGCTAAATACTCCTTCACTATTCTCGCGTCCATTTTATCCACTAAATGTGCGTGCTCTTTCGCAATCGCATTCAACTCCTCGTCTTCAATTTTTTTCGACGACTTTGACGAGGAAACCGCTCTCACCAACTGGTAAATCTCCTCCGGTTTCATCTTTCCATTTGCGTTTACCATCTTCTCCCTCCGTTTCCCCACGGTATTTATCACAGACTCCGTGATCTTTCCTGAACTCGAATTCATGATTTTGTGCATGTTGGAAACCAACTCTGGGTTCTTTTTATGCATAAGCGATGTAGTATTACTCGTATTCGTCGTCGGGTCCATCACCGCGCTCCACTGCTCTCGAGTCGGTTGGGTGATTATCGATTCCAATTCGCTCGGGTTTCGTGGAAGTTTTCGAGGAGTCGTCTGAATCGTCGTCGCGGTAGTACCACCACCATTACCTTTACTTTTCACGATCGCGGAGGCTTTGAGGACGGTTTTCCGACCGGAGTCGGCGAGGTGTTTCGAGGGTGTTCCACCCATTAATGTCTGGGGAATTTGGTTTCCCAAAAGAGAGAAGGGGGAAAGTGTTCAAGTTGTTTTTACGCGCGTGTTATTTTTAATCTCATATGGTGTATAATAATGTTACAAGCTAACGATATGCGAAGATTTCTCTCTTCTGTCTATGATTTAAAATAGTGTTGTTTACTTTACTTCTTGGACTTCTTCGGCAACAAGACAGAGTGGATGTTCGGCAAGACGCCACCACTCGCAATCGTGACCGTCCCCAACAACTTGGACAATTCCTCGTCGTTTCGGATGGCCAATTGGATGTGTCTCGGTACGATTCTGGACTTTTTGTTATCTCTGGAGGCGTTCCCGGCGAGTTCGAGAACTTCCGCCGCTAAGTATTCCAACACCGCGGCTAAATAGACCGGGGCACCGGCACCAACACGGGTGGCGAATTTGCCAACCTTGAGGTACCTCGCGATTCTGCCAACCGGGAATTGAAGACCCGCTTTGGCGGATCGAGAGACGGCTTTCTTACCGGATTTACCTTTACCACGTCCAGACATTGTTGCTTTAAGAGAAGAGCGTGTTTTGTTGTTGTTTATGCGTTTACGAGTGTGTTACTTGTGGGTAACGAGCGCGATTTTATGACGCACCTCGTGCTCAATTTCGTACTTTTCTCTCTTTTTCTTGTATTTAGGGTAGCCTTCATCTTTCTGACCCCCATTTGGACGCAAATCCATCATTCTTCGTCTTGAGTAATCAATACCGCGTTAAAAGGTATTAAAAGCTTTAATCTAACAAAAAACAACAATTCTGATCACATGAGACACTTTTTGCGGCAATTAATTAAGTATAATTGAATCTGTGATCCGTTAGATTCTGCTTTTTTTCAAAAAATGGGTAATTAAGTTCCCCTTTTTTACCTTTTTTTTGATCGACCTCGAATTTCAATTGACTTTGTCTCGAACTTGCCCCTAGAATTCGTCATTACTCAACACACTCACATACACATATAACAAAAATGGCCGGCAAGAAACCAGCAAAGAAGACCGTCAAAGGCGGCGCCAAGAAGTCCTCCAAGAAGAAGGTCGAAACCTACAAGATCTACATCTACAAGGTCTTGAAGCAAGTGCACCCGGACACCGGCATCTCCTCCAAGGCGATGAGCATCATGAACTCCTTCATCAACGACATCTTCGAAAAGATCGCGACGGAAGCCGCCAAGTTGGCGAGATACAACAAGAAGCCGACCGTGACGAGCAGAGAAATCCAAACGTCCGTGAGATTGATCTTGCCGGGTGAATTGGCCAAGCACGCCGTGTCGGAAGGGACCAAGGCGGTCACCAAGTTTACCTCCGCTTAATTAATTCTTCGTTGAATTCTTTAACGGAAAACACAAAAAACAAACAAAAAACAAAAACATTATTAAGTCTGATTGCGTGTACTTCCGAACGACTCAAATCGTTCCGAAGAACTGCTCTACGACTGAAAACAAACATCAAAAGGCGATTCATATTGCCACCATCATTAAATTCATAAGATTCACTCGATACTATACGCTTATTATTATTATATAGTTACATAAAACCTTTGCCCGCGCGCTTCAACTACTACTAAAATAAATTTCTACGTTGAAACATCAATATCGACTTTCGCGAAGGCATCAACGACCCATTTCGGAACGCCTTTTTCTAAACTGTAGAGTTTCTTCGTAAACTCGACGCAGAATGCTTTGAAGGTTTTCTTTTCGATCGCCTCTCGCATTTGTTTACACAAGCGCATGAGATATCTCAAGTTGTGATACGTCAACACGATGCTCGCTTCGGTTTCCTTGCCGGCTATTTTGTTCAAATCTTTCCTCGTGTAGTTTAAGCAACACACGCAATCGCAATCGTCTTGGACTTTTCGTTCGTCGGTTTTGTATTGCGCTTGCTTTAATCGCAGAGTACCTTCGGGAACTAAGGCATTGCCAAATCGAGCCGTTCGCGAAGGGAAGACGCAATCGTACATGTCGCCGCCAAACGCCGTGCATATGACGATATCGATCGGGTACCCTATACCCATCACGTATCTGGGTTTATTGAACGGTAATTTCGGTAAAGCGCTCTCTAACACGCGACAGAAATCTTCTTTCCCTTCCCCTCCAGCTAAACCGCCGATGGCAAACCCGGGTAAATCCTTCCCTCGTTTCAACAAGCCTTTCAAAGATATATCTCGCAATCGATCGTCCAGCCCGCCTTGAACGATGCCAAACAACGCTTGCTCTTTCGGCCTTTTGTGGCCTTTAATGCACCGGTCGATCCATCGGGTCGTTCTGTGCGTAGCCTCCTCAAACCGTTCCTTGCTAATCTTCACGCTCGACACGACGTCGTCCAACGCCATGATAATATCCGCGCCGATGGCGTTTTGTATCTCCATCGATTTCTCCGGCGTTAACATTTCACTCTTCCCATCGATTGGTGATTGAAACGTGACTCCTTCTTCCGTCACGTCGGATAAATCAGCCAACGAAACCATTTGAAACCCACCAGAGTCGGTCAGTAAACCTCTCTTCCAACTCATAAACTTATGCAACCCGCCGCATTCGAGAAACAAATCTTTTCCAGGCCTTTGGCCCAAGTGGTAGGTGTTCCCTAAAATAACTTGACACTCAATCTCTTCCAATTGCATGGAAGTTAACCCTTTCACGCATCCTTGCGTTCCCACCGGCATGAACATTGGGGTGAAGCAATCGTAGTGAGGGAGCGTAAGATTGGTGTACCGAGCGCGACCGTCCGTGTGTAACACTTTGAATTGGAAACCGATTGGGTTGTTACAAAACGTTTCTTTTGTCTCTCCCTCGTCGTTTTCTTCTTCTTCTTCTTCTTCTTCTGTTTTTGTCGTCTGAATCGTCTTTTTCTTGGTACCGTTTTCGGACTCCCCGTTGTTGTTCTCGGAGGAAGCTTTGCGCTTGCTCCCGGCAGCCATGCTCTCTCTTTCTCTTCTTGCTTTTTATGTAGCGCTCGACTTTCTTTATGATGACTTTTCTTTTACAATTCTACTCAACTACTGTTCTTGTTTATATTAGTATTTGTTTTTTACGAAGACACGTCCATGGTGTCGAGCAAGGACTCGTTATCAAACTCCTCCCCGTGAGCTCCGAGAACAAAGTCTGGATCGTCGCTCTCGTCCTCGTTTTGCGTTTGTTGTCCAAAGAAATCGTTATGATGATTATTTCCTCCTCCTCCTCCTTCTTCTTCCTCGAGACTTAAATCGACTCGCGACATGGGTCGGTGCATCTCAAAATCTTTCCGCTTGTAAAACAAAACGTATCCGGCGTTGGACTCTTGGACCGAGTTGACGTCGATTGGGCGACAGGTGGAGTCATCGTAGGAGTGCCAAGAACCACTTTCGGCGTGTTTGGCGTAGGCGGTGTAGTGACCGCCACCCATGGAGCCGTAGTGGTTGACGACCGCGTAGAGGTCGTAGACGGTGGATTTCGGGAGGTCCGAGTCTTCGTCGAAGAATAAGGCGTCTTCCGCGATGAACGGGGAGATGTCGAAATCTTCGAGCGGGTAATCGATTTTTACGTCGATTTTATCTCTCCAAGAGCGACTGTAAGAGAACCGTTTCAAGTGTAAGATTAAAATGGGAGGCGCGCGCCAAATGTTCATGGAACATTTCGCAGGGACGTGTTTTTTACACTTGCCGCAATACCACATGTCGTCTTCGCCCAGCGGTTCTTCCTTGATGAAATGTTCCATGCACGCGCTGAGGGGAGTTTTCTTGACTGCAGTAGCGGGACCTAAATTCCGTTTCTCGAATTCGAGAAGCGAGTCGTGTTTACGAACGCACTTCTCAAACGCGCTTTCTTGGTTCTTCTTCCAATACGCGAAAATCGGCGCGCTCTTATCGGAAATGTTCGGCAAAGATGACGTTGCTCGTTCTTCTTGCTTATCCGGCGAAGAGTCCGAAACTGTGTTCGTAGTGTTGCCGTAGAAGTTCGAGAGCGAAAAAGTCCCGCTCTTTGTGGAGTCTAACGTAACTGCGTCGTCTTCGCTAGATTTTTTCTTCAACAACTCCGCGTTTGTTTGCCCCGGTTCGTACCATTCTGCGAGCGATTTGCGCAAAGCGAACGATTTCCCGGCGCATTTTTCCAAATACTCGGCGCGTTGCGGGTCTTCCTTTTGTTTTTCATCTTCTCCCATGGCTACGTCTTCGGTAGATGCGGCGTCCTCGCCGTCCTTTTCGCGCGTCGAAGATGAAAAATGCGCGATGGAAAATTTCTCCATCCAGTCTTCGATGGCCTCTTTCGCTTCCATCGTATCTTCGCTCGCCGCAGAAGTTGGAATCAAGAACGGAAACCCGATGAGCTCGTTCTCGTCGTGGGTTGTTGCGATCGAGGACGCTCGGGTTTCGTATCCAGAATAACTCGATCGAAAGTACGGCGACTTCGTCGCTTGCGCCAACGGCTTTCGATGACACACCAACGCGAACAACTCGTCTTCGTTTTTATTCTCCTTCGTCTTTGGTAAGCAATAGGCGAATACGACGTCTTTGTCGGAAATCTCGCGCAATTTCGCATCCGAATCGAAGAATTTATACACCTTCGCCTTGAATATATCCGCAATCACCCAACGATGCGTTGAATCAGAAATCTCACCAATATCTTCTTCGATCTCTCCAGCCAACGTTTCGAAAAGATTTTTCTCCAAATCTTTGACGGAACCTTCGTTATCGACGACGACGACAACTTTCATAGGTTTCAAACCCGGCTGATCGCAAAACAAAATCGTCACTTTCAACTCGCGCTCTCTCGTCGTCGGTAAGGGCACGGTCAAATACATGAATGGGTCAAATTTCACGGATCTATTCTCGCAATCTGGACACACCAACGTCGATTTGTATTGGCCTTGAAAAGCATCCACGATTCGACTGTTATTCCTCGCTAAATGGTTCTCCCAGTGCTCTTTCGCAACGTCTGCATCAGTTCTTCCAGTTGCATCTTTCTCTTCCACGTACGGTTTCACCTTTACGCGGTTCAAATCTTCGTGCAAACCGTCCAATAAAAACGCCAAGAGCTCTTGCGCGTCTTGTTGGTTATACCCGCTAAATTGAGGAGCGAATTTTGCCAAAGCAGATTTGAACGCTCGAGGTGCGACTGAGACGGCTCCATCACGCCATAGCGCCGTGATGAGTTTTGCGTACTCCTTCGCGAGTTTACCTCCCATACCAATTGGGTTATCTTCGTTAATATCTTCTACGTACGCGTTGGACAAAAAGGCATCCGTCAACATGGACGTATGCGACAAGCACTGCAACGCCGAGTTCATGAAACACGTATTTCCCAAGTTTTGCAAACCGGCTTTCCCACGACTGCCGTGCTTTTGCTTCGCCCGGTCGGTTTCGACGTCATTTTTCGGCGACGCTAACCCGAAAGAGTGTGACGTAGACGGTAACGCGATCGGTTCTAATGTCATACGCTTTGGCGCTCGATCAGAATCGTTCGCCATGGTCGCGTCGTCTTCATTCAGAGCATTTTTGTGCGTGTGAGAAGAAATAGTGTTGGCTATAGTTTGATCGATATCAGTCATCGGTTTATCGAGTTGTGGTTCGCTGCCGTACAAATCTGCGTCATCGTCGTCGAACGTTTCAAAAGTTTGCGTTCCAATCGTCGTCGTCATCGGTAGTCTTCTTCGTTCCTCTTCAACACTGCTGTGATGGTTTTGAAACGCGTTTCTGATTTCTTCGTTAATTTTCTCCTTGTCCACTAAATCATCTTCCTCTTCGTCGTTGACAATTTCAACTAAAACCTCCTGTCCATCACTGATAGAAAAGGCCCCGTTTGCGTCATCGCCGCTCACTTTTTTTTCTAAAAAGGCGTCGCACAAATCTACTTCGCCTTTCAACCCGCCCGTAAAATCGAACAGTTTGATTCTCTTATTTGTATCGTCGTCGTTGATAAGGAAAGCTTTTCTCGCAACGTCTTGCATATCTCCTATCGTATCGTTCGCCGACGCGTACATGATTGCCTTGCGAACTTTTGCTTCTTTTGACGGCGGCGGCGCCGCTGAAGACGACGACGTAAACGGATTCAACCGCGCTAAGAATCCTTGCTGCTGCTGCTGCTGCTCTACGCTGCTATCATTATTACTATAGCTACTCGGCTCGTGGTATACCAAAGTCACCTTAGGACGATAAACTTCGCACCTCGCCGCTCTTTTCGCGTTGTTCGCGGTTGATACCGCGCCGCCGCGTCTCGTAAACTTCCTCGGCGATACCGCGTTACTATTAGCGCTAGAGTTCTCAACAAACCCACTCTCTCTCTCCCCGACGCACCTCCTCAACACGTGCGTCGTCGTCGTCAAATTACGCACCATCCCGAACCAATTCGTCAACATCTCCGCCGTTTCTTCTCTGACCACCGCGTAGTCCACATTTTCTTTCAAGTTTTGTTTCAGTTTCGGCGTCAACTGTCCAAACACGTTCTTTCCTTCCTCTTCTTCTCCTTCTCCTCCTCCTCTCGCGTCGTCGTCGACATCATCCAAAAGACACGAGTTATCCATCGGCCCGGGCGACGACGCTCCGTTCTCTTCCTTCAAATACGAGAGGCACTGGTCGTACCATCGCTTCGGTACCAAAGCGCACCGGTCGTTTTCTCTCGGCCAAGAAAACGAGCGTTCCAGATTTTCAATCTCGCTCAGCAACTCCTTCTTCTTCTTCAACGAGGGCTTATTCCCACCGAGCAACGAAGGGTTGTTGTTGTTGTTGTTATTGTTATTCATCGGGTGGTTGCGTTTCTTCTCCTCGTCGTTGATTCTATCATCATCATTATTATTATCACCACCACCGTTACCACCACCCGGCGCCTCGTCTCCCGCCAACCTCGTCATCATCGTTTCGCTTCTTCTTTGATGGCTTTTATAAATGTCGAGATGAGCCGATGAATGTGATGATGTTTTTATCGTCTAAACTCTCGTTACCACGCGCGAAGAAGAACAAAACCAAAGAGCAACGACACCAAAACGCGAGTCCGCTCTGTGTTCTCTCTTCTTCTCTAAATGTCTTTCCCTCTTATCTTTATCTTTATCTTCTTCTTCTTCTTCAAAGCGTGTTTTGATGTCTCTTAGTTTTGGCGTTTTTTTACGAACACAAAAAGTCACCAAACGACTTGTGAAAACCACAAACATACGAGGTGTGTTACAGAGGTGCGCGTACACATATACATCTAAAATGCGACTGTTGGCGCACAACATGCTCGCGTGCAACGTAAAAGGCGTGGTAAACGGGTACCCGCTGACCATTCACGCGACAAAAATAGAAACAAACGAGAGTGAATTTAACGGGAATTTCATCGTCCACATGCTCGGGAAGTTGGATTGGGGGGCGTTTTTGAAAGCGTGCAAAGAGGTGAACGCGAGCGAGGATTTACCGGAGGAGATTCCCTCGCGCGATGCGTTTGGAACTGAGGAAGAGCAATACGAGATGTTTTTGAGGAAAGTGCACCACGCGTTGTTGGAAGTGACCGTGGTGGAAGGGCACTTGGAATGTCCGGAGAGTGGGAGGAAGTTTCCGATTGAAAATACCATTCCGAATATGCTTTTGAACGAAGACGAGGTTTAACTAGAAGAAATAGAATGTAACAATCGCAACAACCGTATTATCATCGTAGACATATATATTCATCATTGTTTGTGTGATCTAGGGACGTGTACTACTATTATATTTACAAACAAAACGAGCGCGAGTTATTCTTCGTCGCTGCTCGAATCATCGCTCTCGCTTTCCTCCTCCTTCTGCCCGCTCGCTCCGGCTTGCGCCTGTCGCTGCAACTTTGCCATCCGTCTCTCCTCTCTCCTCCTTTCCTTTTCGAGCAAAATCTTTGCCTCCACCGCTCTCGCCATCGATTTCCTCACCTTTGCCTCTCGCTGCGTTTGCGTCCCGGGTTTCTGCGGTCTCTTGTACGGTTTCAACTCCTCTCCCGACGTCCCGGGGACGACAATGTCCCACTCGCGCTCTAAGTGCAACGCGACGTCTTTCACGTCGATCACATCCGCGTTTCTCAATTTCGCCAATTTGTGCGACTGCATCGCCACTTCCTCGACGAAATCATCCGCCAACTGTAACAGCGCCGTTTTCACGTCCTCGTCGAAGGTTTCCCCTGGCGCACACTCTTTAATCATCTTCTCCAGCATCTCTCTCGACACCGCGTGCGCATCGTCTCCATTCGCGCCTCCTTTTTCCAATTCCGCGAGTAATTTCGCCTGGCGCTCTTTCTGTCTCTCTCTCGCGGCGATCGCGAGACGTAACTGCGCGTCGTGCATCTCTTTGATCTTTTGCGCTTCCTTTTGCGCTTTCTTGTTCGCATTTTCCCCCCCGGGAGCGGTTCCCGATTGGTGTTTGAGCGGAATGTCCATGTTCGAGGACGTTTTTGTTTTAACGCGATGACAGTGCGTTCAGTTTCTCTCTCTCTCTCTCTCACTCTCTCACTCGAGATGACGACGAGGACGTTCTTTCTTTGTCTTTGTCTTCTCGGACAAACTCTTTGCGCGTGCGTTTAATGGAGAGATGGTGCGTTTCGAATCCTCACAAAACGTGTCCCCTGCGACGATGCGCTAAAGAGAGAAGACGACCAAACGCTTTCACGCGCGCAATCATTCGTAAAAGGCACGCGCGTGATACTATCCGCGCGCTAAAACAACTCAACAATTAATACTATAAATGAAAAGAGCGATAAAATCAGCGATCGATTTAGCGTTCAAAGGGGTCGCGAGGAGAACTGCGCCGGTTGGGAAGTTTGTCTGGAACACCATCTTTGCACATCCGATGCGGTTTTTAGGTGTTTTGAATGCGAGCAACGCGAGGAGAAGTCAGAGCAGCATGAGTAGTAATACGAATACTACTACGAACTACGCGATCGTCGGGTTAGGAAACCCGGGGAAACGATTCGAAGGGACGAGACACAACGTCGGTTTTGAAGTGATTGATTCTTTGCGCAAGAATGGCGGAAGCAAGTTGTTGGAGAAAAGCTGTTCTTCTTCTTCTTCTTTGAGTTCTTCTTCTTTGCGGTTGCAAAACAACTCGTCCGTGAACAGCGAGATATCCGACGTCGTTTTAGCCGAGTATATCGTGAACGACGAAGAAGAAAACGAAGGAGACGATGACGAGTCTAAATCGCCGTCGTCGTCGACGCGAGTGTCGCGCAAAATCGTCCTCGCGAAACCGCAAACGTTCATGAACGTCTCTGGAACCGCGGTGAGGAAGATCATGCGGAAATACCGCGTGCCGATTGAGAACGTCCTCGTCGTCTACGACGACTTGGACACGAAGGTTGGTCAGATTCGGATTAAGAAGTCCGGATCTCACGGTGGACACAACGGGATTAGAGATATATTGGATATTCCGAGAGTGAAGAATGCGTTTCCTAGAGTGAGAGTAGGGATTGGTAGACCGGAAAACGAGAGCGTGCAAGTGTACGAACACGTGTTGTCGAAGTTTCGAGAGGAAGAGAGAGGGGAGATTGACAAAGCGGTGGAAAAAGCCGCGGCGGCGGTGGTGGACATTTTACGGTTCGGGGTGGACGACGCCATAGCGAGACAGAACGGGAACGTGCCGAAGAAGAAGAATAAGAATAAAGGCGGCGGCGATGGGACGAAGAAGTTGAAGGTCAAAGGCGGTCAGCCTGTGGCGGTGGCATTCAAGGTTTCCGAGGACGGAGAAAAAGTCGAAGTGGATATCTTCGCGAGGTCTTCGAGGAAGAAAGAAGTAGTAGCGGTAGCGGCAGTAGAGGAAGCGGACGATGTAAAATAATAGCGTTATCATTCGATATATAAATACGCTCACGTGTGTGTGTGTGTTATTAATATGTGCAATAAAGTACGAAAGAGATATTAAAGCGTGCTATAACATGCGTGACTACGATTTTTTCTTTTCTATGGTTCCATCGCTTCTCATGAGCAAATCGGGGTGATGCTTGGCGAAAACCTTCGGGTGCGAGCGAGCTAGAGATTTGAACGCGTTTTCGCCGTACGCGTTGATTATTCGGTTTTCGTTGCTCGTTTCTGATCGTTCCTCTATCGCGGTTGAAAATCCTTTCTTTGTAATTTCACCGTCTACTTTTGCCACGAAATCTAATCGCGGGTTCCAGAAATATGGAATCGACAACCTCGCTTTGTTCTCGTCGATGCTTTTTGACGTAGGCGACAAGACGCGATGCGGCGTGGCTTTATAATACCCACCAGTCATGATTTGTAACATTTCCCCAATGTTGACGACAAAGTAGCCCTCGATTGGTGTCGCATCAATCCACGCGTCTTTTTCAATTTCGACTTGTAAACCTCCCACATCGTCTTGCAAAAGTATAGACACGAAACTGGTGTCCGTGTGCGGACCGACGCCAAAGGACGATTCGCCGCCATCAATCGCAATCGGATATTTGCAAATCTTCATCTGCATGTTTGGCTGCTCAGCAAACATGTAATCGAAATAGGTCTCTTCCAGCTCGAGTGAAAGCGCGAGATATCTCGTCAGCTGTCGACTAATTGCATCCATTCTATCTATAAACTTTTCCATCGTCTCTTCAAATTCGTTCGATGGGTATTGATTTTCGCCTATCAAACGCTCGTAAAAATGCGTCATGTCTTTGCGCCTCTTCGGCGCGCTATGAACGCCAAACTCGACCTGTTCTCTCGCATCAATTTTTCCCCTCGTATTTTCTAACCCGAGAGATACATATCCTCGAAATTGCGGCGAGTTCGCGTAGTCCATCTTCATCTTCTCTTCCATCGAGAGCGCGAAAAACGATTTCGCCGCCTCGAAAATCGCCTCGTTCTCTTCCTCGCCGAAGAGACTCTTCGGAGGTTTGAGATAGAAAAAGCCGGATTCTGAGCACGCCCGTCGCAAGTCTCTCGCGAACGCTTCTCTACTCTCGCCGCTCGCATCATCATCCGGCATGTCTAGCAAAGGAAGATCACGAGCGCTACACTTTTTCTCCGCCGACCAACGTCTTCTGCTTTTCCATCGCGTACTTTCCGACTTCACCATCCCAGATGCCAACGACGATGACGACGACGACGACAACACTCCCATCATCCTCATGAGTAGTATGTATATTAAACTCTCACTTTCACGTTCCTCTTCGCCAAACGATTGTAGCACTCTACGGTTAATTCCATCCCCGGGTTCCCTCCTAACTCTAGCAGTTTCAACTTTCTCAGCTTGTAGTGTTTCCCAATCGCTTCCACGGTGAGCTTATTATTCCTCAAGGACAACCGTTCGAGATTCTGGCAGTTCTCGAACAAACTCTCCGGAATTACGTCCAAGTTATTGTTGCTCAGATCAACTTCTCGTAAGTTTTTACCGGATTTTTCGAGCGCGACGGCGAGTTTACACGCGCACGGTTTCGTCACCCGTTCGCACTGGATGTCGTTGCACACGATATCTGTGCTGGAATCCAGATGGAGTTTTGTCGCCGTTTCTCCCAAGCGGTTGAGTTCCGCTAAGGATTTTGCCACTCCCAAAGAAGAATACGAACGCACGCAACGAGAAGGATTATATTGAACGATCAGTTTCGACGACTTACGTGCGATCGATCGCAAGAAAAGCATCGTTTATATCCGTCAAATTGTGTGGAAATGGATAAGAGAATTTGCGTCACTTTTTCCCCAACACACAACTACTCTTACACAAACGCGCTTTTAAGAGAGAGAGAGAGAGAAAAGACAGGACATCACAATGACGACGACGACCTTGTTGTTCGGTGGTAATGTTTTCCTTCGAGGCGTACCTTCTGCGTTGACGATGCGACGAGGACGACAGCAAGAGCATTCGTGTTCGTGTTCGTCCTCGGCGGCGTCCAAAGCGGTTTTTCTTCCTTCCAGTTGGCGCAGGAATAACATCAATGCTCGATACTCGATCGTCGCGCGAAGCAGCGAAAAGTCATCCTCCTCTTCTTCGAACGAGAAGAAGAAGACAAAGAAGACAAAGAAGAAGAACGAATCCGAAGAGAAGAAAAAGAAGAAGACAAAGAAGAAGAAGTCAAAATCGGATGAAACGACCGAGTTGCTGTTGCAAACGGTGCAAAGCTTAAAACAAGAGATGCAAAAGATGAAACTAGAGATGCGGGCGATGGAACCGGAACGAGAACCGTTGGGTGCACCGAGCGCGACGGAGGTTATGAGCGGCGGCTTCGGCGGCGGAATGAGTAAAAGGAGTAGCGGGATGGCGAAGACGACCGAGCCGTCGTCGTCGATTACGCAAACGACGCAGAAAGAGAAAGACGAGTACTTTAATAAAGTCGCGAACGATCTCTTAACGCCGGCGTTAGGGGAAACGATATCGAATCCGGAGATGATTATCGTCGATGCGGCGAATTGGGCCGGGGATGGGACCAATCGCGGTCACGAGTGGCCTTTACTGAGAAACGGCGACAACGACGTGTATTTGATGACTTTAGCGCACGCGGCGTTGATGGAGAGTGGGTTTTGGTGCGGGGAAGACGACACGGAGGAGATGTATTTTGGAAAGAAGACGGAAGAGGCGGTGGAGTTTTTCCAAGGCGCGAACGGTCCAGGATTAGAAGTTAACGGCATGATCAACACGAAAACGTGGTTAGCGTTGCTCGGGAAAGAGAAATTCGAATGGGGACCGGCGCCCGGGGCAATTTTAGACGAAGACGTCGCCTCGTGTCGCGAAGGTATCGCTCGAAAAGCGTTCGAAGATACGCAAAAGAAATTAAAAGCCGTCGTTGCGAAAGAGGACGAAGACCCGTACGGGGAAGACATCGATTCCGGTCCTCCCGCTGAGGACGATTTCATCGACGTGAAAGGTTCCTCGGGCGACTCGGTCGAATGGCCCATCTTGCGACTCGACGAAGGCGGCTTCACCGTCCACAAAATGCAAGCCATGCTCTCCACCCTCGGATTCAACTGCGGCGAAGACGACTCCGAGTACTGGTTCATGGGTCCCGACACTCAAAACGCCTTACAAACGTTCCAAGCGTCCGAATCGCTCCCGGAAACCGGCGTCGTCGATTTCCAAACCTGGACCAAACTCTTCGACGCGTGCGGCTATACGAACGCAACCATGAAGACGGTCGAGGACGCGTTCGCCATGGTTCCCGAAAACGAGTACAGCGTCGACAGATCGCCAGGGTGTGGGGAAAACGAGAACCAAGGCGTGTGGTTGATTGGAGAGCAGAGGTACGAGAATTGCCAGACGTGAAGATGAAGACGACACATCGAATGCTCATTTTTTAGCTCACGCGCGTTTGTAAGAAAGAAACAAAAAGCTCGAACCAAATCGTCACATTTTGCGCTCTTCTTTCACCGCCACTTTCAGCGAGACACTTTTCCTCTCTCTTTTTTGCTCTCGTCGTCGACTCAAATGCAGTTCCCTCCTCCTCCTCCTCCGTCGTCGTCATCGTCCGACGTTGAAAAGTATCTTCTTTTCTTCGCGCAAAGTCAAAACGGAAAGAATGTCACTTGCGTTGCGCTGAACGACGAGAACGAGAAAGAGAAAGATATCGCGGAGAAGTTGATGCGCGTGATGACTCCTCCTTCTTCATCAAACCCCCCGTTCGTGTTACCGGTGGATTCTGCGCCGAAAGAATCGCTTTTAGCCATCTCGCGATCGTTCGCGGAGAAGGAGCGAAGAGAAGAGAAGGAAAAAAGTGTAGACGAGGAGATGGCGAAGAGCGCGAGACGAACGCTCGAGCGGTTGTTGGCGCGAAAGACGGAGGACGACATGATTCACTACTACGATGATATCGTTGGAAAAAAAATCCCAATCGCATCTGCGAGGAGCGTGAACGTGAACGTGATGCCGAGCAGAGATAATGATGGAGAGAGCAAAAGCGGGTTTACGATTGAAGAGGAAGACGAGGCGACGTTGGCGAGGCGAGAGGACGCGTACGCGTTCTTCGGCGGAGACGCGAATGGTGGTGGAGGTAGGTCTGATTTCGTTCGGGGGAGCACGAGGAATGCGCCGCATTTGCCGGGTGGAATGGACGAAATAGCCGAGAAGACGGAGAAGTTTAGAATGGAGAGGAGGAAAAGAGCGCACAGATTTTGGTTGGAGGAGTACGTAGGCGTTGGAGAAGGAGACGACGGCCATTCGAGTAGGGGATGCGCGCCGCCTGGATTTGAACGGTCCGTCATCTCCGGGCGAGAGAGGCGAGCGACGGATACGATTGATGCTTTTGACGAAGAAAGAGCCTCTGGTGTGCGTGGCGGCGAGATTGCCGCGGCTGCGATGGAAAGAGACCAGGAAATGAAACGGAAAGCGGAAAATGTGGCGAAACGATTAGGTGTGTTGACTTTCGAGGACGTTCTGGAGAACGATTGGATGGAGTATAAGAAAGAGGCGGAAGAAGACGAAGAAGAGGAGGAGGAGGAGGACGAAGAGGAGGAGGAGGAAGAAGAAGGAAGTGGGGAAGATTTAGACGACGATGACGGAGAAGACGACGACCCAATCGAAAGTCTTTTGAGAGAACACGATCAGCAATCGACATCCGTCGCGACGCAACTCGCCAAAGACGTCAAAGAAGAGATGAAAAAAATAGAAAAGTGGGCGATTACGACGCCAATACCTGATGTGGATGCATTTTATCGCTCAACAGTTGGCAATTCACCAGCCAAAACTTTTCCTTTTGAATTGGACGCGTTTCAAAAAGAAGCCATCGCTCGCATCGAACGCGACGAATGCGTCTTCGTCGCCGCGCACACTTCCGCGGGCAAAACCGTCGTTGCGGAGTACGCTTTTGCGCTGGCTCAAAAACGGTGCGCGCGAGCAATCTACACCTCTCCAATCAAAACGATCAGCAACCAAAAGTTTCGCGATTTTACTGACGCAGGATTTGACGTCGGTCTGCTCACCGGCGACGTTAGCGTAAAGCCAGAATCGTCGTGTTTGATTATGACCACGGAAATTCTACGCTCTATGCTTTATCGAGGCGCGGATATCATCAAAGACGTCGAGTGGGTAGTTTTCGACGAAGTCCACTACGTCAACGATCGCGAACGAGGCGTCGTCTGGGAAGAAGTCATCATCATGTTGCCAAAACACGTGGGGATTGTCATGCTTTCCGCCACGGTACCGAACGTTCGCGAATTCGCCGGGTGGGTAGGTAAAACGAAACGGAAAAAAGTTTTCATCACCGGCACGAAGAAAAGACCAGTTCCGCTCGAGCACGAGCTATATTTTGGCGGCGACGATCCCGACAAGGATTTTCATCTCGTCGGCGAAAAAGAACAGTTCCTACCGCTCGGCTACCAAAAAGCTCTGAAAGCGAAAGAGAGGAAAGATATGGGCGTGAAAGCTGCGCTGCTGAAAGATCAAGGTTTGAACAAGCAAGAGGTGAAGAAACCAAACGCAGGTCGAGGAGGTGGGTCCGGCGCTGGCAGCAGAAATCGCACGCAGCAAAGAGAAGGTTTCGTTAAGCAATCCGTGAAAACGACTGGAAGTGGACAATCGACGAAAACAAACACCGGTAAAAATCAATGGGTCGAGCTCATACGCACGTTGGAGAAGAAATTGTTTCTTCCCATGGTTGTGTTTGCGTTTAGTAAACGAAAGTGCGATTTACTCGCGGATGGTATCACGGGCGTAGATTTGACGACGTCAAAAGAAAAGCATGAAACGCACATCTTTTGTGAAAAAGCTCTGTCTCGATTATCCCCGGCTGACCGAACTTTACCGCAAGTCACGAGAGTTCGTGAACTGCTCTCTCGCGGTTTAGGAGTACATCACGCCGGTTTACTTCCAATCGTGAAAGAAATCGTTGAAATGCTTTTCTGTCGCGGTAACGTGAAAGTTTTATTCTCCACGGAAACGTTCGCAATGGGCGTAAACGCCCCTGCGCGATGCGTGTGCTTTGAATCCTTGCGAAAGCACGACGGGCAAGAGTTTCGTTTCTTGTTGCCTGGTGAGTATACGCAAATGGCGGGTAGAGCCGGACGACGCGGGAAAGACACCGTAGGTACCGTCATTCTTTCGTGTTGGGACAATTTTCCAACCGAGAATACCTTACGTAAACTTCTCGTCGGTACGGCGACGAAACTCGAATCGCAATTTCGATTGACATTTGCGATGATTTTGAACGTCGCGAGAGCGGAAGATTTAAAAGTCGAAGACGTTTTGGCGAGATCCTTCGCGGAGTTTCACGCGCAAAAAACTGTCGGAAACCGAGAGAGTAGACTTCGACACGCGATTATTTCTTTGACGCGAGCGAGAGATTTGATTTCGACAGAAGCGTCCAGGGATCCGTTCAACTGGACGCGAGCGGTGGTGTGTTCTCGCGCTGCAAAATTGTTAAAAGAACTCGGCGAACGCGCGAACGAAGCAATCGTTAAATCCAGAGGTTTTCGGGAAGCGCTCGGGAGCCCGGGTAGAGTCGTGCTCGTTAAAGACGATAAAGGTGGGTTTGCTAGATTTGCGGTCGCTCTACGGGTGATCAAAGAAGAAAAGGACGGCGACGTGAAAAGAAGCGTCGTCGTCATGGCGATTAAGGATGAAGGTCACGACGATGATTTTCAAGACGACGACGATCTCGATGCCTCGGTGGTTGATACGCAACTTTCGAAGGGGGAAGATGAAGACGCGGGCGGCTCATCAAACCTTCGTCTCGTTTCAAAGAAGAAGAAGCACGACGACGACGATGACGACGACATGTTTGGCGGATTCGGTGGAGGAAAAAGTAAGAGAGGCGGAAAGAAAATGGGAGGAGGAGGAGGAGGAGGAGGAGGATTGAGCAAAGCCAGTTCTGCTCAACTGACGAGTAATCAACCCGCGATATCGGAGGAAAATGCGCAACTCCCGAAAGATTTACCGTGGAGAAAGCGCGCGGGTGGTTTTGATTACGTCGTTTTCGTCATTCGCGATATCGATATCTACGCAGTGACGGCTTTGAAACTTCAAGACGTAGACGCGTACGCCATATTAGACGATGCTTCTCCGCCGAGAAAGGCTGATCAGCGTGCGGCTGCGACGCGCGTTTTGTCCGTTCTCGAGCACGAAACGAAAAGTATTCGAAACAAACAAGACGACGATACTCCTTCGTCTTCGTTACTTTTACAAACGCTCGATCCTACGAAGGATTTGAAAATCACCAATGTCGACGACGCCGAGGCGTGTCGACGCCACGCCGAAGCCCTGGCGCAACTACCGTCGATGCCAACTGATGTGGATTCAAAAAGGTTATCGCAATGGTCGAGACTTTTAGATTGCGAGAGACACTTGCTCCATCAAATCGACCAGTTGAAATTCGGCCTGTCTGATGCGAATTTAGCGCTCACGCCTGATTTTGAGACGAAAACGAGAGTGTTGAAATACATGGGCTACCTCGACGAAGCGAGAGCGGTGACTTTGAAAGGTCGCGTTGCGTGCGAGTTATCCACTGGCGACGAGTTGATTGGCGCAGAAATCGTTTTTGGCGGGTGCTTGGAGAAATTGACGCCGGCGGAAGCGGCGGCTTTACTCTCGGCGTTGGTGTTTCAAGAAAAGAACGCGTCTGCACCAGATTACGACGCTTTACCGGTGAATTTGAAAGATTCTATTGCTCTCGCGAATACTCTGGCTATCCGTGCCGGAGACATCCAACGAGATTTCGGTCTTTCAGTCATTGGCGACGAATATTGTGCGGAGAACTTAAAGTTTGGTTTAAGCGAAGTCGTTTATCGATGGGCGATGATGGATCCGTTCTCGGAAATTTGTCAATTAACGGATGTACCAGAAGGTACGATCGTGAGAACTATCACGCGATTAAATGAAACGTGTCGAGACGTGAAAAACGTCGCCCGAATTATCGGCGACGCGAGTTTATCGCAAAAAATGGAAGACGCGATGGCCTTGATTAGAAGAGACATCGTCTTCAGCGCGAGTCTATACGTCGGCTCTTGATCGATCGTTAGTAATAATAATTATAGTAGTAGTAGTAGTAGTAGTAATAGTAGTAGTAGTACCGGTAGTAAGTACATAGTGTATTAAAATAGGTTCTCTCTCTCTCTTTCTTTCTTTCTTTCTTTCTCTCTCTTTACCCGAGCTTCTTCAATTCCTTCTCAAAAATCTCCGAAAGTCGCTCCGCGCACTCTCTCACGCCCGACGGATCCCCAGGTTTATTATACACGTACGCGTTCCTAAACACCGTTCTCACCAACGCCACAAACTCATCCGGCGTTTCAATCTGTCCCGCGTTCAACTTCGTCTCAATCGTTCTTAAATCAATCGGGTGCTTTATAATGACCGGATAATCCGGAATGTTCAACACCTCCCAATTGACCGGCTCGAGAAACGGCCACGCCAGTTTCCTCGCCGCCGTGCACTTCTTCAAGATTTGTTGACACGATTTCTGCCACCTCCTTTTCCCCGACGATAAAGGAACGTTCCACTCGCAAATATCCGGATGCGTCTTCTCCAGCGCTTTTTGCTCCGCATCCGTCAACGGTCGTTTCGTCCCGTCTAACTCGACTTTGATTAATTTATACGGCTGAAACGGGGAGGCGGAATTTAAAGGCGCAATTTGCGCTTCCGTTTCCCCAGGCGCTGGTTTCGGCGCGCACACCGCGCAATCACAACCCGGGCGAGGCGGTGGCGGCACGCACGTTTCTATGGCTACTTTATTTGTTGTTGTTGTTGTATTTGTTGTTGTTGTCGTTGTTGCTGCTTCGGGAGCGGGTGGTGTTGTTGTTGCTGCTGCTTCGGACATATTTCTTTTCGTTCGATGATGTGATTGGATTTTGTTTGGGAGATCGAATTCTTCCTCTCCTTCTTCTCTTTTAGATTCTCTCTCTCACTCACTTCTCTCACTTCTCTCACTTCTCTCTCTCTCTCTTCTTTCCCTCTCTCTCTCTCTCTCTCTGTTTAGATATATATATATTCTCTATGTATATATTCTGTGTTATTCGCGCAAAGTGTGTGTTATGTCGACGTTTACAAGAGATTCAATTTTGCACGAAATCAATCAACTCGTCATTAAATTTGAAGAAAAAAACTGTTTAGGGTGTAGGGTTTAAGCACAAAGGCAAAAACGCGCTCCTTCTTTCTCTCTTCATTTTTCTTTCCATCCTCTCCTTTCGTATAAGATTTAAAGAAAAGAGAGAGAAAGAACGCGCGGAAACCACACAAAGAGAAGAGCGCGGAAGAAGAACACACACACAGAGAGAGAGAGCGTCGTAAAGTGTGTTTTCTCCTCTCTGACGAACAAACTTTCTTTCTCTCTCTTTGGACTTTCATCGCTGAAGAGAGAACAACAACACGTCAACAAGAGTCTCTCTTTCAATCAAAAGTGGAACGATTTTGAGATTTGAATACACACATCTCTCTCAATCGCAAATCTCATCTCTCTTCTCCTCTCATCAAAGTGATTCAAGATTACGGTATTCGCGGATAAAACGAACGGCGCGGAAGGCACCATCGCGTCCGCTACCGCGACGATGACTTCTGCGCTGCCGCCTGCGACGAAACGACTGTGCGTTTATGTTTGTATATGCAGAGATGACACATCTTTCATCATCATCAATTTTCTCTCTCTCTCGTCTCTCTTTTTTTCTCGGAAAACCATATCGACTTTCAATTCGAACGAGAACAAAAACCCCAATCAGCAGCTGATTACATTCGATAATGACGACGACACCAAAGGGAGCCACGCGTTGTAAAGCGGCTCAGTTCGAACGAGAAAGTCGATAGGTGGTTTCAAACGAGCTTTTGTATTGGGCAAAAACCACTTTCCCTTTAAACAGTTGAAACTACTGACTGACTTTTTTGAAATTTTCTCTCAATTTTTTCATCGAAAACAACCTTAAAAACAGAAAATGCGAGTTGGACATGGAAGACTCTTCGGACAACGTGATCAACTACAAAAAATTGGTCAAGGAACAAACCGGGATATCGGTGAAAGAACGAATGAAAACGAAGGAGAAACAAGAGAAAGAACAACAAGCCGAAAAAGAAGGAGGAGGAGGAGGAGATGTGCAATTGAGCAAAACGAATAACGATAAGATGTTGGAAACGAACGGCGGCGGAGGGCACATGGCGGCGGTTATTCGAAGGATCGAGGCGCTGTATCAAGGCGGGGTGCAAGGCGGAGACGAGAGCGATTCGTCCTCTGAAGAGAGTTCGGATGAAGAAGAGAGCGAGGAAGAGGAAATGAGCGAGGATGGGGAGGAGGAGGAAGATGGGGAGAAGGGCGAAGGAGAGGAGGATGGAAGCGAAGAAGAGGACGACGACGAGGACGACGATTCGAGCGGGTCGGAGATGGAAGACGATCATCCGACGAGGACGCCCGGAGGAACGTTGGTGGCACCACCTTCGAAAGAGAAGAGAGCGAAAAGAGAGAAAGGTAGTACTGGTGGCGATGAAGAGAACGCGAATAATGACGATAAAAGCGCGCCGGGGAGCGACGAGAAACAGCCCCAAAACGATCAAGAAAAGAAGAAGAAAAGAAAGAAGAAGGAGAAAAGCAACAAGCGACGCCGACGTGGTGACATCGATTGGTACGACGTCGACGACGATTGGATCGACGACGAAGAGTTGGACGAGTATTTCGACCGAGATGGGAGGAAAACGAAACATTCCGGTTTCTTTGTGAATAAAGGAGAAATTCAAAACGTCAACGCCGACGGCACGACGCCGCTGAAAGGCGAAGTTGAGTTGACTTACAAACAAAAAGAACAGCTAAGACTGGAAGCGGAAGCTAGAGGAGAGATCAGATGTGGACGCGGATGGACGATCAATTGGACGGAGCCTATGCTCACCGCGTTGAAAGAAGGGGTGGAAGAATTCGGCCACGCGTGGGCGCACATCGTCAGCATAGCTTCGACAAACGAGAAATACGCGCCTTTGGTTGGTTTGTCTAAAGACCAAATGACGAGAAAGTGGATGAATATGCGCGAGGAAATGATTGCGAATGGTATCGAGCCACCGGCTGCGTTTGTGAGCGCGATGGGTACGAAAGTAAGCAACCCGCTGATTGGCCGACGACCGCAACCGATTGGCGAGTGGAAACCGGAAGACGAGAACGACCCAGAACTCGTTGAAATCGTGAAAGCGCTCGCAAAGCTCGCGCAAATTTTTAGCGGGAAAATAAACGACGACGCGAACGAGTTTGGTTTAGGTCAGCACGCCTTGAGAGCAGATAAACAAGAGAAATTGAACTCAAAATTAGAGGAGTTTTGCATGAGAGCGCCGAAAGAGCTCTTTAACCCGTTTTTGTCCAGAGCGATGGTGATGTATTTGTTAACGGAGATGGAGTTTGTTTGGACGGAAAAAACGCTCCGGGACAAAATGAACAAGTTTTTCAAAACGGCAAATCCAGATTGGGAATCCGCGAAACTCGTCGCAGAAGGAGGAGAAGGAGGAGAGAATGGTATCGACAACGCCGCGGGTTTTTCCTCGCCGAACACTCGCTCTGTGCGCCCAACGCCGACAAAATCGGCGCGTCCGACGCCATTGAAAGCAGCTTCAAAATCTCCAGCCGTCGCGGCGACTTTTGACGAGAAAAACGACGATTGGATGACGGACACTTGGAAGAGTAATTTTGAGGATTTTAAAAAGCGATGCGAGATTTGCCACGCGAAAATTCAAAAATCAAAGAAACCGAACGAGTGGGTGTTCGACCCGGAATCCACCGAAGCGTTCCTGAGATTGGTCAAAACACAATTCGAACATCCAGGCACTGGTCCAGGTAAAGGGAAGTTCAGTAGCGTCGTCTACGCGGCGGCGGTCAAAGCGATTCCGGAGATGTACAACTTGCACGTTGCGAACATGAGAAATAAATATAGCAACGAAAGGCAAAAGCTAGCTCGCATGTACGTATGAACCATCTGCATGCGCATCAATATCATCATCATCATCGACAACTGTAATCCTCTTGACTTTCCTTAAAACTTCATCCATCGCGTAACTCGCTCCCATCTCGACTCGATATTTTTCCTCCATCACCTTCTGCATTTCCTCCTCGTGCTTCTTTGACAAATCAATCGTAATCTTTTCGTGCCTTCTCGCCTCTTCTCGCATCGCTCGTAAAGCCTCTCGCATCGATTTCATTTCTTTCCTTTCGTTCGCTCGTCGATCTTCCATTTTCTCCAACTCTCGTTTCAGTTTCGTTTCGTTTTTACGCGTGGTCGACAGCTCGTGTCGTAACGACGCGTTTTGCTTCTTCCAGAACGTTTCGATTTCCCTGTGTCGTTTGAATGATGATAATAATAATAACAGAGAATAATGGTTAATGGTAAACGAGGAGGAATATGTTGCGAGTAAAAAATACTTACCTCAACATCCCGTGACTGCACGTCGCCGAGCAATGGAATGAAAACATCGTCTCCCTATTCGGAGAAGGAGGAAGAGTAAACGAGGACGACTTTTTTGACGACGACGAATTGTTGGTGTTGGTGTTGTTGCTGTTTTCGTCGTTAGTGTTATTGTTCGTCGTCGTCGTCATCTCTTTCGTCGTCTCCGCTTTGCGTGAGAAGGAGGAGGAGGATCTCTTTTTTGCAAAAGACATGCGTTGACTGAGATTTTTTGACGAATAATTGACGTTTTTGCCGCCAAAACTGCCAAAAACAAAAAACACGCAAACAACAAAGAAAAGGTAACGATATCTCTACTATAAGTCGGCTCTCTGATGAACTTTGCTTTACGCGCGCAACAGACAGACAGAGAGACAGAGAGACAGAGTTTTGGAGAATACGAATAACAATAACAGTAATAATAACGAGAGAAGAGAAGAGAAGAGAAAGAGATGACTTCTGAAAAGGTACCCCCTGCTGAGATGCATTTCATCGTCCAAAACGTGTCTAAAAAACACAACATCGGCACCATCTGTCGCAACTGCACCGCGTTTGATGTGAAATCCATGCACTTGGTTGGATCCGCGCATTACAACGTTTTTGGGTCGCAAGGATCGGACGCGCACGTGAAGATTGAACACCATCCAACGTTGGAGGAATGCAGGGAGACGATGAGAGAGACTTATAATGTTGAGGAGATTTTAGGGGTGGAGATTACCGAGGAGAGCGTGGACGTGGCGAAGTATCCGTGGAAAGGCAACACGGCTTTTGTTTTAGGTGCGTGAAAAATCGATGTACTTGTTGCCTTTTTTCTATTATGTCTCTCTCTCTCTCTTTCTTTCGTTGCCGCCGTTCTCTTTCATTCCTCTTTGGAGTTCTCCCGATTGACGTTCTCGTTCTCGACTCGCAACGAAAACAGGTAACGAAGGCCACGGGATGACCCCTCAACAAAAGAAAATCTGCGACGGTTTCGTCTACATAAAGCAATACGGCGCAGGTACGGCGTCTCTAAACGTCGCAGTCGCGTCGAGCATCGTCATGCACGAATTCGCAAAATATCACAACTATTCCGAACGCGCTCGCGAGGGGGAAAAATTTATCGTCGCCGAGAAGCCGCTTTCGCGCCGGCCGAAAGGCGTCGCCGTCGGGGTCGGTTGGACGCCGGAAATCGCGCGCAAAGAGCGGGAAATGAGAAGAAGACAAGCGGAGAACGAAAAAGAAAGCGAGAACGACGAGAACGAGTGTGTTTTTGGTGATGATAAAGGCATCGCAGAGTATTAGAAGTAGAGAGTGGGCTATTAGAGTAGTTGTTCTACCGCGATTACGCAGGAGTTCAATACTGTTTTTCTAGCGTTCACAACATAGATGTATTGTAGCAGCCAGCGCGAGAGTACACTCGTATTAGAAGGAGAAACAGAAATTCAGTGAACACCGACGATCTTCTCGTGCGAACTCCATCAAATGCGACGAGAAACACTTTTTTACTCGATCGAGAAGATGAAGAGACACACTCTCATGACTGTCTTTTAAGTTATCCAAAAGAGCTTTTTCCTCTCGTATTTTAATGCATTCTTATGCGACACTTTATCGACGCATACACAAAGAAGAAGAAGAAGAAAAAGAGCAGTACCACCACTCTTTCGAAGCTTTTGTAAAACAGATCAGGATGTCATCATCCTCGACGATGGTTCCTGGGAGTCGTAATAATACGAGCAGCAGTTGTCGCGCGAAAGATGAAGACGATGCGACAGTTGGTTTCCAAAATCTTGACCTAACGAGAATGAAAACGATTCAGACGACGACGACGACGACGACGACGAGTGATGCGAATGATAACGGAAGTCCCAAAAGAAGTTCATCCAGTCAGGACAACAACAACAACAGCAACAGCAGTCGAGGGGGAGAACAACAACGACAACAACAAAAACATCACCAAGAGGAGTTGTTACAGTTGGAGGAAGAATCGGGACGAAGGTCGAAGCGAGCGTCGATCGACGTGGGAGACGATGCGACGACTTTGGAACGGTTCCGCCGGATCGCCTCGCAACATCAAAAGCAACAACAACATCAAGAACAAGAACATCGAGAACAAGTGGAGGTTCTCAAAGAGGAGAAAGATGAAGATAAGCAGCAACAAGTCTCGGATTCGGCGAAATTTTCCGAGCGAATCAAAGCGCTTTTGGCGCAATCGAGAGACGAAATGAACAGTAACAGAGACGAAGATTACGACGAAGCCGAGGACGATATGTACAATACGTGCGTGTATGGAGAGTACGAAGGAGGAGAGAGAGACGATGAGGAGGAGGAAAACGACGCAATTTACGAGACCATCGTAGAAGAGGAAGAGAATTTGAGCGAGTTGTCGAGTAAGCACTCGAGCGGAGGGAGGGTAAGGGTAGCGGCGACAAAGTCGGATACTAGAGAGGATTTGATTAAAACGAAGAACGAGGAAGCGTCGGCAAAGAAGAAAGGAATCGCGTTTTCGTCGATGAAGGCGGCGAAAGAAGACGACCTCAAGAAGGGGGCTTCCGCGGAGGCGGAAAAGAAAAAGAAGAAGAAGAAAGGGTTCTTGACCGGTATCTTCTCTTCGAAAAGTAAGAAATCGTTATCGTCCGCTTCGGAGTTGAGAGAGCAGGAAGGAGAAGAAGAAAAGGTATTTTAGTAGAAAGACTGGCGCGGCGACGTGCCGTTGAAAAGTCGACTTTGCGCCATTAGTGAAAAGTCGCAATTCGCTTGTACACATAAAACAATGAAATTTTCATGAAATAAAAATCAAGATATTCTTTTCATCAGTATAATACAAGCAATAGCACAACACAATAATATCATCATCACTATACACTACTACGCGCGCCGCTGTAGGCTCGGTTTCGTCATCATCATCACGACTAACCCGCCCTCGGCAGCACGAACCGTTCGTATTTCGACCACATCATGTTAAACGATTGCTGATAGGCGTTAATCATCGGGAAGTTCACCGAGCCTTCTAAAACCATCACGTTGTCTTGATTCTCCAAAACCGCTTGTCTCGTCCAGTTGAAACTTCCATTCATTAATTTCGTATTGCTCGTGTAATCTTTTTTCGATTGCCCGCAATCTATGATACAAAATTTATGGTGCATGTGCGGCTTCGTTCGGCACTCTTGGCTTCCGACTCTTTCGTCGCATCTGATTTGGATCCCCATCTTGTGATTATAATGAAACCCTTTGTTCGGACTTCCGAGTTCGTTCAATCGTCGAATATCCGACCCATTGCTGTCCACGTTATTCGCGTCCGTGATAATTCTCACCCTTACGCCTCTTTTCACCGCGTTCGTCACCGCCTCGGCGATTTCGTTACACGTCAGTTGGAATATGCACACGTCCAACGAAAACTCGGCGGAGTTCAAACAATCCAAAAAGAACGTCAAGTTTGTTTGCGCGTGCGCATACTCGCAAGCAGTGCCTCTTCTGCACACAAAGTTTGGAACGGTGATTGATTTGCACGGCATGGCTTTGTCCGGAAAGAACAACGCGTTCCCGAGAGACTTTATGCTCGCGCCGTTCACGCGCGTGATTTTGTGCGACCGCGGATCTTGCACGACAGATGAATTGGATTTTGTTAACTTTGATTTAGTATTACGCGTCGTCGTTTTAGTCGATTCGGTCGACGATTCCATCGGTTTCGAGACGCACAAGCCCATTTTCTTTTAATAATATATGTGTGTGTGTGTGTTTATGTATTCAGGCGCTTCTTCTTTGTGCGCGCGGTAATGCCAAAAGAGTGTGTTTGTGACGTCTCTTTTCCCCTAAATACGAGTTGAAAATCTTTTCGTTTCACTCGTCACTTTTAGTATTCGCTGCTGCTAAAGCTGCGCGTTGCGCTGATCTCTTCCACCACCACCACTACTACCGACGAGAGAAAGAAAGAAAAAGAAGCGCAGAAGAGCAAATTAAGCGCGCGGTAATAATACGAAGACTTTTGAGAGAGAACGAACGCGCAGAGAGAGCAGCGACGGTTCGTTGTTTCCATTTTGGATAAAGATTTGGATATCTTAAATGAGCGGAGGAGTTGATGATATCGATGTTGACATCGACGACCACCGTGATCATCGAAACAACAACAACATGAACGATTCGACGACGACGATTGAGATTAAACACGGGAAAGCTTCAATCCACATCGAAATTTCCAAGCGGAGTACCATTCGTGAGCTGAAAAGAAAAATTGAACGAGAAACCGGCATCGAGCCGATGAATCAAAAGATGCCGAATTTGAAGCTCGGAAAACACTTAGCGCCGGACGAAGCGTCGATCGAGAGCTTGGGGAAACTGCCGAATAAAGTGATGTTATTAGGGAAATCGACGAAAGATGTGACTGAGTTGAAGAATTTGGAGAAGGAAATGCTGGAGAAAGCGCCGGAGATTTTGGATGATTTCGAAAGCGACGTGTTGGATTCGGAGCCTTTGTTGTGTTACGCGGATCCGGTGTACGTGGCGAGGTTAGCGGCGAGGGTGGAGAAGTATAAAGGGTTGAGTCCGTTGAACGAGACGAGAGAAGGGAAGAAATTGTTGGTTTTGGATATCGATTACACGTTATTCGACCACCGAACGCCGGGTGAGAACGCGCAAGAGTTGGCGAGGCCGTATCTGCACGATTTTTTGTCGAGCGCGTATAAGAGGTACGACATCGTCATCTGGAGCGCGACGAGCATGTTGTGGGTTAAAACGAAAATGCAAGAATTAGGCGTGTTATCGCATCCGAGCTATAAGATCTTAGCGTTAGTGGATTCTGGATCTATGATTACCGTCCAAACTAAAGAACGAGGCATTTTCAATTGCAAACCGCTCGGATGGATTTGGGCGCAACCGTGGAGCCAAGAGCGAGGGTACGATTCCAGCAATACCATCATGTTCGACGATTTGCGCAGAAACTTCGCCATGAACCCATCTTCCGGGTTGAAAATTAAACCCTTTCGAAACGCGCACACGAGCCGAGCGACCGATAACGAGTTGAAAAAGTTGAAAGTGTACGTCGATATCATCGCGAGAGAAAACGTAGATTTCAAAACGTTGGACCACAAAAAATGGGAGCGATACGTGTTGAAAGCTTTAAAAGAAGGAAAGTTATCAGAGCACGAGGCAAAAGAAGTGAAATCATTTTGGCCAAACAGCACGGTCGTTCGCGAGTTGTTGGCCAATCAGCAACCCGGCGCTGTTGCTGCTCAAACTGGAAACCAACAACAACAACAACAACAACAACAACAAGAGCAAAGAGAGGAGACCGAAGACGGGGGTCAACGTCAACAACAACAAAAGCAGCAACAACAACCCAGCGGAGGAGGAGAAAAAAGAAGCGGCGGTAGAGACGAGCAATAGAGCAGAGATCTGCTCGTCGGGAGAAAATTAATGAGCAATTAGAAAGAAAGATATACTAATAATAAACAAGAGCGCAAACGCACGCCGAGCAGCAGCAGTTGTAATTTATCTCATCAAACGTAAGTCTAAAAGGCGGCAGAAAAAATATCATCTCACGCACATATTAACAACAACAACAACAAAGATGATGATGATGATGATGTCGTCAACTCCCAAGGCATCAGCGGCGGCAAAAAATGCAATCATCACGAACAGATCTTCGGGACGCGGGAAGGTGACGACATCGTTTACGTCGTCGAGCGCGATGGCGAGAAGAGTTTCATCCGCCGATGATGGATTTAATCCAATCGGACGACGACACAGAGGAAAAGTTTCATCAACGTCCGCGAGAACGGCGACGACGACGACGGCGAAAAGAGCAGAAAAAGAAGAAGAAAACGAACAACAATATCAAATGAGTCAAAAGCGAGTGCTCATTACCGGGTCCACGAAAGGTTTAGGCTACGAACTCGCCAACCAATTTTTACAGGAAGGCGATCGAGTGTGCGTGACTTCTCGTTCAGAGGCGAATGTGAACGATGTAGTCCTCGAGTTGCGCGCGAGATACGGCATGGAAAACGTGTGCGGGATCGCGTGCGACGTGTGCGATCACGAACAAGTATCAGAACTCTCGAGATATTGCGTAGAAAACTTTGGTGGGATTGATTTTTGGATCAACAACGCCGGGACGAACGGGTACGAGTACAACGATATCATCGATCAGGATCCGAGCACGATCGAAGAGGTGGTGAAGACGAACGCGCTTGGGACGTTGCTGTGTTGTCGAGAAGCGATGAGAACGATGGCGGCACAGAAGGATGAGAATATTATTGGATATCACATATTTAACATGGAAGGAGCGGGATCGGATGGGATGGAAACGAGAAAATACGCCGCGTATGGATTCACCAAAGCCGGATTGAGCCAACTGACGAAAACGTTAAACAAAGAGATGAGTTCGAACGAAAAGATGAAAGATAAAATGATTAAAGTGCACACGGTCAGTCCAGGGATGGTGTTTACGGATTTAATTTCCAGTGGGAGGTACGCGTTTGGCAAGCAAGGACGAATGTTCGTCAACGCGTTGGCAGAACCGGCCGATGTGGCCGCTTCCGGGGTGGTGAGGAAGATCAAAACTGAGCTCGGGAATTCGCGAGGGAAGAAATCGTTGGCGATTAAACTGTTGACGCCGGATGTCGCGGTGGTGAAATTATTCAATCGATTCGTCAAGCAAATTGGCAAAGATAGGTACTATCCCGAAGAAGACGACGAGTGCGAAGACGTGCGGACGGAATGCATCGTCCCCGGTGAGTCCGTGCAGAGCACGATAGTGCCCGAGGCACAAATGAAATTAGACGACGACGTGCACGAAGAGATTAAAGAGGTTGAAGTCTCGAAAGAAGAAGTTCAAGAGAACTTGAGCCGATAGAAAAACATAATAATGATATAAATGTATGGATGAGTGTGTGGTGGTGTTGGATTTGCGCGCGCGAATAGATGCTGTTGTATGTGTATATGTGTAACTACTTTTTATGAAAACTTTTTTTTTCTTCTTTTTCTTCCCGTCCTCCTCTCTCACTCTGAGCTTGAGCCTTCCGCCGCAAGCGTAAATCTCTCTCTCTTTCTCTCTGTTTACTTCTTTCGCATCTCTTCGTTCATGCACTGCGAACACTTTGGAATGGGCATAGAAGCTATTGGCATGAAGGGCACAAAGCATGTCTTTTCGCATTTTCCACAGTTCCCTTGATACAAGCGCTGGCCAGAAATACTCGAGTGCTTCGTTTTCGTCCATCCCGATCTGGGCTCCACCGGCGGTCGCACATCTTCATCGGCGTCGAGCATCTTCTTAGTACCCATAAATTCACCCAATGCAGCACCCGCGGGAGAAATTTCAATCTTCTTCTTCGCCGGCGCGCCAAAATCTCGTTCGCTCTTGCGCATGACAATTTTTCCTTCGTTGTTGAAAAAATTTTCAACCGTGAATAAGCCGCCGCTCTCGATGGTCTCCTTGGCCTCGAGATCGTACCATTTCTTAAACGTCACGACCGCATACATTTGATCCGCCGCGTGTTTAGTCGGCCTGACGGTAACGTCGATAATTTCTCCGAACGGCGCTAACTCTTTTAAAACAATCTCTTCCGCAAGTTTATGCGCGTTCTTTTGGCGCTTCAGGTAGTCCAGTCGATCTTTCTCCGGCATCTCCTTCACGTCTCTGATATCTGAATACGATACGTCCAAACCAGCGGCTTGGTAGACCTCATCTAAGACGTTCTCGGGCAAATTCGGAATGTTCACTTTCGGCCCTTCGTATGTAAACCCTCCAGACGATGGAGCGGTCGCGGCAGAGGTGGCCACGCGAGAGGTTGATGTTTTCTTACCCTTCACCTTTACATCTTCCTCGTCCGTCGCCGCGGCGCGTTTCTTTTGCTGTTGCTGTTGCTTCTTAATCGCACTGCGCGGCTCGATCCATTCGTGCATTTTCGCTTGCTTTGCCGCTGCCGCCACCACGGTGCCATATAAAGGTGGTTTCCCAGTTCCAGGAGTAACTGGAACTAACGCATTCGCGTAGGCCATCTCCGCTCTTCTTTCGCTCGATCGAGCGACATACTCTTCCTCTTCCTCTTCTTCTTCTTCTTCTCTTTCTTTTCTCGCTTCTTCGTCTTCTTCAATCTCAACCGGAGATACCGGAGATCTCTTCGCGCCATACTTGTACGAATACGAAATGTGCTGCCCATCTGGTGTCCCCGGAGACATTGGCCGTTGATCTCGCTTTTTATGCTTCGAAGAGGCGGTGACCGCGACGGCGGCGGCGGCGCGCGAAGTTTGCACGGCTTGCAACTGTTTCAACGTCGCTTCGAATTGCGCGCTGTATTCTTCCGCCCCGTCCGTCGCCGTTCTCGGTCGTTGCAGTTGCGATGACGGTGCTTTCGGGCCGTCTCGACGTAACCATGGCTGATCGACAGAACCGATAATCCGCGCTTCCATGAAGGCGCTTTCTAAAGATTGCAAGCCGATGGCTCGATACGCGCGATTCACGCCGCGCTTTGACTTCATGAACGTACAAATCAAAGCGCAGTTTCCAATTTGAAGAGAAGATGTTCCGGAAGAAGAAGAAGGAACAATTGATGTCGAAGACGCGCTTTTATCACCATCGCTACTCAAAGCGTTATAGCTTTCGTGATCGATAAATGTCAAAGGAAGGACCATGCGCGTCTCCCCCGGTTGCCGAGGCCCGTATAATCTCGTAAACGTCAAAGCAGCTTGCTTCGGATCCAACTTGCAAATTCTTTCGGCTCGATTGATCGCCTCTTTCGCCGATATTCTTCGCAAATACTGCGAGTTCAAAAGATTCTTCGGCAAAAATGAACTCACCAACGATAAATCGTCCAACTGTTCCCAAAAAGAGGCGTCCACGTCCAACGCGGCGTGCGCGTCGTAGACCAAATCTAAAGGATCGTCGTAAAAGATAGCCGGATCTGGCGCGCGCATCAAAGGCTCGATGTAATTCCACGGCATGTTTGGATCTCTCAGTCGATCTTTCGTCACAAACGCGACGAGCTCGTACGGATGTTGTTGATAGCGCTGCGTTTGACCGCTCGCGCCTCCCAAAACCTCTCTCGCTTGCAACACGCAATACAACTCGTTCTTCTCCTTCTTCGTCAACAACCCGGTGTGGAAAGCTACGAACACCGCTCTTCCTTCGTCGGAAAAGCACTGAATGACTCTTCCAATTTCCACTAACCGTAAGAAATACGCGTTCAAATACCCTCTCAACAATCCTAAATACGGCGGCGTAAACGACCGGTCCTTCGCCGCGAGCGACACGTCCCGGCAGTTCCAGTCGTGCCAATCGATCGCATCGGACAGTTCTCTCAGCGACATCGCTCCACCATACGCCTCTCTCGCGTCTGGATCTGGGTGGAACCGCATGTTATATCCTCCTTCTTGTTCCGAGGACGTGTGCACGTCATCGATCGAAGCGAACTCGTTCAACCTCGAAGGCTCTATTTCTTGACTTTCGTGCGAAGGATGATCGATATCCCACCCGGACAAGGCGATACCGTACGGGTTAAAATACGCTCGCATCCCGAGCTCGCCCATGATTTGATTATTCTCCGCGGCTTGCGCGCACCACCCAGCGGCTACCACGTGCGAAAAGAATTGTTGAGACTGTTGTTGCGTCGTCGTCGTCGTCGCCTTCTGTTGCTGTTGTTGCTGCAGTTGCGGCGATGATGACGACTGCGCGTGTTGCTGCCCGGAACCACCACCTTGACCACCACTCAACGAGAGCGAAGAAGGAGAAGAAAGTTTCGTCGAAGATTGTTCCCCTCGCGTTTGTTGCGCCGCGGGGTTTTGCTGCGTCTGCGTTTGCTGAAGCTGAAACGACGAGAGAAAGTCAACTCCGACTTGGTGCTGCAAAATATGCGATTGGTGAGAATAATACGGCGTCGCTGACGCAGGGGAGGATATGTTTGCACCCCCGTAATGACCACGACCACCACCACCACCCGCGCTTTCCTCGGAGGACGCGCTCGTGCTGCTCATCTTTCCCTCTCTCTCTCTCTGGTAAAGTGTCGTCGCTCGATAAAGCGCGCGCGCCTAAATGTAAAGAAATTGCGCATGTAATTTGCACAAAACCACCCCTTTAAAAAAAAAAAACGTTCGTTGGAGAGAAGTTTGTTCTTTTTTCGAAAACACAGTTGAAAAAGAAAAAAAAAGAAAAAAAAGAGAGAGAGAAGAGACAAAAAGCAGAGAGAAATTTTTGAAATCCCTCTTTTTCCTCTTCTTTTATTCTGTTCTCTGTCATGTCTGTTGTCTGTCTCTCTGTCTGGTTTTTAGGCATTTTAAGACTCTCTCGTATTTTGCCCCCTTTTGTTTGCAATCGTAACACAAAAGTACTTTCTCCATTAAAAAAGCGCTCTCTCTCTTTCTCTCGCTCTAAACTCTCTCGCTCGCTCGCTCAGCGGGTACTTCCTCCCACGCTCTCTCTCGGGCTCTCCTTTTGTTGTTGTTGTTGTTGTTGTTGTTCTCGAGAGTGTTGTTCTTCTTCTTCTTCTTCTTCTCTCATCGATAGAGGAAAGCATTTGTTTGGACATCAGACAACAAAAATCCCCTACTCCTGCGAGAAGAAGAATATCGAAGAGCTGCGCGCTGATAAAGAAGAGAAAGAAAAGAGAAAGAAAAGATAAAGAAGATGACGTCAACCTCGTACAACACGAATACTAACAACAAAATAAACGAAAACCTCCACGACTCCACGTACGAACCCGTGAACGATAAACTTCTCGGATCCGGCTCGTACGGGTTGACGAAACTCATGAGGGAAAAATCTACGGGCAAACAATACGCGATTAAATACATCGAACGAGGCGATAAGATCACCGAACACGTGAGACGAGAAATTGTGAACCACAGAAACTTGAACCATCCAAACGTGGTGAAATTTAGGCAGTGTTTACTCACGCCGACGCATTTAGCGGTCGCGATGGAAGCCGTCGGCGGAGGCGAACTGTTCAGTTACGTCCAACAGCAAGGGAAGTTTAACGAGTCGCAGGCGAGGTATTTTTTCCAACATCTCATCAGCGGAGTGGAGTATTTACACAACATGAGGATTTCACACAGAGATTTGAAGCTAGAAAACACTCTGGTGGATTTGAACGAGACGCCGACGCTGAAGATTTGCGATTTTGGGTTTAGTAAAGGTGGGTTTGATTCACAGCCAAAGACGCAAATCGGGACGCCGGCGTACATCGCGCCCGAGGTGTACGCCGGAGTGCAACCGTACGATGGACAGGCAAGTGACGTGTGGGCGTGCGGGGTGTTGTTGTACGTGACGTTGGTTGGGAGATACCCGTTTCAAGATCCGAAAGATCCCGGGAGTAGTCATAAGATGATGCAAAGAGTGTTGAGCGGCACGACGGAGATTCCGAGTTCTTTGAGCGAAGAGTGTAAGGATTTGATGGGGAAGATTTTCGTGACCGATCCGAAAAAGAGAGCGTCGATTGAGGATATTTATATGCACCCGTGGTTTCGGCACGATTTATCGCCGAATGTGCCGCTTGGAAACACGCAACCCGGGCCTGCAGATGGGGACATGTTGAAGGAGCTGCAATCGCTGGAGGAGATCAACGCCATCGTGGACGCCGCGAAAGTCGCGCCGAAGAAACCAAAAGGTAGTTGGGGGTACGACGATGACGACGACGATGATTGCGATCACATGGGTGGGTCTGGAGATTTAGGCGGGTCGTTGGATGTTGATTATTAAAGAGAATCTATTTAAAAGTAATAAAAATACCTGAGTTGAACGTGCGTTAAAACAGAAGAAATAAATAATCTGGTGATACTCGTGCTCTCTCTCGCTCTCACCCTCGGCACAACCATCGTCGTCTACGCATCGTTAAAATCGGTTCTCCGGTCGACTCGCCAACCACGTCTGAATGCCTGGCAAATTCTCCACGTTTTCAATCACTTTATTCATCTTCGGGCAACTCTCTCTCGCTTTCTCCGCTCTGGCGGCGTCGTCGAACGTTTGCGTCATCGTCACGTACAAAACCACATCCGCCAATGACACTTTATCACCAACCACAAACCCTTCCTCACCATTTTCAATCACTTTTTCTAGTCGTTCGCACCATTTTGTCATGTCTTCGTTGTACCATTTCTCCTTCTTTGCAATCTGGTCGTCGTCCGGCGGCGCGAACGGGTTCCCTCTCACTTTCGCCCACGCGTCTTTAACATCTCTCACGTGCTCTGCAAACGCGTCGATTCTCCAACTCTCCGCCATGTTTTTACCGTACAAACCTAAATCTCTCGCCACGTACCGTTCGATCGTTTTCGATTGTCCCACAGACATCCCAGAGTGTTCTAAAATCGGCAACCTATCCAGATTTTGCTTAAACAACCCGCGTTCTTTATCCAACGGATGTTGCTTTTCAATCGTCGGCTTGTTCTCCACCATGTTAAATTTGTATCTAAAATCCTCGTAATCGCACTCCGCGGCTGCAAATAACGTTCGAATCACCTCCGCCGCGCCTTTCGCGTCGAAGTATCTCAGAACCGCTTTCGTCTTGCGCAACGCGTTCGTTTTGTCTCTTTTGTGCGCTTTGACAATCGCAATCGCGCCGACAAAACCAACCACGAACGCGAACGGTTGCGAAGAGACGACCGCGTTGGAAACGTGTAAGAAATCCGGCGTTTGTGTTGTTGCACCACTATCGATTGCCATTTTCGAGGAGGACGATTGTTGTTTCTTCTTGTTCGAAGCTTTCGGCGCGAGTTGTTCTTTCGCCTTGGCGGCTTCGATTGGAACAACAACGTGAGTCACTTTCTTCTTAAACGACGACGCGTAAAGAAGTTGACGTCCAGAGGATGAAGAAGTATACGCCGAGGAGGCTCTGAAACTCGTCGTCGACGATGCGGATAAGAGTAACGACGACATTTAAAGAGGAGGAAAGTAAAGTGTTTTGTGCGTAATTTTGTGAAGAAGTTTTTATCTTCTTGGACAGTCTAAAACCAAGAAGTCTTGCTCTTTACTTTAATAACTAAAAACTACGTATAAATACTACCTTCTGGAGCGGTGGTACCACCAAAACCCGCGTTGAAGGATTGGTGGTCGTGATGATGATGATCTTCTCCTCCTCCTACTCGTGGTTCTTTCTCCAACGTGTATACTTTTCCTCTGACGAAGACTCGCTTCGTTCTCTGCTCTGATACGAGAGCGCGCAACGCGTTCGCGCTGGCGAAGAGGAAGCCGCAACTCGCCGCCCATGCGTTGAAGTGGCCGTTTTCTTCGCCCGACATTTCCAAAGCGTGCGCATTTTTTAACCAGACGAGTTTGCTGACGATCCAAGTGATCGTTGCGCTCATGACGCGCGCGGCGGAGTCGCGGTTGGAGTAGTCGAAGGTGGCGAGGCTGATCGGGAGTAAAGCGCACCACCAGGCGAAGTATTGCGAGGTGATCACCGAGTTGAACGCGACGAACGCGAAGGTTTGCGCGAACATCGCGAAAGGAAGGTCGTACGCGAACGCGATGCCGATGAGGACGGTTAAGCCGTATTGGGTGATTTTGCTCGCCAAGGCGTACGCTTTGGTGAGAGATCTGGAGAGGATGTAGGCGCCGAAATCGGATTCGGCGTCTTCGATGGCGGTGTCCAGGTAAACGCTGAAGAAGTTCGGCGCAAAGTTGTGTCTCGGATCTTTTCGAGAGAAGTGGTACAAGATGGCCTCGTTCAGGTATGCTTGGCCGTATTTCCAGTAGCACGCGAACGTTGAGAACGCGAAAGCGGTGAAGGAGATGCCCGCAAACAAGAGTCGAGCGATGTTGAACAATCCGTTGGCGCCGAATGCACTTTTCGAAGCTAACGCGCGCGCTCTTCGCAGTCGTCTGGTTTCTTTTGTTTCTATCGCCATCGATTGGCGATCGCTATTGTTTTTTGCTGCTACTTTATTTTGTTGTTGCTGTTGCTGCTGCTGTAGCTCTTGATCATCTCCTACTCCGGACGACGGCAATCTTTCTCTTTTACTCTTACACCCGCTTCTCTCCAACTTCGCTCCACTTCCTCCGCCGTAATAGTTCCAATTCACGTGATACTGTACGTCCAGAGCCACAATCAGAGGCACAATGTATATAACAGGATACATCCGAAAATGTACCGCCAACCCAAAACTCACCGCGGAATTCAATATCGTCCCAAACATCAAACTCTTCAACGAGAACAACACTAAAGCGTTCGCGACGGCGTCGCACGACCCTCTCGTGCTAATCGCCATCGTCAGAGGATTAAACAGATACAGCGCGGTCATTTGAATGGTAAAACTCTCCGAACATTTTCGTTTTCGCAAGATTTCGTGCACCAGTTTCCCGCAGTACACGTCGCACAGACTGAACAAAACCTTCCCAAACTCTGCGAACCAGAACACGTTCGGTGTCAACATCCACGCGAGTAAAGGCGTGTACCTGTACGTGTTTCTTTCGTACGGCGATTGGTTGTTGCACACGTATCTCGCGGCATCCGTAAACACGTCGTAATCGACATCCGTGTACCGAACGCCAGAGAAGAACGCCGGGTGCGCGTCTTGGACTCGCCCGAAGAGTACGAGTGCGAGGCGAACGACGAACGCGTAGAGGAAGATGGTTTTGCTCGTCACTGGCGGGAAGAGGAGAGACTTGACGCGAGAGAGGGAGGTGGACATGATGAATTCAGACTCTTCTCTGTTTCTCTCCCACACGCGCGCACGCGCACGCACACACTCTCTCTCGCTCGCTCACTTCCTCGTGTGCGTCTTTATTCGATGTAAGAAATTCGAGCAGTGGAAAAAGTAAAGAAAGAAAGAAAGAACGCGGGAGGCTTTTTTAGTTACCGAGCATGTATGTATGTGTGTACCAGGTATATATAATGGTATATATGTTCTTATTAAAATAATACAAGATGTCTGTGTGTGTGTGTGTGTTCGCGTGTGGTTATGGTATAAGCATAGATGATCTTCGCCGCTCTTCGCTCTTCGTTCTCGAACCGCAAAGATATTCACTCTTCTCCTCACTTCTTCTTACCACTTCGTAGCTAACTTTTCGGACATTGCGCTCATCGCTATGCAGAAGGTTTGGTAGGCATTCAACGGGTGCGAGTAATCGCACGCCCACACGTTGTGCGCCAATTTACCAAACAACATGACTACTTCGTCTTCGTTGTTGTCTCGGACCAACTGGAAGTTCCTCTTACTCGGGATCTTTACGCGGCCGCCGTACTTGTAGCAGAAATGCCACTGCCCGTCAAACATTCTATACTCCGGGACCTTGGACATTAATAATCGCATGTGTCTCATATCTCTCATCGCTTCCCACTTTTCCAATCGCGCTTTTCCATTCTTGTCTTGTTTGTATAAGGTTGGGACGAGGCACGTCATCTTTCGGTAGCTTCCGCCCAGAGTAAAAATAGTCGGTTCGTACACGATCGCCGTGACGACTCTGCGCTCATACTCCTCCTCGACCTCGTCGCTTTTCTTCTCGCCTTGGTCGTACGCGGTAAATCGAGAGCCTAAAAAGTTCCCTGACATTTTCCCGAGGTAATCTTCCCCTTCCGCTTTAAAGTTCGTGCACGTCGAAAAGATGTATCTCTTACCAATTTTCACTTTCGCTAACGTTTGCTCCTCTTGGCAGCACATGACCAATTTATCGTATTTTCCTTGCTCGTCGTGAACGTAATATTTATAAATCGGATACTTTTTGCTCTTGGTGTCGTCGACGACGATGAAACCTTTGATGATGCCCAACTCTTGCGGAGGCGGCAATCGTCGCATGGTATCCACGTCGAAACCTTTCACCAACGCGTCTCTAATCATCATGTCCATCGTCGGGTTCGCTTTCGCGTTTTGCTTCGCTTTCTGCGCGGCTCTCTTCGACGTTGCCTTCGCTAAAACCTCCCTGGCGATTTGTTCGTTCACCGTCGGGTCCTCGCTGTCCTCGGGCGGTTTGTATTTCGAATTCTCCTTGAACTGCTCGCGGAACTTTTTCTTCTCTTCGGCGGTAAAGTCGTCCGACATGGCCGCGTTAAGCGCAGCCATCGCCTCGCTCGTTTGGAACGGATTGTTGTTGTTATTACTGGTGGTAGTATTCGGAGGCGGTCCGTCCACCGACGGGCGCCTTCGGAACGGATTTTGAAACAATCCAGCCACGCCTCCTCGCTTCTCTTGCTGCGACGACTGCGAACTCTTATCGCTCATGTTCTCTTCTTCGTCCATCAACCCGGGATCGGCTTTCACCGCTTTCCCTTTCCCTTTCTTCATTTTCGCGGCGTCGAACGCTTCGTCCGCGTCGTCGTATTTCGAACTTTGCGCGGATTTCGCGGACATAATCGACCGGGATTGCGATTGCGATCTCGCATCGTCGGCGGACTGAAAATCGGACTCGGAGGCTTCCGAGTTGCTCGCGGAATTTTTCCGTCCTCCGAACATTCTTCTTCTTCTTCTCGTAGTGTTTATATATATACTCGAAAGCGCGCGCGCGTTTAATAAAGTGTTACGTGTTTATGTGTGTGAGTGTTCACTCTTCTTCTCGGAAAGATCAAACGGAGGAGTTTAAGAGGAATAATAGAGTATTCGTCGTTTAAACGATTACTTGCGCGTCCGTGTGGTGATCTCTTCTTTTTGTTTTTTTTTGTTCTTTCTTGCTCGGCGAAAAATCGCTGTAAAAAGGAGCGATTTTGTCTCTCTAACGTTGGAACATGATGATACGAAACGTCGGGAACATCAGAGTTTTTGATATTTTAATAAGATTACTCTCTACCCCAATACTACAACGTGTCTATATCCTCTGTTTTTACTAATAATAAACTATTTCATTTTCATTTTATTCGCAAAGCTTGGAGTAAACGAACTCGAGCTTCGATTTTCTTTTCCTCGTTTTCGCGATTTATTTTCGTCGTCGTCGTCGCGCGTTGTTGTTGTTGTTGTTGTTGTTGTTGTTGAGAGCGATGTTGTTTTGGTACGGTCAAAGAGGAGGCGCTCTTCGCGGTGACGGCTTCGAGTTGGCGCAAGCGCCGCTCTTGCGTTTCGAGCTTTTCGCGTAAAGCGAAGAGCTCTTGTTCTTTTTGATCTTCGGCGTCGTCGCTGTTGTTTACTTTCTTTGGTTTACCGCTACTTCTACTTTGCTTTTTCCGTTCCAAGGCGGCTGCGTTTTGCTGCATTTTGATAAACTCGGCTTGTAATCGAACCGACTCGTACGACTCCTCCCGAGGAGCCGGAGGCGTTTTCAAATCGATCAAGTTTTGTTTCTTTTCTGGAGGCGTGTCCTCGAACGTCATCAACCACGGGGAGAGGAGGTGATCTTGTTGTTGTGGTTGTGGTTGTGGTTGTTGTCGTCGTCGAACGTTTACCCTTCTTTCTTCTTCTTCTTCTTCTTCTTCTTCTACTACTATTCCGTTTCCTACGTTTGCTCTGAGAGGCGATTTCGCCGCCTTCTCGATGAGCGCGGTTACGCGTGGGGACGTTTTCACAGATCCACTCGGCGTAAACGCTTCTTGTTCTTCCTTAAAGGAGTACTTTTTTTGATGTTGCGGAGGTAACGGCGAGTCTGGAGAGTATTGCGTGTAATCCGAATCTTTTCCCGGCGTCGAAAATGTTGAGGACGGCGATCCGTTCGGCGCGTCGTCCTCTTCTTCCTCCTCCTCCTCTTCTTGATCTTTTTCTTCGTCGTCCACGACCGGAAAATCTTCTTCCCCTTCTTCTGTTTCATCGAGCAATAACACGTCTTCTCTCGTCTTCACTTCCAAAAAATTCTCGAAATCTTTCTTCATCTCCAACAATTTCTCGCACTCTTTCGCCAACGCTCGTCTCTTTTGATCCAACAACTGGCAATTCTTCCTCTCTATTCGCGTCTTTTCGTTCGCGTTTTTCATTGCCGTCGTCGCCTCTTCGGCTTGTCTTTCCGCCTCTCTCACTTCGTCCACAAACTGTGCCTTCCACATCTTCTCCTCCTCCAACTCTCCTCTCAAACTGTGCAACGCTTCCTCCACCGCTTCTCTCTCAGCGAGTTTTTCCTCCATCTTCCGCTCTTCCTCTAAACAACTCTCCTTCAAATGCTCCAACTCTCTCTCCGCTTCACCTTGCTCGTGGTCCAACTCTTTCAAAAACGAAATCTTACAACTCGCCTCTTGGTCCGCGTGTTGCATTTCCACTCTCGCTTGCGCCAATCGATTCTCCACCTCTCTTATTTCTATTTCTAAATCTTGCACCTCAATTTCCAACCGTTGCTTTTCGTCTTCGTTGTTATCGCACTCGATTCTGCTCGCCGCCGAGGCCATTCGATGATATTCCACATCTTCCCCGAGCTCTGCGAGTTCTCGCTTTAACGCGTTGCGTTCTTTCTTCAAATTTTCGATGTCGATTAAGTAATCCGTTTCCGTGGCGGCGGATTTTTTCTTCTTGGTGGTAGGAGTGGCGGTACCGTTCCTACTCGTAGACATCACAGTCGTCGTCGCCATCGTTTTTCCCTCCTCCTCCATCCTCAGGTGGTTCGTCGCGAAAATATCTTCCTCCTCCTTTTCCTCCTCCTCCTCCTCCTCTTCCTCTAACATCATCAACTCCGCCGCGCTCCTTTGCGCTTTCGACTCTCGCAACATCTTGATCATTTCTTGTTCCTCGCGCGTGGTGGTATTAGTATTATTATCTTCTTCTATTCTTTCTTCAGCGCTAAAACCCGTTGTTCGGTTGCTGCTCTGTCGTCTTCCGGCGTTGCTTAAACTCGTCATCGGCGAGTGCATGAACAGAGAAGAAGAAGAAGAAGAACGGATAGACGCTGGAAAATTTTCCTCCTCCTCGGCGTTCTGCTCTTTTCGACCATTTTCTGGCCAAGAAGCGGCTCCTGAGAAAAGCCGATCGTCTCCTTCCATCTCTTCTCCTCCCTTTGAAACTTCTTCCTTCTCCTCTCGAATGTGATGATTCATCCCTTTCAACCGTTCCACTAATAGCTGATGCATTTCTTTCACGTCCAGAGATTTTCGGTGGATTTGTTCGGCTAAGCCGAGGTGGTCGCAAAAAGATGTCCTCCCCGCGGAGTCGAGGCGTTTTTTCGACTTTCGATGATGATGATTTTGCGACGACATCATCTCCGTCCTCGTCGTTCTCATCAACTTCGCTTTAGTAGTAGTAGTAGTAAAGTCCGTTTCCTCCATCGTCGTAGTACACGTCGTCGTCGCAAAAAGTTGCGATTCTCTTATATCCGCGACGACGACAAAAGGAGAGACGTCCTCCTCCTCTTTCAAGGCCAAAAGCTCACGAAGCTTTAAAGGCGTGCGTCTGCGGTGTGTCGAGTGTATTGAGTTCGTTGTGTGATGAGACAGAGGTTGTTAAAAAAACGGAAAATTTTGGCGGGAAAAAAAATTGTGACGAGAAGCGAGAGTGCCAAAGCGCGAGCGGTGGTCCTTGTATCGCGCGCTGCGTTGTCGGAATGGTATTTCTACTTTTATTACGATTTTAAAGTAACTTTGTGGATTTGATGTTACACAGTGGTGGTATATGTATATATAAACGCGCTATTTACATAAAAAACTCTTCTTCCTTTTCTCTCTTCGTGTCGTCGTAGTTGTTGTTGGTTCTTCTTAGTAGTAGTAGTAGTATTAACTAGAGAGCGGCGAGGGCGAAGGGCTCGGCGATTGCGACGGCGGTAAAGGAGGTCTATCCGTCGAATCCGCGCCAAACACCTGTCTCAGTGGGTTTTTCGAAACCTTGAGAGTAAACACGAACGCGGTTTCTTCTTCGATGCCTTCGCGTAACATCGCGTCTGGGCTGAGCAACATAAATTTATCTTGGCTGGTGAGGTCCCTTCGCTTGCCGCAATCTAAGGCTTCCCAGACGGACATGCCCGGCTTTTTACTCGCCATTGGATTCTTACCGAGCGTCTCAATTTCTACTTCGCCGCTTTTGAAATCGACGGATACCATGCACTGTTCGCGGGAGATTTTCTTGGACGAAATGCCCGCGACGCCGCGACCGAGCGTTTGTCGTTCTCGATTGATTTCCATGATGGAGCCGTCCGGACATAAAATCTCAAAGGAATATTTCGCGCCGGACGGGGCACCTTCGCCTGTTGCGCCGGAGATATCCCAGTCAGAGACGAGTTTTTTACTCTTATCTATGACAGACGGCGAAATCGGGTCCAAGATGTTATCTTCTTCCACCGAGGCTAAACTCGGCGCGCTTCCTCCTTTGGGCGGTTTGCGAGCCGATTTGTTGCTATTTTTCTTCGCACCGCCAGTCATGCGAGCGACGTCCTCTTTGGCAATTCTGTCTTCCTCGAGCACTTGAACTTTCGTTTGCAAGTCCATGATCAAATCAACCAACTGCTCTTCCGCCTCAGACGCCGCTTGAATGACCGCGACGGCGTTTTCGGCGTTTTCGACGTCGCCGAAACCTTTGAAAGATTTGTGCATAGCCAACGCGTTGGAGACTTGGTCGTTCAATCGTTTTTTGTACTTTGATTTGATGCGATAGGATCGGATACAAGCCAGGATGAAGAGAAAGAGAGCTGCGCATCCGCTTCCAAAGGCATACCAAAAGTATTTCTCGAACCAAGTGTTTTTTTCAGTCGGGATATCACTGCTCCAACCGTAGAGCCTAAAAGGTTGGTAGCCGACGCCCGAATTATTTGCCACGACGGTGACGTACCATAAATCTTCCGTCGTTTCCATCTCGGACGAGACCGTCCCGTTTTTTGCGATGACGTCGGCTAAGCCGAGCGAAGGGCACGTGCCTCTTCTCGAGAGTAACGCTATTTGAGAGGGATTGTTCGGACTGATGCTTACGTGCGTTTGCGCCGAGCTCATCCCGCGCGGCATCGGCATGCTAAAATGACGACTTTGACCGCAACACAACCACGCGTCCTTCGTCAACAACGTCTTCGTCTCCTCGAAGCCGGTTTCGTTTCTCGGTAAAACGACGATTGTGTCTGGTAAAACTTCGAGTTTAAAAGTAACGTCCAAGACATCCGATCCCGATTGCGTCTCATCAAATGCGATGGAAAAGTAAACTTTACTTCCGGCGTTTCCGCACAAACCAAAGTGTAAGACCAACGCGTCGTTCGCCCCGTTCGGATCAACCGGCGGCACTACCGCTTTGGCCATGTATTTATCAACCGTTGGAACCTCATCGAGGGATGCAAGCACGAGGATGAGGTTCTTATCGCTCGGCACGAGCGTTCGAATCGTCGCCAGAATATCGCGCGGACCATCTTCGGTCGACGGAACTTCGTACCGTAAAGTTTCGCTCGGACACGATCCTAAAGCGCAAATCAGAGCGTTTTTATCCAACTTGATCTCAGTATTGGAACCATCGGCGTTGATTTCTTTCCCCGTGGGTATTTTTTCGAGATCGTTCGCCGCGCATTGCGCAATCGTGGACGCCCACAAAGCGTCTTCTCTCGGACATTCACCGCTCGTCGAACTCGAACCGCTCCCGGCAACACACCCGCCCACAGTGCTCGTTTTACAATAGCCGCAGTTTGTTTCTTGCGAACATGCTTCGCACGGAGTGGGGTGTCTGTCGTGCACCGCGCACGCTTCGTCGCACCCGTCGGCGTCGCCGGCGAAAGCCCACTTACCGCATACCCCGAGCGGGAGCTTTGCACCGGTACCTTCGGTATAAATAGGTCCCTCCGTATCGCCAGGAACGCACACGCCTTTTTGGCCTTCCGCCGCGCACCAACCGCATCCACTGACGGCTCGGCAGTCATTGCACGTGAACTTCGCGCTACAATCGTTGGCTGGGCAACTGAATTGCGCTTCGCACGTTTTCTTCGACGCCGGCCACGTCGACGATTGCAGTTCCGAGGCGCTGGCGCAGTAGCCTCGGCACGGTGGATCCAAGCAACTCCCGTCAAAACCTTGGCACCAGGAGCAATCGTCATTGGTTCCAGCGGCGCACGATTTACAATCCGGACGCCAGCCGCACCCTTCTTTGGCGCCCCAAAAGGAAAACTGGTATACGCTCGTTCCCGTGTTCACCGTTACGGCAGCTTCGACTGAAAAGTGAATAAAGCGAGCTCCTTCTACGTCTGATGCTGTCCCGGCGCACGCACCTGGTTTGGTGACCGCGGCGATCTCGTTCAAATCTCGAAAATTGTGCGTTTTGATGCACGTTTTCGGCGACGAGCACGTCGTGCCGCGATAAAAGTATTCAATACCGTAATCAGTGTGCATTGGATATTCAGCCAAAGACGAAGCTTGTACGTTTACGTTACCATCGACGACCATTTGAGCGTAGGTAAAGCCAAGCGTTTCGAACTGATCGACCCGAATGGAGTAAAATCTCGCGTCGTTATAGTCGAGCGTATTCGAAGATTCGATGGCGCCGATCGATACGTCGTGACAAGCCGTCTCCGCTTTCTCGATGGTCGCGATGAACGTATACTTGATGAAACCGTTTCCATCCTCCTCATTTTCGAGATTTTGGTTGCTTGTGGGGTTCTCCAATCCAGCCGAGGCGTAAATCTTGACCAATCGAGGACCGTAAATAAATCGTATATCTTTGTGTCTAGCTCGAGTGAGCGAGCTATACACCTCGGATTGGTCGTCGTAGACTTTCATTGTTCTGTATCCACCTGCCACCTTATCGTACAATTTATAATCCTCCGCGTTGTCGCTCTTGGGTACACTCACGGAAAGATCCGTGTACGACCGATACGAACTTTGCGCCTTCGCGGATGGCGTGTACGTGTATTGCACTTTATGCAATCCTTCCGGCACTTCCAAGTGATAATAATCTCTGTATCCAACTTGAAAAGATCGCTCGTAAAGCGACCCGGACGATACCGTTTCTGGCTGGTACGGTTGAACTCTCGTACTAATCGACCACGTGTTCGTGCTCGACGATTGAAAGATCTCCACTCGTATGTCCGCTCTGGCGCCCGCCGGAGCGACAAACTGCACCGCTTCGCCCTCCGTCTTCGCGGTTTTTGTGGAGGAGTAATTCGTCCCGGCGCACGAGACGTACAAATCCGGGTTCGCGTTTGTTCCTTCAATATTCGATAAACGTACGGTCATCTGTGTAATGCATTTGAATGCGTATGTGTGTGCGCGAGAGAGATGAAGAGAGAGAGAAAATAAAAATCGTCAGCATCATCATCATCATAATCATAATCATCATCATCGTATCTATTCGCGCGGCGCGCTGTTTTATTTTCCCGCGCGAAATTTCGAATTTCTCACAAAACCATCATCAACATCATCCATAGAGAGTCGAGAAAAAGACGCGCGCGACGACTGACGATTATAACGACCACCAACGCGAGACGCTCTCGCCTCGCGCGATTGCAACGCACTTTTGCGCATCTCTCCCTGTCCGCGTCGTTCATTTCTTCGAGAAAACAGAGAAAAAGAGAGAGAAAAGAGATACAGAAAAAAACGTACCAAAGTTTCCACATCCGCCAAGGCCTCGGCGTAATACTCCACCGTCTGTTCGTAATACACCGGCGTCAATTGCGGGACCGTATCGTTCTGCTGTATGATCGTCGCCGCGTGTGATGCGTGTGAGAAGAGCATCATCATCAGGAGCGCAATAATCGAGGAAGAAATCGTCGCATTCGTCTTCATCGTCGTCTTCGTCGTAATCATATTTATAGACAAGAGACAAAAGTCGTTACGTGGTGTGTTGCGTCGGTCTTTTCAACTCTGAAGATCTCTTCGACTCATCTGGGAAAGTCAACCAAACTTTTTTTGTTTAGGGTCTTAGAATTTTTTTTTTTTGTCCTCTTTCTTTTTCCTCGCGAGGCAACAATTTTTAAGACAACAACGCGGCATTTATTGAGCTCTATAGTATTGAAAATGTCATCCGTCCAGGTAGGTGTATTACGCGCGCATGATCTCTCTCTCTCTCTCGTTCGTTTGTGTGTTTGTTTGTGTGTTCGTTTGTTTGTTTGAGCTCTTAATGACTGATTGAAAATGGAAACTCATCTCTCATCATCATCTCTCATCATCATCTCTTTCATGATGTTCTTTCTGATAATAAAGGTGACGAACATTTCCCCGTCCGCGCAGGACTCAGACCTGTCCGATTTCTTCTCCACGGCTGGGGACATCTCGAAATTAGTCGTCAAAGACGGTCTGAACAACACGAAACGCGCGACGATTGATTTCAAGGAAAAAGAGGCAGTCTCCGCTGCGTTGTTGTTGAACGGGTGTTTACTGTTGAACCACGCGTTGTGCATCGAGGAGATTCAATTTCCGAGCGAAGAGATGGAGGATTTGGAGGCGTTGAAGAAACGCGCGGAAGGAGGTTTAAACGCGGGGGAGTTGTCGAAAGGAGAGACCATCGCGAGTGGCATTTTGGCGAAAACGATCACGTTTTCCAAGCAAGCCGGTCAAGCGATCAAACAGTTCGACGAGCAGCATAAAATTTCCGAGACGGTGGTTTCGAAAACCAATAGCGCGTACAAAAATGTGGACGAGAAGTTAAAATTGACGGAAACGACGGCGACGATGAAGGTGAAGATATCCGAGGAATCGCAAAAGTTAGACGAGAAATTCAAAGTCTCCGCCACGGCTGGGGCGGCTGGGGAGGTGGTGAAAAACACGAGCACTGGCGTCGTGTCAAAAATTAACGAGAACGAGGCGGTGAAGAAAGCCACCACGGCGGTTTCAAACGCGTTTAGCTTTTTGTCGCAGAAAGCGACCGCAATTGTCTCCAAGGCGGTCGCCGAGAGCGAGAAGGAGATGCCTTCTGCGAAAGCGGCGACGGCCATGGATGGGGTGGATGGAGACGACTCGTCGCCGAAGAGTACCGTGCCAGAGGCGTAAAATATCACTTTTTCTCGCGCGTGTTGTAAAAACAAATTTATTGAAAAAATTTCTTCATTTCTAAAAAACGCTCGCTTTCACGCAAACACTTTAAAAAAAAATCGCTTTCTAAAAATGTCACCTCCACCATCGATAACATCTTCCAACATCGCGGAAGCGTACGCCAAGTGGGACAAGTACGTCGAAGACGTCGACAGCGAAGACGAAGACGAACGGTTGAGACAAGAAAACATTGACCAACACGAAACCTATCGCAAATGGCAGTGGGAACAAAAACAGCAACAGAAGTTTGACCCAATGCAAGCGAAAAGAGTGAATTGGGAGAACATGGGCGGGAACAATAGCGAAAACCGCATCAAAGAGCGCATGAAAGCGAAAGAAAAGAACTTTTTCAAGCAGAAGACGTTGACCGAGTACAGTTGGGCGGATTTCGAGACGTATTTAGTCGTGTACGTGAAATTAGACATCGTCGATAACGTGAAGTTGATTGAAGAGCTCGCGTTCGTTCCGAGCGACAAGCGAGAGGCGTTTATGGAGAAACGATTCGACGTCGAGTTTCGGAAGTTTAGTTTCGATTGCGTCGTCGACTTATCGAGCGAGTTTGCGTTGTTTGCGGTATCTGAATTAGCTAAAGAAATCGTTCCTGAAAAATCGTCGGTGATGTTACAACAAAACGGAATGATGACTTTTACGCTTCAAAAATATACGAGAGAGCGTTGGATGCACTTGCGAAGAGGAGAAAAAGGAAGCAGCGAGTAAAAGAAGTGTTACAAAATAAATAATGAGTTCATATTACATGCGGATGCAAAGTTTTCTATACGTGTGCTAAATCTAGGTTGCTAACTTTTGCTCCGCTTGGAGTCGCATTGCGCGCTCTTCTTTTATCATGCGTCTCGTTTCGGCCAACTCTTTGAGAAGCGCCAAGTTTTTCTGCTTCTCCGCGAGCGGCGTCATTGTCGACTTAGTCGTCGTTTCCGTCGCCGAAATCGCTGGATCTTTTTCCAACGATGCTATGCTTTCGCTCGGTTTAGGTACGTCTTCTCTTTCAAACTGAAGCACGCGTCCAGTGGCTGGTTGTGTCGTCGTTTGGAAAAATCCAAAACCAGGCGTGGCTTCTTCAACGCCAGCCCCTGTCATTTCCGTTTGCTGCTGCTGTTGCTGCAGCGTCGTCGTCGTCGGCGGCGGCGGCGGCGGCGGTGGATACTGTTCTTGATGATATGTCAACCCTTTACCACCGCTCGAGCTCATCACGTAATTAATATCCCTTTCGTGCGCCCTATTAATCTCTTCTTTCATCGCTTTCAATTCAGCTTGCACCGATACCAACTCCAATCGCAAAACGTCCCTTTCCTTCTCGACGTCTTCGCACCGTTTTCTCGTCATCATCTCCTCTCTCGCTAATTCTTGAGATAAAGCGGAAAGTTCTGCTATTGTTCTCGAGTGTTCGTTCGTGTGACTTCTTCCGTTCTCGTTCCTTCCGCCGTAATTATTATTCGTCGCCAAATCCAAACACTTCTTCTCCAACGCCCTCGTTTCTCGAAACAACTCGTCCCTCTCCTTCTTCTTCTCCTTGGCATCCTCTATGGCTTGCTTCGCGCGTAACTCCGCACTTTGTGCACGATCGGTCCTCGTCGTTGCAACGCTTTTAGCTCGCTCCATCTCTTGAATCGCTCTTTGCGTCCTCTTCTCCGCCACGTCCACTTGCATCTTCGCATCCCCGACTTTCGTTTCGCTCTCGACTAACCTTCGCGATATAGATTGTATTCGATCTCGCAACTCTCTATTCTTCATATCCGCCGCATCAAACGCGCGCTCGTACTTTTGTAACCTTGCCAAAGTTTTTCGCAAAGCAATCTCGCAGTCTCGTTTCGTCTCTCTCATTTGTTCCACAACCTGTCGATATTTCCTGTTTTCGTACTCCGCGCGTTTCCTCTCTCGTTCGAGCGCGTCTTTTTCCCTATTTACGCGCTCGAGCTGGACGGCGAAGTTGTTTATGGAAACCTTCGATGGAATTCCACCATCACCGCCGCTGAACGAAGAAGCCTTCATCGTTGTCAATTGCTCTCGCGCCCGCATCGCGTTCTCTCGACTTTCTAACACGTCCGATTTTAAATGTTTCACTAAACCAATCAACTCTGTTCGAGAGCACATTCGATTTGAATCTCCTCTCAACGGCCAATCTAAAGCGTCTCTCAACGCTTCTTCCACCGCGCGAATCGTTTCCGTCGCTTCAATCGCGTCTTTTTTCAATCGTTCGATTCGAATTTTGTCGTTGTTACTATCGTTTTCTGGTTGTTGTTTTGCTTCTCGATCGAGCGTCGTCGTCGTCGTCTGTGGTTGTTGTTCACTCGTAGTCACAGAACGAAGGGGAAGAAGAAGTCCTTCGTTGACTGATGATGATGACTTTTTATTCGCACTCGTATTCGTGACGCGTGTTCCTGGGATTTTATGCTTCACGAATTGGTCGAAGAAATCGTCCGGCATCGCGTCTTCGCCGTATTTACCCGGGTCGTCGTCCTCGTCCGACGCGTCGTCCGGACGATCGTCGTCGAAGACGATCAGTTGCTCGTCGGTGTCGCCTTGGAAAACGTCGGCCTGCATCTCAATTTTTATGAGGAATAAAAAGCAAAATGTAGGGGATTTAGGGCAAACACAAGAAGGGGTGTTCAGAAACTGGATTTATTACAACAAAGTAAAGATGGCAACATCGTCGTATCATTTCTCGTTATATACACAACACGCGAATTCATGAATTCGCGCGTTTTCAGTTCTTCGTCTTTTATATACATATATATTCTTTATCTTACTTTTTCTGCGTCCGTCGATAGCGCGAACCAAAATCCAACCATCATCGCGAACGAAGCGAGTGTGTATTCATAAATCTACTTTTCGTTGATCAACTTCAAACCCAAAGCGATCAAGGCGATTTGCAGAACAATCTGCGGGTACCACGCGACTTTTGCGACCGGGGAGAAGAAAGTGACGTTGATAAACATGCAAAGATGTCCAGTTAACATCGCCGTGACTTGCTTCAAGTACGCCTTCGTAATCTCCGCGCCGAATAAGAATGGGCCACCGAGGAAAGAGAGGAAGAGGACCGCAGTCATTCTCGACCACCAATTCGCGATCACACTCCCGCCGTCGACGTTCCAATACGACATGGCGATGTGCATGAACTTCGGGAAGGGCGGATCTGGACCGAACCAAAGTTGCGCGGAGCCAGGAAGCAACATCCCTATGGAAAAGAAACCAAACATGGCGAAAATAAAAGTACAAAACTTTTTCTCCAAATCGGCGTTTCCGCCGGCTTTTACCGTTGGCACCGGATTCCCTGCGGTTGACCTCATGGCGACAGACCTCGTCGCTTTCGTTTTGTTGTTGTTGACGAACAAAGTCGCTTTGAGCGCAACATCTTTTTCCATCGGAGAAAAAAGAGAGTGTGCTGACGAGGCAATTTTAATTGCACCTCTTCTGGAAACTTTTCTCGCGTTGAAGTTTTCGACGCGCGATCGCGATCCGAGAACGGCGGATGATGAAGACGTTAACGCAAACATTATTGTTTTGTTTTTGTTGAAGTTTTTTGATTGGTTGTGTGTGTGTGTGTGTGTGTGTGTTTCTGGTAGACAGAATTGACGATCAACTCAATAATTATTCCAATTGGACCTTTCAAAAATATCTTCTCTCGCCTTTTTTGTCGACCAATCAAATGCGAGCGAGAAAACACCTAATTTTGCCGCTGCTGCTGCCGCTGCTGTGCGTATTCGATTCTATTATTACAAAGTTCTTTAAATCATCCTTAAATATCTATGACGATGAAGTCCTCGTCGGTGTCGTCGTCGTCGCTATCCACGTATTCGTAACTCTTCCTAATGCTTTCGCCGAAACCGTCGTCGACGACGTTGAAAAAATCCTCACCTCCATCTAAAGCGTGTTTGCTTTCTCCTCCTCCCGCTTGCGTGTTGGAGTTTTTAGTAGGCTCGTAGGTTGAATCGCCGCCTAGGGCGGAGTACATGTCGTCGACGATGTGCGAGGTGTAATTTTGGCTGACACCGTAGGTTTGCGCGTCCAAGCAGTCTTGAAGCATTCGATTCCGGTCGGTCTCGAATTTACCTCCGGATTTTGAAAAGAGAAAGACTAGATTTTTGGTCGCGTTTGGAATCCACGTGTCGTGAATTTCTACGTCACCTCGCATGTTCTGCAAAGCGCCGCTGGATGCGCCAAACATGCTGTTGTCGCCGTTTTGCCACTCTACTTGTTTTGGCTGACCGTTGGAGTCGCGCTCGCAAATTACATATTTGTACTCGTGGGTTACGTCCAAGCCTAAAGGGACTTCCTTCGTCCACGTCATTTTGTTTGCGCACGTCATTTCTTCGCTCGCGTTGACTTTCCAGTCGCACCAGGAACCAGTGAGAGCCAAGAACTGATGTGGAGGTAAATCAAACTTGACGACGAATTTTGCGTCCACCGAAAATGGAAGTTGCATGGATGTATCTTCGAGCTGGATGCGTTGTTGCTCCGTGGCCATCGTCGCCATTTGAATCTCGGCTCGAAGCTTTTCGTTTTGTAAAACCACCATTTGCGCTTCGCTTTCCATTTCTTTTTGACGGAGAATGTTCGTCGACGATGCGACTGTGTCTTTCAAGGCGTCGACTTCGTTTTGAAGGTTAGCGAGTTGGACCTCGGAAGACTTCTCTCGCGTCTCCGCGTCTCTTAAATTTTCTCTCGCCTCTGAAACTTGCCGTTCTAATGCGCGCTCGGCGTTTTCAAACTCCTCAATTTTCACGCGCAACACTCTCGCCTCTTCTTGGAGGAGATTTTCCTTCTCTTGACTTTGCGCCTCAAAATTTTCAATCCTCGCGCGGAGATCCATCAATTCAGACTCCGTGGCTTTGACTCTCTCGTTTGCCGCTTCCACGTTTGTTTCGGCAACTCTTTGTTCTTCGTGCGCCGCAGATAATTCAGCCTCAAACGCAGACCTCGCATTTTCTAAATCTGCTTTCGATTTTTCGCTCAACTCTTCCATTTCAAACAAACGCTGCTCCAAATTTTGCACTGTAGAATTTCTACCGCTGATTTGGGATTCCTTCTCCTCGACCTTCAAGCGCAAGTCGCTGAGTTCTAATTCAGACGCGCGAACTTTCGCCTCTGCCGCAGCGACGTTGGATCCTGCATTCTCCAATTCTAATTGAGCGGAGTCGAGTTCCTTGCGTAATTCACCGGACGATAATTCGTACGCGGTTAGTTTTGCTTGCGCCTCGTCGAGTTGAAGCTCTAAACTGCCAATTGCCAAGAGCTCGGCTTCGTAGGACTTGATTTGCTCGTTCAATTCCTCTACGTTAGATTCAGCGCTTTTCTGCGCTTCGTACGCTGCGTTCAATTCAGCCTCGAAGTTCGTTCGAGCCGATTCCAACTCCGCGCGAGACTCTTCCAGTTCCAAGCGAAGTGACTCCGCGCTGCCAGAAAGCGAGGATTCAAGCTCTTCATTCTTTAACTGCAGTGCGTCGAGCTCTGCTTCCGACTCGCGGAGCTTGTCTTCTGCTGCTGCGACTTTGGACTCGGAGTTCTCCAATTCAAAGCGAGCTGAATCCAACTGCTTTTGCAATTCCCCCTTCTCTATGCTGGAAGTGGTTTCATACTCAGTCAATTGGACTCGGGCGTCGTCGATTTCAGATTCGAACGATTTGATTTGCTCGTTCAATTCCTCTACGTTAGATTCAGCGCTTTTCTGCGCTTCGTACGCTGCGTTCAATTCAGCCTCGAAGTTCGTTCGAGCCGATTCCAACTCCGCGCGAGACTCTTCCAGTTCCAAGCGAAGTGACTCCGCGCTGCCAGAAAGCGAGGATTCAAGCTCTTCATTCTTTAACTGCAGTGCGTCGAGCTCTGCTTCCGACTCGCGGAGCTTGTCTTCTGCTGCTGCGACTTTGGACTCGGAGTTCTCCAATTCAAAGCGAGCTGAATCCAACTGCTTTTGCAATTCCCCCTTCTCTATGCTGGAAGTGGTTTCATACTCAGTCAATTGGACTCGGGCGTCGTCGATTTCAGATTCGAACGATTTGATTTGCTCGTTCAATTCCTCTACGTTAGATTCAGCGCTTTTCTGCGCTTCGTACGCTGCGTTCAATTCAGCCTCGAAGTTCGTTCGAGCCGATTCCAACTCCGCGCGAGACTCTTCGAGATCCGCTCTCAACTGCTCTTGCTCGAGAACCGAGGACGCTTTCATCTCATCCAGTTGCTCTCGAAGTTCAATCATCTCCGTGTTACGATCGTTCGATAGCGACGAAACCTCATTTTCAAAGTTTAATATTTTCTCAGTCGCGGCGTATAAATTTGACTCGGCAATTCTCCTTGCCTCAACCGCAACACTTAATTCACTCTCAAACTTCTCATGAGTAGAATCCAACTCAGCTCTAACTTCTTCTAGCTGCCGTTTCGCGTTTTCTGCTTCACCCGTAATCGCTGCTGCAGCAATGGATGATCCCATTTCTTCCTCCATCTTTGAACGAACTTCTTCGAGTTCGTTTTCAAGTGTAACGACTCGCGCATTGGCAGACTCTACTCTTTTACTCTCTTCGTAACTTTGATCCCTCATAACTTTCAACTTTGCTTCTAACGCGTACACTTTTGAGTCGTATTGTTTTCCCAATGCTTGAATTTCTTGTTTATGTTCGCTGAAAGTGACCTCGAGAACCGCATTGAAATTTTCCTTTGCATCGGACATAATCTTTTCCGCTTGCTCTTGCGCCTTTGCAGCAAGCTCTAATTCTTCATTTAGTGCAATAAACTTATCGTGCTCTTCGCGGAACTTATCGAGAACGAGCTCCATAGCTATCTTATCAGCCTCGATAACACTTTTAGCTTCTTGGACGTTTTCAAAATTCTCCTCGGCTAACTTTTTACTCTCCTCGGCACCTTCCAGTTGCTTTTGCAAATCTTCAATCTTTGCGTTCAGCTCACGTTCAAGTTTATTGGAACGCTCCAACTGCTCTGCGCGTTCACGATAAACGTCCGCTGTCGCTTCGTCTCTTTCTCGCCACGCATCTTCGAGCTCAGCTTTGGACTCCATTTGGAACATTTCGAGGTTCTTGACTTCATCCGACGCTTCTTGCAGCTCTGTTTCCTTAGATGCAATTTTATCTCGTAGAGCAGTGAGTTCTTCCTCGAGATCGCCTTGGTTGGTCAATGCCGATTCGAGCTCGGCGATTTTCTCCCGCGCTAACATTCGAGTAGCTTTTGCTTCTATTTCTTCCGATTCTAATTGCTTCATCCGCTCTGACGCTTCTTTGAGTTTGCTTTCCGTGAAAGAGACCTTTTCTCGCAAAACGTCAAGATTTTTCTCAACGTCACCGTACTCAGCCAATTGTTTCTCGAGATCTTCAATTTTCTCTCGCCACGCTTTCTCGTTCGACTCTGCTTCTTCTTTTGAGGCCAGCGCTGCTTTCAATTCCGAGTCGAAAGATTGCCTGGACAATTCGAGAGCATCTTCCGCTTCCTTAATTTGGAGCTCTAAGTCGCGCCCAAAGGCCGCAAACTCAGTATTTTGTCGATTCAAACGCTCATCGAACTCAGTTTTTAGCACGTCTCTCTCTTTCTCGACATTTTCAAGAGCTTGTTCTAGGTCACTTATTCTTCCATCAACATATTCCGAACGTTGTGTTTCACTTCTCGATACCGCAATATTCGCAAATTCAAGCTTCTGCTTCAAACCTGCAATTTCTTCGGTCAGAGATTTATTCGTCTCTTCAAACTGTCGAACTTCATCCTTGATTTGTTTCGAATCCGCTTCGCGCAGCTCAATTTCTCGTTCTAAATCAGCCTCTGCTTTTCTCTGGAACGTATCAAACTCAACCTCGAGATTTTTTCTCGAGGATTTAACGTTTTCGATTTCAATAAGCAACGTTTCTCTCTCCTCGCGGAACTTTTCAGCTTCTGATTCGAGCGAACGCTTTGATTCAAGTTGTTCCGTCAAGTTTCTGATTTCTAATTCCATAGCGCGTTGCTCGACGCCAAGTTCTTCCTTTTCTTTCGATACTCTCTCCTTCAGCTCTTCGAATTGCAGTTCCAAGGAATCTTTCAAAGCCGACACTGAAGCGAGTTCATCCTCAATCATCTTTTTCTCGTTATTGGCGATTTCAGAAGCTTCCGAAAGCTTTGATGCATACTCCGAGTTTTTCTCCTCCAAACTTCGAGTTTCATCCAACATCTTGCCTTCTATTGACTTCACTTTTCCAACTAACTCCTCTACTCTCTTTTTGAATTCTAACTTTTGCTCCGAAAAGCCTTCGCTCGCCTTTATGAAGCGACTTTCCGCTTCCATCAGTTTCGACTCAGTCTCCGCTTGCGCCGAAAGCGCCTCCTTGAGCTTTTCTTCTTGGGTCGAACCCGTAAGTTCTGCAGACTTTTGAAGACGTTCCAACGCCTCGGTTGCATCTGCGGCGCGAGTCGTGGCCATTTCAGCTTCGTTTTCGAGTTTTACAACGCGTTGATTGAAAGCAATAATTTCGAGTTTCATTTTCTGTCCTTCCGTCGATAACGTGTCGATTTCCTCGCGAGATTTGGATTCAATCGTTTTCAACGCACTTACGGCATCTTCTTTCATGGTAATCGCTTCTTCAATTTCGGACGCGTTCGCAGTCAACTCGTTTTTAAGCTTTTCAATCTCTGACTGCAAATACTCTTCGCTTTTCATCTTCTCGCTTAAACGCCTTTCGAGATCAGAAATTTCAGTCTCCGCGCGTAGGGTATTTTCTTCTTTCAAATCATTCAAAGAAGCTCTTTCGTCTTGTAATTCCTTTTCCATTTGCGTGATGACGAACTTCATAGAATTCAATTCAGACTCTCGAGATGCTTGCGCTTGTCGCAAAGACTCGCGCGCGAGCTCTAAATCTTTTTGCAACTTTGCATTTTTCTCTACGGACTCTTCAACCGCGCGCTTCATTTCCGCCTCTACCGCCGCCACACTCTTCGCAGCAGCTTGTTCGTTATTCTTCAATGAGTCCGCCATTTCTGCTTCTTTTTGTTTAATTTCATTCGCGAGTTTCTTTTGTTCACTTCGTGCGTGTTCTAATTGAGCTTTCACTTCGTTTGCTTCATCTTTTCTTCGTTTCGCTTCGTCCGCGAGTTTCTCCTTCTCCTCTTTCGCTTCCTCGAGCTGAGACTTAACGTTCCTCGCTTCAGAATCGGAAGCAGTCAGCTTCGCTTTCACGCCGTTTAACTCTTTCCTCAACTCCGTAAACTCTTGCTGAGACACTATGTTTTGTGAAGAAGGAGACGAGGACATTGAAGACGATGGTTGTGCATTGGTGGCGGTAGCGTTTGTATTCAAAGAGCCGAGCGGTTGCGTCATCGCTGCGAATACTTCCGGAGTTTTCAATCGCCAAGGTTCTGATGATGATGATGATGATGATGATGATGACGCTTCGCCTCTTATCGACGACGACTGTTCGCGCGCATCAGAAGAAGACGCAAGCATCGCTTTCACTTTTCCGAACGTATCTAAAACGGAGTTGAAGAATCCGAGACGGGTCGAGATGGCGAGCACCGGTACAGAAGCCACAAACATAGCCGCGCCAGCGTTAAAAACTGGAGCGGCCCTTTTCGTCGCTTGGAGTTGAACTTGCTTTTTCATCTTCTTTTGTTGTTGCCGTTGTTCTTTCTCAGCTTTCTTCAGTAACTTCTCTTCTTTCTCTCGTCGTCGTCGTTCGTTCCTCTCCTCTTCCATCCTCGCCGCTCGCTTCTCTTTTTCTTTGTTCAGTCGTCGCTCTTGATTCTTATCAGTGTTATTATTGTCTCGTTGCTGTGTATTTCCTTGCGAATCTACTACCGCGGCAACTTTCTCGCGAACTCCTTCATCTTTCACCTCCTTTTGTTCTCGTTCTCGTTGTCGTTCGACGTGCACGACCACCCGATCTCCGGGAAACACAAAATCCAAATCCACGCCTGGATTGAGCGCTTTCAGCGCCTCGACGTCTACTCCGACATACTCCGAGAGCATCTCCACCGTCTCCCCAGGTTTAAACGTATAAAACGTCCGCACTTGTTTATCTTTATTCTGCCCTTGCGTCTCGTTCTCTTTATCGATAAAATTTTTAGAAGAAGAAGAAGCTGCTGCTGCTTCAACCCGCATCATCGCCTTCCTTTTTTGACGACGACCACAAAATTTTGTTGTCGTAAAACCCTCTCCGTTGTTATTCCTTTGAGAGGAGGAAGGAAAGAGCGGTGGTCGTAAACCGACCGCCTGGTGATGCGTCGCCAGTGCGCCACTGTTCGAGAGAATAAGAGATTTAAAATGGTTAGTTTGATTTTTAAAAATTTGGAGGGAAACGCATATAAAATATCTAAAAAGCATCGCGCAAAAAGAAACAAAAGAGATCTCATCAAAACACAAGAGTAAACGACGCACCGCGTCGTCATCATCATCTCTATCTTCTCTTCCGCCGCTGCTTTTCCGTCGCTTCTTCTTTTGTGAATGAAAAAAGTCCAAACCACCCTTTTTGTTGTTGTTTGGCGATGATTGGGAGGAAAAAAGGAGGAGGGTCTTTTGTTTTTATGTGGAGAAAGAGAAGCCAAAAATGAAAAAAAAAAATCAAAAATCTCTCCTTTTTTGGGCTTCACTTTCTCGTCACGCGGGCAACGCAAGAAGAAAAAAAAGCAATTTCTTCTCTCCCAAACTGCGTTTCTTTCCCCCGGTCCGTCCGTCGTCGAGGAGGATTTAGAGGATTTAGAGGATGTACATCACCGTGGTGATGTTTAAGAAGAAGGAGACGACGACGATTTCGTGATATAACAGAACAGAATAATAAAATGCCGGCACTTCGTCTGTGCGGTCGCAGTTGGCTCGTGGCTTTGGACGATTTAGTCGTCCCATCGTTCCTGCTTTCTTTTTTGCACGTTTTATGGCTGTGCATACTCGCGACTGCGTACGCGAAAATGTCAAAGTCGTTGAAAGAGACGTGCGGTAAAGTCGGGGAGAAGGCGTTGGATTGGGTGTTCGCGTCTCTGTCTTTATTCTTTCTCGCGGCGAGTGTTGAGTTTTTGATTTGTTTCGAGAGCTCGAAAGGGAAGATATTGGAACCGAACAAAAGGAGAAGAGCGATACCGCTACTGATTATACACGCGATTATTTTAGTCGCGATAGTAGGCGCGATGGGGTACGGAGTCAATCTGATGAACGAAGAAGGTGGCAAGGAGTGTTACGAGACGGAAGGAGTGAACAATTTGGTACTGACGGTCATCGTCGGGAACTTTATCGTAGTCGGTTTGACGGCGTTTGGCGTGTTTGCCATGTTTTCCGCTTTCGCGCACTTAGATCCCGAGGAAAGGTGGCAGAGGATATTTTCCATCGTCGGGTGTTTGATGTGCATGGGGAGAGGTGGGAGTGCCACGTCTTCCAGTGGAATAATTCGGAAAGATTCGGCGGCGGGGGAGGATTTAGAAAGCATCGATGAAAAAAGCAGAGAACGAGGAGGGGTGACCGCGGGAAGAGGAGGTGGTATGGGCGCCATCGCGGATTGTTTTAGCGAAATATTCCAGGGCGCTGATTTAGTGCCGAGCGATATTAGTGCCGGTCTCGCGCTTTTAGCTATACAAGACCGACGGATGCTCAAGGAGGCACCGAAAGGGGTTCTGTTAAAACCGTCGAGCGCCGCGGCTGCGATGGACGCTGCTTCATCATTCACTCCTTTGAATGAAGGAGACGACGTCGAGCGTGGTGAAATTGAAGCGTCGCTTTTGACAACAAACGAGTCGCCTCGAAGCGCCACTTCCTCTTCTGTATTTTCTCAACGAGAAACGACGACGATGTCGTGCGACGTGCCGATTAAATCTTCCGGGGAAATGCTCTCGAAGACGCTCGAAGACATGGCGCATTACGCGAGATGGTCGTTAGCGGCGTACGGCTGGACGTTATACGCTTGGGCGCATCCATCGAAGGGATTTAAGATGGCGTTTTCGTTCAAAGGGATGAGTCGCGTGTGCTGTGGGGCGTATTATAGGAAACAAAAGAGTAGGAAAAATATCGGCAGTGGTCGCGGTAGCAGTAGTAATAGTAGTCGTAGTAATAATAATAGCGGAGACGTCGTCGTAGAAGTGAGGGAAGATGTGGAAGAAGACGAGGAAGCCGAGAAGGAGCGTTTGTATAACTCTCGGCAAGACGTGACGCTCGATCGCGCGGCGCTGAAAGCGTGCGCTGGAATCTCTTCGCGAGATATCTTCTACATCTCCACGAAGGAAGGCGTAGGTAAAGCGCCGTACTTCATCGCACGGGACGTGAAGAAACGCTCGGTCGTTTTATCCATTCGCGGAACGCTTTCCATCGCCGATTGCGTCACGGATGCCATGTATAAACCGACGGAGTTGGATATAAACTTGCTTGGTAAAGATATCGCGAGTAAAAAATTCACCGGATCGCAGTTGCACTGTCACAAAGGCATCGCCGAGGTCTCGGAATTTATTTTTAACGATTTGAACAGACATCGCATTTTGGACCAGGTCATTCTCGGTGAAGAAGGCACGGCAGAAGGCGATTCGATTCCTGCAGATGTTCTCTCGGAATGTCGCGGTTGGCGATTGGTGCTCACCGGACACTCGCTCGGCGGCGCGACGGCGTCAATCGTGGCGCTCTTTCTGCGCGAGAAGTTCCCGACTGTGAAAGTCGTCGCCATCGAACCTCCGGGAGGGTTACTCGGCGCAGAACTCGCGAAAGAAACGGAAAAATTTTGCACTTCTTCCATCCACGGACTCGATGCCATCACGCGTTTATCCGGTCCAACCTTGTTAAAGCTTCGATCGGAAGTCATCAACGCGTTGGTCAGGTGTAAACTGAGTAAGTTTCAACTCCTTCGAAAACTGACGACTTCGCGAACTGCTCTGGTCGAATCGGACGTATTCAACGATGACGATACCGACGGCGCCTTACCTTCCGAAGCGACGAGCTTGCGTCAAAGTTTTAACGCTTTTTCCGAGCAGCAAATCTCGTCCGATCCAAATATGGCGGCGCCTTTATACCCGCCCGGCGAGTTATTGTACCTCCGAAAAGTCAAATACTCTCCAAACGACGTGTCGTCCTCGTCTTCAAAGTCGGGCAACCGACGAAGGGTGAGTAAAACTATCCGACATTTCAACTACGAGATTTGGAAAATCGAAGCGAAAGATCTCATGGACCGCGGTTTTTTAGTCGGACCGTCTTTTTTCATCGATCATTTCCCGGACACCGCGGCGGCTGTTCTCAGCGGTTTAGCCGCGTCGTTTTATACAACCGACGCGGAAGCGGAAGAAGAACAAGAACAAGGAGAACACGAGCTCCCTGCGGATGATCAGACGGATCAAAAGAGAAGAAGAAAAGCTGAACTCGTGTTAAACAGAATGCGTTTGCCTAAAGACAAAGCGCACATCGCGAGCGATTTAGACCATCTCGTCGACGACGACGTTTAATATTATATTTACGAATACTCGTCTCTCGTACTCGTTTTGAAGGAGGAGAATTTTACCAGAGAGGACATTTTTTCTTCTTTGGACACTTTTTTTTCCTTCTTTTTCGTCGACGTGTCACCTTTTGTCTTATTAAATTTTCCACGCGATTCTTCTCACACTCTTTCGTCCTTTACTTCACAACACTTCGCGCGCGCTTTGAGGACTAAAAGTGAGCGTATTCTCGTCCTCGTTAAAAGAGTAAAAGAAAGAACCTTCCAAAAGTTTGTGTTTTTGAACAACAACAACAACAACAACATAACAACGTCACAAAACGGTGGTGTGATTTTTACCAGCAGAAAAGAAAGAAAAAGACAGATCCCTTCTTCTCTGCTTGAATTGTACACGCGAAGAAGAATACGATGAACGCTTTACTCAGAAACTCTATCGGCAGAAACAAAAATCAAACGCTGTGCGCGTTAACTCGAACCTCTGGAATCGTTTCCACGAGCAGCAGCACAAGCACAAGCACAAGCAGCAGATTGTACCACAAAAACGTCGTCGACCATTACGAAAAACCGAGAAATGTCGGTGCTTTCGATAAGAAAGACGCAAACGTGGGGACGGGTTTAGTCGGCGCGCCGGCGTGCGGGGACGTGATGAAACTCCAAATCCGCGTAGACGACGACGGGAACATCACGGACTCGTGCTTCAAAACGTTCGGGTGCGGGAGTGCGATCGCGTCTTCCTCGGTCGCCACGGAGTGGGTGAAAGGACAACACGTCGACGAAGCGACGCAGATTAAAAACAGCGAAATCGCCAACCACTTGAACTTGCCGCCGGTGAAGTTGCACTGTTCCATGTTGGCCGAAGACGCGATTAAAGCCGCGGTGAAGGACGTGAAGGAGAAGCAAGCGAAAGCGAAAGAAGCCGCTGCCATGGCTGGTGGTGGTGGGAAGTAAAACTTCCCTCTCTTCTTCCGGGGTTACACAACGCAAAAGGAGCGGAGGAGAGGCGCCATCGAAACATCTCATCAAAACGCACTTATCAAATTGTTATAATAAACACATCATATTTAGTAGAAGCTTTTCACACACCAATAATGAATGAACCACATCTTAAACGCGCGGAGCGGAGGAGGGGGCATCAAAACATCTCATCAAAACGCACTTATCATCACATTGTTGTTCTAAACACGTCGTCGTAGAAGCTTTTCACACACCAAGAATACGAACCAAAGACAGAAGAAGAGGTCGTTATAAAAAAAACATCATCACGCACGAAAATCATCAGAGAAAGAGCGCGAGAGAGCAATCATCATGGCTGCTGCTTTCGCGTCGTCGTCGCACTTTGCGTCGTCGTGCGCGCATCATCATCCCAGGAGTAGTTCTTCGTGTTGCGTGCGAGCGCACTCTTCCCAGTTTGCGACGACGACGACGGAAACGATTCGAAGGAGAAACCATCCAATTTTAGTCGTGTCGGATTTAGACGGAACGATGGTTGGAGACGACCAATCGACGCTAGAGTTTCGGACGTTTTGGGAAGAAGAAGAGAACAGCATTAATAACGAGGATGAGAAGAGTAAAAGTAAACTGGTATACAGCACCGGTCGGTCGTTGGAGTCGTTTCGAGCGTTACTGAGAGAGAAAGGAAACGTGATGGTAAAACCGGAGATGTTGATTTGCGCCGTCGGTACGAAAGTGTACTCGCGCGGCGACGAGAAGAAAGAAGAAATGTGGATCGAAGACGAAGAGTGGACGAGAACGTTAGACGTCGGGTGGGACGAGGCGATTGTCAGAGCTGGGTGCGCGAAAGCCATCGAATTATGCGGGGAAGAGTCGGCCCATTTTCGACCAGAGGAGGAACAGAACGCGCATAAAATAACGTGCGCGTTGAAGGATGAAAATGTAGGCGAGTTTGTGGCGACGTTGGAGAGATATTTGGAAGAAAAGAACGTGACGGCAAAAATAATCAGTTCCGGCACGGGCGGGTGGAAGTACGTGGATTGCGTGTCGAATCAAGCCGGGAAGCTGGAAAGTTTAGAGTTTGTGAGAAAGAAGTTAGGCTTCGAGTTGGAGCGAACGGTAGCGTGCGGAGATAGCGGGAACGACGAGTTGATGCTATCGGGGAGGAATTTAGCGATAGTGGTAGGAAACGCGCAGGAAGATTTAGTGAGGTGGGCAGAAAGAGCGCTCTTAGAAGAAAAAGAAGGAAGTAGAAAGAAACGAGTAATCGTGACGAAGGCTTTCGAGGCGAGAGGGATTATAGAAGGCATACGCGAGCATTTTTATTAATAATCCAGCACTACCTGTCGCCTAATCGATGGAATCTTGCGCGGGACCATTTCGACCGTCGATCGTAACGCGTCCATATTCGCGCAGCACGGAACAACCGTCACTTTAAACGCCTTCTCTCCGCTCGTTCTACTTATAAAATATACTGCGTTTTGGCCAAAATTTCGGCCTATTTCGAGCACGCGTTGTTCCACGCTCATCTTACTCTCTTCTGTCTTGTATCCAATGAAAGGCACGAAGTATCCACATTCGATCCATTTCATTTCATCGGGGTCATCCGAGTCATATTCTGAAGTCAGCGAGCGACCGAGCTGAACGCGTGGAAATGCATCCAAGAGCTCGTGTTCGAGCGCTTTCTTTGCAATTGCGTTTGCTCCAATACCCGTATTCATCGAGTGGGGATTGTCCGCCGTGATTATCCAACCTTCTAATTCTAATGTTTTTGCACTACTACTACTTATTATATTTACATCATCACCGTCGTCATCTTTGCCTCTGCTTCTTGTCATAATTGTCACGCTTTCTCGGCTTTCATAATCCAGCGAGAAGGCGATGAGCGCGTTGGCGTATGATTCTGCCAATTCGCGAATCGTCTCTACTCCTCGTTCTTTCGGTATCATCATTCCCTTTGATATGAGACGCGCGTATTCTGTTTCGTCGTACGCCAAAGCTCTCTCTCTTCCTATTTTTGCTACTTCTTCTAATCTATTCTCGTCGATGTTTGTGATGAAATCCGCGAGCGCTTCGACGGATTTGTTCTCATAGTCGAAGGAAAAGACACCTTGGTTTTCCATGAGAAGTTCACTGGATCCTACTTTGCCTCCAGAACACACCAAACTTGGTGCTCCAAACGCCGCCGCTTCGATAACAGTCATGCCGTACGCATCTTTACGACACGGGTGTACGTTCAATTTCGTTCTCGAATAAATCTCACCGAGCTGCGTAGCGTTCAAGAAGGACTCGATGCACAACTCGGAAGCGTTCGGTATATTCTTCGTCGCCTCTCGGAATCGCTTTTTCAACCCTTCAGCAAACTCTGAAGTTGCAGGAGCGACGAGAATTGGTACCAACGTATCACCAAAAGCGTCGCGCTTGGCGAGTTCCTCGACGAGCTCGACGAACCTTTCCGGTTCCTTCTCTTTGCTCAACCGAACGACGCACGTCAAAGCGTTTCGTTTCTTTTTCGCACCAGTAGTAGAGGTAACAGGAGATGGTTGTTCTCGAGCGAGTGCATTCTTGGCGTCTCTTAAAACGTCCTCGCGCAAGGGCGGGTGAAGCACCACCGCGACGACCATCTCTTTGCCGTCATCGCCGCCTACGAAAGCGTCTCGCAAAAATTTCGCGTCGTTGATGCACAAACAAATAACGTGCGTCGAAGCGGTAATCATGCGTTGCTCTAATGCCCGGTGCGATTCGTCGTGTAACGTAAACACGCGGTAATTCAGATACGTTAAAGGAGGAGGCGGTGGTGAAAACCCGTCTTCTTCTTCTTCTTGATATCGTTTTCGTATTCTCTCGTAGACTTCCAGCGAGGACCAATCTACGCCTAAAACGACATCTGCTCGGAACTTTACGATTGCCTCCAACTGCTTCTCGGAGACGTTCGTCGCGAACTCTTCGTACGCGCACGTTTTATCTAACCTCCCCCACTTCGACTTCGGAACCGGAACAGAGAGAACACCTTTGTCTTCTTCTTCGTCTTCTTTTTCCATACGTAATTCTTCCTCCAATTCTGTTGGTCTCGCGCACACCACCAAAATCTCCGTCGTCATCGCGTCGTCGTCGTCGTCAAAGTCGGAATCGTCGTTCAAAAATCCTCTCACCGTGCTCGCGGCTAAGACACCGTTCCCAGAAAACGTCCCGAACGTGTATTCGTAGGAGATAAATAGAACCTTGGTCTTCTTTGTCTTCTTCACGATGAGAGCTCCCATTTTGGAACGAACTTTTTTCTCGCGAAAGTGTGTTTTCGTGCGTCAGCACATTTCAGAGAGATCTCTAAAAAAAGGAATTTTTCGGCCCCACAAAATGCGAAAAAATGTGTGCCACTCGTTTTTCATGTATTCCCACTTAAAGAGGAGAGCTTCCTTGTGTCGTGAGACCACAGACTCTCGTTAATACACTTTGTATCTCAAAAGCAAGAAGAAGAAGAAGATTAAAAAATCATGTCCGCTTCTTTTGCCACCGCGAAAGCGAGCGCGTTTACCACCGGGGGTACAAGTTTGACCACCACCCGGGGGAAGAAGTCTTCCACCAATAACGGGTGCGTTTTTAATCGTTTGGATGATTCGTCGCGTGGGTTTCGTTTTGTGTTCGTTTAGTATTTTCGGGAGAAAGAGATCCGAAGTGTGATATATATCCAATAATCATTCCGTGATGGATTGCCCGTGTGGGATATTTTTTTATCCGCGCGCGCGCTTAAAGGGGTTCGTGGTGCACCTTTTAAAAGAACAACAACGGCGCAGAGAGAACGCGCGTTCGCTCTTCTCTCGTTCGAATCGAAGCGAGGTATTGTTGTTGTTGTTGTTCTCATCTCTCGTCAAGTCTCTTCTTTTACTAATATCTCATTTTTTTCCCAAAACACACAAACTTTAAAAAACAACAGAAGAAGAATCCAAAAAACGATAACGCGCTCGGAAGCCATCGCGCAACAGCCGAAGGAAAACCAAACTATGTCGGCGATGTCAAACACGAAATCTGTGGCGGCCATCATCTTGGGTGGCGGCGCCGGTTCGCGTTTGTACCCGTTGACGAAGACTCGTTCGAAGCCAGCCGTGCCTATCGGCGGCGCGTATCGTTTGATCGACGTGCCGATGTCCAACTGCATCAACTCTGGGATCAATAAAGTGTACATTTTGACGCAATTTAACAGCGCGAGTTTGAACAGACACTTGGCGAAGACGTACAACTTTGGTAACGGGATTGTCAACGGCGGGTCTGGGTTTGTGGAAGTTTTGGCGGCTACGCAAACGCCGACGTCCACGGAATGGTTTCAAGGCACCGCGGATGCAGTCAGACAGTACTCGTGGTTGTACACGGACGTGAAGAACAAAGACGTCGAGGATATTGTCATTTTATCGGGTGACCACTTGTACCGCATGAACTACATGGACTTTGTCAACCACCACAGAAGAACGAACGCGGACATCACTATCGCGGTGTTGCCGCTGGACGACAAGAGAGCGTCGGACTTTGGTTTGATGAAGTGCGACGAAAACTTGAGAATCTTTGAATTCTCCGAAAAGCCGAAAGGGGACGCGTTGAAAGCAATGCAAGTCGACACGACTTTGCTCGGCCTCTCTGCCGCCGAAGCGAAACAAAAGCCGTACATTGCCTCCATGGGAATCTACGTCTTCAAGAAGTCTTCTTTGGACGAATTCTTGAACAAAAAATACGCGGACAACCACGATTTCGGCGGAGAAATCATCCCGTTTGCCGCCAGAGACGGCTATAACGTCCAAGCCTACCTCTTCAACGATTACTGGGAGGACATTGGAACCATCAAGTCCTTTTTCGAAGCGAACTTGAACTTGGCTGCGGATGAGCCGGACTTTGAATTCTACGACGCGGATTCTCCAATCTACACTTCGCCGAGATATTTGCCGCCGGCCAAGATTCAAAACTGCGAGGTTAAGAACGCCATCATCTCGCACGGTTGTTCTTTGTCCGATTGCAAGGTGAACGATGCCATCATCGGTATCCGATCCAACATCGGTAAGGGCGCGAACATCGACCATGCCATGATCATCGGCGCCGACCTCTACGAGTCCGAAGAACAACGCGCCGCTTTGTTAGGCGCCGGAGAAATCCCGATCGGTATCGGAGAAGGTTCCGTCATCAAGAACGCCATCATCGACAAGAACGCGAGAGTCGGTAAGAATTGCACGATCACCAACGTCAACAACGTCGATTTTGACGATAACGAAGCAGCTCACCCGAACTACTTCATCCGCGACGGGGTTGTCGTCGTCTTGCAAGGAGCGACCATTCCGGACGGCACCACCATCTAAGATGTTAGAGAGAAGAAGATAAAAAGAATACAACTGAAGGGGTTTATAAACGTAAATATATAATAGAGAGAGAGAGAGAGAGAGAGAGAGAGAGAGAGAGAGAGAGAGAGAGAGAGAGAGAGAGAGGAAGAGAGAGTAGTGAGTCAAACGAGAGAGTGAGTCAAGTGATGTAAATACAAAACGCGCTTAAATACAACAAACGAACAAAATAATTCAGAACACAAACGCGTCCAAATGCGGTGCTTTTTCCTTCACTCATCATTTATTCATGTACGCGCGGTTACATTCGATAGAAGCGCCGCTCTTCATCTTCTCCAATCATCATCGTTCTCGTTGTCGTCGTCAGTGCGAGTCGTCGTCGAGTGTTGTTGTCGTCCGAATCAGCCAAAAACGCTGTTCCTCTTCCTCTTCCTCTTGCACTTCCTCCTCGGGGAAAGTCGTCGTCGCGCGTTCTCGTTCTCGTTTGAAGAGAAGCAACGACAGTCACACCGCGAGCGAGAGAGAAACAGCTACTCCTCTGCGACTAAAAGTCGAGACTCTCTCGTCGCTCTCGTCCACGTTTAAGAAGAAGACGAAGAAGAGGCTTCTAGTAGAAACAAACGGACTCAGCGGTGGTGGTTTCCAACAACCATTTTCATCAGTAGAACAGTTGTTTGTAATCGCCATCGCGCTGAGCGCCATCGTAATCATCGCATCCGTATTGACGAGGAAACAGATCGCGAAAACGAAAAAAATGAAGGACAGGGGAAGAAAAAAAGTCGTCGTCATCGGCGGCGGGTTTGCCGGGATGCAAGCGGTGTTTGATTTATCCAAGACGTGCGATGTCACTTTGGTGGATACGAAGGCGTATTTCGAGTACACGCCCGGGGCGCTCTCTGCGATGGTTGGAGGTGGACCAATGCGGAGGTATAAAGGAAGCGAGAATTCAGGAGAGAGGATTGGGAAGTTGCACAGATCGTACGAGAAGATGTGCGAGAGAGTGGGGGCGAGATTTGCGCACGCGGCGGACGACGGCGTGAAGAGCGTGTGCGAGGAGTACGTTTCCGTGCGAACGGCGGACGAAGAAGGAGAGGAGAATAAAAAGCTAGAGTACGATTATTTGATCATAGCGACAGGGAGTAATTACGGTGGTAGCACGTCAGGTATCAAGCCAATGGGAGGGACGCCAGGAGAAGGCGCGAAGACTGGATACGCGAGACAAAAGACGTTCCAACGAGACGCCGAACGCGTAGCGTTGCCTTCTTCTCGTAAGGATAACGACAACATTAGTAACGATGAACAAACGACTTTAATTGTTGGCGGTGGAGTCGTCGGCGTGGAATTAGCGGCGGATATAGCTTGTGTGCGTGCAAAAGGAAAACGAACTGCAACGAATGTTGTTTTAGCGCACGATAAAAATAGACTTTTGGACACGTTGCCGAAATCCGCCTCGGAGTACGTGGAAAAGTGGTTCAAGAAGAAGAACGTTCGCGTCGAACTTGGCCAGAGATTCGAGAGAGTGAACGGCGAAACTTCTCCACCGTCGTCGTCTTCTTCTTATTCTTCTTCTTCTTACGTCGGATCTAAAGACAAAACGGTAAAAATTGAAGCGAAGGAAACGATCTTCGCCGTCGGCTCGAAGCCGTCCACCAACTTTCTTTCGTTTGAAAATCCAACCGTTTTACTTTCCGCCGCCGAAGCGAAAAAGAACAACGAGCCAATCCTCGAAATACCGCTCAGTAAGCTCGGTTATATCGAAAGAGATCCAAAAACTTTACAAGTTATAGGATTTGAAAACATATACGCGGTTGGCGACTGCGCGATGAAACCGCCGGGACAGTTCTTAGCCTCTTTCGCGCACTGGGAAGCCGAATACGTCGCCACGAGAATAAAGAAAGATCAACAAAGAAAGCAGAACGACGAATATTCTCTCCCGCCTCGATTTATGGCCATCTCTCTCGGTCCTTGGAACGGTTTATTCCTCTGGGGAAACCTCGTTCTTTGTAAAGGCGTGCTCGCGGCGATTGTTAAATTCCTCGTCGAGCTGTGGTTCTCCAACTTTTTCCCGGCGCCGTACGCGCTGTTGCGACGGTTGCCGAAATTCGAGTTTACTTTGAAAGAAAGCGAGGGAGAGGGGGACGAGATTCAATCTTCGTTCGGGAAGAGTTCGCTCGCGTGATTTTGACTGTCTTTCTTCGATTGAGTGAGCGTTAAAGTGTAACCGAAAATTTTGTATTATTATTCAAAGTGATGTGAAAAAAAGCGTTATACGAGATTTTTAAGAAAAAGTCTCCTCCTCTTCATTCCAACGCTTTCGTCGTCCTTGTTTATTTATTATTATTAGTAGTAGTAGTAGTATCGAAAGACAGCATCACTCATCGAAGAGAACGGGAGTGAACAGAATTATTCGTATTATTCGTATTATAATGCGTCGTGGTCGTTGAGAAGAAGAAGAAGAAGAAGACTTTTGCGAATGAAAAAGAAAATTGGATTGAGAGCGCACTTGGCTTGATTGAAGAAGTCAATAATAACATGCGCCTTCAGTTGGAAACGGACGAGCTCCCGATCGATGCCGCGGATTTTTGGTTCGCAAAAAACACCCGAGCTTTTCTCACCGCGCAAGCGGAGCATTTCAACAACCGGAAGTGTGATTTACCGCTGTATGAAGTCGACGAAAAGAAAAACGAAGTCCGGTGTATAATTCGAACGCAGCCGAACACATACATACCGTCGATTGTGAAACGAGCGCTCGGATTGAAAAAAGGCCAAAGTTTAGAACTGTACGACGAACTTAAATTTAGCAAGAAGAGCGAAACGGCCCCGAAATTATTCGAGGCGGAATTAGTGAACACGAATAACATAACGAAAGCGTCGAAAGTGGAAGGTATTATTCGGTGTAAATCGGTAGGCGTGAAAGCGTGTAGGATGTATGTGGATTTAACTATCGACGTGAAGTTAACGGGTGTAGGGAGGTTAGTAGAATCAATAATAGCTAAGGAAGTTCGAACGATGTACGAAGGGTTTCGACCGCTGGTGGAGAAGTACATTCAAGCGAGAAGAGAGAGGCAGATGGAGGCGTCTCTGAGGAACTCATCTTTGGCGCAAGAAATGATGAAATCGGAAGCGTTGGCGGAGAGAGACGCGGCGCAGTTGATTCAGATGAACACCATACATAGCGAACAGCAGCAGGCTCCGGGGAGTCCGTCAAGCGATAGCGCGGATCCAAAGAAGGACTTCCAAGATGAAACGTTTTCAAACGAGTATTCGACGCTAAACGATGATTTCGAATTCATGAGCGTGAACTCAGATTTAACCGATTTGCAAATTTTAGAGTCGCGATGGAAACGCTTGGAAGCGTTCGAGACGGAAACGAGACAAGAACAGGATTTAACAGGGTTTGAGAGTCGAAATAAGTGTTTACCTTCGTGTTTTTCGTGTTTTTCGAACAGAAGGAAGAGGAAGAAGAGAGCGCTATTGGTAGACTCGTCCACGTATGTCGAGATGGAACTTTGAAGAATTTTTGTATTTGTAATAATAGCCCCCTTTATTTATCATCATCATCATCATCATCACCACGTCGTCACAATCTTCGACGGAACTTTTAGGAACTTTGTCAACTTGAATTGATGGCGAGGGGTGGTGGCGTCATCCGAAGATGCCAACAAGGCTCTCTTCGTTTGCGCGGAAGTTGCGTGTCCCAAAGACGCTCGCGTTTCTCTTCCAGCTCTTCCGACGCCGCCTCCCCCGAACAGAGATCTCTTCTTAACCTCTTTTATATTCGCTCGCGTCGTTACGAACGCGTGCTCGACAATTTTTGCAATATCGACTCCTTTTTCCGTCGTCTTACCGTGAATTTCCGCTTTACCTACCATTCTCCTGCGTTCATTCTCCTCTCTTCGCTTTTCTAAAAACTCTTTCCCTTCTCTCAGAGGAACGAAAATTTTCTCCTCCTTTGGGCATCCGATGTTTCTCTTGTTCATCTCGCGGAAATCCGGTCCAGGCATCAACACGCGCACCTTCTTTGGTCGTCGACTTTGTTGGTCTTGTTTGTCGTTGCTTTCAATCGCGTACGGGGTTGTCAGACCCATCTCTCTTTTCTTTTCTTGTTGCGCGCGCAGGCTATTTTTGGCACTTTTTGCAAAAAATTCATCTTCATCCATCTTGGTCATCCTCATCTTCTATTCTTGCTCGCGCGAGTGCGCGCGCGAGAAAATTTGATCCTCTGCCTCTGCCTCTACTCGCTGTTGCTGTCGTTGTTCCTACTACTGGTACTACTGCTACGCTATCGCTATTTCTTCCCTCTGTTTCTCCTCCTTCTCCTCCTCCGTTTGTTTGTTGCGTCGGCTCCCTCGAGCGAGGCACGAGCAGTCGGTTCACGTTCGTCTTCGACGGATCTTTCACCACCAACGCGCCAATCTCTCTCGCTTTGAGAAGTTTCCGTCTGAACACTTCTCTCTGTTTCCGCAGTTTATTCAGCATCTCCTCACTCATCACCATCTCTTTCATCGTCTTCTCCTCCTCCTCTTCGTCTGAATCGTCGTCCTCTCCACTGATATTGTTGCTTTTGCTAAAATCAAACCTCTCCTCCACTTCAACTCGACACAGCGGGCACTCGTGCGTCGGCTTCGCTCTCGCTCTTTTCTCTTCCTCCGACCCTTTCGGCCAATTCATCTCTCTCATCTCTCTCTCCCACTCTTTTTGCCTCCACACGTGCCATCGTTTGAAGCACTCGCGATGGAACGCGTGTTTGCATTTTGTTAACCGAATTATGTTCTTCTTCTTCTTCTCTTCTTCCAATTTTACTTTTAACGGAAACGTGCAAAACGTGCACAAGTTGTCTTCTTCTTCTTCTTCTTCTTTGTTCATCTCTCCTTTTTCTCGTTCTTCGCGTCTGTCTTCTTCTTCTCCTTCTTCTTCTGTGAATGCTTTTTATTATTTCCGTCTTCTTCTCGTCGTCATCATCTCGCAATGAATTTGAATGAGAAGAAGAAGCAAAAGAAGGTGTTTTGCACGAGGGATGGATGGTTTTTTTTTGACGACCCCCCCGACGTTTTTGATTTTTCCTCTCTTCTCTCTCACTCACATTTTTGGTCTTTTCTCAGAACTTTTGACTGAGATAAATATTAAACCTATTTACAGGGCAATTGTGTTTCCTCACAAATTGTCTCTCTCTCGAACACGTACACATATAAACGATATATATATATATATATATATATAACACAGTGCGATTCTCAAGAAGATGTCTACTTCTTGTATTCAAAATTACGCGAAGGGTTCAAGTTTGAGCGGCGCGTCTTCGTCTTCTTCGTTTTCTTCTTCGTCTTCAAAGTCGAAGAAAATTTCGAGCAGAAAAGTTGGCGCCGTCGCGTCGTCGTTCTCGAATGAAGGAGGACGAGGAAGCCTGGCTGCTCGGTATCGCAACAACAACACGTGCGAACGAACGACGAAGGGTTTAACGAGGACGAGGAGAAAGAATGTGAATGTTATCACGAGAGCGCACAACGCGAACGACGCGACCACTACAACGATTACGGGAACCGGAGGTGGTCACCACCTCACCTCCAAAGAGGAGGTATTGAAAGGCCAAACGAAGAGGCCGATTAAAGCCAACACGGGTATTTTGGAAGATTTAGAAGGATACGTCGCCTCGAAAACGAAAAACCGGAACGTGTACGTAGAAACGTACGGGTGTCAAATGAACGTAAACGATAGCGAGGTCATGATGTCGGTGTTGAACGATAACGGGTTCACGGAAACGAAGGACATAAACGACGCGAACGTAATTTTAATCAACACGTGCGCGATAAGAGATAAGGCAGAGGCGAAAATTTGGCAGCGATTGGCGTATTTCAGAAGTCTTGGGAAACCAAAAAAGAAAACGGAACGACCAGTAGTTGGGGTGTTGGGGTGCATGGCGGAACGATTGAAGACGCAGTTGTTGGAGGAGGATCAGTTGGCGGATATAGTCGCCGGACCAGACGCGTACAGAGATTTGCCGAATTTAATCGATACAGTGCATAATACCGGAAATAAATCTATGAACGTTCAGTTATCGGTAGAAGAGACGTACGCCGACGTCATTCCTGTGAGACCGGACGGTACGCACTCGGCGTTTGTGACGATTATGCGGGGGTGCGATAACTGCTGCACGTTTTGCATCGTCCCGTACACGAGAGGCCAAGAACGGTCGAGAGATTTGGCGAGTATTTTATACGAAGTGCGCGTTTTGAGCGAACAAGGGGTGAAAGAGGTGACTTTGCTCGGGCAAAATGTGAACTCTTATTACGTGGATACGAATAAATCGGAGGATTTTTTGAGTTCTTTGAAGGAAGGGAACATCGTCGGGAACAATTCAATCGAAGCGATTTTGAACATTAACAACGCCAGAGAGGAATTGAATATGAAAAATGCTGCTGGATTGGCGGGTGAAGACCCGGCGAAGTTCAATGGGTACGCGGCTGGGTTTGAATCTCGATATGACGCTGGTCGTAAGAGAGAAGGAAAGGTGCAATTCGCAGAACTGCTCGATCGCGTCGCGCAAGTCGATCCGGAAATGCGCATTCGATTCACCTCTCCGCACCCGAAAGATTTCCCGGACGATGTTCTCAACGTCATTCGCGATCGACCAAACGTATGCAAGTGCTTACACATGCCCGCACAAAGTGGCTCTACGGCGACGCTCGTGCGCATGCGAAGAGGCTACTCGCGAGAGGCGTATTTGGATTTAGTCGACCACGTGAAAGAAGTCATTCCAGACTGCGCGATAACGACCGACATCATATCTGGTTTTTGCGGCGAAACCGAGAAGGACCACGAAGATACGGTTTCGCTCATGAACATTGTTGGTTACGAACAGGCGTTCATGTTTGCGTACTCCGAACGAGATGGTACGGCGGCGGCGAGACATTTGGAGGACGACGTCCCGGAAGACGTCAAACAAAACAGATTAGCGGAAGTCATCGAGGCGTTCCGAACGCAGGCGCAAAAGAAGCAAGAGCAAGAAATTGGTTCCGTTCATTGCGTGCTGATTGAGGGACCATCGAAAAAGAACGAAAACGAGTGGACTGGAAAGACAGATTCATCTAAATGGGTCGTTTTTGACAACACGAAAAAATACGGCGGATACAACGGCGGCGACGAGGACGAAGGCGACGCCAAACACGAGTTGAAAGCGGGCGATTACATCGCAGTTCAAGTGACTGGTTGCTCTACCGGAACACTCTTTGGCAAATGCCTAGGGAAAACAACGCTCATGGCGTTCCATGCTATGCATGGTAGTCAACGCGTAGCTCCGAAGAGCACAGCCGCCGCCGGCGCTCGGTGAGTGAATACACCAATGAATTTTTATAGCTGTACTACTCGGTACTTTGTAGATATTAAAACTAGGCTACTTCTTCACACAAATAAATATAATGTTACTCTCTATCTTCTTTAGCTATGCGCTATAAATGCTACTACCACTATTACTACCAGTACAACTGATCATCATCATCATAATCATCAAATCCTTAAAGAAGAGGAAGAAGGAGGAGGAGAAAAGTACATTTCATCTGGATACTTTACGTCGTACAAACACAAACCTTTCGCGGGAGCCGCCATCGGTATGAGCTTTCTATCCTTCTTCTCCATGAACAATTTCAAATCATCTATGGTATATCTTCCTCCAGCCACGGATAAAATGGCACCAACCATATTCCTAACTTGTTTGTATAAAAATCCATTGCCGGTGACGTACAAGTACACTAACGACGACGAAGGATCTTCGTAACGTTCTCCTCCTTCTTCTTCTCCGCCGCCGCGAATGACATCAAAGGAGTAAATCGTTCGTTCCGAGTTTCTTTCCAAATTTTTACCATCTCTAGACCGATTCATAAAAGCCGCGAAATCGTGCGTTCCAACAAATACTTTACACGCTTCCTCTAACAATTTCATGTCGTACTCTCGATACCCGACAGACAACGCCGTCTTCCGATGGAACGGACTGTGCGGTAGCCCAAAATCAATCGTATATCTGTACGTCTTCTCAATCGCGTGAAACCTCGAGTGAAACATCGGGTGCGGCTTGGCAATTTCCATCACTCTCACGTCTTCGTTCAACAACCTGTTGCACGCTCGCATGAAGTTCAACTCGTCTTTCAAAGGTTCTTTCGTGTAGAAATGAAACACTTGTTTCCTCGCGTGCACGCCCGCGTCCGTTCTCCCCGCCGCGCCTAAACACAACAACTCTCTATCGAGACACGTTATTTGCATTAAGCATCTCTCCAGTTCCGATTGAATCGTTATTTTATCCTCGCCTTGCTTTTGAAATCCGAAATAATTCGTCCCGTCGTACGATACGATGCCGCGATAGACGTGGTTTCTCCCGGTTCGTTCGCGATACTCCGCGCTTTGCAACGAGTCTGGATTTTCCAACGAGTTTTTGTAACTCTGATGTCGCCAGTGCATCGGGTCCGTAAAATCGTTTCTTCTCGTAACTTCTCTGTCTTCTCCTTCTTCTTCTTCTTCTTCTTCTTCTTCTTGCAAAAACGTTCCTCCTCTCTTACTCCAATTCGTCGTGCGGGGATTCCTTTTCGTTGTTGTTGACTTCTTCTTCCTCCTAAGCAGGAAAAGAGACGACTTATATGACGACGATTTTTGACGCGTGGTGGTCGACGACCTTAGCATCGAAGAACAAACCAAGCAAGTTCTCCTCGTCGCCGTTATCATTATTGTCTGATGTTGATATTTGTTCCTACTCTGTCCCCTTGCTCACATGCATGAGGAAAAAAATGAAGACATTTTATCCATAAATTTACCTGCTCTCTTCTCTCTTCCCGAGTTTACTACATGCACAGAGAAGAGAATGGCACCAAAGTCATCAAAACCATCAATCGTGTGGCAAGTCTACGTGCACAAACTTCGCGCGTGGGCGCCTCCAATTTCGGTAAAACTGGAGGATTTAGAAAACTCAGAAGAAGGCGCTTCATTTATTCCAGCTCGACCGCATTTGATATTAGTCGTGGATACTTCGACTGGGAAGTTTCTGACCTCGAAAGAAGACGAGAACGGGAAAGGTGAAGATGTGAACATCGTGAGAGGTCCTGAACCGCCCTCGAACGAATACATCGTCGAGTACATCGAGAAGATTCTCAAGAATCCGAAAGTGTTGAACGAGAGAGACGGCGAAGAAGAGGAAGAAAAAGAATCGAAGACAAAGAAGATTGAGAAACCAACGAAAATAGTATTCGCGTGCACAAAAACGGCCACAAATACGGATACGAGCGACGAAGAATCGTGTTCGTACGTTAAAGGAACGCGAAATTTATTGAAGAAGTTAGATATTCAAACCGGATTCGCGTCTGTGCCGAGGGAGATAATAGAAAAAATTATTCGCGAACAGATTGAACCGAACATGAACCCGCCGGCGGAGGAATGGTCGACGGAGCACTTGCCGGGATTGATGGAATCCGTGGATGGGTTTACGCCTAAGTTTGGTTTGAGCTTGTTCGCGGCTGCAATTCAGTATTTGAGCGCAGTGACGCAACACGGAGAGAAGCTCGAGAAGATTAAATTTTTCAACATCGAGTACGGGTTGAGACTCGACGAAAATAACAAAGCCACGCTCAGCTGCTGCGTAACAATTGATCACTCAAACTGTACTTTAACCGTGTATAAAAACGAAGCCGAGGCGAAGAAAATCATAGAAGAGTTGGAGAAAGAAGAAGGCGAAGAAGTTGATATGACGAAAAAATCGTTGCAGAACTGTCTGTTTTTAGGAGAAGAGCTCTCGCCGTTCGAGGATATCGACGCGAAGGAAAAGTACGATTGGCCATGCGCGGCATCTGCTGGAGAGGATACAAGTGGCGAGGAAGTTAAGGAAAGGGATATGTATCCCGTCTTTACGAAAATGGATTTCGAAGAGGATGGTACACTTACCATTCGCCGTCCGCAACTCGTAGAACTCCAAATGTTTGAGGTAGCTTTGAATGCCATATCGGCTTCTCTTTTAAACCCAGATCAAAATAAGATCGGCATCCAGATGACTTCATACGCGATGAAAGGAGAACCGACGGAGGTTAAAGCTTTTATTGAGGCTAGAGATGGTACTGACAGCGGTGGTGTAACTGCGGCGGAAAACATTAGCGAAAAAGTTGGCAAGCTCGATATAGCGTGAAAAGTTTTGAACAATCCATTCGGTGTGTATTCAGATGTACTGGTAGAGTATTTGTGCATCTCTATTGCAATATGTTTCTCTCTCTCTCTCTTTCTTTTTTTCTTGTCTGTTGTTCGTACCCGAAATCGTTGCTATTTCGCTCTTTGCATTGGTACAACGCAACGTTTTCATCCCTTTCGAACTTTTCTTTTCTTCTCTAAGTTTTACTAATGTTTTCGAACTCCTCCAAGACTATCTCAATCACAATCGCCCAAGTCTTCTCTCTTTCTTTTACTACTACAAAATAATAGACTCTCTCCTTCTTCCCTCCATCTATTGCGCGCGCAAACGTTTCAACGAATATCTATTCAAACGCCCATTGGTTTTCCTTGCGAACTTCTTCCTCTTCCTCCGGCGTAAAATCGTTCTTGATGTTGAACGTCTTGCGAATTTCCGCCGGCGTCTTCCCTTTGATCATATTCGCGACGGTTTGGCAGCACAAATCGAGCAAATCCTTGATGTCCAAGTAGTTCGCCGCCAAGATGAGCTCAAACAACGTCGCTTGATCGACTTTCACGTACTCCAAATCGAAGTTCTTTTTATCGTCCTCGGATTTGTCTTTACCGTCTTCGCCCTTCGCGTTGGCGTGGTATTCGCAATACGTGATGACTTTCTGTAAAATCGATTTGGCCACGTTCGGTAACGGGATTTCCTTCTCGCCGTCTGTTTGTGATGATTGGTGTTATCGTTAAATAAGAAAAGGAGGTGAGACATCAGTCAGTCAGTCGTTATTCTTTTTTTTCTTTGTTGTTGTGTGATGTGTAGAAAATTCTCCCGCCAATTTGACATGACTTTTTCAAAAAAAACGAAAAGAAAAGAGAAGAAGAAGAAACAGAAGACGAAAGAAGCGTTTGCAATGCGTACCACTGATGGCGGTTTTCACGGTCTGCGACATGCTGTTTGGACGTAAAAGAAGGGAGAGAATCGGTCAGTACGTCTCGTAAGAGTTGCGTTCTGGGCGGTTGCGCGCGATCAAAGCTGGAAAGCGCTTGAATCGAGAGGGAGAGAAGGAGAGACGGCGATTCCTAGAAGCGCGATCTCGCGCGTTTTTTACGAAAGCAAAGAAATTGAAGAAGACTGCGATGACGTAAAGTAAAACGCACTTGGCGACGTCCGTGGAAACTTCAAATCTCTCTTGCTCCGGAATAGCGGAGATGAGGGTGATCTTATCGTTCGTTGGTCTCGGCATTTTTGATTGATTGATTGATGTGTGTGTGTGTGTGTGTGTGTGTGTGTGTGATACAAACAGCGCGTTTTTTGTAAAGAAAATGACGAGAAGAGTGAACTGATGAACAGACGCGACAAGGAGGGAAAGCAAAAAAAGGCGAAGAAGAGGAGTCAGGAAAGCCAGACTGTGAAGTGTGAAGTGAAGGAAAAATAATAAAATACTCGTTTGTTCTTATTCAATCAATTTCAATTAAAACGCACATAGGTATGTATATAATGTAAAGGCTATGGTATATAGGTTAGACAAATAATGTTGTTGTTGTTGTTGTTGTTGTTCTCTACTCTCAACTTTTTAAAAAGCGATAAGATAAAGAAACCTCTTTTACGCCGAACCTTCTTCGGTTTCCGGAGCCGCCTCTTCCGCAGGAGCAGCTTCGGCTTCCGGAGCCGCCTCTTCCGCGGGAGCAGCGGCTTCAGCAGCAGCGGCTTCAGCAGCAGCGGCAGCGGCTTCCTCCTCCTTAGCTTTGGCTTCCGCGGCCGCCTTCGCCTCGGCTTCCGCTTGGAGTCTCTCCTCCTCGGCCTTCGCCTTTGCCTCGATTTCCGCTTGGACTCTCGCCGCCTCCGCCGCCGCGGCTTCCTTCTCGGCAATCAACGCGTTTTGCTTCACTTGCCATCGGCTCAATCCTTCTTTTTTCGCAACAAATCTACTCTTTAATTTCGCGTTCTTACCAACGCGTTCTCTCAAGTAGTACAACTTGGAGCGTCTTGCGATTGGCTTACCCGCGCCTCTGACCTCTTGGAACGAGCACAACGGCGAGTGAATCGGGAAAATTCTCTCAACCCCGAACCCTTGCAAGGATTTTCGGACCGTAATCGTACTCGCAACGCCCGCTCTGTGAATGCCAATAATCAAACCTTCGTACGGCTGCACTCTGCTCTTGTTCCCTTCCGTGACCGTCACGCCAACCTTCACCGTCATTCCTACTCGAAAAGGAATCAAATCATCCTTCATCTGCGGCGAGTTCACCCGCTCGACGAATTGATATAAACCTTTCTTCGTCCCGCTCCCGCTGGCGGAAATGCTAAACGTCGCGACTGAGTCTCTAGATTTGTTCAATGACAAACTGTTCGCGTAAAAAACCTTCGAGTTTCCGTTTGCATGCTTCGCGGATAAGCTCGCAGCGCGCGGCGTCGTCGTCGTCGTCGTCGATTTTGAGGTTCCCGTCGCCGACGAAATTCTCACGTTCGCCATCATCATCGATAACGTTTGAGAAGACATGTTGAGATGTTCTCACTTAAATATATTCACGTCGAATTGAACGAACAATGAAGTGTGCGATATAAATGAATTCTTTTCGATGGGACGCGCAGGTCGCGAACAGCTCAAAGAAGTGACGTTGAATTCGCGACGGTTTTGCGTTTTATCCTTTTGGCCGGCGAAAAAAGAGGTTTTTGCCCTCTCTCTCGCAAAAAGGCTCCCTCAAACCAAAAAAAAATGAATGCCTTCTTTTTTGCGTCGTCCTCTCCAAACAACAGCCCCTCTGCTCTTTCTTTTCTTTTCTTTTCTTTTTTAGAGAAAAGACGACACAAAAAATTAAAATTATGTTTGCCGCCGCGAACAACAACAACATCACGATGATGTTGCCGCTGAGAGGCGGAGGAGGAGGAGCGAGAGGGAAACAAAAGAGAAGAGTGGGAGTCGTTCTTCGGGGTCGCACTTTTGCTGCTGCCGCTTTTGCCGCCGCGGAAGAGAAGAGACGACCTTCTCGGTATTCTTCTTCTTCTTCTTCTTCTTCTTCTTCTTCTTCTTCTTCTTCTTCTTCTTCTTCTTCTTCTTCTTCGAGCGACACTAATGAGAATTACGCCGACGATGATTTTACTAACGAACGAGGCGGCGGAGGAAAAAAGAAGAACAGACGACCCCGAGGATGGGATACCGCGGATAAAGCGTACGCAAAATTCGGAACGAAGAAAAGAGAAGAGAATTACGACGACGATGAGAGCGCGAGCTACAACAACAACAACAGAGGTAGACAACAACAACTACAACAACAAGAAAGAGCGGTGCCTTTGGACGAATTGGAGCGAAAGCAAATCGCTTTGGAGAGACAAAAACTGCGAGGAGGAAGAAAATACGCCGACGACTTTGAGGAGTACGAAAACACCGAAGAGGACGACGTGGACGATTTAGCCGGATGGTCTCGATTTGCCAACGAGAGTGGGATCAAGGAAGGAGTTTCGTCGAGCAGCAGCAGCAGCAGCAGCAGCAGCAGCAGCAGCAGAGTTAAAAAGGTTATATCGTCGTCTTCTCCGCCAAAAGTCGCGGTCCAATCCAAGTATAAAAGAGGAGGCTTACGGCCGTGGGAGACGCAAAGAATGGAAAGAGAGAAGAAAAAGGAAGCCGAGCAGCAGCGGCGAGAACCACAGAGAAGAGACTCTTATTACAACCACAATGACGATGATGATGATGATAGTAATGAAAAACAATTATCGGACAACGCGTTTGTCAACGCCGGTTTAGAAGCCATCACGGCGGAAAATTTAAACAAAGCTGGCTTGAAAAGACCAACAGAGATTCAAAAGTTAGCTACGCCAGAACTCATTGAAGGAAACTCTGCGGTGATATTAGCCGAAACTGGTTCTGGGAAGACGTTCGCGTATACTTTACCGCTCATGTCCCAGGTGGCGGCGCCGGGAAGGGAGGCACGAAAGTTAGCGGAAGATGTTGTCCGGCGATGGTCATTCTCGTCCCAAACGTCGAGTTGGCGAGGCAAGTCTCAAAAATGGCCGAATTATGTTCAATTTGGTGTCAACGAACTGATTTAGAGTTACCGGCGCCGACGGTGTTTTCCATTTTCGGTAAGGAGAAGAAATTGTTGAAACCGACGAGTTTGAAACAACGGAAAAACACAAATAATCGAAATCGAAAATACGTCGCGAGTAAATCTTCGACGACGACGAAAGCTGGAAAGAAAGGGAACAAAATCATTGGCGATTTAGAAGAAGCCATACCAGAATTTCGACGAGCAGACGTTTTGATATGCACGCCAGCTCGCTTATTAGCTTTGGCGAAAGACGAGTGGGTGTTGTTTGGTCGTCTCAAACATTTCGTCGTGGACGAGTGCGACGAGATGCTCTCTAGAGGATTCGCGGACGATGTTAAACATTTAATCGATTTAACGTACGGAGAGAACGCGGATGGTGTCAATAAGTTTGGCGCGAAAGTGCAATACGTGTTTGCAGCCGCGACTTTGAAAGATTCCGAACCGATTTTCGAATCGTTTCAAGGCGATCTGTCTTGGATTTCCACCGGGTATTTCGGAAAGTTGCACCCGCAACTGGAACAAGAGGTTGTAATGATAGAAAGAGAAGAAGAAGAAGAAGAAGAAGAAGAAGAAGAAAAAGAAACAGAGAGTCATGAGAATGAGGATGAGAATGATAATGATGATGATATGGAGAAGGCGCAGCAACGGAAAAGAAGAGAAAATAGTATACGAACGAGGAAAAACAAAGCGTTGGTGGAAGCGTTGCGAAAGCGGAAAGAGTACAAGTCGTTGGTCTTTGCAAACTCGCCGGTAGAGGCGGACGAAATCGTCGAATACTTGAATACTAATACCGATATAAACGGAGAAGAAAACAACAGCAGTGGAATGTATTCTATGGCGTTTCACGGGAAAGCGAAGGAGAGAGGCGTGGTGTTGGACGATTTCATCTCTGGAGAGTTAAAAGTGTGCGTCTGTACAGATTTAGCGGCTCGAGGCATTGACTTCCCGGAGCTCCATCACGTGGTGCATTACTCTTTAGCCGATTCTGCGGCTATGCACATACACAGAACGGGAAGAACTGCCAGAGCTGGTCAGCCTGGACCGTATTATTGCACGGTATTGTACGACAAAGAGGAAATTGTTGTTGAGGATATTGGAGACGACTTGAAAGAGTTGCTCGAATTGACAAAATCAAAGTCATCGCCTCGCAAGCAATATCAACGCGGTGGCAACAACACCATTTAACAACTTCTAGCATTGTAATAGTAATAAGAAACGAGCGCAGAGCAAAAAAAGATCTATAAGCACGACGCTCTAACCAAGCTGAGCTAAAAGGGCGTTCTATGAATATGCCCCATACGGGTCTCGATCCCGTGGCCTTCGCGTTTCTAAAACTCTCTCATTTGAAAGAGGCGAATAAAGTGTGCAAAGAGCTCTTTTTATCAGAGCAATTTATGTGAGTGACTAGCTAGCTTAGGGTTTAAGAATAAAATTATAAACTTGTTTAAATAAATCAAACCTTAAACGGTCAAAGGAAATGAATTCTGGTGTTCTCCTTTTTATATATCTTCTTCTTCTTCTTCTTCAGAGAGAGAGAAGATTCACCACCACCACCACTCGGTACTACTACACGCATCATATAAGTTAGATTTTTTAATCACTACTACGAGTAGTAGTGGTGGTTACTTGTGCGTTTTGTGAAAAGAAAAATGGTGTACCATTCCGCGTTCACGGAATTGCCCGATTCCATCCACGCGTCCTGCGGTGTCCCTTTACTTCCTTTGCGAACGCAAACGAGAGGTCCGGCGCCGAAGACGACCGATTTTGACATCGTCGACGAGGCTATTCAGTATTTCCGACCGAACGTTTTGTTCCGGAAATACGCCATTCAATCCGACGCGGACAAGTTGTTGATTTATTTGACTCTCTACATCTCCCAATGCTTGAAGAGACTTCACCAAAACCAAAACCAAGCGTCGTCGTCGTCCTCCTCGCAACAAGGTACGAATAATAATAGTAAGAAAAATCTGATGACAGAAGGGGCGAAGCTTCTCTTCGCGTTAGCGCACGACCACTTTGACATCACGACTGGGTTAGGAGGGATTATTGATGGCCCGAAAACGTTTCAAGAAGGTGAAACGTTGAAGTCGTATCTCGCGCAGTGTCGCGAAGAAATCGGTTTGCGCCTGGTTGACCACTTATACGTCGACGAAGGCACGAAAATGAACAAGTTTTGGATGGCGTTCGCGAGGAAGAAGTTCATGAACAAAGAGTTACCAGAATATTGATGATTAGCATTTGAGGTAGTGTATCATAGATTTACGTAGATAGAGATTGTAAGCGGCTGTATTTTATTTTTGAAAACGATTTATTATTTTCACTATCATCTTTTCGTCGTCCTCGTTTACTTATCATATCATCAAGTCGAAGGATTGGAGTTATCGCTATCTTGCTGCATAGCTATATCCATCGCTAACGCCTCTTCTTCTCGAATCATGCGTATACTTTCTAGTCGTTGTTTTAAGCGGTTTTGTTTTTCTTCTAAAATTTCCTTTGGCATTTGCTCGGGAGGTTGCATGTTCATGCTCGAGGTGAGCGAGCCTCCGCCATCGGTAAAACCCGTCGAGTTCGTCTCGCTCGTCATAATTGAACTAATATCGTTATTATTATTGTTATCGTTGTTGTTATTATTATTGTGATGATGATGGTGATGATGATGGTGTTTTTGTCGAATCCACGGGTGTTGCAAAGCTTGCGTAGCAGTCATTCTATTCATCACGTCCACCGTGAGCAACTGTCGAACGCAATCCTTCGCACCTTCCGAGATGTATCTCCAAATTCGGTCGTCCATGCAATACACGCCTTCTTTGATATTTTTAAACAGCTGCTCTTCGTCGTCGTGATCGAACGGTGAATAGCCACTCAATAAAATAAACAAAATGACGCCGACGGACCACATGTCCACCGCCGGCGTATACGCCGTGTCCGATAAGTTCATGTCTAAAATTTCAGGCGCGACGTACAAAGGCGAACCACAAATTGTTCTCATCTCGCTTCCGACTTGCGGTAATCTAGATAATCCAAAATCAATCAATTTCACCGTCGCTTTGGGAGATCGATCGGACATCAAAATATTTTCTAACTTGATGTCTCGGTGAACGACTTTCTTCGAGTGTAGATACTCAACCGCTTTTAAAATCTGAACGATGATCCGTCTCGCGTCCGCCTCGGAATAACTACCTTCCTCGGTTATTCTCTCCAGCAATTCCCCTCCGTGAACTACTTCAGTCACCATGAAGACGTTCTTCTCCGTCACGTACGTGCACCGTAAGTTGATGATATTTTCGTGATAGAGCGTCGACAACACTTGAAACTCTCTCTCGTAACTCTTATCCGTCGGGGCGTACTTTTGCCGGTCCACGATCTTGATCGCGACTTCTACTCCGGTATCTTTCTCGATCGCACGCATGACGGTTGCGAAACCTGTTTATGTCGTCGTGAGAGGAGGAAAAAAAAATTGTTGTCGTCGTCAGTTTTTTTTGGTGAGAAAAGAAAGAGAGTTCGACCCAAAACCAAGCAATTGAAAAAGAGGAAGAAAAAAGGAAACGTTTCCTCCTTCCTGTACGGAATCCGTTTTTATTGATGTTGTTGTTGTTTGTTTACTCTCGCGAAGTCGTACCTCCGGTTCCAATCTTCTCCTTGAAATCGTATTTGGAGAGAATCTCGGAGACATCTTGAATGGGGACAATCGCCCGTGGGAAATTCCCTCCTTGTCCTCCTCCTCCTCCTCCAAACGCGTTGTTGTTGTTGTTCGTGTTGTTGTTAATGTTGTGTGTGTGCGCTTCTCCTCCTCGATTTTCTGTACTCATGATGTCGAATTCTCCCCGTTATTATGTATACATAAACCACCACCACGACCGCTGATGATGAATAATACGAGTCAGAGAAGAGGAGACGATCCTTCGCCGCAATTTTAAAGTCGTCGCCGTGCAAACAAACGAACAACGCGAAAGAAGCTTTTTAATAAATATATAACGTAAGTCTGTGAAGAAAAATTGATTGTTCCAAGAAAGAAAACACGTCGGTAGTCTCTCGTCTCAAAACCCAAAGCTGCTTCTTTCTCTGCTTGATATTTTTCGTCTCAAAAAATTTTTTACCAAAAGGGGCTGCTCACTTTTTTTTTGTCCTCCTCTTTTGGGTGAGCTGCTGCAAAAGCTGCTCTCGCTCTGCTGACGACTTGAGCACACGACGACGCAAAACAGAGAAGACAAAGGAGAGTTTAAGAAATGATCGCATTCATCCTCGGGTGGCTCTCTTTATTCGTCTTCCTCGGCGCCGGGTTAGGGATGAACATGTACATCTTAGTCTGCTTGACTGATTTACAAAACGACTTCATGAACCCTCACGATACGGCGAATCGAATTAACAAATTGGTGAAACCGGAAGTTTTGTTCCACTTAGTGGTGGTTATTATCACGTCTGCGATGAGACGATTTGGATTGTGCGCGATGCACTTACCCGTTCTGTTGTATTCTTTGAAGTTATATAGCAAGAAGGAGATTTACGTGGACGTGACGGAGATATTCAACGTGTTAGATCGAGAGAAGAAAATTCGAGGGTGGAAAGTTGTTTTCTTTTCCGTCGTTTTTATAATAACGACGTATCGATTAGTGGAAGAGGTAGTGCACACGATGATGACGGATTCGGGGAGGAAGATTGCGGCGCAAGTTTTGCGAGACGCCGCGAGTTCGAATTTATATCACCTTTAGATTTTAACCCAAAGAGAGAGCGAAAGCGCTTTTCTCGCGCGTCCTCTCTGTCGTCTTTGTCCGATAATACTAGTAGAGACCTTATTAGCGCAGAAAGATATAATACCAATAATAATAATTTTAGTAGCGAATAATAATAATATATATTTAAAACACTTGCTTGCATTCATTTCCTATGCGATGACTCTTTCTCTCTCTTTGACTAACCGGACTTTGAAGTTGGATCGCTTCGCGTTTTAATCAAACCGTAAATCGACGAAAACACTAAAAATCCGCCGACGAAAGGAGTAAACGCCGGGTAGAGCGTATCCGTGATGAACGAATCGACGCTGTCTGGCCAGATTTTAAACGCCGATAACGCGAGAACAACACCAAAAGCAAAGATAATTGCTATGTAAAACCCAAGAAATTTCAAGAAAGCTTCCTCGGACTCCTCAACGACGGTTCTTTCCGACTCGCCTTTCGCCGCCGCGATGGCCGGCGAGTCCACCGCAACCGTCGCGCGTCTCGTAGATTTCCCGTCGCGTCGCCTTCTCTTCTTCGATTTGGAACCAAATTCGAACGGGTCGTCGCTCGAAGCATCCACTGATGATGATGATGATGATGAGTCGTCCTCGTTCGCTTTCGTAATAGTCGCGTTTCTTCTTTGTTGTTGTTGTTGTTCTTTCACCGTTTTGTTGTTGCTTTCGTTTTTCTTCATCATCGTCGTCGTCGTCAAAGTCGTCTTCGTTTGTACACCACAACGAGCACTGCTCCTCGCGATGCTCCAAGAAGAACGACGCGAAGAAGGTGATGTAAACGTAGCCATCGCGTTTGTCGATCGTTGTTTTGTGGGCTTTCTGATGTTGTTGTTGTTCGCTTTAGGAGTTGTTTTACGAGTTCTCAACATCGACGACGTCGTAGGAGATACGCTCCTTGTTGCTGACATCATCATTTTTCTGCTTTCTCAAAAGCTTTTATTATGCGTCTTATTCCTTTTCCTTTTACTCCTCCTCTTCTTCAAAATCGCTTCGAGACGACGAGGATGCTTTCTCTTTTGCGAGTTTTTCTTTCTCTCTTCTTTCGATGGATGATGTGTGTATATATAGTATTATACCCACACTCACAGAGAACGCGATGAAGCGTTTGATATGAAGAAGAGAGTCTGTGGTGTTGTTGTTGTTGTTTTCCTTCCTTTTTCTTTGAAAACAGAGAAGGAAAGCAGCTTTTGTGTTGAAAGGAGTTCTCGTTTTGAGCAGAAGACCCAAAGAAGAAAAACTTCTTTTTCCTAAAAAGAGCTCTCGTTTTAAAAAAAAACTGACATTCTCATTTCCAATTCACGTCTCACCACAAACGCGCGCACGGACTGCATAAAAAGAAACTTTACGGAGAAAGAACTGTTCAAACGTTGACAGGAAAGATATAGGGACCGTTTGCGCCCGGTTTGAATCCAGATCTACCCGTTGAATACTACTTAAAATCCATCAGTCGGTTGGTGTGTATTTTTCTGTTTTTCTTTGAGAACCGTACTTTATCTCGTCCTGGTATTTCAACAACTTCAAAGACGCGCAGAGAGGAGCGCAATAATACGAATACGAATACTAAATAATGATGGGCGAAAACGAAGAAAAAGAGATCGAGAGAAGAGAGGAGACGGTGGAAAAGAACGAACAAAAGTCTCCCCCGTCCTCGCCGGCGCAACCTTCGAAGGAGGATGAGCCAAGAACGCCTTCACCTTCTCAGAACGACGATGCGGAAAACGAGGAGGAAAAAAAGAGCACGGAAGAGAAGCAAAAAGAGGAGGAGGAAAAAAAAGAGAAGAGAAAACAACAGTGCGAACAACTCTACCAATGGCTCTCGAGAATGGCCACGAAACCAGGGAGAATGCTCGTCAATAAAGACGCAATCATCGACGACCAGGTGAAAATGCAAGAGGAGGAACTGGAAAGGAGAAACCGGGCGATGTGTTTGCGGTTCAAGTTGGTCACCGCGGAAGGCGAAGCGCATCAACCGCGAAGAGGCGCGAGAGGGAAGGAGAAGGCGTTTCGAGCGGCTGGTTTGCACGATTTTACGTTAGTAGAGGAGTCGGAGAAGATGTTTTCGTCGCCGATGACGAGAGTGTGGCAACCGGTGAAACCGGCGATTATACGGGTTGGAGACGAGTATCAAGCGCAGGTGCCAGAATTCGACGAAGAGGTGAAAAAAGCCATCGTGGACGACTTGGAACATTTTACGGAGAAGGAGACGCAGATGCTTGGCGTCCGGTTTTGGCCACTGAATAATAACGACCAGAATAATAATAATAATACGAACACCAATACGAACTCGCCGACGAGGAAAAGCACGCGAAAGCGTTCGAAGAGTCGCGAACCCGCTGAGGAGGAAGAGGAAAAAGCGGCCAAGCGCTTGGCGCCGAGCGAAAATAATACTAACAACGGCGAGCAAGCAAAGAACATAGAAGTTGTAGGAGTAGCAGGAGCAGCAGCGGTAGTAACAACAGCGAAAGCTGAATTAGATAGTAACAACGCACCGGCGGTAGGAGCGGTAGTAGTAAAAACGGAAACTCAAGGAGAAGAAGTCAAAGACCCAGACTTGGTTGCGTATATCAACGCTCAAGGACAAGAAGAGATTATCCGAATCGTCCGCGTTCCTCTCGAAGATATCGCCGAAGCGCGCGCTAAATTCAAACGCGAAGTTGGAGATTCTTTACACGTTCAAACGTCGTTCGGTTTACACGACATGGGTGTCGTTGTTGCCAACGCATGGAGCGAAGAAGAGCGCGATATTTTCACCCAACATGTGACGAAAAATTGCGACAATTTGCGTCCAATGAAGCCTTTGTTACCGAACAAAACCATGTCCCAAATCGTTTCGTATTATTACAACGTCTGGCAAACTACGCGAGCGAATCCGAGACGGGTCGATATCTGGCATCCGCCAGAGGAGAAGCGTTCGCACAAGCGCGAACGCGAACGGGCTTTGGCGAAAGCCTTAGCGGCTGAAAAGCGTCTCCGCAAACAGCAACAAAAGAAAGAGCGAAAGTTAGCTGTAGCGCCTGAAATCATCCTGAAACAGAGATGTAAGAAAGAGGTGGCGCAAATGGTCGAATGGATACGCTCTTCTTGCGCGACAAACCCGAGACACGCGGCGTATAACGCCAATCGTGCCGAGACGGTGACGAAACTACGTCAGCACATGATGGAGCGCGTTCACAGTTTACGTTTGTACTCGCAAAACGATAAGGACATCTTCGACGACTACAAGCAGTACTTTTTCCAAAGAATGACCAGCGTGAAGTTATGAAACGCGGCGAGAAGGAAAACTACATCGTATGTTTTGGGTTGTTTGTAATAATGCAGTAACATAGTATTCATCATCAACCAGTAATAAAAAAGATCTCCTCCAGACTATACCCTAATTTTCGAGTTTTGGCATTTTTGGCACGTTTCTGGATCTCGTCTTATTAGAAAACGTCATTCTCTCTCTTTAACGTTCGTTCTTAAACAACTCGTAAAAGAGGAAATCACCCAAACTAACCGCAAAGCGGATTCGTCGTTTGCCACCGTCTTTTTCAGTTGTCAGTTCGTAACAAGTCTTGTTTTAAGAGACTTTATTTACTTCAGAAAGAGAAGACTTTGAAGAAAATTCATCTTCTTTCCTTCCTCTATTTGAATTCGTCGACGAGACGTTTGAAATGACGGCTTCGATTTTCGTCGGAGGTAAACCCATCGATGGGAAGTTGATTTTAAGCGACGATTGGCGCAAGGTATGTCGAAATTATTACGTTCTCTTTCTCTGTCTGTTCGAGTTCGATTCGTTCGAGTTGCCGTTTCGTCTGTCTGGAGTGATTCGTTCGCTCGTTGTCGGCTTCGGCTTTCCCTAATTTTTGCCCTTAGACGACGAAAACGTCCTCTCGCCTTCTTTCCCGCCGACTTTTTCTTTCATTAAATATAATACTAACATGATGTCACTCGTAATAAAACAGGCTGGAGAAAAACGCCGACGGCCCGAGGAAGACTATGAAGCGAACGACACCAACCAAGATCCGAAAACGCCCCGACATTATGCGGCCGCGGTGTATACCATCGTCAACGGAGAGAAAAAAAGAGTCAAATGAGATGAGATTAGTTTTATTCATCTCTCTCTTTCTTCGAAAACTATATAATAATAAAGAAACAAACAAAAAAATGATACGAGTAGAATACGTTTAGAAGAGAGGAGCGGAGACGTACACGAGCTAATACAACGTGCACACTCTCCCTCACTCTCTCGTTGTAACTATAATGATAATATAATAATATAACTAGAAATCTATAAACGTACAACAACGTCGGGGGTGTCATATTTTCGAAACCCATAAATCCAAAATTTTCTTCGTGCCGTACCACGGTCTCTCTTCGTTATTCGACCCAACTGGCGTATGAAAGACCCCGTCCAAAACTATATTTTCCACGCCTTCTAATTGCAGCTGCGCTGATTCTACCGGAGTAATTCCATCGCCACTCGCATCCGCTGCGCCGCAGACTTGTTTGTAGCCTTGCCCGACGATAAAATCAGAAAACCGTTCGCGAGAGAACTCTTTTACTCCCGTTTTATACGTTCCAGCTAAGCAAATCCATTCGATGCCTAAGGCTTTTGGCGATAAACAATTCGCTTCGACGTAGGTTAATATGCCTCTGGTTTGGTCGACCACACCGGGCACGTCTAAAGGTACCGCGTTTAGCGGACTTCCGAGAGAAATTATCTTCGATACAAGCTTTGCGTTCGCAAAGTCTTCTTTCGACTCCAAATATACTCGGGACAACCACCCACCGGCTGAATGGGCGAGCAAAACAACCTCCCCGTTATTCTCGCTCGCGTTTCTTGCCTCGTCGATGGCATCGTTGATTCTCTCTAAATACCAATCGACAGTCGGCCTAGGCTCCAAAGTTCCGAGCCAGTAGGATGGCTTGACAATGCCGGCCGCGTTTCTCAACCAATCCGGTCGCGCGACTTGAGCGATAGACGTGGCCACATAGCCTCGAGAGGATAACTCTTCCTTAAACTCTTCGTAATCTTCGGTGGCGTTCCCTAAACCAGGTAGTATGACCACGGCTGGCTTGTCGTTTGATGATGCCGACGTGAACAACGCGCTTGTTTTTCTTCTTCTTCTTCTTCGGGAAGATGACGACAACGACGATATCTTTCCAGTCGTCTTCAACGAAGAAGAAGAAGAAGAAGAAGAAGAAGAAGAGGTTTTCTGCGACGAAGCGATTCTCATCGTCGCGATGAGACTCTGGTGTGGCATTTTGGCGAATAAGTAATACGTGTTGTTCCGCGCGCGTGCGGTGATGTGTTTCTTATAGTGAGGAACGAGTAAGTAATCTTTTTCAGACGAAAAGTGCTGCTGCTCCATCAACTTAATAGCGTGTGCAAACATTTGTGACTTGGAATCATCAATCTGTGTAAACTAGTACTTCTTAAACTAAAATCCTATCATTATATCGACTATATTATTACTAACAGTGCGTATCTTTACAACCGAAGCTTTCTTGGTAACTCTTGAACTTAATCGAGGAAGTTGTCCACGCGCCTCCGTGGAGCTTGGCGTCGTGTTTACTCTCTCCCGTTTTCTCTTTCGCGTGTTTACCTAAACACTCGTTGAATTCCCAATACGCTTCTAAACCGGTTTCCATCCCAGATAAAGAAAGCAGCATGGATTCTCGAATGTCCAATTGGCTACGACTGACCCTCCATATTCGCACGTCGTCTAAAATACCGTCGTAAAAATCAATCGGTTCGCCTTTTTCCAACATCGCTCCGATTAAAACCGGTGTTTCCGGGTTTTGATCTTGCCCAGCTTCTTTTTGGGAAGACGCTAAGGTTCCGTTAATATAAATAGAGGACACGCCGTTCCCGTAGGAACACGCTATGTGCGTGAACGCGTGTAAAGGAATCGTGCCGGCTTTTTGTCCCCACGGCGCAACCTCTCGATGGAAAAACACCTCCATCTCGTCGCTTTCACCTATTCTTTGCAACTGCACGAAATATTGACCCCACTTCCCTCGATCGTACTTGGAGACTAAAACAGCTTTCTCCGACGCTCTTTTCGGCTTCACCCACAATTCAATCGTAAACGGCGCGGTGCCACCGAATTGCAAATCACCCGACTCTAAAATTTCTAAATAATCTCGTTTCTTTCTGTCCAAATGTAACGCGCAGCCTCTATTGGACAAACCGGTTCTCCCGCCTTCGCCGCCGTTATTGCCGCTCTTCCTCGACTGAATCGTTCTCGTGGCTTCTGATAGCGCCGCTTTCAACAGTTTTTTATCGTCGCCTCCGCCTTCGGAATTCGTGTGCGAAAACTTTCGTATAAACTCGCCGTACTCGTTCCTCGTCACGATACCGTCGTTGTTCAAGTCAAAGAAAGGAGATAAAGCTCTGGCCCGTCCTCGATTTAAGTTCAATCGTCGATCTTCTAAATACTCAAGAAACAAACCAACTGCGAATTGCTCTTTCGGCACTTCGTCTCGATTGAAATGTTTGTCCCACACGGAATAGGAGTCTCGCTTTTGCAACGCTTCTTTGCTCAACGTTTTCAAGTCTTCGTCTGAGAAAATGCCCAACGCGCGGAACAAGCGTCGTCGGGAATCTCTCGCGCCCAAGATGAAGTAATAGCCGAAGAAGAGAAACGCGTACGAGAGAAGTGTTTTCGGGTGCATGCCGCCGCGTCCTCCTCCTCCTCCGTGAGGAGAACGTTGATGATATTTCGGGGAGGAAGACTTGGAAGGAACAAAGGTTGGCAACATCTTTCTTTCTTCTTCAAAACACTCTCTGTCGTCTCTCTCTGTCGTTTGCTTTTCTCTTCTTCTTTGTCTTCTTTGTTCCTCCTCCTCTCTCTTTATGCGTTCTCGACGTGCATCGGTGCGACGACGCGCGTGCTCTCACAAACAAACTCGCGTTGAAGAGAGAGAAGTTTCTACTTTTATGAAGATGCGCAGTTTTGAACTGTGGAGAAGAGTGCAAACGAACAAAAAAATCTAAAAATCGTCTTCAGCTCCTTACTTACTTACCTCTTTAGCCTCTTTATAACTATGTATGTATCGTTGGTCTCGTTCATTACAATCACATTTATCTAAGCAGCCGTCACGACGGATTTACGACGAACAAAACTAAACATGTCGTCACCAACGCTCACGGCTAAACCGATACCGACTCCGAGACCGTTCGCGTCGCTTCGACCTTCGTAGTATAATCGCAACTTGTTCTCCGCCATGGGGACGACGTACGGTCGTCCAACTCCACCTTCGTCCCAGGCACCGTCTTCACCGAAAACGAGCGCAGGGGTTGAAGCGCGTTCCCATTTAATGCCGTCTTGCGATTTCGCGACGCAAATGGTGGATTTCCCCGGGTGTTTTGAACTCAACGCTTCGTAAAACATGACGTATTCGTTTCTTCCAATTCTGGCCACGCACGGCGATTTGACGCCTAAATCATCGATGGAACCTTCTGGCCCGGCGTCTAATATAAATCCGCTGGAATTCTTTTGCCATTGAAACCCGTCCTTGGAAGTGGCGACGCCAATTCTGGAAACGTCTGTCGTTTTGTCGATTGAGTGATAAAACAATCGCATATCTTTCGGTCCCGCTAATAAAAGCTTCGGGTCTCGGATGCACAGCTCGTCCCATTCGCCTTCACTTCCGACGTCTAACACTGCGTGCGTGTGGTGTTCACCCTCTATTCTCGCCCAGTTTCTCCCGTCTTGCGAGAGACACAAGCCCGGTCTCGTGCGCACGCCTTCGACGCCGTCGACTTCCTCTTTATCGCCGCCTTGGTAATACATCCAATAAATACCGCCACCGGCTCCACCGGAGACGTTGCCAGAAGAAATCATATGCACGTCTCCAACGGAAACGTGAGCGGTATCAAAAACCCACCAGTCTTCGTTGTTGGGATATAAAACTGCGCCTACGTCCACGGAGAGATTTTCGAAAGCCTCCGCGTCGCCGCCGGTTCTGTACGTTTCCGTCGGCGACCCGCCTCGTCTCCACACGATGCCGTCTTCGGAAACGGCGATACCAATCTCCCCGGATGTCAAAGATTTGTCGTGGTCAAACGTTGCCGCTGTTATTTTGTCTCCTACATTTTCCTCGCTATTATTCCCGCTCGTGCCTACTTCTCGTCTCCCCGTGTACCACATCACCCACCGTTCGGTGTCGTCATCGCTTTGGAAATATTTCACGATTGGAGACCCGATGGCGATGGAATCAAACGCGTTCAATTCTCCTTTACCGCGCTGTAAAATTAATCCATCTCCTTCACCCGTGGCCTCTGCCGACGTTGCCACCACCACTGTCGCTCTTCTTCGATTGTGTCTTCGATGATGATGATGATGACGATGATGATTGCTTTTCGTCGTTAAAGAGATATTCTTATTTTTGTTGTTACCACTGCTACATTCGTTCTTCTTCCAGCAAAAAGAAGAAGAAGAAGACGAAGAAGGGTTAGCCGTGGACTTCGTAAAAGTCGCGCACAGAGACGAAGAAGACGTCGAAGAGGATGCCATCATCTTAACTCAGTGAAGACAAAATGAAGATTAGTGAATAAAAAGGAGTTTGATGCATATCTCTTTTTCTCTCTCTCTGTGCACAAAAAATCTCTCCTTTTTTTGTCTGTCAGTGCGTCTCAAATTTTGCCGAAAAAGTTCCGAAAAAAACAAATACGAATTTTGTATCTGTATCTAAAACGCATTTTTTTCTCATATCCTCTTCACTTTCTCGCGCGCGCATTTGCGCGCATTTGCGCGCGCATATAATATCACTTTTTTTTTGCGTGCGCGCGCGCACGCGCGCGAGAAAGTCACACGCATTGCTATCATCGATAAATCTCTATCGATGATAGTGGGTGGAAGGGTGGGAGCTCTTTTCTTCATCGTTTGCTTTCTTTCTGTTTTAGAGATACAAATCGAGCGTTTTTGTATCTCTCTATCGCATGGCAGATGAATGAATGAAAAGAGCTGGGAAAGAACGGACAAAGGGGGTTCGAGTACGGAGAGTTTTGACTTGCGCGGGCGAGTTTCTCTCCTTTTTTGTGTTCTTTTCTTTGTCGTCGTGTTATTGCATATCTTCTCTCTTCTTCATCGAAGAAGAAGTCAACGACGACACATGGAGGAAAGAGCATTTTTTGGGAAAGAATTCCAGCCTTTCATTTTTTTGAAACGGGATTTGAGTACCGTTGGGGGAGTTTTGTATCGATTAAAATCGAGAGTTCTCTCCTTTTTTTTTTTGGATTGCAGAAACATGTGAGACAATACGACGTCTCTCGAGCATCCATTTGCGATGCTCAGCCTATCATGACACTCGGCTCTCATGAGATCGATCGAAGAAACTTTGATAGGTGAAGTACGTTGATTTTTGATTGAAATATAATAACGTTTAATTTGCGCGGCGCTGACTTGTAGCGATCGCGGTGACCGACCTTTGAAAAAAGGGGAGTTGTCCGAAGCATGCTCATGTAACGACTATTGAAATATTTTCGGCAGAAATGAATCTGGGAGCCCGTGGTGGTCTTCTATCCAGAGTAGTCTCGTGCAATGAGATGGAAACGGAGGAGATGGAGAGGACGTAAAGCTTGTGCGACGGTGTGTTTCTGTTCAAACACCACAGGAAATATTTAGGATGGGGAGTTATAGTTGAGTTGTAATACTAGTTGTCTGTCTGCACGTGTTTTTTTGCTCTCCTCTTCCCCTCATTTGTAGTACGCACACACTTTTGTACTCTCTCTCTCTCTCTCTCTCTCTTCTTTAAATAAAAAAGATGACCTCCATGTCCTCCATGGGGTCGCAGAGCAACAAAGATCGATCGAAGACGGCGTCATCTGCGACAGTCACGAGATTGTTTCAGAAATCTTTGAGAGACTTGATCACGGGTGCGTCGTTTTTATCTCGTGTCGTAAAATTGAATTCTCTTTTGCCCGCGTCTGCTGCGGCTCCCAAAATTAAATTGAATTGCGCAAAACGACGATCCTTCTTCTCCTTCTTATGTGTTTTGTCGAGACCCAATGGCATCATCACACTCGCTCAAACTTTCTACGATCGAGAACATCAAAGCGTTATTATTAATCCTTTTTTCTCTTCTATTCATCAAACAGGCATTCGAAGTCACAAAGACAATCAAAAGGATTTCATGAACAAGTCTTTGCAAGACATTCGCGCCGAAGTGGTCTCGTCGGACATTCGAACGAAATCAATCGCTATTGAAAAGGCGACGTATTTGCACTCTTTAGGATTTAACATGAACTGGGCGTCGTTTCACGTCGTCGAGTTAATGTCCACGGCGAACGTGAAATATAAAAGAGTCGGGTATTTAGCCGCCTGTCAATCTTTCGGGGACGATACCGATGTCGTGTTGTTAATTCCCAATTTGTTGAAGAAGGATCTGGCGAGTCCGAATCCGGCGGAGGCGGCGTTGGCGATTTCGTGCTTGGCGAATATTGTCACGCCAGAATTGTCGCAAACGTTAGTCGCAGATGTGTATTCGTTATTGAACAACCACAAACCGGATTTACGACGCCGAGCGTGCTTGTGTCTCTACAAGTGCTTCTTGCGATACCCGGAAGCTTTGAGACCGTCCTTCGCGAGACTGACAGAATGTTTAGAAGATGACGATCAAACTGTCGTCCAAGCCGCGGTGACGGTATTATCAGAACTTGCCATGCACAACCCGAAAACATACTTGCCGCTCGCACCGAAGTTTTACAAATTATTGACGACCTCGTCCTCGAACTGGATGACGATTAAATTGGTTAAAGTATTCGGCGCTTTGACGCCTTTGGAGCCGCGATTGGGAAAGAAACTCGTCGGTCCGTTGTCGGAAATTTTGGAAACCACGAGCGCTAAATCGCTCATGTACGAATGCATTCGAACGGTTGTCCAAGGCATGACTTCTCAAGAGAAGATTGTTCGACAAGCGGTGGATAAATTGAAAGACATGCTCGAAGATACCGATCCGAATATTAAGTTTCTCGCGTTGCACGCGTTGACCTTCTTGCTCGATTCGCACCCGAGAATTGTCGCCGAACATAAGGGGAACATCTTTGGCTGTCTCGACCACGAAGATTCGAACATTCAATACTGCGCGTTGAAAATCGTCCGAGGTTTGGTGACGAAGAAGACGTTGATGGATACCACCGCTCATTTGATGGGCGCCATGGGAAGAGCCGATAAGAAATTCCGAGATGAATTGGTATGGTCTGTGATTCACATTTGCATGAGCGATAGGTACGCTTTAGTCACTGACTTTGTTTGGTATTTATCCGTGTTGGCTGATTTGATTCGCGTCCCGTCCTCTTCGCACGGGAAACTTGTCGGCGATCAAATCATCGACGTGTGCTTGCGCGTGGAAGTCATTCGAGAATCCGCCGTCGGTATCTTGTCTCCGATTTTGATCGACCCGACTCTTTTAGAAATGTCGAGCGTTAATAAAACGGTTCCGGATGCGCTCAAAGCCATTGCATGGGTCGTTGGTGAGTACGCGCATTATCTCACGGACCACGCCGAGCTCGTGCATGCGTTGACGCAACAACAAGTCACGCAGTTACCGGGTCCTGTCCAAAGCGTGTACATTCACAGCGCGCTTAAAATCTACTCGAGTGCAGTCAGCGAGCATTTGCAAGCTACGCGAGGTTCGGATGCGTCTATTTTGGTTCCAGAAACCGAAGATCTCGCGGATATTCGAGATATTATCGGTGGCAAACGTTTGATGCCTTTTATGGTTTCCTTAAATCTCGAAGTGCGAGAACGAAGTTGCCAATTGAAAACTATTCTCGATGCGGTTCAAGACGCCGAAGACGAAGAAGCCGGATCTGGTATGGCCCTCGTCGAAGAAATCGCAAATGTCTTCGCGGAGGAAATTCAGCCAGTTTCGACGAAAGCCCAGCGCAAACTCGGGGCGCCGGAGGATCTCAACGTCAACGCGCCGTTGTCAACGGAGTGGGATCACTTGCTCGAATCGAGTGACTCGGAATCCGACGACGAATACTCGGGTAGAAAAGGCAAGAAAGGTAAGAAGAAGTCGAAAGGACCAAAGAATGTTACCGATTTGTTTACGGTTAAAAAATCGAAAGAACAAATTGCCAAGGAAGAAAAGGAGGCGCGCAAAATGTTGGCCAACCATAAGAAGAAAATGGGCAACTATTATTTGGCTCCAGAAGAAGAAGCCGGCTCGGGTGGTCGCAAATCCAAAAAGGACGGTAAGGCTGCCGCTGCGCTCACCGCGACTGACTCTGCGGCCATGCAAGCGATGCAAGCGCACTTGGCAGCGCATAGCTTGGGCGGCCCGATTTCTAGACCGTCCATCAAGGGCGAAGACGATAGCTCAGACGAAGACGAGGACTTTGAGGAAGGAGCGGCTTTGAAAATTGGAGGATACCAACCAACAAATGCCGCCTCGAAGTTGCATTCGAACTTAGTCGCTTACGATCCACTCAAACCGAGCGAAGGCCGCGGCGAAGGCGAAATGCCGACAATTGAAGCGTACCCGAGATTTGATCCGTACGAGAGAGACGACGCGTTCAATCCGTTTTCAGTTGGCGATGGTAAAAAGAAAAAGAAGAAGAAGAAGAGCTCGAAGAAAGATAAAGATAGCGCAGCGGCGTTACCAAGTGGTGGCGAGAAGAAAGAAAAGAAAGAAAAGAAGGAGAAGAAGGAAAAGACGAAAGAAAAGGATGGAGACGGCGAAAAGAAGAAAAAGAAGTCTTCCAAACCCGATGACGACGGCGAAAAGAAAAAGAAGAAAAAGAAGAGTAAGGACTAGAACCATGATGACCATGACTTTTAAACTGAACGTAACGTGTGTAACATTAGCTTTTGTTGTTTTTGAATAAATAAACGATGAAGAATTTTGTATAGCTTCACACTAATCAATAGAAATTCTCCTTCTTGTTCTTCTTTGCCATTTCAAGGACTCGAACGAAGAGTACTTTGGATTCATCGGCTGATTTACCTTTATATTTTAACCACCACTCCCACTGTTCTTTCCCGCCGTAATCAACAGAGCCATTCGATGTCCACATCGGGCACTCAGTATCGTTGTCGCCCTTCTCGACTTGCGCAACAGCGCCATCCAATTTGTACCAATCTGGCGGACGAATCGCCTGACCTCCAGGACGTTTGATGTATTTCCAGCTTAATTTCTGAAAGGAACCTTTATTCTCTTCGTAAATCGGTATAGCTTCTTCGATGTCTTCCTTGCTGATTGGTTTTTTCAAGAACGCATCTCCGTTTGATCCTCCGAGATCATCGTCTTCGTCAGAACCGCAAGAGAAGGAATAGAACTCCACCTCTTTCTCTCCGGGTGGATATAACTTCATCGATCCGAACTTCTTCTTAAATTGCGATAATCCGTTTGCGCCGTACTGTTTGAAGAAACCGACGACGTCTGCTCTTTGCTGCACGGTTCCATTCGATGGTGCGTTCTCTTTGACGAAATTATACTCCAAAGCCAATTGTTGACATTCGAGCAAAGTCAACTCTCGAGCGCGAGCTTTATCTTCGCTCTCATCCAAAGTTATGATGGTTGGAGAAGAATTGTCAGCGTGAGAGAATTGCACCATTTGATGAGGGTGGTGTTTGTGTTCGTGTTCCTGTGCTCGCGCGCGCGCTCGTGTGTGTGCGTGTGAGTGTGAAGAGTTTGTTTGTTTTTATCTTTTTTTTTTCGCAAAAGCAAAAAAAAGCGTTACGTCCTAAATCAAGTCTTTCGACTCAGCGTTCTTTGCTTCGTGGCAACTTTAACAACTTTCTCGTCCACTTTCAAACCTTTACGCTTACGAACCATATCCATCAAATCTCTGGCGACGTTATCTGTTAACTCTTCTCCATCCTCGCCGAGCTTTTGGTACGGATCGATATCCAACTCTTTCCAGTGCGAAAACACGAGCTGAGCGCTGGAAGCACCCGAAGTGAGTTTCCGAAGCTCGTCGGCGAAACCAAACGAAGTTGCCACAGGTAAGTACGCGTGAATAATGAATACACCAGTGCCTTCGCGTATGGATTCTGAAAGTATATCAGATCGTCGTCTTCCTAAAACGGCGTAGGTTCCATTCAATGCTTCCGAGGTGGTTGTTATGACCGCTAAATACATAGCCTCGATCAACCTTGGGTTTGATTTCATCACGGCTTGTCGAATCACGTCGCGGGTAAACGTAATCACTTGTCCAGAATTCAGCTGCTCATCATCGTCGTTATTATTTACTTCGTCGTTATCCTCAATAGGCGCATCTAAGAACTCAACAGTCACTTTAAGGTTATCGAGAGGCTCGTCGCATATCGGTCCTCTTTCGCATGCGAGTTGGAATCCCAGCCGAATGGATTCTTCAAAGTCGTCCAAGAAAGTGTCACCACTATTACCACTAATACTACTACTAATACTACTAAGTTCTATATTCAAAGCGTTGTTGTTCTTTTTCTTTTTCTTCTCGTCCTCGGCTGTCGTCGCTTCTTTTTCGTCTACTTTCTCTTCCTCTTTTTCTTTGTCGCCAACAACAAGAAGTCTCTCCACCGACGCTCGCAACACTTTTTTACTACCTATTTTATAGTCCGCAAAACCAGCGGTCGTAATGCCTTCTTTGAAGTTTACCAAAGGTTTAGACACTCGAATAGGGACTCTGGCAAACCTTTCTCTCAAATCATTGATGCACCGTTCCAAGTGCACTTCACCGGCTGCGCTCAAAACGTGCTCTCCAGAATCCATAACTTCCATCTCGACGAACGCATCTGCTCGGTTTAACAAACGCAAACCTTCTAAAAGCAACGGCATGTCTTGCACATTTTCTGGTTCTACGGCAACCTTAACAATAGCGCTCGCCTGAAACATCATGGACCCGAATAATGGACACTCTAAAGATGAAGAAAGAGTCGAGGATTTCAAGACCACTTTGTCTAAACCTCCAATGGCGAGGAGATTTCCACTCGGCACTTCATCTACAGGGAACATCCCTTGACCCATCATCAAATATAACTCTGAAATTATAATCTCCGTAGGTTCGTCACCACCCAAGACGAATATTTTATCACCTTTTTTCATGATACCAGCGAAAACGCGTCCGAAACCGACAAACTTGCTGTCGCCGTGCGTCTCGGAACCTTCTCGTACACCTCCGTGAATCGAGCTCAAAGGAACAGCTACCATTTTCGAAATGAATACAACTGTGGTCGCATCACTGCTCTTGTTACACTTCAAAATATCGTCGTATGCGGCTATTTTACTATCTGACGGGTAGAGGAGCCGTTCTATTCGAAACGGCATTGCTTCAACCGGGTTAGGGAGCGAGTGGACGACCATTTCGAGTATCGCGGAACTCAAAGGCAGCCAGCTTCGCATGATTGCTAATAATGTCATTCGTTTATTGGATTGCGTCAACTCTTTTTCAGATATGCTTGTCAATTTGAGCGATTTCGCGAGCGTTGGTAAATCTTTATCGCCTGAGTAATACTCGTCCGCGGCGTCGTACAGTTTCCAAATCGGGTCGAGAATGCACTGCACGAACAACGGTTTCAATTTTCCGTTCGGGTTGAGTTTCTTCCCGACTATTCGTTTCGATTTTGGATGATAGAACCAATCGCCCCACAACCCTTTTTTCAAAGCTTTCTCCGAACATCCCAACTTTTCCGCGTATAATCTCGCAAACTGCTCCGGTCGAAATGCCCAACCGTCCATGGCTGAGGCAAACGCCACGTTACCTCGTTCCACGGAGAATACGTCTTCGGCATCCGTCATGTCCAGATGATCATCTAAATATTCCGCTAAATCTTCCACATCTTCGTTATTATCACTGTTGATGTTATTATTCCTTTTATCTTCCGCACTGAGAAACGTATCCGCTTGATTGATAAACTTTTCGGACTCGAACGCGCTCATGAGAGAATTCACCTCGTGCAAAAGCATTCGCAATCTTTCGTACGTCTCGAACGGGGAATACTTCAACTCCTCGATGAGCCGATCCATCTTGTTGAAAATTAAGCACGGTTTCAACTTTTCTTCCCACGCTTGTCGTAAAACCGCGTGAGTTTGGACGCAGACCCCTTCGCACACGTCCACGAGAACGAGCGCACCGTCCGAAAGTCTCGCCGCCGTGCTCACTTCGGAACAAAAGTCTACGTGACCGGGAGAATCAATGACGTTTATTAAAGTAGATTGCGAAGGAGAAGATGATGATGTTGATTGCGAGGTGTATTGTAACGCAATCGAAGCGGATTTCATGGTGATTCCTCGTCTTTGTTCTTCTTCGAGAAAGTCCATCATTCGTAAACTTCCCGCTTGTTTCTGGTTGATGAAGCCATTGTGCGAAATCAGACAATCCGTCAGCGTGGTCTTGCCGTGATCCACGTGCGCTAAAACGCATATGTTTCGGACGTGTTCCGTGGATTTCTGCTTATCTGCGAGGATATCCACGGCTCTCTGCATACTTCTTTCCTTCTTATCTCTCTCGTGTTTCTTTCTTGCCTTCTTCCAAAAGGAGGAAGAGAAGAGAAGATTTTTGCTTTTGCAATTGGTATTGTTCCCTCAACGAACTTTTCTTTTTTATATCTTCTTTTTTTGTCTTTAAAAATTTATTTAAAATACGATTCCTATATCCTGGCTTGTTATTATACTCATTTAATTATATGAACACACTTAAATATAATTATCGTACATGAATCTAATTTTGGTATGGGAAAACCGAGATAAAACATTGCATTACAAAAATATTTCAGGAGAATAAAAAAAATTATTTTAATAACCTGCGCATTTTCCCCATTTATACTCATTTTGTCACATACAATTATACATTCATGCGCGAAAATAGTCATTCTATTTATATTTGATAAATAAATTGGGACAAATAATCTGAAAAGTCAGAAAAGAATTGAGTTGTTTTATTTTTTCAAATAAAATAATAAAATAATAAAATTTAAAGGTTGAAATTACTGATATAATTGTACTAATCCGTCGGAATAGAGCAATCTTAATTAATTTGCCAACTGTATCGTTCAGGATTCTCAGAAATACTTCATTTATACTTTCCAGCGACAAAGTACCTACTTAAAATTTTCTTCGTTCTGTCTTCTTCACAAAGAATGGGCTGTGTTCCTTCCAAGTCGACGCTTCTGAAGAGAACAGATGAAAAGGAAAATCTAAAGCAGGAACCCGCGGATGTCTTCAGTGCCAAGTCGACGGCGAGAAGAAGAAGTAGAAGTGAGAGAGGAGCAACGACGACGACGACGACGACGACGACAACAACAACAACTTCCATTTGTTCATCGACTAACGACTTTCTCCTAGCGTATCCGAACAAGGTAACTCGGAAGGTATCCCTGATAAAAGAATCCAAAGATGTGAAAACAATCAATGAAAAATACAGAAAAGTAAAGCGATTAGGCGAAGGTTCGTTCGGGAAAGTCATGCATTATCGTTACAGGGGTAACGGTGATGAGAAGGAAACGGATTGCGCCATCAAAATTTACAACAAGAAACGATTGCAAAGAATACGCTCATCCAACAACGAACGCACCGCTCTGGACGACGCGTTTAACGAAGCGCAAATATTAGTTCAACTCGACCACGAAAACGTGACCAAACTCATCGAGTTTCTCTGGGACGAAGAGAGTCCGAAACTGTACTTTGTGTTGGAATATTGCGCTCTCGGTCCGATACTAGACGAGGAACGAGAAACGTTTGAGAAGGTCGACTGGAAGACGTGCCTTCGGTACGCTCGAGATGTGTTTTCCGGAGTTGCATACATACACGAGGTCTTATGCATAGCTCATTTAGATATCAAACCGCAAAACATGTTTGTACATGCGAGCGGAACCGTAAAACTTGGCGACTTTGGCACCGCGGTTATCCTCTCGAAAGATACCCGGACGGTACTAAAAACGCCGGGTACGCCCGCATTCACGGCTCCTGAATGTTGCGAAGGTAAACCGTACGATGGCTTTAAGGCGGATAGTTGGAGCGTAGGCATGTCTTTTCACGCGATGAGAACGGGAGGTTATCATTACAAGACAGGGAATTCGTACGATACGTATCAGAGAATATTACGCGAGGAGGAGGAGGACGAGGCGAAGAATCCGTTGTCCTTCTCCAATACGGAGGGCGGTCCAGGATACGACGCGCAGTTCGCGACGGTCTTGTCTTCTCTGTTAGTCAGAGATCCAAAAAGGAGACGTGGGATGGCAGAGGCAAAAGAAGAGATTGATCGCTTTTGAATGTAGAGAATATAGATAGAGAGGGTGTGTAGTTTACTTAGTTCGCAGTTGTTTGTGCAGACGATCAAATTTTTTTCACCTCTCCTCCTCCTCGTTTTCTTTTCCTCCAAAAACGAAAACATAAGCAGAGCAGGTGGGAATTACGCAAGAGGTCTTCTCTCGAAAAGAAAATTATTATATATTCTTCACACAAGAAACTCATTCGTATCAGTAAGAGAAGAGAAGGAAATCAACCAGAGAGAGTGAAAGAGGAAGAGGGTGAAAGCGCTCTCAGTTGGTGCGAGATCTCTTAAGATATAAATCAACGCGCGTAAGAATATACGAAGAAAAGAGGAAGAGACAAGAGGGTAGAATTGGAGGCGGAGGTGAAATTTGAATTTCGAAAAACCTGACCTCTTCTTCAAGAGAAAGAGAAGGTTTTGATACGGACGATCAAACGCTTTCAAAGCAGAAGCAGAAACAGATAAAGAGAAATGATTCCACCCGTGGAGGGTGGTTTGCCGTTGAATAACGCCAACATTCAAACCGATCGTAAGACGTGCAACTGCAGAAACTCTCGGTGTCTGAAATTATACTGCGAGTGTTTCGCCTCTGGGCAGTACTGTTTGCAAAACTGCAACTGCGTAGAATGTAAAAATAACGTGGAAAACTCGGTGCAAAGACAAGAAGCCGTAGAGGCGACTTTAGAGAGGAACCCAAACGCGTTCAGACCGAAAGTATTGCCGACTCTCAATGGCGGAGAAGGCGACGAGAAGCACAATAAAGGGTGTCACTGTAAAAAATCTGGCTGCTTGAAGAAGTATTGCGAGTGTTTTCAAGCGTCTATTTTCTGTTCGGACATGTGCAGATGCTTGGACTGTAAGAACTTTGAAGGGTCGGACGCGCACAAAGCGATCGCGAGTCAGCAAGAATTCATGCCAGCCGGGTCGGATGCGAGTTTACTAGTCGCGCCCGGGTTGCAGATGGACGTCAATAAAACAAACGGAGGCGCGATGAAACAAGAGGCGTACGTGCCGCAGAAATCTCCGATGGGTTTCGCCGCGAAAGGAGGCGCGAGCCCTCACTTTTTAAAGACGAAGAAACCGATTTTGCACGGTTTGATAAAGCCAAACGCGGTGGATCAGTTAGGGGAAGCTTTGCTCAGCGCGGCAGAAGTCGCGAGAAAGCGAGCACACGACCAGGTGGCGTACGACGCTTTGAAGAGGAGAACGCCGCAGCCACCGCCGCTCTCGACGAATGGTGGGAAGATTACCGCGAAAAAGTCACCAACAAAGTCACCGTCGAAATCGAATAACAATAAAATAGCCAAAATAGCGGAAGAAGAATCGACAGCAAAGCTCGTGTACGCGGAACAGGAGAAAACGGTGCTGAAAAAATTATTGACCGAAGTGACTCAGTTAGCAGACGCCGCAGAGAAGCGGATTCAAAGTAGGAAATAATAGCGCATAACATAATTAATAAGAATCGTAGCAATACTCGCTGTATAGTATAACAAAGTTAAAAGTTGAATCTGCAAATGTCATCGCGTTCGCTACTCGCTCGGCTCGACGCTTCGCGCAACGTTTTGTAGTAATACGAGTGCGGTTGCTCTCTCTCAGAGTATTCCACGATGAGTTCTTCCATTATCTTACCTAAAATGATTCGATCCTCGGCGTTACTGTTCGTGCTATTCCTTTCCGCAATGGACTCGAACTCGTGACATTCCAGTCGAGCCAATCGTTCCACGTCTCTCTGTAAAATCTGAATCTGAATACTATTTTTGTTGCTCGTCTTCTTTGTTGTTGTCGTCGCAAAATTACTTGTACTATTCTTGTGCCTGCTGCTATTGTTGTTGTTGTTGTTGATGTTGTTCGTGATGTTGCCTAACGCGCCTCTGTTTTGTTGCGCTCTGTTGCTCTTGTTGATGAAATTCTCTCCTCCTCCTCTATCTAAGAGCGAGGAGAAGATGTTGTTGTTGTTGTTCTCGTTCATCGTTGTTCTGTGATGAACGTTCATGATTTCTTATTCTTCTTCTGATGTTATTCTTCAGACGAGGAAGACGGAGGAGAAAAAAAGACGAAACCCGTCGTAAAGCGCTCTTTATCCGCGGATGTGCGCGTGTTTCTCTCTCTCTCTCTCTCTCTCTCTGGAGAAGGACTTATCGCGACGATGAGAAGAAAAAAGTAAGAACGAGGGGTCTTAAAATCGAGATTTGTGTTTGTGATGAGTCACTCTTTCCTCCTTTTTTCGTATTTTTGAACTTTTTTTACACCACAGCTGGGGGCAGTTATTCTAAAAAGAGTCTCATCGTAACCACCCCACCACTACTACCACCACCACTGCCACGACGAAGATGATGATGACGATGACTAACAACAACAGGATGATCTCTTCCTCCTCGTCCTCTTTTTCCTCCTTTTCGATGATGGAAAAATGTCCTCCTCCTCCTCATCGTCGCTCTCATCATCATCATCAAAAGTCATCATCATCATCTTCAACATCATCATCATCATCTTTTTTTTCCAGAAGAAGAGAGGGGAAGAAGAAGCTTTTTTCTTTGATGATTGGGAGGACGAAGAATGTCCCCAACAGCGTGATCATCATCGCTCGGGCGGCAAGAGCAGCAGCAGCAGCAACAACAACTGCGGGTGGTGACGAAAATGGTGCGGAAGTTTCTAAAACGGGAGGAGAGATATCTTCTTCAGAGGTAATAAAGGTGTATCCGTTAGCGGAACCACGAATTCCCCTAAAAACAGCAGAAGGAGAACAAATAAATAGTATGAAAGAGTTGACGGCGAAAGCAATCATCGGGGAAGTTTTGAGAATATCTTCGAGAGATTTTTTACCGACCGTGACGCTCGTCTTCGTCGCTGGTTTTTTCGCGCAAGCGTTGAATCTCGGAGGGACGTTCCTCTTAGCTTTGATACAGGTGCACGAGGTGGAAGTTATCGCGGCGACGTTCGTCGTCGCCACGCAGGCGTGGAAGTTTCTGTGTCAGTTTCTCGTTCGTATTGCAACGTTTAAAAACGCGTACGTTGGTGATAAGGAAGAAGATGGAACGATAGAAGAAGAAGATGATAACAGCGACGACAATACATACGCGAAAGTTAAACCAAAGTACGCGTACGGCGTTTTGAAGCAAGGTTTGGAGCTGTACAAATCGATTCTCATAATAGACTTGCGCCGAACGCTTTCGATCGCGTGGAACGGTATGATTACCATTCCTATTCCGTATTTGGGGTTAATGAGGTGTTTAGACTTGGCTCTTTGCGTTCCCGTTCGAATATTTGAAGGTAAACAAGGCGGAGAGAATTTGAAACGGAGCACCGAACTCATGCTCGGTCGGAAAATTTTGCTTCTCAAGACGTTCTTTTACTTATCTGCAATTGCATCGAGCGTCGTCGGATTAATAATTGGATTATTCGCCCTTCTCGTGCCAAGCTTAGCAACTGTCTTGCTTCCTCCGGTTGGTGCTGATCCCGCATCGCTTGGAGGTGCCGCGCAGGGTTTGGTCACTGGAACCGCGTTCGAGCGCGTCTGGGACGTTGGAACTGTCACCGAGCGGTCGGCAACTATTCTTTTACTTATGATTGCCGTCGTGTTGAGTTTCTTCTTTACTCTTGGATTTCGACAATTAATATACGTGTTCCATCGCGAGGTAGCAAATCGCTGGATCCCACCTCCACCTCCGCCACCTCGAAAGTTGCCGGAGTGGGCGAAGAAACTGAAGAAGAAAGTGCAGTTTTGGAAAAAGGACGATGTGAAGAAAAGCACGTGATAGAAACATACCGCACACTGTAGCGTAATTGTAGTAATATTATTAGATTATTTAGAAATGTATGCGCGCAATAGGAATGTATTATCAATTGAATTACTGGTACCGTGGTACGACGGCAGTTTTAAAAGAATAACACTCGAAACAAGAACTTGAGAATGTAATACCCGATGAACAACAGAACCATCATGGAGTACTCTGCCATGAATCTCAAGTTGACTCGAAAACCTCTTCGGCGTAAAAGACCGAGAGCGAGATCGATAACACCGAGAACTCCGATTTTTGCAATTGAACAGACCGTTTTAATTACGCACCAATAGTCTTTCTTGTTCGGGCACTCGTTCCACGTTTTGGTGACGAGCGCGAAAATATCTTCCTGGTCCACGGTTTCATTTCGCGTACCGTCAAAGTGTAAAATGGTGTTCAGAAATTGAGAAAGATACACGAGTATCCTCACCAAAGGACCAAACTCTGTCTCACCAATAGGTCGTTGCATCCAATCGCCAACGTATAAATCGCGTGCGCTTTTGATATTCGATTTTTTATTCCATTCGAACGACGAAGCACCGCCATTTTTCGCGACGTTCTTCGCCGATGCCGAAACTTGCGAGGCGGAGTTTTTGAGGAGCGAGACGTCGTCCAACTTTTCCAAGGGAAGCAAGTCAAATGCTGATTTGCGAAATTGTGGCACGAGCTTCCTGAGAATGCTACCCGAGGAGGATTCCTGGACGTCGCGACTGAGACGTACCAAAAGAGCAATCGTTACTTGAGGTAAACCTTCGGGACCTAAATCAAACATGATCAATTTTTGCAGTTGGTACTCGTCGTGTTGATTTTGTTGGCCTCTCATGGGCGTTCTGCCTCCTGGTGTGCCCATCATGCCAAGCTTCTTCCTCGATAGCGGGGAATTGAATAATCCAGCGTTACCCCCTAATCGGCTACTTCTATTTCTAAGAGGAGTGTGTTGTTGCGCTCCCGCGGGGGTTCTAGAACCGCCGAGCTCGTTTTCCGGCTTTAACGCCGGGGGATCCCAATATTCGAGCTGATTTTGAATGATTGGAAACATGTGATCGTACGGAGTCAACGTTTCTTGATTGTTGATGCGATTGGCAGTCGCTTTCAAAGGATCCTCGATGTATTTATTAAAGCCTTCCTCGAGAGCTTTGAGAACGAGAACCAAGTCTGGAGACTGCACGAGATTTTCAAATACTCGCGTTAAAATGAGCGCCGTGCCTTCGGGATCGCTCGGTACGAGCTTGCAACACAGTTCTAGAAAGTGTTTCATCAAGTAATGGTAAAACGGAACGTTCCCTAGAAGATGAGACATGTACTTTGAATCCTGCGGCTTGTGCGAGAAAGGAACGTTTTCTTTGCACCAAGGCATGATGTAAGTGGCCCATAAATTCGTGATCGGTTCGAGCGATTTCGTCGATTCAATCGGCCACAACATGAAAGCTTCGCGTAAAAATCTATACAACGGACGCTTCAAACCCTCTCGTGTGCGCAAAAATGCAGGAGAACTGTATTCTTTTTCTCCCAAATAAGAAACCAAAAGCGTGACGGCGTTGACTAAGTTGTCGTCCGGAGGATTGTACAAATACCTCGACCCGCTAGAGATGTCGCTTTCACTCAACCAAAACTCAATGAGAACGTTTACAATCATTTCACCTTCCGTGACAACATTACTTCCTAGTTTCTCGTTTGCATCGTCCGTTTGTCGAGGCTTGAAGAAATATTCGAGGTGCGAAATGAGCAAGTCTTGATACGGATGGTGGTTCTTTTTCATCGATGCTCCTCCACTACCGTTCAAACCAGCTGGACCACCACCACTGCCGCCGCTCCCGTTTGCACCGTTTCCACCACCAGACCTTATCGTGTGATGCAGCGCAGAATTCTTTATCGATGATAACGTTGAGTTTGACCATCCTCTCAAAGAGGATGCAGGAGTAAGTACGTCGTGCGTTTGCGCGAGTGTCGGTCTGTGCGAGTGTTGGTGTTGCTGCATGTATTGTTGTTGGTGTGAAAGCGACGACGAGCGGTGTAAGGACGACGAACCTCCCGACCTACTCGTTATGTTTCCAACTCTTTGGACAAAATACGCGTTCCAAAAGAGAAAGTAATGATACAGTCCCAAATGCACTTGAAACCGTCCGTTTTGATCCTGTTTTATTTTCCCCCTATACAACGGGTTGCGATTTAATTCCATCGCCCCTTGTTGCGTTTGCAACATTCTCTGCGTCTTGGACGGCAAGCGCTCCAACGGAAACGCGAATTGGACCAAATTATTCGAATCTGCCGAGAATATCGCCTTCATCAAAGGTCCGTCGGGACTCAAAAACTTCAACAAAAGATGCACCGTTGCTTCGTTTTCTCTCTTTTTCTTCAACAAAGTCGAGGAAGTAGACGTATGAGATGCGTTATTCGTTCCCGCAGTTCCTCCCGGTGTTGTCCCGGACGCACTGCTCGTCGCGGAATAATTCAACGCTTGCAATCGCATGTTGTACACGCTTTGTAACCATCCACTCCCGCTCTCGTCAAAGTTGAATATCTGCCACAGAAGCGTCTGATAACACGTCGAGAAAAACTCTCTCAAATTCTCTCGGTTTTCTTTCAAACATCTCTCCACGGCTTGAATCGACTCGGGCAAATAATACGAAGAAGAAGAAGAGGAGAGAAACTTGTTCAACTCCAAAGGCGTGGACACCTCCTGCGACGAGGGAGCCCCCGAAGATGATGTCTTTGTCTTTTGTCCTCCTTGTCCTCCTGCGGTCGTCGTCGTCGTCGTCGTCGCCGTTCGACCAGAGTCTTTTCGAAGAGCAGCCCCCGAAGATGACATTAATTTATTTTCGAAGCTTTCTGTGTCTGTTTTTGAAGAGTTTTCGAATTTTTCTTTGATGCCTCTCTTTCCTTTCTTTTTGTGGGAAAACTGCTGCGCTCGAAAGCGAGAATTTCAGGTTTTATATCCATCACAAACCACTCTCTCTATATATACGCGATGATGATGAGAGGCAGTAGTAATAGTAGCCAGAGAATGCGAACAACAACGATGTCGTCGATGAAGACGACGACGCGTGCGATGACGGAGAACAAACGGCATCATCCTCGCGTCGCCAACGAACGACGAAAAGGAGGACGACGAGAAAAGTCCAATTCCTTTGTGCAACGAGTGAGCATTTTAGACGATGCGGACACAGAGGAAAACGAACAGTTGGACGAACTGGTTTCCAGACGAATCAAGAAATCTCGTTCGACTGGGCGGTTAGACTTGACGGGATTGGACTTGACGGAATTTCCGATGGAAATATTCGACGTTACGAACGACGATGCGCCTTTGACGGACTTGCAAATATCAAACAACAGGATATACCACATACCGGATGAAATAGGGGATTTGCAACTGCTCGAACGATTAGGATTAGCCGGGAATAGATTGACGAAGCTACCGGAATCCGTAGGAAAATTGAAGAGATTGCAAGGATTATGGGCGCATGGAAACTTATTGAAGAGCTTACCGGAGTCCATATGCAGTTGCCAATCTTTGCGAAACCTCTCCGTCGCCGGGAACCGGATACGAAAGTTACCGGAAAATCTTTCCCAACTCGTCGCTTTGGAAGAACTGAGCGTACCTGGAAATCAACTGCTTGAATTACCAAACCTAGGAAAGATGTTTAATCTTTCCGATATCGATTTGCACGGCAATTGCATCGAAGATCTATCCGCCAACGGGAACGATTTTCAGTTTTTGAAAGCGTTGGAGACTTTCAGTTTACAAGGAAACAGGTTGAAAAGCATTCCTGGGTCGTTGGGTAATTTGAAGCGATTACGAAGCTTGAACCTTGCGGAGAACAGAATTCAACAAGTGCCGGAAGAGTTGAGGAATTTACCAGTTCTCACGTCCGTGTGGTTGTACTCGAACGATTTGCGTTCCCTACCGAAAGAACTTCAAAAATCCCAATCTTTGCGACAGTTGTGGATTGAAAACAACGAAAATTTAGATAAAAGTGAACTCGAAGCGTTTATTCAAAACATGAAAGATGCGAGAATGCTGAAGACTTTAGGAATAGATACAGAGCAAGCTCGAAAAATAGGCGGTGGTTTCGAAAATATGAGCGCAATTACCGTCGCGGAAGTTCCGAATCGAAGCGATAACGCGGGGTATTTTAAACTCGTGAAATGGGATGGTAATAGATCAGCTTTAGATGATTCCAAAAGAGCCCCTGTCTTGATCGTATCATTTGGTAGCGCGCCAGGAGTGCCTAACTGGGGCGGTTTGTTGAAGAAATTGCGGAAAAGAGTTGGGGAAAGCGAAGGAAAGAGCTACGACGTCTTGTACGTCTGCGACGTGGAAAGAAGTTGGTACGCGGGGAACAAAATGACTGGAAACGTTGAAGACGAAGTGAGTAAACGGAGCAAACGATTAGAAGATATATGCTCGAAATATTCGAAAGTTTTATATCTCGGCGACTCGATGGGTGCGACTGCATCTTTAGCGTTCGCCGAGCACGCGACGAGAGTTTTAGCGTTTTGCCCTCAAGTAGATTTATTCGCCGCGAGTATTCGACCATCGAGGAGTGCAAATTGGATGCGACAATATAAGACGCTCTTACTTCAAGGAGCGCTGAAGAGCGGAGCAGATATCACTATTCACACCGGAAGTTGGACACACGACGTCGATCAAGCTTCGATTGTAGTTTATGCTTCAGAAAAACAAGCAGAGGATGCGGCTACAAAAAGAAAGAAAAGAATAAAGACGAAGATGCATCCGGTGAACAATCACAGACTCGCGCTCGTCCTTTCCGACGGCGACGAACTCGTTAATATCGTTAAAGAAGCTTTCGAAACAGAATATGTGAATGCTATCGCCAGCGGTTCCGGCATGGAAAAAAATTCAGCGGCGACTTTAAAGTTATTAGGACTCGCTTAAAGAAGAAGGAGAAGAAGAAGAAGGAAGATTTTATGTATTATTAGATTTGCGCGTTGTACGTAGTAAACTAGAGATTCTATTTCGTTTTGCTATTTATATTGCCTAATGATGTTCCCGAGCGAAACTGGAGCTAAATCTATTGCAGTTTCATTATCCCTATTGACTAACTCTTTTCTAGCGCCCGAGGCGAGTAATGACAAGCAGCACTCTTTCTTATTGAACATTGCCGCCAACATTAAAAGGGTGAATCCGTGCCCGTCACGATAATTCGGATCGACTTGTCCGCTACTCATAATAGTTTCTAAAGATGCAACATCGCCAAGTTTGATCGCTTCGCGTGCCTCGAGGCCATCAAAAGTGCGCTGTTGTTGTTGTTGTTGTTGTTGTTGTTGTGATTCCAAAGTAACCGGATTTTCGCTCGATGTTGTTGTTGTCGTTGCTGGTGATGTCAACATTGATGTCATTCCCATTGGACTACTCCCATTTTTATCTTCACTCGCTGGAGTAAACTTTAGTGGACTCGGCGACGCGGCTATGGTCTTGTGAAGCGCCGCGCTCGAAAGGTGAAACTCTTCCAACGATTTTTGTTGCGAACGCGAGCTACTCGTTACTATCGGCGTCTCTTCCTCCCACGAATCGTAGCCATCAAAGCCGTTGCTCCTTCTTCCCTGAGCCGTGGTATCGTAGTTCCCACTTGCTTTACCGTTGCTTTTATTACCAGTGCTACCATTCTTCCCGTTCTTACCACCCTTCGGTATCGTCCAGTTCGTATCTCCCGCGTTTTCCAATATCTGCAAGGCACCAATGAAGGACGAGACTTCTGGCAAAGCATTCAACGTCCTGTCGTTCATGATTGTGTTCAAAATCTGTTCGAAAGCTGCTCTTCTCTCTTCTAAGTGTTGCGGAGAGACGATTAATACTTTCGGAGGAAACGGAGGTAATCGTGCACCTTTCGTCGAAGAGAAGGCGTGCAACTCTCGAAACTGAGAGAATCTTCGAAAACACGCGAACGGTGAAGATGCTCTTTGACTTTTATACTCTTTTTCCATCGCGCGATATTGTACTTCATCATCACCATCTTCGTTGTTCTCATCCAAAGAGACGATTTCAGTCTTCACGGGATAGAACTGTACGATTTTGTTGTTCACCGACTTTGCCACTGGCTCGGAAACCTTCACCTCAAACAACATCTTCTTCTTCTTTTCTTCAAAAGTCAGTTGAGTTTTTTGTGATGTTTTTCTTCTTGCGCGAATTTCACAACGTACTCTTCAAACAATTTACTCACAACCTTTACTGACTGCCGCACGCATAAAACTCTATCTCGTTCGATGAAACCCCGAAGAAGAAAATGCTGAAAGGAGAAGAACACCACACTCTGAACGCTTTGAGTTACTGCGCGTTCTTCGCGCAGTTCTTTGGGTATTTCATTCTGAGCGGTTTAATTGAAGTGTGGTTCTACAGAAAGCAAAGCCAACAGGAACGCTCGTGGAAGATACAACCTAACGGACGGAACAAATGGCCTGGGATTAAACAAAGTCATAAAAACAACAGCTTCTTTGTACTTTCTATTCCTTTGCTGGATTTCTTCTTCTCGAGCGCAGGAGCAACGACAACAGCATCAACAACGCAGAGGCACTCGAAACACAAGACGTTTGCAACTCTGAATTTAGTCGTTTCAAGTCTCTTCGCTTTGGTGGTTACAGAGCTCACCGTGCGGGGAAAGTCGAGCTTGAAAGAATCCACGATTATGAGTACCGATACGAGCGCGTGTGAAATAGGTATCGGCTTGTTCTATGCGCTGCTGTTACAGTCGACGTTGGAATATCCTTGGCACCGATTGATGCACTACAAATATTTTTATACGCGGATGCACAAATACCATCACGAATACAAAAGCCCGGTGGTATACTGCGACTTGTTCATTCACCCTTTGGAGGCTATCGGGTATTATTGTATTTTATATTCGCCGGCGTTTGTGGTGAAAAACTTACCGAAAGAGTCGTTCTTGTTGTACATGGCGATAGTAGGTGTATTTGGCGTTCTCGACCATTCGGGGGTGGATTTTCGCTTTCCTTGGTTTCTCTTCTCCTACGAAGCGAGGTTTCATGACTTGCATCATAAACATTTCAACGTCAACTACGCGTTCCCGTTCCAATGGCCGGACCGAATTTTTGGTACCCTCAAAAAAGTAGAGAAGTGAAAGTCGTACTTAGTCTATTTAGTCGTATAGTTTTTAGTTAACGCGTTAGATTTGTCTTCTTGTGTCACCCTTCTAAAAAACTCTCCTTTTTTTGCTCTTCTTTCTCTCAAGTGGACCTCAACTCTCTCCATATCATTCTTCTTCTGCTTGAAATTAATCTCTCTCTTTAGAGTAGTATCACACACGCCTGGGGACGAAGTGAAGTCACGCGCACACACAAACAGAGAACGGAAAAGTACTTCAACAAAAAGACTCTCAACAACAACGACACGTTTCTTTCGTTGGTGAAAAGTAAACAACAACAGAGAAAAGAAAGCGAGAGCGAATTGGAGGAGCGTCTGAATTTCAAACGTCTTTCTGTCCCCCCATTCTCTCTCTCTCTCTCTTCTCCCAACAAAATGACGAGCACGACGCCAAACAACAACAACAACAACAACAATAAAAACAACATGGCTTTGCAAATGATGCAAGCGTTTCGAAACACGCCTTCCATGGACTTGAACCATCTCTCGAGAGGCGAAGCCGAGCAATTAAACAGACGGTGTTTAGCGTTGGAGATGGAATGCGAGGAACTTCGTTTGGACGTGGAGGAGTTGTTGGAAGAGAAGAAAGATTGGGAAGAAATGGAAGAGACGCTCGATCGAGAGTGCGCGAAAGCGGACGAGGAGTTCAAAGAGAAGAGAAAAGAGTGGCTGAAAACGAGAGAGGAACTGGAGAGAATGAAGAAGAGTCACGAGCACGAGAGAACGCGGAGGAAAGAGCTGGAAGACGAGATGCGTTCGTTGGAGTCAAACGACTACGAAGTCACGAAAATGTCGCGAAGAAACGCGCAGTTGGAGAAGAATCTCGAAGAGATTTCGCATCAAGTGGAAGCGTTGGAGAGCGCAAATACCAAAGCAAAGAAAGAGATGAAGAAGTTGGAGAACGAACTCTCGGATTTGGAAGAAGCTTTGGAGGAGAAAACGGCGGAAGCGGAGGCGCTCGAGGCGGAGAAGAAAAAGCTGAAAAAATTGAACGACGAGCAACGACCGGCTTTGGAAACTGCAAAACGTAAGATGAACGACTTTGCGAAAGAACTCGGGTACAAAGAAGAACAAATCGTGAAATTGGAAACGCAGCTGGAAGATAAGAGCAAAGAGTTGAAGCAAGAGGCGTTTTTGCGCAAGGAGCAAACGAACCTGTTGAACGGCGTACAAAAAGACATCCTTGCGAAACAAGACGAAATTCATAAACAGGATGTGCAAATCCAAAAGCTCGAGGCGGATAAACTTCACAAGTTGAAGCAAGCTGGGACAGAGTTCGAGAAAGAGTTGAATCTTCGCGAGGCAGAGGTGGGGAAAAAAGAGAAGTTAGCGGAGAAACTCCAAGCGCGCGTGGACGAAGTGGAGGAAAAGCACAAGAAAGCACTCAGCGATTTCGCCGCGAAAGAACGAGATTTTATCGCGAAAGAGAAGGCGCTGAAAGAGGAATTCGCAAAGAAAGAAAAACAAAGCTCGCAAACCGCGAAAGAACGAGAAAAAGATGTTGGGGAGGCGACGAAGAAGATATCGGCGCGAGAAAAGGAGCTCGAAGCCAAGGAAAAGACGATGGCGAAAGAGCTCGAGAAGAAGAAAGCAGAGTTGGAGAAATTGGTCAAGGAAGACATTGCCAAAAATGAGAAAGAATACGCGCAAAAAGCAAAGACACTGGAGAGCGAGAGCGAAAAGCTCACGGCGAGAGAGAAAGAGCTCGTGACGAAGGAGAAAAACTTGGAAAAGGAGCTTTTGAAGAAGAACGCCGAGTTGGAGAAATCGCTGCACGAGAAAATCGGAAAGAAAGAGAAAGAGACTTCGAACACGGCGAAAACTTTAGAGAAAGAAAGAGAGGAAATGACGAAGAGTTTAGCCGTTCGAGAAAAAGAGCTCGAGTCAAAGTATTTAGCGAAAGAGAAAGAGCTCGAGTCAAAATATTTAGCGAAAGAGAAGATCGATGCGAAAGAGCTGGCGCGAAAAGAAAAAGAGTTTGCAAAGAAACAGGCGGAGTTAGAACAACGCTTGGAATATGAAGCAGATCAACGTTTGCAGGAAGCAGCGGAGAAGGAGTCTGAGCTTAACGCGAGGGAGAAAGAGCTCTCGCGAGAGATTGCGGCGAAAGAGAAAGAGCACATGCGTAAGTTGGCCGCTCAAGACAAAGCGAGTTCACAAGCTGCCGCGGAGAAAGAGCGAGAAATTGCAGAAAAAGAAAAGGAAGTCCAAAGAAAGTTGCAGGCGAGAGAGAAGGAAGCCGCTGAAAAAATAGCTGCCAAAGAGAAAGCTGCTGAACAGAAGGAACGTAAACTTCGCGAAAAGGAGGAAGACGCGAAGAAAAAGTTGGAAGAGAAGGAGAAGAAAACGGCAGAAAAATTAGCGGCGCAACATAGAGAAGCGTGTGAAGCCGTCGAGCTCGAAAAGCGCGCGTTGACTGAGAAGGAGAAAGAGCTCGAAAAGGAAAAAGCAAAACTACGAAAGAGTTCCGGACCGGTTTCGCCAACATTTTTCTCATCGCTTTTATCGCCTTCGAGGAAAGCAACACCGCCAACCGCCAAGAAAGAATCAACAACGCCGGCGATTAGTCCAACGACGTCGATGAAGAAGACACCGAAAAATAGGAGCCATGTCGATGCCGTGGACGCCAAGAAAGCCAAGGTGGAAAACAACGCCTCCGCTACCATGGGAGCGGGCTTTTTGCAAAGCGTAAAGAAAGCCACGAGTGCTGGTGTGCTTGGTGTCGGGCAATACGCTCACTCTTGTTTGAAACCGTTGATTGGAGGCTCGCACGAAGAGTTTTCACCGCCGGAAGCCGCCGCTCCGAAGTCGGCTTCGAAGGAAAAAAGTGTAGTAAAAAAGTCCACCGCGGCAAAAGTGGCAAAGAAACCGTTTGAAGAGAACAAGTCGCCGCTGAGTCGAGCGATGAAAAGATTAGAAGATACCAACAGTGCTCCTCTCTCCGAAGTTGAGAAAGAGAAAGATGTTCCTTCGCTCAAGCGTCGCGCATCCATGGAACTTCCTATTCCAACTTCTGCTTTAAAGAAAACGCCTCCTCCTTCTACGGCCAAGACACAAAGACGCAAATCGCGGGTCTGGGGAAACGACGACTCGAACGTAGCGGCCGCAAAGGCAGTAGCTCTGGCGACAGCGCAACCGTCGCCAAAGAAAGTTATCGACCCCAGAACAAAAGAAGAAGATGCCCCAGAGCCGAAGAAGCGTGGTCGCAAACCCAAAGCGAAAGCAGTGGAGAAAACGGTCCCGGTCAAGAAAACGACGACAACGAAAAAGCCAAAAGCGGCGGTAGCGGCGAAGAAGGCGACAGCAACGAAAACAACAAAAACAGCAGTAACAACAAAAGTAGCGAAAAAGCCAAAAGCGGCCACGGCAAAGAAGAAGAGCGCGGCGACTCCCGTGAAAGCGACTAGAAAATCTTCCCGCACGCGAAAGTAATTTCGCGTGCAAAAATATAACACACAAATCAACATTTTAAATCTATTCTACATTGTACAACCGATTCCTTTCAATTATCATCTTTTCTTCCATGGAATCTGTTTCTTTCTACCGACGGGATCTGCGCCTAACGCAACTTTTACTGCCTCTGCGAGAGTGTTACACTTGATGATCTCCATGCCTTGTTTTCTTCCAGCTTCTTCGTTAGCTCCAGTAAAGGGCATGAGCACTCGTTTGAAACCCATCGTCGCGGCTTCTGCGATGCGTCTTTCTGCTTGCATAACGGGCCGCAATTCTCCTCCCAAACCAACTTCGCCAAAAAAACACATATCAGACGGCAACGGCCTTTCTAGAAAGGAAGAAGCGATCGCCATGGCTACCGCAACATCGGTCGAGGGATCGTCTAGTTTCAAACCACCCACGACGTTCACGAAAATATCGTTGCGTTGAACTCTCCTTCCTAAAACAAATTTTGCTAGCACAGCGAGAAGTAGCTGCATGCGCTCAAACTTCAAGCCGACTGCCGTACGCACGGCCGGCGCAACCATGCCACCACCCGAGTTATTGCCCTCTTCATCGTCGTAAGTCGACGATCTATCGTTACATAACGCTTGAACTTCCAGCATGAATGGTCGAGATCCTTGTAAAGTAACAGTCGGGGCCGCGCTAACGTCGTCAGAAATAATACGTTCACCCAAGAAGAGAGCGGATGGCGACGGCACCGGGACCAAACCTTGATCGGCCATTTGGAAGACGCCAACTTCGTCTGTGCTACCGTACCTATTCTTATGCCCGCGCAAAATACGCACGGCTCTGTCGGCGTCACCTTCTAAGTACAGAACTACATCTACGATGTGTTCGAGAACTCTAGGACCGGCGATATCTCCGGATTTGGTCACGTGACCAACTATGAACACGGGCATGCCAGACGTTTTCGCGGCGTGTAGCAACGCCGTCGCGCACTCCCTAACTTGGCTCACCGATCCAGGAGACCCGGTAGCATCTTCTAAAAATACAGTCTGAATTGAATCGACGACTAACGCCGACGGTTCTAATCGGTTCACGGCATCTAAGATATTTTCTAAACGCGTCGCGGAATATAAATACACGCCGTCCTGATTAATCTCCATGCGTTCAGCTCTCGACGCAACTTGTTCAACGGATTCTTCGCCGCTCGCGTACAAAACGCCACCTCCAGAGAACAGAGCTTCCACTTCCTCCATGGATTCCTCTCCCGCTTCGGATTCCTCGCTCGTCTTCGTCGCTTTCTTTACTTTTTTCGCCGTCTCGGTCGCTTCTTTTCCGAGAAGTCCCGCCAACTGCAATAAAATTGTACTCTTCCCGACGCCTGGGTCACCGCCGACTAATACTAAACCACCTGGCACGACGCCGCCACCTAAAACGCGTTCAATTTCCGAACCCAACGTCCCCGGCAAAGGTACTCGACGCATATTCTTCGAGTTTTTCGATTCCGGTTTCAATACTTCCTTCAATGCGCGCGGCGCGTTCGAGTCCGAAACCCACCCATTACCGACCGTGCTTTTCCTGTTACTATTTCTTTTGAAAATCAAAGACGAGGACGATTTCAGTTCCCTGTCGGTGTTGTTCGATTGTGCGCGTTGCGCCGCCGCCGCGCCGGCTCCGCCTCCAGATTTTCCTTTATTCGACCCCCCGTTCGCGTTTGAAATCGGTTCTCGAAAGACTTTCATGGAGTCCCACGCTTTACACCCGGGGCATTGGCCGTACCACTGCGAGTAATCTTCGCCGCAATCTTGGCACAAATATCGTTGTTTCGTCTTCCCCGCGGACGTGGAGGATCCCCCTCCTAGCGCGGCTGTTGTCGATGTCGAGACGTGATTTTTGTTTCCCAAACGAATGTGTTTTGTGTGTTGCGGCATTCGAATCATTCTGTTGCAGAACAAGCCTCCGCTTGTCCGCCCTTTGAGGAGGAACGACGACGATAAAAAAGAAGAAGAAGAAGAACGAGTGGATATCATCGCTTTTCTGTTGTTATAATTATTAGTAGTGTTTCTACTGCTTCTGCCGATGATACATCTTCGCAACAGGAAGGTGCTTTGATGCGCGACTGCTCTAAACGCCATTTTTGTGAACAAACTTTTGGCGGGAAGTCGTTTTAAATACTTATTTCAAAACATATAAATTTTCGATACTCGTTCTCATCTAACCACCACCACCACCACTACTACCTTCGTCCAACTCTTTCTTCTTCTTTGTCTTCTTCTTTTTCTGTGATTACCATCCGTACGAGTGCGGCCATCTGTTCGAGGGTCTTTTCTTTGTCTTTTGATCGGACATTAAAACCTTCGGGAACTTGAACATAGTTCTCGCGCGTTCCTTCTCTTCCTTGGCGTATTTACTTTTGAACGCGTCAATCATCCACTCGACTTCCTCGATTTCCTCGTGGTTCGGATCGATCGATTTTGCGGTTTGTAAATCTTTCTTTGCCTCGGTAAAATTCGCTCTGTACACGTGCGCTCGAGCTCTTCTCGTGTACAGCTTGAAATTTCCCGGCGGTTCCGGCCAAACCTCCTCGGCTTTATTTAAACGCTCGATCGCTTCTCCGTAATCCTTCATCCCGATGCACGCCGACGCGATGTTCATTAAACAGAGCGACTTGTTTTGCTCGATTTCAAATTGGCCCATTTGCCTGTCCGCGGCTTTGATGAGATTCATAATCGACAAAGCTTGTTCGTACTTCTCCTTCGCCTCTTCAAAATTTTTCTTCGCGTACTGCAAGTTACCTTCGTGTCGTAACGTGCACTGTTCGTTCAAAGCGCCGACTAAATCTTTCGATTCGACGTTGACTTTCCGATTGACTTTCTTATCGAACTGCTCGTGCCCTTCCGCGTTTGGGTTTTTCAAGTACTCGATCATGCGATATTGCAACTCCTCTTCGTCGACGTAGCCGTTATCGACGAGATCTTTCGCATGTTGAAGCATTTCAATCACGCGAGGATTTTTCGCCCACTTCCCGAAATCACCTTGTTCGTCGTTACAAAACGTCTGGATAATTCTCCTCAAGAACTTGTGTTCCATAAAAGGCGCTATGTTTTGTTGCGCCTCGTAATCAGATTCCAACACTTTTTCTCGAAATCCACACGCCTCGATGCGATGTCCGACTCTTTCCGCTCTCCTGACTTCTTTCCTCTGATGTTCCTGAACTTTCTCTTTGTTTTCCGGTTTCATGCAAAACTGTTTGAACTGTTCCGCGAACGCGTCTTGGTCGCCTCCCATGCCTCCACCCATGCTCCCTCCTCCTCCTCCGCCACCTTCCCCGGGGTTGCCCATGATGTCCATTATTATTATATGATTTTATTACTAAAGCGGTTCATAAAAACGAAGCGTTACTGACTGACGAAAAAGACGAAAAAAAAGCGCGCGAACACAAAAAAAAGAAGGAAAATTTTAGGCTTTAGAATTCATCAGAAGAACAAAAAACTCGTGAAATAAGTGTCTCATCACTCTCATCATCTCGCCTCGTCATATCTTTCAACTTCTCCCAAACACGAAGACAGACACGACGACGTGCATTTGGTGTAAAGAATAATAAACAAGAAGAAGAGAGAATAATAATAATAATAATAATGTTTGCTGCACTCGGTACGAATAATACGTTGGGAACAACTGTCGTCTCCTCCTCGTCTGCCTCCTCTTCCAACATCAAGAGAAGAAGAAGCAACGTGAAATGCGCAGCTTCGTCGTCAGAGCGTCGTCATCGATCGGATAAAGTACAAAACAATTTCAATGAAAAGAAACAACAGACGAGAAGAGAGGTGATGAAATTCGCCGCGCTCGCGCCGGCGTTGTTTTCTGCCTTACCGGCCGTGGCTATTTTACAAGGGAACGACGAGGAAGACGAAGCGTTCTTGGCCAAGGCGAAAGCGAACAGAAACGCGAAATTACAGGACGAGAGAAGCAAGCAGGCGAAATACGCGGGCGAGAAACTCGGTCGATCGACCGGCGACGTCGCGGCGTTGCAACTCGCGGTTTATAAAATCTCAAAGGCGGGTAGTTTAATCGATCAAGACTCGATTTATGGCGCTGGAGCGGAGTTGGAGTCTGGGAATTGGGAGAAAGAGTTGGCCAAGTCTGAGTTTGGAACGGATGCGTTGACCTCGACGGTGGGAGCGTTGAAGAAAGCGTGCGCATCGGGCGATGCGAACGGGGCGAAGAAAGCGTACGTCTCTACCGCGAGCGCTTTGAAGGAAGCTGCAAACGCAGCAGGAGTCGCGGCCCAGTTAAAGAAACTTTAATAAGAGAGAAGAGGAATAAAAAAATATAAATTAAGTGCTCAGTTGTAATCACGTCGTATAAAAATCGTATATTTATCATCGCGCGTCGTTAAAACGGTTCGGATTCGAAGAACTCGTTCGCCTCCTTCGCTTTCACGAACTTCACGAGAGAGGAATATTTACCCATCAAAGGCTTAATGATCCCCCAAACCGGTTTAAACACGAACGGCGCTTCCACCAACAACACTTGCGAAATACGTTTCGGATAGTAATCGAATATGCACGAGATGAAAAACTTTGTAAAGTCGATGTCGGCGTTCTTCATGGAAAATCCTCTCAAATCGTACACGCACATCACCGTTTCTTGCTCGAAACCTTCGTTTTTCAGCTCCTCCAACCCTTCGTCCAACAGTTTTACGCACAATTTCTGCGTATCTTCCAACACTCTCGTCGCGACTTCGTGCTTTATCAACGTCACCAACACCACCGGTCTCCCCAAAACGTCTCTCTCTTTCATCAACACCGCTTTCCCCGTTTTCCCTTCCTCAATCACCGACGGTGCGTTTAAACTTTCCTTGGAGAAGTTCTCCTCTCTCCAGGTTTGGTATTTCACTATTTTTTTCAGCGCCGCTTCGCCGTCCAACTTTCGGTCTCGAACGAACCAGTCCACGATATCGTTCTCGACTCCAGAGATTTCCTCCGAGTGATTCGCTCTCAACTGTTCTCTCACTTTAATCACTTCTTCTTTCTCGAATTCGGCTAAAACTAACCCAGATTCTTTGGCTTTCTCTATGGATTCGCTGGACGCAGCGGCGTGAATAATTTGTTGTTGGTGTCGTCGTCGTCTTTGTAATGTTGTTGTTGTTGTTGTTGTTGTTCTCGAGGAGGAAGAGGAGGAAGAGGAGGAGGTAAATCCTCGTCGGGACGAGATACTTCCTCCCATCGTCATCACGGATGACGAAGAGGACGATGTCATCATTGCAGCCATTCTTTACCAATTATAATTATACTATTTTAAAAGCACTAATAATAAAACACCCAAGTTTCCTTCTGTTTTCAACGCGCGCCGTAATCGTCGTCGTCGAGTGGAGAGAGAGAGAGAGAGAGTTTACTTTGGAAAATGCGTTTTCGATTTGAAGAAGAATATTTATACACGAGAAATAAAGATATCTTGAGGAGGAGGAGAACAGGAGATATCAGATTTGGTTTTATTTAACACAGAAGACGACGAGACAAATTTTTAACTCACGGACAACTTCTTGGTCTGTCAACTGTTCAACCATCGATCGACTTCGGCGTCTTCATCATCATCATCATCATCATCATCATCATCCTCTTTTCCTTTTTCAGCGTTATTATTATTGTTAACAACAGTATCATCATCATCATCATCTTCTTCTTCTTGATCGTCGTAAAAACTATCGTCGCTTACCACGCTACTGCTCGCGCTCTCTCGGCAAAAGCTATCCTCGTCTTCGGCGTCGACGCTATTCGTGACGAACGAGAAATCGAGCTTCGGGACTGGATATCCCGGCGACATGACTCTGGGCGTTAACGTTCGTCCCCAACTGATTTCTTCGACCGGGAGACCGTAAAATTGGGAGGTTTTTGGTAATGGTGTCCATTGATTGTCTTCTTCATCATCATCTTCTTCTTCGCTTTCGTTTTTATCTTCGGACGCCGAGGAAGCAGACGAAGCAGCGGCTTCGCGAAACCTCGCCGCTATTTCTTTCAACTCGTTCGGTTTGATTTCATTTCGAAACACACGAGAAATTATCTTACCGAGCTGCGTAACGTCAGCTCGTAGCTCTGCGATTGTTTTCATCGCGTTCGCGTTCTCTCTTTTTGCGTTTGATCTCTCTAACTTTTCTATTCGTAGAGAGTCTTCGAGCGTTCGTATTTTCGTCGGGGTATTCTCCGCGCATACCAGGCACTTTACATCCTTTTCATCCTCGGCATTAGTATTATCGTTAAATATAACGTCGCGTATGAGTTCCAGACGCCCTCGAAAGAGGTTAGATTTTTGAACGACGTCGTCGAATGCCTCTTTGCACAGCGTTCGTTTCCGTCCCGGCGACGCGTTCGTTTCTTCGATTTTTTTCTTCAACTGTTTTTCCAACTCGAGCTCGCTCGTCCCTATCGTTTCCTGTCGTTGTTTTTCTGTACCATTTTGACGCCCAAAAACAGTCGACGTTGTCATTGTTGTCGTCCTCGTCATCTTTCTCCCGCCGGCGGCGGTTGAAGTTGAAGTCACCAGAAGAGAAGAAGAAGGTGTCTTCGTCCTCGCCGGTCCTCCTCGAACGAGTACGCTTTGGTCGCCGCGTTTTCGTCCTTGCGCCGCCGTCGCGGTTGGCGGATACTTCGCCAACACCGGCGGTTCTCTCGGCTTGAGCCTAGGGGCTATCGGTGGTGCCGTTTCTCTGCCGTTTGTACTCCTTTGCTTCGTTGTTGTTACTTCTCGCTTGGTTTGAGACGGTGGTGGTGGTGGTAGTCTCGCTCCGCCGCAGAAACGGGACACAAGGTGTTGTTTTGGTGGGCCGAGACTGTCGTTTTTTTTCTGTCGAGGAGGCACTCCTATCGTCGATTGCGCGCGTTGCGGAGGTTGAAACTGATGTCGTGTCTTCGTCGTCGTCGTCGTTTTATTATTACTCGTAGTATTGTTGTTGTTGTTCGTCGACATGAGCGCGCGCATCGCGCGTTCTCTCGACCCGCGCGTTTGGTTTTCGTGCAAGGAAAGACTCGTTTTTGACCGACCCGGAGGCGTTTTAGGAGGAAGAGTATTCAGCTGACTTTTTCTTTTCTCAAAAGTCTTTGGCTTTATCGTCGTCGCGCGCGATGCCGGACGCCGATGATACGGTGGTGGTGGTATTCGATGTTCTCCTCCTCTTCCTCCTCCTCGTTCTTTTCGCGCGTTCGTGTTGGTCGAAGAAGAGGAAGGAGAAGAAGAGGAAGACGAAGACGGTGGTCGTCCCCACATGTGAGTGATATTATTTTTGTTTGAAAAATGAAGGAATTTTTTTTGTCTTTCTTGTTTTTTGCCTTTTTGCCAGTCTGCTTGTTTTCGCGTATTTTTTGCTCCGCTGAGTGTGTGATTTCACTCACCAAAAAAAAAGAGGAGAGATGAAAAAAATTCGAGTTTCACACACACAACAAAACTCTTCTTCGTACCTGTAAAACCTGTAACGCGATGTCAACAACAACAACAACAGCGACCGCATCGTCGTTCTGTTCGACTTCCTCCTCTTTCGCGTCGTCGTCGTCGTCGTCGTCGTCGAAAAGTCTACAAAAAATCTCCTCCGTACCGAAGAAGAGAGGGAGCGTTTTGAGTAAGATTAGTTCTAGGACGAGAGCCGAATCGTCGTCGTCGTCGTCACCATCATCTTCATCTTCTTCTTCTTCGAACAACAACAACGAGTTTTTGAAAGCGCAAGGATTAGATGCTGGTAACGATGCGAAAGAGGCCTTCTCTAAATTCGCTCAAGAAGGAGGGTTCCCGGTTTGGTTGCCGGAAGTTGTCAACGGACGAGTCTGTATGGTTGGACTCAGCGTTGGCGCCACGGTGGAAGTCACCGAGCACGTGTCGTTGCTCGAACAAGTCCCGCATAGTTTAGTTCAATTGGCTCTACTCGGGGGTTCTATCATATATGCGTCTACAAAACCGTTCGAGTTTAATCCTCAAAACGGATACAACGCAAACCCGCAAAGCTTAGAAGGGATTAGAGATACGCCCGGGATGCTCGTCGTCGAAAAGTGCAATTTTACGCCCAAGGTTGAAATGGCGCACGGTAGAATCGCGATGACTGCGTTTACGTTACTTTGCTTGATTGAATTAATCTCTGGGAAACCGTTTTTTGGTTAATGCGAGTGTACCTGTACGACATTTACGTGCTACTAGTATTACACATGTTAAAAGCTAAAACTCGATACTTGCGCGTAACGCAATCGACAAGCCACGCTCGCTAAGTTATTCTTCTTCTTCTTCGTCCTCTCGCTCTCTCTTCTTTCCACCAGAAGAAAGAAGACTGCCGTACACTCCAGACGGAACGGACGTTTTTGGTTCATCATCATCACCTTCCTCTTCTTCATCATCAAAACCTAAATCAATCTCTTCTGGATTCTTTGGAACGTCGTCCCGATCACCGCCAACCACATGCGATTTCACGAATCCAGCAATCGGAGCCGCGTTTCTATTCTCCAACTCTTCTCTCTCGAGCAGTTTCATCAAGTCTTCTTCTTCTTCGCCTTCTTTTCCTCCTCCTCCTCCGGCTTGTGGTTCCAAAGCATCGGCTGGTACTTCCACGACAGACATGTTGAAGTGCATTTGCGAAAACGAAGCCGCGACGGATCTCTTCACACGCAACATATCGCGAAACGTATCTTCGTTGCCATTCTTGACTTCGAAGTCGTTCCATTGACCCCAAAAGGTACCATCTTGCGCAGGATTTGAGAACTGACTCGCGTGAGTGTATAAAGCTCTCGCTCGGTCGATTTCACCGAGAGAAACCTCCAGTTCAGCGTACTTAACGCAGATGATTTTGGTCGAGTTATCATCCAAACGATTCTTCTTCTTCTTTTTCTTTGTCGTACCGTTGTCGTCGTCGTCGTCATCGTCGTCTTCGATGATTTTCTCGTAGATTGATCGAACTTTACCGACGCCGAAGAAGTCCATCGCGCGCTTGACGTAAATATCCAACACCTCAATCTTATCACTCGCAGATTTCATCTTTGTCAAAGCTTGGTCATAAATGTCCATCGCGCGTTTGGAGAGACCGAACTGCTCCTCCAACTTTGCGTATTCTAAAAAGAACTCTTTGCAATCCTTTGGCGGCGCTTGCTCGCAGCACTGCTCGAATAAATCTCTCGCGCGCTCGACTTTTTTATCTTGAAATCGATCAACAAACTGCGTCAAATACGCGCGCCAAATATCAATAGAATGCGGAAATTTGAACAGGTTCACCCCGCGCTCATACACGTGAAACGAATCCTCAAAGAATTTCGATTCTTGAAGCATAGCCGCGTAGTTTAGAATGATTTGCGGAGTAGCTATGCGAAGATCGAGTATCCTTTCGTACACAATTCTCGCGTTTTCCGGCGAAATCGATTCTTCCAAGTCGCAATAAAACATCCACAGCTTGATCGATTTGTGCACTTTTTCTTGCACGAGAAGAGCGTCGTACTCTCCTTTTGTGGTATTTGACGCGTTATTTATTCTTTTTTCTTTGTTGTGATTCACGAAAAGCACTCTTTTCATGAGCGTCAACGCTTGCTTGAAATTTTTATTGCGTAATTCAAACTCGGCGTATTCGCACCAAATCGTCGCGAGTTCGTCTACGCTCTTGAAGTTTGGCGATTTCGTCGCCTTTTCGAAAATAACTCTCGCGTTGTCCAAGTCGCCGTGCACTTCGTAAAATTTTGCAAAGTCTATCCACACTTGCGAAATCGATCCGATCGATGCTTTCGCGTCAACGGTTTGAATGGCTAAAGAATACGTGGACACGATTTCTTTCGACGAGGAAGAAGACAAGAGCGAAATGCGTTTTAACCATTCGTGCACGTTGTGCGGGTTTTGTCGCAACATCACGCTCGACAAAAGAATCGGTCGACGTTCCATCAAGTGTTCTAAACGTGCTAATCGCAGCTCAATCTCATCGTTTTCTTCTTCTTCTTCTTCTTCTTCTTGCATCATTTTTGAACTCAACACGTTTTCTTCAAAGGCGGCGTAGGCGTCGAAAATGAGCGAAAAATCTCTCACCGTCATTACGGACTCTAATCCTTCTTCGTAAATGTCTCTCGCCTTTTCGAACAAACCTCTCCTGATGTAATAATCCGCTAACGATGCCCAGAGCTTACCGACTTCGTCCGTAAACTTTTTAATCGCCGTTCTGAGAATGGCCGAGACGTTAATTTTTTTTCCATCTTCGGTGTTGTTGACAGAAGTATTATTAACATTCTTGGTGATCAAATCGCAAAGTTCGAGCCACATTTGATGTTTGGATTTATTCAACAATGAGACAAAGGTCTCGTCGTTTAAGATTTCAACCAGTCTTTGACTACTTTCCGCGACGCGTCCCCGATTCTTGAGAAACGAAATGTACTCCTCCACGTGTTGAGGTTCGAACTGTACATACCGCCGATAGACTCTACACGCCGTTTCGATTGGGATCTTGTCTGAACTTCTAATAAACGGTAAATAAAGAGAGGACCAAAATTTTGAATGTTCCGTGATATCTAACGATTGCAACGCTCGATCGCACGCGCGTCTCGTTTTCGTCACCGAACACTGATCTTGCCACAGCGATTTTATGTACAGCTCCCAAATTTCAAAGTCTCCGGGACTTTCCATGTTTGCTATGCATCTCTCAAACACCAAGTTCAATTTATTGTATTGCTGTTCTAATTCTTCATCTAAAGGAGAGGTTAAAGTGGAAGCTGTTTTCAAAGCGTTCATTCTCCATCGTAAATATCTCAACCACAAGTTTCTCGATTTTGGATTCGCTTTGACGGCTCGCTCGTGAATTGTCAGAAGCTTTGTTGATGATGAATTTGTTGTTGATACTAAGAACTGAATGTACTTATCCCAAACGTCTTCAACGTACGGGTTTTGGAGCACGTTCTCTTCGAATATTAAGTCTTGGTCGGTGATTTCGTTATCCATCTTTATCAGAGACGATACCATCAAACTTTGTTTTGATGAACTTGTGACGTTCTTGATTTGATGTTCTGTAAAAAGAAGAGTTTGGAAAACGGCAGTACGTTTTCTTTGCTAAAAATTTATGCAAAACAACATTCAAACACGGCCGCTGTAAAACAAAAAAAGAAGAAGAAAAAAGAGGTGCGCGTCTTGCGGGTAAATGCAATCGACAAGCCACGCTCGCTGAGGCCGAGCAAGCCCGGTTCCTCAGCCCTCCAGAAAAATTTGGTTAAACTAATACGATGGTAAACATCGTAATTAAAGGTTTAACTTTAATAGAACAGATACTACACTTGATCAAAGCTTAATTGCTTGGAAAAGTAAAATTCTTTCCATTACTGTGCGGTATATAAACATTCCAAATGTCGAATGTAAAAAAACATTAGAACTGTTGTATTTTTGGATACGAACATAACTACACACTTGAAAAAACTTAAACACACATACCTCCGCCGGGCAGATTTTTTTCAACATCTTTGCGCTCGGGGTACTACTCATAGACATGACCATTAGGGATCTTGAGTAATTGCTGATTGAAAACAAAATCATCCGAACTTCGATCGTCGCAAGACGTTCGAGAATTTTTGTAAGTGCTTCTACAAAGCACTTTTATCCTCCTCCGATTGAAAAGAACACGCGGTCTGTGTAAAACAGAATGAGAAGAGAGAGAACCGCGCGTTTTTTGGCGGGTTGGAAATTTGAAAGAAATTGATTGAAGCCTTTGAAATGAGACAGCGGACGCTGCTGTAGTAGTAAAAGGCGACTACAGCTTTGCAAGCACTGCCTCGGGCCTGCCGAAAGAACATTCGCTTTTTTAGACTAATGAAAAAGCAAAACAACAAGTGAAAACTTGATGTTATAAAATTAGATAGAGATGTATCAATATGTTTTCGAATGAAACTCTTTCTAGAAACTAGTCTGCGAAGGAAGCTTTTTTTTCTTCACTTACCTGCGAATCCTCCACTGATAACAAGAAATCAGTGAGGGACCGCCGATGCCGAGTCCTTGCATTTCGACTCGGCGAAGCGGTTCTTGCGCAATGCGCAAGATTCGATAATTTTTTCAAGGGGTTCTGCGGCACGCCGCGAACCCACTTTCCTCTTTCCGAACATTCACACGCGGTCTTTGTGTTTTGGTTTTGTACTTAACCAAATACCAAATTGGGTGAAAATCGTATCGTTATAATAAAACAACAACAACAATAGCAAACAAACAACGCGAATAAAAGAAGAAGAATAAAAACGACGATGGTATCATCATCATCTTCGTCGTCGTCTTCGTCGTCGTCTGCTACATGTTAATAATATATACACAAGAAACTATGATGATGTCAAAGCCTTGTTGTTGTTGGAATTCAATTCAGAAGCCGTCAACTTCTTTCGCCGGCGGAGCGGTTAGAAAAAAAACATCATCATCGTCATCATCATCATTCGCAAAAGAACAAAGAAGAAGTTTAAGAAGTTTAAGTCGTCGTCGTATGAGCACACGTAGTAGTTACGATAACGATTACGAGGATATTGATAATTCTTACGAGGATGATGATGATTACGATGCTTACGATGATGACGAAGAAAAGGGGGGTTCAATTGATTCAGAAGAAGAAACAAATGTTAAAAAGTTCAACCTGGCGCTGGCTTTCGACGACGATGATGACGATGAGGTTGCAAAACGCTTTCTCGTCTCTTCTATTTATAGGATGGCTTCTGAAGAGAATTTATATACCGGCACACTCATTAACGAAGTATACGTTTTGAAATCAATCGATGATAAAATAAGAATCAAATCAGAATTCAAGACAGTAGTGTTAGACTTTCGCCGTCGCCGTCGACGAACCGGCGGCGGTTGCGGTGATAGTGATGATGATGATGACGATGATGTGAAGTACGTCAAAGTATTTCACGATGATGATGGTGATGATAATACATTGGTCGGTAAAAAAGGAAAACTTGTATCCCTTCTGCCACCATCATCTGATACTACATCTCCATCAAAAACAAATCCATCGATAACAAAGTTGTTAAAACTAATAACGGTCAACGTTTTGCAAAACAGAAATTTAGTCAAGACGGGACCGCACGATTTTTTAGCCTATCATTTATTCGCGTCTTCTTTGGGCGCTTTCAAGAAAAGGAGCGGCGCTTTAGACGCGCGACGAAAGATTAGAGAGGGATACGTGCGGTTATGTTTGTCGCAAAACGCCGAAAATGATTCAAAAGAAAATACTATAAACTATTATATTTTCTTCAACCTGTCGTCGCAAACGTCCAAGTGGAACGCGTTGCAAGCGTACGAGTCTTTCAGATTGAAAAATAACAATAATAATATCAAAGTAATACCCGTGGCTTTAGTGTACGGTGAAAACAATGAAGAGAACGAAACAATCGACCGTTCTAGTTTTGTCTGGATATTCAACAACAGAAACCATATGCATGATTTTTACCAGTGCGTGTACGCAGACTCTGGATGGCGAGAAGCGGAAACTCTTATATTTGCGAAAAAGAACAACAAAAACACGTGGCCGGAGAGGTTCCGTAAAGATTTACTGCTCGAGTTCCCGAAAAGGAGAGAAAAAGAAGATCTGGAAAGAACAACTCCTTCAGTCATCACCGTCGCTGCGTTTGCGCAAGGGGTGGCAAAGTCGTCAATCGTGTTCATAGCTCCAAACATGTCGGAGAAAAACAACAACCACAAAAACGATTGCACTTTACGAAAGCTCTTTCAATCCGCGGGAATTACGTTTACCGGAACGTCTGCCGCTTTTGCCACGAGAGCCGCCGACAGAGTGTTTCTTTCGAGCGCCTTGAATAATTCGAAAGTTAAAATTCCAGGCGTCATGGGAATACCGAAGAAAGTCATCTTACAATCCGCGCTCACGGTCATGGCTGAAGAATACGTCGAAAAAAACGAGTTTTTATCCTCAGTCTCAAACATTCAACGCGCCGTCCGAACCTACGCCGAGGCTTCAAAAGAGTTGAATTGCGCAGAGTTGTGCATCAAGAGTCAATTTTATGAACAGAACTCGTCAAAAATAACTCGGATTCGAAGCGCAAAGGATTTAGAAACGTTCGCGTACGAATGCAGGAGAAACCGTCGTTTCTCGTCGAATAACAACATCCAAAATAATTTCATTCTCGAGCCGTTCGTGGAGACTGGGAAAGTGGTTGATTTTCAATTCGTTCAAAGAGAAGAGTCCTCGTCCGAATCACGTTGGCTTAAAATTTACGTCGGCGGTATCGGACCCGAAGGTAAAATGAAAGCTTTAGATCCCGCGTGTCCCGTTGGTGTACCCGAAGGAAGAAGAAAAGGAAAAACGCACGCGTATTTAGATTGCGTCAAGGATGGAAAAACAAAAAAGTTGTTGTTCGATGAGAAGAAAATTGAAAGCGTCGTGAAACCTAGAATAGAACGGGTTTTAAATCTTACTGGCATTTCTGGCGTCGCCATGTTGCGCTGTTTCGTCAACGTAGATTCTGGAGAGTTGATTGTCGAAGACGTGGATCATTCTCCGGATATGACGGAAAGAAACGGAACGTTTTACCATCAAGCGCTGAGATATTTCCATCGCGAAGAGCGCGACAACGATTTGTACGGAAAAGATGAAAGAAGTATAAACAGCAGCAGCAGCAGCAGCATTAGTACAAACGACGGCGAAGACGACGTCAAAAACGACGAAAAAAGCATCGAAGCAATAGACGAAATAGCGATTAAAAAAGGATTAGAGAATACGAGTTTCTTCACGCGTCTGATAGCGATAGCAATGTTTAAATAAAATGCGCGGCGTGCCATAGATTTAATATTTGGATAGGTACAAACGAAAACAATTTTCCCCTACATGACCGTCAAAACGTTGTTCGCATCAAATCCTTCGCCACTCGAGGGCCACTCTCGAGCCAATCGCCATTCGCCGTCGACTTTGAATTTAACGAGATACGTTCCCGGCGGTAATCTCGCTTCGCCCGTAAACGTGCTACTCCCGCCTTCCACGAAACTCGGGTATAATTGAATTCCTCTCGTCCACCCATCGAAATCACCCATCATGATCACATCCGAAGCGATGCCGTGATATTCAACTGGCACAGTTCGAACGACAGTTGAATCTATCTCTTTTGCATTCTTCGTTAACGTCGACTCTACGAGTTGTAAACGATTGACAAATTTTTCGAGCTTTTGCTCGCCCCGCGCTCGTCGCGTCGGGTCGTCGCCGCTTTTAGCAATGTCATTCTGCGCGTCTCGAATGAGACGTAACAGCTCGCCAGACTCTTTCGCTGCGCCGTATAACAACTCGTTCGCTCTTTTCAAATCATCGTCGCGAGTTAAAAGCGTTTTCTCGAGATACTTTGCAAACGCGTTTGAAGACGCGACGCGTTCGTTCAATCGAGTTCTCAGCGTCAACATTTGATCGTACAAGCGTCGCTGCGACCCGCCTCCGAAATTGTTCGTGTTGTCCACGTCTGCGTTGTTGGCTACTCCTTTTTTCTTTTCCTCTTCTTCTTTTTCTTCTCGTTCGATCGCGGCTAATCGCGATACCGGTGTCGACGACGACGACTTTGACGACGACGACGACGAGGAAGAAGAAGCCGCTTTCCCTTTCTTCTTCCTCAACTCCAAGTTCGCCTGTTTCATCTCTTCCAACGATTTCTTCAGCTCTTGCACTCGCGAGGACGATTTCTCCTCGTTTTCATCGTCGTCGTCGTCGTCGTCAGAAGAAGACGACGAGGACATCTTCACATCTAAAGCTTTCAACTTGGCTTCCGCTTGTGCCGCGAGTTCCTCTGCGCGTTCCACCGCCATCGACGCTTCTTCCACGCGGTCGTCGAAATCGGTATTACTATTGCTGTTGTTGCTACTACTACTACTCGACGACGACGATAAAGCGTTCGTTTTGCTCCTCGCGTTCTCATTTCTTCCTCTTTGTCTTTGTCTTCTCCTTTGGAACTCCTCCTCGTCGTCGTTTAAGAAAGAAGAGGACTGGGAGATTAATGCGCTCTTCTTCTTTTCTCGTCGTCCAATTCTTCGCGACATCGCGAGGGAGAAGAAGTTCTTCCTGCCACCGCCAAAAGAAGAAGAAGAAGACCAAGAAGAATCAGAGTTTTGGGAGGAATAAAAACGAGAAGACAAAGATTTTGGTGGTGGTGTTAAAGCCGTTTTGGTCGTCGATATCGTCGTAAAAGTCATCCTCTCTCTCTGTCGTTTTTATGCTGTGGTTCTTTGAGATGTGTGTGATAAAAAATGAACACGTTTTTTTTTTCTCTTTTTTTTCTTCGCGAGATTGTTTTTGTTTTTTTCTCTTTCTCTTTCTCTTTCTCGTTTCTCTCACCCATTCTCGGCTGCGAAAAATCGATTTTCTTTCATAAAAAAAAGCACAGAGAACAACAGTTCAAATCGAGACATTATTTTCCTCCACCTCTTCTTCATCAGGTTTTTCATTATTGCATACAACACACATACCACGCAATATAATAAGAACAACAACAAATCAATACACTACCATGGCGTCGAAGAAGCTGGCGCAAACGATCGCGCACTCGTCGAAAGAAGGGACGACGACGACAACGAAGAACGTCATCTCACAAACTTTGAAAAAAGTAGCCCCGTGGAAAATTACCGGCCCAGCGTCGGACCCGGAGTGGCAAAACGTCCCGGTTTCTGCGGAGGATTATCGCGCGAGAGCGCCGGCGTCGTTCCCGCACGAGAACGTCAAGATACCAAACTCGGAACCCGATCGCGTGTTTAACGTTCGATATTACCCGAGGGATGCGAGGAGAGCGTTTGAACCGGTTTTACACGGTCGCGAGAAGGTGAAGACAACGTATACATTATCACCGACCGAGAACGTCTTGGCTGCGAAAGAATGGGACGAGCGTTTGGGAAACGACATCAAGCGCATCGATCCGAGAGATTTCTTCCCGGGGAGGAGAGATACGTCGCAAGATTACGCGTTAAAATCGAGCGGGTATCGCGCGGTGCCGCTGTTGGAAAACCCCGGAGGCGGGTACACGCAACTGTGATGAGATAGTTTTAGTTTTATATTAGTAGGTTGTAAGAAGGAATAAATAGGAGTAGTTTACTTGAAAAGTCTTTCGTCCCTTCGTAACGTGTCCCCTCCTCTTTCCTTTCCTCTTCCACAAAAATCAATACGACGACTCTCTCAACAACAACGAGAACAGAGACCATCTCGTCGTCATCATCTCATCACATCGTCCACCACCCCACCAGTATTCGTTCAGAAAGAGAGAGAGAGAGAGAGAGAGAGAGAGAGAGAGAGAGAGAGAGAGAGAGAGAGAGAAAGAGAGAGAGAGAGATATAAAGCATGGGTCAAATTTTCAGCGCGTTGATGTCGTACTTCTCCGCGAATCAAGAAAAAGAGTACAAAATAGTCATCGTCGGTTTAGACAACGCGGGAAAGACGACGACTTTATATAAACTACACCTGGGGGAAGTCGTGCAAACGCAACCGACGATTGGATCGAACGTCGAGGCGGTGGTGCACGAGAACGTCTCGTTTGAAGTTTGGGATTTAGGCGGCCAATCGAGTTTACGAAACGCTTGGCAGAGTTATTATAAGAGTTCGGACGCGATGGTGTTGATGGTGGACAGCACCGATCGAGGGAGAATGAATTTATCGAAGCAGGAGTTGTTTAAAATGCTCGACGCGGAGGAGGTGAAGAATAATCCAAAGTGTTGCGTGTTAGTGTTTGCGAATAAGCAAGACTTACCGGACGCCATGACGGTGGTTGAGTTAACCGAGACGCTCGGTTTAGATACGATTGCGAATAGAGATTGGCACGTCCAAGCGTGCTGCGCGTTGAGTGGGATGGGATTGAACGAAGGATTGAGCTGGATCGCCGCAAAAGTTACCGGAGGAGGCGCGGATGGTATTTCCACCTTTATGGGCGGAAGATGATGGATGATATAAAATTTAGAAAATTGTTTTAGAAAATATAGCACACGGCGGTTGTGTTTGTTGTAATAGCAGCGACGACGACACGACACAAATATTTAGGAGTATCACGAAGATGGTGTAGAGCTCGAAACTGTTTCTTCCTTATCTTCTTCGTCCTCGTCTTCCTCTTGAATGTGGACGCCGCCTTTCCTGTCCTCGATACCCGGCGTTTTCGGTCCGGGCGTCTTCGGCTCTTCGATCGACGGAGGCGGCTGCTCGTCTTGTCGTTCTTCTTTCGGCGGCAAAAGTCTCGGAACCGCGTGTTTCGAGGTATCTTCGTACTCTTCGACCATCTTCTTCAACTCCTCGATGCCATCTTCTCGTTCGCTCGCGATTTGCTTGATCGAATCGGCCATTTTTACGTACGTGTCGTACTCGGCGACTTTGTACGCAAAGATCGCCATGCGTACTCTCGGCTCATTTTCTCGCAGAAAACACTTACATCGATCCAACAACATCGAAGTCGTTCCTTTTAATTGCGACTCTCTTTTATTTTCCAAAATCTCGTATCGATCGATTTCTTTAGCTTTACCGGGCGACTCTTGCTTCTCTTCGGGAAGTTGATGGAGTTTCGCCAGCTTTTCTCGACACGGCGCGAGCTGATTGAACACCTTCTCGTGTTCGTCAAACGCGCCTTTTAATTTTCTCGCGAAACTCAATTCCATCTTAGCCACGACGTCTGAAAGTTGGTGTTCGAACTTATCGAGAAAGTTTCCGTACTCTTTGCTCGTTTCGTTCAAAGAGTACGACACCGCGTTCAAGAAACCGTTGATGTGTAAAACATCGTTCAACAAATCGTAATTTTTCTTGTTCTTTTCGATGTTTCCGATATCGATACCGGAACTATTCGCTCGGTTCGATATCGCTTGCAGCTCGGACGCGAACTTCTCCGACTTCAAAGACGCCAAGCGTTGATGGCGTATGAAACTCTCCCCGTTTCTTTTCAACGTGTGCGCCACGTCACGAATAATTTCAACCGCGTACACCTGAACAAAAAGAGATACAGAAAACCTCGTTAGTCTCATCCAAGCGTTTCATAAAAGAAAAGAAAAAAAGGAGGTACCGTGTGTAACAACTCGTCGTCGTGTTGGAACTGAATGCGCGTGTTGAATACGACATCCTCGGTGAGCTGAGGATTTTTATTCAGTCTCGTTTTCTTCTGTTTCGTCGTCGTCATCATCCTCCAAGAAGTTTAACGCGCGCGTTTTTGTATCGCTTTTTTTTTTCTTTCGTCGTGAGTATTTTTTATTGGAAAAAACAAACAAGAGACTTTCGCTAGTAAATATAATAATGGATTCTAAAAACTATTCTCTTCTTCGTCTCTCTCTCCTGTGATGACTCGAATATCGCGTCATCGTCATCGTATCAAAATCATTATTATTCTTTTTACATAATCTCTTTGACCATCTTCCCAACTAAAACCATCTGCTCCTTCGCGGCCAATCGCATCGTTCGCATCTGCGTCAACTCTTCGTCCACTTCCGGAGTGACCCCTTCCGGTCGACTTCTCAATTCCTCCTCTTGTTGCTCAAATTGCACGTCTTGTTCGTCCATGCTCGCTTTAAACCCATCCACGGCGCCGGCTAATTCCGCTAACTCCACGTTTCCTTCCTTCGCGACTGTTTGAACTATTTCCTTCATCTTTTCGTCCGTCGTTTCGCCTTTTTCCGCCATGATTTGCCACTCTCTTATGATGTTATCAATCACCCCTAACGTCGGCGGCGCGTTATACTTTTGATACAACTGCACGAGAAAACTCAGAACGCCTTGTAAACTCGCGATGACTCGTTCGTCGTCGTTCCTTTTCTTCGATTCTTCCAACATCGCGTGTGCCGCCGCGACCACGCCTTCGGTGAGTACACCTTGTTCTCCAAACTCTTCGGCTTTGGCGATAACTTCCTCCGTGGTTTCGCACGAAATCAGCTGGTAAAACCGTTCAAACTCTTCCGGAGCGACGTTTGGTGGCATCGGGGAGGCGTTGTTGTACGCATCGATCGCGTCTTCTTCCATTCCGCTTTTCGTGACGATGATATTCTTCTTCATCCTTTTCGTTTTATTCATCTTTCGTCGTTGTTTTTTGTGCATCATCGTCCTCGAAAATGCATTACGATGATGATGATTCGCGGAAGAAGACGTCGTCGTCGTCCTAATCATCATCATCGGTCCGTTCATCATCATCGCAACAGAAGTAGTAGCAGTAGCACGCATCATCATCCCGTGTTGTTGTTATTCTCTTCTTCTTCTTTGTGTTGTTGTCTTTGAATAAAAGTCGATGATTTAATATGTGTGTGTTTTCTTATTAAAAAAAAAAGAGCTTCAGAAACGCACGAGAATGAAAGTTGAGAATTTGAGACCCTAAACATAAAACCAACTTTGCACGAGAGCGTGACACGTCATCACTTCCCTGTCCCCTCCACGCGCGCGCGTTGACTGGGGACCGCGCGCGCGCGAGAGGTGCTGAAAAGCGCGCGGATGCACCCATACACCTCATAAAACGTTTGCAGGAACTCGGAGCTGGAAAATACGCGCTTTTTACGTATTCTCTCTCTCCGTTTATTTTCTTCCTCGCAAAAAAAAAGAAAAACTAGGAAAATTGGGGGAAAAGAAAGAGAAAGAGAAAGAGAAACTTTTGTATCTGTATCTAAAAAACGAATTTTTTTTTGCATTTCCTCTTCACTTTCTCGCGCGCGCATTTGCGCGCATTTGCGCGCGCATATAATATCACTTTTTTTTTGCGTGCGCGCGCGCACGCGCGCGAGAAAGTCACACGCATTGCTATCATCGATAGACCTCTATCGATGATAGTGGGTGGAAGGGTGGGAGCTCTTTTCTTCATCGTTTGCTTTCTTTTTTATTATATAGATACAAATCGATTTTTGTATCTCTCCTCCCGCATGGCAGATGAATGAATGAAAAGAGCTGGGAAAGAACGGACAAAGGGGGTTCGAGTACGGGGAGTTTTGACTTGCGCGGGCGAGTTTCTCCCTTTTTTGTGTTCTTTTCTTTGTCGTCGTGTTATTGCATATCTTCTTTCTTCTTCATCGAAGAAGAAGTCAACGACGACTTTACATGGAGGAAAGAGCATTTTTTGGGAAAGAATTCCAGCCTTTCATTTTTTGAAACGGGATTTGAGTACCGTTGGGGGAGTTTTGTATCGATTAAAATCGAGAGTTCTCTCCTTTTTTTTTTTGGGATTTGATTTTTCATTACGAAAACATGTTTTTGGATTGCAGAAACATGTGACAATACAACGTCTCTCGAGCATCCATTTGCGATGCTCAGCCTATCATGACACTCGGCTCTCATGAGATCGATCGAAGAAACTTTGATAGGTGAAGTACGTTGATTTTTGATTGAAATATATCATTGAAAATACCATAAAGTGTTTAAGTTCCATATGCGTATTTTTGCGCGGCGCTGACTTGTAGCGATCGCGGTGACCGACCTTTGAAAAAAGGCGAGTTGTCCGAAGCATGCTCATGTAACGACTATTGAAATATTTTCGGCAGAAACGAATCTGGGAGCCCGTGGTGGTCTTCTATCCAGAGAAGTCTCGTGCGATGAGATTTGGGAACGGAGGAAATGGAGAGGACGTAAAGCTTGTGCGACGGTGTGTTTCTGTTTAAACATCACAGGAAATATTTAGGATGGGGAGTTATAGTTGAGTTGTAATACTAGTTTGAGTAGAAGAATAAAGTTGTTTTTTGTTTTCTGTCTGTGTTTTTTTTTCGCCAAAAAGAAAAAAAAGAGCATTTTGCAGAAAAGAGCAGACAAGGCAGAGAGAGAAAAAATTGGTTCATTATTTCTTTGCCGTCGAAAGAGAAGGCAAAAACCTACACACCCAAAGTTTTTGATCGCTCTTCAGAAGAAGCGCACGACGCACACACACTTTTGCGCGCGCACACATCATAATCATCTAAAAATTGAACGTTTTACTCGTAATAATAAACATCATGGGAGGACACGTCGTCGCAGTATTCGCAAACGCACACACGGTACGTCTTCTATTCTCTTCTTTTCCTCTTAAGTATTCTTAAATGTATAAACACATGAACAGATATTGTCGAGCAAACGAGGAGGCTATAACGGCACAGCTTTAGCGTCTCGTTCGAGCGGCAGCAAAAACAGCAGTAACTTTAAGAGCAAACTTGGGAATGGGAACACCAGACGACGACTAGGAGGATTAAAATCGCGAATCACGACGACGAGAGCTTCCGTGGAAGAAGCCGAGGAGGTGGAGCTGGACTGCATGGACCGAATGGAGAAAGCGATGGAAGTGATGACGGATAACTTTTCCACGGTGAGAACTGGACGAGCGAACCCGAACATGTTGGACAGAATAGAAGTTGATTACTACGGAGCGATGACGCCGTTGAAATCGTTATCGAACACGAATAACTTGGACGCGCAAACGCTCGTTATTCAGCCGTTCGATAAAGGCGCCTTGAAGGAAATCGAGAAAGCGATCGTGAGATCGGATTTGGGGATCACGCCGTCGAACGACGGGTCCGTGATTCGCTTAGTCGTGCCGCCGTTGACGGCAGAGAGAAGAAAAGAGTTGACCAAACAAGTCAGCAAGTTGGGCGAAGAAGGTAAGGTGGCTTTAAGAAACGTGAGAAGAGACGCGATGACGAAGATTAAAAAAATGAAGACGGACAAGACTTTGGGCGAGGACGAATTCGCCTCGTTCGAAAAGAAGATTGAAGATTTGACGACTTCGTACGTAAAAAAGACCGAAGACGCGGTGAAAGCGAAGGAGAAAGAGTTGACTACGGTTTAATTTAAATATATGATAATAACGAGAACAATAACAACAACAACAACACTACGTGTACTTTTGTTTTGTCGCGTGAGATTGCGCATCGTCGTTCTTTTTTTCTGCTTTCGCGTCGTGTTCTAGTTTTGTTTTTGGCTCTCTACGTCGTTGAAGTCTTCCTCCTCCATGGACATGCGCTCGGCTGGACTGACAATCTTTCTCCACGCTTGCGGTCCCAAGTCTCGGGCTAAAATGAAAATGTTCTCCGAGACTCGCAAAATGAAGAGTCCGAGGACGACGAACCAAATACCGAATAACCCGAGCTCTTGCTTTGACACGCAAAACCACAACGCGTACGCCGAGAGAGGCAAGTTGATAACCTGCGTGAGAGCGGCAAATTCTATTCTCCCAGTGGCAAAAACTAACCCGTCCGTGACGCAAACGCAACAATACGTTAAGATGGAGAAAAATACAATCGGCGCCACGGATCCTACCTCTGTCATTACGGTCGCGTTCTTCGTAAACATCTCCGGTTGATACGCTAAAATAGAGGCGCAGATTGCGCCAACTCCCGCTCCTAATCCCAACCCAGCTAATAAAAGTAATCTCCCAGCTTTCCTCACATAAAGCGATTCTTTACTCGTCGCGAAACCGTTCGCATTCCTCGGTCCAGCCGTGGCGAGCACGGACTGCGCGCACGCCGATAAAGGTTCCGGACAAAACTGCGCCACGGAAACGATACCCGCCACGACTTGGTGCGCGGCGATTGTAACGACGTTGATTGTCGACGCCAAAGCCGCTGCGTAACTATAAAACAACATAATACACACCGATCGAACGGATAAGACGCCACCAGCGGTGATAAATGGTTTCGAACGCGCTCTCGTAGGCATTCGAAACATCAAATTGTGATTTCTCGAAAGCTTTCGCAGAAAGATCAAAGCTCCGAACGTTTGCGAAATCGCGGTAGCAATGGCGGCGCCCGCGATGCCCATTTTAGGTGGACCAATGACTAAATACAAATCCAAAACTAAATTCAATCCTCCGGCGAAAGCGAAAATTTTCATCGGCGATTGTGAATCTCTTTGTCCGAGACACGTCGCCGTACCAACGAGCGTTATTAAAAAACACGGCATCGTGAAAGCTCTCGTTCTTAAATACGTCACCGCCGGTTGCATGACGTGAGGTTGCGTTTGCATGAGATCTAAAAGCGGCACCGCGAAGACAATCATACCAAAAGCCGCTAACACGCCCATAACAATCGCAATAGTGAGTGCGTCGGAGATGACCATCGCTAATCCTTTCGCGTCCTTCGCGTCCATATTTCTGCTCACCATGCCAGTCGTGGCAATCGTCAGAAACTGAAATATCATCGCGACGAAACCGAAAATGGACGTGTTCGGTCCCAAAGCCGCTAGATACGTCGCCGATATGCGGCCGACGCACGCAGTATCCACTAAAGTCATGACTGGATCGCACAAAACGGCCCCGAGTGCGGGAACGGCAAACTTCACGACTTGTCTCAACGTCAACGCTGGAAAGTCTATTTCTTTTTCTTTTCTGCCGTTCTGGACGACGAGCGACGACGTCCCGGCGATTGGTCTCGGGGACTTCTGTCCAGATCCCATCATCTTCGGGCTTTTTGGATCTCTCGTCGAGGAAAGCGCCGTCTCGTTGCCGCTGTTTAGAGCGTTACTACTATTCAGAGGTTGTTTGCCCATCGCGCCGTGTCCTCTGGGATGCAAACCTCCCGCGTCTTTCGATTTATCGCCAACGCGCATCGCTTCCGCGACATCAATCGGTCTGTTTTGTTTCTGTTTCTGTTGTTGAAGAAGTATTTGTTGTTGTTGTTGTTCAGAAGAACTCGCAGAAGTCGGTTTTGAATCTCCAGCGCCCATGATTTCAACCTTGGTCACTCTCTTTGTCGTCGTCGTCGTCGTCGTCGTCTTCGATAGGAGTCCCGCCGGGCGTCGTTGTTCTTCCTCTTCTTCTTCGTCTTCTCGCGAGGTCTCGTCGAAACTGTCTTCTTCTTGATCCTCTCCAAATTGATACAAGATTTCGTCGTATAAAAAAGGAACGTTTCGATCTTCTTCTTTGTCTTCTTCTTCTTCTAAGTTATCTTCTTCTCTTCTTTTGTCGTGCGCTCTGAATACTTTTCGACCTCGAGTTTTCGCGTCGTTGTTCTTACTGGTAGTAGTAAAATGTCTTCTCCTCGGTTGTCTTCTTCTCGAAGATGATGATAAAACTGCAGACGAGCGCGCGAACAGTCCGACACGGTTATTGCTCGCGCTTCTCGTCGTCTGCATTCACAACTTTTAAACGTTCTCCTCTCTGCCCCTCTTTTTCTCTCGCGTCGTCGTCGTTAATGTTGTTGTTGGAATCACACCAAGACCTCTCCTTCTCTTTGTACTCCTCTTCTCTCGTTTTTCTCGATGATGTGAAAGTTCTTTAGAATTCTTGTTGTTGTCGTTGGTAGATGATAAAATAAAGCACTCTTCTCGAAAGAAGAAAGAGAGTTGTTGTTGTCGTTGTTACGCTCTGTTGTTGTCAAAGAAGAGAGAGAGAGAGAGAGAGACTATGTTTTTATACTAATAATAAAGCTTATAAAAGCTTTCGTCGTGCAACAACAAAAAAGAGTGAAGCACAAAAACTTCTTCTTCCTTTGACGACAGAAGAAGATGTTTTTTTTTTGAAGACTTTTCTCTTGAGAGATTTTTTTGCCACACAAGAACAACAAAAAACTCTTCTCGTTTGAAGAAGAAGAAGAAGACGAGAAGAAGAAGACAAGAAGAAGAAGCAAAAAAAAAAATGCATCGTCAGAAAAAAAATGGCATCGTCTACATTTAACTTCGACGAGTTGGCAAAAGAAGTCCTCTCCTCCCAAAAGCAAGAAGAGATGAAGACGGATAAGGAGACAAAAAAGGAAAACGACGACGACTGGCAAAACCACCCGATGTTTTGGGAAAAAGGCGAAAACGGGAACTGCGAAGATTGGTTCGACGAAAACTCGGACGAGTTTCAAGCGTTGAAAGCGTTGTTACACGACGATGATGATTTGACAATAAAAGAAAAAGCGGAGATGCAAAAGCAGAAAGGAAACGCGCGGTTGAAATATAAGATGCAGAAGATGTACGCGAGGAAAGCGGTGGAGGAATACACGCTCGGGATTGCCTTGTGCGAGGACGCTTTAAAACAAGGAGGGCGGCTTTTGGTGGAAAACAAAATTGAAGAAGACAAAGAAGAATTGAAAGAAGACAAAGAAGAAGACAAAGAAGAAGAGAAAGAACGAGAGAGGAAAGAGATTCAAACGATTCTCTCGCAATTATATAACAACAGAGCGTTCGCGGCGTTGAATTTAGGAAACAACAAACGGTGCATCGAAGACGCGGAGAAATGTTTAGAGCTCGACGAGAGGAACATCAAGGCGTATTTTCGAGCGGCGACGGCGTGTAAAAATTTGTTCGATTACGAGCAATGTTTGAAGTTTTGCAAGAGAGGCTTAGAGGTGGAAAAAGACGCTCCGGAATTGAAATCGTTGAAGAAAGTAGCTAAAAAACGATACGAGATGGAAAAGGAGGAAAAAGAGAAGAGGTTAGAGATTAATCGAGGCTCGGAGGTTTTGGCGAAAACGTTGACGCGGACGAAGAAAATCAAGTGGGGGCCGCCGAGATTACACACCGGGCAAAGGTTACCAGAGTACGACGAACAGGCGAACGTGTTTGCGTTTTTCACGTTAATCGTGTACCCAGAATTCGATCAAACCGACGTCATTCAGCAGTTCAGAGAGAACGATAGCTTTAAAGCGCACTTGGACGTCCTGTTCGATCCGAACGGGCCTCCGTTACCGTGGGACGAAAAGAATGAATACGACAGAAATTCAGTCGGGTTATATTACGAAACGAACGCGGTGAAACCATACGAAGAGGAAGCGCTGGCGATGAAAATTGCCGAATACGCCGGTGGCGACGTGAAAGAAACGATGATGCAAAGCGAATTAGAGCTGAACTTGGAAGCGCACAGAACGGATCCGAGAGATAGAAAATTCGTCCAGTTGAAAAGCGAAAACTGGACGCTCGCGGACGTCTTGAAAGAGAAAGATTACGTCGTCAGCGGTCACCCAACTTTGTTTTGCGTGGTTAAAGGCAGCGCGTTCGAGAAGAGGTTTTTGGATGGACAGTGGACGTATTAATTGTATCGTCGGTGTTTGTTTCCTAGTTCCTCCTAGGTACCACGGTACAGGTACATAGTATTAGTATTTAGTATTACTTAGTAGAAAATTTACATTGTTCGTCGTCGTCGTTCGAACGCAAAACAAAATCTAAGATCCGCAACATCTTTTAAACCGTTTCCCACTGTTACACGGACACGGCGCGTTATTCGAATACGCGCCTTTCAAATTCCTAGCCTCTAGTTTCATGTCTCCGCTTTTTTGTAAATCTCGCACGATGTTCTCAAAGTCCGCGACGGATTTGGGTAAGCTCGCGCCTTTCTCTAGAACTGCTTTCCGAATCTTCCCAAACATCAACTTCGTCGTCGCGTGCGCTAATATCACTCGTTTCACCTTATCCGCGGTAATTTCATCGTCCTCGCATAATCTCGCGACCTCGTTCAGTCTCGTTTGCCTCTTCCCGATGGACGTTGGATCCGTCAACTCTTTTTCCGTGAGTTTTGTGCAAATTTTTTCCAACTGTTTCGAACTCAGACCGATTTTATTAAACCCGGAACTCACATCAGAAGCGACGTTCGTGCCTTCCTCTTCCGCTTTCGAGAACATCTGAACGAGTTCTCGCAGAGTGAACGTTTCCGGTGGGAGCTCCATTTTATTATTACTTTTTACTCCGAAGAACCCTTTGACGGTATCGAACATACTAAAGTTCTGGGGAGAGGAAGTGGAACTCACCAAACTCTTGCTTTCGTTTCCTCTTCTTCTTTTCAAAGAAGATAACGAAGAAGGGAGAAATTTCTGTCGCTGCTTCCTCATCATCATCAACGTCTTCATCATCGTCTCTCTCGCTCTCACTCTGTCTTCATCCTCGGTTGCAAAAAGGAGTTACTATCATCCGCCATAATAGTAGAGTTCGTTGTTCGTTTCTGAGAAAAAAGTGAAGAAGCAAGAGGAGAGAAAAAAAGAATCAATTTCCTCAAAGAAAGAGAGAAAGAAAAGATTGATGTTGTCGTCCTCGTGTATCAGACGAGGACAAAGAAGAGCTTTGGGACTGTCGCGTTGTTTGTTGCGAAACGCTTCTTTGTCTTCTTCTTTTTCGTTCGCGTCGTATTCAACGAGAAGAGAGCGACGACAACTTTTCAAGGAAGAGCAAAAACCGGAACAACAACACGATGATGACACATTCTTTCCGGAGAAGAACGAGAGAAGAACGGCGTACATAGAAACGTACGGGTGTCAAATGAACGCCGCGGACAGCGAAGTCATCGCCGCCGTGTTAACCTCGCACGGGTACGAGATCATAGAGAGCAAAGAGAAAATGATTTCGATGACATCTCCTCCGGAAGTGATTTTGGTGAACACGTGCGCGATACGAGACAAAGCGGAGGAACGAGTGAAAACGAGACTGAGACAGTTTCGCTCTGATACTACGAAGAAGAGTAGTTTTAGTACTCAGCAAAAGAAGAAGAAGAAGGCAGTCATCGGGGTGTTGGGATGCATGGGCGAGCGCATCAAAGGTGACTTGTTGAAGAAAGACTCGAAGGGTGTTCGGTTGGCGGATATCGTGGCGGGACCGGACAGCTATCGAGACTTGCCGAGATTGATTGAAAACGCGATATCGAATAATAATAGTAATAATAGTATTGGTAAGAAAGAGAAGAAGAAGAAGAAAGAGGATGATGACAACGAGGAGAAGAATGACGATGGAAACGAATCGTCGCGAAAAAGATTCGAGCCGAAGATTACGGAGACGATGAACGTCGAGTTATCGACGACGGAAACGTATTCGGAGATTTTCCCCATGCGAAGAGGTCGAGTGGAAGATATGAGCACGTCCGCGTTCGTAACCATACAAAGAGGCTGCGATAATATGTGCGCGTTTTGTATCGTTCCGTTCACGCGCGGGAGAGAGCGTTCGCGGGATTCGGCGTCGATATTAGAGGAAGCGAAGAAAAGATTTTACGAGGAAAATGCGCGCGAGATTGTTTTGCTCGGACAAAACGTAAACAGTTATTCGGATAAATCGCACGCCGCAGCCGCAGAGGAAGAGTCGTCGTCGTCGTCTTCAAACACCGCAACAACGACGACGTCGAACGAAGTATATGCCGAAGGATTCAAGAGCGTGTACATGCCGAGTAGGAATCATGAGTACGATTTCGCTAAATTGTTGAAGGACGTGTGCGCCATCTCGCCGGAATTACGCGTCCGATTTACATCGCCGCATCCCAAGGATTTTCCGGATAATCTGCTCCAAACGATTTCCGATACACCAAACGCTTCAAAGTTGTTACATATGCCGGCGCAGTCTGGATCGACGTCTGCGCTTGAACGAATGAATCGAGGATACTCGCGCGAAGCGTACATGAATTTAATCGACAAGGCGAAAGCAATCATCCCAGACGTCGCGTTTAGTTCCGATTTTATCTCTGGTTTTTGTGGAGAAACTGAAGAGGAACACAAAGACACCATTTCACTTTTAAAGCGAGTGCAATACGAACAGGCGTTTACGTTCGCGTATTCTTTGCGAGAGAAAACGGCAGCGTCGAAAAAATTAACCGACGACGTGCCCGAAGAAGTAAAACAGAGACGATTAGCAGAAGTCATTGAAACGTTCCGCGAAGCGGCCAAAGAGAAAGCAAAGGGCGAAATCGGGAAGACGCACTTGGTTTTAGTCGAAGGAACGAGTAAACGTGACGATGCAAAAGCAACGGGAAGGGCAGATAACGGGAAACGCGTCGTATTCATGAACAACGATGAAAGTAAGAAAGGAGAGTACGCAGAGGTGCGGATTCGAGAAGCTGGCATGAACACTCTGATCGGCGATTTCGTGAAGAAAACAACCGCGAAAGCGTTTTACGATGCAAACGCAGGGAAAGCTTGGTACGCGTAGTAGGAAATATATATAATAAATGTAATATTTGTATAACAATTTAGACGGCAATCGCAAATCGACAAAAGCGTTCCCGGATTTATTCTTTTTTTTTCATTTGTTTGGTTTTAAATAGTGTATAAAAGTATAATCCACATCATCAGCACCATCATCATCGTAAAATACAACAACGAAAGGTGACGATAGATTGATCAGTAATGAATCTGTTGTTGTTTCTTTACGCCCGCTTCAACTTTTTCATGATGTCTTTGCCGTGCGCGGCGTAAACCGCCAAGGCGAGGATGGCGCCCATCATTCGCATGCTTTCTTTGTAGTTTTTGCACGGCGTGATGGCTTTCTCGGTGTACGCCAAGTACATCATGGACAAGATAGCTCCGACGCGAACCTTGGCGAAACCAATTTGCTCGTTCTCAGTCAAGTACATTTGAGCGAAAAGCAAACCGAAGATGAGACCCATCAACATGACGGCGCACCAGTCCAGTTGCGCGTATTCGACGGCGGTTCTCTTCCCTTTCACATTCGATACGGCCGCCAAAAAGTCAGTCGTGATCATTTGAAGGAAAAATGCGAGGCATCCGAGAGTCATGCCGAAGAGACACTTCGCCGTGGTCGTCGCCGGTTTGTACCAAACCGAGCCCGCCGGCAAGCGAGAGGTTGAGCTGACGGACGAAAACAAACCGATGAACACGAAGGAGGAGATGAGGCCAGCCGTGTATTCTTTGGCAACCACCGGAATGGCGACGGTTCGAATAGACTGAGTAGAATGCGCGATTTGCAAAGTCAATCGTTGGCACGCCATGATTAAGGCCGTGTTGCAGTATCTCAATCTCGCGCCTTCAGAGCACTTGAAGCAGACGTAAAACGCATCCGCGAGGATGGTGCACAAAAACACCCCAGTCCACGACGCTCCAGACGCTTGGACGACGGACGCTTTTTTCAAGCCGTAGAACTTAGCGCCGAAACTTTCGATCGGTAAACCGATTTTGTCGCCCAAAAGCATGACGGCGTAGTATAACCCCATCAAGTTGGAAACCAGGATGACCTGTTTGTTGTGTACGTTGAGTGTTGAATTGAATGAGAGCACCGGTAATTTAAGTATTTGAATTATTCCAATCGTACGTAGTAATAATTGTCGAATTTACTCAATTCTCCAATTCACTTTCTTTACTTTGAAACAACGACGAAATTTATGAACGACGACGACAGAAAGAATAAAAATGAATGAACTAAAAACTACTCCTTCGCTTTTGGCAAAGTGTCTCGAGCGATAATACCTTTTGCGAAGATGTAAGAGAAGCCCACATGTTTACAACAGAATTGAGAATTTGAATGAAGAGATTTCATCATCATTCCACGTGGCAAACAGACCCCCCTTTTTTTTTTTTTCAAAAAAACGAATAAAATGCTCAAAAGTGATGAAAACGCAGAGGTTTGTGTTTTTCTCGTATTCAAAAATTCTAGGTAAGACACCGCGACTGGTATAGGTATGTGCTGCACACGTGCACACGATGCACACATCAACAAATTAATCGCTAAACAATAAGCTGGCAGCGGTTTCCGCGTTCCCCCCGGTCGCTTCTAAAGCCTGGACGACTCGTTCGCGAGAGAATCCAAGCTGCATTAAATTGGCGACCACGGCTTCCGGAAAGGCGCTTCTTCCTCCTCCTCCTTCTCCTCCAGCTCCTCCTAAACCACCGCCGGCGATTGGGGGAGAGACGACGCCGGAAATTTCTGTCGTTGCCGGACGCGACGGTCGTTCGTGCACTCCGCTCACTTCAGCGGCGACGTCATCTAGTGGTGGTGCTACAACTTTCGTGGTGTCGTTCTTATTCTTGTTCTCGTCGGTGGCGTTCATCATCGCGTCTTGTTGTTTCAGGTTTTCTTGATCTTCATGTTGCTTCGGAATGTCCCCTTCGCCTAAAAACGGAATCTCCTCACCAGTTGTGCCAATCTTCAGGACGTTCTTCTTCAAATCAATCACGCACTGATGTCTCTTTAACATGTCCAACCCAAAAATAAACTCCATCTTTTGTCCCTCTAACACGGAAAGAGAACACGCTAAAAACGTACTGCCGACCTTAATTTGCGCTTGAAGCACTCTTCCGACGATTTTCTGCGTCCCCACGCCTACCGCGGTACCTTTAAAGCGTTCGTCAATATCCTTTTCTAAGTTACACTGTCTCGCGCAGTCTAAACCCATGATGGACATCTGCGCTCCACTATCGATGAACACCTTCATTTTGTGTCCGTTCAACTCCATGTTGCAATATAACATAGTCACACTTCCCCAAATCAGCTCTGGCGTATCTTCCATCACTTGCTCGTACATATCGTCGTTCCGCTTTTGTTTTAAAATTCGTTCTATTTCTTTTTGCGCCTCAACGTCGAACGGGTCTCTTTCCAGTCTCGCGTACATCTCCGCTTCTTTCCTCTTCGATTGTGTTCGCGTGTTCGCTTTCATCACGTATTTCGTAAACGCCTTCACGTCGTCCTCTCTGAGAATCGTTACCAGCCCTGGAGGTAACGACGAGTCCCCATATTCCATTTCTCGTTTCAAATCAGCCATCATTTCTCTCGACTGCTTTTCTAGCTCTTCTGGAGTTTGAGGAACGCCTCCTCGCGATGAAGGTTGTTGACCGACTCCACCACCCATACTCATCATCGGTTGTTGTTGTCTTTGCTGCTTCTCCGTGACTAAAATCATATCGTCGTTTTGTAACCCTTTAGATGCGATCGTGCTCGTCTCTGCGTTCGTCTCAACAATATCGTCGTCTCCAATTAACACTTTCCCGTTGTGCATCAATATTTGTTTCTCTTCGGAAATGTTCAACTCGATGGCAATCATGGCTTGCAAATTCACCAAAGGCGCGTTCGAATCTATCTCTATTTGCGCGATGTTGGATTCGTTCGTTTGATTGCACACGGTTAATCGCATCTTTTTTTCGGAAACGTTAGTGTTGTTGTTGCGTTCAAACTATTCTTATTCTTTTTAAGATTGTGTGTTTGTGTGTGTGTGTGTGTGTACTCTTCTGTGTTCTTCTCTTTCGAGTGATGATTTGTGAAGTTGTCTTGTCGTGTTGAATGAAACGTAAAACGAGTGTCTCGGAACGAACAATCATCAATATACGCACATGATGAGAGGGTGGTTAAAAATTAAACTCTACAATAGAAACGACTAGAAACCTATGTACGTGTATTTATGCGCGAAGACAAAACGAGGATTCAAAAGAAATCGACGCCGGTTAACTCGGCGCTTCTTTGCCACAACCACTTGGCGTCTTCTTCGTTTCTCGCGGCGTTTGTCGAGACTTTCTCTTTGCAGTTATCGAAATATTTGCCGCGATATTGTTTCGCGGTCGGATCGGAGGCGAGATAGACCGAGGTTTCCGCACCTTGAGCGGGCGTTTTCATCGTTTGGCGTATGATGTTGAAGATGATTTCTTCGTACCATTGCGGCTTTTTATCCATGTCGTAGAGGTATCTTCCCAATTCCGTATCCACCGCCCCCGGATGCAAAGAATTAACCGAGACGTAATCACAGTCCTTCTCTCGTTCTAATTTCCTCTGTAACTCGTTCGCGAATAAAATGTTCGCTAATTTCGACTGCCCGTACGATTTCCAGTTGTTGTAACTCCCCGCTTTCTCGTAAAACAGATCGTTCTTCTCCAGCTTGCCAAATCTGTGCGCTTCGCTCGACACGTTGACTATTCTCGCGTCTCGCTGACTCTCCAACAGTTTCGGCAACACCATGTTCGTGAGTTTAAAATGCCCGAGATGATTTACGCCGATTTGATATTCAAACCCATCTTTGGTCTTCATCTCTGGCGTGGCCATAACGCCCGCGTTGTTGATTAAAACGTCCAAGCCGTTTTCTGAATCCATAAACTTCTTCGCGAACGCTTCGATGGAGTTCTGGTCGTTCAAATCCAACTCTTCGATTTCTATATCTACTAATCCACTATTAACACCGAGCGTTTGTGCTAAACTCTCTCTCGCTTTTTCCATTTTCTCTTTATTGCGAACCGCGCAGATGACTTTGTAGTCTTTTTGTAACATCGCCAGCGTCGTTTCGTACCCGATGCCGGTATTCGCGCCGGTTATTACGCACGTTTTTTTCTTCCTTGCATTCTGAACACTTTCGACGTCACCCCCCCCGTTTGCTGATGAGGACGACGACGATGAAGACGCTCTGGTGTTGGTAAAAACAACCCCGACTGCTCTTCTGCGCCTCCTCTTAAAAGCCGTGCGACGAGTCGTCTTTTCAGGAGTCGTCGCAGCAGCGGCGGTGTTCTTCGACGAGTAACTTTTGGTGAGAGTAGGAGTAAACATATCTCTCCGTTGCTTGTGTGTTGCGTAAAGAGAAAAGTGTGGATTTCCCCAAAAGCAGGAAAAACTTCTTTTCGTGCGCGCACACACAAAACAGGCGAGAGGAATACTCGTCGTCATGAAAGAAGAAGAAGAAGACAAAGAAGAAGAAGAAGAAGAGAAAGAACAACAACGACGAAGAAAAAAAGAGATTTCTTTGTTGCTCTCCAAGTGTCGCTCTTTGTTAGAGCGTGCGAGAAGGACGGTCGCGGAAGCGCGGATTGGATTTTTTACTCACCCCCCCGGAAACAATTTTGTTGGGAACGAGAACGAGAACGAGAACGAGAACGAGGACGTAAACGAGAAGAAGAAGAAGAGAGATGCGGCGATGACGGAGAGTTTAGAGCGAACGCTCGAGGAGTGCTCTGCGACGGTCGCAGAAATCGAGAGGAGAGTTTTAGTATTCGCAAACAACAACAACAACAACAACAACAACAAGAACAACAACAAGAACGAGACCAAAATCGTCCTCGTGTTTAAAACAGAAACGAGAACGATACGAAGAGAGTTGGAGGAGGTGAGGAAACACTTGACGAGTTTCAAATGCGACGACGACGAGAAAAGAAGAATACCACCACCGTTAATCCCGGAACCGCAAAAAGACGCGTCGAGAAAAGAGCGAGAGGACATCGTCAGAGAGGCGTTGCGCGAAGAAACAGACCAGTTTGTGTATTGGAAGAAGTCGGCGAAGATGTATTTAGAAAAGGCGAAGAAGAAGATGAACTCGGTGGCGACGAAGACCAAGACGGCGGTGAAGAAATTCGCCGCGACGACTGCTGCTACTACCACGACGACTACGACTAAAAATGAAGAAAGATATAGCGACGCGCAGAGGCAAAGAGAACGGCGAGAAGAGGAGGAGATTCGACGCTTGCGAAGGTACGGGTACGAGAACGCGACGACGAATAATAATACCGGAGAGCAGAGCGTGTTCGAAGGAGATTTAGACGAGAAAAACGAAGAGGAAAAAGAAGACGACGACGACGCGCGGAGGAAAGCGTTGTTCGCTACGATAACACCAACAGTAACGACGATGACATCATCGCTTCCAAGCAACAACGACAACAATAACAACAGAAATACCGACAACACTCGTTACGACATCAACGCCGCTCGAAACTCCACCCTCGCCGCCAACCGTTCCGCCATCGCTTTAGAAGACAGTTTAAAACAAGCTGAACGCGCTGAACAAGCTGGGAGAGACACTTTAGAAAACCTGCGACGCCAACGAGAAACGTTGCAAAGAACCTCGGCGCAGATGCAAAACGCGAAAGATACCGTGGAAGAGAACAGGAAAATCGTGAAGAAAATGAGCCACTGGAGTCGTTTAGGTTGTTAGAGAGAGATGCAGAGAGAGAGTCGTTTTAGTAGGTAGTAAAAGTAGTTCGGACTTCTTCTTCTATTTATAGTATGGTCGTGTAAAAGCCCCTCGATGATGTACCTATGGTGTATTATTTGTACTCCGCGTGCGTCTTTTGAGAAAGGCACCTTTTTTTTTCTCTCATCGTCATCGTTAAAAAATCGTTACGACGACACAAGTTTGACGCGCTTCTTTGTTAAGAAGAAGAAGAGATGGACATCGTGCACAAAATGCGTCTGCACGCGTCCGTGGACCAATTATGCGTGGACGATATCAACGCTTCAAACATTCACGGCATGTTGCAGTTCGCGAGAGAGGATTGCTTTTCGATTAAGAAAGATTTAATCGACGACTGCGCGGAACACGTGACGAGACGAATCAAACACGATTCTCAAAACGTTCGAGTGAAAGCGTTGAAGCTGGCGTCGATTTTAGCGAGAGAAGGACCGGAGGAGATGAAGTTATGTCTGAGCAAACGCGTGGCAAAGATACTAGGAGATATCGTCGTCGATAACGGGGAGAACTTTGGTAAAAAAACGTTCGAACACGCGAAGGACACCACGGAGTGTCTGTTCGGCAATTTGACGAAAACGAGCGGGAGCGCGATTGGTAGCGAGAGTAGTAACAGAGGGAGTGATTCCGCGAAAATTGTCGGAATATCCGGACAACACTCGCAACAACACTCGCAACAAGCCTCGCTCACCGGTCTCGAAGTCGCGTCCGGTTTACTTCGCACGGCGGGCGGAACGGCGATGAACGTGGCGGAGAAAATCGGAGCGCAAGTGAACGAAATCGCAAAGGAGAAAGAAAAACATCGAACGAAAGTGGACGAAACGTACGAAAAGTCTGAGATGACCGGTGGATCGTTGGCGGATGCCATGCGAGGAAGAAGTGGAACGACCGCGAGCGGACCGTGGGGGAAACCGGAGGAAGAGGAAGAAATAGCAAAAGTAAAACCAGAAATAAAAGCAGAGCAAACAACGATGACACCAACACCGTTGTCTTCAGATCCTCTGGCGGATTTGCTCGGGATGGCGACGAATTTTAGTAATAGCGGTAGTGCGCGCCAAGGAGAACAACAATCCGATTCAGAAGTGAAGCGGCGGCAGAAAGCGTCGGAGTGGGTGCTCAAAGGTACCGGTCCTACGAGAGCTATGGTACAATCACCACCGCCACCATCAGCAATGCCAACGTTAATACCGTTGGATGGATCCGAGGAACAAAAACGAGTCGACTCGTTGTGTGGCGTTGCCGGAGTAAAGCTCGTCCCCGACGAAGCCGAACTCGCGCAACTCTTTGAACACATCGACAGGAAAGGATTAGAAGCATCTTTAATCGTGCGAGCGCTGCTTGATAAAATAGCCTTCGGGTACGACGCTGAGCTCATGGACGCGCAATCTGGATGGAAGTGCGCGAAAAAAGCGCTGGGTTGTGTGTCTAAAGCGTTATCTCGACGAGACTCCGCTTTAGCGCACGCGTTGAAAGAGGATGAAAACGTAAAGTTGACCCTTCGCAAGACGATGGAAATCAAAGGCGTGAAAGATACGGTGAAAAAATCTGCGGGCGAGATTTTGAAGCAATTGGACGAAATGGACGCCTCGTTCTTCGGAACTACTAGTGAGACCACCACGGCTCCTCCTCCTGCTCCTCCTCCTTCTTCTTCCTTTCAGTCGGGAGGATTAGACGCTTCGCTGTTCATGGTCGATGCCGCGAGCGATACGAACGACGCGTTCTTTTCGTCCATGGCAGGTACGACGACAGCGGCAGCGACGACGACGACGGCGAGGACAAACTACGACGCACCAAAAGCTCCAATGACCGGACCAGGTTTACAAGCTTTAGCGGAATTAGACGCGCAGCAGCAGCAGCAGCATAATAAAGATGGGACGAGACAAAAACAAGACGTGACGAAAGCGTTTGCGTCTTTGAAATGGTAAAATTGAATTTTTTATATAATTACAAATAACTCTCTCCCTCTCTCTCGGTGTAGTGTGGTGTATACGATGCCGCGCTTCTTAATCCTCCTATATTCTCTTTCTATTTATTTCTTCCAAAAGCCTACGCCTGGTACCTCCCGACGATTTTATACTTCGACTTGAACTTTCGCTCCCAATCGTTGAGAACTGAGAGCTGTTCGTCATCCAAATCCGACAAATCCGTATTCTCCACGTCCTCGATTTTCAAAGACATCAGCGCTAACGCTCTCGAGGCGTCTCTCCCCGCAAAATTCGCGTACGGTCCTTCCGGTCCGTAGAAATCTTTCGCCGCGGTCACGTCGTAGACGATATCTTTACAGCACAAATATATCCTCTTTTCCTGAGAATGATTAGTCCCTCCCCCGGTATATCTCATCAACTCCTCTCGAGTTACAATCACGTCTGGGACGATGACTAAAGATTCCATCTTATCCTCCAAAGAGTCTCTCGGAGAGATGTGGAGTTGTGATGATTGCCCTTGTCCTCCTCCTCCGTTATTCTCTCCTCCCTCTTGGCTTTGGGCGTTCCCCATTTTGCAAAAGAGAGATGAGATGAGAGAGAGAGAGCAAAGGAGGGGAGCGTTTTTTTTTTGGGTGCGATTATGACGTCTTTTTTGTTCCTTTTTTCTTTTTCTTTTTCTTTTTCTTTTTGTGTTGGTGTTGGTGTTTGTCTTGAGCAGGGCGAAAGGCCAGAAAAGCGACGGGTCGCGGTGGCGGCGGTGAAGAAGATGGTCGGAGGAGAGAACTTTATGCGCAACTTAAATGAGTCTTCATACGTTCTGTGCTAAATTTATATTAAACTCTACTATTTACATCTTCTCAGTGAGGAGAAGAAGAGGTAAAAATTAAACCAAAAAGCTGGCGGTGTTCAACTTCTCGGCCAATTGGAGTTGAACCTTGGCGACGTTGGCGACGTACGAAACCATCATGCAATCTCTGCCGCTTTCGCCAAAGACTCGGGCGAACTGGTCGTTTGTCAACTGCGGCGTCGCTCGGAGAACCTCGGCGACTTGCCTACCTACTCTAGAATTTCCAACGACTATTGAAGAACTCTCCCCTCCGTTTTCTTCCGCGCGTATTTTGCACTCGTCCAGTAACTTTTCAATCTTTTCCACGGTTTTCTTCAAACCTTCCACGGCGCTCGAGTTTTCCGCGTTCTTTTCCGTTTTCGTCGCGCTCAACGCGTCAAAGCCGACGCGTTCCGCGAGCTCGAAGTTCGTCACGCACGCGATTTCTTGGAAACACGCGGAAGACATGCCCATGTCCTCGTCCTCGTCGTCCTCGTCCTCGTCTTCGTTTTGATGTTGTTCTTTCTTTTCCTCTTTCCCGCTTTTTACTGCTTCTTTCTTTTCCAACTCTCGCCTTCGCGCGAGCGAACTGACGCCAAAATCTAAACTCCTGCCGACCCAAGCTCTGACCAAATTATCCGTATCCTTAAACTCCACGTCGAAGGTTAAATGCAACGGCGCGGAGATGTTCATGCCCATCTCTTTGGCGTAAAACTCGTGTATTAAACTCGACGCCGGGACGATCCCGTCCCCGGTGGAATACCATCCAATCACAATCTCTTTCGGGTTTACTCTCGCGTGTAACTCAATCATCGCGCGGTGGAATTCCACGTCCAGTAAAACCTGCCCGGTGGATTGTTGCACGTTGTGTGGCACCGCGTACGAATTCGTCACTTCCAATCTGTTTGTTTTCGCGTCGTAGTGGCCTAATAAAGTGCCGATCACTCGTTCCACGTTGTCGTTGCGGCGCACGTACGAGTCGCAGACGTTGAAAATGACGTTCGGATGGACGACCGCTTGGGACACGGAACCGGAAATTGGTAAGAAGAATCCCATTATTATATTACGTTGTTATATGTCTTCTTTATCTTCTTCTTCGTATCAGAGAGTGCAGTATCTGTCCTCGAATACGACGAATAAGAAGAAGAGTTTTGCGCTTACAAAACCTTTGTTGTTCGAGGAGATAAAATGAAGTTTTTTTGCGTGCAGAGAAGAATCGAGCCCAAAAAAGGAGCGACAAAAAAACAAAGAAAAGAGATTTGGTGGTGGTTTTTTTGTCTTTTGCAAAAACCAGACTTCTTCAACAAACGCATAATATAAAAGCTCCTCTTCTTCTTCTTCTTCTCTTCGACGACGACGCGTTTAGAAGGAGCACGAGGAGGAGTAAGTGGTATGCGTAATAAATGCTCTCTGCTGTTGTTGTTATTAAAATTTGGCGGCAGCAACCTATCTCAACGCAACAAGCTCAAATCTGTGTACAATTAAATTCTTCAATAAGCAATTCGAAGAAGTTTAAGTTCTATTATTATTATATGCATAGTGGTGTGTCCGTCGCTTTTTCGTCGTAAAAAGCATCAATGGAGCTCAAAGAAGGAACATAACGACGCGTGCAACTCGCTGCCACTTTCGAGGAGGTTCAACTCTTTTTCGATGCCTGCCTCGGAGAGCGCGAGTTTCAAAGCAATCTTCTTTCGAATTTTCTTCATGAGTTCGTCAACCACGACGCGGATGCGTTTCTTAAACGCGGTAGCGTTGACCGAAGGCATGAGTATTGATGACGAGTGATCCGCTCCTTTTCGAGAACCTTCTTCCTTCTTCTTCGATGAAGAGTTATTCATCTTCTGCGACGAGCGACTTGGTGGAACCGCAAAGTCGGCGCCAGACATACCGGCACCGCCGCCACCGTGCAAACCGTTACCGTTCGAAAGGTGCGCGGCGGACATGCTTAGTAAGTTTGGCGCGAGAAGATTCTGAATCGGTTGATTAAGATCCGTACCACCAATGCTAGGGATGCTAGGGATACTACCTTGGCCACCCGCCAAGAGTAAATGCAATAACGCCGCATTTATGTTCACTTGCGGCTGAGTTTGAAGCGCAACTTGCGATTGGATTTGTTGAAGGAACAAAAGATTTTTCAATTCCTCTTGCGTTTGAGGAAGAAAAGAAGCATGCTGTTGCTTTTGTTGTTGTGCCAATACGTGCTGCTGTCTACTCGCCTCCTTGGCGGCAGCCGCAGCAGCAGCGACATTCTTCTTTTGCAGTTTGACTTGTGCCGCCGTGACGGCGTTGAGAGCGGTACTTTTACTCTTAATCGATGGTTGTTTCTGGTCCCGACTTTGTCGAACGTTCTCTTCTCGCATTCTCTGTAGAGCCTCTTTATACGTCTTGTGCAAAGTTGACTGTTCGACGGATATGTCGGCATCTTCGACAATGTCGTCTCTTTTCCGTTTTTTTTTTTCTGGCTTTTTCTTACTGAGCTCGTTTCGCTTTTCCTCTAACAGACGCGAGTAGTCTTTTCCCGAAGCGACGATATTTTTTTCGTTCTTATTTAGTTCTTGTTGCTGTTTGTCTTGTTGTCCTTTCTGACTCGCTTTGGTCTGTCCGTTATTTCCGCTCGCTCCTTTATTCATGAATGTGTTGATGTGCGCCATTCTTTCGCTCGTCGAAGCGTTCGGTAAAATATTATTCAAAGCATCCGCGGCGAGTTTTTCGATACCGGTAATATCCGGTCTTCCCCGAAGTTTCTCATCCTCTTTATCAACGCCGCCATTCGTAGCCTTGGTATGAGCATCATTCACATCCACGGCGTTATTTAAAGAAGTCTTCTTATTACCATTCGATGTCGTCGTCGTTTTCGCCTTCTTCTGAATATGACGAGCACCATCGGTATCATCTTTTTCCGCCGCTTCTAACAGCACTCGCATCGCTTCCCGTCTATCCTTCTCCTCTTGCGCTCTTCTTTCGTCTTCGAACACGTCTTCGAACACGTCGTTCTTCCTCGGTCGACCTCGTTTCTTTCTCTGACTTCCTTCACGCTCGCTCCCCTCGCTCAATAATTTCGATTTCGTTATCGTAGCGTTGTCGTTGAACTCCCGCGGCGGCGCGTCCGTTTCTACGGCGATGGTATTTCCTTCCTCTTCTTCGCTGCTCCCGGCTCGAAGGTCGTCCTCTCTCGTCGCCGTTTCTTTGTTCGAATATTCTTCTTCTTGCTCTTCTTTTCCTTCTTTTTGTGTGCTCGCGTTCTTCTTGGGTGGTGTCGTATTTTTTTCCTCCTCCTCCTCCTCAAAATTATCTAAATCGTCGTCGTTCTTAAGGAAAATTAATTGGCCAGACACAGACGAACCACCAAAAACACGTCTCGTTTGCGTCGTTGGAGTTTTTGAAGAATCGACGATGGTTCCACTCCTACTTCGAGGAAAGTTTTTATGAGGCTGTTGAAATTGTTCCCTCCCGTTGTTGTTGTTGTTGTTCTCGTTGTCGCTCATAACAGCGCTGGTAGTATCGATGATACCTTTTTTAAGACGTGTTTTTGTCGTCGTTGTCCCGGCGATTGCGGTCGCGGTCACCTACTTTATATGTTGTCGTTGTGTCCAATTTTCGCTCTCGATCGGTACAAGAAAGGACTCTATAAACTCAATTTCTTTAATGGCTTCTTAAAATTAAACACGCAGAAAGAAGAGTATTCAGAAGTTTTTCAACGCGACGACGCGAGAATGATTTTGGAGAAGAGAAAAGGAAACAGAGCGTTGTTTTTCTTTCTCTCTCTCTCTCTCGAACGCCCAACAACACCAACACCAGTACAAAGTGACGTGGAAAGAGATTTTAATTTGTATTGTGGTGAAAGCACTTTAAAAGAAATATTTTGCAAAGGGGCAAAATGTGACCCTTTTTTTGCGGACGAGTCTCGTATGATGCATATTATAAAAAATTCGAGTTCTGATATGTGCTGGGCTCACACACAAAAACGACGGCGTGATGGTGGTATGCGCGGTGCGTAGAGTACGCATCACGTATTCTCTCTTTCTCTCTCTCTTTCTCGTCTATTATATTTTGAATAATGGGGTGGTGCTTTTCTAATTCGTCTTCTCCTCTCCTTGCTCTTCTTCTTTGTCTTCTTGTTCTTCTTCTTACTAAAAAAAAGTGTACGTATAATCGCCCAATCGCTCGCGAGATTTATCAACACTCTTTAAATCGTATTCCGTCCACGCGTCATCTCTTCGGCTATTTAAAATATATGACGAAGAATTCACGTCACGTCGTCGTGGTTTCGTCGCCGATGCGCTAATGAACTCGAAGTAGCATCCTCTTGTTCTTACGTACTACATCAAGTTACAGCACTGATTTTGCTTCCTCGCTTGCTTATAAAACATCTGACTCGCTAACGACAAATCGGTGCTCTTATCGACGAGATTATCCAACTTCTCTCCTCTCGCCAACACGCTGTCTATAGTTTTGTGCAAAACAACTTTAGTATCGTCCAACTCTCTTTGAATCTTTAGAATCTTATCTGCCGCCATGGGATCTTGGTACTTCACTATCGCGTCTTCCATAATTTCGTTCCCTTTCACATCGTCCTCGGTGAGCGTTTTCCACTGCTCTTGACCAAACGTGTCGCAATAATCGTCGCATATTTTCTGTAACACACAAAACGCCGATCGAGACGGATATTCCTTATCCATCACCGCTATCGCCGCCAAACCGTTCCTATTAATCACGTGCACTAAATATTGATCCTGTTCTACCGATTGTCTCTGTCCTGGTTGCGTTCTCGCGACTATCGTTTTCGATATAAACGTGAGCATCTCCCGCACCGAGGCTCGTTGGAAATAGCCGAATTCTTCCACGTCTTCCGCTTTGCCTAAACATATCGGGTCCGTATTTTGCCCGCGCCATTTCCACACCGATAACGCCGTCACTTTCATTCTTATTATTATATCTTATTAGTATTGTCTTTGTCTTTGTCTTCTTCTTCTTCTTCTTCTTAGAATCTCTGTTCTTTTTTCTGTGGTTAAACTTCACTCTTTCTGTCTGAGGGAAAGAAACAAAAACTTCATGAGTGAAAAAAGAAGAAAAAAAAACGAAAAACTTTTCATCTGCTTTTTTGGTCTGTCTTTTAAGAAAAATGAGAGAAGACACATTACAAAAACATCATAAACGCATTCACACATAAACACCCCTTGCGCGTAGTATAATAATAGTATTTATTAAAGGAGTAGGAAAAACACGCGTTCATGGCAAAACTACTGGTGTCTTCTTCGTCGCGTTGCAACTGTTTTTGCCGGCAAAATCGAACTTCAACAACTTCAATTTCAACGACGTATTTCTTCTTGAATTCGAAGAAGAATAATAATAAAAAGAAGTCGTTAAAGTCGTCCTCGCGTAGATCGATGATGCACCCTCGCCACCGCGGGGCTGCTTTAAATAATAATAGTAATAACGATGATACTGATGCACAAAAACACGCGGACGAAAACGGATACCCACACTTGATTGTGTTTGATTTAGACGCGTGTTTTTGGAACCAAGAGATGTACCAGTTGTACGATATTTGCGAGTCGAAGGATAATATCGTGGACGAGAAAACGAATACCGTCGTCGGCGCAGTCTCGGGGAGAACTGTGATACGAATGCACGAAGGGAGCAGGAAAGCGCTGACGGAGTATTACGAAGGGAAATATCCGGGCGCACGGTTAGCGACGGCATCGTCCGCGGACACGCCGCTGGCGGTGAAGATTGGTCAGTCCGCGTTGAGGAATTTAGAAATAGCGCCCGGCGTATCCGCAGCCTCGGTGTTTGCCATTGGATGGGAGAAGGAGTTCGACGGGAACATGCAAATCGGACGGACGCCCCCGTTGAGCGCGAACAAAGCGCAGACGCACTTTCCAATTTTAAGGAAGTTTACGAACATAGAATACCACAAGATGCTCTTCTTTGACGATTGTAACTGGGGCGATCACTGCGCGGCGGTGGAAAGTCAATGCGTCGAGCCGAAAGCTGGTTTAGGACCGGCCATACAAAGAACGCCGAGAGGATTAGGCGTAAAAGAATGGGAGACGGCGTTGGCAAAGTATAAAGCCCGACACGAGCAGTATTTTCAAAAATAAATCTATATCGGTACAGCATAAATATTATTATTAACAGCGTTTAACTTAATCTGACAAGTCTTCGTAGAAATTCAGTTCCTCTTCGGTCATCGGGCCTCTGTTCTTGGCGCTGTTTCTATTCGAGCGTCGTGTCCCGCCGATAACTCTCGAACTTCCTCTTCCCGCCGTGCCTCTTTCCATCTCGCTTTGCGATAAACCGCCTCCCCAGAACGCGTCGTCTCGCATCAACTCACCCGCGGGGACGTTGGAAATACCTCTCAAAGCTTTCTCCTTGTTCTCGAAGGATTTCAACACTTTCACCGAGGACGTGTTCAACTCCAACGAACTCACCGGCTGTAAAGATTTGTATTGCACGTACGTGTAATATCCGAACAAGGAGAATAGGAAAATAATTGCAACCCCGGCGTGTACACCGGTTGGTATTTTCTTAAAGTTTGCCACCGCGTGTCCCGCGCCGACGTTTACGGCATTCATTGTTCCTCGGGCGAATTTCTTCGAGTGGTGCGCGCCAAATTGCGCCGCTTTATTCAAAGGATGTTCACGATCGTACATGACTTTATACTTGAAGTTTGAAAGCGCTTCCACCGCAGAAGCTCTGCCTTGGCCACTGCTCGGACTGCCTCCTTCACCACCGGTAGCGTCTAAAGTGGTAGTAGCCGCCGCAGATGCCTTGGAAAATTGGCCAGCAAAAGCGCTCCCCTCGCTCCCCGGTCCTTCGCACTCCCACCAGTCGTCCACGCAACTGCGCGTTTTCGGATCGGACGCTTTACACGCTTCAGGGAACGAGCCCAACAATTCCGCAAACTGATCCGTCGTCGTCGAAGAAGAAGATCCGTCTTGCGTACACGTTCTACTACTACCAGTAGATGACTCGCAGTATTGATCGCTTTCTTCGATCCATACTTCAACAATCGCCTTGTGCGCGTTGAACGCTTTGCGATGCGCCTCCTTGACACCATCTAACCACGTCGTGGATTGTTTATACAATTCTTCGTCCACTTTGTTCGTGTCGCGAAGTCTTTTCAGTACCGCGTCTGGTTCGGTGGCTAAATCGACCGAGATGCCCATTTCTTTCCTCATTTTATTTTGTTTGGAACCTTCGTCGTTCGCGCCGTACGCCAAATCCGAGATTGCGAAACCGCTCATAAACGTGAGAGAAATCAATCCGTCTAATCCCGAATCCGCCGGGATGATTGCATCGAACCTTTCCGCAATCTCTTTCGCAGACGTACCGCCACCAAACTTTGTCGCTTGAGGGTTGTTCACGAATCCATCACACGCAGTCAACACGGCGAGTTTCGCTTCGTCCTTCGCGTCCACGTTTACTTTCACCGCTTTGCCGTTCTTTCTGTCCTCTCGAAGTTGCGAAAACATGGCATCGAAGACGTCGCACTTCGCGAGTTCTGGATACGGCGACTTATTCATGATTGAATAAATCGTCGCGTCCTCGACATCTACATCCGTCGATACGTAATATTCAACAGCTGCGTATAAACGCTCCAATCCATACACCGCCGGGTCGGCGACTTCTCCAATCCATCTCTCCAAGTTCAAGTCTTTGTTATACACCAAAGACGCGTCTGAAATGACAGAGACACCGGCATCGACGCCTGCTTCTTTCAAAGCCGTGCTTTGCTTTTTCAACGAGTCCATGCTACTTCCGCACGCGCCGGCGCACTCGCACGAACCCGCGCAAATGCATTTACCTGGACGCGCAAACGCGTATCCTAATCTTTTGGAAAAGCGAAACGCCGCGAAAGATAACGTCGGGTTCGTGAGTGGTGACGCGGACACGACGCCGAGCGACTTTGGAATACCACCAAGAACTTTTGTTGTTGTTGTTAAAGAAGTTGTGTTATTTCCGTCCGTGTTGTTCCTGTCACCACCTTTGGCGGCGCTCGCGATGGCGTTCGCAACCGTTTCCTCGTTTTTGTCAGCTTCTAAAATTGCCTCGTATACGCCTTGCGATTTATCCCAGTCCTTTTCTTGTTCTTGTTCTTTTTTCGTCGGTGCTTCCTCTTGCTCAACCTTCTCCTCCTCTCCTTCGATCGGTATTACTTCATCCGTTGGGACAGGGGCGGGAGTCTCCTCAACAGTGACTTTTTCTTCTTCTTCTTCTTTCTTCTGCTCCTCCTCCACTTTGTCGGTAGCAGTTGCATCGTCATCAGTAAAATCCATGGAAAGCGCGTCAGCTTCTTGCATCGGAGCGTCTTCTTTATATCGCTCCTCTTCTTTCCCGTCGCCTTTGAAAAGTGGATCGTGGGTGTCGGATTTTCCGTCGAGCACGACTTTGTCCGGTTCTTGCGGAGACGCGTCCTCTTCCTTCTTCTCTTCGTTCACCGCGGGTAACTCTTCAATCTCTCCCGGCGCTTCTTTTTCTTCTTCTGCCGCTACTGATCCCTCTTCCGTTTGCTGCTGAGCTTGCACACTTCTTTTCTCCTCCTCCTCTGCCATCTTCGCTACTTCCTCCTCCTCCTTCATTAACGTTTCGTATTTAGAGAGTTGCTCGTCCGCTTTTTCATCCGCTTTTTCACCTATTCTTTCTCCTTCTTCGGCGGAGGTTATTTCCTCCTCCTCCTCCTTCTTCGCGTCACCCAATTCTGGTTCCGCGACTGGATCCACCGTCGATTTTTCCTCTACAGCGACCGCAGATTCATCCAAATTGTCTCCTTCTTCTCCGGAAGTGATGATGCTGTCGTTGATACCTTGTTCTTCTTCCGGAGACGTGGTCGGCCTTTCGCCCCCGTTTGGCGTTTCCGTCAATTCTTCTTCTTCTTCTTCTTCTTTCGAAACGTCATCATCGGTTTCGCCACCAGAAGAGTCGGTACCTAAATCACCCATCGACAAAGCGTCCGACTCTTGCGCTTCCGCCACTTCCTGTTCCATCATCTCTTCCTTCATTTCGTCTTCTTTCGTGTCCGGCGTCTCTGCGGTGGTCGTATCGTCCTCCGTTTCCTCCGCGGACGACGGAAGCGACCCCGGAAGCGCTTCCTTGACCTTTCCTGCTTCATCCTCGTCGTCGTCGGGATCTTCTTTCGTATCATCGTTCGATCCTGCTCGTCGTGATAAATCTCGTTCCATCATCGCGCTCGTAAACTCCTCCTCCTTTTCTTCTTCGACAAAAGGTTGTTCTCGTTCTTTTCGTTCTCGCGTATTCGTCGTCGTCATTTCCTCCTCCTCCTTTACTTCTTCTTCCTCCTTTCGTTTTTGTGTTCCAGAAGAAGGTGCCGCGCTTTCTTTGTCTTCTTCTTTTCGTCTCTTTTTTTCCTCCAACTCTTTCGCCAACAGTTTCATCTTTGCGCGTTGTTTTTCCTCCTTTTGTTGAATCTCTCTCTGTTTCTCTCGTTTTTGCGGAGAACTACTGCTGCTCATCCTTTTCAGAGCAGCGCGCGACGACGGCGTTTGTCGTGGTCCCACGCGATTCGCGCGGACAAAAATCCCCACGCTGGAGGAGGACGATTTGGAACCACCAAAATCATCATCATCGTCGTTAAAAGAAACACTCACGAACACCAAAGAAACGAACAACAACAACAAAAGGAGTCGTTGCAAAAAAGAGTAGTTTCGAGTCCTATTCTTGCGAAAAAGTATTCTTCTGTTTCTTCTTCTTCTTCTCCTCGGAATGTTGTTCTCAGTAGTAGTATTCGTGTGAGTATTGGTTGTTACATCGGATGTCATCATTTTTTTCTTTCCCTTCTCCCTTTATCAAGTGTTTTGTCGTGCGTCCTTTTCTCTCGTTTCTCTGATGATGCGTGATATTTTTTGTCCTCCTTTTTTTTTGAGATGCGGCTGATGAGAATTTTTATCACGAGAAGAGAAAGAGACGAAAAGAGAAAAAAAAAAGAGGAATTTTGATGGTGCATTTTTCTCTAAAAAAAGCCAACTGATGGAGAGAGTCTGTTGATGATGATGATGATTTTGATGCGATTAAATAATCGATGACAACGCGACGAAAACAGAATGAGTGGTGGTGATATCATTTTTCGGGATGATCGTCGTCGGCAGCTCTTGTTTTTGGTTTTGTTCTTATTTTTTTTCTCGAGAAACGTGAGAAAAGTTTTAATCTCGTTAGAAGAAAAGGAGGACGAATCTTTGTCAAAATCATCGAATGATGCAAAAGTGGTGCCGATGGTGATAAAAAAGCTCGAACGGTTGAACCACGGACCGATGAAAACGCTCGACCCGTTCTTGTTTTTAGTGTACCATAAAGATTTTTACCCTCCCGGGGACGAGGAGATGGGTTTAAAGGGCGATGCGAGAGGTTCGGGATCAGATTTTGTACCAGATATCCCGTATCGATTTTACCACGGACATCGCATACCGGGCTTCCCGAGGCATCCTCACCGAGGGTTTGAAACGATTACCGCGACTTTGGATGGCATCATCGACCACACGGATTCTATTGGCGACGCGGGGAGGTATGGAAAAGGTGATTTGCAATGGATGACGGCGGGGTCTGGGATTCAGCACGCGGAGATGTTTCCGCTCGTCAACGCGGACGAAGAGAACCCGTTACGATTCTTTCAAATCTGGTTAAATTTACCGAGTTGGAAGAAAATGAGCGAACCAGAGTTCGTCATGCACTGGAAAGATGACGTGAAGAAGATAAGGAAAAAAGGAAAAGAGTACGAGATTGTCGTGTGGGTCGGGCAATTTGGCGACGTTAAAGTGAACTCAAATTTGAGCGCGACGCCTAAGAATTCGTGGGCAAGCGACGAGGCGAACGACGTCGGCGTGTTTTACGTTGAAATGTACGCAGAGAAGAGCCGAGAAGAAGTTCGAGTTCCTAAAGCGAGAATTGAATCAGAAGCAAACAGGTATTTATATTTCGTCGAAGGCGAGGAAATGATGATTAACGGACGCGAAAAGATTCAAAAAAGAACGGGGTGCGAACTCGACGCGTCGCAATCGTTCACCGTAAAGTGTACGAAACTGAGTCAAAGTCAAGAAAGTATTAGAGATAGCGATAGGAGTAGGAGCAGTAGCAGCAGCGGCAAGAATAAATGCGCGTTTTTAATCCTTCAAGGACGACCGATAGGAGAGCCTATTCGGTCCTCCGGCCCGATGGTCATGAACACGAACGAAGAGCTGCGCAAAGCGTTTCAAGATTTCGATCGCACGCAGTTTGGAGGGTGGCCGTGGAAATCAAACGACGTCGTGTTTCCGAGAGCAAAGGAAAGATTCATGAGCGTTGGAGGGAAAGAAATTTTCGCGCCGAAATCAAAGCGATGATGTAATAATACTAAAAGTAGTAACTTTTGATGAAATCGAATCAAAAGCATCTAGTTCCTCATTTTTTTTATCCCTTCTTTGCGGCCAAAATTATAAAGTAAGTCACGCATAATATGCTGCGAGAAGACAGAAGAGAAGGACGATAAAAACGAGAACAACGACCTGAAGACGATGAGATATTCACGATGATGACGATGACTTTACTCGAGGAGCAGTAGTCATGGGACTGGGATACCCACTCTCTCCGAAATCGAGAACGAGCGACATTCTCGATTCGTTTTGGCTCTGGGTGGAAACGTTAGGCACCGTCGTCCAACCGAACGCGAACAGGAGACAGAGTCGAAAAATCGGCCGGAGAATTCTCCTGTTCATTTTTCTGTTGAACATGTTCATTTTCACGAGCAACGTGTTTTGGCTGAGGAGAGATTTGATGAAGGAAGAGGACGAGTCTTTGACAAAGTTGAGTTTAGAACGCGCCAGGAAGTTGGCGTTTAGTAGTAGTAGTGGCACTCTTAACGACGAATCCATTCAAAAGCGAGCGCAACGAGCGATATACGAACGACGAGAAGGTATTTACGATCCCGCGAAACAAACGCAACAACAACGCGCAATCATTTCGGTGCGTTCGTTCGACATCGACCCGATTTCCGGCGAGTTCGTGCCGAAGAAAGAGATTCGGAAACAACCGGATAAATATTTCGTGACGCATCCGGTGTTGGTGTCGGGGGTGTGTTCGAAGACGCTACCGAGCGTGAGAGAGTTGGTCGGGAGTTTACACTTTTGGCACCCGGAAGTAGTCGTTTGGTTGTACGAAGTTGGGCCGTTGTTAGAGAGCGAGAAGGACGAAGTCGCACATTGGAGAAACGTGTACGCGAAGAGAGGCGTGGACGCGTTGCAATACGCGCTTTTAGACGAGAGGTTGGATTTAGGATCTGGGGCGTTGGGGAAAGTGCAGCGAGAAGTGCGAACGAGAACGCGACAGGGCGTTTTTGAGAGCGGAACGTTACCGACCTTCGCTTTGGCGGAGATTGAGCGGTTGATGTTGACGCAAACCTTCGAGGACGAACCAGACTTCGAGGAAGAGGTGGACGAAAACGGGTTCCCCATCAACGGCGGCGAAAAAGATAAAGTGAGAACGAGAAGCTCGGTTTTAAAACGGAACGTTGGGGAAATCGATATATTACCAAGTTTAATATGGCACGCGGTAAATAAGAACGGAAACGCGTTGTTCGTGCATCACAACGCGCACGCGAGAGGGTGGATCGACAACGTTTTGAAGGCGCTGAGCAGAGATAAGCGTTTTTTCGTTCAGGAAGAAACAACCAGAGGAGGGTGTAATCCAAACGTGCAGGGATATTTTCGTTTCAACAACGCGACGGAGGAGATTTTGAAAATGCACGTGCAGTGTTCTTTAGGCGGCGCGTGTCCGAGAGCGAATACTGTAGTCGGGGAAGAGAAATCCGCGTTGAGCCCGGGCGAGGTGCCCGAGTTCCACAATTGGTTCGGCACGAGACCGGATTTACACGGGTTCATCTGTATCGATTCCAAAGCGTCTAAAATATCCACGGTGGAAAGTTTAAAACAACTCGCGGATGAAGGCGACGAGGTTGCAAAAATTATGCTCAAAGAACAGTACCACTGCAGAGTTCGTCACAAGAGAGAGCCGCCGGAAATCGTCTTCGAAACGAAAGTGAGAGAACAGTCGTTCGGTAACGACATGGCGAGGGATACATTCAAAGCCGTGCACGTCGTTTTAGGTGTCCCGAGTTCGACTTTGAACACGAAATTAGTCAACTCCGACGCGTTACCATTGGTAAACGTCTTACTGCCATCGATACTAGGAACGATCGATAAGAGTGGCAAACGAACGAGGTACACGTTGCTGGTTGGATTCGAGCAGGGCGATATCGTCTACGATTCTGCGCCGAAAATGAAGCGTTTGCAAAAACGAATGCAAGTCTTGATTGGAGATTACCCGGTGACTATAAAAGTCGTGCGCTTTCACGTGTCCCTTTCGACGACGTACGTATGGAACGGTCTTTTCGATCGAGCGATTGACGTCGAGAAGTGCGATTATTTCATGACGGTGCACGACGACTCGGAATTTTACCCTTCGCAAGGACAATATTGGGCGGATATTTTGATAAACTCGTTGTTGAATAACAACTTGGCGAAGAATTTCGGCGTGGCGAGTCCCGAGGACGTGAGAGACGCGAGGAAAATCACGCACGCGTTCGTACACAGGACGCACCGAGACGTCTTTGGCGCTTTATACCCGGAGCAACTTTCAAACGAAGAGCACGCGATTTGGATTTCCCGCGTGTACGGATACAAAAACACTTTCTTACATCCAGAAGTGCAAGTGTATAACTCTGGACGGTTTTCCGGTCGATCGCTGAAATGCGTAACGAGAGAGGAAATTGTAAATCACGAGGTGTACATGTCCGCAGACTTGGTCAAAACGTGGGCGATGGAAAATTTAGGTGCGTATTCGGAGCATCTTCACAACGACTTGGAAGGTATCGGCGCGTCGTCGATTGTTGGAAATGGTTAAGAAATATAGAGAGGAAATATAGGGAGGAAAGATAGCGGTAGCTTTAGTAGTAGCAACGTGTAGTATTAAAACAAGCAAGAGTATTTTAAAAGAAAGGAAATATGCCACGCGTCACGTATCGTCCCAATAGGTATTCGTGTTCCACGACTTTCTCTTCGTGTTGTAACACTCGTGCACGTAGCGGAATTCAATTTCGTAAAGTCGCTTTTCTCGCCCTTTCTCAGCAAATGTCGCTAAAGTACCAATGAACACAGTGATGAAACCAAAACCGATGAATACATACGGATACCAAAAAGCAACCGAGCCTTCTTGATGGTTGGGGACGTAGTCTCCCAATGAGTCTCCTGAACCCGACGGATGTTATCGAAACCATCGCAAAATACGCGGCTTCGAGATAGTCCCAGTCCTGCAAAACCTTGAAGTAAAACATACCAACAACGACTGAAAGGACAGAAAATAGCAAGCAATGCATTAACTGAACACCCGTCGATATTAAACTCGCTTTGCTTCTGATGATTTCCAACAATAAACGAATTTCTTCCAAGTTCAAAACAGATTCTTGTTCTCGTTCTTCTTCTTCGGCGGATACTTCTTCTTCGGTCGATACGTTCGCGCGGTCGTTAATTCTCAGCCCCAGTCCTTGACACGTCTCGACAAACTGCTGTTTGCTTACAAACACCTCTCCTTTGTGCAGTTCGTCTGATGTGTAAATTTGATTCGTTCGAATGAAAACCTCCGTCATCGGCCAAAACGCCTCTCCGATTAGATGGTGCTGCAAGACATTAAAATATTCCTCGAGAGTACACTTTTGCGGTATCGTTATATCAATCGGCAACTTCTTTTTCATCCTCTTTAACAAATACTTGTGTAATAAGTTCATGCTGTCTATGATTGGTTCAGCTATGGTGACTATTGTAATCAACGATACGGCGAGAACTGGTATGGTCGTAATTAGCACGACCAATCGCCCTTCTTTTGTGCTTGGCGCGACGTTCCCATAGCCGATTGTTGTAAACACCGTCACGACAAAAAAGAACGCGCCTTTGAAGTTCCAATGTTGAAGCTCCATCAGTTTTTTCTTCTCCTCCAAGTCTTCGCGATAGTGTATGTATATCTCCGCTATGGGGAAGTAATACTGCTGAGTATTTGTCGTCGTAGCTATTGAACACGCGTTTAACAGCAACTCTTCAATCACTCCGCTCGCTTCCGGAGCGTTTACATTTAAACACGATTGATTGAACAATAACGACGAAGTGATGCTGGTGCTACTCTTCTCCTCGATTATTCTGCATGATTCTACGGTCTCTATTGAAGGCAACATCAATTCATTTCCACCATCTTCGCACGGCAACGACGACGATGAAGAAAAGAGTTTCATCATTGCCTCTTTTGCTCTCTCGTAATCCTCTCTCGCTTCCTCTCTCCTCTTTGCCTCTTCCTCTCGTTCTACATACACCAAGGTTTGCGCTAACATCGCGCACAGAGTGAGCAAAATCGAAAGCGACACCACAATCTTAGATATCGTCGCTCGTATCGACGTTTTCTTCTTGTTCGCATACCACGTGCTTTGTCTTCTTCTTCTTCTACTCTCCTTCCCCGTATTTTTTTTTTCTTCTTCTTGAATTTCCACCAATTCCTGAGTTGTTGTTGAAAATCGTCCTCGTCGTTCCGCGCAAAATCCGTTCTCGCTCACCTCTTCTTCTTCTTCTTCTTCATCGTACTCTTCTTCTTCCTCGCGTTGGTCGTCGCCGAAGAACACGCGCCGCGCGAACTCGCCCGTTCTCTTCAGCATATTATTTTTTTGACTTTATATCGCATGTGATTGCAATATTTTTTAATTTTAAGAAGAAAACGCTTCAACAGTTCAAGGCTGTGACACACGCACACAAAAAAAATAAAGATACCGCATCGGTCATCATCATTTCATCATCATGTACGCGCAAAAATCACCACCATGCGCGCGTTGTTGTTCTTTCATCAGAGCGACGAACATCAAGAACAACCGTAAGAACCACTACCGACGATTATCCTCCTCCTCTGTCTCCTCCTCCTCCAGCAAGACGACGAGAAGAGAAGAAGAAAAATTAGATATCACGATGATGACGACAAAACGAACACGAAGAGAACAACTTTTGAACGCGACAGCGCTCGGGGTTTTGCTCTCTTTTCAAGGAGGACTTTTAGTATCACCACCACCAGCGCAGGCGGTGATGGGATCTATCGCCGGGAGAGTGCCAGGTTTTGGGAAAATAGAGGAAGACGGATCGATGACATATACCAGACCCGAGGCGAAGTCTGGCGGGCACGGCATCGGGTGGACAGAAATCACGCCGTATTCGGTAAAACTTCGGGAAGGGTGGGAAGAAGTTGCGGTGAGCATTGCGGATCCGGGAGGAACGGAAATTGATACGAGATTTAAAAGCGAAAGCGAAGGCGACGTGAAGATTGTCTTGGCGCCGGTGCTTCGTTTCGCCAACGTCGAGGACGGCGAGAACCCGACGATTGAAGAGCTGGTGCCGATTACAAACTTCATTTTAGGTTTTGCACCGGAAGTGTTGGGACAACCAGTGAACGAAGAACAGATTAAATCGATGGAGAAAGATACCAGGAATGGATTGACGCATTATAACTACGAGATTTCGAACGAAGCGCACTGGTTGATTTCCGCGACGGTGTGGAAAAAACGAGTGTATTTATGTTCCGTGAAAGCGAGTGGCAGACAGTGGCGAACGGCGCAGCCGAAACTGAGAGATACCATAGCCTCTTTCACAGTGTTGAAATAATAACGAGATAGTAAATATGATCATCGTACTACTGTATTATTATTGATAAAAAAAATTTAAACGTTCTTTTTGTAATCGCCCATGGTGTGCGCCGTCCAACTAATCAACGTCGCGAAGAACCCGTAATCGAACATCTTCAACAAATTTCTAAACGCAATGGCCACGAACCCTATGTCGTACCACACGATCCTTCCAATCGGTCGCAACATTTCTTTCGGCAACTGGTCCGGAGTCACGGCGAACTTTTGGAAAAACGCCAACGCGTCCAACTTGTGCGCTTTATCGTAAAAGTTGCTCGCCACCGGACTCGGGTGCACGGCGCAGACGTCGATGCCTCTCGATTTCACCTCGCACGCCACGTTGGCAGCAAACGCGGAAATGTACGATTTCGTGGCCCCATACAAAGCTGAAAACGGCGTCGGTTGACACGCCGCCGCGGACGAGGTAAACACGATGCACCCTTTCAACTTCTTCTCCAACATTCTCTTCACGAACACGTGCGTGATTTGCATCGCGCTCGTGCAGTTGCACTCGTGGTTCGTCATCAACAAATCCAATTTCGTTTTATCAAAAAACCCAGTCAACATGAACCCAGCGTTGTTAAACACCACCTGCACGTCGATATCTTTCGTTTTCTCTTCGATTTCTCGCAAATACGACCCATCTCGGAGGCCTAAATTCACCCCGATTTTTCTAAACTCTCGCTCGGGATGTTTTTTTTTAAGCTCCTCGAACGTCTCGTCCAAAATCGTTTCTTTCAGAGAGACTAATACAACGTTCAACCCTTGTTCGGCTAATTCTTTCGCCAAGGATTTACCGATACCAGAGGACGCGCCGGTGACTAAAGCCCACTTCGCGCCTTTGTATTTCTTCTTCAAGTTTTGCGTCGGCATGAACGAGACGATGAGTTTAGGAACCCAATACGAAAGATACGTGATGGCACCTAAAAACGCAAACATGATGAGCACGAAAACGTGCACGTCTTCGCTTTGCACGAAAGATTTTACGTTCGAATGCGCGAGGTCAAACACGCTTCGCATCGCGTCCATTTTTAATGTTTTTTGTGTGGGGAGTTGTTGCGCGCCTCCTCGAAAAGAAAAGCCGCCCATTCTTGATTAAGTAGAGAGTAGAGTCTCTGTGGAGTTTGTGTGTGTTGTTGTGAAAAACTTAATTGTTGTGTAAAAAGAAGAAAAAGAGAATTTTATTCGTTGTTTCAAAACAAAAAAAACCAAAAAAGAGGACAAAAAAAAAGCAGAAGAGAGATTATTCGTTTTGCAAAATCACTTTGAAAACGATTACAGAGAGGACGATGATGAGGACCACCTCGACGAGGACGATGAGGAGGACTATTACTACTCGTAGTATGAGTACGAATGAGAAGAGCAGAAGCAGTTCCAGCAGCAGCAGTAGACGACGAATGTTTCGACGAGGAGGAGGAAGAAAAAGAATGAATAACAACAACACTTTAGTATTTGTGTTCGCCGCTGCTGATGCCAATAACGGTATTTTCGATGATGATGATGATGATGATGATTCTGTTCTTCTTCTCAACGACGACGACGTGAACGCGAAAGAAGAGGACGAACAATTCGCGCGGATTTTAGAGGAGAATGAGAGCGAGGAGGAGAAGAGACACGAAAATGGCAACAAAACGATGATGACAAAAGAACGTTTCCGAGAACTCCTCGAGTCGTACTCTGAGACGAGTGGTAAAAACAACAACAAGACAAAAGGAATAAACGCGATCGATATCGCGGTGTATTTAGTGGAGAAGAAACTGGTAAAATCAGTCGAGGAAGGATTGTTATTGGTGAAAGAGGAAGACGTGGTGACGGCGAGTTTGTTGAGAGTGAAGAACGCGGAGAAGAGGTGGTCGGATGTCATCGCCGCGGACGAGTGGAAGAAAGAGGAGCTTTTAGGAGGACGACGACAACAACAACAACACGTAAAAAACGCCAAGTGCGAAACCGGGCAAATTTGCTTTACCGTTCAAGACGCGCGCGAAATGCTCGAGAGATGCAAAGGTCTTGGTGGTTCGCAAGCCGCGAAAGTCATTTTGTGTTGCGAGTGCGTGGATTCCAGTTTACTCAAAACGGACGAGGAGAAACGATTCGCCGAGGACGAGGAAGACGTCGTGGACGTGTTGCAAGACGTGGCCGGGGTTATATTCTTGAAGGACGATCGGTTTGGCGCGGAATTATCGAAGAAAGAGTTTGGGTTGGCGTGCGTGTCCGGTGCGAACGATGATATATATAGCGATGATGGTAACGACGATGGCGAGGGAGGAGGATATTCGATAAAAATTGATAAAAAGTCTCGCAAGTTTGCAAAGTTCACGACGACGACTTTTAGTAGCAGCAATAGCAACAACAACAATAACAACAACAAAAAAGAAAGCACGACGATTTTGCACACCGGAGATTACGTCACCATCGACGGTCAAAACGGCGTCGTCTATCGCGGCGCCGTCGAACTCGTGCCGCCGGTCAAGTCGGAACGAAACAAGCTGTTCTTCGAATGGCTCGCGCAAAAATCCAAATTCTTAAACGCGATTCGGATATTTGCCGAGTGTGATTCTGCGGATGCCATCGACGAGTACGTTGATGAAAATAATAATCGCGACGGAACGAGCGTTGGCGGAGGCGACGCGTCGAACTTTATCGGCGTCGGTTTGGTGAAAGTTGAGAACGTCCTCAAGAAATATCGAGGCGGCGATGCGAGGCAGGCTTTACACATGCTTTTGTGCGCAGAGACGAAAGATGAGAGATACGAAGCGTTGGATATGCTCGCACCGCATTTGCGGTACGATTTTGAGGACATGTTCAAGGCCTCGTTCCAACCTGATCAGAAGAACGAAGAAAATTCGAGGGTGATAGTGCGTTTACTGGACGAACCGCTGCACGCGTTTCTGCCGGATTCGGAAAATTTGAACGATTTAGTGCCATTATTAGCGGTTGATTCCGGTAAGGACGAACGAGACGTCGTAGAAATCATAGAGCAAAACTTGCTGGACGAAGTAAATCCTGATTTTGGATTTCGAGGCTGTCGGGTTGGAGCTCTCTATCCGGAAATCACGAAAGCGCAAGTGCGCGCTCTCCTCGGCGCCGCGTACGGAGTGAAAGAATTCTTCACGTTTGCAGCAGAACCACCGGTTGTGGACATATGCATACCGAACGTCGCCTCGGCGGAGGAATTTGAACACCAGTTGAATTTAATCCGGAACGTTGCGGAAGAATTTTCATTCTTGGAGGAGAAAACCAACTCAAAAATCGCCTACCGCGTAGGCGCCATGCTCGAGACGCCGAGGTCGTGTTTGATTGCGGGCGATTTAGCAAAAATGGGAGCAGAATTTTTAATCGTCGGGTTAGACGAGCTCACAGAAACAACATACGGCGTCAGCGTGGAAGATAGTCACAAATTCTTTCCGCGCTACTTGTACGGTGGCGAAGATATGGACATTAATGGCGACGAATTCGATTTCGATGAAGACGACGACGACGACGACGAAGAGAACGACGTGAAAGATATCGCCAGAGAGGAGCAGGAAGAGGAAGAAAACGCAATCATATGGAAGTTTAATCCCTTCATCGCATGGGACGATAAAGGTGTCGGGCGGCTCGTACAATCAGCTATTAACGAGGCGAGAGAAGTAAATCCGAACATCGACGTCGTCGCGTGCGGTCAGATGTGCGGTCACCGCGGCGCCGATTTCATATACGGAAAGTTCCAAGATTTGAACGTGAATGGCGTTTCGGTCGACCCTAGGTTCATCGCCGTGGCGAGACTTCGCGCGTTGCAGGCGATAATAGCAAAGAATAGGAAGTAGAGACGACGATTAGTTCTAAAGTTATAGGTTTGTCTATTATTAATAACGAAAGGTACCCCAAAACAGCTATTCTCGAAAGCCTCGATTTTGACACATCGTCGTCGTTTAACGATATCTCTTGAGCGAAAGTCTGTTGTTGTTCTTCCACTGGGCGTGCTTGGACGATCTGTTTTTCGTGTAGTTGTGGCCCTTGCCGTGTAAACCTCTGTGCTTTCTCCCCGCCGAAGTCAAGCCTCTCATCGCTCTGCCCTTGTGCGTCGGCGCGCAGATCCAGTTGATTCTCGGATCAGATCTAATAGCCTTGTGCATCGGGTCAACCATGATGACTTCATAGTACTTGTACACAGAATCTTGGTTCAACCAATACGAGTTTAAGACTCTCAACGCGCCGCATCTTCTCGCCGCTCTCTCCTCCGCGACAGACTTCAAGTTTCTCGCAAACTTCAACTTTGTGATGCCGCAGTGCACCGGCTTCCCATTGACGATACCCTTGCGCACCGGACGCTTACGGCCACCTCTTCTCACGCGCGCTCTGTAAATCACGAAGCCTTGCTTAGCCTTGTACCCCAATCTTCTCGCCTTGTCCGGTCTCGTCGGTCGAGTCACGCGGCAGATGGACGGAAGCTGACGGTATTCCCAAACGCGAATGCGTTGCAAAAATCGCAACACGTCGGATTGTTTCTTCTTCCAGAGTTCTTCCACGTATTTGTAAGCCTGCGTATTAAATCGCGAAAGAAGAGAGTTTAAAGAGAAAAATTATGGTCAGTTCGTGTCGCGAGAAACTTCGCATCGATGCTCGCGAGAACGAAGACGCGTCGTAGAAAATGTGTTTTCCCGTCGTCTCGCCCTAAAGAAAAAATCCACATGATGGAAACGCGCAACAAAGTCATCGCGCGAAGGTACCATCGCATCGAAACCTTCGAATTCGTCTAAAAGGATATCGTTTGTGTGCGAATAAGAGAGAATTAGATATATATAATATACTCACCCCCATGTTGTTGTGTGTGTTTTCTGTTTTGTGTCGTTGTGCGGGAATTTCTACTTTCAATGCGTGAAACAGGTCTTTCGCTTCTCGACTCGAGTGTTTAGTGTTTTTTTCTTTTTTGCGAGCTCTCGTCGTCTGCTCGTCAGAAAGAAAAACTTTACACAAAACAACAACAACACAAAAGTAAAATCTTTAAACTGCGGCGTGTTATTAATAAAAACAACTAAAGAAGTAAGGTAAGAAGAGAGAGAGAGAGAGTGGTGCTTTCATCATCGCGTCTCTCGGGGTTTCTTTTTGTTGTTCTTTCTTTCTTTTTTAACGCCGCGCAGAGAAGAGAGAGAGTTGTTCTGCATGAATGAAGAGAGAAAGAGAAATTCGATTTCGAGATGTTGTTCAATGGGGAATCGATTCGTTTGATTTTCTCATCAGTTTCTCTCAGTTTCTCTCTCTATTTGTGCGCGCGTTTATTACGATACACAAAAAAACGCGTCGTGAACGGGTAGTGTAAAGACGATATAGATGACGATGATGATGACGAGCACTCATTTTAACGCTTGGCTTCTTAGTATCGAGCTTGGAACCGGAGTAGTTATCGGGCAACATTTTCAAGCGAGATGTGCTGAAACTTGCGAACGAATTCCGAATCATCATCAAAATTGGAGGAAAAAGAGATTGAGAGAGAGAGGATTCATTCGTGCGTTTGTGTGCACAAAACACACACAGACGCTCTCTTTTACGCGCGTGTTCGTTTTATCGTCGTTCGTATTTTGTTTTTGGCAGCTTGTGTACGGAGTTCCGCTGGACGATTGATACCCGTCGTGTGGTCTTCCGAAGGTTTTATTTACGATTGCCTATAGTGAACGTCAGAGGCAGATACTACGGTTGGCTCGGATTTTCCTTCGGTTCCGAATCCACACAACCATCTTCCTCACATTTTTTCTCTCTCTCTCTCTCTTTTGCGTTTGTTTTTTGTTATTGCGACGAGGTGGAAAGAAGAAAGAGAAGAAGAAGATGTTGATGATGATGAAGCGCCGAGCGCACGACGACTGTAGTATATATTTTTTCCGTGAAGAAGTCATTTGTCCTTACTAGGCTTAGACCACTAATCGATGCCGAGCAAAACAAAATCACCATCTTTCGACTGAGAAATTAAATATATATCTACGCGTGTGAACGAGAGAGAGGGAGAATTTACGTCGGCGCTTCGTCATCATCATCTTCTTCGTTCTCGTTCTTTCAGTACCGCTCGCGCGCGAATTTTTGTATCGATTTGAAACTTACCAAAGACAAACTTCCTCTACAATAATAGTAACGCAAACAGAGTTATTAAATAAGAAGGAAGGAAGGAGATATTAGCACGCTCTGATAACAAACACCAGAAGGAGAAGGAAGAGGTAGGTGTAGGAGGAATTTTCGTCTTCTCGGTCTCGTCTTTGTTTCGTATTTTTTCCTGGACAAAAGCACACGGCTGAATGAACAAGTATTTTGCGGTGCCGTCAGTTCCAGGTAAAGCCGACAGCTTTGGAATGGGTGAGGAGGTGGTAGTCTAAAACTACTACTGCTTTCTCAATCTCCGATGCGACATTCTTTCTGTTGTCCTCGTATGATTTCGTTTTGCGTGTGTTAACTGTGATTCGAAAAAACCGAAGCTGACGGCTCTTGTCGCTGGGGCTTATTCAACCTCTAAGAAGTTATGAGTTATTATTACACGATCGATTTGGTTTCACGCATGTGTTCCGTATATTAGCTCTCGATGGCGTGAGAAAAGTATTGAAAAGTCGGTGACGAGAATTTCCAATAACGTGAGACACGTCTGTGATTTTCGTTATGCCTCAAACTTCCTGAGACTTTCTCTATTTTTCACCGCGAGGAGCGATATGTATACGCATGTGAACGCGCGTTTCTCTTCTTTAAACGCTGCTTTGCCTAAGGCATCCTCGAATACGAATGGGATAGTCTTTTTAACTTCCGTAGCGGATATTAATCTCGCCGTAAAAAGCGCCGGACGACAAACCGGTTTGTGGTCCATCTCCACGGTTCGCGGGTGGTCGATACTCGCGGATCACTTTCAATCTCACGGACTAAATTCTCTCTCTCTCTCTCTCTCTCTCTCTCTTGTTTCTCACCACTCTATACTCTCTCAACAACACAGGAGGAAAACAGTAAAAGAGTATCAAAACAATGTCCGGGTTCAGCTTTGGTGCCGGCGGTGGCGAAGCTAAGAAGCCGGCCGGAGCTGGAGGTTTCTCCTTTGGGGGGGCTCAACCTACTGCGACGCCCGCGGCTGGTGGTACTTCTTTTTCGTTTGGTACGGCTGCTACACCTGCGGCAACGACGACAACTTCTACTGCTGCGCCATCGTTCAGCTTTGGTACGGCTGCTACGCCTGCGGCAACGACGACAACAACTTCTACTGCTGCGCCATCGTTCAGCTTTGGAACGAAGCCAGCATCGACGACGACGACGACTTCCACTGGAGGTGGTCTCTTTGGTGCTGCGACAACTGCTACAACAACAACTGGAGGAGGCGGTCTTTTCGGCGCAGCACCAGCAGCAGCAGCACCAGCAGCACCGGCCGCAGCAGCAACAACAACTGGGGGAGGCGGTCTTTTCGGTGCGGCACCTGCAGCCACGCCAACTGCGGCCACACCTGCCGCGCCATCCTTTAGCTTTGGTGCGGCTAAACCTGCGACGACAACGCCAGCCGCTGGAGGAAGTGGACTCTTTGGTGCGGCCAAACCAGCGACGACAAAAACAGAAGCGGCCAAACCCGCTGCAACAGGTGGTAGTCTTTTTGGGGCTGCAGCAGCGCCGGCATCTACTCCAGCTGCTCCAACGACGACAACGGCAGCGGCGGCAACAACGACAAAATCAACATCTTCCGCCTTGGCGCCTCCGCCGGTGAATTTATCGAGACCGACCGACTTGGTCGGCAAATCCGTCGGCGAAACGTTACAATACTGGAACAAAGAACTCGCGCAAAGAACCGCGGATTTTAAGAAAAAAGCACAAATAATAGCAGATTGGGACGAGCAAATCGTCGAACGGCGGAGGGAACTGTTCGAGATGCAAGTCGATTTAGTCAACGCGAAATCCCAACAAGACGTCATGGAACGGCAAATTCGCGTCATCGAACAACACCAAGAAGATACCGAACGCGCGTTGACGGACATGGAAAACGGCGTCGATCGTTTGTACCAACAATTAGGCGAAACATTAGACGTCGATCGAGACGTCAGCTCCACGGCTCGTTTATACGGATTAGCCGAGCAAGTCTCCGGGCAGATTTTACAAATCGGCAACTCCTTGCGAGACGCGAGCAAAACAATTTCTCGTTACCAAGCCATGCAAGAGCAGAGAGGTTTACGGAAAGGCGACGGCGATGCCACGCGAAGTTTAGTCTCCGCGCTGAACAATCAACTCAGCGCGTTGAAGCACATCGATAGACAGTTGGATCTCGCCACGAATAGGATCGAGAAAGATCGGTTTTTATCATCATCGAAGTAATATATATATATATATAATACTACCGTTCTTGCGTGTATACAACAAAGCCGTTTTCGAGAAAAGAACAACACTCTCTTAAAATTGGAAAAAGCGTCGTCTTTTTTCCATCTCATCGCTCTTCTTTGTTGTGACGATGATGCTTTTAAAGTTTTTTTTCTTTCTTCTCGTTACATTTTTTCGTGGTTCAGAATCCATCTCAAAAAAAGAGAAAATATCCACTTTGGCAAAAAAATTCATCTCCTTTCGTCGTCACTTGTTTTGTGTCTCATCGCGCGCTTTTATTGAGATCTTTACTTTTATCGCACACGGCACGTAATACATAATGGCTACTACTACCAACGCGATGATGGCGACGACGAAAACGACTTCGTCAAAGTTCGCACAACAACAACAAAAACAACAAAAGATGAGATCTTTGGCATCATCGGGAGCATTAATCTCCCCAATCTCGAAAAGAAAACAACACGTCATCTTTATGAACGCGTCCGAGGTGGCGGAATCCGCGGTCGCGACGGAAGAGTTTTACGAGGTGACGCTGCCGAAACCAATCGACGTGAAATTTGCTCGCGGGAACGACGGCGGCGCGTACGTCGCGTTCGTCCCGCCGAACGATCCAAAGTACGAGGTGTTTGAAATCGGAGACAAAATAGAAGGCGTGTCGGCGTCGTTCGGCGACGAGGTATGGCCGGCGGAATCTTTCGGTCAAGTCATGTACGCGATGAAAAACAGAAACGGAGACATTTATTTGAAGATGAAGAAGATGTTTGGCGATTTCAGCGCCATGGAGGTGGAGAAGAACTCACAGTTCAAATCCGAAAGAGCGGGAGGGAACTACGGCGCCGGGACGAAGGAACAACAGATGAATAACTACTCCAAGAAGAGAGAGTTGGAGAACGAACGATTAGACATGTTCGACGAAGCGATTGCTTTGTACAACCAAAAGAATTTCGACGACGCGTTGATTCAGTTCGAAGAAGTCGCCGCGTTAGAGCCGAAGAACTACATGAGCGATAACTTTGAAACGACCACGGAAATTTACCGAGTGTGCCAATACAACATCGCCTGCTGCTTTTCCAACATCGGTAAACTGGACGAGTCGTTGTTAGCCTTGAGAAGGTGCATGGCGAGTGGGTGGACGGATTACAGAAAGATTCGCACCGACCCGAGCTTGAAAAACGTCCGAGCGAGTCCTGAGTTTACCCCGTTGATGAACAAGTTCGACGAACCGATTTTCAACGAAAACGCCGCGAAATTTTTAGGCAACTTGTTCGGTAAGAAATAATAACTACAGTACTAACAATAACGAGAGAGAAAGAACGAGAGAGAGTGTGTGTGTCTGTGCCAGAGAGATGCTCTCGTCGAAGTAAGCAAGCGCTTTCCCGCTTTCGCGTGTGTAAATAAAAAATACTTTAGTACTAAAATCTTTCATCAAAACAGTCGTTTTGGACTGATTTTTATCCACCAAAAAAAGCTTTTAATTTACCACACATCCGAGCGCGCTTTAAAACGCGATACATATACACACACACATAATAATAATACTAATAATAAAAGGAGTAGTGTTTCGATGATGACAACATCGGCTTCTTCTCTGTTGTTTCCGTTACATTCTTCCTCTTCTTCTTTCTCATCAAAGTCGCCGAGAGTAATCATCGAAATCATCATCAAAATCAAAGACGTCACGCGATGATGAAATCGTCTTCTTCGTTTACGACGACGATTCAGACGACTGGACAAAGAAGAACGAGACACAGAAGAAGAAACAAAGCGATTTTAGCGCAAAACGATGAACAGACGACGATAATTCAAACGATTCAGACAAATAATAATAGAAGACCAACAACAAATGTATTATCCAAAGAAGAACTTTTGTGCAAACCGAACGAATCCGTCTCGCAGTTGGCTGCCGCTCAAGCCGCTAAGAAAAACGTTGTTTCAACTCCCGCAAATTCTAGTTCAGTGATAAAAAACGCGCTCATCAACGCGAACGCGTTGAGTGCGCAGGCATTTTACCTTCCGTACGTCGCGTTGGCGGCGGTGACGATTAAGAAGATTTTGGATACGCCGTCGCGAGCGTACGTGGACGGAGCGAATACGGTAGGCTCGGAATACGACGCGTGGACCGAGGAAGGCATTTTAGAGTACTATTGGGGGGAACACATCCATCTCGGGTGGTACGAAGACGAAGATTTAGCGAACGGGGCTGGAACGTTGTTAGGAAACGACGTGACGGATTTCAAAGAAGCTAAGTTTGCGTTCGTGGATAAAATGTGCGATTGGTCCATTCAAGATTTGTTCGGGAAGCAACCTGCGAATATTTTAGACGTGGGATGCGGGATTGGAGGCGCGAGCAGACACTTGGCGAAACGGTACGGGAACGGAACTACAGTCACTGGGATCACCTTATCGCCGAACCAAAGAGACCGCGCGACTGAATTAGCCAAGGAACAAAACGTTCCAAACGCTGAATTCAAAGTCATGAACGCGTTAGAGATGACGTTCCCGGACGACACGTTCGATGCCGTCTGGGCGTGCGAAAGCGGCGAACACATGCCAGATAAGAAGAAATACGTGGAAGAGATGATTCGAGTGTTGAAACCGGGAGGAGTTCTCGTCGTCGCCACTTGGTGCCAACGCGACGCCGACGAAACAAAAAACCCATTCACCGAAGACGAAAAGAAAAACTTACAATTTTTATACGAAGAGTGGGCGCACCCGTACTTTGTCTCCTACGAAGAATACGAACGATTAATGCGAAACACTCACGTCATGGAAAAAGTTCAAGGCGAAAACTGGGTCAAAAACACCATCGCCTCGTGGCGACACTCCATTTGGGTCGGCGTCTGGGACCCGTGGCCGGTCGTTTTCGCCGGTCCCAGGATTTGGTACAAAACCATCCGCGAGATTGTGACGCTCGAGCGCATGCATCGAGCCTTCGATCGAGGGCTCATGACTTACGGATTGATTAAAGGTCGGAAAAAAGAAGAAATCGTACGAGATAAGGACGACGCGTTCTATAGCTGGTAATTTGTTTGACACAGAGAGAGAGAAAGAGAGGAAGAGAGAGATGTTGACTCTGTGCTCGTTGTATTAATGTTTTTATTTCTAGAGCTCTTTCTTTCCCTCATTTTTGTGCACTCGTCACTTCTCTCTCTCTTAACATTCAATTCGGACGTCGAGCTCTTTTTACTCTCCCAAGTCTCCTTGCGGCGATATATGCTCTTTTGGTGGTGGTTCTCGTCCTCGTCTCCCTCGGTCGTTGTCGTTTCAAAGAAGACCAACGCGAAGAAAAAAGAAGGAGAAGTGTCGTCGCTTTCCGATTCGATTTCCAATAACGAACAACAACGACGACAAGAAGAAGAAGAAGAAGAAGAACAAACGACAAAGACGAAAAGAGAAGGCTTCCGGTTCATCCAATCCTTCATAGAAGCAGATAAGGACGACGACAAAAAAAAGTATTACCAGGTGTCGTATCCAAACCTCGCCATCTCTGCCGCACTCGTGACTGTTTTCTCCTCCGTGTTTACCGCGTCTGTCGTGCACTGGAAAAACAGAAAACACAAGTTAGAACGAGATTTACCAATAGGAGTACACGCGAAAGCATCGATTCAAGGGTTAAAAGCGTTAGCAGTGGCGACGGGATTTAGTTTAAGTTTAGTGTCGGTTTTATTCGCATCGACGAATTATATAGGCCTTTGGGAAAAGGAACACGTTGGGAGGCGGATCGAAAGCGCGTTGCGAAGCGTTCCGGGCGGGGAGGTGTTTAAAGGACCATCGGGGAGGACGAAGAGCTGAATTGATTGTATATTGATTGAGAGAAAAAGAAAGAATGACTTTTACGGTGAATAATAATAATGATAACAATAACATCACAAACAGCGCGGAAGAATTTGAGATTGATGTGGACGCAATATACACCATGGCGTCTTTAGCGAGAGAATGGTTCGTCGCCCACGAGAGCGGAACGGAAGCGTTGACGATTTTGAAAGAGGCGAAAGAGGAGTTATCGTCCATGTTAAAGAAGAAGAAGGAAAAGAAGGACAAGAAGAAGAACGAAAACGAGGACTTTTCTTCTTCACCGTACCACGTAAAAGTCCAGGAGAAGATTAAATCGATACTCCCGAGCGACGATATGTTGAACTGTTTGATGAAACGAGGCAAGTACGCGAATTTTTCCTCCGCCGCGGACGCGGAACGTGTGGACGAAGCGTGCGAAAAGTTGCGAAGAATCGTGGAAGAATTGGAAAGTATTTCGAAACAAATGGAGGAAACGTTCGAGAGTTTTACGAGTGCGTTTGAAAACGGCGGAAAAGAAGTTCAAGAAGTTAAAGAAGAAGAAGAAAAGAATCCGCCGGAACACCTAGCGCGAAGAGACGAAGAAAAAGAAGAAGGGCACGGCCGACAAGGAAGGGACAGAGAACCTCGGGGGAGACGGAGGAGCAGAAGCAGAAGCAGCAGGGGAAGGGACAGACGGCGAGGAAAGGAAGCAGAGCAGAAAGAAGACGAGGCGGAAGAAGCCGTCGTCCTCGCGAAGCGTTTATCGTTTCTAGAAACGACGAAAAAAGAACAGACCGACGACGAAGCGCCGTCGCCAAAAGTGCACTGGATGCACAACGTCCCCAACGCGGCACTTTCCACTCGCTTTTCTCTCTCCAACACTACCGTTGAGATGAACAACAACAACAACAAACGGTCTTTCGAACAGTGGCTCTTCCTTTGCGCGAGCGCTTTAGAAGGCACGCGCAAAGAACTCCGCGTAAAGCAAGTCGTCGCCGAGAAGGCGTTGGACAGTTTGCGGGGGTCTTTCTCCTCCTCGAATACGAATACTAGCAATAGCACAAGGAGCCACACAGAAGAAGGAGAAGAAAAAGAAGACAATAATGGAGTGTTGTTGTTCGACAGTCTCTTGGACGCTTGGGACGTCCAAGCGTTCGTGGACGACGACGCCTTTCGCGCCTTATCGTCAGAAAGCGCAGAGTAGAAAACCGGTTTTAAAATTGGACGAATACCTCACACCTCACACACTTCAAAGCGCGAACAACAAAAGCAAATAATAATAATGAGAGCGTTGATTCAGCGCGTGCACTCGGGATCGGTCTCTGTTCGACACTCCGAGTTGCACAATCACGCGTTACCTCCCTCCCATCCTTCGCAACCTGAACCGCAATCGATAAAGACAATTGGAAAAGGGGCGGTCGTTTTCCTCGGCATCAGTTCGGAAGATACGCTCGCGGATTGCGATTACGTTTTACGAAAAACGATGAGTGTGCGCCTTTGGCCGGACAATAATAACGACAACGCAGAAAAGAACAAACAGTGGACAAAGTCTTTGCTCGATTTAAATTTAGATGTCTTGTTCGTGAGTCAGTTCACGTTACTCGCCGAGTGCACGAAAGGGAAAAAACCGTCCTTCAGTCGAGCGATGACACCGAAAGAGGCGAAGGAAATGTACGACGAGTTCCTTAAAAAAGCGAGAGAGGAATACAAAGAGAATGGAATAAAAGAAGGTCAATTTGGGGCGATGATGGACGTGCACATAGAGAACGACGGCCCGGTGACCGTTCTCATCGATAGTCAAAATAAAGGAGGATGATTTAGTAGTAGTAGAGTAGTATCATTGTTTGTATTTGTTGTATCTCTCTCGTCGCGAAAACGCTACGCGTATGCGCGTGTTGTTGTTGTTCTTCTATTATTGATATTCTGGTACACTAATAATGTTATTTCTTGGAGCGACCCCAGGCAGTTCCGGTAGTCCTTTGCGTGCCACCGGGCGCCCCGGATCGTTGCGTGCTTCTCTGGGTGCCTCCTGTTGTGGGAAGAGTACTGGGCGCGCCGCGCGTTCTTCTCGTCGGTCTCGCGCGTTCTTCCGAGTCAGAGTCGTCCGCGTTGTTACCAGCACCTCGCTTCGACGAGGCGGCACCTCTGCCGCGCTTATTCCCAACTACCGATTTTGTTGTTGGATTGTTCAAAACTTTGGCACCGCGCGCGCGGCCTCTGCCTCTCGAAGCGGCAGCAGATGTTCTTCCAGCTCCAGCCGCGACAGAAGGTGTGGCCTTTTCGTCGGAATCCGAGGAGTCGTCGATGACAATACTTTCTGGAACTTTTCTGCTCTTCGTTTGCGTCGAAGGCGTCGCGCCACGACCTCGTCTTGTCGCTCTCGTTGCGGCGGCTGCGGCTGCTGCAGCTCCACCTCTCTTCTTCGGTGCGGGTTTCGCATCTGCGAAATCCTCGTCTTCTTCTTCTTCCGAATCAGGCACTTCCTCGTCTTGAGAAGATTCCGAATCCGATTGTTGTCGCTGTTTCCTTTTTGCCGCCGCCGCTGCGGCGGCTGCACTTTTCGCTCCAACAGCTAGCCCACGCCTTGCAGCAGCTACTGGCTGCGCAGATGCTGGGATGACGTCGTCGTCTTCTTCCTCTGAATCCGAAACGACGTAATCGTCGTCGTCTCCTTTTTTCTTCGTCTCCGGAACCGGCGGCGGAGGTTGTTTTGCGCCTCCTCTGCGAGACGCCGGAACTGGTCTTTGCGCGCGACCGTCCTGGGCAGCTTCTTTTTGCTGTGCTAATAATACACGCTCTAGCGCTTCTTCTTCGTCTAACTGTCTCGTCGCTTCGGATTTCTTCGCTGGTGCCGCGTCTTGAAACTCTCGCACTTGTTGCGCGCGCTGCGTTTGTTGCGTCGCCGCTTGCTGACCTTTCTTCGCTTTGGCACGAGCACCTCCATCTTGTTGTTGTTGTTGTTGTTGCTGTTGCGTGTGCTTCTTCGTCAACTCTTGCACTCTCCTCTGCACTTCGCTCGCTTCAATTAACTCCGACGGTTGCGCGGTCGACGCCAACTCTCTTTGAAAGTGTTTCATCGTCGACTCGCACAAAGTTTTCACCGCTTTGTTGTCGTCTCTGTTCACCATATCGTCCAAAGAGTTCATTAAGTTTGGAATGTCTAAAATTTGTAATCCTTTATCCATTCGTTCTTTGATCAACCGTTCGATCCGTTTTTGGTCCTGTCTCGGCCCTGCTCTCGCGTCGTCTAAATCCTCGTCCTCATCTTCTACGTTTATATTTTCTTTCATCATCCCTTCGTTGAACTCGTCTTCCTCGTCTTTGTTCCCTCCCTTTTTTTTCTTCGATTTGTGAAACAACAACATATCCGAAGGATTCGCGACTTTACCCACAAACTTTTGCCCAAACTTTTGGACGTTGACGCTCTGGAAACCACCGGTCAAATCCACTCGCAATCGAATCAACGGCAGTTGGTTCAACTGCGCCAACTTTTTCACGCCGCTCGCCGCGTTTTGCATTGCCTCTTTAATCATGCCATTCACCGTAATCATCAAGAAGTTCTCGATGGCTTCCTGATCCTGACCTCCCCCATCTTCCTCATCGTTCAACAAATCTTCCTGTTCTGCTAACGAGACGTTCTTAAATGCGTAAGGTCTCGTCGTTTGTAACGGAACTGGCAACAACCGCCAATGCGGCGGATCTTTCTTCTCCTTCCCCGGTTTCAACTCTAAAATACAAATCTTCTTCGTCCCACTCTCGGCTTCCACCAACGACGTCGTCACCGAGCTCCCCGGTTGCGAAACGCTCACGCCGTCGAACAACTGCGGCTCAATCAAACACTCGTGTTCGTGTCCCCAAACGACTAAATCCATCCAATTCGGCAAGTGCCTCTCGGAAATTGAATTCTTCGGCGCGTGCGACACTCTGTTTTGATGAATCAACATGAGATTAAACCAGTTCGCCAACGGCGTCTTCTCGTCCGAACTCCCCGGTCGAATCCACTTCACGTTCCCTTTACTCGCCATCATCTGGTGTAATCTCTGATCTCGTATCCATCCTAACCCGTACAAGGCCAACTTCGTCTCGCCTTTTCTCAACAACACCGGTTTCAATTCAATCGCACCCGTGTTCGACCCACTCAGAGCGTGCTTACCGAAATAATTAATCAACGAGCAACTGGACAAAATATCCAGCGCTGATAAATTCTCCTGCCCGGACGGGTCGTCGTGATTCCCGTGAATCGCGAATATCGGCAGCGCGATGTTCACGTTTTCATCCTCAAAGTTCACGATGCCTCGATTCGGAAAATTTATGCTCTGATCGGACACAACTTCAAACTCGATCGCATCGTCCCCGAACACGTACTCTCTCAAAACATCCATCGTTTGTACCAAGGTTTCTCGGCTCGGTTTGTTCTGGTCGAACAAATCGCCTCCCAGAAACAGCGCGTCCACTTTTTCCTTCTTCGCGGTCTCCAAGATTTCTCGAAACGCGATGAACGAATCGTTTTTCCGAATCGGGTCTCGTTCGTGCGCGCCCAAGTGGTTGTCCGTGGCGATTAAGATTCGGAATAAGTTTGGGTCGTTCTTGTTCTTATTATTCTTTCCTCCTCGTTGTTGTTCTCGTTTTTGTCCTCTTCCTCTGATGTCATCATCGTCGTTGTCTTCTTCTTCTTCTTCTTCTTCTTCTCGCTCGGGCATTTTTAAAACTCTTCGAGAGAATGGTTTGTTGTGATGATTTTTGTGGGAAAGAACCAAAAAGAAGATTTTTTGAATTTAGGCACCCACCCTCTTTTTTGGTTGGTGTTCATATTTTTTCACTCGGTCTAAAATACTCTTCAGTATTTATATAGTAGGGGTTTGTTTTTTGTTCGAACACACACACACACACACGCACACACGCACGCACCATAGCAACAACAAGCGAAGAAGAAATGACGACGACGACGAGTGAGAAGAAGAAGAAGAGTCCAGAGTGGGTGAACGAGTTGTATATAGCGGTGAGAAATGCACCTTCGCCTCCTTCTCCTTCGCCTCCTTTTTTTGCTGCGACCGAAGATGAAGAAAAAAAGTCAACTTCTTTTATCTCTTCTTCAGAACGCTTCAATGACGACGATAAAGATGGAGAAGAAAAAGGAGGAGGAGAAGGAGACGGTGGCGCCTCTTCCTCCTCCTCCTCGAAGCTTTCGTTTCTCTCGAAGAACAACCCCGCCGCCGACTTTGAGAACGCGATGGACGGATGGTTGGGAAAAGCCACCAGCAGCAGCAGCGGTGGTGAGGGTGGTTGTATCTGGAGGACGAAAGAGAACGTCGTGGAGACGTTGCTCCCTTTTCTGAGCGCGGAATACGAAAGCGCGAAAAGAGAGGCGCTGTTTCTTCCTCACTTCTCTCATCATCCCGATACGAATTATCCAAAGGACGAGAACGAGGACGATGACGAGGATGACGACGACGACGAAGTTTTATTAGGTGTTCAGAATGCGTCGTTTTTGAAAGAGATTTCCGACGCGAAGTTGAGAGCGATGTACGACGAGTTTTTCGACGCGCGGGCCGATTTGTTACGACTGAACGATGTTCAAAGCGATCTAGAAACGTTCTTGGAGTGGTTAAAGGAGAGCAGAGATTGTTCTGGTGATAAACAGCAACGACGAGTAGGGCGAGAGAAAATACCAGGTTTACGCATCAACGCGCTCAAACACACGGAAGAAGGGGTTTCAAGGGGAGAAAATGCCCCGGGGGTCGAAAGCTATCTGAGAAGACGAAACGAAAATTTGCGAGAATTGAGAGCGAAGCAATCGAGAGCGTTGTTGTTGTGCGGCGAAAGCGTGCGGTCAAAATTCCTCGGGATTATTCTCGAGGGGTTTCGACACGACGCGAATGAAAATTTGCTTCACGAGACTTTCTTTCCGAGAGACCCACCACCTTTAAAAACATCATCGCGTAATAACGATGATGATGCACCAAAATGCTTCAATAACAAAATTTATCTCACACTGAGAGCGTTTTGTTCGGAACCGACGAACGCGGCCATCGTCGAACGGTGCTACAAAAAGGCTCACGTAAAGTCGCCCTGCGCGAGGCGAATTTTACGCTTGTGCGCGGAAGGGTGCTTCGAGAGCGAGAAGTACGAGCACGTGGCGAACGCGCGCGAATGCGACGATTATTCGTTCCGCACGACGGGTGATGCGGTGACTAAGTGCAAAATGACTCGCGGTAAAGACAAATTTGTGTGCGTGAGATGGATGTGCCGCTCGAAATTTGAAGTCAACGATGTCGCGAGGAAAGCGTTTCAAGACGTGTACGCCGAAGTTACCGCGCTCGAGATTTTACGTGATTTCGAGAATGGTGAGAAGAAGGTGAAGAAGAAGAAGAAGAGTTCTGTGATAAGAAGAGGAAATCGCGATGATGTAATGTCGATTTCATACTCGTTTGGAACACTCCGAGATTACGGCGCATGCGAAGATTTCTTATGCGTGGCGACCGATTGGGTCGACGGAGTCGGATTGAACGCGTGGCGTTCAAATCTAGGTGAATATTTAAAGAAAGACGCAAATGAAGCGAACAACGACAGAACGCTATTGCTTGCAATCGCGAAAACGATGCTGCAGATGGTAGTCGATATGCACGAAAAGAATGTCGTCCACTTTGACTTGAAGCTCGAACATTTCATTCTCTCCACGCGGCGCCAAGAGGAGGAGGAGGAGGAGGAGGGGAGTAAAGGAACAAAATACGCGATAACTTTAATCGATTTCGGAGAGTGCGCGGTTTACGACATCTCGGAAAAAGTAAAAGGAACCTCGCGTGCAAGAGGTACAGAGATATACCACGCTCCAGAAATGCTACTCATTGACGAAATTAAGACTCATAGCGCTTCGTTCCCTTCGGGCGATAGTAGTAGAACAACCGCTGCTGTGTGTTTCGTCGACGGCAAAAAATGTGACTGCTACGCGCTCGGCGTGGCGTTGTGCGAATTGTTTTTCAGTAACTCTCCGAACAGGCACGCGTACGAACAGAATGGATTCCTTGGTTTGCTTAATGTTGTCGCTGGTGGTGATGATAACGCTGAAAATTACTCGAAAATACTACGCGACGATATCCTCCTAAGCGACGTAATCCGCCGCCCACCTTCCGACGGTGATATTGCAAACTGGTTGCTCAAAACTCTGCTCGTTCGCGATCCGCACGAGAGAACCTCAGCTCGACGCGCTTTAACGATGTATTCCGACATGATAAATTAATACATATTATGTGTATACTGGTATGTTAAAACAAAACAAAATTTATATGGCACATTCACATTGTTCGTGCCGTTGTTGTTGTTTGCGGTTACGCCAACGCTCTCTCTCTATTTGTACAAGTTCATAATAACGCGATGATGATGATTACTGTTTCTTCACCGTATTCTTCACCGCCCCACTCACCAACCTCTCGTTTATCATGGCATTCGTTTCCAACGCGTCCATTTCCGCGTATAATCTCGTGCTCGACTCGTCCGTCGGCGTAAACACCGATTTCTTGTATTCGTCGTCCGTTTTCGGTATGTTGGCGCTTTTCATGTTTTGCCTTTGCACTTCAAACGTCTTCGTCCACTCCGAGTGAGAATCACACGGCGTTTTCGGCGTGTTCGGTTCACTATTATTTGAGGTATCTTTATTCTCTCCGTCTTCGTCCACGAGCAAAGCGTCCTCGTGGTCGTGAGGAACGGTTTGGAAACAGTGTCGGCACCGAGCGGTCGCGCAATTGATCCCGAGGAAATTCAACACTTTTTGCCCCCCGTGATCGACGGATTCCACCACCGGAGTGGCCACAAACGTCGTGTGATCGTTCAAGTTGTCCTGCTGCTTTTCTTGCACCTCGATTGCGCTCATTTTTTTAACGTCGTCGTTGTTGTTGTTGTTATCGTTATTGTGTGCGTGTGTGTGTTGTTACGCGTGCTGTCGTTATGAGTAATTGTGGTGTTTGACCTTTTTGAGATACTTTTGTGAAGCAAAGGGTCCAACCACGCAGATATTTTTAGCGGGCGCTTCTTTTACCGGCCGTACAAAAGGAGTGTTGTTGTTGTTGTTGACAATTCAACGCGATAACGATAGCGATGATGATGATGATTTTACGTTTAATGACAAATTTTTTATTATCTATGGAATCCCTCTACGTTCGGGTCTATTTCGATGGAATATCTCTTGTGTCGTTTCCTACCGTGGAGACGCAAAGCGAACTCAACTCCCGCCGGAGTGTCCAACCAATCCTCGAAATCGTCTTTGCCTTCCTCGACCATGGCAGTCAAGTGTTCGTCATCGGCTGGGATGAACGTGTTCACCCTCGGTAACGCCTGGGATGGGCACAAAACCGCGTTCCAGTGTTTGATATCGTCTTCGTCTAATCCTACTCGCAAGGCGTTTTCGTGTAAGCTGGGTAAGTTGTTCGTCACGCCGCCGTCGACGCAGATGTTGCCGTCCCACACGCAAAACCCAGGCCAGGTCCAGCCAGGTATGTATCCGCACGCCAAAACGCAATTGATCAAATCCTCTCGCGAGTGCCACTCGGAGATGATGACGTTGTGCGGCGTCGGGAACAACTTGGTGACGGATAAGAACACTCTCCCGTTGCACTTTTTATGCGCGTCTTCCGGTAACAACGCGTTCAATAAATACCTGCAATACTGTCCAATATTGGTTAAATTATGAATGAACCCCATTGGTTCTCTAAACTCGTGCGCGATTGGAGGGATTTGTTTCCAAATTTCCTCAGGTTTCACGTTTGCGCCCGCCAACGCGGCGACCAACGCGCCGATGGAGGCGCCCGCGAAGACGATATCGTCCACTCCAGTCTCGCCAAAGTTATCTCTCAACCCAAAATACACGCCTAAATGGTACCAGGTTCGAAACCCTCCCCCGCATAAACTCACGTGCGCGTGATCGTCCCCGTTTTCAGTCTTATCTCTTCGTTTCTTTTCGTTCACGTACGTCGTGTTCTTTTTAAACCTGTGCGGAAACGTCGGCTTCCACAGCGGCTTCCCACACAGTTGCCAGAATATAATCCAAAAGAGCACCCACGCGGCTTGTAAAGTCGCCAACGGGAACGCGAAGATGAAGTACACTAACGTTTCCAAAAAGTATCTTCGCTGAGGAAACGCGGTTGGATTTCTCATCGCTCTCGTCGTCGAAAATACGTACATTTGTAGGAGGTACGTGCACGCGAACACCAGCGCGGCGTTTCGAATACTAGTTTTCGAGTCTTCTTTGTTGTTCGTTGTTTCTTCGATGTACTTTTTTACATCCTCGAGACCGTCTCGAATCATCATCCGTATCATCATCATCACATTCCCACTAGAACTACTACTGCTACGACTACCACTACTACTCGCACTACTGCTACCCCCCATTTTGATGTGAATCTTTCTCTCTCTCTCTCTTCAATAACCTTTCTTAAAAGTCTGTTCGTCTTCTCCTTTTTATTATTCTCTTTTTTACTCTCGTCTCTTTTTCCCGGGAAAAGACTTTGAATATAAATAGAGAGAAGATTTTTGACCTCTTCTTCTCTCTCTTTAATACGCGAAGCCTCTCTCTCGTCGCGCTCTCTTATTTGAATCCGCTCTCGATGGTGAGATTACGAGTGCGCTCCTCTTTTGCCGATTTTTAAAAGAAGAAGAGAAAGAAGAGAAAGAAGAATAAAGAGAAGCGCTTTACGAAGAGAGCGGGGCTCTTTTTTGTCGGTGTGTCTGGTCTCTTTTGTTTTTATTTGACCGACCCCGGCTCGAATGGGTGGAATACTACTCTCGCAACAAAAGCTTATTTATATAATTGTTGTTCTGTGATTGACTGGTTTTTTTGTGGACGGAAATATCTCCTTTTGTGTTGTGTGAGCTCTCTCGTGGTATCTCGTATTCAACAACAACATTGGATAATCTTTTTTCTCTAATCGACGACTCGAAGGAGTCCTCACAAAAACGCGCAGTTGCAAGTTTATATAGAACATAAACACACGCTCTCTCTCTCTCTTACGACGAATACATTTTTGTGAATTCTCTCTTCTCAGTATAATGCAAACGCAACTTTTGTTGAGAACAACAGGAAGAGAAAGCCTCGCGAGTACTAAAATTCATCATCATCATTCATCATCGAAGAATATAAATTCTACTTCTTTAAAGAAAAAGATGAGCACCATCACTCGAGCGCAAGCCGTGGCAGGCGTGGCGGTGAAACCAATCCCGACGACACCGATCGAAGGACAAAAAACCGGCACGTCTGGTTTAAGAAAGAAAGCGAAAGAGTTTTCGTCCGGGAACTATCTCGCCAACTGGGTGCAGTCGCTGTTCATGGCGTTACCGCAAGAGGAGTTGCAAGGGAGCGAGATGGTGTTAGGCGGCGACGGGAGATGGTTTAACAAAGAAGCGTCGCAAATCATCTTGAAATTAGCCGCCGGGAACGGGGTGAAGAAGATGTACGTCGGGCAAAACGGGTACTTGTGCACGCCGGCGGCGTCGGCGGTCATTCGAGCGCGCAAAGCATACGGCGGTTTTATCATGTCCGCGTCGCACAACCCGGGCGGGCCGGAAGAAGATTGGGGGATCAAGTTCAACTCCTCCGCCGGGGAACCGGCGCCGGAAAAGATCACCGATAAAATCTACGGGTTTACGCAATCCGTGAGCGAGTTGCAAATGGCGGATATTCCGGACGTGGACTTGAGCAAAGTTGGCGTGACGAAGTTTGGCGACTTTGAAGTCGAAGTCGTCTCGCCGACGGAAGATTACATGAAGTTGTTGAAAGAAGTCTTCGATTTTGACTTGATCAGTAAGTTGTTGAAGAGAAAAGATTTTTCCATGCAATTTGACGCCATGCACGCCATCACTGGCGCGTACGCGAAGCCGATTTTGGTCGACGCTTTAGGAGCGCCGGCGAGTTCCTGCGTCAACGATACGCCGATGGAAGACTTTAACAAAGGTCACCCGGACCCGAACTTGACGTACGCGGAAGAATTGGTGAAAGTTATGTTCTCCGAAAATGCGCCGGACTTTGGTGCCGCTTCCGATGGTGATGGTGACCGTAACATGATTTTGGGCAACAACTTCTTCGTCACGCCGTCGGATTCCGTCGCCATCATCGCCGCCAACGCGCAAGAGTGTATTCCGTACTTCAAGTCTGGCTTGAAAGGCGTCGCGAGATCCATGCCAACCGCGGCTGCGTTGGACAGAGTCGCGCAAAAGTTGAACGTCGAGTGCTTCGAAACCCCAACTGGTTGGAAGTATTTTGGTAACTTGATGGATGCCGAAAAGTGCTCGGTCTGCGGCGAGGAGTCCTTCGGTACCGGCTCTGACCACATCAGAGAAAAAGACGGACCGTGGGCCGTCTTGGCGTGGTTGTCCATCTTGGCCAAGAGAAACGAGAACGTCCCAGAAGGCGGGAAACTTGTCGGCGTCAAGGAAATCACCGAGGCACACTGGAAGACGTACGGCAGAAACTTCTTCTCCAGATATGATTACGAAGGGTGCGAATCGGATCCGTGCAACAAGATGGTTGAATCCTTGCGCGAGAAAGCGAGCAAAGCGAAGAAAGGAGACAAGTATGGCGCGTACGAGTTGGACTACGCGGACGATTTTGAATACACCGATCCGATCGATGGGTCCGTTGCCTCCAAGCAAGGCGTCCGATTCGTCTTTACGGACGGGTCTAGATTTATCTTCCGTTTGTCCGGTACCGGATCCTCCGGCGCCACCGTGAGAATGTACATCGAGCAATACGAAGCCGACGAAGCGAAGCAAGGCATCGACGCGCAAGTCGCGTTGAAGCCACTCATTGACATCGCGTTGGAAGTTTCCGAGTTGAAAAAGTTCACCGGCCGCGAATCGCCGACCGTCATCACGTAAGTTTTTCGATTTGATCGACGAGAGAAGAAAAAAGAGAGACAGATACGTACGCGGCGGCGGCGCTTACAACAGTTTACGCACACACACATATACACAAAAAAACATGAAGAGGAAAAAGAAGGCAGAGGTTGCTTTGAGAGCGCGAGAACAGAAGAGCGAAGTGCGACGGTGGCGATGATGTAGCTATATTGAAATAAACTCTACTAAATAACAAGTACGCTTTCGTTTCGCAAAAATAGTTACCCGAGACACATCTTCTTTTCTCTCTTTCTCACTCTCTACTATGACTAAATAGTATACAACAACACACTTTGACTCTTTCCACTTGAATCATAATCGCATTCCTCCTCCTCCTCCTCCAATCGCTCTCTCCCTGCTCTCTCTTAACCTCTTCGCCTCTCTCTTCAACTCTTTCACCACTAACGCTAAACTTTCCGGTTCCACGCCGTTTTGGAGCATAGAGATGCACACCGCTAACGTCTCCCGGTCCAAATCGCACTCTAAAATTTTCGAAATCTCGTGCGTAATTTCCAAGTGTTTCTGCGCACTTCGCGAGGAAATTCTGTCTCCGTCGAAACAGTCGTCCGCCTCAAAGTTGTTCTCGTTGTTCTTTCTGTTAAAATGGTCGTCGTCATTTTTGTGGTGGTGGTGGTGGTCGTTGTTTTGACGACGACGCAAAGGAGAGGAAGCGTCGCAGGGGGTCTTCATTGTAATAATGAAGAGTTCTTTCCAAAGAAGTCAAACAGAATAAAAATCTCAACAAAACGTCTTTTTTGAGGCACACGCAGAAAAAAAAAAGAGAGAGAATGCATCGTCATCGAAGGTGGTGTGTCGCTCTCGTCCTCTTCCTCTTCCTCTCCGGAGCAGTCGCAAACAGTAGTCGAATTGCTGAAACTCGACAAAGAGAAGAAAAGAAGGAGGACAAGAAGACACTCGCTTTCTCGTACGACACGAACGACAACAAAAGGGTAGCGTTGGGTGCGAGATTTTTAGAAGACGATCAGTTGGACTCCCAAGAAGAGTGCATGAGAGATGCGTTTTTTTCTATTTTTAACCAACATCATCATCACGGCGGCGGGCGTCGATTCAAAGGATCAGAAGAGGATATCTTCTGCGAACTTCTGGTGCAGGCGAAGGATAAAGACGCGTTGAAATGCCTCGTCGCGGTGAATGCGGTCTCGTGTCGTCTGGAACGGTCTAAAGTAAAAAGCAGATTGGGGAAATGTAATAAAAAGCGTTTCGATGGTGGGTGCGAGAGGTGCGCGTTGAAACGAATAGGAGGGTCAGACGACGACGACGACGACGACGACGACGACGACGGAAGAGATGGTGAGGATACAAAGAACAGCAATGGACTGAAAGGACTGTTCAAGTTTCTGTTTTACGACGAGGACGAGGACGAGGACGACGACGACAACGAAAATAACGCCGATGGAATGGACGAAGAGGAAGAGGAAGACGAAGACGAGACTACCCGTCGTAATTTTTTCTCCGTTACGAAAGCAACAGAACTCAACATGTATTTTCAAGCGCTTTCGAGAGTAGAATCAGAGTGCGCGCAACACGAGCAACGATTCCGCGCGCTGAGAGCTTCGAGAGAATTATCCGAGTTTTTTAAACGAATCGAACTTTCCGAGTTGGAAGCGAAAAAGAGCGTTGAAAATTCAATGGAAAGATTACGAGCGATGGAATTTGAAATCAAAACATCAGTGCACGAGACGCTGTTAGAGACGCAAAACGTGCACAATCAAACGCGCGAAAGACTCAACTTGACGTTAACACGTGTCCAAGAAGCACAAAACGCGGTAGAAAAATTGACTGCGTTCGCAAAGGTACACTCTATGCGATTGAAAGAACTCGCGATTACTTTCAATCGCATGCGAGACGCGCTCTCGAAATCGAGTTTGGTTTTCTTCTTCTTCGTTTGGTGGTTCGTATTTGGGACTTCTTTTGTGCCACACGCGTTGAGAACGTTTCTCAGAGAAAGTTTAAGACAGATCTTAGGCGCCGTCTTGTGTAGTCACGCGATTGAAATCGCCCTCGTGCCTCGATTTGTCGAGTATTATTACCGTCAGCAGTATCAAATCAAGGAAACGGCGGAAGAAGAACGAGAGGAAGACATCGACATCGAACTTCTCATCGCGCAAGCCACGCAACTCGTCCGCGTGACCGTAGCCACTACCGTCGCTGTACGAAGCATACGAACCACGATGCTAAAAAACAAACGAGAGAAATCGCGTTTGCTCGAACAAGAAGCTTTCGCGAGCAGTTTGCGCCGAGTCGAAACCGACGTGCGCGCTTTGCTCGCAGAACGACGAGGACGAGAAGAAGAACAAGAAGAAGAAGTAAAAAGAGGAAGAAGAGGACGAGTTGTGGTCAAAGCCTTGTTACCACCATCGAGAAGACAAGAAGACGATTCAGACGATTCAGACGAGATCTCAGAGAAGACCAAGAAGACCAAGAAGACCAAGAAGAAAGTGAACACTTTTAATGAAGAAACCATCGACGAGGACGAAAAAAGCGAAGAAAAAAAAATCACTTTGAGGAAAAAGCGAAAGAAAGACCACTAACACCACACAAAAGGTGGTTTAAAGATGAAAGAGGATTTTAAGGAGGAGATAAAAATATCGCGCCTGACGGTGTACCCGTTGAAATCGTGCAAAGGCATCGACGTGAAGCGCGCGCGTTTGACCGAAACTGGATTCGAGTGGGACAGATGCTTTTGCGTGATCGATAAAGACGGGGAATTTATCAGTCAGAGAACTGTTCCTGAGTTGGCGTTGGTTGAAACCGAGTTTCGCGGGGCCATCTTTGAGGATGATGAAGAGGATGATGATTTTGATGATGAGAACAGTACGATGGAACGAGTCATGAGGGAGGATGTGAACGACGACGGGGTAAACGACGTAAACGAGACTGAATCGATGATGAAAGATGCGAAATTAATTCTGCGAAGTCCAAACTGCGCGGACGAGTGCGAAATTCCTCTGCTGGCGAGAAAAGAGGACATGTCTGGCGAGGTGGAATGTTCGGTGTGGGACTACTGCGGCGTTCACTTGGCGGAGAGCGACGCGGTGAACGAGTGGATATCGAGGGCGATAAGAGTGCCCGGGGCGAAAATTGTTCGTTGGATTGGAACCGGAGGGATACCGGAACGGTTTAATAAGTACGTTTCGACGAGCGATCGCAAATCGAGACCGAAAAGGCCTTTAGACGAGCGATACGCGAAGAACGGCGGCGAGACGGCGTTTAGCGACGGGTACCCCGTGTTGTTAGCCCACGAGTCCAGTCTCGACGATTTGCAAAAGCGCGTGGTCATGGGGAAAGAGCTGTTCAATTTAGCCGGAAGCGAAGTGAAAATGAATCGCTTTCGACCGAACGTGGTTGTTTCCGGAGGTAAAGAGTGGGCAGAGGACAAGTGGTTAAAGATAGAAACACGCGCGAGAAAGAGCAAGAGCGATGGCGGCGGCGGCGGCGGCGAACGCGGCGGAGATGAAGGTGGTCTTTCTTGGGACCTCGTCAAACCGTGTTCTCGGTGTACGATCCCGGATATAAACCAAGAAACCGGCATCTTCGATAAAAACCGCGAAGTCTCTCGCGCGTTGCAAAAATTCCGCTCCGGGACCGTTCTAAACAGCCAAACCAAATCGTGGGCGAACGAAGTCTTCTTCGGGTGGAACATGATTACGAGCGCGCCAGGCGGCGGCGGTTTGAAAATATCCGTCGGAGACGTCGTGACTGCGAAAGAGCTCAGACCAAATCTCAGTGGTGGTGGTGGTTTCATGTAGTTCGTCCCTTCTTATTTGTGTGCGAGTATTAGACTCGTAGAGTAGTAATAGTAGTAGAGTAGTAGTAGTGGTAGTAGTACAGAGAAACGACGGATGACGATGATAAAGAGTTACACTCATTTTTCTTTCAATTTTTCTTCTTTTAGTCGTCGACAGACGCAAAGGGTTTTCACCTCTCTTTTCCTTCTTTTCCTTCGTTACACGTTCGACGCGCACGATATAAACGATATAAACGATAACAACAACAGTTAGTATTCGTATTTACCCCGCGCTCTTTTAATCTTCTGTTACATTTAGTATTATGCTCGCATCTACCAGCAGCGCTGCTGCTACTGCTGCTATTACTACTCACACGAACACGAACGCTTCTTGCGCTCGGCGGCGGAATTTTTCCTCCGATGTGCAACACCATCAACGTAAGAGAAACACGAACAATTCAGAATTCAGAAGACAAAGAAGACAAAAAAGAAGAAATAACGGGGACAGCACTCTTTTCGTGACACGTGCGGAAAGTGGCGGTTTTGGCGATGGTATCACCAACAATGGATTGACTCGAGAAATCAGCGAAGATGTCGATACCGTGTTGTTAGATTGCGATGGGGTCATATGGCACGGAGACGCTTTAGTTCCCGGGGCGAAAAAAGCCGTGGACTATTTACGAGAAACGCTGCAAAAGCGCGTGTTTTTTGTCACGAACAACGCGACGAAAACGAGAGAGTATTACCAGTGGAAGTTTTCCGAGCTCGGGATGGAGGTGGATGTGAACCACATATATACCGCGGCGTTTGCGTCGGCGTCGTATTTATCCGCCATCGGATTTAACAATACTCACGGTAGTACTACTACTAAAGATGGATCGTCGTCATCAAATAAGAAGATATACGTGGTTGGTGAGCAAGGGTTAGTGAGAGAGTTGGAGGAGTGCGACGTCGGCGATATCGTCGGGGGCGTATACGAAGCAGTCTCGTGTACTTCGAGCGATTGGGAGGAGATGCACGAGTGGACGGGAGGTGACGCCGAAAACGACCACGACGACGATTCTCGAGTAGACGCGGTTGTCGTTGGTCAAGACACGTCGTTTACGTTCGCAAAGTTAGCGTACGCCTCGTATTTGATACAAAAAGGCGCAAAGTTCATCGCCACGAACCCAGACGCCGGGGATAGGTTAGGGAAAGAGAAATTATTGATGCCCGGAGCGGGGCCTATAGTGAAAGCGATTGAAACCGCGTCTGGGAGAGCACCGGATGTGATTTGCGGAAAACCAGGAAAGTACATGTTTGACGCGATAATGTCGCACTCGCACGGCGACCCGCAGAGGACGATGGTCATCGGCGATAGAATGGACACGGACGTGAAATTCGGGAAAGATAACGGCGCGAGATATTCCGTCTTAGTCCTCACCGGCGCGAACAAAATGAAAGACGTGGAAGAGAACGAAGACGAATCGAAGCAACCATCGTTCGTGGTTGGTTCTTTAGCGGAAGCGTGCGGAATACCATTCGATCCAAACGAACCGACGCAGCGCGTCGGCGAAAGAGCGAACATGGCGAAGAATTACCCCGTCGGCGACGGTACCGTCCACGATTTGTGGGCCAGCGGAGACGACGACATGGACGACGACGACGACGACTACGACGACGACGACTTTATTCCAGCCACGTGATGAGAGATTATTCTTATCGAGAGAAAGATTTGAAGGGAGAAAAAGAGAGATGAAGACGATATAAATTTACTACACTACTATATACTGACAAAATAAAATAACTGAAAATCTTCACTTCTTTTCAAACAAAAACTCTCCGAACAAAATGACTGTCGAGAAAACAACGAAGAAAAAGACATCGTCCAAGAAGACGAAGACAACTGGAACACCTCCGTCTTTTGTTGCAGAAGAAGAAAAGGACGACGCAAAAACTCCTACGAAAGAACAACACTTTTTACCAGAAGAAGAAGAACAACAACAACAGATGATGCCGAGTAGTGTCGTAAAAAAGTTACCCCAAATAACCGTCGCGCGTTTGTTAAACGAAACTCAGTTAGGCGTCGCCATGCACAAACGCATCGTGAGACAAATGACAGAATTACGACACGTGAGCGGTAACGAGAAGTTCTTACAGGACGTGTGCACGTGCTTGTTGCACGTTTTATTGGAATACAAGGTATATCTTCTTAGTCTTTGTGGTCGTCTTTATTATTGTCTTTATATCGTCGCGTCTTTATCCTCGTTTGAGAAGAGTGATTTTGAGAATGAAATGGATTTTTAGAGACGAGAGAGATACAAATTTTTTTTCTTTTTTCGTTCCCCTTTTTGTGTCTCTTGCTTTTCAAAGTATTATATTCGTATGATGAATAAAACGAAGCTAATATTATATTATTCTAACAACAACATTTAAAAATAACAGAGAGACTTACACACGGAACGGGTGATTCGATTTATAATCGCATTCACTTCACACCGAGAACCAGGCCACGAGGAGGAAGCGGACGAGTTTTGCGAATCTTTGATTCGGTTTTTGTTGAACGTCACCGCGGCGAAGGATCGAGCGGTTCGGTTTCGAGCGTGTCAAATGGTGGCGGGGATTTTGAACGCGCTCGGACCAGATGCGGAGATTTCGGACGATTTATACGACCAGATGGAAGAGACGATGTTGGAAAGGTTGAGAGATAACACGCCAGCGGTGAGAGCGCAAGCGGCGAGAGCGTTATCGAGATTGCAAGATGGCGGGGAAGACGCGGATTTCAGCAACAGCGAAATTACCACGGCGTTTATCGAGTTGATCGGAGGCGAGAAGAATAAAGACGCGAGGAAAGCTATTCTAGGCGCGTTGGCGATTTCTGATCACACGATTTCCGTGGTCGTGGAGAGAACGAGAGACATTTCCGAGGAAGTGAGACGCATCGCGTTTTTGGCGTTGGCCGCGAAGGTTCCGGTGGAATCCGTCTCGATCGAACATCGCGCGTTGGTATTGAGAAGAGGCTTGAATGATCGATCGATTTCAGTGAGATCGGCATGCGTTGACATGCTCAAGAAGTGGATGTCCTCGAGCGTGTGTGAGAACGACCCGATTAAGTTGTTGAAATTACTCGACGCGGAGTCGCACCCGAACGTTTCGGAGATGGCGTTGAAGACGTTGATTGAAACGAAGACGGTGAAAGCGATGGCGTACGCGACCAAGGAGAAGAGCGAAACGAGCGGGTTGCGTAGATTCTTTCTCAAGAAATCAGAAGAAGAAGAAGAAGAAGAGAAAGTAAGTGTGGTTGAGCTCTTTTCGCCGGAAGAGGCGTTGTTCTGGCGCGTCATCGTCGAAGCGCTCGCGAACCAAACGTCGAGTTCAGGGAAGGACACGTCTCTCGCCGTCGGTCAAGCGCGCGCGGTGCTCCAAGCCGAAACCGAAGAAGTCGAAGATGCTTTGGATCAGTGCTTGCCAGAATCCTCGATGGATTTGCTCCGCGCCATTTCTATGCACGCCGACGGGAAAACAACGTCCTCGGTCTTTGCGGCGAGACAGTTGATGATGACGTTGAACTGCTCGGATATGAACGACGGCGCCTTGCGAAGAGGCGCCGCGACGCTCGTCTACGAACGATTGAGATCGATTGGCGACTTAAACGACGAAAACGACGTTTCGTGTTACGCGCGAGGTGGTGACGGCGAGTGGGAAAAGCAGTTGATTGACTTGGCGAAGCGCGTGCACGACGACAACGAACACGTCGCCGTCGTCTTGGGCGCCTGCGACAGTCTTCGAGGCACCGTTACCGATGAAGAGAACAACAACAAAAACGACGACGACGTAAACGACGACACCAACGTCTACGCTGAAACGCAAGCGCTCTTCATCGCCTCTTCGCTCTTTGAAACGGCGAATAACTCGTCGTCATCCAAGCTTCCCGCGCACGCGACTGAAGCTGTCATGCAGTCGCTCGTTCGACCGGCTGTCGCGCACGCGTCCGCCGGCGTTCGTCGCGAAGGTATCAAGTTACTCGGATTACTGTTAATGTGTGGAACGAACGCATTGACGGAAGAAACGGTGCAAATCTTGCGTACGGCTGCTGATGTTGATCCATCGGAGCCGGTTAAGTGCATGGCGTTGCGCGCGCTCGGTGATGCCGCCATGTTATACGGACCGAAAGCGTTGGATGCGAGACGAGATATGCCGGTGCCAAAGAAGGGCATTCACGTCCGCTTTGACGACGACGACGACGACGACGAAAGAGAAGAGGATGAGAAAGAAAAAGAGAATAACGACGATGCCGACGCCGACGCCGACGGCGAAGAAAATGAAACCGCCGGGTACCAGCTCACGTTGGAAAAGCAACTTCTTCGAATCATCGAGTCGGCGTGTGAACCGTTTGAAAACCCGAAGGATAAAACGGATCTGGAAGAACTGGACGCCGAAAACATCGACGCGATGAATGAAGCGGCGTTTACTGAATCTGAGAACTCCGCGCAAACCATCGCGTGCGAAACGCTCGCGAAACTCGCTTTGAGAAGAGGGTACTACGCCTTTGAGCAACCGTCTTTGGTCATCTCGACGCTCTTGGGCGCCATCTTTGCGTGCAACGCGCAAGAAACGCCCAGATTGGCGCAATGTCTCGCGGTATTTTTCCCAGCCATCGCGTCTGCACCAGATGCAAAGGTCAGAGCGTGCTTGATCGATGCCGTGTTACCGTCGTTGAGAATGGCGAGTCAAAAGAAGGGCGTCGCGAAAGTTGCCGCCTTTCTGACGTCTCTCTTAGAACTCGAGACGGGAATATCGTCGTCATCCAACCACAAAGAAGGAGGAGATGAAGCATCGAACAGCGATACCGACAAGAACAAGAATTTGGATGGTGTTATCGAACGATCTGATGCCGGTGAAGCCGAACTCGTTCGATCGCTTTCGATTGAAATCTTGGCGTTGAACGCGAAACCGTTCGGCACCGGCGTCGCCGGAGCGCAAGTCAAGGCGTACCACGCCGCCATCTCCAGGGTCTTGTCTAGAGTACCGATTCCGGATGTAAAATCAATGTTAACATCTCAACCAAACGATGGTAGTGCCGTTAATGGAAGCATTGTTTCCGAGGAGACGAAGCAACGCGTTACTTTGCAATTGTCCGAAGCGTTCGTCGCGATGAAGATGGCGACGAAGAAATGTCCGAAGGAGAAAATCGCCTTGAAAGATATCAACATTGCGAAAGATAGAATTCACGATTCGTTGGGCGTTTCCTCCTCGTCTTCTAGTAACAGTAACAACATCAACAACGACAACGAAGAAGGTGAAGACGAAGTGGAAACCTTGTTTAACGAAGACTTACAGTTCGCGGAGTACGCAGAAGGCGTCGAAAAGTACGCGAGCGAGTTATCGCAAAGCGAAGACTTACCATTCTACGATCGTAAAGGACCAAAAGTATCAAAACTAAAAGAAAAAGTCATGGCAGCACCGGCGCGAGAGCGGTCTAAACGAGCCGCAGCACAAGTTGCGTCCGAAAAATGGGTCGAGGACGATTTGAACGTGCCGTTGGCGAAGGTGACTCCTCAACCGACGCGTTCGTCTCGACGCCGAGAAGCGTTGCAGGAGTTCAACGAATAATAATAATAATAAGTTACCAAACAACACGTATTATAATACCGCGCGCGGTATTTCCCAATTGTTACACTATTTTACACTATAAATATACTACATAAAACTATTACGAACTAGTATGTCTACATCGTCCCCCATTTTCGCTTTCAAAATTAAGTTTAAAGCGTGCGGCGCCGTCAATCGCACCCGCAAATCGGAAATGTCGATATCGTGCCCGCCTTCGACGAATCCGTGCCTTTCGATTTGATAATCTTCCTCTACTCGAGCGCACTTCAAAGCCTCCTCCGGGTCGATGATATTTCTATTCAACGCTAATCCGATCAAGAGCGATTTGGCTGCCGCCGCCGCCGCAAACGTACACGTCATCTCCCACGGCGACAACGACCGCAAACGTTTCTCCATCAAAAGTTTCACCTCCTCCGGCTGCGGTTGCGCGAATATCGAGTCTGAACTTAAATTCAACTGCTCCCCAAACTCCCTCCTGGCCCAATCGTGCACTTTCTTCAATGTTTTCAACTGGATCTCTCTTAATTCGCTCCCGCTCGGGTGCGCCACCACGGCTTGATCGGCGTCGAAAAATTCGAGCAACTTCTTCACGTGAAAATCAAACGTCGCGTAGTCGCTCATGTGATCTAACGCCGTGGACGATAACTGCATCAACGGCATGGTAAACGGCCGAATCAAATCGTCCTCCTGTGTCGCCCATTCCGTGGCGATTGCGCTCGCTAACAACTTGTTCGGTAATATAAACTGCGCGCGTTTCGGCGACTTTAACGGTTTCCCGTCTAATAAGATTTCGTATTGGTTTTGCGTCGACGAGACTTCTCTGATATCCACGTTCTCGTAATACTTCGTCACCGTCCCGTCTCCTCCGATCGCGTTCGCGTGATCGCTCGATTGAAAATCTCGATTGTTTTCGCTTTTCACAATCTTCTCCAAATATTCCTTCCGTTTCACTTCTCTCATTTGTTTTGTTTTCAGTTCGTTTTCCTCTTGCGTTTGGTACCTGTTCGGCGTGAAATCTTTGTTCACTTTCTCGTTCGAATCGAATTTGGACGGGTACTTGTTTTTCTTCTTTGATGCACTACTCGCGGTGTTTGCAGTTTCATCGTCGTTCCCATCGAGCGACGAAAACGACGACGCCGTCGAAGAAGTCGCGATGGATTTTTTTCCATCACGCGATGAAGATCGAGTAGTAAAAGCACTCGAAACACCACGAGCAGCGACAGTAGTAGGAGTCGCGGTTCTTGTTCGACAAAAACCTCCAACGAGAAGAACGACTTCGCTAAATCGAGAAGAAGTTAAAGAAATAGAAGACTTTGAGTTATCGATGAGCAGTTGTTTTAGCATTCGTTTCATTTCGTTCTCCCCTCTTTGTGTAGATATAAATTTTTTCTGAGGAAACTTGTTCACCAAAAAACAAACAGCAGAGAAGAGACGAAAAAAAAAAAAGAAGAAAATTGAAATTTCGAGCGATTTTTTGCTTGACCTCTGATGTGGCTTTTTAAATACACACAGGGAGAAAAACGACTAAAACTTCCGTTCATTAACATTTTTTCTGAGTCATCTGCGGCACAATCTATTGATAATACACAAAAACGCTCTTTGGGGGAAACGAGAGGACACGCGCTGCGGTGAATCGTCTTTACCTCGTCTTTGTCATCTTTGCCGTCTTCGCGTATCAGATATAGAAGAAGACAAAGAAGAAGATTTTTTGACGACGTTTGTTCGACATTTTCGGGAGGGAATCACTGAGAGAAGACGATGAAAAAAGAAGAAGACAAAGAAGAAGAAGAAGAAGAAGACTTTGACGACGCGGTTTCCGAATTATCTTTCCAGGATATTGATGATGAAGAAGAAGACCAAGAAGAGAGAGGAAAAGCAGCGGTGAAGAAAAGCGTCAAAAACGAGGACGAGGACGACCACCGGAGAGGTCGTGGAAAAAATTTTGATGAGTCTTCGAACGTGTCCAATATCGAAGAAGAAGACAAAGAAGAAGAAAAAACAAGACGACGAGGAGGAGGAGGAAACAAAGCTTCCACCTCGAATGCGAACACTACTACTACGACCACCAATAATACTTTCTCGGAACAGTTTCCGTTTCACAAGGCGTGCTTTGAGAACGACCGGGAAACCGTGAAGGACTTTCTAGTCACCGCGGAGAGGTTGAAAACGAGTTCGTCGAGCGAGGGCAAAAATAGGAACCGTCGTCGAGAAGAAGAAGAAGAACAAGAAGAAAAATACGATTTTGATTTACTCAACTCGTTCGATTCGAGAGGTAATACCGCATTACATCTGGCAATCATGAGGAAAAACACGGATATTGTGAAAATTTTAACCGAACATCCTCTCGTTGATGTGAACGTGAGAAACTGCGTACACGGATGGAAACCATTGGACGAAGCGATACACGTGAAGGACAGACAGGCGGCGATTTACATCCTAACCGCGAAGAAAAGGAAAGCGAAGGAAAGTTTGGATACGAACACGCCGAAATTGATGCAACGATTGATGGATGCGCCGGACTTTACCGCAAAGTTGAAGTGGGAGTTGAATTCTCCAATATTTGGACCGATTTTGAGAAGAGTCGCGCCGAGCGATACGTACACGCTGACAAAAATCGGAACCAGAGTACGAATAGATGGGGAGCTGAGAGGAATAGAGGACGTAGAAGGGCAAAGCTTAGAAGAGAAGACGACCGTGGAAGGGACTGCTCGCGATAACAACAACGATAAAAACAACAACAAGTACGGTGGAGATTTCATTACCTTGTCTGATGTCGGGACAAACGAGAAGAAGAGCAAAAAGAACGGGAAGAAACGACGCGGTGGACTTTTACCGGTGTGGCACCGAGCGCCGTTTTCGATCGTGTTCTTAGCGAATCCAAAGGAGGAAGAAGATGCAAAAACAAGCGGCGGTAACATAAACACCGCGATGCTTTATTTTGACCACGAAAACAAAAAATGCATCGACGCTTTAGAAGAAAATTCTTCCAAGAAATCTTCGAATATTCCTCCTCCACCTCAGAGCGATTTGCTCAAAGACATAGCGGCGATGACTCCAGAAGAGCTACTTGAAAACGAAGCTGATCTCTTGTTCGTTGAAAACCCCTCGCGCGGCGTCTACGAACCGCAAGAGTATACGTTTTCGCCGGTGGACAGCTGGGGCTCGTATCTCGGAGTGTCCGAACGAACGAAAGAGTCAAAAATCGATGGAAGATACGCAAGAGTCATGGAAGCGAAAGGGAAAGCGATGGAAACGAGGAAGTATCGCTCTGGATTTCTCCCCGCGGACGAAACGTACGACTTCGAGAGTTACGCGAGCGACGCGAAGGAGTTTCAAGACCGACCGATTTATCGAGACGTGACGAGAATACGTTCGGTGGGTAAAAAACAACGAAACGAGGACGAATATTTCGAGTTGGACGATAAGCGAAGGAGTAAGAACAAGAGGAAAGAGAAGAAGAAGCGTAACAGTGGTATTAATGGCAGCAGTATAAATGACGGCGGCGGCGGTGAGACTTTGGAAGACGTCGACGACGGCACGATGGGACGGAAAATGAGCTGCCGCGTTTGGCTCGTCGAAAATTTCCCTCTCAAAGTGCAAGATCTGCTCCCGGTTGTCGAAGTTGCCTCGCAAGCGAACAAGAACATGAAACGTTTTCGAAATTTACTCACAAACTGGGGAAGCGAACCGAGTAGGCAGAATTACTTTCCGGTGAAGTGTTCGATTCCAATCGCGTACACCGTACACTTTGACGTTCTTTTACACAACTTCAAGTTGCTCGCGAAAGACGAGAGCGATAGGTTACAGTTTCAGGATAAAATTTTCAACACTCCGGACGGGTACGATTTAAAAGGATTAGACGAAGCTGTTAAAGAATTAGAAGATAAATTAGATAAGCTGGAAGCGACGGCTATGGCTGAGGAGGAGCGCGAACGAGCGTTAATGGAAGAAGAAGAAGAAGAAGAAGAAGAAGAAGAAGAAGAATCAGAGGAGGAGGATTTTTAGAGGTGGTATTAAGCAGAAACTGAAATCATAGCTTATGGACTGACTCTCTACAGTTCGATACGTGTAAATTACCTAAATACTAGTCTACAATACAACAGGTCACACGCTAAATGCTAGTACATAAAACCTGCCCCTTCTAATCTATTTATTTCTATTCCCCCAAGACGACGACGACGACGAAGATGGCGTAATACGAATCGGTTCTCCATCCGTCTGCTCGAAATACCTCTCCAACAACAAAGCAGCCGCGATGGAATCCAACTTTGGATCGTCACTCGCCAACGACCCACGCTTCATGCTCATCGCCTCGTCGCTCGTGAACGACTCGTCGTACATTTCAACCGGAATTTTCCGTTCGGCAGTCGTGGAGACTTGCGCCAACGCCTCCGCAAACTGCTCGCACACTCGATGCATGCGAATCGGAACTTTTTTATTCTCCTTGTTCTGCGCGTTACTCTCCGTCACCTCTCGTATCTTTTCTTCGAGCAATTCCAACTCCTCTCGCGTTTGTCGTGGATATCCAACCACGTACACGTCTGCCCGTTCCCTTTCCGCCACGTCCACAATCTCTCGAATCAACTCCACTCTCGACTTGCCTTTACACAACAAACTCTCCAAAGGTCTCGGCGCGAACCCGCCGCTGGATATCGCCAACCCGGTCTTCGAGAGCCCGTAATCGATTCCCAGCGCTCTTCGCGTGGCAAAATTTTCGTTTATCGGCGCATTTTTGGCCGCCCGATTCATCTCTTCGTCGAGCAAAGACCAACTGTCGTCGTTGTTGTTCGCATTCTTCTTCTGTTGTTGTTGCTTTTTTTTCAACGCAAAAAAAATGTTCGTCTGTTTCTTCTTCTTTGTGTTATTGTTGGTGGTGGTAGTTGCGATGAAAGCGCCCCGCGATGCTGTTGTTGTTGTTGGTATCATCGTCCTCCTGTTTGGGGTTGTTCTCGTAAGCTGTTGTTTTCCATTCTTCTTCTCGATTCTCAATTTTGTGGAGGAGACGAGACGAGTTCATTGGTCATGGTTTGGTAAAAAACAACTGATGACAGACTGGTGAACAAAAGCGAATCGAGGAGAGAAGGAAATCACACTGACTGTCGAGGGAAGAAGAGCAAAAAAATAAATTTTAAAGCGGAAAAGCTCTCGTTTCTGAGCGTATATTCCTCATAACAGCACACGTATTAAAGAGATACCAACACTAACTTTGAATTGTAAAATGGCCTCTTTAACTTCATCCGTCGCGTTCGCGATCAAATCCTCGCCGAAGTTGTCCTCGAAGACCAACTCCAGAGCGCAATTTACGAACAACAACAAATCTGCCTCCTCTTTTGGGAGAAAAAATCAATCGTTCCAAATCGTGCGCGCGGAAGGCGAGGCGGCTCCGGCGTGGTCCGCCCCGAAGTTGGACCCGAACACTCCGTCTCCAATCTTTGGCGGTTCCACCGGTGGTTTGTTGAGAAAGGCGCAGGTACGTTTATTCGCGTATATTGATAGATTGATAGTTTCCTTACGCGTAAACGCAAGCGCGCGATGGATGCTTCGGTCGGATTTTCTCCCTCTAAAACAAACTGTATCACAAAACCAAGGGAACTCTTTCTCTTGGTTTTGGTACATTTTTTCGTAGAAGAGCGGAGATATGAAAATTCGCATTCGCGCGCGTATCGTCGTTTTTACCACGGATGGAACCTATTTCTGGATTGGAAATGCATCGCGTTCGATCGAGCGCACTTTTCTCTTAACGAATATCGCACTCGTTCGACGAAAATCGTTTCGCGAGTGCGCGTGTAGAGTTGGAAATCGATCGATGATGCGCACAGAAGAGAATCGCCCGATCTCTCGCTCTCTCTTTTCTTCCTTTATTTTGTTCAAAATATTTTGTTTCAACTAAAATTTTCCTCTTTCCTCTCTTTTTCTCTCTTCAAATAATCAGGTTGAAGAGTTCTACGTCTTGACGTGGGAAGCGAAGAAAGAACAAATCTTTGAAATGCCGACTGGTGGTGCGGCGATCATGCGCAAAGGCCCGAACCTCTTGAAGCTCGCGAGAAAGGAGCAGTGCATGGCTTTGGTGACTACGTTTCGCGCGAAGAAGATCGCGAACGGCTGCATCTACCGCGTCTTCCCGTCCGGCGAAGTGCAATACTTGCACCCGAAGGATGGCGTCTACCCGGAAAAGGTCAACGCTGGTCGCGTTGGTGCCAACCAAAACATGCGCTCCATCGGTAAGAATACCAACCCGGTCAACGTCAAGTTCCAAGGTAAGGGCACATTTGACGTATAAATGTTGTTGTTGTTGATGAGGACGATGATGAAACACGAAAATTTGTAAACAAGAGGGAGAGAGAGTGAGAGAGAGAGAGAAGCACTTATATCAACAAAAAAACAATAAACAAATGCGATTTTGCTAGCTAAAATAATATATACTTAGTAGGGAGAGAGAGAGAGAGAAAGAAAAGATGATGATGATGATGATGATGATGATGATGATGATGAGCGTTGTAATCTGTGATGAAATATATCGGATTCTTTTTAAAAATAATTTTTGCTTTTCTTCCCTCCTCTGTTTTCTCCTCTTTTTGTACTTTTCTTTTCTTGTTGAGGAAAAAAAGATCTCCTCTTGGGCCAAAAGAGAAGAGAATCTCTGGAATTTTCACCTTTTTTTTCCCTTTCTGAGAGACGAGAGTGACGTCAATTTCACCCTTTTTCTTTGAACGCGCGCAGAAGAACTTCCTCATAGTAATCACACATAACACACAACAGCGTAAGTAAAACTGATACATCAAAATGGCTTCTTCTGTTTTGTCCATGTCCTTATCGGCGTCTCTCGCCGGCAAGAGCAAAGTCTTTTCCTCCAAGACAAACAAATCTATCTCTTCCAATAGAAAGGTCTCCAAGATCACCACGACGGTGCGCGCGACTGGCACCATGGTGGACGATAAGACCGGGATCAAGAAGATGAGAGACGGCATCAAAGAAGCCGCGGATGAGAACTTGTTGACGCCGAGATTTTACACCACAGGTACGCGTTTGTATTATTATTTGATCTCTCGTCTTCTTCTTTGTCTTCTCCTTCTTCTTCGTTCGGACGAGGACGAGAGACGGCTTCGTATCCAAGATATCTTCGTCTCGTTTGGGTGGAAAAATGGGATAAGTTTTTTTTTCTCTCTCTTTCGTGAGATCGCGCGGAAGTGATCACAAAACGCGACGACCTTTTGAAGGTAAACTAACAGCATTTCTCTTCTCTGATGTGGTCCTCTTTTTCTACAACAAAACAGATTTCGACGAGATGGAACAACTCTTTTCGACGGAAATCAACCCGAATCTGGACGAGTCCGAGATCTTCTCCATCTTGAACGAGTTCAGAGACGATTTCAACCAAAAGCACTTTGTCCGCAACGACGAGTTCAAGGCAGCCGCGGACGGGATCCAAGGCGAACAAAGAAGAATCTTCATCGAATTTCTCGAGCGATCGTGCACGGCTGAATTCTCCGGCTTTCTTTTGTACAAGGAACTCGGGAGACGCTTGAAGAAAACGGCGCCAACCGTCGCGGAAATTTTTACGCTCATGTCCAGAGATGAAGCCAGACACGCCGGTTTCTTGAACAAAGCGATGAGCGACTTTAACTTGGCCTTGGATTTGGGTTTTTTGACGAAGAACAGACAATACACTTTTTTCAAGCCGAAGTTTATCATGTACGCGACGTACTTGTCCGAAAAGATCGGCTACTGGAGATACATCTCCATCTACAGACACTTGCAAGCGAACCCGGACGACCAGTTGTACCCGATCTTCAAGTACTTTGAAAACTGGTGCCAAGACGAAAACAGACACGGTGACTTCTTTTCCGCCATCTTGAAGGCGAGACCGGAATTCTTGAACGACACGGAAGCCAAGTTGTGGAGTCGATTCTTTTGCTTGTCCGTGTACGTCACCATGTACTTGAACGATCACTCTCGATCTGAATTCTACGAATCTTTGGGCATGGACACCACCAAGTTCAACATGCACGTCATCCACCAAACGAACAAAACGACCGCGACTATCTTTCCGCAAGTCATTGACACGTACAACCCGGCTTTCAAGGCTGGCTTGGACGGCATGTTGGCGGCGAACCAAAAGATGGCTGCCATCTCCAAGTCGGACGACTCTGACATCGCGAAGGCTTTGGCCAAGGCGCCGTTGTTGGCTACTTTTGCCGCCGAGTTGGTGAAACTCATGATCATGAAGCCGGTTGACTCTGGATCTGTTGACACGAACTTGGAAGATCACCACATGGACGTCAACGATCCGGCGTTTATGTACTAAATATAGTATTTAAAAAGAGAACAACAGAAACAAACATCAAAATCATCAACACACAACAGTGAAAACGCGCGAAAAGAGTGAGGAAGGAAATTGAACGAAAAGATTCGAGAGAACACGAAGAAAGGAAGTGAGAGAGAGAAAGAGAGAGATGAAATGAGAGAGAGAGAGAGATGAAAAAAGGGAGGAGGAAGTGAGGGTGGAAAAATCGTTCGAAGAAGAAGGAGTGAGTCGCGGCGAGAAAGAAAGAAAGCTGCAGCAAAACAAACAACCATAGCAAAAAAGAAATCAACCGTCGCAACAACACCCATCGTTCGAACGTTCGATCGTGTGCACGTGTGTGTAGGTTTCGAATTTTTAATATCTAACAATACGTATATTCGAGTTTTAATCCTTCGTCTCTTGAGCAGTTTGTTCTTCTTGTTTTTCCATCATCCATTTTGTGTTTTGAGGAGGAAACGACACAAATAAACAACACCCACACCGCTTTTCACTGCGACCCTTCTTAAAACTCACGCGCGAAACCAACATGCACTTTTAAAATATATACGAATACCACCACCAACAATGTTTTCTCGCTCTCAGAGCAAGAAACAGTCCACCGAAAACGATTTGATCGCCGCCAACCGACTTCTTGTGCAACTCAAAAGGGAGTTGAACTTGAACATCGACCAGCTGGAAGTGACGCAAGAAAACTCTAAACTGGCGCACAAGAGAGCGGACTCGTTGCAAGAAGTCGCGGACAAACACGCGAAAGATTTACTGGACAGTCGAACGAAATGCGAGGAGCAAACGAAAACGATAGAGCAATTAGCGAACGCGGTGTTGAAGAGAGAGAAAGAGTTGAGCGAGAACAAAAGAGTGTTGATTTTGCAAGGAGAGGAGTTGAAAGCGGTGGAGAAGCACGCGAAAGAGATTGAAGAACGTTTGAACGAGAAGGAGAAAGAGATGAAGATTAAGGAAGAGAAGATGCGAGAAGATTTACAGGAGACGTTTAAAAGAGAACGCGAAGAGATGGAAAAAAAGGCGGAAGAGGAGATGAAATGCGAACGCGAGAAACACGTGAGTCAAGTCGAGATGTTGCAAAAAGCGTGGAGTCCCCAGAAAGAAGAAGACGAGAGGAAGAAAAGGGAGCGAGAGGAATTAGAGACGAAAAGAGAAGCTGAATTAGTGGAAATGAGGAAGGAAATCGAGCGGTTGAACTGGGAATTGAAGAAGAAATTAGAGGAAAAATCGGTGATACAATCTCCTCCTCCTCCTCCTCCTCAAAACGACTCTTCAAAAGAGGAAGTCGAAAAGTTGCGCAGAACGTGCAAAGAACAAAGCGAATCGATTCAGCGATTAGAGCGAGAAGTCGAGTCTTTAGACGACGTCATCAACGAGCAAATAGCTATGCTCGAGGAGAACGTACGACTCGACGAAAAGGCTGGAAACGAAAACGATACGAACGATGCGAAAGAAAAAGAAGAAGAAAATTCTAAAGGTGAACGAGAACAGCAACAACGCGCGCGAGAGGAGGCTGTTCACGATGAAACGCGCGCGGTTCTCGAAACAGCCGTTGCGGAGAAAAATAAACTTCTCGGCCTGAGAGATAAAGAGATATTCACTCTGAAGAGATCGATTGAAAACTTGAAGAGATCCGCCGAAGTGAAGCAGCGTAACTTTGAAGACAAACTGAGCGAAGAAATATCGAAACACGAGCTCGAATTGATGACGTTGCAGGCACGACTAGAAGCCTCGAGCGCGAGCGCGAAGCAGTATGCGGAAGCTGAAGCCGAAGCTAAACGTCGCGTGGAAGTTTTAGAGCGACAAAACTCTAAACGCATCATAGAGGAAGCGACTTTACGAGAGACGAGCGTGAAGAAGGCGTCTCAACAAAAAGCGCGGCAAGAGCACGACGTGCTTTCGAAACGAGACGTATCTTTGGCAGCAGTACCAACACCACCAACAGTACCGGCCGTTACGAAGAAAAGAGACGAAAAACAAAGACAAAACGACAACGACGACGACGACGACGAAGAAGAAGACGAATCAATCGACGAAAAAACCGAAATCGCCAACTCTTCGCAGTCCTCCTCGCCGCCCTTTAGAGACGCGAAAAAGGACGTAGCAAACTTGCGCAAAAAAGTCGCCGAGGCGAGGAAGAACGCTAAATCAGCCGCCAACTCCCCATCCTCGCCGAACACGAGCGGAATAGGAAAGTCATCTCCAAACGCGCAGAAGAAATCTGAAATCAGCGCGCTCGGTGAGCGAAGCATCGTCAAACGCGCCATAGAGGCGCAAAAAAGGGTCGAGGAAGCCGCCAAAGGTTTAAACAGAATAAACGAGAGTCAAAAGAGACTTTTTCATCATGAATTCGTTTGAACGCGATAGAAGAATAGTAAAGTTGTATGATGTAGCATGTATAATAGCAGAAAGAAAAGTAAAACGACTCAATGCTGATGCTCGAAAAGAAGAAAAAATCTTTTGTACTCGTAAAAATCAACATTATCCTCTCTGCTCTTCTTAATACAACAACAAAGTATCATCATCATCCACGCGCAGCAGCAGCGAAGACAGAGGAGTAGTGGTCAAGGATTCAACGTAACACGTTATAACACACGGGCGCACGCACACACACACACAGAGAGAGAGACACAGAGAGAGAAAGAAGAAGATGACTGTCGAACAGCAGCAAGATATGGATAATAATAATATCATCGCCGATGATGGTGAAAGAAAACCGACGATAAAGTTCAATCCGTTGCCGAAACACGCACAAAATAACAAGAAACACAAGCGAGTGAAACCCCCGAAAATGGACGACGAACAGAAAAAGCTCGCGCAGGCGAGGATAGACAAGCAAATGAACGAAGGGTTCGAGAAGATTTTTTTCCAAAAGATGTTGGAAATTTGCAAAGAAGGAGGACCGAAGCGAGTCGTGCCGACGGGTGAAGAAGGGAAGACGAAAGCGCGAGCGAGTTTGGAGGAGGTGAAGGAGTTCGCGGTGAATTACGTGAAACACGCGCCGCCGTTACCGCCGAAAGCGGAGTTACCGGCTGGGAAAGCCATGCGACACGCGTTGATGTATTATTACGGATTTGACTTTGTGGAAGGGACGATGGTTCCGCCGATTAAATACGGAGAGTGTAACTGGGACGAAGGTATTCCGCACGAAAGCGCGCACAGAGTGTTCATCGACGCCTTTCGCATGCGCGTGGAAGACGAGTTGGTGTTTGCAAACAACGTGCACGGGAACGCGAAAGATGTCAAGTTAGGGACCATTAAGTTTGGGCCGCAAGCCAGAAACGATTTCGCTACGTTTTTGAGGAAAGCTCGAAAAGGCGTAAACGGGCAACCGACCATGTTGCCGTCGTGGTGGAAGAAAGAGGACGATAAGATTTGTGAAGAGGCGGAAATTTTGCACGAACGATTTCAAAAAGCAGACGCGAAAGCGTTGTACGGTGAAGAGTTCCAAAATCTTCGAGTGCTCGGAGAGTTGGTGTTGGGGACGCCGATCGGCGCCGGCATTCCGTACGAAGCCGATTTCGATATTTTCAAAGACAAACAAGGGGTGTACTGGCACGATGTGGACCCTTCGGTGGACACGGTTCCGAAACCTCCCTCGAAAGGAAAACAAGTGGACAAGAAGGAGTTATCCAAGGAGAGGATTAAGGAGGAGTTAGACTACGTCGTCAAAGGACGCAAATAAAAGAGCGAGAAGTTCAAAACAGCTGCGCATTCATCAATCAATTTAGAATGGATGATCTTATTCTTCTATCATTTTTACGCTACTTTACTTACACCAATCAACGCGTCGCACTCTCGACAAAAGTGATACGAGTCTGGAATTGGACACGCTAACAAGGAAATCCCAAACGTCACGATCGCCGCCAAAACGTTCGCCGTTCCCGATTTTTGCTCCACGTCTGTGAAAACTTCCTTTTGACACCTGTAACACTGCAACATCATCGGCGCGTGATTTCCAGGCCCAAGAAATATCGGGCCTGGGTTATCCTCGGGAACGCCGATCGCCGGTGGTACGTACCGTGGTCGCGGGTCCACGACCTGGACGATTTGTACCTGTTCTCGAGGATGTTGTTTGACTTGTTGTTCTCGATGAAAATGTTGTTTCGCGGTGACTCCTCCTTTTGTTTTCTTTTTCTCTTCTCGTTCTTCTCTTCCCTCGTCGTCTGGTTGTCGCTGCTTTACGCCGTCGTCGTCCGGGTAGTAACTCATTCTGTTCTTCTTCTTCTTCTTCTTTCTTTCTTTCTGCTGATCGTCGTCGTCGTATTGTGATGTGTGGTGTGTATCTAAACGCTGTGCAAAAAAAAAAGCGTGCTTTGAAGCAGTTTTGTTTTGACGAACAAGTTCGTTGAAAGTCACTGAAAATTTTAAAGTCAATAATATACTAGTACATACAATCTAAGCGGACTATTCGTTCTCATCATCGTCACCTTCATCATCGGTGGTTTGTGACTTTTTCTCTCGTTCTTCTTCTTTTCCCAAGCCAAACCAGCTGTCTAACGTACCTGCGACGTATTCTACCACGTTCCCGCCTTCTCCTTCATCCGCGGAAGAAGACTCGACGAGCAACGAACTGTTTATGCGACCGCTCAACAAGTCGCTCGTTCGCACGACGAGCGCTCTGACTTGCGTGGCAGCGGCTTCTCTCTCGGAAACGCGAAGTAACTCGGTGTCTAACAATATTTTCTTTTGCGCTTCGAGTTGCTGACGTAAATCGAGGACGCGAGCGGTGAGCTCTTGAATATGGTCGCTTTGAATGACGTCGCCTTCGTTGATATTCAAGTTGATAACGGTTGAAGTCTCCGGAGTCTTTTCTACGACTACAGGAGGTGCTTCTCTCGCTTCGAGAAGCGCTCGTGCAGATTTCGCGGCTTCCTCTCGAGCTTTTGATAACGACTCTGTCGTTTCTGTCAAGAGAACTTTCGATTGCGCAACCTCCTCTCGGGCTCGCGCCAACGCTTCTTCGGTTTCATTCAACGTTCGTTTCAACAGTTCAATTTCAATATTCAGTTGCGCAATCATAAATGCGTTTTCGTTTTCGGATGCGCTAGTTGTCTTCACAGCGGACGAGAGATCTAACAACGCTTTTTCAGAGGATGCCTTGGCTTCGTCGCGTTCGGTTTGTGTCGTTAAGAGTTCCTCGCGAGTTCTTCTCAACTCTTTCTGGCGCAAGTCGCTCTCTTCTCGTTTGTCTCTCAAAGATACCTCTAAAGACTTGACGGACGCTTCCAAAGCGGTTATTTTCTGCCGCAACGCGTCCTTTTCGAGGGTGGTTTCTTTTTGCATAGATTGAATCTCTCGTTCGTGTTCTTCTTTCATTTCTTTATCTTTATTGTCATCGTCGGCGTTATTTTCTACCGACGACGTTTGCGTTTCCGCCTCTGCGGTTATTGCTTTCTGTTGCTTTGCTGCTATCATCTCTTCCATCACCAACTTACACTTTTGCAACTCTAATTCATTCGCTTTTAACTCGTCCGAAACTTTCGTCATCACGTCGTCGTGTTCCTGCGCCAACTTCAACTGCTCCGTGTATTTCTCCGTGACTTTTTCCAACTCACTCTCCTTCGCCTCGTTTGCGTTTCGTATGGATTCGCACGCGTTTTCCAACTCTTCAATTTTCATCCTCGACGCTTTGATCTCTTCCTCGTGTTCCGTTTTCAACGTTTTAATCTTCATCTCCAAATCTTTTTGTTGCAACTCAGCCTCGTTCGCTCGCGTCTCTGAGACTAAAATCGCTGATTCGATGTCCGATTTAAACTTCTCCGTCTCCGTCTCTCGCTCCTCTTGCAAATCGGACAACTGTTGGTTCACCTCTTGCAACTGTTGCTCCGAACTTCTCAAGATGTTCTGCAACTTTTCCTCTTTCTCGTTCGCAGTCGTTTCATTTTCATATTTCGCCTTTTCGAAATCTTCCTTAAGCTTCTTGCACTCTTTCAACGCTTTCTCGTGCGCCGTTTGCAGCTCGAACAGTTTTCCTTTCAACTTTTCCGTCGAGTGTATTCTTCGTTCGCGTTCTAATTTCAACTCTCTCAGAGCCATCTCCTCGGCCGTTCGGTCTATTTCTTTCCGTTCTTTCGAGTCGAGTTCGAGCAATTGCGCTCGCAACAAGAGCATCTCCGTCTTCATCTTTTGCATGTCCTCCGGCGAAGGTGCCGGCGATAATAACTGTATTCTTTGGTTGTTGTTTTTGTTGTTGGAAATATCTCGAAACGTCGTCGCAGCTCCAGCTGTCGCGGCTAACTTTTCGTTCTCTCTCCTCAATTTCATCACGTCCTCTCGTACGCTCTTTGCTTTATCTTTATACTCTCCTCTTCGCGTGGATTGGAGCCAGTGTAAACTCTCTTGGAAACGAGGCGACTGGAAATCAATCGATGATGTTGATGATGAGAACACATTATTAGTAGTATTCTCATTCGAAGAAGAAGGCGTCGCTGGTGTCTTTCTCCCTCCCATTATTTCCTCTGTTACTACTACTAACTTACGATGTTGTTGTTGTTGTTGGATAAATAGTGCGTGTGCGTGTGTGTGTGTGCGTGTTTGTGTTCGTGTGTGCGCTTTTTAATGAAGGGAGAAAAAATGAGGCGAAAGTGTTGTGATTCTCTTTCTCTTTGTGTTGTTCCCCTGCTTTTTAAAGGAAGATGATTTTTTTTTTTTGCTTCAGATTTTAAAAGTGCACACGGAAAGAAAATATCTCCCGCTCTTTCTGCGCCTTTCGTTTGAAATAATACGAAAGGTTTGACTTTCTTCAGAAAATTCACACGCGCAACACACACACACACACACTTTAAACGCGAGACAGTCAGATCTCTTCTTCTTCTGTTTCTGCGAAGGAGAATAGGTGCGCACTCTCTCTCTCTCTCTTTTCTTTTTCTTCAACAGTTCTTCTCGATCTGTTCTTTCACGAGGCGACGACATAGAGAGAATTATATTTATATTTGAATCAAAGCGAAGACTTTTCTATAACGGTTTCGACGTGTGATGCGTGTCGTCGTCGTCGCCTCAATTTTTGTGAAACGACGGACGTCGCGCGCGCGCGCGTCTCTTCTCGTTTCTTTACTTTTCTTGCGTTTCTCTTTCGAAAAAGAACGTTGTTCTTTAGCATCGCGCGATCTGATCTGATCATCGATCCGATCATCGATTGATCGTCGTCTTTATAGTCTCTTCATCGTCGTCGTCGTCAAAAATTGAGAGAGGGCGGTCGTCGGTGTGTGTGTTTGAAATTTGAACCAAAAGACTGATTTTAGTCGTCGTGGAAGTTCCGAAAAAAGACACGAAAGCAAAGAAAAAACGACGAACCGTCGTCGTTTTTATTTTAAAATACTTTGACTTTTAAGAAGACGAAACTTTTAAGACGGTTCGAGTATTCACACATCAATACTCATCATCATCATCGTCGTCACCAGAAAACGACGAGAGAAGAAAAAACGTGACTGACCAAATCCTTTGTCTTCTTCTTTTACGATGGTTTTACTCGTCAGACGGACAGACATCAAACAGACAAAAACAGACTCTTGTGTAAAAAGTAATTAATAGTTGTTTCTGAAAGAAGAAGAAGAAGAAAAACAACCAAAAAAAAATGATGTTGACTCAGAAAAAAATTTTGCCTTCCTCGTTGTCCTCAAAGTTGTCAAATAATAAAAGCGGAGGACGAGGGGTCGGTCGCGTCGTCGTGAAAAGGAGAACGATAACAAAACGTAATAATGATAATAATAATAATACAATTTCCGCGGTGTTTGAACGATTCACGGAACGCGCGATCAAATCAGTCATGCTGGCGCAGTTGGAGGCGAAGGAAAACCCGAGTTTGACTGAAGTGACGCCGGCGTGTTTGGTTATCGGCTTGATGGTGGAAGCGAAGGACGACGGGGAACACGGGTTTTTGAATACGGGCGTTTCCGTCGGCAGAGCGCGCGAGGTTTTGAAAGACATCGCTGCTGCTTCTGCGTCCGCGTCTGCCTCTCTCGACGACGACGATTCAGACGACGACGACGCGAAGAAGGAGAAGCCGTCGCCTAAACCGGCGGCGAGAAGTCGTCCAATCGCGCCCGGCAAAAAATCTTCCTCCGGATCGAACGACGTTCCGTTCTCCAAAGGGTCGAAGGTTTTGTTTCAACAAGCTTTAGAGTTATCGGAGACGATGAATATTGGATACATCGCTCCCGAACATTTGTGCATCGTCGCGTGTAATACGTTCGACGACGACGAGATTGTCGCCTTCTTTGAAAAGCTCGGCATCGATCGCACCGTTTTAAGAAACGCCGCGAATGCAAAATTAGAAGCCGACGGCGAATTAACAGGCTCGACGTCTTCGTCTATGTCTGGCGATAATAATAGCAATAATAATAACAACAACAAGACTGGTTTACAAGCGAAGCGACCGTATCAGTCAAACACGCAGCAAGGGAAGTTGGTGCAAGACGATCCCGCGCAACACGCAGGCGCGGGGGCAAAAGAGTCCGCCTTGGCAAAGTTCGCGTTCGATTTGACTGAAAAAGCGCGCTCCGGAAAAGTTGATCCAGTCATCGGCAGAGAGGAAGAAGTCACGCGCTGCATACAAATCTTGGCGAGAAAATCAAAGAACAACCCGATTTTGTTAGGTGAGCCGGGAGTGGGTAAAACTGCCATCGCCGAAGGTTTAGCGCAACGCATCGTCGCTTGCGACGTTCCGTCACATTTACTCGGAAAACGAGTGTGTTCATTAGATATTGGTTTAATCATGGCTGGTGCGAAAGAGCGTGGCGAGTTAGAATCAAGAGTGAAAGAGATTTTGCAAGAGGTCGCGGACGACAAAGATATCATCTTAGTCGTCGATGAGATTCATACCATGGTCGGCGCGGGCGCCGTGAACGGTGGCGGCATGGACATTTCAAATCTCATGAAGCCAGCGCTCGCGAGAGGCGAGTTGAGTTGCATCGGATGCACGACGCTCGACGAACATCGAAAGTATTTCGAAAAAGATCCCGCTTTAAACAGACGCTTTCAACCAATCATCGTGGAAGAACCTACCGAGGAAGAAGCCGTGGAGATTTTGTTCGGTATACGCCATAAATTCGAATACCACCACAACTGTAAGTTCACGGACGAGGCTATCCGCGAGTCGGTTCGAATCTCCTCGCGTTACATTTCCGATCGGTTTTTACCAGATAAAGCGATCGATTTGATGGATGAAGCGGGGAGTCGCGCAAAGATGCTCAGTTACGAAAAGAGGCAAAAAGACGTCGCCGAAGCCAAGCGATTGGAAAAGGAAAGCGGGGAAGAAGAAGTCATCACCGCACCAAACGCGGAACTCATCAGTTTATGGCAAGAACACAAAAGCATCACACTCGCAAAGAACCAAGCCGCCGAGGCTGGTTTGTTCGAGGAAGCTGCGACTTTGCGAAAACGCGAGCTTGAAGTCACCGAACGCTTAGAGGCGATGGACGTGAACGCCAAAGGCTTATCGCTCACAAAAAGTAACGAAAACCTGATCGTCACGGAGAATGAAATCGCCGAGGTTGCCACGGCGTGGACTCGCATCCCGGTGACAAAAATGACGTCGGATGAGTCTGTCATCTTGCAAGATATCGACAAGAAGCTCACAAAGTCTGTGATTGGACAAGACGTCGCCGTGCAAGCGGTCGCGCGATCTCTTCGAAGAGCGAGGTGCGGATTAGCGAATGAAAACCGTCCAATCGCGTCGATGATGTTTGCTGGCCCGACTGGTGTGGGTAAAACCGAGTTGACGAAAGCATTGGCGAAAGAATATTTCGGCGACGAAGAGTCTATGATTCGTTTGGATATGTCCGAATACATGGAGAGGCATACGGTGTCAAAGTTGATTGGCGCGCCGCCTGGCTACGTCGGTTTCGACGGCGGTGGCCAACTGACAGAAGCCGTGCGCAAGAGGCCGTTTTCGGTCGTCTTATTCGATGAAATCGAAAAAGCGCACCCAGACGTCTTCAACGTCATGCTTCAAATGCTCGAAGACGGTCGATTGACAGATTCAAAAGGTCGAGTCACGTCGTTTCGAAATACAATCATCATCATCACTTCAAACGTCGGGAGTCAAGTGATTTCGAAGAACGGTGGCGGTGGCTTAGGCTTCGATCTCTCCGCGTTCGAGGAGAATCCAGGAGAGGCTGCGTATAATACCATGCGCGACAAAGTGCTCGACGAGATGAAAAATCACTTCCGTCCGGAGTTTTTGAACCGTTTGGACGAGATTGTCGTCTATCGCCAGTTGGATCAAGAGGACGTCTCGAAAATCTCCGCGTTGATGTTGAACGAAACTGGAAGTCGATTGCACGAGAGAAATATCGGCTTGGCGTTGACAGAAAGCGTCATGGCGCATTTACAAAAGGAAGGTTTCGATCAAGCTTGGGGCGCGAGACCAATGCGCCGAGCGGTGCAACAAATCATCGACGATAACGTCGCGGAAGCCGTTTTGACTGGCGAGATTGGCGAAGGCGAAACCGCTTTGGTCGATTTCAACGCCGAGGAAGCGAAAGTTTTCGTCTCTAAGTTCTCCTCGGTAAACGATGATCCTCGATGCGTGTATAAATACGAAGCCCCAGTCGTAGAAAAGAAACCGGTGGATGTTATTTCTAATCGGCCGACGAATAAGACGCCGAAACTTGATACTACCAACGACGTCGAGTTCGTATAAAATATTATATTATTATTAGGAAGGAGGAGGAAAAGAAAAGTGTCTTCACTTTATTAAAGAGAGAGATAAAAAAAAAGAGAGATAGAGATAAAGAAGGAGAAAGAGGGTAACTTGTCATTACCACCACCATCCTTCCTTCTCTTTCGCGTTTGTTGTAAATACATAAAGTTTGTTGTAAAAAGAGTCATTCTTATATTATATTATTATTATCACGGACCTCCTGTACTTCCTGCTGTCTGATACTTGCCATACTGTGTGTGCTCTCTGTCTACTCGTATTTTTGAAAAAAAACTCGCCGTGTGCCATACACTCGTTTTATTATTTCATTGCTGTGCATGCTCTAATCGTTTCTTTTCTCTCTCTGTAAATCTTTTCCTGCGACGACAGAAATAGACGCACAAAAACGCGCGACTGAGGCGAAGAAAAAGAGAGAAACAGCCAATTGAACCTCCAGAGGGAAAGAGAGAGAAAGAAGGAGAAGAGATTCAGCGCGACGACGAGAGGAGCGGAGCGCATTGAGAGGAAGAAGAATTCTTATCATCATCATCGCAAAAAAACAAATTTAGAAGTACAGAAAGATGTCGTCGAGCAAACCGGTGCACCCTTCGGATTTGAGAAACATCTTGAAGGAAAAACACGCGCAGATGGAAACGATGAAAGAACAACTGAAAGATCCAAACAAAAAGAAAGGCGGTGGTGGTGATAATGCTCCAAGTGGTGTCGGTAGTGGACTCAAATCGCCTCCGACGTGGAAAGTTGTTTTAGTCGTCGTGATCGTCTCCTTGTTAGCGTTAGCGTCGAACCAGTTTCGCTCGGCTGAGAAAGGCAGTCGAGGGAACAGATCGGACGCGGAACACATAAACCCGAACAGAGCGACGAGGAAGTGGGGTTCAGCGTTGAATTTCGAACGAGTTGACGGGAAGAAGTGGAGCACGGAGAGGATTTTAAAACACTTCCACTTGAAAAATCCATCCGAGTTGGTGTTTAGCAAACCGAGCGGGACGTTCGATGAGTTTATAGAAGCCATCGAAGACCCATCGTCGCACGTGGTGACTTTAGACGTCTCTAGAAGCGTGACGTATGATTCAAAAACCGGAAAGCAATACGAAGTGCCGGTGATTTCGAAGTCATCGTACCTTCCGGTATCGAAAGCGAAAGGAGGGATGACGTTTGACGAGGCCGTCAACGCGTTTATTCGCATGGCGACGCAGAAAGGATTACACATTCGGTTCCACGATCCGAGAATATTCAAAGCGGCTTTGAAAATGTTAGACGTCGAGGTAGATTACGGTAGATTACCGGGACCGCTTTTGATTGAAGCGGAGGTTTTGCCCGGTCCAGAAGCCGTGTTGCCGGAGATGTCCTGTCAAATGTTGTATCCCGAGACGTATCCGGGAGGACAGCCGCCGAAAAATTTAAAAGCGGTACAGGTGTCATCTCTGACAGATGGGACCATCGTCGTCCCGTTCGATCCGGTATCGTTCGTCGGGGCAGTATTCGACCACGTCCCTGGTGCGATATTAATGCTCGGCGTGGCAACCATGCATCCGTGCGACGACGAGGCGATCATACCGAGACCGGGACCGTCCCAAGGCGAACAACTCGGATCGTTTTTAGGCGAAGATGGAATCGAACTCACCGCGGAGGAAAACGCGGAAATCGATCAAGACGAACTCATGCGAGTGATTAAACACACCGCAAATGCCATGGTTGGCGACGACGGGAGAGGACGAATAGGAAAATCAGCTTTAGATGAAGTTTCGTGGAAGACGAACAAAAAGGAGAATCGAAAACTTTTGCAGTTGGACGCGTTGAACCAACTTTCCGTGGAGGAAACCGAATTAGTCGCCTTGAAAGACCTGTCCTACCCGAGCCGCGTGGTGCAGTTTTCGGATTTTCCGACTGGATACGGCGAATACGACGTCCACGCCGCGGCAAAACAGTTACAAATGACGAAAGGTTTGAGTTGGGACACTGGGAGCGACGCGATGGCGTTGTTGAACAACGGCACGTTCACCGGCGACGTGTGGTTTCCGGTTTCCGCGTGTTATTTAGGTAAAGGTGGAACACACCCGGGGTATTTGAGTGAACTCGCGGCAACAAAATTAGGCTACACAATTTTCATTCGCGGCCCAATCATGTGGTCCGACGCCGAGGTCAGAAACACGCTGCGGAAAGAACTCGACTCTGGGAAAACCGCCTTTGCGGGAGACTTTACCAACTTACCGTACGGGGATTACATCGAAAGGATGGAAGTGTTTTACAATCTCGAACCTCCGGCGCCACCGGCGAGGAACCCGGAGAAGAAGAAAGGCAAGAAAGGATGATGATGACTGTATACATTTCTGTTGTGTAATATAAAAGTAAAACTAAAATAACGACACACACACTCACTCGGTCTCACTCACTCGCTCATTTCTTCTAAATTTTCCATCCTTTTTCCCTCTTCACCTTCATAAATTAGCCCACACACATTTAACGGAGTATAAAATATGGTTCTTAAGACTGAAAACTGCTCGTGGTCGGGCCTCCGCGTCTACCCGGGTCACGGTACGTATTCGTAAACGTATATTGATTATTTCCTAGTTTGGACGCTTCGTTCAATTCGCATACGGATAAACGCGCGCGCTTTTGATGGATGTTTCCAGGGGCTTTTCCCGCTAAATTTTCAATGGATTTTGACGACTTTGGCGAGGGAAATGGGGCCTAGAAAAGCACATCGCGGTGTACTGGTGGCGCCTTTGCGACGCGATATCGACATCGAATCCGTTGGATTCAGCTCGAGAGAGTATTTGCGCGTGTCTTTTAAGCGCAAACAAATGCGTTCAAGGGTGGTGGTCGATGGCGTTTGCTAGTTTCCGCGCGCGCGCGATTCTTTTTTGCTCGTTCTTTTCCTCCGCCTCAATAAGGGCTCTGTTGTGAAAGCAAAAAACGGAGAGAGAACAAACAATCTAATCTCGTCGTCGTCGTCGTTTAGAAAACGACTCACTCTCGCTGTTTACTGACTTCGTTTCCTCCTTCTTTTCCTTCTCGCATCATCAACAAAACAAGGCATGAGAACGTACCTCAGAGACTCCAGAACGTTTTTGTTCCTCAACGCGAAGATCAAGTCTTTGTTTGGGCAAAGAAAAAAGCCGGCAAGAATCGCGTGGACGACGGCGTATAGAAAAGAGCACAAAAAAGACCAATCGACGGTTGTGAAGCAAAAGAAGAGAAAGATCAACAAGAACGCGAGTAAGCGATCGTACGTCAGCGCGTCTTTGGAAGTTTTGACGAAGAAGCGCCAGGAAAAGCCGGACGTTCGCGCCGCGGCGAGAGCGCAAGCGTTGAGAGAAATCAAGGAGAGAAACGCCAAGAAGAAGGGCGGGAAGAAGTAATCGTCGTCTGATTAGGACACAAAAACCTCCTCTCGTCGTCTGAATCGTCGTCATTTTCGCTCGCTTCTGACGAGGTGTGTGTTGTGTGTTTCTTTACTCGTAGCGAATCACCTGCCTTTAGTTTAATAATATATAGTTTAATAATAAATGAATCCACTCCAAAAGCTTTTTTCACAGACAGACAGACAGAGGATCTCAATTTTGAAACCTTTCTTTTTCGCTTTTTTGTCGTGGTTCAAAAAAAACGGCACTTCGCCTTCATTTTTTTAACCAATCAACGCGCGCGCGCGTTTTTTGTAGTTGTTGTTGTTGTTTAAATAGGGGGATAGATAGTAAGAACGACGTAGTAAACGAAGACTGTTATCAACAGAAGAGATTTCTATTCTTTGTCCTTCCTTCCTCTCGATCGAACATCGTCGAAACGCGGGAAAACAAATAATTACTTCTACATTAGAAAAAGAAGAATATACCTTTTCGTTGGTCGTGGGCGTGTGCTTCAAAATTCGGTAGAAAAAATTAATAACACAGAACACGCTTTGCTGCTGCGATGGTTTTACATCACGCGCCGTTGCTGATGAAGCACTTCAGCGAAATGATTGCCTTCAGTCAGGAAGATATGATGATTTTAGGGTTGAACATGCTCGTCTGCATCGTCGTCTTCTTCATAATGAAAAGCATCAGAGGGTCTCAAACGCACAGTTGGTATCTGACGTTCTACGCGAGTTTCGTGTCTTCTTTCGTCGGTTTGTATTTTGGATATCACTTACTACACGATGGATTCACATCGACGATATCGAACGAGACGGTGATTTCGAGGTACATCGCTTTATTCTTCATCGGGTATTGCGTCATGGATTTGGTCGTCGGAAGCGTGCATTATGTGGAAGAGATATCCTTCGAAGACGGGTGGATCCATCACCTGTTATACATCACCATTTGTTATTTCTTGCTCCACCACGAGATGACGGCGTTTTTCGCCGTGGCGCTGATTGAGGAAATACCGGTGGTTTTGTTATCTTTCTTTGAAGTCAGGAACAAACAACGTCCGTCTTTATTGTTTGGCGTGTTGTATTTCCTAACGCGAGTAGTCTTTCACACGGTATTAATTTACAAAGTTGGACAATTTTCGCACTTTGTTTTGTTCTCGGGAATGGTCTTGCTCACGTGGCACGTGAAAGTTTTCCAAAAGTGGGTGCGAGGGTATCTCATGCGCTCCGCGTCCAGGAAACGGATGAAATACAGACATAAAATGCTCATCATGTTGAGCATGCTCATCGCGCAAGTGTTGGTGCACTCGTACGCTATGTGGGATTTAGTCACGCAAAAGTACGAGGATCATCACCAGGATTCGATACCCGTCATCGCTTTACACGGCGCCATATTTCTCTACTTTATGACGTTATTCGGCGTTATGATTCACGACGTGTACTGTCAAAATTTCATCATGACGTCGATTGGGAAGAAGAAAATCATTTACAACATCAGCTGGGAAGACCCAGCTATCGATCATAAGGTCATGCACATGAACGAAGACGACGTCGTGTTGACGATTTCTTCCGCCGGGTGCAACGTTTTAGATTATTTGTGCGAAGGGCCAAAAAAGATTATCGCGGTGGACATGAACGCGGCGCAGTTACACACGTTAGAACTGAAGTTGGCGTGCATCAAAGCGTTAACCTGGGAGCAGTTTTTCGCCATTTGGGGTCGATCCGATTACAAAGTTTTCATCGCGGTGTACAAATCGAAGCTTCGTAAGTTGCTCCAAGCGGAAACCGCGGAGTTTTGGGATGCAAACACGCACTTGTTCCGCGATAACTTCATGTATGCCGGAACATCTGGTTTGATGGCGAAGATTTTGTGCGCACCGTTATGGTTAGCCGGCGTGCACAAACGTATCGTGAGCGGAGAAGATGTCGGCGGCGACCGCGGCGGATTCTTCTTTTGGTGCACGATGAAGATCTGCTCCTTCACCACGCTCTGGTCGTGGATTGCCCCGTTAGGTGGTGTTCCAATCGAACAACTCAACTTAGTCATGCGTAATCCGGAGGTATTTGTGGAGCGCTTAGAGGAAGTTTTAACCACGCGAATGTGGAAAAGAGGAAACTACTTTTATTACGGGTACATTGTCGGCGAGTTTTCGCCAACGTGCTGCCCCAGGTACTTAGAAAAGAAGAATTTCAAGTCTTTGAAGGAGCGCACGGACCGAGTGGAGTTATTTCACGGCACCTGGGCGGATGCCGCAGAAAAGGAAGGCCCGGGATCTATTACCATTGCATCCTTGCTTGATTCTATGGATTGGATGCCGCATCAGATGATTGCGGAGAACATTTCGAAAGTAGTCACCGGAATGGATAAAGAGAGAGGAAGGATTTATTGGAGATGTTTTGGTGATCGCGTGCACTCACCGGTGCTCGGACACCTTCGCGCCAACTTAGTCCCGGATTACGATCGCGTCGGGTGGTACTTGACCACGTTCATCGGTCCAACTCCGGAGAATTACGAGCCGAAAATGATTACTTTGAACGGCACGAACAGGAGCATTTCCAACACGATCTTTGACGATATGTTGGTCATGTATGCCATGGCTAGTCACGGTTTGAGCTCAAACAAAGACGTGAAGAAGTTTTATAAGTCTCAAGGCACTCGATACGACGGCTTTCGTGAAGCTTTGTTGCCACACAGAGACGTTTTCATGCAATACGTCGTTCCGTGGACAAAGATGCCAAAGACGTGGATTTCGGTCGGATGCGGCACGGCGAGGGATATCGAATTTGTCACCGAACATATTCGCGAATCGAAAACGAAAGTGTATTTGTGCGATTTATCGGATGCTTTGTTAGCCATGGCAAAATCTCGAGTGAAGGCGCTCGGTTTGACTAAACAAGTTGTTTTCATCGAAGGCGATATCAACGCCGCGGAGACGCAAAAGAAACTTCCAGCTGAAGTGGATTTGGTGACGTGCTCGTATTGCTTGACGATGATTCCTCCGTGGAGAGAGGCTTTGAATACGATGAAAGATCTCGTCGCGCCGGGCGGGAACTTGTGTTTGATTGATTTCACCTTGCGCGAAGGCGTCGAGGATAGGTGGGATCAAAGATTGTACAAGTGGTGGTTTGCGCACGACGGCGTGTATTTCAATCGCGCGCACGTCGACTTTTTGGAACAACAAAGAGATTTAGAAACCGTGTGGTATTCTGAAAACGAAGGCAGAGTACCGTACACGCCGTTTATGCCTACGCATTACATGTATTGCGCGGAGAAGATTTCCATCGAGAAGAAGAAAACCAACAATCGTCGCATAAATGGCCGGTCGCCTTCGCCGACGCCTCGAGCTTCGCGAGGTTCTGCGGCGTCTTCGGCTAAGAAGACTGCTACGAAAAAAAGTGGCAGCGGCGGTGGTAAGCGTCGATCGATGTCTCCTACGCCTCGTCGCAACACGCGAAGAACGCAATGATACTATTAAGACACATTACTAGATATTGAGAGAGATAATAATAATAAATATAAAAGGGGAGAGCGGAGAGAGAGAGAGAGAGAGAGAGAGAGAAAGAGAGAGAGAGAAAGAGGGAGAGAGATTATATTTAGCGGTATGAAGACGTGCATGTATTAGAAATAATCGTGTACCGGTATTGAATAACACACACACATACGAGTATACATCACACGTAGCTGTTCTTAAAAAAATTCCGCAAAACCAAAATTGGAATAAAGCTCGCCTCTCCGGCTTTAACAGAATAGAGGTACACACGACACATCATCAACACCAACAAAACGCAAAATAAAGCAGAGAAAAGATGGGTTTGGATCCTCTCGAGCATCGCAACACGGTCGACCCGCTCGCGGAGCCAAACATGGAAATCGTAAACAACAGCGTGAACGAATCCTACCCCTCTTCGCCGAGGCATTCCGGCAGCCGAGAGAATTCCGCCGACCGCCCGAGAGGAGGGTCTCCAGATTCTTCTGGGTCTTTCGAATTCACCAACAAAGGCGGGGATTCCGACCGCGATTCTTCTCAAGGCGCGGATTCCTCCCAAGGCCAATCCAATCCAGGGTCGAAAAACTACAAAGAATACGTCGGGAGACATTTGACTTCGGAACTTTTATTCTCGGCGTCGATTGGGAATTTGAAAAGAATTAAACGGTGCTTAGAAAAAGCGGGGAAAAGCATCACGTCGGAACCGTACCAAGATTATGATTTAAGAGCACCTTTACACATCGCGTGCGCGGACGGATCGTTCGCGATCGTGGATTATTTAGTAAAGAATGGGGTGGCGATTAACGCCGTCGATCGATGGGGAGCGACGCCGTTGGAGTGCGCGGTGTTTGGGAACCACGGAGAAATTGTAAAGTACATAGAACAAAACGGGGGGAAGATTAAAGATAGATTGACGGGTACTTTAGTGAAGCTATCGGACAGTCACTTGTCTTCGGTCGCTGCGCCACAGTTGGCGAATTCGTCGAACATTTTCTTGCCGCAAGACGCCATGGCGTGGGAGATACCGGAGGAGGAAATCGTGGATAAGGAAAATATCGGGTCCGGGGCGTTTGGGATCGTCATGAAGTGTAAATGGAGAGGAACGCCGGTTGCGATTAAACAAATTCACAAGCATATGGCAGAGGACGAGATCGCGAGAGTTGAGTTCTCGTTGGAGTTGAAGGTCATGCGTCAGTTGCACCATCCAAACATCGTCCAATTTTTAGGCGTCATGATTTCGAGCGAAACGAGTCAAGTGTCCATCGTTTCCGAGTTCATGCAAGGAGGGAGTTTAGACCACTTATTTCGTTCCGGGAAGTTACTTTCTTTGTGCGAAGCGGCAAACATGGCGTTAGATTGTGCGAGAGGGATGGCGTACTTACACGGTCGCGTGCCGTTACCGGTGATTCATCGAGACTTGAAACCGGGAAATTTGATGTTGACGAGAACCGGACGTTTGAAAATAGGCGATTTCGGTTTGTCGAAAACTTTATCCGTGCGAAACAAGATTCCAAACTCGACGGTTTCTCAAGAACCGTTCGTTTTGACCGGCGAAACGGGCAGTTATCGATACATGGCGCCGGAGGTTTTCCGACACGAATTCTACGGCACCGCCGTGGATGTCTACGCCGCCTCCATGATTTTCTACCAACTCTTCTCCGGTCAACAACCGTTCTCGAACGTCAATCCCATCCACGCGGCGCGAGCAGTCGCTACCCAAGACACTCGTCCACCGTTGCATAACGGGTTAATGCCAAAAGAATTTATGACGTTGGTGAGAAACATGTGGAACCCGATCGATAAGAAAAGGCCGACGTTTTTCAACGTCATCTCTTACCTCGACCCGATCGTCGAGAAGTTGAGAGAGGAAGCCGATAATAAGAAGAATAACGCAGGGTGCGGGTGTGTCATATCTTAACCAAGGATCGATCGATTGAAGAAGTAAAGAAGAAGTAAAGAAGAAGTAAAGAAGAATAGCGAGAAAGTAGAGAGAGAATGAAAAATATGAAAGAAGAAGAAGCAAAAATCGCAAAATTCCATCATCAATTTTATTTAAACCCGAACGAATCACATTTATACTGCACAAATTATAGAGTAAAGTAACGGATCTGCTTTTTCTTCGCCGCGATAAGAAAGAAAATTATCTAAATACGAACGATATAATAATGGACGCATCAACGGACGAAGAAGAGTACGAGTACGACGCGGACGCCGTCGACACTTCCGACGATTACGAAATGTACGGGGAAGAAGATACCAGCATCGATGATCAAGAAGATATCTTAGGAGACGACTTGCTCTCCGAAGATGAGGACGAGGACGACGATTTTGAAGACGACGGCGAGGAGTTGGACGGCGATTTCGACGCCGCCGCAGAAGAGGCGGCGACGCAAGCGGCAGCCACGAAAGCGGCGTCTTTGAATTCAGCCGCCGCGGCATTTGTCCCCGGTGGTGGTGCTGGTGCAGCTGCTGCACCGCCGCCGCCGAGACCACCGCCGCAATTTCCAGGCCAAGGGGGAGGGCAACAACCTCCCTCGCAACAACAGGGCTTTGGAAATACGAGCGGTTTGCCGCAGCGGAATACTACCACCGCCGCTGCGCCCACAGCGGGTGCGGCTGGTGAGGGGGAACCAATCACGCCACCACAAGCGCAAGGCCTTGGCGGTGGCTTGTTAGCGCGCACGGTAGCGCGCGTGGCGCCTCAAAAGGAACCGATTGTTCCAGACGAAAAGCCAGACCCGAAGGATGAACAAGCCACGAGAGCGTACGAGCTTCAACAGCTTCGAATTAAACTGTTACGCTTGACATCGAGATTAGACCAATCGCCGAGAAATACGATTGTCTCGCAAGTGATTTATCGTTTAGAGCTCGCGGAAACGTTAAAATCTGGTAAAGGTACATCGCCATCGGGAGCGCAAAAGTCTCAAACGAATACGTTCGAGCGCGCTGTGGCGCTCGCCGAGCACTTTGAAAAGATAAACCCGAACGAGGAATTGGATTTTGACTGCACGATTTTAATGATTGGTAAGCAATGTGTCGGTAAATCTTCCGTGATCAAATCGTTGTTAGTTCCGGACGCGCAAGACGAGAAGACTTTGGAGGCTTTGGATGAAGAGACTACGAAAGTGAGAGTGATTGAAACGACGGTGTGCGGGATGAAGTTGAGATTGATTGATACACCTGGTTTGCGAACCTCTTCGGCGGATATTCAGTATAACTCAAGGATTATGGGTCAAGCGAAGAAGTATTGCAACAAGCATAAACCGGACATTACGTTATATTTCGATCGATTAGACATTCCGTTGCGATCGGAAACCGCGGATATCATGATTTTGAAACAAGTCACCAACACGTTCGGTCCTGGGGTTTGGTTCAACGCCATCGTGGTCTTGACGCACGCCGCTGGGGCTCCGCCAGATGGACCAAACGGCCAGCCGATGTCGTACGAGCTGTATGTGGCGCAAAGATCGCACGTCGTTCAACAGACTGTTCGTCACGCTTCCGGGGACGCGCGTTTGATGAACCCGGTTGCGTTGGCAGAAAACCATTCAGGTTGCAGAACGAACCGAACTGGAGATAAAGTGTTACCGAACGGTCAAGCTTGGAAGCCACAGCTTTTGCTGCTCTGCTTTGCGAGCAAAATTCTCGCGCAAGCAAATACGCTATTAAAGCTCGACGACGGAACGCAAATGCTGAAGAAACGTCAGCAACAACAACAGCAACAAGGTAAAGTTGCGCCATTACCGTTTCTCTTGAGTTCCTTAATTACGACTCGTAAACCAATACGGTTGGAAATGGGCGACGATGATTTCGAAGACTTGGAAGAATCCATCATTTCTGGAGAGCCGTCTCCGTACGATGAGCCGAATGCGGGGAAAGATTTCTACATGCCCAAGCAGTTGTGCGTCCCGGCCCCGGACCCGCAGTTCCCTCCTTCGTTTGATTCGGATACTGGTTCGCACCGATATCGTTATCTTGATACGAACCCACAAACGCTAGTTCGACCTATGGTTGACGCGCACTCGTACGAGCACGAGACGGGCGTGACTGGGTTTTCAGTCGATCGACAAGTGATCATTAAAGATTTCATCGGTGGCAAAGCGTCGGCGCAAATCAATAAAGACAAAAACGACTCGTCGTTTGCTTTCGAAGGCGAATTGTCGGTTCCACACGGTAAGAAAGCAATCACCACCGCTGGTGTCGACGTGCAGAACGTAGGTCAGCAAAGAGTGTACACATCTCGGGCGGAAACTCGTTGGAAGTGGCACAGGGTGGACAAAATCATCGGTGGATTGTCCATGTCATTCGTTGGAGGCCTGTTAGCATTTGGCACGAAGATTGAAAACCGATGGAAGGCCCGAGATGGAATGAAGGTCGTCGTCAGTACCGGAGCTGTAAGTTCCAAGGGTCCACAAGGAAAAGATGTCGCTTACGGTGGTAACTGCGAAGCCATCATTCGTCACTCTCAAGACGAAGGCGACGCGAACTCGTCCACCATTGGAGCCTCATTCATGAATTGGAGAGGTGACATCGCCTTGGGTTGCAACGCTATGAGCTCAATCACATTAGGGAAAGATACGCAATTGACTGGCAGATTTAATCTCAACTCGCGAGGCGCTGGTGCGGTTACCGTGCGTGCGACGTCGAACGACAAGTTACAAATCGCAGGTGTGGGTTTGATTCCGTTATTGTGCGCAGTCTGGGGTAGAATCTTCGGCGATTAAGGTTAATGATGGTGGAGCACACTGCATTGTTTTGATCATATATATAGGTGTTATTACATTTGGTTTTTGTTTGTTTTTCAACTAAACTAATACAGATTATTCGCTCTACTACATTTCTGTTGTGTCTCTTTCTTTTTTCTTCCCTCGTCGAGAACGTTAGCTGCGCCTTTCCAGTCGCCACTCCCTTCTCTCTCTCTCTCTCTCTCTCTCTCTCTCTCTCTCTCTCTCTCTCTCTCTCTCTCTCTTTCTAAGTGAATTTCTACTACTTTACCTCCTCGACCTCCACTTTTTACGCCGCAACAAAGTCATCATCCCTGAACGACGACAACGAGCTGGCTTCCAGAACTCCTGTTGGTGAGTACACGTCCACAAATCTCCCAAACTCATCCGTCAGTTCTTTCACCTTTTCGTTGTCGTTACTTCCTTGTCTCATCGGCACTGCAACTGACCCAATCGTGTTATTTTTGTCATAATCATCGCCACTCGAAACACAATCTGGGTCATTCCTTGCAACATAAATGTTTAAGCAATGTTCGATTAACCATCCGTGTATCTCTGATAAATTACTCTCGCTCACGTTTGATGCCACTTCCATTTCTCGAGTAACCGCCGGGAACAATCCAAGTTTTGCACGAGCCGCACCGATACAAGCAGTAGCGAGCACGCTCGGTAAAACAGCACCACAAATAGCAGGGTCAGCCAGGACACCTTTGTACATTTCAAGAGACATAGAGCTCAGTTTATCGACGTAATCAATGGTCCATTCTTCTTCTTCGTCGGTTTCTTTTTCTATTCTTTCAAACTCGTGCGTAGCTCCGTCGCAAATTTTTAAAATACTCTCGATGAAGTGCGAAGTCGTCACGCAACCCAACTTCCAACCTAATTCGCTCAATAACGCACTTTCCATCCTCAAGACGGTATCTTGACAATATTGTGGCGCGAACATATTTCGCAAAGCTGTCGTACTCAAAACGACATCCTCAATTTCTTCGTATTTGACAGCTATGTGCAAACAGCACATCGCTATGAGCGAAAGCGTAGACTTAGGGATGTCCATGTTTGACAACACTCGATCGACGTACACCATGCACACATCTGCTGTAACTGCGTTGTAGTTTGCCATAGCGCAGCACTGCAAGATATAAGAGATGATAGGTTCTCGTTGACCTCGAAGGACGTGTTTCGCCGTCGCGGCGTTCAACACAAAGTGCTCCTTCGTTTGCTCCTTCCTCAGTTGATCTCGCAACATGTCTTCGTGAAGTTCTATATCGTGCAACGGAATCTTCCTCTCGTCCGTGTCGTGGAAAGAGAGCAATTGCGAGATCGTGCAGCCTCTGAAACTTTCTCCTGCTTTAGCGTCGTTGTCGTTGTTGTTGTTGTTGTTGTCGTTTTTTCTTTTTGTCGTTGTTGCTTTTGTGTTTTTTTGTTCCTGAAGGGTCGTGAGCGAGCTTTTTAAATCTTCGACAGCGAGGAGCGAGTCGTCGTCGTCTTCATCATCATCATCTTCTTCGTCGTTGCAGTCCATGCGTTCACACTCTTCATCGTAATCGCACATGGATGAACTTCGAGAGATTTTCTCCATTCGAATCTGCGACTCGACGCGGGAGATGTGCGTTCGCGTGACCACTTCCTGCTCCTTTCGTTTTAGCGGGAAGAAGTCCTCGTTCGTCCTATTACTGTTGAACCACCATTTCTCGTCTTCCGCGCTTCTTTCTCCGCTCTCGTTCCTCTCATAAATAGCGTTTACCGCAAAATTTTCCATCGTTTCTGAATACAAAACTATCTCACGCACACATTAAAGTATACAGTAAGGATAGGTGAATGTCGCGAGACCGCGAACTTCGTTATGGCGTCCGCGGAAAATCTCTATTCAAATATCCAACTCTGAAAAGCTTGATATTTCGACGCGTCTGCTTTTTTTCGCTTTTTTTTCAATTTTCAAATAGAAGTTTAAAGAAGTTTCACGGCTGTGTGCAACACACAGCCACTCGTTCGTTTTCAAAAATACGATCACACTACTTCGTGGGGACGAAGTGAAAATAAACTTTTAAACTATCCATCCTTTAGAAAAGTGTTTGTATAAAATATGGACTCTATTACAGTATTGTTATTATATTATATAATGCTAATGTTCTGCTAATTGGACAATTTATATGGTTTCAGGATAGTATTACTTTGTTTTACTATCTTTTCTCCAGCAACGACGCGGGAACAGGCGACCACGATAGATATACGTGTATTATTAAATGCCCTCGCTCGCGTGTTGCTTCTTCGTCTTATTTCTCCAGTTCTTTTTCTCTTGTTGATCTTATTACTCGTTTATTAATTCGTTTTATTTTTATTTTTCTTCTTCTTCTTCTATGCCTTCTTCGGTTACGCAGAGCCCGGAGAGATTCAAATACGACGTCGAGGACGGTTCTTCTCCACCCGGGATCCAACAACAGATGTTATTTTTGTGGCAAATAGCTTCCGCTCCTGAATACCCAACCAATTCAAAGAACTCTTCCGTTTGTTTTCCTTTATATAAATCCATATCCGCGCACGAGTAATTCACAATGGCTTTACCAACTTCTTTCTCTTCACCTGTTTCTTTATCTCTGTAGTTAATCGTGACGCAATCGTCGACGTCAAAGTCGCCTCCGCAAGATATGATACCGGCAGCGAACAACGAGCTATCTTTTTCAATCGCTTGCATGGCAATTTTCGTCACAAACACGTGGCCCATCACCGGTTGCAACAGAATCCAACGCTTCCGGCCTTTCAACGGTTTCGGCATCGCCAAAAAGAGCGTCCCGATACTTGCGCCTTGGACAACCGATTGAACTTTATTCATGTTGTTCGAGTTCATGATGACGGTGTTCACGCCAGCAGAGGTTGCGTATCTAGCCGCGAGAAGCTTGGTAGCCATTCCACCGGTTCCCAGAGCCGAACCAGCACCATCCGTGGTCACCTCGAGGTCTTCAACGTTTTCTACCACGCTGATTAATTTCGCGTCCGGATTTTTGTACGGATTGGCGGTGTATAAGCCGTCCACGTCCGTGAGTAGAAAAAGGTAGTCAGCGTTGACTAAAGCCGCGACGTGCGCGCTCAACGTATCATTGTCTCCAAATTTGACGTCTTGAACGGCTACGGTATCGTTTTCGTTCACAATTGGGATTATGTGTCTCTCTAAAAGAGCGCCGAACGTGCTCTTGGCGTTCTCGTATTGCTTTCGATCGAGCATGTTGTCTAAACTTACCAACACTTGCGCAATCTTCAAGTCCAACGTCGTAAAGAAGTCTTCATACATGCGCATGAGATGCACTTGTCCAACCGCAGCGAACGCTTGCTTTCCAGCCAAATCTTTCGGTTTCGGCGAATTTAGAATCTTGCAGCCGACACCGACAGATCCTGATGTCACGACCACGACTCTCATCCCGCGTTTACTGAGATCCGCGCACGTTTCCGCGAGAAATCCGAGCATGGATAAATGCAAGCAATCACCGCGAAGCAAAGAGGACGTCCCGACTTTCAAGACAACCGTCGGTTGATCGCCAACTTGAGGCGAGTTTGGGCGCATAGAGTGCAAAAACTTCGTTTCGTCGTCGTGAGACAAACGCTTCGGTTTTTGCTCCAGAATTTCATCCGCCGTGATGGTGCCGTTCTTCATCTTCTTCTTTAACTTCTTCTTCTTCTATTATTATATATTATTATTATTGTCGATCGTGTTATATATAACTCAATTTTCTCGTCGTCGTTTCTCGTTTATTAGTATCAGATGAGATGAATACACACACACACACACACACTCTCTTAGTATTGTAAGCGCTGCAGTGAAGTGCTTCTTTTTCTTTGGCGATTCGATCGATTTTCCCCACTTTTTCTTCTTCTCTCTGACGTGGAAATTGAAAAAGATATTTTCGTTTTGTTCAAAAAGAGATTCTCTTCTTTTTGCACTTTTCGACAAAAAAAGTAAAAAAGTGAAAAAACAGAAAAAAATTTCGTCTTCCACCCCGTCAGTCCACGTGTATTCATCATCATTCTTTTTCTTTTTCTCTGCGTCAGAGATTTTAAACACCAAACACCACCAAAGAAAAGGATAGAACGAAAAGGCGCGCGCGCATATTACTGCAACAACACACGAACACCGAAAATGTCTCTCATCGCTTCGTCTCATCGTGCCTTCGTGCACACGCTCTCCGCGAAACACAACATCGTCGCAAAAGGAAAAGGAAAAGGAGGAAGAATAAGAAGAGAACACCACTCATTCTTTTTGTCGAAGGAGTCGAAACGTCGTCGTTTGAAAGCAGCGAGAGATGATAATACGACGCGCGCGACTTCCGCGTCGTCCTCGAATGATTTCACGACGACACATAATCATCATCAACGACAAGAGCCACTGAGCATGAAAGCGACGAGCGGTAAAAAGAAATACCCCGTGGCGACGCACTCGATTCAGACGATTCAGACGACGGCGAGCGCGTTCACACAACAGGAACAAAAACAGGATAAGAAGATGATAAAAAAAACAACAACACGACTAAAAAAATCAATAGTAACGAATACGAATAAACAAAAGTGGTGGGAGAAATACCAATCGACTTCTTCTCATCCAAGAAACTTGATACTCGTAAAGAACATCGACGAGTTTCTCAGCTATTTATACGCGTCCGCGACGATGATTCATCGCGACATCGATAACCACTCAAATTCCATCGACGAAGGCGTCGAGGACGAGGAGAAGAGCAACGACATCGAACAAATACTCGAACGTAAATCGCCGCTCGTTGTTGTTAAGTACTTCCGGGAAGATTGCCCGGCGTGCAGAAGCGTCCATCCAAAGTTCGCTAAAATAGCTGAGCGTGAATTTTCGAACGTTTTGTTCCTGAAAGTCAATTTGTCGGAGTTTGACGACAGCTTCGCGGAGGACATGAACATCGTCTCGGTTCCTCACGTGCAAGTATACAACGGCGCAGAGGGCTTAGTCAGTGAATTTTCGTTGAACCTGATGCCTAAATCTCTGCGAAACTTTAGAAATATCCTCGATGCGTACACATCGTGCGCGGATAATCTTCCAAAGAGAGAGATCCAAGGGCCGGCTTCTTTTGTTTCCGCAACCGGTTGGCCGGGATATTATCGCGGCCAGATGAAATACTTAGTCGAGTGTAAGAGAAACTTTTGGAGGTTTCGCAGGGCAGAAGAGGATGAAGAAGAGTAACCGCCAGAGGGTTCATAGTAACTACTACGTAGAGATTGTATTCTTTTGTAACAATAACAACAATAACAACAACAACAACAACAACAACAACAACTTTTACTTTTTAGAACTGCTTTCCGGAAAGGCACCCCCAAAACCTTTGTCTTTTCACAAAAAAACAGAACAAAAAAGGTGGTGGTCTCCTCGTTCTCCACAAAAATCATCTACGTATTGAAGAGAGAGAGAGATGTCGTCGTCAAACAACACGCAAGACGCGACGGCATCGCCATCGTACTCAAATTCTTCGATGGTGACGGTCGAGTACGACTATCTCGCCGTCCTATACGCTCTTCTCGCTTCGGTTGCTTTCGTGCAACTGATTCGAATCCAAAAAAGGAACTCGATTGTTTGGACGACGCAAAAATCGTTCGTCGTTTTAAACTTTTTCGTCATGTCCGTTCGAGCCGTGGTGTTTGCTATTCGCGAGAGGCTGGACGAGATTGAACCGAGAGTGTTCGCTTCCATCTTACTCGATTTACCCGGGTTGATATTCTTCACCACATGTGCGTTCTCTTCTTCTTCTTCTTCTTCTTCTTCTTCTTCTTCTTCTTCTTTGAAAAATCTTTCTTTCTCTCGCGAGTAAAAACTAACTACTTTAAAACTACTCTTCTTACTCGTCGCAAACACGGCGCGTTCTGATAATCATTATCATCACATTCCACAGATTCGCTCCTCATATTGTTTTGGGCGGAGATCTACGAGCAAGCGAGGTCGATATCTCCTCAAACGAGAAACCTAAGGTTCAAATTTTTCGTCTTGAACGCTTTCGTGTACGTCGCCCAAGCGGTGTGTTGGATAGGAGAAGCAAAGAGTAGCGGTTCGAGCAGCGCAAAGACAAGGAGCGTACAAAACGGGTGGATCTTGGCTGCGGCGGTGATTCGATTGTCCGCCTTCTTAGCGGCATCGATTGGGTTTGCCACCTACGGAGGACTTTTGTTCTTCATGCTGAGAAAGTTTCCAAACGACGCGGTGGGAAAATCTCGAAAGCTTTTTGAAGTCGGAATCGTCACGGCTTCGTGTACCGCGTGTTTTACGTTCCGAGCGATGTGTATTTTAGTCGCCGCAATAGCACCACAAAAGTTCCCTCTGGACGTAGTTACCGGTGTGAAGTTGAACGCCATATATTACATCGTCTCGGAAATCGCGCCGTCGGCCATGGTTCTCTTCGCTTTGAGGAAGTTACCGCCGAAACGAAGAAACAATCAAAGAAGAGAAGGAAGAACGGATTTAGACGACGTCAGCGACGAAGAAGTCGACGACGATGACGACGATGACGACGAGGAAGAAGAGGAAGAGGAAGAGGAAGAGGAAGAAGCAGAAGAGAAAGAGAACGAAGTTGACGAAGAAGAGGCGCTGTTGCAGAGAGGTAATAGCTCATGAGAAGAGAAAAGAAAGAGAGAGCGCTGTACATTATAATATAAAAGAGAGAGAGAGAGAGAGAGGAGAGAAACTTATTCTTGTTATAAATTTGATTTTTGTAAAACAAACACAACAAAAACTTCGCTCACTGACGGGCGGCGTTCATTTTATCGCGATAGGGATACACTCACATCAGGCATATAATGGGCCTCGCTTTGAACGAACAGACTATTCTGCGAAGCGTGCATAACGTCTCTTCGTCCGAAGCGGTTGCCGTTTGCGACTTGAAAGGTAAATCGTTGACGGCCATCGCTTTATCGACGAACGCCGCCGTCCAGTTTCCAAATCTGTTGCGCTTAGACTTGAGCGATAACGCGATTAATAACATTGAAAATCTGAAACATTTGAAACAATTGAAGTGGTTAAACCTTTCGAATAATCGGTTAGAATCGAACGGTTTGGAACCTTTGAGCAGATGCTGCGAAACTATTCGCGTGTTGAATGTCTCTGGAAACCGATTGAGCAGTTTTGAAGGCGTGTTGGACGCGCCTTTGACGAGAAGTTTGTTAGCGCTGATTGCCTCGGACAACGCGCTCACGGAGGAGTGCCTGAACGCGGTGAAAAATTGTAGAGAGTTGAACTCGTTGATCGTATCGAACAACTCCATTGAGAGTCTCAAACACGAGCTTCTTCCGCTTCGCAAGCTTGGAAAATTTTCGGCGTCGAACAGCGGTATGCAAAACATAGGTAATGACAGCTTCTCTCAAAACACAGATTTACGAGAACTTCGATTAGCGAAGAACAAGCTCACGGGTCTGCCGTCGGGATTGGGTAAAAATATCAATTTACGCGTGCTCGATTGCTCTCACAATCAAATAAAAACCTTTGCCGAAGTGCAAGTGTTGGCGAAACTTCCAAAATTGACGCATTTGAGTTTGCGAGGCAATCCGATTGCCATTCTCGATGGCAAAGCGTACGTAGATAATATCAAGGCAATGTGTCCTCGACTGCGAACTTTAGACGGGCATCCTTTGGACAAGAGCCATCCAGCGTTGCAAGGTGATGATGATGATGACGACGATGATGATAATGATGAAAAGAACACTAAAAACAAGACAAAGCCGACGTTTGGATTAAAGCGAACGACTGGCGACGACGACGACGACGACGACGACGACGACGACGAGGCAGCAAAAGAAGAAGCGCGTCCGTCGAGTAAGAAAAGAAGGGGCAAACGAGGCAAAAAGAAAAAAGAAGAGAATAAAAACGAGAAAAGCTTTCTCGAAACAGTAGTGAATGGTGAAGATATCGACGGCGGTGGTAACAAGCACGATAGCGACGAAGATGGCGAGGAAGACGACAACGACAAGAACGCATGGACAGGTGAAGACGGTGACCTGAATAGCAATAAAAAGAAAATAATAGTTTTAGGAAAGGAGCTGGAAAAGCAAAAACCGTTGAGCGATAAAGAGTTTGACGAAAAGCTGGAAAAAGATCGATTAAAGCAAGCTGGCGTGGTAAAAGTCGAGGAAGTGAAAGTGCACAGACACAAAAACAAAATCTTTGGATCAGAGGTATTTAAGAAGCTCGGCAACGAGGAAAAGAAAAGCGCATGGGACGACGACGACGACGACGACGGCGAAAAGGTGGATGATGATAAATGCAATGACGACGGCGGCAGGGAAAGAGATGCTCGTGGCAGTAACGGCGACGCAAAAGTTGCGAAAGCGGAGAAGCACGCGGCGAAGAGGAAGAAATCGACAAAAGACATGACCGAGGAGGAGAGGAAAGCATATAGAAAGCTGCAAAGAAAACGCGGTTATTAGAACGTGTAGTATTACTTAGTGAAGCGTATAAATTTGCACTGTTCACGCTAAAAGTTTAACGCCCGAAAATGAGCTCCTAACAATCCGTTCCCGTTCCAAGTCCGCGGCGCGATGTTCAAAATTTCATCCACTCCCGCACGGTTGACAAGAACGCGGTGACTTTTTCCTAAGTTGTCTTGAATGAGCAAAGCCGCATCGGCGATCGAAAATGCTCCACCAAAATCTAAAATTCGATCGTGTACCATTAATCCGTCTAGATCTGCGGGCGACCCTGGCGCTAATATATCCACCACCGCGAACGCTTTTCGATTTGTTGATGTAGTTTTAGGTGTTGTTGACTCCGTTGGTATCTTCACCTTCTCGTTATTCTCTGTTTGCGTTTTAACTATTGTATCTGTTCCTCCTCCTCCTCCTCCTACAGCGGAAGGAGAAGCAGAAGAAGAGAGTAACTGTTGCACTTCTTTCTCGATCGCATTCGTCAACTGCAAGTGGTCGTTCTTCAACGAGTTATATCTCTGTCTGTCCGCTCGTACGGAGTACAAATCCACGTCTCCTCCACCAATTGGAAAGCCTTCGTTGTCCACTAAAGAACCTTTTAAACCTGGCATGTTTGGTCCGTTTAGTCTCTGAGAAATCGACGCCATCTCCGCTTCGAGCTCTTCTCGCTGCTTATACAATCGCTCGACTTTCTCCTTGTTCTTTTTTATCACATCTTCCCCCATCATGGATGTTATTCGTATTAGAGTAGTATTCTCTATTTTTATACGTACGAGGTGTTTGTTTTGTTTTGAGGTGAACAGACAGAGAAAAAACTCATACGAGAGAGAATAGATTTTTGCCTCACTCTTCCTCTTTCTTTCTCCTTCGGCACCAACCACCACAAATAAGACAGAGATGGCTGCTCCGAAATTCGGGAAAGTTGCCGTGCACAATTTCCCTCTCTCGTATTATTACAAAGTAGCCACGGCCTCGTTCGTGTGTGGCGCCGCCGTGGAAGCGTTCATGATACACACGTGCGTTCGAATGAAAATTAAAAAATCCCCTAATCTACTAATAATACTGACTTTCCTCTCTCTCTTTCTTTCTTTCTTTCTTTTCTCCTCTCTCTCTCTCTCTCTCTCTCTCTCTCTCTCTCTCTCTCGATAAACACAGCGGATTCTACGAGAAAGTTACGCAAATAGAAGCGAACAGACGGGCTGATTTTTCAACCGAAGTTTCGAAACGATGACGACTGAAAAACGACTGAATTTGGACCCGGAAAAAGCTGCGTGCTGTTGTAATTAAAAAGTGTTCGTGTACGATTATATCTAGTAAAGGAGAATTATGTGGATAGAAATCAGTCGAAGTAGTCTAAGCGAATGCCGCCAGTTTTTCGTTTCTTCGTTTCTAACGCAGAGGAGAGTTGGGATGAGAGCACTTCCACGTTCGCCTCTTGCTCTTTGCGCTTTTGTCCTCTCGGGTGCACAGTTTTCATTCCAACTCTTCCTCCTTTCCCTCTTCGAAAGGCTACATCTGCCGCTAAGGAAGAAGAAGCCAACTCTTCGTCCATTCTGTTCTGATCTGCGTCGTCGTTACCGACACTTTTATCGTTCTCGTTTGTGGTATTTTTTTCTCGACCTAACGAAGAGACGAAGTCATCTATGAGCGTCGGCCATTGTTGCTTCCCGTACCAGTCCTGCATGCATCCGTTGTTTTTTCTGTACGACCGAGCAAAGTCTAGCGTTCTTAAAAATGTATTCTCATCGACGATAGGAGAAACAGAAGAAGTAGGAGACGACGACGATGACGCACGCTCTGTGCAAAATTTACAGAATGTACGGTTCATCCACCGCGGTAAAAGCATCCCTTTGGCTAAAACGGACGATGGCGTGTTCGTGGTCGTCGCGGTCGTCGTCCTCGGTGGAGCGCCTCCTTCTTCTATAGATAACGACGACGAAGACTTTCTCAGCTGTTGTTTCTTCGTCGACGACAGGAGAAACGACCACAGTTCACACGCCTCGTGCACTGAAATCGTCGCGTTTGTTCCCTCTGTTTTCCCTTTCAAACACGCCAGAAAACAAAAGTGATAAAACTTCGCACAGTCTTCCTCATCCTCTTCTCGTCGTTGAAGAAATATCTCCCGTAACACGTCGATGATGGTTCTTGTTGTTCCATCATCAACGCTCTTTAAACTATTGCTACTTTTGTCGCTGTTTATGCTACTGCTGCTGCTGTTATTCAATCGGAGACGAGCGACGTCATCCCTGGTTATCTTCGAGGTTCTGAAGTTTTCGAAAACATCGCGCACGTGCTCTTCTCTCTCTATTTTTACCTCTTCTTTTTTACCTCCGCTCTTCATTTTGCTCTTGATTTCTGATGCGATGTTGTTGGTATATAAAAAGCAAAAGACTCTAGGTGTGTTTTGTCTTCTATTTACTACTATTACTACTGCTACTACTAATCTCTTGCGCGCGCACGGATACACACACAAACTCACTCGCGCGCGCGACTCTTTCTCTTTCTCTTTCTCCTTCTCTTGCCAAACAGATTTTGTTGTGACTGTTCGTTTCCCCAACACACAACAAGTGAGATATTTTTGCCTTTTTCTTTCTAGTTTCGTTCGTAACGCTCGTTTGTTTTTCAATCAATTTTTCTCCCGCCTCCTCCACAAAATCTTCATCTCATTCATATGTATACGAGAGTCACTCTAAACCTCCGATAATAAGATGGTTCGAAAGCTCAATCACTACAAAGTACTCGGAATCGCGCCGAACGCGAGCGAAGATGACGTCAAGAAAGCCTATCGCTCGCTCGTTCGCACGGCACATCCCGATAAAGGAGGATCAGCCGAACGGTTTCAACGCATTCAGAAAAGTTACGAATTGATTTTACAGAAAATGAGTAAGACTCGTACTACGCATAAAACGAAGAAGGAGACTGAACGACAAACACCGCGCGGTGACGATCCCGACAATGGTGAACACGATCAGAAACAAAGAAGAGGGTTTGAAAGAAGTGAGAAGGAGGAGACGAAAATAAAGAGCGAGAACATTGAAGACACCTACCGACGCGTGAAATCAGATGCGCCGTATTCGTGGCGAGCGAAAACGATTCTGAAGAATACCAACAGAAAAGATCAAGATCTAGAAGAAGAAGGAGAAAAAGAAGAAGAAGAAGAAGAAGAAGAAGAGACGAAGAAAACGAAGGAGATTGTGTTAGAGATTCGCGAAGATGCGGCGGATTCACAGCCTCTCGTGAACGGTTTGAATCTCGAAAAAATTGGCGACGACGCCATGACAGACGAGGATTTCTCGAGAGCGCGCGAATGTTACACGCAAGCGCTCGCATTTTCTAAACTCGAAGGTCTGCATCGATACGCGGAGCTGTACCATAAACGTGCTCTTTGTCATCGCGCGCTCGGCGATTACGAAGACGGATTGTCCGATGCCGAAAAATCGTGCTCATTTCGCAGACTCTGGATTGACCCGTATTTGACATGCGGAGATATTTTAGAGCGATTAGAACGGTGGAGTGCGGCGCTCAAGAGCTACAGAGAGTCGCCAACGAGAGATGCGACCCTGGACGTGAAATTGAAAATAGACGAAGGTATCGCCAGATGCGAAGAGAGAATGAGGAGTTCGTCGTCGATGTGGGTTGTTGAAAACGCCCACGAAGGAGGCGTCAAACGCGTCGCGGTAAAATCTATATCGTTACGAAGAAGAGGTTTCCCCGTCTCGTCGACCACAAAGGTGGTCTCTTCGTCGGAGTTTACGTACTTGATCGCAACGTGCGGTGGAGATAAGTTTATCAACGTCTGGTCTGCAGATGGCGAAAAAATTGCGAGACTAAAGTGTTCAGAAGATGTTGTTGATATACGATGGAGCGATCCGAAAGTATCAGGAGACGATATAGAGGCAGACGAGGATGTAGATACTCACGACACTTGCGAGGACGATACTTATGCATACGAAGATTCACTGGACTTGCCCACGCTCGCGATTATTGGACGCAATAATACTGTCATGATTTGGAAAAATATGGTTCCCGAGATGAAAAGCGGCAACGAACAAGTGCTCCATTTAAGCGGCTTTCACGATGAAAAAGTAACCGTCACCGCGTGCGCGTTTTCACCAATTTTGTTTTCACATCGACTCGCTACCGCAGATTCGAGTGGTAAAGTAGCCACATGGGATGTTCAAACTGGATCTTTAGAATGCGTGACGAAGTATCATCACCGCGATGCAGTCAATGAAATTGCTTGGCACCCGCAAACTGGTGCATCTCTGACGACGGTTTCAAACGACGGTGACGGACGTGTGTTTGATATCGACGGAGACGTCAAAGATCCTGGGAGCTGTCTGCACACCTTGCGATGGATGGCAAAACAAATGACGCACGTAACGTATACAAATTGCGGACGTCTCATTTTAACCGCCACGTGCGATAGTTATGGGAATGGCGGTCGAGGTGCGTATCGCATTCTCGTTTGGTCGTCTGTGAGCGGGCGCTTGTGTAAATGGTACGACGATCACTCCAGTAGAATCACATCACTCTCTTGGCACCCGAACCCTGGAACAAGAAACATATTGCTAACTGGTGCTTCAGATGGTATTTTGAGATGTTTCTCAATCAGAGCGTCACCGAGTGGAGCGGGAAAAGCGCTCGTTCAACAAGACGAAAAATCTGGTGATATTTTAAGACTCGCGGGCGAAAAGTGGACGCGTACGACTTCAGCGCACAATTGCGTCCAACATAACGAATATGGTGGGTTTGTAGCAGTCGCGAGTAATGATGCACACGTTCGAGTGTATTCGAGCGATGCGCTCGAGCTCAAGCACGAGCGGAAATGCGGTAAGTTTAACGCGTCGGAAGAGTGCGCTTGCGCAGACTTGGCATGGCTCAAAGCGCCGATATCTACGAAAACCGACAACGGACTCGCAGAAGTGAACTTCTGGGGACTCGTAACAGCGACATCAACGGGAGAATTGAGACTATGGAGAATTCCTCGAAGTCAACACTCCATGGTCGCGGAAGATCAAAATCATGGCGAGAGTGGGCACGCGCTGCAAACTCTCGAATCTTGCACGTGGTGGGATCCGAACGAAAACGCCGACGAGGCTGTCCCAGAAAAACACAAAAACTTCCAAATCCAAAGCGCTTCGCGACGGAACTGGCACTATCTCGGACCTGGAATGAACGATAAACTTGAGCACAAAGCACTGGTTTTGAAGGGTTCTTCTGAAGAGCTCGAGTTCGATGGTATCGGTGATAACAAAGTAGTGAGCGACGCGCTGTTACCGGGCGACGGAGACGTATCCGAAGAAAACCTGGAAACGATCGAAAACGAGATGCAGATGTACATGACAGAGAGAAGGAACTTTATGAAAGATACGGCTAATTCTTCTAAAAGTAAACGCGCTTACCACGAAAGCTATTGCGAAAAAATTAAACCTTTGAGAGAGCGAAGAGGAAGAATCTATCGCAATCTGAAAAACTTAGACATGATTTAATATAATAAATGATTTGCACCAAGATGTGTACTCGTATATACAATTTTCTTAAATGCCGGGTACAACTTCATTCTTTTCTCATTGATCGTAAATTTACATTTTTGGCGTTTCAGAGTCATCGTCTTTGCGCTGCGACGAATCTGAGGATGGCGCTATGGACCTTTTGTAATCTTCGAGCACATCCTTGAGCTTTTGTTGCTCGACTCGAGGCTTTTCCATCATCTTTCGAAGTCGTTTGGATTGGCCTTTAATAGAATCGATGCGTGGGTTTATCTCGAGAGTAGACTCAAACATCATCAACGCTTCGTCGTAGCATCTCATTCCCAATTTACATAAACCCATGCCACTACGCGCGCCGAAATGGTACGGATTCAACCGAAATGCCTCCTCAGCGTCGGCGTATGCCGAGGCCAAATCGCCTCGCAAATACAAAGCCGTCGCTCGTTGATTCCAGGCTTCTGCGAACAATCCATTCGATTTTTCGATAATTCTCGTAAAGATATCGATCGATTCCGATAAACTTCGCGCTCTCTCCTGCTCGAAATCGCGTATTTGTTCTTTTATTTCCTCCTCAGTTGGTTCGTGTTCAACTCTCCCTTCTAATATGCGATTCATGTATTTTCCATGCATAATATCTCGTCCTTTTTGAAGTAGTAAATCGAGTTCCATGTCGCCGCTCTTTCCGAACAAAGTCCACATGCTTCGTTCAATTTGAGCGTGCGCTTTCGCGCTCACGTTTTTCGCTTTCGCGCTCACAGTGGGCATTCGAAGCGCTCGGGCGAGAGCTGGTAGAGCTCTCGGATCACCGATTAATCCAAGCTTCCTCGCTGCCATGGTAATCTCCTCTGTTTCAGTTTCATAAGCCGAGCTGCCTATTATGGATGTCGGTGGTTGGTTGACGCGTCGACATAAATCGCACAGCATGCTAAAATTAATATCTTCATCTGAGTTTTCCGGTTGAAGATTTTTTTTGATTTTCGAAGCGGCGTCGTAATCTTCTGCCGCGAGAGCGAGTTGTAGCTCCAACTCCAAGCTGTCGCACTTCTGTAAATACTCCTCGACTTCGTTTCTCTTCTGCGTCATCGTTGAAGCGTAATGCAGCGCATCGTTGGTGATGATCACTAATTCATCTTTTTTATCTTTATTATTCTCTTCTTCTTCTTCTCCTCCTCCTCCTCTTTGCTCGAACGAAGACGACCCCGAGTTCGTTAATCCAGAAAAACGGGTGATGCGTCTCTTCGTCAGCAAGAAAGAGAGAAAGATCTTCTTCTTATTACTATGATTGTTGTTGAAAGCGGCACCCCGCCGCATCATCATCGAAGACGACGACGACTCGACGACGACTCGACTGCACAAAGCCATCGAGATTAAGAAGAAGGAAGAGGATGGTCGTTGTTGTTGTTGTTCGTTCAATAAAAGAAGTTTTCACTGGTAGTGAGTATGGAGTTTGTTTTTGTTTTGCAAGCAAAAAGAATAAAAATGAAGAACGCGAAGAAGGGTGATTGATGAGTGAGATTTCCCCCCTCCTTTTCATCCTCCACATAATTTATTAACAAAAATTCATTCACGCAGAACTAGTATTGCTTCTACTAAACATGGATGGAGAAGAAGAGTAATACGCGATGAGCAGCAGCAAGTGGAACATCAGGAAAACATCAGAGAAAGGAGACAAAGAATGGACGCGACATCTTCTCGCCACCAAAACTTTGGTGACGGACTCGTCGTTCGCGTTTACAAACACACTCGTCTCTTTACTCGTCCAATCGATTCTAATTGTTCTGTTATGTTCTTTGATTGCGTTCGTGTTGACGCTAAAGAAAAAGAGGCAGAGATACAAGAGAGAATTGAAAGCGAGAAAATTAGTGAAAGACAGCATCAATGCCGAGTTCACGACGGTCGAATCAGGTTCGTTCGAGTGGATTAATCTTTTGTTGCGACACCAATACAAGTGCGTTCTGAGTCAAATTGCGGACGAGCACGCGAAACGCGTGGCGGTTGATATTCTTAAAACGGTAAACAATAATACCGATATTAACGCGGCGGAAAAGAAGAAGAACAAGAAGCATTCGTTCATCGGCGAGGTGAGTTTAGAAGATTTCTCGCTGGGAACGACGCCACCGACCGTTAACTTGTACGTTGCGAGGTACAATCCCAAAGCGGACTACGTGCAGTTTGAGTGCGATTTCGATTGGGATACGAACGCGTCGCACGCGAGAATACAAGCACAAATAAAGCCTGGAATGTACTTGAAAAGTCTAAACGTCCCAGTCCACATTACTAACTTATCCATCCACGGTAAACTCATCATGGGAATGCGTCTGGTATCGAGGGAACCGGGCGTTTCCGGCGTCGATGTGTCCTTCAGAGACACACCCACCGTAGATGTTTCCGTTTCGCCCATGGGTCTGCCCGTCTCCGATATTCCTGGTTTACACGATTGGGTCATTTCATTCATCCAAAGCGCGATACAAAAAGATTTCGTAGAGCCGAGACGAATGTACGTAGACGTGGAGCACACGTATATGAAAATTGCAAAGAAGGCGCAGCTCGAAAATTCAAACGGGATACTCGTCGTCAGAGTCATGAAGTGCACGAATCTCGTAAACAGAAACATTAGCTTTGGGTACCCGTACGCGTCGATCTCGTATCGCGGCCGAAAGGCACGAACGGCTACGAGGCCGTGGTCGAAAAGAATTGAATGGGGATCGAGACATGAATTTGATTTGCCGGCTTTTGATGACGGCAACGACGACGCCGAGGACAATGTAATTAGCAACAACGCGTTGAATAGGATAAGTTGCGGGGAAGTGAGCGTCAAAATACTCGACCGAACGATAGTTGGATCGATCCTCAAAATCGGGGAAGCGACGTTCAAAGTCAATCGCTCGAAAGTTGTGAATGGGAAAAAGTGCGACCGCGAAGCTGGCATGCAACGCGTAGATATAGATTTAGACGTACACGGAGCGAGCAACCGACACAAAAAAGCACAAATAACAATAGAATGGGAAATCGTCGATGCAAATATAAACGAGCAACCGACACAACGCGATTCTTCGGGCGATAATAAATACGATTCGGACGCAGAAAGCGACGCAAGTGAAGACGCTTTTGACGACGCAGAAAAGACGGGCGTACTTGACGGTGATTATGAGGAGGAAAAAGTGAACAACGACGCGACAACGACGAGGACGATAGAAGACTTCAACAAAAGCGCGTCGTCGAGAGAAAATGAGAACGCGTCGTCCCTTTTATCATCAAGTGGTAAAGCGATATCGCCTTCGAGACGACTTTTTCGCGCGACTGGATCGGATTTGATGGACTCGACGCCGACTTCGGCGACGATTAAAGCGTTTTCATCCTCGAATTCTCCCTCGGTCGCGTCGACGACTTCACATTTGCTGCACACGGCAAAATTGCAACGCATGTTGAAGGATGAACGCGATCGATTCAACGATAAAATTTTAGATCTGAAGCAAGAAGTAGAAGACGCGAGGGAAGAAGTCGAATTATGGCGAGAGCGTCGAAGCTCCGAGCTACGTCGAGCTATTCTCGAGGGCGCAGTATTTATTTCGCACACGAAATACAGGAAACTTGGGTTACGAAGAAGGGAGCGATATCGCTTTTACTACAACACGACGAATAATACTCTGAACTGGACTTCGCCGTCTTCAAAGTTTTGGTTCTTCTCGCAACGACGACAAACTTTATTAGCCGAGGGTATCGCTGACGTTCAAACTGGCTTCGACAATTATACAATCGGTCAAAATATAGAGAAAATGACGAGTGGAAATAAAGGGCGAATGAAAGCTGAGAGAGCGACGCACGGGTTAAATCCAAAGCGATGCTTTTCAATCATACTCCGAGAAACGACGGAACACGGGAGACAAATGCAAGGTAACGAGAACGAGAGCGTTCAAGCGGCGTCAAAGGGCAGCGCAAACGACGCCAGAAACCTTGAAAAATTGCGCGCGGAACGTTTGTTAACGATTGATTTAGAGCTCCCCAAAAAAGGTAACGGAAGGTCAGCGCGCGAATGGCAGACTGGAATCATAGAATGTTGCCTAAAAATGAATAGACAAGTGTAACTTTATTATGGACAAATGCAATCTAAAACAAACGCGTATTCGAACGCGACTTCTTTGAACTTCCGATAGCGGTCAGTCGCACTAAAGTGACCGGCGCTCAAATCCGTTTTCAGTAAAATCCGCGCCTCTTCGTTTTCGCACGACTCGCGCATGCGCACGGCGTATTTCGCGCTTTCCCAATAGGCGACGCGAGGGTCGTGCAAACCAGCGGTTATGAGCACATCAGGCTTGCGAGATTTTCGAATGTTTTCCATAGGAGAATACGATTTCATGTATTCGTAGTATTTGGAGCAGTTCGGATTGCCCCATTCTAGCCATTCGCCCGTGGTGAGAGGAATCGACGGGTCGCACATGGAAACCATAACGTCGACGAAGGGCACGCCGGCAACGACGCACTTGAATAAATCAGGCGCCATGTTCGTGACCGCACCCACAAGTAATCCACCGGCAGATCGACCAGAAATCGCGAGCGTTTCGGGAGAAGTCCAACCACTCGCGCATAAATACTCGCCGCAGTCGATAAAGTCATTGAAGGTGTTCATTTTATTCAAATATTTCCCCTGCTCTTCGTACCAATATCTGCCGAGTTCACCACCTCCGCGGATGTGCGCGACTGCGATAGTGATGCCCCTATCCAACAACGGAACAACGGAGCGATCAAACGCCGGATCATTTGAAATACCGTACGATCCGTATCCTTCTAATAATAATGGTCCTTGCCTTTGTCTCTTACCTTTCTTGTACGCAATCGACACAGGGATTTTCGTTTGGCCGTCTCTGCTCGTGACTTGGATTTGCATCGTCTCGTAATTCTTTTCTACGAAACCTTTCACGGCGGTTATTTTCTTCATAACTTTTGTTTGCGAGTCCATATCGAATTCATACACAGTTCGAGGATTCACCAAAGATGAGTGCGTTAGCAACAGCTTATTCGTATCATAAATTTTGTTCGCGCCGACGCACGATAACGATGCGGATGCGCGCGAAGGATAAACAACACTCGCGGCTGGCCATTCAGATCGATACCAGTCTGAAATGCTGCTATCGTCGTCGCTATTCGAGTCTTCGAGTCGTAGCACCCAAACTTGCGTAAATCCATCTTCTCTGCCATCGATAACTATGTGATTTTTAAACGTCATAATGCTTTCTAAAGTCCGCTTCTCGCTCCACGGAAAGCCTTTTCCTTTCAAATCCGTCCAGTTTTCCATCCCGGGTGTTTCTAAGCTCGTGACTTTCAAGTCAAAGTTGATTTTCTTACCGAGTTGATTCGTTAACACGTACAGTTGCTTATTGTTTCTGCTCGGCTCGACGTAATATCGATGATTATCACGCCTTTTCTCCACGAGTCGCGGTATCTCGCTCTGAGACTTTTTCAAATCGAGGAGCCAAATTTCGTTAGTTTCCGTGGATTCGCTTTCGAGAATAAGGAAGTTGCCGTTGTCGCTTTTACCAAAGCCAATATTGTATAACTCGTCGTCTTCTGAAAGCAAACATTCGTCCTCGGACTGCGGGGTACCAATGTTATGTCTCCAGACTTTGTTAGGTCTGTGCGCATCGTCCATAGTTGTATAAAATAATTGACTGTCGCCATTCCAAGAGACCGAACCGGTTGTGCCTTCCAAAACGTCAATCGGCATCTCCTCTCCAGTTTTGACGTTTCTCACTTTAATTCTGTAAGTCTCGTACCCTGTTTCATCAACGCCGTAGGCTAATAAATTATGGCTCGCTGACATGTTAAATCCACCGATTGAACAGTAGGACATTTGTTTCGCGAGTTCGTTCACGTCCAACACGATGGTTTCACCGCCACCTTTGGTGGTATTCGTTCTTTCTAGTCGACAGACGATTGGGTAGGATTTTCCTTTCACCGTGCGGACGTAATACTCAAAACTATCACCCCATTGAAATTTAACGTCCACATCGGTCTCCTCGATCGCTTTGACGATTTCGTTGTACAGATCTGTCTCTTTTTTTTTCAAGTGTTTCGTGTGCGCTTCCGTGTATTCGTTCTCTGTTTTCAAGTAAGAGAGAATTTCTTCGTTCTTTCTATCGTCGTCGCGCAACCAGAAAAGGTCGTCGTTGACCTTAACCGCTGGATCCATGACATTCTCGCCTCTATTCTCGCCGGGAACGATACCGAATGATACGGCGTGATCGATTCGCTTACACACAGGCTTTGGAATATTCATAATCTGTTTTGAATTAGTAACGCCGGCTTCGCTTCCTCCTCCTCCTGACACTGATGCTGCCCGAGTGACGATTTTCCTCGCCGTTGAATTTTTTCCTTTCGACGTGGTGCGCAGAAAAGTAGCCGTGAATGCGATTGCCGCGGCGATGGGGAAGATAGGCTTCATCGTGAACAAAGAAGGCGAGAATAGTAAACTCGTACAAATACCTCACTTTTTATTGTTTGTTGTTGGAGTGAAGAAGGGATAGGGGTTGTGAAGGGTTTGCTGTGTTTTGATTTTTTCTTTTTTCGTTTTCGTTTGTCCCTTAAATTCGCTTCAAAAAAAGAGACGCTCTGATGACACACCGCGCAGCAACACCTACGGGTTCGAATAGTTGGCAGACGACGAAAACGAAAGCGATTTATGATCGAAATCGTTATCGGTCGAGAATATATCCATCATCATTACCATCATCATCATCATCATCATCGCAAAACTGTGCTTATCACACGTCGCGGCGGGATGAAAATACAAATTCACCTAATACCATGAATAATGATAAAAACAGCCGCAGCAAAGGAAGGGAAAGAATGAGAACATTCTATCGCCGCCAAAGAGGAAGAGTGCCGTCCTCGTCATCATCGTTGTTTGCAGAAGGAGTATCGGATACCGACGACGTTTTAATTTTATACACGAAACCGGGGTGCTGCTTATGCGAAGGTTTAGAAGAAAAGTTGAAAGCAGTTTTAGAATTAGCACAACAGCGCGAGAGAGAAACAACAACAGGAGATGTTGATAATAATAGCAGTCAAAATAATCACGTCGCTTTGGACTTGCGAGAATACGCGTTGGAAATCAGAGACGTGTCGTTGAAAAAAGAATGGGCTGACGCGCACGCGGGTGAAATACCAGTTTTATTCGTCGGTAAGCGCGGTGACGCCGACGACGCGCAAACGGCGTCGAAAGTGAAACGACCAACCCCTAGAGTGTCCATTGAAAGGCTTAAATTCGACTTGGAGAAGCATTTAGTATCGTTAACATCGAATAATACTCGCGAGGACAATGCATCGAAGACGAATGAAGATGATACAAGAGGCGGAGGAGGATGGAAAGTCATCAGCGCGAAGCCGTTTTGAGAAAAAATGTTATCGCGATGTTGCAAAAATGAAACGTACGCACAGCCTGAATAACTCGTCGTACAAATTTAAATTTACAATTTTAGTTCCTCCTTAAAAGAAACCCAATCTGGTGGATTATACTTGACGTATTTCGCGTACGCCAAATCCAATTTCTCGTCGTTCCCACCTTTCTCGATGAATGCTTTAAGCTTATCAAAATCAACGACGCCGCCTTTACTTCCTAGTACGGAAATTTTTGACAAACTCGAGGAGTCCAGGTGACATTTACTTGACAGCGCTTTTATCGCAGGAGATATGCTCAAATCATCAATTTCCTTTTTCAAAATGTCATACCCAAACTCGCTTCGCATCTTGGGCACTATCTTCATTCGACCAAGGTTAATAATCCCACTTTCCTTTTCCATCGCATCTTTATATTTCCTTCCTTTGACTTTTTGGTTGCTCTCGTCGCTCCTCATGTATCCCAACGGTGGAAGCGAATATTTGATGTCGCGTAAAAATTCAAATCCGCGTGTTCTCTCGAATCGCGCGTGGAGTTCTGCATTAGCCCGTTCGCTCACTCCTACCTTCGCTTCCTTCGTTTCTATTCCAATGTGCAATCGCTTTGCTACCTGATTTTCTTTCTCACCCCGAGCATCCTTCTCTTCTTCGTCTCCATCATCCTCTTCTTCCTCTTCTTTTATAAGTCTCATCTTCTGCTCGAAAATCGGATGCATGCTGTTATATAACTGTTGTTGAATCTCAAAATCATCGTTGAACGCATCTCTTTCCTCTTGCGTCATTGCTTTCCATTTTATAGAGAGGTCTTTCGAATGCAATGCTTGGTTTGACATCGCACGCTCTGCACTTTCAAACAAAAAATACCCTTTGCGCGGCTTGCGCGTTTCCGTCCCCATGAACTCACCTTTGAGAAGAGCGGAAGCAATTTGCACGAATAATTTCTTATATGCATGCATTTGCATCTCCCGTTGATATCTCAACTCGTCTCGCTTCACGTGCGCCTGCGATGCCGCCCTCTGCTCTTCCGACGCGCCGTACCAAAGTTCCCGTAACTTTGAATATTTTTCCGCGTTCGTTAGTTGCGGATTTTCGCGTCTAAAAAGTTTCGCTTTTGGATCGTGCTCTGAGAACGCTTTGTACGTACTCATTACTTTCTTCGGTTCTACCAACTTCTTTTTCCGCATTCGGTCCAGTTTCGCATCGATTGATGCGCTTGCGTGTTTTCTTCTCTCTCTTTTCTTCTTTTCTAAATTTTCGTCACGACGACGCTTCGTCTCGTTCACGTCGTCCGTCGTTGTCATCGTTGTCATCTTCTTCCTTTTCTTGTACGGACCTCTTTTCATGCCTTTTGCGGGACCATTATCTCTGTCTCTTTTACTCGTTTCTTTTTCAACGCCTTCTCCTTGCGCTGCGTTTCCATTTCCATTTCCATTTTGTTGTAGTTGTTGTTGTTGTTGCTCGATTCTCGACGCTGCGATTAACTCCACCGCTTGGTCTAAGGACCCCGACATGATTGAGGAACTTCGAACAATATATATTCCTTCGTCTTCGTCTTCTTTTCCCTTTGCTACTGCTGTCGATGCGTATATCTCCTCGAAACACGCGCTCCTGCAGCCGCAGCGTGTTTCGAGATTTTTGAAATTATGACGATGTGAAGAACGAAACTTGTTTTTCTTCTAGAGCTCCACAATTTTTACTACGCGCGATTAATAGTAACTCATATAAAAGTATACATATTACCAGCGTGATTGAGGTACACATCGCGGGGAAGAGATTACGCACACACACACACACACACACATAGCTATGAATCAACGTCGTCCTCCTCATTCTGCTTCTGATACTTCGGGGATGAACTCAAACGCGCTGGCGCGCATGCACCAACAACAAAGACAAGGGAGACAATCTGCAACGTCTACCATCGTCACTTTGATTAAGAATTGGAAGCCACGCACGACGCCAAAGTTGACGTTCTCTTTGGGTTTGTACGCGGTTGGGATCTTCTTGGCGTTTTTCGCCCGTCCGTTTCCAGTGACCCCGGAACAGTTTGAAAAGTACGAAGAAAAACTTCGACTGATTGACGGAGAGGAAGGTGTCTTAGGTGACGCTCGTTTGAACGCCGAAGACGCGTATCGATCTACACGCATGGAATTGTACCAAACAAAACGATTCGGTTGGCGATTACGCGGTGGACGCGAGAAATCCAGAGTGCTAGAACTCCAGAGGAAAGAGAAGGAACAATGGCGAGTTGTAAAAGCGTTGAACAAAGAGCGCGAACGAAAGTTGCGAGACGCGAGAAGTGAGTTAGGTATTTGGAGCGATGAAGGGGTTCGGGAAACGAAGAACAAATTTTGGGAGAAGTACGAAGGCGGCAAAGTTTTCGCAACGCAACAAACGTTTTACGACGCGTTCAATGCGTTACTCTATGGCAGGTCGGATGATAACGCGCTGGAGTTTATGATCAGATGGACGTTTACGATTCTTATTAATTTTACGGTCGGAATGTTTGGCGCCATCATCGGTTTCACCTTTGCTCTGCCTTCGGTAATTTATGGATTCGGCGCTTCCTTTTTCTCGTTTGCGATATTTTTCTTTCTCGCGGTGATATCTGCTATTTCTGTGGTCTTGACGCTTTTGGGTGTTCTTTACGGCGGTGCTATCGGAGGCGTCGTCGGGGCCGTCAACGTCGCGACGAATAACGCGTTGCGCCTGGAGGAAAAAAAGAGAGAAGAGATAAAACGTTTGCAGCAAAGACAACAGCAGCAACAACAACAACAACGACAAAGGCAAGGAGGAGCGAACGGTAGCGAAAACTTTAGGGACTTTAACGATAACAATCGGGATCACATGGATTAATGACTTTGGAATAAAGATTGAAGGAAAGTTTAAAAACAGACGTAGTATACCCTGCGCGAGTTCTCGTCTCCTCCTATTTTTAGAAATTTATTCTGTTTTACACCACACACAAAACTAAAGGTATTCTTCACACTCTCTCTGCCGCGCGCGCGCTCGTAATCGCGCATCGTCGTCACACAGTTGCGCGCGCAAACAACCGTCGAAAATGGCTATCGTTGACGTCTCGCCGTTTCAGAAGTGCATTGGTCCCGCGTCGCACCATCAAACGCACGCAAAGGTGAACACACCTAAAACAACAACGCGTCTAAAAAATACGACGAGTCAAGAAGAGAAGGACGACGACGACACGGCTATAAATAAAACGTTGTTCCGGCAGTCGCTTCCGCTTTCGCTCCAACCGCGACATAATCCGCGCAATACGCTCTTCCGCGAGTTTTACGATGCCGGTGAAATTCCCATCGCGGTAGCCCACGGAGGTGGTTCGAACGCAGTCACGTGGAGAGTCGATCCTGCAAGTCTCGATTATCACAGGTACCTTCCGTTATTTTTCGATGGCATTCGCGAAATCGACCATCCGTATAGATTGCTTTCAGTGCAAGGCGCGAAACAACTGTTAGCTGTTCGACCGGAAAAAGTTGCGGACGTTTTGCCGCAAGTCATTCTTCCGCTGCAAAACGCGCTCAAAACACGAGACGCGCCCATCGTGGCGGTTGCGATGGACATTTTGCGTCACTTGGCCACGTGCGAAAAATCCATCGGACAGATGCTCGTTCCGTATTATCGACAACTTCTTCCGATTTTAAACGTCTTTCGGAATTGCGACTGCTTAAAAGTTACGTTAAACGTCTTGAGCGACGGTTCGAAGCGCGATGGAAAAGAGTTGATCGGAAAAGGGCGTTCGGCGAAATCACTGCGCGTTCTCGTGAAAGAGACGTTACGCGTATTAGAGAGAGTCGGCGGCGAAGACGCGTTGATTAACATCAAATACATGGTCCCGACGTATGAGTCGTGTGTCGCTATCGCGGAGCGCTGAATACTACAAACTAAACTGACAGTACATCACAGTCTGATGAAATTTAATATATATCCACTTCACCAGTACCTGGTACCAAACAACGTCAAATTGGAAGGACGTTTTCTCTATCGACTGCTATTTCGCCTCGCGTTGTTGTTTCGTCGTCGAGTTTAACGACAACTTTATTCCCATTTTCTAAGACTCGGACTATACTCGCCCAAGTTCCATTCAGCGACGCTTGTTCGCCAGTTAAACCCGTCATTACGCACCGTTTACCATTCAATCGTGGCGTATTTCTTCCTTCTCCTCTTCTTCCTTCTCTCGCGCGGTTGTTGTTGCTAAAATTCGAAAATCCTCCAAAGAGATTGAAACCAAAAATATACTTTAGCATGTTGATAACTTTCGTCGGGCGCAACACGAGCATGCCCGCTAATATTCCACTGACGTGTACGATGAGATTCAACGTAGATGGATTCATCAGATATAGTAAACCGACTTCCGTCAACGCCAATCGATGCGCCGGTACCTGCAACCCGAAGAACGAATAGTTGCCTCTTGGATTTTCACCTAATACTATCGTTTGTAACGCGAACAAGACACCACTGCTACCGTACGTCGCGTTGTAATACACATCTCCATCGAAGAGTCCGCTGTGGAACAGCCCGCCTGCTATTATCGCCGCGAATCCGTGCGTCAAAACGGACACCAGGCAAAACAAAAGAACAAATTTTTCCGCTTTTCCTCCGTATCTCTCTTCGAGCTTGATGCCTTTGGTGAGTAAAGAGCTCAAATTATACGCCAAGTGTAGCTCGTCGCCGTGGACGAAGGAAGAAAACAACGTTCTTTGTAGTTCAAAATCTCGCAAAACCTTCGCGGGAGAAAAGCACGCGCTGGAGATGTCACCAATGATATCGTTCAGGAGAGGGAACACTTCGAAGTAATAAGAAGCCATAACGGCCATGACGACGAGCGTGCCGTGAGGCTTGTTCGGGACCGCTTGGTATTGTTGATACATTCTATACGCGTAATAATAAAAGAATGGATTTATACCCGATCCTCTTCTGCCTCTTCCGAAGCCCCCCGCGCGAAACATCTGTTCGTTTCGATTGATGGTCGGTTCGTTGCCCCGCGTGGTTGTTGTTGTTGGTTGAGTTTCTTTTTTAGTGACGAGATAATGTATTTTTTCTTCTTCTTCTTTCCTAATTCTTCTTTCTTCTCTTTACATTTTTTCCACACCTACCCCACTTACGTGTACACACACAAACACGCACGCACTTTTCTTCGCGAACGATCGATTAATAAAAAAGGACGATGGATCATCAAGACTTTAAAGAGGTTGTGTTGACCAAGAAACGACCGACTGGGACGGGTACCGGTGGTGGAACGCTCAAGGATCAAAGAGCGGTAGCAAATGTGCGTCGTCTTCCTTTTCGATGAATGAAGTGTTTGTGTTCTTTTCTTTCTTCGTCGTATTGACGTTGCCTTTCATTTTTCTCTTCTCTTCTCGTACACGTGATAACAAACAGGCATTGAGACAAGGATTGAACGTCACCGCGGTGAAGAAAGACGTTTCGAACGTGAATAAAGCTGGCCCAGGGCGTAACGCGTTGAAACTCGAGAACGAGACCGAAGAGCTCACGCACAAAACAGTCAATACGGAGGTGAAAAAGGCCATCATGCAAGGCCGTTTAGCGAAAAAGTTAACGCAGGCGCAACTGGCGCAGCAGATTAACGAACGTCCACAAATCATTCAAGAGTACGAATCTGGTAAAGCTATACCGAATCAACAGATTCTCGGGAAGTTGGAGAGAGTTTTAGGTGTAAAGTTACGAGGCAAAGGAATGAGATAAACTCGGCGAGAGAAGCGCGTTTTTGTGTTGTTTAGAGAAGAAAATAAACGACAACCTTTCTAGCGACGATTCGTCGATTATCAAAATAGAACATCTTCATTTCACTACTATTCACATACCAGTAACAGAACTCAGGCGTGTCCCAACTCTATGATTTTTGGAAAGATAATCTGTAAAACGTTTGCTACGAGCGCACAAAAAACAAAGAAGGAAACAACCGTCCCAGTCGTGAAGAAATCGACCCATCTTTCGTATCGAATCGTTCTTTCGCTCGGCTTGAAATCTTTGAGCTTTTCCATTTTGTTCTCGTGATTGTACGCGTTCGCCCATTCATCCGCCCAAGAGTGCCTGATGGCTTCGGCAAAATCCTCAAATACAGGGTAACTATCGCTATGGATTACGGACGAATACGCTACTGGTAAAACGTGGTTTCGCTCCGCGGCGAAACGTTTTTGCGACAGCACTTTCTCTTTTCCCGCGCAAATGATAATTTGAACGGGAAGTTTCCTAGAGTGCGCGTATCTCAACATCCCGCGTTTGAGCGGTAAGCTGTGCGGTTTAATATTTCTCGTTCCTTCTGGGTAGCACAAGAAACCCGGGAAATATTGTTCGAATCGAGACCAGTGCTTGTCTATGCTATTGTTCAGTTCTTCGTGACCGCCACCTTTGTCCCTTCGAAATGGAAAGACTGCGCCAACGAAGACGGCGGGTACCATGAAGACCGGGAACACGTACATCACGAGCATTCTCGACAGAGTAAATGATCGTCCTTCGCACAAGGACATGTCGATGAAGAAGTCCGCCCACGCGCGGTGGTTGCACAGATACACGCATTTGCCGTCTCTGTAAAGTTGTTTCTGGGAAACGATTTTAAATCGGACGTTCATAACGTTTGAAGTCATGAAGTCGGCCCATATTTGCGTAATCGGTGGTCGTATTTCCTTGGAGAAGTTCCAAACGCCGTGGAGTGTTCCTCGCGTGAGCAAAGAGAGTGGATATGAGAAGGCGAGAATCGGAAATGCAATCAAAAGCGCGATGAGATTTACACCTTTTTCCGCGAGACTTCTAGTGTCGACGTATTTGTCTCGCGAAGAGCTTGGACTCTCGAGCTTTTTCGATGGAGAAGAAAGCCCCATTTCAGAATTATACGATGGTGACAGAGAGCGTATTTATATACAGCGTGGTGAAGTGCTTATCGTTCACTTTTTGTTGTTGTTGTTGTTGTTGTTATGAAGAAGAAAAGTAGTGAACAGAAACGAGAGTTTTTGGAAAGAAGAAAAGTTCTGTGTGAGTTCAAACGACGAACATCACAAATTAACACGCTCTTTTGTCGCGCTAGAATACAGATACAACATAACATCAACAAGAAGCGCGAGGAGCGAGAGAGCGAGAGGGCGAGAGCGAGAGAGTGAAACAAAAAATGCGCACAGAATAGGGCGAGAAAGATACACATAGGGGACGTGGGGAGAATATTAAGTGTGTGAGCCTTTTTATAACATTAGGGGTCCCGCGATGGGCTTTTGGAACCGCCGTAATAATTCGGGTGAAGACGAACAGCCGTCCACTTCCTCTCCGCACCCTTTCCCACACGATGAAAAAGATGGTTTATATCGTAAACACCAAGGTCAGGTGCTTTACGATACCGATAAGCGCGCGAAGCCGCATCGTTGCAACGATAGATTAGAAGATGTTATTTGTTCTCTTTATGCGGGAGGTAATTTATTCTTAACCGTACCAAAGGTTTGGAGCACATTTACGGAGTGCATGCGATCGAAAGAGGGCGAAGAACCGGACGTGCCGTACGTGTACTACACGCCTCCATCGTCGAGGCTCCCTCGGAGCCGGCGGTAAAAATAATATTAGCATAGCGTACAACCTTAATATTTATATTTTAGTAACACGGCTAAAACACACACATCTCGCCGCGCATCTTTTGGCGCTGTGTACACACGCGCACTACGCTATTATTTAACTACTATTCTATTCTGCTCCTTCTATCTTTAAGCCAGCTTGCGAGTTCTTTGTGTCCTTCCATTTTTGCCATATCCTCTGGACCGTACCCGTCGTTATCTCGAAGTAACGGCAAATCTAACTCTTCGACTAAATACACGCACGCGTCGTAGAAGCCTTTGGTTGCAGATTTATGGAGAATGGAGTGACCGTTGACATTTGCAGACGTGACATCAAGACCTAAAGCGCGAAGGTACTTGAGCATTTTCACGTCGCCGCTTTGTGCCGCCCAGTGCACCGCGTTACATCGATACTTGTTTTCTCGATGAATATCGCAATTTGCGACCTTGACCAAATACTCGCATAACTCCAAATGTCCCATCCACGCCGCTCGCATAAATGGTGTCGTACCATCTGACATTTCGCAATCTTTATCAATCCCTTTTTCTTCAATGAGCCATACGAGCACTTCTAAACATCCGTTCCTACTCGCCCAATGAATTGCCGCTCGACCTTTCTTTCGCTCAGCAAACGCCGGATCCATACCAACTTCATCGCAGAGAAATTTACACAGCTCCAAAGCATTCGATCCAGAGCTCCAGTGCAAGCAATTCGAACCGTGCTGGTCACAAATGTCGTTGACATCAGCATCTGGGTTCTCTCGTAAAAATTGTCTCGCGTTCTCGACGTTGTTTGTTTTGCAAATCTCAAGCAATGGATGCAATGCCGGTGTGGCTTTCTTCTTCGTTTCTTCTTCGCCGAGTACCTCGGTAAATCGACTCAGTAAATATTCTCGTTGTAACGCGTCTATGTTTGTTAAATCTATGAGTGAGTTTCTCGCCGTTTGTTGCAAGTGCTTGCCTTGTTCATACGAATGCTTATGGACACTTTGCGCGTGAGTCACGAGACCTTTCGAAGCTTCAAAAAATCGTCCACACATGGAGCACATCAACTCTCCCATTTTCGCGTGCTCTGCCAGACGTTTCTTCGTCAGTATTCGCATCGTTCCGCTTTTAGGACATGTTCTAATATCCGCGATGCCAACCTTGTGTATTTGAGAAGCGTCCATATTTTCATAAACCGCATCGCACAAAGCGATGCTATCGGCGTATTCGCTTCTGTGAACCAAACCGTACGCGGTTACCCGATACAGCACAAGCACACGCACATCTGACTCGCCTGCTTTGCGACGATAACACAGGTGATAGTTTTTCTCGTTTTTAGTGGAAGTCGTGGTATTGGGAGTGTTCATCGTCGTCGATTTTAACAGAGCTTCTCGGATAGCGTTCTCATCTTCTTCTTCGTCCGTTTCTTCCTCCTCGTCCTCATCTTCTGCTCCTCTCCCCGACGTGGCCATCCTTTTCAAAGTTGCAAAAAGACACACGAACGCTTTACACGCGAAGTCAGCGGAGCCTTTTCTCGTCGTTTTAGTGACGACATTCCTTGCCAACTGGAAGACATCATCGACGAGTTGGTTAGGTAAAAATGACTTTGCTGTCGTTACAAGAAAGTTCTGAATGTCTGCGCGCAACGCGTTTTCATCGTCCATTATTGATGAATTTTATCAGGAAACTTCTCACTTTTGACGGAACAATGATGGCAAAAGGAGAGAAATGGCACGCGGGTGTTCTGTTCTTAGTGTTGTTGCACTACGAAACCAACTCTTACCGGAAGAATGAATTATTATTAGGTATTGTGTGTTCGCGTGAAAACTCTTTTTGCGGTATAAAAATCTCCCCCTCTGCACGAAAACAGAAAGCAGAAAGCGTTAATATATATCAACGAATCAAAATGTCGTCCGCTAAAGATAACAACAACGACGTCGACGACGACGATACAATCGATGAGGATGAGATTGATGACTGGTTAGATTCTGACGAGGACGACGAGGACAATACCAAGAAAAAGGAGGAGGAGAAAGAGGAAACACTTTTGAATGCCGTTGAAAAACAAGAACAAGAACGCGAGAGGAAGAGGAATGAACAAGAAGAAGAAGAAGAAGAAGACGAAGAAAAGAGAGAACGCGAAGAAGAGCGAGAAAAGCAAAGACGCGAGCAAGTTGAATTGGAGGCTCGTCGGGCTGCGGAAATTGCAGCTGCTCGAAAGAAACAAGAGGAGGAAGAGGCAGAAGCGAAAAGGAGGCAATTTCAAGAGCAGGAGAAAAGGCTGAGAGAAGAAAAAGCCAAAGCGGAACTAGAGGCAACGCGTCAGATGGAAGAAGAGAGACGCGAGCGAGAAGAAACCTTGAGAAAAGAAGTTGCTGGCCGCGACACGGAGGCTGCGTCGTTTGAAGCAAAGAAAAGCGAGCAGGCTACGATAGAGGTACTAGACGCTGTTGGAGAGAGAAATAACGCGCACCATCATCAACCGCCAAACGAGTTTGACGAGCTCGCGCAATCGTCGACAGTAGTTGGTGGTTTATTCGGGAGTTTCAAAGCATTGAAAAGCGCTGCGTCCAAAACAGTGACCGCTATGAAATCGCACGAGTTTACTCGCCAAATGACGAGCGATATACGAGAACTTAGCAAACACATCGCCGGTGATGATGTCGCAGCGCCTTCAACAAAAATACCAACAACAACAGAACTCGGCGAAGATGATCGCACGAGACAACGTGCAAGAGATGAAGTCGACGCGTTAGAGATTGCAGAGAAGCTCGCTTCAAAAACTTGGCACGCAATTGGTGGTATTACAAACAAAGGTAAGAAATTAGCAAGCGACGTCGAAGGTTCGATTAAAGAAAAGGGATTAGGAGCAACGGCAGAGAAATACGGAAAGAGCGCCTTATTCGGTATAGAAAAAGTTCTTGCCAACGCCACGAAAGTAATAGCTGCGGGGATTGAAGATGAAACACGCGCAAATAGTCGCTTAGCGGAAAATCTTCAAGAGTACGGGGTGTTTGAGTACTTAGATGCAATCGACGTGAAGACGAAGGATGCCGAAGAAAAATTTAAAGCGCTCGATTTCGAGGCGGCTAATTTTATGGCCAAGGCGTGCGCCGATATCTTATCTCCTGCACAAAGTCAAGAAATGGGGTCACCTTTGAAAATTAATACGAATCAGGAATTTGAAGAGATGGATATGCATAATCACGAAGCGGAAACCTCTCCTGTGAAGAAATCCGGGAAGATTCACGCTCAAAAGGTAGCAGAATCAGTTCAGCGCGTAAGCGCACTTTTGCAAGATGCGATGAGAAAACCGGATGAAAGTGCAACGAAAAAAGCGCTAAACATGATAGAAATAGCAGAAAGTGAACTCGAGGGTGTTCGAGAAAGCGCGATAGTTGCCTTTACCGAATTGACGGTTTTTGGTATGCAACAATTTGAGGAGGTGAGCGAAGCGTTGAGCAAAGACGAAATCGATGTATCGCGTTGGGGTTCGACGGTAGAATCTCGCGCGAAGTACGTAGAAACAACAATTTGCAGGGTTGAGAACGAAATTCGTTTGTTCCGAAATGCCGTTTCGACTGAAGTTGAAGCACTGGGAGCATTTTCTACGAATGCGGGAGGAAACATTCCAACAGTTTTGGAAGTTGTCGCATCGCTTCTCGACGACATCGATAATGATTTACTCGAATGTTTGGACATCTTCGAGGACGCAAAAGGCATGATTATCCCAGCGATTGTGGTGAGTTGTTTGTGAGCGCGACAGAGAGGAGAAACAAGAGTGTTGTTCTTTCTCTTTGCGGAGTTTGTTTTTTCAAAAATCAAAAAATTTGCTGAATTCTCAAACTTCAGACTGTGCCATCACGAGACTTCTCTGCAAAACTACGACAGCGTTTTTCCAAAACAGAGATTTGAATATGTCGTCAACGACGCTCGCACCTGGACTCGCGCGGAAGGTGAAAAAGGTACTGGACACGCGATTAGATGGACGCGAAACTGTGGCGTGTTTGAAAGCTTTGTCTGAATTCTACATCGAAAACGATCAGAGCGCGCGCAGAGGTTTACGGTTCGCCATCGAACGGCGAGGGTTGGACATCAATAACGAGTTCATTCACGCGTCTGAATCTACGCAAGGCACGCTCAAAGCCGTAGACGACAAGTTAGACGCATTGACGCAGTGTGTCGATTCTATCGAAGAAGCGTTGGAGAAGAAATCGCAGTCCACTGTGGCTTTACTGCGCGAAACGGAGAGCGCAAAGAATGATCTCGCACGAATTCAGTCGAGAAGCAAAGTTATCGACACGTTTTTGAGAGATTATCAGCTGAAAGAATCGGAACTGAACGCACTCAAGGAAGATATCGATGAAACGACTGAGATCGTCGGTGGTGTGTCCGCGTCGACTTCCCGCGTCATAACACCTCTATTTTATAAAGCACTCAGACGAGTAAAACAAATCCATAAGAATTGTGCCCACTTGCTTCGAACGCAACATCAACGTTCGGGCTTAGAGCTCATGGATGTTATGTCCGGTCACATGGACCAAGCGCACGAAAAGCTTTGTCGATGGGTTCAAAGTGAAGTGCGCATCGCGGCTGAGAACGAGTTTGATAATACCAGTAGCTTTTCCGCGGACGCAGAAGAGCGGCTAGAGCAAGTCGCGAAAGCACTGCGCGTTTTACGTTCCAGACCAACGTTGCATCAATATTGCGTAGAAGAGATTGCAAGAACACGACACAATGCGTTGTTTCGTCACTTTATTGCAGCACTGACTCGAGGAGGCCAATCTGGAAAAGCTCCGATCGAAGCACGCGCGCACGATCCGGTTAGATATATTTCTGATATGCTTGGATGGATTCACCAAGCCGTGGCGAACGAACGCGACGTATGCAACGCTTTGTTTTTAAGTACAGATGCATCGCTGCTCTCCGACGAAGAGGACGAGAAAGATGCGAACAATACATCTAGCACGAGAGATGACGCAAACTCTGGAAGTGTGAAGGAAAGCGCAGATACAAGCGGCGAGCTATATGACAACATGGAGGGAATCGCGAAGGATACGATGGTTAAGATAATGGATGGTTTATCGCGCCCGTTAAGAGTTCGCGTGGAGCAAGCTTTAGCTGGAACACCGGATGCGTTAGAAACGTACAAAATTACGGGAGTTTTACACTTTTACTCTGGAGTTTTAGAACAATTGCTTTCGTTGACGACGGCATCTCCCTCCGAAGCCGAGAAAGGTTTGGTCGAAGCTGTCAAGGTTTGCGCGAAAGCCGCGCAAACGTCCTTTAACGATGACGCAATAGTCAAGGGTGCTGCAATTACTCGCAACCCACCAGTACCGCAAACAGGATTACATGCGCCTCCAATTGTACAAGAACGCTTGGAGGTGGCGATTTCTATTTTGAAAGCTGCTTCATCGGACGTTCCATCGAGCGGCGGCTTATCGGGCAGAGAACAGAGCGGAATCAACGAGCACGGGAATGCTGGAGCGGATAAAATCATCGTGAAAGTATTAGATGCCATCATTGATCCAGTCATTGAAGCGTGCGAGTTGGGAGCGAACAAGTTGATCGAGGTAAATTCGACCATCATCGGTGGCTCCAAGACTGTGCCATGGGCCGCAGATGCCTACGTTTTAAATTGCCTTGGAGCTTTGCACACTCCGTTAAAGCAGTATCCGCTAGCACAAGCGAAGACGCAAGACTTGACGAGACGCATTTCAAACACGGCCACAGATGTCGCCGATAATTACGCGGAATCAATCTTAAATGCGTGTGGTCTTCTCGACGTGCTCGAACGAGTTTCTTTGTATCAAGAACGTTCGTCTGGCGTGATGTCTCACGATCCGAGCTTGACTTTAGATATCATCTCTAAAGCGTTGCAAGGTTTAGTAGAAAGTGCCAAGGATGGCGCCCCGGATTTTCAAGAAGTTCAATCACCTCGAGTGCGATTGGATATCCAGAACCGGTTCTCGAATCGTTTGATCGAAGCGTACACTCGCCGTATATTGCTGCAACTCGCGCTCAACTGAAAGGAACCTAA